TGAAGTCTCCTAGCTGCTTGTGCTGCTGTAGTAAACTGACCAGTTGCAAACTTTCGTAATATTAATCTATCCTCATTAGTGCTGAATGTTCCATTACGACCATGATGGGCATTTCGAGTAATGCCGATTTCTTTCGAAATGCGACTAATCGTTGCAACTGATACACCTGTGCGCTTACTAATGTCACTATATTCAACGCCATCACGAAGAAGACATTCAATGTTTTGCTTAATTTCAACAGAAATGGGCTTCATGTTTTTTTTTATAGATTGCAATTCTTAATTGGAGAAAAATGAATAGATGAACAAACAATAAAATACCTACAGGGTCCCTCATGCTCATAGTACTTACTTTCTCAATAGCAGTCACATATACATAAAATCAGTAAATTTATGAGAAAAAAATAGAAAACTCAAAAAATGGTTTCAATGGGGTGATCATTTTTTAAAACCAGTAAGTTGACCGTATAGCACATGACTATGAAGAAATTTCTACCAAAAATGGAAATATATGTGTACTATTACTGTGTTCAATTTTTAGCCGTTTCAGTTTAATGTTGTGAAGAAAAAAGAAAAAAAGTGAATTTTTAAAAAACATTGAAACCATTTTTTGAGTTAGTGTAATATCATAAGGAGGTTAATATTTAACAAAACACCAATGAAATAGTATCTATAAACATCATCTAGAACTACCAAGCAAAGTATAAATAGCCCGATAGTTTTTACAAGAAGAATATTTAGTTTTTTTAATTTTTAATTTTTTTCTAACAAAAATTTATTCTTACTTGTACCTGTGTCTCACGATTTATTTCTGTCTTAACCCATACAACATGTCTTATTAAATCATAAGTAACATTTTTTCTGATTCACATCTTATCTCAGATTTCTTTAACAATTCTTATAAATATCCTATCAATTTATTTAAATTCATAAATAAAATAGTTGACATTAAAATTAGTATTCGGCCTTATTGACTTCTTTTGTCTTTAAATTATTTTTATTTTATGATATTTTTTATTTGGTATTTTAATAGAAATATAACAAATTTAATTTTCTTGTTGTTTTTTGTTGTACTTTTTCTAAAAAAGTGACAATTTTCTTTTTTGATGTTGGATGATTGTTGAGGTCGCTGAAGGGGATTTTTTTTAGATACTCTTTGCTTTTTAAAGAAATCCCCTTCCTCTCCATCAGTTGGTGATGATGCGTTTAAGATATTAAAGACACTTTTGACAATATCTGTTGCAATCCAAGCAGAAACCATAGCTGGAAGAACTGTTTCTCCAAAGTGTTCAATGGAATGACCAATGATTATTGGTTCTTGTCTATTGATTCCTGTGATATTAGGCGTCGGTCTGTCTACATTAAACATTGTAAACGAAAGTCCAGAGTGAATAAATCCAACTGTCTGAAGTGATTTATACATGGAAGGTTTTATTTTTATAAGGTCATTAAGCATGTCTTTTAGAGTTGTTGATAATTTAACAAACGAGTCTTTAAAATGTCCGGAAAAAATACTATATTTTGCCTTGATTTCCGTTGCTCCAAATACTTGACCTTTACTGCGATCGATTCTATAAGTGCGAAATACACTATCACATTTGTGGCTCAATTTTATCCTAGCAATCGCATCCAATCCATCAATAGTCCTTTTATTGTTTATTTTATCTTGGTTAGCAATGCTTATTGGCTCTTTAATTGCAGCTGTTATGATTGTAGTCGTATTTACAATTAAGTTAATAGAAATAAACCATCATTTATTACATAATAAATAGGTTATTCAAATAAAACTAATATATTGTACTTCACAGCATAATATTCATTCTACGCTCAGTTTTGATAATAGTCGTTGTCAGAGTATTCGAGCATTAAAAATAATTATATACATCGCATTATGTAATAGTAAGAACTCAATAGGTTTATGACTGTTATATTCAATTACATAATTATTTATACAAGTCATTTATATTATATATACATCCATAATGTTGTATAGTGTTATAGAGGGAATATTCACTGTAAATTAATATTAACGCGTTGCTTATCTCCAAGACAATAATCGTGTATATTTTTAATTTCAGCAACAGCTAAGGCAGAAATCTGCATACTGCATGCAGAATTATTCGGAGACAAAATTTGTGCATATTTGTGCACAAAGACTTTATTATAGCAGTATTCACTTATCTAAATCACATTCCTATTAATATTACTTACCTTACAAAAACATATAAATAGCTCTCGTCATTTTTCCATATTATTTTTTTCTGGTACAATTTCTGTACTATTTTTTTTAATAACCTATACAAAGTTTTTACAGACTTGTCTTTTCTTTTTTCTCTTTCCTTATCTTTGTACTCAAAGCACGAACAATTACATCGAAATTAGATTTCTCTAATTTTCTTTATAGTACGTCATGCATAGTCATAGAAATAAGAAGCCTTAAATAATACTATTTTTGGTAAACTTTTCATCAATAGTAGAATCAATTAAATTGGTTTGGTCAAACAGGAAATTTGCTTGATAAAGTGTTTTATGGGACAATTTGTTCACTTAGTGTACGACTACAATCATAACAGAGTTTAGGATATGGAGCGTGTGATGCTAATGAATTGCATGAAGGTATAGGGTTGATTATTGAACAATTGTTGCAGAATAGGGTAATTTTTTTCATTTCGTTTGCAGATCTTTTCATTGGAGCAATAGTTATAATAGATGCCGGTTTTGATTGTGAAGCCTTAATAATGACATTGACATGTGCCAGAGCGTTTTCGTTCTCTCTGTGTTCGTTTATAATGGAAGAATGTTCTAATTTTAAACTTGTTAAAGCATATCTTGCCAGATGTTTGTTTTCTTCGGAATCACTGGCTCGCTGACAGGCATGTAATAATGCTTCATCATGATTATCATGATTGTAAGATTTATAACTTAATTCAATAAGATAAATAGTCATAATAGAATACATAGTGCATTTGTATAATAATTCTCTCTATAAACATATTTAGTATATTTACCCTTGTATAGAAAAATAATTAATTAATAAAAAGTCCTACATCTAAAAATATACTTTCTTCTATTATTGTTCTGCTGAATATAAATTTATAATAATAACTCTATACAAGTTAAACTGGGGTAAACTAAGAATAATACAAATACGCGTAATAATTGATTCTACTCAGAATACACGTATTAGTTATAAAAATAAATATATATAAAAGATATGAATCTATATCTATAATTATAACTCTTAGTAATCCTTCTATAATTATATTATCAAATACAATTTGTTATATTTTTATCTTCTTATTACTCATCATCCTTATCCGCGAAATATATAAATACTCTTACATTATTAACTCTTATATTGTATAACATATACTTGAATTAATTCAATTCTTAATAAACTTATTGACAAGTCTCAACGTACTTGTTGTGATTGTAGTAGCCTTTATAATTAAGTTAATAGAAATAAACCATCATTTATTATATAATAAAGAGGTTATTCAAATAAAACTAATATATCGCGCTTCACAGCATAATATTCATTCTACTCTCAGTTTTGATAATAGTCATTGTTTGAGTATTCGAGCATTAAAAATAATTATATACATTATATTATGTAATAATAATAATTCAATAGGATTATGACTGTTATATTCAATTACATAATTATTTATAAGTCATACATATTATATATAGATAGCTATAAAGATAAATATTGTTATGTAATAATATCTTATAGGATAATAATAATAGTAGCATATAAATAATTGGTATTGCTATAGCTGACATATTCACTGTGAATTAATATTGACGCGTCGCTTACCCCAGAAATAATAATTTAATATTTTTAGTAACAGCGACAGCTCAGGCAGAAAAGAATAAAAATAGATTTTATTGTAGGCAGAATTATTCGGAGAAAATATTTATGACTAATGCTTTATTATAGCAATATTTGCTTATCCAAATCATAGTTCTATTAATATCACTTACCTTGCAAAAAACATATAAATAACCCTTTACGTTTTCACATAATTTTTCCTGGTACAATTTTTGTATTATTTTTCTCAATAAAAAAACTACACGAAGTTTTCACAGACTTGTCTTTTGTCTTTTTCTCTTTCTTTAACTTTTTGCTATCAAAACAGTACTTCTTCTGTCTTATCTTCTTTTATTTTATTTTCTTTTATTTAATTACTTAAACCTACCTAAACCACAACACGAGATGATTAGTTATCTTTCTTGCTTTTATTTATCTTTTTATATCAAGTATTATTATTAAAAATATGCCATTTACACATAGCCAAGAAACACATAACTCTATCCAATTACTTATTAAGGATGGTATGACCACCAAAGATATTGTAAATCGTACAGGAGTCTCTAAATGGACAATTAATCGGATTCGAAGTAAACTGAACTCAGATTACAAACGACCTAAGGGTGGTAGACCTAATCATTTAAGCACTACAACAGCAGTCACACTTCGTTTCAAAGTCCGATGTGGTTCTTTGCGTACTGCTCGTGCTGCTCATGAATGGCTAAAGCTCAATCATGTCTATATAAGTTACAGCAGAACAGTTGAAATGCTTCATCAGCTGGGTCTTTTTGTTACTTTAAAGAAGTCCAAGCCTTTCCTTAAGTATCAGCATATTAAGAAAAGACTTCTTTGGGTGAAAAAGCACTGTAACTGGGATTTAAATGACTGGAAGAAGGTAATATTTTCAGATGAGACTAAGATAAACCTTTGGGGCTCTGATTGAGTTCAATATACATGGAAACAAAAGGGTTATCCGAATCAGCCTCATCACTATAAGGCAACTTTGAAGCATGGAGGTGGCTCTTTATTAATGCGGGGCTGTATGACTGCAAAAGGGCCGGGATATGCATGTAGAATAGATGATAAAACTTTGAATTCCGAGGGCTATATCTATATTTTAAGCACTACATACAAAGATACATTGGAGTATTATGGCTGGAATAAGAAGGATGTTATTCTTCAACAGGATGGTGACACAAAACATACTTCACAAACAACTCAAAAATGGCTTCAACAGGAGGGTATTAACTATATGCATACATGGCCGCTCAATAGTCCGGACTTAAACCCTATTGAGCACCTCTGGCATCAGTTAAAATCAAAATTAGGTCAATACCCTACCCATCCAAAAAATATTGAAGAACTGTGGCAAAGGATTAACATAGAATGGAATAAGTTTACGGAGAATAACATGTTACCTTACTATGAAAGTATGCCATCTACAGTGACTCACAAAACTGTCCCAATGTTTTGCACTTTTCTCTTTAACTGACTCGTTCTTCTTTTGTAATCATGCTAGAAAGATACCGAAAATATCATTCGATAGCCTAAGTAATTCTCTATCAAGTCATTACCAAAAATAGAAATATAATTTAAAACTCAGCGTAAAATATTAAATAAAAAATTGAATATGCATTGGGACAGTTTTGTGGCCGTAAGTTAATTTTATTTAATTTAAACATAGAACAACTAATAATCAGTCCAACGACCTTTTGCCTTTATAACAGCTTTGCAACGGTCGGGCATAGAGTCTATAACCCTTAAACAATCTTCTTTGGTAATCTTATTGTACCATACATCCGTGATTCTTTCAAAAAGCTCACGAATACCCTTAGGTGGTGTCTCATACTCATTAAGTCTTCTTTTTGTTAGAGCCCACATATGTTCAATAGGATTAAGGTCTGGAGACTGTGATGGCCAATCAAGAACTTCGTATTCCTGGCTTTTCAAGTATTCTTTGACTGGAATTGACCTATGTTTTGAATCGTTATCATGCTGGAAGACGATTTGGTCTCTCCTTAATCCTGTTTGCTTGCACACCATTTCGATAGATTTCTCTAATTCGTCTTGAAGGATTTCCTTATAAAGCTCTCCGTCCATAGTAGAGTCTATTTTGCACATCCAGCCAACTCCGACGCAGGTAATACAACTCCAAATCATGATTGAACCGCCTCCATGTTTATAATTCTGCTTAATATGACGTATTTGAAGACTTTCATTGTCCCTTATCCAAGCCCAGACACGTCCATCGGAGTTAAAACGATTAATTTTGGTCTCGTCAGACCAAATAACCCTTCTCCAATCATCGACTGTGTAGTCTTTATACTTCTTTGCCCATCTAAGTCGTTCTTTAATATTTGTGGGACTAAGTGCAGGTTTCGCTTCCTTTTCTATAGAACCCAAACCGAGTGATTTTAAAGCGCGACGAACTGTCTCAGATGAGACTGACTTGCCTAGCTCCGACTTAATTGAATTTCCGACTTGCACAGCGTTTTCTAAACCTCCTCTAGTTATTTTATGAACACAGTAGTGCTTGTCCCTCTCCGTGAGCTTACCAGGTCGTCCCCCTTTTGACAAGCTGCGCCCAGATAAATATGTTTTTCCGATGCGACACACAGAACTCCGACTCACACCAATCTGCTCAGCCACATGACGCACAGAAAGTCCGCTGTTGAGCTTGGCAATAATGTCATTTCTTTGGTTTTCACTTATGGAGCGCATACTAACAATATGGCCTCAAGATTTAGTCCCCAAAATTATAGAATATTCTAGAACTTACCTTAATTATACTGTGGAAGGTACAAAGAAATAATACGATCGCTACTATATGCTAGGCTGAAGTTACTGCCAAATTGTGGGACAGATTTTATTTTTATAAGTACGGCCACAAAACTGTCCCAATGCATATTCAATTTTTTATTTAATATTTTACGCTGAGTTTTAAATTATATTTCTATTTTTGGTAATGACTTGATAGAGAATTACTTAGGCTATCGAATGATATTTTCGGTATCTTTCTAGCATGATTACAAAAGAAGAACGAGTCAGTTAAAGAGAAAAGTGCAAAACATTGGGACAGTTTTGTGAGTCACTGTAGAATCAAGGCTGTCATTAAGACTAAAGGAGGATATACGAAATACTAAATTTATATTTCATATTGTAAATTTAACAAAAATACCGAGTAAAAACTTTATTTGCCCAATTAACCAATTAGAATTGGCCAATTCTGATAAATCTTTGAATGTACATAAAGTGTATTTGTAGGAATTATTTAGACAATTTTGAGGTTTGTACTAAACGTTAATATTGAGATATAGCGTATAAGGTAGAAAAATTATTTTTATGCACCAGTTTCCGTAACTATTGTATGAATAATGTAAATTTTGTTGAATTTCCATTAAAAAAATACTTTTATTGACGTATCTCTATTCATTTATGTTGTGCATTAAGGAAAGTCAAAAATCATAAGATATTGCCACACTCTTGTGAGCCACTGTACCTACAAAGTAATTTATTTATCGCTTTTTGAGCGCACAAGATTCGATTTTTAATTTTAATTTACCCAAACTTTTGGCGGATACGATCAAAACGCTAACAATGGTAACGATCATTTCAAGCTATAACCGCCAGATGACACCAGATATGAAGGCTATATATATACAACAGTTTGAAGACCAGCCTTGTTTCAAGTCCCTTAATACAAACTTTCCTAACGTTTGTGCATTCGTTTTGTATACTCTAAAAATTAACCTGTACGAAGAATGACCTCAGTATATTTGGTTTTACAAACATAACACCATAAAAGACGAACTTGAATATAATTTCTTCAAAGCAGCTCAGTACATTTTAACAAGCTATAGCGATAAATGTAACAGATCAATACAATTAAGAGCACCTAGTGAAAGAACGTTATGGGTTGACCGAATTGCTTCAATATTTCAAACGTTAGGTGATCAAACAGGTCTCATTGGATTGAATGGTGTGAAACCTTATCATAAAACTGCATTGATGATAGTATCAATATTGATTTATGGATAAAAACGTGTAGAAGATATCTGGATGCTTTAGTTTTCATTAAACGTCATAATGAAATTCTACCAATGGAGGCATCTATCGGATTAGAGAAAAAAGATATGGAGCATACCATGGAAGACATGCTTAAAAATTTAAATTCAACCATAGCTTTCATCAACGGGATTGGTCGAAAATATCTCGATGCAAGCCATTCGACGTTCAAAAAGTTACACGTAGTTAGTGTTCAATCGGTCAAACAGACAATAACATTAACATCAACCCGCATTGATATTACAAAAGTGGACTATTGTGTTATGGTTTAGGTAAGTTTAAATAATTAAAGTATAAAAGAAATAAAAGAAATAAAATAAAAATAAAATAAGACAGAAGAAGTACGTTGAGACTTGTCAATAAGTTTATTAAGAATTGAATTAATTCAAGTATATGTTATACAATATAAGAGTTAATAATGTAAGAGTATTTATATATTTCGCGGATAAGGATGATGAGTAATAAGAAGATAAAAATATAACAAATTGTATTTGATAATATAATTATAGAAGGATTACTAAGAGTTATAATTATAGATATAGATTCATATCTTTTATATATATTTATTTTTATAACTAATACGTGTATTCTGAGTAGAATCAATTATTACGCGTATTTGTATTATTCTTAGTTTACCCCAGTTTAACTTGTATAGAGTTATTATTATAAATTTATATTCAGCAGAACAATAATAGAAGAAAGTATATTTTTAGATGTAGGACTTTTTATTAATTAATTATTTTTCTATACAAGGGTAAATATACTAAATATGTTTATAGAGAGAATTATTATACAAATGCACTATGTATTCTATTATGACTATTTATCTTATTGAATTAAGTTATAAATCTTACAACCATGACAAGTCTTTGTAATGGTACTCGCCTGATCGTCAGAACAATTCTACCTCACGTAATAGAGGCATTAGTTGCAACAGGCTCTCATATTGGTAATGTTGTGTACATTCCAAAAATTAAATTATTTAGCAGCAATGAGCCGACTACACTACCGCTTTCATTTTCAAGGACTCAATTTCCTGTTAGACTTGCATTTGCAATGACAATTAACAAAGCTCAAGGCCAGACTATGGATCGTATTGGTTTGTATCTTCCAAATCACATATTCGGTCATGGACAGCTCTATGTTGCTTTGTCAAGGGTAAAATCGCCTTCTGCTATTAAGATTATGATTGATGCTGATTCTAATAGTGGAAATAACAATGAAAAATCTTATACTAGAAATGTAGTGTACAATGAAGTTTTATCCAACAATAGCTAAAATTTCTTTAAAATCATTGACTATAAACATAACATTCATATTACATATCCCAAACAATAAACATCAACAATAGTTTTATGTAACCACACAATATAAATGTACTATTTAGGCATTTCTTTTTCTTTTTCTTTTTTTTTTTTAATAATTGAATGTTAAGTTCATCCCAAGCCCGCAGGGCGAGGAAGCCACTCCCTTAGTGTAGGTCAAGTTTTTTACTGGAACGCAGTGTAGGTGCAAAAAAATTACCGGAATGAGAGGGGAGGTGAGCAGCCTCGTAATAATTATTAATGTTCGAATACTCTAACAATGGCTATTATTAAAACTGAATGTATAATGAATATTATGTTGTGACGTACAATATACTAGTTTTATTTGAATAACATCTGTATTATTTAAATAAATGACGGTTTATTTTTATTAACTTAGTCATAAAGACAACTACAATCATAACAAATTCTATCTAGTTCCTCCCGGAACTCTCTTGATCTACTTCACCAAATGATATTAAAACTTTTAACTCTTCATTATCTATAACATATCTTATTGAGTCGTTACTAGCACTTTTCTGACTCACATCTTATCTCTTACTTCTTTAACAATTCTTATAAATACTCATCAATTTAAATCCATAGATAAAATTATTAACTTTAGAACTATTATTCGGCCTTATTGACTTCTTTTGTCTTTATATTATTTTTATTTTATAACAATTTTTTATTTAATATTTTACAGGTAATATCACGGAAGTGACCAGTTTAGTTTCAAAAAAAAAGAAAAGAAAAGAAAACTAATTGAGGGTGGAAAGACTGTACATGTTAAACAGGATTAAAAGTTAGATAATAATTGTTTCTGGGTGGTGAAGAACTGCTCTGACAGTGTCTCAACGTAAAATAGAGACACTTATACCGTTTTTTTATTTTCTCATATTTTTTGGTGTTCTGTGACTTTTTCTCAATAAAAAAGTTTTTTACTTATAAAATAGTAAATTTCTAAAATGTTCGTCAACTTAGTTGATAATAATTTCACGAATAATTCTATTAAACGTCAACGTCCAGTTAATTCTTCTTCAGAAATAATTGTTATTTCTGATTTTAAAGACAAAATGTCAATAATTACTAATAATGATCATAATGAGATCATAAATTCAGAAATTGAAGATGTGAATGAGAGTAGCATAACGATCTGAGCAAGGTTGTAATTATTAAAAGTAATGGCAGAACAATTATCAATCTTTTGTTAATAATGAACGAAAGTTAGCTAATTCAATTAATTATAATGTAGTACATGTAGATGAGGAGGAGAAAGACAACCCTAAAAATGAAGTTTATTCTTTTGAATTTGAGACTGAGGGCCTTCCTGCATATTGGAGTAGAGAAGTTGTAAGAAAAATTCCCACTATTAAGGAGTTTTATTTATATAATAGATTCTTATTAAACTTTGGAATTTATTATGGTTAAAATGAGGTCATTCGTTGCTGTAGCGACACAGGCAGTGTTATGTATCTAGAAGAACGCGAAAGTAGAAGTAGGTGACGCTGTAATGGTAAAGTTATAAACGTTGGTACCTACGAGAAGTGTTGCAACGGCAGAATACGTACAGTTCGTCGTGACTCTTTTTTCAGCTATAGAAAGCTTCCCATAAGTGATATCTTATCTATACTGTATTTATGGTCAATTGGTTCCATTACACGTAAAGGTATTGCACGTATGGTAGGATGTCATCCTAATGCAGTATCCCGTATTATCCGCGAGTGGTATCAGGTGCTACAGGAAGATATTCAGGTGAATGACTGTCAAATTGGATGTGTTGACGACAACGGTAATTCTATTATCGTTGAAATTGAAGAATCTAAATTTGGTAAAAGGAAATATCATCGCGGACATCATGTAGAAGATTGTTGGGTTATTGGAGGCATAGAAAGAACAAAAGAAAGAAAGTGTTTTTTTTTGGTAGTAGTACCTAAAAGAAACGCAGAAACATTGAGGTCTATTATTGAAACATATGTTAAACCAGACTCAACTGTATATACAGACTGTTGGAAGGGATACGATCGTATGGAAGAATGGGGAATGGATCTTACTCATCGTACAGTAAACCATTCTATAACCTTTCGCGATGGTGATGTCTGTACAAACACGATCGAAGGTATATGCCTAATGTTAAAAAGGAATTTTATTTTATATCTAACAATTTTTTGTTCAATATAGGAACTTGGAATGGCATCAAGATAAATATTAAACCTGCAATGAGGACCAAGAAAATGATGCCATGGTTGCTTGTTGAGTTTATTTGGCGTACTAAACATTACTCTGATATATGGGGTGGTGTACTTAAATGTTTAAAAGAAGTTAGTTTTAACAGTGCAATTAATAACCCTGCATGGGTTACGTTATTTGCAGATGAAGAAGATTAAATTCAATATTATAATAAAGTTATTATCTTTAAATCAATAAGCTACCAATTCATATAAAATTTAACATGAAGTATGACATATAACGTTTATTATCGTTTAATCAAAACCTACTAATAAATACGCTTTTCAGTATATAAAAAAAAATGCTTATTTACTTGATAATAAAATATACAATAATTTATCTATAAAGGTAGATAATGTAAAGACAGCAACAATAAGTAAAAACATGGTTATTGTTTTTAACGCAAAAAAAAAAAAAAAAAAAAAAAAAAAAAAAAAAAACCATATAAACCTTCTTTGATTAATAAATAAAATAGAGAGTTAGTCTCTAATTAATTCTTAACTATGTCCAACTACTTTGATCTTTTTTAATATCATCAGTTGTTACGTATTCTAAAATTAATAATTAGTTCACCTGTTAAATTATATATAAGCGCAGTAGTCGACACATATTATGAACTAGCTTCTTAATATAATGTATACCTTCAATAAACTAGGAAGATGTGTAATTAAGGAGCATGTATTTATGCACAGTCATAAATAAAGAGAACAGATAAATAGAAACTATCTTTGTGAAGGATTATTAGTCATATAATTTTTACTGTGTTTTTTTATAAGTAATAAAAAGGACTAAACAAGTTTCACGTATACTTTCTCATTCTTTTTTATTGCAAGATGTCTACTTGATTAATATTCCCTCTTTACCCTTTACTAGTAAAACAACTATTCCTATCTTTTCTTTACCCTTTATTCTGAACTATCATTTTAGTCTTCTCTTATCTGACTTGAAAAATATAGTAAATTTAAAATTTGCTCAACTATGATGGAGTTCAAAATTATATAAATGTGTGGTGTCCTGAGACATAAATTGAGAGTCTATTTTATTATCAACTTGTTTCTTTTCCCTTGTTTTTTTTTCTTTTTTTTTGGCATATTAGTTTCCTTATCATATATTATAACGCGTATTTGTTATAAATGACTTACTTTATTATTATTATTTAAGAGCCTTAAAAAAAAAAGAAACACTTACACTTTTATATACAAATATATAAATATATTTTTGACAAATAATCAATTTAAGCACATATACAAACTTATAATTATAGAAAGATGGTAGACGATAGTCATCATGAAGAAGAAAACAGGTAAATTTTTTATTGTTTAACATCATCATTCTTACATTTTAGTTTAGGGAAAATCATCAGCCTAATCATGATTATAGTAATTTAAATGTAACAGAAAATACAGAAGAGTGTCGTCCTTTAAACGTGAAAGATGCACTAACTTACCTTGACAAAGTTAAAGTTCAATTTGCTTCTCAAGCTGATATTTATAATCAATTTTTAAATGTCATGAAAGATTTCAAAAGTCAAAGGTAGTATATATATACATGTATATATTTATCTATTTATTTATTTATGAATTGTATTACCTGTATTGACATGTTATTTAGGACTGATACACCAGGTGTTATAGAACGTGTTTCATCACTCTTTCGTGGATATCCAGAACTCATATCAGGCTTTAACACATTCTTACCTCCAGGCTATCGTATAGAATGCAATAATGAGAATATTACGGTAACAACTCCGTCAGGCATTATTAAAACATCGATTGATAAATCAAAGGAGCAACAACCTATTGAGTTCAATCAAGCTATTCATTTTGTTAATAAAGTTAAAAGTCGATTTATGGGTCAATCAGATACATATAGAAAGTTTTTAGAAATACTTCAAAAATATCAAAAAAAGGAAATGCCTATTCAACAGGTTCGTGTGCATATAATCAAAGATTTTTTTTTTATACAAATTTACTTACACATTTACTGGTTAGGTTTATAATGAATTACAAGTATTATTCGAAGGTCTTAATGATTTATTAGATGAATTTAAGCAATTTTTACCTGAACCACCAAAGCCAAGAAAGAAAAGAATTGTTATACCTAACAATACAAATATTACAAAGGTAAGCAAATTAATTTTTTTCGGCTATCTACACACATTAACTATAGAAAAACAAAATATGTATAGAAAACAAAACATCATCATGAACCTGAAATATCAAATGTTCGTTCATCCTCACAATCACCATTTACAGAAGAGGAAGAACAAAGCTTTTTTGAAAAAGTCAAGCAACATATTGGAAATGAATCTACTTTTGACGCTTTTATGAAAGTTTTAAATCTTTTTTTTGTAATTAATCGTCAAAAGAATATGATGGAACAGCAAGCTATCTTGATGAATCGAGTTAAAGGCTTTATTGGTAGTGATCCCTCTCTCTTTGAATGGTTTAAAACCTTGATTGGTTATAACAATCATACTCAGTCTAACAAAAATATTCGTCATGCAAATGGTGAACAGCTTCGTTATCAATATGAACATAATTATGATAATATAGATTTTATTATGGATCGTACGACACTAGAAAGTTATAACGGAGGCCCAAGTTATAGAAAAATAGCTTCCACTAAACAACTTCAATGCTCTGGACGTGATGCACTTTGTTTAGAAATCTTGAATGATCAATATATTTCTCGTCCATCCTGTCAAAGTGAAGACACTGGAATTGTAGCCTCAAAAAAGAATCAATATGAGGAAGCGTTGCATCGTGTAGAAGAAGAAAGATATGACTATGATTTGAATATCGAGGCTAATTTAAATACCATAGCTTTATTAGAGCCTATAGCTAAAAAGATTAGTATCATGAGTTCTGAAGAAAAGGCGTCTTTTCGTTTATCTCCTGGTTTGTTAATGATGGATAAGCAACAACAACAACAACAGCAGCAGCAACAACAACAATCATCTTCGCTGACTGTCTATCAGCGTATTATGAAAAAGATTTATGGTAATGAAAAGGGGCTTGAAATGATTGAATTATTACATAATAATCCAGCACAAGCTGTTCCTATTGTTTTAAAACGATTAAAACAAAAAGATGATGAATGGAAAAGAGCTCAAAGAGAATGGAATAAGATTTGGAGAGAAGTTGAAAGAAAGAATTATTGGAAATCACTCGATTATCAAGGAATTCAATTTAAAATGACAGATCGAAAAGCAACCACTACTCGTTCCTTAGTATCTGAAGCTGAACAAAAGCAAAAATTGTTATTACATAAATCTGCAATGACATCAGAAGAACAAGATTGTTTCTTTAGTTTTGGCACTGTATTTAATGATAAGGCTATCTTTAAAGATATGTCAAGGTTAATTTATTTTTATTTGGATCGTCAGCCAGTTTATAATCCAGAAGATTGTGCATCAATGAAAGAGTTTATGAATTCAATTATTCCTTTATTTTTTAATATTGAGGATGTTGAACCTTCTGTATCTACTTCTTCTTTTGATGAAATGGGTACAGTAGATGAGGATAATGAAGACGAAGATAACGAGGATGAAGGTAAAAGCTTCAATAAAAATAATTTCACTTCTACAACTCGACGAACAAGACGTGGAAAATTGAATAATGATGAAGATGGTCTTCTAAAAGATGTACTGCTACGTAATTTAGCAAAGAAAAAGAAACCGTTATCAAACCTTAGGTCAACTAGTTCTATTGAAGATGAAGAGGATGGTGATGATGAGGATGAAGAAGAGGATGAAGAAGAGGATGTAGAAGAAAACGATGAAAATAATTCACAAATAGCAAGACAATTCCATAAAGACAACAAGATTATCAAACCAACAATACCAAAGGTAGCTACGCTTGCCTCATTAATTGAAAAGGATAATAAGAAGAGAAAAGAAGAAGAAGAGAAAGCGATAGAAGAAAAGTTACACCATTTCTTTGGTGATAATGGTTTCTACTGCTTCTTCCGACTGTATCAAATGTTATATGAACGATTATATAAGATGAAATCGTTAGATATAGAATTTAGAAAAAATCCTGAAAAAGTCAAAAAAGCTTCACTAGATGCACATGATTTAGGAATAAGTTCCAAAAGATTTAAAGGTAAATAATAGTAATAATAATAAACAAAAAAAAAGCCGAGAAAATAGTTAATTACAATACGTTATATATAGCTTTAAATATGGATTTAAAACGTGGTTACTACAATATTCTATTATCGTTAATCGATAAATTATTTGAAGGAGAGATAGATCAACAAATATTCGAAGAATGTGTTCGTTATATTTTTGGTGGAGATGCTTATATTATGTTTACAATTGATAAACTTGTATTATCTATAGTTCGTCACGTAAAGTATACCAGTGTTCATATATATATATAAAAAAAAAGGAAAAGAAAAGAAATGTTCATTTCAATTCATTATAGATTCATATTATCGTTGCTGATTCACAATCATTGAACTTGTATGAATTATTCAAGTCACAAGAACAAAGTGAAGAATCAATTGATGCATACCGAGCACAAATATCTAATATTATTGATTCAACAGAAAATACATTTCATATTATCTTTGTAAAAGCTTACCCTTATTTTTATTCTGAATTTATCCTAATTTGTCCTTTTTTCATGTAGAACTTAAAAGATAGAACATTGAAATTTAGGCTACTGGATAACAATTTTGACTTACAAGCACAGAGTGAAGGATATGATGAATATGTATCGAGTTACATTGATTGGGGAAATGAAACAAAAGGAATTAAGCAGATTTTACTAACTCCCACATTTTTAAGGAGGTAAATAATAACATATTTGTATACAAAACATACTAATTGTGTGTGTGTGTGTGTTTTTCCCAGAAACTTGAATTCTAAGAGTTCTCTATCAAATAATTTCTTAATTCGATCTGGTATGCAATACAAAATTTGTCGAGATACTTTTCATATGTTTTATCTTATTGGCACAGAAGATACATTTATTCGTTATAATAATAATAATAATAATAACACAACACCAAAAAGAACAAGCAAATGGAATAATTGGTTAAAAGATCATTGGCATCAAGGACTAACAGAAGAAGAAAAATTACATGCTGAGGATAATGCTTTATCTACACTTGAATAAATTTCTATTTTATTTTATTTTTTCTTCTTTTTTTTTATAAAATTCCCCATAATTCTTCTACTGCACAAGCAATTTTACCACAAGCAACAGATGCAGATAATGAATAATCGGATATACTAATTTTATCATCTACATAAGCATCTGCAAAATCATCTGTACCATGTGCCATAGAACCAATGGCAACTACAATATTTTTATCCTTTGGAATTGTAGGCATATATTCTGATAACCTAACTGTGGGTGCATCCCAAGAAAGTGCTACAAAAAAAAATGCATGTTTAGGTTGATAAGCTTATTGTGTATGATGAATATTTCATACCTATTTTATGACTATTTGTGGGTAAATATTTTTCAACTGGATTTTCAATAATTCGTAACAATTTTTCATTGCCATTAACAGCTCGAATACTTAATTTGTGGAGTAATTGAACCATCAAACCTGCAAAACGTTTGAATGTTCTAGGAATTCTGATATGTGGATTCACTTCTATTAAAACATTCTTCTGGGTATGAATATAGACTTGTAATAAACCTGCCTTATTCAAAGGACTATCTAGAAGAGTTAAAAGACACTTTATAAACGTTTATTAAGGCTGTCAAATATTACTAATAATCAAACTTACTTGATGAGTGATATCAGGTCTAGCTTCATATGTTTCTCGATTATTTTTCTTAAGAATGTGAAGGTGATCATCGACATTTAAAAGTTGATAGTGGCCTTCCTTGTTTTTACCGATTTTAAGTGTTTCTAAAGTCGCTTGCTCCAAAATGACAATCAATCTGCGTGAATTTTCTTTTTCTGCCATTGTTTTAGGGATCTTGGGTGCTTGAGGTACCATGTGAACATCTACATTACGTGTTTCACCTACACGAATACGTTTTGGTTCATTTTCGGCAATTGATTCTTGGTTTCGCTTTTCACTTGACATTGTTCAATATATATAAATTATAATTATAAACAAAAAAATAGATTTATATGTAAAAAAAAAAATAATAAAAAAAAGGGATTTATAATAGTTAAAAATTAAAAAAGCCACGAGTATAAACAGTCAGGGCTTAAATGCAAAGCTGAAAAAAAAAAAAAAAAAAAAAAAAAAAAAAAAAAAAAGCAAGGTGCAAATAAGCTTATCAGTTTTTCTAAAAAATAAAATAAAATAAAAAGCATGTCAAAGCGGAAACGTCTTGCAAATGAAGACTGGGAAATGACTTCATCATCATCAACAGATACGGATAGTGATGTTGAAGAAATAAAAACAGAAAAACAACAACAAAAACCCTGTGGCTTATTGTTTTTACCATTTGAAATTCTCTCCAACATTTTTATTCTTTCTTCGAATCCTCATTTACCAATTGTTTGTCGTCAACTTTATAACCGATTATACTTTGCCCCTAATTTTATTAAACTTCAATTTATTATGTATCGTGCTCATAACGATCTCCCAAAGGCATTTGAACATGCTCTTCGATTCCCTTTTTTTGACATGGACTTGATGCATAGGTTCGATAATTTAAACGGTAAACCTATTCCATATCAAGACAAAAAAATACCAGCACGATTATTTCTATCTGAATCCAATACCTTAAATGATGAACTTGTGCTAGCATTATTAGAAAGAGGCGCATCCCCAAATCGACCCAAAGGATATCCACTAATTAAATCAGCTCAGTTAGGTCGCTTAGATCAAGTTAAGTTGCTTATAAAATATGGCGCAGATCCAACAATACGCAATAATATGGCTCTTAGAGTATGTGCAGCAAGAAATAATCGTGCAATGGTGGACTATTTCTTGGATGAATTAAAAGTAAAACCAGATAGTGAAACTTTGAAGGTATGTGTTCATAGAAATTTATGGGATATGATTCAAGTCCTAGTGGATCATGGTGCAGTTCCTGACATGTCAACAATTAATGATACTTGATGATAAATCGAGAAAATGTAAAAATGTAAAAAAGAAAAAAAAGCCCTATTTATATCATAGACTTTGTATCACATAAACAGTTGTACAGAATGTAAATATAATAATAATTTTACTACAGCGGCGTTAACAAGTAACAGCTCCAAATAGCCGCTTCCTCATTTCTTAATCAGTATAACTTTAATAATGCAGCAAATCTTTAAACAGATTGATTGAATACCCAATAAAATATCAAATTAATTTAAGAAGAACGTTATTAAAGATTTTTATACCTTTTGTTTCTAAATTATTAAGATTAGCTATGTTTGATTTCATGCTCAATAAAAGGTCTGAAGCTATTCTACAGGATTAAACTCTGGAAAACAAGGTAGAAGAAGGTATGAGCATCAATGTTCTTTTCTTTTAATCACTCTTTTCAGTTCTGCGGAAGCATAGGCAGATCAGTTGTTCATACCACCATAAGATCCTTTCATTTCTATAATATGTATATATTTATTTATTCAACCTAGTAAGTAGTCTGAGAATGAGTTGTATATAGTGTTCTGTAGCGATTATCTTCAGGGACAGCAAGTTTTTTTTTTTTTTTTTTGTTTGTTTGTTTTTTCTGTTGGCATTATTATCTTTTAATACATCTTTCAACTCTCTATTTCCTATTAGCCACTGACTTCATGTTAATAACATCTATAAAGGATATAATCCAAATGATTGTATTCTATACTATACTATACTATATTGATTAACAGTATAATTGAAATGGTCAGTATTTTTGCAAGAAGATTGGGCAGTATATGGTCTTATGTTTCTATCAATTCCTGGTTTACCAACAAAAAGAATAATTTTAGATAAAGCCGACATTATATTTTGACCGCATGAATAGGTTTCTAAATCCCTGATTTAGCAGATCGAGAAGAAGAGTGAAATAGTGTCCTTTTTATTGTTACACTACACTTAGATGATACAAAAATTATCATCAAAGTATTGTTTAAGGTAATTTTTCTTTTCATGAACTATTTCTTTCATACTCTTATCAAGAATAATAACCAAAAATACAAGTTAAGCTGAAGAAGTTTAAAGACGAAGAAAAATATAAATTGAAATTTATAATTTGCTAATTGGTGCTGAAAGGAGGGTATTAATGTAACTTGTGCACAAACCTTTTTCTTCCTATATAAAATTTCCCATCTGTATTTCTCATAAAATTAAAGTCAAGTTCTTTTCTTTTTCTTTCTTTTTATTTTAAATCTTCATTCCTTTATTCACTCATTTGCTTATGATATCTAAAAATATTCTTCCTCTCTTTTTTATTATTTATACATATATTTCGACTTGTTTAGCGCAACTCGGTACCGAAATTAATTTACCCTTAACAAATAGTACAGTCAAGCCTGGCGAAGTGGTTAAAATCGATTATACTTATCAGAACATGGGTAATGGTGTATATACAGTCAATATTGATCTTTGGCAAGACCAAACATTAAGTGTTCGTAGTCTGTCCATTGCATCTAATGTTTCTGTCAAACCCGGCAATTCAACAGGCACTCAGCTACCTCTTTATTTAAATGCCACATATGATAACTGGAAGGTCCCTCATGGTCTCAACGAAACGGTCTATTTAACGGTAACCACAAAGCCCCAGCTATCGTTTTCTAATGTCACTTTAACGATGCGTTCCAGGGCTATTGTCCTTCATGTAAACGCAGGTAGGAAGTTATTTTTACCTTCCTTAAGTCCTACTAGTTTATTAGGTTTAGCTATAATGTTGTTTGGATTTAATAGATTTATTTAATAAACTTTTTCTCTTTTCCTCCTTCCTTTTTACTAAACAAACCATCAAAACTATAAAAACATATATCATGACTTGATTTTATTTGTCATTCGATAAACTTGAGCCATTTGTTTGCTCCATAAAATAAAATTATGATACACACTGTGCATTTAAAATGACAAAGTAGTAGTCGAATTAATCTAGAAATAATCAATTAAAGTTAAGTATTAGATTGAAATCTATAAAATTGTTTATGCTGATAACAATATATATATACTTGGGAACATGTAACCACGATCCCTCTGACTCTACTTAAGTTGTTAAGAACAAGCTCTCAAAATATGTTGAGGAATAGATTGTACAAAAAGTTCAAGAAGATTTTGACTAGAAAGGCATAAAACAACTTTTATGCGTTAATCCCTCCTGCTTATAAAAAAGTATGCTTCCCTTTTATATAAAAATATATATTAATCTACTAACTCTTTTTTGTTAGCTCTTATTATCCTATTACGTTGCTAATCACCTATTGTGAAGCGATTGCTGATTGTTGTGGATCACAGGTAAATTAAAATAAAAGAAATCTGTTCAAAGAGACAGAGGAAGTACGTTGAGAGTTGTTAATAAGTTTTATTGGAGATAAAGTCAATTTATAAGTATAAGAATGTATTAATACAAAATAAAGGTAAATAATGTTAGAGTATTTATATCTTTTGTGAATAAGAATGATGAGTTAATAATAAGATAATGAAATTGTATTTGATGATATAAACATTATACTATCGAGAATCATTACAGATCTCTATATCCATGTCTTTTGTATGCGTGTATTTATTTTTTATAACTAATACGTGTACACTAAGTGAAATCAATTGTTTACGCGTATTTGTATTATTCTTAGTTTACCCCTCCCCCAGTTTAATTTATATTCAGCAGAACAATAATAGTAGAAGGTATGTTTTTAGATGTAGGACTTCTATTAAGGGTAAATATACTTAATAAATACATAGACAGAATTATTATAAAAATACATTATATGTTTTATTATAACTATTTATTTCATTGAATTAAGTTACCAATCTTACAACCGTGACAGTAAATAATTCTACCTTGTCGCCTATCATGTATATAATAATTCCAACTCAGTCTACCATGTAGATAATATTTCTACATTGTTGCCTATCTTGTAAATAATAATTCTACTTTTTTCAAGCAACAAAACAGTTGATATCTTTTTCTCTCTCGATTGTCTTATTTTTTTTATACTTTTTAAACATGAACGTCATTACTAGAGAACAAGCGATATGTATGTTTTTTTGTGAGGAATACAACGAAGATAATGTCAAAAAACTAACTAAAGAAGTTGACGATTTTGTCAATGGTGAAATCTGTTATACAGAAGATCCAACAAAACCGTTTATCCAAAGTAAAAGAACCATCAATCAAAACCCATTTTTATACCATAAGTATCAAACTCAGGAATCAGTAGCTAATATTAATATAATTGAAGAAAAAGAACAGCAACTTATTAGTGAGTAGCAAAACAAATTGTACATATCGGATAGTTTAACAAACGTTGATTTTTTCTTAGATAACCATGCAGGGCTTGTACAATTTCTCAATGCGGTTTTTCTATCTGTTGATCCACACAATAATGAGGTGTATGAAAATCTTTCATGTTCTATGAATGATATTCTGTCTTATGTTTGGAAATACTCCTATTTACTTCAAGACAAAAACCCTATTGGCTTTGGAAAATGGTGTTCAGGGAAAGACATTGATTTAATGCATGGCACTACCAAAAGAAAAAAAGGTGTTGATGGAAGAACCATCTTAGTTCGATCATTATACGTATTAAAGGAGAAGTATATAGGTAAAGTACATAAGTTACTTTTTTATTTGCATTCATTTAATCATACAATCTATAATAGCAAATGTTGTAAAGTTTATTGCCGAACAATTACCATTATACCAGCAGACCATTCAGTCTTTCAAGGAGGATGGATATAGTGTTATTGGTTACGTAAGAAAATCTAGAACAAAAGAAAGCGATGAAAGTCGTTTTAACTTGTTGAACATGATGTGCAAGAAATTAAGAATGCGCTCGGCTGTTGAAAAGATTTTTGTGTCATCGAAGATCAGTACAAATGATCCAATCATGGACAGGGATGTAGATGATGATAATCAGCTATTGGAAAAACTTGATGCTGATGGTAATACTCAAGGTAAAAATGTTAATAGGTAATTTTTTATGCACACCACTAACATTAACGTTTTTCAGACATGTTGAGACATGTCTCTTATAAAAAAACGTGTCTTGTAATGTTGACTTTTGCTGGACTCACAACAAATATAAATGATCTTGTAACTTTCTTAAAGTATACTTGAAAAATATAATTCGATGAAAATAATTAACTAACAAGACTTAATAGCAACAATGATAACATACAGAAGATTGTTGTAGACAGCCTGCCCCACACTAATAAAATGACTATATTTGATAGGAAGGAATTACTAAATGACCCATTGAAAATTCAACAGTTCAGATGCAGATCTAACTTTGAGCAAAGATCGAAGTAAATTGTATAGTAAATGTTCATTGTTAGTAAGCAAAATGATGTAGTCATTCTTATAGTCTAAAATAAAAATATCATTCAAGTTAGTTTCCCTAATAACAAGGAAAAGGCTTTAATTAATTGTTTTTACAAAAATGTTGGATTTTAGGCAATGGTAAGTCTAATCCAAATCAAAAAGATACATGTTCAAATTCTGCTGAAGCCTTCATTTTTCCTTTAAGGATTCCGTGTACTGCTTTTTGTCCGTTATTATGGCAGGGTACTGATGATGCTTTGAACTAGCCTTCAAGGTTTCGAGGGAGCATATAATTGGCTTTGTTGGATCTTCTATATAACAGATTTCACCATTGACAAAATCGTCAACTTCTTTAGTTAGTTTTTTGACATTATCTTCGTTGTATTCCTCACAAAAAAACATACATATCGCTTGTTCTCTAGTAATGACGTTCATGTTTAAAAAGTATAAAAAAAATAAGACAATCGAGAGAGAAAAAGATATCAACTGTTTTGTTGCTTGAAAAAAGTAGAATTATTATTTACAGATAGAATTATTATCTACAAGGTAGGTGACAAGGTAGTTTGAGTTTGAATTATTATAGACAAGGTAGAAATATTATCGACATGGTAGAAATAATATCTACAAGGTAGAGTTATTATCGACATGGTAGACTGAGTTGGAATTATTATATACAGAGAATTTTATCTAAATTTTCCTGAAACTTTCTTGATCCACTCCATCAAATAATATTAAAATTTCTAACATTTCATTAACATATCTTATTTGGTCGTTAACTAATTTTTTTCTGACTCACATCTTATCCCAGACTTCTTTACTAATACTGATAAATACCCCATCAATTTAAATTCATAAATAATATCATTGACTGTAGAACTATTGTTCGGTCTCGTTGACTTTTTTTTGTTTTTTTATTATTTTTATTTTATAATATTTTTTATTTTGATATTTTACAAAAAATATCACACAAGGTAGAGTTATTATTTTCATAGATTTTTCGTATAGTGAATCCTATTCAACCCACAAAGAAAATTTATGACACAACAAATCAATTAAACAACATTAAATTTTCCATCCCAATGTCAACTGACAAACGCCTCAAAAACTTAGAGGCCCAAAGCCAACAATTCGCAATACAACTCAAAACATTGAACAACTCCTATCAACACCAACAAAAAGAGTCTGACGTCCTATTGGTTCATCTTCTTAATAACAGTAAATAGAGGTAAAAGGAAAAAAAATGATGACTTCGATAAAGAAAAAAAAATGCACCAAACTAAGTAGTCGACAAATTTTAAAAAGCATAACGGCAAATTTTTAAAAAAGATGCACGAAACAACCGTCTTTTCTAGACAGACTGTAGCCTCTGAAGCGAATTTTGGTAATTGACGAAAACAAACTTTGAAAATCACAACTACGAAAATTGGATTGTTGCAAAAGCGAAAATTGAGCTTGTGTGAAAACGAAAAAAGATACAGTACAAAACGAATTCTGTTTTTAGGTTTACGAAAATTGGGGGTGTAGGCACTGTTAATGCATTTGATCATACAATAAAAAAAATGTTATGTTATCACATGTAACTATTCGTTTTTTTCTCACTACACACATATGCTTTGGGCGTTAATTATATAAATATATCATAATTATTAGTATTTGCATAGTCTCTTTCTTTTCTTTCTCTTAAATAATGACAATACAATCAAATGACACTTCAGAAAAACTAGCAGCAATTGCAAAGAAAAAAGTATAAATAATGTTTATCGACAGTAAGACCTTAAATATGTATTTTATTCTAGTTACATAAATATCAAAAAAAAATAAGTAATTACAACAACAACAACAACAATGATACCTTATTAGCAATAGTAGAACAAGAAAATATAAGATTAAAAGAAAAGTTATTTAAACTTGAAGAATATATTGAAATATTAGAACACAAACTTCAAATGGAAAATAAAAGCAAACAAGAATTAAGGGAATTTATTGAACATGATGTATTGGGAATAAAAGATGATTCTTTAGTTATGTTTAATAAACAAGCATTAGGTATATAGCAGTATTTATTAATTGTCTATTTTACTTACCTCGACTATAGATGACTACGAGAAAGAAAAAGTGTATGTTTAGTATACTTTCAAAGGAAAAAAAAAAGACACTATATAGTATATAAATATATAGGCTTATTTCATGTATAGAGAGATATTTACAGAAATCAAGTTTAAATTACATGATTTAAGAGAAAGATATAAAGGTGATTCTTTTGAAGGTATATTTTTTTTTTTACATAAACAAATTGTAGAAATATAAATATGAATCATAATTTCTACGTAGAATTATGTTGTGGATGTATTGGTAAATTGCTGGAAGTTTGATATCAGAAAAGTTTATATGGGTACTACTTTAGAGAATATGTATTCTATTTATAATTTTATTATATCTATTCCCTTGGAAGTATTATTATTAGGCCTTCAATATTTAAGCAGGTTATCTTTAGTGGTTTGCACATTATACATGTATTTTGCATAAATTTTTCATATTTTAAATCATTGCTTTTTTTATGTATGTTTTATGCATTGTTGGTTGAGCACTCTAGTGTGATACACAGAAGAAACAAAACTATACTGTTTTCATTTATTGTGTCTAGATTTGGTTTTTAATATATGTAGCTTTCAAAGATAAACTATTGTTTTACATGAAAAAAAAAAAAAAAAAAAAGTTATTCTCACTTGTGCCTGCGTCTCACAGACATTATATCAAATATCATATCGTATATAACATCTTGTAAATAATATAAAACTTGATGACATCCAATCGTCTAGATGTATCAATTAGAAGACATCGTATCATTTCTACATATTTATTTTTATAACCTTGACAAAGGATTCAAGTCGCCTTTGATCCAATAAAATAAAAATGTAAAAAATATCAGGAACATATACTCGGATCAAACAATACATTTTTGTATTTATAACTTAATCAGATCATTATGACACCCAATAGACAATCCATAGATCAATCTCTTGAATCAACACAATGTATATTTGAATACTAACACTGTTTCATGACCTATCCTTTTTATACAAAATATTCTTTATCTTTATTATTATTCTTTATACTGAATAAACAGTCTAAAATTATACTTCTTTTCGTTTCATTTCTTTCTTTCTTTTTTATCTTTTATACTATTACAATCTATACCATTACAGTTTCAACAAATGTATTACTACCAAACAGCCGCTTTTCTCATACAGCCTTGCATGTGATACACTCTGTAATTTTGATGTGAATACGAAGATTCTCTCAGACACTTTTTAGTTGACTGTCCTCTTAAAAATGAAATATGGTAACGGGTCTTGAACTCTTATTACCTTCATTTGTTCTTCCCTACCGATCTTCTGCTCTGCGACATTTAAATTGCCCTTCTTCTATATGCAGTTGTCCCCGTTTTCTCATCATTTTATCCTTGACCTTTTGGAAAATCTGGGATTCATATTGGCAGCTTAGTGTTTCTTCGAGCCCGTCTGCCTTATCTAATGTAGAGAAGTTAGTTATATCTATCATAGCCAATGTTAAGACAATTATTTGCCCGTTCCCTCTATTGGAATTTACAACCGACTAGTTCGATATTCAGCCCTTTCTTTCGTTTCTACTACTTCTATTATATTTCATTTTAATTTTATATCTCTACTTTTGTTTACTATACTTTATTTTAATCTGTTCTGTCTAATTCAACATCAACTACATTTTCTCTGAACTTCTGTTTCATCCAGTCCCACCACCCCGCGATGTGTGATTCAGTATAAATTTTCCAAAAAAAAAAATAGCATGTTCAGTCAAGATTGTGCACCTGAAAACATTTTTTTTTCCTAAGAAAAAAGGTATTCCATAATTTTAAAAAAGCAAAGAAACACAAGCGCAGATCGTCAGCGACGAGAAGACTATCAGTTGGAAAGACACTGAAGAAGTCGCCATCAAAAGTACTGATAGTGAAAGCATTTCAAAAAAGTTTCAATGCGAAATGTCCTTCAAATCTGTTACGACGCGTCGGCAACACATTTTAATTTTTATACGCCTCTGGCCACCATTGAAAACTACGGAGGTAATTTAATACTTGTAAAAAGATTTTACTTAAAGTTAAACTAACGTAAAAATAAAATAACAGTCTCAATTACTGTAGAAGCGAATGAAAATGCTGAATTCATCTGTCCCATGTACTGCAGTAATCTTAAAGGATGTAAAAGCGTATGAGTCATGTGACACGTCAACACCCTACATTACCAAAAGCCCCAAAAACTCACAAACAAGTACAACATTGAGCATTTTTCTTTTGATGAAGACTGCTCAAGCGTACTGCAAGGTAGCAATGAGAATAAAAAGCAGAAGTATGGAGGTTTGGCGAAATACCATGATTTCGTACTAGCAAAACTTTTAATTAAACATCCAGCTAACAACATGGCTGGCAACATTATGTATCTGCCCCTCTTTATTAACAGCCCATCCAGAAACACTCTTAACAACTTCATTACTTCAAATTTTGAAGCACGGCTTGTTTTCAGCAGTGCTTATTCTTGTAATAATACAGCTACTATTGCAGCACGTAATAATACAAGTAATAATCTAGCAAGCTTCCACAGCTAGGTTTAGAGTGGTCGCTATTCCAAAGTACTTGGCGTTATTGGACCATTTGTAGAGTTAAACAAAGATTCGGAGGAAGCCCTCAACTATGATTTTCCTATCGAAAACATATACTTCCATTGACTCCAGATTTATTTGCTGGAGGTGTCATTCAGGCAGAAAAATTCACGCTATTGATAACCTCTTGTGAGTTATATGCTCGGGATGCAAACATCGATGAGCATTTGGAGTCAAATAGAAGCACCTTTTCTAACATATTCAAAGCAGAATCTAGAAGGTACAAAGGTTTTACTATCGAAGTTACCCTACCATCTGATAAAGGGGTGAATTATCAATAAACTTCAATTTAGGACTACACAATTTAATTTGTTAGTAACAGGAAGTCTAATCTTATACCTACATCTTCCAAATACCACTTTTGTTGGGCCAGGTTGTAATAAGTTTCTCGTAAATGAAAAGATAAGGGAATGTTCATTATTGTTTTCGGAGAGGAGTATGCAAAGATTCATGATGGAATTTGCCAACACCTCAAACGTAATCCGAAAATCACCAAAGGATCGAAGATATGCGTCAGCTTACTACGCTGCTACAACACCCCTTCACGTATCTAAACTATCGATCACACCTTCTAAAGGGTCGATTATTACACCCAGCGACAATATTTACCTTCTTGAAACACCCAACAAAAGGCTATTGTATGTCAATTAGCAACCACAGTCGTCTGTTGTCCGAATTTTTTACGATATGCTGCGAGTGTTTTTTATTTTGTAACTTACTTATTATTGCTGATAGAATAATATCTTTAAAAATAAAGCTTGAAAATAAAGCAAATTAGCAATCAAGCACTGGTGTTTGGGCACTAGTAAATGATTTAACTAGATATATATACAGACATGTATTTAAAATGAAAGCAATTGCAATATATTGACTTTTGTAAACAAAGTGAAGAAATTGTCTACAATTGCTCAAACTATAAGCAGTCATCTCAGTACTACAAACAAAAAAATTGTAGCCAACCTTGAGATTAAACTGTGCCGAATCCTTTGGTTCAGCTAACCTTTAAAAAAAAAATCGAATCAATTAAATATTATCTTTAACAGGCTTGTATAATATTTTTATTTTTATTATGGTGCTGCACTATTTTTCCTGTATTTATTTTGTATGTCTTTTAAACATTTAAACAGTTTGATCATTTTTTTTAAATAGTTTGCTCAAATGGACGGCCCATTTTTTTTTATGTAATTGACAATTAGTTTTGGCTTAGCACTATTTAATTTTGACTACGTAGCAGTAGCATACATTTATTTCTCACAATGATCATTCTCACTGTGTCTGATTTTACTATATCTGCAGCCGCTAATTTCAGACGTAAACTACGTTTCGATGCCATTCCTCTTTTTTCTAAAATCAATAAGAGAAATGTTCATATAAAGTCAATAAATAATATTTAGAAGGGTTGTTTATTATAGTATTTAATTATCTGGTGTTTAGAATGCCCAATTGTTATCTGTAAGTTGCTAACACGAACTTGACTACAAGTATCGCCTATTCTATCTGCTACATTTTCATTTTTCAAAAGCTTTTCTCTTTTTTTTTCAACTTGTGCTTTACGAGATATCAAAATTGTTCAATTGTATTTAATTCAGGAGAATAAGTCGTAAAGATATATTCTCTTATAGCCTCTGCTTTCGATTTTTTTCTTCATTAGCAGTGACTTGGGAATTGAGGCGCTATCCATCACAAGAAAATGTCCAAGAAGTTCATCGATATATTTAATGTAATGAGCGGCTGTAGTTCCTTTTGGAGAGGGTGCTTCTTGTTTGTTTCTTGTCCTATTCCATTCTATCTATTAGTCTTCTTCTTTTCTTTAATTGATTTTTGAGTCTTTGAAGTCTTTTCTTTGGTTTTATCAGCTTTAGTCGGTGGTCTCTTTATTACAACATGAAGAACAGTGGAAGCTGAAGTTGCACCTACGATGGCATGAGATACAGAGTGAGTTTCAGGAGTTTTCACAATTGCACGTCCCCCCCTTTTTCTAACCCTACATAGTTGTATTTCATATCAATATGAAAAACCAGCTTCGTTAATGAAGATGTATCTTTGCAGGTAATCGATATTCATATCTTTGTGATCCAAAAACCAATGGTATCTTGTATCTAAATTGTCTGCATTGTCACCTGCTTTTGGTTCAAAAGTTGCGTATTTCACTGTCAAATTTAAAGTGGTTTTCATGTGGTGATGTAGCTGCGTCTTTGATATTTTCAAGTTATCAAATCTTTCTGTAAGGCTTTCCAAAACATCATTAACTGTTGTTTGAGGATTATCTTTAACCATTTTTTTAACGAAGTCTTGAGTTTTTTTTCATACATACACTAGTTCTACCTCTAGTTTTTTTTTATTATTATTTTCTTAAAAGGCGTATCGCCAGTTTCAACATAACTCTTTCACTACTCTTAGGCAATTCACTCATTTATACCAAGTTCATGTGCAACTTGAGCAGTCCTCTTACTATTTTCAGGTAGAAGAGTTATCTTATCGATAAAGTTTATGATTTGTACATGTCCGTAATCATTGTACATAGTTACAGTTGTAATATTCTCTTTTTTTTAAACTTTTCGGACTTTTTCAGCTACTTTTATTTCTTTTGCTGGTGGCTGTTTTTCTAAATACTTCTTTCTACTCATTACTGTTTCCAAAATAATATCTGAACCTGAAATTTCAGCTTGCTCAATCTCCATAGGATCAAAAGCTTTTTTTTTTTTCCTGTTCATCATATATATTATTTTAGCCATTCTCAAAATAAAACGCGCTTTGCATGTTAATTACTCTCAATCGTATGAATTGAAAAAAAAAAAATCTCAAACTGGGATTACAAAGTACTAGTAGGTCGACAAATTAGGGACAATTTAAGCTAGCAAAAATCGACAAAACAAAAAAAAAAATCCGCCAATCATTTTCAGATTAACTGTACCACATGCAAATGTTTGGAAATATCAGTGTAATACATGTACGGCGATTAGTAAACTATATTCAGATTAAGCTATGTACTCACTTCCAATAAAATATAACAACTTTTTATTTTTATTTATTTTTATTTATTTTTTTATTTATTTATTTTTTTTGTCATGTTAAACAATGATAAAGATGTAACCAGCATACACGATTACTCCTTTTATCATAACATTTTCCTGTTTATAAGGAGTTAAAGCTATTTAACAAATGTTTTACTTTTAATTTCTTTTTCTTCCTCTTCTTCCTGTATTTTGACCTGACTAGTTATTATTTAAAAATGGGTAAAAAAAAAGGACACAAAAAAAGATACAATACTTCGCGTAGAAATAATCAAAAGAGAACAAAAGTAACAACAAATGAAGTAATGACAGGAAATCCAACTATCCTTAATGACAGATCAGAAGATAAGAAAGAGCCTTTAAGCCAACAAAGGATACAATTAGATACTGAAGATAAACCTAATCTAGATCATGAAGTAGACATTACAACTCATGATATAGAAACTGAGACGATGAATAATGAAGATACTAATAACAACAAAGAAGGAAGTGATATTGTTGAAGAACTAGATGGTAAAGAGAAATTATCTAAAGAAGTTAAAGTATTTACAGACGATCATTTAAATGAACTGTCATCTAATACTGATGGAGAAGCTATTACAGATCATGCATCCAATGATATACAAAAAGAAAGCTCTATCATAGTGAGTGTTTCAACTAATGTCAGTACAGAAGAAAATGAAGTGATTGTTCAGGAATTAGATGTAAACATGACTCAAACAGAAGAGCTTCATGATGATAGTAATGTTGCATTATTAGAAAGGTTAACAGTAAAAGAAGAGGAGCAGGTAGTAACTGTTAATGATGTAAGGTTAACAGTAAATCAAAATGATATTATCCAAGAAGACAATTCATGTCATGATAACCAAATAATATCAAAAATGATTACTCCTGAAATTGAAACAACAACCATAACATCTACTCCCCTCATAGATAATTCTCCTAGCACTCATATAGTTCCATCTCAGCAAATTATAGAAGACAAAATTGATCCAGCTCCTTCCCCTGTTGAATATCATGAAGGAACAATTAGTGTGGAAGAAGATGGCAGTCATAGTAGACCTCGGTCATCACATCAAAGTATATCCTTAACAGAAACAATTACTGTAACAACTGTTAATAGTGATTATGAAGAAGAAAAAAATAAAGATATCACTGATTCCTCCAATCTACGAAAGAGTAAAAATGTCAGTTTGTCGACAAAAGCCAAAGAAAAGAATATTACAAAGAAAAAATCACAATTATTGTTTAATCTATTTAAACGAGCTAGTCTGAGTGCTGATAAGGTACATTAAAATAATACTTATTTGATACAGCAGCATTTATTAATATATTAAAATAGACTACTGCTGCTCCTATGCCTGAATTATCTCAAGAAAAGAAGTTAACAGTAGCCGAAAAAATGAAGAAATTAAATAAGCGTAAATCCTGGATGTTTTGGAAATCCTCTTCTCAACAAAAACAATAATAGAAAATCATATACTTTTTTTTTTCACTTTAATGAACAATTTGATAATAATGTAATAAAATAAAAAAATAAAAAATAAAGCTTTTTTTTTTATTCTATTTTTTTTAATAGGCGACAACGACGCCAGTAATTAAACAATGCAAGGGCGTGGTGGCGATCATGTACATAAATATTTCTACTCTTTTTATCCTTTATTTTTATGTTCTATTTATTGAAACATCAACAAGTGCGCTCAATATGTACTTTAACAAAAATCGTTAGACCTTCATTTTCAAATAGAATTTCAACATTTCATCCTATTGTCAATAAATCTCAAAAAATAACTTCGATTGTATCTAGCAAACATATAAAGTAATTTGAATGAGGAATAGTTTAAACAAAAGAATAAATTAAAAATAATTTTTTTTTCCTCTTAGAACAAATACTTGGATATACATACAACGCTCATTCATCTCAAATACAAAATCAAGATGGGTAATGACGAAAAAGGAAGACGATAATAATAAAGAATCTGTCACAAAAAAATTAAAAAAGGTAAGTAAATAGAATGTCTAAAGTATTTGTATGTAATAACTATTTGTTTAGGAATTAAAGGAAAACATTTATACGATTCCTAATATTTTGACTTTTGGTAGATTGGTAGCTGCACCATGTATTGGATATCTTATTTTACAACATGAGTATGATACAGCATTAGGGTTGTTTGCATTAGCAGGATTTACAGATTTGGTAATAAATTATAATTATGTCATATTATCATATTTATGAGATAATAGTTAGATGGGCATATTGCTAGAAAATATAATATGAAAACACTTCTAGGCACTATTATTGATCCTTTAGCAGATAAAGTACTCATGACAGTCATGACAATTACTTTAACAATGCAAGGCATATTGCCAAGTAAGTAAAGTACACTAAAAAATGAGGTATATTCATTAACAATCATAAAGTACCATTGGCGACTATTATTTTAGGTAGAGATACAGGATTAGTTTTATCTGCATTTTATTATCGTTATATCTCTTTACCAGAACCTGTAGGTATCAATGACATGAAATAAACAAACAAACAAAAAAAAAAAAAAAAAAAAAAAAAAAAAAGTATTGACATTTATAATAGAAGACGATTGCACGTTATTTTGATGGATCTATTCCTTCAGCAGAAGTAAAACCAACACAAATCAGTAAAGTGAATACTGCTTTGCAGTTGTTGTTAATGGGGTTTTCTTTAACATCTCTTAATATGGGAATACCTTCTGATGAAGTATTACTAGCATTACAGTAAATGATAATAATCATTCATGTTCATATATACTTGTAGTTTGTTTGTTTGTTTATTTATCTTTCTTTATATAGATGGCTTGTAGGCGGTACAACTGTTTGGTCAGGAGCTAGTTATCTATTTTCTAAAAACGCTGTACGAATATTAAAACAGTAAATTCTCTTTGTTTTTTCAAAAGGGTAATGCTTTTCTTTTTATTATATGGTTAATAAGACATTAAAATATACTAATGGACTTTACTATCATTATATATCTATTAACAGAGATGTATACTGCTTTTATTATACTTTATTAATAAATTGTTTAAATAGAGAACAGAAAAATAAGAAGGAAGTCTAATGTAATATATTGAAATAAAAAATAAATAAAAAATAAATAAAAAATAAAAAAAGAATAGAATAGGCGTATCTTAAAGAATGCTACTTATATAAGAGAAACTATATTTATTTCAGTTATTTACTTTATGGTCTTTTATTTGTTTTCCAATGTAGAAAGAAAAGTAGTACACACTGTCTTGTTTGCTTGTATATAATCTAGACATTACTTATCACCTTTATAAGTAAATTTTCTAAGTTTGAGTTTTTATAAATGGTCGAATTTATACAGTATTTGAAAGTTACTACATATGCTTCAAGCTCATTATTGTATGAAGTCTGTTTTATACGTGTTTCTAATTCAGTATCAATCATTTCACATCTGTCAAGCTCTACATCAATAGTCTTTACCTCCTCTTCTCGTTATTCTAAGACTACGGTACTGTCTAAACGAAAGTTTGTTTTCATCATTTGAGGAAAAATGCATTGCTTCAATTTTATAAGCATTTTTGGCTTACAGAATTATATGAAGTTGAGTATAGTTTAAGGTACATCAATCACCTCAAAGATAAAACTATTTCTTTCTTTCTCTCCCCCTCTCACTAAATAAGCAAATGATACTTTGTGATCTTTTTCTTTGGACACTGGAGAGCTGTTTATTCCTTATGTAATCAAGTCATTTTTTTTTTTTTTTTGAAATGAACCGTATACCATATTCTGTGAATGTCACTCCTTGCCATTAATATATACTGGCTTCAAGGCATTCATACTTTATTAAGATAAAATATACGTGTTGTTTGTCAACTTCTTCAAATTATTGTGTGATATTAAAGCAGCAATTCGCTCTTTTGTCGAAAACAGCCCAGTTAAAGCAAGGATACGAAATCAATATTCTCTGTAATCACTAAAATCTTCACTCCTTCTGATATCCATCATTATGTTGATATGCATGCTACTTGGGCTCATCCTTCGTTACCACTCCTTTTCAACTAATTGTCTTCTTTGTCTCCTTGAACAGTTTATCTCTGGTCTTTCTGTATTCAATAGTTCCTCCTCTAAAATCATATCCTCTTCTTTCTACTACATTTGGCCATAGATATTTCTTTCTTAAACAATGCAAGTTTCGGCTCGCATTATAACGAACAAGTCCTTCTATCTGCCCTCGGAATTGACCCCATTCTTGTACATTGGCTTCCTTCTAGTCTAGTACTGGTATCAGAAACTGTATCTGTGGTCATTCCTGTCAGCATGTACTTGAGTTCTCATCCTGTTCCTTCTAATCTTTAGGATCAACATCCTCCTTCCTTTTCACCGGGCTTATATCCGATTTATGCATCCTTGAACTCTTTCTTTTTCTCTCTCTCTCTTTTTTTTTTGCCAAAAGAAACATTTGTAGAAGGGCAAAGCATTATATTATGCTGCTAAATTTGTTCAAGCTGCTTTTTTTTTGCCCCTACCTTATTCAACTTTTGAAGATTGTAGGTCAAAGATTAAAAAACAACATCAAGTAAGCTCCTTTGAATGATAAGTCACGCTTATTACACCTCATAGAATGTGGAAGCTTGTCAGAGAGTTACTTCTGATGACTGCTTGTATTGGATGAGACATTCCGAAAGTTACAAGGATCGTTGTATTAATAAGAGACCAGGTCTTAAATAAAAATAAAAAAATAAAAATAAAAAACAAAAATAAAATAAATCTCATCTGGAAGTATTTAAATAAACTTTAATAAAAAAAAATGAGTCAATCCAATAAAAATTTACAATTGTCTCCTTTTTTTTAGGTTAAAATTCTGTGCATATGCAGGTAATTAACAATTAAAATTTAGATGTTTGTGTAGCATTTTAACATACATTAAAATGCAAATAATATATTCTGAATGTGAACGTGAAGGTAAATAAAAAATCTATTCCTAATTTCCTCTCACTATGTTTATTTCTTCTTCTTAACTTTGCCTATGCTTATGTTTACCTATTGGACTGTATTCATTAAACTATGTTTAATAGAAACCCAATATACAGTCTTATAAAATAAGAGAAAATTATATCTATTCACGATGCATCTATTAATTACAATTAAAAAAAGAAGAAGAAAAAAATTAGTCTGTTATGAGAACAATATCAGTAATTTTCGATTCTATCATTGAATATACTCTTTAACAAGGTATCTTTTTTTGTAAGTAGCTTGATGTTAAGACAAACTTTAAAACTGAGAATTATTTTTTCCTTTTTTTTTTATAATCAGCTGCAGCTGTTGATTTACCTCTCTTCTCTTAAAGAGATAATAAGACCACATCTATTTAAGCAAGACATTTGTTAAAATTATTCAGTAAATCTTCTTTCTTCTTTCTTCTCTCTCTTCTTTTTGCTGTATAAAATGATATCAAAAGATAATAAAGATATTCAAATTGGTAATGATAAAATAGATATATATATTTGATGGCAATAAGAAAGCTTACATTTGTTTTAATACACATAGCTGTTCAAATTCTACATGATAATAATGATTTTGGACAAGAACAAGAGAATAAAATTAAGATATTCGAAAATTATATTATTGTTCTTCCAACAATAGATAATCATGTCTCTTCAATATACACATTTGATCTAGCTATTAATACTCAAGAAGATATTCCACAATGGGCCTTAAATGGACTCTTTTCAAAAGGTTTTTTTTTTTATTTATTATAATGCTTCTATAACTATTACTGATAAACTAAAAAAAAAAAAAATTAATTCTTATTACTAATAGGAAAGCATACCAGTCTTGTGTTTTATGTAAAGTAACCTGTTTATGTATATATTTATATATATTTATCTGCTCTGCTTATACCAATGTTGCATACTAACCAACATGTATTATTAGGATGTGGCGAAGGATGAAGATAAGAAGAGATTTGACGTGAACAAGATTACAAAAAATATCCTTTCTCAATTATTATCACAGAAAGACAAATACGATATTTATTTCAAGTTTATAGAAGAAAATAATAGGTCTGAAGAGGGAACTACTTATAGTATAAATGATGATAATTATGAGAAACCGTAAAGTAGATCTATAATATAAATGTATATATGTGTGTACACTTTTAACTTACACTGTTCTTACTATATGTTTATAGCTATAATGCTTCTATACGTTCTATCTTTATTAAAGAAAAGAATACTTCTAGATTAGTTTCCCAATTAAATATCATAGATTCAAAAAATAGTGACCATGATATAATAACGTCATGGATTAATAACAACGAGACACAACATCCAAAAAATAACATAACTCAACTACTTGAGCAAAGTAATTCCATTTTATTTCTGACTTGCATCGATTCACAGGATTCTCCATCACAAATTCAAAAAGCATTTTCATTTACTTCTTCCATCAACATGAACCCTTCTAACAGTCAACTTGTACTCAAATTACTAAACGAAAATTCTTTACTTCGACAATCGCTATCTAAATGTCATCATTATTCTTCTATTACAAGTTCAAGTAGTGATTCGACTTTGTCCACCTTTTACAATAGTAATGATAAACCCCGTCATATATCCATTTCACCATCTCTACCACCTAATAGTAATGTCATTCTTGAAGAAAAGGAGGAACAGATGACAACAGTTGCTGATCTACATCGTCAAATTGAGGAACTCGAAAATCAGATCACAGTAACTCGAGAGCGTAATAATTGGGTTGAAGCGGAATTGGTTAGACTTCAAAAGACGGGAATGGAACTACGTGATTTATGTGAAAAGCAATCTGTCTTGATTGATCTACTCGAGTTTAAATTTGATGAATATCAAAACGAAAAGGATTCGACATCAAAGATAAATGAATTATCTCAAGATATTCAACTATTAGATAAAGAACGTAATGAAATTGAAGCAATCTATGAAAAATTAGAAAACATGGTAGCCAAGTTATCTGCTGCTCAAATGGATGATGATAAAACGGATGCAAGAACTAAAAATAATATCTATTATAATATGCTACCTAAACGTTCTTCCCTCAGAAGGAGTCCCGATTCCTCAGTTATCAGCGCTACTTCATCAATCCATAAAATGACTTCTCTAAGGAACACGAGTAGATATGATGAATGCAATAAAAGAATGTCTATTCAATCTGATATATCAAGTCGCTTAATGTCAAGACATAACACGAATAATCCTTTATCAAGACAAAGCAGATCAACTACACCTAATTATCCTCCACCACCTACTGACCCTCCTACACAACCTTTACCCCCTATTCCAACCATTTCTCCTGACCCTCTGAAACGAATGTCAACATCTAGCTACCAACAACATCATGACATGGATGCTTCTCTTCGTATTCACAACGCTAAACTGTTAACAGAGATTCATGCTCATCAACAAACAATCAAATCTCTCGAATCTCAACTGGCAGAAATACAATCAGAACGTCAAAAGGAGAAGGAGGAAATTAACTTTCGTATCACTTATCTCTCAAAACAATTAGAAACTGAATGTGTTCTAAAGGAAAGGGCAGAAAGGGCTCGTGCTATTTTAGAGAAACGATTAGATGCAATCATGATTAATAAAAAATCTAAATTTCTTTGTTTTTAATCATTATTATCATTGTTATTATTATTATTATTATTCATCATTTTGCAGGCAATTGTTTTTGTGCAGCAGCATCATTAAATTTACGAATAACCACTTTGCATTCTGTTTGTCGACAAAGGTCAGGCAAGCGACGTTTTGTCTCTTCGCCTAACTTTTCAAAAAAGACAAGACCGGAACCTCGTTCAACGGCATCCAGAGGAACCTGGAATTGTGTTAAAGGGGTTTCATCTGGAATAGGTTGATTGGGTAATACAAAGGCGCCTACACTATAGTGTCCTTGATTGTCTTGTGTCATGATCACTTTATAGAAATGAGTGGGGACTGCTACATTAGGTGCAGGGTTACCGATAACCTGATATTTAATATAAAATTTACCGTCCGATGGGTCTTGATAAGGCAGATATAAGGGGCCTGTAAAGATGTAGACATCTTTAAATTTTTGTGTCAGCTGTCTACAGAAATGTTCAACATAAGCCCAATCTAAGATACACTTACAAGTGAGTAAAAAAAAAAAACGATTATGATTATGATTATTATTTCTTACAGTCTCTATTGAATCCTTGTCCTACTTGAGGTGCAATATTTGTTAAATAAAATGTTTCATTCATTGAAAGTTGACTGTTTTTTGTATCCGCAGCGGGAACCATATGTCCTCTATCAAACCCACTCTTGAAATAATCATTTAATTTAGCTCTAAACTTTTCTGGAATATGATCATCTTCTTTAAATGTTGACTTTTGACGATCGACATCTGCTCCACGTTTTAAACTTTCTGCTGTTAAATGCTCGGCTACCCAATTTGGATTACGATCTCGTCTATTATATGAAGTTACATAAGCATTGCGGTAAATCACATCATTAACAGGCCCTGGGAAACCAAAAGGTAAGATGGATCTTGCCTTTTCAAATGTATTTGGTGAAGGTTGTGGCGAAGGTTGTGTATTTACTACAGTTGGTTTTAAAGTTGTCGGTTTTTTTAATGTTAATTTTTGATAAGCTGCATAAGATACAGCACCTAAAGCTGCACCACCTAAAACCAGAGTTGCTCTTTCTGATGCCATGTTTTGATATGTGGAGTAAAAAAAAAAAAAAAAAAAGTACGCTCACTCACTCACAATTTCGTTACTGGAAAGTTTTTTTTTGTTTCGGTGATTTAAATTTCAATGTAAAACATTATTGGATAGATGTCTAGGCCTTTTTTTTTTCTTCAACATTTAAAAAGTAATTGAAAGTATGCATAGCACTTGTTTATAATTTTTTAATACACAAACAGAAATAAAGAATCACATACAAGTAAAGTGAAAACTGACACATGTGTCAATAAGTTGAAAGTTAATGCATAAAAAAAAACAAAAACAAAAATTTGAATAACATCAAACAAATTTTTAAAGTATATTTATTGCAATATGTATTAAATTAATTAAACAAATGCAGCAAAAGAAAACATGTAAACTTAAAAAAGAGATTTTAGCAGTTTTTGACTATTAATAAGTTTATTCAGGGATTTTTATTGGTTACTGGAGTATATTTGTCTCTGTTGTTGGCATTTACATTGGCCTTCTTTTAGGGGTGTTGTAAAATGATCATGCCAGAAATAAGTAAGTACTATGCAACTAAATTCTAATTTTATAAACTTTATTTCAATTCATGTATTTATTGTATCTTGGCCTATCAACATCATGTTTTAACTGATACATTTGTTTTATATTATTTGTTTTACTTTATGACAACTAAGGTAATGATTTTTTCCATTCTTTCGCCCGCCACACACACACCCCCAAATCTTTTACAGGGCCAATTTTTTCGTGGCCTTCATTATCTCTTATTGCTGGATAGTCGGTAGTGTGTATTACTAACTAGCTTTGTACTAATTATTAACAAGAAAATATTCTGAATCTATAAATAGGCTATCTTTCGTAAATCAACTTCACTTGACATATTACAGTTATTATTAGAATATTTAAACGCAATAATAATTTTATAGCAAAGTAGTATGATTAAGATATTGTTAATAAACAAGATAAAAATATGTATATACACATGTATATATATATATATTTTTAAGAAAAAAACAAAAAATAAAATGATGGTTATTTATGATAATTGAAGATTTTTTATTTTTTAAAAGTAATCGTTTACAATTTGATAATCTGCATTATTAGACCATAAAGCTAAATATAATTGTTCATAAAAAAAAAAAAGTGATGACGACATTCATATTTACGTCATCAATTAGTCACGTGATCAATTTTTTATCTTTCTGATTATAATTTTGATAAGAAAAAAATTTTTAAGGTTGCCTCTATAGCTCTAATTGGCTAGAGTGCGGCTCTCGTAAAGCTGAGGTTGCGTGTTCGAATCACGCTGGAGGCATGCTTTTTTAGCAATTAATTTATTGTTACTTCTTTTTTTTTGAAGGTAAAATTTAATTTTGTGTTACTGTCGCATGGCTCATATTTTACTACGTGTAAATAATAGGACGTCACTTTTGTTTGAAAAAAATTATATTTCTATCTGATTAGACCTGACATTACCAAATTAAGATGCATAATATAGTTAGCTTCAAAAAAATAAAATAGAATGATATCTATGGCACTAAAAAGAGCCTAACAACTATCCGTAAATATTTCGCTGAATAGCTTCTCCTGAAACATAATTAATATATTAAATGAGAAAAGATAAAATGACAAAAAAGGAAAAAAAAAGATGAATAGAAAACATCCAAACTTAAGACGTAAGTCAATGGAGATAAAGTATAAGTATAATAGTAAAATAATTCTTCCCAGTTGTGGTTATGTAAATATAGATCTTGATAGCACATCTTCTATAAAGAAAAAAAAAATACTATGAATGACATTAGGAGAAGATTTAAAAAATAAAAAATAAATAAACCACATTAGATTTAAAAGCGTCCCTGAATGATTGTGTTGATGTATAAAAGTAACGCAAATATAATGTTATTGAACATAAATAAAATATCACCAAGTGTTGTATTATTTATGTATAGATTATATATCTTTGTTGCATACATTATTTATTGTATGATTAAGCGATTATAAAGCATCCATTGTATTACTAACGTAGTTAATTTTTGGAATAACAGTAGAGTCATATATATGCTTTTACATTTATATTTACATTTGCAAATCAAGACACTTCTTCGCATTGAGTGTGGCGACCGTCTATTGATGAGTTCAAAGTTGATTTGCTTTATAAAAAAAAAATGCAGCTCAAATATCCAAAAAACTGAAGTTAAAATAATGTAAACCTTTGCTTTATAGACTAAAATGTGTGTGAAAAATTTACTTATTACTACTTGGTTGTAGTCCTCTTTTTTTTATTTATTTATAAATGGACGAAAGACAGAAGCAACAAGAAATACCACTATTGTCAATAAAAAAATGTAAATGACTACAGTTTATCATATTTCAGTTATATAAACTATCACCAACCTTCTTTTTTATTATATACTTAGGCTCTAACTGTAATAATAATCCAATAGACGATAGTTGTAAATAAGCTTATCTTTTTTTTTTTTTCGTAAATGTGTAATGCAATTAAACACAATTATGTTATAGCTCTTGTCCCTTGTACCAAATGTATTATTAATTTAAAATCAAACAATAGTAATGAAGTGTTATCAACTAATGAAAATAAACATCAAAAGACAATAAACAAACTATCTAATAAGCGTGGTTATAAATCTCATGTTCCCAGTGCATGTAAATATTCTATTTGATATCAATTGAGTATGTATTTTCTAATAGCACTTTCAATATAGGCATTAATTGCAAAATAGCTCATTTAGCATGCGACGGTATATATATATGCAGTTATTTTATTTTAATAGATATGAATGTGGATGAATACGTTTATTCTAATATCATTCTCTCTCTCTCTCTCTCTTTTTTTTTTTTTTTTTTTTTTTTTTTTTTTTTTTTGTTAGTCTCTCGACCATGTAAACGTTGTGTTTCATTAAAAAAAACAGATACATGTCAAGATATACAACATAAGAAAAGAGGAAGACCTACAAAACGTCAAGAAGCTATTAATAAAAAAAGCAATGATTCAATTTTAATAAATGGTCCTTCTGCTTCTTATGAAATTCTCCATGATGCAATCCGAACATCTACCGTTTCAAATAATAACAACAACAAACAATGCTCAACTTCTGTTATTTCCTTTGCAAATGAGTCCATTGAATCTTTTAAACAGTCTACAACAACACAACAATTAAATCTCAACACCACTTCATCTTTTCTGTTACCAACAAATACAATAGAATCATTATCTAATACAACTTTTCAACAGTCACAATCATCTCTAGTTTTCAACAATCTAACTACAACTAATAATTATCATGATACAATAATACCTTATTTAACCATCATATTATCTATGGAAGTTTGCTGTGCAAAAGTTCCAGATGATACAATTCAGTACTGGGGATACTATCCTCAAGAGCTTGCACATCGTTCATTGTATGACTTTATTTCGCCTAAAGATAATGATCGACTTGCACAGTTACATCGACTTGTAATAGAAAATGTTGTAAATGATAATCAATTGGCATTATTACCAACAGAAGGAAGTACGTCTGATTTATTTCGTCACTTTGATTTATCTACTTTATGTATCAAAGCAAAAGGAGCACGATCATTTGCAGATACAATTCATATAAAGAAACGATCTGGTGAATTTGAACTTTATAAAGTAGTTGTTTATATTGGAGGAGGACTAGGTGCAGATCTTTATGATCCTTCTACATTTTCAAAGCTTTATATTGTATCTCAATTCAAGAAACATAATTATGAAGTAATAGATGAAGAGCCTTGTTTTTATATGCAATCTCAACAGCAGCAGCAACAGCAACAGCCTACTACTATTGATTTATTACTTGATAATTCCTTTCTTATAAATCAAGATACTCCTCATCATACTGCAAATCATCTTTTTGATGAATTCTTATTTACTTCTAAACAACAAGAAGAAGACTCTGTTCATTCTTCTTTACTGCCTAAAATTCATATCGCTCCAACTACAAAATCAACAAAACAAAATCGTCTTTTATTTCAGCATTTCTTTCCTTCAAATCAATATAAAAGAAAACTTTCTATTACTTCTAGTTTATCTTCACCCATCAATGTCACTCATCCAACACAACAATATTTCTTACAAACATCAAGCAGTGCATTGAATGCAGCAGCCTCTGCAGCTGTTCAGCAAAGTAGATTTAGACAACAGTCACAACAATCGAATAGTAGTATGTTGACACAAATAGCAAGAGAAAATACGAAAAGAATGGAAGAAATGAGCATTCGTTCTTTATTATGTTAATATCTTTTATATCCATTCTATCACTAAAGCATATAATTTATTAAAACATAGAATGGAAGGAATCGTTATCTTTTAACTTATATACACTATGAGTGCATTTTTTTTTCTCAAGAAAGATTCATTCCAGTAGTGTATTTTTTTTCTTACTTTCATAGTAGTTACTATAAAAACTTAATATATATATGATATTTATTACTGTCAGATGAATACAATAGGATTAGCTATTTAGAATAAAATATAAAGAAGTCAATACCAAGTGGGATGATATATCAACAACTATGGCAAATTGTAAAATTCCTAATAAATCTCTATACAGTTTTCTAGTATATGTAATCTAATATAGCAGCAAAAAAGAAATAACGATGATGGCTCATTTAGAACTTTGTTCTTTAATTATTAATACTTTAAGATGTCAGAAGCCCTATGCGTATTTTTTTTTCAAGACATTTTCTGTATTCTGCTATAATATTCTGGATAAAATCAGCTAGTATAGTATACGCATATATTTATATATTGTTTTAATATAAACAGAACATGTTATGTAACCGAATAACTATAATAAAAAGAAGGAAGGGATCTGGTTAAATCACTTGTTAATTTGTATATTTAACTCTGTTAATCAAAAGTGTTCAGACATATACTCTTTTATATCGATGTGTATTCATATTAGTTAATAATAGTAATAATAATAAAAATATCTTGTCTAATGTTTCCCCTTGCCTTTTTTTTTTTTTTTTTAAGAAAACATTATGAATTCTAATTTGACAAGATAAAGAAGATTCAAACAGATACTCTTAATTTTGATTATTAACCTAATTCCCTCCCGTATAAAGAAAGCTTTAAAATATAGATCAAAAACGTAAATCAGACTTTAAAAAAAAAAGTTCAAATTTTCGCAGATCAGTATTATAAAGGCTGTCATTTGAATCAATTCTTTTCTTTTATATTTGTAACTACACTTGTAAAAGAGAATCCAAAGACGAAAAAAAAAAGGTACTTGTTATTTCTACAAATTAACCCAAGATATTTGAATAACCGCTCCTTTGTAACAACCATCATTCATTTTAAGACCGTTATATACGTATACTCCTTCATATTTGAACTGCTAAAAAGAAAAGCTATACGAAAAGTTAAAGAGTTAAAAAAAAGGGGGGTTATATACATGTATATAAGACATATCTATTAAAGGCTATAGTTTTATAATATAGAACGTTTAATTTTTTTTTTTTAAAAAAAAAAGACAGCCAGTATTATAAAAAATGATAATAATATGATTTAAAAATATATACTATATTACTACACGCTATTTCAAACTGAATGTGGAGTATGCTGAGCTTGTTAACAATTATAGACAAAAGGATGGTTTTCACAGAGAGTTTAATAATATAAAAATAGTAATTTTTTTTTTGTTAAAGACTGAGACATATCAACTTTGTAGCAGTACTACTGTTACTTATACTTAGAAAATAAGTTAAGTAGTAAAAAAGAAAAAGGTATTATCACCCAGTAAAGCTACACTGGATATACAGACTAAGCATATTGATCACTATAAAAGAGGTCCAACTAATTGAACTGACTATTTCATCAATCATTCTAAAAATAAAATAATTAATTGCTATTCTATTTTCAAGTTTTTTTTTTTTTTTTTTTTTTTTTTTTTTTTTTTTGCATAAACCCCAATGTAAAAATCTGACAGTTTAATACTATGATAGATTTTGTATTAGGTCCTTGTTGAAACTACTACTAGTAATATTAAAAGTTTCGACTATTGTTACGTGAAATGCATCTATAATATAATAGAAAAATCAAAATAGATTTTACATGTTATTACTACTTGTAAAAAATAGTTATAAATATACTATCGGAGCCTAATTACATCTCTTTCGCAATACAGCCAATTCTCTTTACTTTAACTTCCGTTATTTCCAATTATGTCAATAAAATGAAATAAAATGGTATTACGAAATAGTTACTAATAAAGGATAAAGACGAGGAAATATACAGAAAAAGAGTCTGTATAATATTAGCTCATTCCTATACAATAAATTTAACCCTGGATTATGTAATAAAGAAAAGCCAAGGTTTTTAGTTTAGTGTCCGCATATAAAAATCGAAAAATAATGATAATAATAATAATCATAGTAAAAAAAAAAAAAAAAATAGATAAAAATAAAAATAAAAATAAATATTTAGGCCTGACCCTTATTTAACATTTTAGTTTCCCTTTCTTCCCCTTCCCTTTCTCTCTCTTCATTTTCTCTTTTAACATTAGAACAAATAAATATGAATTCTAATTCCAATTTAACAATCGAAGAATATAGAGCACGTAAAGTTGCTCTCATTACAGGTAAATAATTATTAAAATGGATTTTTTTTTTGAATGTCAACTAACTTTTATTTGACAGGTGTCACCGGTCAAGATGGATCCTATTTAACAGAATTTTTATTAGAAAAAGGTTATGAAGTTCACGGTATCATTCGTCGTTCTTCTTCTTTTAATACAGGTCGTATCGAACATATTTATAGAGATAGACATGAAACAGGTATAATTCACATATTCTCCTTATTTATTTATTATGTTCTAAAATGGGGGCTTTTTTTTTTTTAGGTGTTAAATTCTTTCTTCATTATGGTGATTTAACCGATTCTACTTGTCTTGTTCATATTATCGCTAAAGTACAACCTACTGAAGTATATAACTTGGCTGCACAATCTCATGTAAAGGTTTCATTTGACATGTCTGAATATACAGGTGATGTTGATGCCCTTGGTACTTTGCGTTTATTAGATGCCATTCGTACATGTAACTTGGCAGATCGTGTTCGTTTCTATCAAGCTTCTACATCTGAACTTTATGGTAAAGTAGTTGAGACCCCTCAAAGTGAAACTACACCTTTCTATCCTCGTTCTCCTTATGGTGTTGCTAAACTCTATGGTTACTGGATTGTTGTGAACTATCGTGAATCTTATAATATGTATACATGTAACGGTATTCTCTTTAATCATGAATCCCCTCGTAGAGGCCGTACGTTTGTAACAAGAAAGATTACTCGTGCTGTAGCTGATATTCATCTCGGTCGTCAAGAGTGTCTCTATTTGGGTAATATTGATGCAAAGCGTGATTGGGGACATGCTCGTGATTATATTGAAGGCATGTGGCTCATGTTACAACAAGATAAACCTGAAGATTTCGTCCTGGCTACAGGGGAAACACATACTGTACGTAGTTTTGTTGAAAAGGCATTTAAGGTGATTGGTCGTACGATTGTTTGGGAAGGTGAAGGCGTTAATGAAGTTGGTAAAGATGCTGAAACAGGCAAAGTGCATGTTCGTATTGATCCTAAATATTTCCGTCCTGCTGAAGTGGATCTTTTATTGGGTGACCCTACTAAAGCAAATACTAAATTAGGCTGGAAACGTAAAGTTACTTTTGATGAACTTGTTAACGAAATGGTCACAGCTGATATTGAAGCTAGTCTAAAGTCTTCTACATTAGTGTAAAAGAAATAAATAAAATGTGTATATAGTTGTGTATGAGTGTGTGTGTATGTATGAGTGTATGTATGCATGTATGCATGTATGTATGTGTTTATAGATACGCGTATAACAAACATGTGCTTAAAATAAATAAATAATAAGCTTCCTATTCTATTCTATTCTATTCTATTTTATTTTCTTTCTTTTTATTATCTTTATCATGGTATACACACAATAGAAAAATAAAATAATAAACATAGCTTCTTATTTGTTAGTTTTCTTGCTATCTCTTTTTCTATTCTTTTTATCTTCCTTCTTAGCTTCTACTGTCTTCTTTTCCTTCTTCTCTTCTTTCTTAGCTTCTACTGTCTTCTTTTCCTTCTTCTTTTCCTTCTTAGCTTTTACTGTCTTCTTTTCCTTTTCTACACTTGTTTTTTCCTTCTTCTCTTCCTTCTCCTGTTTGGAGGCAGCCTCTGCTGCTTTTAATGCTGCTTGAAGACGTGCCTTCTTCTTTTTTTTAAATATTAAACGACGCTTTCTGTCCTTTTCCCTTTTCTTCAATAATCTTGCTTCTTCCTTTTCTTTTGTTAACTCTTCTTTTTCTTTTTCTGTTCTGTCCTCTTTTTGTCTTTCCAAATATCTCAAACGTCTTAAATGTGATTTACTTTGTAAATGATCTTCAACTTGCTTTTCTGTCTTTAACTTTTTATCTGGACAAATGTCACATGAATAAGTCTCGATCATTTCTTCATCACTAGTATCGTTTTCTTCTTCTTCTTCTTCATCGGTCTTATTATCTTCTTCATCCTCGTCTTCATCTTCATCCTCATCCTCAGATGATCCAGCTGCATCTGCTAATTCATTCATCGTTTTAATTAAAACTTTCCTTGCTCGCTTTTTGTATCTCTTTGTTTGTTCATCCTCTGAATCTGAATTATCAGAATCATCAGAAGAAAAGACGCCTGCAAGCTTTTCTTCAGTATCTTCAAAATCAAATTCAGTATCTTCAATCCTTTGCTTTTTTAATTCTTTATGTACTCGTTTAAACATTGTTATTTATTTATTTTTTAAAATAAAATAAAATAAAAAGGCAACTCAATGTCAAAGATGAGAAAAAAAAATTTTTTTCCCTGCTTTTTATTATTATTTGCGGATGTTGAAAGAAGCAATACAATAATAATACTATTATTTATTACATTGACTAATAATTTCATTAATCTTTGTCTGTAATTTGTCATCAAGATCCTCTTGTCCGTGCAAAGATTGTTCTAATGTTATAATTAATGAATAATTGTAAATAAAAAAAAAAAAAGAAATGTTTCTCTTTTTATCATCATTACCTAAAAAGTTGATAACTAATTGTTGAACATCTTTAATCAAATTTAAATTTTGAACAAGAGACTCAAGAATAAGAACCATATGATGAATAAACAGAGAAGTATAAGGTGGCTGAGCCAATTTTAAGACCTAATAACGAATATAAGAAATTGAATATAATTTAAAATATATATATATATATATAAAATACCTTCTTGATAAAGTAAATAATTAGACTATCATCTAATTCACGTCCTGGACCACTAAAGTATTTTAATACAGGAATTGTATAATGTAATTGGACTAAATAAAGCATTCGATCTACCCAAGCCCTTTGTAATGATAACTAACAAGAAAATAATAGTATAGATGAATATGAAAACAATCCAATTTTTTTTAATAGTATCTTACTTGAAGCTCTGGTGCAAAATTATCTGTTTTATGTTTAACACATCGTTTAATAACACTAAATACTACAGGTTGCTGTAATTGATGTCGACTAGCAATTTCATCTAATATTAACAATAGAACAGGTGGTTCCTTTGTGCGAAAGTATGTTTCAAAATAAGATGTATGTATAGCCATGTATTCAATCCATAATAAAACACCCATTGATCCAACTGGAAATCGAATAGCGCTAATAATATATTTTGTAGCTCCTGTAATACTTCCTACTATTGTTTTGTTAGCTAATGCAGTGTATAGATCCTTTAACACAAGTTGTATTTTTAAAATATCGTCTTGTTGTTCCTATTATTATTTATAGAATCAGTCTATGTGTCGCTTGTAATGCTTCTATTATATATACTTTACATTTCTAGGCTTGGTATCATTCATAGTAGTCGCATAAGCAATAATAAACGTTGTATCATCTACTAAATCACGTCTTAATAATGTTCCATGCTGAGGCACATAAAGCACTTTTAATAACTTTAATATGAAATCATAATTGCATAAATAATGTGTTGCTGGTGGATTTTCTGATAAATAAAATCGTTTCAACTACCAAAAAAAAAAGGCTTAAGAGAATAGAACATACTTGTATATCAAAACTTACAGCAATAAGATCGCCCTGAGTAATATTTGAAGAATTCATCATGTTTTTCATAGTTTTTGATAATTCTAAAGGTGCATCACTAATATTTGTATGTAGAATATCAACAACCACTGTGTTTCCTCTCTTTTTAGCGACAAGTTCTAATTCTCTACGAAGACGATTAAATGTCTTTACTCCATATTCATCGTATAATCTACGAAGCAATATTTGCGTATATAAGTATGTATCTTCTCTTTCACAACAGATATTCTAAAATATAAATAAATATATGTATGTATAAATAGGATAGAAGAATATTTAGACTTCATATTTACAATTAATCGTGGCAAGTCTTCATCAAACTCTAAATCATCTTTTGTAACAAGTTCTGATAATGCATCATTCAAGATCAAATTATATACTTTCATATAAGTTGATGACGTCCTTAATTTTGAGATTTCTTTTTCATAACCTGCTTCGACCATACGCTATAAATAAAAAAAAAAGGAAGAAGGGAAAGAGAGAGAAAAAAAAACTGTTAAGAAATAGTTTGATTAATTTAATGCATTATACTTGCTAAAACAACAAAATTAACAAAAGCAGAATTGGGATATTTTTCCAATAATCGATACATGGTTTGTCTCCATTCTGAATCTTGAAATAAACTATCCAGCTTTTCAGGCGCTTTATCTTCATAAAACTTCATAAGAGGTTCATCATGAAGTTGAGGATCGAATCGTTCTGTTAATAAAGTCCGAATGGCTCGTCTCATGATCAAATCCTTATTCAATCCTATAGAATTTACAGATTCAGCAATGGCATTACACATGGAAGGTATACCAAGGTATGATTCTGATAGTAAATTAACTGCATCCATAGGTGCTCCACCTAATTTCAAATATTCTGATAAAGCATCTGTATATATGTTTTCTTCAAGTATGGCGTCTATTGAATTCAATTAGTACTGTTCCTGAGTTTTTATTTTTATTTTTTTAATTTACCTGGCTTCGATAAGACTTTTCGATATTCATCAAGTGTAGCAATTCTTAAAGGTTGATTAGACTAAGGAAGCAAATTAACCATTTTGAACACTTATTATAATCTATATTAGTGTATACCATTTTATTTATTTTTTTATCTTTTTATTCTAATTAACACGAAAAAAAAAAGAGGAAAGGAAAAATAACAACATTTATCTTTAGGCTCGTGACGCGCATTTTATTTTATTTTTTTTTTATGAGTACTGTTGATACTCAGTCAAGTGAGGGGTTAGAATAAATAAATGTATTTTGTTTATAACAGAAATATAAAATTTATATGAGGTTGTATGTACCTCCACCTTTACCGCCGTACGTTTTAATAATAAACAAAATAACCAACAACATACAAAAGCTAATTATTTCTCTATTTTTTGCTTCTAAAAAAAAAAGTTATTCTGAACAAAAATGTACACTTGAACTTGATCATATACTAAAAACATCAACTAAAGTGGCAGTCTTGTTAAACGCAATTCAGACATTAAGCAAGAATGCTTTAAGTAGAGGAATTACTTGTAGACCTTGTATTGGTACAACTCAAGAGGTAAACAATAATAAGGAAAAAAAAAACTCATCTGTCTCTTTTTTTTTCTTTTTATTTTACTAACAATAATAAAAAAAAAACTATTGTTTGATAGTCTAAAATGGGATACTACGATGGTACATACAAAAGGTATATGACATATAATAATAGAAAAGTAAATGTATTGTAAATTGAATCGATGCAACTTAGAGTTGTGATTTGTTGTGATCATATTAGAACCCGAGAAGAGCTTGAAGATACTTTAGTTCATGAATTGATCCATGCTTTTGATTCAGTACGAAAAGGCAATTTCAAAAGCGTCTGTCATTTAATAGCTTGTGGTGAAGTCAGAGCAAGTGCGTTAGGTTAGGACTAAGATGGATTAAAATAGAATAACAGCACACACACTCTTAATACATTTATTTATTTATTTAGGACAATGTGCTAATATTAAATCAGAAAAGAAGAGAAAGGAATGTATTTGGAAAGATGCAGTTAATTCAACTAAACTTCATTGTGGTTCAGAAAGAGCAGAAAAGACAGTAAAAGAAGTATTTTATAATTGTACTCGTGATGAAACTCCATTTAAATAAGCCCTAAAAGAGGTTTTGATTTGATCTTCTGGCCTGGATGATATACACTATATTTAGAAATAAAATGTACCTTGACTAGAAACATTATTAAATAAATAAACAAAGAAGAGTAATAAAAACCCTCTCCCCTTCTTATTAAATTGTAATACGGAATAGTTTATTCTTATAAAATGCTGCAAACAGTAAAGGACTGCAGGTCAAAGGCCATAAAGTTAAAAACCAGCACTAGTTTTCCAACAATTTTTTTCTAAATTTGGCATATAAATATGTATATGTATATATATATAAAAAAAAGAAAGACTTTTATTATCTATCCATTCTACTAATTTCAAACAAACATTACATGAATGGATTAATTTATTAAAACAAGTGTTCAAACTAGATTATTAAAACTACTGCTTTTATACATTTTTATTATTATATTCTATTTTGTAGCATCAAATATTCCAGCGACTCATGCAATAAATTAATTTTTTATATGCAACTTATTTGAGGAATATGCTAGATCTGGAAGGGAGAAAAAAAATTTTTTTCTTTATATATTAGAGACTTGTTTAACTTTATTAAATGTGATGCCAGTCTTAATAGCGGAAAATACAGTAAAAAAAAAAACAACAGCAACATATCATTCGACTATTTTTTATTTTATTTCATCTTATTTACAAATAATTTTAATTTATACGTTAGAGTTGCTATTGTTGTTGCTGTTGATTTACAATTGCAAGAGAATAGGGTTGATATACAATTCCAAATTTTCTTTGAAATTTTGTTATTTCTTGACTTATACGTTCAATTATTTCTAATGATGACTCTTGTTCTTCTTCTTTATAATATGAAGGCGTTATTGGACTATTATTACTACTACATGTACTTGCTGTATAATCGTCCAATAATGGTACAGTAGAAGCACTACTTAAAGAAGAAGAGGAAGAGGAGGTGGATAAAGACCTGGGTCTAAGGAAGAAATCATCTTGTTGATCATCTGTCATTGAAGATAGTAATACTGGCAATGTTTTCTTTTCTTTTTCATTTAATGTTTCTTTTGATTTTATTCTTGATATATAATCCATAATCTGTTTAGTTCTCTTATTCATATCTGCAAATGTCATTTTTGAACTTGGGTATTTAATCTTTGCTGGTGGTGAACTTTCTCTAATTGGTTTACCATCTGTTGTATTCCAATAGGGTGAAAATGATGACGTATTAAAATCATCCAGGGCATTATTATTATTGCTACTACTACTACTACTACTACTACTATTATTATTATTATGTTGTTGTTGAGGGGTATTGGCTTTATTTTTGGTCGATTTCTTTTCTTGTAATACTTTTTTCCTTGTAGGAGGTGGCAATTCATCAACCAATAATAAGTTAGGACGCTTTGATCTAGTAGAACGTTCTTCAAACTGGTTTGAATTTTCTTTTTCTTCTTCCTCATCTTTCTTGCGTCTCTTGTTCGGTTTCTTGGTTACTGGTGCCGATGCTGACTCGGAACCGGAGTTACTAATTTCATTATTCGGCGATTGAATTTCATAATTATGATGATTGTTGTTATTCACTAAACCGGCATGATAAAGACGTTTTGAACTTCATATACCACATACATACATATTAATTATTATTTTTTTTTTGTTTGTTTAACTCCCTAAATCAATATGCATATTTACCGTCCTGAAGAAGTTTTTATGATATGATGATTTTCAGGTCCACACTGATCACAATAATAGTGATCAGGCAATTCATTCTGTACAAGACCCATACATTCACAATGCTGCCAAACTTCACATTTATCACATTGAACCATTAAACCCATATTATCTATTATCAAATGCATAAATACATATTTATATTTACATAAAGTAAAAAAGAATCCATTTTACTTACGTGCTTCCCCACAAATACATCTTGTAATTGAACTACCATCTGAACTTTCTTCATCAGAAGAATCAGTTACATTACGACTTGATCTTGTTCTTTTATTATTAACATTTGCTCTACGAGTACGACGTGTAGGTGCTTTTAAAGAATAATATTAAAAAAAAGGATCAATACCTTATAATTATTATGTAATATATACTTACACATATAAATTATAAGGGTATATATATATGTAAATATATATCTGTGTATGTATATAATATAAAGGAAATAAAGGAGAAGAAAAAAAGAAGAGAAAAAGAAGAAAAAAAAGAAAAGAAAATATAATTGACAATATAATATGTATGTGTATATATACACACACACATAAAAAAAAAAAATGATGCAAGACTGGTATTGAATTATAATTTATTCATTTATTTTTAATTGGCTATTTGATAATCAATTTTAACATGAATTTCACCATTCCCTTCAGGTCCCAAAGGTAACCATTTATCTAGTGTTTGTACAATAGGTGGTCTAATAAGATCCCAAAGAGAACTTGACCATAAACCAATTTCAATAGAATAAAAAGTATGTACTTCTTTTACTTTAAATTCTATTGTTATATCCTCTTTATTATATATTTCTTGTGTAAAGCTTTCGTTCCTATAATAATAATGAATTATTTGGTTTTTTAAAATACTTTATAGTCTATTTTACCATTTAGGAGTGGTTGTCTTTTTAACTTTCTTTGATTTCATGACTTGATTCTTTCCTAAATTAACATATACAATCGTATTTTCTCCTTTTAATCCTCTTGCTTCTATTATTTGAATAGTTAATCTGCCTCGGCTTGAAGATGTGATTTGCTGTGTTGTTGTATTCTCTTTTTCCTGTTGATTTTCTGGTAATAATCCTAATGAAGACACATTCTCTCTGGTGGTATTTTTGGGTGGTTGGCTCCAGTTAAATACCGTTGTCCCTAGTTTAGTCGTCATTCGACGTGTAGTGCCCATAAATGTTGTATGCGTCTTTCTACGTAATAATAATTGTGGATCCCATTTGAATCGAACTCTAACTGATCCTGTATCACCTGCTTGTCCATCTAAAGGTATTTCTATTTCTTTTGCACTAAAACTTTCGACCATATCACCTCGAATAGTTATGCCTCCAGAACCTATAATTATTCAAATCATAAATATCGTTCACATATATAATATGTATATATATGACTTTTATTTTTTTATTTTTTTTTCCTTTTTCTCTTGGAAAGAATTTTTTTTTTTTTTTTTTTTTTTTTTTTTTTTTTTTTTTTTTTTTACCTAATGGAACATCTCCGGCCAGTTGATTCCAATCAAATACTTCAATTCTAAAGCTGGCAGTTACACGAGACATAATTGGCACTTCAAATTTTTCATTTGTCCAAATTGGATTACAATTCTTCTTAATGACTTGACTCTTATAAACAATATCGCCATTGACAGTAAAGACAACATAGGGATCACTTGTACCAGACTTATCAACCGCTTTCAAATCTTTCGCTTTCAATAAAGTGACGGTTAAAATACCTTGGTTCTCTAAGCTTTCATCAGGGTTCACTTTGTAATTCAATAAAGGTACGTAACCAAAGCTAAGTTTGATTTGTGCAGGACCACCAACAGGATTGATCAAGTTATACCACTCACCATCATCCTCTTCAATATGCATCAGCATCTTTTGATTAAGATCAACTAATGATGTGTCAGATGCATTTCCTTCTGCTGTTAACAGCCTTTGTCGAATACTTCGCTGTATGTGACGAATGATACGTTCACTACTTTCGTACCAGTAACCTAGTTTATCATCGTCCTTTTCTGTCTTATGTGCAGGCTTAAGCTCAATAGCGACCCGTGAAAATCCTGAATCCTTAATAAAGGCATCTGCCGTCTCATTAAAGACTATCGTACGTCCCTTGAGAGTGTTTGTCTTGTGTTGACTTGTTAAAGAATCTACCATCACTTGACAATAGCATTCATATACTTCACTTGCTTTAATTTCATGAATCTTAACCGTAAGAATACCACTACCATAACAAGAAAGGTCAATAATATCATCTGGTGTATAACGTATAGGCACTCCATGTAAATCGATCATAGGTAATAAGTTTTGCATTCTATTGACAATCTTTTGATGATTCGTTATCCTTGTCGGCGATGCTATGCTTTGTTTGTTATCCATGTCTTGTTGCTCCGTTTCACTTTCTTCATTTTCATCCATTGCTTCTGGTAGGGCTAAAGCAGGATAAAATTCGACAGAATAAACTAGAAAGCCTCTTACTACATTATTAGCTTGAAGGGGTGATTGTCTTATAAAACACATAAATAAACCTTATTTATATCTAATACCTAACAATATATATATATATATATATATATGTATATGCTTGTTTACCTGTCAAGTTTTGGCACTGCAGCTTCATACCAACTATTTTCATTCTCATCCTTACATTGTTTAATAATCTCCTTTACAGGAAACTCAGTTGTACCGAGATTTTTATCTTTAGCACCAGAAGTCCAATCCATAAGTTCAAGTATAAGGTTCTCATGTAAAGAGTGAACAGGGATATAATGAAATTCACCCCATTCTGGTGTTTCTGTATTGTCAAGGATTTCAGTTCTTGCTCGAACTTGCCTTCCTGATTTAATTCTCACATAAGCATTGTGACTACCACTATTAAGATTTTCCGCTGACCAAATTGAAAATCGCAAAACACCTACAGGTGCACCTAAAAAAAAAAAAAAGATCAAATACAACCACAAATAAATACTAAATATAATCTTCTTCTATTGTTAAGAAATACTGTACTATAGATGCCAGTACCACCCATACTAGCAAGTCCAGTCATAACAACAGGTTTCCATTGTACACTAAATCTTAAACGTGCAGCTGTATCTTGTCCTTTTTTCTTTAAAGTCCACCAATAATCTTTTTCTTCTTGTTGAGCAATGATATCTGTCAAGTAAGCGTTCCAGGAACCCAATGATTCATCACCTGCAAAATCAATACGATCAATTATGCTGACTCGAATAAAGACCTCAGTTTGATCCAAAACCATGATTTCGTAAGGTCTTTCGAATTTAGGATTGGATGTACGTTTGAATGTTGGGGTTTCGAATCGATCAACGCCATTGATTTTTATCAAGGCGTATGGGTTCACTTTATTTGAACCTAGGTTCTTACATTCATGAATTATTATACGAACAATACCAGAATCTATGAAGGGCAACATGAATTATCACTTTTTTTTTATAATAAACAGCAAAAAAAAAAAAAAAAAAGAGAGAGAGAAACTTACTTGATGGTTCAGCTTCAATAATGCTTCCGTCTGGATTTTGAATAGACTTTGATACAGGGAAATAGCGCATATCTACTTTCAAATTTGAAATAAATTTACCATTTCGAAGCATAGGTAATTCTCTATGATATCCAATATATATATATATATATTTAAAAAAGAACAGCTATAGCTATATAAAGATATATACATGTATATATATATACATACAAATTATCTAATTGCATATCTTCATTTTCTTTGATATCTCTCAAATCAAAATGGGCTCTCGCTAGTCGTTTACCTGCCTTTTTTGTGTTACTTGTCGTTCTTAATTCCATGATTAAAATAGAATTTAAATTATTCAGCAATAAGAACTTGGTTTCATTCCAATGAGGTGTATGTGTATCTTCAGAAATAGATGTTTTTTCCAATTCTTGAGCTTTGTTTAAAAAGAATCGAACAAATGGATTTAAATGAGAGTCGGATGATTTAATCTTTGAACAAGAATGTACAGTAACAGCCAAAACACCATTGGCTTGACCTTGTAACAAAAGATTAAAAATGTATTTATATACATCTATTTTAAGGAAAAAAACACACACACACACACTTACTAATATCTAATTCTCCGGTAAAGAATTTTTCAATATCATAAGAGAATACGTTTGGGTAATAGAGCATAGGACCTAAAATAGCATGAGCTTGATCTCTTACAAAACTTTGAAGTCCAGGAATCTAAAAACAATAATAATGATAAAGGTTGAATACATATTATATATATATATATATATATATATATATAATAGTTATTTCATATACATGCATACATTATTCACATCAAAACCAAAGGCCTCCCCACCTATGGGCTTTAAAACATAGTCGAATATAGGCTTTTCCATGAAGCAAACTTCCACAATTTTTATATGGGGCATTTTACTTGTGAATTGAAACTTAAGTCTTATACGGCCTTTAAAACTCATATCTTCTACAAGTACAGGGAAAGCTGTTCCTACAAACCCTTTACCAAGGCGAATGTTCAAGACGACTTTAGGATTTATCTTTTGGCTTAATTGTTCTTTTGTCATCCCAATTGTATCATTAGGTACAAAAGAAACTGTCCAATCCATACACTGTATAGATAAATTAATATATATATACATATATATAGTATATATAATATATCTTTATCTATTTAAAATCTTTACCACTGTATCAGGATCAGTATCTGTAAATGATTTTACGCTTTCAATTCGAAATGGTTTTGACCCCAAAGTAAATGTAGTTAATCTAACAGAATCCAAGAAGCTGGGTAAATAATCCACTAAATAAGTATCTATATTTTCAATGACAAAGGTACTAAGTATTTGTTCGAAAATTAACCAAAATTTTTGAACAAGATTATTTAGCCATTCTACTTTTTCATTTTCTGAACTTTCCAATGCGATATGAGCCATTCCCTTTTTAATATCATCTGTTGTACGTGCTGTAAACCTTTTGTAATAAATTTTAAAATAGGAAGCTTTTGGTACAATTTAGTAGGATAGATCATCACAAAAAAAAAAAATCTCAAATGCGTATGTATAAATTTACCTATAAAACAGAGCCCAAAAATAAATAGGTTTATACTCCCTCCTAAACGAGCAAGTAGCCAAAACGAAATACCAATAATGAAAATAATCCCAAAGTTATGCCATTCATCACTAAAAGAGCTCATGGGTATCCAGATTTCTTCATGCTTATTCTTTTTTTCAGTAGCCTTTATACCAAGTGAACCACCTGGATTTATCCTATTCGAAAAGGCCGTCCAACCAATACGAGAATCATCAGGTAACGGTTTACTGACCCTGTAACCTGCTATCGTGTTCACAATAGGTTGGCGGCGTTTTGTGGATTGGGTTCTCTTTATTTTCTCTATAGGTTTCTTTTGTTGAGCAGCTTCAATGGCTTTTTTAATTTTATCTGCATCACTAGAACCTATTTCCGTTGCAAACCCTTCTTGGTTGCGACCAAGTGTACGAAAATCTGGAATGAGCTCTTTAGTTGACACAAGATTAATGTTGGTGTTGTTGTTGTTGTTGACAACTTCATTGGCTATAGCATCTCTTGTATGAATAGGTGCATCTGTATTCGTTTGTTTTGCTTGTATTGCTTCAATTTCTTCTTGTGTTTGCATTGGGTTGAATAAAGAGACAAAGAAATATAAAAAAAAAATAAATAATGATAATAAGATGAAAAAAAAAGTTTATTTTTATGCTCTCCGAATAAGAAGACAGCTGCTGCTGTTTGATAATGATAAATTGAGGTTTATTATGTAATAAAAATAATAACCGCTTTAACAGTAAAAAAAAATGTTTCTCTTTTTACATTTTTCATTAAATTCAATTCATAAATGGATAGTTCTTGGACTGAAGTTCAGCATATATGTGATACCAACCTAAATAAAGTATCTCCTGTATCTGCTGTTTGTTGGGATCCTTATCATGAACTATTATGGGTTGGCAATGATGCTGTAAGACACATTTATCCAGTTTAATTATCATTAACTCATAATAATAATAATAATAATAATAAAAGGGTCGAGTTTGTTCATATTATGGAAAAGGTTTACAAAGATATACTTCATGGAAAGCACATAAAGACGGACAAGTACGACAGATTCGTGTAATTGATAGAGGTGTTATTAGTTTATGTCCAAATGGTCTTCAAATGCGTGATCGTAGAGGTCTTGTTAAATGGAACTTGAGGTTAGATTTCATAATTAAATAATCACAAGCCTTATCAACGTTTTTTTTTTCTTTTTTTTTTCAATTAGTAATGAATATACAAAAGATCTTCATTGCATGACATCAACTACTTTAACAAACGGTGAATTATTAGTAGCAGGTCAACAAGACGATATGCTAGTTGTCAGTTTAGCTTGTGGCACAATTACACGTAGAATCACAGACGCTTCAAATATTGTAGTTTTAAAAAGTCTACCACGATCTGTTTGTGCTGGCTCATTATTAGGTGAAGTGACATTAAGAGATCCAAGAACAATGAAGGTAGAGCAACGAGTGCAAGCTCATACAGCAACTTTGTCTGACTTGGATGTTTCTGGCAATTTATTGCTTACTTGCGGTTTCTCACAAAGGTAAATAGATAAATAAAGCAAAAAAAAAAAAAAAAAAAAAAAAAAAAAAAAGAGAAAGAGAAAGAGAAAGAGAAAGAGAAAGAGAGATAGGAAGACTAAATGATATTCAATTTAACAAATGCTCTAATGCTAGACAAGGCTCACTTATTATGGATCCACTTGTTAAAGTATATGATATTAGAATGGCTATAAGGACATTGGCACCAATTCCATTTCCTAGTGGCCCTATGTATCTAAAGATGCATCCAACACTTTCTACAACATGTTTAGTAGCATCTCAGACAGGACAATTTCAAATGTGCGATGTGTCAAGTTTAATTATGAGTTCATATGCAACACCTGCACAATTTCATCAAATACAAACATCAAGTTATATTACAGCAATGGATATCTCAAGTTCGGCGCAAACTCTTGTATTTGCAGACGGTGCAAGTTTTGTTTATCAATATGCAGATCGTGAAGATTATGCTGTTAATCCATACTCATTACCACTTTCTACTCCAGATATTGTACAGACGCAAACAACGGTTATGAATGAAGATAGTCCTTTATCATCAGTGGGTATGCCTTATTATACAGATCAGCTCTTATCTGTCTGGCCAAGTAATAGTATATATGAAGTTGGAGCAAAACCCCCAGCGATTGATGAAGAGATTTTAAAAAATATGAAGACAATTGATTTTGTAGGGTATGCACCTAATCCTGGAAACATTCATCGAAATCAGATTCCACGTAAAAAGAAAATAATAAAGAAAAAGAATGGACCCAAGTTTAGATCCGAGCAAGAGAGAGAGATGCTAAAATCAGCCAACAAGTTATTAGGTGATGATGCTGAACAATTACAACATTCTGATAGACGATCTTCTTCTGTTGGCGATATTTCTATTGCCAATGATCCAGCCGTTCTAAATATGCCTCGATATTATCAACGTGTTGAAATTCAATATAGTAAATTTGGCATTGATGATTTTGACTTTGGATATTATAATTCAACACGTTATGGTGGACTTGAAACTCATATCCGTAATTCTTATTGCAACTCACTTTTGCAAGTTTTATACTTCATCATACCATTACGAAAAATTGCAAAGTCTCATATCAAGATTTCTTGTCCTAAGGATAATTGTCTTTTATGTGAGCTTGGCTTCCTTTTCCGTATGCTTGAAGATTCAAAAGGTCAGAATTGTCAAGCAACTAATTTCCTTAGAGCATTTAGTACAATTCCTCAAGGTAAATCTCAAAAAAAAAAAAGAAAAAGAAAAAAAAAAAGAATCTGCATTTAATCTAACATTACTTGATAGCTTCTGCTTTAGGATTATTTGAACCAGAAACATCTAATAAAAATTTACCTTTTTCAACACTTATTCAAAATTTTACTCGGTTTATTATGGAACAAATTCATCAGGAATCTAATCTCTCAACAGGGAACCCATTAATATCAAAGGCTTTTAACCAGACGATTCATTTTAAAAATGATCAAGAACCTATCAAATTAGATATTCCTTCTACAATGCAACAGTTATTTGGGCTTCAGACATTGAGTCAAAGTAAATGTAGTAGTTGTCAAGAGGAAGTATCAAGAATTACCTATCCATTTGTAGTTGATATGCTCTATCCTAAAAAGAATGATAAGAAATCCCGAAAGAGATCATTTACAAGTATCCTGAAAACAAGTATGTATAGAGAAAACCAAACAAAAGCTTGGTGTTCAAACTGTCATCAGTATCAACCTACAACAACAAAAAAGATCATCTGCGGCTTACCAGGCGTTATGTTGATAAATTCAGGAGTAGCATCGAGTGATGACGCACTTATTTGGAGACAAAATGGTCCTAATAGTCCAAAAATACCACATCATTCATCTACTGATAATCATAGTAACCAAAGTTCCGCAAATGAAGAATCTAACAATTCCGTCAATAATTCGCCTTCTTCATGGTTACCAGAGCGGTAAATAATCAAAGGAAAAGAAAAAAAAAAGCAATACACATACAAAAGAGATAAGGATTCTATTCTTTAACACAATCATTTTATAGATTTGGTATTTATATTAATGGAACAGAGCTTGTAGTTAAAGCTTTGCCTATTGGTAAAGAGATTCCACCAGAATTTAAGGGATCTCCTAAAACATGTGCCATATATGAACTATCTTCTACAATCCTACAAGTGCAAGAAGAAGAAGAGGCAGCACATCTTGTTTCACAAATCAAAAGTAAAACGATAAATTTCGATAATTCAAAAAAAAAAAAAAAGATAGTTAATCTTTTTTTTTTCTTCTTTTTAATTATTAGTTCTTGAAGCTGAATTGGAGCCAGAAGCAAACTCACCTTGGTATCTATTTAACGACTTTTTGGTACGTAGAATTCGACAAGAGGAAGTGTTTTCATATAAAGGAACATGGAAGACACCAGCAGTACTTCAATATACTCGTGTTGATTTAGAAAGTTTATATGACTTGGATATTCTACCTTCTAAAGTAGATTATTCTTTGTTATTTAAAGATTTATCGATTGCACAGGAAGCTAATATGAATCCACGTTACGAAATACTTACAGAGGACGAAATGCCTAAACCAGGTACACTGATTGCAATAGATGCTGAGTTCGTAGCACTACAACAGGAGGAGACAGAGATCCGTAGTGATGGCACAAAATCTGTCATTCGACCTAGTACACTTACTTTAGCTCGTGTAAGTGTCTTACGAGATGACATAGGGCCAAAACAAGGTGTGCCGTTTATTGATGACTATATAGCCACAAGTGAGCCTATTGTTGACTATCTCACTGAATTTAGTGGAATTGTTGCAGGTGATCTCGATTATATGCAATCTAAACATACACTTGTACCGTTAAAAGTGGCGTATAAAAAATTACGTTTATTAGTTGATTTAGGATGTATCTTTGTAGGGCATGGTTTAAATAAGGATTTCCGAATTATAAGTAAGAATTTATTTCCATAGAAAGCCTTTATTTATTTTCGGTATTGACATAATTTTTTTTTTCTATTAGATTTACTTGTTCCTCCTGAGCAAATTATTGATACTGTAGATATATACCATCTTCGAAACCGACAAAGAAAGATTTCACTACGATTTTTGGCATGGCACTTATTACATCAAGATATTCAGGCTGAAACGCATGATAGTATTGAAGATGCACGAACAGTAATGATTCTTTTATAATTTTTTGATAATTATAGAATATTAATTTTTACATCATTATTTAGGCACTTGTTTTATATAAAAAGTACCTCGAATATAAAAAAGATGGTACTTTTGGACAAGTATTAGAAGAAATATATGAAGCAGGGCATAAAGCAAATTGGTTAAAAGGAACAAAAGATACTCTTTCAAGAGTCTCAAGTACAACTCAAATGGAATCCTTAGTTGAATCTAGTCCATTGTTTACTACAAATTGGCTTGCTTAATATAGTTTATTTTTTTTCCTTTACTTTCCTTTTTTTTTTAAGTTGATACTAAGTATAATGTACCAATAACGGTAGTGGCAAGTACAGCATAACCTGTTCTATATACACCCTTCATATCAAGGCATCTACCAGAATCCCAAATCTATATTATATGAATGTTATTATTATAAAATAATCTTTTTTAAAAAAAAAGAAAAAAAAAAGAATATGCTTACCAAGTGTCTAATACCATTTGATAAATGATAAGTAAATGGGGCAGCTAACATAGCTTTTACTGCATATTTAGCAGCATCAGGAGCAATGGCAAACTGTGAAATAAGAGTTTCAGAGTCAATATGATAGCCGAAAGCAGGGGCAGCAAGATATGCCATTGAACTTAAATAAAGAGCTAAAAAAAAAGGGGGAAGTTAAGCCAAATTAAGCTTATTAACACTGGTTAAATTTTTCTTTACCGCCACCAAGGGCAACGCCAGTTAATCTATGTGCACTCGACATGTACCAAGTTAATTGAGGTTGATAAATGGATAAATGAGGTGAAGTTGGACGCAATTTGCGTTGTGCAAGTAAAATGTCAGACTCTGTTTCGGTTGTTGATTGCGTAAGATGTTGTCTAGTAGCCTGAAAGTATCTAATGACGTTTTAGTATAATTATTAATTTACTTTAATGGAAAATTAGAATTAAACTAACCGAATGCCTAAACTTGATACATTCTTGTTAAAAAAAGGACGTGATAAAAGAGGGCCTACAAAAAAAAATAAAGACATTATTTACTGATTAAGGGAATAGTGTTTTTTTTTTCTCCTTATTACTTTTTGATGATAGACGAACTAGTAATTGATGATTAACTGACATGTTCAATGTAAGAATTTATGCTTGAAAAAAAAAAAGGGTAGTACAAAAAAGCAAAATTGGCAAGTAAAAATATAGTCACAAGAATTAACCATGGATTTGATGAATTTGAATATTATTTTTTATTAATGATTACCTTTGCTTAATCTCTCTTTTTTTTTTTCAAGATTAAGATTAGATTGCATTCTATATTTTTTTTAACAAAAAAAGAAAATGAATGAAAGTATGGAAATTGGCTCTACAACAACAACGATAACAGCAACTATTACTACTGATTTTGCTAACATGGAGAAACGTGTGATAACAACTACGGAAGGAGTCCAGGTACAGAAATTTTTAGCGGCGCCTGTAAATTGTAAGCTATTTGTTGAAAAAATGACAAAAGAGGGAGAATCGGAATTTAGGAAAGCAGAGATATTATCCTTACGACAAACACTTCAAAACCAACAACCAGAATTCTACGTTCATTATATTGAATTTAACAAACGTTTAGATGAATGGGTTTCGATAGATCGACTTGACTTTACTCGACCTATAGAGTTTCCTATAAAGAAGTATCAAAATCAACTTTCTTCTACAGACGGTAGTAGTAGTAGAGAAAATATACCTTCTCAAAATAGACGTAAAAACTTGAAGAGAAAAGAGACAATAGGTCCTCATAAGAGAAATAATGTATTAGAAGTTGAAATAGAAGAAGGAGAGGATGAAATAGATTCAAAGAAAAATGATATTGAAAGGCTAAAAATGTCTAGATCTACGACACAAAATATACATGAAGTGGCAAGAGTAAAGAATCTGAATAAGATTCAAATTGGTCAACACGAAGTAGAAACATGGTATTTTTCGCCCTATCCTTTTGAATATACATATTGTGATATCTTATATATTTGTGAATTCTGTCTTTGCTTTTATGTTTCATATAAACAGTTTGAAAGACATAGAACAAGATGTCAACTTTATCATCCTCCAGGCAATGAAATTTATCGTCATGAGGAAATTTCATTCTTTGAGATCGATGGACGTAAGCAAAAGACTTGGTGTCGAAATCTCTGTCTATTATCTAAATTATTTCTAGACCATAAAACGCTCTATTATGACGTGAACCCATTTCTATTCTACTGTATGACAGAGAAGGATGAAAAAGGATATCATTTAATTGGATATTTTTCAAAAGAAAAGGAATCATCTGAAAACTATAATGTAGCGTGTATCTTAACCTTACCACATTATCAGAGATTAGGGTATGGTCGTTTGCTGATCTCATTCTCATATGAGTTATCCAAGATAGAGGGTAAAGCAGGTTCTCCTGAAAAGCCCTTATCTGATTTAGGGCTATTGTCATATAGGGCTTATTGGACTGATGCAATTATTGAACTCTTATTAGTGTCTCATGATCTATCACCATCAGAGAAAGAATTTACATTAGAAGAAATCTCACAAAGAACATCGATCACAACTCGAGATATATTATATACTTTACAATCTATTAGAGCTTTGAAATATTATTGTGGACAGCATATTATTTGTTTAGCAGATAAAGTAATTGAACAATGGAAAACAAGTTACGAAAAGAAAAAACAAAGAAAAAGGATTATTTTTCCTGAAAAGTTAAATTGGAAGCCAACCCATTTTACACCTGCTCAACTCAGATATCTTTAAACTTTATTCCACATATGTAATGAGAAAAAAAGAAAATACCCTTGTTTTTAATAATTATGTTATATTTTTAATAAATTAATAAGCAGCAAGAAAAGATCCAAAATATACAAAGAAGTAAGTACTTCAAGTAACTGATAAAGTAATGTATTCTTTATTTTATTATGCCTGAATCTTAACAAGTACAGTACACAGTACACGTACAAGAAGAATAGGAAGTTTGTATAGCATTCTACATAAGCTTAATTCAAATTATTGCTATGAGTAGTGGTGCCAAAGAATTTAATTACTTATTTGCATGTATGAATCAACTAAGTTTGTAAGCAAATCTATCATTCTGTGAATAAATACCGTCTTTTAATAATCCTTATTAAATAAAATATGTATTAACATTAATTTATTTTACTTTTTATTTTCAACTTTTTCAAAAGTTTTTTCCGCTGTTTTCAATGTGAAAAAAGTTATACTGGCTACGTGAATTATTTATCTCTTCTGAATTATGTATTATATATAGATATAAAATCAATTAACCACATCGAAACAAAACAATGAGCTAATTTGGCGTATTTAATCAATGACACTGTTTTCTATATGATAACCGTAATTTTACGTTGGACAAGACGAGTTTTTTCTTTTAATGCAGAAGAAAACATTCACATTTAAAATAAGTTTTTTATTATACATGGAAACAATTTCCTAAGAATGTTTGCTATAAATTTGTTTCGAGTATTATTCATGTTAGTATTAATTTTGTTTAATCTTTAAAGAATTTTCTACAAAAAAAAGAAAAAGAAAAAGATGATTCATGTATTTTGTTGCTATTTTTTTTCTTGATCTGATTAAAACAATTACTGCTGTTGGTTGAAACTTTTAAACCTTATATGTCGTGGTAGCATTCATGTACTTTATCCAGTAAAAATTGCTCCTGAATTTTAATATTTATTTATTCCCTTCAGAAATTTTTTCTTTTTTTTTTTTTTTTTTTTTTTTTTTTTTTGAACATTTAGACCTTCTTTTTTTTTTTCATCTTTTACTGACTCTAGCAAGTACGTATATAACGTACAATATTACTTTCCATTAAAGATGAGTCAAAATAATTCTGATATTCAAATAGGATCAACTACTGAATTAAGACAGATCTCACATCTAAAGCATGTTCAAAGTACTGTCGAGAAAGAACTATCATCAAATTCAATACCTACTTTATCTAATATATCGAAATCAACAATACAAAAGGATAAATATTCATTTCATTCTTTAAAACCTTGGCTTATGTGGTGGAATGCTGAAGAATGGTGGTCGTGTTGGGTTGGTCTTTTATTTTTTGGCTGTATAACAGCTGCAGTTAAGCATGATATTCCTTCACCAGAATTTTTACCCTGGGAAAAAAACCCTTTTTATACATTATTTGGTACAACACATAATTATGGCTTACTTGTTATCTTTGTTGCCATGGGCATTATGTTGTGGTTAGTAATGGCTGCTATAAGTGCTCCTCATTGGCAGAAATTTCCTTTCGGATACCTTGTTGTTTTCTTTATCGCTCTTGTTAGTAAAATGTTAGCAAGTAATGGTAAATAGTGATTTATTATAATGATAATGATGATGGGACTTTTAATTTTCTTTTCTTTTCTTTTCTAGTTGTACTTAAGAAAGCTAGTATAAGTGATTCAATATGGGCAATTGTCCTTGGATGTTGCCTTCGTAACTTTATTTCATTTATTTCCTTTTTTAAAGCAAAAAGAACATCCCATCATAGTACTGATACTACAACTCTTCGTTTACCATCTTGGCTTAAAATTGCACAACAAACAGAACTTTATATTGCAACAAGTTTAGTGTTATTATGTATTGATATCAATGTCCTTCGTCCCTTGGCTCCTCGCGCTTTGTTTGTCAGCTGGATTGATACCCCTATCTTATTTATGGTCGTTGCTTGCTTTGGTTGGACACTACTTAAGATGGACCCTCAGATAGCGATTATCCTTTCAGGTGCAACCTTTATTTGTGGATCCTCTGCTGCTATCGCTTTAGGATCTAGTATGGGCGTCCCTCCCTATAAGACTGCAATGCCTATCGCTATCATCTCTATCTTTACTATTCCTAGTATTATCGCTTTACCTTATATAGCAAAGGAATTAAAATTATCACCAACTGTAAGTGGTGCTTGGTTTGGTGGCTGTGTGGACTCTACTGGAGCAGTTATTGCCGCTGCTAGTATCTATGGTGATATTGAAGCGATCAATACATCCGCCGTTGTGAAAATGATGCAAAATATCTTGATCGGACCGCTTTCAGTTATCATGGCCTGGGCTTGGTCTAAATATGAATTAAATAGAGCACTTCGACGACAAGAGGAGGAAGAGCTCTTAAGAAGACAGAATGAAGGAAATGTGAACAATAATCAAGAGACATCAACCGTAAAGGAAACCACCTATGTTGCTACAACTGATAAACAAAAACCTAAAAAGGAGAGTGCCTATGTTTTGTTATGGAAGCGTTTCCCTAAATTCGTCATAGGCTTCATCGTGACAGCCGTTTTATTTAATACAACAATTAGTGATCCTAATCATCGATCATTAGTAAATTCGTTTTGCTTTTATGTCTCTGAATGGTTTTCAACATTATCATTTGTAAGTATCGGAATGGGCTTAGAATTGAATGAAATGAAACAAAATATGCGTAGTCTTGGTAAATTAGTCACTTTGTATATTATTGCTCAAATGGTTGATATCGTTATTACATGTCTATTAGCATGGACAGCATTCACCTATCTATAATAAATATTATAATTTATTTTGAAATACCCTAAGAAACATGTTGGTTTTATAATATTTATTTTTTATTTAGTTTGATTCAAATAAATTATGCATGATTTTCAAAATATATTAATGGAACCGGGCATTTGTTTCTAAGACTCAAATGCATGACTTTCTTTTTCTTTATTAAATTTATATATGTTTATACATGTGTGTGTTCTAAACAAGAACATTTATTACGTAACAGCTTAAACATTCATATTATTATTACAACCAAAATTCGTGAAACATACATTTAAGACATGGAAGAAGAAGAGAAAAAAAATATGTCAAAAACTTTGATATAAATATGGATATATTTTTCTTTTATTTTCTGTTTTTTTTTTCTTGAAAAAAATAATAATAATAATAATAATAATAATAATAATAATAATAATAATAATAATAATAACCTTCAAAATTAGCAAGTATCAAGTTGAAAGCTTTTTCACCTCATATCACAGATTTTTGTAGTACAAGATCCATGATTTCATTTGATTTCTTACAAATCAAAGCTTATAAAAAATCAAAGCTTTTCCACTTTATACAAAAGAAGTTGGTATTAAAGTATTTTACCGGAAAACAGAATAAAGAAGACAATTCAAAAAATTGTACCTTAAAAATAAATTATTCCGAAAAAACCAAAACGCCCCGTATGTTATAAAAAAAAAAAACGATGATTAAACTGATTATATTTTCAACAAACAATATATATACACATATATATTCATATATAGAGCCAAAATCAACTGATTGGTCAAGCATATTGGAAGCAGTAAGCTTATTTTGTAGCAATAAGAAACATGCAAGTCCTATTTTATCCATTTTTAATTTCCCTGAAACACCAAGAATTGTCTCTTCGTCATCTCTACTTTCACAAGATACTCCTCTGGTTGCGCCCACTATCTCAGGAAGGATCAGTGATAATCTAGTTATTGAAATATTAGCAAATGATCAATCCAATGAGACGCTACCACTTCAATTCTGTGATTTATTGAAGGAATGTTCGTATGAAGATAACTTATTATCACCAGAGTCGATTCCAGAAGATCATTTTGAAAAGGATATTACTCTTGATCCCTTAATTGATAAACAACTGGGTCAGTACAGATTCAAAGAGATTTTGGGTATAGGTGGATTTTCTCGAGTTTATTTAGCCGAAAATACGCTTGAAGGGAATAGATTATCTGCTATAAAAGTAATGAGTAAAAGAAGAATGCAAATGGACCGTCTTTTCGATGCAAATGCTTTAAGAGAATTAAATATTCTAAAGGTAAACCTTATATGCTCTAGTCTAATATATATATACATATAATGATTTAACATATACTTTCTATCATTTATGGTATCCAGATGCTTAAACATAAAAGCATTGTTCAACTAGAAGCTACAATCGAAACTGATATGTATTTTTGTCTTGTTTTGGAATACGTTCCTGATGGAGACCTTTATAATTATGTTAGACAATCTCGTGATCGTGAAAAAAGCGAAGCCGATGAACAAATTATAAAAAAACTTGTTTATGAATTAATCGAAGTCATTTCTTGGTTACATGATCAAAATGTGGTCCATAGAGACCTTAAACTAGAAAGTAAGTTGCATATATTACTTCATATATACATGACACTTATTTCACTTTATATATATATATATTAAGATATTCTTTTATGGCATGATAAGGATAATAATCCACATATCAAGTTAACAGACTTTGGCTTAGCCTGTGTTATTGATCCTAAATATCCAGTTTTGTACACTCAGTGTGGTAGTCTAGAGTACGTTTCTCCAGAGATATATACAAGTAGAAATGGATTTGATGGTCAAGTAGCTGATATATGGTCTCTTGGGATAATCATTTATGGGCTCCTTATAGGACACTTGCCATTTGCTTTTAAACCAGCAGAAGGTGATACATTATCAGAATTTATGTATCGAATCAGTAATCGAAACATAAAATGGCCTAACAATGAATATCCAAGTGAAGATGCAAAAGAAGTTATTCAATGTATACTTGAAAGAAGACCTGAGCTACGAGTTACTCTGAGAGAAATTGTCAGATTGTCTTGGTTTCTAAGTTTACGCAATTGATATATAATAATTTTATAGCAAAAAGAATAAAATAGGAATTGCAATAATAAAGTAATAAGGGGGGGGGAAGGAGGGAACTTTTTTCTCACTATAAATAGTAACGGTATATATGTGTGTGTAATAGTGAGAGAAAGAGGTGGGGGTGGAGAGAGAGAGAGAGAGGAAATATTAGATAAATAATATCTGTAGTCCGCTCGTACAATAATTGGCAATGATTAAGGAAATCCCGCTAAATGACATAAGCTTTAGCTTATTTCTCTTGTTACTTTTGCTTTTTCTTTCGTTTTTTCTTTTCTTTTTATTCTAAAAAAAGATGAGTAATTATTTATGGAAAAGAAAAAAATTTGAGTCAGAGCCACAATTATCAGAAAGAGATGCAAGAGTTTTAGACACATATACACGTAGAATGAAAAGATTTGATGAAATGGTTAAAATATGCTGTTGTTGGATCGGATATGATGTATTATTAGGTCAGCTATATAATTATGTATATTGTGTCTTATTTCATGTATAAACACAATACATATATAGATTTTATTCCTGTAGTTGGTAAAGTAATATCATTATCATATGCTTTATCATTATATCGATTAGCGTGTCAATGTGATTTGCCAAGAACAATTAAGCGTAGAATGCTATATCATGTTAGTATAAATTTTTTGGTAAGCTACAATAGAGCCCTTTTCTGATTTTGAGTATATGTATAATATGAAAGCTTGGCTTGATTCCTATTTTAGGTATCTTTTTAGATATGATGTATAGAGCTCATAGCAAAAATGCCCGTATCTTGAGAAGATACTTATATGAAAGAGCTAGATTAAACAAAAATGAAGCAGAAAAAGAAGCCTTAAAGATTGGAAGCAAAGATGATAAGCAGCACCTTCATTTATCACTGCCTACAACTGTATTGATGGAACAGGATGAAAAAAATGAGATAAATAAAACTATATAATATATTTATTTATTTATTTTTTAATCTATTCAAGTTGCTGTATATTCAATATTGATAGTGATTTTCATTATTGAAATATATCATTTCTGTTGTAGCTACGATTAAATAAGATTTATTTATTTTTAAAAAATGACCAATAAGCATGCAACAATTTCAGTAAGCTGCATTACCCTAGTCAGTTCAAAAAAAAAAAAAAAAAAAAAAAAAAAAAAAAAAAAAAAAAAAAAAAAAGAGAGAGAGAGAGAGAGAGAGAGAGAGAAAGAAGTGTAATAAAAACCCCTTAGGAGTCAAGAGTGAAAAAAAGGCAGAAGAAAAGAAAATGGAAACATTATGGAAATACTAGTGTAGGATAAAGACAATCAATATATTAGTTTAGCACCAGGATTGATAGGAGAAGAAAGAAATGGATAATCCCTTTTATTCAGAATAATGTAAACTATCGGTCAACAAACTAATCAAGAAGAAGTTAATTCCAAAGGCTTTGGTTTATTCAAAGATAGTTGGTTAAGGAAAAAAGGAAAGTGGGTCGCGATAGTTAGTGGTATTTAGAATAGGTGATGCATATGGCAACATTTGATAAAATGATCATGAGTAAAATGATCATAATTGTGATAAAGACATGACTAAATAACAAAGTCCAAAAGCCATCCAAGATGTCAATGAAGGATATGATTACACTCAACATGGGTCATTGGAAATCAAATAATTAAGTTTTGTTGCGAGGCGTGGCGGCAAGTCGAGATCAGTATGAAACTTATACCATTACTAAGACGACCAAAGGTATCCTATAAAAGCTATAGAGGTAACTGTCTGAAGATAAAACTATCAATAGTACTTAATACTGGAATACATAATTGCCAGAGAGGATGCTTTGTGAATTTGTATCAATGTGAATGGCCAACATAAGTTTGAATATGATAGAGTAGAAGTTGTAATAAAGTATCATTAGGTAATCACATCGCGTGAAGGAAAAATAATGTGATATCATTACCTAGTCTTAGTTTCATACTCTAAAATTAAAGAATAATAATATATTTAATACTCTTGCTTATGTATTTATCACCATAAATGTAGCCTGTAAAAAGTATTTGAAACAGGTTAACAATTTTGCTGTAAATATTTCGACAAGAGCATTAAACTATATTGTTGCAAGTTCCATGCACGCTTCTGAGAGACACTAACTTATACCATTAACTAGAATAGTGCGGTACTCTGCGGCAAAGTTTTCATGCTTAAAAGTGTTCCAAATAATCAAAATATTAGGGGGTATAAGACTATTACTTGTGCGTAGTTTGCCGTTCACAAATTGATATATAGAATACTAAAACTGTTGCTTAAAACCACCCAGCATCATAACGAAGCAGTATAAAGAAGAGTATAGCATCCCATCATATTAGATAATTTGTCCAAACTGTCATGAATGTATTTGATAAGTATGATAAGAATGATTTTTATATTGACCTAGACAATTGCAAGATCCATCATACTTTATAGCGTTTGTAGTAGAATTGATAAATGATCGAGGATATAATCCATTGTTTATATCTACTTATTCCTGTTTCTTTCATTTCAATCTGATTAAAGCCTGTTATTCAAAAAAAAAAAAAAAAAAAAAAAAAAGGGCCCTTCTATATGATAATTCCACTTCTACCCCTCGTGTTGTAAAAGCTTGTTGGAAAGTTAATATTTATGATTGCTAGAGTTAGGCTAGGCATTCTGAGAGTTATTGTAGTAGATGTGTTAACAAGAAGTAGGCCTTATGGAAAAAATGTGCTTTCATTTATTTCCTAAGAAAGTGTCTAATAATAATGTCTTCTTTTTAAAATTTGCAATATTCTCTAATAAAAATGAAATTCGTCCAATAAAAGTTTATAATCTTTTTTCTTTTTTTTTTTTTTTTTTTTTCAATAATAAAAAAAAAACAAGATTCAGTATATAATAAAATGACGAGTAGGACTTATTCTATAAATTTAACTTGAGTTTTATCTTGTATATTTATTCTTATAATAATAGTTACTACATCTGATTCTTCATCTTCAATTAAAGAAGACAATGCCAATGTCAAGATTATAGACTCAAAACCTGAAGAAATGCAGAACATACAATCTGAAACAGAATCAGTTGCTGTATCATCACCTAGTACTAGTACAACATCTACTCAACAGCACCAGCCGTCTGTTGTCACGTCGTCTGATAATCTTATTCCTTCTAATGTACTACCCTCCAAAGCAGCTCCATCATCACTAGAAACCCTTATTGCAGATGTAAACCAAAAAAGAAAATTGGTTAGGCTTTTGGATGAAGAACTCTTCAAGGTTCGTGCTAATAATTCAGAAACAGCTGAAAAAATTCGACAAACTCAAGAACGTATGCTGATGCGTCAAAAAGACCAAAAGCAACTTGTTGATAATTATACTGAACACATTCGTTTACGCCGTGCTACCCCTGATGACGTTAGCACGATTCACAAAAAACTTCAAGACCTTAAAGTTATGATCAAGACACTAAGTGTCTCACTTACAAAGCAATGTGATCCTGTTATAGCAACAAAAGCCATTAGCACATTTTGGGTTAACTTGAATGAAGCTATTCATAAATTAGGTGATCCACTTCCTAAAAACCGAATTGAGATGCTTACAGAAAAATTCTTGATGGATGTGCTAGTTCAAAATATGAATTATAATGCCTTTACAGGTTTAAAAATTTCTCAATCCTATACCCAACTTCAAATGTGGTTTGAACGATACGATCCTAATTTTTGTACACGATTTAGACAGGAGATAGCTAAAGTAGTTGTGTCAGGCAATCTTCCTGGATCAGATATTCAACAAGAAATTCAAAAGCTAAATAAACGTATGTACAATTCTTTATATAGCTCTCTCTTAAAAGCATTCCCTTTCATGGATCAAAAGAATGATGAATCAACAGGCAAAAAGGATTATTGTTCAGTTATGTTGAAACAGATGGTAGAACAAGCCTCTCAAATAGGATATGCTATGCGTGGTCAGGAGATAGAGATTGCAGCAGCAGCAGTAGGTGAAGGCTCTGAACAATTAGACCTGAAAACAATGGTAGATGAAGATGGTCAAACGTCAGGCATTATCCAATTTTGTGTTTGTCCTCCTTTTATTATGTATGGTAATCGTGTTGATATTTTAGAGAAAGCAAGAGTATTGTGTTCTCCTTTACCTTCTTCTGATTTAAATGTGTCTGACAATGCTATTACTTCTTAATTTATTACTGATATTTTACCCTATTTTTTTTTCCCGTACATACCATTCCCCTTCTCCTCAAAGAAAAGAAAAGAAAAATAAACTTTTAACATATTATTTTCATTTTTATTTTTTTGCTCTTTCGCCAGACCCGAAAAACTTTCTGATTGATCCTTTATATTCATACGGTAAGAAGGATGGTTCACGTAAAGCAAAAGCTTGATAAGGATCAACTTCTTTAGGCAACCAAACACGAAAGGATGCACGATCAAATTCACCTATTAGCGAAATCCATCCAATACCAGCAAAACTAAAATCGACAGATGCATGAGAGCGATGAATACCCTTAACATGTACAAGTTTATCCATTGGTACTAACGAATTCACGTTTGAAAGACTCTTTTCTTTTAATAAGGAAGTAGGTTCGTCATCATGAATTGATCTTAGCTTATCAGTGCGTGTTAAATGAGGAGTTAATTGTGTAAATAAAGTAACTAGGACAGGACTCTCGGCTTCTACAAGATCGATACGAACTAATGGCTTTAGCAAAAGTGATTTACCAGGCTCTAATCGAAAGGTAACAGGGTTTAATGGCGTTTTCTTTTGTTGGTTCACTAATTTTATTTGGTCTTTTATATCCAACTTTAAACTTAATTGGTTTTCATTAATAACACCAGGTGTGTCAATTAAATAACGTTCTCTTGTCACAAAACGCTTTTTCTGTTCATCGGTTTCTATATTACCCAATAAAACACGCAGAGGGATTTTTATTGTGCTTAGAGTTGTACCTGGTAAACTTGAACTTGTAGTCGCATATTGGGCTTTCAATGTTAACTTTTGATGGCGTCCCTCTTCACTTTGGCCTCGATAAGCCTGTGATAATAGTTTATTAACAATGGCTGATTTACCTACATTTGTGCATCCTATCAAATACACATCATCCGTCACACGTCTTTCTCCATCAATTTTACGTAACAAGCTCGAAATTCCCCATCCTTTTGTTGCACTCGTTAAAGTGACTGACAAAATTTGCTTTGTAGACAATCCCAAGGATTTCACATATTGCATAATCCAATCCCGGATTCGGTTTTCATGTTGAATTGCTGAACGAGGTAATACATCTACTTTATTTGCAACCAACAAGACACGAGCTGTTGGGTTTTGGGCAATAAGTGATGGTAATGCACCTAATGACGCAGGTAAATCTGTTACATCAAACACAGTAACAATCAATGGATCTCGTTTTGTCTTTAAAAACTCTAATGAACCACCGTATTGTTGAGAATCTCGTAGGAATTCAAGTGTTGATTCGGTTGCAGTAGGATGTTGTTGATGTCTTAATGAATGACAACGTTGACAGACATTAGGGGTTGGTAATGGTGTTGGCTCTGTTTTAGGAACACTGCTAGGATCATTACTGCTATCACCATTAAGAAGTACAGCTACGTCAGGGTCAAGTGTGTTCATTATTTTAAGGTATTCATCGTAACTTAGAGTATTATTTTGCTCTTTCTTCTTAAATGTAACTTTCTCCTTCTTTTTTTGATCGGATATATATCCTGGTTTAGAAGGATTTGTCTTTTGAAAGGCTGCACCACAACCAGGACAGTGGCCTGTAGTTGCGATTTCATCTTGAGTGGAGCTAGTAACTGAGCTATTCCATAATTTCGATTGAGTATTCCAAGAAGTATTTAATATTTGACATGACTTGAAACTATTTCGTGTTACTATCGTAGAAATGCTTAAGTTTTTCGAGACACGCAATGAAAGTTTGACATGGTGAACGATCAATGGGAATCTTGAAACAGATCTATTCATTAATAATAATTAAAAAAAAAAAAAAAAAAAAGGAAAGCTATATAGAGCAAGGGGAGGAAATAATAATCATAATAAGGAACTTGCTATTTATACTCCGAGATGTATAATGCACCCACTTATTTTATTTATCTCTTTTATTAAGGAATTGATCCCTCTATTTGTTGCTTCTCTTCCCAAGCAATTAATTTTCCTTTTTTCAGCCTTTCAATTGCTTTCCCCATGTTTTCAATATGCATTTCTAAGGGCAATGTGTCTGGAATGAGAACGGGTGCAACAACTTGTGATCTTAATTCTTCAAGATCCATCTGAAAGGCTTCCATACGATCCAACATAACCATCAACTGTTGTGCAGCTTTACTTCTTTCAGTGTCAAAATTGACTAATAAATCAAGATTTTCATTCACTAGAGACCTTCTCAATCCTTTGCCTCTCACTCTATTCACTAAATCAGCCAAAATATGTGGTCTTTCAGACTGTTGGTAACTCCTTTCCTGAATTGAAATTTCATGAATTGCATATAGATCTTCTTCAAGCTGATCAAGTGTTCCTAATGCCTTTTCGATAGCCAAAATTAACCTTTTTGCTTCCTTTTCAACTAATGACATGGCATGTTCGTATATCGTTCGAAGCTCCTGTCGACTCGTTTTTTTGGCTTCAACCTCAGATAGCTTTCGTAATGTAAAGGTATTATAGGTGATGAGGTTGTCGATAACACCCTTTGTTTGTGCTTGAAGACTTTGAATATCACGACCAAATTTTCGTGATCGTATAATGTAATCACCTAGTTTGGCTTCTAATAAATCATGACTTTGAAGATTGGAGTATTTTACCAACACCTGTAGATCGCGTGTCGCTAATTCAACACGTTTAAGCTCGAGAGCTGAAATGGATGATGAACCAGCATCTGCTTGTGAAAGCATGCCATCGTAGAGTGTCTCTTGAAGCTTGACAAGATGAGAAAAATCGGGTACAGACCGAATGTAATTCTCGCACAGAGGTAAATGATTACCAAAAAAAGGCAAAGGACAAATCGTGTCTAATACAAGATCTTGGCATTTTCGATAACCAAAACTAATTAGACCAAATAGTATAATGATAGCTGTCAATAAAGAGATAAGCGGCTTTAACACTATTAAAGAGCCCATTAAAACATCTACAAAAAAAAAAAAAAAAAAAAAAAAAAGATCAGTCAACGGAATAATACCAAAGTACTGTATATTCTACATTATATAAAAACCTAATAAATATCCAACAAAAAAGGAAATCCTATGAATAAAATTATTTGCTACTGGATCGTCATTGATAGCTTGATCATCATGATTTACATTTGTTATTTGTGCTTTATGTATATTTTTTTTTCGAGATGCCATAAATTATAATAATAAAATGGGTAAAAGTAACCGATAATTTAGTGGAGAAAGAAAAAAATGATACATGAAGCTTTATTTTTAATTTTTTTTTTTTTTAATTTACCAAAAATTAAAAAAAAAAGGGACATAAAAGTATGCAAGTTATGCGATAAAAATAAAAATAACTAATATGAATTAGAGCCAAAACGTAAATAGAAATTGACGATAAGTGCTGTAACCAACAAAACACATAAAACAGCAGGACCCCAAATATCGTCATAACGACCTTCATCAAGATGATTAATCATCCTACATATTATTATTATTATTAAAAAAAAAAAAAAAAAGACGTTAATAATGATTAAATTAAATTCAAATATATGCATGTATAACTTACCAAGCACGTTTCTCAAATCTATATAATGCATAAATGGCTACTGCAGCGGATAAACCAATAAAGACACCACCTACAATACGTGACACATTATCACCAAAATTAAGTAAATTTAAAGCAACTGTCAATAAAAGAGCACAGAATTGAAGCCATGCAATAAATGTACGTTCATTTGCAAAGAATGTTTTTGGTTCTACTCTGACTTTAACTTTTGCTCTCTTATTTTTGTTACCATCTAAATCACCACTTTCTAAATCAATGGCTTCAACAGGGGAACCCAATTGCTTCTTAAAGACAATATCATTAGCAGGCATTAAACGACCTGTACTTCCATTGATACTCTCACCAGGTACTGAATAAAACTTTGGAATAGGTAATGGAGGAGATAAATCTTTACTACTCACATTATTACTTCTAAATGGGTCATCTGCAATAAAACTACTGTCATGACTACTCTGTGATAGTAAGGGTTGAGCAAAAGAGGGTAGACTAGTCTTGTTGTTGGAATTTGAAGATGGCTTTTTGCTATTTAATTCGATAAGGGTAAATTCTTCGGTTCCACCATTATGTGTATTATTATTATTATTATTGTTCGCTGTAGGTTTCCATGCAGCCGTTGTTTTTTCATCAATTGATGCAGAACGTCTCCTGCCTAACTGCTTAGCAAATTGGTCTCGGTTTAAGGGGGGAACAGCAGGTACAGCTTCATTTTTCATAACAGCATCTTTATTGAAACGTTCCTTCTCTTCAATCATCGCACGTCTATAACGACCATCAATAAGAGGTTTGAAACTACGAGAACGAGTGAGACCTATGTTTTCATTACGTGGTTTGCGAATATCGACATTCATTTCTGATAACCACCAGGGAAGTAAAGGAAGTCTATCTCTAAAGAAATGGCAAGCACCATGCAAGTATTTTGAGAAACGAGGGACTTCATGTACTAAATGACTTTCAACGAGTGATGTTAACCATTTAGGAGCCTCTTGTCCTAAATGAGTTTGAAGTTTTGTTTCTAAAATGGCATAAGGGAATCGTAAGATTTCAGGCTCTTTTAGATAAGAAAAGGGAGGGTCGATATTAACGTCTTTACGTCTCCAATTATTATTATGTCTACGTTGAACTCCGTCTAAATGATCTTCACGAATGAATGTTAAATCAGTGTCAAGAGAGATACGAAGACGTTGAGAATCTGGTAATTGAAAGGCAGTACGATTATAAAAGACACGAAGGACAGGTTCCAAATTCTTTTCTCGAAAAGAGGTTTGTATTCCAGATGCGATAAAATGGGTATCACGAACTGTATTCTCATCTACATTTTTTCGTTGAAGTTCATTTGTTATTTGATCAGCTGTATATTCTCCAGTGACAAAGGCATTCACTTGATCTTCATTGACACGAAATCTATCTTTTACAGAAGCACCATCCATCCAAGTAGCATGATGCGTCTTTCTTTCAATAAATATACTCTTTGATGAACAAGGTCCATACCTATATTAAAAAAAAAACGTAAATAAGAGTTTCAAGGAGTATAATTAATTTTTTGTCAATTCATATGTAAGTAAAGGCCCAAATTTTAATTCATTATTTTATAATTTATAGAATAATATCTGCCCTTTTTTTTTAGCTTCTTCCTCCTCTTCTTTCCCTCTCTCTCTCTCTCTCCCCTGCATTATATACATTTGCATATGTATACATGTAATATACGTATATATGAATGAATGAATGATATATTACCATCTAAATCGAATAGCCTCAGCCATTTCATCTCTTTGAAGTCTACCAGTATAAAGATCAAAATTAGGATTATCAAAATAAATACTAGAGACAGCTGAATCAGAGGCCTCAAATTTTTTTGCTGTGTTAAAAATCAAAACCGGTAAATGCAACATGATGATAGCTTTGACTTCAGTGATATTATCAGGATGAATCCAATACTTGGCTGTAGCCCGTTCAAAGGCATTTTGGTCTCCACCCGCACTATTATTTCCAGGAGACTGTTTACCTCTATTACGGCAAATGTCGTGTAAAGCGGAAATATAGACGATTGCCACATCGAATCTTTGTTTATCCAATGGCTTTTCTCGGAGTTTAGCTACATAAGTCTGTTTAAGATCAAGGCCAGTCCAACGATCATGTTTCTTTAATATCTTTTGAATAGCTGTAAAGTTAATACGAGTAAATTTAGAAAGATCATTCACGTCAAACAAGATATCTGTTAATGCTTCGTCCATAATACTATAATTTGCATCTGAATTCATTGTTGGATTCTTTTGTAACGTTTGAATTGTTCTTTCACAATAGAGAATTCTGGCATCAATTTCAGCTAGTTTTGCATTAATAAAATCATATACTTTTGATAATTCATTATCTAAAAGATGAACAAAATCTGATTCATCTTTTTGAGTCCAGCCATGATCTAATTGTCTCGTCTTCAATTCTTGTTTTAATATATCATATGCAACATAAGATAACCTCCAAGGAGGAAAGATATTATCTTGTAATTCAAGTCCGTATTTCATAATTATTTTCAAGTAATTATAATAATAATTTTTATTTTATTTTTTTTAAAAAAAAAGAAAAAAAAAAGGAAAAGAAAAAAAAAAAAAGAGAAAAGAAAAGAAAAAGAAAATTAAACGAATTAATAAGGAAGAACTTTTTTTTTATATGTACTACACAACAAAAGGGATTTCTTTTTATTTATAGGGGGATAAAAAGAGAGCAATCAATGATGAGTTAGAATAAGACCTATTTATAAATTTTCCATCATTGAAAAAAAAAAAAAAATGGCAGAAACGATCGCCACCACTAATACCTGTAATATTTGTTCAACCTATTTAAATTTTATCCTTTACTATTACATGTAATTCCTGGCTTAGCTACGATATAAATATATCATTCCTTTTTCCTTTTTTCAAAAAAGGAAAGTTAAACAAAAAGAAAAAAAAATATGTTATTTACCAAATGGTCTCATTTTACATTACACAAAAGAACACAAGACATCACACCGCTTTCCAAAAATAATTTCATCAATTCACAAACTAAGTAATTTATAGTCCTGTTTTATTTTTTACTGTAGTCTTTACCGTCTAATTTTCAACCTTTAAAAAGAATTACTCCATGTATATTTTTTTTTACTTTTTTATCTTTACAAGTTTGCAGTCATGAAAAATGATTGATAAGTATATGTCTTTTTTTTTTATAAATGTATATAAATATACAAATATATTTTAAAGTAATATAAAAAAGATCTGAAAAAAAACACACTGAAATCTTATTTTTATATAAGCATTACTGATGAAAATGAAAGAAGGGCCCATGTGATAAATAGATAGTTTTCTTTAGAGTATTGCTGTTACTAAGGTACGGTTTCATAACAACAAATAGTGTAGAAAGAAAAATACAAAAAAAAAAAAAAAAAAAAAAAAAAAAAAAAAAAAAACGCTAAAATTTAATCCAATCAAGTTATACATCGATGAGTAAGATTCTTTCTCCTCATATCGCATAGTTAAAGAGAATCCAAACAACTACCACTGAAGTCAGATCGCATTTTAATATATCCCCAAATCTTTAAATTCCTGGATCATTCTTGCAAGGTTACGAAATCAATAAGGCAATAGTTTCAAGATTTGACTTACATTTTGCCGACAATATCAATAACTAGACAACTAAATTATTTAGCTCTTAAGAAATTTTTTTGTTCATCATCAATGAATAAAGTTAATATTGTAACGCTTCTCCACTTAATATCAAACCATGAGTTTATCTGACATGCGGGGAGGAAATCTGTTAATATTATTTTCTTTAGTTTAATCTAGGTATATCATATTTGAATACTCTCTATTCGTTAACAAGCTCTATAAGTCTGTATATTGAATCTTTTTTTTTCCAAATACTCTTTCTTTACGTTTAACTATTAGAAATCTCTCTTGTATTTTGTTCGTTATAAAATAAAATATCAGATTCTTTTTTTTTCTTTCCAGACAGGATCATTTTATTGTAATCAAGTGACTTGTACTTGTCAAATAGTATGAATGACTGCAAACTTGAAGTGAAAAAAAAAATAGTAATAATTGATTTCAAGGGCCCAAAAGTCAAAGTCGTCCATCAAGTATATAAAACGACTACTTTGTTACTGGATACGGAATTGTATTTTATAACGTACTGACAGATAATAAGGAAGCTCATCGTGTAACACTGATTATTACGACAACTTTATCTAATATGAATCATGTAAAAAAAATAAAATAAAATAACTAATAGATATTGTCTAGAAAAGAAGAATATATTCCATCATGATAGAACATCATTATTAATTGCATAAAAAATCATCAAATATGTTGATATAATAATTTGCATATTCCAGTGAAATGTACACATTATTATTATTATTATTATTATTTTAAAAAAAAAGAACTCAGACTTCTACTGTTTCCGTAATTATAATTTATTTTTATATATCTTTGCTAAGCAATTTACATTATATGAGATACAAGCCTAGTATTAAGGTTCATCATCAATAGGAACAAGATGGCCATGTTTATCAATTCGTGTTCCATTTGAGAATGTTTGTTGTTGTATATGTACTTTATGATTATTACCTTTTTCTTCTTCTTCTTCTAACGTATTTTTCCCTATCAGGTTTGTAGTGGTGAAATTAGTAGTAGCAGTCGTGTTATAAGAAAATAAACTTGGGTCAGTTGGTATAGGTTGACTAAGACGTAAGCCTAGATTTATAAATAATGCTATAATCAAGACAAAACATAGGATTGCAGGCCCATACATATCGTCAAATCTTAATTCTCCTCTAAATCGAATCTGCCAGCTTCGATATTGAAATCGCAGTTGAGCATACATTGCTAACGTCATGGCTACCACGATCAGAAATGCTCCACTTCCTTTTGAGATATGATCACCAAAGTTAATTAAACCAATGGAAACTGCTAATAAAAGTGCGGAAAATTGTAACCATGAAATAAAGGTACGTTCATTCGCGAAAAAAATTTTGGGCTCAATTTTCTTTTCCTTTTTGTGGTTACCATCCCCGTCTTCCTCCATGAAGATGGTTTTATCTAGTCTTATCCTTGCCCATAACCATCCCATCATACTTATATAGTTTTCTTCTCTTGGTTGAGAATGATCGAGATAAAATTCATGTTTAAATTGATTTATACGTTTGACTATGTTAGTATTCAAAAGAGTTATGGTTGAAATGAATTTATTCTTGGGTTGACATGATGAAATGGCTCTATTATGATCTTGAATAGCCATTAGGCCTACATAACTACTACTGGTTACATTGATTGCAGAAAAATTAGGTTGATCATTTAAAGGATAAAACGATGATATCTTTTCATTTTTCTCTGCAGAGTCGTCATCTACTGTAATCATACATGGTTCACGATTTGATATTTTAAGTCTAATATCTGCATTCATTTCACTAATCCACCAAGGCAATTTGGGTAATCTATCTCGAAATAGAAAGGAAACGCCATGTAAATATTTTATAAAATAAGGGACTTCAAAGACTAACTGACTTTTCAAAAGTTGTGTTAGCCATTTAGGAAGTGGAACGTCTTCAAGGGAACTAATTTCGAGAATAGCATAAGGGAAAGTGTAGGTTTCATCAGGATTTAATTGTTGAGAATTCTCAATATTTCCTTTCCAATCAGTCGTTAATTCTTTCATAAATGTTAAGTCTGTATCAAATGAGATTTGAAAATTATTTAATTTTTCTAGTCGATATACTGTTCGATGATGATATGAACGTATAACAGGCATGATTTTGTCTTTACATATCGCTTCATACATACTGGCTGCTAATATCTTTTTTTGTCCATAAAAGGTACCATTTGACAAGTATGTCTTCACATCATTACTATGAATATTAAAGCTTTCCTTTTTAAAAGTTTCATTATTGTGTGACAAATTTTGATAATATCTTTTTCTTTCAAAGAATATATTTGTTTCATCCATGTTATACCTATAACAAAAAAAAAAAAAATAGGTTAACAATAAATAGCTAACATATCTATAGTCCTATATAAATATACCATCTAGCACGAATGATTTCAGCAGCTTCGTTTCTTTTTAATAAATTGTTAAAACAACAGAAATTATCTAAATTATCATAATAGATTGTTTGAACGATGTTTTTGTCCTTTGTTAAATGAAAAGATAGCACAGCTTCAAGTTCATTTAAATGATCAAGGTGAACCCAATATTTGGTAGTAGTAGTTGATGATGATGAAGATGATTCAATCTTTTTATTATACAATATTTCATTATCATTATGACTTTGCTGATGCTTTACTAAAATATTGATTTGTTTTTCAAGATAATTGATGTGAATTCTAAACTTATCTTGGATGGATTGAAATTGATCTGTTAACGAAGCGTGTGTGTATCTATCATGCTTCTTCAAAATCTTTTGGAATCCTATTGAATTCAACTTTACAAAGTCAATCAACGTATAAATCGTTTCTACAGATTCTTGTTTCCGTTTGATTATTCGATTCGTTTCCACTTTAATAAACCTATTCACCTTTGTAAATTCAGTTCGAATCATGTTTGTGAAATTGAATTCATCCTCTGATGTCCAATAAGTGTGTTGTGTCCTTTCTTTTATATAAGCTTTGAGCTGACTATACTGAATATATTCATTTTTCCATGGTTGAAATAAATGTTCATGAAGATAATGACTAAATTTCATTATACTATTAATTACAAAAGAAAAGGAAAAAAAAGAGAGAGAGAGAGAATTTTATATATGATTTGCATATAAAATAGTGATTGTAAGTATTAATTTTTTTTTTTTTTTACATTTATATACATATTTGCTGGCTTTTCATATAATTATTCATTTGGATAGAAAGGGGGCCAATTTGTAACTAGGGGGTAATAATATTCAATAAGCACAGTGTATAAATGTTAAGTATCAAAATAAAGGAGAAGAAAGGAACGATGCCAAAAAAAGAAAAGGGAAAGCATAACATGCATATGAATACATATCATGAATTATGTATATGTATTATATATAACGCATATTTAAATAAGAATTATATACTATAAAATAATTTTTTTTTTATTATTATTATTCCTATTGATAAATTATGAAAGTCATTTATAAAAGATAAAAGTCATTCTTAATAATATCTATGTGGAAAGCAAAGAAAAATAAAAAAAGGTAGAAGAAAGAGGGGAAAAGAAGGAAGGAGAGGAGAAGAGAAGGAGAGACAGAGAGAGTGAGAGTGAGAGAGAGGAAGAACAGGGAAAACAATCCAATTTGTATACTTTTTTTTTAATTATCAAATGATTTTGATTCAGAAGAAGTAGGTCTTGGAGCTTCATGATATTCAGGTGATAAAGATTCTAAACGAAGGTAGAAATTAATCACAAGGGCAATGACAAGTATAATACATAATACTGTAGGTCCCCAGATATCGTCATATCGTGTAATCTGTCGATGCGTACGTAACTGCCATGATCTATACTGAAATCTTCCTAATGCATAGCTACTATAATAGTTAGTATATATATATATATATATATATGTATAGGTTTGTATAGATTTATTAAACTACTTTACAATGATAAGGCAGAAGATATCAGAATAAATACAGCCCCAATGATACGAGAGATACGATCACCATGGTTCAATAATCCTAATGCAACAGATAATAAAAGAGCACAAAATTGAAGCCAGGAAATAAATGTACGTTCATTCGCAAAGAATGTTTTTGGTTCTGTCCTTTTACCTAATCTTGATCCATTTGTAGAACGTGAAGGTAAAACAGTCCTTGTTGAATCATGATTCGATTCTGTTCTTTTACGTGTGAATGAGCCTAAGAATGGCATGGACATTGCTCCAGAATTAACAACATGAGAGAGTACCTCTCTGGAAAATGAATGATTTAACTTTTTCCCTTCCTTGAGATCATTATGAGGATCCATTAAATTAAGAGATAAATGATTCATGTCCTCATTTTTTGTTTCTTCTTGGTTAGATTCCCTTTTTAAGAGACTATTAGATATGGTTCGAAATCGGCTTGTATTGAACAATGATGTATTTTTCTTTTTCTTTTCTTGTGTTGTATTATAACCGTTTAGTTCCCTGTCATACATCATCAGAAGCGAAGTTCGGTGGTGACCGTTCACGAGAGGCTTAAAACTCATGGAGCGTGACAATCCAATGTTGGTAATGGGGGGTCTTCTAATTTCTATATTACATTGAGGTAACCAATAAGGAACAGTAGGAATATGATCCTTAAACAAAATAGAGGCACCATGCAAGTATTTAGAAAATCGAGGAACCTCATGCACTAAATGTGACTCAATTAAATTATCTAACCATGCAGGACACTCTTGACCAAGATGAGTTTGTAATTTTGTTTCCAAGATAGCATAAGGGAAGCGCAAAATATCTTTCTCAGGGATGGATCTAAAAGGGAAGTCAATATCAATATCTGTCCTTTTCCAATTACTATCACATCCATCTTCACGAATGAATGTCAGGTTGCAATCAAGACTGATACGTAAACGTTGATCACCAGGTAACTGAAAGGCGGTACGATTGTAAAAGACTCTACAGGTTGGTTTCAGTTGACGTTCTTTAACGGATTTCTGAATACCTGAAGCTACAAAATGATTTTCTTGGATGATTGATTCTAATTTCGTTTGCTTCTTTTTCATATCATCTTCAGATAAGGTCTTTGATGTCATTATCTTTTCTGTTTTCGTACGACGAATATCTTCTGCAAGATGATCAGCAGTATATTCACTGGATAAAAAGGAATTGACTAAACCTTCTTTTAACCTGAAACGATCCTTGACCGATTTCCCTTCACGCCAAGGCGCCTTATGCGTCTTACGTTCAACAAAGATATTATCATTTTCATCTTTATGTGGACCGTACCAACGTAAACGAATGGCCTCAGCGGCCTCGTAACGTTCAAGTCGTTCTGTATAGAGATCAAACTGAGGATTGTCAAAATAGACGCTAGACACTGCCATATCAGAGGCCTCTAGTTTCTTTTTCTTGTTGAAGACATGAACTGGCAAATGGAAAAGTATGATAGATTTTACTTCTGTAATATTATCAGGATGAATCCAGAACTTGGCTGTAGCACGTTCAAATTCAATTTGATCGCCACCCATACTATAAGCATTTAATTGGGATCGAGGATGGCCATGCAAACGACAGAGGTCATGAAGTTCAGATATCTTGACAATCAAGATATCAAACTGAATCGAGAGTTTATCAATAGGCCACAAGGGTTGCCATTGATGCCAGAATAAGGTACGTAAATCCTGTTTCGTGTACCGATCATGTTTCTTGATCATCTTTTCAAATCCTGTCATATTAATCTGATGAAATTTGGCAAGGTCATTCACATCAAAGAGAATTTCAGTTAACGTGTCAGCAACTGCATCATATTCCTTTTTAGAATCGTTCTCTTGAGAACACTCACTAAGTCGATTCAGTATAGCTTCGTTTTGTCCCATTCGCTTATTAATTTCACTCAGAGACTGTTCAATGAATTGATAGACTTTGATAAGTTCTGACTTGATGACTTGAGAGAATTCTGCTTCATCTTTATCTTGCCATTCATGATCTAATTGGCGTTGCTTAAGATCTAATTTCAATTGTGTATATTGAAGATAAGATTGACGCCATGGTTCAAATATTTTGGACTCTAGTTGTTGACCAAATTTCATAGCTAATGATAGAAAAAAAATTCTCGTATCTATAAATGATTTTTTTTTAGTATAAATATGTACATATACGATTCAATGTTTAAAAACTAACCTATAATAATAATAATAATAACACTCAAATATGTACTTTTATATAAATTTATTTTTTTTATTCTATTTTATTTTTTTTTTTTTTTTAGAAAATAGGAAAGGAGAGGAAAGGAAAGGAAATGAATATTTTGATACATATTTTTTTTTCTTTGTCGATTATAATAGTATTTTTGAATTTGTATATGAACTAAAGAACTAAAAAGCTTATATTTGTACGTTATCTATGTAATACATTGTTCTATAAAAATTGATTCAAGAACGTAATATGCTAATATCTGTTTTTATTCTTTTACTATAAGCATGTATTCATGGATCCAAGCGCTAATAACTAAATAAAAAAAAAACGAATTAAATGACTATGTAACAAGAATAATGTTTTAAAATAATATTGAATTACATAAGTATTCTTTTATTTTATTTATTCTAACATATTTATTAGATTTACGTATTAAGGAATTTTTTTTTTATATACACATTTGGAAATACTTGAGTTTTGCATATCGAATTTTTATTTATATACATGAACGCAACTGTTATATTTATTCTGTATTTTGGTTGAATGCCTAATGGGTGAGAGGGGAAGTTAAGTCTGTAACTATCTAATAATCCTAAATAAATAAAATACAAACTCTTTTATATACGTGTGTTGGTTATCTGTCTACTCTTGTCTCTCTCTCTCTCAAAAAAAAATGATATACAAGTCCAAATTTGGAGACATTTTTAAAATTTAATGTAATGTCCCTTTTTTATTATTCTTTTGGTTTAAGCAATATCAAAGCCTATAACAAACTTGATCATCTTCATCACAATGCCCTGCTTCATTGTAAATCTTTTTTACTTACTGTTGCTAATATACATTTTATTTATTTATTCCTTTCATTAAAACGCTGTATTTTTTTTTTTTTTGAACTTTTCTCAATAAGCTACATGAATAAATAAGCAAAATATTTACATTTAGGCTTACGAAAAAAAAAAGACAATACTATATCTATTTAAAGCAATCTCAATCAATTCACTTTTGAGCTAACTCAACCATTTCTTTGTCTTATGTACTATGCTACTTTTACAATAAAATTTTCCCTTGACCCTTCTTATGTATGATATATAATTTTTTATTTTATTAGAGAGTATATGTATATAATAATATGTATATTTGACTGATATATAATAAATATAGAGAAAGGAATGTATTGCATATAAATTTAAATATAAACATATATAAATATGTATATGTGTATAATTATATATTTATATAGATATATGTATATTTTTTTTAAGAAAAAAGGGTAACACTATATATGAGGTAAATCGTTAACATTGCTGACTTGTCAGTATTCTCATCATCTCATCTAGTTGGTCATCTACAGAGGATATAATTTTTTCATTAAATTTATAGTCATCTTCATCAGAATAAGATTGCTCGTGTCCCTGAATCATTTTTAATAAATTTGGTAAAGTAACTTGATTTGAATAATAGATATCCGTCATTGTAGAATTGTCTTGGTTCTTTGTCAAGAAAGATGAATCCTGATACTCTACTGCAGTGGAAGGGCTACGACGACGACGATGAGGAGAACGCTTTGGTATAGGTGGTGGAGTAGAAGAAGACCGATCAACAGTTAAATTTTCTTCTATTAAATTGATGTGTGGATATCCATCCTCTATTTCGTCGTCCAAATGCTCATATTCATTCTTTTGATTTGGAACATAAAAGCTTTTACGATTTCCTTGCTTTTTAACAATCCCCCATACAACCGAACCGTCACTCATTTCTCGAAGTTCTAGTCCTTCAAGATGTTGATCATGATTGTCCATATTTTCTAATTTCCAGTTTTTACCTCTGGCTGTTGAATTAGGATGAGGGGTCTCTGTTGCAATTGAATGTTCTTTTTCATCATTACCATTGTCATTATTTTCTTCTTTTTTTTCTTTTTCTTCTTCTTCTTCTTCTCCTCGTCCTCCTCGTCCTTTCACTACCTTTTTACGAACGGATGTTTGTCTACTTATTTTAGTTGCCATAATATATTCATTAGATTGACGAACGATTTCATCATCAGTAGAAGAAAGTGTGGAACTATTAGAGACGACCGTTTGTCTATCGTTCGTAGAGGATGAAAGTAATGGGTGATGATGAGTCTCGTCTGCACTCGATGTATTAGGAACTCCCTTTTTATCGAGCAATTCTTGAATAGTGTGACCTGGTTCAACGTAAATGATTGTTCTTCGTACTACTTTATTAGAATAACGACGACAACAGCTTCTTCTTCTTCTTCTTCCTCCTCCTTTTGCATCATCTTCTTGTAGCATATTTATCATCTTTGCGCCGTGTTGATTTCTTTTCCTTTTTGTTGAAGACGCTCTAGCGAGGAATTGAGAGATCAAAAGACGAGTGGTTGTTATACCTGGAGTAGACGCTAATAAGTTATTCACCGGATGTTGTGAAGAGTTGTGACGAGATTTAATTTTATCATTATCATCATTATCATCCTGAATAACAAAGGTGGACTTATTGTTCTTTTGTTCCTTTTCAGCCATGCTATGTTGAATAACAGCCATAGCAGCCCTGGACATACCATTACTGGAATTATCTGTATCCACAGAAGAAGATGATTTTGCTGTACTAAAACTTCGAACAAGACCTTTAAATGATTGATGACCTTTACTACTTCTGCTCACTTGACGAAGACTTCCTAATAATCCTCTAGGTTTAGCTATTGGCTTCTCCATTGATGAATCTACTTTCTTTTTGATTTCCGTATCTAATGTCTTCTCTATCATCATCCTCTCAGGGACATGATTTCGATGGAGTGATGAAGGCTTTTCTTGTAATTTGATATGGCGCATACTTGTTGATTTTTTCACTTTTTCTTGATGAATAGAGTTATTATATGTATGTTGGGATGCAGTTGAAAGAGAGCGTTTCAAATGATCTTGATGATGTATCTCTTTCTTTGAAATAAAACTATTAGCAGGCTTGATGATAGTTATAGGCTTATAATTCATAGTCATTTTCGTACTATCCTGTGAAACATTAAAATCTATTATATAACAATCATTTTAGTTTTTTTTTTTTTTTTTTTTTTTTTTTTTTTTTTTTTTTTTTTTTTTTTTCTAAGAATAACATGAAAATAATAATAATAATAATTAATATGTACCATCTTCGATTGCAATTTTATTACTGTCTTCTTCTGTTATAAAGACTTCAGTACTATAACGTTCACTACTACTTTCACTACTACTGCTACTACTATATCGACTCTTATTGATTGTCAAGCTTTGTTGTTGTTGTTGTTGTTGTTGCTGTTGTCTATTAAAAGTATTATCTAATGAAGGAGGATTTTTTAATATTTCCTGATAAGAGTGTATTAAATCAAGGGGCGGTATCTCATGTAGGGTTAAATTACTACTACTATTATTATTATTAATAGTCATCATAGATATTCTTTGTCTTTGCTGATTCAAGAGCTTTTCCAGTTCCAATTCATCATCTTCAGTCATCATAATTTTACTTTGACGAGGTTGAATGACGGATAATCGATTATCATGTAAATCTTGAGCAAAAGAAGATAGGTTAAATTGCTTCATGGCCTTTGTATTCTTATTAGAATGAGAGGATTTCTTTTTGATAGGTTCCTTTTTATGATTTAATGATGAAAAGTCTTCAAAGAAAAAGTTTTCTTCTTCAGTATTAGATTCAGGTTGATAGAATTCTGCATCTAGTAATGGTATAGGTGAATCTTCACTATTTTTCTATTATATTATAATGATTTAAGTAACAAATAAATAGAGTAAAAAAAAAAATGTATATAGAGTGCTTATCATCATACATGACTTTTATTTATCACCTCACTCTCTTCTTTTACTTTGGTTGTAGCAACAACTGTCATTTTAGGTCTATTACGTTGTTTACCACCAAATAGACCATTTGAATATCGATATTGACTACGTTGATGTCTCCAAGTAGCTAAATCTTGATATTGTTTAGATCCATCACACTGAACTGAATTCGATTTTGTTATATTCTTATCTATGGCTGTTTCTGTAGTCTTATCATTCAGCATATTCTTATTTAATTGAGGTATAATAACAGAGGAACGAAAGTCTTGGGTTAATAAGCTGACATCATCGAGTAAAGTTATTTTATTGTCTGATTCTATTGACATTTCCTTTTCTTTCGTAATCCCTTTTAACTGCTTCTTCTTTTTATTAGCTTTAAACATTATTTTTTAAGGGGTACGAAAATGAAAAGAAAAAGAAGAAGAAGAAAAAAAAAAAAAAACAGAAGAAAATTATTAATTAAAATTATTTGATTTATATATTAAAGTTACACGAGATTTATCATAATAAAAAAAAGTAAAACTTATTCATTGATTACAAAATTAATAAAATTTTATTTTTCTTTTTAATTTTAATTTTTATTTTTCTTCATGACATGATGGCTGTAACAAGAAATCATAAACACGCATGTATGGGTTCCAACTTTATCATGTTAATGCACCCTTCAGTTCATTATACATGTATTATAAACTCCGATATAGTTATCACCACCACTACAATTAAACATTTTTATTTTAATTTTATTTTTTTATTAAATTAAAATTTATAAAGCGACCTATGAGCACATAATATGTTTGTTATATTAGATTGTCCAGGTCAGTTCAGATTATGCGAAAAAGCAAAAAAGTATCTAAAAACCCTCTTACGGGGACAAGAGGTAAAAAGGTAAATAAGAGAAGATGAGAAAGAAAGGGTGGAATATTGCTAACAAGTTTAAAGGGACAACCAGTTGAGTCATTTCCTGCCTGGGTCAAGAAGTGGATGGGCGGGTAGTTTGTAGTGTAGCAAGTAATCTATTCATCACCACTACAGTATTTTTACTTGGTTTTTTGGACATTCACAAAAAGAAATTTAAACGGTGTCGATTTTTTTTATTGAACGAAGCCATTTTTATTTTCAGATATTCTCCCCATTATTTATTTCAGAATTTGTCGTTTTGTTTAAAGACAAATATTGTTGCAAGCCTAAAAATTAATGTCGCTTAACCGTAAATAGTTGTTGCTTGACTAAAAGAAGGAGAAATTGAAACATTAATAAAATGTATGAATGCTGTCAAGGTAAATTAATACTATTGAAAGTATCGAACATAAATTGACTGTTTTTTTTTAAAGTGCTATATGTCAAGCATTAAAGACAAAAAATGAAACGGGAAGAAGAAAGAATATGATAAATAAGTTTGTGCTTTTAAATGGTAGTGAAGAAACGAAAAAGGCAAACTATAGTATAACGCCAGCAATTTGGCCAAAAAGTAAAGATGGCTTGACTTTTGTTGAAATTGCTTCTAATGTTCAAGAAAATGTTCCAGAGACAGTGAAAACTAAGACTTTGCTTTACGTTTATTGATATAACAAAATATCTGGTGACTTCACTTTTATCAATTAAACTATTCAAGCAATGATAGTTTATAATTATTTGTTTATTATCCTTGAAAATAAAAACTCCAATAACATCAACAACTAAAATAGACAGACAGAAACAGTCGAGTCGAACTTTTTTTTTTTTTTTTTTTTTTTTTTTTTTTTTGGTGAGGCATCATTTATTGTTAAAGGTGCTTGAAGATAAAATTTTATGGCATTATAATTATCCAACTTTTTTTTTTCTTTCCTTCTTTTATATATAATGGTAATAATAAACTCGTTTAGTGATGTTCGTCGTGATGATCATCACCGTGGTGATCCCAAGGATGTCTTAAACCCTAAATAATGCACCAATTAATGAATTAAATGACTGTAAGAAAATATATATATATTTATAAAAAAAAGAGAAAATGTCTAATTTACCAAAAGGACGGGACCATCTTGTTTTGCTCGATACATCATCCAAAACCACATGGTAGCACCTAATGCTTTACCAACGAACCGATAAGTAAAACTTGGCAAATGAGGATGAAATCCAAAATTTCCTGCAGCAGAACCAGCCATTTTTCTTTTTTTTTTTTTACTGTAACAAAAGATAGATTAAGAGAGGTTATGTGGGGTAAGAGGGAATTGAATAAGGTAGAACAACAAAGCAGTCTTGGTCTGTTTGTTTTAATCGGAATTACAGGGACACTTGCAACGTCTCATTTCACCACAAAATGATTTGATTGGATAAAAAAATGATGTCAGTTATCCAAATTTATTTCTATACCTTTTTAGCTTATCCTGGCAATGCATACAGTTGTATAAATACCTCAAAAGTTTCATGAAGCTCCTTATGAAATAAAAAAATACATGTATCAGGAATAGAATATTTGATTACAAGTCATATAATATACTTAAAAATTCATTAGTGAAAAAATAAAATAAAATAAAAAATAGGTACATTTATGAGTGAAGGTTTATTATCCAGCTTAATTGATAAAAATCTATCAATTATCCTTATAGACATAAGAGGAACAAAGACTATAACAAGACACTTGAACAACATGGAAATATCTATTCCCTTTTAACCTTTTTTACGTTTAATAAATACATTCTGAAAAGAGATGTTCACTAGAGCATTGATATAATAGTTACAAGTCATTGAAAAAAAAAGGCACAGAATGGTTCAATTTATAGTACCAGTTCAGTTATGGATGTACTACTTGATAAAAATGAAACAAATAGACATCTCATTTTAATGGATAACTATGAAACTCACTATAGTCTCATTTCATTATAGATATAATGAAGGCTTATGAGTATAAACTATTAGCTTTGTTTTCGTATAAACTATTAGCTTTTTTTTTCATACAAACTTCTCTTATATATTCTATTTGAGAGTACTATTGGTCAAAAGTTAAAACTACTTGCTCAAGAAAAGGATTTACACGTCATATTAAAGAAGATGCATCTATAACCATTATTTCAATATTTACGTGTCTTGAAAGATTTTTTAATTAAAAGAAAAAAATTTCAATCTCATCCAAAAAATTAAAGTATTAGCACAATGTTCAAACCGGAACTTCATTTCTGACCGGAATTAGAATCTTGCGGGGGAAAGCTGTTTTTGGTAAAAGAAAAAAAAACTTACCAAAGAGCCTGAACGATCCCTCCTCTTCCAAAATCACAAAGAAGGTAAATGATATATACCAATTGCATGAACAGCCAGAAAAATACATCAATCAATCAATCCATCCATCTATTATCAATTGTTTATAAAGATACAACTAAAAGAAAGGAAAGGACAATCAATACATATATCTTTTTTTTTTTTTTTGCAATACTCGTATTTACAAACCAGAATGTACAACTTATTATGGACTTTTCATGTTGAAGAGATATAAAAAACAACTTTGTAAATAGCGTAAAATAACAGCTATATGCTTGTGCTATAAAGCATTTATACAAAAAAAACGGTTAAAGGAATTCACTCAGAAGTAGATAATTATTCAACTCATTTTGTACTAATAATTGGATCTGGATAATTGATGTATTTTTTTTCGAGGCTGATCAAGTTTTAAAAAAAATAATATTATCACATTCTAATATTTTAAACTATTATTATAGCTTTAAAAAATGGTCACTCCTGTTGTAAAGCACACCATCGTGAAGAAGCGTACTGCTCACTTCAAGCGTAACCAATCTAACCGTTTCAAGCGTGTTGGTGTAAGTAAAATAAACAGCATAATTTTTTCTAGAAAAAAAAACTAATATTAAAATGATCATAATAGGAATCCTGGAGAAAGCCTAAGGGTATTGATAGTGCTATCCGTAGACGCTTCAAGGGTCAAGCTCCTATGCCCAAGATCGGTTACGGTTCTGCCAAGAAGACTCGTCACCTCTTGCCTAACGGTTTCCGTAAGTTCACTGTTTCTAACGTTCGTGAACTCAACCTCTTGTTGATGCACAACCGTACTTATGCTGCTGAAATCGCTCACAATGTCTCTTCCAAGAAGCGTATCGCTATTCTTGAACGTGCTGCTCAATTGAACGTTAAGGTTATCAATGCTGGTGCTCGTCTTAGATCTCAGGAGTAAATTATGAAATAAAAATTCATAAACATTTTGTTTGTGTATATTAACATTCACCACAATTAACAATGGTAATCGTTTTCTGTGGCTGTTCTTTTATTTCAGGAACTTGATTAATATCATCTAATACCTCTAAACCTTCAATAACCTTTCCAAAAATAACATATTTTCCATTAATCTTTTCAAATTGAGGATGATGTCCATTTAGAGTAATGAAAAATTGAGATGTGTTTGAGTTTTTTCCTGAATTAGCCATGGCTACTACGCCTTTTTCATTGAATTTTTTTGCAAGGCCAGGTTTTTCATCATTAAATTTACCATTATAGATGCTATCCCCACCTGAACCATCACCTATTTATGTGTGTATGTGTTAGTATAAAAGGTTTTGCAATGAAAGAAGAGGAAGAAAATGGGGGGAGGGGAAGGGATGATGATCATTACCTCGAGTTACATCTCCTCCTTGAACAATAAAGTCATGTACGAGTCGAAACATGACTGTATTCTTATAGAACAATGGCTTCTTTGAACTTTTACCCACTTTACCGCCTTTACAAAGGCTTGCAAAATTTTCACATGTTTTAGGACATTCTTTATCATTGAGTTCAATAACAAGATGCCCACCTTTTAGAGGTTTAGGAGCTACCGTAAGCCATTTTTCATTGATGGCGGTAGGATTTGTTGAAAGAATGTCTGTCACTGTTTCTTTATCATCTGGAGTTAGTTTGTCCAGATCATCGCTAGATAATCCATAAGTTGAAGACCATTGTTTAACCCATTCTTTTGCTTTATTGTATCGTCCTAAAGCATCTTCATGAGCTTCAATGTCACCAATTTTAATATCGAGAAAAATTTTACGTGTCATTAAAATAAAATAATAACAATAAAAATAATAATAAAAAAAAAAAAATAAAATAAAATAAAATAAAATAAATAGTAAATATGGACATATTATGTACAAATATATTTTTTTTATTAACTTTTTTTTTTTTTTTTTTTTTTTTGAAATATTTATATTTGTAAAGCTATAGAGTATTTTACTTTGAAATTGGTTAGCAGACGACTATTGTTCTATCCCTCAATATTTGCAAATGAATAGCCTTTTGAGGTTTTATATGTAGAACGATCTCTTACAAGTGAAAGACCTAATTCCTTTGCAAAGTTAGGAACTCCTTCGTTTATATGTTCTTTGTCAAGTAATGAAATTGGCTTCTTGGAAATATTATTATCCTCTTTAGGAAATACCCATTTTGAACGACAATAGACACAGGAAACATTTCTTGCACCTTTTGATTGTTTCCACATATTAAAACATTCATCATGAATATTATTACCACAAACTTGACAAAAGACTATATGATCAATTTTAGCTTCTTCAAACACTTCAAAACAAATAGGACAATCAGAGGTATCTAAAGGACGTCTTGAAGTCTTTTCTTCATCATCAATAACAACAACATCAGGATGTTTCTCATGAGTTAAGTTCAAGATACGTTGTCGAATAGTTGCAGGAACTAAAACTGTAGGATCCACAAGAGCATGTGTACTTCTGGCTATTAATCTTTGTTCTCTTGTTGTTTTTAAAGTATGATATAAAGGACTACTAGAAGGAAGTCGATAGACTTTAAACAAAATCATTAAAATATGTTTGCAATGTCTACGTCTCATCCTATTGTCCATGCATGTACAAGATATAGTTTGGCCTATCTTAACTGTATAGCACTAAAAAAATACAATATAAATGAATGAATGAATGCATGCATGTATATACTAAAACATAACTTATAACTTACATTACCAATACTGCCAAGTACATCAAACTTTTCAACTGAATCATCATTAGAATCTAGTTCTCTAGACAATATAAACATTTTTTGTTTCAATGCTCTCACGACTCTGGCACGCATATCCTGTAAACATAAAAAAAAATAAATAAATAAAATAAACAAATAGAGTATACATAGAATCAATAAATACTTGCATCATCCATATACATGTATGATTCAGCTGGAAGCTCAAAAGTAGTTTTTTTCTTTCGTTTAGCTACTGTTTTCTTCTTTTCCTCTTTAATGATCACTACTTGATCAGCTTTTCTTTTTCTTGTTTTTTCTGATTTTTTCTCTTCTTTTACTTTGATAGATTCATCTTTGATTTTACATGGTCTTCCTCTCTTTCTCTTAGGAGCTATAACCGAATTATTGATTGTTGTATTCATTTCTTTGTTTAAAATAAGAAAGAAAAAAAAAGGGATTTTTATTGTTTTGTTAATAAATATACTCCGCAGTAAATAGGACGGCAATCAAAAAGTTGATTCGTTTTGTTTGTAGAGCTTCTCCTCAAATAATCTAACCCTTACATAATTCTTTTTTCTTAGTTTATCAAATATAATTGACTCAATTCAAGTAAAAGGTTTAGTGACTACTTTTTTGAATTGAGTATAATACTGTTTTTACACTTTAAATTTAGACGAAGTTAGTTTTTTTTTTTTTTTTTTTTTTTTTTTTTTTTATGCTAACACAACATTAATTATTTTGACTGCTACTACAAAATTAGTTTCTCTTTCTCTCTCTCCCTCTCTCTTTTTATATAACTATTTTAACAAATAATGGATACTGAATGGACCCAGACACCTAAATTAAAGCATCATTCTATTATTAATAACTCGAGAAAATCAAGTTCGTTACCATCTTCTCCTTCATTATTACAAACAGATAATCATTTCGACATCTTAACACCTCCACTACACTCATCTAAAAAAAAGAGATCTACTAAAAGAAGAAAGAAACCAAGTTCTTCTTCTACATCAACGTCTTCAAAAATTGGATCACCATTAAATCAAGAAATAAAACCTCCTATTTGGCATAATGATCATACTGTACCAGATAATGAATTGAATGAACAACAGCAACAGCAGCAGCAACAGCAGCAGCAACAGCAACCCAATGAATCATTACGTCAGATTTCATTTTTAGAGTACTTGAAAGACGAATTAACAGTAGCTGATTTTGACAGTGCTCAAGAATTAAAAAGAGAACGAATTACAAATTTCATAGGCATACCTAGCGCTATTGAAAAGGTAAAATGATAAAAAAAAAACCAAAAATTATATTAATTTACTAATCAAAAAAGAGTCTCTAGTTGATGGGTTTTGGCCTTTTTGTTTGCTTAGATTCCTTATTATATACCTTTACTATTTTGCCATTAAGATTTTGTTTAGCTTTTTATCATTATGTCATTTATGTTTATCGTAATATTCAATTTTTACTTGGAAGGAGAGAAGGGTAAAGAAGAAAAAAAAATAGTCATATTTGAATTTAAATGATAATTTTTATTTTAATATTTTACATGTAGAGTTGTTCGCTTGAAATCATCACAGAGATGTGATTTACTAAAAGGATTTTTAATATTCATTACATGTATTGTCATGTGCCTATTTGATCCTTCTCGTATTTATCATACCATTCGAGGTCAAGCTGTGTTGAAATTATATGTGGTATTTAATGTATTAGAAATCTGTGATAAACTTTGTTGCTCGGTGGGTGTCGATATTTTAGATGCATTATTTTCAAAATCTACCTTGGGAAATAACAATAATGATAATTCTGTTAAAAGACAACTAAAACCAATCACATTATTCCTTTTAGCAACTGTTTATATGAGTAAAGTTATAATATAATATAGATAACACTAATCTCATTCATTACTTACTCTTCATTACAATAGTCATCCATACAGGAGTCTTATTTTTACAAATGATTACTCTGAACGTAGCTATCAATTTCTATTCAAATGCATTATTATCATTATTAATTTCTAACCAATTTGTGGAAATCAAACAATCTGTTTTTAAGAGATTTGAAAAGGAAAACTTGTTTCAATTAACTTGTGCAGGTAACGTCGTTGATAATAGATACATGTAATTTTAACGAGTTAAATGGACTAAAATAAATAAATAATAGACATTGTTGAAAGGTTCCAACAATCTGCATTTTTATTTATTATTACATTACGTAATATTATTGAACTCTCAGAATCAGGTCCATCTTCTATCCTGCCTTCAACGTTTGTACCACTCTTTAAATTACCCGCAACTACTTCTTTGAATACCTTAATGACACCTGTTGTGATGGTAATTGCATCAGAGTTGATGGTTGATTGGCTTAAACATGCATTCATCACAAAATTTAACCAAATACGACCTAGTATTTATGGAAAGTATATTGATATTCTGTGTAAAGATCTCGTCATTGGTAGTCCTGGCCGTATTACAGGACAGCATCATGCATTCGTAGATCAATCGCCTGTTGTATCTAGACGTATTGGCTTTCCCGTTTTACCATTAGCTTGTCTAGTAAGTTTTTTTTTTTTTTTTTTTTTATTTTTTCCTCTGAAAAAAATAGACATATTTATATACACATGTATTGATTCAAATTATATAGTATGTTCGTATGATGCAACAAATTTTACCAATGATGTTTATGTCACAAAGTAATAGCACTCATACTTCTAGTGCTGCAGCATCTATGATAACCTCAACTATAATGGATTACTTGACAAATCATCAAGGAGTACTAAATCGAATTTTACCTGTACGTATTCAACTTGTTGTTTTGTCTATGATTAAATATGGATGGCTGGAACATGTCTTGGATAATTTCTTTCAAATTTCCTTTTGGGTTATAGTTGTTCTTGTTTTCGTGATCATGTATGTGAATATAGATATGATATTTATATCAAATCTTCGGTCTAGATTTATTTATATGTATATATATATATATAAATATATATATATTTTTTTTGTTTTAGATTATTGTCTTTAAAGGTAGTGGTAGGAGTGAATTTGTTAGGATTTGCCTATAAACGATTTGCAAGTATGGAGGAAAGAAATGAAAATGAGGCTAAAAAAGTGCAAGAAATGAAGACAATGTCAAAAGATGAAAGAGAATATAATACATCTTTAAGAAATTATCTTAGCCAACCAGAAGATGTTATCTTGGGCGGGAGACCTATGAAATATACATTGGAAAATGTAGATCGATTTTCAATGGTAAAAAGTCGTATTCCTTAAAATAAAAAATGTGTAAAATTTTGTATAAAAGAAGAATTATTTGTATTATCTTTATTTCCTGTTGCAATAGTCAAAACATTGATTTCTATACTATTTTTTTTTTTTTTTTTTTTTTTTTTTTTTTTTTTTTTTGTAAACACATTTCAAATCCATATACCTTATCTTGTTCATCAATGTTAATATGTGTATATAAGAAAAGATTTCTTCACAGTGTGTTTTTCTTCTTCTGTATCCTATAGACTATATAAATATCATTCCTCGTATTACTAATGGTTCAAGTAGAAAGAATGTGTTTGTATACAAACTATATATGTGTATATACAAGTCATACGTGAGGGTGTATCTTACTCATCTATTTGATTTTAAAGACCTTAGTATTTGTTTAATCGAGTACACCTTTATTACTTTGCCAGATTATAAAAAAAACATCAATCTTATTATAGTAACAGCTTATTTATTAGTATTGATATGATTCTTCTTTTCTTTTGATTTTTCCAAATAGTGCATACGTACATAAACATATGTACTATTGAGTACATTTGACTTTTTCTTCAATCCGTATTTTGTAAAAGCTTTTTTTTTTTTTTTTTTTTTGTTTTTTTGAATGATATATATGTATAAATAAATTCATGTTTTTTTTTTCTTTTAGAATACATGACTATTAATAAACTTACATAGACACCATCAATCTTGAAATGTACATGAACAGTTTTAATCTTTTCTAAATAGTAGGTAAACTGTTTAATAAATTTGTCATGGTCTTTGTTCACTTTGATAATATTAAAGGCATATAATGATAAATAATTGAGTTGCTTGAGTCGAGACATGATGAATTGTAAGACAGCGAATTCTAAAGTCCATGCCCGTATTGTGAGCATCGTTATTGAACTATAGCGATTTAACAAGAGTCTATCACTACTACATTGGATAAGTTTAAATCCTTCCAATTCAATTCTTCTTAATCCCTTATTCTCTTCAAGTAAATAGTCAAGTTTCATTCGTGGATAGACCATCGTGTATGTTTGAGAGTGATTATCAAAGCCAATCTTCAGGTGTCTTAGAGAACGCAGTCCCTCGATGAAATGATAAATACTTTTATAATACTTTACAACCGCTTCGAAGGTCGTCAGTGATAGGATTTCAAATAATGTTAAAGATTCCTTCAAGGTCATGCACAAGTCGATATAGAGCCTATTGGTTGATAATGAATAACTCTGCAAGTTATGTACATGAAGACGTTGAATACTACTATGCGTCTTCAAGGTTCTATAACGAATAGCTTTCAAGTGAGAATAGACCGTACTGACATGGAAGGAGAGTTCAACGAGATAGGGACAGGCCTTGATGATAGATTGGAAAACAAAATGTTGCGGGAAATTTTCCAGTTTTCTCATGTCATGACCCTTTGACATATAATGCAGTTCTTCCACTTTATACCCTATAGTAGGGTTCATTTGAAGGTCATCATAAAATCTGTATAGCGTCTTGTTATCGAGACACACATGTATACCTTCACCATAAAGAGAAACAATAGTGTTATACCATAACTTGCATGTTAACTTTAGTGATTTTCGGGCTACAATCCTTTCATATTCACTTAAAAATTTAAATATATCTATTAAAACTTCATTTGGAAGACTAACTTTCATCTTCATATTATTATACTTGAAGCTTGATAGAACAAAAAAAGAAAGAAAAAAAAAACGTAAATTATACTATCTTCGAGATACTACGTTTATATATTTATATACCCAAATTTCTTGGATTGATAAAACATGCGTCATTTATATATTTATCTTGAATGAATGATATCTCACATATTATAAATAATTAAAACAAAAAAAAGGCTTAATTTTTGCTTCACCTTCTTACACCGCAGAAAGCCACCGGATGTCATTGATAAATAGGGAATTCAGCATGTTTTCCACTACTCGAGGCTTAGTTTATGGAAATTAATTGAAAAAAAAAAAAAAAAAGAAAAAAAGAAAATGCCGACGAAACACATGTATTCATATATCCATTTTTATTTTTATTTTATTTTTTCCTTTTATATTAAATAATGACCTCCATTAAATCATTAGACGATTTATCACTTGGTCAGTTATTTAGTTTAGGCCAATCTATCTTGAATGAACTAGAAGATACAACTTTATCTAGTATTGATCCAGAATATCAAGCCAAAGTCAAAGAGGGGCTTCAATATTTATTACGTGCAGATGATTTAATTTCAAAACTTCATCTCTTTAGTGACAATGAAATCTTGGAGGATATCAACACGAACGATTTAAAGTTCTTACTTACATCAGCTTATCTTGGAGAATTGAACCTTAAATTAGCAGGGCCAAATACTAATCGAAGAGTCATTCTTGAAACATCAAAGGTAAGATTAAAAATACGAGCCGATCTTTTTTTTTTTTTTTTTTTTTTTTAATTAATTATCCAACTATTTTTTTTTTTATCTTAAAGGAATACATTCATCGGTTTTTAAGTACTTGTCAAGATCATGCATTAATACAAACAAAAGAGGATGTTACACTTTTGGAACAATTGGCAAACAACATGAAGGGACGTCCTTCTTTGAATCCTCAACAACAACGTGAACAAAAGATTGCTCGATTTAAACGTGAAAAGGCAGTGAAAGAACAAATTCGAAATCTACGTCAACAACTAGACGAAACAGATAAAAATAATGAAGATCGTGATGTGGACGATGTTGAACGAGAATGGGTACAAGCGTTAATTGAGTTAGAAATCATGAAAGTGTTAGAAAGCTGGCATGGAATAGAGCAAGAGCTTGTGATGGTAAAAGAAATGGAAATGATGCAACAAATGCAAGAAAGATCAGGAAAGAAATTAGAGAATGTACAACAACAACAACAACAGCAACCTATATCACGACAGTGGGGTAAAGATAAACCCATATTAAGTAAAGAAGGAAGACCTCTTCAACCTTTTGTGATTATGAATAAACGAGAACAGTTAAGAAGTCAAGTCTTTGGTTACTCGCATAATTTACCTACAATGACTATTGACGAATATCTTGAACAAGAAAGACAAAGAGGAAATATAATTGAAGGAGGGTAAAAAAAAAAAAAAAAAAAAAAAAGGGTGAATAAAAAAAAATCTGTTATTAACACTTTCCATATTATTAGTGGAGAACCTCCTGAAAAGGAGCCCATCAATGATAATGACTATGAAGCGCTAGATGCAGAAACAATGAAAAAGAGAGAATGGGATGAATTTGTTGAAGCAAATCCAAGAGGTGCAGGCAATAGAATGAATAAAGGTTAAAACAAAGAGAACATATGCTTGTATTACTATCTATAAATCATTTTGTGTCCATGTAGTAGAATATAGAGCGACTCATAATGAGCTTGAATTTATCAAACTATTAAAAAAAAAAGGGGGGGGTTCAACAACGCTGTATAAAGTCTAGTCTATGAGTATAGTTTAAATTTCACCTCATGAGAAGTATTCTACTTGTTTGTTTATTCATATTCATAAATGGACAGTTCTCTCTTTTTTTTGAACTTTGCAAGAGCGTAAATAATATATAAATCAAGCTATTAATAGCATGTACTTGTATACATATAAACCTGTCATACGTGCAAAATAATAATTGAAAGGACCCAAATGATAAAACAAAGATAAATGGCATCAACGACTTCTAATATTTAATATTTCTTGTGTATTATTGACACTAATATATTCTTAAAATAAGAAAGCACAAAAAAAAGCTTGTGTTCAATTTTGTGAGCCAAGGCTAAGATCAGTAGTAGAGTATTTCTACTTCAAATTTAGACGATGTTAGTATTTTTTTTTTTTGGATGAATAAAAAAGGAAATCCAGATACAGATGCAAAAATGGGACTAAGGAGAAATTAAATGGAGACAGAACGTTAGATGAGATTTAGAGACTTCTTACCTGCAGGCATCTTTAAGCTGTCACCGGTGAAGGTGCAGTAACCACATTGGAGGTGGCGCTTTGCCACAAGGGATTTGATCGTTTACTCGCTACTCACTTCTACACGCAGATAGTCCGATCACAACTCGAATATGGTCTAGCTATTAGTCTACTCAGTGCAAAGGATATGCAACAACTGGAATCTTGTCAAAACATATGTATAAGACGGGTATTTGGTGGCTCTAGTCAATCATCAGTAAAGGTGATACTTCATATGGTAAACCAGCCATCGATGAAGGTTAGTGTGTCCATTCTGCAGGCCCAATTCGTCTTCCCTACTATTGATTTACCGGATGATACTTTGCTCGCTAAATTACTTCCCGAGCTTCAAGCTTCCACCTTCAACACTCAATAGTATAAACTCATTCAAACACCATGCTGGAGACTCTGTGCCGCCAACTCCATTCCGTTAGACCAACGCTCCTTTTGTAAACATCGTCAAGAATTTCTTGAAGAGAGTTTTCATCAACTACGTGGCAAAACACATTCTGTCTTGCTTTCCGCTTGCCGCCATAATCTGATTATTGATCCAATACTCTGGTTACCCATGACACACAGTGAGCGTAGTCGAACTATTCGTTGGCGTCTTGGTTGGTTACCCAGAGGAATACCTAAAGCCTGCCTATATTATCCTTATGTACACTTTTAGTCGGTCATATGCCACTGAATGCTTGCATATGCACACCCGTTTATTTTTGCCACAATCAATAGCAGATCCCCTTTCCTTTCTTTTAAACCATCTCTCTCAGCATAAGTACCAAAATTCTCAGGACGTTTCTGCCTGACTCTATTGCTGTCCAGTTATGCGAACCATTCTACAGGAAATGGATTACTTAATACACGACAAACTACCCACCCATCCACTTCTTGACCCTGGCAGGAAATGACTCAACTGGTTGTCCCTTTAAACTTGTTAGCAATATTTCCCCCTCCTTTCTTTCTCACCTTCTCTTCTTCTTCCTTTCCTTCACCTTTTTTTTTTACCTCTTGTCCCGTAAGAGGTTTTTTAGATACTTTTTTTTTTCACATAATTTGAACTGACCTGGGCAATCCAATATAATAAAGATATTATGTGCCCATAGGTCGCTTTATAAATTTTAAGTTATAAAAATAAACTGTTTAATCATAATGAAAACTATTACCATAAAGACAGTCACGCTTCATATAAAAATAAATATTTTTTTTTTCTATAATTTTTTTGTTTTTTCTTTAAAAACCTACTATATTGTAAATACATATATAGAGACATTATCATAATACAAAAAAAAAAAAAAAATGAGTAACCAAGATATTGAAAGACTTAAGAATTTGCTCGGTACACATGTTGATTTCCCTCAAAAGGTATATGTTCTAGAGAATAATTATGAGCGTAACTAACGTATATGATAAAAGGGTATCGTCTTTAAGGATATTTTCCCTATCTTCCAAGACCCTACAGCTGTTGAAGCTATGGTTTGTAACATTGTTCACCATATCAACTCTACTTATAGTGAAAAGATCGATGCTGTTGTTGGTAATATATATATATATATATATGTATATAAAATAAGGAAAGGCAAAACTGATAAATTATGATTGTTTCATTTAAAGGTCTTGATGCTCGCGGCTTCTTACTTGGTCCTATTATTGCACTTCGTTTAGGTGCTGCATTTGTACCTGTTCGTAAACAAGGTAAATTACCTGGTGAATGTGTTCAAGCTACTTATGTTAAAGAATACGGAGAGGTAAAAAGAAAAAAAAAGGGGGGATTATATTAAGATATGAATAATAGTATGTATATATTTATACATTATATATATTTAGGATGTATTTGAAATGCAAAAAAATGCTCTTAAGGAAGGTCATCGTGTGATTGTGATTGATGATTTAATTGCCACCGGTGGTTCTGCAGAAGCAGCTGGTGAACTCATTAAGAAGTGCAATGCAAAGACTGTCGAGTATGTTTTCATTATTGAACTTGACTTTTTAAATGGTGCCAAAACATTAGATGCTCCTGTTTATTCTTTGATTCATTTGTAGATTATTATTCTTTGTGATTTATTATATTCGTTTAATTTTTTAACCAGGAAATAAAAAAAAAAAAAATAAGAAAATTGCTAAGAACTATTTCTGTGTTGCATGTTTTGTTACTATGTACTACATTAGCAAAGATAAGTAAATCTATTTAAGCTAAGCCTCTTTTTTTTTTTTTTTTTTTTTTCGAAATTTATGATTTGCTTTTTCAGGGCAGAAAGTATATCCAGCATTTTTTTTTTTTTTTTTTTTTTTTTCAGGTACACTTCAAATTGTTCTTTGCCTCTCCCTTTCTTCTTTGATGGTAGAATCTACAATTCACGTGAATTACTTATTTTTAAATATAATTGATTTCTTTTTTCTTTCTTTTTTTTTTTGTTCTTTTTCTTTTAAACTCTACATTTATATACCTAAAAAATAAATATCATGGAATTTGATGAAGTGAATGAACGGCTTAACAATAGGAAAACGACTGTAACAGATTCTACAGTCAATAACAATATATCCTCATTTAGCAATCCATTTAATTCTATATTATCATTTCAACAGCCAGTAGTGACTACCACCAGAAAACCTTCACTCTCAAGTTTTGTTCATAAACTTAAACAACAATCAAGTAAAACAAGATTTATAAGAGACTATAAAAGAATAATCACTGATAATAATGAAGAGGGTTCTTTTGTTAAAGATGATGATGATGATGGTATAAAAGAATAGGGCGCTCTATGTGTATATAAATATATATAAATATATGTATATTTATTTATTTAACCTTTTTGTATGTATATATATATATATATAGCTTCATTGCGTATCATTGATCCTATTCGAGATACATCAAATCATCATGTAGAAATTGCTCAATCTGATAATAAAAAGGAGGAGAGTAAAATAAAGAAAAGAGTTCATATCAATGAAAATGCAAATCAAATTCAATCATTAGAAAAGAATCCATCCTTTATTAGTAATATTAGTTTCAATGAACCACCAAAGGGAGACTTGACGATAGACCGCTTTATGTAAAGGAGAAAAAAAATAAATAAATAAATAAATAAAATTCAAATATATTAGTGTGTTTACCCTTTCTATAAAATAAAATAAATAGATCTTTGGATGAAGCCGTTTATTTTATGAAGAATAATATAGAATCAATACAAGATGAAATAGAAAGGGAAATGATAAAAATTCGACTCAAACAGGAAGAGATCATAAGATATACAGATGATCTCGACTTTATACAGTCACAGCTAGAGAGTCTTCAATATACATTAACTACAAATAAAGATCTATTATTGCGAGATATGGTCCTTCAACGAGAAAGTTCTCTAGTAAAGAATGAGATGAAAATCAAAGCAAATAAAAAAAGATATTATTTACAAATACAACGACTTTTAAAATATTATAATCGAAATAATACTATCATTGATAACGTTGACAGATGTCTTGTTCAATTAGAAAGAAAGATTAAAAATACTTATAAAAGAGATGAAGTATGGACAAGTATTAGAGATTGGGGCTTTTTAACTGGTAAGTTTTTTTTTTTTTCTTTTTAATATACACTTTGTATAATTAGCAGCAATACTAATAATAACATATATGTATACATGTATATAAAGTCTTATTATTTTCGCTTATTATTATGACTTTTCTTGTATGGTATTCTGGAGGTTATTAATTAACTATGTATTCTTTATTATAATCATTTGTCTTTCTTCTCCCTTTTCGAATTGTAAAATATATATATTTTTCTTTCTTTCTCTCATATACATATAAATATATATAAAAAGATAAATAAATAAAATAAACTAAAAGCCTGTTTACACTCTGAGTGCTTGAATGGTTCTTCCAAAACCAATACCAATCCAATCAGGGGCAGACTTACTCCAAGTAATTGAATTAACTTCAGCATCAGCTACATAAGCCAATAATGGATCTTGAATTGAACGTGGAGATGGGTGTCCATTATATCTTTGCTGAGTATTATTATTATTATTACCATAAACACCATTCATATTTTGATAATAGGTAGAATTTCGATTATCATTACTTGTATGATTAATATTCCAAACCAAGACTTGCGAATCATCTCCTCCAGTTGCAATTTGACCAGATTCGGTTGGAGACCAGCTTATGCAATTAATACTACCACTATGACTTTTACAAAGCTCAGCGATAGGTGCACTTGGATAACGAATATCTAATATTTCTACTGCATTTGAGTCCATATGAAAGGTAGCCAAAAGATTTGAATTCATTCTACTAAATTGAAGACGTAATAAAGGAACAGTTGTTGTACCTGCATTCGGATTACCAGCCACTGTTTGATGATTTGTAGATATAGGTGGAGCTTCATATAAGATAGTTGAATGTTCTAATGAACGAAGATCAAATAAACGAACAGAGCCATCCGCTCCTACGCTTGCAAATGTATCTGCTGAGCCATGCATAAAAGCAACATCATATACATCACTATCATGAGCAATTAACTGTGTCTTTGCTTGATTTGTTTCAACATTCCAAACTGTACATGTTGTATCTATACTTGATGTAACTACTATTGAAGGATCCGTTTCATTCCAATCAAATGATGTTAATGGTGCACTAAAATCTGTTTGCTTCATCTAATACATATACATATATATATAAAGACTTAGTAAAAAAAAAAATCTATATATAATCTATATACACATTACATTAACTAACTCGGCTTTTTTAACTAATTTTTGTATAGTTCGATTATTATTAGTTCTACTTGAACTATTAATTGAATTTGTATTTAAATATCTGGGTTCATCAACTAGTTCCCAAATTCTCAAGATGTCTCCTGTAGTAGCTAAAAGATCATTATTTCTTGCATCATTCTAATTAAAGATAAATTAAAAATTCATACAAACACACAGCATATATATATCTGTATCTGTATCTATATTACCCTCCTAGGTTCCCATAGAACCTTTGTGATTGGATAATATGAGTCTGTCTCTGCAATTACTGTAAAATCATTTCTATAGTCGATAGGTATATTAGTATCAGGTAATAAATCTGTACGTGAAATAATTTGAAGCTAAACCAAAAGGACAGAAGAAAAAAATACATGTTGAAATAAAATTCAAGTTAATTATATAGAAACAAAAAAAATAAAATAAAATAAAATAAAGATGATGTATTCATCTACAATAGTAAATGAGTAAATTTCATTACCTTATTATTACTGTCTTCAATAAAACTACCAATAGCAAGTCTAAAGTTCAAATGGTCATTTGGAGTTTTACACCAATCTAAAGCATAAGTAAGCCATGGAGCGTCATATTGGTATATTTCTTTAGATTGTGGAGAAGAATGAACAGTATCTTGTGCTGGTATCCTTTGTTGTGGATAGGAATAATAATGTGTATTTCGTGACGTATCCATTTTGATTAAAAATAGAAGAAAAAGGAAGAAAAGGTAACTTTTTTTTTTTTTTTTTTTTTTTTAACAATGTCACCCCGATTTTATACTTTATAATTTTTTATAGCACGAAAGTATAATTAAAAAAATGAGTGCATAAATAACAATAAAAAAAAAAAATAGTCGGAGCAAAGGTTCGCATAATATATGTAAAACATGTATAGTTTATAGATTAATGTACTTTTAAATAAAACAAGCGCTAAAGAACGAGTAAAATAGTATTATTATAGGTCAAAATATTTTAGTGAAAAGCTTGTACTTTTATTAAAGTTAAATCTAGTCTGACAATATTTACTCTTATTGCTCTTTGAACATAATTGAAGACTTTTAACTTTTGTAATTTTTTTTTCTTTCTGGTTAAAGTATTACTGAATTCGTTCGAGAATTATACCCTTTTTATTATTATTACTTACATACCATAACAATAAATGAGAGTAGAATCCATCATGTCTGTCACAAGAAATCTCACATGTTTGGTTTGTACACCCACTTAAATATATACAAATATAAAACCAATAATAATCAATTAAAATGAACAGCCTTTAGGTCTCAATAATAACAACTTACCTTAATAGGTCTTGTTGAAGATTAGTCTGTCTTCTATGGGAGGTATGATGGATGATCTTCGGTAGTTATTCAAACAAATAAACAAACAAAAAAGTGTATAAAACCTCTAAATGTCAATAAACAAAGATATAAAAAAAAAACTACTACTTTTAGGTCTTTTAGGTATGACTAAATATTCCGTGGTATTGGTTTTAACAAAACTCTGTCTATATTTCCCACTTCTTTCTTTTTTTGTCTCTGGGAGAAGAGTTGATTTTGATGGGGCTTTGCGTATCACTACTTTTTTGGTCTATCGTCAGAGATTGTAGACTGTCAATGTACACAGTCTAATCATCTGTTGTTGCTGTTCTGTGGAAAGCTCATGTACATATTGAATTTGTTATTTTTTAATCCAAAAAAAAAAGTAATATAGCTAAGCATATTCTGACAAAATAGTTTGCTGTCTATATTCATTACCATATAATACTTATGATTGATGTTATAACGAACAATAAATCGAATTTGTAGTAAGCTTCAGCATTCTAATAACAATAATAATTAATTGACTATGATTATAGAGTCTACACCAAGTTTTTGTACTAAAGGTGAAATTTATACCAGATTTGTCTGTATATCCTTATATTTCTATTTGACTAATATCAAATGAAAATTGGTTCTTATCAAAAAATAAGAAAAAAACTTCTCCTCCCCCCCCGTTTGTACTAAGAAATCTCTTCTTCTTTTTGCAACTCTGATAGAATAATTTCTCCCCTCATCAAGATATCCAAATACTAAAGTTATAATAACTATCAGTGATCACTCTATCACTGACTAAATGCTATTTGTATCAAAACGGTTATATCTTAAATGAACAGGATACTTGAAGACCTTGAATAAAATACTGAGTTATTTTTTTTAATGTTGGCTTAACCAGCAAATTAATATTGATGAAATTCATTTACAATTATGTAAAACTTTTTTTTTTTTAAGAAAAAAAAAATATCACCAAAGCACTCAAAGATCAAAATGTAAAATAGTAAGCATGCTACTAAATGATGGCAGAAAGTATAATATTTTAAAATGGATTCAAGAGAAAGCAAAACAAGGCACATAGAAAAAAAAAGATTTTTTTTTTATTTAATTTAATTTTATTTTTTATAAAAGTCATGTACACACGGTCAATTAAATGATTAAAGCGGGAAAAGAAAATAGAAATTCTTCTTTTTGTTATGATAAGTAATGAAGTAAGGACGTTGCACTGTTTAAGGGACATTGCACAAGTGTGACTACTGGAGTCCCATGAAGAGAATATGAAAAGCTAAAAGCTTTTAGGGAAAGAAGTATATAAAATAGACAATATATCAAGTTTCTAAGCGTTGGATAAAATACCTTATAAATTATATATTTCTTAAATTTGCATATTTTTTTTTCTTCAAAGTCTTTAGATTAAGTAAGTTATCCATTATTATATTGATTTAGTTTGTAAAACATGATAGTAGCATGATATCCATGCTTCTAAAATTAGCAGTAGTTTCAACTAAAGATTAGGTCTTGGTTCCTTTTAATTAATTACTAGTTTAATGAGTATGTATCGTCTATCGGCTTTAGAGAAATTTATGTACTTACAGATAAAACATCAAAGGAAAATCTTTGATCTGCTTAAAAAGATGAACTATTACTTTTTGTAAATCATTTTGAGTATCTTTTTGATTCATCTTTTCCGCCTTTGATCTTTGTCGTCTAATACCTTTTTTTTTTCTTCTTCTTCTTCGGACCGAATTAAATGCCTATTACATTATTGAAACATTTTGTCTCTCTGTTTTTATTTTTTATTTTTCTTACCCCTTTATAACTGCTTCCCTTTTTTTTTTTTGTGTAGTCTTTTTTTTCTCCTTAAAACAATTATAGTTTTGCTTACATGATATCACATATAATGATAATTAAAAAAAATTATAAAAAAACCCTTTTTTTCCCTCCCCTCCCCCACATCTTTGATTTAAGCTTTTTTTTTTGTTTAATATTAATAATGACCGAGTATACATCAAACTATCCTGAAGCCATAATACTACCTCGACGTCGACCCTCTATTAGAAGAGGAACAATTTCGAGTATTGCAAAAGATGTTAGAGTAAATGATCTTGAAGAACTCATTAAGCAACAAAAAGTGATACAACAAAAAGAACGATTAATGTCGTCTAATGATGTCTCAGAGAGAACTCAACAATTGAAAAGAAGACATAGTATGTTAAATATGTCCATCTATAATCGTTCACAAAACCAACAGTTCATGAAACAACAGCAACAGCAACAGCAACAGCAACAGCAACAGCAACAGCAACAGCAACAGCAACAACCACAACAACAACAGCAACGTACTCATCAGCATCAACAAATCCGTCGTCTTCCTTCTCGTTTACGAACTATGTCTACATATGATTTGAAATCTTCTAACGTTTGGTTAAATGAGACTGAGCCATCGTCGCTACTACCACCTTCTTCTACTGCTGCTGCTGCTGCTACTGCTGCTGCTTACAGGAAAGAAGAAGTCGCTTTCATTACGTCTTCGGCTAGACCCCGATTGGATGAAAAAATTAAGGGGAAACAAATCGCACAGCAACGCCTTCTTCATGACCAACCCCAACAAATAATAGATAGCAACACTCTATTAATAAGAAAATGTGAAGCATGTCCTACCAATAATTATTATGATAAGAATCGTTATATCAATAAATCGCCGACAAGTTTCATAAACAAGTCTTCGTCTTCATCAACAACAGATTATACTCCTTCATCTCAACATAACAATACAATCACGTCGTCTGATAAAACAATCACAAAGGTACAAGAAAAGGAAGAAACGATGAAACAAATTGAAACAACCATAAACGATTTAAAATCATGCAGTATTCACTGTGTGAATCATATTCATAAAATATTATCTAAATCGACTGTTTTATTATCATCACAACAAAAAAGCCGAAAGCTAATAACCACCACTACTGAAAGTAAAAACTCAATGAAGGCATTTATAAAAGAATGTAAAACTCTTTTATTGGAACAACAGAATTCATTTAATCAATTTGAAGAAGTTATGGTTGCATTTTTAGAAGAAGAGGAATCAAAACACTCTTCTATAGACGAAGAGCATAAGAATGAATCTTCTTTATTCAAGTCTATATGTCCAGATTGGTTTTTGTCAATCATTAACCATAAATCAACTTCTCAGAAAGATGATACAGTTTTCTCATTTCAAGGGGTCTGTGCGACTATTGAAGCATCGTCCTACATCCCCAATAGAGTAAGTGACTGTTACATATATTTATATATAAATACATATCAATGTGTATATGTGTATAGATGTATAGATGTATATATGTGTATGTGCTTTTACATAATAGTATTCAATTTATTATCCTGCTTTTTTTTTTCTTCCTTTCTTTCTTTCCTTTTTAGTTATTAGCTAAAGATAAACACTACTTGCCTTCTCATAATAACTCAATACCTTATTATTTTCGTTACTCACTTCAACTTACTCTTACTGATCGACAAAATAAATTTTCTCTCAAGTCTATAAATGAATGGGAAAAAGATGAAAAAATAAGTCATTGTCAAGACAAGAATTGTCGACAAGAGTTCAATTGGTTTCAACGTAAACATCACTGTAGAAGGTAAGACAAGAAAAAAAAAACGATCATATATGTGTATATAGATAGATAGATATGTGTGTATTTACTTGTATAATATTCTATAGATGTGGACATATTTATTGTAATACACACAGTGGAAATCGATTACCATTGTTTACTGCAGAGAGCTTGAATACGCCTATATTTTCTCGTGTTTGTGATACTTGTTTCTTTAATTTAGTAAGAGAAGATTCATTAACTAATTTATAATTATCTACATGAAGGTATATATGATTTCCTCTTTCCTTCTTTATATGCATATATGTATATATATATATATATTTATGTCTATATCAATATATACATGTATAAATTGGTTAAGAAAAAGCAAGTACTATATATTAACTCTTGATTATTGATATTATTTAATGTACCACCGAAATGACCAAAGTCTCTTTAATTTAAAAGAAAAGAAAAGAAAAAAAAAACCGGTATTGCATTTCTATACATTAATTCAATTTGTCTACATTTGAATAATCGAGTATTTATATATGCCGTTAAAAAAATAAAGCAAAAAGCTTGCTAGTAGAATTGGCTTGTAATAAAATATTGACTATTAAGTAAAGTTATTAATTCAAAGCTTAACTTGTTACAAGCTACCGTGATTTTTTTTTTTTTTTTTTTTTTTTTTTTTTTTTTTTTTTTTTTTTGCAACTCCACTTTTTTTCCCAATTCTAGATCAAAACACAGCCCTTTTCTCTTTTATCTCCCCTATTTCTTCTTTCTTTTTTTTTTTACATAAATATACTTGAATTCATTTCGAATCAACATGACATGGCAACCGCAACAACAAGGCCTACGAGAACTTTTATTCTTGTTAAGAGATGCTACTGATGTCAGTAATCCAGATCAACAACTCATTTATAAAGTAAAACAAACATATACAAATATTTGTATTTATAGTATAATAAAATGCATCTTGATTTTTTTTATTATTAGAGATTATCGTTATTTAATGAATATCCCGACTATAATTCGTATTTAGTTTACATATTGACAAAATTAACAAATGAAGATACAAATATAAGAAGAATAGCAGGCTTACAACTAAAAAATAATATCAAAACAAATTTTAATACTTTCCCTTTACCTGTATTAAATTATATCAAACAATGTTGTATCCATATTTTTGATGAAAATCAACCAACAAGTATTCGTAAAACGATTTCAATTATAATTGTATCTATTATCTGCAGTGGACAAGTTCACAATTGGCTTGACATGGTTTTACTCTTGATAGAAAAACTGGACGATCCAAATCAAATTATATCAAAAGTAATATTATATATATGCATATAATGTAGATTCATCTATTTACTTACTTTGTTTTACTTTTAGACTGCTTTAGATACATGTGTCATGATTTGTGAAGATACAGCATCTGAACTTGATCAAGAAATAAATGGAATTTGTCCTTCAAGTATGATCATTCCTAAACTGGTTCAATTTTATTCACATCCTGATTCAGCTTTTCGAGTTCAAGCTATATATGCTACAAGTCAATTTGTATTTTTAAAATCTCCATTCTTCATAGTTCAACTTGATTCTATTCTTTCGACATTATATTCACAAATAACTAGAGAAGAGAAAATAGATGCTCGCGTTCAGCGTGAATTTATTAATATTTTATCAATGCTTTTAGAAGCATTTCCTGAAAGACTTGAACCGTATCTTCATCAAACAATTGAATATATAGTAAATGCAACTATACCATTAAATAGAATAACAGACGTAGGAATCAAAGAACAAATATTAATTAGTACATGTAATTTCTGGATACAATATGCTCAAAGTGAATATTATGTTTATCAAACAAAGATAATTTTTATAAAGCCTTACTTACCTCATCTTGTTAAGAATTTAATTCAATTCATGATATACTCAGAATCAGATTTATTAGACTTGGATACAGATAGACATAAGCCCTCTTTCAATCCTATTCAATGTCCAACGACTTGCATAAATACAATACATGAACATGATCAATCTGTTCAACCTCGTTATTATCGTCCAAAGAAAATAGACACAGAACAAGATTATCATGATAAACTAATAAACGACTTTAATGAAGACTCTTCTGAAGATGAAGGAGAAGGTCAAGAAAATTGCAGTAATACTCAGAGCACAAATGATGATGATGATAGTCTTTCTAGTGGTGGTGATAATAACGTTGAAGACGACGAGTTTTATTCTGAAGATACCTTGAGAAAATGTAGTGCCGCAGCTTTAGATGTATTGTCTGTATCCTTTGGAGATGATATAGCTATGATCATTTTAGATCATTTATTTAATTCTATTCTTTTGAATGAAAATTGGCTTATTAGAGAGAGTGGTATTTTAGCTTTAGGCGCAGCTGCAGAAGGTATTAGATGACTCCCTCTGTTCTTTCCCTCACTCTCTCTTACTCTCTCCTTACTTTCTTCTCTATTTGACTAAGATCTATATATTTATTTATTTTTATCATAGGATGCATCCATGTTTTTAGTCAATATTTACATCATTTAATTCCATATTTGTTAAAATCAATGAAAGATTCAAAGGTAAAATAAACACATATACATATTACAAGTCAAGATTGATAATTTCTCGTCATTAGTCACTTATTCGTGCTATTTCCTGTTGGGGAACAAGTCGATTCTCTAATTGGTTAGTAAATCAATATGATACCACAACAACCGAAATGGGTACGACTTTTTTTGAACCCGTGCTCTTTGCACTACTTGAACGGTTATTAGATCCAAATAGACGAGTACAAGAATCAGCTTGTACTGCCTTCATCATATTTTGTGAAACGGCTTCATCTAGGATAATTCCATATATTTATCCAATCTTGACTCAATTCAATCATGCATTTGGATTCTATTGTCGTAAAAACAGACTAATTTTGTATGATGCTCTTGGTACATTTGCAGACTCAGTTGGCTCAGAACTCAATCAACCTCAATTTATCTCTCTTTTGATGCCACCTTTAATTAATAAATGGAATGAATTATCCGATAATGATACAGATCTTTTCCCATTATTAGAGGTAAAGGATAAAAGTCCTTCTTCTTCCTCTTCCTAATCTTATATATGTATGTAGTGTTTATCAAATATTACAGCAGTTATAGGACCCGGATTTATACAATATGTTGAACCCGTTTTGTCAAGATGTGTAAAGTTGATTTCATCAACGTTACAACAACAATTACTTGCAGACCGATATCCAGATAAAATAATGCCACCTAATGTTGATTTTTTGATTGCAGCACTTGATTTACTATCGGGCATAGTACAAGGCTTAGGATCTAAGATAGAACCACTTATTACTCAAACAACTCCTCCTTTACTTGATCTTTTGGGAAGATGTATTCATGTAATAACAACAATAAGATTCACAATGATAATAATAATAATAATAAAAAAAAAGATAAGACTAAAAAGTTTATTATTATTATTTTTAAGTATTATTTCTTCCTATGTATGCTTACTCTTTTTTTTCTTTTTTCTTCTTTTTTTTTTTATTGTTAGAATCCTGTACCAGAAGTGCTTCAATCTACATTTGCACTCATAGGTTATATTTCAATCGCTTGTTTTAATCTGCTTGTTCCATTTTTAAATGATATTATGAATGAATTACTTCATGTCCTTTATAACTGCAATGATGGGATGGTATCATCTGTTTCAGTATATAATAATGCTCTATGGGCTATAGGTGAAATGATCATACGCTGGAGGGGTCAAGAGACAGAGCCTTATATGACGGATCTAATAAAGATGCTCATCGTCTATTTAACACATCCTGAAGCGCCCTTATCAATTCATAAAAATGCAATGATAGCATTAGGTCGGTTTGGTCTTGCTTGTCCTCAACTTGTAGCTCCTTATCTAGCATCATTCATTAAATCTTGGTTAAAGATATCTTTATCAGTACCATGGGGAGAAGAAAAGGATTCAGCTTTCAAAGGTTTATGTACAATTATCAAATTGAACGTAAAAGACGCTCAAAACGTAAGTTGATCAAAGAGGCCTCTCTCTCTCCTTTCTTCTTCTTTAAAATAGGTACATAGATACTTATCATTTTTATTTAGGACTTATACTTATTGCTATCTTCTATTTCCTCTATAAGAAGTCCCTCACAAGATTTATGGATTGAATTGAATGATGTAATATGATTCACGATTGAATGTCTTTGTTACACTATTATTTATGTATTACGCCCCCCTTTTTTTTTTGTTTATTATAGGTTGTTAAAGGATATTATAGTATAACAAGTCATGATGAATGGAATTATATTATCTCTCAACTTGATCCCGATGCGCAGAAGCAAATATTATCTCTTTTAGTTGAAAAGCATTCATAGTAGATTTATACCATTTATCCTCCTACTTGTATCTTTCTCTTTCTGTACATATAAATATTAATTCCTTTGCTTTTAATATATAGTATGCTATTATGTAATCTACTGCCTCTTCCCTTCCTTTTTTTTTTTTTTCTTGTTGTAGAACAATTAGTGTCATTTTATATTCTTTACTTGAAATAATGATTATTTATATTTATTAACATAAGGGATAACAGCATCTTATGATATTTATTATTAATAAGTTGCTCCATCTCCATTATCTATTGAAATAACAAAGCCTTATTTTTTTTTTATTGATACTACGTTAGACGACTTGACTATGTACAATAGAGCTTCGACGAAAGTATTTTACGGTAGAATGATCATATGTTCATCTATACATTGAGCATCATTCAATCTACACAAAGCTGTAATAGTTAACCTTGTCCAGCAAATGATCAATAATTCTTTAGATCTTATCTTCAATAGAAACAGGAGCATAAAATAATATAAGAATAATAGAAACTGAATTTAGCTGACTTTATTAAATATAATAAACATATTTAACTCTCTTTCGCTTTAATGAAAATAATAATCAACAAAGTTAATACAAATGGATTTTAATTATACATACTTTTCACCATGTATTTATTATAGAAAAAAAAAACGAAATAATTGATTACAAGTCTTTAAAGTAGGCTCACCTGCAGACTATTCTAATGGAGAAGAATTCATGGCCCAAGAATAAACAAGATATTTGTAGCTTTTAATCTATGCTATATCAATAATGTTCGTATTTATCTTACTTTACAAATATAAGAAGTAAAAGATCATCTGCGGGATTTCCTATTTTTTAAAAGAAAAAAAAAACAAATTGGTAATAATTATAGAATTAATTATTATTTTCTATTAAAATTAAAATTCAGGATTAAAATTGAACAATTATCATTTCTTTCTCTTTTGTGATTAAAAAAAAAAAAAAAAAAATGCTGCATGAGGAAGATGACCCACTTTCAAGCTCAATGTTTAACATTAATACTTCACATTCAATATTAGGAAATACATTAGCAACTTCCTCCATGTTCTCTTATGAAGAAGATCCTTGGGGAAATCATTCAACTCCATCCGCAACAACAGATATCAATAGATCTTCAACTACGCCTAATCTTACTAATATTGACATGTCTTCTAAATCAAATTATAATTCAACAACAATTTTATGTATGTCTCTACTAGCATTAAAACAACAAAAAAAAAAAATAGTTAATAATCTATTGTTTTCTTCTTTAAGCTGGTGTAGAACTACCTCAAATATATGATCAATTATTTTCACAAAATCAACGTTCTGGAAGGATTTCATTATCTAATCTAAATACTATTTTATCAAAAGGGAAAATTGCAGCTAGTCAGATTGAAATGGTACTCATTTATTATTATTATTATTATTATTACTATATTTATATAATTTGGTTCTATTACATGTCTATTTTACCGACTTGCTTATATAGATTATGCAAATTGTGGTACCTAATGGCGCGTCTTATGTAACTCAGTCTGAATTTAATACGGCTATTGCTTTACTTGCCTGTGCACAGAATAATATAGGTAAACAAAGCTAAACAAACAAACAAAAGAGATATATGCATATATCTATATCTATTTCTATATTTACTAACAGCATATTTAAAGATATCTCACTTGAAAGCCTTTACAGAAATAAAAATTGTAAGTCTTGAATTTGTCTATAATGAATACACATAGTCTTATCTTTTTATACATGTATACAGATTTACCACAACCTATCATACATAGCCATAATGATAATCAATCACTTTTATTAAACGCTTCTTTAGAAGAAGCAGAAGAAGTAGAAGAAAGTACTGCTGTTCCACAAGAACCTTCAACAACAAAATCAAATCAACAGTCAAAATCAACAATGGCAGCTTATCCTGGTATGAAATCACCCAAGGACTCAACATCATCTATTACTTCATCATCCAGGTATGAGCGTGATACTATCACTTCTAGTTCAGTTATATCTACAACAAATAATCATGCATTAGATACAAGTCATTGGTTTGAAAATTTAGAAGAAATAGCAGTAACAATTGCACCTGAAAGAGAAGGATTTATTTTTAAGCATGTCAATTATATTATCACAAACGAAAAGCGCTCATCTATTGTTTTAAGAAGATATAGTGATTTTTGGTGGTTGATGGAAGTTTTACTCTGTCGGTATCCATTTCGTATTATACCCAACTTACCACCAAAAAAATTAGGAGGAAGTAAATATTTTCTTCTTCTTCTTCTTCTTCTTCTTTTTTTTAACTTAATTTTTGTTATCTAGGAGACACTGCTTTCTTAGAAAAGAGACGTAAAGGATTATCAAGGTTTATTAATGCTATCGTTCGTCATCCTGTACTACGCCATGATGAAATTGTGGAGCGATTTTTAACAGAACCTTCAGAATTATTAGCATGGCGTAAACAAAATCCACCGAATCTAGATGAAGAATATAAACGAAAATCACATCTTATTAATGAATTGGAAAATATAACACCAACAAATTTAGAAGAACAGCTTCAAAAGGCTCGTAAGAGAGTTACGGCTGGTATTCATCATTATGTTAATTTATGCTTTATTATGGAGAGGATGATACGGCGTATGCATGGTCAAGCAACTGATTTTTCTCGTTATTCAATTGCTTTAAAGTAAATAGACCTATCACATAGTGTTCAAATTTAAAGAAAGGGGGGGTTTATATATGTATATGTATATATTAACTTTAATGTAGTTCACTCGCAGAGGCTGAAATAAGATATCATGCTGGTGAATGTAGAAATTGTCAACGTGTAGTAAGAGGATATGAAACAGTAGCAAAACATATGCAAGTTGAAAGTAGTTTATTAGAAGATCAAGTAAATCATGCTACAGATGGTGTATTGGAAAATTTAAAACGTTTTAGAGATTTATTAGTGTCATTTAGGGTAAATGCATATCTTATTAGATGGGTCGTTTTATAATATATAACACATATAAAAATAGGATTTAGATGAACGTCGAAATAAATTATCTATAAACCAAACCGATGTTATTACAAAAAGGATTCAAACAAATCGTACAAAAGTACATCAAAATAAAGGAGTACCTGGTTTAGAAGCAGAAGTAGGAAAATTAGAAGAATCAATTCGAACAGTAAATCTCTCTTTTGTTTGATTAAATTATATTGCTTATATATCTCTTTTTTTTTTTTTTTTTTTTTTTGCGTTAGGATGAACTGGAATTAGCTGATATACAAAACCGAGAAATATTTATTCGATATTGTATCTGGTCTGAATTGACTTATCTTCACAAGCAACAAGCATTTATATCATCTTTATATCAAAGTTATGTTAAGGATGCTGTTCATTTTTCTAAACAATGTGCAAATAATTGGCAAATACTTGAAGAACCTACATTTGAAATGCCTGCTAATGTTGAATTATTTGAATAAATAGGATAATAGAAAAGATGATTATTCTATAAACAACTTGTTGAAAGAAAAAAAAAAAAGGAAAAAGAATGTCAACTAATTATATTATGTAATAAAATAAGCTTTTTTTTTTTCGCTAATTGTTTAAGACAACTTGATGTATACTTTTATTTAAAAATGATCGATAGAAGTTCCATGTATTTTATCTGTTTTAAATTTTTCTTTTTTTTTTTTTTTTTTTAAGCATTAGCATAATTTTTTCTATTTTTCCCTTTTTCCCTTTTTTTTAATTTTTTTATTTCTACTTTTTTTTTTTTTTTTTTTTTTTTTTTTTTTTTTTTTCCTTGATTCTATTATATTTTTAACTATGACTTGGAAAAGAGAATTATTAACGACAATAGACCAACAAAGATTGAATTCTACAAAGAGTACTGAGCCGATAATGATGATGCATATCCCAGTGACATCAAAACCATTGCCTGCATTCCTATCCAGAAGGCAGTCCGTTACACGACCTTCAGATAGTGTATGTGCCAAATCATTGTCATCACTGTCTTCAACTGATAACCAAGTAATGAATGACAGTTGTGATAGGTTTATCTTATCAGTTCATCATACACAACATAATCTCTACTCTCTTGAAACAGGTATAAAATCGCATGATCATGACCAACAACAGATACCTCCCTCTTATGACATGCAAACACAGGAGATTCAAGGCCTTCGTCAGGGACTATTCAAATTAAATGAAAAATACTTGAAACAGATCGAGCATACCGTCATTGCTGAACAAGCTCGCACTGCAGTTGAACAGGAACTTGAGGAGCTCTCCTGTAAATTGTTTGAAGAAGCAAATAAGATGGTATCAAAAGAAAGACGAGCACTCTTCGATGCTCAAAAGAGAATTGAACAACTTGAACGAACGTTAGAGAGGGTACATGAAGAATTAAATCATGAACATGCTCAACTTGAAGAATTAAGAAAGAAATTCCAAGAGCAGTTGATTGAAAATTCAACGACTACAAAGAAACTTCATCATAGACGATTTGATAATGAGGCAACAGAACAACAACAACAACAACAACAGCTGCAGCAGCAACAACATCATCATCATCGTCTCTCTGTGAATACCACATATTCAGATCCTAACTCTCTTCTTCTATTTAAAGAGTTCATAACATTGGCTCCAAAGACATCACTAGATCAAATTCATCAAATTACTTTCCTTATGCAATGCCTTGACCAAGATGTTGAACCTTGTCTTCGTTTAGGTAGCTTGAGACATACTGGACGTCTGCCGATGCGTAAAACCTTACAGTCTATTATACATCATCCTTGCTGTATTGAACCTGTCGACTTTAAAGAAAAGAATGAACAACTCGTTCCGATAGCTGCAGCTCCCTCACCTAAAAGGTCATCTTGGGATAGCCAGACTAGTTTAGAAAGTGAGGGCATTCTAGTATGTTATGGTTGTGGTTCAGAAATCAAATATCATGAGAATCAATCCCTATTTAGGTACCGTCTGGACGAGATCAATGATGAATACTGTTGGATTGATCAAGCTTGTAGAGATCGTTTAGTGGCTGTTTGTAACTTTTATAGTTTTGTTCGTCATATTCGATCCGGTTTACGAAATCAATCAAGTATTCAAGAATTGTTTGATGAATGTATTCAACTAAGATTAATCATGTTTTACGCAAGGGCTGGTGTTCATTACCCAGACCATTAATAAAAGAGAGATCCCCTTCGTTCACTCCAATTCTCTTATTTCTTATTTTATTTTATTTTTATTTATTTCTTTTTTTTTTTTTTTTTTTTTTGTAATATACAAATAAATAAGTATATGCTATTAATTTATTTTACACATACATTATTTTTTTTTTTCTTTTATTCATGAAATATATATACATATATACATATATATATATACATACATATATAGACTAGAAATATTAATATAAATATATATATATAAGATTTGATAAAAATATAATAATTAAAAAAAAATAATAATAAAAAAACAAAACAAAATGTACACTATCTAGGCTCTAATTGGTTTTTTATCCTTCTTACTAAACGTAGCCAATTTTTTGAAAAATCCGATGGGTAAAGTATATTTTGAACGTTGATTTAATGGACTATTATGCTCCCCTTTTCTTCCTTTATCGCCAATAAAGGTAGGTAAGGTTCGGCTACTTTGATTACTCATCTTGGAACGAACTGAGCCACTTTCTTCGTGCGTATGTGGACGCTGAAGGACCTCATCAGACCAATTAAAGGAAGATGTATCAGAAATAATGGACGATATCGTATAGCTCCCTTGGCGTTTCATTGTTCCTTTTGAATCTAAAGCGACTGATGATGAAGGTGGCGTACTTCGAAGTTGTTTCTTATGAATATCGTCGGAAAAGAAATTTATATTATTTATGGAAGCAGAAGAGGATGATGAAAATGGATACTGATTACTTGTTGTCTTGCTTATTGTAGATGTAGATGTTTCAGTCTGCATACCGTTTACTGAAGTTGACGAATTCTTACTATCACCACTGCTCTCACTTTTGATAAAGTCTATTAGTTTTTGTAGTGAATTCTTTCGTTTATGTGTCTTGATGGATTGAAGATCGATAGAATCGGATGTTCCATCATTCGGGAGACTTTCTGATGGATGATGATGATGAATGGCCGAATAAGAATCTCCTGATTGAATTCCGTTCCGTTCTTTCAAGTCATCTTCCTGTATACTTTGATTAAAACTATTAGTCTTTTTGATTTTAGTAAGAGCATGTAAAAAGCCTTTAAAAGTAGGAGGCGCATCGTCGTCATCATCATCATCATCATCATCAACAGCATCATCTAAATGGTCATGTTTCTGAGTTTGGATTTCTTCTAATTCAATTGAATTCAAAGAATCATGAAAATAGTTAGAGGATGCTTCTGATATTTCATCTTCTGAGAGTTCAAATCTGCTTTGCAGGGAGTTTCGGTAATCGAGTGATGTACTTCTATTAGGTAGCTGAGTATGGTCTAGACTAAGACTACCCAATGAATCCTTTGATTTTAATTTGCTTTCGATATCTTTCTCCTCATCGGATAAATAAGTATCTTCATATTTAAAGTCATGAAACAAAGACTGTGGAATCGGTATAAAAGGTGGTGGACCGGAATGAGATATAAAATTAAATGTAGAAACATCTTCATTATAGGATGAGGAAGAGTGATGGATTAAATGATGATCAGACTGTCTCTGTATTAATTCATCTGGTATATGGCTAGAAGATGTTAAAGTTTGATCTAAAGATAAGACGAGAGAGTCGGCAAAATAATCATTGTTATCAGAGTCGTCATCGGAATTACATTGATCAGCAGTGAATACCTTGTGTAACGACGTACTGCTAGCGTTTTTGGTACTACCATCCAGCTTTCTCAAGTCAGGTAAATTAAGATCCACGTTAAATTCCATATCAAATAAAGTCATTAATTCACTAGCTAAATTCGAAGCAAGTGTACTATTAGTGGATACACCAGTATCACTAAGCCAGCTTAAACGATTGGTGTTGGTGTTATCATGATTGTTGGTTGAAAGCTTCCTTGGAGGAATAGAGGGCGGCTCCTCGGTTTGATTATCGATTATCGTTTCAGGAATAGGTTTTATCTCTTCTTCTACTTTTAGGACGACAGGAGTGATGTCTTTCTTTTTCTCCTCTTTATCAACAACACTGTCTAATGAATCATTTGAGAATACAGAATTAGGATGAGAGAAAAGAGCTGCATAAAATGAGGCTTCTATTAGTTCCTCTGTTTGATCATTATCATTATCATTCATCTGATCATCTTCTTCCTCGTACACTTGTTCTGGATAGTCTGAAAACAAAAATTGGTGCTCTCGAAGTCTCTTTTCTAATATGTTTGCTGTATTAAAGATAGTTTGTGAATATCGATAAATGATTTTTTCAATATCTTTTTGAGTTACATCCTCAAGTGATTCAGGTGTAAAATATTGCCATCGAGTTAATTTCGAAAGATATTCGCGTGGTGTATGTCTATAGATGATATTCACTAAATTTTTAATTAATGCAGTCTTTCTTAATGTAAAATTATTTGGTGGTGCAAAGGTAAGTTGTGCAAGCTTATAATTTGAAACTGCAGCAATTCTTATTTGATTAGGCTTTTTGTAAGATGGTATAGGCATAATTTAAAAAGGAATGGAGAAGTGCAATGATAATAATAAAAATAAAAAAAAAGTAAATAAATAAATAAAAAAAAAAAAAAAAAAAAAAAAAAAAAAAAGAGAAAAAAAATCGTCATTATATCCTTTAAATTTACGCTAAAGTCTTATCTATTTTTTTTTAAAACATTATAGAGCTTCTTCGAATATTATTATTATATCTATATAAAAAAGACTCTCATTAAATAAATATGTATAAAAATAGCTATGAAAATCAGCATAGGTTTTTTTTTTCCTTTAATTTATTAGACACTTTTGCACGTGTAGAAATAACTGAGCTTTAATGATTATAATTATTTGTAGTTGTTTCTTCCATTCTTGTTGTAATGCATTTTGATATCAGAAAATAATAAAAAAGTCGGCTTGTATAGCTTACTTCAAACTAGAGCCTTTGTTTAACGCATTTTTTTCTGTGCATTTATTTATTATATTTAAAAAAAACAATAAGTGCACTGAATACTAATAATAGTATTTTGATGAATAAAGTAGTAGATATTTATATAGTAGCAATTTTAAATCTTTTTTTTTTTTTTTTTTTTTTTTTTTTTTTTGAAGTCAATTCCCGAAAATTACTACAGTAGGTTTCAAATGATGAAAACGAAAATACTATATTCTACTACAACTTAAAAATTATAATATGCCCTATTTATTATTTACACAAGCTGTTGATACCTTTTTTTTTATTATTTTTTTTTTATTTAATTCAGGAACACTTTTATTTACCAAATAAGGAAACATAATGGTTGCTATTTGTCATAACAACTAAATTTTATAAATTTTCTAATGGACTACATATTTACACGTTTTATACGATACGAAAAAAGTTGAACTACTTTTTACTAAAAGTATAGAATTCGATGTCTGTTTTCAATAAGCTTGCTATGTGTATTTCATTTTTATAATGCATGTGTATGGAAGTTTCATTTATTTATTTTCTTTATTTACTTTTATGCATAGAAATTAGTTATTTGAGTGCTTGTAGGGGTAAGGAGAAGCAAAAGAATAATAATAAGAAAAAAAAAGAAGATTTCTGATAATAATATGCGTTTTAAAACAGATTCAGTTTCGCAGAAAGGTTATAAAATATCTTATATTTTGACATAATTCATTTTCTCTATAGAAAAAGAGGAAAACTAGGGAACAAATTGCAGATACAACGTGACGAAAAGACTAACAATTTAATATACTATTTGTATAAAAGCAAACTCTTTTACTAGAAGTAGCTGTCAATGTCTTTAACTATAGTGATTTTATAAGAATTATTATAATTAATAATAAGACATATGTTAAGAGACAGGTATCAGTTTTTTTTTTTTTTTAATATAAAAAAAAGTGTTACACAGACACATTCTGTATTTTTGCAGATCAGGTTTTAAGATTCTTATAGGGTTATAATAATGATTAAGCTCATTTTGGCCAACACTCATTTATCTATAACTTGATTTATTATATTTTTATACTCTTTAATTTGATTTCTTTTTAGATAAAACTATTGCAAATTAGAACAGAATTTAGTCATTGATTTGATAATATTTTTAGAACCCGTGACTATATTTTTATGTCTTAAAAAATGTGTCCCTGAAAATTCTATTGTTATAAAAGTAGCAAATATTTATATACATTGTACATATATTAAAAAAAAAAAAAAAAAAAAAAAAAAAAAAAAAAAAAAAACTTGCGACCTGTATAAAGTAAATATTTATATTTCATAATACAATAATCATTGATTATGTTTAATGCCTTTTTTCTTTTTCTTCACTCCTACTCCCTCCCTTTTATTTATTTACTCTCCTTTCTTTCCTAATACAATAAAATAATGGCAAAAGATAGAAATAATAATAACAAGATTCTCAAAAAGATTTTAGAAGTTGGTCATAAGTGTTGTATCTCTCAAAATGCTGTCAGAGATCTACTTGGAGATCAAACTATTAATGAAAAAGATGTAGGAGAGATTTTAGGAAGTATGGCACGTTCATGCATAAACATGTCTGGTGTTGAAAGTAATAATAATGAGGAAACTTGGAATGTTGAAAATTTTGTAACTGTCATTAAAGAAAAAGTAAGCAAATTCAACAAATTATACTATTATACACATTGTTAAGTTTACATTTTAGTCGCCTTCTCTGGATTGGGTTAAAGCTTTTAAACATTTAGATTATCCTCATTTCTTTTTATTTGATGGAAAAGGTCTTAACATTCTAATTAAAGCATGGAATGCTAGTTCAGATGATGACAATACTAATCAATTCCCTATTAATGTCTTTTTCTGTGAATGGAATAATTTACGAGGCAAACTGACTGCATTATATCAAATCGCTGTAGCACCTCCCAATCTAATCAATCTCTATTCTTGCTCAAAGAGAACTGTTATTCAATCAGACGATTTTACTCATTCTCCTGCCAATGTATGCTCGATGGCCCAACGACTTTTAAGTGATCCACTCAATTCGCTAGATCTTATTGAACATATCATTATGCTTGCTGACAGTCCGATTGCTGACGATGTAAAAGCGCTTTTAGAAAGAGTATTAATTAAAAAAGCGCCTGAACTTTTATTTATGGGTTTATTTCAAATCGATGTAAGTTTATATTTCACATAATACAAATTTAATCACCTTTAATAATAGTGTCGTTTTCTTTTTTCTTTTTTTTTTTAGCCAATTATTAACTCTACTCAAGATGAGATATTGAAAAGGTTGATGAACATTTACTTGACAGGAAATGCAAGTAGTCTATTAGTTTTTACAAAGCTTTGGAAAGTGAAACCAGAATTATTTAAGAAAAGTATCATTGAATTACATGAAAAGGAACCAGCTGCATTAAGTCGTATTCTGGTCTTTATTCAAGAATTGAAGGTAAAAATACATACATGCATGCATATATATTTACTCCAAAAAATGCGCTACTTATTCAACTGCTTATTTCTTCTATTCCTCCCCCCTCCCAATAGATACTTCCTTTTATTCTTGAAATTCAACCATTTTTGTTTACTATTGATTTAGCTGCTCTTGCAACAAGACGCGAACTTTTAAATCTTGAAAGATGGCTACAAGATAAAATTAATAAATATGATGATATATTTATTCAAACTTGTTTAAGATTTCTTGGTAATAAGGCAAGGGCAGAGTTATCAAGATGTGAAAACAAACCAATTCCTATTACTGTATCTTTATCGAGGGATGTTGTTACTATTTTTGTGAAAGTGCTTTCTGAAAGAGATAGGTAAAATACAAGAAAATTAAATAGTGTTTCTTTAATCTTTTGAAGAAAAAAATAATTAACCAAAGAATGGGTGGTGGTGATGGTGGTGGTGGTGGTGGTGGGGAAATGTGTTATTTAGTCTAACTGATAAAGACAAGAAATTATTAAATGATGTACATATGATATATAACCAACTTACACGGAAACAGTTAGCTTCATCCTCTAATGAACAACTGATTGTTGATAAAACCTATTCTAAAACTACAAATACAACACTATTCATAAAAAAGGGCATTACTTTTAACTCAAATATTGAAGATGAAGCCTATGCTTATTACCAACAACTTTATAGTGGTGATATGTCTGTTAGTGAAATGATTGATAAACTGAATCAATTTTGTATTTCGAATGATCTTCGTGACCGAAATGTATTTGCATGTATTATATATAATCTTTTTGATGAGTACCGATTTTTTTATAAATATCCGGATAGGGAACTCACCCTCACGAGTGTTTTATTTGGATCGTTAATTCAAAATCGTCTTCTTTCGCATGAATTTCTAGATATTGCTTTGAATGGTATACTAGAGTCTTTAAAGAATCCACCCACATCAAAGTTGTATCATTTTGGTATACACGCTATCACTCAATTTGAGGCTCGCTTAGCTGAATGGCCAAACTTTTGTGAACAAATCTTACAAATTCCATCTATACAGCAAACAGATCCTAAACTAGCTCTTGTGGTTCGGGTCTTTTTACAAATGGAAAAACAAAAGCAAAGAGAGCGGCTTGATGGTCCTCGCATTACCCATCCTCAATCTGATAGATTCTTGACACCTACCTCTAATAACGCTTATGATGGAAGCTTTAATGCAATCCATATTCCTGATATTCCTAAAGATGATACTATTATCTATGAATCTCCGGATGAAATCATTCAGGGCAAAATTTTATTTATTCTTAATAACGTTGCTTCAAATAACTTTGAAACAAAAGTAGCCGAAATGAAAGAATATTTGAGGGAGACCCTTTATCAATGGTTTAGTCATTATCTAGTTGTCAAACGAGTTAGTGTAGAACTTAATTATCATTCACTTTATCTCGATTTGCTAAAGGCGCTCAACAGTCCATTATTAGATAGGCATATTATGTGTGATACACTTGTTAATATACATTTCCTACTTAACTCTGACAATACCTTAACATCTTCTTCCGATCGTTCCTTACTAAAAAACTTGGGCGCCTGGCTCGGTGGTATGACACTTGCGAGGAATAAGCCTATTACTCAAAAGTATATACAATTTAAAGAACTTCTTTTAGAAGGCTACTATAACAAACGTTTAATTGTCGTTATTCCGTTTGTTTGTAAAATACTTGAGCAGGGCAAAAGGAATACTGTCTTTGTCCCACCAAATCCTTGGTTAATGGCTATCTTGAAGTTACTTGTTGAATTATATCGAGATGCTGATCTCAAATTGAACCTTAAATTTGAGATCGAAGTACTTTGTAAGAATCTATCAATAGAATTAGATAGTATTGAGCCTAGTATGTTTTTAAAGATGAGACTACCATTAGCCAATACGATTTTGCCTAATATGGATTATTACTACAATACGCCCCTTGAACATACCTACTCCAACGTCAATACTACCACTGAGTTCTTCCCTATCGTTGATCACAGTAGTATGATCCCTGACATTCCTGATCTAGGACCCTCTTTCTCCTTTAATTCTATTGTTACTACTACTACTACTGCTCCATATATGTCAGATCCTGCGATTCAAAGTTGGGTCCAACAAGCTGTATCTCAAGCCACTCGTGAAGTTATCCTATGGTATGGTGACAGATCCATTAAGCAGGCTGTTTCATCTACTTATAGTCTTATTACAAAGGATCTCATCTTCTTAAATTCAGATGAGTCTAGTACGACAAAATCGGCACAAACGATGATACAGAATTTAGTAAGAAGTTTAATAAAGGAAAATTGCAAGGAGCCTCTTCGACTTGCCATGATCAATCATCTATACCCTATCTTTATCACAAATAGATTCAATACAGATATGGCAAGAAGAGCAGCCTTATCAATTACCACAGACAATTTAGAATTGGCTTATACAGCAATTGAACAGTTAGCCTTAAAGAAGGCCACCGAAAAATTAGATAAAGTCCTTATGGTGGCCTATACAGATCGTAAACGTTTCAAGGAACAAAATCAAACTATGCAACAACCACCTTATTTTGATTCTACTCTTTCTTCTAACTCTCAATACTATTATTTTCAAATGTTACCCGAGTTTTTATGTCCTCAACCCAATTATGGCATACAGCCTCCTGCTATCGCTAGTCATCATAATGTATATGAAGACTTTGGTCATCTCGCAACAAATACACATACGTCTGGTCAAGCTCTTAAACAACACCATTACAATATTCAACAAAATGGTAGTTATGTCGTTATGCAACAACAACAACAACAACAACAAATTGTTTATACAAATTCTGCTAATCAAATTATCATCGATCAATTTACACAATGCATTCATGACTTGGAAAGCCTTTTTAGTATCACTTCTCATATTCCAAGTTTTAATCTGCTGCCTCCACAACATGAAATCATGGTCTATGTTAAACAGATACCACTTATAGCCATGTCTAGCTTTGACAAGACAGAGATGATCAAGGTCTTTGCTCAAAGGATCGTACAATTAGCTTACGCTAATCCAACACAATTAGGGAAAGAGACTTATCTTTTTATTTTGGAGAGGCTTTGTCATATCTCACCTAATATACGTACACTTGTTTCTACTTGGATATCTGGATAGGCAATACATGCATGCATGCATGCATATATATACATATTTACATGTATATAAATATATATTTAATAAACATTTGATTATACCCTTTTAAACCTTTATTATTATTATAAAAGACGGAAAGATTATCAGGATTGAATTGCTTTTTTTTTATTTTTTATTTTTTTTTTTTTTTTTTTTTTATATATAAGCAAGATCTATGGAACCCTCCTGCTTTTTCTTTTTTATTTCTCTCTCTCTCTCTCTCTTTTATAAGTTTGACATTCATAAAGATATAATAAAGCTTTTAAACTTGTATTTAGATATATAAAAAGAGAGAGAGAGAGAGAGTAATGCTTCTTCTTAAACAAATAAAGTAAAGTTCGTATAGTGGTATTTTATTATTATAATAATAATTATATAATTAATCTGTATCAAATGTACAAGTTGTACCGTATGTTTTGCCACGAATAACAGCTAATATAAAACAATACAGATTAGATTTATCTGTAGATTATATGTATTTTTATATATATTTTAGATGTACCTTCAACTCTTAACTCAACTTCACCAAAATACATTTTAATTGTTAAATCAACTTTTTCACCTTCTTTTACACCAGTTAAAGCGGGCATAGGAATTGTAAAGTTAGCAACCTTATGTACACCAGGACTAGTGGTATAGATAGGCTGTTCTTCGGTATCAGCAGAATAAAGAGTACATGTAGTATGATGAGGATAATAAGCAAAGAAATCCTTGGAAACACAATTATCAATATCTAATATATATATTTATACACTAATGTGTTAGCAATATATGAATCGTATAAATATATATGTATAGTGTATAACTTTACCAAGTGGTTGACCTCTTCTTACATAAACAGAAAATTTATTATCACATCTTACACTACCATCAGCTCTGATAATTTTATAACTTGGAGGATCAACACCTTCTTCAAATGTAGTTGTTGTATCAATACCATACCAATATCTAGGAATACGCGTCGTAACTACACGAGGGTTTAAACCAAAATAAACAGCACCACGTACAACTGCTAATTCACAACGAGGAGGTACAGCTACCAAGCCAACACGCGAACCAAACTCCTCTTGTACTCTCTCAAAGAGATAATTTGAGGAACCAAAGCCACCTACTAAAAATATAGCTTGCAAATGTTGAGCCTTTTGAAGTTGTTCTTCACATAGGTTAATGACTTCCCTAATAACTGGCTCAAATACTTCCTTCTTTAATTCTGCAGCGGTTAAACAAAGCATACCATCTTCTAATCCAATGGCAGGGTTATTAAGTGAAGCCAAATTCATAGCAGCAGGTAACGTAATAAACTGGTCTTCCACACCATCAAATTGAGGTTTAATTAAATCAACAAAATTATCCATCATGGTTTCAAAGGCAGAAGCAGGAATAGATGATAGATATTCTCTAAATTTTCTTTTTAAAAGTTTTCTCATACGACGATCGAGAAAGACTGAACCACAGGATTGACCATGACCTTTTGTACATTCACGTAATTTACGACCACTACGTTCATCAATTTCAAATACAATAAGATCCACAGTTCCACCTATTATTTTAAGATATAAATATATACTCTACTAATGTCATAGAAAATACAACCACATTATTTACTTTACCTCCTGCATCGCAAATCATAAATCTATCATTATGTTTCAAATTGAATTGTTCACATTTCTTTTCACAATAAAGGGCAGCAGCTTCAGGTTCAGAAATAAGCATCAAACGATCACGATGGTCATCTTCTTGAATAAGGCCTGCCATAATAGCAGCTTCACGCATCGTACTTTTTGCTTTATCAGACCACATGGCAGGTACAGTTAAACACTACAATATAAATATATGTATATATAAATATAAATAGATACTCTATTATTCGTATGCTATCCAAATAGTCAACACACACACACACACTTACATATCTAAATTGATGTTGTCCATAATTTTTTGCAAAGCCTTTTCTTAGTTCACTACACACGTGTTCATGAAAAGCTCGAAGATAATCCGAGATAGCTTCAACGATAGTTAGACCATTAGGAAGAGGAGGTAAATCTTTTGCAATATTTTCATCCAAATAAAGCTTATATTGTTTTAACAAAACCGAGTTTCGAGCAGTAGGACGTTGCATTTCTAAACGTGCAGCATTTCCCCATTGAGTCATTTCTTTTGAATTTCCTTGATAGAAATTGAGTGTAGGTGTCTTTATGAGAATGTTAATATAAATAAAGTGTAAAGCCTCTTTTTTTTTAAAAAATAATAATAATAATAATAATAATAATAACTTTACCTTTGGATATACATTGTTATTTTGCTTTGGCCTGTATATATACAAATGGTTCATATATTTAGTAGTTTAATTTCATTTAGTATAAAGATATATAAATATAAAAATATATACATGTATACATATTTACCATCGAACTACATCCACAACTTCATCATTTTGAATGAAAGCATATGAACATCCAGAAAAAGTGGTACCTATACAGAATATAAGTCAATGAGTGTGTGTGTGTGTTTTATTTATTTAATTATAATAAAAATTGTATATAACTATATATTACCGAAATCGATACCAATGACAACGGGATAGTCATTAATATGAAAAAGTTTAGATTGCGCCATCTCGATGTATATAAATATATAAATAATTAAATATTTATGTATATATTTTGTATATACTTATTATATCTCTTTCTCGATAAACTTGGTATATACAAAGAAAGGGAATAATAATAAAGGAACAAAAAAAAAAAAAAAATAGTATTATTATTGTTACTACAAGAGTTTAATAGTTATAAAATAATTTTATTTATTTCGGAATTTTAAATTTTGATAATATTTTACATTCTCAGACAATTTAAAATCATAATAATTTTTCTTTCCCTCTGCTTGAGGATAAAGAGTATCTAATAAAGGAGTCAATGTAAATAAATAAATCATGTTTATAATTACTGTAGGAAGGAGAAGTGTGTGATTGAGTGTATATGTGTGTGAGTGTGTGAGTGTGTGTGGGTGTATGTAGATGCTTTATTATTTTAATACCAAAGTTTTTATTCCATTTCTTCCTCTTTTTTGAAATGTTAAGAACGTTATGAAAGCCACTTTTATTTCTATTATTATTTTATATTGATTGTAAAAAAAAAATAAATAAAAAAATGCTATACTATAAACTTTCCTTACTTACTTTTGCCCTCCAGTCCAATTCATTCCTATTTCTTTTCTCTTTTAAAGAAGAAAAAAAAAGGGGTGGGTAGGTGGGTGGCTGGAATTAAAGCAGAAAAAAAAATAGTTTTTATAAGCTTCTTTAATAACCAGTTACATTATGTTTATGTTGGCTAGCAACAGAAGATCAAATATTACCTGTTTCTTTTTAAATAAATAATAAATAAATAAATAAATAAAAGATGCATGCATGCATATTTATTCATCTCGGTCGTCTACAACTACTACTACTTTATTTGCATCGACCTCGGTCAGTCGTCAAGAATGGGTAGACACAATTGAAAAATACAGAATATTTTATTTGATAACCGAAATAATCTATCAAGTTTCAAAGGCAGCACATCAAGATAAGATCGATGATAGTAGTAGTAGTCATACATCCTTCTCCACGAATCATTTACAAAAGCCTATAGTAACATATTATCTTTAAGTCTTTTTTTTTCTTAATTTCATATAATAGTGTAAGGTGATATTAATGAAATTATAACTGGAAATAACATTCGATGTCCAACTGAAGAAGAAGCTATTTATTTTGTAATGAATAATCTTCAAACCAGGAATGAAACTACTTTTAGTGTTAAATTTACATGTAAGAAAAAAAAAAAGATGTATTTATATAAATTTTTTAATAAAAAAAGAAAATTAACGTCTTTTGAGTTGGTTATCTAATGTTCGTCTTTGTTGGCCAAGCCATGAACTGGGAGAAGCTCTACTGTTTACAATATCTTTGTTTGCCCTTCTTGACATATCATACCATGCAGAAATCATGAGTTGTTGTTCACGACGAGCTTGAACACGAGTCTCATTAAGTTGCTTTTTAAGCTTATCATTTTCTTCATCTCGAAGTGCTACTTCAGTTTTCAATGAAGCAATAGCTTCATCATATTTTGTTGCATCTTCTGTAGGTTTAGTATCTTTTAGCACCTTATCTTGTTGAACAATAAACTAAAGAATTAATTAATTAATTAGTATATATATATACATATAAAGCCTCATGTTCTCTGTTACCTCTCTAGCTTTTTTTAATTTAATCTTATGCTCATGAAGCTCTTCTTGTAATTGAATAAGCTGCTTTTGCAATTGCGCGTTTTGTTGTTTAATCGGCTCATCATCTTTAGCTTCAAATGCAGCCAAGGAAGCCTTCATTTCACTATTTAATTTTTCCTTTTCTAACAATAAATCTTTCTGTTCAATACTTTGACCTTGTAAAAGATCTTTTTCTAATAAGAGCTTGTTGATATCTTGTAATTGTTTCTTTGTCTGTTCTTCTAAATGTTTTGATTTCGTCTCCATCTCCATAAACTTATTTTGAAGATCTTCATCATCATTCCATCGACCATTCGCTATCTTTTCTTCATACTTACGTACAGTTTCATTCAATGATTTTATTTCTTTTTGAAGTTCAATTGTATGTAGACGTAATGATAATGTATTCGTTGATTGGTCAACAAGAGCATCAGGAATACCTTCTCGGATACGCGCCATATCGCTTTGTAATATGTCACGTTCCTGTGATACTTCGAGATAACTCTTTTCAAATTTGTTCTTGAGACGGTTAGCATCATCAAGTAAATGTTGAAGCACAAGCACTTTTTGCCCACCACCTGCTGCTTTTTCTTCTTTAAGTTGCTTCACTTGTCGTTCAAGACGTCTCTTGGTTAATTTTCTAAAGATATGAAAAAAAAATATTTTAGATATAAAAGCTCCCTTTTTTTTTCTTTTGAACAAATGTATTTACAATTCTGTAACATTAGTTTCCTTCAAGGAGTCTTCTAGTGAATCATTTAAATCATATTCGTCAATCTCCATATCATCCGTATTTCCTGTTGTTTCTCTTTGTGACAAAGGTCTATCCACTGCATTTGCTACTATTTGTTAAATAAATAATACATGTTAAATAAAAAGGTAATATGATTTGAATCAATAAAAAAAAAATTTACAACCAAGCTGAGCTTCTTGAAGATGATCTTCTAAAGCTTGAATTCGCTCATAATCTCTTTCTTTATCAGCTTCCATCATTTGAATCTTTTTGTTGGCTTGATCAAGATCATATTTAATTTTGTTCTTCTCGCGAACCAACTCACTATTCTCTGTCTCTAATGAAGCCACTTGTTCCTTATAAGAATCCATCAGGGTCTTGAAGGCCATAATATTACGATATTCTGCCTCAATTTTTTGACTATGTTCACTTATTTGATGATTTTGTTCTTCTAAAGTTTTTACTTGTCTTCTCAAGTCTGCTGTTTCCTCTAGCTTCTTTTTATATTTTTCAATCACATTTTCCGCTTTCTGAAGTTTTTCTGCTGTATGACGATGTTCATCTAACTGATCCTTTAATTTGACTGCTTGTTCTGCATACTTTGTAAGATCGTCATTCTAAAAAAAAAAAAAAAAAAAAAAAAAATGTGTTGGGAAATCTCGAATGTCTTTTTCTATTTCTTTTTTTTACTTTTCTACCTTGCGCTTTAATTCTTTGATCTTTTGACTTTGTTCGTCTAATTTTCTTTCTTGTTCTTGACGCATATCTTCATTTCTTTGTCTAAAAAAAAAGAAAAGAAAGGTTTCATATTAATATGACAGTTTGAATAGACTATGTGACCTATTTTACAAGTCCTGTTTTAGGTGTTCAATTTCTGTTCTCATAATAAAATCAGCTCTGCCTGTTTCGTTTGCTTGTGCGACAGCTATATCCATATCCTTTAATCTTGCTTGTAAATCTTGTTTTTCATTTTCTAATTTATCCTATCAAGTTAAATATGAGCATGATTTCTCTTAGTGTTGACTTTAAAGGGGACCTACATATTTTGTTAAGAGTTCTGAATGTTTATCGATCAATTGTTTATTTTGTATCTCAAGCTCTTCCTTTTCTTTTGAAATTCTAGACAGTTCATTTTGAGATACAAATGTACCGTCTTCATACGAATTGTGTTGGGTATAATTGTCAGAAACCATTCGAGGTTCCATAGGTTGATCGTCTCTAGTATATTTCATGATCTATACAAAAAAAGGGCTTAGCTTTACATGATACATACATATACATTTAGCTTACCTCATCAATAAAATGCATCAGGTTTTCTTGACTGATACTACTCAATTGAGTAATTCTTTGAATATATTCACTATTATTTGGACAGCAAACAGCAATATACAAAATGTATTTACATAATTGAATGATTTCGCGAGTATCCGCATCCTTGGCAATTGCATTCAAATTAACTTCAGGTAATTTTGAAAATGAAATACCGAGTTTTTCTTCATAATAACGTGATACTAATTTATATAGTTTTTTTAAATTGTTAATCTTTAATACCCAATTATCTCCAACATCAGTTGATCGAATAAGTTTGAACCATTTATGATCACTAGGAAAAAAGAGAGAGAGAGAGAGGGAGGGAGAGAGAGAGGAAGAAAATGTTAAAACATGCATAAAGCTTTTTATTTAGTATTTACATGTTTGAAACAACTTCAAAAAGTGTAATGCCATCGGATAATTGTTGAATGTGAGTAACTGGGTGTGAAATGCCATCAAATGAATTTAACTACATTTAACAATGTTCATTAAATTATTTTCTTTTTCTTTTTTTTCTCTATATATATTATTATTACCCATAAAATAATGGCAGCTTCAGGACTCCCTTCAGCCTCAGCAATTCTCATCATGTTAGAGAAATGGGCCCGAAATTATTTAAATTATAAATTTTTTGTTGTTAAAGAAAAAAAAATTAAAAAATAAAAATAAAAATAAAAAATAAAAATAAAAATAAAAGGTAAAGCTAAAATTAATTAAAGGAGCAATAACAAAATTATCCAATCAAAATCATGCATTTTAATCATAGTCTTTAAACAGGCACGAGATTTTTCTCTGAAATAGTAACATTTTGATATTTTTCCGTTCTTTTAATATGCAAAATACCACAACATAATGGGCTATTAAGTTTATTGATATTAAAATTAGTTTTCAAGTTATATAACTCGTACTCACTACTAACATGTAGAATAAGAATTCCTTTCTTTTGAAGGACAGATGTTCTATTTTTACGTTAGATGTAACCATTAAAGCAAACATAGTAACTACTTGAATTGTAATAAGCTAGAATAGTTTCTAATTGTTGGAGGTTATGTTATAAAATACTAAAATAAGGATCTATTAAAGAATTCATATCTATTTTAAAATAATGTTTATATTGTCTATGTATCTATTTTACCCTTAATTACGTATTGAATATTCTTGTAGTCGCGTTCACTTGTAAGGTGCGTTTTATTAAAATTGAAACTACTGCCCATAGTGGTTTTTTAGTCTGAATTTAAAGTATACAAAGAACAAAGTATTAAATAGAAAAAAGAAGATACAAAATTTTGTTCATAAATAATACACAAAACACAAAATACAAAAATGAACTTTTCCCTTTGTCTTTTTTTTTTTTTTTTTTTTTTTTTTTTTTTTTTTTTTTACTTCTATAAATAACAACAATAATAATAATAACAGCCTTTTTTTTTTGTTTTTTCCTTTCGATTTCTTTTTAAACCCTTCGACACTCCATATATGTTTCTGTGGGGTCCATAGGTAATGCACAATAAAATCCTAGTTTTTGCATTTGTGAAAACATTTGGGTATCTATTCACAAAGATCAATAATCTAATTTTTGATATTTAAATACATGCATATCTATTATACTTTACAATCCAACTTGAGCTTTACACACTCCTTTTCACCAGTTAAAGATTGACGGCAAAGTGTTTGCTCTTTTTGATCAATTGTATATTCATTACCTGGTGCAGCATTTACAAATGTATCCAGACGAGCGAGTTCATTCTCGGTATTAATAGGCATTATGTATGTATATATATCTAATCTTATAAGTTTTCTTATATTATTATTTCATATTTATATAAAGGATCTACCTCAAAGTGTAAAGTCAAATAAGAAAAAGAAAAGAAGAATGTTCATTTTGTTTTTTTTCTATTTTGTTTTTTAAATTGTCGGATATTGAAGTTAACAACATCATCATCATCATCATCAAGCACTAATATTTAAACCTCCACCCTGGGTCTAATTTTCTATCACATGAAGTAATTATTGGCTGTTTTACTTCAGCACTGACGTTATGCAAAAATAAGAAATTTTATTAAGTCATTTTTATGATGTTGGTTATTGTTTTTCAAACCGAAGGAAATCAACTGCAATTTCTACATTTTTCTTTTTATGAAATTTGTACATCATTGGTACATCAAACTATAATGAGGGTAATGAATTAGTTTTTTTTTTTCTTTTTTTTCTTTTTTGCTTTTTAAACCTTTAATTCTGCTACAACTTCAAAACTCACACCCCATTCTTTTGCCTTTTTTTCAATATGCTAAATATGAAAAAAAAAAAAACCCATTTAATAAAATTAAATTTTATAATCAAGTTTAATACTTACATCCCTTGTAGAGGTTTTGTGTAAAGAATATACGGATGTGTTTGCAATCTGTGAAAGGCAAAAAAAAAAAAAAAAAAATTAATGACATTTGAATTCTCTGAAAAAAAAAATAATAATATTGCATGTCTTTAACCACTGACCTCTATTGCCTTTTTTAACAATAACATGTCAATCCCTTTATTATTTTTTGTACCAAAAGGTGGATTCATAATAATAGTGTCTAATTTTCCTTTAAATCCATCTAATGAACAAGTACTTAGATCAACATTAACAAAATCAACATCGACTTCAAAGGTTTCACAATTCTCCTGTGCAATCTTTATAGCATCAGGATCAATATCAAATCCAATACTATAACTAATTTTTTTTTATACATGCAATGTTGTTTTGTGAACAATCAGATATTTTTTTTTTGGAAAGAGGAATGGGATTACCTTGCACCAAGAATATTAGCAGCTATACTTAAAATACCACAACCACTACCAAAATCACCAATGGCTTTATCCTCAATATCATTATAGACTGTATCTGCTGTATAAAGCATTCTTGCAGCTAAATGAGGAGTAGTTGGGTATTGTTCAAATTGAATCTTGGGTTCATCTATTTTTTTTTTAAAAAAAAAAAATGAAATAAAAAAAAACGGGTGGATAGAGGAAGAAAGAGAAAAAAAAAGTCTTAATAGAGAATTGAAAATATTCAACAAGATCAATCATGTTACCAAACACTTCGCAGTCTTGTAATATACTTTCTAATTCTTTTAATTTCATTAAATTGTCATGTCCTTTTTTTTTTTTTTTTTTCCTATTAAAAAAATATGTATATTTATACAGATATTTATACATTATTATGATTCATTGTCGTGGCTTAAAATTAAAAAAAAAAAAAAAAAGCTTCGAGAAATACATGGAAGAAAATCTTCCCCGCGATTTAAAAAAAAACAATAAAGTTCATCATGTACCTCGCACATTTATTATTATTATTTTGACAGTAAAAGTGATAAACCCATTCATGTTTATATATCGGAGTTAGTACATAAATGCTGTAGATTGGGTGATTACCATGTGCGTTACACTATAATAAAAATCTTCATTATCAAAAGGAGGACTTGAAAGAAGTTATTAATTTGTCAATCTTTTTTCTTTTTCTTTTTTAATTGTCTAAAATCAATGAGAATAAGTGTTCCATAGTGTATTACACGTGTGGTTTATTCTTTTTTTAGAGGAAACTATTTCTTTTTTCTCCCGTACAACTAGATGTCAATTCAAAAAAAAAAAAAAAAATACTAAAAAAGGGAATACTTTGACAGCTTCCCTTAGTTAAGTATTATTACTAAATCGATCCTCATTTATAGGATGAATACTCAACATGTTTAATGCATGGTGACACGATTCTATTTTAAATGATTTTTACTAGTTTATAAAATTGGCTTTTATTATGATGATGATGATGATGATTATAATTGTTATTATGTAATATATAGATTTAAATGCATTGAATTGTAGTATGGAACAAAAACAAAAAAAAACCAATTATTATGAACGTGAATTTTTATGTAGAGACTTTTTTTTTGTAGATTTATGATGACGTATGATAGAGAATGAAGATATGCATGTATAAGTTTTGAACAAGCCAAACTAAATCAAGTAGAATGGAATAAAGACCAAAGGTAGAAGAAAAAAGTTAACGCTTTACCGGAGCAGGATAAGGTCTTGGAAGAGCAGGCTTTGTGGGTCTATCTGGTGGCATGATTTGAATGATAAAAATAAGATGAATTTAAATTGTAATAATAATAATAATAATAAAAAAGAAAAGAATCGAAAAATCTTCTATTATTTATATATTGATTGAATTGTTACACTAAAATGGGAGTTTCTTTTATGAACAAGATTGTCTCCTGTATGTAGATTGTGTATCCAATACTTTATTTATTTATTTATTTATTTTTATTAGGAAAGAAAGAACACAGAATATTCTTTATTTTATAAAATGAATAAAGTCTTTATTTTCAATTCTGTTTCGAATTTGAAGTGATGATTCAGCATTTGTATCACTGTTTGACAGAGCCTTTTTTTTTTCTTCTTGTCAAAATTTTATTACTTATTAAACTGCCCCATTCATATTTAAAATGTATCAAACAAGTTAGCCGCCCAAAACTTTATTATTATTTTTCACACATCTCTTCAAAACTATAATGGCCTTATTAAACAATAAAAATGAAAAAAAAATATAAGAAAATAAAAAAAAATTTTGCTTAACTGACAACAAAATATAAAATGATGTCCATCTCTTTAATGTACCATTTATTGTTCTTTTTTTAATCTATAAATTATATAATTTAATTCATTATTATAGACTATAATTATTCTATTTGTTTTGTTTATATGTATGTATGTATATATTCATACATTTACGTATACATGTATTCATATATGTATATGTATAAATATAGAATTTTGTTTCACTAATTAAAATTCATTTTCTTTATCAACAATAACAACAAAAAAAAAAGATTTACTCCTTTCCCCTAAAACTATATTTTATTCTCGTTGTTGGGTGTATTTAAAAGTTTTTTTTTTTTTTTTTTACTCATCAAGGGAATAACAAGCTGAAATTAAAGTTAAGCTAGCTAAGCCAATAAGAAACTCGTATTTGTTTTGATTCAGGAACAAAAAAAAAAAAAAAAGAAAGGTTCTCATTTTGAGAAAGCTGCAAACAAAGATATATTTTGATAATGGTACATTATTTTCCCTTCTTTCAGAAAATAATTAAAAGGTTTTCTTTATGTAAACAAAATGAATCAAATGAGAATAAATATCATTTTTTAAAAAGGAAACAATGATTGCTTAGGATGAATATTTTATTAGAGGGAAATAAGAATGAATAAATGACAAAAAGAGAAAAATAAAAAGATAGCATATCTTGATTTATTTTTTAACACAAAATAAAAAAAAAGGTCATTTACTATTATTTATGAACACTATTCATGTAGATTGACTATTATATAATGGACCAATATAATAATAAAAACGTCATGAATTATAAGTATATGAATTTACATCATATACATGTATATAAAAGACATCTTCTTTATTATTTCCTAATAGGTCTTTATTAAATCATTGATGAAACCTTTTTAATAATTCAATGATCAACAAGTGATGATAATTAGCATAAATAATGTCCTCCTTCCACAAATATAGATATATACATAGATATATATATATACAAACAATTTGGATGTATATGATAATCATAAGCTATTGAATACGAGCCTTATATTTGATTGTTATTCAAAGGAATATATATTATTTATAAACTACATTTGATTCTACTATAAAAATTGATATAAAGAGTACAAGCAGCTAAAAAAAAAAAAAGAGCCTATTAAACAATGCATTTGTATATAAACAAAAAAGGAGTGATAAAATGAATCATCAAAACAAGTCATTGAGAGGATTGTTATTGAAAGTTTGTTTGTTTGTTTATCTATCAATCATCTCCAATGAAATTATTACGAGATTTTTCATAGATTGTTGTCTTTCTTCTTTTCTTTTTTTTCTTTTTTACAGGGAAAAGGGTAGATTTTAATTACTTTATGGAATATCATGAATCGTCTTCTTTAACACTGAAAAGTAGAATTCTTTATATACATGTATATACATATATAGTGGGATAGAAAACGAGTAAAAATTATACTGTATATAACTTGTTGATATTATGTCTATCAATATGCTAACATAGCTAGACGACTTAGCTAATGTTTATTCCTTGGTAATTTTTTTTTTCATATCACACAAACATGATACATTTATATATTATTTCTTATAAAAAAAAAGGGTTTGTTTATAAACGACACATTTGTATAATACATGAAACTGGGAAAAAAAAATTGAATAGTAATGGTTTAACAGTCCGACATCATGGTTAAATAACATGCACTCACTCACTCATTCTACTAAAATCATATACGTTTGCTAACTTGAATAAAGTCAATACAAGAAACTACTGTATCTAATGAGTCACATTAATTGAAACATAGCCCTTATTATCATTCATACACACATGTATAACAAATTTCAACTATTTAGAGTGGGAGTGAGGAGAGGGAAAAAAAAAAGCAATTTTAACCTAACCTTACGTTGAGCACATTTTATTTTTTATTTTTTTTATTTTTTCACTTTATGTTGTTAATAACAAGATAACAGAAACACGATACTTACAATACCGAATGTTAATTTTGGAAGCTTTATACATTTACAAGATTGCCGTATATACAAATTTTCTGTAATTACTTCAAAATGGTATAAATATAAAGTGTTAGTTACTTTTAAATCAATCAGCCTAATGTAACAAGTAATTTTTATGACACAGCGTTGGTCAATTTGAAAGAATCCAGGGAGGGCAGGCAGGCAGGCAGGCAGGGATTTTTTTTCCCCAGTTATAAAAAATGAAAAAGCATTGATAACTAATAAAAGTGTATTGTACACACTACTTTGTCGGAAGAAAATGAAAGCCTACAAAAATAAACTCCATTCACATCATATTATGGCTAAAGATTAATAATGAAGGACCAGGATGGAAACACTGACGACTAACGATTATCTATTAAAATAAAATAAAGAGAAAATACTTGAATTCATAAAATACAGGCTTTATTATAACATATCAAAATCTTGGATATATATATACATATACATATATTTATTTATATATATTTACCATCGCTGATACTTTACAAAGTAAGATTTTGATAATTTAGTCTACTACTACTTTTGTTGCAGTAGATGTCAAGGGAGTAACAAAAAAAAGTGGTAGTAGTAATACAATTTTTTTTTTTTTTTTTTTTTTTGGTTAGGAAACCTTCGGAATAAGATATCCGAGGACATGAATGGGTACTACCAGAATCTACAGCTTCACCACTTTTTAACTTTTTTTAAGATTTGATAAGAAAATTGGGGGGGGGAGGAGGAGGAGAGAGAAGGGAGGAAGGGAGAGAGAGAGGGAGGGAGGGAATAACAAGCAGCAGCAGCAGCAGTTTTCTCCTTCTTCTTCTCATCTTTTTATATAATGAAAATAATCTTTTTTTATGACTTGCGTGTTATTAATAGGGAAACTTTAATTCCACATCTATTGTCTATGTTCATCTCGATATATTGAGTCAAATATCATGATTACGACAAAATTATCTATTAAAAATAAAAACGATTATATTAACTCAAATTTTCTACAGTGGTATCATCTATGAAAATAAAAAATAGAAATCCTTCTTTCCATAATTACATAATAACAACAAAGTTTTATTTATTTTTATTATGATTATTATTACTAACAAATATATATGAAATTTATATTTAGCAAAGTGATGACGATATATGATACAGTGGAAAAATAAAAAAAAAAAAGGAAGAGAGACGATGAATGATGAATACATATATATTTCTGTGTTTGTTTGTTTGTTTAAGAAGCTATACAACAAACTATGTAATCATATTTTAATCAACTTCTTCAACAGTAGGTCCATTATCATGACCACTACCACCACCAGGAGCAGCACCAGGGAATCCACCAGGGGCACCACCACCGGGGGCACCACCAGCACCTTGATACATCTTCATCATAATAGGGTTAGCAATCTCTTCTAATTCCTTTTGACGTGATTCATATTCTTCCTTGGAGGCCTCTTGAGAATTGTCTAACCAGTCAATCGCTTCCTTCACTGCTTGATTCAATTTTTCTTTATCAGCTGCATCTAATTTAGATGCCACGTTCTCTTCTTGAAGTGTATTACGCAAGTTATAGGCATAGGATTCTAATCCATTCTTGGCTTGAATACGTGCAGCAGCCGCTTCATCTTCGGCCTTGTATTTTTCAGCATCATTCACCATACGTTCAATCTCTTCCTTCGAGAGACGACCCTTATCGTTTGTAATGGTGATCTTATTGGATTTACCCGTGGTTTTATCAAGGGCAGAGACATTCAAGATACCGTTTGCATCTACATCGAAGGTCACCTCAATTTGAGGGACACCACGTGGAGCAGGTGGGATACCTGTTAATTCAAATTTACCAAGCAAGTTATTATCCTTTGTACGAGCACGTTCACCTTCAAAGACTTGAATCAGGACACCTGGTTGATTATCAGCATAGGTAGAGAAAATTTCTGATTTCTTGGTGGGGACGGTTGTGTTACGCTTGATGAGGGGGGTCATGACACCACCTGCTGTTTCAATACCGAGGGAGAGAGGAGCGACATCCAAGAGCAAGAGAGAATCGGTCTTTTCAGATGTGTTACCTGTCAAGATAGCAGCTTGAACAGCGGCACCGTAGGCAACGGCTTCATCAGGGTTGATGGATTTGTTAGGGTCCTTGCCATTAAAGAAGTCAGAGACCAACTTTTGAACCTTAGGGATACGTGTAGAACCACCCACGAGGACGATATCATGAACTTGAGACTTATCAATCTTGGCATCACGAAGGACCTTCTCGACTGGTTCCATCGTCTTACGGAAGAGATCTTGGTTCAATTCTTCAAAGCGAGCACGCGTTAAGGAAGTATAAAAGTCCATACCTTCAAAGAGGGAGTCGATCTCGATCGTCGTTTGAGCAGCAGAGGATAAGGTACGTTTAGCTCGTTCACAGGCAGTACGAAGTCGACGTACAGCACGAGCATTCCCTGACATATCCTTTTTAAATTTACGCTTGAACTCTTGCATAAAATGATCTACAAGACGATTATCAAAGTCTTCACCACCCAAGTGAGTATCACCCGCTGTAGCCTTGACCTCAAAGATACCATCTTCAATCGTCAAAAGTGAGACATCAAAGGTACCACCACCCAAATCGAAAATCAAGACATTCGTCTCTGATTTTGCTTGTTTATCTAAACCATAGGCAATAGCAGCTGCTGTGGGTTCATTAATGATACGAAGTACATTTAAACCAGCAATTGTGCCAGCATCCTTTGTAGCTTGACGTTGTGAGTCATTAAAGTAAGCAGGAACTGTGATAACGGCTGCATCGACTTTACCACCTAAATAAGCCTCTGATGTCTCTCTCATCTTTGTAAGGACCATGGATGAGATTTCTTCAGGTGTAAATGTCTTGCTTTCACCCTTGTAATCGACTTGAATACTTGGTTTGCCTCCCTTGTCAATCACCTTGAAAGGCCAATGCTTCATATCAGCTTGAATTTCATGATCATTGAAACGGCGACCAATCATACGTTTAGCATCAAAGACAGTGTTATGAGGGTTCATCTAATCATGATAACAAAAAAAAAATTATATGTAAGAAATATATATATACATATATGTATTTATATGTGTGTATATAACTTACAGCCACTTGATTCTTTGCGGCATCACCAATAAGACGTTCAGTGTCGGTGAAGGCGACATAAGAAGGAGTTGTACGGTTACCTTGATCATTAGCGATAATTTCAACACGATCATTTTGCCATACACCTACACAGGAATAAGTAGTACCCAAATCAATACCAACAGCGTTTTTAGACATTCTTATTTATCTGTTTTAAATGAAATAAAGAAAATAAAAATAGAAGAAAATAAAATAAAAGGATACTAATAAAATAGAGACTTTTATATATAATCGTCGTGAATTTCTTCCTCCCCCCCAAAAAAAAAAAAAAAAAAGAAAAAAAAAGTTTAATTTGCATAATATTCTAGACATTTCTGCGTTATAACATTGGATAAGATTCATTTACCGCATTAAAAAGCTTCATGGGTTTTATTTCTATTTTATGTTAATAAAAATGGACATTATTTTTACCAGAATATACTACATAATTCTAGTAAATTCATCATAAAGCAAGAAAAAAAAAAGTATTATCATTCATAGTTTCTTTTATATGTCTATTGTTCTTTTATGTAGTGTACATTAGGATAATCACTTTAATGAACGTCCAGTAGTAGTAGTTGTTGTAGTAGTAGTAGTAGTAGTTGGTGAAGAGAAAAATAAGATAGAAAAAATTATATATGTATATGCATCTATATATAAATATATAAACACATAAATAAATAAAAAAAGTCTCTTTGTTAACGATTTCTTTATGGATAATAGTAATAGTAATAGTGACTTCAATGAAGAAAGATATTTATATGGTATTGAATATATCTAGAAAATTGAAATAATAAAGTATGACGCCTAAATAAAACTTAACTCGTTTGTTATGTAAATTGATCAAGATAATGACTCTTCTTCGTCAAAAGATTCTTTACAAAGTTGGATTACTTGGTTCTGCTCATTAGTAGGACACGAATTTTATTTAAAAGTGCCTGAAGAGTTTATAAAAGATGATTTTAATTTGACTGGACTATCGGATATAGTGCCTTATTATCGCCAAGCCTTAGAAACCATTTTAGATATGGTAGAATGGGATGAATTCTTTGAAACAGATAAGATAAAAAACGTAGGAGATCCACGTATTGTTGAACCTTATACATTTATGCTGTATGGGTTAATTCATCAACGTTATCTTTTAACACAAGAAGGATTAGATGCAATGGTAGAAAGATATAAAAGACATGACTTTGGAACTTGTCCTCGATATTATTGTTATCAAACACCTGTTTTACCTATAGGCAGATATACAGAAGCTAATAAAGAAAGTCTATGTCTTTATTGTCCAAGATGTCTAGACATATATAAGCCACCCAATCCTATTTATCAATGTGTAGATGGTATTATGATGATGATGATGATGTTTGTAGATATTTTATTTTATTTATTTATACTATGTAGGTGCTCATTTTGGTAATACATATTGTCATCTAATATTCCTTATTTATCCTGAATTATTATAATTTACACTGACATAAACAAAAAGAATATTTTCGTAGCAGTATTAATAGTATTAGTGGTAGTAGTGGTAGTAATAGTAATAGTAATAGTAGTAGTAGTAGTAGTAGTAGATCAGCCTAAATTATTAAATATCCTCCCTTTTTTTTTTTTTTTTTTTTTTTTTTTTTTGCGTTTCTTTTTGCGTTTCTTTTTTTTATTATTATTATTAGTATTTATTTATTATTATAAATTGACAGTTTGTTTGAATGAATGAAATTAAATTACCTGTACAAGAAGAGCATAATTTGTCTCCTTTTATTATCGGAACAATTATTATTTCAATTATTGCAGTGATTGGAATTGCAGGTGTCTTGATTTATTTACTTGTTCAAAGAGGAAGGAAACAACAAGAAGAAGAATTATTATCAAATAATAAGAATAATATCATTAAAAAGTTATTATTTCCACAAACTACTCACAATCATCCAGTGACTTCATCTTTAGATAGTCCAGAAATATTTTCAACCATCTTAAAATATCCGCCCTCAGGAACCATCGTCACTGCTCCTCCTCTTTCTCTTTCTCTTCCTCCTACTTCTTCTTTATGTAAAAATAAAACTTCTTTACGTGATACAACGTTCATAGATCCTATCTCTATTTCGATTGCCAGACAAAGTATGGAAGAAAGAATGGGTTATTATAAAAGTCCAAATAGAAAGCCTATTCCATATTATGAGCATTATCGTCATTCTGCTATTTTTAGTAGCTCTACAGTAAATAATAATAATAATAATACATTCATGCAAGAGAATGATGATGACGAGGATATAAAAGTGATGAAAAGTTGGCCTGATACATCTTACAAAGTTTGGTGATAATAATGATTAAATATACCTTATATTCATTTCAGTATATATCTTGGCCCTCCTCCACCTATATTTGTACATATTTGTATTTATTTACAAAAGGAGAATATATATAATCAAGCCTTTTATATAAATATGTATATAAATAAATATATATGAATATATGTATATATGTATATAGATATGAATATATGTATATATGTATATAGATATGTATATGTGTATACATGTATATAGATATGTATATATGTATATGTGTATACGTTTAAATAAAAGGAGTTGTTGTTTTATGCACAAGTTGAAAATTATAAATACATGTATACATACATATTTATATATACTTGTATATAAATACATATAAAAGGCTTCTCTTCTCTTTTTCATGTTGGGTTATCATGTTTTCTCTCTTCTAATAATCTGTCAATCATCGTATTCAAATAATAAGCATGATGATATTTACAATAACCCATAGAGACACTCCATTGCCATATTAGATATCTTCTTTTCCTTTGTTGATAATATCGATCATTCAATCTTTTCATCACTAGCTTGAAAAACTTTTTATAAATTGACTTTTTCCTTTTATTATTAGTTTGTTCTTTATGATTATCTGTTAAAGAATATAGAAAGATAGATTCCTTTTTATCTTGTAAGACTGTGGTAGATTCCTCTGATGTATAAGCATGACTACCGGAGGATAGAACAACAAGAGTCGCTGAGGAACCAAATGATTGCAAGCCATCATAATATTGTTGATAATGATGATGTCCCTGTCGATTATTGTAAATGGGTGAAAGTGTTTGAATAGAATCCATTTGTGTATAAATTTCAATAGCTTGCTTTCTCCAAAATTCTCCTACCCTTTGTCGATCTATACGTCGCTTTTTCGCTCGACGTTGACGGAAACACCAAGTACAATATTGAAATAGGAGAATGGCTGTGTAAAATAATCCCAACCCAATAGTTATCCATGGTATAATTTTTTTATAAGCGATAGATTCGCAAAATGATGACATCGTACTAGTCGTTGTATTCATAGTAACACCTTCTATACTTGAATAGCAACGAAGACAAAGTAAAAAAAAAGATAAACAAAGGAAAAAGAAGAAGAAGAAGGGAAAAAAAAAGATAGTTATTTGCAAGTACATAGTTCTCCTTCCTTCGATTTTGCATAAAATTATGTTAAGATCACATATATATACACTATAGCATCAAATAATAGTTAGTTTTAGAATAGAATACTTGATAGACTGCATTATTCTTCTTTTTTTTTTATTTAGCTATATCATCATCTACTCCATACACATTCTCCTTTTCCCTCCTCTCCCTACTTTTAACATCGGTAATTCAGTCGGTATCAAAGCTAATAATCCGGGATTAAAAATAATTTTTTGTATACTCATCATTTAAAAGCAACTTCAGGAGCTCTTAGGTACCATTAATATATATTTATATAGATAGATATATACATGTATAAGAGACTATATAAGCAGGAATAATTTTATATAAAAGTATAGAGTATAGTATGCATACATCATTGTCACTCATCTTTTCTATTATATACATGAATATGCAATGTAGAATGATATAGGTTATAAACAAACGATTCTACACTTTACGCACTAGTTTGATTTTATAATTTCAACTAGATGTGACTATAGAATATGTTTATATATATAACTATACAAAAATCATAATCGTATATAAATATAGTTGATTACAAAAGGTGCTTTTTTAAGTAAAGTAAAATCAATGTTCAAGTGATATTAGCTATTTTTTTTTCTTGATCCAAAGTATATACAGCAGAAAGAGATATTAGGGTTCATCTTATTGAGAGAGACTATATCATGATTATCACAAATTCAAGGAGCTTTGAAACCTCATCCATGCAGAGTCATGCAAGGCCCTTTTTTTTTGGAGAATAAGCTTCCTAAACGTGAATCAAAATCTTATGTTAATGTTCTTCCTTAATTTGCTCGTTGATCATAATTATTTTTTCTTTTCTTACTGTAAAAGTTTATTATCACTACTATCATAATTTGGATATTGACTCCTTTCTCTCTTTTACTACTAATCGTGCAATATTTACACACCTTTTAACTTGTTTCTTATATTCCCTCTCCTCCTCCTCCCTTTTGTATATTAAAAACCCTAAACGTTCTGTATTTACTTTCGGTAATCATTCTCTTCATTGAGTTAATTCCATGTAATAAATACATTTTATTATTTATTGCTTATTCAATTGACTTTTCAAACAAATAGTCTTATACTGTGTAAACTGATTTGATTGCCAAATACTACAAAAAAAAGAAAAAAAATGAAATATAAACGCCGCTCTTTTTTTTTCCTTTTTTTTTTTTTTTTAGAAGTATTTAAATGATGACGTTGACGGCAACGCGTTTGTTAAAGAAAGACGTACCTCATTTTTTTTTTTTTCCTCTTCTTCTTTTTGTTATTATTATTTCATTTTTTTTTAAAGAAAATATACACATATATATACATACATACATACATACATAACACAATATAATGTCTGGATACGATCGTGCTTTGACAGTCTTTTCACCTGATGGTCATTTATTTCAAGTTGAATATGCTTCCGAAGCTGTTAGAAAGGGAACTTGCGCTGTAAATAATCTTGTTCCAAAGATAATTATCGATTTTTTTTTAATCCAGTCAAAATAATGAAAACTGAAAATAACCTTTTATATATGTAATATAAATGTTTAGGTTGGTGTTCGTGGAAAGAATGTTGTTGTTCTTGGCGTAGAAAAGAAATCAATTTTAAAATTACAAGATGCTAGAACTGTTCGTAAGATTTGCATGCTTGATGATCACATTTGTATGGCTTTTGCAGGTAAATATATAATAATAAAAAAGAAGGGAAAGAGAGAGAGAGAGAGAGGAAGAAAGAAAGAAAGAAAGTCAAACTAGGCAACAATTATTTATAATTCGATATAATAATAGGTTTAACTGCTGATGCTCGTGTATTGATTAATAAAGCAAGAGTTGAATGTCAAAGTCATCGTTTAACTGTTGAAGATCCTGCATCAGTTGAATATATTACTCGTTACATTGCCCAAGTTCAACAAGTAAAGATTTTGTATGACTTATTATTTTATACCTTTTTTTTTGACTTTTTTTTTTTTTTTTTTTTTTTTTTTTTTTTAGAAATATACGCAAAGTGGTGGTGTTCGTCCTTTTGGTATTTCTACATTGATTGTTGGTTTTGATAACAAGGAGCCTAAATTGTATATGACTGAACCTTCTGGTATTTATACAGCTTGGAAGGTAAAATTAGAATGTTCAATTAGAAAAAGAAAATAGGATTTATGCTTATGATTATTTATAGGCTAATGCGATCGGTAGAAGTTCCAAAACAGTTCGTGAATTTTTGGAAAAGAATTATAATGAAGATATGGATGAAAAGAATACAATTAAATTAACTATTAAATCATTATTGGAAGTAGTCCAAACAGGTGCTAAAAACATTGAAATTGCAGTTATGACAGCAGATAATGTGGTTAAGGTAAAATATAATCTTGAGTATTTAAAAAAGTAGGAGGGGAGGGCGAATTCTCGTAATAATTTTGTATATTTTAGCGCTTAGAACAAGAAGAAGTTGAAAGCGTTGTTGCAGAGATTGAAAAAGAAAAGGAAGAAGAAGCTGAAAAGAAAAAGAAGCCAGCTACCACTGTAACATCTGGAGATAGTTAAAAAGTTTATTTCTTTCATTTATTGACTCAAATAAAAAAAACAAACAAAAAAGTATGCAAATAATGTAAGAAAATGCAGTTATATCATAATGTCATTTTATATTTCATTGTCATGCCATTTTGATTATCTAATGATCCAAATTGATATTCACCTTGGATTTCTTCAAGTTTAAGTATAACAGAATAAAATGAAGCAGGCATTAAACGAACGTAATTATTAATCATTGCTGTTGGATTATTGCCATCGATGATGGTTGCGTTTTCCCATTTTATAAATTCAACATCCATATAAGAACCCCAACCTAACAAATGCCATTGAACGACAGTTTCATTAAAGACCAAGTCCTTTGGTGAAGAAGATATCAAACCATTAATAGAAGGGAATTGATGGGCTTTATACACCTTATCTTGATCATAGTTGCTTATATCAAAATCAGGATATAATTCTGACATTGTTTGACTTAAATAAGGTGATAGATTTTCATCGGCCACTAGAGAATAATATACGTGTTACATATAAGAAAAAAAAAATAGGAGAGATGGTTATAATACCAAATAAGGCTGTAACAATATCATTGTTAAATGGTGATAATTTTCCTTGTCTATAAACTAGAATAGCTCCATATAATCCAGCATATCTTTTTTTTTTTTAAGAATAGAACGATTAAAAAAAAAAGCATCAGGACCTTCTTTCACATTACTTACATGTCATTCTCAGTAACATGTGAATGATATCCCCAAACAAGCGAATCACCATCTTTTGGGCCAGGACCTGCTCTTGGTAAAACACTCCATGTGTAAGTGTAATTTTGATTAGGCCCAACAGAGCTTTCCTGATAAGCATCTTTAAAGACAGCTCCTTCCATTTCAAATTCATAAAATATTCCCTAAAATATTAAACTCAATTAACATTACTTTTTTTTTGTTAATTTAAATATAAAGTTGAAAGCATTAATACATGTGGATGAATAGTAAAGTTTTTTGAAGCTCTGTTCCAAAAGAAAATTTGAATAATATCTCCTACTTCGGCTTTTAATATCGGTCCCATATTTCCTTGCCAATGAAATTTTTCTTTTTTTTTCGTAAATGTAATATCTTCATATTCATGATACAATGCTTTATAATATCTTGTTCCGATAAAATGATTTCCTTCTTTTTATTATTATTATTATTACAAGAAAATGAATAAAAAAAGAAAAAGAAAGAAAGCAAGATCATCTACACATGTATTGAATGGAATTATACCTGAAACTTTGGAATTAGTCTCGTTATAATAATCCCAAACTTCTTCTTCAATGGTCATGTAATATCGACGCACTTTTCCTGTTGTTGTTTGTTTAAATTCATCCTGTAATATGTCAAAATAATCAGATGCTGCAACTAGACTTGCGATTGATAGGAATATAAATAATAATAGTTGTCTCATTTTCTAAAAAAGATAATTATAAAGAATAAGGTAGACAAAAATAGCACAACAGAATAGATTATATATAGTACAGCGGGGCTTGTTGTCATCAGAACTTTGCTATATTTATATACGAACACGCAATAAAAATAACTCTTATTTATTGAAAGAAAAGTACTAGGTAGTGGGCCCCTTCTTTCATTGGTTATAACATTCTAAATAGTAGTGTTCGCTTTAACTGTCAATTTCTCATGTAGGGTGCCTCTATGTCTATCTTTCATTTGATTATTATGATATGTATATGCATATTATTTTTTTTCTTTAAAAAATAGACTCCCAAATGAGTGCAATATCCCAAAGTCAAATGATTCAAAATCAAATAAGAAAATAATAGTAACAACAATAGTAGTAGTAGTAGTAGTAGTAGTAGTAGTAGTAGTCTTTTTTATATAATAAATAAATATTCTAAAAGAAAGGAGAGATAGCTATGCTTTTTTTTTTTTTTTACCACTCATCATCGTCATCATCATCTTGAACTGCATGTTGTCTACGTGCACGAAGCTATAATATAAATATATAATGTATAATATATATAAAAAAAAGTGTTAATTAGAATGTATGTAATACATGGATACAAATAATAACTTTACAGCATCAGCCAAAGAAGCAGCTGCACTAGATGAGGTGCCATTATTACGAGGAGGGGCACGAGGAGCAGGTGTAGGAGCTGTTCCGGGCCTTGCAGGAACAGTAGGTTTACTTTTAGGTACTACAGGTTTAGGTCCTGGTGTAGGAGGTGCTGCTTTCCTGGCTGCAGGCACAGGAGTTCCATTCACAGCACTTTTGTTTTGACGTGCATCCATTAACTCTTGTTTCCAGGCTGGTATACCATTTGTAGTTGTGTTTGATACACTCGTAGTAATAGCCGCACTATGTGGTACAGTAGAAGCTGATTCAGTTTTAGGTACAGCAGGAGGAGCCCTTCTTGAGGGAGGAGGAGGAGGTGGTGGTGGTAGCATAGTACGTACAGGTGGTGTATATTCCTCTAAATAATTACTAGGTACCCATCCTTCAACTTGATCCTTACGAGCCAACCACCACCCAGTTTCTTCTTTAGTAATGATTTCTAAAATATCTCCTGGTTCAATCATAATATCACCAGGCTGTTGTGAACTATAGGGATAAATGACTTTGTATTGAGGTTTGGTAGAAGCTTGTGATGGTGGAAGTGGGGGCGCGGGTGGGGGAAGGGAAGCAGAATGATTAGTAGGCATGACACGCCCACTATTTTCAAGTGTTGACTGAATATTCGCTTTTGGAGTGGGTACATTCCGTGTATTCATTTTACGAGGAGTAGATCGGGCTGTGGTAGACTTGGTAGGTCTAGCTTTAACAGCACAAGGTGGTGCAGATTCTATAATAATTTTTTTTTTAGTAAGATAGACGGACATACATACAAATATAAATGTTACTTACGACTTCCAGGAGGAGCACCTGAACAAATTTTAACAACATGGCTTTTATAAATCCCATCCCCTTTTGCAGTTTCATCCTTAATAAACTTCATAGTCACAGATTTACCTCCTTTCTTTTTATATTGAATTTGAGGTACAACAGAAACTTGAATACGTCCTCCTGTTTGTTGAGATATGTGGGCTAACAGTTCTGTCTTGAAGGTACATGATAAAATGACATCGCCATCAGGAAAGGAATCAACATGTAATACGACCCAGTCATCTTGGAGTGTTGAAACACTCATTCCATTAATAATATTAAGACTAAGAATCTTTTCATCTATCATAGATAAAGTTTTCCCATTCTTGGTTGCCATAATAATATGCAAGTTTTGATTCGTCTAAATATGTACATATTTAAGTATTTAGAGTAGACTAATATATACACATATTATTATTATTTTCCCCTTACCAAAACAAAAGTTCTTGGACTAGGAATACTTGATCTCATAGCTCTAGGCACTAATATACTACCACGCATGCTGAAGATGACTTTTTCATTAGGTTTAAAGCTAATTGCATTTCTAATCATAGTTGATAATCCAGATCCAGATTTTATATCCAAATAATCTCCAGTAAACCTTCTCATACTGACAAGTGAGAATCGTCTTCTCTCCTTTTGGCCACCTAAAATTTGATGTCCATATTCACGCATTTGAAGATAACCAATATTGTATTTGTTTTGTCTCCAAAATCGTTGGATCTTTTTTGCACATTCTATCTTATAGCGTACATAAGCACGCCAAGCACGCTGAATACGAGTTGCCATATTGTGCCAATACTTATCACGAAGACTTTCTAGTGCAAAAATCTGCACAATTCATCCATCATACATATATATTATTACCTATACTAATATAACAATCATAATAATAATAATAATAAACTTACGGTTTCAGGATGTCGAATAAATACTTTAGTTGTGCCCATCTGCCATTCATCAGTAGGAATATTATTATATTTTAGTATTTCCAAGGCCCCACTCCTTGCATCTTTATTCCAGATATATTCACCAGCATAACCCGTAGTTGGACACAATAGATAAAATCTTTCAACAAATTTATCAAAAGTCTAATTTTATAAATAGTGTTAATAATAATCATATACCTTACACTTTATATAAATAGTTACTTACTGTTCTGTATGCAAAGCCAGCTCGACGAACACGTATATTCTCACATAGACCAAGGTATTGAATTTGATGTAAGACGCGCTTCTCATCGTATTCTGTTGCACTTCTATTATCATTAGATTTGATAGTTCGAATATAACTAGGATGGCATTGCATTAATTTGGTGACTAAAGTATTACAAGATGCCTTGATCTTATCACCTGCAGTAGGAGGTCTCTTTTTAGAATTAGGATCCATTCTTTCAGGGAAGAGAGTATTGGAGATAAATGAATTGGTTGAGCTTGTTGCCAAATTCAATAAATCCTTCAATAAAGAGTCTTTGTTTTTGTCGGTCATACCTTCTACATTATAAAGTACATCACCTGCATAATGTCGAATTAAAAATTTGGATCCTCTAGATTCAAAATGAGGATTGGAAGATAAGAAGCCAAGACGTTGAACAAATGAGTTATCCGCAGCACTTGAATCAGCATGAGCAGTAGCACAGGCATCATTAAGAGCAGCAAAGATACCGGGTGGACGTTTCTCTTCGATTAAATCACAAACCACTTTATTGTTAAAAAACTTGATGGGAGTCCATTGGATTTGTTCACGTACGTATTCCTCTTGTTCTGCCTTTAAAGTTAATTCAATAAAGATTTGTTGAAGTTTTTCATTTACGTAATTGATACACATTTGCTCAAAACTATTTTCTTCAAAGATCTCAAAACCATAAATATCAAGAACACCCATAGTATATTGATGAGAACTACGTGACTGAAGCGATATATTGACACGCATGACAATCCATTCAAAGAGTCTTTCATATAATGACTTTGCAAGAGCATCACGTACAGCTATAGCCTGAACCATATTGAGTGGAACTTCATAAATACTTCCTCTTCTACCACCTCTCTGAGTTTCCATGACACGACTGGTTAAAGCCTTTGTTAGACTTTCAGCATCCACTTCCATCAAATAAGCAATAAAGTTCGCGACTGTTCAATATAAAAATGAATGAATATAAAGTCCTTTATATGTATATATATAGATAGATGTATAGAATAGAGCACATAAATACTCACCATCAGCATCTGAGACCATGGAATGACCATTATCGTCTTCAACAAAGATAATATTACCCAACCAAAGTATGACGGCTAATATTTTAAAGATTTCATCTTGTTCATGTTTTTGTAATCCAATAATATTCATAGCATTCTATGATACATATTAATTATTAAATAGAACAATATACGCAAAAAAAAAAAGCACTTACTAAAGTTTCTTGAAAATCCTGGATATCATTAATACCATTTACATCCAAGCAGTTACTTTTACTTGTATATAAATAGCTATCTGGGCCTTGAATACCAAAGGATTCTATTATAGTAAATTTTATAAGTTTTACATGTATATAGATTACATTATTCATTTAATAAATTACGTTGATATTCCTGAGGAGCAGCCTTTGTGAGTTGATAAAAAATATGAAAATTTCGTTCATTATCAATTTGACCCACTACACGATTCTAATATAGAATAAATACATAAACAAATACAGACATATAAATCTGAAGACACTATTGAATACTTACTTTTTCAAGTAGATAATTTGTGATGACAGCACCAACAGGCTCACCTTGACTATTAAACTGAATTTCCAAATATTTACCCTATAATAATAAAAAACAGACGAATTTATATGTCGATAGATAGAAACGTTGATAATATACAGTATTAACTTACATGTCGACTAGAGTTATCATTGCGAAGTGTTTTTGCACAACCAAAACTTTCCAATAAAGGATTGGTTGCCAAGACCATTTCCTTAATTTCTTTGATTGAACTATTTTGGCCATTACCAGAAACAGCGGCGATATATTGCATAATTCTTTTGGCTGCCTCTGTTTTACCAGCACCTGATTCACCACTAATGATGATACATTGATTTTCTTTATAGCTGTTCATGTGATGATAAGATGATTCAGCAACAGCAAATACATGAGGTGGCATCTACAACTAAAGTTAGATGTTTGTTATTTTCAACTACATGCCACGTGGTATTTACCTCTAACAAGTTTTTCCCTTTATAACTAGCTAATATATCATCTGTATAAATACCCAAATCTCGAAAAGGATTAACACTAATGAGTACATGGCCAATATAAGTCTATAAAGCAAAAGTTAGAAAGCTGATATGCAAAGAACTTTTATATTTTGCATAAATACATAGATCTCGGCATTTTGCCATCTTTTTTGCAAGTTATCATTTATAGCTTCGTTTGTAATTTTTGTAAGTAGTGTCATATCAGAAACACCCACTTGTTTCTTTTTAACACCTTCTTTCCAATCAGCCCTTACAGGACGGTTAGCTTTAATAGCTTTCTTTTCCGTCTTTTTTCCTAGTATTTTCTACATTCTATATTAACACATGTATGCAAATAATATATATATATGTATATTTGAGTTACTTTGGCCATATTTTATTATAAAGGAACAAACAAAAAAGAAAAGAAAAACGAGTTGAAGAAGAAAAAAAAAAAAGAAAAAAAAAGTATAGTACAAAATTAGGGTCACACACATAAAATAAAATCATTCTACAAACGAATAAGGTATTCTTGAACAGGAAGAGAAAAGTCACAGCATGTCTTTATAATGGCTTCTTTATTAAAACATAATATAACAATTACTATCTCTTTTCTCCCTCGTTCCTTATATATACATATATATCTTATCAATATGATAAACCCCGAATTGGAATAATTTCATTGTTAAAACTATAGTAAATGGAGATATTTTAGCCCTGTTATGGCATTATCTTAATTTAACTAAAAGAAGAAGAAAAAGCTAGTATAAATTAAAACGAAATATTCAATCAAGCTCGAAATATAGACATCAAATCAGATGTGTTCATTTGACTTGAGAATATAGTCTATCACACATTTACAGTCTCATTTTGTTTTATTTTTGTTTTGTTCTATTTAATTTATATAATATTGATACTTTACTACATATCTTGTGTTAAATAAGGCGTTGTCATTATTGAAGTAAATAATGCAAACACAAGTAAATTCTATCCCTAGATTAAAGATGAAAGAACTGGAGTAAATTTAATTTATTGAAATAAGATTTTTCATGACTCTTATTGGTTGCAATAAAAAGTAAAATCATTTCTCTTCTGCGGCGCGTCTTTTTAAGTTTATTTTATTTTATTTCATTTTTTTAAATCTACCATAAAGGAGAAGTCTATATAAACTTTGTTCATTTCCCTTTGTTTAATCTTCTCTCTGTCTCTATCTTTTCTTTTCTTTTTTCCTTTTTTTTTCCTTTTTTTTTTCATAATAAATACATATTATTAAATCATAGTTTAATTACATCACATAATGGTAAATTTACTTTAGATATAAAAAAAACTTTTTTTTTCCTCTTTTACTAATTTTATATATAGGCTGATAGTGCACCTGATAATAACATAAATAAACAAGACCATAAAGAAAAGGTTCCTACTTTATCTCAATCTGCTCGATCTGGGCTTCAGGTAATAGATACAACTAATTAAGCAAAACACAACTTTTTTTTTCCTTTTTTCCTTTTTTTTTATTCTAATCCGAAAACGTAGTTTCCTGTAGGTCGTATTCATCGTTATTTAAAGGCAAGAGGACATAATCATGCACGTGTTGGAGCAAAGGCTGCAGTCTATACAGCCGCCATTCTTGAATATCTTACAGCAGAAGTTCTTGAATTGGCTGGTAATGCTACAAAGGATCTTAAAGTAAAACGTATTACACCAAGACATTTACAATTAGCTATTCGTGGTGATGAAGAGCTTGACGCGCTTATTAAAGCCACTATTGCTGGTGGTGGTGTTCTTCCTCATATTCACAAATCACTCATTGGAAACGCAAAGACTGGAAAGAAGATGTAATGAATTTTCTTATGTATAAAAATATGAACTATATAAAGTGTGGCTTATAAATACTATATACAAGTTTATTCTATATATCTTCAAGATAGCTATAATTTGTATAAAGTTAGTAAAAAGACAAAAAAAACAGGTTTGACAGTATGTATGTATTATACCTCTTTAAATAGGTTATAATTAACCTGTGAAACACTTCTTTTAGTAATATTAGAAGGCTGATGTTCGGTCTATTTAACAATAGACATGATTAGTCACTGTGAATATACATATATTTTGTATTTGTATACATCTATCTATTTATATACCTTCGCCCTTTTTGATAATCTATTATTGCTTTCATAAGATTTTGTTGGTGCTCGTATAAATGTTGGCCTTGAAGTAGGTCGTTTAATTGAAGAATTATAAATAGTTACGCTTTAATGTAAAACAGTTAATATTCAATATGTATATATTTTTTAAATACACTACTTGTTCATACATTTTATCCGTTTCTTTCTTTGTTTGCTGAAACAATTTACTCATCGTAGATTGTCCTATGATTTCATTATATTAGTTGAATGCGACTATTAGCTTACAATATACTTTACTTGCTGATTCATAAGTCCGTTTTCCTTTAGTAGAAACAAGTCCATGCAACACTTTGATAGATCTCTTTTCTTTTTCATTTTGAATCTTGTTATATTGACTCTTAATCTTATTTTTAATCATTTCCTTTTTCTTTTCGTTTTCTTCGACTCGTTTCTAAGACATATATTTATATATATGCTGGTGAATAATCAAGTATTTTTTTTTGAAAGTATTTAGTTTATAATACCAAATAAAACTGTCTCCATTGTGTTGCATCAGCATGTAATCCTTGTTTGTATTCATCTCGGAAATCCTTAAATTGCAAACAATGTTTTAACCATAATTCTATTATTCAAAAAAAAAAAAAAAAAAAAAAAAAAAAAAAAAAAGAAAAGTTAATACCTTATTATTATCGAATATTTAATTTATCATACCATCTGATTCTAAGACGATATCCTTTATGGGTGATAAGTCAGTCATCGTTAACGATTACGTGGATATGCAAAACTTACTGGATTGGCTCGTTCAATTCTATAAAGTTGTTGTGGAGTTGCATGAACAAGTGAAGATTTTATTAATGAATAGGGCACACAGCCAACATCAGTCAGAGCTATAGAGTGTAGTCTTATTAGAAATATTCCCCTTTTAGGGCAGACACTTTTATTTGCTATTACCATCCAAGTATTTTGATAATAGATCTTGACATGTTGTCTTTAGTGATTTTACAGTTTTAGGCATAGGTACTCTCTTTTTTTTTTTTTTTTTTAAAAAAAAAGAAAGAACATAATTTAATCACTACGAAACAGACTACAAATGATGAAACACAAAATAAAATAAAAACTCATAGCAAATAAAAATTGTTTAGCTATAACCATATAAAATATGCAATCTCATTCTCTTCCTTTTTTTTTTTCTCTCGTGCTCAAAAGGGGGTAGGTGCTTTTCCGTTTTTTCTTTTTTTCCTTTTTTTTTTAATTTATATTATAAATTAGTTTCGATGTATTTGGTAGTTGAAAGACTTGCGCTCAGTTAGGGCTATCAAAAGCTGTAAATGAATTAACAATACAATAGAGTGTCAGATGACTCGTTTTAATATGCACTGTTCAAGTATATACACATAATATGTAATTTAGTAGGCTCATATTATATTGGAATTAAGCATCATGCTTATGTTGAATAGTCTCCTGTAGACGCATAATGTAGACCTTTTTTTTTTTTTCTTTTGTATGCAAATAAAAAGAAAGGAAAAACTCTGTGTATGGATACATGTCTCCTTTACAATTTCTCTCTCTTTTTTTTTAAAAAAAAATATTTTTATATTTTTTTTTAATTTCTCTCTTTCTTTCTTTCTTATCTATAACATGAGTGATAATAGAGTTAAAAGACAATTATCAATAGAGCATGTAGAAACTGAAGAAAAAACGAATGAAACCAATATAATAAAAGAAATTGAAGACGAAGTAGAACTCATAAAAGAAGATTTGCCTATTGATAAATTTGATAAGCAATCTGTTGAAGATGAAGAAGATATTGATATACAAGTAGTGAATGAATTAGCAACCATGAAAGATGATACATCTTTACCTTGTTTTACTTTACGAGTATTTGTGACAGGAATTGTATGCTCTTGAGTTCCCTCCCTCACCTTCCCCTCGTCCTCCTTTTTTTTTTTTTTTTTTTTTTTAAATCATTTATATCTTATCTATTCCTGTTGTTCTTTTGTTTTTTTGTAGGCTTTAGCTTGTCTTAGTTCATCTGTACATCAATTAATGGTATTTAAGCCGGTGGGGATACCACTGACAAATACATTTATGCTTATGATTGCCTATGTCTTTTGTACAGCTTGGGCAAAGTATTTACCTTTGAGTAGTAACTGGCTAAATCCAGGACCATTCAATATAAAGGAACATACATGTATATATGTAATTGTATCTGCTGCAAACACTTCAGCTTATGCAACCTATATTTTGTCAGCACAAAATCTTTATTATCATCATACGCCTGGCGCAGCAGGATCGATTTTATTATTGTTAGCAACACAGATGGTAGGCTATGGTATCGCTGGTCAATTAAGGTATTTTCTTGTTTACCCTTCAAACATGATCTGGCCTACTTCGTTACCTACTGTTTCGTTACTAAGAACCTTAAATACCACAAACTCATTCCGACAGACACGCATTTTCTTTATCGTCTTTGCTGCCACATTTGTATATGAATTTATTCCACAATATATCATGCCCTTCTTAGGAGGCATCTCAATCCTATGTATCATCAAGACCAATTCAGTCTGGATTCAACGTCTCTTTGGTGGCTTATCTGTGAATGAAGGTTTAGGAATCCTTCAATTAAGCTTTGATTGGAATTATCTTTCAAGTCCAAGTCCACTCGTCTTACCACTTTGGGTTCAATTAAATATTTATACAGGAATTCTATTACTTTGGATCTTGGCACCCACTCTTTATTATTTCAATATCTGGAATGCACAAAGCTTCCCATTTCTGTCTAATTCGATATTTCAATTATTACCAAATGGGACCTCAGTCGTCTACCCCCAACAGTATGTACTGGGCGATACGAATGATGCATTAAATCAAACAGCCTTATTAGAGATCGGGAAACCCCATTTTTCCACCATTGTCGCTGTTCAATATATCTTTGTTAATTTTGCGATAACGGCTTCTATTATGCATATTGCATTATTTTATGGGAAAGATATTTGGCAGGGCTTCAGATCAAGTCTTCAAAGTTTTTTTAAACATTCAAAAGATCAGCATTACAAAGAAGACCCACATATGCAAATGATGGCCTTTTATCCAGAGGTAATATTGCATATACGTAATACGTATATATATATGTTATATACTTTTATTATAGGTTCCAGCTAGTTGGTATTATTTAATTTATGTTGGAGGTATTGGATTAAATATAGTTGTGTCATACATGAATTCAAGTCAATTACCATGGTGGGGTGTTATTCTGGCCATCACCATGTCCACAGTATTATCACTTCCTTTAAATATGATTACAGCAATAACAGGATCTGGATTTGGATTAAATGTTTTCGCTGAAATGATATGTGGATTTATTCTTCCTGGATTACCAGGTACTTGTCAAAAAAAAAAAAAGGTTGATTGAATAAACGTATATAGTACTTATGATATTGATAATAGTGGCCAACATGTATTTCAAGACATTAGGATTTAATACATTAAGTCAAGCAGGAACAATGGCAAGTGATTTAAAGATTGGACATTATTTGAAAGTACCACCCAGACTTATTTTTATGAATCAAATGCTTGGTACATGTATTGGATGTATATTTAATTATATTGTTAATCATGTAAGGAAAAAAAAAAGAAAAGAAAAGAAAGAGGGGGAAACACATAATAACATGAAAGCTTATATCATGTTAGAGTATTGTTAATTCACAAAGAGATGTTTTACTCAATCCAACAGGGAATAATATCTGGAATGGTGCTACTCCACAGGTATAAAAATCAAATAGTTATTATGAGTATATGCATGTATATATATAAATATTATTATGTAGACAATTAATTCTGCTGCTATTACATGGGGCGCAATAGGGCCTATGAATATGTTTGGACCAGATTCAAACTATTATATCATTTTATGGGCTTTTCTTGTACGTATAGAGACAACAAGAATGTATTAAATCATATTACTGAATAGTGATATCATACATAGATTGGTTTCTTTTTACCTGTACCTTGTTGGATACTACATCGCTATTATCCTAAAATTAAATTTTTTAAATATGTTAATATTCCGATGATTTTAGTCGGTTTAACTATTGTTCCAGGTACAGCAACGAGCTGGATTACGATTTCATTTATAATTGTCCTTGTATCACAATATTATATCAAAAGACGTCATAGACAATGGTTTATAAAATATAACTATTTAATATCAACTGCATTAGATTCAGGTACATCTTTAATGGTCTTTATCATTGCCATGTCGTTGTATGGTGGTGTTAGTGGCAAGTCGTATCCTTTTCCTTCTTGGTGGGGGAATAGAACAGGTAATTACCACGATTTATGCAGAATTATATGTTACGCAATGTATAATCACTTTATTTATTTATTTTAGATTTAAAATACATTGATTACTGTTGTGCGGCTTGTACATAGTCTTTATATATATATTTATATATTATTTACAATAAGCCATTCTACTCATATTATATTTAAAATGCAGCATCATAGACAGAAAGACAAGATATTGGATCCTTATAATCTAATATAGATACTTGGATCATTAATAATAATAATAATAATAAAACACTATGTATACACATTACCTAAGCTTATATTTGGATCACAAGAGCATTTATCGCGATATTCTGGTTCACTAGGACAATGAGTATAAGCAGAGTGTCTATAACCAATATCATTAAAGAAATGAAATTTATCTTTATGAAGCATAAGTGAAGCCGCAATTGAATGAACAGGCGCATCACCCCATCTTTCATAAAAGAAACCTCCTGATTGATCAAGATAATGAAAGAATTTAAGATAATCATTTGAACGCCATAGTTCAAGAGAAGCAATTTCAAAGTTAGTCCAAAAATGACAACCATTATAAGACTCTTCATCCTTTGATGCAACAAACTTGATTAAAGAATCCTCCTTTGATGGCCAATGAGCTACTACATCTGGATGATCTCTTTTAAAGTTCATTACTGTCTGCCATAATGAAGGGACTGTTTGAGGGAATTCTGTGAATGTAATGGTGAAGCCTATTATAATTGATAAATTAACACAGTGTTGAATTATTTATTTGTTTTATAACAAACGTACCATATTTCTTGTTATTGTTTCTCATAAATTTGAACACATCATAATCAATATCACAGGTATAATCAACATAAGGTTCAATTCTCCAATAATAATCGTATTCATCTAATAAAGGATGTCTAAAAAAGAACCCACTCTGAAATCTATTATTTGATTATAAATCAATACTCCAAATGTATGTATATACAATCAATGTATATATTTATATGTATGTATGTATATACACTATATGTATATATTTATATGTATGTATGTATGTATATACACTATATGTATATATTTATATCTATATACACATGTATAACAAAGAAAGTAGATACATACCTACACATATGTCTATAAGATTCACTATCTGCATAAGGAACATTCATCTTTGCCATTTCAGCTCGACTCTCAGCAGCCAAGGTTTGGTTAATATAATCGGGATATCCCCACATCTGTTGATCTACCTTTCCGTACTTTGTTTCTGCTCTTGTCAACGCAGATGTTCTTTCTTTAAATTCCTCAGTAAAGTAATCATCATTTAAAAAAACGTAAGGATAATTGAATTTTGAATTAAACGTCTTCTCTAGTTGCACCATGGTTGACATGATACCATCTAATTCACTATTTCGAACTAAAACTACAAAACAGGCTTTTACTGGGCGGTTATCATTGTAGGTTACAAGCGTATTATCTGATGACTTTGGAGAAGAAATAAAGGTATTATATGACACAAGTATCAAAAAAATACCTAATAATGATAGAATAAAAGATCTTGTTTTACTACTATCCATATAGAATTTCATTTCAATTTTAATGGAAAAGAAAAAAAAAAGAGAGAGAGAGAGAGAGAGAAGGGTAAAGACTATTATTGTCTTTCTGAAAGATAATCTGATATTGAAAATTAGGGCTAATTTTGACACAAACTTGATTTTCTTTAGACTCCTTTATTAATTTTCAGTCTATTTTTTTAAAGCTTCCATATTTAGTAGATTTAAAAGACAGTTATTTGAGTGATATATGTGTTCATTAATTGTTGAATTATTCTTTTAATATGAACTATAGCATATATAATAAATCATATAAAATTAAAAGTATATTATATATCAGAAAATAATAACTACATGCAGTTATCATCAAATTGATTACTTGTTAATCAATCTTTATTTTACATTCGTTTTTTTGACTCATTATTATAAATATTCCCCGAAGAAAATAACTATTTACAACAGCAATAGCTCTTGATTTCAAAAAGAAAAAAAGAATAATTAATAAAGTTAATAAATTTATCTTTTTTTTTTTCCCCTCGAAAACCAAATTTTATTGGTGTAAAGACAAAATCCTTCAATAATATAATACTTGCTTCAGCAAGAATAGCAGAAAATGTTGAAAATGTAAAAAAAAAAAAAAAAAAAAAAAAAAAAAAAAAAAAAAAATCCCGTATTTTACATCATCAAGTATATGATTTCCGTATTTAACATGAATATTATACTTTGGACATTACTCAACTGTTTTTAGCCTTTTCATATTCTTGTATTGATAAAACATAAAAAAAAAATCAATAAATCAAAAAATCAGCTTTCAACGATCGCATTTTGTAAATGTATTTGTTTGTGTTTCATATAAATTTCTAAAAATGTAATTTAAAGTCACTTTTAGCTTTGTCTTGTATTTTGATTTGTATTCTTGATGTTTCTAACGTATTGGATGTTAAACTAATGGGGAAACCAAAAATTTAAAGTAGATAGATATTGTAAATAAGAGTATGCAAATGATTTCTTTTTTATTTCTAAAAAAAAAAAAAAAAATGTAAAAAGATTCTCCATGATTCGAAATTAGTTGGCATAGCAATAAGAATTTATAGTGGAATGAAACCAAATTAGCTCACAAGACTTTATTTAAATTACTTTGATTTCTGTTTATACATAAGGATGAACATTTTTATTTTTTTTTAAAAAAAAGAAGCAAAAATTCACTTTATTTATATGCTCATTTTAAATGAATAGGATAAAAGCATACATTAAAACCTTTATAAATGCCTTGTTCAAGAAACACGTCTGTTGAAGTAAAGCCAACTGTAATATGAGGCCAGAATGACTATAATAATCATAAAACAAAAGGGATTAATATATACATGTGTACTCTCTTTATTATTATTATTATCTTGTACGTTAGGATCAAAAAGGGCTGTATTCCCATCTTTTCTAGCATATAATTGGAATATCTTTTTACGTATCCCAATCAAGTCGGATGATTTTACAATGATTTGATAAACAATTCTATTCTTATTTTCGATCACAACATCTTCTTTTCCAATACATATAATTTCGACTTTACTTTTTTGAATAGTATCAGAGATAGCAATTTTATTTAAGTCATCAATTGTAACACCAGCTGTAGCAAGTACTGTAAACTCTGGCGGTGAAATAACTGTAATATGCGCTTCTCCTAATATAAAAATGTAATAAACATAAAATATGTATATATGTTTGTACGAGTAGAGTAAATGTACATCATTACCTCGACTCAATAAAGGCACTTTATGGGTAGTATTAAGAAAATCAAAAATAGGTTTGACATATTGAAAATCGAAATTCATTGCCAGCCATGAGGAGTTTCCTTTTTTTTTTTTTTTTAAAAAAAAAAAAAAAAATGTATTTGTTATTTATTATGCTAGGGGAAATAGTCAATAATTCTTTACCATCAGAGTGCTCAATAAAAGGTAAATCCTCGGTATTTAAAATTCTTTTATCGATGGTAATAAATCTACCTTTATATAGACAATAAATAAGAATAAATGTATATACAATTCGGCTATAATTACTACCTCGATATGGAACACCCAAAGGCGTTTTAAAAGCAATTTGATAATCATTATTATGTCTATTACCATCATTTATGTATGCAGCTTGAAGGCCGCTAATGATTATATTAATTATAGATAAAGATAATAATAATGTTATCTTGATCATTATACGAGTTATAAAAAGAAAATAAAAGAAAAGAAACAAGAAAAGTGAACATAATAATAATAATAATAATATGTAACCAAGAAAAAAGAACATTTTTTTAGCCAATCAACACAACTTATTGTACACACAAAGATTATAATGCATTTTTTTTTCTTTTTTCAAGTAAATCAAACATGTAATAGAGCTTTAAAGCTCAAAGTCAATAACAGACACAAAGTTAGTTTTAGTAATTATTATATTATTATTTTTAATTATTATGTTATTTATTATTATGGACATTATTATATAGTATATATTTTGTACATGTTATATATAGTATCGTATTTAGATATAATTATATAGAGGCTTTTTTTTCTTTTTTTTTTCTTTTTTTTTTTTGTTAATAAAGTTTTTATCTTAATCTTCATCCTCATCACTTGATAATGAATCATCATCTTCAGAAGATGAACTATCACTACTTTGGGGTTGTTGCTTATGATAAAGTGATGTGTTATAACCAGCTTTCATAGGTCTTTTTAATGAGCTTGGATTTAAATAATTTTCAGGTACAATAAATCCTGTTGATTCAGTCGAACGATTAGAAGAGATAAATTTGGTAGTTGAATTCTTTGGAGGTGCTCTCTGTTTCTTTACAAGTCGCTTCCTTCTCTTTTTCTCTTCAATCAATTTAGTCTCTGCTGTGTTCTGATTACAAGCTATAACGGATAAATACCAGAACATTTGATTTGAAATTAAAACTTGCTCATGTAATGGACGCCGTGGGTTAGCTAACTTGATATGAGATAATCTATAGATGGCTCTCTCGACATGTAAAGGTAATCGAGTCATGTTCATAGGATTATGTAATTGAATATCATTCGATGGTTTAGTCAGTAGGCCTGATGTCATTGTCTCAATATTTGATGTGTAATTCTGTTGTTGATTATTTTTAGACTTTCTCGAAAATAAAGACGATAATGTAAATACTTTCTTATGGTTTAAAGTTGTATTATGTGAGTCTTTTTGTTGTTGTTCTTCAGAATCTACTTTATTATTCTTTTTAGCTGACTTTTCATCTAACCAAAATGCCCATGACCAACTACTTTTACGATTATTAGCGGTTGAAAGAGAAGTAGAAACGGATCGAGATATAGCAATAGGATCTGGCTCGGAAGTTATGATGTCATATTCTTCCTGTCGTCTAGTTGCAACACATAAATCCCTTACATGATCATTCTCTGTTGCTGGTATATGCACCTCTTTTTGTCTTTCAACAGCATCAGTTACTATTACTCCCTCATCATCATGCTTACTAGTCCTATTCTGAGAATAATTAAAGTCTTTATCATGATCTGTTGGTGATTTATTAAGTGATGAGTTTCTTTTAAAATTTGTACGAGCACCTCTTCTTAATAATGGTCTGTCCGCTTTTGGAACAAGTGCTCGAGACTTATCCAAAGGTGATGAATTTCTATCAAAAATTAACAAATCAGGTATATTTCGAGCATATTCTGTTACAATAAATATATAAGAGAAAAAAAAATATTATTTCAAAAAGAAGAGATATATATAAACTTTATTTCGTTTTATTATCTATCTATTTACCTCCTGCAGTTGCTGTTTGCAAACTAGCACTTCTTTGTAATGACTTTTTAATGCTCTTATCCTCTTCTTCATTAGCTGTAAAATAAACAGAAAGAATGGATTGTCTTCTTTTTTCACTTCTCCTTCTTATAACTAAACCGTGTGCTTTAACATATTTTTCAAACTCTGCTGGTGCAATTTCTGGGTGTTGTGAAGCGGGCACCCTATCATGATAGAGTTAATTTTTTTTTTTTTTTTTTTTTTTTTTTAGAGGTAAAAAAAAAAAAAAATCCCTTCCTATTTTATAATTTTACCCATTTACCAGAATAAATGAGAAGGATTAGAGGTGGAAATATTTATAACTTCTTTACGACGTATTTCATCGTTTGATATTTCACTAAGACTTCTTGTTAAGGAAAGTTGCCGTGTTATGGCTCCATTGTCATGAGATGATGTTGGTGAAATGCCCCATTCATCTTGTTTTGTTGGTAATAATTCTTCTTCCACAAAGTCTTCTTGTGTCATTTAATTATAAAATAAAGAAAGGGAACTGTAATAATAGAAAAAAAAAAGGAGAAGAAGAAATATATTTCTCCAAAAAAAAAAAAAAAAAAAAAAAAAAAAGAAAAAAAAAGGGGGAGGAAATGATTAGAGACAATATTTGAGTTTGAAATAATAATAATAAAACCTTCATTGGTTTTAGTGTACATACTATTTTACCTACCAAAAAAAAAAAAAAAAAAAAAAAAAAAAAAAAGGGGGGGAAGACGACGCTAACGAACCAAATGCGTTCAGATACTTTTACTGCATAATAGTCGATGTGTTATAATAAAGAATAAACTGTTTATTGTTTTATAAAGAGTCTCCTAAAATAAAGGCATTATAATTTTTCTGCAGACCATCTTTTAAGTATTAAAATATGCTATAAAGTTAATTAGAAATGATAATAATTTTAATTAAAATTTAAATAATGTTGTGAAACTTTTTTTTTTTTTCGGATATAATAACAGTGTAGATAACTTGAGATTGCAGTAAATTCAACTGAATTTGTTACAAGGCAAACCAGATTCGTAGTTTAATATCATTATTGGACATTTTTATCTTTAAAATGTATACTCAGGCTTTAATGATACGGAAATTAAAAGACACTAATTGTGAAACTTGGATTCTAGACATTATGACTATTATATCTGTTCTTCTACTCAACTATTCCTAAATGGCTTTTACGAAGAATTCTGTCTTAAAACTTAATTCTTGTCCAATTAGTTTAACCTTTATCTTTAGATAAAAAAAAAAACTAAATAAATTAAAAGAAAATCTACCATTAAATATTGCCCAAGGAGGGCAACTTTTACGAAAAAGCTTCTAATTCTTTGTATTCAATTCTTGTTTATTTGATTCTGTAAAGAGTTTAAGCCTTTATTAAACTATGGATAGGATTCTTATAGATATGCTATTGTTTTTATATTTACTGATAAGTGTCAATATTCTCTTCATGAGGACTTTGTTACCACTTTAAAAGCCCCCCCTTTTTTTTTCTACCTTGACATAACTAACAATTTATGAGTCTTCTTAAATACTACCGCTTTATATCAATAAAGAATTTTCGAACTTTAAATCGATTTGTTACCATTATTGTCCGTAGTACTTCTCACTCTTCCCCGACCAAAGCAATACTATAATTTACTCCATAATCTACTGATCAAAGTATTCTTCCATCCTTATTATTTATTATGGTTGCTGATATTACCTGACAATGTGATTTTATATAAACTATATTCTTGCTTACAAAAATTTCTACTAGATTTATATCTAGTCTTTATGCACCATCAATTTTTAGTGAATTCCTGCAAGATAATGTTTAATAACTTTGAAAAAAGACACAAATACTAAGTTACTTCTGGTTCTATAATGCAGTAGGACCCTATTCTTTGGGTATTTATATTTTGTATTAAACGTATTCATATAATGCAATGGTACCTTATTAGATGGCTGCCCTAAGCCTTACCTCTATTTTTCATAAAAAGAACCCTTCTTTCTAAGATATGTATTCGTTTAGGTGTGTCTATATTCACTGTCACTTTCAGCTATTACTTTTTTTTTGTCAAATATACTCTCTCGTTGAGCTTCAATGAGCTTTTCTGTAAAAAGTCAAAGATTGTTTAAGCAGCCTTTCTTTAGTTTTTTTTTTTTTTTTTTTTTTTTTTCTGTTGTCGGGGTTTATTTTATCTTAATTCATTTTATTTTTTTTTTTTTTTTATAAGCATGCATCTTCACTTTATTTCATCCTTAATAAAAAAAGAATAATAATAATAATAATAATAATAAAAAATGGCATCAGATCCTTTATCACTTCTACGTGAATTCACCATTAATGACAAACCTGTGACTTTATTAAACGAAGAAGGAGAAAAAGTGATGAACATTACAGAAGCAAAAAAAATTAAATTTACTGATGATGCCATCTTTCCACGCGACACACCTACCAATTTTAAAAAGACAAATGCAACAGACAATGAAACTTATACCTTGGAAACTTTGATTTTTTTAGTTCAAACTTCGCAAGTGGATAACTCTGTTTACTTTAAAGAATGTCGTACTCGTGGTATTGAACATGTTTCTATTGTCGACAGAAGAAAAATTTTAGATTATCTTACAGGCAAAGTTGATCAATCACCCAATGTTTCCATAAGTAATCTTGGAGGTAATGATAATATATATAATAATACAAGTTGCTTATATGTGTCTATACAATTAGAAAAACGTACTAGAGATGATGCAAATTATTTTGATTCAACAACTAAAAAAATGAAAGTAAATCCTCTCACATCAGCCAATTCAATTAAAACAGTTAAAGAAGTTTTATCGCGTGAACGAGAGATGACAACAAGATCAACCATATTAAAGGGCTCTAAAAACTTTACACATGCTATTAATCTTGCTAAACAATTAGTACTTGGCAAAGATGTTCCTACTAATCCTCGTCCAAACACAACACAGAAATCAGGAGGTATAAACTAATTAGGAAAAAAAAAAAAAGATGGCACATAAATTAACTATTTTTTCCTTCCTTCCTTCCTTCCTTTCTTTCTTTCTTTTAGCCTCTCAACCTAGTTCATCAAATCATAAATCTTCAAGTGCTTCTATAAAACCAAGTACAAAGTCTACACCTATAAATAAAACACCCAAGTTATCAAGTAAAGATAGAATACCTATTATTATTGTGCCTGCTGCACCTACAGCTAAATTCACACTTTATAACATTAAGCAATTCTTGGAAGAACAAAAGTAAAGAAAATATACCATCTATTTATATATATATATTTATGCGTTATATTAACTTCGACTTAGATATGTCGATTCACAGGTGTTAAGAGAAGAAGGTTTAAAGAAGCCAGAGAGAGTCACGGTTGAGCGTACAAAATCAAACGGACAAATTGTTCCTTATCATATTGTTGATTCAGTTGCAAACTTTAAACAAAATGACTGGTAAGATAAAGTATTTTAATAAAGATTTATATTCATTTTATTTTCAGGGACCGTGTATGCTGCGTATTCGTTGCTGGTCAATTATGGCAATTTAAAGGCTGGAAATGGGAAAAGCCAGTTGACTTATTCAGTCATGGTAAATTATTTTATTAAATGCAATTATTTGTTTACTAATATGAAGAATACTAGTGAAAGGATTTTATCCTAAATGGAGTTCTGATAAAATCAATGCCCCCGCATCTGAATGGGCTGTAGCTGAAATGAATGTAAGTATGTTTTATTCAAGAAAGTATCTAGTATCTCATTGTTACTATTTTATTAGATTCACAGAAGTAAAAGGCATATGGATAAGGCCACCGTATCCCAGTTTTGGGATGCACTTGACAGTTATAATGCAACCCATAAGCCTTATCTTAACTTTTAAAGTCACGTTTTTTATATATATATATATTTCTACTTTCTTTTTTTTTTCTTTTTATTTAAATTAATAATAAAAAAAAAAAGTGTAAAAATGGCAGTTAGATTACCTAACTTGATACCACCATTTCGGTTTTCTATAGTAGAGGAGAACCTATTTCGTGGTGGCTATCCTAAGCCTCGCAATAAGCGTTTTCTAAAAAGGTATTATTTACTTTCATTAAAAGAAAAAAAAAAAGACTAAACATGTATATACATACATATATATAGATTAAAGCTCAAGACAATACTTTCACTTATTCCAGATAAGCTGATGCCAGAGATGCATGAATTCTGTGAAGAAAACAACATTCAATTACTTCATTTACAAGTAGATAAAATGAAAGAAGATAATATACCTTTAACATATAATAAAACACTCGCCGCTCTACAAGTAAGAATTAAAGCCTCATTTACATTATGCAAAATATTAAAGCCTCATTTAAAAAAAAAAAAAAAAAAAGATTATTATAGATCCAGCCAATCATCCTTTATATGTTCATTGCCTAGATGGTGCAAATGTCACAGGACTTGTGATTGCATGTTTAAGAAAGTTACAAATGTGGAGTAATTCAAGTACGATGGTAGAGTTTTCAAGGAATTTAGATACAAATGTAATTTCAAGTGAAGAGTTTGAATTTATTGAAAATTTTAAAAACTTTGAGATAATTATACCCATGACTCTACCACGATGGTTATGGGGAGGACAGGTTAGCTTTAGAAAGCATACAAGTCTTCGTTTGAAATTTTTAAATTCGGAAATGATGACAGAAGAAGAAAGAGAGTTGAAAGACTTGAAAGAAAAGAAAGAAAAGGAAAGAGAGGATTTTTATAAAAGGAGGAAAAATGGTATATATAGGTTCCCAAATGGATTTTATCTATGTGGCATAGGTTGTATTTATCCCTTTCCTTTTTTTTTTTTTTTTGGTAATAGATTTATTGGATAACCTATTTGATCCAAATACACCTGGAACTCGTCATCGATCGACTGCAGCTAATAGTGCTAGTGCAAACAGTAGTAACACGAACACAATCAATAGCACCGTCTTAAATGGTAATGTCAACAACTCATTAATATCAACAACAAATATGGAATCCTCAGCTTCCTTATTTGATCATACCTATGATATAGATAATGCAAAGGATCCTTATTTAGTGGACGTGGATGTAGATGTAGATGGGGTTATGATGGATGGTTTGGATCAAGTGGAATATATAAATCACTCTGTTGGAAATCCATCTGGAAGCCGTAATGATGATGGTTTATTATTAGATGAAGAAGGTGAAGTTTATAGTGTTGATCTAGGTACAGTGTATGTCAATGAACCAATAGATAGGACTTTGGAAGCATTAGCATTAGAAGGCTTAACCGAGTTTTAAATACTGTTATATTATTGAATTGTAAATAATAATAAAGATTAAACATTGCATGTATAAAATAGGATAAAATTTATTTCTAATTGACAGTAAAAAAGAAAAGAAAAAAAAAACATGGCATTTGTTATTGAATAATATTAGAAAAGGAGAGAGAAAGAGATGAGGAATTTTACCCACTACATGCAAGACAAGCATCTTGGTTATCTATAGAGCATTGAAGTTGGACAATCTTTTTCTTTTCTTCTTTAATTTTTATTATTTCTTCTGTTTCTTCAGAAGCCATCTTTTTTAAAGCCAATTGATCCACAGTAAACTAAAATATATATATATAAATATATATAACCATTTTTTTTAGAAGAAGAAGAAGAAAATAAAACCACCTTTGTTTACCTTAATTGCATCTACTGCTGGCCTTGTTCTTAAATAATACATGCCGGTTTTCAATCCTTTCTTCCAAGCATAAAAATGCATAGAAGTTAATTTATCATAACTAGGTTGAGCAGAGAACAAGTTCATTGACTGTGATTGATCAATGAATGCACCTCGATCAGCAGCCATATCAATAATTGTACGTTGAGAAATTTCCCATACTGTCTTATAAAGTCTCTTTAAATCATTAGGGATAACAGAGATAGCCTGAATACTACCTCCTTGTGCAATCATCATGTTTTTAACTTGATCATTCCATAATCCTCGTTCAACAAGTTCCTTTAGCAGGTATTGATTCACTACTTGAAATTCACCACTTTGAACACGACGAGTAAAGATATTACTAGTATAGGGCTCAAAGCATTCATTATTTCCTAATATTTGACTTGTACTAGCAGTAGGCATGGGTGCAAGCAAAAGTGAATTGCGAAGACCAAACTGTTGGATCTCTTTCCGGAGTCTAGTCCACTCCAGACCATCAGAGTCTTCAATACCCCATAAGTCATGTTGAAGTAAGCCTTGACTCGCTGGGGATCCTGGATAGGTCTCATAATGTCCAATATCCTTAGCCAACTCACAGGATGCTTCTAATGCTGCAAAATAAATAGATTCAAATATATCTTTATTCAACTGACGTGCTTCAGATGATTCAAAGGGGTACCCCATCAAAATAAATACATCTGCAAGTCCTTGAACACCAAGCCCAATACTAAAAAGGAACTGTATAAGATCTATATACATATATATATATATATATATATCTACATTTCTTATCTATACTTACGGACGATGACGTGTATTGCTTTTACGAGCTTCTTCTACAGGATAATAATTAACATCAATGATTTTGTTGAGATTTCGTGTAACTACTTTTGTCACTTTATGAAGTTTATCAAAATCGAACGTTTTTGTAGCTATGTGAACAAATTTAGGTAAAGCGAGTGATGCAAGATTACAGACTGCAACCTCATCAGGAGAAGTATATTCAATAATTTCTATAGGAAAGAGAGAGAATAAAAATAAAAAAGAGCTATTATAATGATATATAAAAATAGATAAATTTTAAAATAGTATATATTACCTGTGCATAAATTAGACGAAGTAATAGTGCCTAAATTCTTTTGATTGGATTTTTCATTACAGGCATCTATTCATTATACATGTATATTTTTATAAGGAGATGGCCCTTTATTATCTTTATTTTTTTTTTTTTTTTGAAATTGTTCAAACCTTTATAAAGCATATAAGGCATTCCAGTCTCAATCTGTGCTTCTAAAATAGCAAACCAAAGCTTTTGAGCGTCAACTACCTTTCTTGCTTTACCTTCTTTTTCGTATTTAAGATAAAGAGCATTAAATTTTTCACCATAACACATGTCTAATCCATGTGCTTCATTTGGACAAAATAAAGACCATTTACCATATTGTTCAACACCTGTATGTATATTTAAAAAAAGAAACCCAAGACACACACACATCATGCCAGTCTGATTAATATAAATTTAAATATATATATATATATGTATATATTTATATATGTATGCACATATTACGTTGCATAAACAGATCAGGTATCCACAACCCCAGAAACAAATCTCGAGCACGAATTTCATCTGCACCATGATTCTTTCGTAAATTCAAAAAATCAAATACATCAATATGCCAGGGCTCAAGATACATTGCAAAGTTTCCATTACGCTTACCACCACCTTGAGTAACAAAACGAGCCGTATCATTAAATAAACGTAACATAGGAACAATGCCCTTAGAGGTACTATTGGTTCCAGCGATAGGAGATCCTAAACCTCGAATCTTTTGAAAACTTACACCTACACCACCTGCTGCCTTCGAGATACGTGCACAGGTGGCTAGGGTATCAAAGATACCTTCAGTACTATCATTACGCATCTGAACTAAAAAGCAACTTGATAACTGAGGCATAGGTGTACCTGCGTTAAATAAGGTTGGAGTAGCATGTGTAAAATATTTGCAAGACATAAGATGATATGTTTCGAAAGCACTTTTCAAATCTGAGCCATGAATACCAAGAGCAACACGCATGATCATATATTGAGGACGTTCAATAACCTCACCATTTATTTTCATTAAATAACTATGTTCAAGAGTTTTGAAACCAAAAAAATTAAAATCAAAATCTCTTGAATTCACAATCACAGCATTGATTTGACTTTCGTATCTCATGACAACCTCGTAGAGTTCTCTTGAGATTAAAGGATGAGGCTGCTGCTGCTGCTGATTCAGGTTAGGATGTATATGATGGTAAAGTCTTTTTATGACTGAACTAAATGTATCATCTGTTCTCTTGTGAAGATTAGATATAGCAATACGTGCAGCTAAGATTGCAAAGTCAGGATGGTTAGTCGTCATATAAGCAGCGATCTCCGCAGTAAGATTATCTAACTCAGCTGTAGTAATCCCCTGACAGATACCAGAGATAACTTTTTGAGCAACTTGATCTGGAATAATAAACTTCTCATTCAGGCCATAGCATACTTTAGATATACGAGAGGTAATCTTACTAAAGTCAACACTTTCTTTTCTTCCGTCTAAATAATCACTTGCAAATTGTAAATTATATCTTGATATGAGTTTATTTAATTTTTTTTTTTTATACCTCTTTTAATTACAAACATGATATAATATGATATTATATCTATATTATTGGTATAATAATAAATAGATAATGTTAAAGAAGACATAATAGTTAATACTGATTTAATTTAATTACATGTATATATTTCTGAATGTATTTAGTCTAAATACACAACATATGAATAAAAAGGAGAGAAAAAAAAAAAAAAAAAAAGAACTACACATATCACGAAATACTACGTATTTTTTGTAATAAAAAAATAGAAAACGCGACACGCTTTTTCGACGTCATAAAGAGATTGACTTGGCAAGTGATACAACTATATAAACAATAGCATTAACACGAGAAGAATATAAATCTATATATATAAAAAAAAAACGAAATTAAGAATACCTAAATTTTAGTATTCATGTACTGAGGCTAACATTATTATTCATTTGTTTAAATGATACAACTGTATAGAAGCTTTTCCTTTAACATGTCATATTGGATAAAGATTATTAATAATAATTGATAAAGTAGAAATCTATTGAAACAATAATATATTATACATATTTGCATTAGACAGTCTTATCTTATATTCCAATTGAATAATATTTTTAGTTAATAGAAAAGAAATGAAAATCTATTATCTAAAAGCTATCAGGGGGCATATAAATATAGAAACATTCATCAATCGAAGCCATTATTATAGCAAATAACAGCCTACTTTAGGATAACTCAAATTATATTTCAACACAGCAATGTATGTGTGAGTGAGTGAGTATTTTTTTTTTTTTTTTTTTTTTTTTTTTATTGGTAAATATCATTTAGATAGCAGCATATAAAAATTAATCATTTTTTTCTCTTTAACAATTATCATGTCTAATAAAGGTAAAAAGAAAAAAAAAAAAAAAGTGCCTTTTTTTAAAGCAAAGTATGATGATAATAAAATAAAATAAAATAAACAAGTACAATGCCCTATTTGTGGACAATGGGTTCCTTCGTTAAATATTAATCAACATATTGATGCGAATTGTCCAACTCCAATTGAAAGCTCTTCTACTACTGCATCGCAATTAACAAGTCCAAAAAGACAACAGCAATTAACAGCTTCAGGATTATTAATGCAACCAAAGTTAGATGTCAATAATAATAACAATAATAATAATGTCGTTTCCCCCACAACGACATTATCGGAAACAAATAATACTAGCAATAGTTCTTCTGCCTCTCCATCTCGAATGGCTCCTCTGTTTACGTCCAAGCTATCACAAACATCTACTAGTCAAAAGCCTTCATCTCAACAGAGTATCAATCATAATTACAATAATAATGTCAATTTAAAGCGAACAAATGCAGATACACAAACAATCGATCATGACAAAACAAATTTAACTGTAAAAAGAAAAAAGACGGATGCAGGGTATGATACAATGCCTTTAGCAGCAAGAGGTAATATATATATATATGTGTGTGTGTATATTTGTTTATGTAGAGAATTAATTTATATTTTATTCTTCCAATAGTTCGTCCTGCATCATTAATCGACTTTGTTGGACAAGAAGAATTGTTGGGAACAGATGGTATATTGAAAAAATTAATTGATACTGATCGTATTCCTTCCATGATCTTGTGGGGACCACCAGGTTGTGGCAAGACAACGATCGCACGAATTATTTCCAAGATGACTCGATCACGCTTTGTTGAACTGAGTGCTACAAGTCATGGAGCAGCTGATGTTAAAAAGGCCTTTGATGATGCTAAAGGGCACTTGATGTTGACAAGACAAAAGACGATTGTGTTCATTGATGAAATTCATCGATTTACAAAAGTACAACAAGATCTATTTTTACCTTATGTAGAGCATGGTACAATACAATTAATAGGAGCAACTACAGAAAATCCAAGGTAACTAAAGAGTATTACTGAGAAATATAGATGTATCTAAATAGAGACTGCATGATATATAGTTTCAAAATAAATTCAGCGCTTTTATCAAGATGTAAAGTGTTTGTATTGAAAAAATTAGAACAAGATCAAATTCAAGGCATCTTAACAAGGGCTTTGAGACAATGGAGAGAAGAAGATAATGTGCAAGTGGATACCAGCAAAGACATTGATGCTTTAAAACAATTAGCGATATATAGTGATGGAGATGGTATATATATACATATATATATGATATATGTCTGCTAATAAATAAGTCTAATATTTATCTTAATTAGCGAGAACTGCTTTGAATACTTTAGAAATTGCTTTGAGCCTATTGCCTTCAAAACAATGTACATTGGAAGTGAGTACTGTCAAAGGTAAGAAAGTTAACAAAAAAAAAAAAATACAAGTCATTAATAATCATATAGGTGCCTTTCAAAAATCACATTTATTATATGACCGTAATGGAGATCAACATTATGATATTATTAGTGCATTACATAAAAGTATTCGAGGAAGGTAATAATGATGGTAATAAAAGTTAAAATTGTATATAATGTATTAAAATTGTATCATTCTACAAGTGACGCAAACGCTGCCTTATATTGGTTAGGTAGAATGTTAGTAGCAGGGGAAGACCCTTTATACATTGCAAGAAGATTAGTACGTTGTGCAAGCGAAGATATTGGATTAGCAGACAATACAGCATTACCTTTGGTAATTTAAATAGATACGTGTGTATGTATATTAGAATACTCATATGCTATTACAGGCTATGGCTGCATATAATGCTTGTGAAAAGATTGGGATGCCCGAATGTGATACTATTCTTGCTCATTTAGTTGTTCACCTCGCAGAAACTAAGAAAAGTGTACGAAGTTATAAAGCATATAAACTAGTTAAACAGTTTATTAAAGAAAAGCCCGCTTATCCAGTCCCATTACATATTCGTAATGCACCTACCAAATTAATGAAGGTAAACTTATGTAATTTTATTTATATAAATATATGAATAGGCCTCTCTAATATATATAAAATAGGATTTAGGATATGGGAAAGATTACAAATACAATCCAGATTACGATGAACCGATTGATCAAACTTATCTTCCTGATGAAATGCAAGATGTACAGTTTCTAAATAAAAATTAATCCCTATTCTTGAATAATTTTCTTAATTTCTGCTATTCGTTGACTTATTGTATCAATTGCAGCAGTCCAAATTTCTAATTCTTTATATTGTCCAGTAATGGATGTCTTAAAGGGTATCATCTTATTCGCTGCTGGGGTTATACTCGCTTCTTTTGTTAAATAATGTGTATGGTTTCTTAATGCAAATTGAACATCCTTTTAAATATCTATTAGTGATTTGTACATGTATATAGATAGATGTATATATATATATTTTGCATAATTATCTCTTTACATTCACAAGTGAAAAATAACGTGATGCTAGATTACGAAAAGACATGGCACGATCACGAACGAATTGGTCTGTATCTTCATCTTTAGGGGCTTCATCAGACAAAATAGCTAAAGCTTCAGATGCTGTTTCAACTAACAAAACTAATTTCTAAAGATTGAAGAAAAAAAAAAAAAGAAAGATCAGCAAAAGATCAATATCAAATATTTATCCATATAAAAAAAAAGATATGCCTTACTTTTTCAGCTTGCTGTAAATCTATAATACGAAGCGTACTTTCAGCCATTTGGCCTGTAGGATCTATAAACTGGTCTTTTGATGACATTATTTATACACTTTGTTTTTTCTTACAAAAAAAAAAAAAAAAAAAAAAAAAAAAAAAAAAAAAAGCTTTAAACTGAGATACAGTGAAGCTGGGAAATATTGGTTAATTAAAATAATTTAAGGCATACTAAAAAAAATTATTGGTGGAAAACCAAAAAATGATTGGTCATTTTTAAAAAGTTGTTTTGAGCGTTTCTGATAACTAAAATGAAGCTAAAAGTGGCTACGAAATCCATGAAGATCACTAACACGTACATTGTTGCAAGCATCAGCGATTCATTCGGATAAATTTTCTTCAACCATCAGATTCTCGCGCTTCATCTTCCTTCTTACAAGAGCCCAGAAATTCTCAATTGCATTCAATGCACTAGTAAATATATGAAGGTAAATACATGAATCTATAGCCTCTTCTCAACACACGGTTTCCATCAAAGTTTAGGTCCGAATCCTTCTGTTCATGAACCATTCATATTTTGTTTAAATATTGAGTATTCATACTTGATATCGCACAAATGTAGGCTTATGTTGACTTCGAAGCAACGGAGTCAAATAAAAAAAACACAAATGGAAAAACAAACAGATACAGTAAAATAATTAGCTTTGCTGAACAGAGAATATATCAGAGAATGAATAAAATTACAAGTGTTATACACATTCTCTAGTTTTTTATTTATTTATTAGAGAGCATATACAGAGAGATAAATAGCAGTTACTCGATTCAATACTCGATTTAAAACACACAGATCCAATAGATTGAATTGATCAACTCTTTCAAAGACAATAGACGCTAAGATCATGTAAAGCACCAATGAAAGAGTAACAGAAGTTTTGTTTAATAATGATATACTAATAAAGAATCAATAATATTGAAGCAATTTCATGTAATTATATAGATTAAAAGTTGTCAAAATCCACACCTGTTATCAGAGAACTTCCTTTTCAGGAACAATGCTTAATCCGCAGTAGCTCGTATATATCAATCGATTTGGAACTTGTATTTCTTTTCAACGTCTTTTTTTCCTCTTTATCCACTTAATCTACACTTAGCTTACTCATGAAATCTAACGTAAAAATTAAAGGGAAACAAAGAGACACTTCAATCTCTTCAAAACAAGACGGAACAGTCTACTGAAGGTAAAGACGGTAGGTGTCATATATATCTATATATGACTCAGTAGCTCAAAAATTCCAATGAACACGAAGATAAAAGAAGAATATGGAATCGAGATCTGATGGTAATACTAAATTTTAAAAAGATATTGACAAGCCTTAGAAATAATGGCAAGAGACATCTCTTGTTTTCATGTCAAAAACAACAGTAACAACAATTATGATTATCCGCGTTAGTTATCGCTTTCGCTATTTCATGCAGATAAATATTGCTCTGAGCTTACTTGAAAATATTGGTGAGCCAATCGTTTTTCGGTTTTCCACCAATCATTTTTTTAGTATGCCCCAAATTATTTTTTTTTTATAATCACCATTCAAATTTCTAAATTAACCAATATTTCCCAGCTTCACTGTATAAGGATTGACATTTAAATTTTTTCTTTTTGCCAGCCATTTGAAAAATAAATAAATTAATTAACGACGTAAACTAAAATAGGATGCTTTACTACACAGTTAATATGTTATGATACACTAGAATAAATAGTATTACATAATATGAAGACAATTATTTTATTTTAGTAATATGATTCCAAAAATGCCAAGGAACAGAAACGTCATAATTACTATTGTCAATCTACTTGGAGAATAAAGAAGGTGAAAGATAAACTACAACAAAGAGCTGAGCACAAAAAAATATCCTAATTTAAAAATAATAATGTGTTCCATATTTTATTTTATTTTATTTTCCTCTTTCTTTTCTTTAATAGTTGCATTCAAAAGCAAGAGAAATCTCTAATACTTTTTTCTTTCTTTATTTTATACCACATTTGTATATTCATCATCTCATTAGAGAATTTTTATATCTATATATATACATATATTCCATTTATAACGATAATAAAAAAAAAGAACTTACTCGCATGGCAGGTCCTAGCGATGAACAAAAAGAAGATGAATTTGCTTCTCAAGTACAAAAATTTGATTTTTGTGGAGAAGCAATAGATACCTCCTTAAGGTAAATGAGTCATAGGATATATATATATAACGTATTTATACATTTGTATAGAAAGCTACTTGCAAAGGTCTTATTACCAAAAGAAGCACAACAAATTGATAGAGCTATGGAAGTGTTTGCAAAACGTTATTATGAGTGTAATCCAACTTTAGTAGACAATCCAGGTAGGTAAATAAAGCTTTATAGACTTGGAGTCATTATTAATGTTTAATAGATGTTGTCTATGCAATCGCGTTTTCCATTTTATTATTACATACGGATGCTCATAATAAAAATGTAAAACAAAAGATGAATAAAGACACCTTTATCATGAGAACAAAGATAATTGAAGGTGGAGAAACTGTTCCATACGAAATTTTGGATGTAAAGTAATTATTAACATAATATGTAAATTCAAGCTTAACATTGAAAAAAGGTTTGTTCATATATATATATGTATATGTATGTATGTGTATATATGTGTGTATATATGTGTGTATATATGGTATATTATAGATTATGTATGATAATATTGTCATGTCAGAATTCACTTATGCTGATGATCATAAAGAATCAAATACTACTATACCTATCACCCATACTTCTTGGTTTTCGAAACTAAAAAATAATAATGATTCGAATTTAATTCAGTCTTCTGTAAAGTATTATATACTGTTGACAATATAGTGTAAGCTAACATTTTATTATTATTATTCATTCTAGCCTGCTTTATTAGCTGATCTTAGTCAAAAATTAGAACATCTCATGCCTGCTGAAAATAGCTTCAGTTACAAACGGACCTTGAAGCCGATTCCAATTATGGATGTTCACTTTTCCTTTTTAAAGGCTAAATCATTATGTTTAGCAGGTGTCCGAAGTAGATATGAGAGTAATAGTAATATCAATACTTTTACCATTAGAGTGATAAAAGCTGGAATCATAGATAGGAAATATGAATTAACACAAGGTGGTAAAAGAGCAACAGCTCGTAGTTGGAGACCATTTGGTGTTATATTAAGTGGAAGTCAAATTATCTTTTTTGCTGATACATCTTCATTTCAAAATTGGTTAGAGGAGACACCACCACGAAGAAATAATAGCTTTCCCACACTTACTTCTTCTTCTGCTTCTTTAATTCCTACTACAGAATCTTCTGATAACTTCAATAGTCTTGCCTCTGGATCATCACATTTCACTCAAAAGAAAACAAATACAACTCAGTCTATACCCAATAACGTCAATAGTTCCTTTAGTCATACTCATTCGTATTTAAGACCTGTTCAGATTATATCATTATCTTATGCTGTTTGTATTTATGATGAAGAATATACAAAATACCCTCATGTATTTCGTTTAATTACCGGTGATGGTCAACAATTCTTATTTCGTACTGAAGATGATAAAGAGATGGAAGACTGGATGTTAAAAATCAACTATGCAGCAACATTGAAAACAACAGGAATTCGAATGAGACCTATAACTACAATGCCATCTCTAGCTAAGAGATCCTTTTCATCTTCGGGTTACTCTAATTTGGCTAATCAACAAAAATATGCTGATCGTTTAAAAAGAGAGATGAAAGCAAATGAAAAAGTAGAAGAATTAACTATTCGGATTGATGAACAAGTAAAACTCTTGGATCGTGAGCTTCAATTACGTCGTAATCTTATGGTTCTTACACCTTACATAAGACCTACAAGAGATCGTATTCTGGCATTTGCTGATTCAGTTGGTAAAAGAATTAAGTCTAAACGAATTGAATTACAACGATTGCAATGTTATAGAGATTTTCTTGAATGTGAATTAGCTTGGTGTCATTCTCAAAATGAGCATCAAAAACAACAAAAATTAAGAAAAATGTCACTACCATTACCTTCGCACTCTTCTGATGCTTATAGTGTGACTGATAATAATACAAAATCCTCTCATCATGCAATCCCTTTGACTGAAAAAAATAAAGGAACAGTCAAGAGATCAAGCGATATCGTCACTACAGCACCTTCAACCAGTAGTACTAGTCTATCTTCAGCTTTATCATCTTCTACAATATCTTCAGGACAACATTTGCTAGATGATACTTTGTCAGCTATTAGTGGTAATGAAGAAGAAGAAGATAATGATAGTCAACATGAATCCGAAAGAATCGCGAGTCATCATGATACAGCTAGTTATCATGATATCTTGCCAACTTCTCAACCTCCTGCCTTTAAATTCCCTAAATCGATTATTGATGGCTTGTTCTCCTTTACAGATAGTGAAAAGAAGAAAAAGAATGTAAAAGTAGTAGTGACAAAACCGGACAATAATGAAGACGTTAAAGAAACTGGATTAAAACAAATGATAAGACGTAGAAGTCAAAGTAATCCGATTTTTCCTAATAGTAATAACAAAAAGATACTATCTTTCTTGGAACTTTCCCCAATAAGAAGACAAAGAAGTGGATCAGAGGCATCCTCTGTGCAAGCTGATGATGATTATATGAGTGTAGTTATCGTAAATGATCAAGAAGAATCTCCAAACGATCAAAAAGATGAATAATACGTGATTACTTATAATTGGCTAGAAAGTGTGAATTGCATGAAATAATAATAATAAAAAAGGGGAAGGGGAAGAGGAGAATTGTTTCTACTCTGTATAACTGATAGTATAATAATAAAGGAGTTACTTTGGATAGTGACATCATCATGAATACCTTTATTTCAAATAAGATTTTTATTCTATATTACATTTTTTTTGTTAATTAAATAAACATTGTATTAGCATTAACAAACTGATTTTAAGAGCTATCAATATACAGGTTGAAAGAAAAAAAGCTCTTAATCATTATGCTTGTTCTTAGGAAAAAAAAAAAAAGAAGCCAAAATGGCCAGAGTTAAGTGAACTGCGAGAACAAGCTATAAAACATATATAACAGCCCCCATTTGAAAGATATATTAGTAATACAAATGAAGTGACAATATCAACTACTGCTGTAACTACTTCCCCCTTTATTAGAGACCTGTGATAGCAAAAGCTGGAGAATCAACAGTAATTTGGAAACATACAGCTACTGAAGAGAAAGATAAAAAAACTTGATGTCAAAAAAAGTTATATACAACACCTTCCATTAGCATTAGATCCTTTACGAGAATTATCATCAAGAACGTCTACTTTCAACATTGTTCAATAAAAAATATCTTATATGCATAGCCTCTATAGTTTTTTATACTTTGAGTTCAGACATTATTAGTTCTTTTTTTCTAAATGAATCAAAAATAGATATTATGTTTATCTTGTATTAGATGACGTGAATTGGCAATGTAGACATAGATGATAAAGGTTTATTTACCAACTTTTCGAATTAAACTAAATTTTATAGTCTTTTTTAAAAAAAATAAAATAAAACTATATATCTCTACTGGTTACAATCAACATTTATTCTACTGTTCCATTTCCCTTTATTTATTCAATGAATAAGTTGTTTACTGAGAAAAAGATAATCTGATAACACAGCTTACAGCAAATAATTTATAATTTGATAAGAGACAGCTAATAAATATAATAACTCAATAGATAAATAAATACATTTTTACTTCAGACACTACTGTAGATAAAATAAAAGGTATACATATATACAAGCTACTCTCAGATATTTCTATATAGTATTACTTGTTAATGCCCTTTTATATACTCAAAGACTAGAGTCAAATATACTAAAGTCTATAAATAGACAAAATTTATATAAGCAGCAATAAAGATGGGGAAAAAAGCTCCGTTTAAATAAATAAATAAATAAAAAAGGAGAAGCTGTAATACATTCAATATGTATGATGATCTAAACAGAGTCATATCGTTAAATCTTTCTAATAGAAAACAATAAGCCACAATAAATCACTGTGCCTGTTAGAAACCTTTTGTTTATGTGAAAAAAAAATATAAATAGGGGAAGAAAAATAGATTTTTTTTGTTTTTTTTTTTTCTTTTCCTTTATGAAAGTGATATTCTGAGGATATTGGTCACTATAAACAATAAATCGTCAGTGATATTCTCCGGATAATGGTCACTCTAAATAATAAATCCCCCCAGTGAAGTTATTTGGATGTATTGGTCACTTAAAATATTCAATCCCGAGAGTATCTTTCATCTGGTGTTTTCACGTCTCTCGTTAAATAAAACTGTGAAAGGAAGCACATAATGATCAACCTCCACGATTGGTTGCTTCTGGAAACAGTAGTCTTTTTTATTATATAGAGAAGCTACTGGCTAATTGGATCATTACCCCTTTTTTATTATTAATTATAAATGAAAAAAAAACTTTTATGTAATAACGACTTGTAGAAGATGATTCAATACTAACTAAATGAGCTTTGTAGTTACTTATGTACTGTATTGATTATCATCTTTATAAGTTGGTGTAAGGATTAACAAACAGGATTGTTAAATTAGTAATATCAATAAAAAAAACCAGGTTTTGGCTGTAATATTTTAATTAAAAATAGTGGTATAGACCATCGTGATAATAGACATTTTGCACTATGAAGTTGTTACTAAAACAAAACAAAAGAATCAAACTCAATGACTGAGGGTTATATCAATTTACCAACAAAGCCTTTAAAAGGTATACTGAATAATTTTACCGTTAAAAAACAAATAAAGGGGTTAATTAAAAAGAGTATAATATTCAGGGTGATATCTCTATTAAGATATGCATAAACTTGTATAATAAATCAACAAGACTGAACAATATATTTTTACAAGGCATGTAGTTAAAAAAAACTATTTCGCTTCTGGCTCCTCATCAATTTAAGCAAAATCAAAAAAAAAAATCAGAGTATTGAGGTAGATAAGAATATTGAAGTACCTGTTGATATTGATGTATTCCATCAAAATCCGATTAATTATAATAACCGTTTAATGATTAAAAATAATAAACAAATCTGTAAAAGGGATACTGTCAATTAGTGTGATATGCTTTTTTTTCCCAATGAGACAGACATACACTGTTAAAAACACTGTTGAACTTGCTCAAAATTATGGGGATTCATCCCAAGGACAGAGCAGAATTGAGTTGCTGCATATGAGATAGATATAGAGAAAAGAAAAAAAAACAATACCTTTCACAGTGAAAAATGGAAAAAGAGCATGCTAAGCTCATAACTAGGGCTTTTTTCCAGAAACAATTATTAGCTACAAACTCTGATTTAATATATACAGTTTATATATGAAGAGTTTGAGAGTTTAAGTCAAAGCAAGCCTATATTCTACAAGTTTAGGAAAGAAATTTATAATCTTAGTTTTACAAGAGTTCACTGTCTTACTACAAAGCTTGATAGTGGAAACACTTTGAATAAAAAAAAAAGGGGATGGGTGTTCAAATATACGAGCTCAGATGCATATAATTCAAAATAATGAATGATCTGAAAAAGGTACACCTGTAAATGTTGAAGTCTATACAGAAACTTGAACCTTTCATTGATAAAAACCAAGACAAAGACTTTTTTTCTAGTTCAATTGTTAGGATTAAAGATATCAAATGAAGAACCAATAAACAAAGCAATGTTTAAAGAAGAAGGTATGCTACAGATAATTCATTAGCGTATATATGATTCATCTTTTACATATAGAAAATTCATTATTATCGGATGTCTTTCTTAATTTACAGACACATATTAAGGAACAAATGTTACATTTGAATATGGAACAAAAAGTTCTTTTAAAGCGTATTGCCTATGTAGATGAGCTAAGCTTAACAAATTTTCAAATAATGGTAGCTTCTTTACAGCAAGTCAGATTAGTAGCCGATAAGATACCAGAAGGTAATAACAACTTTGATGTTCTTTTTTGTAGAACGAATTGTTTATCTCTATTATAGCTTTAATAATAAAAAAAACAAGCAGAAAAAGCTGAAAGTCAGGCTATGTCTGATCGTGACTTGTTACAAGCTTTTTTTTTTTTTAAAAAAAAAAATCTATCCATGCGGAAATTTGACTATTTTATGTGTATACATCAACCCCTTGTGGATATATATTTTTTATAACGATGTTTAGAAAATTAATAAGAAGAAGCCAAACGAGGCTATTTGAAAATGTAACAATAAAACGTCGTAAAAATATATTATTAGCCCCCATGATGGCATACAACCTGGACTGTTCACATGAGCCAGCCAATAAAAAAACAACTACCATTCTTTCTGATCTATTATTACATCAACTATCCATCGAGAAGAGAAAGAATAGCCGATTAACAGAATTGAATACCCAATCAAGACTCTTTATGAGTAGAGCATATATCTTGAGATTCCAACAAACTAGGCAGATTCACAGTAGTCAGTCAACTTCGAACACCAGCAGTAAAGAAGAACTATTAGCACAAGCACGAGGATTCTTTGATAGACTAAGGATTCGTATTAAATATCCATTAATGCGTCAAATCCGTCCTTGGACATTAAATGATGCAACAGCCATGTTTTCATGGTTATTTTTAGGTCATACTGTTTGGCTTATGGTGGGTACGACAAGTTTTGTAAGTTTAATACTTTGGTTAGCCAACTCATTACAATTTCAAGGTACTTTTTTTTTTTTTTTTATTTTGGAGAAATTCGAAAGAGAGAAAAATAAAACTAACTTTGTTTTTATTGTTAGAATGGATTGCATATCGTATTGGTAAATATTTAACATCGGCCACAGGTGCAACTGTTGTATTTGATTCTGCTATTTTGCCTAATTGGAAAGATGGCAAGATTCGATTTAATAATGTTAGAATATACCGCATGCCACGATCTGAACGTAAAAAATTTCAACGACGTGCAGCCCTATTAAGTACAGATGAAGAAATTGCACCATTGCCTATCAATGGAGATCTGAATGATCCATTAGCAGGCGTTGAGTTTGAAGAGGACGAAAAGGATAATGAAGTATTAAGGAAATGGATGTGGTATGATCTTGTGATTGATCGAGTGGAAGTAACGTTGAGTTTAATGCGCTGGATGGATGGTAAAGGTCTAGTACAAAGTGCAGATATTCAAGGTGTGCGAGGTGTAATTGATCGTCGTCATGTACGCTGGGACCCTGATGTTCCATACGATCCTGTTACTGCTCGGCATAAATATACCCCAGGAGATTTCGAATTAGAAAAATTAACTTTAGAAGATTTTTTGGTTACTGTATATCAACCTAATGGTTTTAGACCTTATCCAGTTTCTATATTTCATGCTCAGTTAGATCGATTTAGAAAGCAATGGTAAATATAAATATATATATATATATATATATATATATAGTATGTATTAATGTATATTGTCTTAGGTTATTCTATGATTTATTATGTGCAACATCTATAGTAGGCGCATTTGATAAGAGTTTATTTAGTGTGCATGCACCGCAATTAGAGAAGAGCGTTTTGGAGCAATCAGGTCATATAGACATGAATAAGGCTGGGTTTAGAAGTCATGATATTTATCATTACTATCCCTTCAAGAAACCAGATCCAAATGGTGTACTTGTAGGTGGAGGAACTGCTCAATTTGGTGTATTAACTGATAATGATATGAAAAAGCAAGGATATAAAAGAAAGGTAAAACCAAAAAAAAAAAAAACGGATAAACATATATATTATATTCTATTTCTAAACAATTTATAACATATGTATAGTCTCGTTTGAGAATTGATGGAGTGAATATTGATCATATATTTCGTGGTGTAGAGGGACCCCCTGGTTGGATTACTTCAGGTACAGTAGATATTTCAGCAGATATTTATATTCCACAAGAAGCAGTTGAGGCAGATTCAACAGAATTATTACGTCAATTAGTGTATGAACTTACAGACCGAATTGAACTCTCACAGCCTGTAATCCTAGGTGCAGGTAATAATGGAGAAGAAATGCTTGTAGTTGTAGGTGGTCAGCGTGAGGATAGAAAGAAAAAGGAACCATCAGAGGATAATAACAATGCAAAGAAATTTGTTATGGATATGGATTTTCGTTTTAAAGATACCAAAGCTAGTGTCCCACTCAAGACACCTGAATTAAGTTATCTTAATAATGCTCTTGTAAGGCCTATTGTGGGGTATATCTCGCGTAACAAAACTATTGTACCTATCAAAATTCGTGTTGTTATGGATTTGAGTAATTTTGATGGATCATGGACTCTTTATGATTCTACTTTGGGCGAAAGAATGGCAGAAAAGTTGGGGCAAGGTTTTGTTGATTTAACATTGGATCAACAAGAGAGAAATAGAAGATTGAAACGTATTGGATTTTGGAGTATTAAGGAAATGTCACGAAATTTGATTAGCATTCATGATTTATTACGTGGAAATTCTAGAGGTTTTTGGAGTTACTTGGGAACAAGTACATCGAATTATTAAGCAAAGAAAAGAAAAATTATTTATTTTATGTACAATATTTATGTATTATACCCACCCCACTACAACTACTACTTTCCTTTTCATCCATCATTATTATTATTTATAAAATAAAGATTTATACTGCATATTATTTTTACTCTCTATTTGTTTATTTATTTATTTTTTTGGCATTAAGAAAAATAAAAAAAAGCTTGGTTTATAATGATAATTTATACAAGTGTAGATAATATTTATTATTATACATTAAAAGTGAAATATAAAATTACAAAATAAATAATTAATTTTTGTTACAAGACATCCAGACACCCAAACCACCAGCAATAATACCAATAAGAATAGAAATGATATTCAAGTCACTAAAGAGATTTGTGCTAGACTTTTGTGCCTTCTTTTCAGCTGCAAACTTCTTTTGCATAGCTTCATTGAAATAAGGATTCATATAGTATTTGGCATAGTAATCATTTTGAATCCACATTAACTTGTTAAATGCACTCAATACAACAGCTTCTTCTTCACGATCCAAGCCCAATTGAACAACGCCATTAATAATAGCAGATTCAACAAAACCCATCAAGGCATTAACGTGAACGTAGTCAACATTAATCTTACTCTTCTTTTCGGGGGTATCAGTATGGATCTTAGCAACCCAGTCAAGATACTTGAGGAAACGATCATCATAAGGACCCTTAAGGATACGAAGCAAGTACTTACCCAAAAAGTTCTTACGGAACTGAATTTGAGGATGATCTAAAGTTAATTCATCCAAAGAGTTAGCAACTTCACCAGTAAAGCCTTCGTTCTTGGGCAAGAAATATCTCTTGGTGATATCAAATTCAAATTGCTTGACATAGACAGAGTCAACGATAGCAGGTACAAGGGGACGCATTCTTTCAGCTACACTTTCAATAGCCTTAATATCCTTTTCACCGAAACCCATGTAGGCAGCTACATATTCAAAACGATACTTGTCATCAGTATATAACTTCTTTTCATCGATGTGTTGCATGGTAGTAGTAGTTTTCTTTTTTAATTATTAAGAGTGGAGTAAAATAACAATTTTAATAACTAAAATCTGAACAATAAGATTGTTGGCTTTATATATGTTTATAACAATAAGATTGAGTTTCACTTTTTAACAAACAATGGAGTTATAATTTCGGGGTTCTTCGGTCAACGGACAAAATTACAGCTTCTATTGTTCAAACTTTTTTTTTTTATTATTATTATTTTTTAATTAATAATAATACAATGGATTCCTGGACCAAACTCGGTTTCATTTTATAAATATAATCTTTTTTTTTTAAGGCATAATTTTGACTTTTTCTCGGCAAAATGCTTCTTTTAAGACGCGTCGTTTTTTTTAATTTTTTTAATTTTAATTATTTTATTACCTTAATTATTCAAGTTATTTTAATTACTGCAAAAAAAAAAAAAAAAAAAAAAAAAAAAATTTGTAATGATTTTCAACAAGATGCATGTCGGAGACTGAATAAAACTTTATTGTTTATCTGATTTTAGAAGATACAATAAAATAAACAAAAGTATACTAAAAGATTATAATGTGGTGTAAGCTTCAAAAGATATTTCAAATGCATTATTTTATTTTTTATTTTTTATTTTATTTTATTTTTTTACTGCATCAAAAGTGAACAATGACAAGTAGCTTGTATAATTTATAATGAGGTAATATCTTTTCTTATCTTTCACTCTCCCCTCTTTTAGCAAGTCTCATAATACTATTACTGGAGCTAGAAGCAGCACCTTCAATTGTTTGCATAATAGAGCTCATTGGCTTTTTCTTTTTTTTTCTTTGTAAGCAGAGTTTTTTATTATATACTCTGATTGTTCTCTTTTGAGATTATATTTAGTTGATACGAAGTCTAGATTTATTAATGAATAGAAACAAATTATATCTTTTTGTACCATAGTGTTGTTATAAATCAACTACCTCATAAATAATATAGCGTGATACCTAAATACAATTTACATTTACGATAATTACATAATATAACGACATGCTACCTGTGTTATTCAAACATATATGAATATCTGTAAAATATATTTTTTTTTCGTCTTTAATAACATTTTGATATTTCCACAAGTACACTTTATATATACATATATAAATATAATAATATTCTAACGCGTTTCAAAAGATGTAGAGGAAAGATGCAAATAGTATAAATATTAACTTATTTGATAAAATATGCCCTATTACGTTATAGTAAAATTGTTAGGGAATGTATTTATCTCTATTGTATCCATATGTTATTGAAGTATTTATTACCGAATTATAAATAATGAAATATACTGTTTTTTTTTCCTTTATAGAATAAGCATTCAATAAATATATACACCTATATATGTGTATATATTAAATAAGCCCTTACATATTTATGTATACAACCTATCATAATTTTTTTAAAGTTTCCAACTTGAAGTAGTTTAACATTAACTTTATCCAAATATATACAAAAAGTTTAATTTTTTTTTCTTTTTTAAAAAAAAAATTGACTAACTCCCTGGAGTGTATTCCTATAGTCATAATCAAGTATTGCACAACACTGAATGCCCTTTACACCAAAGTCTGAAGAGAAGTATATCTATCACAATTCATATCTGTAGTATACTCCGCACAGTCTAGTCCCTGATAGTAACAGGACATGACTTTTATCTGATATAAGCAACATTATTAATAAAAAGATAAAGGTCTTTATATATAAATGTATATGTGTATATTCAAGTAGTAGCCGCAGATTATGATCATAAGATGTATAGTTTTCATCTAACTTAGATTTAATGAACAATGACAATGAAAAGGGTAAACTGTGAGCTTTATAGTTGATGAGGCTGACAAAGAGCTCAAGTTCGATATCATCAACTCAATAATCTCAGATATTACATATTAAGTATGTATCAATCGCGTATCATTTAGAAATCTTATAACTAGATGTTCATAAGCTTCAAATTCATATTCAAAAAAAAATTATGTAGAAACTTATATAAATAAGTCATAATAATATGCAAAATTGTAAATATAAATGATATCATTTCATGAAAACAAATATAGAAGGCAGCATAAATAGAACTGTTGTCAATGTAAATTAACTTTGAATTCTGTGCTTCCACTCTCAATTTACTGGATGTTTGAAAACTCCGCCCAGTTTTTTGAAAAAATATTGGACCTTTGTGTCTGGGTTCCAAAAATATAGTTGTTCCACTTTTTCTCGTACCTGTTTTAAGTGCAAAAGACAAGTCTGTGAAAACTCTGTATAGTTCGTAATACAATGTATATAATTGGTTTTAATGCTCAAAATACTGCTATTAAAACTGAATGTTGTATAATGAACATTATCCTGTGAAGTACAATATCCTAATAACCTCCTTATTATTTAAATAAATATTGGTTTTTTTTAATTTAAGGACGACTACATGCATAACAACTCTCTCATTTTTTCACTTTCTCTCACTTTTCCTCACTTTTCACTCTCTCACCAAGAAAAAAATAAAAACATGACTTTCATTTGCCACACTTGTAAAACTGATTCTCCTTCATCATCAAAACTCTATAGCCATAATTATGATGTTCATGTGAATACATTACAAGTGACTATAAACAAAAGTAGGAACTGGGCATTTTTAAATTTAAAAAGATAATGTGTTTATTTTTATTTATTTTTTTTTGCAGTAATTAAAATAACTTGAATAATTAAAGGACAAACTTTAGAATAATAAAATAATTAAAATAAATAAAAATTAAAAAAAAAAAACGACGCGTCTTAAAAGAAGCATCTTGCCGAGAAAAAGTCAAAATTATGCCTAAAAAAAAAGATTATATTTATAAAATGAAACTGAGTTTGGTCCAGGAATCCATTGTATTATTATTTATTAATTAAAATATATATACAAATACAGATATGTATATATCATTGCTGCTAGTTGTTGTTTTCTTTTTAACCAAGAGGCTTTTGTTGTGTGGTATCATAAATACGAATAATCTTTGTTTGGTCACTATCATTTTGAGAAAATGCATAACCACGATTTCTCTTAAGACGTTGTATCCGACGGACCTTATTTACCGCTTGTCTGAATCTATCCATACGTGGTCTATAATCCGGTAAATTATACTTTTGAATTTCCTGTACAAAATGATATGGAAGAGGTCTATACATTCTCTTGATACTAAATTATCACGATTTTAATATAAATATACAATATCCATTTCGTATTATATATATATCGAACTTACTATTTCCAAACAAAATCACGTATATTACATACAAAAGGCACTAACAAAACAAATAGCCAGAAATTGACATTACCCCAGAGCATAGGAACAATGCCATTATATTCAGGGAAAACATCTACAGAGATGGCTGGACCAATATAGGCAGCAACTGGTAGATAAACAAACCAAATAAGCATTGATCCTGGAATAGCAATAAATGTATATTTTGTCCAAATACTATTATTGTATTAATATTATTGCTCCTTTATAATATATATGCATATATATCACTTACTCTGTAATCAATGCTCCTTTCCATAAAATACATCCTAAAATAGCTGTAAATACAGCCGTACCTGCCCACCATTGTCCACCTATTAAACCGTTCATAAATACACCATCTGTACTAAGAGCACCCACACCAAGGAAAAATAAAATCTAAACTAATTATTAATATGGGTGTAAGGTAAAAAAAAAAACCATTTTTTTTTTTTTTTTTTTTTTTTTTTTTTTTTTTTTTTTTTACCAACGAATGAAATACAGCATTTGCGAACCAGCCCCAAAACTTTTTTTGATTAAAGAATTCATTGGATTGACCAAGCATATACATTTGAGGGTATTTATCTAGTATTCGAGCAGAAACGAATTGATCAAAGATACCAATACATAAAGGTGGTAAAAAGGTAAAAATGACATTGAAGCAGGACATTGTCCAGGACTCATAAAGCGTTGAGCCAGAAAACCCATTATAAAAAGCATACTATATATTTGTATATATTGAATAATTAGTAAAGATCATCATTTAACTTTTTTTTCTTTTCTTTTCTTTACCCAAAATTGTGTCAAATAGAGTGCAACATTCTTATAGAAATAATAAAATATCATTTTACTTAAGCGTTGGTAGGCCCAGGAACCATGAACAAGTAAAAGTTTTTTCAAATATCTAAATTGTGAAATGGCAAAATCCGCACTACGAGCTGCCTGAAGCCCCTCGACACCACTAATACCAACACCCACATGGGCTGCTTGAATCATTGAAATGTCATTAGCTCCATCTCCGATAGCTAATAAAATCGATTTATCATATTTCTTTACAAGTTTCACCACAAGCGCTTTTTGAAGCGGGGATACTCGGCAGCAGATCACAGCTTTGCATAATACAGTTAAATCAAATAATAATTTTTCAATATCCTTTTCTAATGCAAACGTTAAGGCCTTTCCGTCAATCACAAATGCTAATGGCTAATATTAAAATAAAATGTATTTATATATGACTTGTTTATTTATTTTATTTTATTTTATTTTTTTTTTTTTTTACCTCTAATTCATCTCCTTTTTCAATTGCTCCTGTTATATCCTTCAATTTAGATTCTAAAAAGCTTTTCGTCTCCCAATGACTATCCATGTTACATACAATTAAACTCATTTCTTCATTTAATAATTTACATGAGTAACCGATATTGATCGCAGTCTCTTGTCGATCCCCTGTTAAAACCCAAACATTAATACCTGCCTCTTGAAGTGTATGAATTGTATCAGGTACACCCTCTTGAAGTTTATCTTCAATTGCAGTGGCGCCTAATAAAAATAAATTTTGTTCAATCATTTCAGCTGCCTTATCTAATTCATCAGCACGATTAACAAGCGTTGTAGCTGCCTTGTCATAGATCTGTGACCAACGAGCATATTCATCTTCAGGTATTTCTCGCATAGCAATACAAAGTGTTCGAAGCCCTTCGGATGCAAATTCTTCAAGATGAAGTAATGTATTTTCTACAAATGGATTATTGTCTGCAAGTCGCTCCAGGATAACTGTATCTGCACCTTTACAATATAATTTAATTTTACCATCAGGTCCACGAATGATAGCTGACATACGTTTACGAGTTGAATTAAATTCACATACATTCAATACTTGATATTCATAATCTTGACCTCGTTGATTACAAGTAATTGAATTAGGTTTACGAGTCTAAATATAGAAGAAGAAAAAAAATGTATATAAATAAATAAATAAACGAAGCATACACACACATGTATATATTTATAAATATATAATTTACATGGAATTTGTAATCTAATTCAGATGCACCTTTTACTAAAGCACCTTCATCTGGTGAAGAGGCTTGATAATTAATTTTATCAGAGCCTTCTTGAATTTCAGGTATAACGATATGACAAGTTGCCAAAAGTGTTAAAAATTCATGAATAACATTGGCGGTAGGATGACTCTTTAAATGCATTTTCAATTGATTGAAATCATATTGAAGTGTTGGATCGTCAAGGCCATCGCGTGCTTGTTTATCTGATTCCACTTTTTCAGCGTAAGAAATACCTGCGATAGAACATTCTCGGAATTGCATTTCATTACATGTCAAAGTACCTGTTTTATCTGAAAATACAAACTTCACTTGACCTAGTTCTTCAATTAGACTACTACTACGAGCCACAGCAGGTGTATCGGTTAATTCATAATACATGTCAAGATCAGATTGGATTAGAAAAGATTGAACAAACTTGACAATCTCCATTGTTACCATTAAACTAATTGGAATAAAACTGTTGAATAAAATCAAAAAAGTGAGAATATCATATCCAAATGCTGCAGCTCGTGAAAGTTCAGCACCTAACATTAAATATCCTTCTACATAACTACTTTTTGTAATCTACACATCATTTTAAGTATACAATTACAGTTTTATATATATATATATATATATATATATCAAAACTTACAGTAAAGACCAAACCACCAACAGCACAAGCAACACTCATAATAACCAAAATAGCAAAGAGATACAAGATATTACGATTCGTAATACGTGTGACATTAGATACTTTAGAAGGTTTTTTACTAAATGAAATATGAAATAGTAAGAGTAAGTTTAGTTTTTCTTTCTTTCTTTCTTTTCTTTTTCTTTTTTTTTACCTCGAATTCAGCATAAGTTTTGTTTCATGACCTGTAAAAATAACAATACCATAGATCCATAATGTATTACGAAGTTGGGCACCTCTTAAAAGTAGTTGAGTAGGATCTAAAGCATACTCTTTTGTTTGACCGCTTTCACTATTCATGATAGAAAAGACACCATCATAATTATATAAACGATTATTAGGTTGTTCACTTCGGACAACACCTTGTAAACGACTCATTTCTACCGGATTTAAGATTTTAGATGTTTGAAGTAGAGCTTGTTTGATCTTCAGATTGACTTCACCATCCAAATTACTTGTTTCAATATAACAAAGACCTTCAGGTTCAGAACTACTCATTAAAATCAAATCAGCTGGAAAGTTTTCTCCACTTTCAATACGTAGAATATCTCCAACATGAATATCACGCCAAGCCTTCTCTATAAATTGAGTTCCTTCTAATACTTTACATTTTCTAGCATTTAATTCCGCATCCGAGCGATGAACACCCTATCATTCAAAAAGATCCTATTAATTTTTCCTCTCTCTCTCTCCATATATGTATTCTTATGTATATTATATTATACCCAGTCTTCAATTAGCTCTTTAACAGCTGTAATGAGTAATACAATAACTAAAGGAACTACTGTTGTATATCTAGAAGTAGGAGAAATACCGGGAATTTGCTATAAAGATATATATATATATACATACATATAAAATGAGTTTCTTATATTATATATATATATATATATATATGTAAATGTATATTACCTGAATGCCTGATATAAATAAGAAAAAGAGATTAGCATATTTAGAAAATTCTTCATATAAAAACTTTGGTAAAAAAGTGATGGCAGTATATTTGGCAGTAAAGACACGGTTGTGTAAAAAAGTTTGTTGAATATTTAATTCTGGATTATTAATGTAAATAGTGCGTTCCCCGCCTTCAGCATTAGAGGAAGCATTCGTTTTACCAAATAACTTTTGAATAGTTTCCTTTAGTTTGAATGTTGATCTTCTCTTTTGATTCCTTTTTGGTTTATTTTCGGATTGTGATGTGGCTTGGTGTAAAGAGATACCACCCTCCGATAAGGCTTGTTGGGCTGAATGACGACCTGCTATTGGGCTTCGGTTAGTAAGCAACTGAAGGTTATCATCATCATCTTGAAGTATAGCTGAATCATCATAAAATAAACCTTATATATATATATATTCATATATATGAATATGGATTTCATTCTCTTTACTTGGAGTATCCTTTATTGACAAGATACTGTTGCAAAAAAAAAAAAACTTACCATCATCTAAAGCAAATGAAGAATCACCTCGTTTAATATGCGGATGACTATAGATCGGGGTAGTTATACTAGCATCTCCTTTAAAATCTATAGAAGATATTACTGAAGTCATTTGTGGTTGATGTTGAAAGTTGATCAAATCTTGTTGACTTTGTGATGAATAGTCATTCTGTGGATCAGACCTAAGAGACTGTGATGAGTCTTCAAAGGGGTTTTGTATATTATTATAAGACGACGACACTTTTTTTATTTTATTTTTTTTTAAAAAAAAAACGAATAAATAAATTAGAGTAACTTTTTTAATAAAGAAAAGGCTATCGATGTTTTTTTTTTTTTTTTTGATTATTTGCCCCTCTTTTTTTTATTATATTTTTATTGGTGAAACTGTAAGGCACAGCGTTTTCAAGTAATCATAGGCCCTGAGATTAAATTTTGAACTTTTTTCTCTCCTTTTTTTTTATTTTTTTTTTAGGCTATTTTTATCAAAGCAAAAATACCATATATAGAGATAGCGGAGTTTAAGATAAGTTTTTTTTAGTATATTTTTTTTTCCTTTTTTTTTTAGAACAGCATAATGATTAAACCAGCACTTTTTTTTTTTAAAGAAAAAAAGAAGAAGAGAGAATTGAGTCTATCAATGACATGTTTGTTGAGTATAGCCGTATCGTATAGAAGGGCCTTTTTGGTGAAATTATATTATTTAAAGAGCTTTATATTTGACAATTGTATATAAAATGAACGCTTCATCAGACAGACTAAAAAAAGTACTTTTCTTGCTAGTTTATATTTTATTATGAAATAAACACAGTTGTAATAATAATTAATAGAGATAATATAAAAACAAAACCTGCAATTATTATAATTGGAGTTAAGATACCATAAATGGACCATAATGAAATATTAAAACCAAAAAATGAAATAAGCGTACATAAACTGGCTAATTGAATATATTGCTTTGTTTTTGGATTTTGCTGCCAATTTTTATATTCAGCCCCTTGAAGTTGTAATATCAAGAATACAATACACACAATAAGACCTGTAGTCAAGGCTATATAAAATAAAGAACTATTTTGCCAGTTTTGTGTGTATGTTTAAGACGAGTAAATTCATTTTTTTCTTTTTTTTTTTTTTGAAATACCTTAATTTTACTGTTATTGACTGGAAACTAGTCGAGGCGAAACATAAGATGGCAAATGAAATAGCAAGTTGAGGTAGTGTTGAAAGAATGTTTTGAATGGGGTTTTTTTTAACTCTTTTTAATTTATTATCATCTTTCAAAGATTTATAAGGTTGATTTTTACTTGTTTCTCCTCTTTTTGTCACGTACATATTTAGGAAAAAAAAAAAAAAGAAACTGCCTGAACGCGACTCTCTTTCCTTTTTTTAGCTTTTTTTTTTTAATTATATACGGAGTTTTAAAAAAGATAATGGCGAGAACAACGGTTAAAATATTCTGGTAAATTATGGATACATTATTTATTAGATCATTTGTGTCCTTCTTTTTAAGGTAATTGACCTGGATGGATAGGGTTGAATATGTCTTTTACAGTAAATACGCCTTTCAAATACATAATAAATATCATTTAATTTCTCTTGACAAATCTAAAAAAAAAGCCAAATTATTATAAATAATAGAATTATTATTATTAGTAGTAGTAGTTTTATACCTCACATATAAAACAATCTGGATGAAATCGCCATCCTTCTTCTGTGTGCGCACATAAGTCTTCTATACCCTCATGGCATCGATAACAAAGAGAATTATTTAACATATGATAATGTCTTTTACAATAGGGTTGATTGTTAAAGACATAAAATTTTTCATCTGGAAATGATGCATGACATATCTGCTGAAAAGAAAAAAAAATACAAAGTAAATTCTATGACTATTGTTTACTACTTCTTGTATTATTATTATTATTACCTGACAATTAAAGCACTGAATATGCCATTGACCTTCTAATTTACCATCTAAAGCTGAAACGACTTGGTTTTCAATTGGTTTCATACACGCTGAACATTTTGGCAGTAAGAAGAGTCGATTAAAATCGGACTTGCAATAAATCCGATTTTTGAAAATTTGATAGTTATCATCCATTATTATCATGTGACATTCGTGACAACAAGAAGACATTTTATTACTCTTATTCATATTACTACTACTAGTACTAGTACTACTACTAGTACTGCTACTACTACTACTACTACTATTATTACTACTACTACTATTACAACTACTGCTACTACTACTACTACTACTACTCTTCCTTATTCTATTATCAATCAAATTAGTCATACAGCAAAACTCTAATAATAACACTCTACTTTACCTTGATAACATGACTTTATAATCTCTTGAACAATATAACTTTCCATTATAATTAAACGCTGTAAAAGATAATGGAACACGACAAAGACTGCAACAGTAGCATGCTTTATGATAGGATATTTCTTTTATAACTTGCAAATCTTCTGTTCGCATGATTCGTCCAAGACAGATTCCACAACGACTATTTAATAGTGTTGTATCATGATGATTTGTATTAGCAGTGAGTTTGTCAATCAAGTCATTGATAATAAAGTCTAAATCGTCTACTTTTTGATTTATTAAATTATTTGTAACAGCTTTAAAATGTCTATCCTCTAAGAAAAGAAGAAAAATAGGTATTATTTTAATATGGAATAAAGTTTTTTTTTTTTGAATCCTATTCTTTACATACTTTGTTTTATTAAATCATCTTCTACAGACGATCTATTAAAAAAAGTCAATATTCCAATTCACATACACTTGTTTATTTTACTCATTCATTTACCTTGGAGTTATGATAGACGATGTTGATGTAAGGGTAGGTGTTAATAAAGATGTTGAATCTTTATCATTTATTTGATATTGCTGTTTCAATGAGCCTAATTAATAATAATAACAAAAGCTTAGTTTTCTTTTCTTTTCTGATAGTTTTGACATGTATGTGTTACCGTGACTGGAACAAACATGATTATCTAAAGTACGTATATCAATGTGAATTTTACATATAGCACATTTAATTGTATGAAGGAAAGGTAATTTAATGCTACTAGTAGTGGTCATAATTAAGTAGAGAGGAGAAAAGAAGATCAAGGAATACAATTTTACTTTCTCTTTCTTCTTACTTAAATTGCTGGAAAAAAAAAAAAAAAAAAAAAGAGACTTTTGTCTAAACTCCGTTAATTGACCAGTTTAAATAATTTACTTGGTTTTATTTTTTATTATTTATTTTCTTATTTTGTTGTTGTTGTTTTTTTTATTGTTTTTCTATTATTATTTTTTTTAGTAAAATTATACTGTGTTAATGTCAGAATCAAAAGCTGTCATCCTTGTTGGTGGACCTTCTCGAGGTACACGTTTTAGACCTCTTTCACTCAATTGTCCAAAACCTCTTTTCCCAGTTGCAGGTCGACCTGTCATCTCTCACCATCTTGATGCTTTATCAAAAGTAAAAGGGTTAAAAGAAGTTTTAATTATTGGTTTATTCGAAGATAAAGTCTTTGCCCCTTATATTGATAATGCTGCTATTGAATTCCCTCATCTAAACATTCGGTATGTTATCTAATGGGTGAATAATATAGTAATAGAAGTTGATATACATATCTATTTATATGTTATGTGCTTACATGTATATACATATATACCTTTAGTTATCTTCATGAATATCAAGCATTAGGTACAGCAGGCGGTATTTATCATTTCCGTGATGAAATTTTGCGTGGTCATACAAAACAATTCTTTGTAATGCATATTGACATTGCTTGTTCTTTCCCACTTGAGGAAATGATTGATGCTCATATGAAACATCGTGGAATCTGTACCATGTTGGGAACAAAGGTTTATCTTTTTCCTTAATAATTAGATAGAAGATAGAGAGAGAATATAGAAAAATTAATATTTATGTTTGAATAGGTTCCTGCTTCTGAGGCTACTAAATATGGTTGTCTTGTCGCTAATACAGAAACAAATCAAGTGCTCCATTATGTAGAGAAACCAGATACATTCATTTCTGATTTAATTTCTTGTGGTGTATTCTTATTTGATGTCTCTGTATTTGGAGAAATGAAAAGGGCACTTGAAAAGAAGGAAAGTCAAGTACAAAGTGAATTTGTTTCTACTTCAGTAGACGAATTACGTTTGGAGCAAGATATCCTTAGACCCTTGACTGAAAATAATAACCTTTATGTTTACGTGACTAACCAATTTTGGAGACAAATTAAGACAGCCGGGTAAGTGTACATGAATAAAAAAGAAGAAAAAGTAGTATTGATGATGATGTATTAGGTCTGCTATTTTAGCGAACGCACTTTATCTTGAAGCTGAAGCACGTGAAGGATCTGAGAGATTAGCAAAGAATAACAATTCCGATGGCGGACCTGAAATTATTGGTTCTGTCTATATTCATCCTTCTGCTCATGTAGATCCTACAGCTAAGGTAAATAGAAAAAAAAAAAGATATCCCATATAGATTATATGAATGAAATCGAGTTATTATGTACTAGCTTGGTCCTAATGTCTCTATTGGTCCACGCGTTAATATCATGGCTGGTGTTCGTATCAAAGATTCTATTTTATTGGATAACGTTCATGTTGGGGTAAGTTTTTAAAGAGAGGGTAGAGAGATCAGGTTGAGAGTTGCTTACGTAAATATAATATAAAATAAAATAGAAAGCAAGTTGTATTCTTCATTCCATTATTGGCTGGAATAGTCGTATAGGTTCATGGACTCGTGTAGAAGGATGTCCAGTACATGAAGGGGATAGTGCAATGATGAAAAATGGAGTTAAAAATCAAAGTATAACTATCTTGGGTAAAATCATTGATTTTTTTTTTCTTTTAGTTTCTTTTCTATTTACATGCAAGAATTTTTTTTTTCATTCTTATAGGTAAAGATGTTTCTGTTATGGATGAAACGATTATTCGTAATTGTATTGTTTTGCCTCACAAAGAACTTAAATCTTGTTATCACAATGAAATTCTTATGTAATTTAAAACTTTGTACAATAATAATCCTATGCTGTGTTACAACAAGGATTCTCATTTGTGTTACAAATAATTATTCTTCTATGATGATTGTTATATTATTATTTTTATAAATATATAAAGAAGGGACTATAATACAAGAAATTAAAACATATACGTATATATATATATGTGTGTGTGTATACATATGTGTGCATATTTAAAGGGAAGCTGACGGTAGTTAACAATAATTAGACAGATGGGGTCGTGTTTCCAGTAGCCATGGTAGGAGGAACCTCAGGCGAAACAGAAGTTTTTTTACCCGTCAACCTATCCTTCATTTCATTCCACATCAATTGACGTTCAATACCTACACCACCAAGAACCGATGAATTTTCTTGAGCACGACGAAGTAAATAAGGAATGACTTCATGAATCTTTCCATAAGGTAAATACTTGTAAATCGCATAACCATGATGACCTAATGTATAAGATAATTGATCCTGCATACCAAATAATTGACCAAACATCACTACACCCGATTGAATAGAGACATTATTTTTTTCCATTTCTTCAATTGTCAATATGACACTATCTCGATTATGGCTAGCTACCATAAAGACAATAGGTGAAGTCTCCTTGGAGTTGATGGATTGTTTTATTTGTTCTTGATATTCACCTATTTTACGAAGAAGGAATTGAACACCCCCGTTATAGGAGGCATGTGTCTCTTCCAATGTCTCATGAATGGGGGATTCATAATCCATCTCTTCTGCTCGTTTACGTTCTGAGATCATGTAAGCACCACGTACTAATTTGGCTGCAAAAGTAAAGTTTTCCCGTTTTGCAAGTTCTACATCTAATTCAAGCCTTCCTTGAGATGATTTAGTATACATTTGATCTATGAAGAAGAAGAAAGAATTAAAAAAGATTAGATTTGAATAATAAAATGAGCAAGAGAAAAAGTTTTCCCTCTCTCTCCTCCCCCTAAAAAACAACAACAACAACAACAACAACAACAACAATAACTTACAAGTATTATAGACTGTGGGTGGTTGAGATAGAGGATGACGTTTATTAAATTTACGTTGAAGTTGATGAGCAACATGGTCAATGGCATCTTGGAAATAAGATTGCTCAGCATCTACCATGACACCTACTTTCAGCTCATGGGCTAATCCACATACTTCTTCAAGATGTGCCATCATATGATCATAAGCAGCTAAATCCTTAGCTGTTAATAAGACATTTGAATGGTCTTCTTTATCATTTGTTTCCCACCAAACATCTCTATTCTCTTGCTGAAAACTAAAGAATTTTCTAAATTCAATTAAATCTAAATAAACATCTCCTTCTTCTTGTTGTTGACAATAATATTTTAAAATGGTATCTCGCTTTTCTTCTTGCTCCTTTGTTCTCGCAGGAGGTAAAACCTGGTGAATGACTTGATAAAGACCTTGGATATCGATTTGACCGTACCGTTGGTGTTTCAAAAATGCTTGATCTAAGGTGGCAAGGGCTTGGTTAAGACGAACTAATAATTCGGGAGGAGAAAAGGCGGTGACCTTGATAGCCACCATGGCATCTCCTTTAGCACTGTGAGCAGCAGTTTGAATACAGGTCTTTATCATTTTGGTAATCTTGTCTGCATAATGTTCATTCACCTTCATAGGTACTTGTTGCTGCTCTAAATCTGCCTCAACAGATAAATCCAAGATACAATTAATACCTGATTCAGCTAATTTATCCATACTTGAAATACATTCCTCAGGTGATTCACCACCACAAAAATGAGTGAAAAAGGTATGTTTGATAAACCAATAAAGCGGTGTTTCCAGACCTAACCTTTGAGAGAGAGAGATCAAATGTGGGGCGATATCGACAAGCCATGAGATGGCACAGAGACGATAAACAAACAAGGCCATCACAAGATCCTTTGTATCCTTTGCTTGAACAGCAATACGATTTTCTTTATCTCTTAATTCCATCAAGGTCAATGATGCAGGCGATGTATTAGTAGTAGTAGTATTAAAATGATTAGCAGCAACTGGTTCAGCTTCAGCTATTCTTTCTTGAGAATAAAAATAAAAGGAAGATGTCAAGAGAAGACTACTAGCGACTGTAATTGATTTAAATGGGAAACGTGTTGCTGTCTTTACATGCTTAGATGTTGTTACAATACTTCTTTTATAATAGAAAGGAGGAGGAGTAATAAAAGGTTTTGATAATAATCGTGTATTTTGTAATATTGACCGAATTTGTAATGAACTACGTTGCATTCAAATAAAAGAGATATTAATAATAGAAGGAAGGAAAGAAAGAAAGAAAGAAAAGGTAAAAAAAAAGAAAAGAGGGAGAAGGAGGGGGGGGATATATACATGCTTTTTTTTTTTTTTCATATACACATACTAACCATGTAGTAAAATTTTGATTTCTTCTTCCTTAATGTCAAATTTGACCAATCAAAAAAAAAAACATGGTTTTTCTTTTAATGTGATATCGAAAATGTGGGGGAAAAAAAAATAAAAAAAAAGGGAAAGGGATAAAAATATACCAAATGAGGAACTTTCCCACCCTTGGAACCAATCATTATCCGTGAAACTATAACAGCATAATTGGCATGGTTATTATTTCCATTGCATAGATATTCTTTAATATGTGGACTATGTATATAAATATTAGTTGACTAGTTTTGATCATTTCATTATTACCAAACTTTTAAACTAGAAAAAAAAAAAAGGAAAAAGCCAAAATGTATATTTGTACATCTATCTATTTTTTTTTTTTTTATTGTTTGAAACTTCAAAGTCGTGATACATTACAGCGAAAATCTATTAATACATATTATCTTTATCAATGCACCCATCCTCTTTTCGGGATGATGATTTACACGCGGGAGAAGAACGAAAAAAAAAAAAAATCCCTCTTCCGTCCGTTTATCGTGTGAAATAGGTGATACTAAACATCTTTTAAGAGCCTAGATTTTCTAGGACTTGATACGTGTTTGATGTTATTTTTATTTATTTATTTATTTTTATATATTTTTTTTTTAAGGAGATAGTAGATAGGCTTTCCTTAAACTATTCGGAATCTGTTAAATTCTTTGATAAAAGATATCGCGTGTAATGGTATATTATCATTCAAAACAAATGATGTAATGATTATTATATATATGTATATGTATTCATCGTTTAATATGAATACACTACTAAATATTTTTTTTTCTTTTTATTTTCCATCAAGTCGAGTTAATAAATCTTTAACAAAGCTATCTAATCCATATTTTGCTTCATGTTTAGCATATAAATCATTAAAAATACTTATACGTGTACTATTTAAAATGTTTCTTAAACTTCCTGATCCTTTTGAATCGACTTGAATTAAAGCATTTATAAAGACACGTGAATAATGTTGATATCGTTCAAATGCATGTCGACAAGTCGTGTTCAGCTTATTTTCTTGTTCAATTGTAGTTGGGCTATAATCATCAAGAACAAGACTAAAGGAAATAATGGAGTTGAATACAGGTAATAATTCGTGTAAGATTCGTATCTGACTTTGTTTTAAAAAACATTGATAAAGGATACGATCTAGGATATGTTCATGATAGTCTCGAAATGAATGAGGCTCCATAATGACAGATAAATAATCATTCCTATCATTTTCTTGAATATGTCGTAAAAATAATTTCCATGTATTATCAATAGCTGTAGTTTGAATATAGCCTTGAAAGGCAGTCATGAATTGATCCATTTGAAATCGATATCGGTATATTCTATCTCGTGTTTCAGATCGAAACCAAATTAGATTCTTTAATCGTTCAAAGCTACGTTTTAGAACTGTCGTAACTCTTAATAATCTTAATAAAAATCTAAATATACGATTGTATTTATCTAGTACATGAGGCGTGATAACTATATTTAAAGGATAACTAGCATTATAATTTAATTGTAAGAAATCAAGTGCTTCTACAGCTATAATATATATATATATATATACAGAGTGTGTTAGTTTAGATAGAGGATCATAAATAGAACCTATGTAAATACATATATATATATATATATCTTTATACATGTATACATTTATATATATATATACACACCTCGTGGATTCACCCAAGGGCTTTCTTTCGTCGTCTTACTTAGATGAAATGTAATTAAATTTTCTTCTTCTATTTCATTCTCTAATAATAAATCTCTTAAAGCTAAATGAAGATCAGATGCTCTGGGTGGCCAACAATCACCCATAAAGTCTAATCCAATTTTTCCTTCTTGTTTACTAAATAGAGTCGTCTTGAGCCCATTCACAAATGTACCATTACCAAATAAGAAGTATTGATATAGTAATGACAAATGGGATTCAAGTTTGAACTGAGTTAAAAAGGAGGACATGACTGATTCGTTTAAGATTGGACACCATAACTGAATTGGTTTAAGATAGCTTTGGACTGTAATTACGTCTATAGTGGGTATAAAAAAGCCATGATGTTGATGTTGATGATACTTTATGATTTCATTCAATGTATTTAAAAAGTCACTTGATGGATTTGAATCCTTTTCAAGTAAAGGAAGTATTGGTATGTTTTCTATAGGGGTATGATTATCTTGTAAGGAAGGTAAAGAGATAGTAGATGGCTCCAAGGGATTTTGAACTGTATGGTTTCCCAAATTATATTCTTGCATGTATTGAATCACTTTTTCTAATTGATTAAAATATCTAAATCAAAGATTATTATAAATAAGTGTATATATAATGTGACTATTATAAAATTCCTTACTTTTCACCTTCTGCACTTGTTAATATACATTTTAAAGAAATTGAATCATTTAATGCAAATAATGGGTGTTCTGGCTTAGTTCTTTGTAATATTCGTGCAGAGACTCCTGATCGAAATAGATATTCAGCAAGCTCCTTATCAATAAAGTAAGGTAAAGTTCTATCTGTTGGATATATCTAGTATATATAAATACAATAAATAAAGTTAAACTATTTATAATATACATATATAGAGTGGTACCTGAAATGTATCTTGTTTAGAATTTATATCTATAAAAAACTCATGATAAGGGTCTTTGTTCTCTCCTGTAGATTGACATAGATATAACCATTTACTAAGCATAGTCAAATAAGGTATACTTGTATGTGCTAATATGGCCAAACAAATATCTCGATATAAAGCAAGATGTCCATTGAATGAAAGATCTATTCTTTTGATTTCATCGTAAAGCAAATTCAATAATGCAGCTCCAAAGGGAATTTGGAAATGTTCTTGATGAATCCTAAAAAGTCGACATAATCTTTGGACAATCATAGATAAGGGCTGAATAGATTGATGTAATCTTAAAATTGTCATGTTAGGTAATAATAGAACATCCAAGATCAAATGTTGTAGATAAAGATGTAGTTCAGTTAAACAGCAACCAAATGCTATCCCTGTAAGTCCATACTCTGATGCATTCTCTTGGCATTGTTGAGCCACATATTCTAAGGCTCTTAATTGTGAACTAAATAAAAGTACATCTTGAAGAATAGAGTCTAGAGCATTTGGACTAACACCTAGAATACGAACATGAGGCTCACGTTGCTTAAGCATCAAATCTTTATCCCAATAAAAATAAATCGAGGGCAATCCTGCAAGAGCTTGTAAAAGTCCCTTCACAAGATCTGATTCATAAACAACAACACTCGTATTTTCTTTTAATAAAGATCGAACCACTGTCTCTGAAAAGCTTAAAGGAGCTTCAGTAATAAATGGTGTTCCAATATTTCTTTGAGCAAGTTCTCTCTGTGCGTAAGAAGGATAGTGAGGATTTTGTGTATCCCAAGACAAAGTATTAAATGTAGTTGGTATAGATAGTTGTTGAGTCCAAATATCTTCTTCTTCTGTATCATCACCCTGCTGAAAGGATATGTCTGTTGTTGTTGTTGTTGATGATGATGATGATGCATTTGAATTAACTGAATGTTCATTCGCAAGGTTAAGGAAATCAAATGGTTCGCTAGATAATGGCTTCAAGCGTAATTGATCCTCTTTCCAATCAGAATCTACAAGAATACAATATAAATATATTAAAAAAGTAAAGCATAAATTAATCTCTCTTTTATAATTTAGAATTACTGTTGTTATTTTTTTCACGCCATTCTGTAAAATTAAAACTGTCTGGATTCTCTAAATTGAACTGAAACATTGAATCACATTCACAAATAAAATAATGAATAAAATGAACAAATGATAAAACAATAGATTTACAGTTTATTGAAAGTCGCATTATTTAATTTTTTTTTTATATGTGTTTATAAATGTAAAAACAAAGTCACATTCAGGTTCAATGTATTAAAGCAGTTAAAAAAAAAACAGATAGACATATATTAATATACAAACAAAACAAAAATAATATATAAAATACAAGAATATAAATAATAAGAATAAACAAAGTTTTCTTTTTTTTTTTCTCTTTTTGTTAATCATCATCTTCGTCCTCGTCTTCTTCATCCTCATCCTCATCGTCATCATCGTCAGAAACTATTAAAGGTCCTCTTGCTAAATCAGAAATGATTTGCTTTCGCCATCTTTCTGTTCTGTCACGTAATCGAAGCAATTTATTTATTTGATTATTCTGTTTATAGCATTGCCTTTCAAGTTGAGATATTTGAGCCTTTAAACGATCCATTTCATGTTTCATCAAAGTCATTTTTAATTCATTATTTTTACAGTTTGAACAAGAAGGGGACTGCTGTTGCGGTGAATCAGTCGTGTTGGGTATTATTGGTGATGATATTTGTTTATCTTTTACAACTGCTAATTTTGGTGAAGGCAACATGATTCTTGTAGGTGAACTTGGTGAAGAAGCCGATGATGCTAATTCATCCTCTTCATCATCTATTTCCACTTCCTCTTGCTCTTCCTCATCCTCATTCTCGTCCTCTTCCTCTTCTTCTTGTTCTTCTTCTTCCTCTTCTCCTTTTTCTTCTTCTGCTACTATTACCATTTCTTCTCCTTTATCTTCTTTTCCTCCTTCTCCTCCTCCTACATGCGTCTCCTCTTCTTCATCCTTTTGAATCCTATTTTCATGATCATCCTCCACTTTATCTAGATATTTTTGACGCTTTTTATCATTGAACTCATTCTCACTTCCAGTATCACTATCATGACTAGATCTTAAAAACTTTTGAGCATTTTCAATCATTTGAATACTATTTTGACTATGATCTCTCATTCGTTTTCGACTCCCTGCTAATAAAATAGGAATACGACGATCTTCATCCTCTACTTCTTCTATATCCTCTTCATCGTCCGAATGATGATGATGATGATGATGATGATGATGATGATGATCAGCCATGGTTGTCAACGTCATATTCTTTTTCCTTTTTTTGTAATTTCCAATCAATAGACAGTATGAGTATTTATTATCTGGTGCAAAATACTGATATTCATTACCGAGCAAATAATCGAAATAACAGTCTATTTTATACTTATGCATCCATCGTTTCACTCTTTGAGCAAATTGAGGCCTTCCTGCCATATCTGCCAAACCCAATTGACCTACCAATTGAGACCAATTTTTTATCTATTTTTTTTTTTTATTGAATGTATATTTTATAGAGGTAGAAGAATGGAGTTAACCAACAAACCCCATCTTTATAATTGCTTCTTTTTATATATATTTATATACCTCCTTTTGATGTAATTTTAAAACAAGTTGATAGACATCCCAAGTTGTATAGCATAGATCACCAGTCTTGGGTACCGAATTAAATTTTCTTTTCGCATAGACTAAACTTTCTATATCATCGCTAATATAATTTGGATCATGTCTTGTGACGAATTGAATATATCCTTCCTCAATATTTTCGGCAGTGACATTCTCTCCAGTAATTTTCCCTTTTGTCAATGAATGATGATTGGTATTTAAAGAAGTAGGAGTCGATTCATTATTAGCTATTATTTCAGTTTTAGACGTTGTTGTTGTTGCTGCTGCTGCTGCTGCTGCCGCGGCCGCCGCCTCTGCCGCCACTTTAATAGCTACTTGCGCTGCTTTATTGATCAAGTTTTGATTTTCATGTTTAGGATTAGCAACCGGAAATAATACCTGAGTGGATGAGTCAGATTGAAATTTATGAAAAATAGGCCGGTATTGATGAGGAGGATTCGTAGTCGTGGACTCAGTATTGTCCTGCGAAAACTGTGTTTGTTTTAAAAGAGGTTGTTGAACGGTATTTTCTGGTGGGTTGGGTGAAATAGAGTCGATGATTGAATTATTATCATTCAGGAAAAGATGATTATTCATCCAATCAGTCTATGAATAAACAATTAGTTTATTTAAATTAAACAGAAGAGGAGAGTTTCTTTTTTCTTTTTTTTTCTCTCTTTTATGTCTATATCAAAGCTTTTTATTTTTCATTTTTCATTTTTCATTTTTTTATTTTTTTATTTTGTTTACATTAGGTAGTGAAAATAAAAAGGATGGATCTTGTCTTGTTAAAAATACATTGGAAGGGGATGAAGAAGGATCAATAAGTGTTTGCTGAAAGAGAGTGTTATTGTCATGATGAGTGGAAGTGGATGTTGAATTAGCATTCGTTGTTGTCAAGTTTTTAGTATCTCCTGTAGTTGTTCTATGAACAAGATCAGACAAGTTCATATCTCTCTTTTAAATATTAAAATAATAATAATAATAAAAAAATAAAAAGAATGATTTTTCTTCTAAAAAAATAAAAAAAAAAAAAAAAATAAAAAATATATGTGTATTTATGTATGTATATAAATATATAAAAGAAAGAATAGTAGAATGGCTTTATTTATAGATAAACCAGCAACACTTACTACATTTCAATACATATAAATATGTGTATTTTTATATATATATAAAAAAAAAAAAAAAAGGAGAAAGAAAGAAAATGATAATTTCTTCTTGTCAACTACTATTTTATATTTGATTACAGAGGCATATTGATATTTGCTCCAAATGTCAATCATCATGAATTTATTTCATTATATAAAGTATGTAACTATAAAACATTCTCCTCCTCTGCTCTTTTTACATAAATGAAATATAAAAAAGTATCCATGTTCATAATACGCATTGAATCTACTACAACAAAATTAAAGAGTATCCAAGGATGCACTTTGAGTCTATAAAGTCTATTGAAAAAAAAAAAAAAAAAAAAAAAGAAAGACATGTTGCTGACTTTTTTTTTTTTTTTTTTTCTACAAGAAAAGTGAGTGGTGTTTGTATGCAGAAAACACTAGAGTTAAAAGCGAAGGAGAAGAGAAAAAGAAACATGGAACATGATGTTTTTCGTAAATTAGCATGTCTAATTGAAAGCTAAAAGTACGTAATGATCCCTTCAGAATAGATTCTCTTTACTCTAATTAATTGTCTTTCTCTCTTTTTCTTAATCAAGTCAACGTTTTTAATTGTTGCTTGTTGCATGGTGTCGTTTTTGAACAACAAACGTGTATATTGAGGAAACAAATGGTTGGGTGGGGGGGAAAAAAGGGAATTACATACACCATTTCTATTATTATAGTTATTAGTATTACAACATTACAATTAGAATGTAATTTTATTAAAATAATATGAATGTAGACAAATGTATATAAATAAGCAAAAGAAATCATAATGTTTCGTTATGTACACATGTAAAAATAAAAAATAAATAAAAAAAAATAAATAATAATAAAAAAAACCAAAATACTTTTTTTTTCCTTTTTTTTTTTTTTTTTTTTTTTTTTTTTTTTTTTTTTTTCTCTTTTTACATGATAGTAATAGCTTCAGCAAAATTAAAACTATCGACCCAAACACGAACAAAATCATTTATATCGGATTCTTGTCGATTGATAGACGAAAGACCACCTGGCATACCTTGATCGTCATGAATGATACTTTGCTCATCAATCGTAATACTACCTTTCCCTTTATCGTTACGTACAACAGCAGCTCCTCTACTGGTGGCCTCGATACCGATCAACTTGAGCTCCTGTATTTCCTTTTGAGTGATTCCGAGATCATCCTCAGGGATCCAGATGGTGGGACAAGGTGTATAAACAGAGGGGTGCAAGTAAGTTTCGACATCATACAAGGATTTAGCGGTATGAATGATACGATCCTGATCCCTTTGAATATCCGGAAGGCTCTTTTGCTTTTCATGATAAAGTCGTTTTAACAATTGTTGATGAGCATGATGGCCTTCAGTCTGTGTAGGTGAATGAATAGAACTATGAGTAGGTAACTTTGAAAGATGATGATGATGACGACGATGTTTAAGACGAGAGCCTGTGCTATCTTCTTCTTCTTCTTCCTCGGCAGTATCAACAGCAGGGGAAGACAAATCATCCGAGATAGAATCTTCTTTCATATGATCAGGTGCCTTTTGATCATGATGTTCCACTTCCTCTTTAGATACATGAACTATGTTGTGTTTGAGCAATCTACTCTCGTCCCTTTTAACCTGTCCTTTGTGATGATCTACAGCAGGATCACTAAAGTCAGAGATAGGTAAATATTTCAATAAAGGTTTGAATGCACGATCATAGTAATAGAGAACAAAGCAAGTCAGAATCAAGGTCACGATCATCAATCCTAATTGACCACGAGCTCCAGATCGAATAGCAAAGAGGCCGACCAAGGTCAATTGTGAAATAATTAAGCCAATGTAGATGTGACGAATGGCTCTTGGAAAATGACGTCCAGCTGTTTCATGGTTGATTTCATAGACATATAAAAATTGATAGAGATGGACAAAGTACTGGAGTATAAAGAAAAGGCAAACGAAGGGTAAGATGAGAGGAGAGATGACACCGTATTCAAGGCCTAGAATAAAAATGACAGTTTGACTAGGGATGAGGGTACCAAGATTGACGGTAAGACAGGATATTTTGGCATTGTACAGATCACGAGGAGTTGTGTTAAAGAATGGTTTCACATAAGATAATAAGAAAGGTACGACTTGAACCATACTTTGACCAGATTGATTTGTGGATTGAAGCATAACAAAGGTAATAAAGAAAGTAGATGCCTTGGGTAAGTTGGTTGATAAAACGTTGATGATTTCAAAAGGATTATGAACGAAATTATTCAGTTTATCTACTATGGTCATAAAGCCACCTGACAATGTAGAGACAAGCACGACATCTACCAATTGAAAGAAGAAAAACTTATGAAGAAGGGAGAGTTGAACAAAAGATCTTTGAGGAATGCCTTCATTTTTCGAAAGGATAGTAAAGATGATAGGAACTAAAGAAATCAAGATAGATAAGAAAACAGCGGGAAGGATACCTTGAATGATACCAACGGCAGTAGGGCCCATATTATTAATTGCATTTAGAAAAGGCAAAGCTTTAGCTAATGTATCAATGTTGGCAATTGCTTGAACAAAGACAACTAGAAAGAAAGAAAGAAATCAGACAGACAGACAAATAGATAGATAAATAGTCAGTCAGTCAGTCAGTCAGTTAGTTAGTCATTCGTCCTATCCTTATAATTATATATTTATTTATACCTGGTATAGCCCAAAAGATAACAATGGCTGTGGTTAGAGTTAAACTAATCATTCGACGAATTAATCTTTCATATGAACCAATATTCATATTTTCCCAAATGATATCTGATGAAGTAATACCGATATAACGAGGAGCCATTTGCATGGATTCTTTATAGACCAACGTTTGAGCCGCCATATGAGCAGCAATTTGTTGATTAAATTCAATAAAGGCCGATTTAACTTGAGAAAAATGAATTACATTTTCTTGTTTTTCAGCAATAGTATCATTGAGTTCCTTAATTTGATTATGATAAAAATGTAGACTATCTACTTTATGACCAAAGAATGGTAATGGAATGGGCATAGAGCTTTCACGATGAGTAGGTCTGATTTTTGAAGGAATATCAGCATGTGTTAAACCTTGTTCATTTATTCTATTTGAATCACCTATTTTGATATGATATTTATAGGTAGCCAAAATAGCCTTGGTCAATTTTGCCTCTAAACTTAATGCGTACTTTTGACGTTTCTGTACTAGATCCGGAAGATCATTTAATTGCCTAAACAAATCAAATTAAGACAAATTAAATTAAATTAAATCAAATTAAATCAAAAAAAAAAAAAATCTTAGACTTCATTATGAATGTATACATTTATCAAAAAAAATAAAATAAAATAAAATAAACTAACCTATTCAGCCAAATTCGTCTAATGCCACCTGGAAATTTATCAAACATTCTTTGTAAACTTTCTACATTATTGATTTCTTCTGGAATAGAAGGGATATAAACAGTGCGAGCAGCAACAGAATTTGCGTAATCCGAACTTAAAAGGAAATGTCTTCTCAAGTTGATGTAATTTTTAGTTTCACGAAATGTGTAATACCAAACTAGAACTAGAATAGACTATTAAATCAATATGTTCAAATGTATAAACAAGTATATATTTACTGGATAAAATGATAGCTAACAAACAATGAGCCCAAGTTCTTCTATCTTCAGTCACATTGCCCATAGTTAAATAATTTAAACCAGATAAATGACCTTGATTAATTGTGTTTACTGGAAATAAGATAGGGATAGCAAACAATGAATACAAAGAAAAGGTAACCATTCCCATTCTAAGAAATTTCAAGACCATATATCTATCAAGTCCCATTGATCTAATTAATTCTTCATCTTTTATTCTAACTAGTTTGAATATCCAGCTAAAATACCCTTTTGGTAGAGGTGGAGGTCTTTTCCTATATAAAGCCAAAAAAAAAAAAAAAAGATTTAGATATGCATACAAGTCATAATAATAATAATAAAGACTTACTCCTTTGGGACTGCATATGTTCTAGGAGAATAAGTTTGAGGACGAATCGGTCTTAAGATAAGGAAAGCACCAAAAAAGCCTATTGCCAATGCAGCATTAAACCATAAAGCCGAAATGAATGTACTTGCTGAATTATCATAACTATTCAAAAAAAAAAAAAATGAATTCGTATTTGAATCAGGAAATATAGACAAATTATAAAGTTTTACTTCAATTGTTCAGATGCGGAATCACTCATTATAAGGGTTATAATAGAACGTTACTTATTGCTGTATAAATGATATATACAACAAAATTAGAACTAATCAAATAAAATAATAATAATAATAATAATAATAGAGAAAAGAAAAAAGAAAAAAAAAAAAAAGGAAAAGAAAGCGATTTGTTAGCTCAATTAAAAAAAAAAAAAAAAAGAGGATTTTAATTTCCTTTTTTGTATTTATTGTATGACAACAGAAGTTTAATTTTTTTTTTTTTAATAATAATTCAAAATAAATAAATAAATAAATAAATAAAAAAAAATAAATAAATAAAAAAAAAATAAATAATAAAAAAAAAAAAGATGTAATATTTCCGTCATAAAGGGAAACAAATAAAGTTTTATATAATAAAACCCATTATTTAATAATAAATTTTTGTGACAATAAATATTTTACTACACATGCACATAATATAAAGATATTAATGATCTCTTTCTTTTTTATGATTCATGTGTAAATAAATTAAAATGAAACTGTTGTCGTCATCAAGACGAATGCCCACTTTTTTTTTTTTTTTTTTTTTTTTTTTGTTTTTAAATGGATTTTAATTCATTATCTAATAATTCATATTTAGTAACTAATTGTTTCCATTGTTGTTGCATTTCATCTTCAAAACCTACTATTGGTTTTAATAAGATAGAATTTAAACCATCATGATTAGGTGGTGTTGGTACTGGTGTAGGTAAGCCAGGTGAAGATACGGGTGAAATAACCACTTGATTTAAATCTTCCTTCACTTTTTTTGACTATTAAAATAATATTCATTAATAAAAAAAAAAATTATCATGTTATATTTTTACCTTTTTAACATCTAGTGTCATATAATTAATTTCCTCTTCTTCTTCTTCTTCAAAGTCCTCAATCATACTGAATGTACTTTTTGTACTTGTATTACTGCCCAAAGAAGAAATTGTAGTGTCTCTATTCTTCTTAAATTGCTGAGGTTTGTTATTATTTACAAGGGCTGGTAAAATAGAGTTCTATTACTTTTATAAATAAGTATCCTTCATTCTTGTCTATAAATAGTATATACCTTATCAGTGGTTATGTTGGATTGCTCTTCTGTAGCATTCATGTGAGATAATTGATATGAGGAAGCAGTTGACCAAAATGAGGAAGCCAAGGTAGTTACAGATGGACTATGATGTCGATATGTATCATTTTGAGATGAAGATGTACAACTACTACTTCCACTCCAAGAATAATGAACAGGGACACATTTCGGAGAAATAATAGATTGAGAAGATCTTGAAGTCTTTACTAGCATTTTTGAAGGAGATACAGATCTTGATCTATCATTGTTGGTATGAAATAATTTTCCAATAGTGGGTATACTTGAAGTTCTTGATAAAGATTTACTCTTTGATCGATGACTACTTCTACGATTTATAATAGAATGATTTGCTGCTTGTTGAATTTTAAGGATAGATTGTGTTACATAGTCTTGAGATCTTTTCAAACATTGATTCAAATAAATTACTAGTAAATAAAAATAAATGAGTAAATAATATGTATATAATATGTATATAATATATATAGATATATAGCTATATAACTCTATAATATATATAACTATACAACTATATAACTATACAACTATACAACTATATACATAAACGTGTTAAATAGATACTCACAATTGTTCCAAAAGATACTCTCAAAATCAATTGTTTGCTCATTTGATTTATTTCCTATAGACGTTGGAAATGGAGTTCGAGTACAAATATTAAATCTAAATCCTTTCATTTCTTCTGGTTGTATAAGACCTACTATCCAAGGATTATAAAGAGAAGATCGCGTCGAAAATAGATCTTCAGGTTCAATTATTAAATCATTTTCCATATAAACAATCGTACAATCATTTTTATATCTTGCTTTTGTATAACTCTCTTGACTGTAAATATTACAATAAATAGGTACTCCATTCCAAGTTCTATAATAAGCTTTATCTTCTGTATCATATCTTTTCATCAGTGCCCTTGTCTTTTGAAATTCTTCTCTAAACTTCATCATCCTTTCAATATAATCTGTCCTCTTTGACTTTGACATTGAATATTCATCTCGTGTGGGTATGACGGTAAATAGCCGTGGTCCTTTATAAAAGTATTTTTCATGTGTTGTAATATTAGATACTTCATCTCTTGCTAATTCTTGGGCTGATGTAGTGGATAAAATAAAAGATCCTGGGCGTTCTATCAAGTAGAGAGTTAAAAATTGTGTGTCAATGTATAACAATAGATATCATTACCTGGAACACCTTCAAATAATTCTATACTTTCAATATCTGCCCAACCTTTAAATTTCATTAGATGTTTATCCATTTTATAAGGATGATGATTGGATGAAAATAATAAAGATGTACTAGAACTGTGTGTTGGAGAAATAACATGTGTATTATTATTATTGTTTAATATGTGTTCAAGATTAATTTCTTTTGCATCTAATGAGGAACGACTGGCTACTAAAATTTTATCTGTAAATAAAAAGATAGACACTGCTCTAGTCGGTTTATTTGTCACACGATGAATTTCAATAGCATCTAAATGAGCGATTATAGATCGTTTTTGACTAATTAAAGAACACTAATAAATACTTCTATTAGCCACCCCTTTTTTTTCTTTTTTTTTTCCTATTTTTCCTTTTTTTTTTTCCTTTTTTCCCCTTCTTTTGTTCTTCTTTATCACAAGCATATTCTCCCTCTTCATATATATATATATATATAAAATACATCTGTTACTTACAGGACAATCTTTAATAGAATGATGTAAATTTAAAAGTTTATATACTATTTTAGTTTCATTATCATCAGCCATGGTTGCAATTTCACTCGCTTTTTCACATGCTGCTTTTAAACCTCGGAATTCAGGATGCTCTTCCGGTGTCAACTGAAGAATATCTCTCAACATCATTGAATATCGACTAATACGTTGAACTGGTTCTACAAGAATATCTTGTAATCTTTTTCTTTTAAATTCGGGTACTTCTTTTACTTTGGATATAAATCGTTTATAATTTTGATTTGTTTTATATTCGTTGGCATGCAATTTTTGTGCTTCTGCTTGTTCTAATAAATATTTTCGATAACATTCAAATTTATTAATCTAAGAAAAAAAAAAAAAATGGGTTGGAATTTTAAATCACTCTTTTTTTTTTTTAATTCATAATCATCTTCCTTACATGCTTTTTACATAAATCACCAAAATTGGAACTCTTCTTCATAGTTAATAAATCAGATAAAAAATCACGGTTGACTTGCATAATTTGATCAATATTTAAGAATATTTTTTGACATTTAAATGTATTCAAGATGCTATTCTTTTGATGCATATTAATTCGAAGTGGATTGACTACATATTTTACAACTGTCTTTAAGGTATCAACATAAGATTGTTCTGTTTTTATAAATTCTTGTATACGAAATTGTCTCTTTTCATCATTTCTTTCAAACTAAACAAGATAAGCCATTCAAACATATACATATACACATATAATATATAAATATATTCTTTAAAATAAAAATCTATTTACCTCTCGAAGGTCTGAATCTGTATTTTCTATTTGATGTAAATGATGATCATCAAGTTTCATGAAGCACGATTCCTGCTCGTGTAATTCAGTTCCAATAATATTAAAAAAATGTTTAAGCTGTAACTTTTGACCTAAGAAAGTGAAAATTGTCAATAATTGAATATATTCTATCTTTTTTTTTTATATAAATATTTGTATGTATTTACTTGGTGTTCTATTTTTTGATGGTACAATCAAATCTATATTTTGACACTTTCAAAAAAAAAAAAATTAAGTTTACAAGTTTTTACTTTTGTTTACACTGTTTAATTTTATTTTACCAATGGTTTTGTTGTTTGTCTTATAATTTTATCATCAAATTCTACGTATTGGTCATTAAATTCATTTCTTTTAGTTTCGATTTCTTTTGTTTTTAATAATTTCCATTGATGACAGTATCCATTATTTTGAAGTTTAGATTTAAGTTCCTGAAAAAAAAAAAGCAAGCAAGCAAGAGGTCAATTTTTATTTTATTTTTTTTCAAGGTACATTCATAAATCCTTCTTTTTTTTTATTTTACTTTAATATTTGACATTTATTTTATATATAAAGAAAAGAGAAGAAACCAAAAAAGCAAAAAAAAAAAAAAAGGGGTGGGGGGTGAGGAAAGGAGAGGAAAGGAAAGGAAAGGAAAAGAAAAGAGAAAAGAAAAGAAAAAAAAAATTATGTTGTAATTTGAGTTTGTATGCTCTTTGTTGTTGTTTTACTCTCCAAATATAGAGATTCGTATTACAAAAAGGAAAAAAAAATTAATAATAATGACTTTATAGCCATTAAATATAAATTTCATTGTAATTAAAGTCCTGCCATTATTTTAATACATGCGTTTAAATTATATATGCTTGTTCTTTTTATTTATTTTCTACTATTTTATTTTTATTTTTTTTTTACTTTGCTTTATTTTATTTCATTTACTTTTACTGATACTATATATAATAAACCACGTGTATATAAAATCCTTCTTGTTTAAGATTTTTTTTTTTCAAGAAAATAAAAGAAAGCAAAAATAAATAAATAAAATAAATAAACTTTTATCTTTCAAAGGCAATTATATCAAGGACTTGTCAGAATGATGACATTGACTAGTTTTATTATATTCGTACTACCTCACATTACAGCATAATAAAGAGCTATAATAGTAGTTTGTTAGTTGTTGTTACAATAGACAAATATATAAATATTTATAAAAACCCCGATTTTTTTTTTTTTTTTTTTTTTATATTCATATACATATTTATATTTTTAATAGTATGATGATGAAATATGATTAGCGCGATAATTCTACGACTATAGCGGTGCAATAATGTTCTTATTTATAGCTGTATTACACATCAAATGCTTGTTCAATTTTAAAATGGAACAATACAATTCGGGTCATTCATTCTTGATAGAATCATTCAATTTTAAAAATCATACAACTTTATTTACTTTTTTTTTCTATCTAATTTAATTTTACTCTTTTATAAAGTGTAAGCAAATTGTTGGGCATTCAATTTCAACTTTTTATAGGAAAATGAAAATAAAATAAATGTATTTTTGATATCATGCAAAAAAAAAAAAAAAAAGAGAATGACAAAGCCCTTTTTTTTTTATCCAATATCAGTAATTTCCTGACTTTCAATCAACAAATCATGCTTTGATTGCTGATACAGCTATATTACATAATAAAAATAGTATTCATTATATGCTATATGAATGCTAAAAATAAATGAATATATATGAATACATTTAAATGTTTAGATACTTCCAATTAACAATGGGCTTAACTAAATCTAAAGAGTGGATCGATATCTACTCAGCAAGAATAAAGACATCTATTTTTCACGCACATATACATGTATTCCACTTGACTATTTGAATCAATTGAACTGAAATAGCTTATAAAACATAATAATATTTAAAAAAAACAAAAGGTATAGATTGAGACTGATTAATTGAGGTAAAATCTATAGATATATTTATAAACATAATAAAGACAAGTAGTCAAAAGTAATATTATATCTTATTATCGAGATAAATTACATGTTATCACGGAGATTTATATTATTTACAAGACTCTTTATACAAATACTTTATCTTGACATATTTATTCGGATTTGTATTTTTGTCCTTTATTATGTAATTCATCTTACTTTATTATTACTGAATACATAGATCCCCAGGACATGAGGGAATAAAATCAGGGAGGAACCGTAAATACTGTTGCAATTACACACGCCATTTTTTGTCTCTGTTCGTGTTCAAATTAGAATAATTTACACGTTCTATATTCGAATACATTGTTCTTGATTATTTTCATCTTTAACCTTTTGTTTGTTATTTTCCACAGCATCCTTCTGATGATACACAAAAATATAAACAGTTAACCAGATTTCTGTTAGACAAAAATATATCACTGGGGATTCAATTTTTCTGTCTTGGGACAGCAAACTCTTTCAGTGAGACGAATTGAGATACTATGCAACGCTTTTGAGACGATATTTTTCATAGTTGAGGCAATAAAAAAGGAAAAGTATAGGACATTTTTTTTAAAAAGAAAAAAAAAAGTCGGTTAAGATAATTTTGAAAATGTCGTTCTTGGTATAGACATCCACCCTGAAAGTTCTCTGCAATGCATTATCCTAAAATGAGATATATTTTATTGATCCATTAAGAAAATGTGAACAATGATTGAGAGACCTGTATTTAAATGTACTTACAATGCGACTGGTTAAACGTGTCATTTGCAATAAATTAAATTATCAGTTTCGATTGCCATAGCTGCCCCAATTAGCCCACATCTCAAGCATTAGCCTTAATCTTGAAAAGAAAAGTAAAAAGTAAAAAGAAAAAAGAAAAAAACTAGTACTTGCTAACTGTCTTAACGATACTGCCCCAATAAGCCCATATCAACAGTTATAGATGCTGCCCCAATAAGCCCACATCTTAAGTATTAGCCTTAATCTTAAAAAAAAAGGGGGAAGGAAAAGTAAAAAGATAAAAGCTAATAGTTGTCAACTGTCTAACGATGTTGCCCCAATTAACCTACATCTCAAGCAGTAGCCTTAATCTTGAAGAAAACAGAGACTTGTGAAGAACTGTTTACAATGCGAAACCATAGTACGTTGTCTGTAAAAAAGAATAATAGTGCATCATAACAAAATCTTATATATTCTTTCTTATTTTCTTGCTCTGATTATAATGCAGAAAGAAAAGTGGTATAGAGTATAACAACGAATAATGTTAATTTTATAAAAAAGATGAATTTAATTAAAAAAAAATATATTGCGTCATCAGGCTTAAAGTCCAGCTAAAAAAAAAAATCAGGTACGCGTATAATTCATTTACTCTTTCATCTATATTATCATTCAAAATGTAATAGTATTTCTACCATCAATCGGTCAAGTTTTTGAACTTAATTTATCAGCTTTTTGAAAACCAATTGATCATTTGGTCACTTTTTTCCAAATCGATGAATTGGTCAAAATCAATACACTTTTCTTCTTTCTACAATTTTCAAACTTAGCAATGGACTCTGAAATGCCTTTTTACCACGAAGATGGAAGAGGAGGTATCTTTGATGATAGACGGAACAAAAAAACTCAATATGATGAAGCTCCTTCATTTCGCTTAAAAAAATAACAGATCTTAAGATGGCTAAGAATGATTTTGATTTCGACTTGCAGTTAGTCGAGGAACCTGACTTCAATGTGACTGAAGTGAACCCTAAGAAAGAAAGATGAACTGAATACAATAAATACATAGCCAAGGGTCGATAACTGTGTTTCTTTATGAAAAAGAGAATGCATGAAACTTAAAAAGGCTGCCACGGCTGCAAACGTAAATTATCATATTGCACGAAAATGGTGACAACAAAAAAAAAAGAAGACCTAAATGGCTTTTTACTTCATAAAATGGCAAACCTAAGATCTACTTGTCCTAAAAGCAAGTTGGATGACCGCCACAAAGAGTATGTAACTAACTTTTCTGACAAAAATTCAAGAGCAACTATTATAGACGCTGCTGATGATTTAAGAAAGAGCTCTGAAGGGCTTGAGATAAAGAAGTCTATAGTGGCCCAAGTTTATGAAAGAGGAATGTAATATTTCGGTGAAAGGGATCTCTTGCCAACTTGTTGCAAGAAATAGTGCTGCCCAACTTGAAAAGACGTGCTCTTTGACTGTAGAGGAGTGAACTCAGAAGGGGATGAATTATCTTTAGAACTGTGTATTTTTAGACAAGTCAGTGTTTGACATTAACATGCCTCGTGGAAGAGCTTGTCCTAGACGCGGTGAACCTATTTTTGTTGAAAAACCCTTTAGCAAAAGCTATACCATACACTGTGATGGGGGGATCAAATCTTCTTTATTAGGTGTTGTAAATGTGGCTATGAGGGAGCCTGGAAATGTAAAGAAAAGGGAAGTAGTTGGTGCAACTAAACGTAAAGCACCTGGAGATAAGCTATCTATTCCGAAGGGGACTACATGTTCTCATTATATGCAGTTTATCAGCGATATAATGGACAACTTCCCAGAGATGAAGGGATTTTATATTGTTATGAATAATGCTCCTATCCACGTTCCTTCAATTGTTGATTCATTGATCATTAAGTGAAGCTATATTCCCGTTTACCTTCCTCCTTATTCACCGGAATTAAATCCCATTGAGCAATTCTGGTTTGTTGTCAAATTCAAAGTAAAGTGTTATCCTTTAAAGAATACTGAGACTTTGACGATAAGGATTATTGACGGCTGTGAAATTGTTCCTTTCGAGCATTTTCACAATTTTATTCGACACTCCATTAAGAGATTTGAAGACTGCAAGAACAAACAGCCGGTCTAATAAAATACTCTTTCGCTATCATTTCAACGAACAAAAAAAAAACAGTATTTTGACTTTGACTAACTCATCAATTTGGGAAAAACTGACCAATTGTTTCTCAAAAAGCTGATTAATTGGGTTCAAAAACTTGACCAATTTTTTCGGCAAAGTGGCTAATTGACAGTGGAAATACTGTAAATTCCACAAAGGTATTCAACTTGATAGAAGATAAAAAATATTATATCAAAATACCTGGCCAAAACGCCCCTTTTAACTTGGAAGTTTGAAGACGCCTTAGAAATATTGCTCGATCACAACCTTCGTTTCGCACCTTCTGAAAACAAGTTAAGGGCTCTAGGCGATTTGTATACAGAAGAAGTGCAGAAGATCTATCAAGCAAGAAACAATGTAGATGACGGCGATGATGAAAAAGAAAAGATTGAGTCTCTTAATCAGTACATATACGAAATATGTACTGCTACAAGAATAAAAAAGCTAGTCAAGACAGCACAATATTCGACTCAATTTATAGAAGAAATGGAGATAAATGCATTGGAAATGAACAATAGCAATAGTGAACCACTAACAAATACAACACGGTCTGATTTGTCTCAGTTTGTTAATATGATAGCTATTGATAAAATGAAACACTTATGCAACGAATATTTGGTGAAGAAGGGAAGTTTGGTTTCATGAGCAATAAAATATCTAGAAGATATAAAATTTTTGCAAATGGCTTAAAACACAAGCTTAAATTGGATCTGCAACCCATTGCAACATCCAAAGAAAAAGAAATGTTGATTAACATAAGTAAATGCAAGAACAAAGACAATATTGACGATTTATTGGAAGAGTTTTATAAAGACAGAAACATGGATTGTATGTGCAAATACATAAGACTGGTGTTTACTAACGCTGCAGAGTTGTGGGCATCGAAACAACTTTCATACATTACCCACAACGAATCTTGGTTTCGCACCAACGTATATTCATCGGTATGGGACATGATATTCTTTAGTGACGATAAGTTCATATCAAAACGCGCTGATTGCTATTCAAACACGACAAAGCAGTTTGATAATATTGATAATCAGCGCGTTGACTTTATTTTACATAATATTAATGATAACAATGATTATATTTCCGCTGAAGAGAAGCCTGGAAGAGAAGGTGTGAAGTCGGATCGTCAAGAAGGGAAAATATTACAGATCGCAATATTTCAATTGTGGAATCACAAGATAAAGAGTGCGAAGATTATGGAGCAAATGGAAACAATTACCTGTCAGTGGGAGGGGACTAAAATTGACAATCTATGCAACAAAGTATATATCAAGCAAATGCTATATTACGTACATAGAAGGTTCATTTGCTATGTCCAAAGATGAGACCCACTGTGCTTCCTTTGCAGTCCTTCTCGCTGCAATGCTTTCTTTGAAAAGACGTGTTTTTTTTTTAAACTATAGTAAATTGAATGCTATTCTTGAAGCCAAGTACAGATATGAAATAGAAATGATGACATTTGACTCTCAAGATGAGAATGATTTCCTTTTTCGATCTGAAAGTACAGAAGAGATAGAAGCAAGAGAAAAATACAAGAATAATGCAAAAGAAATGGATCAAGATTTAGAAAAGGAGCTTCTTAGTGAATTAGATGGTATAACATTGGAAGAAGATATCATTACTTCTAGTGATTGGAAAGACTTTATCTTGGAAAAAATGTCAAAGAAAAGAAAAAGATAATACTTTGGTGTTCCTGTTACTCCTGTAGATTTTTTTCTATCATAGATATTGCTATGATTGTAGTTGTCTTTATAACTAAGTCAATAGAAATGAACCATCATTTATTTAAATAATAAAGAGGTTATTCAAATAAAACTAGTGTACTGTACTTCACAGCATCATATCCATTCTACATTTATTTTTAATAACAGTCATTGTTAAAATAATAGTATGTAATAATAAGAATTCAATAGAGCTATGATTGTTATATGCCGTTACATAATCACTTACATAAGTCATACATATTATATATACATCTATAATGTCGAATATTGTCATGTAATAACATCTTAGTGGATGATAATAATAATAGTAGCATATAAATAATTGGTATTATTGTTATAGCTGTAATATTCACTGTGAATTAATATTAACGCGTTACTTACCCCAGAAATAATAATTTGTTATATTTGTGGTAACAGCGACAGCCCAAGGAGAAAAAAGAATAGAAATAAATCTTATTGCAAACAATAATTTTTTACATAATTCTTTACTACGACAGTATTCGCTTTCCAAAGATCATATGTCTATTAATATTACTTGCCTTAAAAAAAAATATATATAAATAGCCTTTGTCATTTTTCCTTATTATTTTTTCTTTGTACAGACTTGTCTTTTTTCTGCTTCTCTTTCTTTATCTTTTTGTATTTAAAACAGATAAATGTTGAATATATAGTTTACACAGATCACAAAGCCAAGTTATATTAATAAACTATAAATACTCAATTATGATATCTAATAATAACTTGTACAATTTTCAAAAACTTCATCTCACAGGGCGTTCAATTTAGTCTTGCTTGCATTTTTTTTTATATTTGTGAATGTTAGAGATGGCGATTTCCTGAAAATTATCAGTAAAGGCTTCAACTTCTTTTGTTCGACTTAGCTGAGGCTCAAGAACAGATAATGTGTATATGTTAACGAGTATCTGAACTTCACTATAATGTATAGTTTAATCAATATAGTCTATTTTGTCAGAGAAACTTTGTTATGCTAAAAGGGACTCTTCCGCAGAATTGTAGTGAATGAAGTCTTTTATATTTTTCTAGATTGGAAGCAAATGATTATGAAAGGCCTTAAATATTATAACAGGTATATAAAAAAAAATTCTTGTGTGTCTTAAAAAAAAAAGAAGCAATTCATCTAAACTGGCTATGCGAGTTTGTCCGAAACGATTTGCCTTAAAAAAAATAGTAAACTCGTCTGAATCTGCAACTTAAAGAAACTATTACTTTAAAAGGATACCTGTTTACACATTACAAAGGGTTTGAGTAATTTTATTTAGACAGAATCCAAATTGTTGAGCCTGAGGAGTTAAAAAGCTAGTAGGCGAAGATTCTCGGCTTTTTACTGAAAATATGATTGAATCGTTGGCTAACAATTTATGAACTCCACTATTTCAAAGACGTAACTCAATTATCATTTGAAGAATACCATGTCTATAACTGTCAAAAGGCCCATTTTTATATTCAAAGTTAGAAATTCTGAAATCAACATGTAGACAAGATATAAGTGGTTTATGGAGTAGAAGGATTCAGGTTTTGATTATACAAAAAAAAAAAAAAAAAAAAAAAAAAAAAAAAAGCAAAGGGAAAGAGCAAGTTGTAAGTGAAACTTTTGTAGGGAAACTCACTATAGAGTACGTAGACATCGCCGAAGGTAATGGCAATGAAAATAATAAATCAATAGCAAGAGGCTCAATCATTGCTCGCTTTGTCAAGTTCTTGAATGAACTTTTTGACATCACGGATCTTGATGAGAGGCTATCTTGTTACGTATAATTTGTTCAATATATAATTTGAAGCCAATAGCCAATAATTAGAAAAATTGAAAGTAGGAATTATAGAGTGATATACTTGTCTCCCTTATTCACCTGAATTGAGTCTTATATAGCAGTTTTGAGCTATATTAGAGGGAAGGTTGAAGCGTCAGTGATTGATGATTGAAGAAAATTTGTCAAGTAAAATTGCCGAAGCTCATATTAACATATTTGTTAGTGATATGTATGTCTTTTCTAATCAGTTAAACACAGAATTATTAACTACTACAGTATAAAAAAAACCATCATTCAAAACATATTTTTTTTTAAAAAATATTCCATATTCACGGACGCAAGTCCGCCAATCAACGAGCTGCCATTCACATCAAGACAAAGCTCAGGTAAGAAAGGCTCCTATAACTGTAGAAAATTCTTGTATTATCATTAGATGATAAAGAATGGCTTGATGATCTGCATTAAACAATAAAACATGCATTTAAAACTGACAATTTGATATATGGAAAATGACAAAATCAACCAGTCGCATTGTAAGTACATTTAAATACAGGTCTCTCAATCATTGTTCACATCTTCTTAATGGATCAATAAAATATATCTCATTTTAGAATAATGCATTGCAGAGAACTTTCAGGGTGGATGTCTATACCAAGAACGACATTTTCAAAATTATCCCAACCAACTTTTTTTTTAAAAGAAAAGATCTATACTTTTCCTTTTTTATTGCCTCAACTGTGAAAAATATCGTCTCAAAAGCGTTGCATAGTATCTCAATTCGTCTCACTGAAAGAGTTTGCCGTCCCAAGACAGAAAAATTGTATCCAAATATTTATTCAAAACCCTGTATTTATTCTACTAAATGTCAAAGGTTATATAAGCAGACCCTTCTTCTACAACACAAACATCAAACTATTACCATGTGTGTAGTGTTACAATAAGAGATAAACTTTAAGAATGTGCTATTCATTATGAAGATATCTACATAAAAGGAAGGCAGTAGTAGAAATTATTTATCAGATTTACGAAAAAGTAGAACGATACGATTTGTGTTACATGATTGATTTGCCGATAAAATGGTGAGTGGGGGTAGTAGTAAGCATAAGAAAGATTGAACAAAAAAAAAGGGTAACAATCCAAATATAATTGATTTCATCTATTATAATGAAAATTACTCTTATAATACCCGTGTTTTCTGTAATTCCAACTTTTCCACACGTACATATACACAGGGAAAAAAAATTCCCCTTCCCCATAAATATCCAAAAAAGAAATTAGTGAATCGGTAGCCTGAATAAGGAAATTTCAGTAAAAATTCGAGCGAAAAAAAAAATATGTTGTTACACAAACCAGAAAAATACACATGAAACGTTTATTCAATATTATCCAGTCATTTCTATTATTCTGACTTTTTTGCGCAACAAACGTAAAACGTCATTTACGTGATAGTACTAACGAATCAATTCTTAACGCGTTCAAGTCGAATGAAGGGAGAATTTAAGAAAGGTTGAATCTAAGTTGTTGTTGTTTTTTATGTAGTTATTTAAAATAAATAAAATAAAATAAAAACTTGCTATAATAATAATAATAATAATAATATACACTGAAGCCTTTTGCTATATACCACGTGAACTAATAAAGTGGATCCCAGAACGAAATAAGCTACAATTTACACATTAACGTGGTTGTTACACAGACGTTAATGTTGAACTTGACTTGATATATAAATGCTTTTATTTCTTAACAAAAATTTGTTCCTTCTTATTTCTTCTATAATATACTATTTTTGTAATATGGAATTCTCCCCTTATGAACTTTTTCCTCAATTAGATAATACGATGATGATACCTTATCATCAACACTTAAGCTATATTTCTTTACTAGAATATGATCATTCGTTTCAAGCAAATATGAAACACACATTAAACGATTTATCATCACAACCATTATATCCATCTACTTTAGTCCATGAAGACCCAGCAAATAATTATTATTCGATGTATGATACTTCATCTTCTTCTATCTTGACTCTTGGTTATTTATCCCCACCAGTTTCTCCTGATGACTCACTCTTTTATGGATCAAATGGTACTTCATCACCTTTATTATCTGATTTCGATTATTTTAATATACCACACATAAAACCTACTCATTCATCCGCAGCTTACAACAATGATCATTCTCATTTAATGCTGTTACTCCACCAAAACAAAGGGGTTATTGTGCAACCGACTACTACTACCATCATGAATTCTCAGATATCGTCCCTTCTAATTCCCGCCAATAATAACTCAGGAAAAGAAAACTATAGTAATAGTAGTAATAGTAGTAGTAGTAGTAGTGCATTTCGTGAATCCATTTTTTGTCCTCTAGAAAATTCAGCAGTAGAAGAGAAAACTCCAAAAAAAGTAAATGCCATGTACCGTTGTGAATACAAAGGATGTACCAAGACTTTTACACGTACTTATAATCTAAAATCACATCGAAGGACTCATACAGATGAAAAACCCTTTGTTTGTCTAGTTTGTTCCAAGGCATTTGCTAGGCAACATGATCGTAATCGCCATGCAAAGCTTCATCTTGGTCTAAAGCCTTATCCATGTCAATTTTGTAACAAATCTTTTGCTAGACAGGATGCTTTGAATCGACACTTGAAGAGAGATAGTAAGAAAAAGGGCATTCATGAAGTTGGAACTGTAGACGATCATCTTATTCGACTACCACCTTGTTTATTAATCAAGCTGAGAAAGAAGCGAATGGCTTTGTTAAAGAAGAATAACTAACAACAAGAATATTAGGCTTCTCTCTCTTCCTCCCTCTCCTTTGTTTTTATATTTGTGAATGTATATATTAATTAGAAGGTATTTTGTACTATCCTTATGGAGGGTTTACTGTTACTATTATTTATGCTTTGGTTTTTTTTTTCCTTTTTTTCCTGTCTGGTACAAGAAAAAATAAGAAATACACATTTACACATGTTTTGTTATGCTTCATGATTAATATATACATATATGTTTTATACACACTATTATTACTGATCATCTTTTCTTCCTTTCCTTCCAATTTATATATATACATATATACTCTTATTTCAAATCTTGTACATATAACGCATTTATTTGAAATAAAGAAATCGCAATTTTCCATCTTCTACCACATTGCCAATTATTTATATAAAAAAATTAGCGAACTTTGTTTTACAGGAAGAAGATTAAATGATTCTTGTACAGTTGATTAAAGAATAATAGGTATCTTTTTTTTTTGTCTTCATAATATATATATATATATATATAACTCATAGATGAAAAATAAGTGGACTCCTTTCACCACAGTTTACCTTCTTACTGTTGCTTGAATATATTAAAACTATTATTTGAGAACCGTTTTAATGGTTATGTTGACAAGTGATTTCTGACTGATATTATTTGTTTTGCTCTTGTTTTGCTTTTGTTTTGTTTTTTTCCTGTAAATAACACTATCCTGCTAACACTTAATCTCTTTGTGGCGCTCCGATCATTCCAATTACACCATCCTCCGATATAGTATCACATACTATGCTTAAAATTACACCAGCTCTTCCATCTGCTAACAAGAATATCTAACAATGCCTTTTAAGAAAGAAAGACAAAAATAATCAATAAATTTTGTGATAAAAGAAACACTTACATAAAGTCACCCACTAACATAAGCAAAATTGTTGTAATGCTAATATTATTACATGGCTACAAAGCTGTATACAATTAAAGAGTTAATTATTTATAACAAAAATGTAAAAATCCAAGTGAGCACATAATACTGGCGTATTAGATTATCCGGATCAGTTTGAGAAAGGATAAAAGTGTACTAAAAAACCTTTTGATATGCAAAAGGGTAAAAAAGAAAGAGAAGGGAAGAGGAAAAAAGGAAATATAAACAAATACTAGATGCGGAGTTACGTAATAAAGTTACAAATTTTGTACCAAGGGGGGGAGTTTCTGGAGGAAGCTCACCATGACGAAGGTAGTCAAGCTCATAAAGTAGAAGGCGCATAGCAGGCCACCAAATTGTCCAGGCGGAAAAGACAAATGTGTTAAAACCTGATGAGATTAGCGGCCTGCGCTTTTGTTTATTTGGCAGTTTATTCAAGAGGAAGGACAAAGGGTCGGGTTCGGTCAAAGGCATTTGTAATCGTCGATGCATATGTAGGCACCGTATAGCATGAGATCTTGTGAACAGAGCATTAGGGTGATAGATGCAGGGTTTAGGGGACACCACCAGGTAACCAACCTAGGCGCCAGCGGACTACTTGGCTGCGTTCTGCATTCGACGTAGGTAACTAGAGGATAGGATCGATACTCAGGATAGAGACGCAGACACAAAGCTGTTTACAGTGGTTTGCGTTTAAAAATATAGTCTCTTGCCTTGGCGTTATATAATTTTGAGTAACCAATATAATTTTTGAGCCACCAGTATAATTTTTGACTCAAAAGTATAAAATCATAAATTCAATGTAAAAATCATTAGCTCAATGATAAAAAAAATTATTTGTGTTTGAATAATAAGTTTTTTGCTATATTAGAATGATGAATAATGTTAAACAATGAATAGTAATGGTTGCTAATAAAAGGTATGGGACCAATAGACATGATACAGTTGATTATCTAGCACGTTTGATAGTATAAGATTGCTTAATATACTAAGATCAAGAATAACCATCAAACAAGAGCTATTTAATATGAGCTTCATACTATTTATTACTATAGTTGCAACCCTCGAAAAAAAATCGTTCCAGACTCATTCAGGGCACTCCATATTCCGACTAGTATTGTCCTATGTAAAAACCGAAGTGGAAAGAGTACACAAGTGCAATCAAGCACAAGCACTATTACAATAGTTCAGGCAACGTTTTTACAATTGCATTAGTACGCTCACAAGCGCTTTAACCACTTCTGCCACAATTATGCAACGAGTTTTTAGAAGATTACGGACCAACAGAGTGGTACTTGAATGAGATTTTTCAACAAAATGAAGGTGCCTAACAAGCAAGTAGTATCAAGACTATATTAAAAGGCAAAAGGGAGATGACAGACCAATAAATAGTTTTAGACAGATCCAGAAGAAAAAATTATTAACAGACTCTAACAGTAATAAATATATTTATTTCTGATTTGCCATTTTAAACACTTCATAATACACTGTATTCAATAAAAAAAAAAGAAAAAAAAACAAAAACTTGCAAGACAAAAAAGCTTGTCTTTTTAAAGAACTACAGAACATAGAACCAATATAGTTACTATAAAAGTGATTTGAAGATTTCTATTATTATTTATGTGTAGTTAGAATTTATCACTTAAAGCACTTGAACATTTACCAATAAACAAATATATATGATTAAATTGAATAGTCAGAAAGTAAATTAGAAGGTAACCATAAGTGTATGTGTCCATAAATTATATTAGATATGGCGGCAACGGCAACACAGCATGATAGAGATGTGTTAAAGAGGACACCAAAGATCAAAGTTACCAAGTGTTTTAAAGACTATCCGATGAACAACACCAAAGAGTTAATTAAGTAAAGAGAATTTTTCTCTACAGCAGGAGCTTGAATGTAATGGCTCAAACAAATCTTATCAAGTTTATCGTAAGATTCTTTTGGCTTAACTTTTAGGCTTTGGCTCTTTGGCTTAAATATTCTATAAAAACAAACATAAATATGGGCTTTATGCTCAATTCATAAGTAGAAAATATCTTAGTAAAAAGAAAAACATTTCATTAAAGGAAAAAGATCTAGGACTTTATCATTTTTTGGATAAAACTGGAAGTTTGAAACCTCTTTCCTTTTATTTACAACTCAAATTATTTAATAAGTTTCCAAATTCGATGGCATGTTGTTTATAGTATAAAAGAAAAAAGAAAAAGTGCAATAGTAAAACATGAAGATGCTACAATTGTACCATTAAAAGCCAAACCCTAACCCAGTTGATTTGTGCCCCAAAAAATCAATAACAAAAATCTTCAAACATAAATTTATACGTCATCACGCAAATTTCAGGCTATTTCATGAGAGAATTTTTTTTCCTTGTTTTTCTTATTAAACCACATTGGCTTTCGTAAATTGATTGTAAAGTAGCTAATTTTTAAATGCTTCTTTATAACTTTACGAACTCCAATTGTTTTTATGTAGATGTCTATCTAACTCAGCTTCTGGTTTATGATGATGATAATTAACTATTTTTTGCATCGTGGAAAGCCGAACTTGATCACAGGATGACAAATGCTTCTCCTGTTGTAGGTCTTTGTAAGACAGGAGCTGGCTAGTTTGGCTCAACCTTGGTTTGACTTGCGGGCTTATCTTGCTCTAACCAATTCCTCACTCTTGTGGTGGCATGTATTGCTGTTGCTTGAGTCTGGGTAGTCACCAGATTGATATTTTCCTCTATTTTAACTATTTTGTCCCTTTTATTTCTAGGTTATATGTTGAAGATCTTTCAAAATAATCGACCTTTATTTCAAGAAAAAGAGGACTAACTTTTTTCTAGCTGAATTCTATTTACTCCTGTTTTAGTTGCTGGTTTGAAGACTTGGGTCACTCATACTTTATGATTCGCAACTTCTTCTTATTGAAATAATAATATATACTTTTATATTGCTTCTTGTTTGTTCTTAAAATGGTTAATAAAAAGTTATTACAGACTATGTTGTAAAGATTGTGCATCAAACAACTTATTGTTGACATATACAACGTACTTTATTTAGTAAGTATGATCGAGTACCAATGTGTTTGACTTCAGACGAAAAGTATATTTCAATATCAAGGAATATCTTCAGTGGATTCTTATATGATAAAATTGAGGAATAAAGACATTCCTATTTGTAGTATTAACTTCATTTGTACATCAAATGCAATAGGAAAGAGGAAAATAATAATAAATTTCAGCGGTACCTATTTGAAAATAAATGACATGAATAAATTGTACAAGCACATCCAAGGATCAGGCTGATGTGAAAAGAACTGATAGTCTCACAATGCAACAAAAAGTGTTCTTTGTATTGTATGATAACTCATTCAAAATCTTTAAAACTGGGTTTAAATTCTTTTTAAAGCTGTATGAAAGTTTTTAAACACTACGTGTTGTGTAGAAATATTGTTAACTAAATTATGCTATTGAGAACAAAAAAAGAATTAAATTGGTATTTTATTTAGATCAAGGATGTGACATGAATGAGAACATTGAATACTCTTATAAGTTACTGGAATAATAACATTAGAATGTCTTTATACAATTGCATATACAGAGACAATGAGCCTAACCAATCATATTAATGCGCGTGAAATCATTTTTATGTTACAAGATCAAGGACTAATGCTTTTGCATAAACTGTATGTAGATAAAGATATTTTGTGTAAAAATTGGTGGGTTATTATCGGTGTAACAATGAGACATCATTTGATAGACTATGACTTCTTTGACTGTGTAACGGTGTTATTGGTATATATAAGCGCGAAAAATATTTTTTTTATCCTTCTTCTTAATCATGACCATTAATTGTCCTTCACGGTACAAACAATATAAAATAGAACAAAGTGAAACTGGAGTTGGCAAGTTTTTCAAGGAACATAATGCTATTGATTGGTGTTTGTATAACTATTCAAATTTCCACAGAAGTGTTCACCAAAATATTGCAAGTAAATTGAAGCGGAAGTTTCATGACGATCCTGAAAAGATCAAAAAGTTACAACATGTACCTATTGAAATCAAAAAATTTATTGGAGAATTAGAAAATGACAAAAACATGAAAAATATCAAGAAGCAGAAGAAAGAAGAAGGCAGTACTGTGAACAACTTCCACAACTCAACCATTGGTGTAGCTGGAGAGAATAATGGAAGTGTTGTTTTAAATAATATTGCCAGAAAAAGAAAGGCTGAAGAAGAAGTAGAAGAAGAAGAAGAAGAAGAAAAAGAAGACAAAGTGAATAGTAATGGTGATGATAATGTATTGGTGATTGATACCAGCGAAGACTCTATCAATCCAGCATTGAGACCTTTATATGAACATGTTTATAAAGTATTCCAAGGGAAAGACGTCGATATAAGTGATATCAAGCGTATATACCACGGAGACACCATACAGGACAAAATGTATAAATTTTGTTATGACAGTTTCCCTGAATATACAAGTATGACAAAGGTGAAAAAATCATTTTATCACTGTTATTTGTCAGGACTCGTTAACTGTATTGATATGAACAATAATGCATTAATTAAAGAAATACCAAATGAAAGTATCCAAAAAAGCTTTCGGTCATAAATCATTGAAGATTGACGAAGTGGATGTTAAACAATACATTATCAAATTAAAACAAGTATATTTGGAAGATGGAATTGATGGCTTGAGATCTGAAATTGTCAAGCAAAAGTATGAAATAATGTCAGAAAAAAGTTTCAAGGATTGTATTGTGAATATGAAGTATTTGATTTTGGAAATGATGGAAATCATATTGAATGAAGTGGAGTTCGGTGTCTGCAAAAGTAATACCAACGAGATTAACTACCTTGTATACTGGAAGAGTATTTTTTCTGTTGCTTTTCGTGGAGCAAATGTAATACTGAGAATTGGAGAAACTAACAGTACTGGAACAAAGTTTGACAGAATGTTAAATGAAATGGAGTTCGGAGAAACATCTGCGTACGTTTCTGGCCGCAAAGTAGACATGATTGTAGAAACGAAAACGGTCAATATTAAGAACGTTACAATCACCGTTGAACTATCAAATGCGGAGTTCAAGAAGATGGATGTTGAAGATGACTTCATCACTATTCAACAGAATAAAAATATACGTACAAGCAAAAGTATATTGTCAAATATATTTCCTTTAGAAGGACACAACACTGTTATTGGCATGAATTTTGTGGGACTTTCCGGATACTTTTTCAATGCCAATTTCATTGATGCTGCTGTGTTTGTAAACAAAGTTGCGGATGTATACCTTCCTGGGAACGATGTAGATCTTATGGACTTTATGGATGACTGCGAAACCATATTGAGCATTATATTCGCATACAAGAAATACATGGTAAACCAAGCTGAAGAAGTTAATAGAAAGTATCAAGCTTTAAGAAGAAGAAGATTGGTGGCCAGTATAGAAGAAAAAAGTGAAAACTTCCCCCCCACCTTCTACTCTCCCAAACGTTAATTGCTATAAATTATAATTAAAATAATTATAATGTGATGTTTTTAAAATAAAAAAATATTTTATTGAGTATATCTAGTTATAAAAATTGTTGAATTGAGTTTCTTTGATACGTAAATGTATGCAATTCTTTTTCGTTTTCCTCTACAAGTACTGTAGATTGAATAGATTTTTTTTTCATCAATCTGGTTAAACAATGGACAACGGAGCATACAATAATTTATAATTCTTCTAACAAAAAGAGAACAAAGGGATATCTTTATATACACCAATAACTAAGGCATACCTTACTGCAGTTTCAATAATTGCCATAACTTTCTATTTTTTATTTTTATACCAAACTTTGTCGATAAGCCTGCACAAGTAGCTAAATTTATTTCTTTGCTACAGAATAAAAATATGAATATTAGTAAGGCTGTAACAGAGGCAGGAATTGAACCTACAAGCTGCTTACAAATTTAACAAATAATGGAAAGAAAACGGAGGCAAAATTTTATCAGGTTATAAACCAGCAACTAAAGTCAAGCCTAAAAGAAATAATGCACGTCACTGCAAAAAAATTGTCCGTCGTACGTATGGAGTACTATGCGGCGTACGCACGTACGCTATATAGTACGCTGGTATACGCAGTACGAACGTATTAGATATATATGGCGTACGGTACGTCGTACTTGCGTACGCCGTATAGTACTCCATACATACAACATATAACTTTTTACATTTGATTGGCTATTTCTTTGAAAAACATGAACCATCATTGGTATTTTGCAACATAAATAACGTTTATTTACGTTAGGTCTTTATTACTTATTAGCTTATAAAATACATTCAATTCATATTAGGCTTTTATTATTGCCTTGTTTATTGGACGTTATTTAAAAATAAACATATAGTTTGTTTACATAAAATGTGACTTTATTTACATTTAGAATAGTAATAATAATAATAATGGCATATATAGCAAATGAATTATTGCAAAAGCAATTTATTTTTTTCAATAATAAAAAAAAGGATATTTCTTGCAATTAATAATAGAAAATACGACTGCACTTACCTTTGCATCTTTAAAAAGAAATAGTACAATTACGCAGTAAATAGATACAAATAAATAAGAGAAAAAGACAGAGATAATAATGATAGGGGTCCAGGAAGCTAAATTATAGCAGTTAAACAGAAGCAAACAAACAATCTATAATAAACAAAGTTGATTAGTTAGTAAATAAAAAATAAAAAAAAGTATTGGTATTCAAAAGAATAAAATACTTACCGAAAACAAAAAAAAGGGGTTTTCAAAAAGGACAAAAGCTATTTGAAAAAAAAAAGTAAAAAGTCCTAAAAGAAGAGAATAAAAGATAAGGCTGGTATATTTTATATTAGACAAAGAAAGTATACCTTTGGAATTAACAGATAAATGTTATGTTTTATTTTACCTTTTTATATACATTTATTTACCTGTTTAAAACGTGTTTGATTAAAGATAATAGACAAGTCAGTATATGTGTTAATATAAACAATAGTTATTATCTTACCTTTAACATATCATTGAAAAATGCTCTGTATAAAAAGTAGAAAAAGCTACTACCAACATAAACAAGACTCTTTTGCTAAGAAAGAAATAAAACTGGTCAGTATAAATTCGTTAATAAGGATATTCTAAATCTTTATACTATCTTGAATATTATAAATATCTATAGAAAATAAAATAACTGTAAGTAAATAAGTATTAATCGAAAAGAAATAAAAAAGAAATAATAATGATGTAGGAAGATAGTCATTTTATTAATTTCCTCTATGATCATGATTTTTCTATAGATCCATTTTTGGAAAAATAAGTATTTTTTTCTGTAATTTCAAAATGTACAAAGTGTGATTACTTTTTTTTTTCTAATTTCACAATTCAAATAGTCTAATTACTTTTTTTTTCTCTTCAATTATGTTATTTATTAAATGTTTCAATATTCGTTTGGCATTTCAACTTAATTGCCACCATCATTTCGAAATGTCAATTTTAATGTTGTAATGGAAATGAAGATTACTTTTATAATTAATTGTTTCCAACATTTTTTTTAATTTAAATTGTATTCACTTTTAGATAAAAGACAAAACAATTTTATAATAAAATAATGTATTTTATTTTGATTTAATCAAAAATACATAATAATGATGGATTTTTTTTTTTTTTTTTGCATGGCTGAAAAAATAATGCATTTGTAAATTTTACCTGAAGGGAAAAATTAAAAAGTACTTTTAAAATTCAGCTAAATATTAAATTTTAGAAATTTTATTGGCTAATTTTTGTACCTGGGAAATTTTACCCCTTAAAAAACACACAGCCAAAATAGCTGTAAATTTAAACATTACAGAAATAATGAGTATTAGCAGTAGACAACTATATACATATTTCTGGATATATTTATTCTATGATAGTATATTGAACATAATATATCTTTTATTTGGAAGTTTTATATTAAAAATAAGTAGAAATAAAAAATTAAAAAAATCGTAGCTTAAATTGTGGCGTACGACGTAAAGTACTCCATACGTACGACGGACAATTTTTTTGCAGTGGGTAAGTAAAGTTTACAGAGGAGTACTCTCAGTTCCTTAATGGTTATGTTGAAAAGAATTTTACTTGTATCATCAAAGATGCTACGCTTGATCTTTGTGCTGCTTTTCAAGATTTAACAGTTAGTGAAGCTACTATCTATTGTCATATAACAGAAAAACTCCCAATTTACTCTCACGCGTACTCAGTCAAGAATATTAGAACGAAATTCCAAAAGTACAATTGAACAACGTAGCCGATTTCTTGAATATTTGGATGAGAATGGAATTGAAAGTGGACTTAAAAAAATATGGTACGTCCCGTAGCATATTCAAAAAAAAAAAAAAGGAACGCCAGCAGAAGTAAAAGTACTACCAGAAGGTGTCAATTTAAGCATTTTAGGTTGCCTGTCAGCCTATGAATGTATTGCAATGTCGCAGCAGATGTATAAGTCAAATAGAAAACAAAAAAAGTAAGGGTAGAGGAACAAAGAGACGCCTTCCACATGAAACCAATTCAAGTCACTTTTTGTTATTTGTTGAAAAAATAGCTACTCTGCTTAATAAGCATGGATTAAAAAATATGTATATTGTCATGGACAATGCCAAAATACATAAAACACTTGCAATCTTGAAAGCAGTTCATAATTTCGAGCATACACCTTTATCTCTCTCTCCTTGTTCGCCGTTTTTAAATCCAATTGAAGAGTGTTGGGCAAAAATCAAGTCTGAAGTACGTAAAACGCTCCTTACAAGTAATGAGTTGGTGTCTCATAGAATTGAAGAAGCAGTCGAAAAGGCTACAGCTAAGGACTGTCGAGGTTGAATTCGCCACTCTAAAAGGTTTTTTCCTGATTGTCGAAACATGGATAGAATATGAATATAACAATAAATTTAATAGCTTTTGTCAAAATACAATTACACGCTTGATTTTTATATGAATATTATGATTGTTATATAGAGTTTATGATTTTTATAGTAAGTTTATATATATATATATATATATATATATATATATATGTATATATGTATATATTGATATGTATATACTATAACCAGCTTATGATTTTTATATTCTTAGGTCAAAAATTATGCTGGTGGCTCAAAATTATATTGGTTACTCAAGTCTTTAATGCTAAGGCAAAAAATTATATACACATGTGTATATCTTTCGCATAGAAGAGGCAGCGGGTTATCGTATCATAATAGTCTGTATGATTTTCTTTATCCTCTAATCTCCAATTATTGTTATTGTTTCCACACGCACACACACACACCTTCGAATGCAATGGTATAGGCTTTTAATATCTAATATACACTTCACTTTATCATCTTGGGCTGTTCTTACAAACGAACTCTTATTATCATCGTGAATCCTACTTTGTCTTTCAGATGTTCCTTGTTGCTGTGTGACAAGGTTAAGTAATTATTGTATTTGATAGCTTGGACTTATTTACACTTACTGCTATTGGCTTTTATAAAATAAAATAAAATAAAATAATGCTTACTTGCTTGATTGATTTTTATTTTTATTTTTTTATTTTATTTTATTTTATAATATTACAAATCAGATACATGTATAAGTATATATTTATAAGAGAAATTAATAATGTACTTGAAAGGGAGATAAACAGATATGAATGAAATTAATTATATTCCTTAATAATAACACCTTGACTAGAATTCAACTTGTATCTATTCTTTTTAAATTGTTCTGAATTGAAGAAAGATTTCACGTCTTGAACATTCAATGTTCTTGCTCTATTTTCAAATTCTGAAAGAGTAATAGTAACTTCATTTGGAAGTCTTCTATAGCGAAGTTGATATAATTTACGCTTTTCAGTACAAATATCGTCTAATGTAGCAAATAATAATTCATAATCATCTCGAGAGTTTCTGATAAACTTCATGAAACGCTATTTAAATAGAGTATTAGTTGTTTTTTTTTTCTTTTTTTTTTGACTTGTCTCTTTTAAACATATAATACTTACTCTACGAAGAATTTTCATCATACTGTATTTCTGTGCACTAATGAAACTATCTAATGCAACACGAATAGCCATATCTACATCATCAGAACGGACATATTCTCTTAGGTGCATCTTAGCATTTGCTTCAGCAAGACGAATCATGGATTCCAAGTGACGAACAGTAATGGGGATACTACCATTTGCAAGAGACTCACGTCTTAATTCAGAATAAAGTCGTGATAATTTATCTTCATCAACTTGTTGTAATTTAGGTTGAATTTTTTCACGTGCATACATGATATATTTCTTTAAAAGATCTTGATCAATAATATCTGGATCTCTAGCTTTTGGTTGAGCGAAATTGTCATCTGTTCCATTATGAAGAGGATGGCTAAGAACATGACTGCCTATAACATTAGTGGCAAGGATATGATCTTGTTCAGGATCCACTAAATCTTTTACAACACAAAGTACATCAAAACGTGATAAGATAGGTTCAGTTAATTCAACGTTTTGAGCGAAAGGAACAGAAGAGTTATAACGACCACGTATAGGGTTAGCAGCAGCAATCACAGAGCATCTAGCTTGTAATGTGGTAACGATACCAGCTTTAGAAATAGAAATAGATTGTTGTTCCATAGCTTCGTGAATAGATGTACGATCAGCGTCATTCATTTTATCAAACTCATCAATCAAACAGACACCACGATCAGCAAGTACAAGGGCACCACCTTCTAATGTCCATTCACGTGTAATAGGATCTTTATGTACTGAAGCTGTTAAACCAACAGCACTTGCACCTTGACCTGTGGTAAATACAGCACGATGAGCTGTTTTCTCAACATATTTGAGGAATTGAGACTTTGCAGTACCAGGATCACCCAACATTAAAATATTAATATCACCACGAATAATATGCTTGCCTTGAATATTCTTTGGAACACCACCAAACATGGCTAAGGCGATAGCACGCTTGATGTCTTCGTGACCATAAATGGAAGGTGCAATACTCTTGATGATCTTCTTACCAATACTCTTATCTTTACCCATTTCTAAAATTTGTTTAGTATCATCTTCCGTTAGTTTATAAGCAGCAAACATATTTTCCTTTTTGTTGATGTGATTTGCTTCAATAATTGTTGCGAATACAGGGAAACCATTTTTGGTACTAAGTGAGGCATCAAAATTATTACGATAGATACCAATAACTTCAATCTCTTCACCAGGTTTGGCCTGATCGATCAAGTCCCAAAGACAAATCACTTCTCTATGTCGAGGTAAACGTCCAGGAGGGACTGTGCCTGGAGATTCTTGAATAGTTAATTTTTGGTAATTACGATACACAGTCTGTTCCATATTTACATGGAAGGGTCCTTTGCTCTGACAACTTGGACATGTATTGATTTTAATTTCGTTATGAATATCTTGATAGAATGGACCTAAAAGGGCTGAACATTTACCACAATTGTATTTGACCCACTTTAATTGAGGAAAGACACCGGTACGACGAGTGACGACACCTGACACACGAACTAAACAGTTTAATTGAGACTGTCTTAATTCACGCAATGTGTTCTTAACGGGCAAATCAGTGATACGAACATGAATTTCACGATGAATACGTTCATAGGCAGGAAATTGCATTAATGTAACCTCTAAAGCAACTTCATCAAGAATTTTCAACATTTCAAGAGGTGAATTGGATAAAAAGTATGCCAAAATAACTTTCTTTTCTGCTAAATTTTCATAATTGACTTCAAATGATTCTTTATTACGTTCACCCATATCTCTGATACGTTCACCATAAACAGATGTACCATGTTCATCCACATAAGTCTGCAAAAAGTCTTTAAATTCACGTTTAATACCTCGTCGTACTGCCTCTCTCGTAATCCAAACTGCAATTGATGAATCTTTAACATTACGAAGGTCATTTAAGGACATTTCAGGCTAATAAAGAATTAAATAACTAATATTTAACTATTTGTCTCCTTTTTCTCTATAACGCATAAAACTTACAACACCATCTTCATCTTGATCAACATCCTGAGCTTCATAAATATGTCGACGTCTAATAACTGGTGGTTGAATATCATTTGATTCATCATCTAAACCATAAATAAAGGCGCCTGCTACTCGACCTTCTCTTCTTCTAATCTCTACATCACGTCTGTTTAAATTTCTATCAATCGCATTACGTTCAGCTATATCTAAAGGCTCATATTGTGCATCATCAATGCCTTCTTGTTCATAATTATCCAATCTTTCGTTATCAACATAATCTCTATAATATTATATAATATACAAATGAATATTTTTGTCTATGCTTTTTTCTTTCTTTCTTTCTTTCTTTCTTTTTCCAAATAATGATTTTGTACCTTTCAGCATCTTGAAAAATATCAATGTCATCATCATCTGAATTGTCTAGATTATCATCGCCAAATGCTGTATCAATAACTTCTTCCTCTTCTGCCTCCTCTCTATAATTTGCCTCAGAGAAAAAGGCAGCAGGTGAAGAAGGAAGAATAGAAGAGGGATCAGGGTAAGAGGAATTGCCAACTTCTGCTGATTCACCTTGACGAATGTCACTATTTCTTCTTCTTTTACGATCTGGATTCAAGCTTGACTATGGTTACATTAGTTTAGGATTCTCTAACATTGAATTAGTTATTTTTTTGAGTTACCATTTATAATTTTTTGTAGATAAAAAGAATTAAATAAATAAATAAATAAAGGGGAAATAGGTTCTAATAAAAAAAATTAAAATTTTTTTTTTGTATAAAACGCGTTTTTTGGTTATATAACGTGTTTCGTGACAGCGCAATCAGTTTTACTGGATACTTTATTCTCTTCCTTTTTTTTTTATATATACATATAATATATTCTTCATTCTCTCTCTTTTAATAGTAAATTTTGATTGTAATCTGAAGGAAATAGCAACACTAATAATCTACTGAGCATTACCGTATCTGTCTTTTTTACAAAAAAAAAAGGAACATTGCCTTCTTCCCCCCCCCACATTTACCATCGTGATAACTTATCCAACAACCTCATCACAAGACTTTTAAAAGATGATAGCTTCATTCCAAATTAATTATTAAATCAGAAACTAACGATACTCTAGAAATGTTAAAGATTAAAGTGTCATCATTTCTCAACAGCTTGTTAATTTGATCTGAACAGTCAATTGATTCAATTGTCAACTATGGTTAATTATAGTTCAGTATACACAACCTTGAGCAAACAACACTAGTATTTCTATCTGGGGGGTTTCTTTAAAACTGGATCAAGTGGTCTTTTTTTTTTTTTCTCTTATATATCTTTTAAACAGTTGATCTTGAATAGTAATTCTACACGAATGCCGATATCTATATACTTTAGATATTGGCTATACATATTACGAATGTATCATTGTAATATATATGTATATATGCATTTCAAAAAAAAATCGACAATAACCATATTATCCTTATATGTATATAACTGACTGTTATACACAATATTAATCTCTTGATCCCAAGTCGGCTAATCATGATCTCATTAGTTACTTACTTTGTAGCTTCCCCTTTCCGCTAGTTTTATCTAGCATTATCATTTGTATTTTAGCATTTATACAGTAGATAAATTGTTGCTTTGTATTTTTACCAGATACTAATGACTAGTAAAGGTATGCAAATATAGATAAATAGATTGCATTTTATTTTTATGATAATGAGTAAAAATAATAGTAATAGTAATAATAGTAATAATAATAGTAATAATAATAATAATAAACTAACGTTATAATATATAGCAACTCATTTTAAACCTATTCTAAATATAATATTTACATGTACATATATCATTGTTTTCTGTCAGTTAATTAGATCCTTATTATTCTAAGCTAAGCTTTCTGCTGATATACGAACTATTTATAAAAAAAAAATAGTATTAAATATCAAAACTACAACAACAAGAAAAAAGATTTTTTCCCCCCTTTTTTTCATCATATATCACTTACGATAAAAATTAATAGAAACAGCAATAATCATAATTAAAGTAAGCATAGCAGGTCCATATTTATCTGAAAAGTCGCCTATTTCTTTACGAGCAATTAGACCCACTCGAATATGATAAATATAGAGAGCATAAATCATGATAGTAACAGCCACGATCATAAAGATAATAGCAGATATATATCCTACATGATCTGAAAAATTTAATAAGCCAACAGCTAAAGCACCTAATAATAACGTAAATCGAAGCCAAGATAAGAAAGTACGTTCATTAGCAAAGAAAGATTTTGCAGGTGGTGGAGTGATAGGCACGGTAGCACGTGGACGAGTTGTAGTCGTGACTGACTCTCGTCTTGTTGACGGATGCTTTCTTCTGAAAATGGTTTTAGATTTCTTAAAGACAGTTCGAAGACCAGCAGGTGATAATTTCTTTAAGAACGTATCTGTCGCTGTTGTTTTGGAGCTTCCAACTGCTTCTTCTTCATCTCCATGAAAAGTTCCTGAAGAAGAGGCCTCTGATTGTTGTCGATGTAATAAAGGTGTATGTTCTGTAGCCTCAGCCATTGTTAATTGGACACTATCTGCTGTAGTCAACTTGGAGCCATCACCTGCGGCAGATGAATCAAACGATGTAGCGCTACTTTGAATTGTTTCAGGGCGTCTGACACCAAAGGCACCTGTAGCAGATTTGCGAATATCAATGTCCATCTGAGGCAACCAAAAGGGCAAGACATTAATTTTATCTTCTAATAAAGTAGCACAACCATGAATGAATTTAGAGAATTTAGGGACAGATTCAACTAGATGAGAATTGACAAGCTCAGTGATCCATTGAGGAGGTTCTTGACCTAATTGAGTCTGTAATTTGACTTCCAAGATAGCATAAGGGAAACGACAAATATCTGAATCAGGTAATTGTTTAAATGGGAAATCAATACCAATATCCGTACGACGCCAATTATCACCAGAACGAATGATGCCCTGATTATCTTCACGAATCATAGAAAGTTCAGTATCTAAACTGATACGTACACGAGCATCACCAGGTAATTGAAAGGCAGTACGATTATAAAAGGTTCTTATTAAAGGATGAAGACGTTTTGTTAAGACAGTGTATTGAACTTCCTGAGCAAGTTGTTCCATATCTTCAATTTCCTTTTCTGACTTTGTACCTTGTTCTTTCACTTTTGCAAATAATTCATCTGTAGTATATTTTCCATTCAAAAAGGCATTTAAATATTTTTCTTTAATTGGGAACCGAGCTTTAACTGATTTTTCACCAGTCCAATCTTCATGATGTGTTTTACGTTCAACGAATATAGTGTTTGTGTCCATACCACCATACCATCGCATTCGAATTGCCTGAGCTCCTTCTGTCTTTTCTAATCTACCCATATAAAGTTCAAAATCATCATTATCAAAATAAATACTTGTGATAGCAGAATCCTGTACTTCAAATTCTTTATTTGGATTAAATACAAGAACAGGTAAATGCTTGAGAATGATTAATTTTAATTCTGTAATATTATCAGGATGAACCCTTTAAAGAGAGAGAGAGTGAGTGAGTGAGAGTTAATAATAAGATTTGATACTATATATATATATATGTATATATACACATATATGATAATGTAAATAGTTACCAATACTTTGTTGTATTTCTTATAAAAGCAGATTGTTTACCACCTGCACCAGCATCACCACCTCGCTCTTTACCTCTTGTTCGAACACGATCATATAAAGTAGAGATACGTATAATTAAAGCTTCATAATTTTCCTTATAAAATGGTTTTGCATTTAATCTTGCCATAAACATTGGTTTAATAATCCAATTAGTAACTTTCTAAAATATATATGCATATATATATATATATATATAAATACAAATAAATCTGTAAATAGTTCTGATAATTGATAGATTTATATACATATTTATATTTATACTTTACATCATGTTTTTTGATAATTTTTAAAAATCCAGTATAGTTCAAACGAGTGAATTTCGCCAAATCATGAACATCAGCAATAATCTGACTTAATTCAATTTCAGATTCTGTAAATTCATCCTCATGAGGATCAGCTTTTTCACATAATGTATCTACTTGTTTAATTTCTTGTTGAATATGCTTAGTAATTTCAGACAATTTTACTTTTTGAAAATTATAAACTTTTGCTAAATCCTTTTCAAGTTTTTCCACAAATTTGGACTCATCTTCCTCTGTCCAATCTTGATGAGGTAACTTTTTTTTCAAGATCGACTTGAGTTCGTCGTAATCTACTATAAAGTTAGGAGAAGCTTATATAACTCAAAGATAATAACTTACCTAAATAATATTGTGTCCATTCTGGGTTTAAAGAAGTTCTTAGTGTATGACCGAACTTCATTTTTTTTTTAAAAAAAAAAAGGAAAAGAAGAAGAAGAAGAAAAAAGAATAAAAGAAGAATAGATTATTTTTCAAAACAAAAATAATAAAAAAAAACCATGTTTATTTTACATAGGGCATAATCTGAAGAAAGATCTCCGAATTAAATATTGTTGTCAACATCAAAATGATGATAAAAAAGGGTGAAAATTTTATACATGAAATTCATGCTTGTGACAGTAAAAAAAAAAAATGCGTATGGATTTCAAATATTACGTAAACATTCATACAACAGCAATCTTGAAATTTTTGGCCGTAATTTCTTTTTTTTTTTTTTAAAACAAAAAAAAAGAGAGAGATACTTTTTTTTTCTTAGGTAAAGAGAAGGTCATTTTCCATTAGAATTTAAAGATCTTTTCCATGTTCAGTAAAATCATTATTATCTTTCTTTTTTTGGAATCTGAGTATAGATCAAAAAAAAAAAAAGAAAAAAAAGAAAAAAAAGAAAAAAAAGAAAAAAAAGAAAAAAAAGAAAAAAAAGAAAAAAAGAAAAAAAAGAAAAAAAAGAAAAAAAAGAAAAAAAGAAAAAAAAGAAAAGTATAAAAGGCTTCATGTGTGATGTAAGTATTGCCATATAATATTTCTTATCTTTTTTTTTTGGTTTAGATGGTAAAACACGCGTGTATGTTTTCATTAGATTTATATGTTGTGTTGTAAATACATTTAAGGGTAAATAATACTGCATCTTAATAGATTGTCAAAGACCTTATAATAAATAGAAGAATTTATACCTGTTTGAGTTAATTATGAAGATGAATAAACAATGTAATTTCTATACTTTTGTCCACGTCTAAGATAAGCAAAATACATTGTCAATGATCAAACATAGCTTATTGAATATATATTTTAAGAAATATTTATTTATTTTTGCATATTAACATTATCTATTGTAATAAACAAAAAAAAAAGGAATGCCTCTTCTTCTTTCTTTGGATTCTTGCACTGTTACTTTGCATATTTAACGCCACTATGAATCAACCTAACATTTTATATATTCTCTCAGTAATATACGCCTTCCTTTGATAGCCTTTTTTTTTTTTTGCTCTTCAGAGTTCAAATCAGGTATAACAATCATCGTATTTTAATTCATCTGAAGTAATAAATCCTATTCATGTAATAGTTGTTTTATAAAACATTTGTATAGTTTCTAGTAAGGAATTGTTCATTAACATAAGCAATTTGTTATTAAAAGAAAAAAAAAATCAACAACAACAATCATATCTTTCAAAATCAACGAGAAAAACAGCACGTAATATTTATTTTATTTTTTTTGGCTTTGTTTATTTTAAAATCATGAAGTTTCGTAAAGAACTTTGAATACATGAGATAAACCTTAACACAATGACCCCCCCTTTTGCACTCTGAAAGAAAGCAATTCTTCTCTTCATTTTTCTTTTATAAAGCTTTTTTTTTTAAAGTTCAAGAAAGTGAATAATAACGTAATATTGTCATGATGAAGCTACTACTTCTACTACTACTTGCCTATTATACAATACAATATTAGAATACCAAACTATATTGTTTTAAAGTTAGTGACAAGATGTATCAAGATAAATAAAGTTTAATTGCTTGTTTCAACTAAGTAATGGAATACCTCTCTTAAAAGTGTTATGTTTTTACTTCGTATGATCCTTTGTTTACATATAAATATGTGTATAAAAAAAAAAGTTACTGCGTAGTTTAGCATGAATTACGTAATATTATTCAAACTGAGTTTCAAATTTCTTTTTTTTAAAAAAAAAAGTCACTCAGAAAATAAAGAAACTCGGTTACGTAATAGTTTACGGGTCTGATTAAAAAAAAAAAGACCAAATCCCCAAACTTCGTAGTAATTATCACCTAAATGTCTTTCAAGACATGTGCGTTTATTAATTATTTAATGACAAGAATTTATTTGAACAAATAGATACGTATACAAAAAAAAAAAACTACATGTAGATATATAGTTTTTTTTTTTACCTCTTTTTTTTTCTTTAAAAAAAAAAAAAAAAGATGCAGATAATAAATTTAAAATAATTTCATAAGTGTGTGAGTATGGAGGGGGGAATATATATTTACAAAGCAAGCTTTTCCTTCAACAAGTTTTCAAGCTTAAGACCATCCTTAGCAAAGTTACGAATACCTTCTGACAACTTTTCAGTAGCCATAGCATCTTGGTTCATTTCCCAACGGAAAGCCTTTTCGTCAGTAAAGTAAGATACCTTTTCAAGGGAGGAAGCCTCAGCGGATTCCTTACTTAACTTACGTTCCAAGCTCTTTTGCTCGGCTTGCAAGTTACTCAAGAGAGCAGGAGAGATGGTCAAGAAATCACAACCAGCCAATTGTTCAATTTCACCCGTGTTACGGAAGGAAGCACCCATGACGATGGTGTTATATCCATACTTCTTGTAGTAGTTATAGATCTTGGTAACAGACTTGACACCAGGATCAGTTTCACTTGTGTATTCTTCACCCGTGTTCTTCTTATACCAATCAAGGATACGACCCACGAAAGGAGAAATAAGAGTGACGCCGGCTTCAGCACATGCAACAGCTTGAGCGAAACCGAACAATAAAGTCAAGTTACAATGAATACCATGCTTTGTTTCAAGGACATGAGCGGCTTGAATACCTTCCCAAGTAGAGGCAATCTTGATTAAAACTCGTTCCTTATTGACACCATTCTCTTCATACAATTTAATAAGAGCAAGTGCCTTTGAAATGGTGGCTTCAGTATCAAAAGAAAGACGAGCATCTACTTCAGTAGAAACACGACCGGGAACAATCTTCAAAATTTCAGAACCAAAGTTAACTAAAAGCTTATCAGTAGCCAATTCAAGCTTTTCAGCATCAGAACTATTCGTTTGACAAAATACATTCAAGTATATATATATATAGAATTAGTTATACTTTTCTATATGCATATATATTTATATATCCCCACTTTTTTTTTAAAAAAAAATAAAATAAAATAAAAAAAAATGACTACATAATAATGAACACTTACACATCCTTAGACTTAGCATACTTGATAGCATCCTCAATAAGATGAGCATATTGAGGCTTCTGAGCAGCAGCCAAAATTAAAGAAGGGTTGGTAGTAGCATCTTGGGGCTTGTATTGAGCAATAGCTATTTATACGCGTAGTGAATATTTTAACCTCTCTCATACAAAGCATATAAATGATTAAAAATCCTTACTTTCAAAATCGCCAGTATCAGCAACAATAGTAGTGAAGTTCTTGAGTTGTTCGAGGACAGACATTTTTTTTTTTTTTTGGGGGGAAAAAAAAATTAAGGGAAAAAAGGAAACTAAATACTGTAGAATAGAATCCCTTTTTATAAACAGATATATTTCAGCTATTTTTTTTTTTTTTTTTTTTCGGAGGAATACATGAATTAAATCATTCATCCGATGAAGTGCAACAAGGGATAAATTGAATCGAATCAACGTTTCAGGACAGGTTAATCTGAGTACCAATAACTACAATTTGTCATCCAACCAACAAAATACAGTCTTTTTTTTTTTGAAAATTATTATATAATGATTAGTAGCCAATAATAAGTAATTTATTAGGTAATGAGTAACATTAACAAATGATGAGAAACAAACAAACAAAAAAAAAAAAAAAAAAAAAAGGACAAGAGAGATTTTCTTTATAAATTAAATTTACAGAACATTTTTACTATTATTTAATGTCTTTTTACTATAGAATATTTTAAGTTGAGTTATAAGATGCTTTAATGATGATATTTTATTATTAATATTTTTTCCACGGAAAACATAATATTTGAACAAGTCATCTTTTTTTTTATTATTTCTTTTTTTTTATTTTATATATTTTTTTTTTTATTTTTTTTTATTTTCGTAAAATTAATATAGTTTAAATGCCTGTCATTTCTACTACTTACCCTAATAAAATTACCTTCGATAATGAAAGTAATAAAATAAAATATCCAGAAAACAAGGAAATTGATTTTGCAATGAAAATGAGAAATGCTGTTGATGTAAAATTGATAGATACTAATTTATATATGAGTAAAGAACTATGGTTACCTTATGGATCAAGAGGGGCTTTTGGAGGTCAGGTATAGAATACAGGATCACATGAATTTCTCTTTCTCTCTTTTAATACATGTATTATTTATAGATTGTTGCTCAGTCCTTAAAAGCGGCTTGGGATACTGTGCCCGAATCATTCTTTGTACATGTAAAATAATAATAGATGTTATTATGAGTTAAAATATGATGATGTAATGACTCACTATGAAGAATAATAATGAATAGTCTCTACATGCTTATTTTATCTTGGCTTGCCATGTTGAAATCCCAGTTATCTATAGTGTTCAATGTATTCGAGATGGTAAATCATTTGCAACTAGAATTGTAAAAGCAACGCAAAGAGGAAAAGTTATTTATGTTTGCAGTTGTAGTTTTGCTAAGCCTATGAAGGGTGTTAGCTTAAATCATCAAGTAAAAAAAAAAAAAAAAAAAAAAAAAAAAAAAAAAAAAAAAAAAAGAGAAAAAGAAAAAAAAATTTTGTGGGGAAAATAACTGACTATTAATTTTTTTTTTAATAATTGTTACCCGATATCATAAAGTCCACTATGCCTAATGTAGCTGATCCTGATACTTTACCTTCGTAAGTTATATATGCATATTTATAATCATAATACAAATATCAACATATTAAATTATGTTTAGGGATGCAAAGTTATTACAACATGCATTAGCAAATACAGTAGTCGAGAAATTTCCTGAAAAATTTATAAAAAAGGCTTATAAGAGACTTGAAGAAGTATGATAAAAAAAAAAAAGTTGATTTTTTTTTTCTTATTTCCTTTGCAATTTATTTATCTATATGTGTATGTATATATTTTAGGATCAACCTATAGATTATCGTGCAGTTATTCAATATACACCCGAAGAAATTATTACAGGCAATGTGAAACCGAATGCATATAATGTAAATGTATATCAATATATCAATATATATACATATACATATACATATACATATATAAAAGTTTATATACTAATATATACATACATACATAGCAAAGATGGTTCAAAACTAGGGGATCCTTAAATGATGATATGAAACTGCATGCTTGTATTATTGCATATGCCTCAGACAGTGGCTTTCTTAATACAGCTGCTACTGCGAATGGGTTATCTTACAATTCAGAGAGTATTGGTATGATGACATCTTTAGATCATACAATTTGGTTTCATGCACCTACAAGAGTGGATGAATGGCTTTTATATGATATTTATAGTCCACGAACAAATGATGGACGTGGCGTTGCATTTGGTAGAATATATAGTCGTGATGGTACTTTAGTAGCTACTACTGCACAAGAGGGTGTTATACGTTTATCAGAACATGAGCAAAAAAGACATGAAAAGAAGCTATTCGCAAGAATTCCTACTACTAGTAGCAGTAGTAGTAGTAGTAGTAGCAAACTATAATTTACATGTATAAAATATATACAATTATTATTAGAAAATTAAACGTTAAAAAAAAAAAAAAAAAAAAAAAAAAGGGAAAGCATAAACTCCTCTTATTCTTAATAGAATCTGAACTTTAAATATTAGTTTTCTTTTCTGACAAATGTTTCAAATATAAAAAAAAAGAAAGAACAAAAAGGGATTAAGCGAGTATATATAATGAATTCTTCTAATATAAGAATTCAAATACAATGAAATAAACAACAAACAATAGGAGGTAACCCTATTCTTAGTGATGTATGTCGCTTTTCAGTAAAATTGTACAAGTTATTTTAGTAGTAATATAAGCCACGAATGCGGGATAATAACATTAAATCTTACCATTTTTTTTTCTTTTTATTTTATGTTTTTTTTTATTTAGTTTTATGAAACTATACTTTGCGTTGAGCATTTAAATATACATATTTGTACATACATCTTTTTTCTCTCTCTCTCTCTTTTTTTTTTTCTTTTTTTTTTTTTTAATAAGTTAACCCCATTAATAAATAAAAAAAAAAGAAATAAAATGTCAAGTAAGACAGCTTCTTGGGTGGTACGTGAATATAAACTTGTTATGGTGGGCGGTGGAGGTAAAGTAAATTTATGTTCCTTTTTTATATTTGTTTAGAGCTTGCTCACCTAATAATAATAATAATAATAAACAGGTGTAGGCAAGTCTGCTTTGACAATTCAGTTCATTCAATCCCATTTTGTTGATGAATATGACCCAACTATTGAAGGTAATCTTTTTTTTTTTTTCCTTTTTTCTTTTCTTTTAAATAAAATAAAAAAGCTCATTTAAGTTTAATTAGATTCATACAGAAAACAATGCGTTATAGACGAAGAAACTGCACTTTTAGATGTTTTGGATACAGCAGGCCAAGAAGAATATAGGTAAAACAACTATACATACCATAGGATAGGTAAATAGACCTTAAAATTAATTTATTTTACAAGTGCTATGCGTGAACAATACATGAGAAATGGAGAAGGATTTTTACTCGTTTATTCAATAACATCACGAATGTCCTTTGAGGAAATAGAAACGTTTCATCAACAAATTTGTCGAGTCAAGGATAGAGATTATTTCCCCATGGTATTGATTGCTAATAAATGCGATCTTGAATCAGACCGTCAAGTATCCAGTCAAGAGGGTAGAGATTTGGCAAAGAAATATGGCTGTCATTTTGTCGAAGCATCAGCCAAACTTCGCATAAACGTGGATGAAGCGTTTTATGAAGTTGTACGAAATATTCGTCGCTATAATAAGGAACAAGACATGAATAACAATAAACATACAAGCTCCGGTTTCTATGGCGGCAATAGTGGCAATGGCGGCATGAATAAATTTGGTGTTGATGATCCTAATGATAATGCTTCATCAAAATGCTGTATATTGATGTAAAATATTTATTATTTTAATGTATATCTTTTTATTATTATTACTATTATTATTATTATTATTATTTTGTTTAAAAATATGTTTTATTAAAATAACAAAAAAGGAAAAAAAAAAAGAAAAGAAAAAAAAAAAAAAGAAAAAAAAACAAGAAAAAGAACAAGAACAAGAAAAAGAAAAACCGTCTGTGAATGTATGCTATTCGCTTTTTTTTTTCTTTTTTTTTATAACGCAGTAGATGAGGAAGGTGATAAATCTAATGGATGAGGTGGCGATAATGTATATTCATGTAATTGATCAAAAGAAGGACAGCAGATCTTTTCTGAAGATGAAGAAATCATAGACGGATCACTATTAAATATAATTAAAGGTGCCTTATTTTGTTGATGATGGTTGTTGGATTTCCAAAAATCTTTACGAAAAATAGAGGTTGCAGATAATAATGGACTTTCTCGATTCATACGAAGTGTTGCATTATGTTCAAGTAATGATGTACTACTATTGTTCGTTAATGATTGATTGACTACTGGCATGTCTTTTCCATTTAACTCATCAAAAGAAAAATGCCTAGGTGATCTGTGGATAAGTCCAGCAGATAAAGATTCAGTAGTAGATGCTTTCAAAAGCCCTTGGTCTACGCTTTTTCTACCAAACAACCAAAAATGATTCATTGTCAATTTTTTATTAATCGCTTCCTCATGTCGTTCTAATATTATTTCATTTTCTATACTGACAGGTCTACTATCATTATTGGAGCTTAAACTACTGTCACCATGACTCGTTAAACTACCTGAGCTATTTCGAATACCTTCCTCTTGAGAAATAGTGGATGAAGGGGTTTGTATTAAAGAACTTGAAGAAATCAGTTTTGAGTTAATAATGGATGGTTGTAAATCAGGTACTGAATGATTTCTAATGGGTTGTTTTGTAGTAGGCTCTCTTAACAAACTTAATTCATCTACTGTTTTTTCACTTACCCAAGACCTTGTTAGCTAAATAAATAAATAAATAAATAAATGTGATAAACATGAATAATAGTAAATCTTTATACCAGATATTGAGTTATAAGACATTGTTGCATTTCAATACTTAATTCACCATCGTAGTAGTAATCTTCTTGTTGAAAATAGATGGGCGATTTCTTTAAAGCATGAGATAATTTTCGTTTACGATTCTTATTTAAATCTTTCATACAAGCTGCAGATAAATGTGGTGAATAAGGTGGGCTCTGTTGAAAGCTCTTGAATAACCTTAATAGTTCTGAGACTCTAGTATCCTGTTGTATCATGATTAATTTCCTATCGTTCTCCTTCTTGATGACCCATTCACTATTATGTCGTCTATTATTTTGAGTTTCACCTCTTCCTTCCCTTGAAAGAAGAGCAGCTGCAAGGTAAGTCATATCATGGATAAAGACACCTAGAAATGGCACAGTGGGTTCACTAAACGAATTCTTTCTGACGGCAGCTAATTTTTTTTTCACAGTAGGGATTGCTTCAGTACTGGCGGAGGATGATAAGAATGTATCCCCTTGGATCACTTCCCTAGATTTAATTTCATCTTCTTCAACAGACAACGTCAGCAGACCTATCTTTGCTCTATAATTCGCATAATTGGATGCCTCTGACATAAAGTCACTTAGAGCCTCTAGTAGATTCAAACTCTTTTTAGGTACAAATTGCCAAGACCGTTTCAAACGTCCAATAGGAGGTGTACCAAACGCAGAGATAACTGCCTTTAAAGTTTGATAATTCTTTAATTCAAAACATATTTGAGCTACTTTAATCCAATGATGTATATACTCAGCACGCGATGAGGCATCCTGCTGTAATAAGATAGCATGTTCTATAAATCGAGTCAAATAATTAAAAAAGTCAGTCGAGGCAACAATAGCTGGATGAGGGGTCTTTGGAGTATGTGTCAGGATAGCATTTACTGGAATATTACGAAAGATAGTCGAATCAATTAAAGTCAATTGATATGCAATAAGTACAGGTGAAAATTGTAAAATAGTAGGTACAGTTGTAGCTGTCATATAGATATTACGAACTCGATTTAAAGGGAAAGATAGATCCTCTAACTGATTTTGCTCATTAGCATCCTCTACTTGTCTTTGAAGTAATTTGTAAGTAGTAATAAGAGGTGCCTGTGGTATTCTAGGTAGATAACTAGAATGGATATTATTTGAAGATAAGCTATTATCACTGTTACTCGTTTGCACTGTAATTAGAATATATGGATCGATTGTACTATTTGATAGTAAAAAGATATTATCATCCACATTATTTATTGTGGATGATAATGAAGTAGAAGTAGAATTATAATAGCTTTCTCTTTTTGCTATTCCATTATTCTCTGAATTCGGAGTAGTAAGAGATAATAAAGCTTTAACTGTATTTAATGATGTTGTATGTGAAACAGTCATAGCCACAGATTGTTTATAAGGTGATTTTGTTTGACTTGAAGTTATTTTAACAGAAGAAAAAGTCTTTCCTAAATATATAAATAGACATATATATATAAATATAGACATATGTATGTGTGTGTATACGTTAAAAGAAAAATTACGTATTATATATTCATTTACCTTCATTATGTACATATCTTGTTTGATCCGATTGGTATAAAGAAGATTTTTTCTGTTCTATATTTCTCGCTTGATAATTAGGTCTTGCAGGTAAAGGAGGTGGAGATAATTTAGTTATTTTTTTATTAATAAATAAACGTTTTGGTTTTGGTGGAACTGGAGGTGGAGAAGATGGTATTGTACAATTTGAAGATATGCTTCTAGCATGTCTTAAACAGGTATGTGCCAAATAAAATAAAGAAGATAAATTATTATCAACTACAGCTATAAAATTTTTAAGTAAGTTTATGATACAAAAGAAGTTTTTTTTTTTTTTTTTTTTCGCATTTATTTTTACATTGATTTATAAATTTAAGCTGTTTAAATTCGTTTATAGCTGACAATAAGACTTCAATATATAAATCATAAGACATCTAATAGGAATATACGTAAATCATTGCTGGAAAAAAGATTTTTTTTTGTACCTTAAATTGTCCAGAATTTAAATAAAATAAAGCTTTGTCCATTAATGCTTTCATGGTAATCTCTGTTGACAAAGGTATTGGTGACATTATTATCGATATAAATAAATGGAAAAAATAAAAACGTCTTTGTCCTTTTTTTTTTTTTTTGAATGTTTATACTGTATACTTGACGTTAAATATTCAAGGCACAATCTTGAAAAATATATATACAACTATAAATTGTACTCTAAAAATATATAAAATATATAAAATATATAAAATATATAAAATATATAAAATAAGAAAATAAAAAAATAAGAAAATAAGAAAATAAGAAAATAAGAGAAAAAAAAAAGATAAAAATAATAAAAAGGTGACAATTCCTTTCACCCTTTCTCTCCTTCTCCTCTTCCACCCCCCCTTTTTTTTCTTCTCTCTCACTCTCACTCTCTTTCTTATCAACAAACAAGGGGGTAATTAATCATTATTAGTAGTTGCTTATAAAACTTATTATGCACTACATACACACTATCTGTATTATAATAAAATTAATTATAACACATATTTTAATGTATACTAAATTGTATTAAGTTATTTCATTCGCAAAAAAGAGGGAGACAATAAAGAAAAGGAGGAGAAAACAAGAAAGAAAAAAGGGGAAGAATAGTAATAATGACAAGGAGAAAAGAATTAATTATCAAAATGAATTTAACTTGTCACACAATAACATAAATAGGCCATTTTACCCCCTTAAAATCAAGAGCTTATTTTGATGTATTCAATGTCTTACATCAGTGTCTTAACAAGCATAAAAATATATATATATATGCATAGTAATTTATTTTACCTCTGTATCTCTTTCCTGATCTTTTTTTTTATTCGTCTATATTCATATACGTACAAAGTAAACGGTTTATTCAATGAATCATTCTTCCTGTTCTACAAGTGTTCCGTTATTACATATAAATAAATCTACATGATAATACTAGTAGCGCTACTAAATTTAATAGCAGATTAGTTCGATCTTCTTTTAGCTTATCTTCTCTGCAAATAAGTTATAATATCACCCAATCACCAAATATCAACCTCTTCTTTATTATCGAATACTGATCATAATGAGGATGCAGACATACCGACGCCTTTAAATGACTATAGCAATAAAAAAAACACACTTGTAGCAATATTGGTGAAGAAGATAAATATCATATGACAAATAGAAGTAGGAAGATAAGGAATTATTCTCAATATCAGCAGCAAATGAACTGTGAATGAAGACTGTAGTATCAGTTTATCATTAGATATGTTATATGAAGATATTCGGACAGATTCACCTGTCTTTCATGATTATTTACATTCACTTAAAACTTGTCTATACCATTATTGAAAAAGTAGAACAATGTAGGAAAAAAAAAAACCCCCTGGATGATTTATTTAAACGAGTTTGTTCAGATTTGCTTAAGAGAAATAAAATGTGTGAATATGTACTACAAGCTTTGACACCATTCTCTCTCTCTCTCTCTCTTTTTTTTTTTTTTTTTTTTTTTTTTTTTTTTTTTTTTTTTTTTTTTTTTTTTTTTTTTGTAGGACAATATACAGCATTTAATAAATTTTATTAATTTTGTAACTGTAAATCTTATATAAATATTTATTAAGCTACTAATTGTAACCTAATGACATGATATATATTTTCAGATTGATAATAATGAGATGTTATTAGATAGAAGAGAAAGATATTGGGAGTGAAGAAAGTTTATTACAAAAAAAAGAGACAGAACCAATGCCAAGAAGAAATTATTGTATCTTATTTTATAGCTTTACTATTTGAATTATTGCAATTTACAAATTGGTGTTCACAGGAATGTTCTATTATCAACACCATCACACGTACTTGAAAATCTATTATTAATTTGCAACAAACTAATAGTGACAGCAGCAGCAGCAATAATGAGCTCTCTTTCAACAGTAATAATTCTGCTGCTTCTAGTATCATTAATACAAAAGAAATTATTTTACAACAAGCAATAGTTAATAATAGAAGAATAACTAGGCCTCAGCCCTGGCAATAGGGTGAAGATTATTTCGTTAAAGAAAATGAATTTTTGAATCCTATAAACAATGCTAATATATACCATCCGTTGCAGAATAATAAATTTGTGCTACATTATTTTTACAGCAGCATTTTTTTTTTCTTTTTTTTTTAACTCCTTTTATATACTCCCATTTATTATCTTGTTTAATATATTTGGTTATAAGGGGGAGGAAGAATAGAAAAAAAAGAAACCTTTGAATAGTGGATTGTAGTAGGAAAAAAAGAAGAAAAAAAAAAGAAAAAGCTTTTTCATGCAATTATATACATAAATAATATGTATCTTTTATTCCTATACTGTTACTTTATTGCTAATATATTGAAGAATTTTTTTTTTTTTGGTCAATTTATTCTTGTTTCCTTATATATATTTATATAAATATATTTATTTAAAAAAGTTCTAGTAAGCATGCGCATGATATCCAAGTGCATTTTGATTAGATGAACTTGAGGGTTCATTATAGTACTGAGTTTGATCACCATCAATACGAGCAATAGCTGGTATAGGACCGGAAACAGCGATACCATAACTTTGAACACTTGAACTACTACTTTTATTGGATCTTACCGATAATGAACGTGATGCATTACTCGCAGCTCGACGAATACTTCCTAAAACACCACCCCCTCTCTTATGAGCGCTAGACGATGAATTATTCCGATGCGGTAGTTTGGCTACAGCTCCTGCGACGACAGCCATAAATGACTGAGTACGCCAACGTGTGTTGATTTGTTCAGTCTCTTGTATTTCATCTTGTTCCTTATTTGCCCTTTGTTTACGTTTGTAGATGAACATGCCAGCGAGTCCGGCTGCAGCCAAACAGCCAACAACGGCACCAACAGAGACCCCAACTATCTTACTTTGTGGTTCGTTTTCAATCTCCTTTCCATTCTGAACGCTTTGAACAGCAACTTGATTATTATTATCAATGGGTGCTGTAGAAGACAAAGGGTTTGCTATAGTTGAATCTGTTGTAGTAGTGGGAAGTGTGGGTTCATTTGAGCTATTATCGTCATTCTCAGAAAATTGTACAATAGTAGTTGTGTTATCTATATCATTTGTATCATAAGCATCTTCTTCTTCTTCTTCTTTATAAGTTTGACTATAAGAGATAGGTGGTGGGGGAATAAATCCTTCTGAATCAGTAGCAGTAGTAGTAGTAGTAGCAGCAGCAGCAGCAACAGCAGCACTTGAGGTTGTACGAGTTTTATTATCAAGTCGAATTGTCGTAACTGTAACTTTTTTAATATTAGTTTGCTTCGATTTATGTGAACTAGTCTTTTTTGATTTAAATTGCTTTTTCTTTGAATTTGTTGAGTTATGATGGGATTTATTCTTTGTTATCGTCTTCTTTAAGCTATGATGATGATGCTTTTTCTTTTTTGTAGCTAATTCGGAATTATCTTTCTTATGGCTGACTTTCTTTGTGGTCGTATGATGTTTTGTTTTCGTACTTTTTTTTCCATGAATACATACAAAAATAGTTTGAGCATGAGATAATGAAGAAGAAGATGATGATTTTTTACTTTGTAATAAACGTTTACGTTGAATTGAAGCCAAAGAGCAATTTCTGATCGTTTTAGTGGTCCTAGAGAAAGTGCTGTGATGATGTTTTCGATGTTTACTTCTGGTAATATGATGTTGAGTAGTAGTTAACTTTGTATTATCTTTATCTATAATATACACAAATATTAAGGACTCCAATCTAATTCCGTAACTATTAGCACTTACTTTCTTGACTCGCATCAACTATTTGAGAGTGAAAAAATAAATAAATAAAAAGATAATAAAAATCGTTAACTCTTTATAATCGCATTCTTATAAATAAATATAAATATTCATATATTATTTACCTATTAAAAAGAATAAAGTTGATACAAGTAGAAAGAAAAAAGAGAGTCGCCACTTGGTCCTTTTTATCATTAAAAATGAATTAAGTGGCAAAATAAGATAAAGAAAAAAAAAGACGTTTATTAAAAGGGAATGGAAGGTGTTTTAAGGGTATAAGAAATGAAAAGTTAAAGAAGAACTAAAGATAAAAGAAAAAAAAAAAAAAGAGGGAGGGAAAGAGTTGTATAAGAATAAGAAAAGTGTTATAATAATAATGGCTTTAATGGGAGCACTGACATTGATTAAAACCATGCTTAAATATTATAATAAGGACAATTTGCACGTTGAGGCAGGTTACACTTAAATTATTGGCCCTGTAATACTTCTTTAGTTTTTATCATTGACGATCCTTTCTTTATATAAATTTCATTATACAAATGAAAATTTATTGCATAAAGTGTTATAATTCATTATCAAAAGTAGAAGCAACATTCTTAACATCTTTTAACATTTGCTTTTTTATATATTCCCAACGTTCATAACACATTTTAGCCAAGTGTCTGTCATCAAATTTCGTTTCTAATTCCTTCCATTTTACATACTTCATAGGCAATTCTAATACATGTTCAAGTAATTCTTTATCGTCCTCAATTGTCCATATCTTTTCTTCATCTAAATCGTTTTTCTCCTCTTCATCATCGAGAGTTGTAAAGGAACGAGGCGTAAGAGGTAAAGCTGTATTAGCATTATCTTCACTACTACGTCGCTTCTTGATTATTTTATTATTTGCTGACAATAAATTTTCATTAAATTCTTCGTCATCATTAGGTGGGGTATCAAGTCGATAATTTGAAGAATTATTATGTTGGCAAGAAATGGTCTATATGCATTATATTAATAATTTTATTATCTTACGCATACCTTACCACCCTAATAACCATCTCCTCCACCTCCTCCTTCTTATCACCTCCTTTTTTACATACCTGATTTTTTCTGGCTTCGTATAAAACATCTCGTACAATAAATTCTGTAAAAAAAGGTGGTTCGGCTGGTTTACGAGGTCTACCTCTTTTACGAGATGTACTCTATAATATATAAATATGAATTTCTATTATTATTATTATTTCTTTTATATATATATATATATATATATACATCTTACATTGCTCCTTTACCTTTTCAGAAATGTTACTCATCTTGCGTTTTTCTACATAGTTTAAATTCAAAAATAAAAAAAAAGTACTTGTTATTATTGTTATTCTTCTTTGCCTTCTCTAGGATACTTACTATTGTTATTGTCCAATAAAGCACTAACAGATAAATTAGAAGCATGAGGTGAACCCATCTTTTTGAAATTAGCAAGAATATTATGAGTTACTGTTTTCGAAAGTCCAGAAAGTTCAGAACATTGTCTTTCAGATGCACCTGCTTGATGAGCACCAATTACAAACCAACAATCTTTTTCTGAAACTTGTCTTAACGACATAAGTGAATATTAAAGAAGGGTATATTGAATTGTTGTTTTTTTTAAAAAAAAAAAAAAAAGGAAAAAAGGAAGGAAGGATAATGCATCTATAGATGATTCTTTCTTTTGGTGTGAATAAAACTCAGCACTAATCATGATTAAAAATACGTTTTTTTCATGCAATACTATTGGGTCCTAAGCCCTGTGTTACTATTATTATTGTATGAGCTTTTTTATTGACCTCCCATAAACATTAATAACAGGATTATTAAGGCCACAACAGCCCAAATAGTGTCTTTACATTATGTATAGCTATAGTTATGCTTTCTTTATCTACTATTATGCTTTTTCTTTTATTAGTGAAAAGAGTCATGTACAGACCCAGTATTAATGGTTTAAATTTTGTTCATTATTATACTTCAATTAGAATAAATAAATAGTTTATTATTCATCAACTACATAAATAGATTATATAATGTTAGTATGCATGACCTGCCTTTTTCAAGTAATAAAAATATGCATTCAATATGCCCTTATAATTTTTATATCCATATATGGAAAATTTTGGCTCTCGAAAGATCACGACTGCGACGCCAAAAAAAAAAAAAAAAAAAAAAAAAGATCGCGATAACAAAATACAACAGTCCAAAAAAAAAAAAAAAAAAAAAAAAAAAAATAAAATAAAATAAAATAAAATAAAATAAAATAAAATAAAAATAAGCTTTCATTGCCTGCTACGAGCATATATCGTTCTCTTTTGTTGTATTTTAAATCACACTATTATGAATGCTCATAATAATGAATCAAAACTTGAAAAAGTGTTGAAATTATTAGAGAGCAAACAAAAAAGCCCAGGCAATGCTGATGTTGAAACAAACTTCTTTAATGAGGCTTTAGAATATCTTTTATCTATTAATCACTGGTGGTGTACAAAAGCAGTTTTACCTATTGCACGTGAGTCACTATGGTTATTTTCATTGCCTGATCATGATCCCATTTTACAATATAAAAAGAAGCTTGATGATCAATTAAAATCTTGTATTCAATGTGTTCAAGCATATCAAACATCAAAGAGATTTGTAAAACAGAGGTTAGTTTTTTTTTTTTTTTTTTCTTTTTTATTATTATTATTCCTCTCGACAAATGCAAATTCCTTTATGATTTTGATTTTTTTTTTCTCTTAATAAATAATAAATTTTAGATATGAAGAATTATTTCCAGCACAGACAGTTAGAGAATTCTTTCAAGTCATCGATCATTTTGACGTTAGTAGAATAATTTCAACATTTAATTCACATGAAAACAATTTCAGCATGACCAATCAAGTAATGTGTGCTATACTCGAAGTTGTTTATGCTCCTTATTTATTAAAGGATCCAAAATGTGATGACACATTTGGTAAGGCATTTACGCTGATTCAGAAAACAGGTGCATTTCCTACTTTCACTACAGAGGTAACAACTTACATTTTTCGTATGACGTTTTATCATCATCGAGTTGTTCGTTTTTGGGCGAGAAAGTTATTAGAAAAATTTATCACTACAGATCAATACAAACTCTCAGAAGAAGAAATTTTAGAGATAAAAGAGTTAGTTTTAGGATTGATTCAGTCTTTTACAGCGGAAGATGAATTCAGGACTATCATTAAACTCTGTCCATTTACGATAATACAGGATCTGGGTGAATTTTGGAAATCATTTCGATTAGTTGCAAGTCTAACAACATCAGAGGTGTTATTAACATTCTTATCTGAATCATCTGTATCTATGCCTCAGCTCATTTTATTTCAATTATCTACTTCAGCTGAATGGCTAGGTGAACTTTTGAAAACCATGACAGCTATGTTACTTAAAATGCAAGGTCATTTTTGGGGTGAAGTAGGGACAAATAGTATTATTTATTATGATATTGTGAAGCAAATATGTGAACATACTGTCTTTCAAACCGCTATGAAAATTGCAAGAGAGGGGAATACTGGAAAAATTCTACAACGAGATGGCACACCATATCCAGACGATAAGTTAATGTCAAAGATCAAAAGCATGCTGGAATGGATATATCCTTATTGGTCCTCATTACGACATACACCTGTAGAGAAAGAGATTACACAAAAGATTTTAGATACAACGTTCGGCTATTTTCAATTAAACACATGGGGCGTTATGAGTAAAGCCTATTGTGCAGAATTAGGATTACAGATTATCGATCAATGCCTAGCTGACAATTCTGTTCCAGTAGAGAAAGTGAATGAATATATTCCCAAAATGATTGGATTTGCAAAGATAACCCCTACTGTATTGCCCGCTCTTGTTCAACATATGCCTGCGGTTGCACAAAATATCTTATCAGATCTTGTAAATCGAGATGCAGCTTACTTGAATAAGGCATTTAATGCACTCTATAAAATAGATGATTTAATGAGTGAAATGGAAGAGAGTACTAGTGATCCAATAGATTCTGTTAAAAAATCACCTTATGAATCAATTTGGATTGCAATAAAGCCTTACTTTAACGAAAGCGCAATCCAGTTTCCTTGGTTAGCAATGCTTTTATTCAAAGCCTATGCAAATATTGCTTTGGCAGATATACCAAATCTTTTAAAAGATAGTGAAGCAAAAGGCGAAATTGTTTCCTTGGAACACAAACATGTTTTACTTCGATTCGTAGACATACGATCCGTAGTAGGGAAAATACTAAAGATGGTGATAAAGATGGATTGGAGTGTTAAAAGACATATATTGACAAATGAAGAAATGGTGAAGCCGATACTTCATCTGATATGTTCTCCCTATTTAGAAATCAAGCAAGACATGGCTCAATTCATTCAAGAATATCCACAACAACTTAGTGATCATGATTTATACCAACAATTCTTTTATATGTATCAACCATTAAAGGTGATAGAGGCCTTCAATTCTGTTTTACGTGAATTTATAGCATTGGCCAACAGTCCAGTTCTTAACATTTTCAAATCAGTTCAATCTCTTACGACATTTTTATCAATTCAAGTTGATATATTAGCTAATTCATCAAGTGGATATTTAATGAAATTAGTAGAGTCTGGACCCGAAAAGATAAAGGACGAAGATGGCGTTATAGGTGAATTTTGGGATGTCTATTGGCGTACTGTTAGTATTATTTTTGGAAAGGGTTTACAATGGGCTACAGAGTATCGCCCTGCTGTTGTTGTTAATCTCATTATGCCTATACTTGATTCTTCATCATTGATAATAAATTCAAAGAAAGTGTTGGAGAATATTATGACAACTACTTCAAATTCTAAAGATACTTCACTTAATTATGACCATATCAACACTTTAGTAGATTCGCTTTCTCATTGGATTTATGTCACACGTCAAGATATGATATCTCGACTTATGCCACTTATTCGCAGTATACTTCATACCTTGAAAAGAGCTGAAATCAAAATTTCTGTTGAGGCTTATGATCGACTCATGACAGCAGCTACGGGTGTCAATGCAAGTAAACTAACAGACGAGGAAAAAGAAAATTTATTTATGGCCTTGAGTGCTCATGAACCTACGAATTTTATCTTTTTAAATGATGATAGCGATGATGAAGATGTTGAATGGCAGTCTGTTACTCCCACTGATAATGCAAGTCCAGTTATAAGTACTCCTCCTCCTCCTCCATCTATTTTAAAGGAGCCATTACATTCAAATTTTGATTCTTCTTCTACCCCTTTACAAATCAGTAGAGCTGATACACCTAAGCCAGTCCAAAGACGTCAGATAAGTTTAGATGAAAGTTTTGCCAATGTTTCACTCACAAGCCCTGCACGTCCAACATCAAACACTGCAAATAGCAAATCTAATGTATCAAAAATTACAAATTATTTTCCCGCAACCGCTGAGGAGCCACACACGATCTCTGATGATGAGCTCGAGGAGGAATTTGCGGATATTGATTATTCACAAGTTCCAGAAGAATGGTTTGAAGTAAAGAAAGAAAATATACCTGATGATGCAGCCGCTTTATCAGAAAAGTCAGATAATAAAGATGTTTATTTTGGTCGAGATGACCCTATGGAAGTGGATAAACATAAAGAAATAACAAAGGCATCATCTAAATCACTCGTATCTACTTCAAAGCCAGATGTGGCTTCAATATCAAAGCCTATACCAACTCCTATTGCAAGACCCTCATCAGCACCCATTGTAACAGCAAAGCCCTCAGCAAAGCCCTCAGCAAAGCCCTCAGCAAAACCAGTAGCTGTACCCATCCTATCTCCTTCGAGAACACCCCCTGCTATTCGTAGAACAGGTGATGATAAGCCTAAGAATGTGCCTCGATTTTATCCTCCCGAAAGCAAACAACCCACGTATGCTGTCACATCTAAGGGTCGTAAGCTAAAGCCTCCATCGATGGGGTTTTCCTCAAAGATGAGAAGTTTACGTGAGGAATTTCGCGCTGAACGACGTTTGATTGCCACAGTCAAATCCCCTTCAGCTGCTAAAATTGTTCGTCAACGTTACGGTGTTGATTCTCAGGAAAATTCTTCAGATTCATCTGATACTTCATCTGATGAAGGAGATGATGACTCTGGTTTACGTGGCTTAATATACGATATGGATGAAGCAGAATCATCTTTTAGGACAGCTAATGTAAAAGCAGAGAGTTCTAGCGTAAAGGCTCTTTTTAATACTAAACCAAAGCGCACCATCAAGTTATTAGAGACACCTATTACGAATGAATACCTTGACAGAAAATTAAAGTCGCGTGCAAGAGAACAAGAACGCCGTCAAAAGATTACACCTACTATCGATAGATTGTACAAAACGATTTTATCATGGGATATTGCCGAAGTGAGTGAGATACCACCCCATACAAACGAAAACATGTACAATCATGTTCCTTCAACCTTCAAAACATTTGAGGAATATCGTTCTATATTTGAGCCGCTTTTAATATTGGAGACATGGTCTCAGTTAATGCGTGCAAAGGAGCAACTGTCACAGAGTGATGTATTAGATCATTGTGTTGTTGAAACTCGGTGTCATACAAATGATTTTGTAGATGTTACCTTTAGTCTCCCTATGAGCCTTATTACGAATAATCTGTCAATTGATGATTTAGTCTGTGTTGCTGATCATTTTGGTTCTGATTTCTTTATAGATGTTGATAATGATGGTCATAATAAGGATGAAAGAACATCAGTGAAATGGAAAGCATTTTTAGGAAAGGTTGTATCTATTAACCAGATGAAGAACATGGGTGAAGTTATTATTCGCTGCTATTTTGCTGCAAATCGCATTAGCTTATTAAACTCAATTTCGCCAAAGACGTCCTGGAATATCTTAAAGATTATGAGGTTTGTTATATAAATATAAAATATAAAGTATTAATACTGATATATATATATATATATATATATATATATATATATGCATACTTAGTTTAACTACAACCATGCGTGAATATGCTGCATTAGAAGGTTTAGAATATTATGATTTAGGTAAAGATATCATTCAACCAAAATTATCGCCTCAACCAAAAATGAGTAGTGGAGCTATTCAACACTATTGTGATCGTTATGATGTAAATGAGCCACAGGCAATAGCTATTATATCTGCTATTCAAAAGAAAAGAGGTTTTTCTTTAATTCAAGGGTAAATTTATAATATATTTATAAACAAAAGTTTAAATTTTCCTTTAATATAAATACATATATATATATATATAGTCCTCCGGGCACTGGCAAAACAAAGACTATTTTAGCATTAATCATTTCACTACTCGATCAACGTCAAAACCCAACATTAGATCAACCTTATGGTTCTGGTAAACTTCTTGTCTGTGCTCCTAGTAATGCAGCAGTAGATGAAATTACAAAGCGTTTGAAAGAAGGTGTTATGACATCGCACGGTATTCGTAAACCCAATGTCGTTCGTATCGGTGTAGCAGATTCTGTCAATGCAAGTGTAAAAGATCGTATCCTTGACAAATTGATTGAGATAGAAATGGAGTCATCTGTTGGCAATGAAGGTGGTAACAAGTGGAGTGCAAAACTAGATGGTCTTCATAGAGATATTCGTAACATTCAGATCAGTTTGGATGAAGTAGATCGTGAGATTACTCAATCAGGCAGTGATATGGTGCAGATGTCTATCTTACGTGAGAAGAGGAAATCTCTTGCACAAAAACTGACCAAGGCCAAAATTTTGTTAAAGGATACTTACCAAGATCAAAAGAACCATGGTCGAGAAATGGAGGTCTCTCGTATTCGTGCTCGACAGAAAGTATTTGCGAATGCAGATGTTGTCTGTGCTACATTAAGTGGTAGTGGTCACGATATGTTAACCTCGATAGGTGTTTCATTTGAGACTGTCATCGTAGACGAAGCTGCTCAATCGATTGAGATAAGTTCATTAATTCCATTAAAATTTGATACCAAACGATGTATCCTTGTTGGTGGTAAAGTATAATTTTATAATCATATAAAACAATTATATATATATTTATTTATTATTTCCTTTATAGATCCTAATCAGTTACCACCTACTGTTATGTCTACTCTGGCTTCCAAATATAATTATCAACAGAGTTTATTTATGAGATTAGAAAATACTATTGCAAATGAAGTAAACTTATTAAGGTAATATATATATATGTATGTATGTATGCTTTGTTAACTTTATTATTTTGAATAGTATTCAATATCGTATGCATCCAGAAATTAGTAAATTTCCAAGCAAGATGTTTTATAAATCCCGTCTTTTAGATGGACCCAGTATGTCTAAAATTGCTTCAGCAGTATGGCATTCATTATCTGATTTCCCTCCTTATCGTTTCTTTAATGTACTTGATGGTCAAGAAAAACTTGGTAAAGGCAAATCCATCTTTAATGTAGCCGAGGCAGATGCTGCTGTTGCTTTAGTAGACATGCTTTGTAGTAAGCTTCCTTCAATTAAAGTAAGTTATCTAATATATATGTATATGTTCAAATTCAACTTGTCTTAATCTTTTTTTTTTCCTTCTGTATTTGTGTGTGTGTGTGTGGGATAAAAATAAAAATTAGTTTGCATCAAAGATTGGTGTGATTACGCCTTATAAACAACAAGTAGGACAATTAAAATCAAGATTTCAGAAACGATTTGGCAATAGTATTCTTGATGTTATTGATTTTAACACTGTAGATGGTTTCCAAGGTCAAGAAAAGGAAATTATTATTTTCTCTTGTGTAAGAGCTGGCTCAGGTAAAGTATAAAAGATTTGAATTTTTTTTTTTTATCATAAATTATTTATTTTATTTTATTATTTAGGACGTGGTATTGGTTTCTTGGCTGATATGCGTCGTATGAATGTGGGTCTTACACGAGCAAAACGTTCTTTATTTGTTCTAGGCAATGCACGTTCATTATCCAATAGTGAATATTGGGGCGACTTGGTTCGTGATGCTCAAAAACGATCACTTATAACAAATGTAAGGTTTTACATAAATATATATATGATTACAAGAATATGATATTTTAACGAATTCTATTTATATATGGGGAGGATAACAGTGTGAATACCCATACTTCAATCATAAAATAGATAAAACCACGATACCTCACAATATATTTGAAAAGAGTGACCCTGTTACTAAGAAGCAACGAATACCACAAAGAAAGGGACCAGTCAAGATTTCTACTCCAAATGTTAGAACAAGTCATAAACGACACGTTTATGAACGCAGTGATGAACGACCTGGTTCAAGAAGAAGAATAGAAAAGGAAGAGGATATAGAAATGAAAGAAGCTGATCAACAAGAATCACGGAGGAGGATATCTTAGTTGAATAAGTAAACATTACAATTAATTAATTCGAAGAAAAAAAAGGAAAGCATTTGTATTATATGTGTGTATTATATAACATTATTAAAATAACATTATTTTCATGTATATTTGTATTTATGTATATTTATTTATTGGTTATAACAAGAGTACATAGAAAAGTTTTTTTTTTTTTTTTTTTTTTTTTTTTTCGTAATTTATGTGTATGAATGGATAATAAAAAAAAAAAGAAAAAAAAAAAAAAAAAAAAAAAAAAAAAAAAAAAGACGAACACAATTAATATGTATTATGTGTATGAAGAAAGAAAGAAAAAATTAATAAAATGAAATGTTTGAATCACCTTCAGCAGGAGCATCAAGATCAACATAAGATTTAACTTGTCTAGGGTCTTTAGGGAATGCATCGATATCCATCATAGTATTACTACCTCCCCTTGTTCTTCTTGCAGCGTATGAACCACCACCATACATATTCTCTGCACCACCACCATTACCACTACCAAATCCAATACGAGGTATTTGATCCCAAGGGGTTCCTGCCATAGCAGCAGTAGGTGGTAAATGCATACCTTGGGGTGTTCCCATGATGCCCATGAATGGCATACCCATGGGCATCATGGCTTGATTATTGACATAATTTGTGTTTGTATTGGGTAAAATATGATTGGGATCCAACACATAGTTATTATAATATTCTACTTTAGTTTTAATACGCTCTGTTTCTTCAGGATGCTTTGTTAAGATATGCTTCTCTACATAATCAAAGCCTTTAAATGCTTTAGAGCATTCGCCCACTTGGCATTTATATTTGGATTCGTGCTCCTTAAGAACATGTTCCTTAACAAATTCTTCAAGTTCCCTAAGATTAAAAAAAAATAAAAAAGGCTTCAATTATCTCTGCTTAGAAGGAAAAGAAAAGAAAAAAACTTACGTTTGCAAAATAAGACCACCTAATCTTTTGATTTCATGATCATCTGGTGTATGAATTTTTAAAGATATTCTCTGATCCAAGTTTTTCGCCCATTGAGCCACTAATAAAATAAATGACTTCAAATGAATACTTTACTTGTTTTCTATATGAATTTACTTACTTCCTCGCTCGGCTTTTGCTATTTGTTTAGGATCAGTATTGGATTCTTCCGATTTTTGAGTAGATAGAATACGACAATGAGGATCACAGCATTTCCTTGTCAACTCTTCAGATGAATCACATTCTAATGCACAATAATAGCAATACATATGAACTCGTCTTAAATAAGCAATGATCATGTCCAATGATTTTTTTAATTTCCAATTTTCTTCTTCCTTTTCATCTTTATGCTCGCTGATTACTTTTTCAGTGCGAGCTTCAACAGCCTTTAATCCTTCTGGCGTATCTTCACCTAATATGGATTCAAGAGCAAGTGCTAGTTCTTTAGCTTGTTCTACATCTTTTTGAATACGCTCCGTTGTATTAGCAATCTCAGGAGCGTTACGAGGATTACGGGTTTGAACTGCATTTTTACGATTCATAGCCAAGTGAAATACAAAATCATCCACCTTTTGATTATCTAATTGTTCAAATGTCTTTTTCATATCCGTTCCTTCCTTGAAAGTAATCCATCCAATACGATGAAATTTCTTATTCGGACTTGGTTCTGAAAGAGCTAAATAATCAAAGCCTTCCACTTTACTACAAAACTAATAATAATAATAATAAAAATATATAAATAAATATACATGTATAATTCAGTGATGTTTCTTTTTCTTTTTTTTTTCCTTGTGAGCCAATCATGAATACCTCTAAAATCTTTTCTCTAGCAATGGTTGGAGGTACAGTTTTGATGACTAACTTTGTTTCATATTCGACATCAGTCGTGTCTTCATTATTATTTTCTGTAGTTGGCATTGTATTCTCAGTTTCATCTTCATCGTTGGTAGTTTCTTTGGATGGATCCACTTTAGCATCATAACACGAATTGTCATAATCACCCCTTTCTAATTCTTCCAAGAATTCCGTTAAATAGCGACGTCTACGTGATTTGACATCTTCTTGTCGAGGACGCGAAAGATGAGGGTGATATTTTTCTTGAAACCACTCTTTATCTTGATTGGATGCAAAGAATTGAGCTAATTGTCGTGCAGCAAATTTTTCTTTATAATGAGCGAAACGTTTTTGCATATCTTCATCATCAATACGTCTATTAGAAGTTCTTTTGGTGTATTCAGAAAATTGCTTAAAAGATACAAGGTAATCTAGTTGAATTGGATCGACCAAAGGAAGTCTAAACAAATTGTATGAATTACATATACATATATTTATATATAGAATTTATTTAGCCGTTTTTTTTTTTTCTGAAAAAGAAAAAAAAATTATACCTTCCAACCCAGCCTTGGTTCATCATTTGTGGACCCATCATTTCTATAAATATTTTCAAAATTAATTAAATATTAGTATAACAAAAAAAAGGGGGGAAGGGAGAAGACGACAATATAAAATAGTTACCCATCATGGGATATCCTCCAGCAAACTGAGAAGGTTCAGGTTTGCTACCATAACGAGGTCCAGGCATGTAGCCATCACGATCATAGTTTGGAATGTAGTGATCAGTTTCAGGGTCATTTCTAATGTCTCTATTACGTGAGTAATTTCTCATAGGTGAATAAGAAGGTCTTCTTTTATGTCGACGGTCTATTGATGTTGATTAAATATATATATACATATATATACATATATATACATATATATATAAAGTAATAATAGTTGAAATATACATTGATTGGAATAGAAGTCGATGCGATTGAAAGATATACGTATAGTTACGAGAGTAGAATAATAACAATAATAAAGAATAATAATGAAAACAAAAAAAACAAAAGAATAGAAAAAAAAAGAGAGAGAGAGAGAGAATAGAAAAAAAAATAAATAATATAAGAAGAAATAAACAAAAATAAAAGTATGCATTTTATGGGATTTTTGTTGTTTCTATACCTTCAGGAGGAGTAGGGCTACGACGACCGCGCTTCTTTCGGTCATAGCGCTCGTACTCTTCACCATATCTATCACGTTCTAAGCTACGTTCATGACGAAACTTATCGCGTCCGTGATTATGCTGCGTGTTCTCATCGTCTGACCATTCATTATAGCCCATTCTGTTCCAAAATTAATAAAATCCTTTTCAAAAGCTGAAAATTTGAAAGGGAAACAAAGAAAAAAAAAAATTAAGAACTACCAATTGTATGTATAAAAAAAAAAAAGAAAAAAAAAAAAAAAAAGACGGAAAAATGATGACGACACATAGAATGGTCTTGTAACATAAAAGTGACTATTAAATTATACTACTATTTTCAAAAACTTTACAGTGGTCAAAAATTTTAGCAGTAGACCAACAAATCTTGTAATTTTTGCAGTTCTTTTTTTTTTCTTTTTTTTTTTAAAAAAAAAAAATATACAAATATTTAAAACAAACATAATGGGTTATGGAGATCAAAGAGGTGGACGTGGTGGATTTCGTGGGGGTAATTCAAAAATTAGTTAAATTAATAAAAAAATTTTTTTTTCTTTTTTACTGACTTCAAGATTGTTCATCGATCATAAAGGTCGTGGAGGTGGAAGAGGTGGATTTAATAGCCAACAAGGACCACCAGCCGAAGTAGTTGGTAATAATAATAATAATATAGAAAAGAAAAAAATTATAAATGTGTTGATGTATTAAATTCATTTATTTATTTTTTAGTTGTTGGTACATTTGTTAGTGCTTGCGAAGGTGAAATGGTCTGCAAATTGAATAATCCTAAGGTTCCATTCTTCAATGCACCCATTTACCTTCAAGACAAGACTATGATTGGTAAAATTGATGAAATTCTCGGTCCTGTAAACGAAGTTTATTTTACTGTAAAGATGCAGGATGGTCATAGTACAAATAATTTTAAATTAGATGATAAAGTCTATATTGCACTTGACAAATTATTACCAATGGATCGTTTCTTACCTAAACCTAAAGTAGCTGGAAAAGGTAGAGAAAAAAAGAAAAAAAGAAAAAGAGGATAATATATTTCTATAATGAATGCTAATTTTTAAATTTATTAGTTTCAAAGCCTACTGGTCTTCAAGGCAAGATTGAAAAGAGACAAACTAATACTCGTGGTGGAGCAAGAGGCGGTAGTAGAGGCGGTGCTCGTGGTGGTGCTCGTGGTGGTGCCCGCGGTGGTGCTCGCGGCGGTAGTCGTGGTGGTAGTCGTGGTGGTGGCCGTGGTGGCTCCCGTGGTGGATTTAATAATAATCGTGGACGTGGAGGCTTTAACTCATCATCATCTCGTTCTAGTAACCACGTTACTTTTAATTAAATTCTATTGTAAATATAGCATTTATACTGCAAAAAAAAAAAAAGAATCCCTTAATTTCTTAGATATTGAAGAGACAAAATTTTAACTTATTAATAAAAAAAAAAAAAAAAGCTACAGCATTAATGCAATGATTACGGAGTTCTAACGTAGTCTTTTTCTTTTTTTTTTTTTTTTCTTAGTGAGGAGAGAACTTGTAATATGCAAAAAAACGATTGGTACACAAAAAAAAATTGAATCATTTATATTGTTGTATTTCCTTTTTTTTTTTATTCTTTTTGTTTTTTCCTTTTTGTTTTTTTTTTTCGACACTATATTATGAGGATATTTACTATTTATGCACCTGTTTTAAAGTCAACGTTGCCTCCACATTATTCAGTGAGACCAGTTATTTTATTAGCATCAAAACGATTCTATCATAGTGCTGATTATACTGGTGGAGGGCTTATGGGAAGAGATAATTTTATAAACCCTATTTCTACCCCGCCTTTTAATAATAATGAAGACCATTTTGGACTTTCTACTCCCTTAACTGACCCTCGTACTGTAAGTATATGCTATTATTACTATTATTTTTTTTAAAAAAAAAGAAAAGAAAAAAGAAAAGAAAAACAACAGCAATAAACGTTAAATATATACATATATCTATATTTATTTATACTTATCAAAAAGATTATCTAATAAACTCCATCTTCTTTAAATAGATTGTTCAACATTTAAATGAATATGTCATTGGACAAGAAAGAGCAAAAAAGGTCCTTGCTGTAGCTATTTATAATCATTATAACAGGGTGAGAGCAAACTTGAAAAGACAACAACAACGGCAACAACAACAACAACATCAGCAAGAACAACTTCATTTGTCTAGTCATATGGAGGGATTAGATGACAAATTTCATACTGAACATCATCATCCTACTCTTCCTCAAGAATATTATTCAAGTCAACAATTACCACTTCAATCACAGCAACATAATGACTTTTCTTCTGCTGAGAATATATCACTTGGTATGATTTAAATGAATTTTTATTTTTTTATTTATTTATTTATTAAATATTATAATCGAATAGGTGCACAACGTCGTGCATGGTTAAATCCACCTACAGAAGCCTCAAATAACCACAAGACAGTATCACCTATAAATGAATCAAATACGACAAGATCATCTTTTGAACAAGAATTAGGAGATAATACGACTGTACATGATAAAAGTAATGTTCTATTGATTGGTCCAACGGGCTCTGGAAAGACATTGCTTGCACGAACGTTAGCTCAGATATTACAAGTTCCGTTTTCAATGTCAGACGCTACACCTTTCACTCAAGCTGGTTATGTAGGTGAAGATGTTGAGTTGGTCATTCAAAGATTGTTACAGGCTTGTGATTATGATGTAAAGAAAGCTGAAACAGGTATTGTCTTTATTGATGAAATCGATAAAATATCTAGAAGATCAGATAGTCATTCTGCGTCAAGAGATGTGTCTGGTGAAGGAGTTCAACAGGTATAATAACATACATACTTTACTCTACTCTATTTGATATTATTCAACTTATACTTTTTGTGTGTGTGTATATATCTATAGTCACTTTTAAGAATGTTAGAAGGTACAATCGTGAATATCACAGACAAATCTGGTGCTTCTAATAACCATAAAAGGGGGGTTCCAAATGGAGTAGGAGGAGGAGTTGGAGGAGGAGGAGGAGGAGGAGCGATAAGTTCCCCTAATAAAGGTGAAACTTATTCTGTAGATACAAGTAACATTTTATTTATTTTAAGTGGTGCCTTTATTGGGTTGGATAAAATTATTAGTGATCGTATGTCAAAAGGAGTAAGTAGATAGTATTTCATTTAATTTGGTTTCAAGTATAAAGTAATAATTAACTCTTTCATAGTCCATTGGTTTCAATGCACGTATCATATCAGAAATAGAGGCTGAAAATGAACGTAAAGAATCCTTACAATCTGTTGAACCAAATGATCTTGTAAAATTTGGATTGATACCCGAATTCGTAGGCCGCATTCCTGTAGTTGCTTCTGTAAATAATCTTAAAGTGAATGATCTTGTTCGTGTCTTGAAGGAGCCTAAGAATTCATTGCTAAAACAATATGAAGAATTATTTAAACTGAATCATGTTCAATTAAGATTCAGTCAAGCTGCTTTAGAGGCTATTGCATCTCAAGCATTAGAAAAGAAAACAGGTGCTCGAGGTTTAAGAAGGATTATGGTATTTATTGTTTAAAAAAAAAAATAGTATCTATTATTCACTTTATAAATAGGAAAACTTATTATTAGAGCCAATGTATGATGCACCAGGTTCTTGCATTAAACAGGTTATTATAGACAGTAAAGTAGTAAATCATAAAAAGCCTCCTGTTTATATCACTTCTGAAAAATCACAACTGGCAGAAAAAATTCTTGCTGAAGACGATGGAATTGACTTGCTACAAAGCACGAATGAAGAAAATACACTACACCAACAACAAATGACTCAATAATAATAATGCTAAATAAAAATAATATTTTTTTATTGGTTGTTAAACTAATTCTACCTAAATTGGCTGCTGCTATTAAATTATTTGATAATAATAAGGTCTTTTTTTTTTCATACAATTTTTTTTTTTTATATAAGATGGCATCCATTCAACCTGTTCATTCAGTATTATTTGATAATAATCAAGATACAAACCAATATTATGGTCAGCCACAGTCTACTGCAGGTGCAGATGGTTTACAATTTTATTCATCAAGTTATGGGGATCAATATAATTCAAATGCTAATTATTATAGTAGTCCACCTACTGGCGACATGAGATCTTCTAATTATGATTATACTTCAGGTGCTTCTGGTTCTTTTTGGAGCGCGTTTGGCACAGGTGGATTTGCAGATGAACCACCATTGTTAGAAGAACTTGGATTAAACTTTGACCATATTAAAACAAAGGTAAGCTTGATATACATATAAATATATATATATGTGTGTGTGTGTCTGTCTGTATGTATACATCAAAATAAGAAAAACTCATGTCTCTCTTTTTTTTTTATTTATTTATTCAGAGTTTAGCTGTATTAAATCCTTTTCGTACAGTACCACACACAATTATGGATGATGCTGATTTAGCAGGACCTCTTTTATTCATTTTTTTATTTGGTACATTTTTGTTGTTGTCGAGAAAATCACATTTTAGTTACATTTATGGTGTGGGAGTATTGGGAGTTGTCAGTATTTATCTCATTTTGAATTTGATGAGTGAAAATGGAATTGACTGGTCAAGAACAGCTAGTGTTTTAGGTTACTGTTTATTGCCCATGGTTATGTTGAGTGGATTTAGTGTAGTATTGAAATTAGATAATATCGTTGGTTCTGTCTTGACTATCATTAGTATATTTTGGTGTACTTATTCAAGTTCTGGTATGTTTACAAGTGTACTTCATTTAAATGAACAGCGATTGCTAGTTGCATACCCCGTTGGTCTTTTTTATGCTTGTTTTGCTCTAATGACCTTTTTTTAAAATAAAAATATTTTTTTATTATTATTATTATTTTCGCGCCTTTTTCTATTTATTCATTTATTTATTTATTTTTTTAAAAAAAAAAAAAAGAAAAATGCAACAACAACAACAACAACAACAACAGGCAACTATCATTACACCAGCTATTCAGATTAAAAAAAGACCTGCTGAAAATGATTCAATAACAAAACACATCAAGTAAGATTTAACGATTTTATCTTTTTTTTTTTTTTCATTATTAATCTAAAATTATTATAAAAAGAAAAAAGAGGCCTATAGATCGTAATGCCTTACCAAAGGTAATATACATGTATAGATTTATATACTAGAGCTTTTTTTTATTATTATTATTATTAATTCTATTCTTAGATTGATGCATATATACCAGAATCAAAACTATATACGGAATTATGTGAACTTGAAAAAAATCTGGATAAAGCCATCATGAGAAAACGATTAGATGTTCAAGAGGCTTTAGGAAAACCAACTAAAGTAAGTAAAATAAAAGAAAGAAAAAGAATACAAGATAACACCATTTATGTTATCAAAATATAGGTACGTCGAACATTACGTATATTTTTATCTAATACAGCTGCCGATCAGTCAAGTCAATTAGAAGAAGGCAATAATTTTGAAAATAATGATAATAATGCACCTTCCTGGACTTTAAGAATTGAAGGAAGATTACTAGATGTATGCTATCAAACTATACATGTATATATAAGATTGATTATAATAATTAACACATGACTGATAATAGCCCTTGATACCTACAAAAAAAGCACAACCAGTTCAAAAATTTACATCCTTTTTTAAATCCATTATTGTCGAGCTTGAACGAGACCCTGATATGTTTCCAGAAGGCAATATTATTGAAGTAAGTATACTATTTTGTTAAAATGAATAAATAAATAGGCTATTCATATACATCATGTTATAGTGGCATAAACAAGCTTCATCTTCTGATTTTGATGGTATTGAAGTAAAAAGAAAAGGAGATACTAATATTAAAGCACGGGTTATTCTTGTCCCTGATTATAATCCACAAAAATATAAGGTGAATTCACCTCTTGTTGAATTGATTAACGTAAAATTAGCTACAAAGCCACACATCATTCTTGAATTATGCAATTATATAAAGGTAAAAGGAAAAGGAAAAAAAAGAGATGGGGATTTATTTACACTTCTTCATTATCCATGTCTTTAGTTGAATAAACTATTCGATGAACAGGACAAGAGAATGATTAAGAGTGATGCCAAGCTTAAAAACCTTTTAGATAAAGACACATTCCAACTTTCTGAATTACCAACATTAATTCATCGATATTTAACAGTCCCAGATCCAATCGTATTAGAATATACAATTTGTGTTGATAAACAATTTACACAATCACCTACAGCTTATGATATGGATGTAGAATTAGATAATGTCTTGAAACAAAAAATGATGAATACAGTAGCTTCAACTCAATCCCAAAAAGAAGTGTTAGCTTTAGATGATAAAATTATACAATGTGTACAAAGTATCAATAATTCAAAAGTGAAGCGAGATTTCCTAATTCAATTTACCACCAATCCCATCAAGTTTATTAACAAATGGATTACAAGTCAAGCAAGAGAATTAGAAGTAAGAAAAGAGAAGAGAATGTTATGTATATGTGTAGTTAAATGTAGGCTCAATTTTCTTTTTTTTTTTTATTAGATCATTCTGGGTGAAACAAAGGTAAACTTGGAAGACGTTCGGCAAACAGACTTTTATAAGCAACCTTGGGTAAAGGAAGCTGTATTCCATTATTTAACTTCAAAGGTATATACATACATACATATATGCTTGTGTAGAATTGATATTAACAGCTTCTTGTATAGACTCAACAACGTATGCAAGAACTTTTAGCAACTCAAAAACCGCAAATTTAAATATTTATTATTTATGACATTTTAAGAATATCTTTAAATAAAGCAGTAATGTCATTCATTTGTTTAAAAATAGTATTCACTGTCTTTTGTTCAAAACGATCACCCGTATAAACAAAGGGAACTTCATTCGTATGATCATGTGTATCATATTCTTGATTATTATATCTTGATGGAGTATGTTTCACTTTAACATGTTCTATTAAATTATACAAGTTGTCAGTATGATACCAACAACTTGTACAAGCATACTGTTGTTCATCCCAATGCATCTTCATATTAGTTTGATAATCATATATATCATTCTTAGGTCGACGAACACTTTTACGACGACTAGGAAGATAATAGCCATGCTCTTCCCTTACGTGATTAATAGTTCTAGCAGCTACACCATAAGCAACGTAGTTATTATTATTATGTCCACTACAACATATATAACATGGATAAACCAAATGCAAAACCGTTTTCTTTCTTGGTGGGTTATTTTCATCTACCTTATTTGTTCCTACCATATTACAAGCAAGAATAAGAATAAAGAGAAAGAAAGAAAGAATAGTAAAAGAAAAGGAGTATAGAAGGAAAGACGTGTGGTTTATATTACTTTTTTTTTTCTTTTGTAGTCAATCAGTATGTAAATTGTTGTCCTTGTATACACAATTATGTCTGACCCTACCCCCACCCAATAAAAATAAAAGCGTATATATTAAGGATTACACTTTATTTGACAACATTGACTTGTTTCAAAAAAAAAACTATTTTGTCATTACTTTATCAGTAAAAAGCCTTTTAAAATTGGCAACTAAATCATCTACAAGACCTAATAGTTCTTTTTGTTTAGCAGAGGAGTCAAGATGATTATTATCTTGCTTATCCATATTTATCTGATGATGAGCTTCCATATTTATCTGATGATGATCTTTCATATCTCGGTAATTATCATGATAATCATGAGCAGGGTTAAATTCATCATAATGATTATTATCATAATAACGGTGTTGATACATGATTGGTTCAGGAGCATCTATGATAGTGGGTTTATTAGTTACTTGGTTATCCACATGTTCATTTTTGATATGTTCTGCTATAGTTTGATAATTAGGCTCGCAATGGAACCAACAAGTGGGACAACCAAAATGAATAACATAATTTGTATTAGCTTCCTTCTTTTTCTTGAATTCATATTTAACATCTTTCGGTCTATTTTTACCAGGTTTTCTACGTTCGATTTGAATACTATGGAATTTTTCTAGATGTTTAATCAGAACAGGTGCAGTACTTAGTCTTTCATTACATACATGGCAATGATATTCTATGAAAACTGGAATTGGTTGTGGCATCATATATGTGTATATTTTTTTTTTCTAAAAGAAAAAACAAAAAAAAAAAAAGAGTGGAGATAAATGGATAGTAACAGTCTATTTATTCATAAGATAAAAAGTCGTCAATACATGTTTAATAACAAAGAACTTGGGTTTAATTTAAACACTCATTGTTGTCATGCTACTTGAAATATTAGCAAGTGGTTATTATCATTTATTTAGATAAATAAATAAACATCATACGTATTTACAATATTGACACTGTCTTATCTCTCAACGCCCCCTCTTTTTTTTTTTTTTTCTTATTTATTAATAGTAGCGCTATATAAACATGTATATATTTTAACTTTTACTGCTAAACTTGTATTTGTCCTGAGCGTGTTGTGCGTATTTTATTATTATTCAAGTTCATTATTTAAAAAAAAAGAAAAAAAAACACAACATGGAAAACTGATCATCTCTAAAATAATACCCAAACCCTACAAAAGCTCTCTTTTATAATTAACCTCACTCATTTTAATACAAACATACATTCACACACACACACACACACACACACACACACACATCTTTTTTAACACACACCCCTTTTTTTTCTTATTCGGTATTATTATCAACATGACTTACAATCGAGTATTATAAGCTTACATTCAGGTACCATATATAAAATAGTCTTTTTTTTTTATTAAAATTTCGTCTATTATGTAACTCTTTATCCTCCCCCACATTTTATACTATTTGTGCATAAAAAAAAAAGACATACTTGTACTTGTTTACATTCATTTCAAATGTTATTTTTCATATTTTCATACTGATTCAGTCTATGCTTCTCTTTAGGAATTGAAATAAAAAGAAAGAGAAAGAAAGAAAGAAAGAGAGAGAGATAAAATAAAAAAGGGAAATCTATAATGATCTATAATTTACATACACACATGTTATCCGATAAGTTTGATTGTTTCGATAATAAAATGTTATTATCTTTTTTCCTTTCACTTTATCCAAGTGGAGAAATTGTCTCTCTTTTTTTTTAAATCGGAGCATTTATTGATAAATAAATAAAAAAAAATGCGTAAATGCGAAACCATTTGATAAAGTTAGAATTTTCTAGTAAAAAAAAAAAATATATATGAAAAAACATGAAAAATGAAAAAGAAGACGCGAAAATAATTAAAGTAAATATGATTCATTGTTATACAATTTGAATACACAAAAGAGAGAGAGAGAGAGATCAACAAGATATTTGTATTCAACGCTTATTGTAAATACTACTTTACAAACAATACCTTTTTTTTTTCTGTGCTAAAACTGGAAATAGATCTTAATGAAAAGATTTAAGACAAATATAACAAAAGAAATAGTACTATTTTACGTACACTCAACAAAATATACTTACCATTTATAAACTCTATTTTAATTAGGATAGATTAATATTTATTTATTTATTTATTTATTTATTTTTTTTTTACTGCTTCATTCTTTCGTAATAGGTTGACTTGTATGCTGTTATAATAGTAATTATTAGGGTAAATTAATCTTCCTTTAATCTTTTTAATCATTTGGATCCCGAAGATCTGCAAAATAAAAACAAAAAAAAGGCTATACTCAAATCGATGAATTACTTTCATTATAACACTTGTTAAGAATTTTTCCATAATAAAATGAAAAACATGATAAAAAAAGAAAAAAAGAAAAAAATAAAATAAAATAAAAAAAAAGATATCAAGAAAGTAAATAAAAAATAAGGGCAACTATTTAAATAAACCCATTTATGCTATTAAAGTAACACGAAAGCATTCACATATATAATGATAAGAAAAACGTCATTCAAAACCCTTGATGTCCAAATATTCACACGTGTATAAAAATTATAGGCATTAACGACATAACTAAACGCAGAAAATAATAATAAGACGAATCTTAATATTATGCGCAGCATCACTACTTCAATATATTAAAAAAATATAATATGAATCATTTAGCAGAGTCTAATTTTTTTTTTTTTCTTTTTCGAATTAAAAGTGTCACAAATTCTAATAATATCTTATCAGATATGTGTGTTCGTTTGAAAAAAAAAACAAAAACAAAAACAAATGTCTTTTTCCTTCAAAAGAAAGGAGAAATAAATAAATATATTCTTTAGTGTAAATTACAACAGTGTACTACGTTATTTATTTATTTTTTATGCATCTTGACTATATTAAACATAAATTGATTTAAATAAAAATAACCAAGCTCTTACTTTTGGTGAAAGCAAATAATAGCTATTGAGTATGACACGTTATCAAAAATTATCTGTCTATTTTATAAAAATTTATGTCTTACTGAGTCAATATATAATACTAAAAAAAATCGATATCAGGTCACAATTTTAATTTTTATTGGATCAGAGTCCGATTTTATGGTAGAAAAAAAAAAAAAAGGGCTAAACGCGCCGTACCAAAAAAAAAAAAAAGTATACCCATGAAGTTTGAGACATTGAGAAAAAAAAAAAAGTTATATAAACCTTACAAATTTTTTGTCACTTGTGAAAGTTTTCTTTTTTTTTTTTCTTTTTTTTTTCTTTACAAATATATTTCATATTTAGTATATTATAAAAATGGTTGTCAAGGTTGGTATTAACGGTTTCGGTCGTATTGGTCGTATTGTCCTCCGTGCTACTGAGGAAAAGGAAGAAGTCCAAGTTGTTGCCATCAACGATCCCTTCATCCCTCTTGACTACATGGCCTACATGTTGAAGTACGATACCGTTCACGGTCGTTTCCCCGGTTCCATTGAAATCAAGGACGGTAAGCTCGTTGTCAACGGTCATGCCATCACTGTCACTGCCGAACGTGATCCCGCCAACATCCCTTGGGGTCAAGCTGGTGCTGACTACGTTGTTGAATCCACTGGGTAAGATTTTGAATTAAGTTTTTTTTTTTTTTTTTTTTTGACGCGTTTTTTTAACATTTATTATTAAAAAAATAGTGTCTTCACCAAGATCGAAGGTGCCTCTGCTCACTTGAAGGGTGGTGCCAAGAAGGTCATCATCTCTGCTCCCTCTGCTGATGCCCCCATGTTCGTCTGTGGTGTCAACCTCGATGCCTACAAGTCTGAATACAAGGTCATCTCCAACGCCTCTTGTACCACCAACTGTTTGGCTCCCCTCGCCAAGGTTATCAACGATGAATTCGGTATCAACGAAGGTTTGATGACCACTGTCCACGCCACCACCGCCACTCAAAAGACTGTCGATGGTCCTTCTCACAAGGACTGGAGAGGTGGTCGTGCCGCTGCTGCCAACATCATCCCCTCTTCCACTGGTGCTGCTAAGGCTGTCGGTAAGGTTATCCCCGCTCTTAACGGTAAGCTCACTGGTATGGCCTTCCGTGTCCCTACTCCTGATGTTTCCGTTGTTGATCTTACTGTCAACCTCGCCAAGCCTACCACTTACGAAGAAATCAAGGCTGCTGTCAAGAAGGCCTCTGAAACTACCATGAAGGGTGTCCTCGGTTACACTGAAGATGCTACCGTCTCCTCTGATTACATTGGTGAACGTAACTCCTCTGTCTTCGATGCCACTGCCGGTATCCAATTGACCCCTACCTTCGTCAAGCTCATCTCTTGGTACGATAACGAATTCGGTTACTCCAACCGTGTTGTTGACCTCCTCATCCACGCCGCTAAGGTCGATGGTGCTCTCTAAATCATTTAACTTCATCTTATTAATGTCTTTTTTGCATTTCATTAATTATTTTTTTATTTCATTCTAAATAAACATTTCATATAAAAGAAAAAGTGAAGCACTTTAAAAATAAAATAAAGTCTTCACTTTTGTTATTGTAATATAAAAAACAAAAGTCCATCGTTTTTTTTATTTTATTTTTTTTTGCATGATGTTTATCTTTTTAATGTTTAACAGGATTCAATAGTTATGTCATGTTTAGGCAATAACATTTTTTTTTTTGATAGTGGCAGACATACAATATTCAATCGAGGAGGAGAGTTATGGGTGGCGATATAAGCAACTATTATTATTCATTTTTTTTTTATCTCTTAGATCTTTTTTATTTATTTTTTTAATCACGTAAAAGTATATCGCAGGAAATCTTTTAATTTTTTTTTGTGTAGCACTGTGCAACAAATGTTTGAGATTAAAATGATATTATATCTTTTTTATCTATGATGTTGTAATCCAATTTCGGTTGCAAAATAATAATTCAGGTCTTTATGAACTGTTTCAAGTAAATAGAAGCTCATAAAAAGAAAAACATCTGTATTTAATTAAAGTCTATTTTTTTTTTATTTATTTTAATATTGTGCCAAACACTCTTATTACGGCTTATTAGAAAAAAAAAGGGTTATGAATGAATGAATGATATAATTCCTTTTTTTTTTTTTTTTTTTTTTTTTTTCGTAGTCTAAACTATTTACGGGAAGAGACTGTAGATAGATAAATGGTCGTGATTCATACAAAGTAAAGTATTGAAATTATTCGACTAATAACGGCTATCAGATAAAGTAGCTTTACTTGACAATGCTGTTGAATACATACATCATTTCTATAAAAGTCTTTATCCATCCTTACCTCCTGTTCCTAATTCTTTCAAGACATTTAATATTCAGAATAATAGATATGTCCCAAAGCAAGTCAGAGCTTTAAAGAAGAACAAAAAAAAAAAAAAAAAGAAATTGTTAATTTACTTTATTGAATGATGGTTCCTTGAAGTTAAAGTACTTTCAATTATATATCAATAGCTATAATAAATAGATAACAAATAAGATAAAGACATCATCATTATTCCTTGCTATCGTATTTCTAACTCTACTACGCAAATAAATATTTATATCCAAGTAGATGTAAGTGATAGGTCGAATAGTTTATTACATCACATGACTTTTATAAAATGATGAAGACGACTAGAAATAAAATAACAGCTTATTGTAGAAAGCCTGTCGATAATTTCATTCCTTCTAAAGCAGAACAAGCAGTCGTAGATGGGCTGATTATATAAATATTATATATTAGAGATTAATGTCCATTCACGGTTTTATTTAACTTGGTAAATGATGCATTATAGAATAGGTTTAAATCGTAGCCATACTTCATTGATGTATATATATATGTGTGTGTAACTATATTATTAGCTAATACACCTCTCAAAGACAGCTTCTGATTATCTCTTCCTTCCTTCCTAATAACATTAGTGTCCAGTTTTTTTTTTCTTACTAGTGGACACTACTCCTTGTGTAATCATTTAATCTTACATAATGTAGGCATACAATGATGCCAATTCTACATGAATCTATATTATCAATCATGTTGTAATACGCTTCTTCTTAAATTAATTTATAAATTAACTTGGTTTATTTAGAGCTATTATTGTAACTTTTGATAATAGATATCCCATTTCCCCCTCTCATTCTCTTTCATATTTTATCAATAAATGTATTCCGATAGAAGAGTCTCTTTCTCTCTTTTCTTTTCTTTATTTTTTTTAATTAAATCTAAAAATCTATTTTAACCTAATAAATCTGCAAATACACTAAAAAAAAAAAAAAAAAAAAAAAAGGAGAGGGAGTCAACTATCAATAATACACGTACAAATGTAACATCTTGAATGATTGACTTACTCTTTCTTTTCAGACGGTTTAGCTGCAGTAGTAGTATTTGATGAAGAGAAAAATTGACTTCCTTGGGGCTGCTGTTGCTGTTGGTTGGAATTGGCAGAAATGAAGGATCCCCACATAGTGCTATTATTATTCCCTCCCAAGTTTAAACCTGCCATTTGACTTGTAAAATTGTTTCTACCATACATAGTTTGTTGTTGTTGTTGTTGTTGAGAAGAGGGCATTGCTGCAGGCATATTACTATATAAAGACAAAATAGATGATTTCAGGTCATCATGTTTTTGTGTTGAATTTTGTTTTGTTGAGGACATAGTTGAATTAGTATGCTGTGTAGTATTATTACTAGTAGATGTATCATTATCAAAAAAGAAATCAGCACCTTGGAGTTGACTGACAGGTTTAACATTTTGATGTTTAACGGAAGGTGAAGAAGAAGGTGATCCTAAGAATGCATCCAAATTTGCAAATTCTGATTGCTGTTTCTGTGTTTGCTTTTGAGGTGCAGGTGATTGACGAACAGAAGAAGCTGCTGAAGAAGAAGCAGGAGATGCCTAATCAAGAATGTAAGCATTTCAAAGGAAAATAGATGTATATATTTATAAATATAGAATTTTGTTATTTGTGTGTGTGTGTGTGTGTTTTTTTCTTTTCTTACTTGAATTTTGTCATCATTATCATCATCATCTCCACCGAGTGTACTAGGATCAGGAATGGGTCCTTTCATTGCCCATCTCTTTTGTTCATATTTAGCACGAATCCACATTTCCATATTACCTTCTGGAGGCTTTCTGTCTTTTAAATTAGCTTCCCAATATCTAGTTAAATAAACTTAATAAGGTCATTCAATTACTATCGTATGATGTTTACTTATTTGCGCGCTCATTCCCCCAACGAACCATATTCTCAACCTGATCTGTTACCCAGGTGTCCAAGTCGACGGATTTTACTAACGAATATATAGAAATGAGTTTCCTACTCACTTACACACACACAAACAGACAGAAAATGAATACACCTACCTTTACTAATATGAACACCTAAAGAACGATGTATACCAGAACAACGTATACAAATGAAAATGCCAAGATTCCATGAAGCCCAACGTGCATCTAATTAAAAAAATAAAAAAATAAAAGAAAATTAAGAAAGAAAGAAAGAGAGAGAGAGAGAGAGAATTAATTAAATACCTTTCTTCTTGCAATCAGCACAGTATTTATTTGGTGTTTTTTGAAGAAGAGCCTTCAATGTCTTTGAATTTTTTTCATTAGTTGCTCTATCGGCAATTCTTGCGTGACGAGTCGACATACTTTTGTATAAAAGCTTGAATAAAAAAAAAAATTAAAAAAAAGTAAAAAAAAAAAAAAAATATAATAAAATATACGGAAATAAATTAAGTAATGCTATTATAATTTAATATTGTTTATCAGCCAATATAATTTGTTATACATATTTTTGTATTACTCGATCATTTAACTCATGCTTTAATTTATCATGTTGATTGATTCCCCCCTCCCCTTTGTTTTTTTTAAACGAATCAAATTAATATTTGTACCTCTTTTTTGGACAAAACGAAAAAGGAAATTTAGATAGGAAAATATTAGTTTGTAAACAATTCAGACTCTTTACCTATAATGATTTAACTTTATAACGTTCATAATAATAATAAAAAACAACAACATATAAGGTATCGTTAAAGATAATAGTCCTCATTTACATTTCTTCACAGTTGTAATTGATGCAAATAATACATGTATACATATTTTTTTTCTTTTTTTTATAAGAATAATGTAGGTGAGAGCTATTTTTTTTTAATATAATAGTAGACAAGTGTAAATTATCTAAGGCAAAAGAAAGACAATGATCAAATTACTTGTATCTAACATATCTAGAAGAATGTTTGTTATAGATCAGATCTTCATTTTAAATAAGAACTTTGTCAGCCTAACAAGATGTATAACTAAATCATATCATAATCTTTTATATACTGATTTCTCTTAACATATGTACAAATCTATCATACGTAAGAAAAGGCTCGATAAGGAGAGATGCAAACGAGTCAGAAAATAGTGGTAAATAAGATATAATAGATAAAGTGGGAGCCTCCTTCCAATTCATTACATAGAAATAACACGTGTGGATTGTATAAAAGTAGGCCATCCTACTCAAAGAAAACTGTTTCAAATGTAAATTGTATAAACCAGAGACTGCAGATAATGGTAATATAGATTAAAAAAAGATGATATTAACAACAGTCATAATGAAACTAAAATCTTTTTCAAAGTGGATGCGTCAGGCAAGAAGTGTAAGCAAGCTAAATGGGAAGCCAAAAGAAGGAAGGTCAGTGAAGACCTTAATTTAAGATATTCTCACTATAAAGGGATGGGATGCAAGTTGTCTCACTCTCCGTAATTCAAAAAAAAAAAAAAAAAAACATTTGCTTTCTAAAATAAATACCTATTGTGCCCATGTTAGCTATATGTTATATCATTTACCGTCCTTACTTCTATTCTATTCTTTCATAACATCCAAGAATTACTTCAGCCTATATCAGGGACGTCTAAAGAAATCGCCAATATGCTTATTCATGGAGGTAGCAAGTACAATAAGTAAAAAAAAAAAGAAAGAAGAATAAGAAAAAAAACAAGCAAAAAAGGAAAGACAGAAGGGTAAGAAAAAGAGTTTGACAGAACCAAATGAGTGATAAATTTTACTACTGGTTTTAACAATCAGGGTCTATTATTTAATCTTTACAGAGCTTCCCCAGGCAATTTTGAATATATAATTATCAGTGTGCTAAATGGGTTTAAATTTTCTTTATAAAAAATAGATAGTAGCAAATCATATGTGACTTGTAATCATCAATTGTGGCTTACCGACTTTTTAATTCACTTTTTTTAAAAGGAAGTAAAGAAGAATTAATTGATCTCTTGACACATTATAATTCATTTTTATTTTTGTCTTTTTTTTTAAAAAAAATAGAAACACATGTCAAGTGAAACAACTATTGATGTAAAGAAGAGACGTATTGATAATGACAAAAAAAAGTCTGTAAATCACTCTCGTATTTATCAACCTTTTAGAGCCATCGGCTATGTCACCAATGAGGTTCCATATGTTATTAACAACTTTGGCAATGAATACTTTTTAACAACTTGTGTTGGCAATAGCTTTCAAACATATAACGTAAATCTTCAATTCTTATTTTATTGTAAAATTCTTGCTTAATATTTATTCTTTTTTTTTCTTATATTTTAGTTAGGAAAGATGAATCTCTTGTTTGTTAGCACACCTACTGAAAAACCTATTAGTGCTTTAGCTACATATAAAAAATTAGTTTTTGCTGCCGCTGGTAACTATGTTATTGGTTACAAGCGAGGTAAAGAAGTGACCCGAGTGGGTGGCAATGGCAACTTTAATATTATCCAAATTCTTATTCTTGGGGCTTACATTGCAGCACTTTGTGATGATAATACCTTAAAGTTATGGGATACAAATACTAAAGGTAAAATACTTGGTAGTAAAAAAAAAGGTATCTGTTTTAAATATCTAATTTCCAAATTATTATTTTTAGATCTATATACTGAAATTGAGTTTGGGGAAGAGTTTACAGCAACTTATATACTTCATCCTTCTACTTATCTCAATAAGATTCTAGTTTCTAGTGCACAAGGAACAATGCAGATTTGGAATATTAGGACAAATAAGATGATCTATCAATTTAAATATATGGGAGCTGCTATTACTTGTCTTGCACAATCACCTGTTGTTGATGTAGTTGCTATTGGTTTATTGGATGGTACTGTTGTTCTTTATAATATTAAGGCCGATGAAAAAATTGATAGTGTACGTCAAGACGACAGAGTTACGGCTATTACATTTAGAACAGGTAATTATTTTTATTTTTTTATTATTATTTTTTTTTATAACTGTACATATTTACTAACATTATAATAGATGAGGAACAAGTGATGGCAACGGGTAATATGCATGGCGATGTTGCATTATGGGACCTCTCTGAACGTAGATTAGCTCATATAATGAAGAATGCTCATGATGGATATATTACTTCATTAACATTTTTACATAATCAACCTATCTTGGTTACAGCAGCAACTGATAATTCTGTTAAGGTAGTACTTATACAGATAGTTCAAGTGCAAATAATTTATTTATTTATTTTTTATTTTGCTTTATAGCAATGGATTTTTGAAAAACATAATGCAGTACCAAACCCTTTCAAATCTCGTAGTGGTCATCATGCACCTCCTTCAAAAATTAAATATTTTGGCGAAAATATGAAGACAATTTTAAGTGCTGGCCGGGATCACTCACTTCGTTCGTTCAGCACAATTCGAGATGCACAAAACTATGAATTTTCACAAGGACATCTTGCAAAGAAGGCAAAGAAAAGAGGCATTAGTATAGATGAGTTGAAGCTTCCTCAGATTATTGATTTTGATGTAAATGATGCTAAAGTGAAAGAATGGGATAACATTATCACTTGTCATGCAAACGATAATGCTTGCCGTATATGGTCTTCTAAGCTCAAAAAATTAGGAGACCACCTTTTGATAAGTACAGATAAAACTGCAGTAAAGACAACATGTATTTCCTCTTGTGGTAATTTTGGTTTCTTGGGCTGTGCATCTGGTGCAATTGATATGTATAACATGCAATCAGGTTTATATCGTAAAACATTTTCAGGTGAAGATGGACATAAGAAACCTATTACAGGTTTAACTACAGATACCATTAATCGATATTTAATTTCAGCATCAGTTGACAAGACAATTAAAGTAATTTGTTTTAGGTTTTATTCTTCTGATCTATTTTATATACTTATTCTGTCACTGTCATTATTATTTTTTTTTATATACATATAGATTTGGGAAATTAAGACTGCTAAAGTTGTACATACCATTGATCTTGAATCATCAGTTGTATCTATTCGTCATCATAAGGATAACGACCTCTTGGCTGTTGTCTGTGATGATTTAGGTATTCGTGTCATTGATCTTGAAACAAGGAAGGTTATTAGAGAATTTTGGGGTCATAAAAATCGTATTACTGATTTTGTAAGTATATGTGTGTATATATTTTGTTTAAAAAAAAACTATATAATATTTAACATTCTGTTATAGACATTCAGCCCCGATAGTCGATGGATCATATCTGCATCATTAGATAGCACAGTTCGCACTTGGGATTTACCTACTGGTGCAATGATTGATATATTCAAAATTGAAGATATTGTTACTTGTTTAGCATTTTCACCTGATGGTGACTTTTTAGCTACAGGTCATGTAGATAATGTGGGTATTTTTCTTTGGGCTAATCGTACACAATATGCAAATGTATCTATGCGTAATATTCCTGATGACTATGATGTTAAATTGCTTTCATTGCCAACCTTGAACGGTTTAGAGGATTCAGATAGTGAAGAAGAAGAAGATGAAGATTCTGATGCAGAAGTGGAACAAATGAATACCGTTGAACAATTGACAGATCAAATGATTACACTATCTATGGAGCCAAGAGCTAAATGGCAAAATCTGTTACATTTAGATACAATTAAATTACGTAACAAACCCAAGGAGGCACCTAAATTACCTGAAAAAGCACCCTTCTTTTTACCAACCTTACCTGGAGCCAAAACTCAATTTGATTTAAGTTCAACTAATAATACAGAACAAGAAGATGAGTTAAAATCAAGAGAGATCAGTTTTTCTCAGTTAAACACAGATACAGAATACAGTAAATTATTAAGAACGGGCCATGCATCTGATAAAAAATGTAAATAAGAATGTATACTTTAAATATTTTCAAGTTACTCTACTAACCTTCTTCCTCTTCCTCCTATCTTAATTTTAGATCAACAATTTGTTGATTATGCAAAATCGCTTAGTCCTTCAGCTATTGACTTGGAACTTCGATCATTTACAATTGATACAGAACTCAGTTTACTTAATTACTTTGTAGAAGCTATTTTATACATGTTGAACACGAGAAAGAATTTTGAACTTGCTCAAGCATGGCTTTCTGTCTTTTTAAACATTCACGGTGATTTAATCGTCTCTAATCCCACAAATAGTATTCATGAAAAGTTAAAATTAGTTTTAGATATTCAAGAAAGTGAATTCGGTAGATTATCAGAACAAATTCATTATAGTTTATGCTTAATTGATTTTGCTCGTAGAACATAAATAAATAAAAATGAGCATAAAAAAAAATAATATAGTTTATTTAAAGATCTTTGATATCAAATCGTTTCTTTTTATATCTTTTGTCTCATCTCAATAATATATTTATCTCATCTTCAAATGAAGATACTACTACTACTACTACTACGACGACGACGATACTAATATTATTGTGTACAGCAACAAGAATTAAAAATGCAAATATGTATATATTATATATTAATTTTATTTGCTATTAAAGTGCGAAATTTAATTGAATACCATAATTTACTTGCTTGCTTCAAAATAACATTAGCTAGTGGACTTCCACTCTTATATAATATAAGAAATAAAATCAAAACCGTTAACAAATTAATTCCTGCATACTTTAAAGCCGCCTAAATAGATTATATATATATATTTAATATATACTTCACAATGTATGTATTGTATTGTATTGTATGTGTGTGTATATTTATATGGTTTACCTTAAATACCCATTTCCATCCTTCGTCTATTATGTTATCAGATGAATCATCTTTATTATTTCCTGAATTTGCTATTGTTATCTTTCTCTGTTTGTCTCTTTCTATTATCTCTCTCCTTAAACCATCAACACGCTCATTTAATGTAGTAACTTCATTCTGCAATGATTCAAGTGCTCGCTTAATAGTTGGATCTAAAGCAACTGTATATAATGATTGTCCCTCTTGTTGGATACCAAAAAGATAATTTCGATTTCTATTATTTGAGTCACTTATTAGATTCTGTGGGGTTGCTGTGACAGATGAAGATGTACTTGATCCAGGTACAGGAGAATGTCTTTGCTGCTGTACTATAGATGTTATTCCATGTAATTGCTGTTGTTGAAGATAAAAGGAAGAAGGAGGAGGTGATGGAGAAGGTAAGATGTGTTGGCTTGCTGGAGTTGCTATTCTTTTTGACGAGTACATCATAGATGAAGGTAACCGTTGATTCATATTATGATGAGAAGAGGGTTGCTTACGTAATAAATGGTTTATAGGCGTTCTACTTCGATTCCTATTATGATTTTCGTCATCACTGCTGTTACTACTATAGTTAGTATTGTGTGAAATTGTTGGAATTTGCTGCCATGGATTCACGTTAGCATCGATAATAAAATCGTCTGCTTCATTTAATAAATTTTTACTGTTAGGTCGTATAGGATGTTTTTCATTTCCACGACTGCTATGGCTTAACCTAGAAGATGTCCTTGATCTGTTAACCGTGATGTGTGTATTACTGTTGTTAGCTGCTGAAGAAGGTGGTCGATTTAGTGGCAGCTGGCGTGGTGTTTCGGGTGCAGTCACCATTGTTTGTATAGATGCTACTGAACCTGGTCTATTAGTTGTTCCTTTCCTTTGCTGTTGTTGCCTTTGATCTGGTGAACTATAAGGTGTAACTGAATCAGGTACAGTAAAAGGAATAACTTTACTTTCTTGAATATCACGAAGATAAGCTTGCTCTTCAGTATCTACACTAGAATCTACAATATAAAAAAAAAAAAAATGAATACAAAAATAAAAATATACATTTAAATTTTACCTTCTCCTTGATTTGAGGTAGCATCGTCTGTGGTATCATCTAATAAATCGTCATCACTTTCATCGTTCCCAGAAGGTCGCATAATAGCAAATGCATGAATAATTCGCTGTGCTTCTTCCCTTCCAGCATTTTTTTTATATGCCTAAAAAATGGTAGGTAAATCATAAATAATAAAATTTAATTATCTTTATATATTACTTCTGTTGCAATCCTTAAAAGAGCTTCTACATAAAGATGTCTTGCTTCTAGTTGTGAAAGGCCTTCAAGCTTCTTCCATGCATCCCTTTTATTACAACTATATTAGCTTTTGTTTTTGTTTTTTCTTTTATTTATATGTTAAAAAAAAAGTACCATTTTGCTCTACCAACTACATCAAATAAACCTGGTCTTTGTGTACTAATATTTCCTTCTGATACTTGTTTATAAAGGGCATATAACTATTGTAAACTATTATTAACAGACTTATTTAGGCATATCTTTTATTATACTTGCTTCTAACTTTTGATTTTTTGTTGGTTGAAAACTTGAGCTTGCATGTAAATGCTGAACAAAATATAAAGCCTTATTATATCTTTGTGTTATAAAGTGATCTGAATAATGTGGTGGGATGTTTGTCATTAACACGAACTAATGATTATAAAAAAAAAAGAATGAAGATATATTATCATTTTTTTTTTTTTTTCTTATTTCGTAAGGAAAATCACATGCATGCTTCTTATTGCAAATTAAGGTGCTATATTTTTTTTTGGACCAATCGAAATTCACTACTTTCACGTCACGACGCTCTTCTTCATATATTTTATCAATCTTTTTTTTTTAATGTTAAGTACACCGATAGTTTCCCCTCATCATCAAAGACATTCACTGCTACAAAACATGAGTCAAGACGATCAGCTGCCTCATCTCTTATCTTTAAAAGTAATGCGTTTATCACGTCCTCATCTTACATCTACCATACCCATTTATTACGAAACAGCTGAAAACTCGCCTATTATAGAAGGCCTTGAATCCTTAAATATCAGTGATCTAACAGCTTCTCATCCAATCGAAGAAAAAAGTAATGGTATCGAAATTCGAGATTTCGGTCTAAGTCAAATGCTAAAACTTCCTTCTGCATTTGGCAATATTTATCTTGGAGAAAGCTTTAGCACACTTGTGAGCATCAACAACGAATCGCCCTTTGCTGTCCATCAAGTGGACATCAAGGTCGAGCTTCAAACCTCATCACAACGATTTGTCTTATCCGATATAACTCCTTTAGATATACTTAATACCAATCATAACATTACTGTGTCGCACGAAATTAAAGAACTTGGTGTGCACATTTTAGTTTGCTCTGTGCATTATACCACACCTGAGAATCGAAAACGTAACTTTCGTAAATTTTATAAATTTCAAGTTTCGAATCCTTTGGCAGTAAAGACAAAATTAAATAATATGTTAGATGGACGTGTCTTTTTGGAATCACAAATACAAAATGTTTCTGCTAGTCCAATGTACTTGGAACGTATGAAATTTGAACCCTCTGAGCATTTTCAATATGAAGATCTTAATTATGTAGTCGATGGTAAGGAATCTGTTTTTGGAGATGCCTATATTCAATCTCAAGATGTACGACAATATCTTTATGTGCTATCACCAAAAGCTTCAAATAATGATCGTATTTCGAGGACTACAAATGCGTTAGGGAAGCTAGATATCGTTTGGAGATCTTATATGGGTGATATGGGACGGCTACAGACATCGCAGCTTACAAGGAAGGCACCTATACTAGAGGATTTAGAAATACAGCCGTTTTGGTTAGAGGAAGGTCCTGTAAAGATAATATTAGAACAACCTTTCAAATTAGGTATTCGTATTCGAAACCATTCAAATGAAAATATGAAACTAGTGCTAAATACAGTTAAGGTGAAAATGGGTTCAGTCCTGTTAAGTGGGTTAAGTACTAGACAGTTGGGTGAAGTCGGCCCCAATCAGACAACTGAAACTCAGTTAGAATATTTTCCTCTCACACCAGGATTACAGCGTGTGGGTGGTTTAAAAATAGTGGACCTCTTATCAGGTTATACTAAAGATGTGGATCATATTTGTGATATATTTGTATTGTCACACCCAACTGATACTTTTGAAACATCTCTGTGAATAAAGATTTATGCAAACTCTATGTAAGATATATTAACTAAAAATTAGTTAGCATATATGTATACATATTTTAATTGTTGAAGTTTTATTATGAATATGTATATTTTTTTTTTTGAGTATCTACTTTAGTAGTTATGTTTCGTATTTTATAAAAATGATGAAATTATTTTTCAAAAGAAAAAAAAAAAAAAAAAAAAGAAGCTAAATAAGCATCTTATTATTTTAGTAATATATATATATAAATGTATATGCTTTATTATTATTATTTGTTTATTTCTTTATTGTAAAATGACAACTATTATACACCATTATGAACCCGGGGACAAACAACGTATTTGTCCTCAAGAAACAATTATTACTGATGATGTTACAGGTGAGACTCAACGCATACTTCGAGGAGCATCTACTACACATCAAGGCTCTTTATCAGGCCAATCTCAAAGAGCCGAGCTACTTAATGATAGAGCCTCTACTATCAGCAACATTCAATCCATGCGTGATGGCAAGCTTCCAAACAATGAGCAAATCAACAATGCAATTGATCAACTCTTAAATAGCCGTGTTATAGAAAATAATAAGAAGTCAATGTCTGATGATGGACAAATACTTCTAAAAGATTTTCAAGAGCTGTTGGTTATTCTTCAGAAGGCTTTACAAGAGAAAAATCGAGATGAATTATTTCAGTCCATGATTTATCATGTACGTAAGTCTGAAGAATCAATCAAGGTTGATAAAAACAAATTACGCAAAGACCAACAAGACATTCAAGGCGAGACTCAACTTGGTGGACAAGCCATCTTGAAAATTGCCAAAATGTTCTTGTTTAATTCTCAATTTAGAGATTTGCTTACGCAAATCTTGACTATCGCTCAGCAGACTATGGGTGGGGCTGCTCAGGCTGGTGGACAAATGATTAGTGATAAGATGGGATCCTTATCTGGAGTTCATCAAAATTCCAGCAAATCGAAGGAATCATCTCAGGGTAATAAAATAAATAAATAAATAGTATAGCAGTATAATATGAACTAATAATTACTTTGTAGATAAAGATGTTAACAACAGAGATTCCAATTCTCGTCAACATGTTTCTTACGATCAAGATAATAATAGCAAAGATAAATCGCATAACGTTCCTTATGCTGCTTTAGGTGGTGCCACTGTTGGCTCTGGTGCTGCGTATCTTGCTACGAATTATAATCGTAATACTTCAAATCAATATAGTAATAACTTGCCTAACAAGCATCGTGACTTTTTGGCACATCGTTTTATTGATCCTGAATCTGCTGCTACAGATGATTCTGGTAATGCACTTCAAGATGAACAAAACCAGCAGAGCTCTCTTGATAATGAAAGGCTAAATACGAACACTCGTCGTATTCCAGGAGACTATGATCAAAAAGAACTAAATACTGGCTCTACTCGGGATATTTACGGTGAAAGATTACATCATGGTGCCATTCTTCGCTCTGATTATGGCATTAATGATAATCGAGTTCGTAAATTGGTCCGTCAACATAATGAAAACACTTCTTCTCCTGATAGTGATAATGGCTTTATTACTGATATTACTGATTTTCAACCTACGGATGAAAATGGAAATCCGGCACCCGCTGCTTCAGCTAATATGCTCTCAGTTCTTCCAACTGCCTCTTCCAATAGAGTTGATAGTCAGTCTTATCCTCAACGAACGATAGCCGATCAAGCCTTCTTAACAAACACTTCCCTTGTTCATCCTACTCGTGGAAGTACTAACGCTCACATTAGAGCCCCTCATGACTCAATTGATCCTCATGAACGTTCTACTGGTAATTACCTATCTACAAAATCAACTGGAGCTGAAGTTAATCCTTATTATCGTAAGGCCTCTCCATCTCTGCCAACAGACACTACTAATCAAAGAAATAACATCAACAATAATCAAAGTGTTACTGGTGATGCCTCTGGTACTGGTGGCTTCCAATATGGGCAGTTCTATGGTGGACAAACAGGACTCTCCTCCTTCTCCTCCTCTCAACCTGCCTATTCTCAGAATCAACCTTCTGGTACTGGGTATGATGGATCTACTCTTATCAACCCTACAGAAGAACATGCATCTCTGCGTCCTGGTTCTCATGTCGATACCGGCACAGGCTACGATCGTGTTCAATCCAAGCATTCTATTCCAGCTGAACAAATTAATAGATATTTGGATGATGCTGATAACTATCAAGAAGGTCAAAATGCAAAAGACCAAGTCAAAAGACATGCTCATGAATATAACGGTGAACATGTCATAGACCGTATTGGAAATCAACAGACTCAGTTGCAACAACAACAACAATCTTCTTTCTCGTATCAAACTTTACATAATGTATGCGCTGGATCTATTCATAGCTCTAATACTGCTGAACAGCATATCTCGTTACTTCCTGGTATGCATGTTAGTACAGCTAATTATGATCGAATTCAATCCAAGCATTCAGTCCCTGCAGAAGAAATTAATAAATACTTGAATAATCCTAGTAATTTCCAAGGTCAAGGTTCAAATAACCAAGTCCTGAGACATGCTCATGAATTCAAGGGTGAACATGTTATGGATCGACTTAAAACGACCACTGCTCCTGGGGGTGGCTTAGTTACTAAGCAAAAACAACAAAGTCAAGCATTTGTAGCAAATACTGCTGGACTTGAAAGTCAACATCTTGGTACATCAGCCGGCAAACTTTCTCGTGGTTTGAATGTACACTCTGCAGGCTTAATGGGACTTGCTGGTACTTTTGGCGCTATTGATACTGCTGATACTGCTGATACTGCTGGTGCTGCTGGTACTGCTGGTACTGCTGGTGCTGCTGGTGCTGCTGGTGCTGCTGGTGTTACTAATACTACAAGTACTACTGATACTGATAATATGATTAATACTGCCAGTACTACTAATACTAATGGCACTAATGATGCTGCTCATTCTGCTCATTCTGCTCATGCTACTCGTGTTGCTGGTATTGCTGGTATTGCTGGTGCTGCTGGTGCTGCTGGTGGTGGTGCTGCTGCTGCTGGTGGTACTAATATAGATACAGGTCTCTCTAAAATTCATAATGATAACCAAAGACAACAAAAGACTGACTCTGATGATAAAAATGCTTCTAATGAATACACGCAATCAAATGATCAATCATCCAAGAAAGACACATCTATTTCAGCAAACAAGATTGTAAATAAGTTAAAGCCTCAAACGAAAAGCAATGAAACCGATACTGAATCATCATCTCAGCAACAAGAGACTTCAGCTGAAGAGATTATTACTAAATTAAAAGAAATCTTGACAACAGTCCAAAAAAATCCAGAATATCAACAGTCTATTCAAACAATTATCTCTCTTTTCGGTTTTTGGAGTAATCGTCTTTCGTCAAATCAAAGTATGGATCGTCGCAAGTCGTCTGCTGTTGAACTTTCTGAAAGAGGCGAGTATTATAAGAATGTAGCCTCTTATGAAGCCAAGACAATCATTGAAGACTGGGCTCAAGGAAAATCTATGGATCCTATTATCCAAAAGTCTTCTACTCTGTATAACAAGTTAAAGACTGATGATGATCTTCGTAGTCTTTACAATGAAATAACAAGTTACGTTAAGCGTTTATTAAAAGATCCCGGATATGTCTCTAGCGATGAATCTACTGAAGATGGCAAAAGACTTGTCAAACAATCTCGCCAATCTTCACTTGAAAAGTATAGATCTGACATGAATGGACTAATTCAAGAAACCTCTGATATTATCAAGGCTATATCGGATGATGAAATTTCCAAAGATATCTCTAAAAAAGTAAAGTCAATTCACCAACACTTGTGGTATGATAGGTAATGTATATAATGACAAATTGATTTGATACAGCTTTTTTTTTTCTTAACTCCCTCTATATCTATATAGCAATGGTAATGCCGCATTCAAGCCCCACTTGTTAAATGATATAAGAATCACACTTCTTCCTGCTCTTATTGAGCAAATCAAATATGTGCCTCTTCCTCAGATCGTTTACAGTGATAAGCAATTCGAAATTGCCGTTGAAAATATGGTCTTAGAAGGTGATACATTGATGCCTAATATTTTTGAGATTAAGGTAATAATAAAATAACCCTTATATTATGAGTGATATACTAAAATTATCGATATAGGCTGATGATTATTTGAGATTTAGTCCAAATATCAGTTTGGATTATATTAATTCGCAAAGTTTATATATTCATATGAATGGTATCCAAACTTATATGGATGATGTTGTTTTCTATTATAAACGTAAGATAGGTTTCCCTCGATTATCCGATTACGGTGTAATATCTTTAAAGGTATTTGCATGTATGCATTTAAAGAATTTTTATATAAAACTAACTACACTGTTATAGACCGGTGGCTCAGGCTTAAATATTAGTATGAAAATCGGAAGCGATTCTATTGATCAAGCTCACACGTTCCGAATTGATCAGTGCCACTGTACAATTGATAAGCTAAACATTAAAGTTATGAATTGTAAACATGAGTAAGTTATATAAAACACTTTTTTTTTTTTTTTTTTTTTTTTTTTTAAAAAAAAAAAAGATTTTTATTAATCATAATTGTAATATTAGCATCCTGTATAAGGTATTCAATCCTATGTTAACTAGTATAATTAAACGCCAGGTCAGTAAGGCTATTGAAGAAAAAATTGTCACCTTATTTCAAAAAAGTGATGAGAAAATTACCAAACGCTTATGGGATAAGCAACATATTAATGAAACTGGAACAACAAGGAATTATAAAAGACCTGGTTTCTTTTCTCATTTAATTACAGTCTTGAATCAAAAAGTCGCAAATATTTAACTATGCATTTGTTTATTTTATATAAAAAATTAGTTTATTTAATAAATTAATATATTATTATTATGTAATAAAAGGGCAGATTAAAAGGGAGAAGTTGATAAGATTATAGTAGGAGTTTTTAAATAAATTATAATAATATTATACATTTTTTTTTTTTTTTTTTTTTTTTTTTTTTTTTTTTTTTTTTAAAAAAAATAAAAAAAAAAGTAGATGGTAATACCTAATCCTTTACCAGAAAGAATGGATTCACTCTATTACAAACATCTAAATAGAGAGTCATCACCACCTCCTCAAGATCATGTTCCTGTCTCAATCGAAAATAGCGCTTTTACAACTAGTTTAACACCAGCCGATAATTTTCGTAAAAGAAACAATAACATGACACGTAATAACGACTATGACTTTTATGAGGATTCTTCAGATGCAGATTTGTTAATTAAATCAAAATCATATAAACTACAACAAAGAAAAGAAGCTATGAGGAAGCAGTCCCGTAAAAGAGATTGGTATATTGCACTTGGTTTAACATTATGGGCTGCTTATATTCGCTTATACAAAATATATCAGCCTCCTTCTGTTGTGTGAGTTTTATGATCATTAAAATGAAGAAAAAAAAAAAGTACAGTATATATCTAATGTTTTGAGATTTAGATTTGATGAAGTCCATTTTGGCGGTTTTGCAACAAAATACATTAAAACTCGATTTTTTATGGACGTTCATCCTCCTGTAAATATTTGCATATACAAACATGTATTCTGTATTTAACGTGATTTATAGTTAGCAAAAATGATGATTGCGCTTGTTGGTAAATTAGCTGGTTTAACTAATTTTGACTTTAAAGAGATTGGAAAGTAAGATTAAACACTGATAATGTTTTTTTATTTTTTTATTTTTTATTTTATTTTTTTTTTTTTTTTTTTTTTTTTTTTTTTTTTTTTTTTTTTTTTTTTGCTCACTTGCTTTTTTTTTCATTAGAGATTATCTTGAAGAACATGTTCCTTATGTAATTATGCGAACATTTTGTGGCATAATGGGTTTATTGGTTGTACCAATTGCTTATCTTACTATACGCGGTGCTGGACATTCTATTGCTGCTGGTTTAGTCGCTGCTTTTATGGTTTGTTATGGTAGGATATTGCACGTGTAATTTTTGAGATGCATGTATTAAATACTTTATGCAGAAAATGGGTTGATTACAAATAATAGATTAATCTTATTGGATCCACCACTTTTATTCTTCACTGCTGCTACAACACTTGTATGGATTAATTTTCACAATCAAAAACGCAAGTACGTGATATACAGTTGATTTTATTATTTTAATGTATTTATTCATTTTTTTTAGGCCATTTCAATTTTGGTGGTATTTTGGTTATTCATGACTGGACTTGGTTTAGGATTAACAGTAAGCTGTAAATGGGTTGGATTATTTACTATTGCTACTATTGGTGCTTCAACAATCAAAGGATTATGGGAAATTTGGGGAAATACACGTATTCCTCTTGTAAGAAAATTGTATACACAAAAAAACACATATATATACACACACACACACATACTTATATATATATAGCATGCATTTATTAGACATTTTAGTGCACGCGCTGTAGCATTGATTGTTGTACCTATTTTCATATATATGCTTATGTTTCAAATTCATTTTCATTCATTACCAAATAGTGGTGAAGGTGATGGATTTATGTCACCAGAATTTCAACAAACTTTAGATGGATATGCGGACATTAATACACCTATTGGTAAAGAATAGATATATATATTTATATACTTGATATATGTATTTTATCATTAATAATGCTTTATTAGATATTGCATATGGTTCTAAAGTATATATTAGACATGTAGCTACAAAGGGTGGATATCTTCACTCCCATTCTCATAATTATCCTGCAGGCAGTAAACGTAAGATAATACAAAATCGACTTTATATTTATATGATAAATAATAATATTATACTTCTATATACATGTATACCCCTTTTTTTTATTGTTTTCATTCAGAGCAACAAGTTACTTTATATCCTCATCGTGATGATAACAACTGGTGGACAATTCTCAAAGTGAATGATGTTGAACCTACTGGTATTGAATACATCAAAGATGGCGATATCATTACACTTAAGCATTTGAATTCTGATAAGCGTTTGCATTCACATGAAATAAGACCACCAATGACTGATCTTGAATATCATAATGAAGTTAGGTAACTTATACGCGCATTAACGTGTATGTTTGTATGTATTAATTCAACTATGTTTGGTTTAATTAGTTGTTATGGATTCGATAATTTTACTGGTGATAGTAATGATCAATGGAGAGTACATATTATTAGTGGTGAGAAATCCGATCCAGAATCTACTAAGAGACTCAGAACAATTCATACAAAGTTTGCACTTGTCCATGTTATGACGCATTGTTCCTTATTTTCTCACCCTGTAAAGTTACCTGAATGGGGCTTTGGTCAACAAGAGGTAACATGTATCAAAGATGGAAAAGTTGAGAAAACTGTTTGGTATGTGGAATCTACTGAAAATCCACTATGTAAGTTTAGCAATCATTTATTAGATAATACACTATTAATTAATTAATAATTTTTTCCTAGTGCCTGAGGACACAGAGAAAGTCAGTTATAAGAAGTTAGGATTTTTAAGTAAATTTATTGAATTAAATAAGGTCATGTGGGAGACGAATAAAGGTTTAACCTCATCTCATCCTTATGATTCAAGACCAGAGGTATGTAAAAAAAAAAAAAAAAAAAAAAAAAAAAAAAAAAAAAAAAAAAAAAAAAAAAAAAAAGATAAATAACCGTGTTACATAATATTCATTTTTGGATAGTCGTGGCCCTTATTGCGTCGGGGTATCAATTATTGGTCAAAAGACAAACTTCATTTATATTTGTTAGGAAACCCTTTAGTGTATTGGACAAGTACTATATCTATCTTGGTCTGTATTATTCTAAAAGCTGCTTTTGTTATTCTGGATAAAAGAGGAATAAAGAAGGACTTTGGTGGTAAGAAAAGAAAATTAAAAAAAAATAAAAAAATCCACCAAATCTTAATTTTCAGGGACGCACTGACACACATAAACTATTTTAGAATTAAGGAAATTCTATGATGAATCAGCTGGGTTTTTCCTAGTTGGGTGGGCATTCCATTATTTTCCCTTTTTCTTGATGGGCCGACAATTGTTCTTACACCATTATATGCCGGCTCTTTATTTTGCAATCTTACTTTTCAGCGTTGGCTTTGACATGTTAACAGTGAGACTTGTTAATCGAAAGAGGTTAATGGCAGCTGGTTTATTTATTATTTCTATTATTTACGTTTACCGATTCTTTATTCCTATTACATATGGTGAACCTTGGACTCAGTCACTTTGCGAGAAAGCAAAATGGAGATCTACATGGGATTTTGATTGTGCACAGTAGAGTAATTTTCATCTTGTGTATTACTCCATTACTAACTAAAATCCTACCCTTCGTTATAGGTATCATCAAGATCTTGGAAGTTATAATATTTCAAAGCCATTGATTATTGATGGCTTTGATAAAGTTAAAGATGTTGTTAGTTCATACTGGGGACAACAACGACAAGCAAAGGTCGTTGAGGGCGTTAATATAGTTTCAGATAAAATGAATTTACCTTTAATAGACACATCATTATTGGAAGAAGTACCAAGTGTAACTCAGTTAGTAGACTTCGAATAGTAAACTTTTACATTGTACTACATTGTCTTGAAAAAGAAATCCCTTTTCATAATATAAAATCTTTAATTCTTATGTGCGAAGAACATATGTCTTTTTCTTTATTAAATAAAATATATTATTTTCTCATTCTTTTTTTCTTTTTCTTTTTCTTTGAATAGTTTAAATTTACTTACATTCCTTTTCCATTAAATTGATTTATTAAAAGCTTTAAAAAGAAAACTAAAATTATTTATAATCGTCAGCATAAATGTTAATCAATACATTAATAAAATTATCTGCTTTATTCTTTAGTTCTTTATTCATTGTTGAAGCTCAAATCGGTAAAAAAAAACTTTCCCCTTTTTCAATGAGGATTTTGTCCTTGTCATATGAAACTTAGCCTATTTTTTTCCATAGTAACGAACTTGGGAAGTTGTAGTGCATATCCCCCAAACGCGATTTGTTCTGTAAACTTCCAAAAAAAAAAAGAAGAATTCTGTACAAAATTTTATTTACTTTTATTTCTCTCTCTCTTATATAGGACTATATTGATTATAGTGCATTTATATCAAATAATGCTAGCATAACAACAGTGGAAGCAGAATTAGCACGTCCATTAAACGGATTAGGCGAATTAGTAAAGGATATCAGTCCCGTCTGCTTTGATGCCTTTGCAAGGTATGAATGTTCAAAGGCGTATCCTAAATGTGTAGCAGATAATAATTCAACCAAAAGTAAATACAGTCTTTTTTTTTTTTTTAAAAAAAAAAAGAAATGAAATGAAAAGTTACTGATTTTTTTATTTTATTTTATACAGCTATTCATATTAAAGTAGCATGTAGTTCTGCTTGTAAAGATGTTCAAGTTGCATGTACAAATATATTGGAAATGGCTGGCTATTTACAACTTTTGCCTAATTGTTTTAATGAAACTATTACAAGTCTAAATAGACATCTTCAAACAGATGATGCGTGTAACAAAATACCTACAAAATGTACAGTATTATATATTATTATGTAATGATTTCCATTGTGAAAAAAAAAAAATGCTTTTCTTTCATCTTTCTAAACATATTTTAACAATAGTGACTGATAATGAAATTAAAAATGGGAAATTGAATATTTCAGCTATTTCAAACGATTTTATCATAGCAAAGTGTCCTTCTCCTTTTTTACCTGATCCACTTGCTCTTTCAGGAACAACAAACACATTGGATACAAAATATTGTCGACATGGTTGTTGTATTCCATGTCCTGCTCAAAATTACGTAAGTTATTATAAATATAATGCCACTTATAAATGTATACATATACTAATGATAATAATAAAAGTTTTATAAAGAAAATGCATCTGAAAGAGCCTTCTTGGCTACAGATATAATACGATTCATATCAGCCATTCTTTCTCTTGTTCTTGTTATTAGTTATTGTGTTTTGCCTGATAAAAGAAGGTCAGTGATATTACAGTTACTATAATGAAATTTCATACTATAACTGATATACCCACCACCATTACCCTTTTATATACATATATACATACAATTATGATTCTTATAGGCACCCTTCCCTATTAATTCTCAATCTATCAATTGCTATCTTTTTTTTCAACATGAGCGTCTTTTTTTCAATTGCTAATCCTAAACGACTCCAATGTGCAGCTAATGGAATATCACCTGGAGAAATTGGTAGCAATAGCTTATGTGCTGCACAAGGCGCCATATTAATCTTTGGTTCCTTTGCTACCATTTTATGGTGTGCTGCACTCATTCTCAACTTACATGTCCATACTGTCTGGAATTCCAACATCTTTGCAAACAAATATATTTTTCTTAATATTATTTGTTGGGGTATTCCTGCTACTATCATGGTCATTGCTATCGCCCTTCATGCAATTAAATTCGAGTTTGCAAATCTTTGTCTCGTTTCAATGAACTATATCTTCCCCTTATTTTTTTATCCATTAGCAGCCATTGTCTGTCCTAGTTTCTTGGTTCATATTGCAACCTTTTTTTATATTGCAAGGATTGCAGTACGTGAGGGGCTCGAATCAGACATGACACAGTCTTTATCTACAGGGTCTATTACTGATCAGCGTGCTATGCCTACTGTAAGTCGTAGGCATGTCTTTGTAGCCGTTAAAATCCAATGGCGTGCTTTATTATTAGCAGTGATAGCCATTGTCACTGTTCTTTTCTATTGGGTACATCATCATCATCATATATACATACATACATATATATATGTATATATTTATAGGATATTCATACATTATTTTATACGATATAGCTATTCTATATGACACAAATGAATCGTATGACAGATTTACAAAGCAATCCTGCACTTACTTCAGAATGGCTAGAATGCATGTTAATACCAGGAAATACACAAAACATGTGTGCAGATCTCATTCGTACTCATTTACCACCCTTCCCATTAATTGTCATTGCTGAAACGTTGGTGAGTACAATTGGTATTTGGCTATTTATCATGTTTGGTAAACGGTCACTCTGGCGTGAATGGAACGATTTAATCTACGATATTCGTATTTCTTTAAGTAGACGTGGTAGAGCAGAAAAAAGTGGAGAACAATTCTTTGCTCTTTAATTATTATATTAAAAAAAAAAAAAAGAATATATTTATATTATATCCAACTATTAACTATTGTTAAAATTTATTTCATTTACTTTCTTTTACTTTACTAAATGAATGCATCAAATAATAACATTATAGGGGTTTAAAATCAACAATAACACTGGACCCATCAAAGTCCATATTATTATCAAAAGCACCTCACCACTCTCTATCTCACTTAGTTTATATATAAACAAATGTTAAGAAATAACTATTCATATTTCCTTTTTTCCATTCATTATTATACAGCTATTTATAAGTAGACATACACACACACACACATATATATATATATATATATACATATTCATGTACATATTAGCCTTTGTATATTCTGACAGGATAAAAGTTTCCTTACATCTGGTCCTTTTTTTTTTTATTTTAATTACAAGAATAGATTATTGAAATTTACTCTTCATCTTCTTCAGCATCATCACCACCAGCGGCAGCAGCAGCTCTCTTTCTCTTGACACGACCAGCACGACCACCACCATAAGGAGAGGTCAAAGCGAAATCGATGTGCTTTTGAGAATCCAAACGAACAATGAAGGAAGGAACATTGACGATTTGCTTACCAACACGAATGTGACGTTGACGGATCAAAACACGAGCGTGGTGAATAGACTTGGCAAGACCTAACTTGAAGACTTGGGTTTGAAGACGACGTTCCAAGAAATCTTCAATCTTGAGAGCCAAGACGTAATCGAGCTTCATGCGGGATTCGTCAAGGACACCAATACGAACAAGACGACGAATGAGGGCATTACCTTCAAAGAGACGACGAGGATCCTTTTCATCAAGCTTCAAAAGTTCACGAGCAGCACGACGAATCTTGGAAAGTGTGAGACCGACTCTCCAGATTTCCTTCTTGTTCTTGAGACCGAACTCACCAATCAACTTAAGTTCTTGGTCAAGACGAGCAGACTCGAAAGGACGCTTGGGGACAGTAGATGTCTTACTGTAAGTTCTGGTAGTTCCAGTCATTTTGTTAAAAGAGAAAGAAGAAGAAGAAAAAAAAAAAATTAAAAAGGAAAATTTTTTTTCTTTATTATTATTATTATCTTTGCCGCCGTCGCCGTCGCCGTCGCCGCTGCTGCTACTCTTTTACCACTTGTAACAAAAAAAAAAAAAAAACAAATAAAAAATGGATGGCTTTGAAATGTGACTGGTTTTCGACCAATTTTTTTTATTTTTTTTATTTTTTTTTTTACTCTCAAGCCGTATACTGTACTATATTAAAAAAAATTTTTTCTGTGAAGAGGGAGTTTTAGGGTGCAAGGAAAACTAAAACTAAAAAAAAAAAAATTCCCCCCTTTTGAACAAGACTTCTTTCTCTTTTTTTTTGTGCAAAGTTTGACAGGTAAACTTTTAATCTTCAGTAAAATGCTTTAGAAATGTGAAAAAATAAGAGAGAGAGAGAGAAAAAGAGGGTAGATAGTGAGGGAAGAAAAGATAAAAAAAAAAAGAGTCGTGGAAAAAAAAATTAAACATTAATGAACTCATCTCGATTTTATTTTACTTTATTTTTTTTTCTTTATAATTACAATCTCGACATGTAAAACAATAGAATGCCTCACTCTTTTGGTCGTAAGTACTCAAGCTGCAATGTTTTGATGAATTTTATTGTTAATTCTATATCAATATTTTTTTTCTCATTTTGCTAATTAGTCCGTGCTCGTACTCGTCACATGTTCTCTCGTAACTTCAGAGAACATGGTGTTATCCCTCTCTCCACTTACTTGAAGACTTATAAGGTCGGTGATATTGTTGATATCAAGGCCAATGCCGCTGTCCAAAAGGGTATGCCTCACAAGTTCTACCATGGGTAAGGGATTTTTTTTTTTATGTATGTATATAGATAGATACTGATAGATACTATTCTATAGTCGTACTGGTGTTGTTTACAACGTCACCAAGTCTGCTGTTGGTGTCATTGTTCACAAGAGAGTTGGTAACCGTTATATGGAAAAGCGTGTTAATGTTCGTGTTGAACATGTTAAGCACTCCAAGTGTCGTCAAGAATTCTTGGATCGTGTTGCTGCTAACGCCCAAAAGAAGAAGGAAGCTAAGGCTGCTGGTGGTAAATATATAAAGAGACTCATATATACATATATATTTGTATATATAGATTACTGAATGTTATTTTTTGTATAGTTTCTTTCAACCTTAAGAGAATCCCTGCTCAACCTCGTGAAGCTCGTCATGTCTCTACCAAGGGTAATGTTCCTCAAACCATTGCCCCTATTGCTTATGAGACCCTTATCTAAATTCTGTATGTTGTGTCTTTTTATGCATATAAACTCTTTTTTTTTTTTTCCTCTAATAAATTAAGAAAAAAAAAAAGTTGAAATTTAATAGTGTAAATTATGAAAAAAAAAGGAATTTATCTTTAGCGTATACGTATCTGTTTGGAGATGTTATTATACTATTATTGATTGCTTTTTTTTTTGTTTGTTTGTTTCCAAGTTATATAATAGTTGTAATAATGAAAAGAATTAAAACTCCCCTTTGAGCTCATTTGTTTTTTTTTCCACCAACAAGGGGATGAAGTAACAGTTATTATGCGTTTTTAGTCCCTTGATTGTCATTAAATGTCTTCAGTAACGGTCATAAGAAACTCATTTCGGGTGAATAAAAAGTAAAGACTATTATTATTATTATTATACATAGTATGCAACCCTAAACTTGTATATAATATATATATATATATAGCATATCTATTTTAGCAAAGGGACATTATTATCGTCCCTTGATCTCGACCCCATCTATTAATTTCATTGCACCATCCATTAGACCATTTTCGTCTAATTGGACAAAGTATCAAGTCGAGCAACAAACGAATAAAGTCAATGTAACGCCCTCTGTTGAACAAAAGCCATCACGCATTAGTCAATTTATTCAACAATCGAAGCAACTTATGAAGCTTTATAAGGATGGGATTAAACAGCTTTGGATGAACAATAAAACCGCGAAAGCTTTATTACAAAAGATAGAAAAGGAAGGATACGAACTTGATCGACCTGAATTTCAACTGATTCATCAGTCGAAGAAAGATATGAGAAAGTTAATCCCCTTTGGTATTGTGTTCTTTATATTACCAGAATCTGTAAGGTAGAAAATATCTTTAGCATGTATACTAGGCTCATATATATATATATATATATATATTTCATAGATTCCGTTGCTTATCATGTATGCTCCTGGTATGATTCCAAGCACCTGTCTTACAGAACAGCAAATTGTAAAGTTTATATACATATATGTATTTATATATTATGGACCTTATGGTAACAGATATGCATTCTTTTTTTTTTTTTTTTTTTTTTGTAGCAAAAACGTCGAGAAAAATTAGATAAAGTTCGACAAAAAATGACATTGAATACATTAAAATCATCAGAGCAAGTTGAAGGGGTAGAAAAAAAAAAAAAAAAAAAAAAAAAGTGACAAGACTACTAAAAAATCATTTGTTATTTAGATTTCACCTGAAGACTTTTTGTCTCGTACCAAATTCCTTAAGATAGCAAAACATTATGGATATGATTTTGAATTAAGTCGAATTGATAGAAGACATCTTTCAGCCTATTGCAGGTATGAGTAAATTGAAAGACATACATACATACATACATGTATATATTCAGATGCATATATAAACGTCTAGATTTATGGGGCTTAATGATTATGGATTACAGTTTATGCTTAAAAGTCGACTAGAGAAACATATGACATATATTAATGAAGATGATAAAGTAAATATAAATATTTGTATATATATGTGTTATACGCACTACTAATGATTGATATTATAATATAGCTTCTTGTTAAAGATAACTACGTTGATAAATTAAACTTGGCTGAATTAAAGCATGCTGTAGAAGAACGAGGAATGAGATCTGTAGATGAAGATGAAGACAATATGCGACGTGGATTGAAATATTGGTTATCATTGACTCAACCTACAAATCCTTCAGAAGCTATTATTCCTCCTGGTTTACTTGTCTTTAGTAGAATCTTTCTATTAAATGCCAACTATCATAACAAGTATCAAGATACTGTATGAGTTGAATCCATACTTATTCTACATGAAGTATAATTTCAATTTTATGAGATTAGAATATAAAATAAAAAAGCGTACCTTTTTATTTATTTATTTATTTAGTTTTATTTTTTTTTAGTTTTATTTTTTTTTTAGTTTTATTTTTTTTTTAGTTTTATTTTTTTTTTTTTATTTAAATATGAGTGATTCTAATGATGAAAGCATGGTATGAATGAAAGTCTAAACAAATAGATTCAATCATGCTTATAGAATAAATAATCTATTTAGGATATAGACGTGAACAGACATTCACCTAAAACTTCAAGAAAAACAAATGATCTTTATAAACCCTATGATAAAGAAGATAGATACAATCGACATAACCCAAGAAATGAAAGCCCAAGTCGAATAATACGATTATTAAGTCAATGTAATTATCATCTTTTTTTCTTTTTTTTTTTCACTAATGTTAATTTATTTCATTATAGTTCCACCTAGTAAATCTAGATTTGAAGAATCAAGTCAACGATCGCCGCCAATGATGACTCGTCTTTTTTCTTCTAATAATAATGTCTCAACCCGACCTATTCCTCTTCCAGAACAGGCTTTGAAACCAAAAACATATACACGAATTGAAAGCGACATGAAGCCAACATCGACTCTTAAATTCTCTCTTGATGATTACCATAGAGCAGTTGACAATGATAAAAAGTTGAATATCAATTTCTTTCGACGTAAACATCGACATATAGATGACGTTGATGAAACATTGTCGCCTATCAGTTACCGCTCAACAAAGAGTTTTTCACGATTTGATCGTCTCTTTGAGTCAAGACAACAAGAGGAAAAAAGAACCAGTGTTGTTGTTGATGTTGATGTTGATGATGAAGTCATGTCTCAGGCAACACAAGATATGCTTTCACACTACAGCAGTGCATATGGCATAGATACACCTGAGAGACTTTTATTACAACAAGACGATGAGATATTCAGTATGAATCAAGAAAAGGAAAGGAAAGTACAAGCAAGATTAAATGATGAATCAAGAAAAGAAGAACATAATACTGTAATACAACATCCTCTTTTCAAGGATATCAACATACCTAGTCAAGAGGAAACTAAGGATGATATAGTATTACCATCAACTTGTGAATTCCGATCCCCAATAAAAGAAGAAGAAGAAGAAGAGAAAAGACAGGACAATGAACCACCTACACTTGAAGAGGAAATACAGCTACCGATTGTGGATACACAAGATATGCTTGATGACTATGATTACTATGGAGGAGGAGATTTTGAAGAAGTAGAAGAAGTAGAAGAAGTAGAAGAAGAAGAAAACGAAGAAAACGAAGAAAACGAAGAAGAAGAAACATCGATAGCAGAAGAGAATGAATCCAGGTAAATCATGACTTTAATACTTGAAATATAACATTTTTTTCTTCTTTTTTAAACTGTTGATGTCTGTAGGATGATTGAATCAAGAAAAAGAATGATAGTTCCTGGAGATTCATTTATAAGAAAGTTATTAAATGACACAATAGAACCTTCGTAAGTGTATATGAAATGCTTGTCCTATTGTTGAGTTATTTATTTATTTTGTTTATTCATTAGTCGAGATATTCTAACAAATACTAAAGTAAAGCAACTATTTGATAGTAGACTAAATCATGAAAAGAATACAAGAGTAGGCGCACATCACTTTCAAAAGATGTAAAGTATAAGAAATTTTATATTCATTTATATAAATGAGACACTTTATGATTTACAGTTTTATGTATAAAAGTACAACGTTATTTTTTAACCAGCTTGTTGATGACTTGTTAAGTTATAAGAACAATCAAGCAGCAGAAGATCAAGATGAAATAAGTGATAAAGACATGATTTTATTAATGCAACGGTAAAATCAGTGTAATTTTTTTTTTAAAAAAGAAAAAGAAAAAGAAAAAGAAAAAAAAAAGAAAAAAAAAAAAGAAAAAAAAAAAAAAAAAAGACTATTAATTAGTAACTAAAATAGAGTAGACAGCGACTGATATCGGATAAATCATCTTTAGAAGCATTAGCACATAAGTTTTTACCAAGGGAATATTCTGATCTTGTTTGTCAGTCAGCATTGGCTTACAACCAATTATATCCTTCCTCAGATCAAGAATTGAGTGGTGATGATGAAGATTAAATAGCGATAAAAAGAGGTATTCTTATATATTTATTATTACAATGATATCATGGATTTAAACTTTTTAAAGGATGACGACACTTTGATTGAAATTTTATTGCTATTTGTAGTAGAATTACTTTCTATACTTGATATACTTGTTGTCATACTAATTCCCAATTTATTGTATTCATTATGACTATGACTTTTAAATATCTTTGTTGAAGTATATTTTATTTTATCTTTTAAATGAATGCTTTCATGGCTCTGTCTTTTCCTTCTTGTTAATAAATGATCGTCACATAATTCTATAGCAAATTGTGAATCATCCCAACGTTTTTTCCCTGTTGCTTTAGACAAGTCCAAAGAACTATTAGGTATCAGTTGTTGTTGTTGATGAGTTGTTTTTGGATGAATGAAGGATGAATCATAGCTTGATATAGATGGAATAGGATTCTTGTCTGTATTTTGATGAGTCATTTTTCTATTATTTACTGTCATTGTTATAAAAGAAAAGAAAGAGAGAGAGAAAAGAAAAAGGGAATGAGGATAGATAGATTTATAGCGAATAAACTTTAAATACTTTATGTACGTGCTGCCCTAATACAAAGCGGAGAAAAGAAGTTAAAGAGAGAGAGAGAGAAAATAAATAAATAAATAAATAAAAGTTAGTTATATATAAAAGGGAGAATAATGGTGAAAGAAAGGAAAGAAGAAACAAAAGAGTTTTCTTCACCCCCTCCTTTTTTTTTGGCTTTAAACACACACACATATTTCATAAAACTCCAGAAGAATCTATTTTTGGGCTACATAAGTGAACAAGTTATATTTAATATTATTATTATTGCTCTAATCTGCTACTGCTTTTGTTTCAGAATGTAAACTCCACTTCTGCATTTATAATTGCTATGAATACATACATGTATATATAAAAAAAAAAGAAAAAGGAAAAGGAAAAAGAAAAGGAAAAAGGAAAGAAAATAAAACCCCTCCCCCCTCCCCACTATTTTCTAACATTAAACTAAAAGTACAGTTTTATATGAAACGTCTGTTTTATTGTAATATTTCTTCAATAAAAAAAAAATCTATCAAAATTTACAGAAATGCTATGCCAAGAAGGTTTATAAAATAATATAAAATTTGATGTGTGACGAAATGTTTCCCTGTTAAAAAATATACATATTCCGATGATTTTATCAAATACATTGTATCAGGTACATTCATTATGATGTGCAATTAAACAAGTCATATCAGGTTTATAACTGCCTTTCTATCATGAAATAATGCAGTGATAAGGTCAGATAAATGATGGAATGTATTCTATTGATGTAGGTACGTATATACATGTGTGTGTGTGTATATATATTTATATAAATGTATATAAATATATACACATATACATATACATATACACATATATACATATATAGATACATACACACACACACACATATATATATACATTTGTATGTATACATATTTTTATTGTTCGGAATAAGCTTAATACTTGGTAGTATCTTACTCGAACATAATACATAAATTATTTGAATACATCAACACGAATAAGATCTTTTGATTGATAAATTTGAATATCACCTTTATATTAATTCCAGTCGGATAGCTGCAATAATAATCCTTAGAGAAATTGACCAAGGTGTTTACTAAATTTAACTGAATAATATTACTTTTTTTTTTTCTATGTTCATTCCAAGGGGCGGAGGAAGGCTGTAACTAAATTATTACTTGTCAATGTCCTAAATTTGTAGACATTCAAAAAGCACTTTGTAGTTATTCTTTGTGTAATAAAGAAGAGTTATCTATTCAACAATAATACACTTTATACCCTCTTATCTTTGGAGTGATCCTCCTTACATTTATTTTATTTTATTTTGGCATCGTGATATGATGACAGTTGGCAAGTGTTTGTCATGCACTATGATTTAATTTTTATATGTACACATGAAGAAATACATGTATATATTTATATATAGTTATTTCTTTTTTACTCTAAGGTTCTTCTGTCTTTAAAGGAGGGAGGAGAGAATGCAGTTATGTATACATGCATATATTTATAACTTAAAATTGAGAAAGAGAGAGAGAGAGAGAAACAATAAGATACATATAAAGGAGTAAATTTAATATTACAAATATGAATCATCCGTATCTGAATTTTAAAAATCAGATCATGAAAAAAAAAATAATACTAAGGTTTTTTATATATTTGTATATTTATATATTTATATATTTGTATATTTATATATTTGTATATTAATATAAATATATAGTCATATATTTATATATATACATACACACATACATACATACATACACATCTTTATGACTAACACTTTAGTTCATGGTGGGCATAGAGACAGAAGCACGGGTATGCTGAGCATCACTTTCTTTCCATAAAGCAGTAACAGTCTTTGGCTTAGTATAGAATAAGAGACCACTCTTACCATAAAAGTTCATGTCACCCAAGATGGAACCACGACTGCCGGTGAAAGAGAAGGGAGGAACAGGAACAGGAATAGGAACATTGATACCGACTTGACCCACATCAATTTCATGTTCAAATTTACGTGCAATTGGACCTGAATTAGTAAAGACAGCTGTACCGTTACCATAGGGATTCTTATTGATCAATTCAATCGCTTCATCCAAGGTATCCACATTAAGACAGACCAAGACGGGACCAAAGATTTCTTCACGATAGCATTCCATATCTGTCTTCACATTCGTCAAGATAGTAGGTCCTACAAAGTTACCCTTTTCATAACCCTTCACAACCACGCCACGACCATCAAGAAGTAAATCAGCACCTTCATGAACACCGCCTTGAATCAAACGTTCAACACGTTCCTTGGATTGAACGGTGATCAGAGGACCTACGTCTGTGTCGGGATCCATACCATAACCCACCTTCAACTGACGTGCACGTTCTGCTAGCTCTGGTAACCAATCTTTGGCTTCACCTACACAGATTAATGTACTCAAGGCCATACAACGTTGACCTGCAGCTCCAAAGGCAGCACCTGCAATGGAGTTCAAGGAAGCTTGTTTATTTGCATCCGGTAAAAGAACAGCATGATTCTTGGCTCCTAAATTAGCTTGAACTCGTTTACCATTTGCATTACCACGTGTATAAATATGTTCACCAGCACGATCAGAACCAACAAATGAAATAGCCTTGATTTCAGGTTCATCACAAATATAGTTAACACAATCAACAGAACCATGAACGATATTCAAAACACCATCAGGGACACCTGCTTCAGCAGCTAATTTGGCCAACATCATTAACGCACCTGGATCACGTTCAGAAGGTTTCATAATAATTGAATTACCAGCGGCAATAGCCAATGGGAACATCCAAAGTGGAATCATGGCAGGGAAATTAAAAGGGCAGATACCAGCCACAACGCCTAAAGGTTCACGATACATATCTACATGTATATGAACATATAAAAGTATATAAATATAAACAGTTATACACACACACACACACACGCTTACTTTGGGTCTAATCGTTCCCAAAAAAAAGTATCATTTATGACTTACATGTTTCCATATCTTTTGCAACTGTTAATTTTTCACCCATTAACATCTGAGTTAGACCACATGCTTGTTCAACCACTTGAAGACCACGGAATACATCTCCCTTGGCATCAGCAAATGTTTTACCTTGTTCTTGAACAATATTTTCTGCAATTGCATCTTGATTTTTACGAATAAGATATTGTAAATCCATCATGACCTTTTGACGAGCTAAAACAGTTGATTTTTTCCATTCACGAGCAGCAGCTGCAGCCGATTTTGTTGCTTCTTGTAACTCTTCAGGTGTTGTTTCAGGAACATAACCAATTAATTCTTGAGTAGCCTATTTAAAAGAGATAAATAAGTTTATATTTACAATACGCATGCATTATAAATCCTTTACGGGATTACGAAGTTCAATCCATTTATCAGTCTTTGATTCAACAAATTGACCATTGATATAGTTCTTGACAGTTTCAACACCTGACACTCTTTGTAAAGCGGGGAATTGTGTACTGAAATTCATACGGGCAATAAATGTAGTTCTATTCAATAAAATAAGATAAAGAAAAGAAATAAGTAAACAAACAAACAAATAAAATGATATAGTATCCCCCCCTTATTTGTTTTACCTTTGAATATTATTTGAAGTTCTTCTTAAAAGAGACGTAAGCATTTTGATTGTGAAATACTATCAAGAGTGTGTGAAAAAAAAACAAATAATAAAATATCAAAACCCCGTATTTTATATAGATGAATACCGTGCGAAAAAAAAAAAAAAAAAATAATAAAAATAAAAGGACGTAGTATTTAATGGATAATAGTAAAATGATGTGACGGCTACTAAGGCATTATGTTTATCATGTAATTGATGTGTGTGTGTGTGTGTGCGTGCGTGTGTGTGCGTGTGTGTGTGTGTTTATTATTACTATGACTATTATTATTATTATTATAAATACAAGTATCTTGTTAATAGACTTATTATTTATCATGATAATCGCCTGATTGTTCCATTTCAACTCCAAATTGTTCATAAGTTACTTTATAACGAAGACGTACATGTTCCTAATAATTATTGTATTACAATCATTATGTAATAACTCACTCTCCCCTTTGTAATTTATATTTACCTTATTAGGGTTATCTATAGCAACAGATTGAGTCACTGTCTTCATTGATTTAGGAGGTACGGAACTAGATGAAACAGGTCCCATTTTCAAATGCATTGACTAATAGATAGTGTGAATGATTAAAGTATCTCTTTATCTATTTATTTATTACCTTTGGAGCAGCTAGTAATAGAGTCATTTTATCCATAGGTGCTGTTGATTTATTAGAATAATATGCCTTCATTTTCCATGTTTTATCCATAGAATAAACATCTAATTGAATGATAAGACCATTCTTATTAATCAGATCAACTAATTAGATAGATATTGTTAGATACTTTCTTTCTTTTTAAATATAAATATATACGTCGTCTTTATGGAATACTTTACTTGTCTTTAATACTTTTTCTTGTTGATCAAGAGAAGAGTGATTGGGTTGAAATATCAAATTGGTTGACAAACTATGCTTAGTAGAAGTAAGAGCTGTTTTATCACCAAAGATATCAACAAGTTCATCCAAAGGATTCTTTTGTATATTGGTTATAGTAGGTGATGAAGAATTGGAATCTTGTTGAGTAGTAGTAGCAGTAGCAGCAGCAGCATCATCATCATCCAAATCAATTAAACTAATAGGCTGCTGATGTACAGTAGTAGAATCACTTGAAGATGTTTCACTTTTATATTTCCCACTTATATCATATACACTATCATAACGTCCATTCTTTATATCTCGATATTTTAAAATAACTCCCTTTAAAATGGACTTGACTTCATTTAGTTCTTCAATCTTTTCTGTATCTTCTTCCTCTTTTAACATCTGTTTAATCTTTGGTAAAGCACTATCACAGGCTATTTTTAATTCTTCCATCGTTCCTTCTTCTTCAATCACATCTCCTTCCTTTAAATTATCCAACATTTCATATAATAGACGTGCTTTATTTTGTATTTTATGTAATTCTTCTGAGAATTTTTCTTTAAAATTGACTTGATGCTTTTTATCCTAATAAAATAAAAATAAATATTTTATCTTTATCTTTCTTTTATTTTTCCTCCTTACATAACCTGTCATTATTTTCATTAATTTATTTGCTTCTACAAGATCTTGAGGTCTACCTCTTCTAATTAATTCTTGCAATTTCTGGTATATAAATACGATAAGAATGACTGTGTAATTAAAAAAAAATAATAATAATCAACACTTACAGCTCCCTTTGCAATTCTATCTTCTTCCTCTAATTCTTGTGCTGATTTAAGTGTCTAATAAAATAATATTAAATAAATGTTTCTTATGTAAATAAATAAATATAAAAAAAATTCCTACTTACATCAACTGGTGCTAAAGCAGCAATAGAAGATTCACGAAGTTCAGGAAATTGATATCCTATATATTATTATAGAATTTCAATAGGGATAGTGTCACTAATTCATGTAAAAAAAAAAAAAAAATAGGCTACCTTTGAATTTTAATAATCGATACATATCTTTTATATGAATCATATCTTCTTTATAACGAGATAATTCAGCTAAGGCTACTTTCCATTCTTTGATTAAATACAAAATACGATCAATCACAGGATTTGCCATAAATTGTTGAGGTGGAACATAGTCAAAATGATTCCATTGATTCTCAGGTGCTGATTGAACTGGATTAGGGGCATATCTTGCAGGTGGTCGTTCAGGGAATCGACGTACAAGTGCATTCAAAAATTCTTTAGAAGCAATTTGTAAATGAAATGGGTATCCACAATTTTTAACACAATTATCAAGTAACTTTATTTATATAATTTTCAGTATAAAATAAAAAATAAATAAATAAGTAAAAATAAAATAAATAAAATAAATAAAATAAAATAAAATAAAGGACTTACTGTTAGAGCCAACATAGCTTGATTCATCTTTGTACTATTTACAAGTCGTACAATAGCTTGAGCTGCTATACGAGGACTTGTAATAACATTAAAAAAAAAATTAAATTATAATTCTATTCTACATTCAAAATTGAATTAAAGTATAGATACTTACGCACTTCCTTGTTTTTTATTTATAGTCTCGCAAACTTCTAAATTAACTGCTAAATTAGGATCATAGCGTGAAGGACTGCATGCTCTTTCTAATGTATAGTTTGACATTTTCTACATTAATATATATATGTATATTTATATTATATAATACTTAATTTATAAATTATGTCCTATAGTATTTACCAATTAATCCAGGTAGAGAGTAGGTCATTTTTTTTTCTTCTTCTTGAAATAGATAGATATATTTATATATTTATTTTAAATTAACTTTAAAGAGGAAGAAGGAAAATTTAAAAATAATATATTCACAAAAATAATAATAAAATTATAGATAGGAGTTTGAATAATGAGTTATAATTACATAAAATGATTGGCCAAGTGAATCATCTTTTGATAAATCTTATTGAACCAAAAGCCTGTGTCCTTTTTTTTTTTTTTTTTTGTTTTACATAAATATATCACTTGTTATTAAAGTCAATTATGGAATCGGATGATTACTATGATAGTATAGATTTACATATAAGATGGTCGGATAGACAAGATCTTATATTGCGTGTATCACCAGAAGACACAATACATATGATTAAAGAAAAAGTCATTATTTTATTCATGACGACATTGACTCTGTTATTTAATTCTTCTTTATTATTAGATTCGTCAATCATCTAGTAGAACAGAAAATAAATACATTCGACTTATACATAACGGCAGAGTTCTTGAAGACGCAAAAATATTAAAAGAGTATGGTGTTGGTAAAATACCAAAAACAGATTCTAAAGCAAAATTAGAACCCCCTCTGCCTGTCTACTTTCACTGCTCATTATCTGACTATACACCTAAATCATCTAATTCACAAAATGTATAGAATCTAATTAATTCATCAAGTTCCATTAACTCATTTCATTTTTTTTTTTTCTTCTCTATGTATACATAAAAGAATCAACCACAAATAACACCATCTGTTGGATTTGATAGATTAAGAGAGTCAGGCTTTTCAGAAGAAGATATTAGAAATATCAGAGCACAATTTCATAGAATACATGGTACATCATTCGATGAAATGCCTTCAGAAGAAGCAAGAAATCTAGAAGAACAGTGGATGGATAATACAGGAGAGACATTACCAGATGGAAGTAGGTGTATTTGTATATACATATTTATATGGATATGTATTTTTTTGAAACAGATATTGATGATATCATTATCCTTTTTATAGCTATGCAGGGAACATACAAAGAAATGATGTGGGGTTTAATGTTGGGATTTTTCTTGGGTATTATTTGCTTATTTTGGTTCCGAGAATCTGTGTTTTCAAGAAGACATCAAATGGGTATCATTGCTGGTATTTTGATTAATATATCGTTTGGTGTCCTTCATGTTTATTACTAAAATCTGTTGTTGTACACTATTATTAGAATTCCGTTTTTTTTTTTTTTTTCCTTTTTCCTTCCTTTTTCCTTTTTTTTTTCTTTTTTAATTTCATAAATGTACTTGATCATCATTATATGTTCATGTCTCATCACATTAACATTACTTAGTATATGTGCAAAAAAAATACATGAACTACAGGCCTCAGTATTATCTTATGGAAAATTAAATTTACATAATAATAGAAAACCTATTACAAGTTGGGCTCAAACCCTTTCGACATTAAAAATACCTAAACATTATTTTAATCATTTTTACGTGATTGGCTTGTTTACAGCCTTAGAATCTATACTTGAGATTACATTATGGCTTTATTTTAAGAGATCTTTCATTTTGATAAGATTATTACAACGTTATGATGTGAACATGGGCAGTGATCATGTATCGAGAGAACAAATATGGATCGGTTTAGTGATGATGACGTGTCATTTGATAAGACGTGTGTATGAATCCTTTTGGATTGAAAGACCTTCAAAGACAGCTACGATGCATCTATCTCATTACTTTATTGGAGTTGGGTTTTATGGAGGTATGGTGTTAGGCACTTGGCTGGAAGGAGCAGCTCAGTTGGGTCTATGGGGGGAGGAGGACAGTCGTCGTGGTCGTGATGAGCAAAAACAGTCACTTCATGTGTTGACTCTCTTGATCGCTTTTGGATTATTTCTATATGCTTCATATCACCAATCTCGTTGTCATAAGATATTAGCCTCTTTAAGGAAACAAGATCGTGAAGTCTATTCAATACCAAGAGGGGACTGGTTTGAATTCATCGTTGCTCCACATTATTTTGCAGACATCTTGATCTATCTTTCATTAAACATCCTTTATCATTTCCAAAATTATATTTTCATTTGTGGATTGATTTGGACCATCGTCAATTTATCCATTACAGCTAATGAAACGCAATCTTGGTATTATCATCATTTTTCAAGAGAAAAATATCATCAAGCATTTCCTCATGGACGTTATAGAATTATACCTGGTTGTTATTAAAAATAAATGAGAAAAAAAAAAGCATTGACCTTTATTGTACAATTATTTGACTGCCATGCATATTCGAGAGGAAAAGAAAGAATAAAAATAAACTAAAAGAAAAAAAGAAAAGAAAAGAAAAGGAAAAAAAAAAGGGGGAGAATATGTATTTAGAAGAATTTTTGTTTTCTCTCTATCATTATCATAATAATACACATATTTATTTGTTCTTTGTAAAACGATAAGCGAAACGTTTTCTTGTAAAAGAGAATTCACCTAATTTATGCCCAATCATCTCTTCAGTCACATGAACTGGCATATATTCTTTTCCATTATGCACTAAAAACTTGAGTCCAACGAATGATGGTAAAATGGTACAACTACGAGCTATTTTATAAATAAAAGTTAATTTAGTTTTTTTTTTTTTTTTTTTTTTAATTGTAATGTTACCCTGAGTAGCAATAGGAGTACCAGATTGAATAGCTTGTTTTAAACCAGGAAATGCTACAAAAAATGGACCTTTCCAAGCTGAACGAGGCATAATGATCGATATATGGAAATTTGACAAGGGAAATAAAATGCGAAAAAAAAATGAAGGGAGGGGTATCTATGTCTGTGTATGTGTGTGTATGTGTGTATATGTGTGGAGAAGAGAAATTGATTAAAAGCAGTCACATTAAATTATTCACCTGTCCTTTTGATAATATGAAAATAAGGACTCATTTATAATAAAATAGGTTGGGAAAAGACATTTTATTTATTTGCGACATCATTTATTAGTACTTTCCACTAACACGTTCATCAACTAACTTTTCTACAGCAGATATATCAGGACGACCCAATACAGCCAACTTACGATCCCAATCAATAACAAAAGGTCTTTCAAGAAGAGCAGGATTATCTTGGACGATTTGAAAGGCTTCTTCAAATGATTTAGCTTTACCCTGCGCTTCAGGACGTAAGAGATAATCCCAAGGTTTAGTGGAAGGATCCTTTTTGGTTAAACCAAGATATTCAGAAAGAACCATTAATGTCTCTGGTGAAGGAACTTGCTTTTTATATTCAATAATATCCAAGTCATAATGTGCCTTATTAGAAGATTCATCAAGAAGGGCAACACTACGTTTAGACTTTGTACAAGTAGGATTATGGAAAACAGTTAATTTAGGCATTTTTTTTTTTTTAAAAAATAAAACAATAAAATAATAATACTAACAATAATTCTGGAGGTTTTTTATATACAAAATTGAAGCTGGTTTTTTTTTGTGACGTTTTTTTTATTGGCTAAAATATAATTTATAATGATTTACAAGTATTATGTTTCCCTTTCTTTCTTTCTTTTTCTTTTTCTTTTAATTTATACATCTATAATGGCAGATATAGGTAGTTCTGACACCACTTCTGTTTGCTATAAAACTGCAGATTGCACTTTTGAATATTGTGTTGAAAAATCTAACTTGGGAGCAAATGAATATGAATTAATGATAGCAGAACAACCCAATGAAAGATGTAAAAACAATAAATAAATAAATAAATAAATAAATAAATAAATAAATAAATAAAAAGGTTATCTAAAAAAAATGTTATCTTTTGTGTTTTAAGCTTTAATAAAACAGCTGGGAATCTTGGATCGGTTTTTAATTGTATGGATTTTATTAGCAATGATAATTGGAGTTATTATTGGCTATTTTGTACCTCACGTTCAAGAATCATTTGAAGTGATTCAATTTGGATCCGTCTCTGTCCCGATTGCTATTGGCTTATTAGTGATGATGTATCCTGTTTTATGTAAAGTTCAATATGAACGATTAAATATCATTTTATCAAACAAACAGATCTGGCTTCAAATCCTGATTTCAGTTATTATCAATTGGATTATCGGGCCTATTATCATGACAGCGCTTGCTTGGGCATGTTTACCTGATTTACCTGGTTTCCGTACAGGTGTAGTGATGGTTGGATTAGCTAGGTAATTTTTTGCATATTACGCAATAATAATAATCAATTTACATATATTATCTAGATGTATTGCTATGGTTTTTATCTGGAATACACTTGCAGGGGGTGACCCAGACTATTGCGCAGTACTTGTTGCTATCAACTCTATCCTTCAAATTGCACTGTATTCACCTTATTCTCTATTATTCATTAATATTATCCCTTCTTGGTTTGGTGCATCAGTTGATCAATCAATTCATGTTGATACTTGGCCTGTGGCGCAATCGGTATTAATCTATCTAGGTATCCCTCTTATTGCAGGCATCATAACACGATACACGTTAAGGTGGCTTAAAGGTAGCAGCTGGTATGATCATCGATTCTTACTTTATTTTGGACCCTTGGCATTAATTGGTTTACTTTATACTATCATTATCATGTTTGCAAATCAAGGTCATCATATCATTACTCATATTGGATCTGTTGCTCGTGTAGCTGTCCCGTTAATTATCTATTTTCTTGTCATGTTCTTCATACCTTTCTTTCTTTTGAAATCTGTCTTCCATTTCCCTTATGAACTGGTCGTTACTCAATCTTTTACAGCAGGTAGTAATAATTTTGAATTGGCGATTGCAGTCGCAGTGGGTACCTATGGCATTCAGTCAGAACAAGCTTTAGCTGCCACGATAGGTCCCTTAATCGAAGTCCCCGTCTTACTTTGTCTTGTTTATGTTTCTCTTTATTTCAAAAGAAAACTAAATTGGGGGGAAAAAAAGAAAAAAAATGAAAGCAGTATCCCCTAAAATAAATGAATATTTATTATTATTATTTTACTAAAATGAGAGACTTTCTATATCGTTGTTCATTCATTTACTATTAGTTTCACAACTACAACAAAAAAAAAAAAAAAAAAAAAAAAAAAGGAATGAAACATCAGCATGTCATTTATTACTTATTTGATTGGTAGAAATCCATTTATTAAATATACATAATAATAGAAGAACTTATTGGCTAATATTATTACAAGAAAAAAAAAAAGAAAAGAAAAGAAAAGATATAAGCCTTTCCCTCTCCTCGTCGCCATGTAGAATAGCATCATTCATATATACATTACTGAGGAGGAAGAACTCGAACAACGACAGAATCCACTGTTTGTAAATAACTATTTAACCTTCTTACAGCCAATAGAAGGGAAGTTTCATTTTGTGCTGCACCACTGACAGCCTCAGATGGAACAGTAAACGGGAAGACAGTTTTACTAAGAGGACCACCTGCTAAAATATGATTATCACCAAAGAAGAAGATGGAAACAACTTGTTGAGGTTGTTTTGTTTCAAAAGTCTAAAAAAAAAAAAAAAAAAAAAAAAAAAAAAAGGGCATGACGACGTTGATTAAGCTTGGGAAAGAAGAAGAATTGAATCATGATATTACCACATTCACAAGTTCACCTACATGCCAAGTTGTATTTGGTAGAGGATATACAATTTCTATATTGATAAAATAGATGCCATTTGTTTATAAATATATTCAAAATATGTATGTATTGTATATAAATATAAAAAAAGGGTGGGATAGAATAAATTACCTCCTTGGTTGTCTGCTATCGTTTTTATATCATTATGGACGTTTAATTGTTGAATAAACAGTTTAGCAGCTTGAAAATCATCCTCATTTGGAATTACGTTAGCTGTAGTCGAAAGTAAAAAAAGCAAAAGAATAAAGATGAACTTCATTATGATAAATTACAAAAGAAAAATACTGTATATTATTATTATTATTTTTGAATTCTTTTATACATGTTCTCATTCAATAACACTTGTCGTATCATATTCAAATCAAGGATATCCTTTCTCTTTTTACTTGAATGATAGGACAAGTTTTATGTCTCATTAGAGACCATGACATCAAGTTAGCTACTGCATAATTCCTCTTTATTGTTACACTTCCCATGGATGTGCTACACTAATTTTTTATTTTATTTTATTTTATTTTATTTTATTTTATTTTATTTTATTTTATTTTATTTTATTTTATTTTATTTTATTTTATTTTATTTTATTTTATTTTATTTTATTTTATTTTATTTTATTTTATTTTATTTTATTTTATTTATAATTCATAACCCACAAGTACATATTCTGGCTCTTGACCATAAATAATAGGATGCATCATTTCGAAACCAAGATACATAAAAGCACGTAAAATAGTATTCAGACTTTCTTTATATTGATGCTTATTAATACAGACAATAAGATGATTACAACCCGTCTTTTCTTCAGCAAGTTCAATTAAATGAGTTATACTATAAATTCATTATATAATGAGGCTTCTTGTTAAAACAAAAAAAAAAAAAAAAAAAAAAAAGGATGATACTTTACCATGATTGGAATTCACCATCAGCCCAATTTAATAAACCAGTTTTATGACCCACAAATGGAGAACTAAGAAAGACAGTATTATTATGAATAAATGCTTCACAAAAAAGAATAGTTTTTTTTTCATTATTAGTAGTAGTTTGAATAGTTAATATTTCTTCTACTTTTGAATCAAACTTATTTGATTGACCAAATACTTGAATAATGAAATCATTCTGGCCTAAAAGAATTTTGTGTCAAGTCTTTTTTCCTCATGCACAGATCTTCTACTATTGTAATTTTTTTTTTTTTTTTTTTTTTTTTTTTTTTTTTTTTTTTTACCTTGTTGACGACCCTTTACGGTGACAAAATCAACTGTTGTTTCATCTTTTTCATCTTCTTGTGGTGTACTACTCAATCTTATATGGTTAGAAGAAGGAATAGTGGGTACAACCGTGGATATGGGTTGTAAAGGAATTGATATTTCTTTTTTAACAGAGCTTGCGATAATCATGGACTTTTATTACTACTACTACTACTACTACTATATCTATTTTTCTCTTTGGTGGCCTTTGAAAAGAGGGTGCTTGAAGCGTAAAGAAGAATTACTATGTGCTTATCCAGTGCTGTTACTCTATTTACTTGTAGGTGTTTCGCTATCATTATTGAAAGAAGAAAAAGTGAATAAAAGTAGTTATATCCATGAATGATATTTTATATATTTGTATATATTATACCTATTAAAACACCTAAAAAACAAACAGAAATTTAAAAGGGAGATTTGATTGGTTGAAAAAAAAATATGGTAAAAAAAAAATAGGTAAAAAGTTGGTTTTAATAATTAATTTCTTCTTTTTTTTGGTGTCCTTTTTTTTTCTATTATTATTTTTATTAACAATAATAATAATAATAATGGCTATAATATCTTGAAATATGTATATAGTTTGTTGACTATAAAGAAGTTATATATATTTGTATCTTGATAGATTAAGTAGTGTTCAAAAAAAAAACAATAAAATAAAAAGGAGAAGGGTTCTCTTGTGTGGAGAAAAAAAAGTAAAAGAAAAGTAAAAGAAAAAAGAAAAATATAGAAGAAAATAAAAAAGTAATTTTATAAATAAATGAATGTTAGAAAAAATTCGGTATTTAAACTCAACGATGTTACATAATAAGTTATTATTATTCAATTGCTCTCATACTACCACATCAATGATGAAATAGAATCATGGGAAGCTCTTTGTTATGGCCAATTAAATTAAAAGCTTCTATTTAAGAAGAAATGAATAAATTCTTTCTTCCTTCTTCTGATATGAGTGTAAACAAGTCAACTAATACTAAAGGAGATTATTTTATTCTTCTTTTCCTTCAACTATAAAGTAACAAGAAGAATGAATAGACATTATCGTATTTCTTTAGCTTTAAAGGATGTGATAATTGAGTTACTTTATATAGTAGAGAATTTTGAATTTCAAATTCAAAATATTACAACTATTTTTTCGAATGAAAAGAAAAAACAATTTGAGATAATATAATATTCCAATTTAGAGAAAGTGACTATTCATTTTAGGCAAACATAAAATACTAATTAAATAGAATCAATAAATAAAACTAATAAAAAGCTAAGCATCTCTCTCTCTTTTTTTTTTTTTCTGCTTTATTCTGTTCTTTTTTATATAACTTTATAAATGTATGAAGCTATAATTCAAGAAAAAATTTGTACTGTTAGGGAAAAGCGAATACAGGAAATCCCTTAAAGATTATTTTCTATTATTTATGTTAAAAAAATGAAGTCAAGAATGCAGATAGAAAATCACAAAGTATCAGTTGATAATTTTGAATATAAAGAAGTGCAATGCATATTCATATATAGATCCATATTTTTAGATACGGGCAGAAAGAGTGCTTATACGGCTTTGTATGCGTTATATATAGAATAGCCATCAAATAAGGAGATATACTACAAAGAAATATTATAATTGACAGAAAGAAAAAGAAATTAATGAAATAATGACATTAGAGACCAATATACCAACGTTAAAGACATTAAATCAAGATGTATACTTGAATTGCATCAATCACCTTCTACTTAATATCTCCCTTCTCTTTAACTTTTACACCATTTCTACAGCTAGAGATCGCTTCAATCTCTACCAAGATCGGCAAGGAGCTGCAGAATATATGGTTCATATATTCTTGCATGGCGCTTCTAAATACAATCAGAGTAAAAAGGAAAAAAAAGAAGAAGAAGAGAAAGAGAAAGAAGAAGCAACAGATGTGAAAAGAGAAAGATAGCAAGTACTAAAAGCTCCATAAACCAGAATCGAAAATATAACAATGGAAGACAGTCAAGTTTGAATATGATTAAACAAAAGCTTTCCCCTTTTTTAGTTTATGAAGAGTGAAAATTGTAAAAAAAAAAACTGTGGCAGAGAGATCTCTATTTGCCTGTTTATTTGGAAAAGAAATGGGCTGACCTGATGAAATTCAACAAAGATGACAACAGTAACGTTTGTTTAGACCCCCCCCTGTAACGAATACGGGGTTTCTCCTCTACTTGTAGAAGAAATTTAGATCATTACAAGTAATATACATTATACCTATTGAATTAGTATTTTATATTTGCCTTAAATGAATGGCTACTTTCTCTAAATTGGAATATTATCTTATCTCAAATTGTATTCGAAAAGAACTTGTAATCTCCTGAATTTGAATTTTAACAAATACTGTAAGAGTTAGATTATCACATGCGTTTAGGTTTTCTCACATGAATCGGAGCTGTTGTTTATTTTATGATTTAAAGCTATCTATCTCTTCTTTCTTCTTCTTCTTTCTTCCCTTTAATTTTATTTATTTATTTGTTTTATTTTCTTCAAGTGTACACACCAAATGTTAAGAACAGTTTCTAAATTAATATGTACAAACAGTCGTCGTCATTATTCTACTGAAGCATCCAGTATGGGTATGGGTTTTAGTTTAACAGAAGAACAAAAATCCATTCAGCAAATGGCTCGTAAATTTGCTCGCGAAGAAATTATACCTGTCGCTGCTGAATATGATCGAACAGGAAGATATCCAACTGAAATTATTAAAAAGGCATGGGAATTAGGTTTAGTGAATACACATATTGAAGCTCAATATGGTGGCATGGGTTTAGGTGTTCTGGATAGCGCCATTATCTCTGAGGAATTAGCCTTTGGCTGTACAGGTATACAGACAGCGATTGAGGCTAATAATTTAGCAGAGGCACCTTTAGTGGTAGCAGGGAACGACTTTCAAAAGAGAAAATATTTAGGTCGTATGACAGAGGCCCCCTTAATGGCTTCTTATGGCGTTACAGAGCCTGGCGCAGGCTCAGATGTGGCTGGTTTATCTACCTCTGCGGTAAAAATGAAAAGGGATGGAAGTTGGGTTATCAATGGACAAAAGATGTGGATCACAAATTCAGGTCATGCAAATTGGTTCTTTGTCTTGGCTCGTACAGATGCAAATGCGAATACAGGTAAAGCCTTTACAGGGTTTATCGTGGATGCAGATACACCTGGTATTAGTATAGGTCGTAAAGAGATCAATATGGGTCAACGTGCATCAGATACGCGTGGGGTTACATTTGAAGATGTCGTTGTACCCGCTGAGAATGTCTTGGGTGCTGAAGGAGATGGCTTTAAGATTGCTATGAATGCCTTTGATATCACACGTCCATTAGTAGCCTCGGGTGCTATCGGTTTAGCTCGTCGAGCCATGGAAGAAGCGACTCGTTATTCTTTAGAACGTAAAACGATGGGTAAACCTATCTTTCATCATCAAGCTGTCTCATTCATGTTGGCAGATATGGCAATAGGTATTGAAAGTGCACGTATGATGGTCTATCGTTCAGCTTATATGAGAGATCAAGGAGAAAAGAATACATGGCATGCAAGTATTGCTAAAGCTTTAGCTGGTGATGTAGCTAATAAATGTGCTACAGATGCTGTTCAAATCTTTGGTGGGAATGGGTTTAATACAGAATATCCAGTTGAAAAATTAATGCGTGATGCAAAGATATTTCAAATATATGAAGGTACAGCACAAATTCAACGTTTAATTATCTCTCGTGGTTTAGCAGATGCTGTAAAGAATGGTGCAGATGCTCTTGGTGGTTTTTAAGAAAAAAATAAAATAAATAAATAAAATAAAATAAAGTAAAATAAATAGGGCTTTATTACGAAATAATAGTGGTATAAACATGGCCAAAATCGTCTACATCATCAAATTGAATGATAGGACCATTATAGCCCTTTTTTTGTGCAAACACAGAATACCATGACATGTATGTATGATATTCGTCTACTTCATTTCTCATAGATTTTATTGTTTGTTCCAATTCATCTTCTGTTATCCATTTATTTGTTAGCCAATCTCTTTGAAGTCCTTTAATAATCCTTTCCCAATATTCTAGTAATAATGAACCAATCGCACCACCATATAATCCAACAGGTGTATGCGTATGATATATCTGCATGCCTTTTAATTGACTTTGATTAGCTATTCGATTTGGCCATGGATTTAGCTTTGGTTGTTCATCTGTAGATGGATGATGTAAGCTTGTCTTGATAACTATAATATATAAATGATGAGCATGTAATAATAGAATAATCAAAAAAAAAAAAAAAAAAAAAAATAGGTAGTAGAAAACTTGCATTGATTTAATAGTGACATTGAAGGGCCAGCATCTAATAGATTATCATATGCTTCTATACATTCAATATAAGCACCCTTTTTCATTATTCTGATTAGATCCTTTAATATATTATCCCACATCGAGTCTGGTAATGTATCCATCATTGAACGTATAAAGATATAATCAAATGTAGCATCTTCATAAGGTAATGGTAACTCGATTAAATCTATACGATGATACACAATATTTTTTGATAACGAACTATTTAAATAGAATAAGATAACACATCTATTATAAATAGATACACATATTTACCTTATTGGTAAAATATTCTTATCAATATCAATGCCTGTAAAATAAGATAAAGGGTATTGTGAAGCCATGTCCTATGATGATTACATAATATCAATAAATAAAATGAATAATATACATGTATATAAAGAAACACATTACACTAGTCCAAAATCCTGATCCACATCTATATAAAATAGGTAATTGTAAATTGACATATTATACTCTTATTATTAAACCTACAAATGACATACTTACCCAATATCTAATACTTCACAGCCACCTGCTTGTAACAGCCTTTGAACGGGTGCCTTAAAATCACTATTATATTATGTTTATCACTACTTTATATAATTGTATGTAATATTCATTTTTTTACCTTTCAAATGCTAGTTTAAGAGCACAATGTCTGGCCCAATCTCTTTCAATATCATCCACTGTATTTGGTAGTCTTTGTCTTATGCTTAATTTTGTATCTTTATTAGACGTTCTCCACTTTAATTTTAAGAAACTCGAAAAAGAAGAAGTACTGCTACTATTATTATTGTCAGCTAATGAACTTGTTGCATTCATGTTACTATTCACCATCTTTGAAATGAAATAATAAAGGAAAAAAGTAGAAGGAAAAAAAATTTTTTTTTTTGATATTATTATGTAGCCAAACAAAGCATTTAGTGTAACATCTTCCTCCTATATCGTGTTGTATCATTCATGAAAAAAAAAAAAAAAAAAAAAAAAAAAAAAAAAAAAAAAAAAAAATCCCGAAATTGAAAAACTCGTTTTCTCTAATATAAATCTTCATTTTTTTGTAAATTTCATAATAATCCAGATTAGCGTATTGGGAAAGGTATATAATATAAATAGTATCTATTTGAACAAAGAGGAAAATGCAAAGAGAGTATCTATTTTACATAGAAGGGAGAAACAAGACTGTAGCATGATGGATAATCGTACAAATCATGTTTATTTTAGGTCTCATATTGCAATTTATATTAGTAGCGGTAGCTGTTGATGTATTATTTTTATCGTCATAATAACAACAATCATACTAGATTCAAGAATCATCAACAAAGGATATTATTATAACTATCAAGTCGTATACTTTGATACAATTTATAATGTGTATTATTATATAAGACATGAATTGATACTATGAAACAATAATAATTAGTCAAATATAGAGTAAAAGAATGTTCAAATAAAATAAAAATAAAAATACCAGTCATTCTTTCTAATTTGACCTTAAAGTCATACAAGGCTTTTCTGATCATCTCTGCAAATATCTTTACTGTTCTCTACAGCCTTTTTATTTATTTATTTATTTATTCAATCTTCTTGATTACCTTTTCTTATCTTTAGCTTTAATGTGAATGGATTGCTGTGACTTTTAATATCCTGCTAAAGAAGTCTAATTCAAAATAATTAAGCTTCTAACTCATCATTCAAAAACTAGGTTTTATTGCTCATGTCAAACTAAATTGCTATTTTAATACCCGCCAAATGGTAATAAAAATAAATTAAAATAAATGAGACAGGTGTAATTTTTTTTTTGTAGACATCACGAGCCAAAAAAAGTGTGGAATGAAAACACATGTTATTGTTTAAAAGCTTATACTGTATCTAGAATTGATATAGCAATGATAACTGTACAAGATTTGGTGCTTTTCTAGTTGGCCAACCGTTACCGGCTAAGGAGGCCTGTCTCCTCTCTCTCTCTCTCCCTCTCTCTCTCTCTTTTGGTGCCAGTGATAATGGGAACTGTCTTCATTTCAGATCTTTTGCCTTTTCCACGTAACCCAAAAATAGATATATACATCTCTGACGTTTAAAGTTAACGCCATAGCCTTTAACATTTTTGGTTTTTGCATCCAAGTCAAAAATAGCAAACTTATTTTTTTTTTTTTTACTGTATCTCTCAGTGATATTATCCTTTACTGTAGTCAACTAACACTTTTGTTTCTGAGTTGCCATTCTTCTTTCAAAAATAGATCGAAGGACGGTATATGTAACTTATTTCCGAATTGTAAAAAAGAAAAAAAAAATCCATTCAGGTACGCTGTGTTTTTATTTTATTTGTTTCATACGAGTTGTATTGAATGTATGTGTCTTGATGATAATGTTTCGGTAAGCTCTTGTCTTTAACGACTTTGTTTGTCAGTTTAGCTTATGGTTTCAAAGAAGTGGAATGAAGACACTTCCTGTAAAAATCAACAATAGCCAAAATCAGGGTTTGTTTTTCCAATACTTGGATAAAGATGTACTTTAAAAAAAAAGAAAAAGAAATGCATTATTCTATTTTTCTTGATAACTTGTCTCAAAATGTTTACGCGATCGTTTCATTTGTTTTATATAAAGCGTCCTACCTTATTTTAGATTAGAATAGAATACTGTAACGGGGTTTTGCTTGCTATTATAGAATTTTGAATAATAGTTATCTTAGGAAAACTAGAATGCTATCAAAAGGAGTGTGTTCGCCATATATTGGGTGGTAATCAATTCCAATTTATCCCACAGTTCTTTGAAACAGGATTCAACCCTGTGGTTATCAATAAGCGTCGTTGTTGTCTTTTGTTGTTGTTGGCATCTTACTTGACCTCTCAGTCGTGTTTCTCGTCGGCCGTGTCCTTGTTATCCATATAACAACTTTACCCGGTAAACATTCTATCCAATGTCTCCAAATACCATTCACAATTGTTGATCCAACTTCCTCTAAAGAAACCAACGTCTCCACAATTTAGTAGTTTCTTACTTGGATAGTTAGCCTTGTATCATTTTATATATAAAAAGATCTTTTTTGTTTCTATTTCATCAGACACGTTCTCCTCTTCTCGTCGATCCTAGTGTCAAATTAACGTATTGATAGTCCTCACAGTAGACTAGTATTTTCATCATACTGTTTCTGATGTCTTCTTCTGTCTCTGAACACTTAAGAGGTCTCCTTTTTTTTTGGAACTGATGACAGCATAATAAAATTGCCAAGTGCTCATTGGTCATTTTTTATTCTATTTTATCTTTATAATAAATAAATTCTTTTAATTGTAACAGTCGACGTATATATAAACACCCCCCCTTCCAAATATGATCAGTTTATATTCATATAAAAAAAATAAATAAATAAATAAATAAAATAAATAAAATAAAGCTTTCTTTTTTGTATATAAATAAATAAATTTACAAGATGTTAAAGGTAAAAAAAAAATAATAATGTTTCAGCAAAATTTACTTTTACTAACTTTACTAAATGATAATAATAATAATAATAAAGAGTACAATCACTACAGCCTATAAAGTGACAACAACTTCTACTACTGCTCAACGTAATGCTGTTGTATTCTTATCTATACGTCACATGTCATTAGAGACACATCAGTATTCTAATGATAACTTAGACATGTCATTACCTCCTTCCATGCAAAAAAAGAATTTAGAAAATATAATATTGAATGTAAATAATCAAAAGAGTGTATTATTTTCGGACGAGACTCGTACTAGACTTGAGCGTCTACGTCAACATCAATTCCATCCTACTAATATGCCAGATTCTCCTGATTTTGGTACAAATCAATATCTAAATATTAATGAAGAATTGAAGAAACAATTAAAAGATGTTATCTCTCAATTCAATGCACCTATCCGATATGCAGTTGCATATGGTAGTGGTGTATTCCGTCAATCAGGTTATGATGATAAGGTACAAGAAATATGAGATAAAAAAAAAAAAGGAAAGGAAAAAGAATTATAAATATTTAAAGAATACATATATATATGTGTGTGTATATGTATATATGTATATATGTAAATATGTTTATATTGTATATATATATATATATGTATATATGTATGTATGTATATTTGTATGTGTATATGAATATTAGAAAAAACCAATGATCGATTTTATATTTGGCGTTAGTCATCCTGGACATTGGCACGCTTTAAATATTCAGCAAAATCCTCATCATTATTCAGGCATTCGCCTGTTTGGTTCAAGTGCCGTATCCCTATTACAAGAAAAAATAGGTGCAGGCGTCTATTTTAACCCATATGTACAGGTGAATGGTATGAATGTTAAATATGGAGTAGTGTCTATCGATAAATTATGTAAAGATTTAATTGATTGGGAGACATTATACTTGGCTGGACGGATGCATAAGCCAGTCAAGATTCTTCGAGATGATGCTCGTGTACGTTTAGCCAATCAAGTGAATTTAACAGAAGCTATTCGAGTAGCTCTCTTAACTCTACCAGAAAACTTTACTGAAAGAGAACTATTTGAACGTATTGCTGGCATTAGTTATAAAGGAGACTTTAGAATGATTATAGGTGAAAATCCTAATAAGATTGAAAATATCGTTTCCTCTCAGATGGAAAACTTTCATCGACTTTATTTTGGACTTTTAGATGACTTACCTAACATTGCCATTCTTAATCAAGGACGCCTTCAACAGAACTATAATCCACGTTTCCGTGGGTTAATGATTAAAAAGCTCCCTAAAACTTTATATGACAAAGTGATTAAAGAGCATCTCAAACATGTCAGTAAAAATAATATCCAGATTCCAGAAGATAAAACACTTTTATATGAACAAGTAGCTCAATCTGAAGCATTAAACAAGTATATAGAAAGTAGTAAGTGCATATGGTGTATATATGTATAGACATATAATAGAGATATTTATTGAAAAAAAAATTAACAATTTTTTTTAGGCTTAAAAGAAATTATTGCACGTACAGCTATTACTCAAAGTGTCAAAGGTATCTTCACTGCAGGCACAATCAAGACAGTACGTTATGCTGGAGAAAAACTACAAAAATGGTGGACAGCAAAGAAATAAAGATGACTCTAGTATAATAAAGGGGATATTTATTATCACGAGGAAGAATGTTTATGTGAAAATAATTCATTTGATTCTATTAATGTATCCACCTGATTTATAAAATTGAATATATCATTGAAATAGTTCTTATCAACATGTTCCAAGTTGTTTTTAGCAGAAGATAATGACCAATCTTTATGTGAATTGATATCAATTCCAATGCTATTTAACCATAAACGTATTTGATTTGTATTATTCCTTGAAAGATTACTGGGAAAATAAATCAAGATACGTTGATGTTGTTTATCAAAACAAGTCACAAATGAGTATTGATCTTGATATCTTTGTAATTGCTTTAATAGTTCAATTATATTTACAAATTTGATAGATCTTTTATAAGCTATCTGTGTGATAGAGTCGATTAATGATTGAATATCTCTACTTTTTGTAGTAAAAGAACAATCAAAATAGCCTTCTTCTTCTTTCATATCAATACAAAGATAGATAGATTCTTGTTGCTCTTGTCTATTGTTATTTGTATTAATGATAATTTTACTACTATTCGATATCATCATTGACTTTTTATCTTTAATTAACTCGATTATTCCATTTGATTGTACTGCTTCTCTAGAAAAGATACGATGATATCCTGATTTATGATTATTTGATACTACTTGATGATTATGAACTCGTTGAACTGGTGCAATAGAGCAAAATGGTACTCTTGTATATCCTATAGTCGATGTCATAATGAAGAAGAAAAAAATATGTTATAAAAGGAGAAGAAGAAGAAGAAAAAAGACGTTATCAGCAATCTTAATGCAGTATTTTTTTCTTTTTTTTCCCACTAATTATTATATGTATTGAGTTTCAAAAAAAAAAAAAAAAAAAAAAAAAAAAAAAAAAAAGATAAACAGCAACAATCTGCTTCTTATAAAATAGACTTCATAATGACTACTATGACTATTTAGCTTACTTTGATTTTATTTGCTAGAATGGTTTTATATAGGATGACGACTTAATCGTTCAATGCCTTCTATATCAAATATTCCAGATTCTTCTCTTTCAATTCCATAAATGACAGCTCTTGCTACCTCTTCTGTTTGTAAAGGCGGCGTCGTTAAATACTTTCCACCAGGTAAACTTGAAATACTTGATTTAAATGGACTTGTGATTGCATTTAATAATTGAAGTGCTCCGGCAATAGGCATAACTGAAGGTCGCTGAAGATTATACATAATACCTGTTTATATGTATATACTTTATTATTTAGTTCTCGTGATAGAATAGAGATGAATATATTACCAGGTCTTAGGACAATTGTCTTGAATTCATCTTTTCTAAATAAATAGCTTTCTGCTTCTCTTTTTGTAGTGATATATCTAGGATGAATACATGGGAACACATCTGAAGCTGATATATATGTAAATGATTTTATTGTTGGTAATTTGGCTACTTGATCAGCTATTGAAATCACTTTTTTGCATCATATATGTAAGTTCTAACACATATATAAACAAATTGTCCTTTTTTTTTTTTTTTTTACCGGTATCCCTATTCATTATTTCATAAGTGGGTCTAGGATTTTCTTTTAATTTAGGATCAAGTGGATTTCCTTGATCTCCTAATAAGAAACGAGGTACTTTACTAGCAGCTTCACAAAAGGATTTTGCTTGAACAATAGACTTATAATCTTGTTCAAGTAAAATACCAACTGAATGAACTACATTCGTGACTCCATTTAAAATATCTTTATAAGTTTCTGGCTTAAGTGAGTCACCAGACACCCATTGAACCTACACCAAATTTTGTATAAATGAATGTACTATTTTTTTTTTTTTTTTTTTTTTTTTTTTTGCTCTTTTATATATATATACCTTTTGAGCCCAATCAGGCTTACTATTATACTCTTTAAATACTTTAGGTTCTCCTCTGCGACTGAAAATAATAATAATAATAATTACAATTGTTAAACAAAACAAAAAAAAAAAAAGAGGGAGGGAAAAGTTATCAATGAATACCTTAAGCTAATAGTCTCCCAACCCTTGTTAGCAGCAAGTTTACAAATATTGAGTCCTAAATGTTCAACAATCAACATTCATTTTTTTTTTTTTTCGTTGTGGAATCTTAAAATAATAACACACACATGTATATGTGTTCAACATTTACCGAGAAATCCTGAACCACCAACAACAAGTAACTTTTTAGTCATCGTTTGAGCCATCGTTGTACTATATTCTATAATAAAGCAAAAAACAAAAAAACAAAAAGACAAAAAAAAAATGAGAGAGTATCGTTTACAGCCCTTTTTTTTTTTCTTTTTTTTTTTTTCATGGATGCATTTCTTGTAATATAATAAAAAAGATTAAAATCCAGACAATATTCTCTTCTTTTTTGATTTACTATAATGCTTAATATAGTCATGTTTAAATAGATAAAGATATTTTTATTCTATTTTTATTATGTATGAAGAAAATGAAAAAAAAAGGAGATAAGATTACTTGCGAACGTAAACAGTAACATCCTCAAAAGCAGTAGTGGATTCACAATCAGTAGGTGCTTCAGCACTACCTTCTAAAATAGTTAATTCACAAAGACCCTTAGCCAAGGCAGTGATAACTTCCTTTTCAGATTCAAAAAGTTTAGAAAGAACCTCATTCTTGGTTTGAATAAAGGAAACAATATTCTTCTTTTGATTCAATTGTGTAGCAAGGGAACGAATAGATTTAACAGCTTCAAAGACAAAATCGAATTGTTTTTCGGCTTCAAAGAATTCATAAGCCTTGTTTTCAATAGGGAATTTGGCCTTAACAATCGTACTTTCGTCATGGTTGGGACGACGAGGAAGACGTTGGAATAATTCTTCTGTAACAAATGGCATGAAGGGATGCATAAGTTTAAGACCAGCTTCAAGACAAGTATACAATGTGTTTTGAGCTGTGATCTTGCGTGTGGTGGCAGCTTCATCTTGAGTTGTGTCAGAATCACAGATAGGCTTAACAACTTCGATATAGACATCACAGAGCTCATAAAGCCAGAATTGATAAACAGCATTTGTAGCCATCATAAAGTTACGCTCCTCAAGGTATTTATTGACATCAATAGCACATTTGTTGAGCTTGGTAAGAATCCATTTATCAGCCAACGATTCATGACCAGTGGGTTCAGCAGATTCAAAGGGCTTAAAGTTTTCTCCCAATTTCATCAAAGCAAAACGTGTAGCATTCCATAATTTGTTACAGAACTTACGATAACCTTCAACACGAAGGATATCAAGATTGATATCACGTCCACCTGTTGTATAAGCACAGAGTGCAAAACGAAGAGCATCAGTACCACATTGAGGAATACCCTTAGGGAAATCTGCCTTTTGACCCGCTTCAGCCTTCTTGATTTCTCTGGGATCAAGATTACCTTCGTAAAGCTTAGCATGAAGACCTTGAAGAGAAATACCTTCGATAACATCAACAGGGTCAATTACATTACCAAGAGACTTGGACATCTTACGACCATGAGCATCACGGATCATAGCATGACAAAGGACTTCAGAGAAGGGGACCTTACCGGTCAATTGAATACCAAGCATCACCATACGTGCAACCCAGAAGAAAAGAATATCCCAACCAGTTTCCAAAAGACTGGCAGGATAGAAATGTTTCATGTTCTCAGTCTCTTCAGGCCATCCCTGAGTAGAGAAGGGCCATAAACCAGAAGAGAACCAGGTATCCAAGACATCAGGATCTTGTTCAAGACTGAATTTCTTACCAGGGAATTTCTTTTCAGCTGCTTCACGAGCTTCCTCTTCATTTCTACCAGTCACCCACAAGTCATCATCCATTTGATCTTGTTTTTCACCTTCAATCTTGACAAAGTAAGCTGGGATACGGTGACCCCACCACAATTGACGAGAAATACACCAATCATTAATATTACTCAACCAACGGAACCAATCACCTTCAGAGACCTTAGGAGCAATCTTGAGCTTACCATCCGTAACAGCTTGCATTGCCTTTTCAGCCATACCCTTACACTTAACCCACCATTGAGGCTTCATTAAAGGTTCAATAATATCACCAGACTTACTGCAGATAGGAACAGTCATAGGATTTTCCTTAACACCAATAAACAAGCCCTTGGCCTTCAAATCTTCAATAATCTTGTTACGAACATGGAAACGCTTCATACCCTTATAAGGACCAGCATTTTCATTATAGGTACCATCATCATTTAAAAGATTAATGAATTCCAAGTTGTGGCGCTTACCGACTTCATAATCGTTGTAATCATGAGCAGGAGTAATCTTGACAGCACCAGTACCGAATTCCATATCAACAGCGATTGAATCAGTAACAATTGGAATACGACGGTTGATAAAGGGATGGATGACATATTTACCGTGAAGGTGAGTATAACGCTTATCATCAGGATGGACAGCAACAGCAGTATCACCTAACATAGTTTCAATACGAGTGGTAGCAACAATAATGCGTTCGCCAGTGCCTTCAACTTCATAAGCGAATTCATTAAGAACACCAAATTCAAACTTTTCTTTTTCATCATAACCAACAACATTCATTAAAGTACGACCAGGAATTTCCTTATTTTCAACTTCCAAGTTGGATAATGTGGTGTTAAGTTGAACACACCAGTTGACAAGACGATTAGCACGATAAATAATGCCATCACGGTGAAGACGAATGAAATTTTCGCAAACAGCAGCAGATGGTCCCTTTTTTTTTAAAAAAAAGAATTACATAATATATAAATAAGTAACCCTATTCATTTCTAAACATGTACACTTATATATATATAAAGACTTACAGGATCCATTGTGAAAGTGGCTCTATCCCAATCAAAAGAAGCACCAAGACGTTCAAATTGAGTATGGATTCTGTTACCATACTTTTCTTTCCAAGCAAAAACTTGTTCAATGAACTTTTCACGACCGAGATCATGACGAGTGACCTTCTTTTCCTTCCACAACATCTTTTCCACAACAGATTGACAAGAGATACCGGCATGATCGGTACCAACTTGGAATAAAACAGTCTTACCCAACATACGGTTCCTATAGATTATAATTTTAACATGAATGTATATGTATATATACTACAAGTTATTAATATATTACCAACGAATTAAGGCATCTTGGATTGAAACAGTCAAGGCATGACCAATGTGAAGAGAACCAGTAACGTTTGGTGGAGGAGCAGGGATAACAAAAGTACCTTCAGGCTTAGGGTTACCGTCAGGGCCAAATTCAGGTTTAAAGTAACCTTCCTTAACCCACCAATCATACCAAGCACTTTCAACAGCGCGAGGATCATAAGCAGAAGCCATAGGTTCAGACATGTCTAATTAGAGACAACATTTTTTTTTTTTAATTTTGTTTTAGCATTGCTCTTTTATATAAATATACATGTATATACATATATATTTATATCTTACCCTTCTTTTCACCCTTTGGAGTTTTGTTGACAAAAACAGGAGCAGATTCCTTAGCTTCCTTCTTCTTTTTCTTTTCAGCATTAGCTCCAGCTGCTTTCTTTGCTTCTTGAAGCTACTCATCAAGTTTATGTCAGTTCTAATAACAATTCACCAAAAGAGGGGAAAAAAATTTTTTTTTTTTAAATATATTCACCTTGGCTTGTTTAGCTGCGAATTTTGCCATCTTTGCAAGACGCTTTTCTTCATTCTTAGCTTCCTTAGCAGCCTTTTTAGCAGCAGCAGCAGCATCAAGCTCAGGAGTGGAAGCAGCAGGTGATGCTGGCTTTTGTTCCTTCAAATCAGACATGGTGTTGAAATTAAGAAAACCTGTTGAAACAATTTAATAGAAAACTTTTTTTTTTTTTTCATTTTGACTCGAGGCGATATAAAAATGAACTGAGTTTAAAATATCACTAGGTCTTCCAGTATTTTCAAGTTTTTCATACATGAATAAACTACTTTTATTTTTTTGATTTCATTTATTTATAGATTTTATAAGAACTTAAATTTCACATGCGTGGTTAAATGGAAACAAGGGACCAACTATTTTATTATATTGGCTATTATTAATATATATAAAGTATCGTATGAATAGTTTATAATTTACATGAACTTTTTTTTTCTTTTTTCATTTCAACAATAATTTCCAAGTAATTAAAGAAATAAGTGAAAAAAAAAAAAAAATAGCTTTAAATATAAACTTTTGTATTGACAAAAAGCTTGAAATGAAACATGCAGTAATAATAAACCATAAATATTACAAATTATTTGATTTATATACATATATATATATATAATGACAACAACAACAACACACACAGTACTTGCTTTTTTCTTTGTAAAAGAACAGTGCCCTCTTTTTTTATACTCAAAAAATTAAAATCTTTTTAACGTTACATGCTTGTTGATTAATTTAACTAGAATGATAATCGAACTTGGAGGGATCTAATAAAACTTGATCTACCTGTTTAACATTGCTTGTTTTAAAAGGAAAAGGGAAAGGAGCAAATTTGATACATATCCAAGCCACTTCAGATTCAGCTTTTAGTTGAATCATTTTCGAAAAAAAAAAAAAATAAATAAATAAATAAAATAAAATAAAATAAAAAGTTTATTATAAAGCTTTTACAGTATAAATCAGAATCATGCCTTTCCAAAATAAAGTACTGTTCATCAAAGTCCTTTCTTTTTCTTTTTTCCTTCTTGATCATGTAGTTTGCTAATTTACTTATTTCCTAGGTAGTTTTGGAAAAAGATATTTATGCCGGTATTGTTACTAGTTTAAATTTTCATAGTAATTCTATTTTGGTTGTAGGGCATGGTCCTTTTTTGAAAGTTTATAATGTTCAGACTGGTCACTTATTAGCTTCAGAGTCCATTTTGTCTGGGAATCGAATTCATCGTATTGTTTTTGGTAAGTTGTACATGTATTAACTTTTTTTTTTTTTTTCTTTTCTAAAAACAAAAAAAATAATAACGTATAATGCTTAGCTCCTCATGTTATATATAATGACAATGGCGTTGAAGTACGAAGATTGGCTGTATTTGGATCAAAACATCTTGTCATTCTTCAAGTCGAGATTACAGATTATAAAGCTGTGATAAAGATTGAAAAAACCTTGCCACCATTTAAGGACTGGATTATGGATGCTCAATGGATATTTGATACCAAAACTATTAACGAAACACAACCAACTAAAATGGCCATTGTTTATGCTCATAATAACTTGGCAATTTATGACTTTAAAGATGCAGATCCAGAATTACTTTATGCAGTTCAATGCGAGATGCGATGCATTTTGTATTCAGCGAGAATTTATGGATTCACTCAAGATGATTTAATAGTAGCCTCAGGTACGGTTTTTAATGAAGTGCATTTATGGAAACCATGTGTAAAGAATGAGCAAGATGATGCTATTGTTTATAAAAAGTTGATTGGACATGAAGGAGTCATTTTTGGTGTACGATTTAATGATGATGCGAGTCAAATGGTTAGTGTGTCAGATGACAGAACCATTCGTATTTGGCCACTTGAAGATGAAACGTAATTGAATAAATTATGATAAAGCGTCCGTGTTGAAGTTGCTAATTATATATTATTAATGTAGTAAACAACCCTTGGTCTTATTTGGCCATACAGCTCGAGTGTGGGATTGTCAATTTGTAGATGAATATCTCGTGAGTATTTCAGAAGATACAACATGTCGTGTATGGAGAAATACATTATTAGTAAAATCAGAGGAAGACGATGATAATAATAATGATTGTATTGCTTGTTGGGAAGGCCATGCAAGTAAGAATGTCTGGAGTTGCGCGGTTAATCCTGAACACAAAATTGTAGCAACTGGTGGACAAGACTCTGGTATTCGTTTATGGTCATTAGCGTCTATCAAAAATAATAAAATTGACTCTGAAGACGATTTAGTAGGATTCCCATTACCTGAGGCTAGGGGAAAAGATACAATTAGGAATTTTGTAGTTATTAAAAATCGTTGGCTTATTGCTGCTACAACAGACGGATACATTTTAAAATGTGATAATAGGGTCTTACCACATGAATGGAAAGAAATTCAGTATGATATATCCTATAAGAACTATGCTATCATGAGTAGTTCAGAATGTGGTAGAGTTATCGTTGTAGGTAATATTGTTGGGGAATTGATCATATTAAGTCCAACTGATACATTTGAGGTAAGCATTCTATTGTTTGTAAATATTACATAATATTCATCTTTAAGTTTTTATAGCCTGTTAAAATTGCTGCTCATAAACAAAAATTATTTGAAATCTTTATAAAGCCTTCTTCTTCGAGTAAGTCGAAAATAAAAAAAAAAAAAAATGGTTAAGAAAAAAAAATTACTTACATTATTTATAATCAAAGATCAAGATATTTTCTATATTATTTCAAATGGCTATAATGAAAGAGTTCTATTTCACAAGTTAGATTTATCTACACCAGTTGTGAGTATATAAAGATGTTGTTTTTTTTTATCCTAATCAATTTAGAGCTAATTTTTTTAAAAAAAAAATTGCATAATAGCCAAATATTCAAACATTATTTGACATAGAAATGCCAGTAGAGCGTACTACTGTGTTATCTTTAGATTATGCTGAAGAAGAAAATATTTTGATTTGTGGATCCAGAGAGTCAGCACTTTTAATTTATCGTCTTCCTTATTATGCAGATATTTCTGAAAATAGAGAAATTCAAAAAGTCAAGCCAACACTACAATTACGTAAATCTCATGGTAAACAAGCCATTACTAGTGTCTTGATCAAAAGGACAAAGGAGAATGATGAAATTCCTGAAACAGAAATGGATAATGAGGATATAGGAATGGATAGCATTATTTTTTGGACAACTGGACGTGATGGCTGTTATATCCAGTATAGACTTCGTCTTTTAAATAATCACGATAATAAGACACATATAGTGCCTGTAAAGACTACTCAGTTAGGTATTGCAAGCCAAGGTGATACGGTTATAGTCGGCCAAGATATGACACTTGAAAAACTTTATAGAAATAGAATCACCAAGGGTACATTAGAAGGATCGCTTTTACTTGATGGTGAACTACTTTTGATGGGATTCTTCAGAAAAAATTTCTTTGTATTTAATGAAAAGAATAATTATACAATGGTAGCTATTAGCTGTGGTGGAGGACATAGACGCTGGGGTTTCTCAACAGAGGATGCAAAATTGAATAAGGCAGCGTTTGCCTTTATCAGAAAGGAGACTCTTTATGCTTATTTCCGTGACACATCTAGTATTACAGATGGGTTTAAGGACAGCATTCTTCAAAATAATTATCATGCTCGTGAAGTACGTGCTATTAAATTTCTTCCCTTATCTTTCAAGGGTGAAACCCATCGTTCAGGTGAGGAACCTTTATTATTTGCTACAGGTGGTGAAGACACTATTTTTAAAATTCAACAATATATGCCTGAACAAATACCCCGATTTTATACGCATGTCAATATTCGTAAGCATACAACTGTCATTAAAAATATTGATTATAGTTGTGGGATTTCTTCACTCTTATTTACAAGTGGTGGTCTAGAAGAGTTTAGATGTTGGAAAATTGAAGTCACTCCAGCCAAGTCAGCTGACGGACTTGTTGATTTAAACTGTCTTGAAGTCTCTACCTGTCCAGCTTTAACAGAAGAGATTGAGTCTAGAATTATGAGCACCACTGTATTTGCTATTGATGCCAAGCGTGGTCTCCATGTGATTGGTGCGGTTTATTCTGATGCCATGATTCGTTTCTGGTTATTCAATGAACTAACAAGGAAGTTTTCCTTGGTTGCAGATGGTACCTGGCATGCTAAATGTATTCTGCAAATTACACATCTCAAGTTAGGAGATCATATATACTTTTTTACTTCAGCAACAGATGGAAGAGTTGCTATTTGGGACATAAATGATAACTTATACAAAGCTATTGACAGTTTAGATCAGCTTGAGGCTGAACCAACGAAAGCAGCTTTTAGATTAGACGAACCTATTTATCATTATAGAGTGCATATGAACGGCGTTAATGCATTAGAAGCAGTGGCCTTTAAAGGTAAAAAATATATAAAATAATTAGTCTATATTATAGTGCTGATAATTAAAAAAAAAATCACATTTAGATAATCATCATATTTTGGTTCTTACTGGTGGTGAAGACAATGCAGTATCAGCATCTTTAATGGAGGCTCAAAATGGTGCTATAGTTCCTATTGGTCAACCGTTCATTGTTGCTAGTGCACATGCATCATCTGTGACAGGCATTAAATTTGTTGATAATGCTTTATTCTCAACTTCTACAGATCAAAGATTAAATATGTGGAAAGTTAATGATCTTGATGAAAATGGTGTCTCTTTGACTATGCAAAGTGCTATTTTTATTGATGTTCCTGACCCATCAACCTTAGATGCTATTGCCTTTAAGTAAGTTTTCAATATTTATAATATTTACAGAACAAAAAAATTAACCATCATCTTCTAATACTAGTGGTTATACTCATGTTGCCATCACTGGTGTTGGTTTACAAAGTATAAAATATCCTCAACAAAACTAGTATATGTTAAACTTTGTTTCTTTTTTTTTTGTTTTTGTTTCCTCTTCAATTTCTTCTATTATATAAAACAAAAATAGAAAAGAAAAATGCGTTTATTATTGTCATTCATACAAAAGAAAAAAAAAAACGTCATCATTGCACGCAAATATATATGTATATACTGTATTAGGAAAAAAAAAGAAAGAAAAAATTGAAGTTGTAAAGGTGAATGTTTATCGAGATAACAAATTTATCCCTGACGTTGCTTATGCTTCTTGTTTTTTGAGCATGTCACAAAGAGCTTTCCACGTCTTCTCACAGTTGTACAGCCATCGCACATTTTCTTGACTGCAGATCGAACTTTCATAGTACGAACTATGGTAAGAATGGAAGGATTATTCATTTGTTGTTGCCATGTAAGTTGCTGTTGTTTAGTGAATTGTTGAAATACGTTTTTTGTGAACTGTGACAAAAGTGACATTATGAAATTTGTAAAAAAAAAAAAAAAAAAAAAAAAAAAAAAAAAAAAAAAAAAAAAGGAGAGATAAATTCAGTCTCTCTCTCTGTGTGTGTGTGGGGAGGGGTGGTGGATGCGAGCCCCTCCCTTTTGAAAATAAATTAAAAACAAGTCACAAATGTGGATATGAGCACAGCAGCAAAAATCAACTTTCCTCCTCTTTTTTATATGTACAGACTAACGAATGTGTGTGTACTGCGACGCTAGTTGATGATAATATCAACTATAAACTTTACAGTTAAGCTAATTTATTACAGAAACAAATATAGACGCACTTTTTTTTTTAAAAAGTTGCATGACTCCTGTCTAATACGATCTTTTTATATATATATTTATATATGTATAAAAAACGTTCTCCTTATATCAACTAACTTTAATTTTATACTGATTTTTTCTCGATTAAAATATTTAAATGATAAAATAATTGTTAGATTTAAACAAAAGTATTTTCTTTAATAATGGCCTTTATTACTTTTGTTGGCCTTTATCTATTGTATGTTAAAAGAAAAAAAAAGGGGGGAGGGAGGCATGGAGAAGGTGTTATCAGAGTAATAATAATATAATTCATACAACTTGTTTATTAGAAAAAATAAAATAAATAGGCTACACATACATATAAGCAATGTTAATAAATAGCAAAAATATATGTATATACATATACATATTTGTATAGGTTTTAGATGAAATAACTGTATTTCTGAGGCTATTTTTTAAGTAACATTTTAACCTTTGGTACTAGAAGAAGGTGATTTGAAAACATTGACAAGCATATCAGTGATTTCATTTAATTTCTGTAGTATCTCATGAGACTTGATATGATGGTCTAAATGTTCATTTTTAGCATCCTTTGCCTGCTGCTCCTTTTCAATAGGCTGAGATGGTTCAGGATAACTAGTATCTTCACTTTGCAGATCATCGTCTGTATCTTTTTCTTTAGTGGTGGATTCTTGTTGTTTCCTTTTATGCTTCTGTATTTCATCTGGAGAAAGTTTGGTTATGTCATCACCCTTAATCATAACATATAAATCATGGTCTTCTTCATAATGGTTTATTAGTAATTCAATAGATCGCTCGCAACAAAAGACACATAAAGGGCAACCAAATTGAGGAGACAGATCATTAGGAGCTTGAACAGCATTGGATTCAAAGTCGAAATTATGTTTCTTCTGATAATGATTTAGAATTTGAGAAGGATTATCACAATTGTAGTCGCATGCTACACAAGGGTATTCTAAATGGGGTGATACTCTCTTCCTTGTATGACTGCCTTTACCTACCATTTCTTTGTTAAAAATAAAATTGTATTCATGAAAAGGAAGGAAGGAAAGAAAGAAAGAAGCTGAATGATTATTCATTTCATATTAATCTATACAAAAGAAAAAGAAAGATATATTGGTTTGACTTTTAAAAAAAAAAAAAAAAAAAAAATAGCTTCATTATGAGAGAAGAGTCTATTTTTTATTTTTATTTTTTTAACATGCCATGCATGCATAAATCAATCATAAAAAGACACTTTGACAATTACAGTAAAATAAATAGTAGACGAAGAAGATGAATAAGTTTACAAATATGTCTCTTATAATCCCTGAAAATAAAATAGACTATACATGTTTGATGAGAGAGCGACAGTTTATATATATGCATAAAACACGACATAGTAGCATATTTATGGTAACCCAGGATTTTCAACTTATGATACTGCACTCTACTCCTTTTTTATTTATTATTTGAATACTGAATAGGGATGAAGTATAGAAGACCAAATAAATATATATGCAAGTGTTGTATAATAGTGATTTTTTGTTTCAAAGATGCATTATCAAGTAAGGAGTTCAAGTATACCTCAAAATTGCGTTATATAGTTAACAATACATGCATCATAGAATAAAGATAAATACAGCAGATGCTCGGTATACAAATTATTAATATTTAAAAAAAAGACGGTTTTTAGAATGTATGTAAAAAAAAAATTTGTGACAATATATTTATTATATTAAAGATGTATATTATTATCAAATAATTAAGACCATGTATAAAATAAAATAAAAATTAACATTGTATAAACATGTTAAAATTTAAAAAAAAAAAAAAATGAATTGGTCAAAATAGAAAAAGGTAGGAAGGACTGTTTTTAAGAAAGAACTTTGATATTTTCGGCAACGTGCTTGACATCGACATCATCAACATCAACAACGTGGTTAAGAGTGTCTTTAACTTCGATACCACCAACAACATCATGAACATCAGCGTTAACAAGACCACGATCGCCACAGCCACTATCATGACCACCACAACCACCATCATGATTTCCACCAGAACCGTTATGGTTACCACCGTGACAAGGAGCAGCAGATGAAGCAGCAACCAACAAAGCAAGAGCAGCAATACAGATGTTAATAAAGCGAGTCATTTTATTAGATTAGAAGTGTTAAAGTTGTGTAAATGGGTTTTTGTTTAAAAGAAAGTTGTTTGATGAAGGTATAAAAAAAAAGAGATTGTACATTTGAATGTCTTTATATATACTTTTTTTTTTAAGAAAAAAAAATAACTTGCGCAAGATGTCTAATTTTTTCATATAAAATAAGATCTAGTCTCAAGTACAGAATAAAAATAGGAGAATATACCTTCTCGCTTTCTAGCCTCCTCATTCCCCTTTCTTCATTCCTCCTTTTTTTAAATAAAGTAATACAGTAAAAGTGGTATCATTCAACCTCAAATGATCTGCAACAAAAATTAAGTGAATACAAATACATGCTTTTTTTTTTCAAGAATTCTAATCGAACTTAAGACTTTTCTGACGGTCTTTCCTTTTATAAAACTTAAAAAAGGAGGCAAAGAGAAATAGAGAATGAGGAGAGAACAAGAGACAAGTAAACGGCTTATATGAAAAGGAGAAGTATTTTATATAGCTGTTAAATGACAACTAATCTCCACGTGTAGAAAAAAAAAGCTATCTTATTATTAAAAACTATACATTTTGTATCTAATAAACTATACTGAAAATACATTTATTTTATGGGTAATACTGTCTATGCCTTAAACTATTCTCTTCTCCTTAACCACTAACACATATTAAACTCCTACTAAACTTTTTGGGGATATGCAAAGACGAATAAAATAGGCTTAAGCAATACATCTTACGATCATCTATTTACTCACTTATTAAAAAGCAAAGGTAGAGTGAAAAGCTAAGGTCATCTTTATTTCTTGTTAAGATTGTTTAGTGTTGCTATAATATAAACCTTCCTCTTACTATCTTTTTTTTCGAACTTTAACCTTGTTACATTTATGAACTTCTATGTATTGCGCTCTACCATAATAAAAAGAAAAAAAATATCTCTCCTTTTTGTTCCTCCCCCCGCCTTCTCTTTTGCAAATGAAGATCGTTTTATGTTAGAAGATGATCTATTGTATCACATTTCCCTCGCAATAAAGAAATTTCATTTTTATTTTTATTTTTTTTTAATTTTTATGCAGTTTGTCTTTTTTTTTTTTTACAGTTTGTATTCTGAGCACGATTCTTTTCTCAATTTAGCAGCAGCAGCGTGATCAATAAACCAGTAAACATGACCGTTGACAGGTTTAACTCTTTGACAAGGTAAATCTTTTTCAGGTTGCTCAATGATTTGTTGAACCATATCCTTTTTACCATCGCCAGCAGTAACAAAGACAACTAATTTAGAGTTATTCACAACTGGATAAGTTAATGTGATACGTTCTGGTGGTGGCTTGGGTGAATCAACAATAGGTGCTACCCAACGGGTCTTCTCTTCAAGTAAGGGGTGACCGGGAAACAAGGAACAGCAATGACCATCAGGTCCCATACCTAACAACAGTAGATCAAATGAAGGTAACTTATTCTTAAAAAATTTTTCAAGTTGTTGCTCATAATCGATAGCTGCCTTCTCCGCATCTTTGCTAATAGCATATTCTTCGTGAATAGGATAAATGTTTTCCTGAGGGATTTGAGGGATATGATTTAAAAGGGATTTCTTTACTTCAAGATAGTTGGAATCTGCATGATCATGTCCAACACAACGTTCATCAGCCCAAAAGAGATGCCACTTGGAAAAATCAACATTTTTATTAAAAGCTAATTCTTTTGATAGAATCTTGGGTAATGAGCCACCAGAAATAGCCACAGAAAGAAAACCATGATCAGCAATTGCCTCACGTGATACTCTCTCAACGAAACTATTGAGTCCACTTGAGAGTGCATCTCCATTTTCAAATGAATATACAATGGGCATCTTTTATTTTAATTCTGTAAACGAGCTCTTTTTTTTCTACGTGTATTTTTTTTTTTTTTTTCTGAATTTATTTCATTTTAACTACTGAGTTATAAAAAACAACCATATTTTACGTCATACAAATTTGTTTGAGGCATTAAGAACTTTTAACAACAACAATATTATTATTCCATCTTTGTATCTCTGTTAGAGTCAGCGCTATTTGATTTACGTCTGTCAGAAGAGCTGGCTGAGCGACGACGGGGGCTATTAGAACGAGAACGACTACTAGAATAACGTCCACGGCGAGGACTAGGAGATCTTCTACGACTACGAGAACTTCTACGAGGACTAGGAGATCTTCTACGAGGACTACGAGAGCTTCTACGAGGGCTACGAGAACGTCTACGAGGGCTACGAGGGCTACGAGAGCTACGAGAACTTCTACGAGGACTACGAGAGCTTCTGCGAGGACTACGAGAGCGTCTAGGACTATCTGAACGAGATCTACGTCTTCTTGAAGAATCACGATTTCTATCACTATTTGTCACTTTTCATTAAATAACATATCCTATGTATGAAAAATACTGAATACTTACGGACAATCACGAGCTCTATGACCAGTTTCGCCACATTCACTATTTATATGAAATTTACTTTAGTTTTTGATATATAAAACGAATGATATATTGTACTTGATTACTTACAAGCAAACACCTTTTCGGAACCTTGTAGCACGTTCACCACTTTAGAAAAATAAAAATTGGTCAATTTAGACTAAAATAACATTATAAGTACTTTCTTCGTATAAATATTTACCTTCCCTTAGGTAAAGAACTATTACATTTAAAATAAGTAAGTAACTGTAAATTTTATATGCATATAAATATTAACCTACCATTCATTTGCACTAATAACAACAATTATTAATAAAGAAAAACAATATTAACAATAGTCCTTCTATTTATTGCTAAATTTAATATTAGACTTACATGTGTCCTATAAAATAATAGAAGAAGAAAAAAATCAATAATGTATTTTAATATAAGGGAAAAGAATAGCATACCAAATTCACCACAGTTATAACATCTATCACTATTTTCTGAGCCTCTATCTCTTCTATCTCTATCTCGACCTCTATCTCTGTCATAATCACGTTCACGACTATCACAGTCGCGTCTGCTGCTACGCTCACTTCTATTACGTGCTGCATTAGCAATCTGAACAATTAATCTTTCATTTTCAAGTCTGTAACCGTTAAGTGCCTTAGTTGCATCTTCAGCATCTATATATATATACATGTATATATGTATATATATGTATATGTATTTTACATAACAGAAGGGAAAAAAAGAAGAGTTAATAAACTTGGGCCAATACATGATACATAGATATATGTGTGTATATGTTTCATAAAATGGTCAAGATTTTATAACTAATATGTTAGATTAATTACCTCTGACATCCTATATTTTTTAAAAACATAAAAATATACATTAATATATAAATTATTTCAATAAAGCTGTAAAAATAAACTTACATCGTATTCAATGAAAGCATAGAAATCCTAAATTAAAACGGATTAAACATTTCACGTAAAAAAAAAGAAAAGAAAAAGGGGAAAACGATGGACTTACTCTCAAAAGTAAATCTCTAATTCTTCCATATCTACTAAAAAGATCTCTCAAGTCTGATTCGCGTACATAGCGACTAACTCGGCCTAAAAAAAAAATGACGTGTAAAAGATTAAACTTTTATAATTGAAAAAGAAAAAAAAATAACATACCAATATAAAGTCTGCAGGGGTTGGGTCTGCTTCTATCTTCTCTGTCACGATCACCGCGATCTCTGTCTCCGTAGTAGGACATTATTCTAACGATGAGAGAAAACGGAGAGTTCTTTTTTTTTTTGAGAAAAAATAAAAAAAAGAGAAAAAAGAAAATAAAATAAAATAAAAATATTTGTCACTTACAATAACAACAACGCATCATATTGAAGACCAGCAAAAAAAGAGTTTTTTTTTTTTTCTTTTAGCAAAAAAATAACTGTGACCAACCAGAGAAATGAGTTTCATATGTTAAACTAAAATAAAAGAAGCCACTTTACCAAATTAAAAATAATAACTATTATTTTCAGTAAAGACAAAACTGTATAGCTTTTCTTTTTATATACGTTTAAAAAGAAACACTTTGTTAAGATAGTTTTCTCTCTCTCTCTCTTTTTTTGTGCCTGCGAAGAAGTGAGACAATGTTGTACATAAATAATTGCCCCCCCCCCAACTGCCATAATTTTTTTTTTATAAATGTATAATCTTTTTTTTTTTTTTTTTTTTTTTTTTTTTTTTTTTTTTTTTTTTTTTTTTTTTTTTTTACTTACTTTTTATAAGCAAAAATGTCAAAAGTTTCAAACTTGTATAAAATGGCAGCTATTCCCAAATTATATCAACTTACTCTTCCTCGAGCATTATTCTCAACTTCAATACCACGTTTACATAAACTCAATGCTAAAAAACAGTTACAAGGTACAGGAACTGTACCTCAAAGAGCTGGTCTCGCTAACGATAAACAAATCTTTCTTGACTGGAATAGTCGTAAGACAAGTGTTTATAATCATTTTTGGTTACGAGACCATTGTCGTTGTGAACAATGTTATCATCCTATAACTCGACAAAGACTTGTTAATACCTTTTCTATTCCTCGAGATATTAAACCGTCTACTATTAATAGTACTGAAAATGGTTTAGTTGTGACTTGGCCTGATGGTCACGAATCAACTTATGCTTGGGATTGGCTACATACTCACTCCTATAGCCCTGTACTTCGCTCTTCTGAGCCATTATCCAATAAGAGCCCTAAATTGTGGGGTGCTGAGCTTAAACTTGCTCCTGTAGAATATGAGGCTGTCATGCAAACGAATGAGGGTTTAAAAGAATGGATAGATCAACTTGAAACATATGGTATTGCCTTTGTTAAAGATGTACCTACAACGATGGAAGACACAGAGAAATTAGCTCGACGTATATGTTTCCTACGCGAAACGCATTATTCCCAAGGGATCTGGTCCTTTACAGCTAATTTGGCTCATGCCGATACTGCTTATACTCAATTAGCGTTAGGTGCCCATACAGATAATACTTATTTTACTGAACCCTCTGGTCTTCAAATGTTCCATAAGCTAGAATTTGAAGGTAAAGGCGGTGATTCTCTTTTTGTGGATGGATACTCTGTGGCTAAACAATTAAAGGCTATATCACCTAATGCCTATCATACATTATCTAGCACATTGATTCCTACTCATTCAGCGGGTGATGAAAACATCTTAATCGTCCCTACCCCTAGGGCTTTCCCTATATTAAATCATGGACCTAATGGGGAGCTTTATCAAATTCGTTATAATAATGATGATAGATCTACATTGGATCATTTGAGCTCTACTCAACTAGATGAATTTTACGACGCTTTATTCCTTTGGCATGATTTGCTTACATCTAAAAAGAACGAATATTGGAATTCTTTAACTCCTGGACTTGTCGTCATATTTAACAATTGGCGTGTTTTACATGGTCGTAGTGCTTTTACGGGGCACAGACGCATCTGTGGCGCTTATTTCCCCTGGGATGACTATAAGAGTAGAGCTAGGACCCTTCGAATGACTACAGAAGATAAAGATCGTCTTTTATAATATAATATTTAATCTTATATATGTATACTTTATTTGATATACTATGAATGAATATTTTCTTAATAATAATAAATAATATTGATATTCTTTGTCGTAAAAATAAAATAAAATAAAAATACAATTGACTTTAATCATCATGCTTTCTGACTATTATAGAAAAAAAAATAGAATAGTTAATAAAATAATGCTACTTAGAAATGGCTTCATTTAATTAACTGTTACAAATAGATTTAAAGCTACATCAGCTTAATTTATAGTAGCAAACATTTTAGTAAAATGGGTGTATATATAGCTGTTGTTGTAAAGAAAGATGAGACTCCTTTATAATAACAGTGCTATAATCTCTTCTAATAAATTAGACAAAACTATTTACTTTTCTTATCATATATGTGTATATAAACAAATAAATGCAATAATCGTAGTAATAATTACTTATTTTTTCAATTATCAATAGCATATTGGTCACTAAATAAAACTGTATTCCCTATTAACTCTCTCCCTTTTTTTTTTTTCTTTTAACAAGTTCACCAGAATTACTCTTATCAGATTCTTCCGCTAAACTTGTTCAAAATACTTTACCTAGTTTAGGTATATCTGCATCTTTTTATTCATGTTTCAGGCGCCAGACGTCGTACGTTTGATCTTTCAATTGCACAAACATTTTTTTTTTATTATTATCGTTAATATATGAACGAGATTCAAAAAAAAAAAAAAAAAAAAAAAAAAAAAAAAAAAAGGCTAATGAAGCTCATAACTTGTACAAGTCATCAAGAAATAATAAGAATAAAAACTAAATATTATTAGAAATAAATGTATATCCAGATGAAACTAGAATCAAAGAATTACTATGGGAAATCTGAAACGCATATTAGACAAGTTGCTGAAAGTTGGGACTTACATTTTGCAGGTGTATCTGAATTAAAATCTTTAGGTGGCCCTTTTTGTGGTAATATACTTTTTTTTTTTTTGGTCTGAAACAATTCTGTTCATTATTGTTGCTTTCAAAGGCACAATTCCTACAAATTATGAGGAATTTTTTTAGTAAATGCTGCCTTTCAGCACACAGATAGCTCGTTCCTTTTTTTTTTTATTTGGCTGGTGTTCATGAAGGATTCTATGAATCGTTATTATCCAAGTATTACTGGATTCGGTGATCAAGACATACGTAAATCCATATCGTGCCATTTTTAGCAGCTGTACAAAGCTAAGGCAGTGCAAATTCAAAATCATTTGAATACAACAGATTCTGTTCAACTTTGGATGACTGGTCATTCGTTAGGTGCTGCTTTTAAATATCGCTCTTATTTTGCAAGATGGCTAAAAGTGTCCCTCTGATTTATCTCGTCGTTTAATTCTTCGTGATGTCTATGTTATTGAAAACACCCGCTGTAGGTGATAACGATTTTACATGTCTCTATTTTCTTCTCATACAAATTTGCCTGTCACAAGATCTTCTCACTCTTTGGAGGATCGTCAATAAATCAGATATGTTTTGTAAACTTCCTCCTGTTTATAAGAGTAAATTATGTGGTAATGCCATATACATATATATAATAATTAATATTTATATTAAGGGAAACAAAATGGGAGGATGGGAAAACATTATTATTATTAACTTTGTAAAAGAGAAGAATTGTATACATACTAATAATTTTATATACACTAAAGATAATAAGCTCATGTCATGTCTGAATCTTTTTTTTTTTTTTTCAATTACTCGCATATTGGATACGCTATTCAAATTTTCGCAGCAATGGCACTCAAAACCTGCTTAAATTATATCCTTCCCCGTTATCAACCACCGACTCAAATCAATATTAGTGTCCATCATGCTGATAATAATAAAAAAACACAGTAAGCAATAACGAATAATAAGGGTATTATACTTCAGACTATTGCCCAACAACCATTACCAAACTGGGCAAGTATTATTTATAGATAAAGAAGCTCCTCATTTCTTACTTCGTTATGTACCCAATGGTAACCCAATCTATTTTGTGGAAAAGCTTCTTTATCCTTTCTTCTTTAGAGACCATATCCCTTCTCAGTACTTTCAAGGGCTTCAACGAGCTAGTATTTATTATGAAAAATGAAAAAACCAAACTATTAAATCAACAAAAATCATGCCCTAATAACAGAATCATTAGCTTTGAAAAAAATAATAAAATAAAAAAAAGGGCTTGTGATACAAAGAGTAATTCTTATCATACGAAAAAAAAAAAAAAAAGAAAAAAAAAAGAAAAAGAAAAAGAAAAAGAAAAAAAAGACAGAAAAAGTTTTATCATTATTGTTGTTATTATTATTATTATTGTCGTTGCAAACAACTGAAAGCATCTTCTACACGGGCTTTTAATGTTTGGGTATCATACATGATATGTGCTAGTTCATGTAAGTCCACTGTATCCAACAAGTAAATTGTTACTTTGGGTGCTTGTTTCGTACCCGTAGACTATTAAGAAGAAAAATAAAAAAAAAATGAAATAAAATAAAATAAAATTCAAATCATGAACATTATCTGGTAATACAAATAACTTACCTTGACAAGTGGGAATAATTTATCGCCTAATAATTGTTTCTTTTCATGAATAGGCTTTCCTTCAAGCGAATTCAAAAGTGATTCAATATCCTTATGATTGGTATCACTTTTATCAGATAAAGTAGAGGTAATTTCTACATTATTGTTATCATTACTGAGTAAGTTTTCTTTTGTTAAAAGGTGGGTAGTAGTCTCGGATTCTTTTAAGTGGGTATTGGAAGGTGAAGGTGCTACAATGGGAATAGCCTTTGATTCCTTTTTTATTACTGTTGGTAACATTGCTTCATTATTGTAATAAATGGGTTGTGGAGGTGACGATGTGTACATCATAGATACTCTTTTAGTGGATGCTATGTTCCTACTTAAAATTATAAATTAATTTGAATAATTTGCTTAAAGAAAAAAGAAAGAAAAAGAAAAACGCTCACTTTCTCATAATATACTCAGTTTCTATTCTATCCACTTCTTCCTCTTCATTATCTATATCATTACAAGTAGCTAAAGCATCCAAAGCCAATTGTACTTTTTCACGTAAAAAATCCGGATTAAAAAGACATAATGACCTCTCTTTTCTTTTTAAAGTTAAAAGCATATCAACAATATCAACAGTTGCTTTGCCATATTCACCACATTTTCTTACAGCTTCTTCTAATTTTATTCGCTGCAAATTAGCACTTGATTCAGTCATAACAGACTCTAATGATCCACGTCTGCGTAATGTAGGACGACCATTATGTCCTATATTTACTACTGTAGTTTGCTGTTGTAACATGGGAGGTTGTTGAATACTCAGGCCTGATGCAAGAGATGCAAGAGATCGACCTGTACTGGTACCCGACATAGGCGAAGAGGAAAATTGTGGCGATAATTTACTATTACCGAAATGTGAATGATACTGGGTTGCTTGTTGATCCACATGAACTGAATCTGAGTTCTGCAATATATATAAATAAATAAAAAGGCATACAGAAATATATTAAAAAAAAATACGAACCTTTCTTTGTGGTAAATTGATAGTTGTTGTATTTAATGTTGTAGATTTTGAAATATCTTTTATGTTTATTCCTAATTCGTCCATGCTAAGATCGTTTATGTTAGCTAAAGTAATTAAAAAGGAAAAAAAAAGGGGGGCGTTAAAAGACAAGCTTTCATTTTTTTTTTAAAAAAATTAACATATAAATACCAGAACGTATATGTTGTTGAGAACGATCAGGTGTATAATATTGTTGTTGGTTTGCAAATGAATTATTAGGAAGATGGTGGTTATTATTTTGAATCATAGTATTTGGTCTTCCTTTTCGAGGTTCATGATAAGCAACGACAATGGGTTTATTACCCAGCATAATTCCATTCATTTCTCTTAAAGCAGCAGCGGCTTCTTCTGACTTACTGAAACTGACAAATCCATAGCCTTTTGATTGCCCTGTTGCTGGATTTGTCATAACTCTAGCAGAAACAATTCGACCGAATTTTCGGAATGCTTGACTCAAATCTTGATTCGTAATATATGGCTCAAGATTTTTAATATAAAGATTCATAATGTCTACAGAGTGCTGTGTATCATCTACAGTTGTACTATTATTGCTTGAAGACTATAAAGCATCACATTACTATTATATATTATATTATTTCATTTAAGTAAATACCTCCTCTTGTTGGTGTTGTAATGAATGTACTTTCAAAGGTATAAAAGGTACAACAGATCTAAAAATAAGTTAAAATAAATATAAAATTAATTAGTTGAAGTAGTGTTTAAAAAAAAAAAAAGAAGAAGTGAGAGAGAGACAGAGAGAGAGAGAAAGACTTCATTATATAAGTACTTCCTCGCCCTGTCTTTTTACGTACAGCTTATAACCATCCAATAAATAATCATTCTTTATATACACATATATAATAAAATTATATTAATAAAAGGACTTTTTTTTTATTATTTGGCATCTTACCAGTTTAAATATAGCTTTATCAGAATTAAAGCTATCAAAATATTGAATAAAGGCAGTTCCTCTAAAAGCACCATCTTTCATAACACATTTGCATAGGTTTAAAGGTCCAAAGGGGCGAAATAAATCATACAATCTATTGTCATCGAAATATTCAGGTAAGCCATTGATTTCTAAAAGTACAGCTGTTGCTTCAGGATCCAAACGTTTATCTTGATACATTTGAAGCTCTAACTTTGTATTATTAGTAAAAGTGAATCCATTATAAAGCGAGTAAGCTCTATCAGCTATAAATGATGAGGATCAGAATAAGAATATTTTAGTTTGAAATGATATGATATATATATGTCTATATACCATATTTAGGATGACTGAATCGTAACTGCCCAATGTCTTTCTCTCTATCGATAGAGATTCTAATATAATTAAGTGATTGTTATTGGGAGGTTAGGAGTTTAAAATTTAATAATAATAATAATAGTAATATACAACTTACTCAATAGGCATACAATGTTGCAATAATGTGCGTATATCACTCTCTCTTATATTCGTTGGTAATTTGCTTAAAAATAAAGTATCAGATACAAGACAATCCTTAGGCTCAAATACTTCATAAACTGAGTTATTACTATTGCTATGGCTACGAACTAAACTAGGTTTGCGTTTCGGTGGTAATCTAATTACTGGTGTATATACTGACATCTATTTTTTTTTTTTAAAGAAAAGTATAAATCGACATGTTTACTTTTTTTAATTACTTCTTGCTTGCCTTAAAGTTTAAGATGATTATGTCTAATCTCTAATCGTTAGAGTTTATGTATATATTTGTATATAAATATGTTTATTTATTTAAAAAAAAAAAAAAAAAAAAAAAAAAAAAAAAAAAAAAAAAAGGGGAAAAAAACTTTGAAAGCAGCAATTGCAAAAAAAAAAAAAAAAAAAAGGAAAAGGAAAAGGAAAAGAAAGGAAAAAAATTATATTGCGGGGCGGGAACTGGTTGCTGAGTTTCTTTATTAATTACTATGTCGTATGTTCGTTTTATTTATACATGTATAAATTAAATATGCCTATATACTAAAGTAGAAGCCTTTTTTTTTTTGAAAGCTGCTAAATAAAACTTTCTAATATTATTTAATAAGATTAAATCTTGGTAAAGGCAATCAAATTAGGTTTTTATTCAAATATTTATCAAATCTTTTTAACGAGAACCTAAAAAAAAAAGGCTTCTAAATTGCTTATTAAAACCTTATTAGATATATGTCAGTAACTATTGAGAATAGATCTTTTTTTTTCTTTCACATAATTAGCAGGAATGAAATGTTCCATATAGTTTCTAAAATTAATATTATTCCTAAATAGGCTATCAACAGATAGTTTTTATATATTATGTGCATATCATATTTCTTTCTTTTGCTCTATATACACAAATGCAGGCTATAAGAACACATTTAAAAGTTATTAATACTCTATTCTTTTTCACTTACAGAATCACTATGCCGTAACACAATTTGTCGATTGCAAAATTCCTTTTCTTTTGAATAATTATTATGTCGAAGCTTGGTATACTACCTGACTATAGGTTTTTGTACTTCTGTTTCAGTTATATAGCAAAATATTATTTTAATTAGTAAAGATATAGCTGTTAAAGAGAAACCCATAGTAAAATATATTGCTCTGTTTAGGTTATTCAAATGTGAGAATATATCGTTTGCAACTATAGAATAAACTTGTTTCATTATCAGTTAAAATTTTATACCATTCATTCTCGTGAATAATGATTTCACGTTAGAATAAATGAGTGTACTGCACTGTTAATACAGCAATAATAATATATGATTAAAGCAAGCGAAAAAATGATTAAATTACTTTTCTCTTTCTAAATCTTCCCTATAATCCATAAAGAACGTCTTTAATAAGTCTTCCTGGATTTAATTTCCATTCTCATATTTTTGTAATTGCTTTTAAACTTCTCCAAAAAAAAAAAAAAAAAAAAAAAAAAAAAAAAAAAGCTTCAGCTTTAATGTTTGTTCTTTGTTTTCAAAAAAGAGTTTATTAACGACGTCTACGATGATTATTATTTTGTACTGGTGCCTGTTGACCACTGAAATGAGCAATTAGGCTGTCTTTGATCCAGTCCTTATCGCGTGGCTGATACATCTAAAAAATTATGCTTTAATACATGTGCCATTCTATTTGTATATACACATATTTTTTTGAATAACTTACAAACACTTTTGGATCATATACAAGTCCTACAAATTCTTTATATGAATCTATGAATTTGAAAAGGTCTTCAGCTCTATTAAAAGGGAACATTGGTAAACCATCACAAACTAGCATAATCCCGTTTACTTATATACCTATATTGTACTTCGCCTGCATAAGGATTCTCTTTAGCAAGTTGAGCTTCATATAATCCAGCAATGTCTAATCCCATTAACATCCATTTAGAAAAAAAGAGTCCCTTTTTTTTCTCAATGAACTCCTTTCTTTAGAGTTTTATACTTACGATCCATTGCATCGCTTTCATTTTGAAAATCGCTGTTAAAATCGAAGCCAGCTTAGCATTTAGACTAAATTAATATTCCATTTTTCTTACTTACTAATAAGTTCGAGAACTATAGACTTAAATGAGATTAATATAAAATGTACGTCAAAAAAATAAACATTGCTACCTTTGGTTTGAATGTTGTTGTAATAAAAGAATTGTATGATTTCCCTAACATGTTAAAAAGAAAAAAAAAAGACAGGTCAGCTTTTTATTAACTTTTCAGAAAAAAACGATCTCTTGGAATTGTTACGTTGATTGTTGCTATTTTTTACCATTATTTAATTTACCAGCAGTAAGTTGTTTAACAAGTAAAGATTTCAAACAAACAAACAAAAAAAAAAAAAAAGAATGTTAAGGAATGTAGAAGGTTTGGGAAGGCGTGACTTTTTTTGGTTTTATTGAATTTCCCACAAAAAAAAGGTTTAGTGGAGTCTTTACTATTTGAATCAGCTAAATTTATGGCTTAACTCTATTATCAACTTAATAAATAGCATGATAATATAAGCCTCTCTCCTTACTCAGCATCATGTAATATATGAATCGTAATAGGTTTAAGTCTAAAGAATTAATGAGAATAGTAATAAAGTCCCTTTTTTTATTCAAACGGAATATAATATTTGGTAGAAAATACTTTAAGCCTATTAAATGAGAACAAAAAAAAAAGGTGCATGATAAAAGCTTAAATTCGATATTATTTTATGAAAGAAATATATGTTCATATCATAAAAATAATCTGAAGTAATTCGTGATATTATTTATATCTAATAGTCTTTTATAAAGGTTTTGAAATATACAACAAAACAGTAGAGTCATGATATCAGTTGGTATTTTAGGAATTTTAGTCATATTTGATATTTAACTTATTATAAAAATTAATGATATTTATTGGTATTCATGTGAGTTTATAGTCAATCTTATACGACTCAAGAATCTTACCTTCTTTTATAATTCCTAAATTACTATGGTATATTCTCTTTCTATTTTTATGTAATATGTTTTCTTTGAATCAGAATAGAAGATAAAACCTTCAAAATAAACTTGATTTTTCTTATCAGGTTTACAGAATGAACTGTTAAACTATTTAGTCAAGGATTATTTTTTCTTTATTGCAGATGAATATGTCATAGAGTGACAAATAACAAAATTTTGATAATAGAAATCTAATAAATAGTGGTACTTTAGTGCTTGATCTATTTATTATAACACTATTTACCAGTTTATATATAATTACATACTATTGCTCAGTATGCTGCTCATAACGTACTTCAAATAATAAGGAGTATAATAAACTTCTAGGAGACAGTTTAAAGCCCTCTAATGTACAACTATAAATAATAAAAATGTTATTAGTAATAAGCACTAGGTTCATTTCCTTTATAATACAAGTTATTTAACGTGATCATTATAGACAGTATAATATTTTTTTTGCTTTTTACGCACATTATAAATAGCTTATGGTGACGTAAAAGGACTACAATCACTCAATAAGTATAAAATACGCATAGGTGGTGTGAATGTACAAAAAAATATAAAATATATCATAATAGCTTCTATTATCATCTAATTAGTAGATATTCAAATAATTATTGAGGGTTTACATTTATATAGAACACGAAAACGCCTCCTACTTATTATTACAGTGTCGTATCTGGCCCTGAAGGAATAATAATATTTATATAAGACAATTTAATTACCTGTATTTATTATATAAGCAAATATAATATTGAAATATTGTTTCCATCAAATAAAAGAATAAAGTTCTACATAACTAATGCTTTTAATAGACTTCTAAAACTCAAATTAAAGATTATAGCATCAGTTGTATAGAACTGATCAAATTAATAAAAATAATAAAATCTATAATTTAGTCTATTTAAAATAGAAAAAGAAAGCTGCTCCCTGCCAGGATCGAACTGGCGACCTTCAGATTATGAGACTGACGCTCTACCAACTGAGCCAAGGAAGCTTCTTGTTTTTTGAAGAATAAAAAATACTACACAATTCATGCCTAAAAATTTAGCAGTCACACATTATGTGACGTCATCTTTTAGCTGTTTGGATTTGATGATTATAAATTTTGATTTTTCATTCACCTTTATAAAAGGGAGCCTTTATTTCGGTAATAAAATTAATTGCGTAGCATGAGTACTTCAAATTGCAGCTGTTGCAATTTAGAAAGAGAATTAATCACTATTGTCGATTGAAGAACCTAGATTACGGAATCATTGTATAACCTTGTGTTTTGTTCGCTTCACTAGAGGATTGTTTGAGCTGAGTCTTCTTTTGTTGTTAAGCTTTGATGGTACATATGGTAAAGGGCTTTCTATAATAGGAACAGTTGTGTTACTGACACCATCAGATTTTTTGGAATTGATATAAAAATAAACTCAATTGCATTGATAACTAATAACAATTATCTTTTTATCTTGCAACTTGTTTTTTATATCTTCGTATTTGTAAATCCAAGCAATTCTTATGTATTCTAATTTAGATTAGTTGCTTAAAATACCTTCAGATATCATATATGATTTTTATCTGTCAGTTTATTTCAACGTAACTGTTAAAAATTAATTCCTTGATCATGTTTAAATTAGTTATATTATTCCCTTTGATTCCTTCTTATTAGAAAGTCTATCATGTAAATAAAGTTTAGATCAAAAAGTTAAATTAATATAAACTTACAGATTTTAATAATATGAAGTCATAAATATTAATCACTGAGTACATTTATCAATGTAACAAATTATTGTGAATCATTATTCTCTTAATAAGTGTAAAATCAAAATGACAAATTGTATTACAATTAGTAAATAAATCAAAAGCTTTCATAAACTGATTTCCTCAGCAAGTTGGTTTATTAACTTATTGTTATTCTTCTCTTTTCTTGAATTATATTATTCATTTACATTTTAAAAAATTATTAATTTTTGTTCCAAAAAAAAAAAAAAATTAGCTCTTCTGCATCTTATCTTTTAGATCATAAAATGTTTGCCTCCAATGAAAAGATTTTACCCTCTACAGTAAAAATCCTTTTTTCTTTTCTTTTCGTTTTTTTTTATTTTTTTATTTTTTTAAAATTAATATGAATGTGCCATGGAGTAATAGCGAAACATTGCAAACAGAGGATGGGTTAACTAGGTAAACTCTTTTATCTTTTTCTTTTAAACTACTGTATTTTGTATTATTAACACAGCTGTACAATATGTGAATAGGTTATCAAAAGAAATACTAGATTTTGAAAGATATATTAGTCCTACAAAGAATGAAAAATTAAACAGAGACACTCTTTTTTATTCAGTGACACGATCAATCGATTCACTTTGGCCAAATACCAAGATTAATGCTTTTGGATCATATGTTACTGGATTACAATTTCCTTCAAGGTATACACTCTATTTTATCTTATTCCTAACTCTTCCCCTCCCAACTCTTTTTTTTTTCCTGTAAATAATACTAAATATATTTACTATATTTAGTGATGTTGACATCAACATTAATTTTGAAGTATTACCTAGAAACACTAAATCCGATGCTTTGAAGCTCATTCGCAGAAAATTAGCTGCTGAAGGTATTTTTGAAAATAGAAGGATGAAAGTGGTAGCCAATGCAAAGGTACCAGTGCTTATGGCTACAGATAACAACGCTATTTCTATGGACATTACCATACAAAATGATTGTTTGAGCTCACACAGAACAACCGTTTGGATAATAGAGTATCCTGCATTAAAACCTTTGTTTATGGTATTGAAGCAATCAATATCTGCTTATCGTGTTTCAAATTTACCAGCATTTGAACCATTGTCTGCTAAAACTGCAGGATTGGCTAGTTATTCTCTCATTTGTTTGATTGTTAGTTATCTTCAAGTAAGTAAGAAAACAAAATAAAGAGTTTTGATGTTTTATAATAATCCATTTCATTTCATTTCTTTAATAGTTGCAAGTAGATCCCAATCTTAGTTCGTCAGATGCAAATTATTATGGCATTCTATTGATGGGATTTTTAGATTTTTATTCTAATTTTAAAAACGAGGAACAAGCAATCAGTCTAACGAATGGAGGTTCTTATTTAACAGGCGATAACTGTCCTATTCGATTTGAACCAAAAAATGGAAAGTTGTTTATTGTTGATCCTGATGTTAAGGGTAAAAAAAAAAAAAAAAGAAAAGAAAAGTAAATATGTCTAAAGCATGTAACTTAGTTTATTAAATTTATAGGTGCTAATGTTGCACGCAGCACGCTTCGTTTTGATGTTATAAAGTTAATATTTAAACAAATGTTGAAAGATTTACGTGAACATATAGCTAAAAGCTCAAATAATGAATCTATACTATCATCTATTATCAAGCTAGCACAATCCCATTATTATGGTAAACCACGGAATGAGGGTACTAAGTTTAAGGTAAAGCATATGTGGATTGAAGCGGGTAAACCAAAGTTGAAAAGATTCAGAAAGAATAATAGATACCATGATGGTAGTGTTATTCACCGTGCAGGCGAAGGACATGTACACAATTATAGTAGAGACAGAAGAAATGAAAACTATAAGAATTCGTATAAAAACAGATCTTTCGCGAATGCTGATGATGAACAATTATATTATAATCCAGAATATCAGCGTCATCTACGTCATAATCGTCCTCATTTAGCAGAGCATTATAAAAAGAAGGCCAATAAACATAGGAAATAATTATAAATGTATATGTATACATGTATATAAATATATACACCCACTATATTATCACTTACATAGTATAGGAAAAAGAAAAAAAAACACTATTATTCTTATAGCACAACACACCAATACCATTATTACTGCAATTACCAAATAAACAAGCTTTATTATTATGTTTTTTTTTCTTACAAAATAATGGGGGTGGGTAAAGGAAATTACACTTTACCAGTAATAAAAGGATGATATAATGCTTCATGAGGTGTCATTCGTTTATCAGGACTAAGTGACAAACACTTATCAAGAAAATCAATGAAAGCTAATACTAGTCGATTCTCTTCATCAGGCATGTTGGGTGTTGTCGCGGCCAAAATACGTGTCTTTATATCTCGTGTAGGTTTTATGATGGTCATCTTTTTGACAACCTCTTTTTTATTCACTCGATCCAATTCTCTCGACAAGAAGTTAAAATCTTCATCAAAATGATCTACCGTAAATTGTGCTTTACGAAGTAATTTATTTGGAAATCGGCCTTTAACTTCCATAATATGCTTCAACATTTGATTATTATTTCTTCCGGGGAACAAGATTTTACCAGTAAAGAGTTCATATAGGGTACAAGCAGATGACCAAACATCAATAGCATAGTCATAATGGAGCCCAAGCATAATTTCAGGAGCACGATAAAAACGTGAAACAAGATAGGGTGTAATGGTATTATCACTAGCATCTGAAGCAGAGCCCAAATCACAAAGTTTAAGAGTATTTCTTGATTCAGAGACAAGGATATTATCAGGTTTAATATCAGCATGTAAGATATTACATTTCTTTAATAATGAAAGACTCAAAAAAAGTTGCTGTGCATATACGCGAACTGCTTTGATACTGATACCTACATCTTTACCATACTTTTTCAGTACATCACGTAAATTCATACTTAATGTTTCAAATACCAAACACAAATGTGAACGATGTTCAAAGTGTCTTTGTAAACGGATAACATGTTTCTTATTATCAGGATCTGCTTCCATTAGTCTCCTGAGGAAAGTTAATTCTTTTTGGCCTGCTTTGTACCTAAACAAATTATCAGTTATATACACACACACATATATATATATATATATAGATACATATATACATATATACATACATATGTACATACATATATACATATAATAACATCATTTACTTACATTGTTTCATTATTTCGGATTAATTTAATGGCTATCTCTTCATTTGTTTTTTGATCTTTGGCTTTGACAACGGAGCTAAAAACACCTCGTCCTAAATGAGCAAGTACTTGATATCTTTTATCCAAAATTTCGCCAATACGAGTGTTATAATAGCCTTCAGGATCATCCCAGTTATCAGTTAAATTAGGATTTGTTGCTGCAGTTGCATTATTTATTAAAGCGCTGTTCTGGTCAACAGCAGTAATATCTGCAGCAGCAACAAACATATCTAAATTATCAGAAAACATATCAATTTCAGTTGTTATTTTAGGTTGTTCTAATTTTTCTGTATAATCTGAAGCAAGCATATCTGCTTGACTATCACTACGTTCAATTACTTTTTCTTGATCATCCTTTTTCTTGAGCAAATCAGTTTCAGAACGACTGTGATGAAGGTCTTTATCCATTGAAGGATCATAATCAGCTGCTGAAATTTGTTGAGAAGGTGACACACTTGATTTATCTATATCATTACTATCCTTTTCAATATCCATATCAGGCTCCGTGGGTGATGGAGTAGTCGTCATTTTTTCTTCAGTAGTAGAGGTTAATATTTGAATAGGTGAAGAGGAAGTAGTGATTGCTATCATATAAATGAATAAGACATTTTTATATTTTTTAAAAAAATAATGTATATCCTACCTGATGGTGTATTAGGCGAAGATGGGGTAAGACTTGATTTGTATCTATTTAAAATAGCCTGTCTTCTCTTTCTACGCTCTTCAATAAGTCTGTCTTCTTCTTTTTTCTTTTCTTCCTCATCTTCAATTTCAAAATCAACGATTGGGATTTCTTTTTCTTTTGCAACTTTAGAAGGTCGGCTACAGACAGTATACATATAAGTAAAATTACATACACATGTATTTATTTATTATTATTTTTTACCTCTTATCTTCTTCAGCTATAGTCGTAGTGTATTTTTTACTTTCAGAAGAACTATCATTAGCGACAGTATTGATAACGCTATCTTTCCTTAAAGGTGATCTAGAGCGCCTATGATTGTTATTATCACCACGACAGGATACATGTGAATTTTCTCTTTTATCCTTATAATTACTTTCATAATCTCGAGAATGTTTTCTTCTAGATGATGAGTACGAAGGTGATCTATGTTCAAAGCGGCGATGATAAGACGATGAACGGTGTCTTTTTTCGTCACGGTTCTCTTCTTTTCTTCTATTTGTACGAGAAAGTCTTTCATATTCAGCAAATGGATCTTCTTCTTCTTCTTCAAAACAACGATAGTAGCCATAAAGTTCATCTACACCTCGTTTTTTATTTTCATTGTAGGGTTTACCTTCCATAACAATTTCTCCTGCTTCCATTTCATCTTGTCTATTAATGGACGACATTTTTATATTTGTGTTTGATTTATGGATGTTTATATAAATAAAGTTATATTAATTTAATGTAAAAAAAAGTGTGAGATTGTGCGAAATTTAAAACTATTTTTTTTTGTATTTTTTTTTTATAATTTTTAATAAAGCAAAATTATAAAATTAAAAAAAACCTCTGATTTTTTTTCTTTTAAGATGTGCACTTATTAAGCAAGTGTTGAACTTTGGATGTAATTGTAAATAGGTTTCAATTATTTTTTTTAAAAAAAAAAGAAAAGAAAAGAAAGAAAAAAAAAAAAAAAAAAATAGAGAGAAAAATAATTTTTAATATTATTTAGAAAATGACGTAGCTTATATACGCACCCCTAAAAAATAGCCCAACCAGGCGATAAATGTAACAACCCAATAAGCACGAGACATCTAAAATTTGCCTAGATCTGATCAATAAAAAGAAAACTAAAGAATCCCCTTAGATTAAGAAGGAAAGAAGAAAAAAAAACATAGATAATTTTATAACTAAAATATTTAACTGTGTAGAATAGACGAAAATCAATAAAAGAAATAGCTACAAATATTACTTTTGATGATTACGGGTTTAGTTCTGCTGATGACTTTTCATGAGTCTATCAATAGACAGGCTAACTATGGAGAATTGAGCAAGTCTGTTCTTATCCAAAGAAGCTCTACTAATTTATTTGGTTCTCCTGCTTTTTTTTTTTTTTTTTTTTTTTTTTTTTTTTTTTTTTTTTTTTTTTTTTTTTACTTTTATCAATATTTCTAGTGCACCAGCGTTTCTGCTAGCACGAGCAGCAAGATATCTGTTAAAGAAACAGCAAAGAGTTCACTCAATACTGTCATAGTACATAAACGCATCCTACTGATGAAGACAACAGTGAAAAAAATATATTAGGAACCAGAATATATCAAACCATTACACGAACTTGTAAATACTACAAATAAAATAATCAAGAATATCTTTGCAGTAATTAAAATGCATCTTTATAACACGAAATTAACGATAAACAGTGGATTTGATTTGAGAAAAAACTTACCAATAAAGAGTTTTTTTTTATTAAAATCTTTTTGGTGCTTGTTCTTAAACATGCTTATGATAATACTACCTCCGAAGAAACATGACTAAGAAATTTAGTGATAATAAATATATAGTTGAATACAGAGTATAAAGACCAATAATATTGTACTCAAATCGACATATACTCAACAGATAGCATTGTGTGAAAGCATTACAATTTTAAACCGCTTGTCACAACAATATCGGAATTTATTCTGGTATCATGCTTCATGTGTCCCTAAATAAGCTCTACAAAAAAAAAAAAAAAAAAAAAAAAAAATCTGTCTGATTGTAATTTGATTTTTTTTTCCCCTGATCATATTCAGTATAAGTAATGCTGCATATATATTTTATTAGTTATCCATTCTTGTACTAAAGAATTGTGATTTTTTATATACTGTTCCCCTTTAAACCAACACTATCTTCTTTGCCTATCTCTAATTTATACTAAATTTGTCTTTTTTTTTTTCGTATGATTTTTTTTTTCAAAAAATGTGTCGATAATATCAGAAAGAAAGTATATGAGATACATGTGAAATATGAGCGTAGTTTATTACATCTATTTATAATTATTCCAATCAATTGAAGGCTTTTCAGAAAGATCCAAATAAAATTCAACATGTGTATCTTTTGGGTATCTAAAAACACTTCGAATTGCTTGTCTTAAAGGAAATATTCTCTCCCTTTTTAAATCAGATATAATAACTTTTTTACCTGGAGGAGGAGAACCTGCAAAATCGATTTCTGACAGCAAATCTTGAAATGTAAAAGTATCTGTAATAGCCAAGTTTCTTATGTAATAAATATCACCCTCTTTGTAGTAATTAGGGTTTAATGAAGGTGATCCCTTTAAAGATACTGTTTCTATCACTTTGGCTGTATTATTTTGTAAGAATGGTGATGACGACGATGATGATATTGGTATAAAAGGAGACGATGCAGCAGTCCTTGTTGGTGATGTTAATAAATTAGGTGCATATTGAGTATTATTAGATGAGAATGTACGTACATGTAATGGAGGTAATTGCTGCTGTTGTAATACCAAACTATGTTTGATTTTAGGCGTGAATTGCCGAGATAATAGCGGATGATTTTGTGGTGAATGTTGAAAACAATCATTATTATTAGACGAATAGAGTAATGGAGTTGATGCACTTGAATTAGGCTTATTATTAAACATAATATTTTTTGTAACTGTACGTCTTCTTTTCGTTGACGTAGAAGCAGTTATTGCAGTAGAAAAATCAGCCGATGATGGTTGGTCTGCTGATAATGTAGTATATTGTGAGGATACTTCTCGTATTTTTGCAGCCAATGCCCCTCCATTCACTATTGAAGAAGAAGAAGAAGAAGAAGAAGGAGGAGGAGGAGGCTGTGGAAGTAATAATGATGAAGACATTCTTACATCTTCCATCATTACTGTACTGCTACTATCAGCCGGAGAAGGCGGTGCCTGAGTTTGATCTATCATCATATTTCGTTGGAACTTTTTTTTGGCACGATATAGTGCGCTAGAATGTGCCTTACAAAGAGATACTTCTTTTAACTCGGGCAATTTAATAATTTGATGATGTTTATCTCTATAAATTTCATGTGCATACTCATTTAACCACTGAAGCGTAAATTCATAATCGTCCTTATCATTTGAAGATAATTTTTTTGCTCTTGAATCAAGTCCTCCCTCTGGTAGATTCTTACCACGCCTTGGCTGTATTTCAGAGCATTTACAATTCATACCATAATACTATATGTTAATAATTATCATTAATACTACCCAAGTATCAACTCAATTTTATAACTTTACGCCTGAACAAGTAAAACAAACTGCACATACAATACAAGCATTCTATACAACATGTTTAAGTGCTTTATTCCTATTATTGTACATACATATATATATATATGTATATATATAAATGTATATATATGTATTACCTTTCTAATCGCTAAAGATTGTTGAACACTATTAGGGTATAAATTGGCGACTAAAGAATAAGATGATGAAGATGATGATGAGTTATCTTGATTTTGTTGCTGATTCATGAGTATAGGTAATTCAGTTACTAGTTGAGCTAACTGAAATAAATTATTTTCAGTCATAAAATGCTATGTAAAAGAATATACTCGCTATTATTGACTTAATAAGAAAATGGGTATTATGAAATAAAGAACAATATTAGTGCTTTTGTTCACAAAAAAGAAAAAGAATAACAAAAAAAAACAAAAAAAAAAACAAAGGTATTCCTATTATTGGCAATGTTTCAATTAATGTAAGTTGTGCAGCACAAGAAAAAATCCACATTATTTATTTTATAGTTTTTACGCCTCTTTAGTCTCTATACACCAAATAAGATAGGCAATAGCCACTGTATCTAACATTCGATCCTTAATAACTACTTCAGTTTGTATCTCATGTCTTCCTTCCTCTAAATCACTCGGAAGTGTATAATCCGAACTTGCAGTCAATAAGCCGCGAGCCTTCTTTTTGTACTATAATACATGATACACATTTATATATATATGAATACACATGTATAATATATTTAAAATTAAGCATTATTTACCTCCATTCTAATAGATTTTAAAATAGCTCTATCTTTCTTTTTTAAATTACTCATAAGGGCTAAGCCTCCTGTTGTTTCTGCAAAAGTAGCCAAAGCTGTAGGATGAATACTAAGGATAGTATAAGCTAACTATATATTATATACATATATACATGTATACATATATATACATATATTTATATAACATACCCTTTCTGTGTATTATGTGTGCTATGATGATCCTATATGAGAATAAGAAACTTTATATTGTAAATGTATATAATTATTCTTTACCCGCATAATAGCAGTGCAAAAACCACGTGAAAATGTAGACACACGCATGTCTAAAAAGAAAAGAATGTTAGTATTGATATTTCATATCAGTTATAATATTTACCAATAGAAGCAGCATAAGGATCATTTTTATTTAACAAACGAGCAAAGGTCCATGGTCTAAAGATCTTCACAACTGGCTTTCCTAATTTCTCCCAAATCATTAAAGGATGACGTCCATGACGCAATGTAATCATAATATAAATAATATACGCAAAAGTCAAAAATATTAAAACTGCAACTAAACGACTAAATATAGTCCACTCAAGTTTAAGTATAACTTGAACTAAATGAATGGATGCTTGTACATGTCCATATAAAGCTGCAATAAGCGGTGATTGTGCATCGTCTGTTAAAACTAATGTCATTATTTATCGTCAATAGTTATTGGCCATACAAAATATACAATAAAGATATATAAATAAATAAATAGATAAATAAATAAATAAAAAAGTTTTTGAATGTGTTGCAAAATATTGTATGTACTTTTTTTTTTTTTTTTTTTTTTTTTGTGACAATAATCACCAATCAAATTTCCTTTAATTTAATATTTGTATATGTTTCTACAAGTAATATTGATTTGATAATACCATTGTATGCATACACTCAAGTAATACTTCTTATCAATGAGACTCTAATAAACGAAGAATTATTTCTCTTTTTTACTGATAAACAAACTTAAGAAAGAAAAGTACTTTTTTTTTTGTATTATTCTTTAGCATCCTTATTTTGCTTTTGGATAAAAAGTATTTTTATCTTTTTTGTAGCTCACTATGTTAATATCAAAGTTTTGTTGCTTTGGTAACAGTACAATGATAAATCCTAAATAAATAAATTCTAGTAGTTTCATTTGACAATCAAATTAAAGATTTTTATATGCGTGAAAGTTAATAGTCCCAGATAGAACTATTTTTTTTTAATGCTTTGATATTTCATCAAGATGTTTTACATTGATTCTTATCAACTTCAATATGATTATTAGAAGTTCACTTTTTTGTTTAACATGCTTTTTATTATATTTTTTTTAAAAAAAAGTATTCATTCTAATAAAACATAGCTAGAAAAAAAAACAACAAAGATATCAGCTTGTGTATTTTTTCTTCATATATAAAAAGAATATGGGAGTATACTACTTACAGGCATTCCTGTCTTCTCTTTCAAATATATTGATAAAGCATTTTATGTTATGTTATTAGAGAGTTCAATACAGATTTAAATAAAGAACTGGCATAAAATGTGTGATCTTCTTATGCTACTGTCTTATTTTTTTCATAAACCTTAATAGATTTATGTTTGCTTAGTGTGAATCTTCCGATTTTGTAATATATCATATTGTGGCTTATAGTGACTTTATTTCATTTTAGGTCCAGAAGAAACAATAACGTGCCTTAATAAACTTTTTTTTTTTTTTTTTTATTATTATTTTTCTATTATTATTCAAAATAGAACTAAATTATGGCTCCTAAAGATAAAAAAAATTTTGACAAAACAAGACCTAAGGCACCTGTCACAAATGATCCTCGTTTTGCTAGTGTACATAATGATCCTCGATTCTTGAGACCTAAAAAGAAGGACATGAAAGTTCCCATCGATAAGCGTTTTGCTAGTATGATGACTTCATCTGATTTTAGCAGTGCTCCTCGAGTTGATCGATATGGTCGTCGTATACAACAAAGTACTGCAGAAAAAGAGTTGAAACGATTTTATCGACTTGAGGAAGATGATGATGAAGGCGAAGATGAGACAGAAGAAAAATCTTTGGAGCAACTTGAAAAAGAAATTGCTGAAGATGAAGAGAATTTAAAGGATGAAGAGTCTACAGATGAAGAGGACGAACACATCGGAATAGGACTTCCATCACGTCAGTACGATCGCATGCGTGGTAGAGGTGATTTTTCATCTTCTGATGAAGATACAGATGAAAGTGATTCTGAAGTTGAAGACGAAGAGGAAAATGATGATGAAATAGACCATATTCAACATATTCCTGAAGGTGAAGAAACAAATCGTTTAGCTTTAGTCAACATGGATTGGGATAAAATTAAAGCAGTTGATATCTTTAAGGTTTTAAGTACATTCAAACCTGATACTGGTATCATCAAGAAGGTGACTATTTATCCTTCTGAATTTGGTAAGGAACGTTTAGCATTAGAAGAAACTCAAGGTCCACCAAAAGAGATTTTCAAAAAAAAGAATGAAAGTAGTAGTGATAGCGATGATGATGATGATGAAGAAGAAATTACAGAAGAAACTATTATTAAAAATCAATTAGAAGAAGGAGATGGACAGGATTTTGATCAAGAAGCTTTGCGTAAATATCAATTAGAAAGACTTAAATATTATTATGCTGTTATCGAATGTGATAGTCCCCAAACTGCTAAGGTTATTTATAAGTCATGTGATAATACTGAATATGAGAGTAGTGCCAATTTCTTTGATTTACGTTATATACCCGATGATATGACTTTTGATGATGAACCAAAGGATATTGCTACAGATGCACCTGAAGGCTATGTTCCTTCTCAATTTACAACTGATGTAAAATAATGTAGACATTATTTATTTTTGAACTATTCTCATTTATTTATTTATTTAGGCTCTTCAACGTACTAAAGTTAGTTTAACATGGGATGAAGATGACATTAATCGATATCAAATAACTCGCCGAGAATTTACTCAGGAAGATCTTAAAGAACTTGATTTTAGTGCATATCTTGCCTCTACTGATGAAGAGGAAGATGAAGATGAGGATCTCGATGCTCTTCGTGAAAAATATAGAAAATTACTTAATGGGGAAGGAAAAGAACCATCAGCTTATGAGGATAAAATTGAAAGTGACGAAGAAGAAGGTGATATGGAGATTACTTTCACTCCTGGTTTGAGTGAAGCAGCTGGTGCTCTTGTTAATAATAAAGAAGAGCAAAAGGAAGAAACAACGATTGAAACATATTTGCGTAAACAAAAAGAAAAGAAAAAAGCTAAAAAGGCCGCTAAGCAAGCATTGGCAACAACAAACAAAGAAGAAGATAGTGAATGTAAAAGAATACTATTTGTATTTATGTTCTGTTAACTAAGCTTTATTTATTTATTTTTTTTTAGCTGAACTTGATGAAGATACTAAAAATGATCCATTCTTTAAAGAAGCCATGACAGAAATGGAGCAAGAAGGATTTGTTAATAAGAAAAAGAAGGAGTCAAAGAATAGTAAGAAGAAGAGAGCATCAAAAGAAGAGCGTGAAGCCAAAGCTCGTGAAAGAGCTGAACTTGAGCTTCTTATGGGAGATGATGGTAAGAGTGAAGGCTTTGATATGAAGGAAATCCTTAAACGAGAGAAGCTCGAAAAGAAGAAGAAGGGTAAAAAGGGAAAGAAAGCTGCAGATACAACTGAAGATGATTTCGAAATTGATGTTAATGATCCACGTTTTGCTGCTGTTCAAGAATCTCATCAGTTTGCTATTGATCCTACTAATCCTCAATTTAAGAAGACCAAGAACATGCAGAAACTATTGAGCGTCAGACAAGAAAAAATGCGAGAAAGTAACAAAGAAAAGGACGAATGGAAAAAAGAAAAGAAATCAAACAACGATGCATCGACATCAACAAAAGAAAATGGTAAATCTAATTCATCTCTTCAACAACTTGTTGCTTCTGTGAAACGTAAAGGCGCATTAGATAATTCAAAATCTGGTAAACGTCAAAAAATTTAATTATATTTTTTTTTATGTACATATTACAAATAATAAAGAGAAAAAAAAAAGCTGCATATTTCTTTTTTTTTATTCTTTTTGATTCAACTGCATTGTTAATCAATGAATTACTAAAAAAGAAAAAGGATCAAAAAATAAGGCTGTTAAATTTATTTTTGAGCTTTAAGGACTCTCTTGACAATCTTTTGTTCTTCAATCAAGAAAGCACGGACAATACGATTTCTAACACATTGACCACAGCGAGAACCACCATAGGCACGGCTAACATGCTTTTGAGTCTTGGAGACGGTAGCGAATTCACGAGGACGGAGAGCTTTGATCTATAATATATATAAATATATAATCAAAGATTCTTAAAAATCAATAATTTGTTCTAACTATTTTTTTTTATTTCCTCTTCTTCTTTTTTTTTCTTTATTCAACTTACACCAGCGAGAGTTTCACCACAATCACCACAACGAGGAGCCTTAACAGGCTTCTTTTGATATTGGAATACAAGCTTTCCACCTATAATGTTGTATTTTGTTTTTTTTTTAATATTTCAACTATGCATTACTGTAATATTAACAATCTCTTACCAGGAGTCTTAACAGCTCTAACACGGTTAGAGCGAGTGTTGTAAGAACAGCGGCGTCTATAGGTGAGACGTTGAGCCATTTTGAAAATCTACATTGACATGTTCAATTGCGTAAAAGAAGAATTGGTAAGTAAAATCATCCAAAATTTCCCATCTAAATTATCCATCATCAATAATTTCATTTCTATCCCTCTGTCTTATGTTAGAATCACTCACCTATGGTTTTGGAAAAAGAAGGATTATACTGTCTCTAGCAGGATTCCATTCATGTATGCCAGAAGCGCTAGTATGAAGCAGAAGAGCTTGCTATTTTTTTTTGATTGTCCGATCCGCATATTCTTCTGTTCGGACCGAATATTTAACATACAACTTTTTTTTTTTTTTTTTTTTTTTTTTTTTTCATCTGTGTATTTAGCTTATATTAGCTGAATCAAATAATTACAAAAAAACTTAAATACTTCATGCGTATATAAATCAGTAGTATTTTAAAATCAGGAAAATTACTATTATTTCAAGTACTCTAAAAAAAAAAGAAATACGACTATTAATAATGAAAAATAATTGAATAGTAATATAAAACAACACATTTAGTTAACATGAACAATAGAGAGATTATTGACGATGTATTTACCTTTCTTCATTACAGCATTTTATTGCTACTCCTGCGAAAAAAAAAAAAAAAAATATTCTCTAGATTTGACATCACACTATATATTATATCTTCCTGACCCTTCTTGTTACACTCTATGAATCCTATTATTTTCATTTTTCCCATTCTTTTATATATTTTATACTCACAAGGTTATTTTGCATTTATACTCTGTACATTGTTGAACAGCTTTGGAATAGTATAGGTTGTACACTCAACTAGCTGATGTATTTATATAGTAGTAGTTAGTTTACTTTGAGCAAAAAACGATAAGCCAAAAATGGAAAAATAGAAAGTATATTTTTAAAAAAGCGACGACAATTTGTTAATGAAAGAAGAATAATATGCATTATTACATATTTCAAATTAATAAGGACACTTTTCTTTTTTTTTCTTTTTTTTTTTTTTCTCTTTCTATCTCTTAATGCTAAAAAATTCGTTACTAATATCATATTTAGTAATATGGTCTATTACAATAAACTATTTCAGTCAAGCTGAACCAATAACACCCGTTCATAAAAAAGGTGTTTGTGCCATGCGTGGTCAATGCGGTTATGAAGGATTTTCTGCATTACCATGTGTTAGCAATGAACCTGCTGTTTTACCTGATAACTCAGAATTTCGAAAATTACTTGTTGACACCTGTGGAACTGATTATATAGCAGGCCCTGTATGTTGTGATGAATCTCAGTTGAATGATCTTGTCAATCAAGTGAAAAGAGCAGAGACAATCATTTCCTCTTGTCCTGCTTGTTGGAGTAATTTTTTACAATTTTGGTGCTCTTTCACTTGTTCACCTGACCAGTCTACTTTTGTAAATATTACCTCCGTTAAACCTGGTACTGAAGCAGCAGAGACTTGGACAGTAACGGGTGCTGACTATTGGGTTGGTGATCATTTTGGTTCTCAGTTTTATGATAGTTGTAAAGATATAAAGTTTGGATCCTCTAATGGTTTTGCCATGGATTTTATTGGTGGCGGAGCTAAAGATTGGCATGCGATGGTATCTTATATGGGCATGAAGCGTCCTATGCTAGGAAGTCCCTTTCAAATAGACTTTCCTTCTTTAAACACCGTTCCAAATAATGGTATCCTACGTTATGATGCAGATGGTAAATCCTGTAATGATTCTGACCCTGCTTATCGTTGTGCCTGTGTTGACTGTCAAGCTGTTTGTCCTGTCTTACCACCTGCTCCTGGAGAAATACCAGAATGCCGTATTGGCATATTACGTTGCTGGAGCTTTGCCATGTTAATAACTTACTCAAGTATATTCGCTTTAGGTATCACTTTGCTAGTAGCAAGGAATAAAAGATTAGGTCTATGGCTACAGACCTATTTGGGAATTAATTTAGATCGTAAACGAGGACTCCTTTATGAACGAGTATCACTTACAGATGACGAAGATGAATTACAAGATAACGATCATGAGGAAAGTTTATTGGATCCTGATTACACACCCCGCAGATACTGGCTTAATTCTCGTTTACAGAACTGGTTTTATTATCAAGGCCTCTTCTGTGCTCGTTATCCCTGGCTGGTCATTATGTCATCTCTTCTGTTTGTCATGCTATGCTCCTTAGGGTGGTCACGTTTTGCAATCGAACGTAACCCTATTCACTTGTGGGTATCTCCTTCTTCGACAGCATTGGCTCAAAAGAATCATTTTGATGCGAGTTTTACACCCTTCTATCGTACAACTCAGCTTTTCTTTGTTAGTAAAAATGATGAACCTATCGCCTCTGCTGAACACCTTGAAAGCCTTTTTAAATTGGAAAATGAGATAAGAGCGATGAAATCAAATATCTATAATGACACATTACAAGATGTTTGCTTTCATCCTAATGGAGACGCATGCATTGTTCAGTCTGTCACAGGGTATTGGAAAGGAGAAATGGATGAATTTGATCCAACTACTTGGAAGGAGACTTTAGAAGAATGTACGACTCAACCATCACTTTGTTTACCCGAATTTCAACAGCCTTTAAAACCTGAAATGATTCTAGGTGGTTATCAAGAAAACGATTATGTTTCAGCAAGAGCATTTGTAGTTACCTTTGTTTTGACAAATTCACTAGACACAAACAAAACGGATCGATCTGAACAATGGGAGAGGACCCTTTTAGAAAAAATTTTATTAAATTTAAATGATCGTTCTGAATGGGAAGACGTTCGAATCAGTTATTCAACAGAGAGTTCCCTGGAGAAAGAATTAAATAAATCCAGCAATACAGATGCAGGCACAGTGATAATTAGTTATATAGTGATGTTTATCTATGCATCGCTTGCATTGGGCCGTATTTCATCATTCAATCCACGTCGTCTTTTGATTGATTCAAAGTTTAGTCTGGGTATTGCAGGTATCTTGATCGTTATCTTTTCAGTGTCAAGTGCGGTTGGCCTATTTTCTTTGACAGGTAACAAAATCACTTTAATTATTGCGGAAGTGATTCCATTCCTAGTCCTTGCTGTCGGTGTCGATAATATCTTTATTCTATGTCACGAATATGAAAGACGTGTTGAGTTAGGGCAAGATGAATCCATTGAAGAACGTGCTGCAAAGACCTTGGGGAAGATGGGTCCTAGTATTTTATTGAGTTCACTTAGTGAAACTATAGCTTTTGGCTTAGGGATATTAGTCACTATGCCTGCTGTCAGTAGTTTTGCTGCTGTAGCATCTATGGCTGTTTTCGTCGATTTTATACTCCAAGTCACCTGTTTTGTTTCATGTCTAGTATTAGATGCATATAGAGCACAAGTAATGAAATCTTTCTTTCTTTCTTTCTCTCTCTTTTATTTATTTATTTATTTTTTTTATTGTAAAGAAGTTGTTACTAATGAATAGCTCATTTTATCTGTTATATAGAATAACCGTATTGATTGTGTTCCTTGTATTCAAATCAAGGCGCCTGAAGTTGTAGAGAAAGATAGTTTTTTACAATCCATTGTAAAATCTTGTTTTGTTCCCACTATTCTTAATCATAAAGTTCGCTATGTTATTTGCTTTGCTTTCCTTGGATTATTTACCATTGGATTATCGTTAGCACCTCAATTACCGATGGGACTTGATCAACGTATTGCTTTACCTTCTGATTCATATCTAGTACCGTACTTTAACGATATGGATACCTATTTTAATGTGGGTCCTCCAGTTTATTTTGTTGTAAAGGATGCAAATATAACCGAGAGATCGATACAGAAGAAGATTTGTGGTAGATTTCCGTCTTGTCATGAACGATCTTTAGCCAATGTGCTTGAGCAAGAACGTAAACGATCCAATATATCCTATATCGGAGAGCCTACAAGTGTATGGGTGGATGACTTTATGAACTGGCTTAATCCAGCCACCACCTGTTGTCGACTTAAGAAACAATCCTTTAACAAGTTATTACAATCTCAACGGAGACTCGACAGTAGTGATAGATGGGAACTATGCGATGTCTGGGATGACGAAGATGAATGTACTGATTGTAGCCCAGACTGGGATATTAGTATGACTTCATTCCCAGAGGGTAAACACTTTTTAGATCTTTATGATCTTTGGATCCATATGACACCAGATGAAGATTGTCCTTTAGGTGGTAAAGCAGGCTATGGAGATTCGATTGTTGCTAACCATCAGAATATCACGATTGATGCCTCTTATTTCCGTACCTTTCATACACCTTTGCATAAACAAGAAGATTATATAGCAGCCTATGATTCAGCAAGACGTATTTCAAAAGAGTTGAGCCAAGAGTTAGATATCGAGATTTATCCATACTCTATCTTTTATATCTTCTTTGAACAGTATACCTATCTTGTGCCCATGGCCTTTGAGATATTAGGATTAGCCATCTTTACCATCTTTATAGTCACAAGTGCCTTATTAGGAAGTCTACGATGTGGGTTTATTGTTATGTCTGTTGTTATCATGATTCTTATAGATGTTGTTGGTGTGATGACGTTATGGGATGTAAGTTTAAATGCCGTTAGTCTTGTCAATCTTGTGATTTGTGTAGGTATCAGTGTTGAATTTTGTTGTCATATTGCTCGTGGATTTATGGTGGCGAATGGTAATCAAGAAGAAAGGGCAGGCAAAAGTATGATTGATGTTGGTAGCTCTGTAAGCTTTTTTTTTTTTTTTTTTTTTTTTCATTCATAGAAGTGAAGACAAATGCATGTTAATATGACAATGAAATTTGATTAGGTATTCTGTGGTATTACATTAACGAAGTTTGCTGGTATTATCGTTTTAGCGTTCACTCGGTCCAAAATATTTGAAGTCTATTATTTTAGAATGTGTAAGTTTCAAAAAGAAAGAAAGAAAGAAAAAAAAGAGTTTATAAGTATACAAGGGAAAAATCTCTCATTTTTTTTTCTTATATATGCAAATACATATATAGATCTTGCTATTGTTGTTTTAGGAGCTTTGCATGGTCTTATATTATTACCTGTTTTATTAAGTATGTTTGGTGGTAAAGGTATGGCACTTACAGCAGAGTTTGATGAAGATGGGTTTGCTTGGTCTACAGGCAATGATTGGAGAGGCCTAGGAGGTCGTCATAATGGTCTTTTGATTGAAGATGATGAAAGCTCAGATCAAGTATTAATTACGGATATTTCAGATGATAGGCAGCAGAACAATATCTCTTCTTCTCATAATGGATATAATCCAACAGACAGAATGACGGTTGAATAATAGTGTGAATTATTTTATTACTTTATGTACTTTTTTTATTATTTTTATTATTATTTTATTTTAAATAAACTTTTGTCTTACTGAGAATCTTCACAAGCAATCGTCTTATAAATTAAACTTGTTTTATATTCTGGTGGAAAAAGAGAGTGAAGGAGAGCGAAAGAGAGAGAGAGAGAGAGAGGAAAGAAAAAGACTTCCAGTCGATAAATAGGGATGGTAAATATCTAATTGGAAATTGACTTTACTTTTCTCTATTTTACTACTGAACTTACTCCCCATCTTCCATTATAAAGATTTTATAGAGGAGTATTTATTTATTTATTTATTTATTTATTTATTTATTTATTTATTTATTTATTTTTTTTTTTTAAAAAAAAAAAAAAAAAAAATTTAATAAATGTTGTGCCAAATCTTAAATTTTGTGTGTCAATACAATATAAAACTGATCTCTGCTATATCAGTTTAAATACATAATAATAGTAATGATGATGATTATTATTACGTAATTTCATTGTTGCTGTTGCTGTTGCTGTTGCTGTTGCTATTGCTACTGCTACTGCTACTGCTACTGCTACTGCTACTGCATCTTCTTCTTCTTTAATAACTATCATTTAATTAATAATATGTATCTTTTTTATTTTATTTTATTTTATTTTCCAGATATACATGCATTTAATTCTCCGGGGGTATAGTGTATCATCATCATTCTTGTTGGCCTCAGTAACTTTAATGTTGGGCAAAAAAAAAAAAAAAGTTCGGATGTACAGATGCAGTATGTAGTTCGTTAGTAATAGAGGAAATTATTTTTAAATGAATAATATTGTTAATAAATAATGAACTCCGAAGTGCATGTTTCAGACCTATTATAAAAAAAAAAATAACTATAAATATAAACTTATTACTACTTAAAATAAACAGGGGTGGAGATATTAGATGTAAAAGAAGGTTTTAATTATTACTATTTTATTTATACAAGTAAAAAAAGAAAAAAAGTAGGTAGTGATAAAGGGAAAGGAAAAGGGGCAAATTAATTTACTACTAGTAACAAATAGTAGCGGAATATGAAGTAAGCTATTTTAACATGAAAAGATGGCGTGAGTAGTAGGGATAATAAAGAGAATGTGTGGCTCTAATTTACCAATAAAATATAATCAAGAAGAAACATATGCATAACTGCACGGGCGTAGTCCGAAATAAGAAGTGGCGGAAACTGATTGGCATCAAACTTCTTTCTATTCACTTTAGCCTCTTTGTTATATATTTATACACGCACAAGGAAAAAAAAAAAAAAAAAAGTACCTTTTTAGAATTTAATCATTTGCTTTTTTTGTTATCTATCTTTTTTCTTCTTCTTCTTCTTCTTCTTCTCTCTCGTTCTCTTTCTTTATTATAATTATAGTTTCATATCCTATTCCCTTTCCCCTTTTTAATATTCATATAGAAAAGAATCGAATCATGACCGATAAAGAAGAATTTTATCCTACTGTACTTTCTCAATCATTTAATGGTACTTTTTCTTCTATTCATAATTTTTGGGATACACTGATGTTAGATCAGTCTTATAATACGTTCCCTAAGCCTATTGGGGAATTGTCACCGGATTCGTATCACAAGAATTATAATTATAATTATAATCATAACCCTGCAGCAGCAACAGCAGCAGCAACAGCAGCAGCAGCAACAGCAACAACAGTAGTTTTACAATCACAGCCAACAATTCATGATTTGATTACAGGTCCGACACTGGATTCATCATCGCTTCAATTTATGTTATTTTTGAATCATAACGTTATTAAAGATGATGTCTTTTTAGCTCAACCTACTTTATCTCATCATGATGTTTTATTATACCCTAATACTACTACTACTACTACTACTACTACTACTACTACTACTACTATAGACCATGATGATAATGCTTCACTTAGTAGTCATTCTTCTTCTTCTCAACATAGTGACAAATTGACTTCTCCTTGTCTATCACCCGTTACTTCTCCTACTATTTTCTTATATAATCATGAACCATTATTTGAAGGTGGTATTATTGAAGAAAGATCACCACTACTACCACCATCCTCTTCTTCTTCTACTACTACTACTTGTAGTTTACTTGCTGATGACCAAGAAGAGGATGATGATCTTTCCTCTATTCTAACAACAGATACATTAGACCAACAAACAAGTCTTCGAAAGAGTACATCTAATAACGATCTTGACTGGTTAAAACTTCTTAATGCCTTTCATGCAGATGTTGCCTGTGACCTGCCTCCAGCTTGTTTTGATACATCATCGAATGAAGAAACGATTCATATAGATTTATTGGATCAAGATGAATTTTCAATTAAAATAGATTCTAATTCTACTAATACCTTGAAGAAACGTAAACGATACTCTTCTCATCATAGAGAACAACCGTCTATAACAAATATGTTGACTATTTTCAATACGAAAGATGTGATGACTACTACTACTACTAAAAGCAGTAACGACGTGGTGGAACAAGCTGATGTACGTCAAAAACGCCGAAAGAAAAATCATCATCAACAACAAAAGACAGTTTTAAAAAAAAAGAAAAAGCAAAATTATGAGGGTGATAAAAAGAAAATTTTATCAGTAAATAAAGAAGAATTAGATCAAAAAGAAAATTTTGTAGGCAATCAGCTGATAGAACCTATTATGAAAACATATGATAAGAAGACCATGTTTCAACATTTAACAGAGGCCAATATTGACTGGTGTAGATATTGTGGTACTACTGAAGGAGTTAATTGGAGACCTGGGCCATGGGGTAAAAGAACACTCTGCAAGTAAGTTTTTTATTTTAATTCTCGAGAAAAATATTTATTTATTTACTTATTCATCTAAAAAGTAAACATGGATGCGATTATAAAGGCTATGGTCTTGCAAGTCGTCTGCCTCGACTCGATCTTTCAGCTTTTATAAATGAAAAGTTAGAAGATCGTTTACGTCCAGTTGTTCAATACTTTTGTATCATATGTCAATCTCCAGAACAAACAAATGAAGAGAATCCTTTGATTCTTTGTGAAGGAGGCTGTTCTCGTGCATATCATCAACATTGTTATACACCCGCGATAACCATTCATCCAATCAATGATTCTGTACGTTGGTATTGTAGTGCATCATGTAAGGAGAATCGTAAACGCAACAAAGTTGGTATGTGTACATATAAAATACATTTGCATATAAAACAAAGAAGACTAAACTAGGCTTGTTTATTTTAGTTGTTGAATTACCACGTAAACATATGCCTTTAATGCATTTATTACCCAATATTCTAAAGAAAAAGAAAAACTAATAATTACTTGATTGTATATTATTGATTATTACCATTTACATTATTTTATTTTTAATATACAAGTCATTTACTGTATATGTATTTCCCTTATTAAATATGTATAAAGTTAATACTTTAAAAAAAGTTATTTATTTATTTTATTTTATTTTTTTTTTTTCGAATTAAAATTCAAGACGATTATGATTGGTTAATATGCTTACTGCTACTATTACTACTACAATTTAATAACCCAACCTCTTTTTTTTTTTTTTTTTTTTTTTTTTTTTTTTTTTTTTTCTCGTCTTCTTTTTTTTTTTCTCTCAATACAATTCAACTGGTCATGGGTAAAAATAAATAAATAAATAATGACACTACTTTTTATAATTAAATAACTAATCCTTATATTAGCCGACAATCCTAATTTTCATGAAGGAGTCTCTATTCATGGTCGACATCCTCTTCATTTAATAGAAAAAATTATTCGTGAGAGAATTCAAGGATCACTTTATTGGAAAGAGCATTGTTACGGCTTATCAGGTATACCCACTTTCTTAAATTTAAAGAGAAAAAAAAGATGGATTAAACATGAATGATTTAATTAGCTGCAACACTTATGGATAGAGCTGTTGAGCTTGAGTATATAGGTGGATTATATGGTAATCAACAGCCTACAGAATTTATTTGTCTAATATTGAAATTATTACAATTATTACCTGAAAAGGAGATCATCATTGAATTAATCAAGCAAGAAGATCTCAAGTATTGTATTTGATTTTGTGAAAGACTTTATTTTATTTTATTTTAATTTATTATCATAGGTATTTACGTGCTTTAGGTGCATTTTATTTACGTTTAACTGGGAAATCAAAAGAAATATATCAATATCTTGAACCACTATTAAATGATTATCGTAAACTACGTGTGCGTACTGGTGGTAAGGTTAAGATTACTTTGTTTCGCAAAAAAAAAAAAGATAAATAATTTATATTGTTTTAGATGGTTACAAGTTAACTTATATGGATAGTTTTATCGATGATCTATTACGCGAACCTCGTGTTTGTGATATTATTTTACCTCATCTAACAAGTAGATATGTATTAGAACAAAATGATGAATTGGAGCCTAGAGTGAGTGCGTTAGAAGATGATTTAGAATCAGATTAATGGATGTATTATGTAATATAATTGTATATTTATAAAATAAGATAAAATAAAATAAAATGATATTTGATAACAAGAGGGAAATTCTATTTAGTATCAAACAAAGGCATTTTTATACTCTCTCAACAACAATACAATAATGAAAGACGACTACTTTAACTCAAGGCCCACCTTTTCTTTCTTTCTCTTTCTCTCTTTATTTATATATATCTATTCCATAAAATAGTAGAATCGTCGTTCTATTTATTTAGGACATGCTAATGCTCCCATTGGATCATAAGCAGGTAAAACAATAGGTCTTTCATCCAACAAGTCAACAAGCTTTTTGGGAACGACACGCTTTTCAAGTACAATTTGATATACAAATTCAGAGAACCATTCATCTGTCATGATCCAAAAGCCTTTCTCACCCGAGGACTCTGACCAACTATTTTCAACTCTCCAACGAACTGGATTATTGTCGCTATCCAGATGAACTCCAGTGAATACCATAGCATGAGTCATGGCACTTTCTCCATATAACAAACGTTGAGCTTTAGTCAAATTAAAATCAACATTAAATGCAAGCTTATAATCAAATACTCTAGTATCCATTGATCCAACATTTCTATTACTGAATTGTCCTATTATCGAGAATTGATACGCATCATGATTTATTAAGAATACTTTATATATATATATATATATATTACTTACCAACATCACATCCAAACCAAACGGGGTTTCCTGATTTAAGTACATCAATCGCAAGTTTCTTCATTATATTGATCGTAGTATTCACATATTTAATTTCACCACCATCAACAACGTTACCAAGACGAGCAACTGTATATACACGAGAATAAGCATTACGAGGATCATTAATCAAGGACATTGTTTCAGAAATCTATTATTTATGGATATACATATATAAATGAAAGTGTTATCACCTCCTCCTTCTCTCTCTCTCTCTCTCTCTCTCTTTCTCTCTTTTTTTTTTTTTTTTTTTTTTTTTTTTTGATTTTTAATTTTTCATACAAAGTAAATAAACTTACAGGATAGTCTACAACTTCTTTCATAAATTTCTTTGGTGTCATGCAAGTTAAAGAAATGCATTTGCCATTTTTATCTACAGCCTCCCAGTTAAAATCATGGGGAGGTTCACCTAAATAGATGACCATGATACGGTAAATATCTTGCATCATTTCTTCTTTGATGACACGAATAGAGTTAGTAGAGAGACCATCTGCGACTGCTTTACGAATTTGAGCAGCAAATTCTCTCAATTTTACAGTGACTAACCAATTTAATTTTGAAGACGAGGAAGAGGCTACTGTCTCTGGATAGACACTCTTGGGGACAACACCATACTTTTCAACTAAATTGATAAACATTTGCCATTGTCCACCATCTCCAACCGGGGAAGTCAAAAGATACTGAACAACACGATCATTAATATCTTCATCAGCTAAATCAATCATATTTTCGAGAAACCAATTTGCCTTTTCAAGTTTATCTAATCATAATAATTATCATTATTAGCTCCTCTCCTTTCTCACTCTTTTTTTTTTTTTTTTTTTTTTTTTTTTCTTAATCGAGATGACTAACCATAGAAAAAAAGGAAATTTTGACTTAATTCAAAGTCATCGTTCAACTTGTATTTACGAATCACGGCCAAGCGGAGAACATTTGTGCCTATTATAGTCATATTAGTTATCTCTCTTTCAAAAAAAAAAAAAAATAATAATACTATTTATATGAATATATAAATGTATACATATTACATAGATGTGTGTATTTTACCAGCAAATATCCAACAACGTCCACTTTGCTTTTGATTCGTAGCAGCACCTTCAAGGTCGAGTTTGACATTAAAGACATGACGGTTATAAATAGTTGACTGAGGATTAACTAAAACTTGAGTAGGATCATTGTTCATGAGAGCATTCATCGCAAGTTGGTTTTTCTTATCCTGCCAAAAATGGTCTGAAAATTTATCAAGTGCCTTAAAGGTAAGAGAGGCATAACGCTCTTTCACTTGCTGATCAGTTAAATCCATGGTAGCCATAGCTTGACTCAAGTACTTTTCTTGACTTGTACTCAATGATATGTTCTTATCTAACGCCTCTTGTTCAATAACTGCCATCATTTCAGCTCGCTTTTCATCAAATGTCTCTACTTTTTTTACTTCTTTTGAAACTTCAGCACCCATAATTATAATAATAAAGAAAGAAAGAAAGAGAAAGGAAGAAAAAAAAAAAAGAGGGATATACACATATTTATACAAATATAGAGTTATTAAGAATGCTGGTGGCTGTTATTGTTGCATTTTTCCTTTCTGGGTCTTAAAAGTTATTAGTAAACTTGAATACACGGAAAAAAAAAACACCCAGTTGTCATGGGATTAAGCTCGATCCAGTAAAATGATTTTTTTTTCTTTTCTTTTCTCTCTAACTCTCAGGTACCAGATCAAATAGTCATGCATTTAAAAAAAAAAAAAAAAAAAAGATAGTAGGTACCATCAGTTATGTACAACTCTTGTGTTTTATTTTCATTTTTCTTAAAAACAAAAGGAAAATACACGATTAAAAAACATAGAAATAGAATTCTCTCGTGTTTGATCATCTTCTTCTGCATCATTATTCATTACAGAATAATAAGAAACAGTAGTTGAGGGCCTGTGTTGACTATAAAAAGGGGGAAAAGAAGGAGAAGAAAGCAAGAGTTTACGTTGCTCGGCAATATAATCGTCGTCGTCATCATCTTCATCCTCAATAGAAGAAATAGAAAAGTCTGAAAGACTACTTTGATCATGATGGTTGCTTGTTGTTGATGACGACTCATCGACTTCTTCTATATCCGGACGACATGGAGAAGGATTAAATCCCTTTTCTTTTAATATTTGTTGCGTCCATAAAAGATATAATCCTTCATCATCTTCGTTTGATCCGATTGATGATGTTATCTTGTCATGATTCATCAAATCTATATTTGAAGAGAGTATATTCAGATGTATAAACAGACATAATTATGCATAATAGAATACAGTCTTTACCTAAATAACGTGTACTATTCCGAAATGAGCCATAACCAACATTGGATAAATCTCGGTCTGATATGAATGGGATCAACAACAACAACAACAACAACAAAAATTTGAATATTATACTACTCACCATCATCACCTTTATTTTCGTCGCTGCTGTTACTGAAGGATGAAGTAGAAGGCGTAGGTGGTGAGTAAGTGAATATGTTTTTGATGTACTGTAAGTTATATTATATGATTCAGTATTTACTACACAGGCTGGTTTCTTATATTAGTTGGATATACCTTATTACTATGATGAATTGGAAGAGCAGTCATTTTTATAAGAAGAAAGTATAAAAGGAAAAGGAAAGAGTGATTAATTCTGTATATTTATATATGCTCTCTTATTCAACAAGGGGGTAATATAGAAAATAGAATATGTATTCAAGTCATGAGGGACTTTAACAAATGCAATTTGCTAATAATTATCATACTGTGCATGAAACAAAAGGAACAAAAAAAAAAAAACATAGACATCATTACGTAACCTATTGTTGATTTTTGAAAAAAAAAAAAAGGGTTCAATAAAAATCTGTATTTAGAAGAAGAACAGTTACTACAAATGATTGTTATATGACTGACTAGAAAGAGATTTATTAGTTTCTTTTTTTCTTTCCAAGTAATGAATACGTTGCATTTATATTAGGTTTCTTACAAGTAAAATTATTAGTTGTACATGCATATATGCATACATATTTTACAATACTGATTTCTTTAGAAAACATAGAAAAATATCATTCCTATCCTTTTATGTTACATGCTTATTCCCTTATCATGTTTTTTTTTATTATTATTATGATGATGATATTAGTTAACTATATATACACACACGCGCACACACGCACGCACACACACACACACACACACACACACACAAAATGGAATCATTTCCTTTTATAATAAACTTTAAGCATCCAAGGTAAGTCTTGACTTTGCCCTCTTTTTAATATCATTATAACAATTTCCACATAAATGATGTAAAAGCTTATTGTTTCCACATGCAGGACAAGCTGCTATATTCTCCTTTTGCTTTAATCCTTTATTAGAAGCACGCATACGTTTCTTTGAATGGGATGTCTTCTTCTTTGGTGCAGCCCAGAGGAAAGGTTCTAGCCAGATGGGTATTTGAAATGTAGGACGACTTGTAGTTTCACTGGCTAATGTATGACTATGACTGATTGAATTCGTCAAGGAAATCGTACCGAATCTCGATGCTTGCAACTTGAACACCGTTAATGGCTTTTGTTGTAAGACTGTTTTTGTACCAAGTAATCGTAAGCTCATTCTTTTATTATTATTATTCCAAGATTGATTAGAAAATGTTAAATAAAATAAAATAAAAAGATAGGCAAACTTTAAGCCGGGCATACCCCTCTCTTTCTTTTAGAGTAAAATCCTGTAGCTCTTAACAAGTCAAGTTGAATAACTCCGACAACGTAAAAAAAAAAAAAACTCGCTCTATTTTTTTTTTTTTTCAGTAATGATATCTTTTATATTGAACACTACTATATGTTATGTTAATAGTTTTCAACACGAATTTATATATGTTGCTTATTATGAGAATTACAAAAATATTGAGTGCAGATTTCACTAAACTCGCCAAGACGAGTTGCTAGTATATAAACTATAAACTCCCTCCCCATTTCAAATATAAGGGGGGAGCTGCCCCGAAGAGTTTTTTTTTTTTTTTTTTTTTTTTTTTTTTTTTTTTTTTTTTTTTTTTTTCTTTTCTAATGGCAGGCTTGGCGTATCAAGTGATTTGAGTGCTCGTTGGAGGAAGGAGAAAGAATTTTGAAAAGATAGGAGTTGGGGTAAGTTGGAAACAAAATAAGAATATTTGTTGAAAGTATATATCCTCTACCATCTACTATATGAACTGGATTTGATTGAATCACAAAATAGTCAACTACATTCAATGAAGAATAGGTGACTTGAGAATAGATTCCAAGTATAACTATTTTACTTGAATATTTCGACTTTTGATACTTTCTTTCGACGGTCTTACTAAAGAATCTGTTAGAAATGAGGAAGGAGTCAAAACACGATATAGACAGCATAGTTAAGTCTAAAGTGACATACCTAATACTAGTAGTATTGAACCTTAAAAAAAAAAGAAGGAACCTTATTTGAGAAAGCATATTAACCTTAATAATTTACATTGGGAACTCCTTTATAAAATTCTCTCTAAAGAAACAAGCCAAATCCATTATAATAGAGATGTCTATTGCTAGTGTAGCCCTGTTGAGATACAAAGGTTGTTAGATATATTGTCATCATGTTGATGTTATCACAAGAATAGTTTAATGCTAGTGTAAAAGCAGTAATTCTAAAGCAGCAAATAAAATCTCACACAGTCGAAAATAATAAAATTTGAAATGTAACATACAGACTTTCTTAACAAGTTTTACAACAACAGTGAATCTTTTGGAAGCAAGGGCAACATTGCTTTCTTATATATATATATATATATATTTCTCGTGACACTGAATCTATCTCTTTGTTATTATTTAATAATATCAATTAGTTTACTGAAAGTAAAGACATTTGCTTAACAAGAAGAAAATAAAAACACAAGTTTGTGTTAACAAGTGAAGGAATTTTCCTTTGATACGTCGTACCCTTTTGACTTTTTACATAAGCAAATACGTTATCATTAACAAGGTATATTAGATTAAGGTGTTTATAAGGATGTTATTTATGTCAAAGATGACAGGTATTCTGTACTAATCTATTTTTATATATTCATACATACTATCTATACTTAGATTTCATAATGGATTATAATAGACTAAAGCTATCAGTTATCCTTCCAAAGGAAAAGAACAATTTTTAGTCAGTTCATAAGCAGGAACTATAAGACGAATCATGTGAATATTTAAAACAAGCACTAGGAATATTTGTTAAAGTACTTGACACTATTGTAGTAAAAAAAAAATAATTATTTCAAGGCAAAACAAATGTAATAGCATTCTTCCATAAAGTACATCCATTGCTACTACTGGAAATTAAATGAATAGAAAAAACCACAGGGATTTTTTTTTTATCTTTTTGTGGCTTTAAATAAATTGGCTGCTGTACTCAAATTTTATACATGTATTTATAAAAAAAAAAAAAATTCCTAGTTAACACTTTTATTTTTTTTTTTCAACACTAATAACCTAATGGAGCATAATTTACCAAAATCTTCTGTAAGTATTTTAATAAAACTCGTTCTAAAATAAAAGAAAAAAAATGATGAATTAAACACATGTTTCTTTTTTTTTTTTTAGCCACTTGGAATTCCTATTGGAACTTCTTCCAAAGGTGTCACCAATTCACCCAATATGGGCCAACCCATGAGTTCATCTTATGAAAATCGTTGGCTCTCAGCTAATGAAGATATCAACAAAAAGAATTCAGTTGTACGTAGAAAGAGTATTACTTCTGAAAATAAATCAACAGCAAAAGATACCACAAAAAAGAAAGAAAATAACACGACACCAGCAACAACAACGAAACCTCATGGTGAATTTCCAAAAAAATCTCAAAAGGAAATGACAAAAGCTGAACGTCGAGCACTTCAAGAAAAGCAAAGACTCGAGAAAGCAAACCGCATCGCAGCTGGATTACCAAAATCTGCTAAACAAGCTGCTGAATTAGAAGCTAAAAAAGCTGCTGCTGCTGCTGGTGGTGGTGCTGGTGCTGCTTCAGCAAAATCCTCAACTCATCATCAACAAGGAGACAATAGTGGTTTAGATGTGAACAGTAATAGACAAACGAATAAAAAGAAGGCGTTATCAAAGAATCAACAAAATCAAGTGCCTTGGTTAGTTCATTTAGAAGCACCAAAGACAAATGATGCTTTGACAAAGGACCTTCATCCTGCTGTCCTTCAACTTGGTTTGTACTTTTCTGAACATAAGATTGTTGGCTCAAATGCTCGTTGTGTAGCTATGTTGGAAGTTTTTTCAAAGGTATACATATAAGTAAATAAATAGAGACTATTAGTTTGAAAATCAGGATCATGGACTGATAAATTCAATGTAGGTTATTTCTGATCATAAACCTCCCTCAGATGCTACATTCTCGAGACACATTCAAAAACACCTTGACCCTCATATTGCATATCTTCTCAGCATTCGTCCTATGTCTTTAAGTATGCGTGAATGTATTCGTTGGTTGAAAAAGGAAATGGCAGATATTGTAGAGGAGGATCCTCCATTGAGCGATGATGATGCACGTAAACGATTAATAGAACGTATTGGACATTTTATTCGTGAAAGAATTACGATGGCTGATAAGTTAATTGTTCAAAATGGATTACAAAAGATTCAAGACGGCGATGTTATTTTGACTTATGCCAAGTCATCTGTAGTAGAAAGTTTATTATTAGAAACAAAGAAAAAGGGCATTGATTTTAAAGTGATTGTAGTCGATAGTCGTCCTTTATTTGAAGGGAAACGTCTTTTACGTCAATTAGTAGATGCTGGTATAGATTGTTCTTATTATTTATTATCTAGCGTTTATATTGCTCTCAAGTCAGTCACCAAAGTCATCATGGGCGCACATGCTCTCTTAAATAATGGGGCTGTTTATTCTCGTATTGGAAGTTCAATGATTGCTATGGCTGCAAGTGATAAACAAATTCCTGTCATGATTTGTTGTGAGACATATAAGTTTGTTAATCGTACACAAGTCGATTCCTTTGTTTTAAATGAATTAGGTAATCCTGACGATTTGGTGAATACAAAATCAACACATTGGATAGATGATGAAAAGGCAAATAATTCTGCTGTATTGGCTACATGGAGAGATCAACCTGACCTTAGATTACTCAATTTATTATATGATGTTACCCCTTCCAAGTATATTACTTTAGTAGTTACCGAAGTAGGGCTTATTCCCTGTACATCTGCTCCTGTTGTAAGTATACATATAAGCACTGAATATGTAAGTGTATATGAATATGTATGTGTGTTAATTTTTTTTTTTTTTTTTTTTTAATAATAGATTTGGCGTGAATACAAGTAAGTTTAACTTGAAACTTGACATATATTTTTATATACTAATCTTTTACTCTTTCTCTCTCTTTATTTTCTTTTCTTTTCCTATTATATATAGTGAGGAATTTGGTAAACGTGTAGCTTAATGATAATAGTCATGTGTATATCTTTAATAACATATTACAAGTAATAAATTTTTATTTTTATTTTTTTTTTTACAAGTGTTCTTTAGTTGTCTTCTTTATATTTTAAACCAATTTCTTTTCTCCAGGCATCCATTGCATTTGCTTGGTCTAAACTATCTTGCCAATTCATATACTTGCATTCAAGTTGACCTTGTGCAATAGCATCTGCAACTGCATCTGCTTCATAAGCAAAGAGATTTGTCTCTTCTAATTCAACAGGTATAATTTTCATTTCCTTTCCATATTCAGTATATTCTATTTGTACAGGACCTAATTGTGGAAGGTCGGGTCTCCAGAGATTAACTACCTTTAGCATACCTTCACTACCTAGTACCTCTACACTAGAATCTGTATCAGCAAAGATACCTGTGAATAATTGAGCGGTTATGTTTCCCTCAAACTCAATTGAAGCATTTGACCATTCATCTACTTGTGTATCAGGCTGAATATAACCTGTTGCTTTTATCTTCTTTACTAATCTTGAGTAGTTCTTTTTATTATTATTATTATTTGCGACTTTAGCAATTAAACGAGCAAAAGACAATGGATCTATTTATAACATGAATTGAATATCATTCCCTTCTCCTTATTAAAAAAAAAAAAAAACTTACATCCACCAATATCCATGATAGCACCTCCTCCAAGTTCATTTCTCCAAAGTCTTGAAGTTGGGCCAAGGGGTCTTCCATCAAAAGAAAAATGAGCACGAATGAATTTAACTTGTCCAATAACGCCAGATTGAATCAAGTCCACTAGTTTTAACGTTTGTGGATGACATCGATACATATAGGCCTCCATGACAAAGGTATTATGTTCTTTAGCCGTCTCTAGAATGGTTTTCACTTGTATTTCATTGATGGCCATGGGTTTTTCAATCAACATGTGTTTATTAGCTTTAGCTGATGCTAATGCCAACTCATAATGGTATGGATGAGGTGTTGAAATGTAAACAATGTCAATTCCGTCAAAGGCTAATAAACTTTCATAACTACCAAAACTATATTGGACATTAAATTCTTCTGCAAATTTTCGAGCCGTATCCATTGAACGACTTCCAACAGCTACAAGCTCATTACTTTTGGATGCTTGTATTGCCCTTGCAAAGGTATGAGCAATATTCCCAGTACCAATAATACCCCACCTTAACATAATAATAGGAAAAAAAAAAAAGAAAAAGAAAAGCGAAAAATGGAAGTTTTTTTTTTGTTTGTTTGTGCCCCCAAGAATACTGTGGTAGTAAGTAATATGGACGACATGGCACTAAAATTATGTAATACAACTCGACCCTTAATAAATGTATATAAAAGCTCTTTTTCTTTTTTTTTTTAACTCTATGGAGAGAGGTTAATAAAATGAATATTTACTACTACTACTACTACTACATTGGATATTAAAAATGAGCAGATATTGCCACTATAAACGCATAGCAGATAGTAATTATTATTTTTATTTTATTTTTCAAGTAGACAAATGACCAAAAAAAAAATTAAAAAACAGTTGTTGTACAGACAACGAATGATGCAAATAAGTCTTTTAGTAAACATGTACATTAATATTTTTCCTTTTTTTTTTTTTTTCTTTTATATCTTTTTTTTTTCTTTTATACATATAAATAAATATATAAATTAATAACAAAATTATGGCATTTCAGGTTGTCCTTCGTGAAGGTATTGTAGGTGGTTTTGCTGGACCTACTGTCAAGTAAAGTGTTCTTTCTCAATACATTCACAAAAGAAAATATATATATATATATTTATATACATGTATAGATACTTATAACTACTATAATAGACAAATAATTGATTTAAAAGGTGATGATACTGGTGCCAGTATCATGCAAGCCTCTTTAAAAGCAGAGTCTAAAACTGATTATCATACAAAATCAGGAGGTGTTTCTATGTACGTTTCTTTTTCTTTTTTTTTTTTTGATATTTGCGTATGAATAATACTCATAAACAAAGTATAGTGAACAAATATCGAATGTTTTGGACACTTTGAAACAAAAGCTTCAAACGTTACCAACTGAAGAGCCTGTGGGTAGTGAGGATATTTATGGCCAAGATATTTCTTTATCTTTCTTTTCTGATGACTTTCAATGGTCTAATGGTAAAGCCAAAAAAAAAAAATAGTAAAATAGATCTATACAAATTTATTCATTTATGTTTTAAAGGAGGACCTGAAGGTTGCTGTCATGGTGAATCAAGTGTCAAAGCAACTCCTGAACAAAAAGAAGAGTTCAAAAAATTAGTTAATCTAGTAAAAAGTTTGGGTCAAGAGTTTGCACAATAAATAAATGATTTATTTTATTTTGTTTCAGCTGCTGCTGCTTTAAGTTTTGCTAAGCGTTCTCTATTTCTTTTTAATAAAATTCTATTCACATTGGCTTTTTCGATATCTGCCATTTCATGCCAATTATTAATTCTACTCATAGAACCATCCTCATTAATAACTATTATCCAATGGTTAGTTCACAATTCAAACTAGAAGAAATTGATTATTATTATTTATTACCCACTGGGCCTAACTCTTTCAGCTTATATGTATCATTCACATCCATCTTCACTGTTGCTTCAGCAGTAGAAGGAAGAGCAAGAATAGGCTTCTTTTCAGTTTCGCTAGACATTTTTACTTTTATAAAATAATTGAATACTTTTGTTGTTCTTTTAAAACAAGTTAAATGTGATTGTCTTGACAAGTAGATTTGTGGAAACATTTAGAAAAAAAAAAAAAAAAAAAGAAAAGAAAAAAAGGCAAATGTTAAAAAATAAACAATGATCAGCCAATAGAATTAATCTCAATTTTTTATACTTGTACTTTTTTTTTTCTTCGTTTTTTTTTTTTTTTCTTGTTAAAAATGTCTTTTTCTTTATACGGAGCACTTCCTCCATCCAAGTCTGAAAAGGAAGCAGAAAATACAAAAAAAGAAAATAAACCAACAAATAGTGTGTTAGGTGGTCTTTATTCTTCTTTACCTCCACCAGAATCAACTACTATTTCTCAAAAGGATACATTGACAAATGCTCCAACAACAACAGCAACAACATCATCATCGGAAACAACCACAACAACAAATACATCTTCAGCAACAACATCAACAGTAACACCAGGAGGTAAAAAAAAAAAAAAAAAAAAAAAAAAAAGACTTTCATCACAAAAATTAATAATTATAACAATTTATTGATTAGGATGGTCTGCAATTAATAAATTTAGACCAGTTTTACGAAAGCCAGTTATTCAAGCAAAACCAAAACTAAACAAACCTTTTATCCCAACGGGTGCAACAGTTGTTTCGACTAAAACTATCACAAAAGAAGAAAAAGAAAGGGCTCAATTAGAAGCAGCAAAAGCAAATGAGCAAAATAAGGCAATACCCAGTAATATTGATTTAGGCGCTATTCCTTTATTAACCTCTGCGGATGATGTCAACGGTTTCCGTGCAGTTCAAAAACCCAAGAAAAAAGGGAAAAAGGGGAAACAACAAGCACAGCCACAACCTATTGTATTTAACATGTTGGAGGATTATGATCCACATCGACCTAATGATTATGAACAATATAAAGAAGAACGAAAAGAGCTTCGTGAAATGCAAAAGAGAAAGAGAGTTATGGAAAAGAGGTTTAGTCGTTCAAGAAGTAGATCTTGGTCAAGGTCTCCTTCAAAATCAAGATCTCCTTCACCCTATTCCCGTTCTCCAAGCCCCGAACGTAAGTATAGAGTTGATATATAAATAGAAATGTGATTCATTTATACCATGTATATGTATATCTATATATAAATGTCCTCCTTATTCTAATACAAATGCTTCATTACTAGCTATTTCTAATCCTGCTACAAATCCATTAGCTATAAAGATAGATCCAAATGAAACAGCAGAAGATGCTTATATGCGTAGATTGATGATGAGTCAACAGCAACAACCAAGGTAAGTGATATCAACAACTAATGACACGTTTCTTTTTAAATAATAAAGGATTATTTTAGAGTTGAAGAGACATCACATCCTGCTCATGATATCGCCCGTAAAATACTCGCTAAATATGATTGGCAAGAGGGACAAGGTAAATGAATTGACGAAAATAATAAAACATGTATTTTAAAGCCTTTTTATTATTTAAAAAGGACTTGGACGTGATGAGAATGGCATAAAAGAGCCATTGGAGGTAAAGCCTATTGGACCAGGTATCAGTGCAATTATCAATAATAGCCAACAGCAGCAACCTATTGAAGACACCATAAATATTTCCAATGTAATTTTACTAACAAATATGGTTGGGCCTGGTGAAGTAGATGATATGTTACAAGAGGAAACCGCTGATGAATGTTCAAAATATGGTAAAGTTGAAAGGTGTCTTATTTTTGAGGTAACTTTTTATACATGTATATGTATATAAAAGATCTAAATAATGAAAATATGAATAGGTACCAAAGGGAAAGATTCCAGATGATCGTGCTGTTCGTATATTTGTTAAATTTGCAGAGACAGAAGCTGCACAGAGAGCGGTGAATGATTTAAATGGTCGTTTCTTTGGTGGTAGAGTAGTCCATGCGTCATTCTTTGATAACACTAGATTTGATAAGCTAGATTTAGCTCCATCAAAGGAAGAATTGTATATGTAGTAATTTGCTTGTGTAATAAATGTATACTGTGGAATAATTTCATTTAAAGCAGTCAAGAATGTATGCATACATACAACAAAGAATGTCATATCTGGAAATTTTGTATAGTCTTGAATGAAAAAATATATATATATATACATGTATATAATGCATATAAATATAAACCAATAATGAAATCATGTAAAGTTAAACTGAAAACGTCTTAAAGCTTATGAATAAATATCGAATGTTTATAATATACACATTCTTTTTCAGTTAATAAAGCTTGAAGGTAGAAGGGTTATATTAAGTTAAAATATTGGGTATATTAGGCCTCTTTGAAAATAAAGAAAAAAAAATATAAAAAATAGAAATATGTCTATGAACTTACTAACTAAGATAATATATTGTGATAGCAGTCTTCACCTTTGTTTATGACAATTACAAATAAAGCTGTTAATAGTGTAGAGTAGCAAGTTCTATGTATAAATCATTCAATGCTGCATTTATAATTATACATTTATTTAGAGTAGAGGAGTAGAGCCCTAACTTGAAATTGTAGTTATGAACAAATATTCAATAGTACAAGCATAACTGTATACTATATATCTTTCTTAAAGGATATGTTCTATCATTATTATCTAGTCTTTATGTACCTTATAGTTATATACATATAAGCTTTAAGTAAATAAAATGGCCTGAATTTACGTTACTAGGAATACGAAAACAAAAGGTATCATTCATCGCACAGTGTGTACTAATAGTAATGTTCTACTTGTTTGTTGCCCTTATTCTTGAAACTAACTATTTATGTTTCTATCATCTCCTTCCCTTAGTGTAGTAGTAATAGCTGTATGTTATTTTGAATAACAGGGTCATATAACTAAATATGTGACAAGGTCCAGTATTACGTGTGATCTTACTCTTGGGCGTAGACAAAGGAACAAAAATGACTTGTTTACAATTAGCTCAAACAATAGAATCAATTCGAACTATTTTTCACTGTTTGTTCATTCACTATTCTATGGAATAACTAAGCAATTAGATATTTACTCTACAATTGGTTATAAAATTTTATTAATAAATTAAAGCGAGCTTTTTTCCGTCCTTTTTTTTTTTTTTTTTTATTTTATTTCTTTAAAAAAAATACACACACAATACTACACGTATTCATAATACATGAATGGGTAACTGAAATAAGAACAAGATAGTATTAACAATAATATCTGGAAACTATTTATAAATTAACCCATTTATTTATTTTTATACTAGTCTTGATTATAACTTGCATTCTCGCATTCTAGTGAGTCTGGCAAGTGTGTTGGCCGATTCAAGGTCCAAAGCAACTACAGATGAAGTTGATAGGCTTTTATCTAAATGCCCTACTATTCCTATTTTACCCATTGAAGATACTACTATTGTAACTCCAGGTCAAAAAAACATAGGATGCATGGTAATTTATTTTTAACATCTTCTACGCGAAATATATACTAATTGTATAGTGTAAAGACACAGCGCCATCAACAAACACTTGATGCTTTAATTAAATATACTGTCAAAGCTACCAAATCAATTCAGGCCGACATTATACCTCATATTCTTAGTTATTTGAAATATTTGCCTGCATATGAATGGGACGATGTCATTCCATCAAAAGGTAAATAATATATTATAATATCTTCAAATCCTTACAATTCAAATTTTAGGTTCTACGACACCGGATAGTCTTACTTATAGTTTGGTTTTCGGTTTACTGGATATTGCGTATCAGCACTCTGAATTAGCGGACAAAATTTATGAGACGTTATGGAATTATGGAAAATGTATTATCGACTTGGTGGAAACAACTGACAGTAAATATTAAATATATACATATACATACATGTATACATATATCGTCTATATTAAACATATTTATTTGTATTATTGTTCAGCGGAATACATTGTCTATTTCATTTTGCCATCATTAGCTGGATTAGCTCGTGCTTTACAATTATCTCCTTATCTCTGCAAGGCACATCAACTTCAATCCATTTGTGAAAATATTCAGCCACTTATTGTTGACAGAACATTAGATAATATTAAAAATGCAATTGATACCTGTCTAAAAGAATGTGATGGTGATTCTTATAGTAGACGTGTATTAGCCACTTATTGGGAAGCGGGTGTACCCCTCAGCTCAAATCGTATTATTCATGATTTACTTATTATCTTTAGAAATGTAACCGCCCGGGTTGTTGCTGTATCCAATCCTAGTGATCAAAAAAATGGACCAACTGATCTGAAAAAATTGCACTTGACTACTAATATCGAGCACGCTTGGTCAATTTTAATGGAGAAAGTCGCTCGTGGTGTTCCATCACAAAATGGAGGATTAATGGAAACTGATAAAAAACTTAACAAAAATCTTCGTGGAATTTATGTTATGAGTTTAGGTTATTTTGATGACATTCGAAAGTACGCTGAAAAGAGAGAAAATGAGGGTAAAAAATGGTCTCCTGATTCTTACATGAAAGAAATTATGGGTACCAGTTTGGTAAGTTCACATGCGTTTATTAATCCCTGATTGATTTTTTTTTTTTTTTAACAAAACAATGTACAAATTAGCAAGTGGCAGCTTTAAGCTCAATTTATTTACATGAAGTAGATGATGTATTGATTAATTATATTTATGAATGCCTTTTTGAAAACTCTAACAGTACAGATTCATGGGTTCATGTAGCTTCATTAGATTCAGCCGTACTTTTAGCAATTAAGTAATGCATAGCTTTTTTTTTCTTTTTTTTTAAAAAAAAAAAAAAAAAAATGAAAATGAAAAATACTAATATTTATTGTGATAATGTAGCTTTTTAAGTTTAAATACAAAAATGACAGAAACCATTTGTAGATATTTGGCTACACCTTCACCAGTATTTGAATTAATGATAGAATTGAATAAAAATACTTTGACAATGCAAAAATTCGCAATTACTCGATTGGCTCAATGTGTACAGGTAAGACATAGTATTTTTTTTTTAAAAAAAAAAAGAGTATTATATATGTATTTACATATACATATATTTGGTAGACCAAACCAGTTATTCAAATGCGTCAAGCAGCCAATTCTACTTTTTATGCACTTCTTAATGAAATTATTCGATATTCAGATGAAGATATTACAAATAAGCAATTATTACAGGTGCATCCTAATGGTGTTTCTAGAGCTCCTGCTCAGGAGGCTTTGAATGAATCACAAAAGCAGCAAGTCTGTATCAATGCACTTTCTGCTATCATTGGTATAGCTGTTCATCTTGAAGATGAAGTGGTATGCTTTTTTTTTCCCTAAAATGAATACAAGAATCATATTAATTTTCTTATGTTTTAGATTATTTCTCAAGCTTATTCTGTTCTTTCTTTAAGACGTAAATCATTTTCAGTATTTGCAATTGAAACACTAACCAGAGGCCTTGTTGATTTGGCTCTTGTCAGTCCGTTAAATGTATTTAGAGACATAATTAATTTATTCTCTGTATTAAGTCGTGAATCACTTTTAATTGATAATAAGCAACTTACAACAGCTATTGTAAACGCCCAAAAGGAGCTTGCAAAGAGATTATCATCAAAACCGGAGTATTATAATGATTACTTGAGCAATCTATTGGCGTTATTTGTTGAAAATGGTAATACTATTCAAAGAATGATATCTAAGAACAAAAAGGAATCTGATTTCCCTTGGCTTTCAAAACTTGGTCAGCTGTTACCAGTCATTTGTACACTTTTGGAACATAACGATTTTAATCCTCATCTGAATCCTAGTGAAGATACGGTATCTCTTTTCCGTAACACTTGGTTCCATTGTGTTTTATTTGGTTTTGTAACAGAATCAATTTGGATACGCGAATGGTATAACTCTATGCTAGTTATTGCAAAAAAGACTCCTGTCCTTGTCATTGAAAGTGCAACCAATTATTTAGAAAGTGATTTAGAATATAACTCTGTTCTCCGTGGTGCCGATGCTTCAGATCGTGAAGTTGGATCCATGAGTCAAAAATTATCTTCGCTTTTGCCCTCTCTTGCATATGACATTAAAAACTTTTCATTTGCTCAAATTATTTTTGCTCTTAGCGTATATTACATTGAAACTATGAGGAGTAAAATGGGTGACTGTAGCTACATACTGCGTTATTTTATGAATGATGGTGTGAATAATAGTACTATGGCTAATTGTTTGGAAACAATTGCTGATCGTGTCGTCACAGCTTATATTAGGGATGCCTCTGATAAAGCTGACTCTCAGAACTTGGATACTGAACTACGCACCCAAATGTCAACTCTTTTAAAGCTTTGTTGTCATCGACTTCGAAAGGTACACTCTTTAGCTGTTAAAATTTCTGAACGCATCGTAACCACTTTCCCTCAAGTGTTTGCCGAAAAATCATTAATTACATTATTACTTGAACTTGTACAATTACTCTGGTTAAGCTGTGAAGCTGAATATCGAGATGAGTACTGTCCTACTTTCCATTTTACATCCACGCGTGTTGGTGTGACTATTGAACTAGGTGATTCATATTCTTATCGAAAGGATATTTGTGCACATATGTATGAGAATGGCAAAAAATGGCTGCAGGTATCAATGGATCGTGCACCTATGGAAATCAATGGGCTTTTACAAGATTACCTTGCAGAGTATGTCCGTTTTGAACCAGGTGCTTTAATTGATACAGCGCATATGGGTAGAACTTTAGCTTTAGAAGTAGGTAAAACCGCTGCTAGGAATGACATGACAGTTGAATTTGTACCTCAGATTCGCGGAGTTCAACTAGATGATTCGTCTGATTTTGTTGATGGATTTACTTCAAGAAGATATTATATTGGTGAAGTGAGTGGTATTGAATATATGGCAGGAATGCGCCCTGGTATTGATAGGTTACCAAACAGTCATAAGGAAGTAGGTTTGAAGGATCAAATACCTATTGTAGTTAAAACATTACAAGCTGTATTAGATGATATAAAGCAACATCAAAATATTCCTGTAGAACGTTTACGTCGTACATTGCTTCAAGCTGCTAGTTTTATTGTTTCTTTATCCACCATTCATCCTGACTTAGTTTCTTATATTGTACGTATTCCGGTTTATATTTTTACACCTGAATCTTTGGAAATCGGTACAGATGTCTGGAACTGGGTACTTGTTGAGAGACCAGATATTGAAAAACGTTTGATGGTAGAGATTCTTAACATGTGGGGCTGGGCACAACGATATAGAAAGGGTTTGTTTTCACCCAAGTTGGACGCAAAGCATCCATTTGAAAGTAAAATGACTTATGCTCCCTCTGAGAGATCGATAATTGATAAGAATAATAAAAATATGACACGTCTCTTTACGCCTCATATCACATGGATTAAATTCTTAACTAGCCGTTTCTATGCTATCCGACATCGTAGCAAGCATTTGATTAACATGCTCATTCGCTTACTTCAAGATACCTTCCATAATTCTCATTTGATGAGTACACATCCGTTTGCTCGTCTACCTAGATTCCAACTTTTATTTTTGGGTTTGAAGATTCTTCGTTCTACTCAAATGGAAGCGTTGGCCGAATATAGATTCCGATCCTTGGTCTATAATTCTGCCTTCAACTGGTTCGCCCTCCCGCCTAAATGGCATTATGGTTCACGTAAAAGTTATGCATTAGCTGAACAGAAGACATTAGCTGAATTTTATGATATGGTTGTACATGATACGCCTCGCTTAACAAGCTTAGTCACTAGTTCCAATCTACGCTACAATAATTCTAAAAATACATCTGGTCTTTATATGTTTTTAAGTGACAAAACAAATGATGATATCGTGCATGAACATCAGTTATCTAAAAAACTATTACTATTATTCTTGGATAGTGAAATATCACGTCTTTCTGTCTGGAATAATCCTTTGAATACAATTTGTCCTAAATATTTTGCTATTCCTTCTATTGGTAATTCCGACAAATCCTTCACAACAGATGAAAGATGGAAAGAAATTGTTCGATTTGCTTGGGAGACTTCACCCAAGGTAGCAGTTCAAATGGCTGCTCGTTTTGTGCAACCTGCAGTTCAAAGGGAACTTCATACGTTGATTGCAAATAATACATTGGATGTAGTAGATATACCAGAGGCACTTGAGATTTTACTTGGAGAAAAAGTTCAACCTACTGCAAAATTAGATTTACGATATCTTAAATATTGGGCACCTGTTCCTGCTATTACTGCAGCCAATTATTTCATGCCTGCTTATAATAATCATCCATTAATTCTTCAATATGCCATGCGAAGTCTTGAATATTATCCTGTTGATACTGTCTTTTTTTATGTTCCTCAAATTGTACAAGCATTGCGTTATGATGAGTATGGTTATGTTGAAAGATATATTATGGAAGCAGGTCAAGTATCTCAACTATTTGCTCATCAAATTATCTGGAACATGAGCGCTAATTTTTACGTGGATGCTGATAAAGAATGTATCAAGGTAAGTCATATTTTGGACAAAAGTTTTTAGCTTCCAACATGCTAATAGATATTTGTATGTGTGGAAAAAAAAAACCTTTTATAGCCAGATTCACTTAAGCCAGCCCTCGAAAGAATTATTAAAAATTTGGTTGATTCCTTTACGGGCTCTGATAGAGACTTTTATGAACGTGAATTTAAATTCTTTGGTGATGTTACTGCCATTTCAGGTTATTTGAAAGAATATATCAAATATGGACAAAATGAAAAGAAACCTATGCAAAAGGTAAAGCTTTTTTTTATTTATTTATTTATTTATTTATTTATTTGTGAGAAATAAATATTAAAAAATATATATGTATTTATTTATTTAGAAACGTTTGGATGAAGAATTAGCAAAAATTAAAGTCGATGTGGGTGTTTATCTCCCAAGTAATCCAGATGGTCGTGTTGTAGATATTAATCGTACATCCGGAAGACCTCTTCAAAGTCATGCTAAAGCTCCATTTATGGCAACATTTAAGATTGAAAAGGATAAGGAACAAGAAGAGACAGTTGAAGAAATTGGTACAGATAGTGATGAGAAATCAGAAAAATCAGTTGTTACACATTGGCAAAGTGCAATTTTCAAAGTAGGTGATGACTGTCGTCAAGATGTATTGGCACTGCAATTAATTGCCGTGTTTAAAAACATTTTTACCAGTATTGGTATGGATCTATATGTATATCCGTATCGTGTTGTTGCCACTGCACCTGGTCGAGGTGTGATTGATGTAATCCCTCGATCTATTTCCCGAGATCAATTAGGCCGTGAAAAAGTAAACAGTTTGTATGACTATTTTGTAGCCAAATATGGTGGACCCAATTCAATAGAATTTCAGAGAGCACGAACAAACTTTGTCCAAAGTGTTGCGGCATATTCGCTTATTTCATATTTACTTCAGTTTAAGGATCGTCACAATGGTAACATTATGCTGGATGATGATGGACATATTATTCATATCGATTTTGGCTTTATATTTGATATTGCACCTGGTGGTATCGGCTTCGAGAGTTCACCCTTTAAGTTGACAACAGAGATGGTACAAGTGATGGGAGGAAACTCAGAGGAGCAAGCATTTAAGCAGTTCTCTGAGCTTGTCATTAAAGGATATTTGGCTTGTCGACCTTATGCAGAATTAATTATGCAGCTCGTTACACTTATGCTTCAGTCAGGTTTACCCTGTTTCCGTGGTGAAACAATTAAACGTATGCGTACTCGTTTCCAAATAGATAAGTCAGATAGAGTAGCTGCAGACTTTATGATTCAAAAAATTAAGGAATCATTTGAAAATCAAAGAACTGTTATTTATGATTATTTCCAAAAATTAACGAATGGTATTCCTTATTAACATGAATAAAAAGTAAGTCAAAAAGAAGAAGAAAAAAAAAGAAATATCGACCTAGATAACACTATCATGAACATTGTATTTTTTTGTTATATAAATAAATGTAAATAAAAGATGCAACTGAAGCGAATATTTGTCTTTTCTCTTTGCAAGCCTTATTTTGTTGGCCTTTTAAATGTGACAGCGAAAATATTAAAAACTATTGGTTTTTTTTTATTATTATTATTATTTATTTATTTTGTTTCTAACTTTCCTTCTCCTCTCTTCCCCTCTTTTTTTTTTTATTTTTTTATTTTATTTACCCATTAGCAAAATCTTCATGAGCAATTACAAAGAAGTCTGTACAGTTCCTACAGATTTTGGTGTCACTTTCACAAAACTGAAAAGCGAAAAGACAGGCCTTACTGTTATGCTGGCCGATATTGAAGGTAAATTTATTAATGTATTTCTATCTTTCTTACACGTATTAATTTGAAACAATCCAGCTCCACTTGTAAACGGATATTTTACACTAGCAACAGAAAGTAAATGAAAAAAAAAAAAAAAAAAAAAAAAAAAAAAAAAAAGAAAAAGAAAGAAAGAAAGAAAAAAGAAAAGAAATATTTATTATGTATTGACGTCTATTATAGGTTTTGATGATTTTGGATGCCCTCATACATTAGAACAGTAAGTAAGTTAGTTATATCACTGATAAAAGGCACCTAACAAAATATATATAGTCTTGTATTTCTTGGAAGTGAGCAATATCCGTACAAGGTATAAAACGACTTGATCTTGGATTTTGAAAGGAGTTTTTTTATTATTATTAGTAACAACTGTGTATATAGGGCGTGCTAGATTCACTTGCCAATCGAGCTATTGCACAAGGCACCAATGCTTGGACTGATGTCGATCATACATGTTACACCATCACAACTGCAGGCTCAAAAGGCTTTTTAAATTTATTGCCAATCTATGTAGATCATATTCTATATCCTACATTAACAGATACGGGCTATTATACTGAAGTTCATCATATCAATGGAGAAGGTGAAGATGCGGGTGTATGTTTTAACTTGTATTATTACAAAGTCGTTTTTTTGTTTAATCCTATTTTGCCTTTTATAGGTTGTTTATAGTGAAATGCAAGGATGTCAAAATTTAGGTGATGATAGACTTCATCTTCGTATGAAAAGAATCATTTATCCAGAAACATGTGGATATAGGTCAGAAACAGGAGGTCTTATGGAAAGATTAAGAGAGTTATCTGTTGAAAAAAGTAATAGAATGTTTACATATTTGTATGCTTACTTACTTTTTTTCTTATTTATTCATTTCATATATTTAGTTCGTAATTATCATCAATCATATTATAGGCCAGATAATCTTTGTTTAATTATTACTGGTAGAGTTGACAAGGATGAGCTTTTAAAAGCATTAGAACCTGTAGAAGAATCAATTATTAAAAAGGGGTCTCTTCCAAAGATGCAAAGACCTTGGATCAGTACAGGTGATTTTCCTAACCTTGAAAAGAATATTGAGGAGACAGTACTTTTTGCTGATGAGGATGAGTCGATGGGTACAGTCCTAATTGCTTGGAATGGTCCTATGTGTAATGTAAGAAATTTGAAATATATATATATATATACATGATGGATCTTTATATCAATATTATATTTTAGGAATTCCTTAAACAAAAAGAGCTCGAAGTTTTGAATGTTTATCTTACAGATTCACCTGTATCTGTTCTACAAAAGGAATTTGTTGAAATTGAAGATGCTCTTTGTACAGATGTTTATTTCCATATTACGGATCATTTAAAATCATCTTTGATGTTTACCGCTTCGAGTGTCCCTATTGAAGAAATGGAGCATTTCCCCATCAAGTTTTTTGATACTTTACGACGACTTGTTGATACAAATGATATAGATATGACTAGAATGGCCACTGTAATCGAAAAGGAGAGATTAAAGGTATATACATATATATATATATACACACATATATATATATATTTAAAAAAAAAAGGAATTACACATTAATGCATGATATTTTATAGTTACTAAATAGTGCAGAAACAGATGCTCATGATACTGCCGCATTAGTTGCTATTACTGATTTCTTATATGGTTCACCTGATGGAGAAAATCTTAAAGAAGCTGTCAAAGATCAGGATTACTTGAACATTCTATCTAAATATACAGTGTCTGATTGGCTTAATGTCATCAAAAGGTGAGTAGTAGTAGTAGTAGTAGACCAACTGACCCTATATCAAATAAACTTTATTCATTTTATTTATTATTATAGATGGTACCTTGATGCCCCTCATGTTACGTTATATGGTAAACCATCTGCTGAATTTGCCGATCAGCAAACAGAGGAAGAAACCAATCGTATTGAAAAACAACGAGCTGATCTTGGTGATAAAAGATTAGAAGAACTTCAAAGAGAATTAGAAGATGCTAAAGCTAAAAATGATGTACCTGTTCCTAAAGAAATTTTAGAAGATTTCAAAATTCCATCTGCTTCTACTATTCAATTCATTAATGTCATTACTGCTAGAAATAATGATTCAACTTTGTAAGAAAAAAGTAATTATAAGCTTCCCCTGAAGGAATTCTAACATACATTATTTACTTTTTGCAGATCTAACAAAGTCCAAGAGCATATTAATAAGGACGATAGTGCTGATGTCCCTTTATTTATTCAGTTTGATCGTAAAGCTTTGAAAATAATGTATAACATATTTAGAATACATTGAGCTAATTTTTTTTTATTATTATTATAGATATTAAATCACACTTTATTAAAATTTCAGTACATGCCAGTAATTCCATAATCCCATCTCGATTACTTCCTTATACTAGATTGTTCTTAAAGGTTATCTTTTCACTCCCTATTGAAAAAGATGGCAAACTTATTGATTACGAAGAAGTTGTTAAGGGTTTGGGAGAAGATACAATTGAGTATGAAGCTGCATTGGGCACCAGTTTTGGCTTTAGAGAATTAGCAGTTTTCACTTTAAAGGCAGCCTCATCTAAATTTGAGAAAACTATTCAATGGTTACAAGATATTTTATGGAACACTCAATTTACAGTAGAAAGATTAAAAATTGTTGCTGCTCAAATTTTAAATGATATTCCTCAAGCAAAGAGAGATGGTCATGATGTAAGTAATAATAACGATATACTTTTTTTTTTAGTTTCTTTTGGGCAAATTCGTTTACCTTCGATAAATATTAGATGGTGAATGCTACTTTACGTGCTCTTCAAGTTGATCCTAAAAAATCAATGTATGGTGCTCGTAATATTTTATTTCAAAATGCATTTTTACAAGATGTAGTAAAAAGATTAGAGTGTGAGCCTTCTTCAGTTTTGGATGATTTAAATGAATTTAGATCTAAATGTAAGTATATTCGCTTTATATTAAAATTAACCTTTATGCTAATATCTTTGTTTTAGTATGTGCCCCTGAAAATCTTAGAATTCATGTTACTGGAGATATTTTAAGAATTGAAAATCCTAGAACAGCATTTAAAAATTTTGCAAAAATAGAAAAGAATTATCAAATAGCACCTATCACTTTAGCTAAAGAAGTTCTTAAACCTGCTGGTCTTGAGCCTGGAAATCATGGTTTGTTGGTTACCTTACCTGCAATTGAAAATACATTTTCACTTCATTCTGTTAAAGGACCTAGTCAATTTGATGATCCTGATATTGCTCCTTTACTGGTTATGATTGAACTTCTAGATACGATGGAAGGAATTTTCTGGAAATTAATCCGTGGCCAAGGATTAGCTTATTCTTGCTTTTTGAATGCAAATATTGAATCAGGCTTAATCAGCTTTACTATCTATCAATCTCCTGATGCTTTCAAAGCCTTTGAACAAGCTAAAAATGTGATTGAAAAATTAACTAAACACGAAATGGATATTGATCCCGCTTCAATTGATGGAGCTAAAAGTGCAGTTATTTATAGCTTAGTAGCAAGAGAAAATACGATGGATCGTGCAGCCCTTCAATCTTTCGTGAATCAGGTTTTAAAGAAGATGCCAGCATCCTACAATCATGATATGCTAATTGCTATACAGGTAAAATAAATAATATATGAAAATGTAAAGTCATTGTTTTAACCATATTTTATATCATTTATAGAATGTCACTATAAACAACTTGCAGCATGTATTGAACAAATATTTTGTAAACTTGTTTAAACCTGATACAAGCAATGTAGCTGTCATTAGTGCTCCCACTAAAGTAACGGACATTCAAAAAGGTTTTGGAGGATTAGGATTCGAATTAAAGTCAATTACCTTGAATGATATTACAATTGATTCCTTTTATTAAATCATATCAAGAAATTTAATTATTTTTTTTTTTTATTATTATTAATAAAACATGACTTATCACGGTAATATTTTTTTTTTTTTACTAGTCGTTTTATTATAAAAAATAGATGGTATTAGTTGATTTTCCTTAAGGAAAAAAACAGGCTTAAATTAAATTTTTAAAGCGAATACATTTACTATAACGTGTAAGGATTTTGATTCATAACAATAACTCGCACTACCTATTATGACTGTTATTTAATGCTAATATTTTTCTATTAAAGGCACGCATTTACCATCATTTTGATTATCCCAATAGGCTGAACTACTAGCATAAAAACCAGCACCTTTATTTTGCAAAATAACGCAAGTAACTAAGAAATTATCAAAGATATTAAATGTATGTAAAAATAATAATAAAAACCAATCATTTTAATACTTACTGATATATTTGTAGTTATTATTCATACTCTTCAATTTGTTCAAACATGTTTTAATAATGGTTGAATTCCAATGAGAAACTTTTGAATAAGAATATTCTGAATCAGCTACTATCTCTCCAATAGCCTATTTGAGTATAATTCAATGTTTAAAAAAAAAATACAAATACACACATCAATGATCCTTTTCTTTTCTTTTGCTTTATTTCCTCTTTTTCCAATCCACAATCAACTATTTAATTTAACATAAAAATAATACTAACTTCTTTAATGAGAGTAGTTACTTCTTCGGAATTAAATTTCTTTTCCTAGATTTTTAAAATAATGTTAATGACTTATCAATCAACTAAACGAAAAAAAAAAAAAAAGCGAAATAAAATACATCAGTTTTAGTCATTAATGAAGATGTTTCTTTATTTGTATTATCCATTGTATTATTATGCCTATATGAGGGGAAAGAAACCAAAAAAAAAAAAAAAAAAAAAAAAAAAAAAAAAAACAAATAAAAATTAAAATTAAAATTAAAATTAAAATTAATTGAAAAAAGGTAATAAGTAAATCTAACTGACTTTAAAAAATGACAGTAATAATTATCTACCATGATTGCAAAACGACCTTCTAGTATATTTGTATTAAACCATTCATGCATTAAACATAGTATATTGTTTTCATATTTTTAGATCAAGTCACTACTCATTCAGTATCTGCTTCTAAAGAACAGCAATAGCAATATGTAAAGTATAGCTCAATGCATTCATCTGCTCGATAAAAAAAAAATGTCCCTGAATCATTATATAAACAGGAAGATTAAGCACTTCATATAACTTCTTAAGTATGTATCTTGGAATCAAATTGTATCTTGTATTTATATAAATATACAAGTCTAATAAAAGTTTATATACAATACACTAACAGAGAGTAACATTAAGCATATTATTTGGTGGTATTTAAAGCCCTTTTAAATATGCAACCTATTTTAAACTTTAATTTTGGAAGATAAAGCAAAGTTATATCTAAGCTGTTAATTTAATTTTATTCAAGACTTACACAGAAATTAGCAGAACCTACGCATACTATTAATCTTATAATGTCCTTAGCCTTTATTTCTAGCAGAAGAACATTTTTTTTTCTTTTGAATTGAAAATTCCAGTTATAGGCTTTAGGAATTGAATGTTTAATAAAAAAAACTATCAAGTTTAAAGGCGTCCGAACAAAAGTCACCAACATAGTGTAGAAAAACTTGTTGAATAAACAAAGATATGACGATCTGACTATTATAGCTACTATAAATGAACATAGAATTTCCAAAGTAATTAACTGTTATTATTGTTGCTTTAACACCAAGTTAATATATCTGCCTTTATATAAAATTGGATTGTTATTTATTATGTTTTGAAAGAAAGTTTACGCCTTCAATAATAGGCTATTATGGTGTCTTAATTTGACCAAGCTGTAGTATGCTTTGGCAACGTGATTGCAATACTTCTTAAAAAAAAACTTTTTTAGGAGCATACCGAATTCTTGATTGCTCTTTTTGATAAACCCCCCATCAGTTGTTCTTGAAGAAGTCAGATTGCAGTTATTAAGCAGCTTTCTAGAAATAGGTGATATTGCTATTTCAAGCCTTTACACTCATATTCGAGAGAAATGTTTTATAAGTCTAAAACAAGCAAGCAAATATACTGCGGAAAGGGATTCACAAAGGACTTTAGATCTTCGTCAACATATAATAACAGAGTGGAAAGCAGTTGGTGTTTTTTTTTTTTTTTTTGAAAAATTGTGTGTTCGTAGATGAAGTGGGTTTTCATTCACAGATGATACATCATCAAATTCCCTAAAAAGTTCATACCATCATGCTAAAAAACGTGAAAAATCAAAAAATAATATATAGTTGTTGATAAGGTAAAGATAAAAAAGAAGACGGAATAAATCTGTATAAAACTTTTATTATAAATTGAATAAAAATAAAATTAAAAAATGAGTGCAAAATGGATCTGTATTTTATATTCTTGTGGAGAACTGGGTTACTTCGCGACAGGAACAGAATGAAAGAAGAATATTTTCCATAAAATGATTAAAATTATTGTGTTTGAGCTCTCTAGTCTTTGCCCTGATTGAGAATTAATCTCAGTTAACTCTAATAAATATTAAATTATTGGTGCTCGATTTAGCCGGTTATTTTACTTGAAACCAAATAATGAGATCTCGTTTGTTCATACTTGTGAATGATATAGGGAAGATACTTTGTATTATATTCATTCCTCAATGTACTACTTGAATGAATTTCATTATATTTTATAGTGTATAGATAGTATACGATTATATTTATAAATTAATATATTAGATAATAATAACAATAATGTGAGTATATAACTAATAGGTACAATCTACAATGCATATAACTTTATCATTATTTCGTAACGTCAATATTTATTATAATATCATTTCTCTCATCACAAGAATGTCTTATAAACTGAAATCAAATAATATTGTATGCGTAAAGTATACAACTAATAACTATAATATCATTCGGTCCTTCATGACTCTGATCTGTATATTATAAGATGTTATGTAATATATTATTATATACACAACAGATGCTCCATATGGTAAATCAACTATCGATGAAGGTTAGGGTGTCCATTCTGCAAGTCCAATTCGTTTTCCGTGCTATTGACCTACCGGGTGATACCTTGCTCGCTAAATCACTTCCTGAGCTTCAAGCCTCCACTTTCAACACTTAATGGTATAAACTCATTCAAACGCCATACTGGAGACTCTGTGCCGCCAACTCCATTCCATTAGACCAACGCTCCTTTCGAAAAAACATCGTCAAGAATTTCTTAAATAGAGTTTTCAGCAACTACGTGACGGGACATGTTCTGTTTTGCTTTCCGCTTGCTACTCCAATCTAATTATTGATCCGATACTCTGGTTACTCATGACACACAGTGAGCATAGTCGAATTATTCGATGGCGTCATGGTTGGCTACCCGGAGGAATACCTAAAGCCTGCCCATATCATCCTTATGTACACTTTAGTCGGTCACACGCTACTGAATGCTTGCACATGCACACTCATTTATTCTTGCCACGATCAATCGTAGATCCCCTTTCCTTTCTTTTAAATCATCTCCCTCAGCATAAGTACCAAAATTCTTAGGATGTTTCTGCCTGGCTCTATCGTTGGCCAGTTATATGCACTATCCTACAGGAAATGGAGCACTTACTACACGACAAACTACTACTACCCCCTTCACTTCTTGACCCAGGCAGGAAATGACTCAACTGGTTGTCCCTTTAAACTTGTTAGCAATATTTCCCCTTTCTTTCTCACCTTCTCTTCTTCTTCCTTTCCTTCACCTTTTTTTTTCACCTCTTGTCCTGTAAGAGGGTTTTTAGATACCTTTTTGTTTTTTCGCATAATCTGAACTGACCTGGGCAATCTAATATAACAAACATATTATGAGCTCATAGGTCGCTTTATAAATTTTAATTTATAAAAATAAAAATGTTTAATCGTATTTTAAGGGAAGGAGTTTGAATGTTATTGTTTCTGTTAGCACATGATTATTTATAAAAGACAAATATGTATTTCCAATATTAGTAGCATATTGCTTGTTACAATAAAGGACTGATATTTAATCTTAAAAATAGCAAAAAGATAAAGTTAATATTAGTAATTATGCCATTATATAGTAAGGAAAAAATAAAGGTAATAGAATATTGAGAAAAGTATAAATAACATAACGTTAGTTAAAATGGTATAATAAAAGAAATTTATTGATTATTACAGGACTTCTAATGTGAAAGTATGTAATTTAAATGTTATTTTTCTTGTCTTTTTTTTTTTTTTTTTTTTTTAAGAAATAAAAAAGTAATAAAATCAGCAATTTTATTATTTGGATGGTGTGATGTTTTTTATTGTATGCAAAGTAAGGCAACTAGAAATGTGCTTTTATTTAATATTCTAGCATAAAGATTTAAAGATAAATAAATTAAATATGTATTTTTAATATTTCTAAAAAAAAAAAAAAAAAAAAAAAAAAAAAAAAAAAAAAAAAAAAAAGCGTGTTGATTAATGACACATTATTATCCAATTCAATAAAAGTGTCTAATCTATCCACTCTTCATTGATTTGAGTATTATTTCTCTTATCAGATCTTGAAAATTAAAGCCTGCTTATTAAGTAACATTGCATGTAATACTTTAAATCTCTTTTTTTTTACGTTAAACATATGTGTGTAGTTGGTGAAATTGGTCCGAAAACTATAATATCCTAATGTTAGTAATGTATTCTCTTTACTCTGCAAAAAGTTAAAAATTTGAATTGCATATCACATGAAGCACAACAATTTTTATATTTAATGATAATAAATGAGAGAATATATAATTTAAAGGCTTTGTTATTAGTGACCTTTGTCAAGTTAAAGAAAATAGAATAAGATTTTTTATTAGGACATTTCTCTTAACAAATAAATTAATACTTCTTTTTTTTTTTCTTGAGCGATCGACGTTTCAACTTTGTAAATAAATTATAAAAGATGCTAAATATTCCATTACAGTTAAATAATTATTTTATCTATAAAGAAATATGAGCATAGAGCATCATTTAGTATATCAGATTTGCCTGAGCTGAAACAAAGAAAGGCTAAGAATAACAGAAAAAAAAAGTCTCTTCAGAATTAAGAGAAAGTATCTGGAAACAAAATAAACAAATTTATTAATGATGTGGGGAAGGAAGGAAAGAAAAAAAAAGGGAGAGAGAGAGAGAGAGATGCATTGTTTTGGATGAAATAAATTTATTTTCAGACATAAATCAGACAAAGTTAAGAGTTACTGGCAAGGCAATGTTTCCAACTCTAAATGATGCATTTTTTTTTTAACTTGAGGGACAGTTTCCATCAAGCTGAAGTACTCAATTCCCCCATGTGTTTTCGTATATCCTTTCGAATTTTTCTCGAACTTACGACATGTTATTTAATCTTTACTAATAAACTAATGGCAGCTTCGGTAAGACGGTAAAAGATTCAGTTCTGTTTTATTTTTAATTTCATATAGAAGTTTTTTGTCCACTAGTCTTTTAAGTCTTCGGCCGTCAAGATTAAGAAGGAAGAAGCTTGATAATCTTTTAAAAAAGATATTGCAAATCCATTGTTTGGCACACATTTGAAAATAAGCCCATTTACAACTGAAATTAGCTTTGTCCTTCGTTAAAATGATTCTCAATATTGAAATTCTCTACAGCAGACCCCAAAGAAGCTGTTTCCTCAATATATTGGCTATCAATTAGTATCAAAACCATTATTATTGTCTCCTAATGCATTGCTCTTCTTGATATAATAAGTTACAAATTAGTTTGAGTTAATATTCAATAAACAAAGCTTTGAATACACACTATTTTTCTTATGGCGCCAAAAATATAATTTTATCTTTTATTATTTTTTCGGATCTCTCACATAAATGAGTGTTGTTGGCCGCTGTTAATTCTAAATTCCAGTAAGCCACATCACCTTTATTAGAATCATTATTTGATACATTTCGCATCTAGAAAAAAAAACAATTATTTAACTTGATTACTATTATGGGTCAAGCACTGATTTACCTTATACATGCTGATTGCATTAGTTATGTTGTTGGTATTTAACATGTTCATTTTTAATAAAGTCTTCGATAGTAATTTATAGTATGAAGTATTGGTTAGCGCTTCACTACTATTTGATAAATTAGTAATGTAAAATAATGATACGATGGATTTAGCTTATCCATAGACTCAAGCCAAATATCATAAGTATTCTCACTCTATACCTTGCGTTTTAATATTATGTTTTTCAGTAAGGAGCTCGTATACAAAAGCTTCGTGAGGTGAAAAACTTTTATTGTTTCTGTGCTGTTTCCTTTGTTCGTCGTCCTCTTCGTGTGTTTGTAGCCCGCTCATTTCTCAAAAGAGAACGAATTAATTGGGCACAGCTTAATACTATTCTTTGGGATAAAATTGCTGCTTGTTCCTCTTCTTTTCCTCTTTCATTCTCCTCCTCCAAATCGTTCTCTAATACCGAACGGTCGGGGATGAAGCAGTGTTTATACTATTTTAACTATCTTCTTCATCATGATGAAGAACTTATTCGCCTTTTGATGTGTGCTTCTTTTCTTGGTGACGCCGTTGAGATCCTTAAGGAAATAACTAAATATTCTTTCTTCTCTCTTGTCCCTTCTTTCTGATGTCTTTATCTTTTCGTCCTTGACTCCCTTTCTGGTTTCCTTTTTCTTTGTTCCTGTATCTCTTTTTTTTTCGTTTTTTGTGCTTTCCTGAGGTATTAGATTTATTTTGTAACGACTAGAACAAACTTATTAAGACATCTTTAACTGCATATCTCATGGTCCCTGGTCTCTCTCTCTCTCTCTTTTTTTTTTTTTTTTTTTGTCCTTTAAATAGGTTATGCCCTCATATATAATGTAGTTATTTGGATTCTCTTCTGTTTGCTTCTGGTATAGCAATTAATGCTCTATTGAGCGCGTGCATAAATATACCTTGATAAAAGATAAATAAATCTTCGCCTGGAGCGAGGAGCATGAAAATTTATATTGGCAATTTCTATGTAAACTCAAAAATTATTTGGGGTCACTTCGAATTTCCATTAAAATTTTAAAGTATGCTTTTCTTTTTTTTTTTCAGTAGAAAAAAGAAACCCCTCTATCCCTTCTTGGCAACAATAATGATGCGGTTCTATGTATTTTTAAATTTGGTATAATATGTTATTTAGAAGGATCGAGTTTTTAATAATTTCTGAGTTAAGGCCTCGAAATGATCAAGTTTAACATAATGAATATGTATGATTGACTCTCTTGGGATTTATACTTCACATTGAAAAAAAAATTATAACAAAAAATACAGTTATTATCTTGACTATTCCTTCAACGACAGATAGATATCGTGTGATTAAGCCTCTATTAATGCTCTATCTTGTACACATTTTTGTTGAAGGAATAGTTAAAGATAAATGGCTCACATATTAGACTTAACTCTATTGTGTAAGTATAGAGTGTATTTCTATCTTGATTTTTAGAATGTGCAGCGATAGAATAACATTAGCTGATATATTTAACTGATAACAGTAACATATTCCTTTTTGAGCCTATAAATTTGCGCTCTACAAATTATAGATTAAATTAAGTTATGGTATGGTTGTAGTGGCGTTGTCATTGCTCAAGTAGTTTTTGGTAATTAGAGATAATATAAATCTTCCAAATGCTACATATAGTATCTTTGAATGCTAGTTTTTACCAAGACTGAGGAATAGTCAAAGCTTTCTAAACTGGAGTGGTAGGCAATCAATTAGTCACTACAATCAGCAATTTCACTAATCTTCCTTCATATACTGGAAAACAAAGATTCTACTATCAAATTCATAAAGCTCAAGGCTAAAAAGTAGATTATGATATAGTAGTTGAGAAATGAAAGCATTGATGAAATTCTTAAAATATAACTTAACAGAATTAACGCTTTGTGTTTATTGATAATGATGTGGGTGCATATATCCCTTTTTGTGGCAGCTATATTTTAAATGCATGAACGGTGTTGTATGAGTAAAAGTATTTAGATACAGATGTTTTAGTACAGAAAGCAATTGAATGCCGTATATTGGGAGAGGCAATTTCCTCCTTTTACTGTAATATTTCTAAAAGCATCAATTGAAATTACAAGCTCTATTCTTTGATATATGAGAAACTGTCCCTCAATTTTTTAAAAAAAAATGCGTCATTTGGAGTTGGAAACATTGCCTTGCCAGTAACTCTTAACTTTGTCTGATTTATGTCTGAAAATAAATTTATTTCATCCAAAACAATGCATCTCTCTCTCTCTCTCCCTTTTTTTTTCTTTCCTTCCTTCCCCACATCATTAATAAATTTGTTTATTTTGTTTCCAGATACTTTCTCTTAATTCTGAAGAGACTTTTTTTTTCTGTTATTCTTAGCCTTTCTTTGTTTCAGCTCAGGCAAATCTGATATACTAAATGATGCTCTATGCTCATATTTTTTTTTCTGCTTATTGTTTCATTCGTGATAAGGTTAACGATAAAATCGCATCAAGTCCGCAAATAAAAAATAAAAGAATTTTCTTCAAATTTATAAAGCATAAATTAAATTTGTCACCTAATGTTTCTTTTAAAGACTAAAGGCTTTTGTAAAAGATTTTGAATATGATATTTTAATAATGTAAATATTATGTGTCTTTTTTTAAGCTTAATCATCTCCGCTTTAACCATGTTCTATTTTAGTTGAAAAGAAGAATCTTCATCAGCTATTTTTATGTTTTATATAAATATATACATTACGCATCTGTCATTTTATTTTTAAAAAAAATCCTTTTTTTTTCCTTCTTCTTCTTCTTCTTCTTCTTCTTCTCCGTGTATATTTCACTTTTTTTTTTTTCGTTAGAAATATAATTCATAATGGCTGCTGTTAAGAATATTTGTTGTATTGGTGCTGGCTATGTTGGTAACACGCCATCTTTTCTGTTTTCACTCCTATATGTGTTATTTATGTGACCCTTTTTTTTTCTTGTTTAGGTGGTCCTACTTGTTCTGTAATTGCTTACAAGTGTCCGGATATCAAAGTCACTATTTGTGATATCAGTCAAAAACGTATTGACGCTTGGATGTCTGATAAGCTTCCTATTTATGAACCTGGTCTTGAAGATATTGTCTTTGCTTGTCGTGGAAAGAATCTTTTCTTCTCTACTGATATCGATAAACATATTCAAGAAGCTGATTTAATCTTTGTTTCTGTAAATACTCCTACTAAAAAATATGGTCTTGGTGCTGGTATGGCTGCTGATCTTGCGTAAGTACCTTATATAGAATAAATGAGTGGATAGAGGAAGGGGAGGGAAAGGATATAATAATAATTCGGAGCTTTATAAAGCAATAAGACTAAATGCTTTCAAATAGTTATGTCGAAGCCGCTACACGTCGTATTGCTCAGGTTAGTACTAGTTCAAAGATTGTTGTTGAAAAGTCCACAGTACCTTGTCGTACTGCTCAAAGTATGCGTGCTATCTTGGAAGCAAATAGCAGTGAGAATATCAAATTTGATATTCTTTCAAATCCTGAATTTTTAGCTGAAGGTACAGCTGTACAAGATCTTCTTCAACCTGATCGTGTTTTGGTTGGTAGTCTTCAGACTGATTCTGGTAAAGAAGCTCAACAAAGACTTGTTGATGTCTATGCTCATTGGATTCCCCGTGAAAATATTATTACTACTAATCTTTGGTCTTCTGAGCTTTCAAAATTGGTAATTTTTTTTTTTTTTTTTTTTTTGCAACTTAGAAGGTGTTTAACAAATCTTAAATTTTAGGCTGCAAATGCTCTTTTAGCCCAACGTATTTCATCTATTAATGCTTTATCTGCTGTCTGTGAGGCAACTGGTGCTGATGTGGATGAAGTTGCCTATGCATGTGGTCGTGATAGTCGTCTTGGTTCAAAGTTTTTAAAAGCTTCAGTTGGCTTTGGTGGCTCTTGTTTCCAAAAAGATATTCTTAATTTAGTCTACCTTTCAACACAACTCAATTTACCTGAAGTCGCTGAATACTGGAAGCAAGTTTATACGATGAATGAATATCAAAAGAAACGATTTGTTCGAAAGATTATTTCTACACTTTTCAATACAATTACCAATAAGAAGATTGCCGTTCTTGGTTTCGCTTTCAAGAAGGATACTGGTGATACCCGTGAATCTGCAGCTATTACTTTAATCAAAGATTTTATGCAAGAAGATGCTCATGTAACAATTTACGATCCTAAAGTAGACCATGAACAAATCTATTATGATCTTTCTGAACCTGGTGTTGTTGATAATCGTAAGCAAATAGAAAAAAAAATTGAAATTTGTTCAAATGCCTACGAAGCTGCTAAGGGTGCTGATGCTCTTGTCATTGTTACTGAATGGGACGAATTCCGTGAACTTGATTATAAACGTATTTATGATGACATGCAAAAGCCTGCTTTTGTATTTGATGGTCGTTTAATATTGGATGCTCATAAGTTAAGAGAAATTGGTTTCAAGGTTCATGTTATTGGTAAAAATGACCTTGAAGGCAGAGCCTAAAGTGTGTTTTTATTATTATTATTATTATTATCATGTATACATCACAAAAATAATTCTCGCTTGTAAAGTTTCAAAGTGTATTTTTTTTTTTGTTTAATAAACTTGTTCTCATATAAACAGGTTTTTTCCGGGCCGGAGCTACCTTGTTTTGTTTTGTTTTGTTTTTTAAAGAAAAAAAAAATGAGGGCTTAATTTCATTTTAGAAAGAGGGAAGAATTGTAAAAAAGAGAAGGAAATGTTGTGTGGGGTTCATATAAAAGTAAAGAAGATGTATCATGCAGCTATTCCTTTCACAAATTCGGTATAGCTATCATGAAGTAAAGATTTACAAACATCCATCTGTTAGAAAAGGCAAATAACTCATATTTAAATTTTATATTAGGCTTGAGATTTGTTCCTTTTCTGGTCATAAGATTTATCCTGCCAAGGGTAAGACCTATGTTCGTGTTGATAGCAGGTACTTTTCTTCTTTTTTTTTCCTAATTAACTAAATCCTAATTTGCTTTTTTTTTTTCTAATAATCCTTTTTTTTTTAGAGTATGTCTTCTATAGATTAAAAAAAAATAAATGCTTAATCAAAGCATTTATCAATTTTAAGCATTATGAATTAATGTTTATTTTTATTTTAATAGACTTTCCGTTTCATCAATGGTAAGGCCGCTTCTTACTTTCTTCAACGTTTGAACCCTCGTAAGATTAGATGGACTCAAATTTATCGTCGTTTGAACAAGAAGGGTATTACTGAAGAAGTTCGTAAGAAGCGTTCTCGTCGTACTGTCAAGCACGAGCGTGCTATTGCTGGTGCTTCTTGGGAAGCTATTCGTGCCAAGCGCAACCAAAAGCCTGATGCTCGTGCTGCTGCTCGTCAGGCTGCTATTGCCAAATCTAAGGAAGTTAAAAAGGCTGCTGCTGCTGCTAAAAAGGCTGCTAATCCTAATGTAAGTTTACGAAGTATAAGAAATTACTATTTATGAGTACTAATCCCATATTTTTATATAGATTAATCAGACTAAGGTTAGCAAGCAACAAGCCAAGGGTTTTGCCCCTAAAGCTGCTCCCACTTCTCGATAAATTTGAATATGCTTGATATAAAGATATATATATATATAATATAGGTTCAATTCAGTTCTCTTTTTTTTTTGCAAATAAATCGACAGATAAAAATGAGTCAATTCAGTAAAGAAATATGATATTTATTTTGAAATTTCAACACACAATTTTTTATTAAACAATTCAGTTCTTTTTCTTTTTATTTATACCAGCAAATGTACGTAATGTCGACCATTTTATTTTGCGAGTATCGAGTTGAATGGTGAAAGGAATAAAATTGATTTGACTGCTCATCATAAGTTATTGACTTTTCAGAGGATTACATTCATTTATGGATAAGGCATTTAATGCTCGCTCTACAAAAAATTAAAAGATAGTAAAATGAAACAGATACGACTAGCTCAAATAGAAATCAAATCAACTAGAAATTAACATGTAGTTGTGAATAAATTAAGGCTGATTGTAGAAGATATATGTCGTTGGATAAGTAGATATGTTCCTATTGATCTTTTAAGGATACCGAAACAAAGTACGTTGGCTAGAGATGTGATTTTCTTTCTACTTAAAAAAAAAAAGGATTTAAATTGGGCAAAACCATCATACTACATTATTTGCCCATGATCGTCATAATGCTCAAGAGTGAGACGAGTCATAAAACTGTTCATCTCTACGCTTTTAATTTAAATTCAGAGTTATTTCGACTACAAATCTTATATTCAACTAAGCCCAGCGTCTATTTATAACAGTTAATAAGTCTAATTCATACTTCACAGTTGGTAGCATTGTATCATTGAAGATTAGGTGAAAGGAAAAGGAAATATAATATGTAATAGTTTTTTTTTTGATTGCATCATAAGCTAATAATAATTATATTTATGCGAAGTTAAGCTATACGATAACTATAACTAACATTTTTCTTAATATTGCTATAATGTTCAGTTTATTAACTGCTTATATAGATTTCAATGGCTTTTTTGGCATTAGGTTAAGCTCTAATACCAAAAAGATGATATATCGTTTTTTCTTTTTCTCTTTTCTTTTTTTTTTTTTATTGTATCCATGTGTAAGCATTGATTAATATAAGCATCGTTTAACAGAGGAATTAATTTTATAATAAACAAAAAGTCTTTTATTTAAAGTTTACTTTCATCGTTTCCAACTTTAGCAACTACTTTAGCATAAGATTTACGATCGTTAATGGCCTTCATTCCTTGAGGTATAGTTTCTAATGTATAGATTTGATCATAAAGTGCTGGCTTTAATTTGCCTGATTCAAATAAGTCTATTAACGCTTTCCAAACTTCTTGAATTCTTTCAGGTTCATTTTTAGTATAGGCTCCCCAATGTAGGCCACTATTTATATTCATATCAAGAAAAATTAATATAACTGCATATTTAAATAAAATAAAGATACTTTACACGGCAGAAATATTTTTTAGTAGTAAACGGTTTGTAGGAATCTTTTCAATTGTACCTTGAGCAAAACCAATAATTAATATTCTACCATTCCAGGCTGTACATTTAGTACTATTTATAAGTATAATTATTACTCATTTATATATATATATATATATATATGTGTGTGTGTGCATATTTTTTTTACCTAGCTTCAACAAGACCAACAGGATCATAAACTACATCAGCACCATGGCCATTAGTAACCTTTTTGACTTGTTCAGTCCAGTCTTTTTCACGATAATTAATAACAAAGTCAGCACCGTACTTCTTTGCAATATCCAATTTTTCAGCTGAGCCTGCTGTAGCAATAACTTTAGCACCGAGAGCTTTTGCAATTTGAACAGCAGCAATACCTACACCACCAGCAGCAGCATGAACGAGACAATATTCACCTGCTTTTAGATTAGCACGTAACACAAGAGCAGAATAGCTGGTTGGATATGTAATATACAAACCGGCAGCTTGCTCAAACGAAAAGTTTTTAGGCATATGAAGTACATTAGAAGCAGAAACATTCACTATCTCTGCAAAGGAATAACCGGACCCAAATACACGGTCACCTGCCTTAAATTTGGGAATAGTTGACTCAAGGACAACACCACTAAACTCTCCCCCAGGAATAAAAGGAAAAGGAGGTCGTATTTGATATTTACCCTGAATCTAAAAGAAAGAAATAATAATAAGTTGTTTAGATGTAAAGTTCATTTCAACCGGAATCAATCTGAAATTACCATTAATGTGTCGAAAAAATTCAAACCAACAGCCTTGACTTGAATCTGTAATTCACCCATTTTTGGTTTGGATGGAGGATTAATATTTTTCAATGAAAGTTCCTCAGGACCTTTTAACCACTTTTCAACTACAAATGCCTTCATTTTAATTAATTATACTTTTTTTTTTTTTTTAGTGAAATAGAACAAAATGAAGCATTATTATTATGGAAAATGAAGCAGTAAAGTACCCTTTTTTTTTTCTAACCCAGACGATTTTCGCTGAGCTAATCTGTATTCACAACAGAAAAAAAAATGTGGGGTAGAATATAAAGATAATCTGTATTATGAGATACATATTAAACAATAAAATGGATGTTAAAATTATAATAAAGATAAGTATTTAGACTCTATTATTCAAAATTATTAATAAAGAGCGATATTAAGATATATACAGAGAACAGAAATGATGTGTTTAAAAAAAATTAGAGTCCAAAATTCAGGCCCCTCTATAAGCTCTACCTCTCCTGATATCTCTGATCTATTTAATAGAGCTCCTATGTCTAGCCTAACTGTTAAGAAATTTAAAAATGATAATTGTTGAACAGTTAGAGATAAAAAAGAAGTCATAATAAATCTGTGAAAACTTTGTATAAAACTTTTATTATAAATTGAACAAAAAGTTTCTTTTTTTTAAAGTATATTGCTCATGTAGATGAACTAAGCTTAACAAATTTTCAAACAATGGTAGCTTCATTACAGCAAGCCAAATTAGTAGCAGATAAGATACCAGAAGGTAATAACAACTTATATGTTCTTTTTTGTAGGATAAATTGTTCATCTCTATTATAGCTTTAATAATAATAATAAAAAATAAGCAGGAAAAGCTAAAAATCAGGCTATTAAGATTTTCGAGTCCTTATCACTTATTGAGGAATATATTGAGCCGGAAGATAGAATTCCTTTAAAAAACAAGGCAAAATGGCAAGAGTTAAGTGAACTGCGAGAACGAGCTATAAAACAAATATAACAGCCCCCATTTGAAAGATATATTAGTAATACAAATGATGTGACAATATCAACTACTGCCATAACCACTTCCCCCTTTACTAGAGACCATGATAGCAAAAACTGGAGAAACAACAGTAATTTGGAACATACAGCTACTGAAGAGAAAGATAAAAAAACTTGATTTCAAAAAAAGTTATATACAACACCTTCCATCAGCATTAGATTATTTACGAGAATTATCATCAAGAACGTCTACTTTCAACATTGTTCAATAAAGAATATCTTATATGCATAGCCTCTATAGTTTTTTATACTTTGAGTTCAGACATTATTAGTTCTTTTTTTCTAAATGAATCAAAAATAGATATTATGTTTACCTTGTATTAGATGACGTGAATTGGCCATGTAGACATAGATGATAAAGGTTTATTTACCAAGTTTTCTAATTAAACAAAATTTTATAGTCTTTTTTAAAAAAAAATAAAATAAAACTATATATCTCTACTGGTTACAATTAGTATTTATTCTACTGTTCCATTTCCCTTTATTTATTCAATAAATAAATAAATTATTTATTGAGAAAAGATAAACTGATATCACAGCTTACAGCAAATAAATATAATAACTCAATAGATAAATAAATACATTTTTACTTCAGACACTACTGTAGATATAAAAAAGGTATACATTTATACAAGCTACTCTCAGATATTTCTATATAGTATTACTTGTTAATGCCCTTTTATATACTCAAAGACTAGAGTCAAATATACTAAAGTCTATAAATGGACAAAATTTATATAAGCAGCAACAGAGAAGGGGAAAAAAGCTCCGTTTAAATAAATAAATAAATAAAAAAAGGGGGAGAAAGGAGCTTGGCATTCAATATGTATGATGATCTATATTTAAAGTGTAACAAAGGTAAACAGAGTCATATCGTTAAATGCCCTCTAATCGAAAACAATAAGCCACAATAAATCACTGTGCCTATTAGAAGCCTTTTGTTTATGTGGAAAAAAAATATAAATAGGGGAAGGAAAAATTTATTTTTGCTTTTCTTTTTCTTTTCTTTTTCTTTGTGAAAGTGATATTCTGAGGATATTGGTCACTATAAACAATAAATCGTCAGTGATATTCTCCGGATAATGGTCACTCTAAATAATAAATCCCCCAGTGAAGTTATTTGGATGTATTGGTCACTTAAAATATTCAATCCCGAGAGTATCTTTCATCTGGTGTTTTCACGTCTCTCGTTAAATAAAACTGTGAAAGGAAGCACATAATGATCAACCTCCACGATTGGTTGCTTCTGGAAACAGTAGTCTTTTTTATTATATAGAGAAGCTACTGGCTAATTGGATCATTACCCCTTTTTTATTATTAATTATAAATGAAAAAAAAACTTTTAGTAACGACTTGTAGAAGAAGATTCAATACTAACTAACTGAGCTTTGTAGTTGTTTATGTACTGTATTGATTATCATTTTTATAAGTTGGTGTAAATACTAGCAAAAAGAGTGCAAACAGGATTGTTAAATTAGTAATATCAATAAAAAAAACCAGGTTTTGGCTGTAATATTTTAATTAAAAATAGTGGTATAGACCATCGTGATAATAGACATTTTGCACTATGAAGTTGTTATTAAAACAAAAGAATCAAACTCAATGACTGAAGGTTATATCATATTACCAACAAAGCCTTTAAAAGGTATACTGAATAATTTTACCGTTAGAAAATAAATAAAGGGATTAATTAAAAAGAGTATAATATTCAGGGTGATATCTCAGAAAATAGATAAACATAAAATTATATTAAAAGTTTGTAATAAGTCCACGAGACTGAACAATATATTTCTACAAGGCATGTAGTTAAAAAACTATTTCGCTTCTGGCTCCCCATCAATTTAAGCAAAATCAAAAAAAAATAACATACATAATTGAAAAGATTAGCGTATTTTTTTTAACTCTTTCTTTACAGCATTTAAGAAGATGAACATTATTTTTGAAGACAGTTTAGGAAATCAACATGACATTGAAGGGAACGAAGTGATAGAGTTTCAAACGGAAGTTGATAACGAGATGTATCGACCGTTATACAGAGTCGAAATCTCTCAAGAAAGAAATAAAAACGAAAATTGAAACACCACCAAACGACAAATAAAGAAACGAAAGTATATAAACACTATAAGGATGCTGAGAAAGAGAAGCTCTTTTTTCTTGGTGAGGAAAAAGGAATGAGCGTTCGTGCTGCTGCAATGTCTCTTAATATCAATGTTTGCACAGCATAGCACAGCACAGGGCTGGATGGTCAAGAACAACAAAGCTCCTCAGGAGTACATTTAAAGAGTTATGGATAGCGGAAGACCAGTGGGTAGACCATCAATTTTAACTGAGGAACATAAGGACTTCATGATTGAATGGGTAGATGAAAATACCAACACCGTTACATTAAACTATATGCTTAATGCATTGACTAATAGGTTTGGCAAACTCGATATCAGTAAAAGTGTCTTTAACAAATTTGTAAAGGAGAAATGTAAAATTACATTCAAGCAAGCACGTTTGCAATCCGTAGAGAGAAACAGCCCTGGAAAAAAAAAATGAAAAACATTATTTGTAGATTAAAAAAATGTGTGAAAACAGATATGGGCTTCACCAGCAACTGCGTGTTTATTGATGAAGTTGCTTTCCAGATCAACCTCAGAAGAAATTTCTCTTGGTCCAAAGAAAGCGATCGTGCGATTTTGAAAGTACCCAAAACGAGAGCAAAGACCACTACCATTTTAGGCGCAAGATGCAATTTCTCCTTCTGGTATCGTGAATATCAGTATAAGAAGACCACGAGCGTTGCCTCCATCAAAAAAAAAAAAAAAAAAAAAAAAAAAAAAAAAAGAGAGAGAGAAAAGTAGTAGGAGGATTCACTTCAAAAGTGAGCAGTAACAGTGGTACAGTTACTGGACATTACTTCAACTTTATCAGTAGTGTTTCGGATGTAATAGACCGTCATGAGGAATTTAATGATCATTATCTGATTATGGACAATGCTCCTATTCATAGACATCAAGACATTCAAAAGCTTATTGAGAGCCGATACTATAAGTGCGTATATCAGTCCCCTTATTCGTCTGAGCTTAACCCAATCAAGCAATTTTACGTATACTTGAGTAGTGCTAATTTTTTTTTTTTTTTTTTTTTTTTTTTTTTTTTTTTGGCTGTGTGATTTATTTTTTTGGAAGTACGCCAATTTTTTTTTTTTTTCCGTTTGGTGTATCAGCTGCAGGTATTAATAAAATTTTTAGTTTGTTGTTACTTAGGTCCTCTGTACGACTCTCTGCCTCTCTTGGCTACTTTAAACATATACTTGAATGCTACCGTAAATATAATGCTTTTCTTTTCCTTTGACTTACATGATATGCTTTAACTAAAATACTACGATTATTTACTAACAGAGGGAAAAAAAATAGCATAATAGGTGTAGTTTATTTTACTATCATGCCTTTATTAGTAATAGTTATGACAGTTTGAAATGTAAATACTATAGTAGTAAATCATTCACACAAATATGTATATTTATTAAGAAATATTGATATAATAATTATTTATGAATACATATTTAATGTTTAAATCAAAGCCCATTTATTTAATCACGGGCTTTAATGTTTTTTTTTTATTTTATTTTTTAATTTCAAATGTGAAAAATTATATAATAAGGAATTTATCTGCGTGATAGAAGGTATTGTCAGCTTATATCAATTGCTTGTCTTTTTATTTAATAATGATAAAATAAGCATATAAACCTTACTATTATGATTATTCATTCAGCTGATGCATACACATTATTCATTTAGTTTATATACAAATATAGAAGATGTTTAATTATAATTATAAAAAAGGAGACTAGACTAATATTTTATCTCTTTCTTTTTTTTTTCTACTAATTGTAGTTCATAAATGTAATAAAAAATACATACTTTTACTAAACATTAAAAATAGAAAATAACCTTTTTTTTTTACATTTTATTGACAGTAATCTTTTACTCAATTCTTCTTTATAAAATATAGCTTCTGTTATTCCGCTTCTGCTCTTAAATATGGTTACACTTTTAAATTATAATTGATACCATAATTTAATTTTTGATGTAGAACAGATTTATGTGTAACAATAAGAAAGATAAAGAGAGGCTTTGAGAAAGAAATAAATTATTATGAAGATACTTTTTTTGACCAATGAAATTAAATACATTTTTAAAAATAGATTTTTTTTAGAAAGAAGATCTACGTCAAAATAGGATAAAAAAGGAATGAGACCTTAATTGTACCTTTTTTTTTTTCTTTTTCTCCTTAATTATTTTTTTTCTTTCTTTCTTGTTTTCTCCTTTCTTTTTTCTTTCTTTTTTTTTTAATCTGTACAGTTTTATACCAAATAGATGTTACTTACAGAGAAAGCAACTAATATTTATACTGCGCCTTTACGAGGAAATAGAAGATTAATTGTATTAGTCTTGGCGATTATTTCATTTATTATATTATCCATGCTTACATTTTCAAAATCATCACTAAATCTAGGTGGTCATTCATGTGGTAGAACAATTCGAACATTAAATGAAGCAGCAGCACTTTCTAGTAGTACTGGTGGTATAGGGTATAATGATCGAGGTGGACAAGCTAAATTTCTCAATTTAAACCATTTAGAAGCTACAGCAAACGCTAAAGAAGAACAAGAACATGTTTTAATTTTAACACCTCTTAAAAATGCTGCTGCTTATCTTCCTCGATATTTTGAATTAATAGATCGTCTTTCTTATCCTAAGGACCTTATCACTGTCGCATTTTTAGTATCAGATACAACAGATGATACTATTAAAATTTTAAAAGAAAAAGCCGATGAATTCTTAAACCGTCAAGACCCCTCTCAACGCTATCATGAAATTGCGATTTATGAAAAGGACTTTAATTTCCATTTACCTGAGGATAAAAGACATACATTTGAACTTCAACCTTTACGTAGATCTTTTATGGCTCGTTCAAGAAATTATTTATTAACTGCAGCACTCCGTGAATATCATTCTTGGGTTCTTTGGTTAGATGTTGATGTGGTTGAATATCCTTCTACTATTCTTGAAGATCTTCAAAGTGTGAATGTTGATGTTGTCGTTCCAAATTGTTTACTTGAAACAGAAGATGGTTCATTTTGGGCCTACGATAAAAATAATTGGCAAGAAACTGAGGAATCTATTGAAATGCAGAAAGAACTCGATCCTGTAAGTTATATATTTCTATACTTAAAAAAAAAGAAAAAAAAATCCTAATGCTTGTAATAATAATGTTAGGAATATGTTTTACTTGAAGGATATTATGAATTTTTAACAAATCGTTATCTTATGGTGGATATGCCAACACATCTTGGAAAGTTCGAAAAAGTTCCATTAGATGGTGTAGGTGCTACATTTACACTTGTGAAAGCTAATGTTCATAGAGAAGGTGCAAATTTCCCTCCATATGTTTATAAACATCAAGTAGAAACAGAAGGTTTTGCAAAAATGGCAAAAGCAATGGGATTTGGTGTGTATGGATTACCTGGATATATTATCTATCATATTCGAAACTCATAAGAAAATATATATATATATATATATAAATATTTATATAGATTATTAACATATCATCCCCCTCTTATATGTACTTGTTCCTCCTTATTTAATTTCATATCTAGTATGCATTCTATTCTAATTCTACTATTACTGTTACTGTTACTGTTACTATTTTATAACTTAATTATACATTATTTGCTTTCAATTTTGCAAAATTCACTAATAAAAAATTTTCTATATACACATTTATACACTTACAGGAATTAAACTTAAAGTCTGTTACTATGCGTCCACAATATCTATTCACTTTAATTAATTTTCTTTTATATATACACACACATATGTATATACTATTACACTCTATTATGATACTTAGTATTAGTAATAAAGTTCAGCATTTATCACCTTCCTTTTCATTTGTAACGATATATGTGATACGATACGATACTATGATAATAATAAAAAAACCTGTTATATACAACTCAGACTAGGTACAAACGTAGCACGTTAAATATTTATCCTCGTTTTTTTTATTCAAAATAATAGTTTATGTATAACCTATTACTTGTATTTTCCTGTATTTATTACGTGTTTAATTCTCCTCCAACAAGATAAATATATGAGTCTTGTATATCATTTTTATACATTTTATCACATGCATATTAAAGCAGTACTTTCCTTTCGTCTTTTCATTGTACTTGTTTAGTTTTAAAAAAAAAAAAGATTAGAAACCAATTAAAAATATTTGATCTAAATGGGTGAAAAGACAAAATTTATACAAATCTATTTTTGATTTTCATTGTTACTATTAAATAGTATAATTCTTATGGGATACATTATATTCTATAACCTATGAAATGTTCCAACAATTCTATAAATTTTCCTTTTTATAACTTATAAACTTTTTTTTTTAAAAAAAAATAATAAAAATAAAAAAATACTAACAATAATTACTGTTATTATTTAGAAGGAAACTATTTTCATTATCACTGACTTACTACATAATAAAGTGGACTAATTTCTTTTATATTTTAATTATTCAATAAATGATGTAAAGAGAAAGTTGTTAGTTTGATCTATTACTTATTGACAAAAGAACAGACTTTTGTTCAAATAAAAATGTAATACAATAAAAATATACACATATTTATTTATTTTACCATTTATTACATAAAATACAGCAACTTAATATTTGTGTAATGCGAAAGTGCGTCGATCTATTTTACACGAAGAAAAGGAGTAAGTAGCAGGAGATAAAAGTTTGATAAAGCAGGAGTAATCCAAGGAGAAAGGAACAGTATTAAAGCCGTTATTCTATTTATTTAAATAACATAAAAAAGAAAGCAGGATAGAATTATCAGTCGTATAGGAAAGTGTTTTAAGCACTTGTATTGTATAGGCTCTTTTTTTTTTTTTTTTTTTTTTTTTTTTTTTTTTTTTTTTTTTTGTTTCTTTTTGGTTACACTCATAAGCCCAGTTGGAGATGGATAAATTATCCTGTCTAAAACTGTGAGTGCACTAAAAAGAAAGAAGAAATGGCATATGTATGGTACTCATGTTTTATTATGAAATTATACACTTGTATTGAAAAATTATCTATGTATGATAAGTTAAACTTTTTTTTTCTTTAGAATAACTTGTACATGAATATACACTTAAAAAAAAATAGGTTTATTTATTTCACACTATTTGAATTAAGTATAGGTATCTTATTCATCAAATTCACCTAGACCAGTTTAAAATACAGAAAGTATGAAAAGCGTTTTTTTAGGTGTAAGGGAAATGAAAGAAAGAGGGAAAAAAAATAGGTACTTCTTTTATAACCGATGTAATTGTAATCAGTGGATGAATGAAAGAAACAGTGACCTGAGCAATCAATTAGATAACATTCGGTCAATATGATATAAATACGTTGTTACATGTAAATAGTATTTAGTTATAATAGATTATAGGATATAATGCTTAGAATAAGAAATATGAATATGAATATGAATAGAATATTTATACCTTCCAGGTACAAATGTCATGATTAAAAGTTCAATAAATATGAAAACTGTAAATTGTAGAAGATACAATGAACTAATTATTTTAACCGTAATATACATCTATGTCTTGTATGTTGGTCTTTGTATTTAATATTCTTACTTTAGATGAGATATTCAATATATTTGTTTAGTATTAGTCTATTCTCAAGAAGATATATAGAACAAATGTAAAAGAATTTAGCTTATTATGACTAGTATCTAATCGAATGAAGTTATAAATTATAAAATTATGGTGTTCTCTCTCTACAGAAAGGACTATATCGACTAAATCTTTTATCTAAATCACTTAATTCTCTTATTTTAAGCTTCCTTAGTGTTCTTCTTCTTTATAAATCGTTGGCTCACTACTAAATTTGATTTACTATGAATACGTTGAGTTTTAGCTTTCTGCAATATATATATTTATATTTATATACATATTTGTTTTATTAAAAATAGTACTAATATCTTTTGAAAGTATACCTATTCTTTCCCAGTTTTAACTTATAAGTTTAGGACCAGTAAAATGATCCTTATACTCTTATGTATCTTTAGTTATAATTTTTTAATACAACTCACTTTTTTATTTTTCTAGAATATAAACACTATTATTATCTGTATTTTTAAATAATTAATATATGAATTTTATTAAAGTCTTCTATTTGCTTTTTATCTAACTTATTTTAAACTATACTGTTGAATAGAAATGAGAATTCTGTATGTTTACTTGATTGAATAAACATCTCACTTTATTTTACATACAAGTTTTGATATGATCTTTATTTGGCATACAGTTATAATAGAGAAGGAAGTTTATCATAGAAATATATGGCTTCTATTTTATATTTAATATTTTCTAAAGTTAGTTTATGTTACATGATGTAGGAAATTAAAAGTAATATGAAGCTTATTCAATATAGAGATAGCTTAATATGTGTCCTTAGTGTTAATGATATTGTTTATTATAACTGATAAGCTTAAATCATATAACGATCAAAACCTAAAGTAAGTATAAACGATACTGCACATCTAATTAGAATAGCTATGTCATAACATTCAACCAATAAGATTATTATCAACATTAGATTACTAATAACTATTGTCTATTATGTTATCAGTCTAATTTTAGGACATTGCAGTAAATTCTAACAAAAAAGAAAATTACCAAGTGAATCAAGGCATAGACATGGTGCCTGAAAAAAAAAAAAAAAAAAAAAAAAAAAAAAACTATATCAAATAATATTGCATGTTAGTGTTTAATGCGGCTAAATCATGGTTGTACCTTAGATGTCAAATACAGCTTGGTTACAATCATTTCCTTTGTATTAAACATTCTTAATATAGGATCAAGACATCGATAAAAAATGCCCGTTAAAAAAAAACCATAGAAGAAGCTTGTTATTTTGAAAAAAAGCTTCTATTGTCGCATATTCTGTCTATCATTTTTTTTCTTTCTTTCTTTGCCGATCCAACAGACACAATGTTAAGTTTCTTTTTTAAGATTATGCTTTCCATGTTTCTTAGAATTAACAATTATTAACACATTTATTAAAAATTAACTGTTATAGTAAAATTAATAAAACTGATTTCCCCGTCCTTTTTTTTTCTTTTTTTTTTTTAGGAATAGTAACATGAGAACGGTCATACTGAAAATAAACTATAATTAATATTTGAAATTATGGCTTTTAATCTCTATATTTTCAGATGTAAAAAGCGTGTTTATTTTATTAAAAAAAATATATGCAAATACGTTATCTATTAATGTTTTCAAATAAGCACAGACCAGAAGTACTTTTCACTTTATTAAAGAACCTACATATGATTTCAAACCGGGTATAATAAATATTAAAAAAAAATATGCTAAAAAAGTGAGGGATTAATTAGTTAATAAATTTTTGAATTAAGTCACTAGAAACTTGAGGACATACCTTTTTTAATATAAGCATATAATTAAAATAAACAAAGAGAACCAAGTAGTCAAGCTAATACAATATATAAATATATGCTATTGTTATTATTATTCCAATAGTCGATCATTATACTTTTTTAATAATTCACTAATCAGTAAATATCATTCTTTCCATACATTAGGCATGTTTTCAAATACTTTGATTATACATTTTCTACTCAGTAGGTGATATCCTTTTCAAACTACAAAAATTATTTAACATATACTTTGGTATAAAAAAGAAAAGAAATATTGACTTTAGTAATTGAAATAAGGAAGAAAAATTATTATTTGAATTGGTTAGATAAGAACTTAAGTCTTGCTCTAGACATAATCATTTTTGGTGATATTTTAACAAGATAAAATTATACTACAAATCTATGAATGTAAAACAAAGCACTAGTGTTGTATTTCAGTCTAGTGAACTAAATTCTATTAATAATGAACTATGCTAGTAATGTATTCAAGTAATCGAAATCTTTATATCTAGGCATCTTACCCAGATCGATATATACATTAATAATTATACCTAACTTTCAATATCATTATTTACTCCATTACTTCTGGATCATGATATATAAGAACAATAGCTATTAGAGTAGTATACAAATGAATCAAGCCATATTCAAAGATCATTGATTAACAAGGATAAATATTCATGCACATATCTATTGCGCTGGGTAAATATTGTGTATCCGGATTAAAGCTTTGAATTACACTCCTAATTATTCATAAGCTAATTTAGTTAGTTTATATTATACATATATAGTGATATATTGTATTATTTTATTATGCTTTTTCTCCACCATTTAAAAAAAAAAAATCAGCGAGAAATCTTAAAAATGGTGTCAAAAATAATTATAGTAGAAGTAAAAGCTTAATATATTCTATTAAAATATAATAGCTTTTTTTTTTTAAATAAATCCTGATTTCTATTTTGAAAAAAAAAAAAAAAAGATATGAAATTTCCGATGTATCACTTAATTTTTACATAGTAGCTTTTGTAGATACTTTCTATTTTCCTATATTACATACCAAAAAAAAATGGTCAATTACAATATATTTATTACAAGATACATTTCTCTTAGCTCTTCTAATAATATTAGATAGTAACTAAGATAGTAAAATAAAGATATTCAATGTATTTTTGATAGGAGAGCAATAAAATATACATATACCTTGATAATTTCTGAAGTAAATAAAGAAGACATACGTCATACATTTTGAATCATTTGATTGGATGCGGGGTTTCAATTATACTAATTTAATGCTATTAATATATTAGAGACAGCGATTTCACAACAAGCTGGTATAGTATAGTGGCAGTACATCACGTTGTGGCCGTGTCGACGCAGGTTCGATTCCTGCTACCAGCATTCGTTTTTTACTTTTTTGTTTGTAAAGAAGTGTTTGTAGTCCATTTGCACTTGTTTCTTTTACTTGTTTAAAGGGATTATATTGAAGAAAAAGAAGTGATATAATATTAATTCTTTTTATTTTATTTTATTTTTTTCTATGAACTAAAATGATATTATAACTATTGTTGATAACATCTTTTGCAAAGTGCAAAACTATTCACATCTATGCTATACATTCTTTTGAAGAAACTCGATAAATGTCTATAGCTGTATACCTTATGCATTCTTATATCATTATAACGTCTTTTTCTTTTCTTTTTATTTTATTTTAGCAGCCTTCTGAACATGCAATTTAATATAATTCTTTATAAATCAAATTTTAAATTTCTCGTGTAATCCAAAATAAATAAATAAATAAATAAATGAAGATACACATTGAATAAATAGTTATTAATTAAATAAGTGCAGTAAAAGATTCAAATTACTGTTATTTATTTTTATTTTTTATTCTTTTTACTTTTCCTTAATTTGATTCAAACAAATAATGAACCCATATAATAATGATAACACTAATGATTCTAATATCAGTTCCAATAGTTTAGACAATATTACATCTCGAGTTCGTAAACGCGATCGATTAAAATCTCTAGTTCAATCAGGCACATCCGCCATTAAGCAGGAGATTAACAAAAGATATAATGAATATTATTACACTTCTTCATCAAAATCAATCTCACTTCGAAGCTTATCATCTTCTCAAACTTCTTTTACTGATTTACATACCAATAATTCTTCATCTTCACTTTATCACCAAGTTGATGAGAATAGTAATGTGAATGACAATAAAATTCAGCGAACAGAAACACAAAAGGCTGTAGATGAAATTTTGCCAGAAGATGTTAGGTTATCAGAGACAGTTCAATCTCAGTGTTTATTATTTCCTACATATGCTTGCCAACTTGTTGATAGTAAAGATAATGCTACAATTAGATATAAAACTGTTCTAGCGGGTTGGGCTTTTACTAAACCAAGTTCTACAAGCCGTTTAGATAGATTTTTGCGTGGTAAAATTTTAGCATAATTTTCAAATAGTAAATTTTAATGTGTATGTGTGTTTTTATTTTTATTTTTATTTTTATTTTTTATTTTATTTTAATAAAAGCTGCTGGTAGAACATATGGTGGAATAGCACGCAATTCGGCAGAGGACGATCATTTCTCCAACTTGTTTAATCAATTTCGCTGTCAACCCATGCGAATGGCTTCAATTTGTTTAGCTTTACCCGGAATTAACAGTTCCAATCATCATCATCATCATCATCATCACCACTACTACTTGGAGCATCTCACTGATACAAAACAGGGAAAAAAAGAAAATAATTCAAATGAGTTTACAACAACTATTCGTACTAATCCTAATGGACGATTTCAAGAAACAATTTATTTAGATTTTGAATCTGTATTTAATTTTATCCACCAAACTCAATCAGATCATTTAACTGTTAAAGCTAATTTTAGGAATCATAATGATGGTTCGTAAATAATAGCTGTATAAACATATATGTATTTATATGTTTAATACTTTTTTTTTCTTAAGATCCATTTTTTGGATATATAGATATAATTGAACCTGAAGGAATATCAATAATATCAGATATTGATGATACCATTAAAGTGACAGATATATTAGATGGAAAGGACGCTATTTTACAGAATACGTTTTTTCGAACAGCAAAGGAAGTACCACAAATGAACGAAGTATATCGCACATGGGTTAATGAGTGGGGTGCTCATGTTCATTATGTATCCAATTCACCTTGGCAAGTCTATCCTGCTCTCCAAGAATTCATGTCTCGTCATAATTTTCCTCAAGGTAGCATGCATTTAAGATCAATTACTACCCAAGAATTATTATTTTCTAGAAGGAATAGTGGCAACGCAGCTAATAAGATCAACAATAATAAACCGGGAAAACATAAGTTAGAAATGATATCAACTATTCTTCAAGATTTTCCTTATCGTAAATTTATTTTAGTAGGTGATTCTGGTGAAATGGATCCTGAAATGTAAGAAAACAAAATAATGAAAAAAAAAGGCATTCATGTGTATGTCTTATATTTTTATATTGCTTATAGCTATCAGCAGATTTATAATGAACATCCAGATCAGATCATTAAGATCTTTATTCATGATGTTTCATCCCATCGTGCCATCGTTGCTGATCGTGATAACTACAATAATAATCCTCAACATCAGCAATCTGATTCATATTATAATAGTTTACAAAGATTTATTTCAAGAGAATCAACTCTTTTAAGAAGAGGAGCTACTCCTCAATTGGCAATGGATGCTTTAGCAGAAACAGAAATTCCCCCCAATAGTAATTCTCAAATAATAGCATCAACTAAATTAGAACAATTTGAAGAAAGAATGAAACAAATATCCAATCACATGAGAGAAGGAGTCTTTACGGTCTTTACATTGGCATCCCAGCTTTTGTTAGATCCTGTTATTACAGAAGAATTTTTGTTGTTAAAAGCATCGCAGGACTTATTTTTATAATTTTATTAAACCATTGTTTTACAAAACAATTTAAGACGAAAAGCATCAACACCATTCAAATAATATCTATACAAACGCTTATCTTTGATGAATCCTAATCTTTGATATAATCCAAGTGCACCTAAATTTGTATATTCTGTTTCTAGTACAACCTATTCAAAATATAGATTATTAACTTATTCATTATATGCATTTTTTTTTTACCTCATCTGCATCCATTTCCTTCATTGCTTTGATAGCCATTTTAACAAGATTAGACCCAATAGACATTTTGCGATGAGATTTAGCAACCGCTAACATGGCAATATATCCACGAAGTCTATCTTTATGTCGATCTAATTTACAAATAATAACACCTACATATTTGTCTCCATCTTTAGCCTATTCTTTTTATAATCATAGTTAAAATTTTATGCTAGAAAGCAATTTCGCTCTTTCTCTCTTTCTCTTTTTTTTTTGATTCGTACCAGAAAACATAAATTTGGCCAATTGTGTATAAAATATCGATATGTGTAAACTGAATATGGTTCTGACAAGTCATTTTCAATTAGACGCATAATGTGTGGTAGTTGTAGTTCTGATTCAAATTGATTATACACAACATTACATTTGTCATTACTATTCTTTATTGTCGTCATGCTGTAATAAAATCTTGTATGGTGAATAATGAAAAAGTAAATAGAAAAAACGTCACTGCACATCAAATTTTAATTTATATTTCATATTTTACCTGGAGAAAATAATTTTCTTTTTTATTAAGTAAAGAAAAAAAAAAAAAAGATGACAGAAAGTTTTGATGAAACAAGTCAGGCTTATAACAACATTTATATGAAAGCTGAAGGTACCATTTATTAATTCTAAAGCAAAAAAAAAAAAAAAAAAAAAAAAAAAAGACAAGGATTTATAAACAAATATTTTTATTGAATCGATTAACAATAGATCCTGAAGAAGCTGATGTTTCATCTCAACTTCAAAATCAAACTAATAAAGATTTAGAAAATAACAAAGAAAAATCAGCATCTCGTCTTACTGATCTTGAAGAAAAGATCTTTACTCTTGAAGTAATGTGTAAAGCAAAAGATGATCATATTCAGCGTAAATATACATATTTGTATATGTTATCAAATTATTGATCCCTTTATTAGACTTACAAAAGTATAAGTGTGAATTAGAAGAAACGAATGACAAACTTAATAGCCTCATTATAAAACAGAAGGAAACAATGAAAGAATTACAAAATAATATGAAAGAATACCAAATGAAATACCGAAAAGAGGAAGCTGACAATAATTTATTAAAGTCAGCGATTACAGAACTTTATGACACAATAGAAAAAAAAGACCTTGAAATTAGCGATATAAAAAATGAAAAGCAAAGTAAATATAATATATAAACAGGAACAAAAAAGAGTTTATTATACTAATTTACTTCTATTAATAGGAATAGAATCAGATAATGCAAAAATATTACAGAAAATATGTGAACTAAATGAATTGTAATTAAACTAAATTCAAGAAAAAAAAAAGCTTTACTCATATAGTTATTATAGACTGGAAACTACAAATAAAAATACATCAAAAAAAACATATCAAAGATCAAGTGCTGAATTAAAACAACTAACAATGAATACAAAGTACAATAAACAAATTATAAAAGATAGGAGACCCTTACAAATGATCAATGATAATATTGATTCAACATTGGATTTGTTACCAAAAAAGAGATCTTTATCTCAATTAAATACATGCGATAACAAAAATAAGTCGATGATTATAAATCGACAATCTGTTAATAACCCTATTATTATTGAAGATGACAAGGAAAATGAAAATGAGCCAGCTTCTTTCAACAAAAAAACTAAAACGATTAATACAAAGATAGAAAAAAGCTCTACAACACCATCCAATATCAATATACCCCCATCAGTTACTAATTCACGTCATCATCACGATAGATCTAATATGAAAGGAAGTACGTGTATTTCTTGTGCGAATTTTTATGGTAATGAAACACTATCTGTTCAATTAAATAATGAAGAAATTCATTTAACTGGTCAAGATCGTGTCCAACTTCATTCAAGGCATCGTAGACAACGAGCGACTACACCACCAGGGTTTTGGTCTGTAGGCTTTGCTTCTCCACCTGAAAAAGAATAGTAACGTATTATTTATTTATATGCTTATAAACTTGCTTGTAACATATAATAAATGGCTTAGAAAAAAAAAAAGACACAGCAATGTGTACACGTAGGTTTTATGTACATACGAAATAATAGTATCAGCTTTATTGAATCAAAGCTATAAAAGACTGGATCTATTACTTTATAATAAATAAATACTCGATAACTAATAATATGAAATCATCTGTTTTACTTGATACGAACATAAACTTTTGTCTCCATGTTACAACACTTTAAAAACTTATCTTTATCAGTAATGCTATTCACTTCTTTTATATGATTGACCTTTCAATATTTATTGATAATGAACTATTGCTTTCTTTTTCGTTGCTTTTCAATTAAATATCTTTCTCCACTAAAATATGTTAGAGCAATAAGCTTTTATGAATCTTTCTCATTATAACAAGAAAAAGAAAGCACAGTCAAACTTTTAAAACTGGTATATCCAATTCTTTCTCTTTTCTCTCTCTTTTTTTTTTTTTTTTTTTTATTTTTTTATTTTTTATTTTTATTTTTTTATTTTTTATTTTTTTATTTTTTTTAAAAAAAGGATATTTTTAAGCATGTTTTATTTACTTATCATATTACCATATATGTATAGTCAGATAAGAAACTTCCCCGCCGCTCCCCATATCTTTCAAACACCCATTTGGTGCACCCTCGCTTTTTATTTATTATTGTATAAAAAAAAGTCAGGAAAAAGTTGTTTTCCTAGACAACTCAAGTGACTTTTTTTCACCAGTTATCTTATACAAAGAATTTTAAATTGTATATATCCAAATATACAAATACATATTTTTATCGTTATAATGGAAATTAATCAGGGAGAGGTATTAAATACGAATACGGTGAATGAAAAACAGAAAAGAGATCCGTCACAAATAAAAAGAAGGATTACACAAGCCTGTATTCTTTGTCGAAAAAAAAAGGTATACATAATATTTATACAAATAAATATGTATACATGCATATGTATTGTTTTTTCTTGTAGAAGATAAATAAAATAGCTAAATAAAAATTTAGATTAAATGTGATGGAACAAAACCAGAATGTCTACATTGTCGAGAAGCTAACTTACAATGTCAATATACAGCATATAAAAAGAGAGGACCACATAAAGGTTATGTTCGACTTTTAGAAGAACGTTTAGCTCAATTAGAAAGAAGACTAGTAAATGCAGGTGCCGAAATCCCTCCTCCCATTTCAGTTTCATCAAATGATCAACTTTCATTCAATACTTCTCGAATAGCAACATCTGTTGTTAATAGATCAGGTATTAAACATTTTTTTTTTAAATAGAAAGAAATAAAGAAAATGATTGACAATTGCATAACGTTGACATTTAAAATATTGAAGAAACACTTAGAAGTTTACAAACTGAAGAGCCTATTGATTATGATAAAGATTTACCACCACCGGAAATCGTTACCCATTTGGTCGATTTATTTTTCCAATATATTAATTCTGTATTTCCTTTTGTTCATCGTGGTAGACTAAAGCAATCAATCATAGATGGAACAGTCTCTAAACCTTTAATTTGGAGTGTTATGGCTATTGCAGCAAGGTTAGACTTAAAATAAAATTTGTTATGATTTTATATATCTATTTATTTATTTATTTATTTATTTATTTATTTTTATTTTTTATTTTATTTTTATTTTTTTATTTTTATTTTTTTTTTTTTTTTATTTTTTTATTTTTTTTATAGATTTTCGGACCATCCAAGTATTAAGACAGATCCTCCTTATTGGGCAGGTGAACGGTTTGCTACAAAAGCAACTTCAATGATCAATGCTTCTTTGCTAGAACCATCAATTCCTAATTTACAGTTTTGGGGCATAATGTCATGCTTAGAATATGGACGGGCGTCAGGAACAAAGTAGAGTATTATATTAATTATATGCATATTGAGTAATGTATTAACTTTCCTTTGTAGGTCTTGGATTTATGGTGGAATTGCTGTACGTATTTGTCAAGAATTAGGGTTAAATAAAGAATCTACTTTAAAAACGCTTATTACATCAGCGGATGGAACAATAGATTATGTTGCAATGGCTTTACGTCGACGTATCTTTTGGAGTTGCCTTTGCATTGATAAGTAGGTATATTTCATTTATAGAAATAACAAATATTAATTTTTTTTTTAAATAGATTTGCAAGTACAAGTATAAATCGCCCACAAGGATTTGGACTAGGTGAATATGATGCTGAATATCCAAGTTTATCAGAAAGTCGACTCTTACGAGATCCACTTCAAGGATATACAATAGATAAAGTAGCAATATCGAGTGATCCACTTATGGATATTATACCTTCCTATATTCGTGTCCTTGAGCGTTTTGGAGAAATTTGTAAATATATGAGTCGCACCAATAAATCAAATTTAACAATCGTTACCTGGCCTCCTATCTCTGAATTTGATAAGTTAAATTCTTTGATGCGAAGTTGGCTTGATACTTTACCGCCCATGTATTATTTTAATGCTATTCATCTGAAAACTTATCGAGAAACAGCAAGTCAAAATTATTTAAATTTTTGGTTATGTTCTCATGCCATGTATTGTACTGGCATGTTGGCTTTACATCGTGGTAGTTTGGCATATAGTGACCTAACAGCTGCTGAATTGGCTCCAGATATTTATGAAAGAATACAAGTATCTATTCAGATATGTAAGGACAATGTTAATATTGCCATGGATGTCTTTGAGGCCCTAAGGGATATTTGTGGTTATAACGTATTGCCTTATATGGGTTATTGTGCCTATATCTTTTCTACTGTCTTGATGACCTCTGCTTTCTCTTCTGATCCTCAATCGTATGGTAGAAGTAGTGCTGGACTTGCTATTTTGTTCGATACAATACAAGCTTTACGTCCTTATTGGCCAATGAGTGAAAAATTAGCATTAACTACGCGTGATATGCTATCTACTCATAGTCGACTTTACGATGACCAACGACAAGAATATGGATATAGCAAAAATCAAAATAACATATCACCATTACCCCAACATAATCATGATACCGATGACAGTCCTGACATTCATTCATTAGCTTCTATCTCTTCAACAGAAAATAATAATAATATTCATAGCAGTACGCCTAATACTTCATCATTACCTTACCCTTCCTTTATCTCAAATAATAGTAGTCCTATTTTACCAATTCCAACCTCATCTGTCGCAACTATAGTGCAATCGTCACCACCACCACCACCACCACTACAACAACAACAACAACAGTTATTAGCAGCGGTTACTACTGCAAACAATAATGATATTGATTTTAATAGTTATGAGTTCTTGTATGATTCTACCTTATTTGGACAAATCATTTTTGATATTAATTCATATAACCCAAAACTTACGATGAATGATAGTGCTCAACAACCCAATATCACTTCTTTACCTACTACTACTACTACTACTACTACTACTACTACTACTAACACTACTACTAACACTACTACAAATACAAATACATTAAGTTTGTATCCTACAACTGAAGCAACATCACGTTATTTATCACCACAACAGCAGCAAATTAAATCGACACCTGCATGGCCTGTTTAGAAGAAATAATTATTCCTTTTTTTTTTTTTTTTTTTTTTTTTTTTTTTTTTTTTGTTTGTTTGTTTGTTTGTTTGTTTGTTTGTTAATATATTCCATTGTAATATCTATTTTCATTTTTTTTTATTTAATAATTATGATACATGATATATACATACATATATATATATATACATATATTAATTTGTTACTGATAGCAAAGGTTTTCTAGCTTCTCTTTCTTCTTCTTCTTCTTCTTCTTCTGCATGACTGGGATCAACCCAAACATGCCAAATAATCGTACTGAAGCCTACCAAGGTAGCAATAAGAGCAGCCATAATGAATCCAGAGTAATGTCTTGATTCCTTGAGTACTAAGCCCTGTTTACCTTCTGCATTTCCTTCAGCAGGTAAACCGGAGGCATGACAGATATCAATCAAGGGCTGTGGTAATGGCATCATCCTCTTTCTTGCCTCAGAGGGAGCAGTGATGAAGGTCAAAGCCAAACCTGCAGGGACATGCCAATCTACATGGCAATGAAAGAACCAGACACCAGGATTATTCGTTCTAAATCGAAGTACTACATAACCTTGAGAGGGGACGCCAATGGTATCACGATAGGTAGGGTTATCGGGGATCTTGACTGTGGTTTGATTATTGTATCTACCTTTATTTCTAGCGATCACCTGAAATACATGACCATGTAAATGAACTATAGATTACAAATTAATATTCATATTCATGTATATATGTGTTGGGTTTACATTACATGGATGAGGTACAATATCAAGGTTTTCGATAACAAGTTCAATGACTTGATTCAGTTCAAATATCGTCACTTGTGTTTCTGGTCCACCATAGACCAAAGGGTTATTGGCCAAGTCATCATTTTCCATTGTCAAAAGTGTATTTAAAGTAGGCACTAAAGGAGGAGAATAAGATATACCATTCATGACACCATATTTGATTCCATCTCTATCATCTGTAACAAAATCTACAGTGTACTTGACTTGTCGGTCAACAGGTGTTAGAGGGGGTTCTTCGTTTAATGGGAATATATAGGCATCATCATAATTTCCTTTTTTAGGCCCATCGCGTGGAGCAAATGGAGACTGATGATTATAATAGATGGGTGCTTCAATATCTAACATATAAATAATAAGAATAAAAAATGTGAGTTCTTATGAATACATATTTTATATGAATCAATACTTTACTCAGCTGAAGACCTTTAGGATATTCAACAAACATGGCAGGTGCTATTCTAGCATGAAAACGGTAATTAAAATCGGTTGTATCTTTTGTATGAACAAGAATAGAAATACGTTGACCTGCTGCCATATAAACAGTTTTAGTGAGTGTAGGTTTTGTTAGAACCTAAATGATAATTAATTAATTAAAAAAAAAAAAAAAAAAAACCAGTAATTATGTATATTAAAAGGGAGAAAAATACGTACACCATCTACTTCAATAACTGTCATGTCATGATCATCAATACTAATGCCAAATGAAGCAATACCCGACATATTTATTAAACGAAGTCGATAAGTTCTTCCAGGCTTAAATGTTATAGTTGAATTGACATGATCGTTAATTAAACCTGATTCTATAAATGGAACGCAATTAAAAAATGACTCAAATGTTGAATTCTAAATAACTTACGAGGAACAGGTGCACTGCCCTTAATATTTTCTCGGTTCAAATATTTTTCAAGATTTGTATACGAGTTTTCATGATACCAGTCTATCATAGATTTTTAATAAGGAAAAAAAAAAAAGCAGATTAACAATCTTGTAAATACCTGATACTGTAATAATTTTATCTTCATCATATTCAAAGGGCTCATTTGGATCATAAACAATTAATGGTAATCGAAGACCATCCAAATATTGTACCTAAATGTACATTTGGTTATTTTTTTTAAATATAATAAATGCATAATATAATATACTTTAAAATGACTATGGATCCAGAAAGTACCAGCTTGTGTTACAGGAAACTCATAAGTAAAATTATGATTAGGAGGAATAGGACTAATCAATATATACTAATTAGTTAATTAAATATCAAATTGCAACATCATTCATCTTACCATTGAGTTACCATGCCAGCTCCATCATAGATATTAGTTCCATTATTTTGAAATAAACCATGAGCATGAATAGAAGTTGGTTCATTTAATTTATTATAAACAGAGAGTACAAGTGTATCATTGACATTAAGTAAAATAGGTTCAGGTCTATATAAAATTACATTAAATAGAGATTCATCAATTACAATATATATAGTCACATTTACGGCCATTGATCATTAATAGAAATAATTCTTCTCTCATTAAGTCCATCTGGATTAATATTCTTATATACTAAATTCCACTCATATTCAACTCTTTTTGCTTTTGAAATACGAAATAATAATAACAGTAGTGTAAATAAAATAAATGGACATTTATTCTTCATCATTTTTTTTTTTTTTTTGCTGAAAAAAAAAAAAATAATGACAGTGAAAGTTGTTTAAATTTAATTTATATTAAAAAAGGGGCGAGAGACTGTTAAATTCTATTGTTTGATAGAGAGGGAGAGAGAAAAAAAAAAAAAGATCTGATAAAGAAATTGCGGGGAGCAGCGGCTGTAAGAAGTTGAATGAAACATAATCCTACTATCAGATATAATCAACTTGTAAAACATAGAAATTCTATTCTTCTATTTCTCAATCAGATAACAAAGCAAAAAAAAAAAAAAAAAAAAAGTCTTATGTTAATCTACATCAACTTTTTTATTTTTATTTATTTTTAATTTTTCTTTAACAAAATAATGAGATTTATTTATTTTTTATTACCAAAAGTAATCAATATAATTTTACTTGTATCAACATTGTATATTAAAAATGAAGAAAATAACAAATTATTATTAATATTTTCAATTTCATTGGGGCTTTCAATACAAGTCATTATATCAACTATGTTTAATTATTTTATATCATTTACTCCTACATTATTACAGCAACAAAAGATCTTTTATTTAATGAGCATTCAACAGCTTGCTTACTCAACAGTATTGATTTTATCAACAACTTTCATGGGATTCAGTCATCAGCGACCGAATAAAAGGAGTCGATTATGTTTATTTATAATTCCATTCTGTTATATATTAAATCAAGGCACAGATATCAATTTATATCTAATGAAACAAGTAAGAATAATGAAACAAGTAGTGAAAAAATAAAGATCTGATAAATAACAATTCATTTACAGAAGAGAAGAATAAGCTTACTTGATATAATACTTCATGTCAGAACTCTATGTTCTATCGTATCTACTATTCTATTCATCTCAATTCTCTTGTTTAGCTTCATTATTTATTTTACTATTTGGAGCAAAAGGAGAAAGAAGATCATGTATCAAAATGTCCTTAGACTCTTTATCTATTTTACAGGTGCTATTGAATTATCGAGTATCTTTGGTTATATTAAATCAATTCATTATGATAATCATCATTCAAACTTGATTCACATTATTCGAGAACAGAGAAAAGAGGGAGTAAGGATACTCGGTCATCATTACAGTACAGTGACTACTACTATTAAAAGTAGTAACAGTATTATTTTATAGTAAAGTATACAGATATTATATACATTATCTAAATCGCTTATCTCACTCACTCTGTCATAATTCTATAGTCATTTATTCGGATTAAATGAAGAGCAACAAAAACAATATGACATAATAACTAGCTGGATGAGTACAGGCTATAGTCTTTATTTGCTTTGTATTTCATTCATCATACTTTGTATTATTTTGATTACAAAAAATAAAAAATAAAATAAGCTATTATAATCTACTTCATTGCATATAAATGGGTATACATTCTTATTAAACTTTCATAACCAAGTCTATCATTACATCTTAACAAGTTGGCTACATCACAATTAAGAGGCGAAGAAGGTTCTGGATTATTTAACAAAACTGAAATAGCCAATAGAGTAGATTTTAATGTCCAAGCTGGTGACCAAGCTGTCGATTTTAATATGTCTAAACAAATTTCACCAGTCTAAAACACACCATCATGACTAGTATTAATTTTTGATATACTTTAAATATAGAAGTCTATTATACCTTAAAATGTATATTTGGATGGCATATAGTGGTTATAAATTTTATGCTTGGTGGTTGAATAGGGTAATTGGATGGTATAAGAATTGATAATTCAAACCTTCCACCTATATCAACATTAGTTCTTTTTCTCTCTCTCTCTCTTCTTATTATTCATCAACTACTCACCTTCGTAAGGTGTATCAGGTAATCCTGCCAAGATTGCTTTCCATTGTAGTAAATTTTCATCTGTTTCAGGTGCTAATTCAATAATCTCTGGATGAGAGTTAACTTCTTTCTCTATTTCTTTTAATTCTTTTAATAATCTTCGAGATACTGCATCCATTTATATAATAGCAAGAATAAAAAAAAAAGAAAAAAAAAAAAAAAGAGAGAGAGATAAAGAAGCATTTTATTTTTTATACTAGTAAAAACCAATTATAACAGTTAGTTTAATAATTTCAATTACAGAACAATAATGTTTATTATTATCACTATTATTTATTTATCTATTTATTTTTTTCTTTTGATTTTTTTTTTTCTGTCATAATGTCAACATCCATCTTACTTCCACTTCATTTTAAACAAATTACAAGCCTAGAAAAACAACATGTTAGCTATATAGAACAAGCCATATTGGAAGCTATACGACAAGATCAATCACTTATCATTAGTGTTACCTGTGATGAAATAAAAGCTCATGTTGACTGTCTGGACGCAATATGGCAAAGACTTCAAGCATTTTTGGGCAATATTTATGTAGTTCAACTTCAGTTTACTTATACGCTCAATAAACCTTTATTTGAATGTAATGTTGTGTTTAGTGATCTTTGTGGTTATAACGTACATCTCGAACCTTATATTCAAACTATTTGTATACCTGAAGGTTATATAGAATATTATACACGTATACAGATGACTAGTATTAACGATTAACATAGATCATCTTCATGACAAACATACAACTAACTTCATATTAAAAAATGACTATAAACCAACTCAAAAAGTGCCTACATTATTAACTCATAATAAATCATCTAATGGTCCAATAGAACCTTCAGTCTTTCAACGTATTGCAGTAGGGGGTACATTCGATCATATTCATGCTGGACATAAAATTCTGTTAACGATGACTGCCATCCTTGCTAAACAAAGTATGGTAGTTGGTGTTACTGATGATTGTATGCTACTAAAAAAGAAGCATAAAGAGTTAATTGCTTCTACAACAGAGCGTATTCAACATGTCAAAACTTACCTTGAATTAGTAAAAAGAAGTACAGACGATTTCAAATATGAAGTAGTACCTATTAAAGATCCATTTGGACCTACTGTCACAGATCCTACTATTGATGCCTTGGTTGTATCAAAGGAGACATTGAAAGGCGGTGATTTAGGTAAAGGACATGAAAGAAATGAACTTCATTAAACTATCATTCACTTATATAATTATTTAGTCAATAATGAAAGAGATATGCGTGGTTATCCTCCATTAGAATTACGTATCATTGATGTTATTTCATCTGAAAATGCTTCTATTGGAGAGCAAGATATGAATATCTTAAAGATTAGTTCAAGTTGGATTAGAGAGTATATTGCCACAAAGCAGTCATAATAAACTACTTTATTATCATTAACCTCGATCAACGTCATAAATCCAGCCATTAAAATGTGCTGTGGAGGGATCAAATATTTCAATCAAACGATTATTAAGATCTCGATATACTTTTTCAAGTCGATACCTTATAGAAAGCTTAGGTTTTTCTTTGTTTATAATATCTTGTTGTTGTTTGTTTAATGGAGAATAAGGGAATTCTTCTTGAATTAAATAGTGCCAATTGTTGATAAAATAGTCTGCATCAATTTCTAAGAATCTTGCTAATTTTTCAAAAATGGCTAAACGTTTTAATAAAATATCTTCAGTTCGAATGATAAATAGTTGAGAAGGAGGAAATCGTTCCAAGAAAGGAATTAAGGCTGGATAATACATTCCTTTTGCAAGCAAATTAAATGCGTGTGTTTCATTTGATCCTTTTACTTTCCATGCAGCTTTTAAAAATACAGTTAAAAAAAAAGAAGAGAGAGAGAAAGAAGAAGCATATATTTCTATGTTTGTATCGTTACCCCTAATTTCACTTCCTTCGTGACATCTGACAAATTTTTCCCATTCAACATTCGTATGCCCACAGCGATGTAAAATAGGCAATTCTAAATCAATCAAGGCTTCGAATGATAAACCTAAATCTTTTTAAGAAAATATTTATTATTCTTTTTTTTTTTTTTTTTTTTTTTTTTTTTTTTTTTATTACAAGCTTACTTGAATTTTCATGTAAATACTGTGAATATGCTCTTGAAATAGGATCATTTAAAAAGAAAACAAGCTATAAATGACATATTATTAAAATAAACTGCTGCACGCAAATTTCACACACACACACACACATATATATATATATATACATGAGCAATAGTTCTTACTTTGACATTAGGTAGAATTTCTTTAATTCTTTTTGCTGTTAAATGACTCTTATAAAGATATTGTGGAGCATTTTCACCAACAATCCAATTTTTATTATTGCTTCTATTCTGCTCTAAAAATGGGAACTGTGAAAGATAAGTCTCAAACAAAACATTAGAAGAAGTCGCTTCATCCCAATTTTCTGTTTCTTCTTTATCCAAGAAAATAGTGGGTTTATCACTATTGTCAATTGCACTAATAACTTGTGGATGATCCTTCAAAATTCGAAATACAAAAGATGCGCCTGCCCATTCTGATCCTGCAAAAATGAACGATGGTATTGGTTTTGCACATGATGTTACTTTATCATTAGGACAATTTCTTGGATAATATACTAAAAATGGAAATAATAAATATAATTACACTGGATTATCAATTTAAATGGCAGTAGTTTACATTTTGGATGATGAGTAGGATGATTTAAGGGTTGATTAGTTATGTAGTGACGCCATTGAGCAGGTACCTTTTTCATTATAAAAGGCAGAAATATGGATTCATCATCATTTGTGTTGTAATTATGCTGTTTCCAAGTAAAATTAATTGGATTAACAATGTAGAATAAAATAGTGGTAATAAAAGAACAGACAGTAATGAAGCAGATGAAGCAATAAGTTGAGGATATATTTTGTTGTTGTTTATTACTGTAATTTTCTGTCATAATAGAGAAACAAGTTGTTTAACTTTTAACTTTAACATTCATTATTATAATACAAAAGAAAAAAAAAAAAAAAAAAAAAAGAAAGAAAACGGGAGTTATTAAAGAATATTTTAAATTTTTATAATTATTCTGATTGTAATAAAATTATAATTTAATCTTTCTTTTCCTCTTCTTTTAATTTGATGAATGGCTGAGGATGCTTATTATATGCTGGCCAAGGAGGAATAATCACCTAATATGACAATTAATAAGCTTGTGAGAACTCTCCCCTCCTCTACTCCACTTTTTTATTTTTATTTTTATTTTTTATGCAAAACACGTATATATATTTACCAATGCAGTTAATATGAGACCAATGCAAAATACAATCATAAGGAGTTGTATAGAACTCATACAATAGCCTACGGTAAAACTCGTAAACTAGTTATACATCTTTATTAGTTCAAGCAATTAGCGCTTTTTAAATAAGAATGACTTACGGCAGATGCAAATAAAAAATAACGCAATAATTGTTCTGTTTTCTTTTGACCTTCAAAATCCTTCAAAGAAAAAATAAATAAATAAATAAACTATTTAAAAAAACAAGTATTATTTATCGTTTAACTTTACAATTGTACATTCAAGAATATCTGCTAATGCCATTTTTTTGAATTAAAGAAAAAAGAAGAGTAACTTGCTGTTCTCAGTAAGTGTATGAATATTAATTGGTCAATTTTTAAATCTCAGATAAAGCTGATTTTAGAGACAGAAAAGGTCTGCTAGAAGTAGTATCTACTATCATCCCTACAATAATAGAATTTTTGATATCTTTGAACATTCATGAAACAAGCGAATAAAAATATAACGTAAGCTTTTAAGCTAAAGTAAGGCTCTTGAAGAAATGATTTTTAGACTCGTTACAAGCTGATTTGGGAATACGATATTAAACGTTTATCATGTAATGTATAAGATCAAGTTCGTCTTTGAATAAAAAGCTTTATTCCGACGTACATAAAAAAGGAGTTTATTCGACGAGTAGTATTATGCTACTACTACTAGTAATGTACATATTAAATATTAATTATTCGACCATTAATATATAAATCTTAACTAGTAGAGCAAATTATTTAGTTCATTAAAAAAAAATCGAACCCACATTATTGATGGAAATTACTTATTTCAAGGAGGTACTAGAAGCTTGTTATTGTTTAAAATAAATAGTGTGCCTTACCCCTAATGAAAACAAATTAGATTATGATATATTACGTAATATTTAAATTATATGTGATGATCCACAAATTAACCATTTTAGACTTTATTATGTTTCTATAAATAATAAATTCAATCATATTATTTACACTAGAAGGAAAATAATAAATAGTCCCTTTTTTCTTTAATTGAAAGGAACAAAATTACTATTTATTTAAAGCAGATTTTTCATAATCATTGTACATTGGTATTTGTTAATAATAAGGGTCCATTTTTTAAAGCTAAAAAAGGTTTCAGCCTCCCCCCAAAAAAAAAAAGTTCAAATTCCAGACTACTGACTTCTACTGTTAATAGAGTATTATTACTGGAAGATACAATACTAAAACTAACAAATAGAAGCTTAATTAGACATTAATAAACTTACCAAAGTTTAAAACGTTTCATAAACTAATAACTCATGTTACCATTTTTACCAGTAATGAAAACCTCTTTTATTGTTTTAGAAACACTAGGAGGGATCATCTATCTGTACCTTTATTATCAAATCAAGTAGGTTTATTCACCAATCATATTTATTTTATTAATAATATCGATAATTTCTTTCGGAGTTTTAACTCTTCCCTTCTTTTTCCGGTATTTTTTTCTAACAGTTTGTGTTCTTGTAGATCAACTATCCTAAAATACAAATCTATTATGGGAAAAGGTTAAATATGAGATTTATGTCATTCCCTTATTGTTTTTTGCTTACATTCTGATATTGGTATCTGTTTATTTTGAGGAGAAGAGAATAGTAATAATTATAATAAAAAAAAAAGAAATGTGTGAGAATTATCAAGCATGTTTAAATAGCAGTCACTTCATGAGTCATTATGGGCAAATTTTAAATTACATGTAGAAAATGCTTATGTTTTTTTGACACTTGGTTGTTGTAAAGCCATTGTATATTTTATTTCAAGTCTCTATTATTTCCCCCCCCCCCTCCTCCCCCTCTTAATCTTATACCTTTACACACTTTATTATTATTATAAAACCATTAAGACTAATACGAGTCAGTTAGTCCCTTTGATTTATTTATTTATTAATGAAACCTTACCTGTGAAATATTTGTCAAATTTTAGATTCCGCGTAACTATATGATCTTTCTTTAGTTTTCTTAATTTCTTTTTTGTTTTTTTTCTTTCCTTTTTTTTTATTAACATAACATAAAACAATGTGTGGTATCTGTGCCATTTATAACTATCAAGGTGATATTGACGCCTATCGTCAACGTGCTCTTTATCTCTCTAAAAAGTAAATCTTATAACATAATACAATCAATCAAACAACTGTACCTTAACAAGCTATATATTGTATTTTATTTTATTCTTTTAGGATTAGACACCGTGGTCCTGATTGGTCTGGTTGTCATGTAGCTAACAACACAATCCTTTGTCATGAACGTTTAGCTATTGTCGGTGTTGGTAAGAAAAAAAAATAAATATTATATATCGAGGATGAATAACTTATATTTTATTTTAAGGCTCTGGTGCTCAACCTCTTGTTAGTGAAGATGGTAACCTTGTTCTTTGTGTTAATGGTGAAATCTATAACCATAAACAATTAAGAAAACAATTAAAGAAGCCTCATCAATTTAAGACTGAATCTGACTGTGAAGTTATCATGCATATGGTAGGTGAAAAATGAATCAGCTAAAAGGAAATAAAATAAAACTGACCTTTTATTTTATTTTATTTTATTTAAAAAAAGTATGATGAAATGGGTACAGATCTTGTTCAACATTTAGATGGTATGTTTTCCTTTGTTCTGTTAGATGTTAAACGCAACCGTATTATTGCTGCTCGCGATCCTATTGGTATTACAACCCTTTACTACGGTTGGTCTAGTAAAATGCCCGAAACTGTCTTTTTTGCTTCTGAACTTAAATGTCTTAATGAAGAATGTGACACCATCTTGGCTTTCCCTCCTGGTCATCTTTATGATTCTGAGACTAAGGAAACCACACGTTGGTTTAACCCTACTTGGTGGGAACCTGAACGTATCCCTACTAACGAAGTAGATTATACACTTTTAAGAGAAGCTCTTGAAAAATCTGTTCGTAAGCGTCTTATGGCTGAGGTTCCTTATGGTGTTCTCTTGAGTGGTGGTCTTGATTCAAGTTTAATTGCTGCTATTGCTGTTAGAGAAGCTGAAAAGATTGCAAGAGGGGGTCGTCCTGCAGATCCTGATTTTGATGAAAGCGGTCCCATGAACTGGCCTGGCGTTCATTCCTTCTCTATCGGTTTACCCGGTTCTCCTGATTTAATTGCTGCTAGAGAAGTAGCTAAATATCTTAATACAATTCACCACGAATATACTTTCACAATTCAAGAAGCCTTAGATGCCGTTAGTGATGTCATTTATCATCTTGAAACTTATGATGTAACTACCATTCGTGCTTCAACTCCTATGTATCTTTTATCACGTAAGATTAAGGCAATGGGTGTCAAGATGGTTCTCTCTGGTGAAGGTTCGGATGAAGTCTTTGGTGGCTACCTTTACTTCCATCAAGCCCCTGATGCTCCTTCCTTCCATGCTGAATGTGTAACTCGTGTTAGAAACTTGCACACCTCTGACTGTCTTCGTGCTAATAAATCTACAATGGCATGGGGTCTTGAAGCTCGTGTTCCTTTCCTTGATAGAGACTTCTTGGAGGTTGCCATGAACATTAAACCCGAAGAAAAGCGTCCTAACTCAAAATTAGGTCGCATGGAGAAATATATTATTCGTAAGGCCTTTGATACCTCAGATGATCCTAATGCTAAGCCTTATTTACCTACAAACATCTTATGGAGACAAAAGGAACAATTCTCGGATGGTGTTGGTTATAGTTGGATCGATTCTTTAAAGGCTGTGAGTGAAAATAAGGTTAGTTCAGAAGAATTAGCTCAAGCTGCATCTCGATGGGAAAAGGATACTCCTGATACAAAGGAAGCTTACATGTATCGTGTTATGTTTGAGCAATGGTTCCCTCAACCTGCTTGTACTGCTTCTGTTGTTCGTTGGGTTCCTCGTACTGATTGGGGTTGTTCCTCTGATCCTTCTGGTCGTGCACAAAAGGTTCACGAGAAAGCTTACGAAAAAGAAGCATAAATTATAATGATAATTGTATACATTTTTACTTTCAATTTTATTTTTTATTATTATTATTATTATTATTATTATAAATGTGTATGTATATACAATATAACTCAACCTTCCTCTTTATATATATAGAAATAAATTTAAATTATGTGTATAAAAATCTCGATTTTTTTTTTTATTATTAAATCAGCATAATTGTTGTACATATTTACATATAAAGTAGAGTTCTACAAATTATATAGCATCAGGCGTATGACAGGCAAAAAGTTTATTTTATTAGGTTGACTGTCATAACAAAATAGAGTACATCATTATTATTATACAGTTAGTGCAACACTAAAGGATGGTTTTTTAAATAAAAGGATGGTTTTTAAAATTCTCAATAGGCGGTTACAATTTTCTCAAGAGGCGGTTTTCGATCCTCAGTAGATATTTTTTACAGTTGCTTGTGACATTTTATTAGATAGGATTGCCTTTTAAGCAATCTTCAAATATGTTTACTGAATGTTGTACAAATGCTCAAAGATGTTCTGGAGGAACATTATTGCAAGCCTCAGTTATTCTTGTTGATAAGTCCTCTTTGGTTTGAAATTGACTACGTTTGACCTTATTTTTAACTATGGACCAAAATTACTCAATAGGATTAAGCTCAGGGGAATAAGGAGGGAGATAAATGCACTTATATCCTCTCTCTCTCTCTCTGTCACCATAGTATCAATCTCGTTAGATGTATGGATTGGTGCATTATCCATAACTATATAATATCCTTTCATTTCCAGAATGCAATCCATTTCATCCATTGTTTTCTGAATAAAATTCATATAATGTCCAGTGACAGTTCCTTTGGAAGCAGGCTTCTTTGGTGTTTGATGATGCTTTTCTTTTGCGATTACCAGAATCGATTTTTAGCCTTTTGAATGTGTGTTCCTGAGGATTTCAAAGCTCCATTGACACGACATACTTTGCCGAGATTGCACCCAAAACTATGGTGTGATATTGCTCTGGTGGTAGGAGTGATTACAATAGCTGGTGTGCCCTTAATAGATCATCCTCCTGGAGGTCTCATATTGATATCGAAGGCTGATTCATCAACAAAAAAACAGTTTTCAAGGTAATCCATATCTGTTTTGCTCCACTTCTCAACCCCACGCTATGTGGTTTGCAACTTTGGTGGAATCGTTTCTGGGAGCTGGATGACGAGTGATTTTTTTTTTTTTTGAATGAAAGGTTGCATTCTGTTTTGAGGAAACTTCTCACACTTGATTCTTTCAGTGTGAATGATTCGAATTTTTCAGTAAGTGAACAAACTGCATCCACAACCCTGGCTTGAGGATTACTGCCATAAAAATTTAAAAGGTGAATCTTATGCTTCTCATCAAGCTGGCCCGCTGATTTATTGATTTTATTGGTTTTTTTTTTTTTTTTTTTTTTTTTTTTTTTTTTTTTTTTCGAAGATATTCCAATCTTTATCCTCTTTCAGTCTCCTAGCCCATTTCTGTGCAGTTCTTTCAACAACACCGCCTGCTAATCTACCAGAGTTGGCAGCATTGAACAACTTAATCCTATTGTAATAGACAAAAAGCAGTTTCTGATCATTGGTGTAGTTGTTATAACTCCTACTCCTATTGATCTTTACGTTGGTGGCAATCTCCTCCATCTCAGCATCTAAGGCTTCCATCTCAGTGTCCTTCTGCTCTGTATTTTGCTTCTCGCAGTAAAGTCGAAGACGAGTTAACGTTTTTAGATGGAAGGGGTTAATCTCTTCTTCGCATTCCATCGCATCGCACCCATTTTCATCACAACTATTTCCCTGGCCATCTTCCTAAGAAAAGTATGAACTCATTTAACAAAAGTAAAGAGAATTTTAAAAACCGCCCTTTAGTGTTGCGCTAACTGTACTGTGCTTCCACTCTCAATATACCTGATGTTTTTGATACTTGTGTCAGGATAAATGGCCCAGAAAAGGGGGACAAACTTGGTCATATGTTTGAAGCTAATTAGCCCAGCTGCTTGAAAATTAATTACCCGGTAATTTGAACAGCTTCTTGTCAAAATGATTCTATCTAGGTTAAATTCGATACGACTCTACATATAAAGCTTATAAACAGATTTTATATTTATTTAAAGAAGGTATGGGAGCAATAATAAGTACATATTTAATTATTGTTATGATGCGGGAAAGGGCTTTGTAGATTACGATTTATTTTAAATTAAGGGCATGATTAATCAGGGCTTCCTTCCATGCAAGTATATTTGGTATTTTATTTATATAGGGGATTAATTTTCTCGACGTAGTTGGGATTTCTACAACTACATCAGCTGTCCTATACATTACACCATCGTAATGAACAAGCTTCTCAAAGTAAATGTATGCCCTATCGTATAGTAAAAAAGGAGATTTGGTAAACACTTTTTCCAAATCGATTGTACTCCATATAAAATCAGACAGCATCTTAAGACGATCTATAAATTTTTTTGAGACGATTTTCATTTTATTTTAGATCTTTCACTCAAACAATTAAAATTACAATATGGATTTTATTCACTACAACCCATCAGAAGACCCTTATTTAAATTACGATGAGAGTTCAGACGAAATGGACCTTGATAATTTGGCATTTCAACATGAAGAAATTGAAAAGTTCGTTTACATAAACACAGTAATTGTCGTAGATCGTTACTGTACAATGGTTTTGGCACCTATTATTCTTGATACTGTCTTTAAGAGTTCAATGTCGAAATGGTTAATATGTTTTCATTGTTATAAAGTTCTGTTATTGAATACCTACCATGTCTTTGCTCTTTAAAATCAACCAAAGTTCCTAAACGATTCTTATCATTTGGTTAGTTTTTTTAGTTGTAACCATACTGCATATTTTCTTAGGAGGGGCTAGGTTTCAAATGTTAAGCAATTGGTCAATAACTTCTGTCGCAGGAGGCCACGTACTAAAACAGTTGACATTTATTTTCATCGCGCTGAGCTGAATTATAAAGCCTATATATAAAGAGAAGAGGAGGACTTAGAGCTTTGTCCCATTGCAAACATATGCAGATTACCTTAGTTTTTCCAAAGAGTAAATGAATAACAAGACAAGTAATAAGCTATCATGCCTAAGATACACCACGTTGTATATGAGGAGCGTAACCAACCCCTTTACTGTGTATAAAAGGCTCTGTCAAAACGAAGTGGTCTTCCTAAGGAATCACCCAAAGGAGACCGTTTCCAACCTTCGTTTAAAACATTCCCAAAGGAATGTTCCCAGGTCGCTATGCACTGGAACAGCTGGTAGTTATTCTCATCTTGTTGAGGTTTAATGCTTACAAAATAAAATAAAATAAATAAGTTTTGTCCCATTGCAAACATATGCAGATTACCTTAGTTTTTCCAAAGAGTAAATGAATAACAAGACAAGTAATAAGCTATCATGCCTAAGATACACCACGTTGTATATGAGGAGCGTAACCAACCCCTTTACTGTGTATAAAAGGCTCTGTCAAAACGAAGTGGTCTTCCTAAGGAATCACCCAAAGGAGACCGTTTCCAACCTTCGTTTAAAACATTCCCAAAGGAATGTTCCCAGGTCGCTATGCACTGGAACAGCTGGTAGTTATTCTCATCTTGTTGAGGTTTAATGCTTACAAAATAAAATAAAATAAATAAGTTTTGTCCCATTGCAAACATATGCAGATTACCTTAGTTTTTCCAAAGAGTAAATGAATAACAAGACAAGTAATAAGCTATCATGCCTAAGATACACCACGTTGTATATGAGGAGCGTAACCAACCCCTTTACTGTGTATAAAAGGCTCTGTCAAAACGAAGTGGTCTTCCTAAGGAATCACCCAAAGGAGACCGTTTCCAACCTTCGTTTAAAACATTCCCAAAGGAATGTTCCCAGGTCGCTATGCACTGGAACAGCTGGTAGTTATTCTCATCTTGTTGAGGTTTAATGCTTACAAAAAAAAAAAAAAAAAAAAGACAACAAAAACAAAAATAAAAAAAAAAACAAAAAAAAAAAAAAAAGTTAAGAGTAAGAAATATGATGATGCCAGAAAAAAAAATTGTCACGAATAGCATTTTTTAATTTATTTTAAGTCCTGTAAATATCTGATAACTTTGCTCTTTTCTCCTTAGAAACATGGAGGTCTCACATACAGAATGGATTCTACACAACTGGAAACCAGATACAACGTTCCAAGCGCTTGCCTTTGCTAAGAATTCGAAGTGTGAAGATTGGTTCTCTTGCTTACGTGTACTTGAAGGAGCTTTGATTAATATTGGTAGCTTGAATTTGAAACACAATACAAAGAGAGAGGTTATTCTGTGGGCCAGGAAGCACCAAAAGAAACCAAGAGAAGTACGCGTATTTTTTTTTCTAAAGCTTGTATTAATTATTAAAATTATGTTTAGCTGCTAGATACTACGTTGGTGAGACAGTTTTTTTACTTGAAGACCAGGCAGAAGCTCATGATAAATAAGAAATACCTTTCCTTGACTATTAAAAATAAGCTAATTGAGGATGAAATTAAATTGGCTAAGGCTGATTCTGAAACACTTAATCGGGCTGATAAAAATCAAGAAAATAGTATTAGTTATGAAGATCATAATATAAACAATACAAGAGAGGATATCAATGATTTTGCAGAAGATAAGTTTGAAACTGCAAATGATACAGTTGATGAACATAATATTCCATTTGAAGACATGTTTAAAAAATTAAATCAAAACGACAAATGGTATCTTTCAACTGGTAAATGTGTGGATGATGAGCTTTTTATGTTTGGTCTGCAGTGCGAGTCTGATCATCCGAGCCGATCATTGATTATTGACCCATACGACAAGAACTACACCTCTTACAATGTGTTTACTGAAGAAGAACTTCAAGAAATCATAAACTATAAAAAGAAAAGCTTTCCAAAACCTCCAGATTCTTTGAAAAATTTTTTAAATCAATACAACCAAGACAGCACAGCTAAGCTTCGAACTGCTTTAGGAAATAATCATACTTTTCACTCTGACTACAACAAAGAAGAAAGCGCTGACAAGGACTGGATCAATCTGGTTATCTTTTCCCTGGTTCGAGAATACGAAAATGGTAATATGAATAGGACTCATAACGAACGATGGTATCAAACCCACATTTGGTCAATGATCGAATCTTGTTTCGATAAATTAAAGGATGTTGAGGCTGTCGGTGGCGAGTCTGCTTGTCTAGGGACTAAGAAAAGGAAAAATAACACAAGAATCATTGGATCCATTTCAAAAATCAGTCGATCTAAGTATGGTCACAAGTGCGACTTAATTTTTAGACAATACAACAATCAACATACTGTCCCTTTGGAGTTTGGTGCTAGTGAAGCCAAATCAAAGATTGAGGATGAATCTGGTACAAATTTTATGAATGAAGGCTTCTACAAGTTACCACGTACACTGAAAGACATGTTGGACTCTTTACTCAAGGAAATCAACTTTGATCATCGTTCAGAGGCGATTCGCACTGTTGGATTTATTCATTCTGGCTTGTCAAGCACGCTGATTGAGTTGGACAGACCCACCAAGTACATTTCGCGTGTTTCAAGATGCAAGACGTTGGTGATTAGTAACTCTGTGAATCAGTTTGGACCTACTGTCTTACCAGTTATTCTTTCTACCTGGGTGTGCTCTGAAATTGTCAAGGAAGTGTTTGAAATCATTTCGTCCAAAAATAAATCCAATGAAAATGACATTGCATGGTTTGATAACTGTTTGGAGAGAAGGCCCCCCCAAATATGCCAACAACATCGTCATCAATCGAAACAGCACAAAAAAAATTGAAGTCATACCATTAAGAATCCGTTTTCTTTTTTCTTTCTTTTCTTTTTTTTTTAAAAAAAAAACAAAAAGTAAAAGTTAGTTATTGATAGTACCTCTATAAAGTTTTTATCTATTATTGCCACACCCCTATATCATCATAAAGAGTCACTCTGTCATTCATGAATTTTTTTGTTAATAAAAAATAAACAATGTGGACGGGAGAGAAAGAGATAAGTACCCCTTCTGAGCTGTTCAAAAGTAATATCATTGTTATGCAGCAACAGCTCAAAATAAAAAAAAAATATAATACAACGTTGTGTATATTAGGCAAGGTACAAAGCCCTTTCCCGCATCATAACAATAATTAAATATGTACTTATTATTGCTCCCATACCTTCTTTAAATAAATATAAAATCTGTTTATAAGCTTTATATGTAGAGTCGTATCGAATTTAACCTAGATAGAATCATTTTGACAAGAAGCTGTTCAAATTACCGGGTAATTAATTTTCAAGCAGCTGGGCTAATTAGCTTCAAACATATGACCAAGTTTGTCCCCCTTTTCTGGGCCATTTATCCTGACACAAGTATCAAAAACATCAGGTATATTGAGAGTGGAAGCACAGTACAGTTAGCGCAACACTAAAGGGCGGTTTTTAAAATTCTCTTTACTTTTGTTAAATGAGTTCATACTTTTCTTAGGAAGATGGCCAGGGAAATAGTTGTGATGAAAATGGGTGCGATGCGATGGAATGCGAAGAAGAGATTAACCCCTTCCATCTAAAAACGTTAACTCGTCTTCGACTTTACTGCGAGAAGCAAAATACAGAGCAGAAGGACACTGAGATGGAAGCCTTAGATGCTGAGATGGAGGAGATTGCCACCAACGTAAAGATCAATAGGGGTAGGAGTTATAACAACTACACCAATGATCAGAAACTGCTTTTTGTCTATTACAATAGGATTAAGTTGTTCAATGCTGCCAACTCTGGTAGATTAGCAGGCGGTGTTGTTGAAAGAACTGCACAGAAATGGGCTAGGAGACTGAAAGAGGATAAAGATTGGAATATCTTCGAAAAAAAAAAAAAAAAAAAAAAAAAAAAAAAAAAAAAAAAAAAAAAAAAAAACCAATAAAATCAATAAATCAGCGGGCCAGCTTGATGAGAAGCATAAGATTCACCTTTTAAATTTTTATGGCAGTAATCCTCAAGCCAGGGTTGTGGATGCAGTTTGTTCACTTACTGAAAAATTCGAATCATTCACACTGAAAGAATCAAGTGTGAGAAGTTTCCTCAAAACAGAATGCAACCTTTCATTCAAAAAAAAAAAAAATCACTCGTCATCCAGCTCCCAGAAACGATTCCACCAAAGTTGCAAACCACATAGCGTGGGGTTGAGAAGTGGAGCAAAACAGATATGGATTACCTTGAAAACTGTTTTTTTGTTGATGAATCAGCCTTCGATATCAATATGAGACCTCCAGGAGGATGATCTATTAAGGGCACACCAGCTATTGTAATCACTCCTACCACCAGAGCAATATCACACCATAGTTTTGGGTGCAATCTCGGCAAAGTATGTCGTGTCAATGGAGCTTTGAAATCCTCAGGAACACACATTCAAAAGGCTAAAAATCGATTCTGGTAATCGCAAAAGAAAAGCATCATCAAACACCAAAGAAGCCTGCTTCCAAAGGAACTGTCACTGGACATTATATGAATTTTATTCAGAAAACAATGGATGAAATGGATTGCATTCTGGAAATGAAAGGATATTATATAGTTATGGATAATGCACCAATCCATACATCTAACGAGATTGATACTATGGTGACAGAGAGAGAGAGAGAGGATATAAGTGCATTTATCTCCCTCCTTATTCCCCTGAGCTTAATCCTATTGAGTAATTTTGGTCCATAGTTAAAAATAAGGTCAAACGTAGTCAATTTCAAACCAAAGAGGACTTATCAACAAGAATAACTGAGGCTTGCAATAATGTTCCTCCAGAACATCTTTGAGCATTTGTACAACATTCAGTAAACATATTTGAAGATTGCTTAAAAGGCAATCCTATCTAATAAAATGTCACAAGCAACTGTAAAAAATATCTACTGAGGATCGAAAACCGCCTCTTGAGAAAATTGTAACCGCCTATTGAGAATTTTAAAAACCATCCTTTTATTTAAAAAACCATCCTTTAGTGTTGCGCTAACTGTATATGACTCTTATATTAGGAAAAAAAAAAGCTGAATGACTTTGTCATTGTAACATTTCGTTATGATATTATACACTTTTAAATATAGCCGACTCTTAACAACAACACTGTTACTAATCTACCAGCTTTGTATTTAATCATCAAATTCTTCTTGTTTGCTTAATTAATTGTTACTGTATGCATATGTTTATAACAGCAGACCTATGTTTATAGTGTGATTTTTAATACAATCTACTAAATATTGTATATCTTTTTTTTTTTTTTTTTTTTTTTTTTTTTTTTTTGTATTGTTGAGGAAAGTGTTAAGGTTGAACTAATATTTTACATTTTTTGCACATTATTTTAAATGTCTTTCTTTAAGCCATCTTTTTCATTGTGTTGACTGTCGAGTAAACTTATTATAGATAGATTACAATATTTATACTTTCTTCAAGGTCTATCAAATAGAATCTTTCTTGCTATACCAGATAAAATTTAAACTCAAGCTTAATGGACCTTATCATATAAATATATAAACTAGTTTATTTTATTTAAAGATGACATACACACACACACACACTCTATATACATATACATAATTTTATGGAAACATGTCTTGGTATGCATTAAAGTCAGTTTGCACTGATGTATTTACCCTTTCCCATCGTTTCATTTCTTCATCTGCTTTGACGTCCCTTAATTCTTGTTCTAATCGCCTACGACGCTCTATTTCATTCTTTATCTCTTCTTCATGTTTTTCTTTAATATTAGCTACCAAATCTCTAAATTCCTTTCGTAAATTGCCATTATTATTATTATCACTATTATTACTCAATTGACACACTTGAGCATCATATAATTCCTTTTTTATTTTCTCCTTTTCTTGCTGTAGTTTCATGATTTCATCTTCAAATACTTTGCGTTCAAGATTAAAGTCTGTAATATTTCGTGTCAAACGATCATATTCCTTTAAGATACGCTCCAATTCTGCTTCTACACTTGCTGATTGAAGTATCATAGCTGCTTCTCGTGTTGTATATGATTCTTGCGCTTCCTTGAATGCTTTCTTTACATCTTCCAATTCTTTTCTTAATAATAGTTCTGCATTATCACTATTTTTAGTAGTCATCACCTCTTCTTCTTCTTTTCCTTTCTTTGTTTCTAATAATTTTAGTTTTTCTTCAAGAGTTTGAATTCTCTTTGCATCCTCTAATTGCTTTCTCTGCCAATCTTCTAGCACACTCTTTACTGTTCTATTATGATCGTCTTGGCCTACTAAAACAATGCGTTCAACAGAAGCCCAGAGTGTTTTCATTTCATTTAATTCATCTTTCAATTCCTTATTGGCCGTGTTTATTTCATTTTGTGATAGTGCAATTCGTTGCTCATATTCTTCCTTTTGCTTTGCCAGTGCATCCTCTAGTAACGGTTCATTTAGTTTTCCTTTTAATTTCTCCAGTTCATCATCCTTTGCTTTTAAATCATGTTCCAGGGAACTAACTTGATCTTGCAAGGACTGTCGATGCCCTGTCTCACACCTCAATTGGTTCTTGAGTTCCTTTATTTTAGCCTCCTGTTGTTCGATTGTTGCTTGATATCTTTTCGAAGCCTGACTGTCTTCAGACTCATGATGATTCGATTGTTGAAGCTCATGAAATCGAATCAATTCTTCTTTCTGTTTTTGGTACTGTTGACTTAATCTGTCTATCACCTGATTTATCTTTTCTTCAATCGACATGGATACCAGGGTAGATGCCCCACTTTGATAGGATAGATCAGATGATGAAGCACTATGGGTAGTTGCAGTTGAAAGTGATGAGGTAGATGGTAATTTTTTAATAATCGGTATATTATTCTCCAACAGGTCTTGAGAGATATTTTCAAGTTTAAAGAGTATTGATTTTAGGTGCTTGTTGTATTCTATTGTTGTTGTTGTATTAAAAGGCTGTTGTTGATAAAGATATTTAGCCAAGACGCCAGCGGTATGTTCTAAATGACTCGCTTCTTGATATCGTAATCGTTGACTTGTAAAATAGAATTCATCTATTAAAGATGCTGTCTTTTGTGTTGACTGAAATAAACTATATGCAAAGTCTTTGGACATTCTCGTATTATTATTATCTGTTATTGTAAATGATATTGCTGCAGCTCTTTGTATATCTATTTGGAGTCGAAGATGTTCATATAAAGTGTTTAGATCTATTTGCATCTTATTACATTTCTATATACATATATTTATATAAAAGGAAGAAAAAAAAATGTTAGCATTTCAAGTTTTTTTTTTTTTTTTTTTTTTTTTTTTTTTTTTTCGCTTTTTTTCTCTTTTAAAATTTACTTCAACTAATTCATTTGCTTCCATAAAATTTAGAGTCTTGAATTTGGATGCCATAATGGTAGCATGAGACAGATCTAACTCGTGTAACATAGCTTGATAATCATTCTTATCACTCATTGATGTGCATAATACCAAGTTATTCGTAATAGAATGTAAATCAAGATGAGAAGCATATTGTTGCCATGGTAATTCAATCGGATCATCTATATCCGTGATATTGTTATCGTAAGAATTGAGTTCTGTCACTTTGTTGACAGGTTCAAAGGACGGCAATACATGCTTGTTTGTTGTTGCTGACAACATTTTCTCATCATGACTTAGCTGAGTTACTGGGGAAGTATAAAACTTATTATTACTATTGCTTGTTTTTTGACAACTGATTGATTTTTTCCTTGAAGGTGTCCAAGTCCCTACATCTTTTATAATAGGTGCCTCACTACTATGAGTTGGGGGTTTCTTTAAAATTGGGGTTTTCAAATTGGTTGATTGTTTATTAGGATCAATAGCAACATAGTTTCTTGTAAAGTTTGTTTCTACTGGTGTATTCACCATTACACTGTTTAGCTACATACATGCATTACTTTAGATCTTGACATTTATAGGTAATGTGTCTTTTTTTTTTTTTTTACCATTTCATTCTTGTTAACGTTACTCATATGTACTAGTATCTATAACAAGGTATTATGTATAAAAAAAAAGAAAAAAAAAAGAAAAAGAAGATAAAATAAAATAAAAAAAATGCAATATGATTACTTGCTTATTAAAAAGGGGACATATAAATCGTATTCATATAAAAAATAAAATAAATGAAAAACCTTGTTTCGAACTTGTTTTATTGACTTTTTGCCTAATTTATTACAATATAATTTCCGCCCTTATTATACTTCTTCTTTAACGGTTATAATTTTACGTAATAATGCTCGAACTTTGTTATCATTTGCAACAATAATTATGCTATGGCCATCCATAATGATTTTTGCATTCATATCAGAAGGTAATTCAATCGTCGTGATACCGTTAATATCTTTAGTTATTTGCACGGGTATAAAATTCTATTATAAAATTAATTTTCTTTTTCTTTTCTTTCTTTCTCTCTTTCATCCTTTACCTCCTCGAATCTTTTAATAATTAACGTTAGTTCAGCGTTTAATTTTATTTCATTTTGTTGATTAAAGATAAGAGGTCCATCGTCTTTAACATTTAAATCAGGCTGAATTTCTAATTGATTATTATAATAATGCAAAGAGCCATGAAGAGGTGCCCAAGCAGAAAATGATCCGTCTTCATTAGTCATTATAATAGGATTAATAGTCTTTGCAAGCTATCTATATAGTTAGTGATTCTCTTTCAAATAGATATATACATATATACATATATATACATTTACCTTTTCACTCACTGATACTTTTTCCCAATTTCTATCAAGTTCAATATTTATAATATCTCCTGGTTTATATATATAAGCTTTTGTTGATGAATTCTGTTCCTCTTCTTCTTTTATCAATTCGGCCCCTTCCATGTCGGGAATGAGTAAATGATATGAATTGGTGTCATTTCTTTCCCAATGGGTATGCAGTATTGAAGGAATATCTTCTAGTTTGAGGCATGTGTCAAGAGGCAAATATATAAAATTCATTTTGCATCCTTTGGGTATTATGTCTTGAAATGAGCGATCTGTATTTGGATCTAGACATCATTTTAGTTTCATACATGTATTTATTATTCAAGCATACCAACTTACCTATAAATATACAGGTATTTAGTTCAGATTGTCCCCAATAATTTAAAAACCAAAATAACGGTCCTTTCATGATACATGCCGAATCTCCTGTAAAGACAATACAAGGTTCCTGTATTCTTTTCTTTAAAAGTGCTGATGCTTCTATTGAGGTTATTGTTTGTACTGCACCAGTTTGCATTAATTCACCATGTCGTAAAGGCATTTGTGGTAAATAAAGTAAATCATGTCGTTCTGCATTCATCCATTCACCACAAATATTCGCATATTTTAAACTTTGGTCGGCAATAGGATTTACAACATAAATGGGTATCTGATGTCTTTCATGTCCAATCTCTTTATTACCAAGCAATTTAAAATGCTGCTCTATATCTCCAACTAAATCAAATAAAATGCCCATCGATGGTGTTACTAAAAGGACATTATGTTGTGTTTGAATCGTTCGTGCTAATAATAAAATGAATAAGTCTATTTACAATCCATAATGTGCTTATCTATTACCAATATGTCCGCATAACTTTGCTTTGGCCTTTTCAAAGGAGAGCTCATTTTGAGATAACTGACTAAGACCACTGACAACAACAATGTCTACATCCTTTAAGGCATCACCATTAAATGGGGCAGGATGTAAATCCATGTGAATTGATGAATTGGATACAAATGCAATCTTTTTAAAACTTGTTTCTAATACCCAATTGGCGCTTCCTAAACTATAGCCTGAACTATAGGCTACCAAATTTAAAGCTGAAAACAAGGATAAAGTTTCTGTATAGCGTACAGGTTGGATTTTTTCAATACAAGATATAACATCTTCCATCGTATAGATGGTTGACCTCCAACCTTCAATAGCTAATTGCATGTTATCATCTGTCAGTTGAGAGAAGTGTGTAGCTGAACGAGGTTCAATTCTAGATGTAAAGAACTTGCTTTGATGACTATGATACTGAACTAATTCCTCCATGCGTTGTTTTGCATATTCAATTGTAGGTTCTGTGGCAATAATTCTTCCTTTATATCCCATATATTCTGTCAAAAACGGAAGACCTAGCATAAGTTGACTATTACTTATTAATACAAGATCAATAGAGTCTAAATCAATGAGACTCATGTCGGGTATTCTAAACAGAGTTCTTTGTTCGCAGTTTTTAGCATTTTCCTTAACTGAAGAATAACGTGTATCAGCAGCTCTTTTGCCCTGAGATGAGAATGATGATAAAATCGAACTTAGAGTATTACCCGCCTCGTAATAGTCTAGACCTGTTTCAACCGATTCGTTCTGTTCGTGTAGTTGTGGCAAGATTAATGTCTCTAAAGGACAATTCAAAAGTATTGTATGTTGATTTATTTTACATAAAAATGTATTGGGAACTGAATCTTTATTATCTATGCATTGTATTTTCATTTTAAAATTTTCCTTTCGTGACTAAAATAAAGTAAAACCATTTATGCATAAGAATACAATACTGAAAGGGAGAGGGAGAAAGTGGAGGACAATCATTTATTCGTGGCTTAGAAATCAACAGTCATCGCTTTTTTTTTTTTGTTTCAATATTGTTCAAGAGAAAAGTTGGGTTTACATATTTTTTATTTTTCTTTAGTCACTACATATAAAAAAAAAAGGTTTCAAAAAAAATGTATTTGATGTATTATTTAAACGAGAAGGGAGATCGTGTCTACACTCTTAAGGTAGTTAATTAAGAATAATTAAAAAAAAAATAACGTTTTGAAATTTAAAGTGATTTTTATTCATTTATTTATTTTAGAAAACTGATCCTAATGGCTTCCCCACCAAGTCAGCTCATCCTGCTAGATTCTCCCCTGACGATAAATTCTCTCGTCATCGTGTAACTATTAAGAAGAGATTCAACATTTTACCTACTCAACTTCCTTCTCGCCCCTATTAAATGCAATTCTTTCATCTATCAACTCTATTTCAATGTCAATTTGTACGTTTTATATTTTTTTTTGTAAATTTCAATGTCTCGAATAAAAAAGAAGAGCCTTTTTAAACTGAAGTTCGATAAAATAAATAATAGCTGAACATGTCATTATATATGTGTATGTGTATGTCTTGAAATGTTCAAAAAGACATCTTACAATTATTTCGTGACTTTTATCATTTATGAAAATATGTCCATTTTTTATTTTTTTTATTTTATTTTATTTTATTATTATTTTTTTTTTTTTTTTTTTCATTTTTTATTTTCTTCAATCTCTATTCTGTTTTCATATAAAGAATGGCCAATTCTAAATATGAATATGTCCGACATTTCGAATTAGCGGATAACATGCTACCTAATACATGGCTTGTTGTTCGTATTGATGGCCGTGGATTCCATAGGTTTGTCCGAAATCTTTTTTTTTTTCTTTTTCTTTTTTCTTTAGGTAATTGACTAATCTTATTTATTCAGATTTTCACAAGCACATAATTTTGCAAAACCAAATGATAGGCGAGCGATTGATCTTATGAATCGTTGTGCTATTGAAGTTATGAAGGATATCAAAGATATTATTCTAGCCTATGGTCAAAGTGATGAATATAGGTAAGTATGGTATTATGTAATCAATGAAGAGACCCTTATTTAATATGCATTTAGCTTTATTATACCAAAATCATCAACATTATATTCTCGTAGATCAAGGTAAAATGATATACATATATAGATGAATCTTTTATTTATTTTCTATCAAAGTAAAATTTGTTCTACGATTGTAAGTCTATTTGCCTCAAATTATGTAATGCATTGGGCAGAATATTTTGGTGAAACCAAACTACAATATGCACCATGCTTTGATTCCAGGACAGTTTGCTACCCTAACGATACAGTTTTACGTGATTATTTATGTTGGAGACAAGCTGATTGTAAGTTGATAATGTATGTATGTATGAATAATTTCCCAAATTTAATGTTTATCTTATAGGCCATATTAATAATTTATTTAATACTACCTTTTGGGCTCTTGTTAACCAAGGAGGATTATCTGAAGAAGAGGCAGAAAAACGCTTAAGAGTAAGTGTGTGTGTATATGTTTGGAGTATTAACTTTAAATTTAACTCTCTCCTTTTTTTTTCTTCTTCTAAACAAACAAACAAACAAAAAGGGCACATTTTCAAAAGATAAGCATGAAATTCTATTTACACAATTCTCTATCAACTATAACAACATAGAGCCTATTTATAAAAAAGGTTCAACCATTATTCGTAAGAAGACAGAGGTCACTTCTATTTCTCCAAATTCTGGTGAAGAAGTAAAACGAATGAAGTTAGTGCCTACTGCTATCTATGAAGATATTATAGGGGATGCATTTTGGGAAGCTCATCCTGAATTGCTTAAATAGAATAGACATTTTATATATTTGTGTATGTAATAGAAAAAAAATTTTATGTACATGTGTATATATGTATGTATATGCAAATGTATATGTATACAGATATGTATATATATATATATATTTTTGTTATCAAATATAATGACAGCATTACTTTTAATGTTTGTAAAATGACCAAAGATATTACTATTTATCAGATCTATCTTTCAAACAAAAAAATATTTATATTATTGTTATTATTATAACTTTTCTGTATTACATAATCATACATAAACAACAATGAAAATTAAAAAAAAAAAAAAGTTTCGTTAGGTTGATTTATTGATTAATTGATTATGCAAGGCTTTTAGGAAGGCCATTTTCAAGATTTAAAAGAGATTCAGAGTCGGGTAAGACACGAGGACCGTCATGAACCTTTGTATGGAGCAAACGACTCACGCTATTCATAGGCTGAGTAGGGATAACGTTTTTATTAAATTGCTCATGGTGATTCAATTCTAATTTATCTCCTAGTTTTTCACCTTGATCAAGTACATGGTAAGGATCTGCAAAGAATTCATGAGCTGGTTTATCCGTAGGGAAATAATGGCCTATCAAACGAATGATTTCACGCATGTTTTCCTTTGGAGCATAGATGACAGCATTGGGTCCAGCATCATAAGTGTAAGCAGCCTTCAGCTTACCATCAGGTGAAGTAGCGTTGTATTCATGAATAAGTTGAATGATGGCACGGGAGGTATCATTCATATAAAAGATGGGTGGGTAAGTGTCGAGACAGACTGCATGGAACTGGTTTGAATCACGCATTGTCAATTCAGCAAAGGTTTGGAAATCGCGTTCAAGGATAGCCTTCTTCATGCCTTCCATACGCTCAGGGACAACATGCTTGATACGTTCAGTCATCAATGTACTTGATTTAATAGTAGACTGCATACCTGCAGTAGAGGAGGTACCCTTTTTAGCGTCCGAGACAACACAAATAAGAGCTTCTAATTCAGGCCAATGCGTTTCAGGTGCAACTTGAACAGCATAAGAATCAGATCCATCTTCCTTTTCACCCATTTCCCAGGATACAAAACCACCAAAGAGGGAACGACAGGCTGAGCCGGATCCCTGACGTGCGATGCGAGAGATGGTAGAGGTAGGGACATCGAGTTCAAATAATTGGGATAATGTAAAAACCAAAGCGGCTAAACCGGAAGCAGAGGAAGCAAGGCCAGCAGCGGTAGGAAAGTTATTTTCAGAGCAGATATGAAGTCCATATGTAGACAAAGGCTCAAGAACTTTACCTTCAGCAGCTGCCTTGGCTTCCATCTCTTGACGAATAGCACGTGTCTCACGGAAACAATTGTGCATACGTTTGTTCTTTGTGATATCTTCTTCAATACCATTCAACCAAAGTCTATCTTGTGTAAATTCCTTTGAAGCAGAAATTGTTGTTTTACTATGAAGAATATCTTGTGATAATGTTACAGATAAAGAACTATTTGTAGGTAAAATAAGTTCTGTATCGCGTTTGCCCCAATATTTGATAACCTATTGAAAAAAAAAAGGGAGAATTTAGACATTCATCATTGACGATCAATAAGTTAAAAAATAAAATACCTACAGCAATGTTAACAGGTGCAGTACAGGTAACAGTCTTCATCTTCAAGCTGTATAAATAGAATAAAAAAAAAAAGCGATTAACTTTTTTTCCAAAATGAAGTAGAGTAAAATGAATAAGAAAAAAAAAAAAAAAAAATTTAAACTTCCTTTTTTTTTTTTTTTTTTGAAAACCGCTTTTAATGAAATACAAAGGTTTCTTTTTTTTTATGTCTAATGAAAATATTAAAAAACAAAAAATATACATGTATATAAAAACATAATGAAAGTATTAAATATGAGCTAATGTTCATGAATTAAAATACTTGCTTTTTAATTACTTGTTTGGTATTATTACATTATATCTATTTACTGATTTAAAGTATAATGAAATTAAAATAGTCTTAGCCAATCAAAAATAACTTCGTCCAGGACAAGTTAAAAAATATAGTGAGGGGGCCTATCATTTTTTTTTATTTCTTTTTATTTGACATTTCCATAATGATGTTATTTAAATTACGGCATGTAACTTATATTCAACGGCCTTTCATACTAACAAAACGTTATATTAATAATATTACACCTGCTCGTGTTCGTTTTGCACCAAGTCCAACTGGTCAGCTTCATTTGGGTGGTTTAAGAACAGCGCTTTTTAATTATTTACTTGCTAAAAAGACGGGTGGACAATTCATTCTTAGAATTGAAGATACTGACAAAGTATGAATTCTTTTCTTTTTTTTTTTATAACCTCATTACATTCTATTTTATTTACTTGTTTAGTTATATAGGCTCGATATGTTGAAGGAGCTGTAGAAAGTCTTATAAAAGCTTTGAATTGGGCAGGCATTAATCATGATGAGGGTATTGGAATCTCATACTATTAATTTTACAAGACACTGATAACGTTTTTTTTTGTATGATAGGGCCCAATGTAGAAGGCCCATATTCGCCTTATTATCAAGTAAATGAAAAAAAAAAGTCTTGAATATTTTAGATCTTTTTTTTTTTTTAACGCTTTATTGCATAAAAATAGTCACAACGAACAGAATTATATAGACAGTACGCTAAACAACTTGTAGAATCAGGTCATGCTTACCGATGCTTTTGTACATCAGAAAGATTAACTCAAGTAAAAGAAACGCGACAAAAGCAAGGAAATTATATTGCTTATGATAAACATTGCTCATATCTTAGTGAAGAAGAAATCAAAGAAAATTTAGAAAAGAACTTGCCTTACACCATTCGGCTTCGAGTAAGAAACAATAGTATGTTGATTCAAATTGGATGCTAATATTCTGTTTTGCCATGTAGACACCCTATGAAGGATTTATTGAGCATAATGATCTTGTGTATGGGAGGATAAAGTTTAGTCACAAGACAATAGATGATACGATTCTAATAAAGAGTGATGGCTATCCAACCTATCATCTTGCAAATGTTGTAGACGATCATACAATGAAAATCACTCACGTCTTAAGAGGAGAAGAATGGTTATCGTCTACACCAAAACATATATTACTTTATAAAGCATTAAATTGGAAACCACCCTATTTTGCTCATTTACCTCTGTTACTAAACCGAGATGGTTCAAAGCTATCAAAGCGTTCTGGAGATGTTCATGTAGAACAATATATCGCTAAAGGTTATTTACCTGAAGCTATCAATAATTTTGTCGCACTTTTAGGTTGGCATCCTAGTGGTGGAGGTCATCAGCAACAAGATGAAGCTTTGTTTACTATTAAAGAATTGATTGAACAGGTGTGTGTATTACTTTTTTTGAAAAGAATTATTGGATAACTTATTTATAGTCTTTTTTCCTAGTTTGATATAAAAGATATTAATCATTCAGGTGCCATTGTTGATCATCAAAAATTAAATTGGATTAATAAACATCATATTCTAAAACGAGCAGAAACAGAAGAAGGAGTTAAAAGCTTGGCAAATATATTAAAGCCATTTGTAGATGAATGCTATTTAGGTCGACTGAAAGGCACCAAGTATGAATATAGATTAGAATCAAATTACCTTATTAAGGTAATTAGCACTATCAAGGTAAAGCATCTTTTTTTTTCTTTTCTTTTTTTTTTTTTTCTTTTTCTTATTTACATTTATATAAATATATCCATATATTTTTATTTATTTAATAGGAACGCATTCATAATCTATCTGATATTCCTCAACTATGTAATTATTATTTTGAAAAACCCAATTATGATTCTAATGAAGCTACAAACCTGAAGAAAAAAATAAAGCAGCCCGCTTTAGGTAAATTTATTTAAAAGAAGCATACAGAATAAAAGAAGTTTACTAACTTTCTCTCTATTAAGATTTGGTATCTTCAAATAAATTCATAGAAGACTTTAACTTGATTGAACCCTTTAAATCAGACGTAATAAAACCTTGGTTATATGCTTGTGCAGAAAACAAGAAATTAAATCCTAATCATATTATGATGGCTTTACGGTATGTTATTACTGGAACAAAAGTCGGTGCTGGTGTTGCAGAAACAATTGAAGTTCTTGGAAAAGAAACCGTAATAAATAGATTATTAAATAGACAGTAATAATAATAAAATTATATAAATAAATACATCGCATTTATTTTTAAATTATAATAGTAATAATTATAATAAAATAACTTATTGAGCGCTCAAGATGTCAGAGTCACCAGCATCAGTGATGGAGAGGACACTGGTACGGAAGAGCTTACCACAAGCAGTACCAAGATCGATGTTGTTACCATTGTAGTGGTGAACACCAGTCTTGGACAACATGGCATAGTATTCGATCTCAGACTTACGAAGAGGAGGACAGTTACCAGCAATGATGACCAACTTAGCTATAAGAAAAAAAAAAAAAGAGACATTAGCAAAACAGTTCGGGGGAACATTCTCTGCCCAAGATTGGTGGAAAATGAGGACAAGGATGAATGTTTTTTTTTTGTAGAAAAAGACTACATTAAACGGGCTCCTGCCCCCCGAGAAGATTAAACAAAAAAAGGGGAAACTGTAGTCTATGAATATAAAATTATAAAAGATAACTTACCCTTTCCTTGACGAATAGTCTTCAAGGTAGTCTTGTAACCAAGAGTGTACTTGCCAGACTTCATGACAAGTTGAAGACGAGAGTTAATGGATTCAGCATTCTTCTTGGACTTGACAGTAGGAGCCATTTTATATATATATCTTTCTAACTGTTATAGATTATTAATTATTAATTCGAAAAAACGTCAATTTAAATATATTATACATTACACTTTAGTGAACACGAAAGAGAGAGGAAGATTATAATAATAAGATTGAGTTTCTGTTTTTAGATTAGAAAAAAAAAATTACTTGAAAATTTTTAGAATAATTTTAATTGGATAAAAATATAAGCCACCACAAGCAACTCAATAAATAAATAATAATAATCATGATTTAAAGTTCCGAGCCGCACCTTTCAAACTTGCATACAGCGAAGCTGGGAAATATTGGTTAATTTAGAAATTTGAATGGTGATAATAGCAAAATAATTTAGTGCTTACTAAAAAAAAGTACTGGCGAAAAAAACCAAAAAATGATTGACTCACCAATATTTTTAAATAAGCTCAGAGCAACATACCTGCATTAAATAACCAAAGCGATAACTTTGGCGGAGATTTGCTATTGTTTCCTTCATTCTGGTTTTGACGCTTCTTTTCTGCTAAAAAACATCAGGGCGTTTACCTGTCTCTCTCAAGCTCATCAAGATCTTTTGAAAGTTTAAAACAACTGCCATATCTCGATTCCACAGCTTTCGTGGAATTTCCTTGACTTGTTCAAGGTTGGTCAACAGACAGTTACGATTTTTATATCTAATAGTTCAGTAATTATTATCATTCTCTGTCGTATTAATACAATTCATACTGTTACTTTACCTCAATAAGCCATGCCATTTTACAGTTGGCATTTTGGCACTCTCTTATGGGGGCGAGGGTTGGCGACTGTTTTAAACGTTTCTAATAAACTTTCACAGGTTGGGGCAACATGAAGAAGTCTTATATTCGTCAATCTTGAATACTTGGAAGCCGTTTTTCTTCAGCATTCGAATGAGACCTTTGTTCCTGGTTGGCTCGTGATATTTTGTGTTTGAAGCAGACCAATTGCCAATAACAAGAATCTCATCATGACCAAACTTCTTTTTCAACTTCTTCACTAATATCTGGTCATTTTGATCACAGAAAATTTTGGATGAAAACTTCAGCTTTCGGAATGGCAAAACTTGAAGTTTCTCCAACAATTCCCCGATATGTTGTTTTAGGTTGACTTCTTCATCCACGATCATCTTCTCTGCAAGTTCAAGCACCGTATTTTTGACTCCATCGTCCAATCTCTCTGAGATATGTCGTTGCTGTAACATTAGCTGCAAGTACGTATGGTACGGTTGAGATTGCGTTCGAGTGTCAGGAGAAGAAACGATGTCTTGAATATTTAAGACGAATAAATGTCTAAAATACAAGTTGCTTTTCTCATCCACACAAAAGTCAAACAGGGAGCCGGGGAAGTAAAGATCTTTGGATGATTTTGTTTCATTTCCATAGTATTGGTTTAATACTTTTTCCATTGATGATCTTGTCTTAATGTAATCTACAAATTTGAGTACATCTACAGTGGATGACGGGGTTTTGGAAAGAAGAGCTTCATCGGATTCAACCATGGATGGTTTAGTTGACTTTCGTAAAGTTCTAAAGTGTCTTGATCTTTTTGATCTGTCATTTTTTGTAAAAACAAGAACTTTCTTGTGCTTGACCACACTGGTTTCTTTCATACAGTATAAAATATCACGTCTTTCAGGATCAATCAAAATGCATCTTCCATTCGCACTTGCCAGCTCTGCTTATGTTAATGTTTCAATATACTGGGCATCATTGTCACTTCTTGTTCCACCTTCCTTTTTTGAAGTTCCAGGACTATCTTCTGTTAGCTTTTTCTTCCTAGTTGTAGCAGTATTTTGCTTTAGAATAGAAACACCAATTCCATCAGTCTCCAAAGTTCCTTCAAAATGAAGAGACTTATTTAATCCTTGTTCTTTAAAAGCCTTTTTTTTTCCAAATCAGTTACTTGAGCCCAGGTTTTAATTTTATCCTTCGCAGGCTTCTTGTTTTTGAGAATATGGAAGTTAACGATCTTACTATCCACTGTCATATATGTGGGAATAAACATGGTTCGTATAGGAAAGCAAACGAATTCTTTCAACTTCTCTGATTCAACAAGTTGTGCAAGTCTATAAAAAAAACCTTGAAGTGATTTACTGGTCGAGCCAGTACATCATAGAAAATTGAATCTTTATGGAATCTGTAGTCTGTAGGATACATGGAGAATAGAGTTTCTATTTCTGATATTGACTTTTCATCCAAGATGTCAGAATTGGGCATTTCTTTTTTTTTTTCGCCGCAGCAAGTTTTACTTGGGTGCAGGGAGTAAAGACCTCTTTACGGACAGCTGCTTGTATGACTTTTGTGCTATATCCTTCTGTCGTCATTCTTTCTTGAAGAGCATTTGATTTTTCTTTCTTTTTTTTTTTTGCAAAGTTCGTTTAGCATTTCGCGGAGCCTATTCCCAAAATGGGCTTTGATATTATTGTAATAGGCGGTTTCAATTTTCGTACATTCGTACAAAGCAATTTGCTGCGCATATGCTAGTTTAAGTGGAATATAGCCGGCATTTTTTTTTAGCAATATAAGCCTTTGTGTTTGGCAATCAATTGTCTATATAATTTCGTTGTTTCTTTGAGGCGTGTTTTTCGAGATTTGGTACCATCATACACTCGTCTCAGATTAAGACTCAAGAATACTTTAACAAAAAAAAAAAAAAAAAAAAAAAAAAAAAAAAAAAAAACTCTTGTTGACATAGCTTTTCAAGTCAAACTCGATATTTTTCACCAACTCACTTACAAAGATATACTTGATAAAGGCAAAAGTGTGGGTGACGATTGTATTAGTAATATATGCCGGCTTCCAAATGCTCTTTACAGTCGCCTTTACCGCTATGACGCGTTTGTCAGCTACTTCAATATTTCTTTCTGTAGCAGCAACCGAACTTGCTTCAGAAACGGGGGATGTCTTGGTAGTACCCGTAGTAGTAGCTTTGATAGAAGCAGCAGCAGTAGATGTAGCAGTAGAAGCAGTGGATTTAGCAACAACAGCAGTAGATATTGCAAAAGTAGAAGTTGAAGAACCTTTGGATTCCTTATGGGGAGCAAACTTGCTGGTTTCACCAGATGTAGTTTGTCTTGTGATAGTTTCGCAAAAAAAATTTATCGTCAGAATCAAGATATGTAATCGTCCAAAGTCACTACGCTTGTACTAAATACTTCATTTGTTGTAGAAGGATCGATGTTGCTTGAACTTCCCACATTATATTGGACGTCAGGTAGAATTGCATCTCTAGCTCTTTCTTTGCCTTTGGCCCTCTTTCTTTGAGACTCATCATTTTGAGTATTTTCTCTGCCTTATGTGGTTTCTATGTTAGTTTTAGCGTGCATTAAAAGGCTATCATAAAAGTACATACCTTTTCTCTTCCTAATAACAACAGTGGGATTGAAAATCATCATCAGAGTTTTCTTGGATAGCTTCGTGATATATGTTAGAAGGACCAGGCGCTGTTTTTGAAACGGTCGTCGTGGCGTCTGCATGTCAATCGTGTGGTTAATATTAGAAAAGTAGATAATTCTCTATATACTTTACCCTTTGTTTTAGCGGATTCTTTTTGAGAGGGTGTTATTGCGGTATCATCTTTTTTTTTTCTTCGCATTTGCAAAGCATTCGCTTTCAGGATTTTTGGATGAAGTATTAAAAAAAGAGAATTACTTTGCTAGTTTATTGTAACTACTTTTTTTTTTTTTGATATATCTCGACACATATATAAACACATAATTTATGGGTTATTTATCATTACTATTATGTTTTTCTTTGCCTTTATCAATAACTATCAATTAATGAACCAAAGCCAGGTAAATAAACTTTAACACGAGCTCTTATGAATATCTTATTAACTATTGAATAAAGCTGATTCTATAATAAAACCCTTGATCTGCATGTTCCAGTTATATAAGCCCATTATCGATAGACATAGTTTATAAGAACATGTGCGAAATTTTTTGTTTACACGTATATAAACATCTCAAAGATATAATTGAATTGTGAAGACTGATCAGACTCTAAACACCATTGATCAGGGCTTTAACAAAGCTGTTGATATATATTTTCTTGTTCAAATTAACTATGCGTATCAGTCTATAATAATAGTTTTTTAAAACGATGAGTTTAATCAAGGGCGCAAGGTCAGAGGCTATAGACTCACTTATTTAACTCTATATTTTTTTTTCAAAACTGAATTTAATTGAAACTTTTTGGGTTCTTGCAAAGAGGAAGAATCTGATGGCTAAAGGTACTTTATTCTTAAGAATCGCTGATAAATTTCAAGTGCTCAAAATAACTTTTAAAAACGGCCAATCATTTTTCAGCTTTTCGGTAACAATTTTTTTTTTAACAAGCGCCAAATTATTTTCTAAATTAACCAATATTTTCCAGCTTCACTGTATAATAAATATTGACAATAAAAATAGGCTAGTAGTAGTAGTAATAGACTACAGTTTTTATATAAATATGTATTTTATTATGTATACATTTAAAGATAATTTTATTTATTCAATTTGCATATCTTCTGTTTTTTCAGTAGCTTCCTTCACATCAGCATCTGAGTCCTTTACTTCTTTCTTATCAGTCTCTTCTGTATTTTCCAAAGCATTTTCGTTCTTAAGATTTTCAATCTTATTATCAATCAAATTATGAAGAGCAATGACAGCACGAATCATACTTGACAAGTAAATTAATAATAACTGATCATTTGTTTTTGTACTGAAAGAGTTGACCATATCTTGATTTTCAAGGTTGGGGAGTAAATTGAAGATATCCTGTAAATTGTAAATAATTTGGTGATTTACAGGTAATTTACCACTCACAACTTTTTGAAGATAATCACGAATTTCTTCGAGACGGCCTTGAAGACCACCCAAAGATGATAACTGGGCAGCAATACGTGTGGATAATGTACCAACTGCATTATCTTTAATATCTCTTAGTAAATGTTCTACACCGATTTCTTCTGCTTCCTCTGCAACTATCTCTGATGGAACATGCATGAATGTTTTTGTTGTAGCTGTACCATCCTATAGAATCTTATCATAAATACATATACATACATACATACACATGTATAATATGTAATACAAATAGATACAAAACTTACATCCTTGATTTCTTCAATTGCAAAATAAGCATCTGTGGGTATTTCGGCATCATTAGGTTTAACATCAATAATGACAAGAACTGGATTAGGCGTATATCTCTTGAAAAGTTCGTTGATTTCTAAATCTGATGAACGAAGTTTTGGTCCACTATGATACCATCCAATTAGCTTTTCCTTTGCTAAGGGATTTCATACGCACATATGTATATATATATGTATATATTTAATTAACTGTATAATAGCATAAACTATCCCATTATGTATTTACCGTTAACTTTCTTGAACATGTCATTCATTGCTTCGACATAATTATGATCTAAAAACCAAACTGAAGGATCCTTTTCATCTTCTTCAAAAGGGACTAGAAATAAAAATAAAAGTAAGTAATTCTATAAATGCGTTGATTACTAGTTGTCTTTTTTTTTTTTTTTTTTTTTTACCAGCGAAGCTGTTGGAAATATTAACTGTCTTTCCTTTATTTTGACCGAGTAAAACACCAACAACGCGCTTTTTTGTATCCTTTGCAACACGATTATAATGATCAGTTGCTGAAAGTAAAACAAGAGGATGTACGTGAGCTATAACTGAAGGTTGAACGGTTGTTGTAGCAGGCATGTTATATAAATATATATGTGTATATATGTGTATACTAACAAAAAAAAAAAAAAAAAAAAAAAAAAAAAAAGAGTAATTCCAAGTAGTTAAACACAAAGATACTTACGCGTACGTCGGAAGACTAAAAAAAAAAAAAAAGAAATGATTTTATTTGACGCATTATATTGGTGTAGTTTGTTTTTTTTAAAAAAAAAAAATGTGACGTAAAACAAGCAGCCCAATCAAATCAATAGTTGTTGAGTGGGTTGCCTTATTTTTATGAAAATAGGTTTATGATAAATCTCAAGGTAAACTATAAAGGTCAAAACTGCTCAAGTTAGATTATCGATAAAAAAAAAAAAAAAAAAAAAAAAAAAAGATAGCAAAATAACCCCTTTGGGATTAAGGATAAAGAAAAGAAAGGAAAAAATGCAAAAGTATAGCTATGGTATAATTAGTGAGGGGAAACTATCTTCGTCTAAGATGTAACAGAAGTAAAGTTGGATTTCTTCTTTTTTTTCTTCCTTTATTACGATGGAAGAGATAATGATAGGTTATGTAATATGATTAACTAACGAACAAATCAAGAAAGAATATTGAAATATGAATGCAGTTGATGTGCAGGGTTATCTTTAAAAGAAGAAAGATGAGAGGATGGTACATGATTTCAGACGTTTGAAGTCTATTTACTTGTGTTATCTACAATAACCAAACTATTTAGCATTTATTCTTGGCCATAATTCCGTAGCCCATTTATTCATATATTTCATCTCGACTTAGTAAGAGCTAGTCATAGTATCTAATTTGTTAGTTTATTCTTTTAGGAATGCACCATGTGGGTTCATGGCACATAAATAACATGATGCTATTTATTTTGTATAAAAAGTATACGGACACATTAATTCATCCTTGCTGTCATTTCGTATTAACATAAAGCAAAACCAATATGTTCCTTACTCTAAAAGAAAAAAAAAGAAAGTATTATTTCTCACAGTGAAAATAAGTTATTCTTTTACTGATGCAAAAAAAAAAAAGGGAGAACTAGATAAAATCTTAAGAATGAAATGCTTTTTACTCGATAATCGTACAGCTTTCTGACATTTACCTACATATAAGTTGTTATAGTGTTAAGAAAAACATATACAGTTGTACTTGTCAGACATGATGTTGAAGCAATAAATAATAGTCTTTTTTTTTTTTTTTAAATCAGTTCCTGAATACCGAAACTAAGTTTTGTCTTACTCAAATTTTATTGGATCGTCTGGTATATACGTCACATGTTTAAAATTGAATGTATGCATTGAACACGCTTTTTTTTTTTTTTTTTTTCGTAATTTCTTTCAAAAGCATATAATAATGTCTAATAGCATTTACAATTACATTATAAAGGTTCATCCATCAAGAAAGAAAATAAAAAAATGAGTAAATATATACTTATACATCTTTCTTTCTTTCTTTTTTCAACTTAGTATATTATTATTGGTGATACCGGTAAAATTAATAAATTACTCATTAATAAATGAATGACTGAAAGATTATGAGTTATTTTTTTAAAAAAAAAAAAAAAAACTAATGAAATTAGGTGTTGGAAAAGTAATATAAATTAAACATTACAAATAATAATAATAAAGATGAATATAACTTTGAAGCTAACGGAAAATCATCTCGAAAAAAAAAAAAAAAAAAAAAAAAACTATAAACAATGCCTTTTTTTTTTTTTTTTTTTTGTTATATAGTCTTGCATACTGCTACAATTTACAGATAAACGATTTATGCCAGCTCATGATTTGACCATTGGGTAAATATATATACATGTATATTTATTTATTTATTTTCTGGAGATAAAAAGGAATATATGATTGAATTCAAATAAAATATTAGTGTTGGTTTTGGTACACGTTTTATTAAAGTGAACGATCAGCAAATAAAATTACAAATTTGGGATACGGTAATTATTATTCTCTATTTTAGTTATGCGTATATTAGATAACATTTATAAAAGGCTGGGCAAGAATCATTTAGATCAATTACAAGAAGCTATTATAGAGGTGCTGCTGGTGCTTTATTAGGTAAGTCGAAAAAGAACGGTGAAAAGTAAAAATAAACTAACATTTATATGTATATAAAAGTCTATGATATTACAAGAAGAGAAACATTTGAACATTTAACTGTTTGGTTAGAAGGTTATTTTTTTTTCATATATTTCATAAACTACATTAATAACTAATATATATGTATGTATGTATTTATCATTAGATGTTCGTCAACATGCAAATCCTAATACAGTTATTATGTTGATTGGAAATAAATGTGATTTAGAAAGTAATAGACAAGTATCTACAGAAGAAGCAGCAAAATTTGCTGAAGAAAATGGTTTGTATTTCTTGGAGACATCTGCAAAATCAGCTGAAAATGTTGAGGAGGCCTTTGAACGTACAGCAAAGGCCATTCAAGAAAAGATTCAAACTGGAGTTATTGATATGAATAGTGAGGTAATTATGAGTACAGACTAATCATCTTAGTTTATATATAATAATGACACTTTTGATGTAGTCAAATGGAATCAAGTTAGGACATCCTCAAGGCGGGTCTTCTTTACCTTCTGCTAATTCCTCTTCAAATAGTAGTGGTTGCTGTTAAAAAAAACATTTTATTTTTATTTTTATTTTTTTTTTTTTTTACGCATTATATATCCTTAATAACATATATAACATTTTTTATTTTTATTTTTTCATTACTAATAAATTCTTAAATTAACTCTAATCATTTATTGTTGTCTCTTTCTTTTCTTTTCTTTTATTTTATCTTATTACTATTATATCTAGAATGATAGAAGAAGAAGAAGTAGTTATTAACAATAGAAGTCAACATGTACTTGATCATCATAACTTACAAACATCCTTTTGTAAAATTAACTATGATGCAGCAGTAACTCAAATATTATTTCCTACTTCTACTGGTAGTCAGCAACTATTCACTACAGTCCAAAAATCGCGTGAATCAGTCATGTCTGATATAGAGGATACAATTGAGCAAATTATTACATCTATTATGATAGGTGAACCCATTAAATTACCATTTTTAACGAGAAAACTTGGCTCTACTCAACAGCACAAGTATTACATAATTTATAATAATAATAACAATAACAATAAAAATTAAACATGGAGTATATAATAGGAAAAGAAAAGAAAAAGAAGACATTAACAATGATTTAAATCCACACTATAATACTACTGAAGAAGTTGTCAATAATGTTAGATATTTATCTTTGTCTAATGCTGTGTCCACAAAAGCATTAGGTATATATATATATATATATATATACGTACTGTAAAGATAAGTATATAGCTTACCTATATTAATGTAGCTCGCTATATATCTGTGTTACAAATGATTTATGAAGCTATTGCTTATCGAATAATGGTTACAAAACGAGATATGTTTTATAGAGATGTTCCACTCTTCGGTACTCAAGCTGTTGTTGATATTGTAAATTATTCAAAAATACACATATGATATATACAAGTATATATATATATATATATATATTTACATACATACATACATAGATTGTAGATGATATTTCATGTCATTTTAATGTACCAAGATCATCATTAAATGTGGTAAACTATTTAATGAATAGTAAATGATTATTAGTATAGACTTACTTACTTGTATGATATAGAGTGCTGCTTCTAAAGGTCTCGTCTTTGGCCCTATCAGAATTAGATTGAAAAATAATAAAATTATGGATTGTATGAGTATTCACGAAGAAGAAGATGATTGTCATGATCAAGTAAGTATATAGCATCAACATGATATATAAGCACATACTTACAGTAATATTGTTATTATTATTATTATTATTTTTAAAATATCACAGGGAATGCTTATACCACCTATCCATCAAATTCTTGAGATACAATCAAAAGCAAGCTGTATGATTGTTGTCGAAAAAGAGGTTTCTATATATATAAATAAATATGAATATATATATACATGTATACATATATGCATGCTTAAGAATATACATTTATATCTATATCTTTTGTAAATTTATTACATATATGTGATAGGCTACATTTAGATATTTAGTTTCAATTGGATTTTGTGAATCATTAACACAAAGTTGTGTATTAGTTACAGTAAGTATGCATATATGAATCTATTTTAGTATAAACACACACACACATATATATATATACTATTTATATAAAATCACATAGGGAAAAGGATATCCTGATTTATGTACAAGACAATTCATTAAACACTTTTCTACTTGTTACAGCAGTAAACCTATTTTAGCTTTAATGGATAATGATCCTCATGGTCTTGATATTTATGCTACTTATAAATGGGGAGCAAGAGTGACTATAGTCAATACTAGTAATATATTCATCTATTTATCTTTATATATATATATATATAGGCTATGGCGTTTGATGTCTTGAATCTAGCTGTTAACAGCATTCAATTAATTGGATTAACTTGTCAAGATCGAAAAGAGTATATATAACATATTCATATATAATATATCTTGATTTACCTTACTCCTTTTACTATTATAATGTTCCATAGATACTCAATTGCACTAGAGTGCTATATTCATATGACAGAAAGAGATAGATCAAAGTGCCTTCATATGGTTCGAACTTATCATTTAAATGAAAATCCAGGTGAGAGTCAACTTATTGAAAGAGGTTGGAGAGATATTCAAAATGAATTAAGTTCACAAAGTCACCAAGATTATATGTAATGTATTCTATTGATGACGTATTACATATCTATTCATCTTTTTTTTCTTTTAATCAATAATAGAAATGAAGTTTATGCTTTATTAAAATCAGATTACAAGTGTGAACTACAGTCTTTGAATCATACTGGTCCTTATGGCATTAGTAATTATCTAACATCCAAACTTGACAAATATTTATCGTAAAAAAAAAAAAAAAAAAAAAAAGTCCGCTACTGTTGCTCAATTATGATTAACTTGATGTCCTTTTGCTGTATTTTATGTTGTTGCTCTTTTTTTTTTTTTTTTTTAAATAAATAAAACTATGGCTGATGCGTAAGTCTTTTTTTTTTTCATGTAATGAACTTATTTGAACATTAATTTAATGCTGATTTAGACAGCGAATGATTTTAGATCCTGGTAATTCATTGGAAATACCAAAATAACGCGAATTAACAACTTTAATTTTTAGCCATTCGTGATTGGGTTTTGATCCCCATTTTATTTGTCATGGTCTTGGTAGGCATCCTTAGACATCACATTACTATGCTTATTACAGGTGCACCAAAGAAGCCACAATTAAAAGCTATTCGAGAATCGTAAAATGCTACTTTCTTTTTTTTTTTTTTTGCATGTTTATTTATTCATTTATTTATTCAATAGTAAGGCATTGTTACGTGGTATGCGTTTAAGGATGGTTGGCAACAGTATTCCACAACATGCATTTTCAGTTCGTAAAGCCTATTTAGCAGATGCATTTGAAAAAGGAAAATATCTTAAAAACCCAGATGCAAATAAAGAGGGGGCACCTCCTATGAACCCAATGTCAGATCCTGATATGATGGAAGGCATGATGGAAGGAATGAAAAAACAAATAACCAACATGGTGCCCCAAATGATTATTATGGGCTGGATTAACTTTTTCTTTCAAGGATTTATCGTTAGTAAGTGAAATAGTGTTTGTTTGTTTGTTTATTACACATATTTATTTACCTTTAAATCATCTCTCTTTTCTCTTTAGTTAAACTTCCATTCCCTTTAACGCCCCGATTTAAACAAATGTTACAAAGTGGTGTTGATACCCGTGATATGGATGTGACCTGGGTTTCTTCTCTTTCTTGGTATTTCCTCAATTTATTTGGTCTCGGTAGTGTTTTTTCGTTAATTTTGGGTGATAATAATGGTAAGAATCAATAATAGACATTTTGAAGTCCATTTTTAATATGTATACATTTATATTCATATTTTATAATAGCTGCTGGAGTTGATATGACTGCTATGAGTGCTATGCCAGGTATGATGCCAGGCATGATGCCAGGCATGGCTCAACCTGGTCAACCTCAAGATTTTAATAAGCTTTTCCTTGCTGAAAAAGAAAATGTGATGATTACACCTCATGTATGGGATTTAGATGATATTGAAGAAAGATTATTAAAAAAGTATGGTAAACAGCCCACTTCTAGTAAAAAACCATCAACACCTACTGCTACCACTACTGCTACAGTAATTAATAATAAAGAGCCTACTATACGCGATAAAATAAAAAAAGTGGCAGCACAAAAGAATCATAATAAACGTCGTTAAATATGAAGAATTTTTCACATACTCATTTGTTTTTTTTTATTATTATTATTTAACATGTGTATATATTTTAATGGATTAACAGAAATGATAGCAGCGTCACATTTATATACATATAAAGTGTGTACAAGTAGAATAAATGTATAAACACGACTTATACTTTTAAAAAAAAGACACTAGAAGGAAGAATGTTAACACATTATTTATATATGTTGTATGATTGATAGCTTAAAGATAGTTTTAGAAATAAGTATTCAATTCGGAGTTCTTTAATTACTTTGTAACTTGTCTTGATTTGTAATGAACTTGTTAGCCAATAATATCATTTATCTTTCTTATCAAACATCTTCCTCCATCTAGTTTTAAGGACTTGTCTAATCTGTATCGAATGACGATTTCTTGGAGTGTTGTCTCCTCTGAAGGTATCTGATATCCCTGTTGTTTGTTCGCTCATCGTATCATTCCTCTCATTAAAATAATTTTTAAATCGTTTCCTCTTTTTATAAAATGAAAATTTGTATATAATATGTTGGAATTTACTTTTGTTTTCCTTATCTACAAATGGATCATGATCGATGGATGAATGATGGAAGCCCTTAGGTGAAGGATGAATGATAGAATAGAAGGGGGCCTCAATCATGCTCATCTTTGTCAAACATGTATAACTACTACTAGGCGTTATCAATTGTGTAGTAGTAATAGATTGTTGTGTAGGAGGAGTTCTGATGACATCAGACTCAAGGGACAAAGCTGATAATAAATGACTAGAATTAAGATAATCAAAAGATGTAGTAGTAGTAGTAGGTAATGATGATATAGATGGGTAGGACAACTTGGATGCAAAGGAGACCAAAGAAGAATTAGGTGAACATAATAATGGGAAAATAGTGTCTGATAAAGCAGGCTCTTTTCTATGTGTTGTGCATCGATCCATTGGGATTTGATGAGGCTTTAAAGACAATAATGCACTTTCTTCACTGTTATAGAAAGTAGTGTAATTACTCTCATTTGAGCACATCTCTTCTTGCTGTCGTCGCAAATCAGTCTTCAGTTCCTGATGAATGGCATTCCAATTAACATGAAAAACAGGAATAGTAGTAGTATGAGCCATTGGTGTAGTCATTATTTCTTCATCATATGTCTTTTCTTTCGATAGAGAACTAAATTCGTCCTCTATTCTAGGCATAACAGTAGCAGTCAGAATTATAGGAGTATTGAATATATCATCTTCTAAAAGATGACTCGTTTGATCTTTAGGTATATTATAAAAATTGTGATGAATAGAAGCATAATGAGGCCGATTATTAAAGGAAAGTGATTTAGCCAATGTAATCTGCTTGTTAGCATTCCATTTTCTTTCTTTTTCTTCCTTATCATCATGATATGTCAATAATAAAGGGGATTTTTGTTCTATTATGTTTTCTTTACTATAATTAAAGATACTCATCGTCATATACACATACAAAGCTCCAGTCAACAAAAGAGTGAGAGGTAATTTGGCAAAAATAAAAACTAATAGAAAAGGACGAATACGATTTGGAATAGACGAAAAAATTGTAAGCATTAGATATAGGATTGTTTGTATCATTTTAAACAGCTGTATAAAGAAAATGATACAACTATTTTTTTTTTCTGCAAAGAATAAAGAGGTTAATTGAGTAGAGATATTCAGCTACATATATATATATATATATAAATATAAGCTTATTAGTATATAATGCTATATTCTACAATATAACAAAATATGACCCTTATACATGTACATTATATAATATGGCTGTTCCAATATGTGTATAGAATTAAAAAAAAAAGGAGGGGTGAGGAAAGGAGAAGAGAGATTAAAAAGGGAACAAAAGCACGAGAAAGGGCAATATTTATAAGGTTTAGTTGTAGGAATGCTATATTTTATAAATAAATAAATTGATGTATATTCAGTGTCAATATTTTATTATGCATATCTTGTAAGATGCATTGGTTAGGCTGATTACTGCATATTTGTCTGCATACTAATAAATAAATAAAAAAAAAAAAACTTATATTCTTGGTATTATATATACGTGGCATGCTACTCTGTCAAAAGTGTAGTGTAGGGGGTGCTTTAGGCAATAAGTTGAATGGCGACCAGGCAACTATCCAAGGCGTTGATGAATGCATTGATTACATTCAATAAAGGACATAAGGAGTCAAAGCAATCATATTTATTAAGATAAACGGACGACAATTTTTACAAAATTAATGAATATAACAAAAACTGAGCTTGTGGACTATGTAGTTTTCTCACACATAAGCAGGAGAGATTGAATAAAGTACATAATATACAAATATACGTATACATATTTTACACTGTGAACTTATTAGACGTTGTTACTTCTTTTCTAGACGAATCAAAAATAAAAGTAAAATGCTATGTTTAATTTTTTTTTTTTTTTGAATAAAATTATGTCTATTCATCAAAGAGGAAGATGCATAAATAAAACCAAATAATTGAATTATAACTAAATTCCGCGTTATTACTACTGTATTAAAGAAGACCTGAAACTTTTATAATCCACTTATTTAACCAAGAAACATATCATTATAAATCAGCCCAAAATATCATTTTCTAATGATAAAGAACAAGGATACCGTTTATATGTGAACTATCAACTTTGAGCATATTTAGTGGTTTTAATTACAATGACAATAAGTAGATACTAAACATCTATTGTCATAAATGAAAGTATCATTCATAATCCATAGATTGTTTTAACCTCTTGAATGTTCTATTATAATAAGAAGGACTATTTTACGAAACAATCTTTAGAAGCCTAACATTTTTATAAATGAAGATCTAAATATTGTTCGTAGTTAATAACTACTCTTATTATCAATAAACATTCTGTGCTACCTTCCATCAGCCATTGGAGGCACTATACAGACGGGGCGATTTACAGTGCTGCTCGTAGCCCGGCTTAAAACAGGCTCCCCATATTGCCTCCGTGTTCGAATATTTAACGTGGTGAACAAGGCGGGCTCCACGGCTACGGCTGATTGGCTGATTTAAAAAAAAAAAAAAAAAAAAAAAAAAAAAAAAAAAAAAAAAAAAGAGAGAAAAAAAAAGAGGGGAAATTAAATATGTGTGCCTTTTTATATCTTTTCATAATGAAGTGTTACACGAGTGACTACTACTTGCATCTTTAATATTATAAATGAATAAAAAAAAAATACACGTAAGCATATTCTAATATTTTATTTTCGACTTTGCTTTGAGATAGGTTAATGATATGATTTTGACGAAAATGTAAATGAAACAATAAGATTTGCTAAGAATAAAGAAGACCTTCTTAGATTTAAAGATTTAAATGTTCATAGCGCTTATTTGATGACAAAACAAGAAATCAAAGAATTGTGATTTATAAAATATTGACAGTAATAACAAGAGTAAACCCTCTACACACACAATTTGAACATTGTGTTATCAAGTTATCAAAAAATAAATAATTATAAAAACTACAAACACACTAGTTAAGTCAACAAGAATGAACATAAATAAGCTGTAGCCCCTTCTTTTATATTTTATTTGTCCAAGCACTTTAAATCTGGAGTAATTAACTCTGTTTACCTTATTTTGAATATCGTCGATTCATTATAAAATTTTACTTCATTTTACATTGTGACATTGTCCCTTTTCCAGATGGGAATTATGCTTTTCTGTGAAGATTATGATGGGCATGTTGAAATGAGCAATGCATTTCATGTAAATTAAGCATCTATGATTATGTTGCGATAGGTAGAGTGATAGGGTAAAGTCATATATGATATGAAAAAAAAAAAAAGTTGTAGTTATATAAAGTATAATATACTGGGAAGAATGAAATAGGCAATATAGGTAGATCAAAACTGTATAGTTGCTATTCAAAGTGTCGAAAAAATTATACTAGAATTGACTGAGGCACTCAAATACAAAAATAGGTCATATGATTCTTCTTCCTCCTTCTCTTCCCTTTTATAGCTTTGCTTTAAAGAAGATTAAAATTAAATAATTAACTATCAAGAGCTTTTATTATGAAGAAGAAAATGTTTAAATAACCAAATAAACGACAATGAAATTTTCACCAATCGCCAATTACTTTTTTTGTAACCGCCAATCATTTTTTTTGCAAACCGATAAAATCCACCTTACCAAGTATGAGCAAAGAATAAAATCACAAATTAAAAGCATAAATTTAGTCTTTTTTACTATAATTATTCTTTATTGTTTTGTTTTTCTTTTTTTTTCTTTCCTTTTCTTTCCTTTTCTTTTCAATAATTGTAACATTTCAAAATGCCTACAGTAACTAATTACTATGAAGTTTTAAACATTCAATCAGACGCTGATGAACAACAAATTAAAAAAGCATACCGAAAATTAGCCTTAAAATATCATCCTGATAAAAATTCTTCTGCTGATGCAGCTGAAAAGGTTTGTAGTATATAGTTTATAGGGTATATTTATGTGTATTCATAATCTTTATATATTTTATATTGATAGTTTAAAACAATCAGGTAAAAAAAAAAAACATTGTCATTAGAGAAAAAAAAAAAAGGAATTTACTTATTTGTTTTTTTCTTTTTCAGTGAAGCATATGAAATTCTATCAGATCGTAAGCAATGATAATTACACATATAATAAGTGAAATGATGTTAACCCATATTTTCTTTCTTTATTATATATAGCTGAAAAACGACGTATTTATGATAATCGTGGAAGATTAGATGAAGATGAGTATAATCATTTGTTTGATGGTTTTACGGTAATCTTATTTATATTACTCCTTTTTTATTTTATTAATCCTATTTTATTATATAGTTCCATAGACCAGAAGATATATTTGCAGAATTTTTTGGTCATATGAACAGTATGTTTGGAGGAGACTTGTTTTCTTCTTTTATGATGCCTCCTCCTCCCCCTCCTCCTTCTTTTGGAATGTTTCCTCACCATCCTTTTATGTCTAATAGAGGAATGGATCATTCATTATTTGGAGGAAACAGCAGTAGCTTTATGCCAATGTTACAACAACAATTTTCTAGTAGTAGTAGCGGTAGTATGAATAGAGGAGGATATTCAAAATCAGTAACAACAACGACTCGTAATATTAATGGTGTGATTGAAACAGTTAAGATAACGAAAATTACTGATGAAAATGTAAGTCTAATTCTTTTTTTTGGAGACTGTTATTATATAGTAATCTTTCTTTTATAGGGAACAAAAGTAATAGAAGAATATGGTAATGGTGTAACTAAAGTAAATGGTATTGAACAGCCACCAGCAAGACAGCAGATTGAAAATAATAATATGCTTTATTTACAACAACAACAACAACAGCAGCAGCAGCAGCAGCAAAGATTACTGGATAATAGAAGGCGTCAAGAACAATACTTGAGACAACAACAACAACAACAACAAATGATGATGCAAGATCCTTACTATTACAGTACTAATAATAATAGTAATAGTAACAATAGCAGTAACCCATCATATTATAATCAACATTTATATTAAATAAAATCTTCTATTTATTTAACTATAAAGCTAATAATTCCTTTTCAAATACTTTAATTAAATTTTCATCTATCACTTCTTCTTGACTATCTGTAAAGTAAGGTTCAATTACTACACGATGAGTTGCTTCAAATAATTCTTGAATAATATATTGTAATTTATCGCCTGTTTGTTTGAAATCTGGGAACTAAATCATATATACACCAAATTAATATACTTCTTCTACTACTCTTATTACTTTTTACTACTTACTGCATTGGCTTCTAGGAAATATACATTTAATTCTTGATCTACAAGAAAATCAACTCCAAATAATTCAAACGCATTAGGCATAGCTTGAAAAGTCGTCATTTCACTTGTACAAGCATCAAATACATCTGCTAAAATATGTTTCATTTGCTCAAAGAGATGATTTAAATCCTTCTTTGGTAAATCTAATTCCCAAAATAATTTTACAGACGCCTTTTCATCAAATCCTTCTTCTCCTTGTTGAATACATGTATTTGTCAAATGAATCAAGTTATCTTCTAAATTACTCGTATTATAGGGTTTCATAGCAAATAGAGCTAACATGGGCTTATATAAATAGACTTGAATGTTGGATTTGGCTAACACATAGGCACGTATGTGAAATTTACGTCCATTAACAAGTAAAGGATGTTTAATATAACGTTGAATAACCCACTCACGTACTTGTGATAAATCTTCTCGACCATCGTCTTCTTCTTCTTCTTCTTCTTCTTCTTCCTCCTCATCTGATTCTGGCTCTTCAAACATAGCACGTAACTGCTCAAGTGAATTAAATACTTTAATACCGGCTGCTTTATTAGCCATACTAGGCTTAATAATAAACATGTGTTCGCTACCTTCTTCATTTAAATCACGTTCAACTTCATATACCTCATTCATGGCTTCTTCAAAATAATCAACATGATCTAATTCAAACAACCAAGTCTCGGGAATAGCTTGTTTCAAAATACTTGTAGGATTCTTTGATAGGTATTTAGATACGTTATAAGCAAATTGTGACTTACGAATTAACCCTTTACGAATACAATAAGCATTAGCTAGTGTTTGTTGAGGGTTTTTAGCCAAGTTTTGCCAATTGATCAATTCATATTCAAGCCACTGAAGTTGATGCATAGATGATGGATCTACTTGTTTCTCAGCATTATCTTCAGGTACATCTTCATCAATGGTCCAATTGATTTTTGAAGAATTTTCAAGCGCTCTTATCACAGCTCTATGAGTATAAGGTTCATCTAAATGAACCTGAGCTTTTAAGGACAACATTTTTTTTTAAACAAATACTAAGAGAAAAAAAAAAGGAATCAAAAAAAAAAAAAAATAAAAAATAAAGATAAAAAATAAAGATAAAAAAAAATAAAAAGATAAAATGGAGTCACGATAATAGCATAAAGATAATAGGACTAGGATGATCATTCTACTTTTAAAACTACATTTTTTTATCAGAGCTCTTAAGAAAGGAAATAGATCTGTCTATATCCTTTGTTACTCTCAATTAAGCTTCAAACTTTATTCCAACTTATCGACAAGAGTGTTATTTATTAGATAACCAAAATGAATGGTTACTTTGAAGGAAAGGAATCCGTTGAGAACAAAGTCTTTTTTTTTTACAGATTTAATAAACTAATGTACAGTCTTATTTATTTCTTTTATTTTGATAACTTATTACAAAAAAACTGTCAATGACGAGACCTTATTGTTCTTTAGCAATATAATTAACAAAATTTTGCCATAAATAAGAAATATAATATCAAGGTGGAAAGGAAAATGTAAAGATTTTGTTAGCTTTACTGGTATTTTAATAGATATTTTTTGTATATTAAATATCGATTATATTAATGTATAAACAATGACATTTGTAGGTAAGGAAATGAACCAATAATTACAGAGGAATATAACTAGTAATGTAGAAAAAGAAGAACTTGTTATGCAAATAATAGTAGATTTATTAATAAAAATAAAATAAAATAAAGGCCAATTCTTATTATTTCTTTTAATAACAAGCCACAAAAATTTTAAACATTCAAATGCTGCTTATTTAATATAGTTTATCCAAGTCTTTTTTTTTATTATTATTATTGTTCTTATTGAAATGGTCAAAGTTTCTTCAGAATTCATTTCTATTGGATGTAACAAAACCACACATGCAGCATGTTGGGGTAATAGTGGTCTTGTTGCATTCGGTGCTGATGCTTTGATCGCTCTTTATTCTCCTTTAGTATGTATTAATGTTAAAGGAAGAAGAAATTAATTAATTGTTTATTTTTTATATATTTATACATGTAGAATGAACATAGCAAAGGCATCCTAGAAACATTACCGGGACACAAGGCTCGTGTTATTTGCGTAAAGTTTATTGAAAGAGGTAATGTTGCGCAATTAAATTACAACTAAACTTAAACTAATCAATAATTAGGCTGTGAAGGAAACATGAGAGATGTCGCATTAATATCCGGATCAGCTGATAATACAGCCAAAATTTGGAAAATGGACTTGAATGGAAAGGTTAGATATAACAAAAGTCATCGAATAGAGAAATTATTTACAAAGAGGGGAAAAAAAAATTGACAGCAAATCAATATTCTTTATTTTATTTTATTTTAGTGGATTAATTCTGCAACTTTAGAAGGGCATGCGGGTGCAGTTGAGACTATTGCATGTATGCGTGCTCATTCTATTGAGGAAGAAATAGATTTGATTATTACAGGTTCAGCAGATGGTACCATTCGTGTTTGGGAACGTCGCATTATAGATGAAATGAAAGGTTAGATTAATACGATGTGATTTATAGTTAAAAATCTAAAAAAAAAAATGTATGTATTTAGATGAAGTAACATGTAAGCAGATTATACACAATGGAAATAAATATCCGATGTCTTTGGCTTTATCTTACCTGCCTAACAGTAAAAGTAAATATATTAAAAAACATATACTATGTTTATATATAAATGTATATGGCTTATATAATATTTGTTTTATTAGCTCCTATTATTGCTAGTGGACATACAGATAAATTAATTTCGATTTATGTTTATCAGAATGAAACGAAGCAATTTGAAAAGGTACATATTTTACAGGGCCACGACAACTGGGTTCGTGATCTTTCTTTTGCCACGTATACTGGATCAGATATTGAAAGCCCCAATAATTTGTTTAAAAGAGGAGATTTGATGTTGGCAAGTGCAAGCCAAGATAAATATATTCGTCTATGGAAGATTTCTGCTCACATACCGTCAAATACAGAAACAAAAACTGACAAAACCAATTATGATACAAGTGATTTATCTGAGGCATTGAAGGAGAGTTCATTGTAAGTATGTACTGTTAGTCTTATAAATATTTAAATTCATCATGTGTGTGTTTGTAGGGATGAAGAACAATTAAGTACAAAAACTCATATTATTAATGTAAACTCACAGCAATACTCGCTCATGTTTGAAGCTTTATTAATGGGTCACGATGATTGGGTATTCAGCGTAGAATGGCAGAGACCTTATTTACAAGCAACAAAGGAAGGTAAACAACGTTTAATTCAACCTATGCGTTTGCTTTCTGCATCCAGTGATAAATCTATGATGATTTGGAGCCCTGATGTCAATACAGGTGTTTGGGTGAATGAAGTACGTATGGGTGACATTGGCGGTACTTCGTCTTTAGGCTTCTGTGGTGCTCTATTCTCTCCTAATGGCAAACATGTCATCTCTCATGGTGCTAATGGTGCATTCCATTTATGGAAAGATATTTCAGCATCTAAAGATGAAACTAACTGGACTCCTCAAGTTGCTATTAGCGGTCATTTCAAGTCTGTTGAAAGTCTGTGCTGGGATCCCAAGTCTAGATTTTTAGTCTCGGTTAGTTTAGATCAAACAACAAGATTGTTCGCTCCTTGGAATAGAGAAGTGAATGGGGAAAAAATCACAACGTGGCATGAAATGGGTCGTCCTCAAGTTCATGGTTATGATATCAAATGTCTTGCCTTTGTTCATGATTGGCAATTTGTTAGTGGTGCAGATGAAAAAGTATTGCGTGTCTTTAATGCACCTCGTACTTGTGTTGAAAGTTTAATGAACTTAACAGGAGATAAAACGATGATGGAGAACACTGAAAATTTGCCAGTTGGAGCCAACTTACCTGCCCTTGGTCTATCTAATAAAGCAGTTTTTGAAGGTGATGATGTAGGCGAAGAAGGTGAAGAAGGAAACGATAACCATTTAGGTAATCACTCAACTACTACAGTAACACCAGAAATACTTGCACAAGTGATGCAGCATCCACCTTTTGAAGAACAGTTAATTCAGCATACATTATGGCCAGAAACAGAGAAATTATATGGTCATCTTTATGAATTGATTTGTGTCGATTCAACCAAGGATGGTAAATTGATTGCATCTGCCTGTAAAGCTGCTAATTCAGAGCATGCAGTGGTTAGATTGTTTAATACAGACAACTGGAAAGAAGTGAAAACAAAGATTGATGCTCATGCACTTACTGTTACCCGTGTCCGATTCTCTCATAATGATCAATGGTTACTTACTGTTTCTCGCGATCGTCTCTGGTCTCTTTCTAAACGCAATGAAAATCACGATACACCTTATAAATTAGTTGCAAAGACAAAGGCACATGCACGTATCATTTGGGATTGTTCATGGAGTCACGATGATAAGTTATTTGTCACCGGTTCTCGTGATAAGACCGTTAAAATTTGGACTCAAACTGACTCTGAACAGCCTGTTAAATGGGATTGTATTGCTACTATTAAGTGTGCAGAAGCTGTTACTGCTGTGGATTTTGCACCTATTGCAATTGATAACAAGTAAAGATCATAAATAGATAAAGAACCTCGAAACACTAATAACTTGTTTTTATTATTATTAGGTATGTGTTAGCAATTGGTTTAGAAAATGGTCGTATTCAGTTGTTGTCAAGTGCAAACATGCAAGAAACAAATAAATGGGAATTATGGTATAATTTAGAGGAAGGGTAAGCTATATACAAATATAGATATTTACGTACAAAAAAGACAGTCATTAGAGTCAGGATATATTTACAATTCTATTATTTACATAGGCTTTGTCATTATGGTGTTATTCGTTCTCTTACATGGAGACAACCTACTTCGACTGAAACTAATCTTCTTCAATTAGCTTCAGCAGGTGAGGATCGCTCTGTGAGAATTTTTAATGTAGAATATTAGATGTGTAAAAAAAAAAAAATAAATAAATAAATAAATAAAAAGCAAGTATAAATTAATAAACATCATAAAAATAATAAAGTCTCCCGTTTAGTCTACAGATTCTAAAACTTTCTTTACAGTTTTGTATAACTTTATACGCTCAACCATTTCTGTTTCAATAGAAGAATCTATATTTGATTCTAGATTCCAACAATCAATCAAAGTTTGAATCTGACGCTGAGTTGAGACACTTGAGGATAATGAAGATAATAGTGTCACCTTGTGGGTAAACTCATTTTTATACATGTAAGATAACCGGCTGATTATATCATGTGTCTGAGCTGGTGTCACTGCAGTAACCTGTATGAGTGAATGGGTAGAAATAGGTTGTGGCTTTGTGAGGAAGGGCTGATTTAATGATTTTGATACGTGTCGAATAGCTTCATGTTCTAATCGATACCAGTCATCTGTTACTTTTTCAAACAAGTCCAAAGTAGAATAAAGATTAGCAATGGAATTCTCCATGGATTCAGTTTGTTTAAACATCAGACGCGAAGGATTAACATCATGTATTTCTAGAGTTGACATTTGATCTAATACAGCATATCGCTGTGCGATAATATTACTTATAGATTGTAATAAAAGTAGTGATTTGGATTGTATTCGATGCCATGTATTGCATAATGTTTCTGCTTTATTTAATAAAGCGAATGATGCATTTCGTTCCTGAATCTGCTGTTGCTGCATACTATAAAAAAAATGTGTATGTGTATATGTTAAATGTCTACAAGTATAAACTATATTAAAAAAAAAAAAAAAAAAAAAAAAAAAAAAAAAAAGGAATCCGGATCGGATTATTACAGAAATATCCAATCAGAGCAACAGTATTTAAATTACCGCTAGATTCTAAAGTGAACATACAGTATTCAGCTTACTATGGATTGTACAAACTTCCTCTTCTCCTCCCTACACCTAATTAAGGGTAAAGTATCATGAACAAAACATAATATAACAAAAAAAAAAAAGGATAAGGGAAAAAGAAAAAAAAATAGAAGGAGATTGGTTTTTGAAATAGATGGAAGATGTATAAATAAACGGCAAATAGATGGATGATTTGGATATAATTTATTGGGAGATTCATTTTTGCGATCAGAAGTTTCTAATTTCCATTTCTTCAATTATAGAATTTTAATTAAAGATGGGTCGCGTTATTCGTGCTCAAAGAAAAGGTGCTGGAAGTATCTTCAAATCTCACACTGTTGGCCGTAAGGGTGCTGCTAAGCTCAGAGTTTTCGACTTTGCTGAACGTCATGGTTATATCCGTGGTATTGTTAAGGATATTGTCCACGATCCCGGAAGAGGTGCTCCTCTTGCTAAGGTTGTCTTCCGTGACCCTTACAAGTAAGTATATTATATTTTCTTCTCTTTTGTGTGTGTGTGTGTGTGTTTATGTGTGCGATTGTTGAATTATAACTAACATGTTATTAAAAGGTACAAGCTCCGTACCGAAACCTTCATTGCCACTGAAGGTATGTACACTGGTCAATTCATCTATGCTGGTAAGAAGGCTGCTTTGAACATTGGTAACGTTATGCCCTTGTCCTCTATGCCCGAAGGTACCGTTATCTGTAATGTCGAAGAAAAGGTTGGTGATCGTGGTTCCATTGCTCGTACCTCTGGTAACTACGCTACTGTCATCGGTCACGGTGATGATGGTAAGACTCGTATTCGTCTTCCCTCTGGTGCCAAGAAGGTCATTCCTTCTACCTCTCGTGCCGTCATTGGTATCGTTGCCGGTGGTGGTCGTATTGATAAGCCTATGTTGAAGGCTGGTCGTGCTTTCCACAAGTACAGAGTTAAGCGTAACAGCTGGCCCAAGACTCGTGGTGTTGCCATGAACCCCGTTGATCACCCTCACGGTGGTGGTAACCATCAACACATTGGTAAGGCTTCTACTAAGGCTCGTGACTCTCCTGCTGGTCAAAAGGTTGGTTTGATTGCTGCCCGTCGTACTGGTCTTCTCCGTGGTACTAAGAAGATTAAGGATGCTTAAATTATTCGTTCTTAGTGTTCTTTGAATAATAATAAAATATTTTAACAATTTGTTTTATTATTGTTATATGTACATATATATACGCATTATTAATTTTTAAGGAATTATAAGCTAGTTGTTTATATACAAATCAGACATTTGAGTTTGTATTTGAAAGCTTTATTAGCCGTCGTTACTACTATGTCCAATCAGATTCGAGAATAAAAGATGTTTTGTTTTTTTACAGTAGTAGTAGTAGTAATAATAATCTAACTGCTACAACTTATCAATCTGTCAATCTAAAATACCCCCTGAATAATTTTTTTTTTTTTTTCTTTTATCAACCTTTTTTTTTTTTTGATTAACTTACATTATATTCATGTTCATTTCCCGTTTTACACGCTCTACCGCTATCCGTCGTGCTTTTTACACAACAGAAGTTCCTTCAGGTTTAAGTGAAGGCGAAAAACGAATTTATAGCAAACTTACAGAAGCTTTTTCTCCACATAAACTTCAAGTTGTGGATGTTTCTGGTAAAAATATTTGCTTAATATATATGTAGATGTGTATTAAGTTTGTCTATTTTTATTTATATATATATATTTATATGAAGGTGGTTGTGGATCTATGTATGCTATTGACATTGCTAGTAAAAAATTTGAAGGTACAACCATAGTTAAACAACATAGAATGGTTAATGATATTTTAAAAGAAGAAATCAAAGAAATGCATGGCTTACAGGTAAATAGTAATACATGAACTTTGGCCTTATGTAAATGACTAACAATTTTATGTTATAGTTGAGAACTTCTAAATAGATTACATCACATTACAATAATATATTTGTTTATGGGAAATTGAATATTAAAAATGTATATACAATAATTACATGTATAATAATAATAATGAAATAAACTATTTTGTTGTAGTAGTTACTAGTAATTAAAAAATAAGAAAACGATCTTGTACGTGAATATTATAAAAAAAAATATTCAATTACTAAATCTATAATACATGTCTTTTCTTTTTTTTTTTTTCTCATTGAGCAAAAAGAGGTAGTCCTTATTCGCAGTGGTAGTTATACCCTGATACTTCTCCCACTGTGCCATCTTCCAGCCGTACCGGTGCTCTAGGTTTTCCCTGCTGTATTACTACCCTCGGGCATTACCCTAGTATTGAACAACCTCCCAGTCCAAGCCTCCGCTCAGACTCGAATGTTGGACACCAGACTCTGTAAGACACTGTGATCGTTAAAGCACAGAATACCCCCATGAATCCACCAACGAATAAATTCATCTCTCCATGATCGCCACTCGGCCCACAGAAGAACGCTACTACTTCCGATCAATTTTATATATATGAAAAATTTTACTTATAAACCCGAGAAAATCTATGGGGTTGCCGAATTGTGGTATTTCAAATTTAATTTTATATTTTTTTTTTTTAAAAAAAATAAGCGTATGTTATAATCAAAAAATAATTAATAAAATAAACACATAAAAAGAAAGAGCAATAATTTCCCCTTTTATTAGTTTTATTTCAATAAATGAATTATTTGCTACCACATATCTGCAGCCCTCATTCGACTTTTAGTACTACTCTTTTGTTGTTTATTATTTTCTTGTTCTGTTATAATAGGCTCTTTTTCAACCCATATACCTTCACTTAGAATAATATCTTCTTTATGGCTTTTATGACGATGCGAAGACGATCTGTTAGTGCTACTGCTGTGGCTTTTTTTACTACTCCTGTGCTTATGTCTACTACTACTACTATTTCTTTCAGGACTTTTACTTTTCTCTTCACTTCTCTTCCTTTTATGCTTTTCATGGCTACTTTTATGATGTCGACTATGTCTTCTTGACGTTCTATCTTCTTCATCTCTTCTCTTTCTTCGTTTTTCCTCTATTTCATTTTCACTATCAGAAACAGATATACGACGACGTCTATGTCCACTTGATCGAGGCTTGAAGGGTTGAACAAGTACTTCTTCAGACACGATAGTTGGAATAACTGTATCTGTTTGTTGTTCATTTCTTTCTGATGCTCTTCTAAACATAGGTCGAAAGGGTTCTACTGCAGTAGGTGTGGGTGATTTAGATGTAATGGGTATATCAACTGTAGGTGCCTTGGGTGGTGGTGGTGGGCCAATAAAATCATCTTCCTCCATAACGTTCGCTGAAGCTGCTTCATTTGTTAGATGTGTTGTTTCAAGCACAGTATCTTCTTTAGCTTGTTCTTCTTCTTCTTCCTCTGTATCTGAATTATCAAAAATAGCCTTAAAAATATCCATAGAAGGTCTTTCATAATCTAGAGGTGGTCCCTCATCCTCTTCACTGTTTTTTTCAAGGGTTGTAGCAATACCTGTTGTGGGTGCTTTTACTTCTGTATCTGATTGTCTTTCGGATGGTTTAGGTATCACTGCTTTCATCATGAGATTATCTTTAGGAGTGTTCAAATTTTCTATAGTAGTAGCAGTAGAAAATTTCAAGGGTACACGTTCATTTAATAATGTCTCCATGGACTCCTTACTTAGTGCATCTTTTGATCCTGCTTGAGTACGTCCTGCTGCATTATCTGCCATAAACTCATGATCAGGATGTGGATTACGTATATTGAATCGTTTACAAACGAGTCGATTTGGGTAAAAGGGCTTGATAGTACGTGTTAAATTACCGAACATATTCATAGCTGCTGCTTCTGCTTCTTGACTTAACTATATATAACAATGTCAATTTCTTTAAATAAGAACGAAAGTATGTGTGATGTTTTTTTTTGTTTACCTGTTTTTTAGGTTCTGGAATTGCTTTTTCTTTTTCTTCTTTTTCTTTCCTATATTCCTCCTCTGTCTTCAGTCCACCTTCAAAATGAATCACTTCATGTTTTGTCGTATCAGAAGCAGTTGTAAATCGTCCACTCATCATAGAACTAATAGGTCTAAAAATGCGTGCAGCCTTTGCAAATTCGTCTAATTCCTTCATCCCTGCCTCATATGTTAAACCCTCAGGTATAGGTAAAACAGTCTTTGGAATACCATCCTCTGAATGCAAGCCTGCTTGATTCTCTAAGTAATGTTTATAACGTGCTTGCTTTTTAGGGTTATCACCAAAGGGTATAAAACCACGTAATGCTAAATTAGCTACTTGCTTTGAAACAGTAGGGAAATCAGAAAGTTGCGATTTATCTTTTCGTTGTTCGACAATAAAATGGAGAGCTTTGTCTAATTTATCCTTTGAATGTTGTGGCATATAATCAAATACAGACCGTTGTTCAATTGGTTTCTCGCCTAGTGCAAGGCCTCTTTCTTCAAAAGAAAATAAACCTTCTGCTGCTGCTGTGAGCTTTTTGGTTGGTGTTGAACTCTCTACTGTTGCACTTTGTGTTCTATGTATACCAGTAAAGTCAGCAGGTACCTTCGGTGGTGGATACCATTTACCTAAATGCTGATTTTGACTGGATAATGATACATGAAATCCTAATAAAGGCGGTCTCCCATCTGAACATTTAGGTAATGACGGATCTTTCCTTCTGCGTCTCTCTTCTTCATCCTGTTTTTGTTGTTGTCGTTGCTTTGCTTTCAACATATCTAATGTATATTCATCTTCTTCATCATCGTATAGTGAAGTATGATAATTCTTAAATGAAGATCCTTGTCCATAGTAAATATCATCATCGTACTCATTATCAAAAACACCTAATCCAAACGCACCCCGTGATTCATCTTCATTAGATGGATCAAGGACTCCAAACGCTGACCTTTTCTTCTTATCCATACTAGAATTATCTTTATCTCTTTGCTGTGCTAGTTCGCGTAGTCGTTTCATTTCTGCTATTTCAGGTGCGGATAACGATAAATCATAACCTAAACCATACGTGTCTCGTTTAGGCTGAAAATTCTCAATAGGTGTATCTCGAGGTGCAAATGTGATATCTGTATCTATTACATCATCATCCTCGTCATCTAATTTCTTTCTATAAACTCGTGGACCAATTCCTTGCCCAGGACGCCAACCCATTTTTCTTAATAAACGGATACCAATGGAGTCTCGAGGGGGGCCAAACATGTTCATTAAGCTGGTTTCTAAGAAATTTAATGCACCTCCTCTTTCCTCCTCTTCCTTCTGGTGCTGTCTACGTGCCGCCAGTTCGCGTTCTGTGCCTCCCAATATATCAAACTTTTCAGTAGTTACTAATTTGCGTGCATTGGCCATATCCTATGTTGAAAACGCATAAATCAAATAATAAGAATAAAAAGAAAGAAAAAGGATTTTGTATTATAAAACGGATTCATACTTGTAAATCTTCTTCATCCATAAAATCTTCAGGTTTAGCTTGTTTTCTTTCATTTCTAGCATTTCGTGAAGAAACATAATTTGTTGGTTCCCAACCTAAAGAATAATAACATGCATATTTAATGTATATGTTCATTTTAAGAAAAAAAAAGAAAAAGAAAAGAAAGAGAACAATAACAAGATATTAAAATAACCACTATGTAAACTGACCTTCTTTAGATCCTACAGTGTTAAAATAACCTGCAGAGAAACCGCCAGTAAATGCACCATGAAATCGTCGTCGACCATGCTCATCTCTGGCTTCTTGTTTCCAAACAGGCACGAACTGTCCAGCATCAGAACGTCCTGCACGTCTATCTTTTTCTGTCTGTTCTGGGAATGCTGTACCAAATACAATGAAATTGTCTTTAGATCCGTGGGTTTCTCTTCCTAGATTCATATTAATTAAAAATAAAATAAAATAAATAGATAGATTTGAAGTTTAAAAGAAATTTTTAATAAATAAGAAAAAACAAAAAAAAAAAAAAAAATTATCCAATCAGAAAAAAAAACTCTATGTTTATCAATATGCTCTATTATAATATAAAATCAAATAAGTTGTATTTTTTATTCTCTTATTAGTAAGGCTTCAAATTATTAATATTAGATAGCAGAAGAAACCTCTTGTTGATTTTCTTCAATAGATAAATTATAATTTAATTGCTCATCAGTCCATAATGGCTTGATTTCGGGTAAATCCTTCTTGCCAACATCACAACGACCTCCTTCAGCTGCATAGTCGGTGATACGCTTGAAACCATGACGATTCCAAATATCTTCAAGAGAATCAACAAGGTGATCAATCATAGCAGGTGTATGACCAGGAGAAGGAGTGATACGAAGACGCTCATGACCTACAGGAACGGTAGGGAAATTGATAGCTTGAACATAAATATCATATTTATTCAAGAGCTCATCAGAGGCAATCTTTGCAGAGACAGCATCACCCAATAAGACAGGTACGATATGAGAAGGATTAGGGACAACAGGAATACCTAATTCGTTTAAACGAGACTTCACAGTGCGTGCATTTAATTGTTGCATACGACGTTCAGCATTTGAATGTTTCAAGTAATTAATACATGTCTTTGCACCAGAAACAATAACAGGAGGTAAAGATGTAGTGAAGATAAAGCCAGGAGCATAAGAACGAATCATGTCAATAAATTGAGCGGATCCCGCAACGTAACCACCTACAACACCGAATGTCTTACCCAACGTACCAGTGTAGATATCAATTTCATCCATAATACTACCATTACCACGATAAGGTTTATTAGCATTCAGATCAAAATCAAGATGTTCAGCAACACCAGCACCACGAGGACCATAAATACCAACTGCATGTACTTCATCCAAGAAAGTGATAGCATTGTATTTCTTTGCCAACTCAACAAACTTATGAATAGGAGCAATAGAGCCACACATAGAATAGACAGATTCAAAGGCAATAATCTTAGGTCTATTGTAATCAACAGATTGAAGTAACTGTTCAAGATGTTCAACATCATTATGTCGGAAGATATGCTTTTCAGCTCGTGAATTACGGATACCTTGAATCATAGAAGCATGATTTAATTCATCTGAAAAGAATACACAGTTAGGAAGCTTAGAACCCAAAGTAGAAAGAGTGGCATCATTAGCTACCATACATGAGGAGAAAACAAGAGCTCCCTCAGTATGATGTAAGTCAGCTAATTCAGTTTCTAGCTGTAGATGTAAATCAGCATTACCAGCAATATTACGAGTACCACCAGCACCAGCACCATAGCGATCTAAAGTTTTTCTAAAATGACACATAGACACACACACAAAAAAAGAGAAGTTATAATATATCACGACGATTCATGTCAAAAAAAAAAGTCTAAAAAACTTACTTCATTTCTTCTATTAAAAGAGGACTTGCACCCATACCTAAATAGTCATTTGCACACCATACAGTAACTTCATCGACAGGACGAGCAAGGTGAGCCATAGGAAACTTTTTGGCAAGACGATTAATATTATTAAAATAACGATAGCTTTTATCATTTCGTTTTTTATCCAACATTTGCTTGTAAAAATTTTCGTAATCAAAAAGTTTAGTATCATGTATTTGCTTTTGTTGGTCTTTGGCAGATACAGAATGATGCATACTTCTAGTTTGAATAGCTGCACCCATAACGGGACATTGATTAGCCTTTACTAATAAACCATTTGTCTTAGTCTTAGCTAAACGTTTTAAAGCTGAGGTAGTATTGCCATGTAAGAAAGGACATGTTTTACGAGCTTGTAAAAGAATAGGCTCCATTGTAAAGGGGGAGGTTAAGATATATATTTGTATATATATAAAAAAAAAAAAAAAAAAAAAAAAAAAAAAAAAAAGGAAAAAGAAAAGAGAATAAAGATGAAAATAAAATTTCTATAAACTGCAATAAAAAAATTTTCCTCGTTTTATAGTATATCCAGAATTTCACTATAAAAAAAGTCGGGGATTTTGTTTTTTTGATTGTTTAATTAAAATAGGGAAAAATGTGTCAGAAAAAAAATAAATAAAACTTACAATTTTTGTTTTTTATTCTATGAAAAAATGTTTGAAGAAAAGATATGTTCTTCTGCGAGTATAAAACAGAAAGAATTAAAAGAATCTATTTCATAATATCTTATAAGCTTTTCTTTCTTTCTTTTTTTATCGTGCAAAACCAAAAAAAAGGGGCATTTGATTTTATTGGATAATCTCTTTAGATTTGTCAGCTATTTTAATTGGATAAGATTATGTAATAGATATTAAACAATTGGAAGCATACCTTCATTTTAATGTTTCAGTTTCTCTTTGATGTAAAATACATAAATATAAAAGTAAAAAAGAAAAAAAAACCCCTGATAATTAAGGTTATTATTGTTTATTAGCATGCTTTAATGTAAAAATTTACATAATTCTTACTCAGAAGTAGTGAAAAAAAAAACATGTATTTAAAGAAAAGCTTAGTTATATTATGCTATTTTATATAAATATAAACATATACACATATATTTTTGAAATCAGCTTAACAAACAAACAAAAAAAATAGTTGCAGATCAGATAAATGATTGTGCAACAACATAAAAATCACTTTTTAGTCTTTGCTTTTCGGATTATGAATTTTTGACAGATATATTTATTATCATTGTTAGCTATAATATAAGCACTTTCCCTGGAGGCTTCAAGTCCTTTGATTTATCATCTGTAAATTGAATAAATTTTGTCGTAGGCCTTTTCTCATTATCAGCAACAAGTATATCATTATCATCTACAATAGCTGTCATTAATTCATCATTTCCAAACTGAAATTCATCATATTGTTTATGAACTAAAAGACTCCTTAGCAAATTTGTCTTTTTGGAAGGTTTCTTGTATGCAAGTAAAGGATTCTTATTATTATTTTCGAGTCTATGTTTTCTGTAAGCAGAAGGAGCTATATTTCCAAATTCATTCATATTATTTAACATGGGCGGTCTACGGTAAAAGTTATAGGATTGTTTAGCAGCAATAATCAATATCCAATGAATCTAAATGAATAAATTTATAGTAAAATCAAAAAATAAATACATAAATACATAAATTCACTTACATAAACAATAAACATAATGATCATAGCTAATAAAGACCATTTAATTTCACTTTGGTATAATCTTTTACAGTTATAAATATCTACAGTAGAGTTTATTGGGTTTCTAGTAGAAGTGTTTGATGGAATAGTATCGTTCTGATAATCTGGGAGAGTGGTATTGTAATGATTGACTGATTCTTGAATACACCACTTATTGAATGCTACTTCATCTGTCACAAAATAGACAAAATTGATTAATGTAATCGCTAACACACCAAGTGCATTAGCAGTAATAGCTAATACAGTTGTCTTGGATGCAGTTAAGATTTTAATAAATCCTGGACCTGGTAACATTCTTAATCTACTCCTCTAATATGTGTGTAACTATTAATAATGCCAAAATTAACATAATTATCAAAACAATTACCCTAGATAGAAATATTAGAAAACTGAAAAGAGTGATAATACCAAATAGTAGATTGACAGCCCCAAATATGATTAATGGAACATCCTTTATATGAGAATAAAATGCTATATACATATAAAGAAGTAATGTTAGATATATAAAGTAGATTTATACATATTTGTACACATTACGACTCTGTTGCATAAAAGACGAAACAGAGAAATAAAAACTAATTCCCTATAATTATGATACGTGTTAATTTTAACTTGAATCTTGTTATATAAATTGCCTATTTTATTACCGCCCAACAGAAACATATAAGTGCAAAATTAGATTCACTTCTTATACATCCACAACAATAGACTCTAAATCGATTTGAATTGTAATAATGTGCTATATTGCCTTGTCTTCTGACCATTTCTCGCTGTTCTATTTGTTGAATATTCATATTAATATTGTAAAGAGGATATAATAAAGATAAAAGGAAAGGAAAGGAAAAGAAAGGAAAGGAAATATTCTTGTATTGCTTATATTCCAATGATTTGATTGTGTTATGCTTTTTTAAAAAAGGGATTATTTTTATTTTTCTAGTGTCTATAAATGGAATATGCATGTATAACTCTTTTACAGCTATTATAAAATATTATTATTTTTGGACTAGTACATGTTATTTCTTGTCTAAGAACAGAATGTATATCTAATATTAATTGGCTGCTTTTCTTTTTTTAACTAAAGCCTTTATCTATGAATGGTAATGAAAGGTAGTTTATATTATAACAAAAACTAGCAAGTATAGAAAAGCATAATCTGCTTGAAAACTATCATTATTATTATGGGCTAACTATATAGCTTCTTTATTAAAAATAAAAATTAACTCTGTTGTCTAACATTTTAAAGTATGCTGCTAATAATGGAGTCTATTTTATAATTATTCAAATAATACATTATTAATAATAAAATTGCTTTACATATATAAGTGATTTACAATTTACTTTTTTTTTTTTTTTAGTAATGAATTAGACACATGATTTACTCTTAGTGAATTTCTTTGATCTTTGTATATATAAAGAATTCATTCTCTAAAAACAAGTACATTCAATCAAGAATCTAAGCATATAATAAAGTCTTTGTTAAACTGATTATACTAGTGGAAAAGTGAAGAAATACAACTGGAAAAGCAAATTTTAAAGCCTTTAGTGAAAATGTATAAAAGAAAAAAAAAAGGTGTATCTATTTCCAAAATATTATATAAAGTAATAATACTAAATTAAGTGTTAAATGTGTTTTCTATATGTTGTCGGATAGTTGCTAATGGATTTTGTTTAAATGCGCTGTGTTGCATAACTTTTTGCATTCGTAAAATCTCTTGCATTCTAATAAAAATAAATAAATAAATAATCACTTCATTTTAATGAAAACAAACAAAACTTACTCGGCCTGTTTCTTTGCTTTTTTAGACCTGATTTTATTAGAGGGTATGGCTGCTTGTTTAATAGGTTGTTCAAGCTTTTTAGCATGTGTTGCTTTACTTTCAAGTTCTGATTTGGGCTTGATCTCAATGTCATTCAAAATATCGTGAATACTACTTAAATCAGTTTTAAGCCCATTTTTCTTTTTATTCTCTTTCTTTTGTAACTTCTTTTTTACATTATACGCATGATCAAGTTCTAAATTTAAATAAAAACATATAAATTTAAGCTTTTGCTTGTATTTAACCAATAGTGTATTTACTTTCTAACCAGGCTTCATGTCTTGCTTTCTTTTTTTGGTCTTTTTTCGCTACTTCTTGACTTTTATTTGGAACAGTCTATCAAATATATATATATATGTATGTATATATAAATATACAATTTCAACAATGATCAGTATAACTGCTACTACAGTTTGTAATAGTATTATTTACTTTGATCTCTCCATTGTCAGTAACGATTTTTTCCAATACTTCTTTCTCAGAAACTGCAAATTTTCTTAAACGTACAGGATTTTCGACTTTTTTTGATTTGGATCTTGAGATTTTTGGCATGTTTTATGTGTGAAAAGAAGACAGTTGTAATCAAATGCTATAATTTTTTTAAAGAAAAAAAAATTGTGACTTCTGTGTAATTAGAATAATATAACTCAAAAAGCTGTACTTTGCATTTGTACAGTATTTTTTATTAATAAATATGTTTAAGAATAGTTCATTACCACAGAATCAACAGCAATATGAACAACCTCCTCCTGCGTATGATTCAGAATCAAATAGACCCTTTTTATCTGTGGACGAAGACAATGTAGATGATGACATGTTTAAAGAAACAATTGCCAATAGTAATATGGAGATTCGAATGCGTATGTATTTATCTTGAAGAGTAGTTTTATGATATTTTATTGACAATAAATGTAATACATAAGAATTTGTTAGAAAGGTTTATTCTATTTTATCAACACAGTTATTGGGAACTGTTATTATGTCCTCTATATACATGTTTAACGAAGGCATAAAAACTTGGGTTCAATCACAGTAAATCTTTTTTTTTTTTTTTTTTTGTTTATGCAAGAAAAATATTATTTATTACTTGCATTATTGTATAGCCCTTGGTTAATCTTTGTTTCCTTGTTTGGATCACTTGGTTCCCTGATTGCCCTTATGTTTAAAGGCCGTTCTGCACCTTTAAATTACTATTTACTAGCACTTTTCACAATTTTGGAAAGTCATATGGTCGGCACAATAGGTAAATATTGCAGCTATACTTTCATAGATAGAAATATATATATATATATTTATAATTTATAATCATAGTTACTTTCTATGATCAAACAATCGTTTTTCAAGCTTTAGTTATTACATTTACAGTATTTGTAGGCTTAACTCTGTTTACCTTACAGTCTAAATGGGACTTTAGCGGAATGGCACCAATGTATGTCTATAGAAAAATGTATAAATAGATTTTAATTATTTACATAAATATTATATTAGTTTATTTGTTGGTATCTGGGTCCTCATCATTGCTGGGTTTTTACTACCTTTTACTTCTTCGGAAATGGAGCTTCCTTTAGCTATTGCTGGTGTAATTATTTTCTCTGGTTACATCATATTTGATACCTATTTGATTTTCAATCGCTATTCTCCTGAAGATTATATTATGGCGTCAACAAGTCTATATCTTGATATGATCAATTTGTTCCTTCGTGTACTTCAGATTTTAAATGCAAGTCAGAGAAACTAATTTTTACTTAATAAATAACAAAAGCTTGATATATTGAGGGAGGAGATTTGATATAACAGTAAGCTTCAAGTTTAAATATATATTGAATATATTATGTAATGTATAATATCCTACTACGATTATTTATTCGTATACTGTAACTCAGTAATAATTGATATAATGTACTATAGTAAAATTATTATTATTATTATTTTATCCAAATTAATCAAAGGGTCTTTATCTATAAGGAAATTATTAAAAGTGCTTACTGCACGCATCATAATAACCGTATAGAGATTCACTCTCCCTCTTTTTTTTATTTTTTTATTTTTATTATCAAATCAAATATAGTATTTCTTCTACTTGTTATAAGCGAGCCCCTATTGGGAACTTCTTCATAGCTTGTCTAACACCTAAATCAGCCATAATCTCTTCTGCTCCACCAAGAATAGCAGTAAACTATAAAGTGTATAATATGATATAATCAGTAGCTTATTAATAATAGTAATAATAAAAAAAAAAAAAATAAGAACAACTATTATGGAATTACCTTGTAAGTTCTCTGTAATGTTTCAATTTGGCGGCCCATACCTGTCTTAGTAATAGCTCTTCCGCCAAATATTTGGCAAGCTTCATCTGATACATCATGTAACATCCTGGTTACCTGATATTTACAAAGTGCAATAGGCCCAGCAAGTTTAGATGATTGCTCTTCATAATTCATGTGGTTCATTTGATAGGTTAACCCCTCAACCCAGCTATGAACACTTTCAACTTGTGCAATCTATCAATAAATGCATGTTAAATTCATTTTCATACGTAGTTATCCTTTCTCTCTCCCCTCTTTCTTAATAATATTATTATTACCATTTTTGCCAATTTGAAACGAATAACGGGTTGATCGATTAAACGTTTACCAAAAACCTTCCGTTGATTAGCCCATTTAAAGCACTCTTCAACTACCATACGAGCATTCATAGTGGCGCCTGTAAGCATGCTCCAACGTTCATGATTGAAGTTGGACAAAACAACATGGAACCCTTTGTCTTCTTTACCAAGAAGATTCTCAACTGGCACTTTAACATTTTCAAATGTTACATACGCTGTACCTGCACTTGCAGAGTAGGATGTCTTTATCAATTTTGTCTCGACACCTTCACCACGTTCAATCAAAAGCATCGAAATTCCCTTCTTAGTTCGTACAGCAGTTGAAAAATAATCAGCATAATGTCCTACGACATTATCATATTATTATTATCACTTTACTTTTTTATATATATACATATATACAATTCAATTTTTTGTAATAATAATACACTTACCACTAGTAATCCACTTTTTTACACCATTAACAATATAGTGTTTCCCATCAGATGTTTTTACAGCAGTAGTTTTAATGTTTGCAACATCCGACCCTGTATAAGGTTCTGTAATAGCTAAAGCCATTCTTTTTTTACCACTGAATATTTCAGGAATAATCTTTGCCTTCATCTCATGACTGCCATAGTTTAGAATGGTAGGAACTGAAATGGTCATACCACCTAAAAGACCTGAGGTAAATCCAGGAGCTGAGAATCGAGCAAATTCACCATGAAGTAAAAGTTCATGAAAGTAGTCATACTCTTCTGGGTTAACTCCTCCTGGTAAATTGAACGATTTAAGCCATGGCCCAGGTCCAACATTAGCAGCTAGAATACCATAATTTCCTAATTTTTGAAGAAACTCATCAGAGGGCTTTTCTCCAGAATCTTCATAGCGTCGTGCTTCTTCTATCATAGGATCCAAGATTTTACGAACAGCGTCTCTGAATTTAAAATGTGACTCACTATTTTGAAAATAGAGATAAAAACAATAAGACGAAAGCATCCCGATATATCCATATTAAGCTCTTTTTTTTTTATATATATACAGCTTACTTATAATAAGGAGATTTAAACCCTTGAAATGCCATAGGTTCAGCATAAGGAACCTTTGATAATGATCCAGGTTCATGCCATTCTATTTGTGGTTTAAATCCAGCAATTGTGCCAATTTTGTATCGATTATATTTATGTAAAACGTCTTGTCTATGTAATCCATAAAACTCATCTGTTGCATCTTTCCCTGCCACTTCCAAAAGTGGAAAGACACCACCAGGATGCAGATCTGCAAATTTTGTAAGATCGTAAACACTGCCATCAATTATAATCCATAAATCGTCAGCAGTTGAATGTCTACGAACTTCATCTATATTAAATATTTTTAAATCCTTAATAGACATTATTGTTAGATTAATAAAAAAAAAGAGGGGGGAGTGTAGAATGTAACTATAATAAACTAAGAAAAAAAAACAATAGATATTAAATACGTGAAAAAAAAAAAAAAAAAGAACAAGTGACGTTAATTTTCCCATACACTTGAGTACTCTATCATTCATTGCTAACATAACATTAATTCCCATGAAGAGGAAAAGTTTAACTTTTAATTAATATCATCCGTTGCCATAGTAATATTTCATATTATATTCACTGATCGTGTAACGTAAAAGTATTTTATTACTATTAAAGTAATAAAGTAAAGTTCCTTAACATGGTATTGCTTCAAGTTTTCACTTTTAGTAATAGTTACATAAGGTACAAGGAAGCTTAAGTTTAAAAAAGAAAAAATATATATTTCATGTATGACATTATTTTTTCAAAGAAAAGCGTGTTATATTAGTTATTTTATTTTTTTGTTTTCATAGTATTTGTAATGTCGACCTTCTTATCATTATCTTAAATTTAAATAAAGTAAAGGTTCTTTTTTTTTTTTTTTGATAAACACAAAAATAATTTTATATCTACTTTTATTTTTACAATTCATTATATATAAATAATAATTATGGTATTGCCAACTGCTATTATTTTCCCTTATTAATAGAATACATAATGTATAGCATAAAAAGAAAACTAATAAATAGTTTCATAAAGGACAGGATGATAATAATAATAAATCGTGTTGGCACCACTGTCTTCTTCTTTGATGTTAACATACAGGATTTATTCATAATTAATTAAATCATTTCTTTTACAATGGAAAAAAAAAAGAAAAATAAAAATAAAAAATAAAGAAAAATGTGAAGAGAGTGGGATTTGAACCCACGCCTCCGAAGAGATCACGACCTTAACGTGACGCCTTAGACCAACTCGGCCATCTCTCCACTTGTTGACCGTAATTTTGGATAGTAATTATATTTCATTCAGAAAATTTCGAGATCACGTGACGTGTGACTTCATCTTCGGATGCCTAAATAGTTATTACAAATATTCTATTTTTCTTGTTACCTTTTATAAAGAAAACTTTTCCTTTGATAATGAATTAATTATGTATATTGTGTACTGCAATTACAGCTGAGGCAGTTGGGAAAGAGAATTAATTAATATTGTCAACTAAAGAACTCGGAGTTAAGAGAATATTGTTAAGATTATCGTTTGGTTTATTTAGTGTTTATTAATTTTATATTTCATTTGTTATGATTGTAGTCGTCTTTACAACTAAGAATAGAAACAAACCATCATTTATTTATACAAATAAAACTAGTTTATTGCACTTCACAGCATAATATTCATTCTACATTCAGTTTTAATAACAGTCATTGTGAGAGTATTCGAGCATTAAAAATAATTATATACATCATATTATGTAATAATAAGAATTCAATTACATAATTATTTATATAAGTCATACATATTAGGTATACATCTATAATGTTGAATGTTATTATGTTATAACATCTTAGAGGATGATAGTAATAATAGTGGCATATAAATAATTGGTATTATTGTTATATCTGAAATATTCACTGTGAATTAATATTAACACGTTGCTTACCCCAGAAATAATGATTTCTTATATCTTTAGTAACAGCGACAGCTCAAGAAGAAAAAGAATAAAAACGCATCTTATTGAATACAGAATTATTCGAAGACAATATTTATGTATAATGCTTTGTTATACCCGTATTTGCTATGCAAAACATACTTCTATTAATATCACTTACCTTGTAAAAACATATAAATAACCCTTGAAAATTTTCCTTTTCAATTTTTTTTTTCTTCGGGTAATCTTTGTGTAATATTTCTTATAAAATATCGAATAAAAAATATTATAAAATAAAAAATAATAAAAAGAAAGTTAATGAGACCGAACAATCAAATAATATTAAAACTTCTAGCACTTTATTATCTTTAACATATCTTATTCAATCGTAACTAACACTTTTCTGATTTACATCTTATCTTAGGTCGCTTTAACAGTTCTCATAAATATGCAGCAATTTAATTCATAAATAAAATCATTGACTTCAGAACTATGAAGTAGATCAGGAGAACTTAGACAGAATTCCTTGATCCACATGTTTAAAAAAAAAAATGTCATTATAAGTCAGCTCTTGTTGCTTTGTCTAATAAAACTATATAGAGTTTTCACAGACTTGTCTGTTTCTTATTTATCTTTCGTTGTCTTTTTGTACTCAAAACATTTGGAACTTCTTAGATATTATTAGATCGGTGAAAATCTGTTATATTGTATTTATTTTGAAAAATTAAAATCTGACGATTGAAAGTTTTTTTTTTTTTTTTTTTTTTTTTTTTTTTTTTTTTTTTTTTTTTTTTACTTTTTTTTCAGGCACCATGTCTATGCCTTGATTCACTTGGTAATTTTCTTTTTTGTTAGAACTTACTGCAATGTCCTAAAATTAGACTGATAACATAATAGACAATAGTTATTAGTAATCTGATGTTGATAATAATATTATTAGTTGAATGCTATGACATAGCTATTCTAATTAGATGTGCAGTATCGTTTATATTTACTTTAGGTTTTAAACGTTATATGATTTAAGCTTATCAGTTATAATAAACAATATCATTAACACTAAGGACACATATTAAGCTATCTCTATATTGAATAAGCTTCATATTACTTTTAATTTCCTACATCATGTAACATAAACTAACTTTAGAAAATATTAAATATAAAATAGAAGCCATATATTTCTATGATAAACTTCCTTCTCTATTATAACTGTATGCCAAATAAAGATCACATCAAAACTTGTATGTAAAGTAAAGTGAGATGTTTATTCAATCAAGTAAACATACAGAATTCTCATTTCTATTCATCATCTTTTATGTGCGTTGTCTCAATAAAAAAAAATATTTTTTTTATACTGCTTAAATAGAATATCAAATTAGAAATTGTTAAAAATATTGTTTTTATTAAATTATATTTTATAATATTAATATATACATGTATTTCTTATAAGTAATTATATACTGCTTCTTCTTTTCATATAAAAAATGATTTCTCATTTTAATGGACAACAACGTTTGAAAGCGAGTCGCTATCCTCTTTTTTTTGGTTATTAGAAACATCCAGGACACCTGCTTTTTGTTGCTCATCAAGCCATTTTTTATAACGACGATCTTCTTCTTCTTCCCTCCATTCTTCACCTCGAAAAGAGCCTTCAATACGAGCCATTACACAACAGCCTAGACAATTACCAAGAACATTTAATGAGGTACGTGCCATATCCATAATCGCATCAACACCCATAATCATCAACACAGCTTCAAGTGGAATATCATATTGAGCTAATGTGCCTGATAACACAACTAACGACGCACGTGGAATTGCTGCAACACCTTTAGATGATAACATTAAAGTTCCCATAATAGATAATTGTGTACTCACAGGTAAACTTAAACCAGCTGCTTGAGCAGAAAAGATGGTAGCTAAGGAAAGATACAGGGTAGTTCCATCTAGATTGAAAGAATAACCACTATTATATTTTTATTTAATAATTGATCCATTGTTAACAATTAAAAATAATATTACTTTACCATGGAATAACAAAGCCTGTAAGTGAGTTTGTGCAACCAAATGCACGCATACGTTCAAATGCCATAGGAAGAGCTGATTCACTTGATGCAGAACTAAAAGCCAATAGCCAAGGCTGTGCTATGGTTTTAAAAAATGGTAGAACAGGAATTTTGGCAAGAAACATGATAGGGATTAAGACAATAATTAAGAATATAACTAACGAAGCATAGACACAACCAATGAGTTTACCAAGATTAGCCAAGACACCAATACCATTCGCTCCAACGGTAGCAGCCAATGCAGCGCCTACTCCAATAGGTGCATCTAATTTTAAATGTAATATAAATAAACAACACTATAAAAAAATTATAAATAACTTACAGTTCATAACTAATCCAACAAATTGAAACATAACCTAAAGTCAAAAAAAAAAAGTCAATATCTTTTTATTATTACAGTATGAATATTTATAATATAATATAATACCTGAGAGAGAGATTCATTCACTTTAAGCATAAATTTCTTGCTTTGTTTATCAGCTTTCATCATGGAACATGCAAACATAACAGCACAGAATACAATAGCTAGTACCTTGTTCTCAACTGCAGCTTTAAAAAAACTTTCAGGAATAATTAAAAACATTTCATTTGCCCAAGTAATTGAAGTGCTCTCTTTTTCAGCCAATGCTTCGACTGCAGAAATATCATCTCCTATTGGCAGTATAACACCAACACCTGGCTTTATAATGTTTGCCATAATTAAACCAATTGCAAGTGCGAGTGTAGTAACTACTTCAAAATACTAGAAGATATATATATATATATATAGTCATTGCAAAGAAAAGATTAATATACATGCTATATCCATATAAATATATATGTAAATACATTACAATAATTGTTTTAACGGCTAATTTTCCCACTTTTCCAATATCATCACCATGACCAGCAATACCGATGACAAGGACACTAAATACAAGAGGGACAATGATAATCTTAATCATGTATATAAATGCATCACCTAAAGGCTTAATTTCCTTTCCTGCAGCTGGAGCAAATTGACCTATTAAAATACCAATAACCATTGCCAAAATAATCCAAAATGTCAGATTTGTTCTTCGCTGTAAGAATCGAATTACTTTCATGAAGGGGGCTAAAATAGCCTCAAAGGCAACTGTCATCTGTTCCCCTAAGTTCTTCATTCGAGTTGAATATGTTTGTTTATTATCTACAGGTATACGAATATGCTCTGGAATATGTTGACGATGCTGTGGACGCTCTTGATGGATGTTTGATGAATTTTTATCTGTATCATATGAGATATTTGCCTTTTCCTCATATATATCTTCGATAAACGAACCGGTTTCAATTTTATTAGTTACAGAATTAGGAATAGAGGATACAGAATGCTGAGAAGAATTATGTTTATGATACGTTGGCTTGTCCATAATTTTAACTATTTTATTATATCTATAGATAAGAAATTATTATAAAAAAATTATTACAATAAAGAAAGAAAAAGAAAGAAGTTAACGAAAATCTTCTTCCTCCTTTAAATCATAAAACAGGTTGGTTACTCATTTTTTTTCCTCTTCTATCATAAAATGGTACGTTTTTTAAAAATAAATAGATAAATAAATAAAAAATTACACTATTTTTGATAATAAACTTATTGTTTATCTTTTTTTTCTCAGGATTTAATCGTGTTACCTTGATCCAGGAGTACAAAAGATGAGCACTTTTGTTTATCATGAATTATATATTTCTAGCTTATAACTCAAAATAGGTTAAGTCAATTTTTTTTTTTTTTTTTTTTTTTTTTTTTTTTTTTTTTTTTTTTTTTTTTTTAAATACTGGTAATACTAATAAGTCATGAAGTGAATTTAGTTATATAAAAGGAAATAACAAACAAGAGGAGAAATATGCACATTTTCCTTATAACATAAGTATTGTATTTTTTGTCAAACAGTATTATTATTTTTATACTAAAATGCTTAATATGCCCTTCATACTAAATAATTCACGATATAAACTTAATAATTGCAGCTATATGCAGATAATAGTAATAAAATTGTCTGTTTAATTACTTTCATTTTCTTTTCATTACTGCATAAAGCAAGTAGTACTTTTTTTTGTTATATTTATTTTATGCACTCCACTACTATACCATAAATGTATATTTCTATAACACAAGTTCACAAGACCCAAATACTCCCAAAATTAAATATTATGAGCCACAAAATATTAAAATAGAATAAAAAGAACAAAGTTTTATCATGAATCTGATTTGTTAAAGAATAGCTTCGGAATACCATTTATCTATATATATTATATTCCTGTTTAAAAAATCGTTGTACAATAGTATTAATGTACTATATGTACAACTTTTTTTTTTTTTTTTTTTTTTTTTTTTTTTTTTTTTTTAATGCATAAAATTTCTTGTTCAATATAAATCTAATGTCTGCAGTGAGATGATATTCACTATTTCCCTGCGCCCTTTCAACCATTCTTTGAAGGTAATTAATTTTCTTGCTTCTTCGAATGCATTTATATTTTGAGTATCATTCTGATGATGATATTCATTTTTATCAAACTGATTATCATCTTCTGTTATAATAGAAGGAAAGCCATTGCTCATTTCCTCCAAAAGGTAATTAGCAAACACAATCAAATAAAAATATCGAACGAGGTAGTTAAGAGCAACCTCACGTGTTGCTCTCCATTTTTTAGATCCTTGATCTGTCATTGCTTCAATGCGTAATTTATAATCATAAATTGCTTTTCTTAGATTTTGCATATGATCGAACATATTGATGGCTTGATCTGTAAGTCGTTTTGCTAACTTACCATAAGTCAAGACACTTACAAGTTGAAGAATAACTCGGTATTCACCATTTTCGTATCTTTCTCTTTCTTCATGGGATTCATCATCATTACAATTATTATTATTAAATGGATGTATTATATTTGTGTTAGTAGTTCCTAGTGCAATACTATTATCAACTATGAATGAATCAGTCATGTTTACTATGGCATCGTTGCTTAGAATCATTGATACCAACGAAGCAACAACCATTCCAGTTGTAGTACGTCCACGTCTAAATGAACAAATAATAAATACAGATGTAAATATATATATACTTAATATTATATTTATTTACCCCATTTGACAGTTAAATATAACATCTGCTCCCTGATTTACTTCAGCCATACGGTGAATTAATTGATCAAATACATCTGGTATAGGTGCCTGTTCATCCGTACTAATATAAAACATGTTAGCTATATTTTCTCTCTCTCTCACACACACTCTCTTCTTCTATAAGTTGTTTACATTGGGATTCTCATGTAATTAACTTGATAGCCTTCAGATCGAATGGACTCAAAAACTTGACTAGGCGTTTCGACTAAGTGCTCCGGAACTGTTTCCCACATTGGCTATATATATTAAAAACAAGATACCAATTTTTTTTTTTTTTTTTTTTTTTTTTTTTTTTTTTTTTTTGTAAATGAATCAGTCAAATTCTTTCCCCTCTCACTCTTCTTCCTTCTTTTTCTTATCTTACCAATAAGTTAAACTCATTATCTTCATCATGTAATAAAATACGGCCCTTGTATTCATTTAACTCCTGTATTATATCTAATTTCATTCTATCTTCCATACTTTCTACACGCTCTTTTGAAATACCAGTGGTCTCCAAATTTTTAAGTGGATCCATGAATAGACGCAAGACATAAGGGTTTTTGTTAACATATATAACTGGTTCTTCACGAAGACAAGTCCAGTAGACCCAACGAGAACCTCCAGGACCAGCTTTCATAGCCTTTAGGATAGATTTGACTGCATCTTTATTGGGCATTGCGCAGCCTGCAATAAATGGAGGAGTTAATGTAAGTGATGACTTTACTTGTCCATCTTTTTCGCATTCCATTAAATCAGCTGCAAGCCCGCCTATAGTTGCTGCTAGACTACCATACTTGACTGATTGCTTCACTTGACTCACTTCGACTCGTCTAAAATTATAAGCACCAGGTATCTTTTCCTTCAAACTCATCTTTTGACATCCGGGGAATGCATCATGTTTCAAGATGGTTTGTAATGCCAACACTTGACCATGTCGACTGTTAACAACCTGCATAACTTCACTTGAGAGCGCCATACCATCTCCAATCATTGAAGATTGCTCAACTGGTACTAATGCTCGAAACTCATCCTCATCCTTCTTTGCTGCATGTAAAAGATCTTGAAGAATGGTATCAAGTTCTGGATGTCGTTTCATCCAACGACTGAAACTTTCGGTTTCACAAAGCATATTTTTTGAAGATGTACTATCAAGATACGCTTGAAAGCAAATAAACATAAAATAGCGTTCAAGAGACACGATACCTCGTTTAACAACACGGCGGAATTGTGTAGGATCTTCTTCTTTTTCTGCCTGTATACGAGCAAACTCGATTGTGTTCCTCAAGTTACTTCCACCTACACTACATAGATCAATGATATTATCAACAATACCTTTATTCTCAAGTCCTCGTCGAATAACACGTAGGAGACTATTTATGAGTTGATAATTAGGGTACTGCTTCTTGTGGAATAAATCATTATGAGTTGAAGTTATAGTAATATTACTTGGTTTCATCCATCGAGTCAATAAACTAGCAATAATTGTACCTGTAGTAGATCGACCTAATCCAACTTGACAATTCCTATACAATAATATACATACATACATATAAACATGATAATAAATCAAAAATCGATAAATAGGGTGCTTACATCACAATAGCAGTTTTAGAAAGATTAACACCAGTTATTAATGATGTCAAGTCATCAAAATCTCTTCGTTCAGGAGCCTTTTCAGCTGTTATAGGCACACGATGATATTCTAACAAGAGACTACCTTCCTTCAAAGAAGAAACTGGCTTTTGCTTTTGACGTTGTAAATGAGTGTCATCATCATCTGATGAAGAAGAAAGAGATACATCCATTTGCTGTAGTTCCTGCTGTATTTCCGTAGCTGCAAATTCCATTACTTGCCGTACAGTCATGATATCTTCAATATCAACCTCTTCCCAAGAAGAAAGCACATTCCCATTACTATCTTCTCCATGAAGTAATATATAACCACCGCATTGCATAACTTCACGTATTACATCTTCTTTTAATCGTTCCTCAAGTTGCTCCATACGATGACCAGTAATACCTTTATAGGCACGTAAATTACGAAGAGTAAAAGCACGATCACGGAGTACATATGGGATACCATTAATATAGATAATAGGCTCTTCACGTAGGTTAATCCACAAAATACGCTCACATGGGTTTGCTTGTTGTTTATTATTGATAAATAAACTGCGAATAACTTGACGTAGCCCATTGATGGTCGGTTGAGCTACACCATAAACATTTGTATTGTCTATTCTTCTAAAATTAGAAGCACCATCAATAATCACAAAATTATGGTGCCTTTCTACAATGGGGCTCTGTGGTTGATTATGATTACTAATATGATGATTATTATCGTGATCCATGTCTGTTTTTTCTGATCCATGAGTGTCCTCTCTGTTATCTATTAAATAGCCGTAATGCCAAAAATCAACCTTAAGGATTGTGTGTGAAGTAAGAACGACACCTATACGTGACTATTAAAATAAATATAAGTAAAACTATTTCATATACGAAATGCATATTATATACACTTTACGTTAATCACAAATTCTTCCATTTCAGTACTAATCCCACTAGTGGTTTGTGAGCCAGCCCCTGTCATATCAAACATGCCACGATGAGTAACAGTATGATGTCCTTTTGGACCACTCATAGTATTGTCATCATCATATCCAAATCCTTCCCTCATCTTGGTGTCTTGATGCTGACGACCAGACAGTAGAAAGTGTAGATCATCAACTGGACGAAAAAAGTAAAATCGAGGGCCCTTTCTACGCATGTTTTGCAACATAGCCCAAATTTCAGGACGACAACGAACCCAAGAAGAAAATCGTTGACTTTTGAGTTTTATATTGGGTGATTCATTTATATAGGCTGTAAAGCATAACAAAAAGAAGTAGCGTTGAAGACCAGCTAACGCTTTATTTAAATAGTGCATATTCTTTCCATTACTATTACTGTTATTACTATTACTGCTGCTTTTATTATAATGATTGTTTTTATAATCAGCTGTCTGCATTGTATGACGTATACGATTTGTTAAAATCGATTCTCTTAGATTTACCACCGCATCAGCTAATAGCAATGTAATAAATATAATATTTGAGGATATCAAACCATTTAACACTTACATCTATCAATAACAGTATCCAAAATCTTTTTACTAAATATACCATGCTCTATTACTGTCGTTAAAGCAATAATAGATTGATAATTACCCATAATAGCTTCCTTAAGATTTTCAATTAATGAACCCTCCTCTAAAGCCCATTCTATAGCAGATTTAGAAGACAACTTTGTATCCAAAACTAAACATAATAACCACACATACACATATACATGAGTGTTTATCATATACATCTAATTGTATTTAATATATATATTACCATTCTGGAGTAAAAGGATGACTCTCAAAAGAGCATTGTTTTTTGCATTGACATTATCTGCATCTTCTAAACTTTTCACAACAAATGGATTTATATTTACTTCATCTGGAAGAGAAGGAGAGTTTTCCAAAGAACTATTTGCTGCAGAATAGTTAAAATAATTCCAGCCAGGAATCAAAAATGGGTCTGGCTTCCCTCTTTCAATTAATTGTGCTCGTCGAATGATCTGAGCAATAATAATACCCACAGTAGCTTATATTGGATAATAAAAAAAAAAGATATTAATGCAACTGTGATTATGTATAGTAAACTGTACTTTACTTCTTACAGCACCTATACCGCAATTGAAAATCAGTGGATCATCTGGTTCTAAGGAGCGAATGACATTGATGTATTCATCAAAATAGTTATCCTCAGGTGCTTGTTCAGGTGAAATTGGAATACGAAAATATTTTAACCTGTATCCTTTTGCTTGAAATGACTCAAAAACTAAACAATTAATTTTTGTCAGTAATCAAGCTAAAGAAAAAAAAAAAAAAAAGAAAATAAAAAGCAAAACCTTCTTTTGGTGTTTGAACTTGATCAGCTGCAATATAGCAGGGTATGACTGTTCTATCCGCTATAGATCAAAATGGATAAATTAGAATCAATTTGGAAAATTTATAACAAAAAAAAAAAAAAAAAAAAAAAAAAAATTACGCAATTCTTGATGAACTAAAAGTAAACCTCCTAAAGATCCTGCCTCCTTCAGAACATCCAATTTAAGTCTCTCTTCAACTTTCTCAAGACGTACAGAATTGATACCCAAGAAAGTGCTCATATTTTGCATTGGATTTGCATAATCACGTAGTACATAAGGTATTCCATTCAAATAAACTAAACAATATTATTATAAAGGTACCATGTAATCAATAAATCATTTGTTTACCTAAAGGTTCTTCACGAGTTGAAAACCTTAATATGTTTATGTAAGTACAAATAGACTTAACTTTATGTATAAATATTTACCATGTACATGATACTGAATTTAAGCTTTTTGGATGACAATTGAGTACAGCTAAAATAGTTGAGAGTCCAATTACCTAAAATAATCTCAGTAAAATACATGTATATATGATATAATTGTGAAAAAAAAAACAAAAATAAAGTAAAATTTTACGGTTGGTTGAGCAACACCATGAACATTCAATTCAGCTACACGAAAATTAGGAGCACCTTGAAGATGAAAATCAAGGTTTGTGCTGGTTCCTATTTTTTTTTTTTTTTTTTTTTTTTTTTTTTTTTTTTTTAAATAGTCAATAAATGGTATCCAATCTGTATGCAATGTTTCTTACCACTCGGGAAATGATCCATTTTAAGAATTGTATTTCTTACTAATACACTTCCTTTTCTTGTTTTAACAATATTTGGAGCCATTTTTAATAGAGAAAAGGGATCAAGTACATTTGATGAGGATTGCTTTTGTTCAGATGAATCAAACATTTGATTTTGACCAATACTACTCTGCCTCGAATGTGAATTGATACTATTTCCAATACTTTTAAAGAAAGAGATATATTGATAAATAAGACCTGAGTTAATGATAAAATATCACTTACATTCGAGGAGAATCAATAAATCTACGCTGTATATTTGTTGGCGAAGAAGATAAGTCCTGGACTGATCCTCGACGACGAGTTGAAGAGGATTCATCATATAAACTAAATAAATGATTATTATTGTTGTTAATTGACTTGGGCGAGGAGCTTAGTAATCCCGTATTATTGTCTTTAAAAGATAATGGTGTAAATACCATTATTAAAAAAGTAAAAAAAAGCGGGAAAAAACAAAAAAAAAAAAAACTGTGAGAAAGTAAATTAGATTGACAAACTTTTATAGCAGCATGAATGTTATACACATGTGCTTTTTTTTTCAGTTACCGTCCAATAGGGGTTTAGTAATATTTGATTTAGAGCCAGTCGTGATAAATCACAAGATATTGTATAATCAAAAATTTCCATGCCAACTATTGAAAACTCATTTGAGCACATATTAAAATATTAATGTATTGCCCTGGTCGGATCAAAAAAAAAAAAAAAAAAAATGAATAAAAAAAAATGAATAAAAAAAAATAAAATAAAAAAAAAAACAAAAAAAAAGAGTAGTTTATGTTGCAATCCGGTTCTGATTAGCCTAGAAGTCAGTTTTATATTCTGCAATTTATTTTTGATGGGCTATTTTCTCTTCGCTTTTGGCCTGAGCTTAATTACAATATATCTGATTTACCAGCACCTGCAACGCAGTAGTATAATATTTTGCATAAATGTTTTGTATGTAAGAAGCCATTTTTCTATTCTGCAAAAACTACGAGCTCATTTTAAACAACACAACATCATTTTATCTAACTGACAAACAGGCATTAGACGCTATAACACGTCTCAGTTTGTATACATCAAAACTAAATTCATAGAGCTACATCCACTGATAGAAGAATACTCTGGCTCTTCATCTTCTATTGTTCGTTTCAAAGAATTAAAAAATTTCAAAGGACATATATTGGATTACCATTCTCAACCCATACATACAATTACCAGCTCACGCAAGAAAACAGCAATAATGAATGTGAATTACATAGTAGAAAAATCTTACAAAGACAATGCAGAATTATTGGTTTCAATGTGTTTATCATTTTCACCACCTGATGATAACAACCATCTTCTGATCCCTGCCTTTGACGCAATAGATGCCTTTTATAGACTACAGCAATTATTACAAACACAGGAATGGAAGCACTCTATTTTAGATATTATTTGCTATGCCTTAGCTTGTACCTCAATTCTACTTTTATCACCAAATAAACACTCTGATGACCTCCTTCCTTTTTTTTATGCAAAACTTTACAGTTACCGCTGGTCATATTGAAACTGTTTATAACATTAAAAAATCACCTATATTTACTAAGACAGTTATGGATATCATCATAATCATTTGAAACTCTGAATGGCACAGCAACACGAGAAATGGTAGCCATAAAACTCTTGAAATTTGATCCTGGCATCAAAAACATATACACATTTTTTTTCATTACGTAATCATAAAATTGCTAAGCAAATTGTATCTCTTTCTTTTATTATTGAATATTTTAATTCCTGATTAATAATAGATAATTATTTATTTATTTTTTCTTTAAATACTACAGTGCATATAAATGATTATCATTGTCGAATTAAATGACACAAAAAATATACAATAAAAAAAAATATACATATTATGTAATTTATTTATTTAATATGCTTTAGTTTGAATGAAGACAAATTACTGCTATTGTATGGTCGACTTGTTGTATATGTTCTTCTTGGTGTAGTTGATGTGTTATTTAAAACTTTATTGTCTTGGTTATAAAGGGAATGATGATATGCTGATGATTGACTTGTAGATATATGTGTATGATGAACACGTTCACTCTGTGAACGAGATACGGTTGAGTTTTTATAATAACTATTACATCCTTGTGCAATTTGACGAAGTGCCTGTATTTCTTTTTGTCTTGATGTTAACGTTTCTTCTTCCGAAGATTGCCATAATCGTCGTACTGATTGCTGTCTTTTATGTAATACAACTTCTTCTTGACCTAATTGTTCCTTTGCTGGAATCAAAGCTAATGTAGAAATAGGAGTACGATCATCAATAAGCCAAGATGGGAATGGCACATTGTTTATTTTTCTTTTATTTTCATAATATTCTCTTAATATTCTAGACACATGTGTTTCTCCTTCCCAATCATCATTGTCTGACTCTAAATATAGCAAACTCATTATTACAAACTCTCCTTCTTTTCTAAAATGAAAGAATAGCTTTACCTGGATTATCATCAGCATCTTCTTCTTTTAATACAGTCGCACGAATGATCTTACCCCAAAGTTTATTATTAGGCTTATTAATGTTTTCTAATTTCCATACAATGAAATGGCTTATTATTAATACTATTTAACTAACTGCATAATGATTTTACTTTTTTCAGTTATTAATTCTTTCCATTTTTCATTTTCTTTAACCCGACCCCATAATTGCTTTCCATTATTTGTAGTTGCTGTATTGTTCGACTCATTTAAGGAGTTGGATGATTTTAGTAAATGAGTTGCATAGTTATCAAAGTAAATAGATTCTTCTTCTTTATCATGATTCTGTTTAAAATCCATGGATTTGACATCTGAGTTATTGCTACGATAGTTCATAAAAGCATTCCATTTTCCACTTTCCATTGAGCTATCAGATGGCTGTCTTGTAATACTCCCTGGAGTAGAAGCAATAAGATCAGGCAGATTATCATCATCTTCTTCTTCATGTTGCTGCTGACTCCAATGACTGTTACTGCTTTTCAAAGTACTTGAACATAAAGTAGGTAACTGAAGTCGTTTTGTTGTATCATTACATTTATGTCGAGCTGGATATAAACCAACATCTTGATTGCAATCTTTACATAATACAGCTATTGTTGATATTCTATAATCGTTTTTCACTCCCATAATGAAAAAAAAAAAAGTGTAAAGAAAGAGTTAAAAAAAAAGTAAATTAAAGATACTAATAATAACCATAATTATAATTATTTTGTTTAAAAGTCAGTTTTTTTTTTTTTTTTTTTTTTTTTTTTTTTTTTTTTTTTTCATTGTAACAAATTTAAAGAAAAGTAATTGTATTAATTCTCTTTCATTCTTTATTAGGATTCTTCTATTCTTCTTTTGTATTTGTATAAACATATATATTTTCAGGAGCCATTTTTATATGTGGACAAATAAAGAAAAACTTAGTTTAGAGAATAAATAAATAAATGCTATTTACTTTTTTCCGCTCTTTTATGAACAAGCAAAAATTATAAAAAATTTACATATTTAGAAAGTAGTATAATAAAGTCAAAAACTACTTCACTTGCAGAAGAATACCATTGGAACAGACTGTCTATTACAATTGGTGCTCGCTTATATAATATGTACTACCCTAAAAAATTATTATGTTCAGAAAGACCTTTTTCAAATACTTTCTTTTTCTTTTTTCCTTTTCTTCTCCATTTTTTTTTTTTTAAAAAAAAAAGCCCTTCACCAACAACAAGCAATCAAGATGACAGATTACGTTAAACTATTAAATTCTCCATATTTTAGCATTGGGTCTTTCTTATTTTTTCAACAACTAGGAAAATATTTAAACCTCGAGGAACATTTGCTTTTTTTTCGCTTGTTTTATTTATCTGCACAAGTATCTATCATAGGCCTCAATTATTATCTGATTTATAAGATCAAACAAAAGAACGGTGAGCACACATAGATATATACAACAATTGAAATAGAGTAAACTCTAATATCAAATGTAATAGATCAAACTATATTGAAATATGTTGAACCTGCTTCTCAGAACTGGGATGGAACTGAAATATCTGATCAATTAATAAATATAACTGTCAAGGGTAAAAATATACATATCTATGCATTTATAAAGAAAATTACTTATTATATAATATTTTATAGACTATGATGTTAACGAGGTCAATAAAAGTATTAAACAATCCGCTATTGGTATCTTAATGATTGCTTTTCTTCATTTTAAAATGGGTTACATTCAACCTTTATTAGTTCAGTCTATTCTAGGTTTCAAAACCTTTTTATTGACAAAGGAAGCACGTATTCATATCTGGGGATCTCCTGCTAGTGGTGATTTAAGACGTCCTTTTAGAATTGACGCACCTTTTGGTATGGTAAATGAAAAAAAGCAACCAAGAACAGATAAAGGAGCTATTAAGAAGGCCGAAAAGGCTTTAAAAGCAGCATAAAAAAAAAGAAAGTAATTCTTATTTGTAGATATTTAAATAAAATTTAGTTATCCTATACTTGTACATCTTTTATAAACTTAAAATTCATAACGTGCTGTAAAAAAAATAATGGCATAATAGTTTAAATAATTGTTTGTAAAAAAAAAAAAAAAAAAAGACTACAATTTACAACATCATACAAATTTATTTAAAATTTAGTTTTCTTTGGGGAAAAGAAAAGGATAGGGGATTATTCTAATGATAGATAATATGATAATTCTTGAACGGGGGAAAAGAGAGAAATTATTGAGTTAAAGCAACAGCGGCACTGTAAGCTCCACTATGGCTAATAGATACATTTACATTTTTAATACCAGCAGAAGATGCGGCAGATTTAGCCTTGCCAGATAGCACGACTACAGGAGCTCCAACTTCATTTGCCTTAATTTCAATATCTTTCAAAGGAGCACCGGAGCCATCAGAAGGAATGTTTCCATAAGAAGAGATAGCCTTGAAAACAGCTTCCTTAGCAGACCAACGACCTGCAAAGCTAGCCTGGGGATCAGGGCGAGCTTGACAGTATTCGATTTCAGCAGGAGTAAAATTACGTTCAATAAAGGTGGAATTCTCAATATTTACTGCATTAGTTAATTCAACATCAACACCAACACCTCTTTTACCGGCTTGTTGTTCAGTAAGAGAAGAGATAATATTCTTGGTTACTTCAGCATCACCTGCTGTGGGGGCAGCAAGGTTAGCAGATTTGTTGGTGAAATGCCATGATTTCTTTTCCTTGGAATATTCAGTACGAGCACTAGGATTCAAATAAACAGTATATTCAAGATCATCAGAGTAAGGAGCTTCTGTCTTAACTTGGACAAAGTCAGCAACACCAGTAATAGAATCATGGAGATAACGATAAGTCTTTGCATAACGTTCAGCATTCTTAATCTTATAAGCGTTATATTGGTTTTCTTCCATTGCACCAAAGACATAATCAGGATGAATAATTAATACTTCACCACCAGCTTGACCAAAACCAAAGGACTTGAGGAGACCAGCCTTCAAACCATCAGTTTGAATAGAACGAGAAGGATACACAATGTAATCAAAATCTTTCATAACAACATCAATGTTATCTGCATTGCGATTACCAGGAACAAGACCTGTAAGCAAGCATTGCATCATGCCGTTAGCCATCCAGGATGCAGCAGGACCCTTGGGATGACCAGTCAAGTATTTCTGTGTAATAGCCAAGAGTGCGTTACCCTTAGTACGGCCAAGATGCTTCAATTGAGAGTTAAGTACACGAGATTCATTCTTATCGTTAGCCTTAGTAGATGTACCGTGGAAAGAGGCAACACCGATATCATCAATTGTCAAACCATAAACAGCAAGAGCACCACGAATAGGTGCAATGTTAGGATCATTCTTATAGAATTGATGATTGTATGTAGCTAATGCTTCCTTTTCTTGACGTTTAGCTTCATTATGAATAAATGTAGTACGTTCTTCAAGCCATGCCTTCTCTTCTTCAGCAGGAAGTTCACCAGAAGCCTTAAGCTCTTCCATTTCCTCACGTAAGAATTCATATTCGCTCTCAACCCAAGCCTTAATTTGAGCGCGACGAGACTTAATTTGTCTAGCACGGTAGTTGAAGTTCAACAAAGGAGAAGCTCTCTTACTGACATTTTCACGAGCAGTTGTAAGGATACCAGCACCAGGTGCAGGGACGGAACGACCTTCCTTATCAGTAGCAGTGCTACTAAGAGCAATAATACCATAAATAGGTGCACCAATCTCAATAGCAGTGGCAGCAGACATAAGAATATGGTTACCAGCACCGTGGGCTTCCATAAAACCATTTCTAGAAGTAGTAGCAGGGCGAGACATTTCTCTAGGAGTACGGCCATGCTCAAATTCATCAACAGCATTAGAAGTGGCCTTCATGTTAGCGAATTCGTAACTGGATTCTTCTGTAATATCTTCAGTAGCACCAGCAATCATAATCTTGGCTTTACCAGTCAAAAGAGACTCACAAGCAAGTTCAATAGAGACAGCGGAAGTAGCACAAGCGTTAACAGGTGTCTTGATGGGACCAGAGGATGAAAGAAGCAACATGTTGATCCAAGCAGGCATGGTGTTAATGAAAGATTCTTGCAAGATATCCTTTTGAACAGGCTTATCAAGAAGACGATCACGGAAAAGACCTCTTTGTGAGATTTGACCACCAACACCTGAACCAGTAGTATTACCAATTTCAGACACATGAACATATTTGAAGAATTCATATGGATCAGTGATACCAGCAGAAACAAAAGCTTCAACAGTTGAAACGATGTTAAACAATGTAACAGGGTCAACTTGATCAACAATATCCTTAGGAACACCATAACGAGTGGCATCCCAGCCAGTGGGGATCTGACCAGCAACGAGACGATCGAAACGAAGAGCCTTAGGAACATACAAGGTAGCTCCCTTACGTAAAACAACACACCAATCTCCATTAGCATTTTCATAAACATCAGCCTTATCACCTTGTTGATGCTTGAATTGATCAGCTTCTTCCTTAGAGCACTCAAAAGGTTCAAGATCATGATCAATAACAATTTCTTGCATAAGCATCTTCTTTTCAGGATCATATCCGTTCATGACGGTAGGATCTATTTTTTTTTTAAAAAAAAACAATTAAAACATTAATACAATCTTTATATATATGTATATACATATAATATAGAAATACATACCAATCAAACGAATACCAGTATGTTCAAGGATTTGCTTTTCATATTTAGCCTTAATATCCTTTTCTTCAACAGGCTCACCAGATTTAGCATCTAACCAACCAGAGTAGAATTTACCGTTCTTCAAGTTACCATCATGGTGCTTAATATAACCCATAATCCAGGCCATTTCAATACAACCCTCAAGAGAGAATTCACCATAAGCTTCCATTTCCCAACGAGTTCTTGAATTACCCCATGGAGAGACTTCACCGAAACCGGCAACAACAATAACTTGTTCAAGATCAATCATGCCCTTAAGATAGTTAAGGTCTTTGAAGGATTCATAAGACTTGAGCTTAGGGAACTCAAACTTCATATTAGCACGAGGGGTGATCTTGTGAGGCTTGTGCTTACGTTCAGCTTCTTCTCCAAATACAATCTTGAAATCAAGAGCATTTTCAGCATCAATAGCCTTACGAATTTCAGCAGTTTCACGAATTTCCTTACGCAACTTGGCACTAACTTCGTTCAAGTTAGTAATAAATTGAAGACCGCCATTAAGATCAGCCCATACAGGCTCGTTTTGACAAAGTTCAACAATATCAGGGTGCATAAGACCAAGGATATTGAATGACATTTCAACAGTAGAGAAAGTTCTAACACCAAGTGCTTCAACACCTTCAGCAACCATATTGTTTGCATTCATCAAACCAGTACCACGAGTCCAACCAATGACAGCACCAGCAATAAGCAAGTAGCTAGACCAGCTTTCAGAATACCAACGGTTGAAGAGAGTCTCCAAAGAAATCTTGGATTCACCATAAAGACCATCAGCACCGAAGGTACCATGGTTAGGAGACAAAGGAAGAATGACTTGAGCAGGACGAGTATCAGAGCCAATCTTTTGCTTGTGAGTCTTGACATTACCCAACATACGGAGAAGGTTAGTTAACATAATACGATGAGCAAGTTCAGACTTGGAGTCAATGCTATCAATTTCACGACCATTTTCAGGAATGGCAGCAAAAGGAATAACAAAGTCAAGATCCCAGTTAAGACCCTTAGGATCATAGATATAGTTGACCAAGGCATCAACATCTTGTTTGGCACCTTGATTGAAAGGTACAACCACAAGTTCAGATCCCTTAGAACCAAATGTTTCATAAATAGATTGGAAGTATTCAGTAACTTGACGACTGAAACGAGAAGTAGTCACGACAACCTTGGCACCACCAGAAATAAGACCCTTCAAGACTTCAGAACCAATGGAGTCTCTACCAGCACCAGTTAAAAGAACACATTTGTCAGCAAAAGTAATACCTCTCTCAGCAATTTCAGTTAAAACATTGAGATAAATAGATGTCAATTTGCTACTGAATTCCCAACCAGAAGGATCATTAACGTTCTTCTTCTTGAGATGTAAGAAGGGAATAGTCTCAGTCTTTGCAGACTTTTCAGCAATACGCTTACGTTCAGGGAGACGATTAACAACAGAAGCACGACGTTGACGAGGTCTTTGTTCTCTGATAATAGTGTTTGAAATAGACATAGCACGTAAAACATCAGTATAAAGTTCCTTAATAGCAACCTTAGTGCTCTTCTTCATCTTGTTTTGACTACGAATGATCTTGTAAATACGGCCGAGGTCTTGTTGGACCTTGAGTCGGTTAGAGTATTCAGTAACTTTAGAACCAGCAGTCATATCCTTGACATAGTCAGCTAACTTGCGACAGCCAGGACGAGGAACTTCGGTATAAACAATATTACCCTTTTCGGAGACTTGAGTCTTGGGACCAGTAGGGAAACCTACATCCTTATAGACAGGGTTTTCAGCAAGGACTTCAACACAGTTTTCAATCAACGCTTGACCGAATTCCTTAGCAAGTCTATAGGTCTCACCTCTGTCACCAGCACAGTTCTCAACATTATAACGCATATAATCAATCAATTGAGGATAAGCACGGTTCATGATACGTAAACATTTGGCAGTAACTTCACGATCAACAATAGCAAGTTTACCAAAAATGATATCATACCACATTTCAAGAGCATCTTGACGAGACCAGTTCCAATAAGAATCGTAACGACGAGCCTTAAGGGGTGTGAAACTAGGTTTGATACCATCAGCATAAATATCACCATGTTCAGCAAGCCATAAATCAAGTTCGGCTTGTAATTTAGCAGTTGTGGTCTTCTCTTTCTCGTATAACTTGGCACCTTCACGTAAGTCCTTTTGAAGGTATTTGGCATACAAGTTAAGCTGTTGATAAATCAAAGCGTCTTGCTTAGCCTTGAGAGCATCAAATTCTTCACTATTGATAACAGCAACAGATGCACCACCAGCAGCACTACCAGTGGCACCACCAGCACCAGGTGCAGACAATGTAATACTAGCTCTCTTAGCGTAAGCTTGAGCAACAGAATCCAACCAAGCCTTAGCTTCAGCTTCAGCACCAAGACGAGAAGCAGGTTCCATCGTAATAGCAACCAATAAAGCACCGTCAATGCGACCAGGACCCAAACCATATGAGTTGGTAAGATAAGTCTTTGCACTATTCAAGGTAAAACCACCAGGCATCTTGGCACCAATCATTTTAGCAACTAAAGTGCTAGAGTGCTTACCGAGAGCTCCAGAGAAACTGCTATTTAAGGCAGCACCAAGTTCATCCAAGGGAGTCTCTTCAGATTTTTCAGGAACACCGTTATTGAATTCCTTTTGTAAGTCACCAAGAATTTCGTTTTGAAGAGTAGATTTACCACCAACTAAATCCTTAATAGCCTTGGATAAAGGAACTTCATCCATAGTCTTTTTCAATTTTTGAGCGATAACAGCATGAATAACCTCAGTAGCTGTAACAGGAACATCACTAATAGCAGCAGCAGGTCCAGCTGAAGGAGCAGGAGCAGCAGCAACAGCTACAGGAGCAGCAGGAGCAGCAGCAGTAGCAGCAGGTGCAGCGGGGGTAGATTCAGCAGGTGCAGCTTCTTCTTCTACGGCATTCTCAAATTCATAATAAATTTCCTTAGAATCCTTAGCAATAGACAAGTTTTGACGACGGTTACTCAAAGCATTATCATAAGCTTGATATTTAAGATTCAAAGTACGGGCAGCCATACCGCTAAGAGTAGGAGAAGGGCCGACTTCGATAAGACGCTCAATCTTATAGTTCTTGAACAATTGATCTTGAGTTTCAATCCAACGAACAGGAGAAGCGAATTGATAAGCCAAAAGTTCAATCAAAAGAATGTAACCGAGACGTTGTTGTTGAGCAGGGGTAACATATTTATCATCAGACCAATTCTTGAGCACCTTAGCTAAACGAGGACTAGATGTTAAACGATAAACATCTTCAATATAACTCTTATCGGTACTAAAAGGTTGAGCGGTCAAGTTAGGAATATACTTGCCAGCTAATTGAGCAACGTTAATATCAGAAGGATTGAATTTCTTAGCCAAGAAAGTACGGAAGGGAGTAACACCACTAAGCAAGAAAGAAGAGTGGAAAGGTACATCGATACCGGGAAGGGGGACAGTAGCGTGACCACGTTCAAGAATAACACGTCCCTTAGCTTGCTTAGCCTTAGTCTTTTCAAAGGCACCATCAATAATTTCAATCAAGTGTTGCTTAACGTCTTCAAGAGACATGGTTTCCATCAACTTTTGAAGATCAATGTTGGCAGTCTTGATATAGTTCAAAACATTAGCAAGAGCATCAAGGTTTTGAAGTGCACCAGCAGCAACGTATTGCCAGTTTTCAACATTAAAGTTGACAATCTCCAAGACATCACCACCACGGCGAGCAATGGAATCAACAACATAACGAAGAGCAGTATCATTAAATGTCTTTGATACACGAGCAGGATTGACAGCAACCATACCATAGTTAGAGCGACCCTCTTCATCACGTTTGACAGCAGATTGCATAGTCATACCACGATAAAAGACGACATCTACAAGAGAGTCTAAGGGCAACACATCACCAACAGAGGCTAAAGCAGCATATTCACCAAGAGAGTGACCAGCGAAAGCACAATTGGCTTGAATCAACTCCTTGGAACGCATATCTTCAAATGCAGCCTTTTCCATTAAGGTCAAAGCAGGTTGTGTGAATTGGGTAGCATACAAGAGACCAGTAGGAGAACGGAAGGTATAGAAGGCAGTGCGTTCATTAATAGTAGGGAATAATGGTAAAGTCTTAGTGGTGCCATCAGCGTCAACAACATCATAAGACATACTCATGTAGTTTTGACGAATCTTCTTACCACGAGGACCGCCAAAGTGAACAACCTTTTCCTTTGGATTATTACGAACGATTTCAATGATAGAGAAACCATAGTTTTCCATGAAATGTTTATCAGCTTGATCCCAAATAGCCTTAGCAACAGGAGAGCTATCGTATAAGGCCATACCCATTCCTTGTTCTTGAGAACCTTGACCAGTAAAGACATAGGATGTAATAGGCTGCTCAACTTCAGCAGTACCTTCAACAACCTTTTCATTATTTTGGTTGAATGTCTCTACTTTAATAATCTTGCGACCATTCTTCATACCAGTGTGATAAAGTTTAGTTTCAAGCCTGTCAGAGGGCAAGACCATGCCAACGAACTTAACATCATAGGCAACAACACGGCGGGGTACGTTATCAGCAGCAAAGATTTCAACAAACTTACGAGTAGAGGCACTAGTCCACATACCATGAGTGATTGTACCAGGTAAACGAGCAAGGTCAGCAAAGTAAGGATTGACGTGAATTGGATTGAAATCACCAGAGACATTAGCATAAGGCTCATTAGAGGCAGGTGCGTGAACAACAGAAGAATAAGTTGATTGGCTAGGCATAACAGAATAACCACCGTTCTCGAAAAAGTGAGCTTGTTCAATCTCTTGAGCGTTACGCTTCAAGTATTCAATAACGGGGTTACCATGGCTTTCACCAGATTCATATTCAACTCTAGCGATTTCAACAAATTCTTTAGTAGAGACTTGCATTGTGACAGTACCAGTCGTCTTAACACTAGCAAAGACATTCTTATTCTTGTATTTAAGATCAGTGCTCAAACGGAAAATCAAAGATGAACCAACAGTGATTTCATGATTTTCCAAGGCATCACCCCATTGCATCCATTCCTTAGACTTAAGAACCGCAATATCCTTAATATCCTTAATCTTGAGAAGCATAGGAGTTTCAACCTTACGTTCGAAGGTGTGTTCAAAATCATTAAATTCACCACGATAAAGGAATTGGCTAGTTACTTCAAGAACAGGCTTTCCTTCACGAACGATCACACCATTAACTTCAATCATTTTACCAGAATCAGTATTGACGATGGCATTAATGTGTGCATAAGTATCAACAATGTCTCCGACCTTGAGAAGCTCAGAACCGTCTAAAAGACGGAAGCCATTACCTAAATGAACAAGTCTTAAGAGATCACCATCAATGACCTTGGGGAAAATAGCCTTCATGATAGCCTTCCAGCCAACAACAATAGCAAAGTCCATAGGAGCGTAGACAACCTTTTGGCCACGGTCAACAAAGACTTCAGCTTCGTTGCCAACGGTTTGACAGAATTCCTTAATCTCCTCTGATTTTACAACTTCACCTTTACCAGAAAGTTTTTCATGAACCGAGATATTTAAGAAATCATCCTTATTATCAACACCAAACCAAAGCTTGTAATAGAATTCCTTAATACGTTCGTTACGTCCTTCCATAATTTCGTGAATAGGAGCATAACCAAGTTCAGGCTTATATTCAAATTGTAAAGATAAGGGAATCATGTTTTCCTCTCTCTTCTCAAACAATGTAACATGAATCATATTACCCGAGATAGAGGCTTCAACAGATGAAACATAGTCGCTTGTTTTAGCTGTTGCACTCCAGGGACGCTTATCTTGGACTTTAACAGAAATGATCTTACCATCCTTATCCATAGAGGTAACAACTCTTTGGCCGGCACGAGGACGGAAGATACGCTTAGCTGGGTTATCAGCATAACGTTTACCTTGAACGATGAAAGGAGAGGTTAAGAGAGCACGAAGCCAGCTATAAGTGGGACCAGAGATAGCTTGAAGCCATTCTTCGTCAGAAGGAATAGTGCTTCCAACTTCATGAACAGATTCAGTAGCAGAAGTAGAAACTTCTTGTATAGTGGTCTTTGTGATAGATGCACCACCAAGATATTCAATCTTGGGAATAGGAGTATCCTTATAATAACGTTCCTTCAAACTTTCGATATGGCTATTGTAAATATCACCAAGAATTTCACCTACAGGTTGATCAACGCGAGTGGCGTACTTGGCAGCAACAGGACCATGAAGGATACAAGTACGTTGAACATCTTGATCAACAACAGCGGCAAGATCTTCAGATTGCCAAAGGGAGTCCTTCTTGAACCAAATATCAAACTCTTTATCCATGACAGGAATGAAGGGAACAGGCTTTTGAGTAGGACGTTTACAAAGAGCAATAAAGTGAAGGATATCCTCAGAGGTCAATAACTGGGTTTCAGCATCAGGGAATTGAGCCAAGAACTCTTCAACAAAAGGGAAGGGGTTCTCCAATTGAGCATAATTCTGGAGCATAGAAGATGAAGATGTCTTTGAGAAACGTTCTTCAACACGACGCAAAAAGTCGCCAACAAAGTCACGAAGTGAAATATCAATCCAACGAGCTTCGAACTTGATATAAAGTAATTCGATCATACGGTAGACAACTTCACTGTAGGTCATATCTTGAAGATCAACGGCCTCACCCGTCTTTTTCTTACCAAACCATACCTTTTGGAAATCAGCATTTAAACGCTTAATGATATAATCTTTCTTGGCCAACAAGGCAGGTAAACGCTTATCCTTAGGCAAAGAGAAAATGCTTTCATCAAGTTCCTTCCAAAGACGAACACCACGAGTGGCAATCTTGTGGATAGGTTCACCAAGTTCAGAAAGAACAGTAAGGACACCACCAGCAGGGCCCTTATAGGTCTTTTCCCATTCACCGTCATCAACACCAGGTGCATCAACCATGGCTTGCTTAGCAGCAGGAGAAGCTAAACCTTCCTTGGCTACCATCATACGAGAACCAAAGAGGACACCATCAAAAGGCATAGGTGGATAATCGAATTTAACAGACCAATCACCTGTGATATAAGGTAAAGTGTCATCAGCACCACCAAAGCCAGAACCAGCAACAAGAACAATGTTGGGTTGACGACGAATAGCGGCATAAGTTTCAAGAATAGGTTGATGCACATCCTCGAAACCGTGGTGACCACCAGCACGACCACCAGTCCATTGTAAGATAACAGGCATAGTAGGGTTAGCAGCAGCAATAGCTACAACCTGACGGATGGTATCTGCATTTCCTGGTTTGAAAGCAACATGGCGAATACCAGCAGCTTGCAAATTGGCAATAATTTCATTCGCATTGTCAAGACTGGGAACACCAGCTGCAATACAAAGACCTTCCATAGGTAAACCTTCCTTACGCATAACCTGAATAAGAGGATATTGGAAGCCCCATTGACGTACATTTAAGAAAATAATGTTGAGAGAGATACCTTCACCTGCACGAGTGAGTTCTACAATTTTATTAATCTTCTCACGAAGCATTTCATCGCTAAAGTGGCCACCACCAGCAAGTTCAATATGATAACCTGCATTCATAACCGCAGCAACAAACTTTTCATTGACAGTAGCAGGAGTCATACCGGCTACCATGAGTGGTGGCTTACCTAATAAGCGAGACATCTTGGTATCAAGATGAATACGACCATTACTATTTAAGAACAAGGGAAAAGAAAAAAATTAATACTTTATTTTTTTTCTAAAAAAAAAAAAAAAAAATCTGTAAATAATTTACCTTGTGGTTTGAACTAATTTAGGTTGGAAAGCCTTTGCCCAATTTTGAGAGTAAGTAACAGCACGAATGTCAGAATCAAAAAGATCAGCCTTATAAGAAAGGTCACGGTTAGCTCCTTCAAGAGCACCGGCCAACACAATTTGTACACCTGTACCCTCCTTATTACGATGTGTCAAACCACCAATACCTGATGTGCCACCTGGACCAAAATCAATAATATGAGTCAAATCCTTAGAAGCAATTGCACTCTCCCAATGAACATGATGTTCACAAATAAGTTCTAATAATGCTTTGGTAAGGTTATCTGATTCACGAAGATCCTTGCCTAACAATCAATTAAAAAAAAAAGATTATGTTAGTATAAACAGTTTTTAATATTCTCAACCTCTTCATTTGAAAATAGAAAAAATCTATTTTTTTTTCATACCTGAATCAGTAGCATAGACGGGAATCTTGAGATCCTTAGCATTGAAAAACAAATTATTTTTTTGAGCATCTTCCAAAATGATAGGTATAGAATTCTTCAAATAAACACTATGGAAGGGTGCAGTGATAGGTAAGAAACGTGAAGAGAATTTGATCTTACGTTGAGAAAAGGGAACACGGGATTGATCAAGACCAGTAGGGGCCTTAAGCTTACGCAAGGCAAGATTCAAACCGTATAAGGATTGAGGAGGGCCAGTACAAACAAATGAACGAGGGCCGTTATGTAAAGTAATTTCAATTTGACGCTCAGGAGCAAGATGAGCGTTGGTAGCTTGAAGCTGCTTGACTACTTGGTTTTCTCTAAGACCAGTAATGGCCAACATGGGTGTAGGACTGCCTTCATTGTTGCTAGTAGAATCTTCAAGAATAGTGGGATTCAGGGTAGTAAGAGGGAAGACTTGTTGAGCACGAGTACCAATCCAGAAAAGAAGTCCCAATGCTTTTTCTGTATTGCTAATAAATTCTTCCTCAGTAGAAGAGACAGAAATAACAACTGAACTGATAATACCCTGACTATGACCCGTTGTGCCTGCAAATAAAAAAATAAAAAAATAAAAATAGGTTTAATTATCCAATCATTATTATAATTATTTCTTCCTTTTTTTCCATATATAGATATATTTATGATTGATTTTATTCTCAATCCCTTTCTTTATATTCATATTTATATATGTATATATATATATATTACATACCTTCAAATAAATCACGAATTTCAGCAGGAGTACGACCAAGAACACGAATCATAACATAGTATTGTAAGATTTGAGTGAGACCGATCAAAGGAAGACTGACAGGTGCAGAGATAAGGTATTGAACATCAGGTCTAACTTCAGGATCATCTAACCAACGTAAAATATCCAAACCCTTTGAATGCAACATTTTAGCATCGGGGCTACGAGCATAGTCAGCCAAGACAGCAGCCATACGATAAACAAATGGCTTTACAATACCCTGATATGTCTCCCAAATATCCGCAAATTCATCAAAATATTCCTCAATATTACCTTGACCACCAAAGATGGCAAAAAGCTTAGCATCACCACGAGCGGCAGCTTCAAAGAGAGCAGATTTAGCAGGAGCCATTTCTTCGGTAGACAAAACACCTTGTTCTTTAAGAACAACAAGGGCAGAAAAATAGGCTTGAATGACAACTTTCTTGGATTCAGAAGAAAGAGAACGTGTAGCAGCGTGGACATCATTATTCTTCAAATATTGAGTACCAAAGTTGATAAAGAGTGTACGTGCAACTGGTAAGAATTGAGATTCATTCGCAGCACGAGCACTAGCAAAATTTAAAAATTTAGCAGCAAGTTCAATATCAGTAATTTCCTCAGCTGTTGTATTATCGTTAGACTGAATTAAAAATTCTTCTTGAAGTTGTTCAGCGGGAACCCAGATATTTGTAGGTACTAGTACTGCAACCTCAGTTGTATTTTGTTTAATAGATAAAGGACGAAGAACTTGTTGTTTTTCCATGATGTTTGTTGTATATGGTATGTATGTAAATAATTAACAAATAATACTATGACAAAAAAATATAATATGTATATATATATAAAAGCTACAAATATTATGTTGTCAATTAATGTCATTTATATAAATATGTATATATTTATATACATGTATACATATTGATTTCTTATGCTTAGTACCTTTCTCTAAATATTTTTAAAAAAAAAATGAAAAATATGCTTTTTTTGTATGCTACAGTTGTATGATGTTGTTTTTTCAAAAAAAAAGATTTATATTGTACAATACAAAAAAAGTAGTTTTTCCTTTCTCTTTAAAAAATGTATATCTTTTTCTTTCAAGTGTTTTGTTTCCCCAAACAAAAACTATGTAAAATAAAAAAGATTTCAAAAGAAAATAAGTTTTTTTTTTTTTTAAAAAAGAAGAAGAAATAAAAAAAAAACCACAAAAAAGAGAATAGGCTTTTGACGAGAAAAAAAAAACAAGATGTGTCTTTTCGACCCCCCATCAAACTTTGGAATAGCCAAATTAGGACAAGTGGTAGGGGCAAAATATGTTCGGAGTGGCTCGGGATTAACATTTGTCCAATCTGTATGTCTGTGTTATAAATTATTTACAAATTTCACCCCAAAAACCAACTTTTAATATACGTCAATAAAGTTTTTTTTGTATAGTTTTGTGAAGGCGACAAGTGGCACAGTTATAAGCTTATTTTCCCCAAAATTGATATTCCCTTTTCTAATTATTTTATCTTTACCTCTGCTTAGCTTATAAGTGTCTTTTTTTTTATTTTATTTTTTACTCAATCGAACATGTATGTAACAAATATCAATTGTAAAAAAAAAAATATGTATATATATATTTTTTCCCTAATATTTAAATCTGAGATAATCTTTTGAAACATGAAACTTATTCAATATTGTTAACTTTATAAGCGCAGTAGCATTTATGGCTCTGCTTTATATCTTGACAGTTCAAATCAATAATTTGAATAAATTTGTTACACGATCAAAAATACTGGGTGGAGAGCAAAATAAAAATAAATAATTATAATAATAATTGGCGGGATTTAGTCCATCTTTTTCTAGTCCAATCAGGAGTCTACTTGGAGACGACAATAAGTGGGGTTGTCATACAAACTATCCTTATCTATTATATGGATGTCAGAAATAGCATTGCAGTCCTCATAACAACAACATAATTTATTATATGTCCTTTTTTTTTCGCCGCTTATTTACATTGAAACCTCTTAACTATTTACGTGTTATTATTATATATTGCTGCTTTCATGTCGAAAGAGCTATACAAAGCATACAAAAAAAAAAAAAAAACTGCCTCATTTGGAGGATAGACCTCTGTTAAGCTGCTTTTTTCCTTTATTCTAAATAGATAAAATGAAATATAAATCAAAGAGGTAAAAAAAAAATATGGGGATTTTTTATTATAAACTTTTTTGGGTGATTTTTTTTAAGCCAGGAACAAAACTTCATCTTACCCCAATAACTAATTAGATTTATGCGGTGGAGTAAAAAACAAATAAATAGCCAGGGGCGCGGATACTTTTCATCATCCATAACAGTAATTATCATTTGTGTATCTATTATATAAATCCTGTTAATATTCTTCCTTTTATTAATTTCATACACGCTATTTATTTTTATGCGTATTTGGAAGAAGATTACATAGCAGCAGTCTGTATGATTTCTACAATTAAAGATTAACAAGGAGTACACATCAATGATTCAAATATAATGAATAAAAAGCATTGATATATTTGCAAGCATTTGAATATAAGAAATTATTTCTATTTTAGCACTGATTTGTATCAATATAGACAATAGTGCTACAGCAAAATATTTACTTTAACAAACAAGCTATAAATTGCATATACTTCAAAAACTTTAAAGCAAATTATACAGCTACAATATATGTCGATTTTGCCGAAATAATCTTTATTACAACTCAAAGATAAATAGAATCGAACATTCTAAAGTCTATGTTTGAACTGACTCATGTGCTTTCTACTTTCAATTTATCTACCTTTAGCTGTTTCCCATTATGTCGATCCATGGTTTCTTTGTTATATAACAATGAGTAGCAAAATTTTATGCTAAAGTATCTTAGACTCGACATTCAACTTAGACTCGACATTCAAGTAAGAACATGTCAATTATGATATAAGATAATTAATATGTCTTTTGAGGCCCTTAGACCTCGAGAATCTAATGCATTATGTCTTAGGAAGGTGGAGTTATTATCCAAACAGAAGATATAGAAATTACATTCCCTAAAAAAAATAAAATAAAAAAAAACCAAGGAAAATACATACACTTATTTTTGAAATATAAATTAAATAGATTAAATACATATAACAACTCACTCCACAATAGTGTCAACAGGACATTGTTAGATATATTATAGTTAATATAGAAAGACATAATCTACAACACCGCCTTTCAAAAGATAACTGATACCAAATGAACCCCTAAAGGTTCTAGTAAGTGGCTAATAATACTGAATCATCAAGTTTCCTCAAAACTAAACTGTTTGCCCCTAATGAGCTATAGAAGGATTACTCTTAATAACATAACTGCAACATGCTCTACATTGAAAAAAACATGTCTTAAAGTATATATATTCGTGGATAGAAAAGGTAGACAGAACTCTATAAGGAATATCACATGTATTTTTGATAAAGATGTTGTATTTGTTAAAAGGATACTCATCTTTTACTCCTATTCAATACTATTCATAGAACCATTGTTCAAATTGTAAAGATACTAGTAGCTTAGAAACATCCCAGGTTGACTTAATGCTAGCGACTTTATCTATGACAAACAAATCTTCGAGTCATGAGATATAATTTCTATGTTACAAATAGGTTGAAAAAAAAAAAAAGAAGCGTATGTGTCAAAATTGATGTATTAATGCATAGTTGTATATATCTATGCAATGATAAATTGTACTGATTCTTTCCTTAAACTCTACGGCCTTCGACATACTATCCTTGTCCTTTGTCTTTTGAGTTTGAAGCTATTGACAAGCATAAGCCTATTTGATTGCTATTACAATATACAGTAACATAAAAAAGTTAAGATTTCATCTATTATTATAATGTCTGAGTGTAAAAAAAAAATGGCAAATATGAATATGCATACATGTATTTACCCTTTTTTTTATATGTACGATAAAGGCATTGTTTGATAAGATAAAAATGTTGTTACTTGTATTCACTGCAATGAGACGAAGCATATTTTTTTTTTTTTTTAAAAAAAAGGACATTTATGTAAACTTTATAAACGCATGTACATAAAGTGTAACTCATTATGCATCATGTAACATATCAATAAAATACTCGAATCCAACATAATATCTCCAAAAAAGAAACCTCTATTTGGAATCAGTTACCAGAACAGAATACAAAAATATATTCATATAAAAAGATCGTTAATCTCAATAATGGAATATTTCATGCACAAAGTTCTGTTAACATCTTATATTGTTGACAATAAGGGATTAAATAACACGACTGTAATAATCTAGCAAAATTTTTGATACTCCAAATGGCAGTCGGTTTTAGGTCAAATTGTAACAAATAAACAATACGTCTCCAATGGGGTCTTACTTGCTTTTGTCGACTTGAAGGAAGCCCCCCTCCAGTATTCTTTACCCAATCAAAGTGAATCCTATTATTAAATAAAGTAATACCTTCTTGATTGCATGCATGGTCATTGCAACTGTATATCTAAACAATACTATTGAGGATTTTAAAATGAAATATCCTTTATTATTTAAACATCTAGCTTAATAAATCAATCTATAAAGTAAGCATAAAACTAATTGACAGCAGGAAGAGCCAATTGTTGATTAACGTGTTCGACACTAATTCCACTAAGAGCCTTTAGACAAAAATAATAAAGATTAGTGTTAGAAATTACTTGAATGAAAGTTTTCTTACTTGATTTAATGGGTTTGATTTGGTTACTGTTAAAGCACTTGAAAATCTGAGCTAATCTCAAAAAAAAAAAAAAGAAAAAACGAGTTTAATTTCTATTGTGGTAAATCTTTCTCCCTCTCCTGCGGAATTTACATATATGCTTGCTGAAATTGAACAAATGCATAGAAACTGAAATAATGAAAATGTCTCACATATTTGCTATGAGTCCTTTCAATCATCTTTATGCTGGTGCTATGTTATTTGTAATCATAAAATCCTTATAAGCAATGACAAAAGTGAAAGCCAGAACAAGATATGAGGATCATGTTATGTCAGTTCAATACCATTTTTGACTTTAAAAAAAAGGCTGAAATATGACAGATAAAAAATCATCAGACTATATCTACGTGAAAAAAAAAACAAGCCAGTTCCTAAGCAGTCTTATTCCATTCCAGTGTAGATATTCCTCTTAATTCTTAAACACGCGCGCACACACACACACATACATTTCTTGCCTATAATGCTGTGTCTTGCAATCTAATAGCTACAATATCTATTATCCTTTTATTAGGGAAACTGTGAATAGTAAACTACAAAATTAACTTTGATTTATATAATTTTACAATAGAGAAAGTAGACAATTGATCCAAGAAAGTATCATGACTTTAATGCCATAATTAAACACTCTAAAGAAGAAGAAATGAAAGCATGTAGCTGCTGAAAAGAACAAGATATCTATACTGGTAGCCTTAGAAGAGTTCAGTGTCTAGAAAAGCTCATATCAAGAAAAGGGATTAAAGACCTTGAAACTTGAATTACTATTGTTAAAAAGTAATTTTATTATACACATCGAATTCTATCTTAAATATTTTGATGGCTTTGTTCACATTTTATAACCCCAAATTAGCCACCTTATAACTTTCATTACAGCAAAAATAGTGATATCAATGCTAGTAAGAAAATATTCTTGTGATCTCACTTTCTATTTAGGAAGGAAGAAGAAGATCTACAGCTTTTATTAGAGACATCACTGTAGAGAATATGAACGATACCAATATTTACATGTAAACCTTTCTATAAAAATATTCTTTATTTGTCCATAAATTTACCTTGAATTTATTTTCGTCCTTTCTCAAATCAAATTCTCATTGATCTGAAGAAAATTCATCTCAATCTTAAATACTGCGTTATAAATAATTTGATCTTCGGAGATTACATTTTACCGATATAGCGTTTGACGACGATTCTAATTTATCCTCCATTTTTGATATAATAAAATAAAAATAAATAAAATAATACTTCCATTTTTTCTTTTTTTCTTTTTTTTCTTTTTTCTCTGTATCATTATGAAATATTTATTATTACTATTATTATTAATAAGCCCAATATGTGCTATTAAAGTACCAAATCCAATATTTTGGGAACGTAGCTTTACAATGAACATAACTAACGATAATAGTATTGGCACTCTAATTCCTTCTACTTCCAATATGGTAACATGTCAAGATTTTCAGGGAATTCATCTTGACATTAACTCTAGGAATGCACCTGATGTAAACAAAACAAAAAATAAACAAATAATAATGTTCTTTTTACTTATTTGTCATATAAATATATATTTATATATTTATTTTTAGAGAATTGTATTCAATTTTGAAGAGAGTTGCCAATCTTCTAATATGTCTATAAATACTATTCAACAAATAAATGCTTATGGTATAGAAGCACCAGCAATTAAAAATGCTCAAAAGATAGCACTTGTTAAGAGAGGAAATTGTAAATGGAGTGAAAAGATATCAGTCGTAAATCATTTAGCATTATCTAACAATATCAGTATAACAGCGGTTTTTATTTATGACAATATTACTTACGGAGATAATATTACTATCAGTAGAATCCCAGTTACTGGTTCTGGAAGTTTAAGTCCTCCTACATATCCTACACCACTTCCTGCTGATAGATCTGTATTGAACATGTCTGATAATGACTTGGAATTTTCAGGTCCCTCGACTACGGCTGTTTATTTTATCCCCTTTATCTATGGGAATAGATTTGTTGAACGAATTAAACAAAGCTATAATGCTAGTAATCCTACAATGAGACAATATTGGTTACTGACTCCATATTTGGAAGAAGTTTCTTGGGGTTATTCAAGTGCTGATAATTTCTTTGCTACTGGTCGAGGTTATCTATCTTACATTATTGCCTTAGCAGCAGTTTTCCTGATTGGTAATTATATAAATTTATTTATATGGTTTTATAGATATTTATTTATTTTAATATTTAGCCGTGATATTCTTTAGATGGTGGAAAATTCGTCGTATGAGAGCAGATTATCCAAATGGAATGAATGGAACAGCCAATAATAATGGATTTCATATGCAACAAAGAGTAAATCATCTTGATCCTTTACCAGTAGAGATTGTAAATTCTTTACCTATCGATACATATTCTCCTGATTTAATCAAAAATGTGAACTGTGCAATTTGTCTCGAAGATTTTGTTCCTGGTAAAAATGACATACGTATTTTACCTTGTGGACATGGATTTTGTGTGTTGTGTATAGGTAAGAAATGAAATGTGTTTAATTTGTAACAGTGAATCATTATTTTATATTAGATCCATGGCTTACACAAAAATCAACAATGTGCCCAATTTGTAAATGGGATTGTTTACCAACTGAAATGCGCAAAGAAAGGAATCTCCAACAGCAACAAAATAATAGTGATAATGCTGTTAGTATAGACATGACTATACCAGGGCCTTCAACAACACTATCGACGACTAATAACCATGTTCAAAATCACACTGATAATAGTAATGCAAGTAACAATACTACTACTATATCACCACCAATTTCTTCTCCTGATCATTCTCACGACATTAATATATCAATAGTAACAAATACAGATGAAAATTACATTCAAAATTCATCTAGTCAAACAAAACTTCCTTTTGAAAAGAGCACTTATGCAGGTAACAATACTGCTCCTGAATCGTCATCTTCCTCATCAATACCAAAGGATGCAACAAAAGATTAAAATTCATCTTGTGTATATAATTTTATTCAAGAGGGATATTTATATGTATCTCCTTTTCCCTATTATGTAATACTATTTCTTTATTTCTATTATATCCTTATATAATCATTTACTACATTACTATAATAATAATAATAAATAATAATAATACTAATACTAGTACTAATAATAAAATATTTATATTATGTAATTTTACGTTATGCATTGTTTTGGCTCGTAATCCAAATCAGGAAATTAAGAAGAAAATTAAAAGCTTATTTCTCTCTCTCTTTCTCTGTCTGTCTGTCTTTTTATTTTATTTATTTTTATTTTATTTTTTTTTTTTTTTATTAATACTTGAATGCAAGAAATATATTCAAATCCACTTCCATCTTCCTATCGTCAACAGCATAGATACAGAATTTGCTTATGTATCAATGTGTTATATGGTGGACCTTTCGTTTGTTTTATGTGGCTTGTAAAGTGAAGATAAATAATTCAATATGTAAAATAGAGTGAATTAATTTTTATTATAGGTTGTAAATATGTATGCATGTGTATTATCCTTTCAAAAAAGAAGTCGTAAGTCATCATCATATACTATTATAAGCTAATACATATATGGAACTAATGATTCTATACGATAATAAGCAATTTATTCGTATTTAAATGGCCCTGCTTTGATCATACAAGGTATTGTTTGCTTACTATTTGCAATTATTTCTTTGATTGCACTCTATTCATTTTCTCTAGTATGTTAAGCCATCTTTTCTTTTCTTTTTTTTTTATCATTTGTCTCTCATCTAACACATCTAAGCTATTGTAGAATAGGTCAAGACAATTAAGATATTCTCATATTTTAGTTTCGCTAGTCATAATCATCTTTTTGATCATCTATTTTGTTAATCTTATCCTTTTTGGAATCCAAAAAGATCAATTCAGTCAGTGGTGTATCAATCAGTCGCATGATACTATACAAACTTATCTATTCACTCATTCTCCACACAACAGCACTTTACTTCCAAATTCACCTTTAACATTCATATCAAGAGGAGGTGACAACCTAGGTTTATATAACTGTACTAGACTATGGGAGAGTGAGTTAAAGCTCTCGATAATTGTCTTTGTGATCCTTTTAGTCACTTATGTAAGGACTTATACTATTGAAATGAAATACAATGAAATAAACGAACCGAAATCATGAATAACATTTATACTATTCTCTATTTAGATCCATGCCGCCCTATGCTTTAGATATTACACGTATGAGAGACTTCATGCTGAACAAGAGATGAGAATCCAAATGTCAAATCTCGTTTTAATGCAAAATGGAAACATTTTAATGCCTCAAAATAATCCTCCTACTATAATGAGAAATATAGCGCCAACGAATAAAGTAGAAGAAGAAAAGAATGCTGGTAACGTTCAATCGGAAGAGGAGAATGATCAAAGAAGTTTAGCTCAAATAGTTAGAGCAATGCTGGGTAGACTTTAATAAATAAGAGTGCATGCAACACTTCTTTATTTATCCTTTTACCAAAAAAAAAAAAAAAAAATTACTTTAAACAATTATCATTTATGATGGAAATAAATAATATACACATATACATATGTAAACTATTATATTGCTCTTTCAAGATCATTTTACTCATTTACACGTTTAAATTTGTATACTTTTACATCGCCTTTAAAGGGTACACCCAATTCAATCAATTTGGTAAAAGCTGATACAAAGTCTTCATAGAACTTTTCTTGATCTTTAGCATATAGATCAAAGTATTTTTTGAATTCCTTATCATTATACATGGCTAATTCAGCAGGCAGCATCATAACATCTGTATTGTTCTTGTCAACCCATTGCCAACCACCATCAGGCAATTCTTTCTTAATCCATGTACGAGTAGAAATAGCCTTAAAGTATTCATTAGAAAATACTGTAGGTGCTTCTTGCCAAGGTCCATTAAATCCACTGCGTTCAGGATGACAACGTCCCAAGGCATGTGCACCCACTAAAGCAACAATCTCTTGATCATTAAATCCCTATTTTTTTTTTTTTTTTTTTTGAAAAAAAAATATCAAAAATTAGTCATTTGTCTTGTTCTTTTTTTTTCCTTTTCCTTATATTAATAATAGATAAATACCATTCTATAAAAAATATCACGGATATGATCTTCTTTTTTGGTAGCATCAGGCAAACGACCATCAGGAGTGCAACTTTCGGTAGTTAAAGCGTCTTCACGGCCAGGTCTCCAAGGAATAGTAGGACCTCCCTAATGATGAGATGAAATTGATTTAAATATGTTATAGTATGAAATAGAGGAGTTTTTTTTTATTTTCTTTCTTTCTTTCTTTCTTCTTTTAATATCTACCAATTCTTGAACAGCACAAACACCAGCTAAGGTCCAAAGATCACCATAACTGATTTCAGGATTTTTTTTATGAATCTTCTCTAATAACTCACGAGCAATTACTAAACCATTATTAGCAGCATGTATAGATTCAGGTTCAAATCCTAAAATAGGTTGTATGTAATTCTATTATTAGTCATTAATTCATTTATCAGTTTTGAAAAAATAATATAAAACTTACTCATAGTAGCGCCATTACTGCCTCCTGTCTTGGTTTCTTTATCATAGGTACCAGACGCATGCCATGCAAGACGAAGTAGAACAGGTCCATAGGATCCATCATCATAGCTTTAATAGCAAATTAAACCAATAAAAAGGAAGAATTCAATTAAAAATACATTATATGTGTATTTCTTTTTTCTCATGCTACAAAAAAAAAAAAAAATATTATTTACTCTGAATCTTCATCAAGCATTTCTGCAATTTCATTATAAATCTTTTGATAATCAGTTTCTTTCTTTTCTTTGTTAGCAATAACATTCGAAGCATCATATGTTGATTTGAAGGACTGGTTTATATTATAATGATAGCCAGCAGCACCACCAACAGCTAACAAAGCTACATGGATACAAATGATTACAATATTATTATTTGCCCTTTTTTTTTTTTTTTTTTCTAAGAAGGAGCATAAATAGAAACAAAACAACTTACTTAAAGCAACAAACTTATTAAAGCCTTTTTTTTTAGGAGTAGCCCCTTCAGAAGTATAATAACGACTACATTTTAAAATAGATGCTCGAGCATTATTCCTAATACGATTACTGACACCCATAAAGGAATTAGCAGACACAAATAGAGGATACGTTGTATTCAAACGTGATCTAAGTGAATTAGCTGAACGAAGAGGATTCATTATTAACAGAAGAAATTGTTAAAAAGAAAGAGAGAGAAAAAAAAAGAAGAGAAATAAAGAAATACTTTTGTAATGCTTCATCTCTATTTATTTTCTTTCTTGTACCTGATTCATAATTTTTTTCAACCAATAAAAGGATGCTTACTAATAAAAAAAATGTAGTTTTCTTCATTCATAGTTGTTTATCAGTAGTATTTTTTTTTCCTTTTCTTTTTTATATTTGTATAAATATATGTATTTTGTAAATCAGTAAAACAGATCAATTGTATAAACAGTACGATTTACTTTTGATTTGAGGATTTTCCATAATTTTCGAAGAATAATATGAACATAAAATTACCGGGAAAAGATGAAGATTGTCCTACCTACTAACACAAATATTATTAATATTTATTCATATTTCTTTTCTTTTTTTTTTTTGTTTTTTTTTTTCAGCTAAATTAACAATGAACTTTTTTACAGAGGTTACACTATATTTTTAAAAAAAAGAATTAATAGAACAAAATTCTATGATATGCTTCATAAGTAACAATGATGCATCATTTTATATAATTACAGAAAGTAATAGTATGTATACCAAACTATTCTTAAAATTTGACAACTACCTATTTTATATGAGTAAAGGATAAAACCTTAAAGAAGTCTTTTTTTTTTTTTTGTTATTTGCTATGTGGAGAATATATTCTTTTTCTTTTAGCTAATAACACATTTGTAAGTGTTACGATTGAGGAAATGATACAATTGTATGATTTTTTTTATGAACTACTACTTTTTAAGAACACATATATCTTCTATTTAACTAATAAACTATTTTATTATCTATAATAATCAAAGAATATTAAATTAGTTTGTTCATCATAAAGACATTTGTTGCTTAGAATTGCTAAGCTTTAGTTTATAACTAGCAATACATTGCCAAGTAGCTATTTTATTTTAAAGCATAGAAAATAAAATTTGATATTTATACCACAGCTGTTTATTTTCAAAGCATATACTTGCTTTTAAGATGTTATTGTTCTCCTTTCTTTTATTTTTTAGCTGATAACGTTTATACCTTTATAATACATACAGAAGTGGAAGAGCTGTGTTCCTGAAATTGTGTATTTCAATTTATTATATAACAGCTTTAATTTGTTCTTGGGATATAAAAAAAAAACGAGTACCTTTTTTTCTTTCTAACCATTTTATTCTTCTTTAATTATTTCAATAGCTACTTACCCTTAAAAAAAGCTATTTACATTGTTAACTTGAATTTTATTTTATTTTTTTTTTTTAATTTCTCATGTCTTTCTTGATAACAATATAGATGAAGTCTGAAAATTCTTTCAATAAGAGAATGAGATAGATATAAGATTCTACTTGAATCAGAAAGAAAGCAAAGATACATGCAATGGGTTTGATAACTGGTTGCAAAGATATGCAAGTTGGATTTCTCTCAGGGGGGGAGTCGCTAGATTTTCTAGCTTTATACCATTAATGAATATCCTCAAAGATCCTCTTTGCAAAATGTGTAAGTCTCTTATCATATGAGTAACGAAAAGAAAAGAAAAACTGGGACATAACCGTAAAATTCATATGACAAAAATGCTTCAATTTTAATAAAGCGAGTAACTGAACATGCCAAGTCGCCAAGGTTACTTCCCTTATTTTGTGAAATCTTGAACTAGTAAAGTCGAGCATGAAAACATTACTATTCTTCATCGTGGTATTATTGAATGCCAAAGCAGAATGGAAGACCTTATGCCAGTCATGTCAATAAACCTCGTTCTTTGAAAATAGCCATCAAAAGAAGATATAAATAATTTTGAGGGCGCATGTCTACTCCCCCCCTCTCTCCTAGCAATATTTTAGTCGTAGCAAGCCCTGTATCCCTAATGATGCATAATCGATGAGCATCATGGCTTTACTTTGAAATACTTTCATCGTTATAAATGAATTTGTTACAATATAAGAATTTAATACAAGGTAGTAGAAAGATGCCTGCAAGTTGTACGATAAAAAAAAACTTTTAGTTTGAAATAATAATATCATTTTTAATCAATTTAAGAAGCATAAAGTATTATAAAAGATAACTACGACACAATTAAAGAGATAATAGTGCAAATGAAGTGTTATAGGGAAATATAGAATCAAGTTTGTGGAGGGGATAACGGGCGAAATGGATTATACCAAGAACAGATATTGAGATAGAAGCACAGTTCATACTTTATACGCTTTAATTTATAAGGTTTTTTTTTTTTTTTTTTTTTTTTTTTTTTTTTTTTTTTTTTAATAATTACTTCAGATATTTGGAGATGACAATGTGTCTATAGATAGTAGTTAAGGGAATACTGCTTTGCCGTTATTTGTATAGAATGCTTTGGATAGTACGTTAAACGATCACTAGATAATCTGAGAATGTATTTGATTTATTCAATAAACATTATAGTTAGCCATAAAGTTAGTTTTAATGATATACATTATCTTCAATGCGTTAATGATTCCGACTTGTGGGGAGGGGAATTTTGACGTTGATCGAAACTGTGTTGACGATAGAATTTAATATGTATTTGGTTGAGTTGCTTGAGCGTTAACAGATGTACTTCTTTATAAGTTAGATTAGCTGATAATAGTATTATACCATTGAGATAGTCAACGCTGTAGATATTATATATAATTTACAATATCCATGAATATACAAACCTTTGTGTACTGATATATTTCAGCCATTACAGTAGCTTTAATCACAATAAAATATACTATTATAATCTGTAAGTAATCTGACCTTCATGTCTAAATATATCATGCAAATAGATGTAGATACTATATGAAAATATATATTTAAATATCCTTAATTAACAAGAATAAATAGTTTATATAGTCATTTACATATATATATAACTTCATTTTAATAGACAAATACTGTATATCAGTTTTTTTTTATGCTTTATTAAGCTTACAATAATAACACAGCAAAGCATATCTTCTTAATAATAAAGTAAGGAGATAGTTTTATAACTGATTTTTGTCTATTTAGCTAAAAAGTTAGTTAGTTAGTTGTGAACTGTTTATTATATAAATAATTTAACTGAAATAGTAGACATACTTGGTATATTATACGATATATTTAAGAAAGATATATTAAAATTGAAAATTATATATAAATTTCTTTTTATCCATTTATCAAAAATTAAATAAACTAGTGTTATATTATAGAATTCAAAAGACAGTAATTAATACAAGTATGAGAAGAGCATTTGATTTAACAATAACAGTCATATATGGTCTGTGTTTATATACACATATTTGTATACATTTATATGAATATCAATGGAAATAGGAAATAAACTCCAAATCAGTCATTCTAATAAAAGTAAATGAATATTCTTTTTTTCTTAAAAAAAAAAAAAATACTACATATTCAACGTAATAGAAAAAATAAAGAAGAGGGGAGGGAAGATGCAAGTTGAATAGGTTTATTAAAAAAATAAAATGAGGTTATGCATTCTACTGCGAGCATATTCTGTTAAAAATCTATCCTTGTGAACAATAAGTTTTTTTTTTTCCTTTTTCTTTCTTTCTTTCTTTCTTTCTTTCTTTCTTTCTTTCTTTCTTTATTTTTTTTTTTATCGTCGAACTCTAAACAATGTCTACAGTTTCTGTTACAAATGAGCCTTTACCTTCTTTTGAACCTATTGAACAAAGTCAGAAGAATTTACAAAAAAGAAAAAGAGATTCTGGTATTCTTAGTAAGAATTTATCAAATGATGAGGATGAAAAAAGTTTAGTAGAAAAAGATCAAGAGGTAAATATAAATACATGCTTAAGATAGAATATAATATTCCAAGGAGATTATATATTAAATATCTTTCAAATAGCCGAAAAAGATTCTTTTTCTAATCAAGCTAAATCATCAGGAACAATAGTAAGGACATTGTATTCCAATAATTTATAGTTATTCATTTATCTATATAAAAACAGACTAAACCACTTATTATTTGGATTGGTGCTACTATTATGCCTCGACAAGAAGAAGAAGGAGATATTGGTAACGATTTACCCATTTCTGGTGCCTTTAGTGTTTATTATGGATTAAACGATAGTCGTAATTTTACTGAGAGAGTTACTCTTACACAAAACCAAAACTTGGATTATGTTTATAATATGGTAATGCATGTTTATTTGTATAAGCCTGATTTACTATTTGCTTATATTATTTACTAGGGGGTCATTCATGCATTACAAAAATGCGAAGATGATGTTAGCACTTTATCTATTCATACTGGAAGTCAAGAAGCTGGTAAAGTATTTCAAAAAGGAAAAAAAAAAGCATAAATTAAAAACCTTACATTTACACATTTTTGTAGGACTCGGCAGTCCTGACTACGAAATATGTAATCAAATTAAAGAATTTATTAACAATAGAAAAGGAAGTACATTAATTGTAAGTGTTTATAAATACATTACTCATGCATATCTTATATACAAAATATAACCTTTGCTAACAAATTATTACTATTTAATAGGATAATAGAGTAAATCATTTTGATAAAAGTAAAGATTATCAAGCTGCTCATAAAATGGCAGTTGAAAAACTATACGAAATAAATGAAGAGTAAGTATACATACATACATACATACATGCATGCGTACATACATACATACATACATACATGCATGCGTACATACATACATACATACATACATACATACATATACACATATTTTGTTCTTTTATATATTTGCATCATTTTCACTTATTCATATACATTGTATTTTATAGTGTAAAAATGCCTAATACTTCTGTAGTTATGGATGATAGTATTGAAATTACTATATTATCAGTTAAAGATAATACTATTCCATTAGAAAGTCAAACAAAATTACCGGTAGAAACTCAGATTATAATACAGGAAGACGTCAAAACCAAGGAGGAGTTAAATGAGGTTATTGCCAACTCGACTAAAATTTCATCAAATACAGATATCATTCTCAATGATGTCGCTATTACTTCTATAGCTCCTCTTAACAATGAAGAAAATAATACACCTCATATTTCTGCTTTAAACCAAAAAGATAAAGTAACAATTAGTAGTAAACTTCATACAGATAATGATGTCACTGAAGGTTCGACATCTATTTCATATTTCCATAGTTTTATTAATTTCTTAAAAGCTCCATTTTTCAGCAAATATTCATAATTTTTTTATTTTTCTTAAATGTTTAATTTCTGGCACATGTACACTTATAAATAAAATAATATGCATTTTTTTTTTAGATTTATCTATTTTATGCAAAAAAAAAAAAAAAATTTAGTGACTTCTATTTTACTTTATTTTGTTTGTTAGCCAATGAAATTATCCTCTTTTTTTTTTTTTTTTTTCTTAGAGACTATAAAAGTACAGGTCTTTATTTTTTGAAATAAACACACCTATTAATCCCTATATCATTATTTTTCTTTTCTTTGGATTTATATAAAGAGGTATGTCTTCAGCATTTGAATCCTTTGTTGCTGTACATAAATATCAATTATCTTCAATACCTGAAGAATTATGGCAGGTAAAGTATATAAAAAGTTTATAAACACACACACACAAAAAAAAAATTTATATTTATTGTTAAACATATAAAAGTCCCTTTTTATGAAATTGGGCGAAGATTATCTCGATGCAGGTAAATTTATTTGACACATGATATACCCAAAAAAACAAAAACAATATATAGTTAATAATAAATATATATCATCGATAAGGTAATTTTGTTGAGCTTCATCATGGTGATCCTATGGAAGGTTACACTCTTCACGTCAAAGCTGATAAAACAATTAAAAAACACAGGTGAAATAATTTAAAAATAAATAAATTGAAGCGTTAAAATTAATGATAATAAAATATATATGATAGTGAGATATTCTTAGTTGATCATGCTTGGACTACTTCTCCAGAAACAGCAAAAGAAGAATTACGCTTAAATCCTTCTTTGATGGATCGACTTGAAAATTTGATGAACATTGATCCCATCGATGCTCCTGTAGATTCTGATGATGAAGAGGATGACGAAATAAAGCCTAGCGATGAATTAGTTCAACTTGTAGCTACTCAAGCTAATGTCTCAGAAAAAGAAGCTAGAGAAGCATTAATAGCTGAGAACAATGAAGTAGTAAATGCTATTATGGTAAGAACTTGTTATATCTATATCTATATCTATACATATACATATATTTTAATTAAATTATTTATTAACAAAGATTTATCAACTACACTAGCATTTAACAATCGATCCTGAAGCAAAAGCTGAAGCAGATAGATTACAGGATCAAGTAATGGGTCAAATGCTTGCAAGTGGAAAGCCTCAAGAGAAAGAGGACAAGGAAAATAGAGAAAGATTAAAGAGAAGAGAGGAAAGAGAAAAGACATGGATAAATCAACGTGTCGAGCAGATTTACGAAAAAATGTGGTCGTATCTTCAAACCTATACTTATTCTATTCTTCAACAAGATGGTCAACCCATTTCTCAAACTGCTTGGTATATTACTGATGAAGTTGGCTCTGCCATCTGCCATTCTTCTGACCCTAATGTCATCTGTTTACCTTTCATCTTTTCTCGTGGTGCAAGCGGAATGATTCCGTATAGTGTTATTTTCCCCATTAAAGATATTGGACCTGGAGAAATAATTACATGCGATATTTTGCCAAAGAGCATTCAACGTGAATCAGACAAGCTTGCTTATCTTTTTGCCTTTGAAGATAGAGTTTTGTTGGATAATGGTATTCAGAGCAAGCGTAATGAATTAATTGATTTATTCAAAGCGAAACAAGAAAAATTGAAGAATCAAACATTTACATCCGTTGAAAGTTTAAAGTATTTGTCTGCCGAAAAAGTATTAGAGACTTTGAAAAAGGAGGGTGAAGATAAGGCCAAGGCTGAAAAGATTGTCGTTTATACTGATACTACATTTATTCAACAATACTTAAAACTGGATAACGTCAAGTTTACAGACGATCCTATTAAGGCTGATATCATCTGGACTAGCAATATGTTCGAAAGCTGGGATTCTCTTAAATCTCAACAAATTATTAATCGAATCCCTAACGAAGAATGTATTACTTTTAAAAATAAGTTAAATGAATTAATCTATAATACTTTTGGTCTCCCTGATTGGTATCTTCCTACATATAATATCACAACTCAGTTATCAGAATTTGTTGGTGACTTCTTAAGTAAAGAAGATGAAGTAAATACAAATATCTGGATTACAAAGCCCTGGAGTATGTCTAGTAGTTCAAGTCTTGATGTTACAAAAAACCTTTCTAAAATCATTCGTCAATATGATAATCCAGTACCCAGAATTGCTCAACAGTATTTGACTTCTCCTTGTCTTTACAATGGAAAAAAATTCGGTCTTCATTATTTTGTCCTTGTCTATCGTACTGAGCCTCATTTAGTTGCTTGTGTTTATAACATGTTTTTGGTTCGTTTAGCTAATAAAAAGTACAGCATAGAGAATTTGGACGATCATGAGAGTCAGCTTACAACAATGAATCAAATGACTCAATTAGACTGCAAGAGTTTCATTCATAACGTTGAAAAGCAACACAATTTTAAATGGGATTTCATTCAAAGAGATATTAACACAGTTATAAAAAGTAAATATAAAATTGACATGTATTCATTTTTTAGTAGTAGCCGTGTTTTTGCTAACTTTATTATTGCTAGATATTTTGATTGCTGCAACAAATACATCTCAACCTTTAGGTTCATTAACAGAAAATAATACTTCAAAGTTGAATACATTTAGTGTTTATGGAGTAGATATTATATTAACAAATACTTTTAAGCCTATCATCACTGGTGTTAACTCTTCTCCAGATTGTATCAAAGCCTGTGAAGTAAGTTATTAAAAAAAAAAAAAAAAAAAAGAATATAACAAATTTATTAATTTCTATATTCATTTGCTTTAGTATGATTCTGAATTTGTCAATGATATCTTTTCAGTAATTGATGGCCGTTTTGGTAACATCGAGAAAAGCTTAAGTAAATTTACACCACTATAAAATAAAGATTTTGGTTTAAGGATTTATTACTGTTATTATTACTATTACTATTTTTTTTTTTTTTTTTTTTTTCGAAGCAATATATAGGATATATTTATATATTTATTTATATTTATTTGTTTATTTATAAATATGCGTTTAATTGGCAGTTTCATTATTTGAAGTCATAGTCGGAGGTAAAGACATATTAGGAGTGGTAGATAGATTGGGAGAGGATGCCATAATGACTACAGGAGGAGGTTTAGTTTTTCTAGAAGTATTTAGAGTTAGAGTTTCCGTATGATTTGTTGAAATAACAGAAGTGCCAATTGTAGCAGTAGAGGTATTTGTATGAACCATAGGTTCATTATTATTTCCAATCGTAGTCATAAGAGTACTGGATGATTCAGTAGTGTTTGGTAAATCGAGTACATCCCTTCTTTTCAAATCTTGCTGTATATTTTCAATATCCTTTGCAAGGATATTAGTGACACCATTAGCTTTCAGTGACTTGACAATAAAGGAAACACCTACATGTTCTCTTAATAATCGATGAACAATCAATAAATGCTCGGGAGATAAAGATCGATACATAGCATAAGTACGAGGGTCTTCAGCAATAGGATGATTATGTTCTCCAATACTCTTACGAATAATCCAAAAACTACCACGACAACATCGAGCATAAATCATACAAGCGCATCCTGTCTTTTGCGATCGACGAATACGTGGCTTTATTGTCTTATTCGTTTGAGGTCTCTTCGTATTCTTTCGATAATGTCCACCATGCTTACAAATTAAGTAAATCTTTGTCTTGTCTGACTTACTTGTAGTTAGTGCAACATTATACTTTCTACCATATTCATAAGCTTCCGTACGAAGTTCTTCCAAAGTTTGAAACATTCGGCCCATTGCAAATCTTTCATAAAATTCTGTAATGATGGGACTGGAAGGGTCTAACTGAACAGTACCTGAGCTGTTATTTTCATTGTTATTATTAGTGTTGTTTTCAGTTGAAATAGAGTTGCTGCTATTGTTCGAGCTTAATGTTTGTGACAAAAGTTGATTATTTGCATTTAATAAGGTTTGATTATTTTGAGTCGTTGCTAAAGTAGGATGGCTTATAAGTGGATGATTGTCCATCAAGTTATGAATTAAAGGCTGACTGTTCACATCAATTAATGTTTGTTGTGCAAAATCAGTGAGAGTTGTTGTTTGTTTAAGAGCATTAGACAGATTCTTGGCTGCTTCAGTTAAAGAATTTATTTGACTTTCAGAGATATTTGTAGGAATAGATTGACTATTAACTTCAGACAAGATCTCGTGTTTGACTTCTTGACTCATATTTTATATACACACCCACACACACAACGCAATAAAATAGTAATAAAAGAAGAGGAAAAAAAAAAGGCGAATTAGAAAACAAATTCAAAATTTCACTAATGGCACCCATTTGTACAGTTATCATTTACTACAATAAAAATTTTTTTTTCTAATATTCATTTGCGGATAAACATTTAACCCGTATAATATACAAGAATTTTAATCGTTGAAAACACATATTATTGTATGTTAATTTTGTATAGGGAATATCATGTTTTATATTACTGATAGAAAGCCTGCTACAATAAGCTCACAAAGTTATAGGCTATATAAAAGACATCTTTTTTTTTCTTTCTTTCAATCTGTTTTATGGTTAAGTTTTAACCATTTGATAGATAACAATATCTTTTATACAAACTTATTTTTACAGTGCTAACAGTGCCAAATGGCGGTTTTGCAAATCATAGTGGCGGCTTTTCGAAAGTTTAAATGACGGCTTTCCCAAACTCAAATGGCAGCTTTGCAAACTCCAATTGACGGATTTTGCTTATTTCATTTTCAGTGCGACCTTTTTTTTTTTTTCTTTTTGCTGTTCCAAATGCAATATTTTCAATTTCTTTACACTTTCTATCGTTTTTCTGATAGATGAAGGGGTCCTTCTTTTTTCTCTGCTGTATACATTGCAGCTGCTAACCCTTTTTACAACAATAGCTTTTCTGCTTTGGAAGCTGACTACTTGATCCATGACAGCATAGTTAAGTTCGTCTTTAACAAACAAAACAAAGAATGAATTGTACAACTTTAGAATACTAGATAGAAAAGGATAGGCGACCTTTGATGTAATTAGATCTGAGAACTTTACTGTTAAACTTGCCAAATAGTAGAAATGGGTTAATGGTGTATATAAAGCACTGTAGTCAATACAGTACATATTCAGATGGATGCTGATATTAATTATCGTAGTGTGTAAAGAACTTTCCAATTGTTTCTTTAATACTAAACTAAACACGTTGCCATTATCAATGTGTCTACAATTTTCATATATTGATTTTGTCGTAAGGGAAGTTGAATTGGACTTTTCGATTCAACTTTATGTTGACAATCATCCAAAGTAAGACGTAGCCAGTTCGAGAATAAGGACGATTTACAGACTAATATAAAGGAAGCCAGCAATAATGTCCCCGTTCGCCATATTCGAAATATCATTCAACACTCTGTCAGTGTATTTGACAAATTGTTTAGAAAAAGAGGCCAACTAAAGCAGCTTACTTTATAAATAAATTGCTTTCATTCATCCAAACTATAAAACGCCAAATGAAATAAGTAAAACCGTCATTTAGCATTGTTAACACTGTATTAGATTTAGAATTATTTGAAGCAGGTAAATAAATAATATTAAAAGAACAGTCTTTTAAAAGAGCATTCTATCTTTGCAATCTTATTATTATTTTAAAGCTTATATGTATATCAATCCTTAAAAGAATTAAATAAACACGAATAGAAAATAAAAATAATAATAAGCATATATGATCTCTATATTTTTAGTAAATTTAAATTTTGCTTTACTGGTTTACTGTGACATCATTTGCCCACTCTTTTTTTTTTTTTTTTTTTTTTTTTTTTTTTTTTTTAAATATAAATATTTATATTTATATGAATACATATAAGTTTATTCCTTTTGTTTTCTAATTCATCATGACTGATAAAGGAGATTCGAAGCAAGAAGAGACACAAAAAGATCTAAATTTCTCTATTCAAGATGTTTTAGAGAATAAAGAAAAGAATCAATCTATTCAATCAATGGTCCAGACATTTAAAAATGAAGAAAATCAATCAGCTTCATATAAGAATCTTCCTGCAGAAATACAACATTTATTTACTTTACCAGAACAATCATACGCGTCGACACCTAATGCTCAATCATGGAACAGTTCCAATATAAATAGTAGATCTTCTACCAATACACCAGCAGCTTCTTTTGTCACGCCACCTACTCAAGAACAAAATGCTACTCCTTCACCCTTACTTTCAAATAATATTAATAACAATTCTGCAAATAATGTAAAAAGTTTAAAACCTTCTTTACAACCAAATAATCAATCTCCAATTCAGTCTTCTCCCCAACCAATGACATCTAGTCCTCAAATAACAACTGCAAATACACAACCATCACCAAAGCCAACAGGTGAACAGGACAAGCCTTTTGTTAACTCTCCAAAAACAAATATACAGCCTTTATCTTCACCACAAATGAATGTTCATTCACCACTTATTCATGTACATCCTTCACCGCAAGTCCAAGCTCAAGTTCGTTCTCCTCTAACCTCAGTTCAATCCTCGCCTAAAGCGATAACACCTCAGTCACCTTTTATTCATCCTAATTCTCCTGCTATACAATCCCCTATCAAAAGCCAACAACAAAGTCATCAAAAGCCAATTAGCCAATTGCAGTCTCAGTCACCCACTATACATCAATCTCCAAAACCTATTGCTCCACAGATGACTCCAAAGCTACAACCTCAACAACAAACTCAGCCTTCAATTATTTCTAATAACCCTCAACAACCGACAGGAGGTAAGCATAAAACAGAAAAAAAATACTATATTATTTATTTACTAATCTTTTTTTTTTTTTTTTTTTTTTTTTTTTTTTTTTAAAAATAAGCTTCTCCCATGACTTTATTAGACAATCTTACGTCGCAAATGCCGCCTGAACGTAAAGAGAAATTCATTGATTTGTTCAGACAATTACAAGTAATCAACATGTAAAAAGCTATCAATGCGTGAATTTGTATTAATTATTTTTTTTCCCCATAGAATAACGCAGTTACAGCAAATCAATTTTTAGCCCAAGCAAGGGTATTATTAGATCAACAACAATATCAACAATTAGAAAATTTAAAAAATAAGCCGCCTCCAAGAAATGTAGCAATAAGACCTCCTATTCAACCACAACCAATAATGATACCACCTCAACAGAATATAATTAAACAACCAATAAGTAGTTCTCAAGTTCGTGCTGAAGATGCTCAACGTTCTATGTCTGGCTTGATTTCTCCTCAAGCTAAAAGATCAAAAGTTTCTGATATATCCAGTAATGCTTCTCAAACTTTACCATTATATAGATCAAATATAACACCCTTACAGCAGCAGCAACAGCAGCAGCAGCAGCAACAACAACAGCTGCAACAACAACATTTAATTCAGCAGCATCAACAGATGTTACTTCAACAACAACAACAGCAGCAACAGCAACAGCAACAACAACAACAACAACAACAACAACAACAACAACAGCATCAACAGATGTTACTTCAACAACAACAACAGCAGCAACAGCAGCAGCAACAACAACAACAACAACAACAACAAAAGCAACAGTCACAACCACAGCAGCCAACTCCACCTCCACAACAGCTACAACAGATTCAATTTCAAATAAATGCAGCTGAGCAAACGCCCAATAATAATAGGGCTCCTGAAATCGAGGAGACTTCTACGATAACTCAGGATTTTATGAATACCGAAATGCTTACAGAAATTATATCCAAAATAAGTAAGTATAATGAATATGCAAGTCTAAGTCTACATATAAAAATAAATAAATTAAATAAATATTATAGTTGCAGATACAAAGTTAAAGCTAGATCCAGATGTTGTGACATTAATCGCACTCTCTGTTCAAAAACGTGTTCAACGTCTTGTTGAACATATGATTATTGCATCTAAACATCGTACAGAATCACAAACATTTACTCAACCACCTGTAGATGAAACAGGTCATCATCCTTTCAAGATTGTGGATGTTCATGATATTAAAAAGCAATTATTAGCAGTTGAACGTGTTGAACGAGAAGAAGAAAGGAAACGAAAAGAAGCTATACTGGAGCGTGAAAGAAAAGCACATATGGGAGAGGAAGGTGGAGATACAGGAGATGATGATAGTAGACCCGCAAAGAAAAAGAAAAAGAAAGAGATGGGGCCTGGAGTAACAGCTCGATATATGAGTGATGATGTACGTAATAAAACTACGAATGAGACAGCTTTAATGATTGCTGGTGGTGTTATGAAAAGTTGGATGTTAACTGGCATGAATTCCCCCATTACACCTATTAAAGAGAAGCCAATAACACCATTGCCTTTATCAAGGCAAAATAGCAATTCTCTAAATACAAGTATACATGATAGTACGACCCCAACATCTGATGCAGCTAATACTACTATATCTGGACACAATAATGAAGATCAGCCAAGAGGAAGAGGACGCCCTAGACGAAGAAAATCTGGTAGTGGACCTGATATAATAACAGGGAAAAAATCAAAAGCGTTCTTAAGCGGTAGAATTGGACATGATGGAGGATTATTTTTACCACCTTCAACCATTGGTCGTCCACATTTAGGTGAACATTCAACAAGAAAAGTTACGATAAGAGACGCTTTATATGTGCTAGAAGATGAATATGAAAATAACTTAGATTGTGCTCGTCGTACATTATTAAGAGCATATACGAATTACTTGAAATAAAATAAAAAAATAAAAAAATATCCTGTATATGTTTCGTTTATTATTATGTACATTATTTTTACTGCTCCATTTGTTTGCGCACTGATTTCAAAAAATCTATAACAATCTCTTCATTCATGACAGCTGGTATATTGACGTCTTTAGGTACTTCTTCAGGTTTAAGCTGATGACGTCTCTTTGCATTTAATGCTGCTTTTCTAGCTCGAATCTTTTCTGCATTTTCAGATAACATTTGTTTTCGTTTAGTTGATGCACTCGCAGTTGACTTGCGGGCATTCTCTGTTTCTTCTCTTAACTTTTTCAATTTCTCCATTTGTTCCTGACGTTCTTCTTCGTCTTTAGAAAATTGATAAAAACCAACACCTTTTGTTCTAATTTCACGATCAGCTTCATAATGATTCATATCACTTCGATCTGCTGCTTCATAGTTAGGTCTATATGCAGCATAAGCAGTATTTATTTCTTCTTCTTCTTCTTCTGAATCCTCATTATATGATAATTCTGCAAGTTTAGGAAGCTGACTGCGGCGTACAATGCGATTACGTCCAAATTCATCTTCATATTCAACCCATGGATCATCATCCTTTTCATTCATAATACGTCTTTTTTTTCTACTTGATTCCTTTTTCGTTTGCTCTAACTCACGCTAATAGTGGAAAAAAAATAATGTAGTAATGTCAACTTCCTACACGTAATTTGCTTTCTTTATATACATATACATATTTATATACCTCTTGAAAATATTTACGATCAAAATCGATGAGTGGCATTTTTTCATCATCTTCCTCATCCACTATCAATTGTCCTGTTCGCATGGCTTCATACATCTTTGCCTTTTTCTCTAATTGTCGTCTACTCTTCATCAATATGTCTCCCTCTACAGCTGGTAAATCCTTTTGTTCATCTCTTTTGTTTCTATCTTGTACACCTTTATTTTGCTTTGACCAAATCGTCGGTTTTGCTTTAGGTTTTTGTGCTTGAACTTGCTTTCCTAAAGTCGATCGATTCTTTTCAAATTGCTCAATGTGTTGTGCAAGTTCTGCTTTTAAATCCACAGCTGTTGTCGCACTGACATTATTAATGACTTTACTTTTGTTCATTACTTTAAAATATTAACAATTTAAATTATAGAAAAAATAAAAAAATAAAAAATAATAAAAAGTAAAAAATAATAAAAAGTAAAAATATATTCTTTATTTTAATTTTTTTTTTTTTTTTTTTTTTTTTTTTTTTTTTTTTTTTTTTTTTTAAAAAAAAAAAAAACTTTTTATTATTATACATACAAACACCTTCATCGTCGTTTGTCTTTGTATGAGGCACCACGATCTTTATCGCGACGGCTATGATCATCCTGATGGTGCCCCACCGAAGAGGAACGACGATGGTTATGACTGTTTCTGCGCTCACCGTCAGTGGTAGTTGTCAAGCTATCTTTTCGAGTGCTGTTGCGACGATGGCTTGACGAACTACCACCGTGACGGGAGGCAGAAGGCGAATGGTGACGACGACGAGAGGGTGAGGGTGTTCGTCGACGTGATAGGGAAGCAGGGGAGTCTGAACGGCGATGTCCACCAGATGCTCGACGAGACGGGGAAGAGGATCGACGACGTCTCGAGGAAGATGGTGAAGGAGAACGACGGCGAGAACGAGATCTACGTCGAGAGGGAGAGCGGCGACGAGAAGAAGAAGGAGAACGGCGACGAGAGGTAGAACTTCGACGGTCATGTTTCCCATGAAGACTTGATTGCTGCCCTAATGCGGCTACTATTTTGGTATATACATTAATCAAGTCTTCATAAGATACATTATTTGCCGGCCAGAACTTCGTAGTGTAGAGCCAAAGGCTACGCTTCGTTTTATCATCTGTAGCCTTACGATCAATATGTTTGCCAATATCTAACATACATTCACGAATTAAATGTGCCTTTTCAGCACCCTCCAACTTGGCTGAGCCATCCCTAAGCTTCAATAACAAGTGCTTCACAGGTTTCATCGTTGAGGCAATCACATCCTCATTAAGGCCGTTGCTTTTAACCCGTTTTGTTGAAGGACAAGGAGTATTATCTGAGGGACGCTCTTTACGTTTTTGTGGTGATCCACCGCCATTCACTGCTTTTGTGAATGATGAAGTATCATTATTTATTTGAGCTTTTTGTTGCTGCTGCTGCTGCTGCTGTTGTTGTTGTTGTTGTAATTGTTGTCTAGCACGAGGGCTATTCTTCATTTTTGAACTAGTTGCTTTTACAGAATTGCGATCATTTACCTCATTTTTTAAACGATCTTCTTCAGCTAATATCTTCATTAACTGTTCAGCTCGTCTCACTAAATGAATAGCTTTTGGAGATTTTTTTTCATCATCACCAGTATTTACAAAAAACTTATCTGAAAGTCCAAGAAGCTGATCTGTTTGCATTGCCGACCAAGAACCAAAGCCATGATCATGGACACCGACCAGCAGCATCGCATCTTCTTTAGGTCCCCAGGCACAAGACCAGCCTTGTACACGTTTTGCACCAACAGAAAGACGGAACTTGTATTTATCCGTAGTTTCTTTTAAACGACGAGCCAACACCTTCATATCATGATGACGTTGGAATACTTGACCCGCATTCACACTTTGTATATCATGCCAAGTAAACAAGATAGCCTTTTGTTTTGTATGACGAAGGTCACGTAAGAGTATTGAATCATCCACATCATCCCCTTCTCTAACAGAATTATTAGCAATAGCTTGCTTAAATACCTCTGATTTACATTCTTCTAATAGATTAGTGTACATTCCTAAAACTAACTTCTTATTCTTTATAGCAAGATCAGAATCTTTTACTGCTTCTTCATAACGTGTTCCCAGATCACCATATTTTAATACTGCACGGACAATAGCACGACGATCACGTTCAGAGAGTTCATCTGGCTTAGTGCTGTTACCATTACCATTACCATTACCATTTCTTTTATTACTACGACTTGAGCTACCACCAGATAAGTTTTTATGACGTTTAGTAACCGGAGCATCTTCATCATCTAGATCATCCTCATCATTTTCAGTATAATGAATACGTCCCTTCTTCTGAGCACGCGCTAATAAAGCGGCTTGATCTTCCTTTTGCTGCTCTTCTTCAATCTTTGCTCTTTCAGAGGCAGGAATAATTTCATCCCAACTTAAATCAGCAGCTGTTCCTTCATAATCAGTTACCTTGAATTGTGATAAAAAGTCTTCAGAACCTAAAGCACTATCTTCACCTTCAAGGGTCTCTGTTTGTTCAGCACGGGCTAAGATGTCATCTAAATCAATGTCTTTCATCGGCTCTGCTTTTTCAGTAGATTCAAACATGTTCTTAGCACCAAACTTAAGTACTGCAGACATCTCTGCACGATTAAATGGAATATCACGATTTTTCCCAGAGGAAGTAGTCAGACCAATAGGCTGCTGTTGATCTGCCGACAATAAAGAATGACCGGATGTATCCATTTGCTTGATAATACAATATTCAAGCACCATCTTTCGTTTAGCTCGTTCAATAATATCTTCCTCCATAGTACCTTTTGTTACAAAACGATACACATTGACAGATTTGGTCTGCCCAATACGATGAGCACGAGACATGGCTTGTAAGTCATTTTGTGGATTCCAATCAGAATCAAAGATAATTACAGTGTCAGCTGTGACCAAGTTAATACCCATACCACCAGCACGAGTAGATAATAAAAAAACGAAATCAGGACTATTAGGAGCATTAAAATGCTCAATAGCTCTATTACGATCTTCAGGTTTCATAGAACCATCAAGACGTTGAAATGGATGGCCACGTAAGGCCATATAATCAGATAAAATATCAAGCATCATGACCAGCTGAGAGAAAATAAGGACACGATGACCATCTGATTTGAGACGAGTTAATAGTTTATCAAGCAATACCATCTTGCCACTATTTTCAATTAAACCCTTCAATTGAGTAATACGACTTGGTGAAGGCTTTTCAGCATCAGGGAAGAGGAAAGGATGATTACTTGCCTTTTTGAGCTCAATAGCAATGTTGAGCCATTGTTTCTTGTTATCAGTGCCAGATGAGAGAAACTCAAAATTTTTAGCAAGAATATGTTTATAATACGTCTTTTGAAGTTCACTCATCTCTACACGTAAGATACGTTCAGTCTTATTGGGTAAGGATTTCTCTACATCCTTTTTCAAACGACGCAACATAAGGCTTTTAATGCGTTCATGTAAGGCCTTGATTTTTTCTTCTTGATTTATATCCTCCACATTAAGGTCAAAGTTATATTCGCTCAAGTCCATATTAGGCATCAAAAAACGGATAAGAGCTAAAAGCTCCTTTACATTGTTTTGTAAAGGAGTGCCAGTAATCAAGAGACGATTCACAGTTTGAAAACCAGACAAGGCTTCATATAATTGAGAATCAGCGTTCTTTAAACGATGTGCTTCATCTACAGCCAAATATTGCCAGCGGAAGCCACCAAGCACATCTTTATCTTTAAGGACAATCTCGTAAGTAGTAATAAGGACATTAAACTTTAAACGCTTCGTTTTGTCTAAATAAAATTCATTCTCACGAATGAACTCTCTCGAACGACGATTACCAAGATAGCAAATAACATTCATTTGAGGGGCCCATTGTTTAAATTCGTGTAACCAGTTCTCAGAGGTTGATAATGGTACGACAATTAAGAAGGGGCCATACAAATTTAAGTGATTATATAAGGTATTAAGGAAACTGATCGTCTGTACTGTCTTGCCAAGACCCATTTCATCAGCCAAAATACCGTTTTGATCTCTACACCAGAGCCAGTACATCCAGTTTACACCATGCAATTGGTAATCACGAAGCTCACCACCGGTAATAAATGACGGCTGAGATTTAAAGGCAGCAAAGGTAGGTCGATTATTCCTTTGATATGAAGTAGAACGATGAGGAATAAGCGTATTTTGTTCACGATTCAAATAATCATCAATTTCAGCCTGATGATCAGCAGAAATAGCCTCTGAAAGTTCCCAAGTGCATTCATCGTAATGAAGACGTTTCCATTTTACAAAATATTCAACATCAGGAGGAGTACCTCGAGCGGCAATGACACGATCTACTGTACGCCAAGCTTGAATTTCATCACGACGTCTTGAGATATTAATATCTTGTTGTTCAATTTCTTCTTTTGTAGTCTCACTATGAGAACGGAAGCTTTGTTCAGCAATAATTTGGTTTCGGATATAGTTCTCCAGTTTACGGAAACCTTTGAATGATTTTAAATATTCATGTGTATCCCAGGTATCATGCAAGTGTGACCAATTTTTCCACTTGATTAAAAATTCTAAATTCTTTTCAGGCTTATCAGGTCCTTCTTCTGCAACAAATAAACAAAACAAATCAAGTAAAATAATGAATCAATGCAATAAAAAAAATAAAAAGAGAGAGAGAGAGAGAAACACGTAGCATTAATAAAATAAACAAGTTAATTATTTGATCCTTAATAAATCTTACCAAATCCTTCTTTTCTACGATGATCAAGAACAGCCTCAATGATTTCTTCTTCTTCTTCATTATCTTCAGCACCAACGGCAGGGGTATATGGGTTATAATCTTCTTCATCTTCAGATAAACCCCAAAGTTGAGGGTTATCTTCATTATAGTTAGTTACTTTACGTGTACGTGTAGAATGCCTTGCAAAATCACTTGGTGAAAGTGCGCCTATAAAATAAAATAAAATAATATTTAAAAGGAAAATAGAATATAAATTTTGATTGGCTTTTGTGTAATTTTTTTTTCTTTCTTTTAAGGGGCTTTTACCAGTAAATTTAGCTTTGTTTCTATTACGATTCTTTCGTTTTGACTTGGATTTACGGGTTGAACCCCACTCTTCGTCTGAGGTATCATTTTTATCAAAGTTTTCATTTTCATCAATCGATTCTTCTTCATATGGAACTATAAATTTACAATACAATATGAGCATCCTCTTCTTTTTTTAAGAAAAAAAAAAAGAAAAAAAAAAGAAGGCATATTGAACTAACCATCTTTCTTTTTTGTCTTGAATTCTTTAGTTCATAAGTAGAGGAAGATGAACTTCTATTTCTTCTAAGCCGTCTCCTTGTAGAAGTAGATTGATTATAGTCATCATCAGAACTATCATCAGGTTCTTCATCAGAAGTAAATGTTAACTCTTCAGTATCAATCATAGGCTATATGTATTACATAAACAGGCTATTAATATAGATTTGTATATTTTTTTTCTGCTTACAAAAAAAAAATAGTCATGAAAAAATAAATGATTGGTTATATACACATACTGTAGTATTGGACTTGGGTTTATTTCTTCTTGAACGACGTAAGCAATATAGTTCAGGGTCAAGATAAGTATCATCATCGTCAGTATTAGTATTATTATTTGCATCACTAAGCTCTTCTCTTGAGGATTGATAAGGAGAAGGAGAACTTTGAAGTGAAAGTGCATCTTCATCATCAGTAGCTTCTTGTTGAGGTTGATCTTGTTGATCTGAAAAAATGGAGAGAGATGAGGCTGATGATTCTGATCGTTTGTCACTGCTTAAGATTACATGATCTGAATAATCAGATTCATATTCTGTATCAGTAAAAATGTTGTTTCCAAAGAAGCTCATAGTTTGGTAATATATGTAATAAATTAAAGTAAAATATGTAGCTATTTTATATAGTATGTATAAGGGTTATTGACGTTCTAAAGAAAGAAAAAAAATAAGTTGAGTATTTTGAATGAAACGCGTATTTTTTTTTTTTTTGTTTTTGTTACCTGTGAATATATTTCTTTTAATAAAAAACTATAGTAAAAGCGATTAAATCAACTAAAGTTTTTTTTTTTTTTTTTTTTTTTTTTTTTTTTTTTTTTTTTCATATGGAGACCAAGATGGCTCGGATGTTTATTAGTGAAATATGAGAAAGTCACATTAAAGTTTTTGATATGCTTTTAAAAATTTTGAATTTTTTTTTTTTTTTTTTTTTTTTTTTTTTTTTAAGTTTAAGTGGTAATAAAATATAAGTTGTATCAAGGGACGAAAGACCGAGATATACGACTAAATGAGGGAACAACGAGGTAGAGTTTAAATCGAAAAATGAGGAATTGGAAACGGAGACTTACCTGCCGTTAACAACTGTTCACGGAACGAAGTTAGTAAAAGGGATCGAGCAACAGATACCACTGTTATTGTAACAAAAGGTTGCTCATGGAAGATAAAATTAAAATGAGAACGCCAGATGGCAAGGAGTGTGTGGCCAATACAGACGGAAGCTGGGAGGAAGTTATCATCTCTGGAATCAGGGAATTTCAAAGCGAAAATAGCCGTTGTTAATAGTTCTACAGAGAAAGGAGCAGTAAAGAAAGAAGGCCATAATTCCTGCCAAACCATAAGCTTTAAAGGACAGGCAAAAAGAAAATGAGAGCTGTTTTCAATCACAGAGAGTGAGCAGATGGAACAGTACGAGGATGATACCGAGAACGGGATAAACCTATTCAAAACCGCCCGACAGGGCAGTTTGTCATGTAGTATTCGATACCATACATTGCGAGAAAGATGTAGTACAGGAAACCGCCAAAAAGATGACCATTTCGTTGGTCTAAGGGTTGCAGATCGATTATCAGAATCGGGGGAACAATCCATGCGGAAATTCTTAGCCGAAATATCCTTTCCTTGGCACGTTAGAACACAGGAATCAAAAAACGGTTGCATGTCGATAATGTCATAATTAACTGGGGAGTACGAAGAGATACCTAAGTGAGCAAAGCGAGCTTCAATGCACGTACGTATAAAAAAAGGAGCCAGCTGGATGTGATTGTTTTGGACATCTTTCAAAAACTTCCTAACTAAGCGAAGGCGATGCAAAATTTCTCTGTTAGTAAGTGGCCTAATAGTACGAGAGGTAGGTTCAATCATATACACATTACACACGGAGAGTTTAAGAATTGATTTGCGAATAGGTTTCGTAGGCTGGTGAATCACAATGTTATCAATGGAAAGTTGCATCGATGTCTCCGGATTGATAACTACAGTGGAAAAGTCCTTAGGTAAAATATCCATCGCATGAAAAAGGAGGTATAGGGGGCTATCGCTATGGGAAACCAAAGGGGGACGAAGAGATGGAAACAAGAAACAAAGACGATAGTCCGTCACCAAAGTATTATTAGGAACCAAACCCGAGATGGTCTCAAGAGAGTACATCAGATAGTCCGCCAATAATGGAAGCACAATAGATTTACAGAGGTTGGGATTGGACCAAAATTCGTGTGAGAGATTAGACCGTCGAATTAAAGGAAGAAGCCAACGAAGTTGTAAGGAAGCTTGTTGTATAAAAGGATCCAGTAAACCAAGCCCACCATTCTTTCGAGATAAGGTCATAGATTTAAAACTAATACGAGGAAAACATCGGATACTGACAAATCCCGAAACTAGAGAAACAACAGAGGAAAGGAAATGCTTAGGCACTGAGACAACCCGTAGAATATACCATAATTTGGAAAGTATCAAATTATTAGCGATGGTCACTCGGCCACGGAAAGAAAGAGATCGATGATTATGTATATTGCATGCTGCTTCAATTTTGGTTAAAAGAGTCTGAAGAAAGGAATCTCGTTGAAGTGGTGAATGGAAGATAGGATATCCAAGGTAAATAATAGAATTTGGCGAATTAACATCATGCCATACAGAAATATTGTTCTGAGCCAGAGGAGCACGCCAAATACGATTATAGATAGAGCTTTTACCAGATAATGCAAAGGCCTCTGTCTTGTGATAATTGATACGAGCATTGGATGCAGCAGAATATGTGTGGAGATGCCGATTTAAGATATTAAGATCAGTAGGAGAATTTAAAAAGCAAGCAATATCATCTGCATAAGCAAGTAATTTAACGCGATGTTGGATAGTTGTGGGAGCCGATAAGGACGTTGGTAAATTGTACCCAATAAAAGTAGGGTCGTCGAGGATTCGACGGAGTAATGGTTCAAATGCCAGGTTGAAGAGGACGGGAGATAGAGGATCGCCTTGTCGTAATCCACGCAATTGAGGCACATGCTCAGAGAAAAAACCGTTAATGTTAATTTGTAAGTTAGTGCCAAAAAACAAGTTGGTGATACATTTAATTATTCCAATAGGGAAGCCGAAATGTTGTAAAACACGCGTTAAATAAACCGGATGTACTCGATCATAGGCTTTTTCCTGATCCAGCAACAGGCCAATTGCCTCAGAATCGGAGAAGCGTGCATGAGACAAGACCAGCTCCATCATTAAACCATTGTCAGCAATGAACCGGTCATGGAGAAATCCAGATTGAAGTGGAGTTATCAATTTATTAGCACACACAACTATTCGAGCATTAAGTAAGCGAGTAAATACTTTAGCATCGGTGTTGATAAGAGATAGCGGCCTCCAGTTTTTTAAATCACTCAGGTCACCTTTTTTGGGCAGTAATGAGACACACGTTTGAAGCCAAGAGTCTGGGAATACACCATGTGAAAGAGCATCATTATATACTTGGAAAACAATAGTACGGCAGTCAGGATGCAAAAACACCAAACGAAGAATTTCATAAGGGATCCCATCCTTACCAGGACTACTTTGTTTCGAGCAGCATTTAATACCATGCAACAATTCATCCCAGGTAAACGAACTAGCTAACCAGTATTGATCTGAGGTTGGGAGAGATAGAGACGATGGGAGTGAACCGAGTAAATGGCATCATTATCCATAGGATTAGGAGAATAAAGATCAACATAAAAGGATTGAGCTGCATTAAGCATATCAGAGCGTGTAGTACACAAGACAGAGGATCTAGGGTGCCAAATAGCCTTAAATAAAGTTTTTTGTTATCGTTGAGCTACCGTCCTTTTGAGGTAGCCAGCTGACAATTCACCTTTTTCCCGCCATTGAAGGCCGGAGCACAGAGCTAGAGTATCAACACGATGCTGTTGGATCGAGGCTAATTGATGTTCAACAACACTTAATTGAGGGGATAATGAGGCTTGTCTAGTAGGTTCACGTAAAAGTTGTTTACGGAGAACAGGACGCTTAGTTTGTAAAACATCTTCGGCTGTCGAAAGAGAATAAGCTTTTTTACGTGAATAATTTTTTGATACCTTTTTCACCGTTGCTTTTATTGTATCCCATTTATATTGTGCACTCAGACTGAAAGGAAAATTTGCGATAGCTTTTGAAATGGCAGATGCGAGGGTACGACGAAAAGTTTTGGAAGAAGCTAATCGAGGATGAGCACGCCATAGTCCTTTTCCAGTTTAATATGATGGAGCGAACGAATTATTTGACGGAAGGGGAGGCTCCAATTGAAGTGTAAGAGACAGGAGCATGTGATCGGACCAGGCAGGTTGGATGTATAACGTCGTCGTCGGAAGACAGGAACGAGATAGATCATGGCTAACAAAAATATAATCAATACATGAGCTGGAGGAGCCACGGTGAAAAGTAGTCTGATGAAATTGATCAGTAGCCAGAATTGAATCTGTATAATATTTATCCAAATAATTTAACCATGGTGAAGGAGCGTTCAAAAAGTTATGGGAGGAAATATTAGCGTTATACGAGTAATTAAAATCTCGAAAAACAATGTGACAAGAAGGTATAGTCCTAAAAGTATTGTTAGGATTGAGCAGGATTGGGTCTAAGTACGACTGTCGTTGATTGTAATCAGCAGGAGCGTATAAGACCGTAACAAAAAGAGAATCGAGAAGTGTCTGCGTGTGAGTGATTTTGACTGTCAATATTCGTTGGTCATTATCCCACATTGGGTCAGACAAGTTAAGGAGAGGTGATAGACACACCAAGCCACAATATTGAGACCAATAACTACTTATTGCTGGAAATTGGTTGTGAAACAAGTCACCAATATCAGACGAGGATGCATGAGTTTCTTGTAAAGCTAAGATGTCAAAGAGCAAAGTGCGTAAATATCGAATGAATTGACTACTGATGGAAGGGTCAGCAGTTTTTCGTAGTCCTCGGCAATTGAGAGTGCCGATTTTCAGGGTTAGGAGATAAGAATTGAGTTTGAGTATTAAGCGCCGGGGAGGAATCGCTTAAGTTATAGGAAGTTGTAGATTGATTATTCATAATGTAATAATGGTATAAGTATAGATTCAGTAAAAGGAAAGACGTTGAGTAAGTAAAAGCAAGCAGTAGAGGGAAGTATGTATAGAGGAAAGGGATTAATCTTCCTCCATAGCATTGGAATCACCCAAAATGTTCGATTCTACTCTAGAAGTATTCACAGGATTGATGGCAATCAAATTCTCGTTAAGATCAATATTGTGACTATCTTGATTCTTTTTGTTAAGTGGGCACTTTTTACTGTTCGTTTTCTGATGGTCAGTACCGCCACATTTACAACGCTTCTCATTAGGAAGATTTGTCAAATAATCCGCCAGTGTGAAAGTTGTACCTGCCTTTGACCGAGTAGGTCGAGGATTGAGTTTAGGAGAGTTTATCTCAGGGGCAGCGTTCTCTGGTTGTTGAGCGAAAAGAGGTAAAACAGGATCATCCTCAATAGTAGGACTAGCTGGTGGGCTTGTTGCACCAATGGAAGAAACGATGAGAGGAACATCGTCAACGGATTCTAAGTTTTCAGAATCAGGACAGGGAGGAGATTGAGCTTCGGAGGATGCATGAGGAACTATGTGTGATATTTCTTTTAAAATATCAAATAAAAAATATTAGAAAATAAAGAATAATATTAAGACAAAAAGAGTCAACAAGACCGAACAATAGTTCTAAAGTCAATTATCTTATTTATGAATTTAAATTGATGGGGTATTTATAAGAATTGTTAAAGAGGTCTGAGGATAGGATGTGAATCAGAAAAGTGTTAGTTACGACCGAATAAGGAATATTGTTGACAATGAAGTGTTAGTGATTTTAATATTATTAGATGGAGCGGATCAAGAGAGTTTTTCAGGGGAATCTAGATAGAATTCCTTGATCCGCTTGTTTAACCATGAAATATGACATTATAAGTCAGCTCATGACAAACTACTCACAAAAAGTACGGCCTACTAAGGTGAGTTAAATGAAGTAAAATCGAAAATGGAATGAAGGTTAAATTCCGCTTCATCAAGAAAGACACAACTTGTTTCGAAATCCATATCCTTGTCTGCTTAAAACTCTTCCACACGTTCTTTTCGTTGCTTGATTGTCTCCTCTGCATTTCGTTTGGCTGGGATTTTTTCCAGTCTCTTCATTGACAAAGTGCAATTGGCCTTCATATGTCTTTGCAGAGCAGACTTGTTAATGTTCAAAGATTCAAATGTTCTCTGAAGCTCTTCTCTAACATGTTCTATGGTAGCTGTAGAAAAGTTTCAATGTAACTTATAATAAAGTCGGTATGCTCTTGCTTTAACGGAGATACAGTGCCCACAGCTGGTCCCGCCTTTTTACGAATAACACTTCCATTTAATATCCACTGTTTTCTAAACCTATAAGCTGAAGTTTTAGATATACCAAACTGGTTTGTTGCAACAGTGGTGCTAATTCCATTACTCAACAAGTTGAGAAAGTCCTCAATTTGACATGAGGCTGACATAAATACTAGTTGTTCCTTCCTCCTCCTCGATACTTAAATCAGACATATGGATATCATCGATAGACATTACGTATATGGTGTAATAATACTTTTATAAAAAAACTAAAAACCAAAAAAAAAGCAATCATGGCTGTGTAGCCTTATTGTAAGAGTAACAGAAGGAGATACATGTATATAATTGTTCCATTTTGGGATGAGCATAACACGTTTCAGAAATTTATTTATTTTCACCTGGTCGTATAGGAACACTGTAGTTTTGAATTAATTGCAAATCGCGTCTTTTTCTCATGAATTTACCCCAAGAAGTAATTTTACGTGTTATTGACAAATTTTTAAATGTAAAAGACAGTATTAATTTTGTTACTTGTAAAAAAACAATATGGTCAATAGCTATACTTCCTCGTCGTAAAGCACTCGTCCTTAAAAACCATTCCGATGTCATTCAAATCAGAAGAGCCAAAGAAATCATAATTGAAAACAGGTACTATCATCCTGATTTCATCAAGCATGTTTTAAAGTATGCCATCAACTTGAATCATATCAAATTCGAAAAAGCCAATTATAAAATTGCCTTTATTCAGTTGTTTATGGTGATTAATCAAAAATGCAAGTTGACAGTTCCAGCAACAGATCTGAATTTATTCCAAGTTGTTGTTAAGGATAATTGTAACGAATACATTGACATCGATACAGTTAATCATGGTGGCAAGAGTGTAAAAAGAATAAAAACTCCCGAGATGGTAGAGAAAGATGTCTAAGAATATAAGCAGAATCAAAAGAAGAAATACTTTGAACAAACAGAAAAGGGTATTAACATCATGAAAGACAATTTGAGTGATATTCTTCTCAATCACCATAACAATCAATTGTTTGATACAGAACAATATTCTATTTATAACAATTTACATCAAACAAACGTGGTGTTAATGACAGTATGTACTGATATAACTGAACAGCAAGCGGACGAATTGATAAAAGATCTATGCCCCAGATTTATTGAATTCGTTGTAGTATTAGATGGTTACTGGTTCTTTTGTACAAGTTTCTGTACATTCATTCTCAATCTGTTGATGATTGTGCCGATTCATCTCGGGTGAATGCCCAAAACGAAGCTGTATTTTGTATCTGTAAAAAGACAAGGTTTGGACTTGATTTTTTTGAGTTGACTGTCCGATTCAGTAACGTTGAATTGCTTGCCACCTCCGGCTTTTATGGTCCTATTGAAGGCCACACCATCACCCCGTTTTTTGGGTCCTCGATTCAAAAATTACCAACATCAATCACAGGTGCATATAATACTGTTGCCTCAAAAGAGGTATTTATACCAACAACAGCAAAAGCATTCACAAAAGATGTAAGACTTTTAAATCAATACATCAAGACACATTCTGCAAGACAATGGATGTTCCTTAGCAAGAAGTTTAAGTCAAAAGGATATATTCCCCATCATCCACTTTCATTTCTTGTAGAAAATATCGTACAAAGAGGAGCTTCTTTGTTGTTAAGAGCTTTTACGTATAAAATTCTACCTCAAGAAGAAATTGCTGAAGTAGATTCCAGATTTAAAAATTCTGTTACCAAACTGACAGCATCAGGCAAACTAGTAAAGAAATATATTACGGAACTAAATAGCAAGGATCAGCTCATAATCCGTGAATATGATTATGTACAATTAAAAAAAGACATGTTGTACATTTATGAAAACATACTTGCTGGAGCCATTAAAAAACAGAAACAGAACATTGGCATTAAAAGTTGAACTAGAATATAATTTATTAAACGAAAAATAATAAAGTACATATTATTTATTTAAACTAAAAAAATTGAACTTCTCCTAGTTCTCAAAGTAATGCCAAGTACTTTAATTAACAGAGTCAACCACGAGAAGGTGGAAGTTCATCTGACTCCAAAAAAAAACAGCCCCCAGATCTCTACCAACAAAAAGATGTTGGGTGGTATTCGTCATTCAACGTATTGTAAAAGCAACTGTGGTAAGCCACTTGAACTCATATACAGGGGTGTGAACAACCTGTATCAATCCACTTTTGCAAGAAAACTTCAAGACCACATTATCATGCTCAGACTGCGGCCGTCTGGCCTAATACGGACGTTACCCCGTAGTAAAATAACGCACTGTGTAAAAGTCCTCTTCCGCAGCAAAGAAGAAAAAGAGATTTTTTTTTTCTTTAGGTATCTTTTATACTCCGTATAATACGCCAAAAAAAAGAAGTCCCAAAATTAATTTTATTTAAAGTCCTTAAAATGTCATGATGAGTAGGGGAAAAGACTATCCCAAAATTAATTTAAAGTTAGTGTCAATAATTATAAAATCTTGTCCCAATAATTTTCAAATTTAGTCCCAATAACTGTGGGAAAACCAGTACCGTCACCGCTTCTTTCTATTATTAATCTTGCCATGTGCTGCTCAAGGTGATTAATCTAAGGTGAGCAAGAACATGCAAGAAAATATGTTATGATAATGTGATGGATAGGTGCCCATTAATATCAAAAATATATATCAATGAATCCTCAGCACATCTTTCCTTTTTCAAAATCTGCTTTAGAATGTGAATATTTTGCATTTTATATGAATACGACATCTTTTTCTAATGGTTATGCGACACTTTTTACTTAAAAAGTGCAGTACTCTTTATTTTTTTGATGTGTCATTATTTTTTCGAAATGTGCGACATCATTTTGACAAGCACTGTATACAAGGGAATTTCTTTTTATGAAAGCAAATATTAAAAAATAAAAAGAAGCCTTTTATATAAAGATATGATAATTTAACTTGTTTTCTTCTTTACTACAATACTTTAAAAAAGGAAAATAAAAGAAGAAGATGTCTAAAAAAAAAATAATAATAATTATTGTCATTGGCAAATATTTATTTAAACTTCAGTAACCAAAAAGTTTTTGATTCGATTTAGAAATTATGTTAAAGAAGATAAAAGGCTTTGTAAAGAACTCCATCTTTCTTGTCTCCTTCATCAATAGCTGAAAGTTCTCTTATTAAGCATCTTAATTACTGAAACACTTTGTTGTGATAATGAATGATGATTGGTTTTTTACATCTCAACTATATCGTTCACTACTAAAATCTTTCTTTCTCTCCCGTTAAATACCTGTATTTTGCAATGATAACTTTTATATTATCTGTCTAAATAGGAGGAACGTTGATAGTTGACTTTACTACAAAAAAGTAATTAATAACTAGTCTATAATTTGTGTTCTACTGATTAATGTATTGTTATCCCTTTCCTTCTTTTTCTTTCTATTAAAATATATTTATTAAAATAGTTGAATATATATCAAGGTTTTTTTGTTTCTCTTTCAAATGTTCTTATTTATCATTAAGCTTATTTAGTTATAGAAATTAAATAAAGTATATATTGGAAGCTCAGGAGATTACGTTTTGTTTTCACTACGTCTTTTTTCTATGCATCTCTTATTTTCTTATAAACTTATTACAACATGCTGATGTGTTAAAAGCATCTTTGGTTATTCAACGTCAGGCATTATCTTTGATATAGGAAAAAAGAAAGAAACTAACTAACATATCTCCCCTTTACAAAATCTAATGGTATATGATTCGAAATAATGATCAATTTATACAGTTTCTTTATATGATTAACATCCTTTCTTTTATAAGAATGAATTTCACTAAAAGTATAATTAATTTTTTTTTCTACATACACTATTACACTATTAATAATACTTGAGGATTAAAATCTTTCGCTTCAGGTAGTCATTGCTATTGTTTTCTGATTTTTCCTTCTTCTGGCAATTAACCATGTCTTATTTCAATATATCTTACCATGCAAGAACTACAGAGAAGTTTCTTGTAACAATAGTTGCATTAAGATGTATAGTCAGTAACTTACTGCAAATCTATTTTTCGAACTTTTCAATATTAAAAAATAGTATAGCAACTCCTTCACATAGAGTCGAAACTATCCGATTACAGTCATTGAAGCTATTCAAGATTGCACTTTATAGATATGTTTATACGATAATAAGCAATTATTATGTCGAAAATTATATATACAATTTGTAAAAAAATATAGTATAAAGAAAAAGACAATAAGCTTATATTGTCTTCTTGAAAAAAAAAGGTATAAGGTTAGTATCTCATTCATTTAAATCAATATATCATCCTTTTCTCACCCCTCTGACAATGTAAATTTTGCGAATTTCACATTAAGAGGGATTCAGGGGAATATATGACTATCTCCTCTTATTTCCATTATCATATTATTATTTTATTCTAATGACTATGAACTAAATTTAATTCTTATTTTATAATGTTTCCATAGTAGCCAAGGTATAAATACGACAATAAGCATATAGAAGATATTAATAAGACTAGAAAAAAAAACGTCTACATATAAAGTTCTTATTGTCAAATTGATAATTCCCGTTAATACATTTGCCTATGGAAATGGAGAGAGAAATGAATAAAATAATAATAATAATAATAATAAACTATTAAAATCAACACAAGTCACTTACTAATAAGAATGTAAACAAGCCGTTCATATTAACAGAATCTAGCATGGGAGGACCACGTTCGGTTACACCCATTTTATGCTCGATTAGAACAAGCAGTGATAAAAATGAAAAATTAAAGGCAACTACCCAAAGTACATATGGTAAGTTGGCCTAATATAAATATGTAGTTAGTCCCTAAATTACAAGTTCACGTATATATATTACCAAACGTCTAGAAACATAAAGTTGAGGAAATGAATAATCCCAAATACCAAAAATAGTCCACATAATAAAGCTGTAAGTAACTAAACGAGCAAGTAATAAATAGTTTTTATCTTTAATAATGCGTGATAACCATGTATTATTGCTGGTGCTAAATATTAAATTGCCACATTCAAGCCCAAATAAAAAGATGGAAAGATAGCCCATCGAACTACAAATCCCTTCCTTGTTCGCGCTTAAAAGATTTACACGTGGTGCATTCAGTATCCATTCTTGTAAACCAAATTTTATTAATGCAGTTTGATATCCACATGCAACCAAGAAACCCAACCAAGAAAATGATAACCATCTTGTCCGCAAGGAACTGATCAAGGTTACAAATGGAGGTAAAAATCCCAAAGTAAAGAAAAAATTCCAATGAAGGCCATATTCTGAGCTATGTTCCTGATAATTTACACTCTTTGTTAAAAAGAGTCGTGCAAAGCCTAAAACCAAAATAGGAAAAGCAGATCGAAAGGATTTCATTAAATTATGGCCCACTTTTGAGAATGAAGCATAAGCTCTTGATGCAACCACACCTGAAGAAAATACAAAACTTCCAACTCCCAGATCCATCTTTTTTTTTTTTTTTTTTTTTTTTTTTAATATTAACACATCTATATTTTAATCTTCTTTAAGCTTATTTTTACCAAAGATGTACCAAATGTTTCTACTTTAGCAAAACGGCGAGGAAAAAATTGAAAATCAACAGCCAAAATGGCAATACAGGTTAAAATCATTGTGCCTGCCCTGTAAACTGTCAAATATGGCTTGTATTCACCTCCAATAGTGGGCTTTGATTTGATTGAAGATTGGAGAAATAATGCCATAGTAACCATACCCGTTGTTATCCAACTTGCATAATCAGATGCTACTGTTAAACAAGCTAAGACTGGAATGATATAAATGATAAACTCAGGCATAAATGAATCCTTTTGAATTACATTTGAATGTACAAGTGATGTCCATAACATGTGTGAACCCTAAATAAAGAATGTTAAACATGAGTTTGCAAAACATATGTACAAAATTACAATGATAGAAGCACATATTATGTTAATCTCCTGAATACTGCCACCTGTGCAATTCGAGACATGAGCTTCTTTTGCTAATTTATAATCCTCTTCACTTATTTCCATCTTCTTAAAGATGGTTTATCCAAAGCAATGAAAAAAATAAATGTATCAATTAAAATTCTTTTTTTTTCCGAACTCATACTTTATTGTATTCGTTTTTTTTTTTTTTTTTCTATTTTATACATTTGATGACTTTTGATATGTTTATTAGGTGAGACTCTTTTTTTCAATTTAGTATTAACAAAAAAAAAAAAAAATTAAATAACTTAATATTAGTTTTTGCTGATTCGTATTTCTCTTCTGCCTACAATAGAATACGGAAGCAACTTAGTTTTATTACTTGAAGTAAAGTCAACCTTACAGAGGGAGTTTTAATAATAATAGTAATGATGATAATAAAAAGCCCAATATAAAACAAAGAGCAGTATATACACCCTTATTATGAATGAATATCAAAGTTATTATAAACTTTTTTTTATTATATGTTTTTATATTGCATATAAGTATATTGTCTTCATAAACAAGTCTCTTCCAATATACGCGTATTATGCTGCTGCAATTAATCAAAAATTTAGTCATAATTCAATTGTGCGGGATTTGAAATGTTCGGAGACCTGAACTGGCCTCGGGGAGGAAGAAGGATAGAATATATGAATTCAACTTATTTGCATCCATTTTGAAATCTTCCTCAATACATCCAAATGGTAAAGTATAACCAACAGCAGTAATAGTTAGGGAAATGAAAGAGAGCGCGTGCATATGATAGAGAAAGAAACATTACATGGATGGATGATGTATTTAAATGGAGAAAGATAATAGATCACATTTATAATGGAGATGAGGAGGAGAGAGAGAAAGAGAGAAAAAAAAAAAGAGTCCATCAGCTCAATGAAGTATTAATTAATTCAATTATAGGCTAAGAAAGACGTTGCCGGTAAGCCCAGCTCCTCATCTGGTGGAAAGAAGGCTAAGAAGAAGTGGTCCGCTAAGAAGGTTAAGGACAAGGCCAACAACTTGGTCATGCTTGACAAACCTACTTATGATCGTTTGTTCAAGGAAGTTCCTACCTACAAGCTCATCTCTCAATCCGTCTTGGTTGATCGTCTCAAGTTGAACGGTTCCTTGGCCCGTATTGCCATCCGTGAACTCGAAGCTCAAGGTTTGATTAAACCCATCTCTCGCCACCACGCTCAAATTATTTACAGTAAGTTCTTTAAAAAAAATCTTTTATAAAGTAATTAAGATTTTAACATATATACTTGTTTATAATAGCTCGTGCTACTGGTGATGAAAAGAAAGTTGCTGACGATGAGGAATAAATTAAATATTTTTTTTACAATGTTCAAAACGATAATTACTAGCATAATTTTTTGAATAAAATCATCTTTGTAAAAAAAAAACGTAATGCTAGATTATGTATAGTGCTTTAGTAGAGTTTATTCAAGATTAATATTGTGATGAAGTTGTATAGGAGAACAGCTGTGTTAAATGCGATTATAGTTTCAACATTGTAGTGAGGACTTCTTCACTCAATTTATTAGATTATCTGATAAATCCAAAGTCCAAGTCAGGACAGTTGTTCATTTTATTCAAAAAAGATATCAGTTACTTCAAGATTTTCAGCAAAATATCTTTTCCAATAATTCCTACATATGCTTCATCCAACCTTTACATACTTCTTTGAAGGCAATCGTTCTTATAAAATCACATTTTTTTTTATAAACTGGTATCATAAAAGAGCTTATCTTACTTCATAATGACCATATATTAAAAAAAAAAAAAAAAAAAAAAAGCTTAAAAATAATTGAAGGTAAAATACATTTAGTCTTGGAGAGAAAGCTGTTATTACAGCAGGAGAGTCTTTCCTCTTGGTAGCTTTATGTACATTAGCTTGTGAGACCTTGTAAACGTATAAAGTGGTTTTTTTTTTTTTTTTTTTTTTTTTTACTTGCATGTTCTCTTAGGGTTTTGAGTGGTTGAGTTGTCCTTCTTACTTTCAGAATTGACCTTTTCTAGCTTTGCACGTTTCTTGAGGAAAATTAAATGCTCCACTTCAGGGTAAATAGGTGTGCGTGGCATTGATGAATTGAAAAAAGAAGTAGAAAGAGTTCAAGACAACATTTGTCTGCTAACTAGAAAATATACTCAGTGCGTGAAGTCTTGTTATTATAGTTGAAGAGAATATATCTTTTGATTATTTAAATTCATTTTTATATCTGAGCAAAATTACTTCAGCTATCATTTAGACAATAAAGGCCTTGTTGGTTAAGTAAAAAGTTATACACAAATGAATTTTGTCTTCGACTCTTAGATCATAAAGTACTAGAATGATACGAGCACTATAGAGGCTGGCTGTTTTTTAGGGTTACAACCCTTAAATCAAGACAAAAAAAAAATCTTTAAATTTGCTATTTAGACCTGAAGAACAAAATAGGAAATGTTATTATGCTAGAATCTTCTTGAATCTTTATTTAATAGCGAATTCAAAGATATATAAAGGAATAAAATTTTTATATTATACTATCAATCAAATTTGAGCTCGGTCAAATAATAAGAAAGAAGGGAGGGAAAAACTAAATATAATAAAGTAAATAAAAAAAATTTTTTTTTTTTTTGAAGGGTGGGCATAATAACATTTCCTATTTTGTTCTTCAGGTCTAAATAGCAATTCTCAGTCGAAAGAAATTTCTCGAGAGAATTTCTTGAGACCGTCGGAACAAAATAGGAAATGTTATTATGCTAATCCAGAGCTTGAAAGGAATCAGAAGCATCAAAAAATTCGTCTTGACTGGATAGAATCGTCGATGTAAAGTCAACTTGCGCCATTTGATTCCGCTGGTAATGACGAACAAATGTTTCTGATGAAGCCCAGTTACCAAGAGCCACAATGCTGTCTCGAGAAATACCTAGATCTAATGCCCTAGAAGATGCCAACGATCGAATAGAGACCCCATGTTCATTTGTACACAAAGAGATGAAACGACGATGTAACCACTTAGAAACAGTCGATGCGGATAACGGTTCTTTTATATTGTTGGACTTGACAAAGAGAGTCGAATTGTCTGGACGAGCTTGTAGTGCCGGATGATCTTGGATTGCTTTAAAGCATTGAACGGGACATAATTCATAATCCTCGGTATGTGGGTGAACCGTGAAAGGTTTGATAATACGGCGTTTACTACGAGTTTCTTTCGGTGCGACCACTTGAAACTGAAGATGACCATTTTCTAGTACGGAACACGATGCATAGGGGATACGAACCAGGTCAGACGGACGGAGAAAAGCAGCCATTGCCAGGAGAAAAGCCAATTTCTGTTGCAACAACAGGATTGGAGTAGAGGATCTAGAAGCAATAGATCGAGCATAGGCGAAAGCTGGAGACACATCAATAGTCGGCCGGTGTATAGACACTGGAGGATCTTCCTTTGACATATGGTCTATATAAGAGTTAATCAGTTCACTTTCACTAATACTTTTAGAGTTGTCATGGAGATGAGCCACCGCTGTACGTAAAGACTTAAGAGTGGAAGCCAGTAGATTATGCTCTTGACGCATGTCAGCCAGAAAGTTTACTAGATCTGTAGGAGTGTAAGCCGTATAAGAAATCCCATTATTAGTAGCCCAGGCCAGAAATCGTAACTGACTCTTACGGTAGCCCCGATTAGTCCCATTGTTTGCCAACTGCCTTACTAGTAGATCCTCAACCGCTTGTGCATTGAGGTTTTTATGCACTAGTTTATTCCTGATAATGTCCACACGGAGAGCATCCAATTCCGAGGTAACAGTGGGTGTGGAGTCTTGGGGGATGTCGTTTGCACCGATTGTGGGGGCAGGAGCCATGGATCCGTTAGTGCTAGACGTTGAATTAGAGGAAACCAAATCGCGCTGGGCCAGTATGGCACAACTAGAGTGGCCCGGGGAAGTTGTTCTCGTATAATCTTGTGGAGTACCCGAGTGATGAGGTTCCAAGGTGGATTGATGTAAGGATGTGGAAACTTCGTCCATGGGATGGTAAACGCATCCGTATGGATAGCGTCCGGATCGGGAAGCCAAGACACGTACTTTGGTAACAGTTTGGTTGTCCTGTCGGCGAAGAGGTCGATCGAGAACGGGCCCAACAGTTGATTCATCTGGTGGAAAATCGATGGGCGGATTTGCCACTGATTCTTGAAAAATGTTCGACGAGATTCCATATCGGCTATAGTGTTGTGTATTCCACTGATATGTTGTGCTTGAATCATTATCTTGTTGTGAAGGCACCAATTCCAAACTTCGGTTGCCAGTTCCAGTAATGGGAGAGAACGTGTCCCGCCTTGTTTGTTGATGTATGAAAGACTGGTGGTGTTGTCTGTCCTGATCAGCACTGTAGAGTTCTCCGGAATAGGAAAAGTCTTGAGAGCCAGGTGGGCCGCTTTGAGCTCTCTCCAATTGATTGATTGTTCCGCCTCCATTGAAGTCCAATAACCGTGAGCTCGATGCTGTTTCCAACTGCAGCCCCAACCCGTATCGCTCGCGTCCACAAAAATAGTTTGAGTCGGTGTTGATGGTAGGAATGAACGACCGTTCCATTTCTTGAGGTTGTGATACCACCATGAGAGTTCCTCCAGACTGGCTTGATCTAATGGTCGAGGTTTGTCCCAATCGGCATCCGTCTTGACCGTTTGATTCTTGTAATATAGGAGATGTCGAGTATACAGTCGAGCTGGAAAAATTGCAAACGTAGTTGCCTGTATTCGCATCGTCAAGCTGTGTATTACTCGAGGAGTTTGACGATTGGGCTTGTCCAACACTTGCTTGATCGATCGCCGGATGTCGCGAAGTTTCTTGAGAGGGAGAGACGCTGTCATCTTTGTGGTATTCAATACAAAGCCGAGGTGTTCTAGTTGTTGCGTGGGTGTTAAGACCGACTTCTTGAAGTTGACGAGCCAACCTAGTTGTTGAAGAAGAGAAACCACCTTTTGAGATTGTTGAAGAGCTAATTCTTTGCTGTCTGCTACCAAGAGCCAGTCGTCCAAGTAAGCAGAGATCCTGATGCCTTGACAGCGTAAGTGTTCTAAAATGGGCTTGCAGACTTTGGTAAAGACATAGGGACTTGAGGCTAAACCAAAAGCGATTGTACGATACTGGTAGACTTGACCTTTCCATTTCAGACGTAAAAACCGTCTTGAGTCTGGATGGAGACCTATATGAAGGAATGCGTCCGATAAGTCGATTGAGACTAGGTAATCGTTTTGATGGATCATTAATGATACTTCTCGTAATGTGTCCATTTTGAAATGAGGAGCGTGAAGGTATTGGTTGAGGCGCTTGAGATTGAAGACTGGGCGAATGCCTCCATTTTTCTTGGGGATGACAAACATGGAGCTGTAAAACCCTGGTGTTTGTTGAACCGATTCTAGGGAAACAGGTTCTATTACTTGTTTGGATAAGAGTTCTTGGATGGTCTGATCGATCAGAGGTATTTGATCTTGAGATAGAGGGTGAAAGGATGTTGGATTTATTGTTGTAGGTGGAGTAGTATGAAAATGAATCTTGTAACCGTGTTGAATTATGGTGTCGACGAATGAGTTGATGGGAATTTTTGTCCAGTTTAAATAGTATTTGCTGAGACGACATCCTACTGGGTCGAGTGTTGTAGCTGTAAGTATTGATGTGGTTACTGACGAAATGGGTTGGTGTTCTTCCTGTAGTTGTAGTTGTTGTTGTTGCCACTGTTGTTGTTGTTGGGACGAGAGCTGCTGCTGTTGTTGTTGTTGTTGTTGTTGTTGTTGTTGCTGTAGTTGTTGTAGTTGCTGTTGGTGTTGTTGAGAAAACCACCCTGCTGCGAGGGTGGACCTGCTCGAAAAAACTGCTGGTTGGAAACGTTTGAGGAAGAGCTGTTCAAGCCAGAATTACCATTTTGGAAGCGACGACGTTGGCGTTTGTTGATGATTGCTTCCCGAGTGGCCTTTCTTGCCGCAGTCTGTTGAATCAGAGTATCGTGGAATACATCCAAAGGGAGAGTGTAATTAACTTCATTTGTAGATTTCATGGAGAACGAAGGATCAATCGCACGAAGAGCAATGTTATTACGGGTTTGCGTCATTGATGCACCGAGATGTAACAACAATTTTCGGATATCCTGAAGCATGGTACAATAGCGTTCCAAGTTTGGATTGCCAGCTTCGGATGAGACAAGTTCATGACTAAGAATGTCAAGGGGACGATAAACTGCAGATAGCAAATATTGAAATTGCTTGATGGAATTGTCTTCGTAACGTTGGCCTTTATTCATAAGGCGCTCCGCTGTTGGGATGGTAGCGGGTGCTTTGTAATCCAAATGGGCCATGGGAGGGTAAGACTCAATGATCGTCTTACGTTCGGAGTCAGTAAGTAAAGGTGAAGTGTTCAATGGAGCATTTAAGTTCATCAGTTCAGCAAGACCCTCTGAAGGGGACCAGTCGTAATGGGGTCGGGTACCCATTGAGTGTAGAGGTAAGATAGCAGTGTCATCCGCTGACTGCATCGAGGTAGTGGTAGCATTCTGTAATTGTTCTTGTAGGGCAGCGATCTGTTGCTGCATCATGTGAAATTGTTCTTCAAGGGAGGACATTGAAAATATTAGGAAAAGAAATTTTAGGAAAGAAATATTTGCAACTTTATAGGAAAGTGTGTGACAAATAAGCTGGTAATGACCGAGCGAAAAAGAAGATTGATAGTATAATATAAAAATTTTATTCCTTTATATATCTTTGAATTCGCTATTAAATAAAGATTCAAGAAGATTCTAGCATAATAACATTTCCTATTTTGTTCCGACGGTCTCAAGAAATTCTCTCGAGAAATTTCTTTCGACTGAGAATTGTTCAGTATAGACCCACATTCGCGTTCGTGTCCCATATTCTCTTATGTGTCCCATTTTCATATTGGTGTCCCAATTTTGCAATCCTGTCCCAAATTATTCTGGAAATGGCCAAATTTTTTTTATATTGACCCAACCTAGTTTCTTCGACTGTAATGATGGTATTTTATTAGTTTCATTAAAATTCCGCTTATTTTAAACATCATACAATACAATTTGTTTAAGCATTATTTCTTATTGTTTTTATATATTTCCCTTTATCAATTTCATAAAGGAATAGATAAAAGCCCTTTTTTTATTATTAATATTCATTTTTTTTTTCTGTTTAAAATTTATATTTAAAAGATGGCAACTCCAATCCCTGGAGAACGGTTCATTAGAACATTAAGAAATTATTTGGAAGTTAATGAACGTCGATTATTATCTTCAGCAGTACAATCTAACTTTATTCCAACTACTCAATCGCCTATAATTAAAGAAGAAGAAGGAGAAGAAGAAGAAGAAGAATCAAATGGATTCATGAAAACTGTTTCTAGTTTATGGAGCGATAATAGTACTTCTTCTTCAACAACAGCGCGTTCAACAGGAACTAATTCATTATATGGTATTTCCATCCCATACATGTCATCTTTGATCACCACTAATCCAACTCTTTCTACATCTAATAAAATTATTTCCAGTACTCCATTTATGCCAGTTAGATCAACTTTAACTTTAGATATTCATTACTTGTATTTTTTGTTAGTTCAGTTTGAATATTTGGGATTAGAGGAAACTCGTTTACCTGTACCTGAACCGTATGGGCTTGTTGAGACAGAAGCGACAACAACAGGAAAGGCACCGTCGATCAAGACAGTAGGTTCAATCATGTCAACTCTTTCGCTTTCTACAGGCTGGCAATTTTGGTCACAACATAATAAATCAGAGGAAGGACGGATACAGGAAGATATTGTCTATATTCATCGTTATTTTTCCAAAATCACTGCTCTTAAATTGCAAATGAATCTTTCAACAGATACCGAAAGGGGCGTGACAAGAAGCGGCCAGCGAACGATTCGTGGCTATGAAAATCCTTTACCCCAAGATGGCTCAATTGCACTGAGTCTTAAATGTTTCAAAAATTTAAAATACCTCGAGATACAACATATCCACCCTCGTTGTATTGCTGATTGGTCTGATTTACAGTCATCCTTAATAAGTTTAATTGTTAAATCAAGTCAACTCGATAATGCCACAGATATTATCAACTGCAACACTACTCCTTGGTCTGAATTAAAGATGCTATCATTAGCTGATAATAGTTTAACAACATTAGAGAACGAATCTGCTCAATTATTGCGTAACGTAAATCATCTCAATTTATCGAGTAACCTCTTGATTGATATCCCAGCTGCTTTAGCATCACTCTATAACCTGTCGTGTTTAAATTTATCGTATAATATGATTTCATTCACCACAGCTGTTAATACTGTATTAGGAAATATTCAAGAGTTAGATTTAAGGGGTAATCGTTTAACAGTATTAGCAGGATTAGACCGTTTATGGGCTTTAGAGAGATTAGATGTACGTGACAACCGAATTGAAGATGCTGCTGAAATTGGAAGATTGACTTCATTACCTAACATAAATATGATATGGGTAGAGGGTAACCCATTTACCAAATCACAGGTAAATAATAATAATAAAGAAGAAGAAAAGAAAGAAAGAAAGAAAGAAAAAAAAATGGGCTTTTTTTTTTACACTCTCCAACAAAAAAAAAAAAAAAAAAAAAAAAAAAAAAAAGACCTAATCTATAATTTTGTACAGTCTGATTACAGAGTAGAGATTTTTACATTATTTAAAAAGAATGATCTTGATATTCAATTAGATGGTAGTGCACCTACCTTTGTTGAACGTCGTCGAATTCAAGTAACAAATAAAGACAGATCCGTCAATACACCTACCATCTCTGCAACTATTGCAACCGAAGCCATATCATCTAAAGATAAAGATAATACAGTGATAACAAGTCCAAAACATAATGAAAAAGCTAAAATAGTTCGAGCAAAAGCTAAAAATAATAAACGACAGATTCGATTAGGGAAATTAAAAGAAGAAAAAGAAAGCATGATACCAATTCCAACATCCATAATAGAAGAAAATAATAATAAAAAGCATGTACATCGATTAACAGAGTTAGAAGAATCTGTTCAGCAAGAGGCAGCAAATTCACGTCGAGCTCAATCTGTTCGATCACATAAATACAGTAAAAAGAAACCAGAAATAATTACAAAAGTGAGTGATGACTCTGAGTCCTCAAAGAGATCTTCAGAATTATTTAGAGATAAAATTGAAGCAATGCGAAGAGAAGCCGGTACAGAATGGCTTAGAGTATTACAAGAAATGGATGTTGTTAAAAAGACACCTTAAATAATTATTGTTATTTTTAAGATAAAAAAAAAAAAGAACAATAAAAAAGCAATAAAAAATGTCCTTTGTTAGATGCTTTTTTTTTTTTTTTTTTTTTTTTTTTATTTTATACTATTTATTATCAAAAGAAACGTTGTCAGTATAAAGTTGATATATACATGTGTATACAGGTGTATTTATTTATTTTTTCCTAGTACGACCATTACTTTGTTTAAATTCCCGTTTTTTATACACATATAAAAATAAACATTTTACATTATTATTATTATTATTCTCTTTTTCTTCTTTTTCTTTTTTTTTCCTTTAGTGTATTGAAAAGATATTATTCAGGATGCAAACATTTGCACAAAAGTTGACTTATGATGTGGCGTTGTGGATATTCAATATCATGATTGACATCTTTTTTCGAGAAGTAAAAACCAGGGGCTCATATAAGATCCCTAAAGAAGGACCAGTTATCTTTGTTGCTGCTCCACATGCGAATCAAGTAATATAGGTTTTCAATTTTAGAAGAAGCCGTCATTCATTTATTTAATTTGTTTCTTTATGTAAATAGTTTGTTGATCCTATTATTCTTATGCGAGAATGTAAGAGAAGAGTTTCCTTTTTAATTGCAGAAAAATCAATGCATCAAAAAACGATAAGCTTCTTTGCAAGAATGATTAGTGCCAGTAAAAAAAAAATTTTTTTTTGTTCTTTTTTTTTTTTTTTTTTTTTTTTTTTTTTTTTGTTAAAATATATATTCATATACATATTTATTGACTGTTTTGTTTCTTTTCTAACTTGTTTATTTTATCATCATTGTTCACTTTATTCAATAGTTCCCGTTATTCGTCCACAAGATAGAGCAAAGCCTGGAGAAGGCTATATTCAATTATTAAATCGTAAAACTGATCCATTACGTATTACAGGTATTCATACTCAATTTACTGTTCAATTGAAACCACGCGATTCGATTCTATTACCAAAGGGAGCTGGTAATGCTGAAGTCGTACAGGTCATTTCGGATACAGAGATTATCATTAAAAAGGAATTCAAGGATCTTAAAGCATTAGAGTTATTGACTCAGACTGAGGGAACATGTTATAAATATATGCCACATATCGATCAAAGTACAGTTTATCAAAGTGTTCATGATGAATTAAACAATGGAAGATGTATTACAATCTTCCCTGAAGGTGGAAGTCATGATAGAGCTGAAATGTTACCATTAAAAGGTATAAATAGTGTGTACATCGTCTTTATTTATTCATATGTTTACTTTATTATATATCTATATCTATTTCTGCATTTGCATATGCAATTATCCTTATAAGCTGGTGTTACATTAATGGCTTTAGGTGCAATGGCTAAATATGAAGGCTTAGATGTTAAGATTGTTCCTTGCGGTAAATAGATAGATACACTTTATGCATTATTTTACTAAAGAAAAAAAAATATAAAACAAACACACACATAAATGTGTAGGCTTAAATTATTTTCATGCTCATCGTTTTAGATCTCGTGCAGTAATTGAATTTGGTAAACCTATCACAATATCATCTGAATTAGTGAAAAAATTTAAGCAAGGAGGAGATCTAAAGAGAGAAGCATGTTCAAGTCTATTAGATAGTATTTACAATGCGTTAAAGACTGTAACTATTAATGCTGGAAGTTATGAAACACTTATGGTAAAAAGAAAATGCATATACATAAAACCTTATTCAAACTACCTTATTCTAGATCCTCTCTCTTTCCCCCCCCCTCTTCCCTTTTTTTTTCTTAATATACATATATATTTATATGCATATATGTGTATACAATAGTTAATTCAAGCAGCAAGAAGACTTTATAAACCAGCACATAAAAAATTACATCTTTCTCAAGTGGTTGATTTGAACAGAAGGTTTTTAATTGGCTATAATTTATTTAAAGATGACCCTAAAGTAATTGAGCTACAACAGAAGGTAATGGCTTATAATCAATTGCTTAAATATCACGGCATCCAAGATCATCAAGTTTCAAAGACAAATAAGGAAAATAATGGAAGACTTTTATGGTTACTCATTAAACGTATTTTTATACTGATTATTTTAACTTTGTGGGTATTCCCAGGCACTATCTTGAATTTACCTGTTGTCATTGTAGCAAGAGTAATTAGTCAAAATAAGGCACAAGGTAAGTTTCCCTTAAAAAATAATAATAATAATAATAATTTGTTTCTACATTTTAACTAACACTGTATTTATTTACATACATTAAAAAAAAAAAAAGCTGCACTTAAAAGCTCTACAATAAAAATCGCTGGTCGTGATGTTTTGGCAACTTGGAAATTATTAGTCGGATTAGTATTATTACCTACTTTATATGCTTTCTATAGTTTGATCATATTCATTATTGTATTACAAACAGAATTAGAATTCAAATGGAAACTTATCTTACCTATTGCTACTTGGAACCTTTTACCTTTCATCTCCTATGCAAGCTTAAGATTTGGTGAAATTGGTCATGATATATTAAAGTAGATATCCAAATACAGAGATTACTATCAAATACATATACATATACAGTTATTCAAATCATTTATTATTAGGTCAATTCAACCTACTGTAATGGCTTTATTAGATCCAAAAGGAGCCGAGACACTTCGCCAAATTCGAGAAAAACTATCAAGTGATATTACTGAACTTATTAATGAATATGGTCCCAAAGTATTTTCTGATTTTGATGGTAATCATAAAAAAGTATACTATGTATATACATAAATGTTAATCTTTTTTTTTTTTTTGTCTTTTTTTTTTTTTTTTTTTTTTTTTTTTTTTTTTTTTTTTTTTTTTTTTTACATCTTTAGCTAATTATATCTCAAAAACAACTGAACCTTCTATTAGTCGAACATCGAGCGCCACTAGTTTGTTATGGGCTTCAGCACCAAGTAAACTCCCTAAAATTGCAAGCGGTTTCTTCCAACAAGTGAAACGTATGAATTGGTTAGATGATAAAACTATCTTTAATTGGAGTCGAGCTGAAGATTATGCTTCAGATATAGCAGATGATGTACTTTACTTTTTGGATAAATTTAGTGGTCGTAGTAGGAGTGGATCTGTAAGCGAATCTGATTCTCGACCCATAAGTCGTAATCGAAGTCGTGTTAATAGTTTCAGCAGTAGTGATGGAGAATTCATTAAGGTAGAAGCAATGACAAGTTTACCAACTCATCATTCTACTAGTTCTAATATGCTTTATCATAATACATCTGATACTAATACGAGTAAAACGATGTTAACCTCCAGAGTTATTTTTCGTATTGATGATGTTGATGAAGAAGAAGAGGAACGCGAACTTGATGATTTAGCTGTAACTGAAGGACGGCAACAACAACGTGAAACCAAAAAGGATATATAGCTATAATAAGAATTTGAATAAATAAACCAAAATAATACCTTCTCTTACGCATACTTCTTTTTTTTTCATTCTTAAGTATAGGCAATTATGCTTCCTAGATAAGTGATGGAAAGCTACTTAAAAAGGTTATTCCGACTTTGTTGTTTCATTAACTTGCATCATTTATTTACTGTCTAATTTATTTAAATAACTACAGTTACCATTTTTCACTAAAAAAGTGGTATCTTTTTTTTTTTTTTTTTTTTTTTTTTTTTTCCTTTAATCACCTTTCATATCTTCTTTTTACAACAATAATTTTGTTTAGCTTGTTATAAACTACTCCAGTAATATTGATACTTTCACAGAGATAGAGACCAAATTGGCATTCATTCTTATTTGTTTACTATATGCGAATGACATGATTTAAATTAGCTTCCTTAAGAAATAAAGTATGCTATTTTTATTCTGTAAATAACTATAGCTGTATATTGTACTATCAATGACATCCTTCTCAGCGTATTAAACTTAAAAACACACACACACACATGCACACATCTAATACATCATAAGCATATTTCCTTATAGGGTTATCAGGACTCTTTTGTTTACTTGGTTATTTCCTCCCCTCCCCCTTTTTGAATCTAATGGCTCATTAGATTTGTTAACTATTGTTCAAACCAATACCATCAGGATCCTTCAGATCAAGAACCAGCTCATATCCATAAGGGTGAATACAAATGAGTTCAAATGAATGAGTACAGTTCATTTTCTGCAACACTAAAATAATTCATTTTTTCAATGGAGTATATCCCAACCATGAGTAAGTTTATCAAGCAATTAAATAATAATACAGAGATAGATGTATTCGTCAAGTTTTTAGTAATTCCTTTTGACTTTTAAAGTGATATTCAGTATGATTAAATAATTTACAATGTTTTTCTTAACATCACTATATACCTACAAGTACACTATTTTCTAAATTGTTACTTAATGAATCATTATATCTTCTTCATTATCACTGATATAAGTCTACTAAGGTACCCTTTAGCAAAAGATATGCTTCTAGTATTTTTCAATTTTAATAAATGCTCGTTCTTGCTGACAGCTTTGAAAACTCCCCCCCCTCTCTCTCTCTCCATTGTCCAAGTCCTATCTCCAAATGTCTCTTTTTTACTTACAAACTAAACTGATAAACAGTTCTTGCCTATATTTCTCGATGGATGGTATTGAGCTCTGTGTTGGCTGGCTAGCTCGTTAGTGAATTCCTCAGTGGTAAGCCTATCATCTAACCATAAAAAATAGTCTCACTTCTTGATTGTATTTATATGTATATCATAGTATATATATATATAGTTTACCTTCAGCTACTAGTGCTATAAAGTAAAGAAATTCTATTATTGATTTTAAATGGGTCTTTTCGTACAAAGTCTTAGACTACTGAAGTAGCCCCTTTAGCTCTTTAGTAGTATTTGACTGGTAAAATGCTAGTTATTTCGCTAGTTTCTTTATTTATTAGCATTCCTCTCTCCTTTTTTTTTTTCAACCTATGAGAATGGTTTTATCACATCACTTTCTCAATTTTGTCAAGTTAACTAAGGCAAGACTATAATATTTCATTTTTTATTCTTCATCTATTGCAGAGGAGTTCAAATTTTTTGCGATGACGTAAAATGCCGGCATATTGTTTTTGCATTTTTTTGTGTAAAAGAAAAAAAACTTTTCTTTTTCTTTCTTTTTCTCATAATCATTCTCAACATTTTAAATTAATTTGTTTAAAAATGGCAGATTATGATAGACCCGCAAGTCCACAGGTAAGAGTGTTCATTGATTATGATAATGCTAATAAAAAAAAAAAAAAAAGAAAAAGAAAATGAATCATGTATAATAATCAAAGAACCATAATCAACTTATAGGACATAAAAACAGAAGACCAACCAATGGAAGATGTTAAACGTGATCGTTCTCGCTCTTTCTCTCGTTCTAGATCTGGATCACCTAGACGCGATGTTCGTAGTCGCTCTCGTAGCCCCCCTCATCGTAGTTCTTCTCGTTATCGTTCTCCTGATCGTAGACGTCGAACTCCCTCTCGTTCTAGATCTAGAAGCAGAGACAATAGAAGAAGAAGGTATAATTTAATGTTGTATACATATAATAAGATAAGTAAAAACTTATACGCGATATTGTTTTTTTTTCTTTTATCATTAGTGTCTCTCCTCGTCGTAGCCACAGTCGTAGTCGCAGTATTAGACGACACAGTCGCAGCCCTCGTCGTAGTCGTAGCCCTCGTCGTCGTAGTCGTAGCCCTCGTCGTCGTAGCCGCAGCCCTCGTCGTCGTAGCCGCAGCCAAAGCCTTCGTCGTCATCGTTCTCCCATTCGTAGAAGATCGTAAATAGAGTGTATAAAATGATAATGTATTAGATTATTTTTCTAACTCATATATAACTTTAGTGAAGGTAATAAGGAATTTCATGGTACTAGAGAGGCACCTGAAGTATCCAACATTCTTGGTGTCTTTGGTTTAAGCTTGAGAACACTTGAACGTGATTTAGAAGATGTTTTCAGCGAATTTGGTTCCATTGAAAAAGTGATTATTGTCTATGACCACAGAGTAAGATTTTATTCTTTTATAGATATAACTAAAAAAAAAAAATTGTATGCTCATTTATATATTTTAGAGTCGTAGATCTAGAGGCTTTGGTTTCGTTTATTTTAAGGATCAAGCAGATGCCACTCGTGCTCGTGATGCATTAAATGGTATTGAGATTGACGACCGTAAGATTCGTGTTGATTATTCAGTTACTCACCGTCCCCATACACCTACACCTGGTGAATACATGGGCGAAAAAAGATCTTACGATCGTGATCGTTATAGACATAGTAGACATCGTAGAGATCGTTCTCGTTCTCCTCGTAGAAGATACTATCGTTCAAGAAGCCGTAGCGGATCTTGGTCTCGTTAATCCTTTTTTTTAAAAAAAAAAAAATAGCACAATTTTTTTTTCAAAAATCATTTCTATTTTCTTCAAAGAAAATCAATCAATTTTTTCCTTTTTTTTATATTTATATTTTATCAAGGCTAGCAAAAAAAAATCATTCAAACTTATAAAAAAAACACGTTTAAATCAACAAGAAGCAAGTAAAGAGGACAAGACTCCTTTTCCTTTTTTTTAACTGTCAAAATGTGTCTGTCTCTTGTGAAAAAAAAAAAGTCAAACAAAATTTCCTTTCCACTCAAAGAAAAAATGGGGACAGAAGTGAAAAATAATAATAATAATAATTAATAAGAATAAGAACTATCTCATAATCAAGACCAAGTCAAAAAAAAAAAAAGAAAGAAGGGGAAAGGCGAATATAAGAAGCTACTAATTATTATCAAGAAGTAATTATTTATGTGTGTTTGAATGTTAAACCCCCCCTTTTTTTTCCAGTATACATGTATACTTTTTTCTTTGGGGTGAGATTAAAAGAAGAAGGAAGAAAACACGTTGAAACTATAAAGTTGAGTTGTTTTTTTATAAGAAAGAAATGGTAAGTAAATTTTTATTATTATTTTTATTTTTATTTATTTTCCTTCTGTTACAATAAACGTACTTTAGTCTTCAGGATTTTTTTTTTTTTTTTTTAAAAAACTTTGTACGCTTGATAAAGAAACGTCAAAGATGATTCAAAATAGAATTATTGTTGAGTCAACATAACTAGCCTAGCCTATGTTATTAAGGCAAAGGAAACTAATAGTACCCAAAACAATTTTTTATTATTAAATGTTTTATTAGAATTTAATAGTAATGTTGAATAATAATGATTTGATGCAAGCTAAAATTATAGATATAAAGAATCGTAACGAAAGCCAATAAACATTCTTTTACATTGCAGGTACAAGCAGATTTGCATTAAGCTCTTGAATAAAAAAAATATACATGTTCATATAGATAGATATATAAATGCGTGTTCCATAATTTAATAGTAAACACTAGTAAATGATGCTTATGCCTATTATTCATAGTTATTTAAATGTCGTATTGTACATTTTTTTTTTTGTTTTTTTGGCAGGAAATAGCTCAAGGTTTGAAAGTATTAGATTGAAAAAAAAAAAATATTTTTATCTCCCTTAAAATAGATGCTTATAATTTAAATAAGCGAGACGTTTGTTTCTTTTATGGATATATGTATAATAAAAATTTATATTATGATTCTATGTATGTTTGTATGTTAATATCTAATATTCAATATCCTAAACGTAAACCAATAAGTGGAATCCATAATAAAATAGCACTCATAACAGGAATAGTAAAGTTATCGTCTAATTTGTATAAACAATCACTAACACCTTCGCTGAATGAAGCCACAAGACCACCGTAGATAGACATGAGCCATAAGGGAACTGGACTAGTCAAGGTACGGTAAGACAAAGCAAAAGCGGATGACGGGCTCAAATGATAATAAATCCAGGTCACAAGGCAACCTGTGATAGCTGCACCTAATGATCCCGCTAAGCTCTTACCGCTCTTATATTTCCAGGTATATTTGCCCCACAATTTACCACAAATGCTAGCAGTAGGATCTGTCCATGACAAGTAAATAATTGATAGTGCTGCAATATCTCTTGGAAACCAATACAGTACAATAATACAGCCTATTATATAATCATATTTATATGATTTGCATAAAAAGTTATTATGTCATATTCAAAAAAAAAAAAAAAAAAAACTTACCCAATAAATAATAGACAACTCCATTTATTGTATTTACTTCAGAAGACCTCATAAGAGGTCCTAAAATATAACAGTAAATATCGTTGAACCAATCAAAACTAAATCTTAAAAGTTCACCAGTCAGGACGATGCATAAAAATACAGTTAAGAAGGGATATACGTCTCTTGTATCTGTCCCATTTAAATAAAGATATAACACAATAAAGCCTAATTTTAGAGAAAAAAAAAAGAATGAATGAATAACAATTCGTAGTCTATGCAATGTAATTCAAAAAAAAAAAAAAAGAAGAGTAATTACCAATTGAAAAATGGAATAGTTTACGAGGAATCTCCCAGCCTCCTTTTATTGGAACATGAGGATATATTTTATCCATCTTTTTCTTTTGATCTTCATTTACATTTGATTTGGACATGGTTACGTTTATACAATTAAAAAAAAAATAGTGAATAAAATAAAATAGAAAACAAAAGAAAATCAAAGTTTTATAATCTTTTATAGTGTTTATGAAAAATGACAAGCTATTCAAAAAAAAAAAAAAAAAAAAAAATCTAAACTCCTCTCCGAAGGCTTGATTTTCTCTTTCTTTTTTTTTTTTTTTTCTTTTTTATTAGTTGATTTTACTGCATAGTAGTAAAAATACTCATTTATTATTACGTTTGTTATTATTTTCCTGTTGTAGGAACATGACCAGCTTTTAATAAGCGTTCCAATCTAGAAATTTCATCAAGTGATGTAGCTTGTTTGAGTGCCTCCTAATAAAAATATATGTTTTTAATATACAAAAAGCCCCTTTCTTTTTTTTCTTTTTTTTTGTCATTTTACCTTGATCTTTAATTGCTCTTCAGGAGTAAGACCATGGATTTGACTATCTTTTTTATCATTTAATCCTTCTCCAGGTTCAAAAGTCTTTGTTTTATTATCTGTAATTGATTTAGCCAAGTCATTGTCTGAACCATCTGATTTACTGAATAATTTCTTTGCTTCTTGCTTTTCGGATAATTTCACCTTATTGAAATCTAAGACACGAAGTTGGGGTAATTTATGAATCAAATAGAGACGATAGTGTGATTTTTTAGTAACTGGATTATCCATAATACTCAAATGTGTTAATTTCTTTAATCTAACTAAAGGTTCAAGATCACCCAATTCCTGAATAGCGTTATTTGTCAAGATAATTGTATGTACATTAGGAATATAGTCGCTTAATTCTGAATCAATCTTACTGATACGGTTATTATTCAATAAAAGATGTTGAAGTCGATTTAAACGAGGGAAATTGCCAAGAACACGTAAATCATTATTAGTGAAATCAATAGCATCATTTAAATCCTAATGAATAAATAAATAAATAAATAAAATTATTAATGAATTATCGTTTTTTAGTCATAAATAAATAATTTACTTTAGTCACGCCAAGATTTTCAATAGCAGGTATCTTTAAGTCTATTATATTTACAGGGATAAGGTAATTATATACATGTATATGTATACGCGCTTTTATCTTTTTATATATTTTTTATATATGTATTACCTCTAAGAATAAGCTCACGATCACCTAAAGGATTAATATGTGATAGACTGTTATTAATTAAATCGGCAGTTAGCTTCATGATTATGTATAAAATAAATTGTGTTTAACTTGAAAGAAGAAAAGGAACTTTGTTTGTGCTTTAAAGTGGCTTATTATTTATTGCTGGAAAAAAAAATGTAGTGTGCTTTACAACAAAGCATTAGTTTGCTGTGTTTTAAAAGTTTTAGCACAGCATTTTATTTGATTTTATTAGTCGTTTTCTTTTATGTATATTGTAAAATACGGTGAATAGAATAGAGTCTATTACCACACATACAATTAACTTTAATAAACAACTTGTGTCATTATATTCGGCTTTATAAGGTGTGTAAAGTTTTATTGTATTTTGGTTAAAAGAAAAAAAAAAAGCATGTATATAACTCTTATTTGAGCCAATTAGATTGACTTATTTTTTTTTTTATTTACCTTTTTATTTACCTTTTTATTTACCTTTTTTTTTTTTTTTTTTTTTTTTTTTTTTTTTTTTTTTTGTATATTCATATACATATACATATATATTTTTAGTTATAACATGGAGCCACAAATTGAAGAAATTGAGGATGATGGAAAGATCGTTTATGATTGGAATCCTCCTACAGGACAACAACAAAAATTTTATTATAAAGGATATCCTATTGATAGAGAACATGTAATATTGACCTTTAAATGGAATTATGCTTATTATGATTAACTCTTTTTTTGTTTAATTATCCAGGTTACTAAGATGTTTGAAAACTCAAAAATAAGAGAATGTCGTGGTCATAAAGAAAAAGTACACACAGTAGCATGGAATAGTGATGGTAGAAAATTAGCTTCAGGTTCTGTAGATAAAACGGCACGCGTTTGGTCTCCACATCGAGGGGTAAGAATATATTTTTATTTTATTATAGAAATCGTTAAATTTTATTTTAACATGTATATGTTATAGACAGATATTAGATATTCTATAGAATTAAAAGGCCATACAGATAGTGTAGATCAATTAGATTGGGATCCAACTCATCCAGATAGATTAGCAACAGCTTCATGTGATAAGACAGTACGATTATGGGATCAACGAAGTAAATCAAGAATGACCATCAATAACTTGAACTAATGTTTATTAATGAATTATTTATATATATATGTTTATATATATGTATATAGCTGGTAAATGTACAGCAGTAATACAGACAGATGGAGAAAATATCAACATTTGTTGGAGTCCAAATGGAAACAATATCGCAGTAGGAGATAAGAATGACACAATCAGCATAATTGATACTCGTACAAATAAAATCATTGATAAACGTAAACATCCTGTAGAAGTGAATGAAATTGCTTGGAATAATGCCAATAATCAATTTTACGTCACAACTGGACAAGGCACGATTAGAGTCTATGATTATCCTTCTTTTGAACTTCAGACTAATTTACGTGGACATACAGCGAATTGTTATTGCGTGGAAGTAGATCCAACAAGCAAATATCTTGCTGTAGGTTCAGCTGATGCCTTGATCTCATTATGGGACACAAATACCTTTCAATGTGTTAAAGCATTTCAAGAACTCACGTAAGATTTATTGAAAGAAAGAAATATATTGATAAAGATATATATTTATATGCATGTATATGCATACCTAATATCATATATATATATATATACATATATATATAGTTGGCCCGTTAGAACTCTTGGGTTTAGTTTTGATGGTCAATACATTGCATCTGCCTCTGAAGACCATTTTATTGATGTGGTATGTATTAAACCTTCTTCATAACTTACATTATATGAAAAAAAAAGAGGAATTATTCACATGACTTATATTATTTAATAGTCACATGTGGATAGCGGGGAATCAGTTCATCATATAGAATGTACTGCAGCAATGAATACAGTTGCTTGGTCACCTCGTGATTATTATCTAGCGTATGCAGGAGATGAGCTTAACTCAGATGGTAAATATGCAGGCAATTTGAAGATTTTTAGTATGAAGGATCCTCGAGATCAAAAATAAATAGATAAAATACTATAATGCAATTTTTTTTGGAGCCCTGATATATAAATACATAATAAGGCTTTATTTCATTATGTTTATGGGATGGAAAGCAAGAAATTTAGACAGAAATAGTGTATGTATTTGTATTCATGAAAGAGAAGCGGGATTGATTTCAATTGTGTACAATTTAATAAGTGAAGCTGTAGTAGCAAGAAGAATATAAAAATTATAATTTCTATGTATGTTACAAGAAAAATGATGATAATAATGATCAACAGTGGCATTGTTATGGGCTTTAATATCACTGTTGCCTCATTCATAGTGTTTTAATTAACACTATTACTAGTAAAGATGTCTGGTAATAGTTAGTTATCTAAAATATAAAATTAAGCAGCCGATAAATTAGAAATTACTAGAGTTACAAAATACATAAAAACTAAAGACAATAATTATTTAGCTCTAAAAAAATGACTCTATTTTTTCTTTAGACATCATTAAGGTCAAATGAACATCATTAAATATGTGTATTATTGACAAGAAAAAAACACACACTGAATATTGTTCATAGTCAACCTAATGCATCGTTATCTTTTTTTTTTTTTTTTTTTTTTTGTTACTTAAGAAATACAATAATATCTGATAATTCACTCAAGATAAATGCTCGTGATCATTGTATTCATATATTTAGCAGTATCAGTAACTACTGAACTCTTCCTATTTGAATAGTAAATCATATTTATCAGCATTTTAGACAAGCATTAAATTAAAAAAAAAAAAATGCGCTACATTAAGGTTTAAACCTAATTGTCAAATAAATCAATGTAGTGTACACGTGTAATGTCGTTTACTATGTCTGAAACATTCATCTCCATTCGTTTTTCTTGATTCAGCATGAGCTGTATTGCTCTTTGTGAATCAATCTTGTACAAAAAAAAGGGATCTATACTTTTTTTTTTTTTTTTTTTTTTTTTTTGGCCCGAGAAAATAGATTTTGATTATCTTAGTTTTCATATAAATAGGCCCTTCTTTATTATATGCCGTTATCTTTGTAAATTAATTATTTTTATTTTTTTTTAAAAAAAAAATAAAATGAGAGAAGTTCTCTTTACTCTAATATTGTTAGCTACTACGGTCTTTAACGTATTAGGAGCAACTAGATCAGGTTTTTCTTCTTCAAGGCCTGCTGATCTTGAAGGCCAATTTCCACGTCTTGGTGCTTGTCCTCATCCTCATATTTGTATTTTCCCTCCTGACGTGTAAATATAGACTATGCCATTTTTTATTTTGGATTTCATATACGTGTTAAACAAAATAATAATCTAAACTTTCTTTCTTTTTTTTTTTTTTTTATTAAACTGTTTAGGTCTACTTTTCTTCCTGGTTCTTACTTTGATTTACGAGTAGAATTTCATGCGTACAATAATGAAACTTTTACTCCTTCTTCGAACAAAGTGTTGAAAACAATGATTAAAAAAGGGAATGGGAAATGGTATAAGATGAATGATTACTTCAAGTTGCATAGTAAAAAACAGCAACCTACTCTTGAGGCCTGGAATTTCAACTGGGTTAATTCAATTGAAACTCAATATGCTTCCATCTTGAATAATTCACGTAAACCTATCTCAGTTAATGTTACTTCTTATGTCTGGAGAAAATTAAAGTTGACTGACCCTGGAGAATATGAAATTAAGGTGAAATACGGCTCTGAACAATCCTATTCCGTTAAATACAATGTTGTTAAGGTTAGATCAGAAAGGAAAAGCCTTTTTTTTTTTCTTCTTCATCAGCACTATGAACCTCCTTTCTCACATTTTTTCTTTTTTTTTCTTTTCTAAAATTTATTTAGCCCAAGAAACCTAAGAATAAGGCGAAGAATGTGATTCTATTTATTTCTGATGGTACCAATGTTGGTGTATGTATAATATATTTACGTGTTCTTATACACCTTGATATTTAATATGTATGGATGAATGAATATATATATATATGTATATATTTCTTTTGTTTATATAGATGATAACTGCAGCTCGTGCACTTGCTCGTAAACATACCTCTGGCAAATATGAATCTTTACTTTCATTTGAAGATTTTGATAACCTTGGTCACGTCATTACTAATTCTGTTGACAGTTTACTTACTGATTCATCTAATTCTGCTTCTGCCTATGCCTCTGGTCATAAAAGTTCTGTGAACTGTTTAGGTGTTTATGCTGATTCTTCAAGTGATCCATTTGATGATCCTAAAGTTGAACTTATTACTGAATTGATTCGTCGTCGTCAGCCTGGAAAGGCTATTGGTATTGTTTCTACCGCTTTTGGTCAGGTATATATATATATATATATATATATATATATATTATTATGCATACATATATATAAATACGTTTTATTTATTTATTTATTCAGGATGCTACTCCTGCAGCCTTTGTCAGCCACACTCGGAAAAGATATACATTTAAAGAAATTACAGATCAAATTTTAAATGGTGTTCATAACTGGACTTCTGCTGGTAATATATATATATATATATTACAATAGTAGGATTCAATATATATTAAACAATTTATGATAATAGTTGCTCCTGATGTTTGGTTATCCGGTGGTGCTGAATATTTTGCTGGTAATTTGACTTTAAACAAATTAAATTATTATAATATGTTTAGAAAAGCTGGCTACTCTATTGTTCAAAATAAGAAGGATTTACTTGCGAATAAAGACAAGAGTAAAAAACTTTTAGGTGTCTTTCGCAAGGGTAATCTAGATACGTAAGTAGTATATATATATATATTTTGTCTTTATAATTTCTTCTTCTTCTTCTTTTAACGAATAATAACAACAATTATGATGAATGATAGTTGGTTTGAAAGAAACATTTACGTCAACAATACGGTTGGTAATAAAGCTGCTCCTGATTTAAGTGGTAATGATGCTCTTGGTTCTGATCAGCCTGGTCTTTCTGACATGACTATTTCTGCTCTGAAAGTTTTAAAGAAGCGTGGTGGAAGAGATGGTTTCTTCTTGATGTCTGAAGCTGCTTCAGTAGATAAACAGGTAAATAGGGGGTTTCTATTGATGAAATATATATATATATATATGCATATATTTTTGTTCTTCTCTCATCTTTTATTTTGTAGTTACATACTTTTGATTTCCCTCGTGCATGGGCTGAGCTTATTGAGCTTGACGTAACTGTCAAGAATACAATTAAATGGCTCAAGAAGAACAATGAATATGAAAATACACTTATTATTGTTACTGCTGATCATGCTCATGCCTTTGATGTTTGGGGATCCGTTGATCAGCGTTATATTCGAACTCATGATAATGTACTTGATATGCGTAATTCCATTGGTATCTATGGTCGAGCTGGCTGGCCGGGATATTTCGATAATGACAATGATGGTTTCCCTGATAACTGGGTAATTTCAAAGAGAGAGAGAGAGAGAGAGAGGAGGGGGAGCAGGAGAGAAAAAAAATTGCATATACACCTTGTAATAGTCTGTTTTGCTTTTTTACATAATTAATGATATATATATATATAGTCCCCTAAAATATCTCTGGCGGCTGGTACAAATAATGGTCCTGGTCATTATGAAGCATGGCAAACAGTTACTACTGGTCCTAGAAAGCCTACTGTAATGGATATTCATGGCGATTATGAAGGTAACAAAAACGACCCCGCTGGAAAGAATGGAGGTAATAATAATAGTAGTAATAATAATAATAATAATAATAATAATAAGAAACCTTAATAACACATGTTTAAATAGCTGGTCTTATTTGGAATAGTAATTTACCTTATGGCTCATATAAAGGTGTTCACTCTATGAGCGATGTCTTCATATATTCCAATGGACCTAGTTCTGAACTCTTTAAAAAAACATTTGAAAACTGGGAACTGTTTTTTAAGATGGCTGAAGCAATGAACTTGATGTTTCCTACTAAAAATGAATAACATTATGTATATATTATTATTGTATTAGAAAAAAAATTTATATAAATATTTATTTAAAATTAAAATTTCTTAATATGATATCCTTAAGGGTGACATGTGTTTGGAAAAAAAAAGCTTATGTAATTCTTACTACTTTATTTTATTTTGCCTATATAGTAAGCTCGTTTTTTATTATCTTATCTCATTTTATTTTTATAAAAAAAAAAAAAAAAAAAAAAAAAAAAAAAAAAAAAAAGGTATATGCTATATAATATGTTTGTTATGTATAATGATGTTTAGAAAGTGAAATTTATAGTATAAAACGTATTAGAATTCCCATTTATGCAAATTTTCATCCATAAAAAAGTCTACCATGTTCTTAACACGAGTACCAACAGGATTTCTTGGTTTCATCTCCTTAATACGAGCTGCAAACTCAGGAGATATAGCAGATTTTCTATTGATTTTACTATTAGGTAAAGGTGATTGAGGTACTGATGATGTAGCCATTGATTCAAAATGGAGTCGAAGTTGATCAACCACGATATCGGGTGTCTCAGGTCGAGGTAGAGTAGAGGAAAAAGAGGACGAAGAACGACCACTTGTTCGTGTAGTAGATGTTAATAAAGGTAAAGCGAATAAATCATCTATATTAGCAGCCATTGATTTGCTTATGGTAGCAGCTACTTCAGCATCATGTTCATCTACGATGGTGGTTGTTAAAGTAGAGCATGTTGTAGTTGAGAAACTATATAATTGAGTTTGCTGATTTTGTACTTGATCTATTATTAGTATATCTTCTTCTGCCTCCTCTTTCTCTTCCTTTTGAACATCGTTTAAAATCGTCACTTTCTCGTCTGTTTCTTCTACGACTTTATCTTCATTTGAGGGATTCAATTGTTTTTTTAACTCTTTATCTACAATGGATTGAATGACCAAGTCCTCCTCCTTGGCTATTTGAATGCTATTTTTACTGTTTACTGTTTGGTCCTTTTCTTCTTCTTCTTCGTCGCTACTAGGAATAATGCCTGATCTCTTTTCCGTTGTTAAGCGATTTGGTTTTTTCGTACGTCCTGTAAGAATTGATACAGGTAATGTATTCTTTGAGATACCTCCTTTTGCAGTCAAAAACTTTTTAGAAGGAGCAGCCGTAGTTGTCATGGTAGTAGACTGTGATGAATAAGTCGAAAAGCTATTACCTCTTCCTCTTCTTTTTCTGTTTCTTTCTTCTGATACTCTAGTATTATTATTATTATCAATCTTATTCTTATTATTACTCTCTTTCAAAGAGCTTTTCGTTATGTTCGAACGAGTATTCTATATATGTATATATATAGGTAAATAATCATAAAAGTACTTTCTATCTCTATTTATTCTTACAGATTTCTTTTCTAATAAGTTATTGGCGTTCCTGGTTGAAGTTATGTTGGGTATTTTAGGATGAGTTGAAGATCTTTTTGCTACTAATGTTGTTGTGCTCATGTGACGAGGTTCTATTTGTCCTATGTTACTACTACGCAATTCTATTCTTTTCTTCTTTTTTTGAGAATTATCAGTTATTGTGGTGGTATCCTTTTTTGTGGTATATTTTTTATTTTGCATATTCTTCTTTACTTTTTCAGACTTGCTTGCAACCATGTAATTTTTAAACCATTCTATTTCTTGTTGAGCATCATTCACAGTAGCACTTCCATGTAAGAGAGAGTTTTTTCTATTTATATATAAAAAAAAACCCCCGCAGCAAAGTTAATATGAATTTCACGTACATATTAGACGCATACATATCATACTTACTTTTTTGATAAGCCGTTTATGATAGTTAACCAATCTTCAATAGCATTTGAACCTTCTAATATAAGTCCATAAATTGGCCTATTTAAAAAAAAAAAAATTGATATTACTAATTATGATATACATACATATATAATACATGTATGAATAAATAGAAATTACTTACTGTTGTTCATTTATAATCCAGTTTTTAGTCTGTAGTAACTCTATCTGATGAGTTGAGACAGTATCAACCGTTAATTTTACTTGTTTTTCAAAGATTATTTCAAGTTGTTGATTTTGATGAATAGCTTTAACAGCTTCATCCTTAATGCTTAAAGAAAGGAGACCTAGTGTATATTGTTGTGTCATACAAATCTAGACAAGAAAGAAAGAAAGAAAAGAGTAAATATTATAAGTTAAATATGCATAGTTTAAATTTTTATTTGTTTCCTTTTTTTAAAAAAAAAAAAAATATTTGGTATGCATATGATAATATCACAACTTACAGTATTGTATTATCTAATGATTTTTTTTTCTCTTTATCACTTGAATTAAAAAAGAGAGAAAAAAAAACAGAGAAAAGAAATAGATTGTAACAATAAGGGGGTCGAAACGAATAAAATTAAACCCACTAGTAACACAGAATGAAATTGACAGGCTTATTTTGGACATAAAACATGGAATAGAAAAGAGCATAGAGATTATATTGGAAAAAAAAATAGAAGAGTACTTCATCTAAATGGTTATCCTTTATATATAATAATAATAATAATAGCAGAGTAGCAAATTAGTTTTTCTTTTCTTTCTTTTTTTCGCAGAACGAGGTTAATTTGTGCACAAGTGTCTTAAATTGTTTCTGTTTCTAGCGTTATTTATGTTAGAGCCAAGTTACCTATTGAGAACTAAAGGCGGAAGAGGAACATGTGTGCACGATACAGTTTCTTTTTTTTTTTTTTTTTTTTTTTTTTTTTTTTTTTTTGTATGCCTGGAACATATCGTATTTAGGCTTATGTCTGTATTATATCGAGTTAAATAACATCTGTTTTAATGCACACATATTATTGATTAGGGTGATATTTGCTTACATGTTGTACAATTGACATTCTTTGGACTACTTTACATTATCTACCTGGACAGATTGACGTCTATAAATTTGTTTTACTTCATTACATTTTAGTTTTTTAATATAGATATTGAAAATTTATTTTAACCTATGAACTTTCCCCTCCCCCATTATCTTTTTTTTTTTTTTTGATATTAATAAAGGACCTGAGAGGAACTCATTTCTTACATTGTCCTATTATTTAACTCACAATCTTGGTTCATTATATGTCAAATAACATAGTACTTTTATCCTAGCTGGTAAACTTGGTACATTTAGTTCAGCTGAGTGGTACAGTAGCTCAAATTAGGGGTTTTTTTTTTATTCTATTCTATTTTATTTTAATTAATCGTAGACTGTATACAGTTCGAGTTGGTATAACGTCAGTATCATGACAAATACTTGTAGAATTACTAACAAATAAAAAATTTATCAAGCCTATCAATCATCAATACCATTTTCTAATTGCTAATGACCTGTAAATATAAATATCATTACGTCTAATAAATGTAATGACAAAAGCAGACGTGTCATTATCTATACTCTTCTTTTGCTATTTATGAGTATTCTTTTCCCATAGGTATATACTATCGATTATAAATATATTCATATATCCAGATTGACGGTCTATTTTCTTTTCTTTTCTTTGAAAAAAAAAAGTTGCTTCAATACTAAGGATATATCTTATAATTTTAATGTTTTGTATATAATAAGATATTATATAATGCTATTGATATACTTGGTGAAGCTGATTATATGTATAGAGCGAAAAAAAAAATACCTATCGCCATTCATCTCAATTTAAAAGTTATTCAGAAATTAAACTTTTGAACCATGAGTAGCTATCAACTATTTTTTTTTTTAAAAAAAAGCAACAAGCAACATTACATTATAACTTTACCATAGGATCAGAAGATTTTTTTAATTGTTATATTACACCAAACTGCAAATATTTGTATAGATATATACTGGTGGAGACACTTTGTCATAAATAATGTCTCTCCATACCACAGAAAGGATTCAATGAAAGCATATATGCGGGAAACAGGCTTTATATCAACACATCTATCTCCATATTCCCCGTTTCTGAAGGTTCTAATTGAAGAATGTTGAGCAAAAGAAAAAAAAAATTGTCTTTTTAAAAGTTATATATTTTGGGAAGAATGAAAGTTTCTAAACAAGGCATTCTCCCTAAGCGTCCATATTAAACACTCATCAATATATATTTTTTTGTCGAATCTTGTTTATTGCATAAAAAAAAAGAGAGAGAATCTTGAAGTAAATTATTGGTGTTGTATTTATATTCTTGGCAAACCTTTTTTTTTTTTTGAAACGTGTTTAAAGAAAAATTTACAGTGAATTATTTTTTTTTTGTAGAGCAAAAAAAAAAAAAAAAAAAAAAAAAAAAAAAAAAAAAAAAAAACTGCTGCACGAAAGGTTTGAATTATGAATTTAGGCTGTATTACAAAGTTCAGAAGTTCAATCATTAAAAAGAAACTTCTTGTTTCAAATGATTTTCTTCATTTATACGTCATTCGGATCTTTAAATATATTATCAGCAACAACCTCCACTTTGATATCCTTTTTTTTATTATTATTATTCTATTTTTTATTATTTCTTATCTTATACCCTCTCTCTCTCTCTCTCTTTAATTTAGAATGGATTTTACGATATTAAATACAGTATATAAATTGTTGGCAGAAGGTGAAAATAACGTGCCGAATTTATCATGGTGGAATGTGGCTATTGCTTCATTATTTCTATTTGTAAACGGTAAATACTATGTATAAATAACATGTATTTATGTATATTATTTTAAACAATTCAAATCCTATTACTAGGTTTTATTTCATTTTTTCTCGGTTTAAAGTTAGAAAAATCATTGTTAACAAGCTCAATTCGCTGTATTATTCAACTAACAATTATGGTTTTGTATAAAAGAGATGGATCAAGATACAATAGACACATGTATATTAAAATGATTCAATTTTTATATACCTTTGATAGGGTCAAATCCTCGAAAGAATATTTAATGCAAAAAATCCCATCTGGGTTGCAGTCATGACATGTAAGATATTAGTATAGATGTCGATATAAAAGGCTTACTTTTATTTATTTATTGTAATAAAAGTTGCTTTAATCTTTCTAAGTTCATGTGAGACTGTTTATAATAAATCAGATTGGTCTTATAGTGGCATGGTAAAGAAAGAAAGAAAAAAGCGTACACAAACACACACACACACATATATATATATATATGTCTTTTATAGTTTATCCTATTCTATCACTAATCATTCATATTAAAGTTCCCTTCTGTCTTATTATCAACATTATTTTCTACTATTTTTATTGGTATTTTAGGAACACGTTTTGCCATGAATCAAGGAAAAGATTTTTGGCTCCCAGAATTATTTATTCCAACTGTAGGATTATTATTAGGGATAACATCAGGAGCAATGGCAGTAGGGTTAACGACTTGTTTAACTAAAATGGGACAACAATCTAATCAAATTGAAACCTATTTAAGCTGTGGAGCAAGTCGCTGGGAAGCAGGTAGAACGGTAGCTATTGAAGCCATTCGTCTAGCCATGTTACCGAGCATCAATCAAATGTCTGTTATTGGTTTAATTACTATTCCAGGTGCTATGACAGGCCAGATCTTAGGCGGGGCACCTATTATGAATGCAGTTAGATATCAACAAATTATTACTTTTATGATCTCTGCTACTACTGGATTATGTGTCTTGTCTGTTGTCTATGTAAAGTTTACATTATATATGTATATTATATCTATCCATCTATCTATATACCTAATATATATATTCTTAGTTTTGTATTCATCATATGTTAGATACTAAACATCGACTTCGAAAGGAAAAAGTACACAAGTACAAAGCTAATCTATTTTATGATATTAAAGCATTATGGATCGACTTTTGGAATGAACTATCCAATCAAGAATACAATGACGATGATCAGCAATCACAAGCAGCAAATGAAAATACACCTTTAATCAGTAACAGAAGAAGAAGCTCATAATGTACAAAAAAGGAAAAAAAATAAAATATGTGTGTAATATATAACAAAGATGAAGATAATTATTACTGTGCATAAAATAAATAAATAAATGGAAAAGGAATTTTTTTTTTTTTTATTTTTTGTTATCTTTTTATTTTTATTATTATTTTATATACACATATTTATATACAAATACAGATATATACATATACATATTAAATATCGATACAAATGTCAGCAGTAACAGCAACACCTTTACTAAGTCGACAAAATGCATTTCTATTAGAAGAGAATGATATGCTAAATAATTCACTTCATTTTGTAAGAATGAATTCACAAGTAATGATGGTGATGAAGCTGATGATGAATAGTCATTATTAATAATCTTGTCTTTTATTTATTAAAGAAAATATGTGTTGAATGCAAGCAAAGACAAACACAAAATAATAAAGAAAACAAACGTATTCAACCTTGTCATTGTCTAAATAAACAGCCAAATAATACCATGTATATAACAATAAGCATCATAAAGTTTCTTCTCTTATCAAACTTATTACATCATTTAGATATGTATATATAGAATGCTTTAAGAAATGGCTAAGAAGGAATGATTGCAAGTCAAATTATTATTATTCGATAGTATCATCTTGTAAGACTGTATTCATATATGCAATTCTCTATTCTATAAAGACTATGATACAACTTCACTTATATTTATTTACTGTTTAGCTATTCATGTTAAGAAGAAAATAATAGTTGGTATATTCATCATGTTTATCCTCTATTTCTGTATACATATCAATAGATGCATGGTCATAGAGATATTATCAAAATCTGAGATATATGAAAAATATGGTCAAGATAGATCACTTAAAAATGTACCTGAATCACTTATATTACCTGTAATTCACATATAGAAAATACATGTCATTGTCTATCTTGTATACTTATTCACATTCTTATTCTATAGAAAATAAGCATATCATGTATGCAGTCATCCTATAGTGGTATTCATAACCATTTTATCTCTATTTCTCACTTTACAGTTCTCTTGTTCATTTCCATCCTTTTCTGCCTCTTTCCAATAATTACATTTGTTTTTCTCTTTCTTCTATTCTTATATTGGATTCTGTTATAATAATAATAATATCTTGCTTATTTGAATAAACAGTAAAGTAAATAAGACATGATACTAAAACTCGTCGAATTTCATATAACGTGATAAAATCAATATATCAGCTCCCTATGTCATGGGAGTGCAAGTAAGGAAAGAAAAGAAAAGAAAAAAAAAAACTTTGAATTACAATATTATAAAGTGTGTTCATGTAGTTCCATGTACATCTATTATATCATAGATAGAGATTATATCTATTTCACTCATATTTATATGCTTTACATAATGAACTTATATCTAATATAGACAAAAACCAGTACAAGTAGTATCATGTTGTTTGGCTTGAAGAAGGTAGCTTATCACACATACATATATTAAATGCTTTAAAAGAAGAAGAAAGGTGTAAACTGACAGCATTTAAATTATATATCAATAAAATTAAATAGTGTAACTTTTTATATGGAGTAACATCTCTTTTTGTTGATTTCACATGATTGTATTTCACGCATCTATCTAGACTTTCTTTCTTTCTTTCTTTGATGTAGACCAGACCGGTGTCGTCTAACAAATATATGCTCTTGAGCCTCAATAAAAATATTCCAAGCGTCCTTATTTTTAAAAGTAATGAAAATAAATTCGTAAAATCAAAACGTGATGAACGTTTACAACAGAAATTGGGTTTTTTTTTAAAAAAAAAATTACTGCAGAGAATGACTAGTTGCCCATAACGACTCTATCCTCTTTTTAGAATAATAAAAGAGAAGAAACATTAGATTGAAGAGAAACGTCTTTCTTCAGTAATAGAGACACATAATAGCTTGGAGTTAGTTCGATTGCAGAGAATTGATATTGAACAAAAAAAAAAAGTATCTGAATAAGAAGGTCGTTTCTTTAACATAAAGACGAGACAAATTTTAAATCATTATGGAAAAGTATTCTTTGCAAACTTATACAACGATTGAAGTAATATAGCCTACTATTTATCTTATAAAACTAAATAAACTATTTTTTTTTATAAATACCTAACTTTCTGTATCACAAATAGTGACAGCTTATTCTCCTCCAAAAGAAAAAGTCTCTAATTTGTTACTAAGAATGACTTGCAGCTAAATGCTTTATTTTTATTGAACTTTTAATTTCAAACCATCCTTGACTGAATTTCAAATTCAAAAAAAAAAAAAGTGTGTGAGTAACATTTACTAAAGGAGATTATATCTAAGATGGAAGAAAGAATTATTTTTTATTATTTTCTTGTTTTATTGTTTTAGAATTATGTCTTATCCTCAGTACAATTCATATCTATCTAACCTTGAATCTCTTGTATTTGATTCACCTAATGAAGTAGTTCAAACAGAAAAAGATGTTGCAGATGAATTAGATTTATGGGTAAAAAAAAAAAAAAAAAAAAAATAGATACATCTATTTATCACAAATAAATTTTTTTTTTTTTACTAAACTTTTGAATTAGACAAATGCTCAATTTTCATTTGATGTAAAGCCTGGAGTTGGCATTTATGAAGATGAAAAGAAAAGTAAGGAAACAAGTCCTGCAACTCAATTTGAGTCTGCATCAGGTTTAGACCCTGTAACATATAATACACTTGTCAATTATCTTGACTATGAATTACCTCAGCGACAACAAATTGAAGTTAATGTACCTAGTCAACCACAAAAATCACAATCCCCTCCTACTAAAAAGCAACGTTTAATTCAACCTCGTCCTTTAGCGCCTGCTTTACCTACTTTAGCGCCTAATGTTCCTTTAGTTTCTACTACTCGTCAAGTATTGATGCCTAAACCACCTATGGCCAATACAACTCATATATTATCTCCACTCTTAATAACACCTACTACAACAGTTAATAAGAAGAAGAGTCTAAATGATAACAAAAAGGCTAAATCAGAAGAAGGAAAAGAAGTGATTCCAGATGAAGATAAACGCCGTCGTAATACTGCTGCAAGTGCTCGTTTCCGTATCAAAAAGAAGTTACGTGAACAAGCAATGGAACAATCTGTACGTGAAATGACAACTAAATCAGAACAACTTCAAGACCGTATTAACCATCTCGAAACAGAAATCAAGTTCCTTCGAAGCTTATTACTGAATAAGTCAAATTAGTTAGTCTATTATACAATCTTGTATAATATCTCGTATCAATGCTCTTTTCCCTTCCCCCTTTTTATAATTCAACATCAACTGTAAATATTTTCAACAATATACTTCTTTATTGTAATTCAACATTGCTTTTATAACTTAATTCAACATTATTAAATAAAATAAATAATCTTCTTTTTTTCTTGAAGGATTTTAATTGGACAGAAATTATTCACTATCTATTTTTTTTTTTTTTCTAATGGTATTTTTGCTGACATACTTTTATTTTCCCCACAATGTCAACATTACCAAAAGATGAATCTTTTCAATTAGACTTTCCGTATGGTGCACAACCTGATATAAGTAAAAATTATAAAAGTACTATTTCAACAAGTTATTAAATCATATATATATGTAATATATTTAGTTCGAGCTAATCAGAAAGATGTATATTATCAAACTATTTTGCAAGAACAAATGACGAGAGTTGCTCAACAGTTTTTTGGTATACACTTAAAAAAAAAAAAAAAAAATAGCTTAATTACACTATGGATTAATAAAGATATAAAAAGGCGCTCGACGACAACATTTTTGGCAAAAGGAAATTAATACAATAGCTAATGTTTGTTATTATGGATTAACAACACTTCTTGGAACACAAACCTTGGGTGAAGAATATTGCGATCTCGTTCAAATTGATAATCATCATAAAACCTATCCTAATTTTATGGTAAATTATAAAGTATAGTTGATTTAGTAGACTAATTTCGCATGTGTATTACTGTATTTTTTTTTTTTTTATCTGAAAAGCGTCGATTTATTTTAGTGTTTATTCAAGCTTTGTTACCTTATATTTATACTCAAAGTGCATCTAAATTGAAAAAGATAAATCAAACAAATGATATTGAAAATTTGGAAAAGGGAATAAATTTAAAGATGAAAATAATTCAATTTCTTAAATCTCATTTAAATCAAATTCAAAACTTCTTTGTCAAACATATTCGACCTATTCATTTAGCTACTTTTTATTTTTTTGGAGCCTATTATAGTTTTTCAAAACGGTTAACCGGTATTCGCTATGTAAGTTCATTATGATGATAAAAGTGAATGATAATGGAATAAATATAGATAACATATGCATATTAGATTTTTACTAGACAATTAGGACCGCACGAACAACGTGTAGGTTATGAGGTATTAGGTGTCTTGATTGTACTTCAACTAATGATTCAAGCAGGAATAAATATTCATAAACGTATTCAAATAACACAAGAAGAAGAAAAGCAAGATATAGCAGCAGAAGATGATTTTGATTTCATAAATGAGCTTGAAGAAGAGAAGTCTTTAAGTTATGAACAAATGCAAACATTAAAATGTGCTCTTTGTCTTGAGCAGCGCACTACTACCACAACCACTCCTTGTGGGCATTTATTTTGTTGGAATTGTATTATTGAATGGTGTCAAAATAAGCCAGAATGCCCACTTTGCCGTAGTCAAGTTAATATTTCTCATTTAATACCATTAAATAATTTTTAAAATAAAAAAAATCATTTTTCCGGAATGTATCTTTATTCTTCTTTATAATAGCTTACTACACATAATAGTAATGAAAACGTTTTCTTTTTTTTTTCGTTCTTTCTCGGAAAATATAATGGACCGTTAAATGTTACTTGCAATGATTATTTGCTTCTAAGAATAATAGAATACAAATATAATATTATTTAACCGTAGTTCTTTTTAATCGGTTGTATTAGATTTTCCATTTAAATGTTACTCCTTATGTTACACATGTCGGAAAGTCATTTATTAGAAGAAAAGAAATGAAAAAAGGAAACACTATAAAGAACAATAAGAAAGTATAAAGTATTTGAATGTGAATTATTAGCTCTAGATTAAAGTAGATCAGTATAATGAATAATGATATAAATATAAATACAAATGTATATTTATTTCTTTATGTAGGGTTAATTCTAATAATATGGAAGAACAATAAGTTATTTTTCTTTTTTTTTTTTTTAAAAAAAAAAATGCTTAATTTTGCCGTGAAATGAAATTATCCGCGTTTTTTTCTTACTTTTTTTTTTTTTTTTTTGAATGGTATATCACAATTTGAAGCATATGATATCAATCTGTTTAACACTATTAAATGAAGAGCGATAGATAAATCAGTATTGGTAATAGTCAGTATTTGGTTTATATATCAAAAATATGCATAATCTCGATATAAAACGAAAAAAAAACCTGGCCTATGAAATCAAATGTAACTCAAGAAATATGTAAATGCTTAGTTTGAAGCACAGAACTCACATTAAAGTCATAACAAAAGAACTTTATCCTTAGGAAGAAGAGAGAGGGGGGTGGAAAAATATTTTTTTATGATCCATAAAGACCTGGTTGTTTCTCTCTCTTTTTTTTTTTTTTTTTTTTTTTTCTTTTTCTTTACCTTCCTTTTTTTTTTTTTTTTCTTAAAAAACGTACACATTTATTTTTTTTTTTTTAATTTTTATTTCCAATTTTTGAAAGGATGAGTAAGTGGTATAATAGTAATTCTTTATCATCCTCTACTCTTGTGTTTTTGTTGGCAAGTGTCCAGTTTACTACAGCTCAACATCATTCGATGGTAGATGAGCCTGTACCACTTTTTAATGCCTCAGGTGATGAGCCTATGTCTTATGCTCTCTTCCCCGATAATAAGGGCTACTTCTATACTCATGTCATTTTAATGACAATTGCGTTTTGGATATTAATGCCAATCGGTAAGTAGTGACGGAGAAAGAAGAAGAAAAGAAAAGAAAAAGGAATAAATGCTGACATTGTTTCTAGGTATTATGCTGGGTATCGCAAAATCCTCTTTACACATTCCCGTTCAATTAGGCTCCCTTTGTTTTGCTATGGGTGGCTTTTTCTTTGCAAAGTTATATGGTCATTCAACGCCTCATCTTTATAAGGGTAATTCTCATCATATCTTGGGTTGGATTTTATTTTTGTTTATGATAACTCAAATGTCAGTGGGTATTGTGCGAAAGATTGCAAATGCAGTGGGTAAAAGAACAGCTAGTTATGAGCAAATTCATCAAGAAGATCATTTGGATTATCCAGCATCACCCACATCATTCATCGACCCTTGTAGTAGCAGCAGCAGCAATAGCCACTCATCTGATCGTCATAGTGAAGCAAGTGGTGAAACCCTTCATATGAATGAACTCACTGACTTTAATGATAAATCATATCATTCTAAAGATTCTCGACAATCCTCTAACAGCACTGCTGCACATACTATTTACGATGTCGACCTTGATGATGAAAGTTTAATTGAAAATTCACATCTAGCATCAGACAATATGCCAAAAAGCACTGATCTTGGTTTTATAATGCGCTTATTTTATTCTGTTTCACCTTATATACCGAGCATTGTTAAGAATATATTCGTTACACTTGCTTATAATCGATTTACAACAGATGTGTGTAGATATTTCCATTTGATAATGGGGAGAGCATTTATCATCTTGATTTTTGTTCAAACATTAAGTGGTTTGGTTGTCTATCATGGTGTTTGCAGGTAAATAATAGAATAGAATAGACATATACAAAGTTTAAGCATTGCGAAAAAAAAAAAAAAAAAAAAAGAGTTAATTGATTACTCATCATGTGTGTATATATACATAGATCCTGGGAAGTACTCGGTTGTATTGCTCACTTAATCAAAGGAGGTATTTTCTTTTTCTATGGCATTATGACGTTTGGTCGCTATCTAGGTGCATTTGCAAATAAAGGATGGGCATGGAACTATATTGAAAATGGTAGTAGATTTAGTTTTGAAATGATTGAATCATGCTTGATCTTCACTTATGGTATCACAAACACCTGGATGGAACATTTCGGTCAAGATTCAAGATGGACTCATAAAGACCTTGAACATGCAAGTTTAGCCTTTATGTGGTGGTGGTGTGGTTTGATTGGTATCATGGTTGAAAGTAGAGCCGTGCGTCGTCTTTTAGAACGTACTATTCTTACCAACACAAATACGACTCAAAATTCATCCAAAAGTTATTCTTTAAATCCTTTCCCTGCTTTAACAGTCTTGATGACAGGCATTTCAATGGGTAACCATCATCAAGATACATTATATTCATCCAACATTCACTACATGTGGGGGATTTTATTAGCTTCTGCAGCCTGCTGTCGTTTTGTTACTTATCTATTCCTTTATCGTAATGCACCAACTGACGCTCAACCCTCTCGTCCTCCTAGTGAACTCTTAGGCGCCTTTTTATTGATTGCTGGTTCTATATTATTTATGGCCTCTAATTCAGGCACCTTACTTTGGTTACGACGAAATAATGTAGACAGTATGTTCTTAATGAATGTGTGTGTTGCTTTGACTGCCATTACTCTATGTTATGTTGCTGCTTTACAGATCATTAAAGCTTGGGCTGAGAGAAGAGAAGCTTTTAAGCAGGGAGAACGTAATCAACAAAATATGGAACAACAACGATAAATAATGATATGTAGAACCATTTTATCCATTATCATTTTCTTCTTCTTCTCTCGTATTTATTGTTCTCTATATCATTTAATAATAATATTATACATCATAGTCTCATCGAGATGACTTTCATTTTTTTTTTTTTTTAATTTCTTTACTCTTTAAAAGCTTAATAAAATTTCATACTCATACTACTTTATTATTCTAAATGATAAAAATAAGCCTGAACTATTTACTATCACTTGTAGCTCAAAATACAAGTTAAGTAAGCTGATATTTGTTAAAGTATAAAGAGGGAGAGAGAGAGAGAGAGAAGGAAAGAGATCTCAAAGGACTCCTTCAAGGATACCCATGACTAATAATTAAATACCCAAAAAAAACAGAATATTATCTCGGGCTGTAAGTCTTATCTCACAATGTAGCTTCCCTTTCTATATATACATACACGTATTGGCTTATTTATATACATATTCAAAAGCTTATTATTTTTTAGTCAATACATATATATACATATATGTATATATATATATATATATATAAACTTATTTATTAGTATTGTATATTCTATATAGCATTAAATTCGACTATTATTATCTGAGCCGTATTCATCTTGTGTAGGTGTCCACATATTTGAATAAACATATTGAACCAATCCATTGTGATTCAAGGACTTTAGGAATTCTTCTTTATTCACATCACTACATAACCCACTTCTTAATGCTTGTTCAATCACGGCAACAGCAACTTTAGCCGACACATCACGAATGCGAGTCAATGAAGGATATAACCAATTTTGTTCAACTTCATCCACGGTTAATGAATCAGCTAGAGCTTTAGATGCATTATAAATCATAGCGTCCGAGATTGATTTTACTTGAGCAAGGATAGCACCGAGACCCAAACCTGGGAAAATATACATGTTATTACCTTGGCCAGGGATAGAGACGTGTCCCGTCTTGACATTTGTGTAACTAGGAAAGGCTGTACCTGAAGCAAAGATAACACGATGGTCTGTGTTTTCCATAGCATCCGCAAAGGTGCATTCTGCTTGTGTTGCAGGATTAGATAAAGGGAATACGATAGGATTTTTGTTTAGCGAAGCAAGACGTTCAAGTACATTTTTGTTGAAAGCACCAGGAATAGAAGAAAGACCAATTAGCCTATTTATAGATATATAATTAAAAACAAATTAGAAAATCCATATTCCTTTTTTTTTTATTATTATAACTATTATTATTCTGTTATATTAAATTAAATATATAAAAGTATACTTTACACTGTAGGTTTTACATAATTAATAATGTCAAGTAATTCTTTATATTGTTGGCCTTGATTATCATCTCGTGCGTAATATATTTTATGTTGCGCAAGTTTATCACCTCTGTCTAGTGTAATTAGACCCTGTTTTTTTAAAAAAAAAAGGGGGGGATATATGTTACGTAAATTTTACAAAAAAAAAAAAAAAAAAAAAAAAAAAAAAAAAAAAAAAAAAAAAAAATAGGAGGTGGGAGGAGCATACCTTCGAATCGACAATCCAGAAAATATGTTTAGCTTGTTCCTCAGACATATTAAATTCAGTCTGAAAATAAACTTGAATTTGTCGAGCAACACCAATAGCAGCTGAACCAGCACCATAAAAGACGATACGATGTTCTTCGGGTTGAATATCATTGATTACTTTTCGAATTGCATTTATTAGACCAGACAAAATAACAGCACCCGTACCTTGAATATCATCATTAAAACAAATCAGTTTATCTTTATATCTTTCTAAAAGACCAAAAGCATGCTCGCTGGACCAATCTTCAAATTGAATTAATAAATTTGGGTAAATTTCATGAATTGTATTCAAAACTGTATCTACAATTTTATAAAACTAAACATATGTAAGTATATATATATATATATATATATCGCTACAAGTATTATAATTTATAAATACCTCTTTATCATTTGGACGAGTCTTGCGAAGACCAAGATAAAAATCATGCTGACGTAAGTTTTCATTATTCGTACCCATATCTAGAACGATAGGTAAAGTACGACGAGGATCAATACCGGCACCCGCGACATACAGTTGCAATTTCCCAATACTAATCCCCATACCATTACTACCCAAGTCCCCAAGCCCTAGAATACGAGAACCATCTGTGATAACAGCAATTTCCGGTGAAAAATTAGGATAAGGTTGATAATTTAAGATGGATTCCTTAAGATGATCTAAATCTGTTGAATTAAGATAAAGACCATCAGGGACACCAGTTGCAGCCAAGAAAGGATAGATATTTGAATACTCAATACAAGCTGTACCTACTGTAGGGGTATAAATGATAGGTGCAAACTCTTGGAGGTCATCCATGATTATTTTATAAAACAATCGTATATTAGAAGTTCGCAATTGGGCTAAAAAGACATATCTTTCAAGCTGGGTTGATTTTGATCTTACTTGCTGTAAGGCACGACGTCTTTGGATATCCATTGTTTCAACACCTGCTGGCAATAAACCTAATAAATGAAGCTCTTTACGCTTATTTTGCTCAATAGCTGTGCCTATTTTTATATATCATATGTATAAGAATTTCAATAAATAAATGTATGTGTATATATGAAATAACTACATATGCGCATATATATACCTTCATTATCATATCCACAAATATATTTTACCGAAGATACTTGCTGATACTTAGTAAGAGATGCATTTTCAATTTTAAAAGAAATGGGCGCCATTTTTTTTTAAAAAAAAATAAAATAAAATAGAAATATGAAAAAAAAAAGAGGAATGAAGAGAGAAGAATTATTACCGTTTATTTCTATATAAACTACTTTTTTTTTTTTTTTTTTTGATTCCAAAATGAATAAACTTTTTTTTTTATGTGGAGTAAAATTCAATTATATACCGTCTTATCCTTAAAATACCCGTGCTACTTGCGGAAGATCTTTTTGTATATTTTTAGTCTTTTTTGTAAAATAAAACTACCATTTATGTATCCTCTTCCTCGCTTCTGTTTCTTTAGCTGGAATTCAGTATAAACTTACTTTCAATGTATAATGCGTGGGAAAGTTTTGTTTGAAAAAAAAAAAAAAAAAAAAAAGGAAAGAAAAGGAATACTTTAATTTGAACAAGTATATATCATTTTACATATAAAAACTCACTGCTATACATGTACATTATTTATCAGGTTAAATTTGGTATCTTTCATTGTTCCAAAAAAGGAACAAAATACACTCTTTCTTAAACCACATGGCACACTTTTTTTTATGGCATATTTTTTTTCATCTTGGCACAAAAGTGTGCCATCACATTAAAGTGGCTGTTTATCAAAACACAACTGCCATTTGGATGCAGAATAACGACAAAAGCCTTGCAAGTCACTATAAGCGCATGCTAAATAAAGATCATATCAAGCTTATATGTAAAAATAAAATGTGATGTTTAAGACTAGGAAATATAGCTTATGTATTTATATGAACTGTATCAATAAAAGGCAATAGTAGTTATAATGATTATTTTCTATTTTACCTTAAGGTTTGTTTAACAAAGTGAGCCTATCCCTTGCCAATACTCTTTTTTTTTTGTAGAATATGTAGTCATATCCTAGTCAATTACTACACAGAAGCAATATATAAAAAAAACAGAATAGACAAGGAATACCTATTATATTGAAAACTTGATCTGTACTGTCTAATCAAACTGCTGTGTATGTATATTTTTAATGGGAACGTTTGTAAGAAGAGGAGAAAACCAATTACCAAAAGACCGAAAATAAAGTACAATTAGGGAGTTAGGTATATATGTTGTCGGTAAAAAAAAAATAAGATATAATTTAACGCACTCTTACAATTGCATAAATGATGAGCTATTAAAATCAGAGGTCTTCTTAACAAGTTACAATTTTATTCATTTAAAAAAAAGTCACACTCGATAAATGATAACTACACAAAAGATATAAAGAAGTGCTAAACACATATGCTAATCCTAGTAAGCAACGATCTAAAAATAAGCAGTGTTTTGAGTGCAAATATTTGTAAACTATTATACTTTGGGAACTCCAAGTGTATCTGTTTTTTTACAAATTTTCTTTTCTTTTTTTTTTTTACTAGCAAGTTTTTTATTCATTAGAAAGGAAATGTACCTGCAAAATGAAATATTGGCTGTAGCGCCGTTTAAATAAAACAATAGCTGACAAAACAAAAGTTACATATTTAATGATCTATCATCAAGTAGTAAAGAAAGCATTTAAGCTTCTTTAACATAATTCAATATAATATCTTTAATAATTATCATAGTTATTTTTGTGTATAAAAGATATGAAAGATAAATAATAAGCCACAAAAAGATATTGACTATTAATCTTGGAAAACTTTTTCTTTGTTTATGTAAAAGTAAACTTTCTCAGGGTCTATTTTTCTCCCTTTTTTTCTCTCCTTATTTTTAAAAAATGTATTTTTTTCTAACTATTTTATTCTTTTTTGATGGACTTTACGTTGTCTATCTTTTATAGAATAGAAGCATATATAAATAAAAATATATGCTTTTATACTTTCTTTTTTTATTTTCATAGTAGTTGTCTTTTGATGCAGGTCACTATAAATTTTAATTATGGTAGGCTTTCTAAAATTTGATTAATGTAAATGAATCAAACATTGTTTGCTTTTATATGGTACGTTTTTCTAAATACTAATTATCACACATAAGCTAATATTTACCCTTTTAGGTGGGCTTTTCTGGATATTGGCCACTCTAAATAATCAATCCTGTCTTTTTTTCTTTTTTTTTCTTACGGCGGGCTTCTAAGGATACTGGTCGCCTTATAAAATCAATCCTAGTGGGCTTCTCTGGATATTGGTCACTCTAAATATTCAATCCTGTCTTTTATCATAGTGGGCTTCTCTGGATATTGGCCACTTTAAACAATCAATCCTGTCTTTTACCATAGTGGGCTTCTCTGGATACTGGCCACTCTAAATAATCAATCCTGTCTTTTATCATAGTGGGCTTCTCTGGATATTGGCCACTCTAAATATTCAATCCTGTCTTTTTTCATCATAATGGTGTCTTCTCAACTTTGGCTACTTTAAACATTTAATCCTATCTTTTTTCTTCATAATGGTCTCTTCTAAACTCTGGCTACTCTAAATATTCTTTCATAATCTCCTTTTGATACTGGTTAATAGAAATGAATCAATCTTTTTCTCCCCTTTTAAAACTAGGCTCTGTTATCTCTAAGCTATACTAAAAAAAAAAAGATCCTTACACAAAATAGTCAAGCTCTACAATCAAATACATTTGGAAGCAATAGTACGCTGCTAAATAATTAAACTATTTTCTCGCTCTCTTATATTTAAATAAAAGGATGGAGTTTTTTGATAGATAAAAGTTGTCTTAATTTTAAAAGTTTATATTAATCTGTAGATGCTAATCTAAGCATTAGCTAATCTTAAGAGAGAATTATTAGATCGTCTTTATTAAAAAAAAAAAAAAAAAAAAAAAAAAAAAAAAAAAAAAAAAAAAAAAAAAAAAAAAAAAAAAAAAAGCGGAGATATGAAACGGTACTGTCTATGATGATGAAAATTACATTAGCAAAATTTATTTATTTTCTCGTTCTTTTATATAAACATATGCCACGCTCACCTGAAAGACGTAGTAAACATCGCTCTTCTGAAAGAAGCAGTAGACATCGCTCTTCTGATAGACATAGTAAGCGTCGTACACGTAGTCGTAGTCGTAGTATAGATAAAAGTGATAGAAAAAGAAGGTAAATCATTTATATTTAATGATCCATTTTTTTTTTTCATATTTATAAGTATGTATATTTATATAGACATCGTGATTATTCTTCATCACCTGATGAAAGACATAGATCAACTCGGCATAAACATAAAAAGGAAAAAAAAGAAAAACATCGATATAAAAGCGAAGAATATAATGACGATAGTCACATGGATGAATCTAATGATCTACATAGACCTACACTCGAATCACTAGGTTATTCAAACGTCAATAACCCTTTTAATGATGTAAATCTTGAATCAAAATTCGTTTGGAATAAAAAGAAACAACAAGAAAAGAAGCGTTTAGGTTTGTCAGAAGCAGAGTTAAAACGATTAGAACAAGAACGTAAGAGAGAAGCAGATGAGGAATTAGCTAAATTGAATAAACGAAGAGCAGAACGTGAACGTGAGATGGAATTAAGAGAAGAAGAATTAGCCCGTATGCAACGTGATGCCGAATTAGCCCAAATGGGTGATTGGGAAGCTAAAGAGGAAGAGGTAATTAAATCATTATATTTAAACTGAAAGAAATACCACGCAATATATTTATATTTGTTTAATTAGTTTCATTTAGAACAAGCAAAACAAAGAGCAGCTATTCGTATTCGAGATGGACGCGCTAAACCTATTGATATTTTAGCAATGAACTTACGCTTAGCAAATGAGCCAGATAAAGTAGAGGATGAAGTTGATTTAGAAATTGATTTAGATGAACCTTATACCATTTTTGAAGTAAGGAGACTATAACCTCATCCGACATATACATATTAACCTTGTTAGCCTTTTTTTTTTTTCTTTCTAACTTCTTTATTAGAATTTATCATACGAAGATACAAAAGAATTACATGAAGATATTCAGATGCACTTGGCTTTAGAAAAGAATCCTCAATCACTCGAATTTTGGCGTGCCATGATTGTTGTTGCAGAAGATACTCTTTCTAAAATGCAAGAAAATCAAGAACGTATTAAAGCAGGTGGTGTACCATTTACTGTAAATGAAAGTATCCATCGTGTTCTGTCTGGAAAAACTGTTTCTCAACTATCTGTATTACAAAATCAAATTCAACAGAAATTGAGGAGTAATGAGCCTATTGATGTTGAATATTGGGAAAACTTATTAAAAGAATTAGTTGTTTACAAGGCAAAAGCAAAATTAAATGAAATGCATCAAGATATTTTAGCTGCTCGGTTAGAACAATTGAGAAGCAAACAACGAGAGGAAGCTTTGAAAGTACAAAAAGAGTTAGGACGTGTATTGTCAATGCAAGAAAGAGAAGTTCATGGTAGAGGTGTGATGGCAGGTGAAGGTATTGAAGTAGAGCCTGTAGATGAAGAATTAACAGAAGCACAAGATGAATCATTTATGAATAAAGAAAAGTCAATGCATAGAGCATTAAATACTTTATTATTGGAGGAATATGATCGTTCTATGAGCCCTGAGCCAATGGAAATATTAAGCAGAGAAGATCAAGACCTTGAAATTATAGATCCTGTTGAAGATTTAAAGGAATTGGTAACATACCTTTCTTCTTTTTTCCTTTTTTTTTGTCAATATAATTACTAACTTATAATTTAGATGGAAAAACGTCGTGCAGTATTAAGCAGTGCAATTATTCCTAAACAACCTAAATTTGAAGAGAAAGAAGAAGTCGAGATTAAAACAGATAATAATGATGAATCTATTGCATCTACTGTCTTGTTTGAACAAGAGGCTGCTAAGGGAGTTGACGAAGATGAGGATGTGTTTAACATTGAAGCAGAACTTGCACATCAAACCTACAATTGGCAGGACAAATACCGACCTCGTAAACCACGTTATTTCAATCGTGTTCATACTGGTTATGAATGGAACAAGTATAATCAAACCCATTATGATCATGACAATCCACCACCAAAAGTTGTTCAAGGATATAAATTCAATATCTTTTATCCAGATTTAATTGATCTTTCAGTGGCGCCTACCTATTATATTGAAAAGGATCCAGAATCACCAGATACAGTATTGATTCGATTCCATGCAGGTCCACCTTATGAAGATATTGCTTTCCGTATTGTGAATCGTGAATGGGAATATTCACATAAAAAGGGTTTCCGTTGTAGTTTTGACCGAGGCGTTCTTAGTCTTTGGTTTCACTTCAAGAGACAATTTTACAGAAAGTAGTTTGCTTGTTTTTTTTTTTTTTTTTAATTTGACAAAATACTATGAAAATAAATTGGCATAAAGTCTGGTTCAATTTGATAAACTATTTTGAAAACTGTCTTTTATAGACACATGTATATTTAACTTTATATCTTCTTCACATATTCCATGATACTCTTTTACTAACTACATTAGTGATGAGCATATTAACCTTCCTGCATTCTTGTTCTGATTATATGAAAATAAAATAAAACTGCATATTGTCGTGACTGGCTTGTCGCCACTCTATTTTTCTTCCCCGCATTGAAGGGGATGGCTCGTATGATAGTCTATCCTTGACGAAAAAAAATAAAATAAAATAAAATAAAATAAAATAAAATAAAATAAAATAAAATAAAATAAAATAAAATAAAATAAAATAAAATGGGGTTCCACTTCTATTGTGTATCATTTAGACTTTTGAAGTGGTAATATCATTCATGTTACAGCTATTAAACAGCTTAAGGATAATACCCATTCTTCGATCATCATGTTTGAATAGTAATTACAGAAAAAAAAAAAAAAAAAAAAATGCCAAGTATTCTAATAATTGTCTTGTAAATGACATGTAATTTCATTTCTAGCATCGAATCCAACACGGTTTTCATCAATACTTATTAAAAGAGGGATGGGTACACAGAACTCTGTAAGGACAGCTTTAAAAAATAAATCCAATCCATTTGCAAGCAATAAACCATTAAAGCATGCATTAGAGCATCATGATGTTGTACTTTATCAAGCTCCTTCAGGAGTTAAACAAAAGTTTACATGGTTATATATTTCAGCTGGTGTTCAGCTCATTTTTTGGTAACTTTAGAAAATCCTGTTATTATCATTTTTTTTTTAAAAAAAAAAAAAAAAATAGGGGAAATTTAGCAAGTCTGGCATATGTTGCTTATAGTGTAAAAGATGGGTAAATATATAAAAAATATAGATGCATGTATATTATATGAGAAATCATATTTAAAGAATGTATATTTATACAGAGAAGAGGAAGATGCACCTATTGTGCTTGGTCCTAAAGGTGAAAGAATAGCTATTGCAGGAGGTTTGGTTGCTGTAGGTGTTGGTATTGCTTCTCTTATGTGTATTTATCCTTGGAGGTAAATTAAGAACAAAAATACATTTTTGAGTGTGTGTGTGTGTGTGTGTGTGTATACAAATATGCATTTTTCTTTTTTTAAGAGAAGAAAAAGAAATAATAACTAACAAGTATGGTTGAAAAAAAAAAAGATATGTAGATAAATTGGTTTTATTAAGAGGTGGACAGTTAGTTCAAATCGTAACACATGCTCGTCTGATAAAATCACATCAATTACGAACTTATCCTATTGAACAGCTTAATTGTAAACAAAAAGTGTTTACAGGTGTGGGCAAGACAGGAACAGATGTTATTGGGAAAAAAGCAAATTCGTCGTTTATCTTTTTAAATGCTAAGGGTGAAAGGATGTCTTATATACTAGATAGAAAAGGCAATTTTATGGATAGTAAATTGTTTGATGGGTTATGGTTTAATACTTCATCTTGAAGGAAATAAATATATGTAAATGTATAGATAAATATGTAGATGTGTGCGCAAGCAGCATGTATATAGATGGATAAACTATATGTACAGTTAAAAAGAGATATTTGGTAAAACATGTATAAATATATGGACATATATGCATATACATATATGTACATACTGTAGACTATATGTGCAGTTAAAAAAAATAAAATAAAGGATATTAGGTAGACTGTTCACTGTTATCAAAATAAGTGTAAAGAGTCTTCCTCAATTCACTAAAAAAAGCCGCAGATGAAGAAGATAGGATAACTTCATCTGAATGTATACTTCCTGAATCTGACATACTTCCAAAACTATCAGATGGTGGTGTACTGTTTGCTTCAGATAAAACATGAGTATGATTATAATTGCTTGAAGAGGAAGCACTATACTGTTTTTCTAATTCTTCTTGATGATAAAAATGACTCTTATCAAAGTTAATATTTGATACATTCATACTGTTATCTAATAGTTGGACACGTTGTTTCAAAATTTGTAATGTGATACGCAGGTTCTTCTTTGCCCTTGCTCGAATAGATAAGTTAGCAGCCTTTTTTAACATTCCTAAAGTGTCACACGCAAATAACAGCCAATGTAGCTCAACTGCACAGGGCAATCGATGATATAACACTTGAAAAATTTTAGTAATTGCGTCACAGCAGACAGACACGATCAATAAGGCACGATCACCATCAAATCGTGACATACAGGCACTTTTTAAATCTGTAGATGAAGGTGATTGCATGATTCGTGTCTCTAAAGCTATCCAGTGAGAATAATAAGCTTGATTTAAATAAATTGCAAATGTATTCGTACATTGTTGAATACTGTCTATTTGTAAATATTCTAACAAGGGTAAATTTGATAAACGATATGACGCAGGAAGTAGTTTCCAAAAAGAAATGAGTTGATTTTCAAGTTGTTCAACGTCTTGTATTGAAATGGAATCCAAGTGTCCTCCAATCAAATGATATCTGAGCTCACACAGATACATAGAGGGTGGTGATGATGATGATGAGGAGGAGGAGGAAGAGGAGGAAGTATAGGTAAAACTAATGGTAGTAAAATTCTGTAAAAGAATGTTATAATGAAAGGCAGAAAGTGCATTAGAGATGTCTTCATCTTGTGCTTCATTAGACAAAACAATAGGTAAGCCTATACCGCTATCGAACAACATAGAGGGGAGACCATTAAGGCCATCACGAATAATGTGTAGACTAAGTTCCATATAACGTACAGCATAAAATATACGTCGCCATGATTCTGCGTATATAATTTCAAGCGTTACAGGTGTGAAAGGTGTTAAAGTACTTAGGATACCCTGATATTGATCTTTAAGCTGAAGGACCATACGCCAAGCGAGATTTATGTATAAGCGAGCTTCTGCATTCTCGAGTGTGATCAATGCACATTGTGATAATAGCATCAGGGAACTAGCAATAAATATACTAGGCTCTTGGTCAAATAAAGCATCTCGTAATAATTCTTTTGCTTCTTGTCGAAGTGACTCTGCAAATTCTTCTCGTGACATTGACAGTAAAGTGGTTATTGATGGAATTAGGGGCAATACATAATGACATTGTGCATAAATGACAAAAGCTGAAATAGCGGTTGAAATCAGTGAGTTATGCTTTGATTGCAAAAGAGGTAAAAAATAAGGTTTTGAAAGCATAGGGGTAATCAAACCAGTACAATTAAAATAAGACTTTACTAAATATTGTTTCATTTTACAACGTATTTCTTTATTTGATATATGCTGATTATCCACTGTAATTAAAGTGTGTCGTTGTTGAGAAGGTTGCTCTTTTTGAAAGAAGCCATGAAGGAGACATTCTACTTTTAGCATTTTGTTGGTAATCTTTAGTCGATGTGAAGTATAATTGATATGATAACTAGGTGGATGTAATAATGAGGATGAAAAAATGTTATTCGTTGAAGTAAAACGATGAAGTGATTCAGTTAGGAATTTGGAAAGATCAGCAACGTTTTTAATAGATGTTTGAAAGATGATGCCTTCTGATCCTTGTGAAATGGTTAGTTGCCATGATGGTATTTCCTTTTTTTTACAAGATTGAGTAACACTATCCTTTGTTGTAGTTGAGGTATTATCGTATACTATACGATCTGATGAAGTAGAAGGATCATGTTGAATGATGATACCATTTGATTTAGGATTATATAAACAGTTATTTCCGGTATAATTCAAATTTGAACAGAAGTTACTAAAGAGTTCTTTTGAAGGAAGTTGAATAGTTACATTTAATAGTTTCAATTGTTGTTCCATAGTCTGCATATCTTGTTCTATACTACGAACTAGTTCTATCATTTTGTTTTTTTTAGAAATGGGTATCGATTTGTTTACAACAGTTGGTTTTGCAGTATATTTAAACACACAAGTTAAGTCCATTTTAATGCATCGATCGCATTGAGTCCCTTGAGTTACTTTACATTTTCTTCGATGAGCACGACAATTTTCACCTGACAAAAGTTTAGTTTAGTTTAGTTAATTAATGTCAAATGGGAGGGTTGAATTTATATGTATACTTTACATGGCTTATTACGTTTTCTTTTAGTGTTTTCATTAGTTGAAGACATATTTACATAAATATGAAACCTTCACTCCTATTTATTCCAATATACTCCTTTTCTAGTTGTTATAAATAATGGTGTATATAAATTGAAATAATAAGAAAAAGAAAAAGAAAAAAGGAGAGAAAGGATAAACTAATATTCCGTTGTATTTCATTAATAAAATCAAGAATTGGACAGGAAGCATTACATAATATAAGTCTAGAAAATCAGAAAAGAACTGATTTAAACCTCTTTCCTAAATTAAAATTGATAAAATACTGCATGGCTGAAAATTATTTAGAGAGTTGAAAAAAAAAATTCTACAATAGAAGAATTATTCCTATTTAAAATAAAGGAATTGTTTTATGCCCACCTTTAAAAAGTATTTTTGTAGATGGTATAGAATCAAGTGAATGGAATATTTCTTAATAAGCTATTTTTGCAGTCATTTATCAATAAATAAATAAATAATTTTGACACTTTTCTTTTTTTCTTTTTTTTTTTTTTCTTTTTTTTTTTTCTTTTTTTTTTTTTTTGCATAAAAATGATTACAGTGTAGTATTGATTATAGACATGCTAAAATAATGATTGTATTTTAGAATAATCACATGATTTATTCGCATTGCTGTAGAGTCACTTAGTATATAGATAGATCGACTGACTTTATTACTAATTGAAATATATTCTTATCTTTTACAATAAACAAATAAGAAGCGTCCTTCTCAGGAACATGTCTTTGTATCTAAACCTACATTACTATACAAAAAATGAGTCGATTATTTCTTTAAGCTTACTGACTGACTTGTTCTAACTTTTCCTTCTCTTCTATATATATATACATATATCCTCATTCACTGACTATGTTAATTATTTTAATTATTATGTCTTTTATCGACTCTTATATATATACTCTTCATGATATAAAAGATATCAATAGGCCTATAGAAAATAAATTCTATTGAAATAAGATATAACTTGACTCTTTTTATAGATAGAGATTGACAGTTATTTCAGTAAAACTCGTTTTAAATACAAACTTTTTTTTTTCTTTCTTTCTTTCTGAGGACAATGGTGGTATATCCCCGTAAATCGTGAAAAAAAAAAAAAAAAAAAAAAAAAAAAAAGAAAAGACCCGACAGGCTGGAATTTTATTTTCCTCTTTGTTAACAAATATTGTATTTTACGTAATGCATTGTAATTCTTTTACTCTTAGCATAAATATAGGATCGTCATTTTTTTTTTTTTTTTTATTTATTTTAACATTCCTTTAATTAGCTAAATAGATTACTTTTATATTTATAAAAGTGACATATAGTCTGATATTACCATTATACGCATTTTTTTTTAATACATACATGGTTAAATTATGTTTTGTGCCACAAATTTTAGAATTAAAAAAATGCATCTGATTAAAACGCGTAGAAAAATTATATTATGTAGCCATGGTTTTTGCATACAAATAATACATAAATAAACAAATAAATAAAAATGTATATATATATATATTTATAAGAACAAAAATATGTAAGCAAGACGGCACACATTTACATTTGAATAAAACAGTATATTAAAAGTAGACAAAAGAGTAAAATCTGTACCCGCATAGAATAAAAAGACTTACATTATTATATTAAATGGAATGGAAGATAAGCTTCTGTAAAAGACCTTCTATTTTAGTTTCCAAATAAAGAATAGGCATGACATCATATTCTAGCTCTATTTGACCCAGTTTAAATTCATATACGACGAAATATTATATATAAATATATGTATATAAAGCAACGCATATTAACGTATATTATCGAATGTCTATTTCATTTTCTTTCTTTTTTTTTTTTTTTTCTTTCTCTTTTTTTTTGGTTTCTTTTTTTTTTTTTTTCTTTTCTTTTGAAATACACATTCGTTTAAATACTCCTTATATATTCCCTACTTAATACATACTATGTCTAGTAACGAGAGTAAAATTTCGTTTAAAGTACCAAAAACGATTCTAGATTTAAGCTACGATATAAAACTTGCTATAATGGATCGCTTAGATAACAGATCATTAGCAAGAATGGCGCAGACATGTACATATTTTGGTAAAATATCTTTTTTTTTTTTTTATATAAGGCGTTTCTAAGATTATAAAAACACAAAACACACGTACATTTATATATATGCGTGCTATCTATATAATGTATATATACAGAGATCTAAATAAATATAAATGTATATATCTAATAGGAATGCTGATACGTAGTATTATTTCATTTAGAAAAGCACAAATCAGTATGGTCGATCAAAGACTACCTAAATCAATACCGTTTTTAAGTTTTAGAGCTGGCGCCTATATTGGATCGAAATTTTACTTGCCCTTTATTCATGATGCCCTACTTTGTTATGTGTATGACCTTAATGAGTACGTTTGGTCTTCACATAAACTCAATTTAATGGGTATACAGCATTTAACACCTCAAGTTACAAGCTCAGCTGTCATAGGAGATAAAATCTATCTTGTTTGCGGTCGATTATTGCATTCTTATGTCTTATCAAATGGTTTAATTGAAATTGATACAACAAATTTTAATACACGATTGATCGAGTCAGCAGAAGGTTTACCGCCACGACCTCGTCACGAGCATTCCGTAGATGCTATCTTGAATAGATATTTAGTTGTTTTTGGAGGTTTATGTTATAATTCAGTCGGTAATATATATATATATATATATATATAAAGAGAGAGAGAATAGATACAAAATATTAATTTTTTTTTTTTCTTCTTTGACAGGTGAAAATGACGTATTTGTCTACGATACATTAGAAGATAGATGGTTTGTACCGCCAATCACTGGGTAAGAAATTCAAAGTCGTTTTAGTATAGTAGCAACTAATTTTTTTTTTTTTATAATGATTAGGCATATACCCCATTTAAGATTTGGACATTCAAGTGCAGTCATTGGTACTGATCTTTACGTTCACGGTGGAGCGCAAATAGACGATACCTCTTATATTGTTTATGATGATCTTCATAAACTTGATTGTGCAACCTGGACATGGTATAAATATGAGCATCCAGAGGTTGAACGCTATCTTCGACATCAAAATCGAAGCGAGGAAGTACCGGCCAGGACACAAAGGAATTTCCTTATAGCTACAAGTGGTGACAGTCCATATGATCGATTCCAATCTTGCATGTGTGCGTATGGTTCAAAGATCATCATCCTAGGTGGTCACTCCATTCGAGAAGATGAAGACGAAAATGAAATGCTATGTAGTTACCCAGTAGACGAATTGTCTGTCTTTAATATACGAAAATGTTTGTGGACTACGATTCGTGCATCAACAGCTACACATCAATCCATATCCTATGGAGCTCTAGCAAGACGCGAAGATGAAAATGGTGAACACATGGAGGATACTATTACACTAACAGACATGAGTGTCGCTGCTGTTTCATTAGATTCGAGAGGACTTCGTATTTTTATTCTTGGAGGTCAAAGATCAGAAAAGTTAGTATTATTAGAAGAAGAAGAAGAAGAGGAAGAGGAAGAGGAAGAGGAAGAAAAAGAAGAAGAAAAAGAAGAAAAAGAGAGATTAGAAAATGGTGATGAACCCACTTCATCCTTCACAAATCAACCTACTACATCATCCCAGAATTCAAACGAATGCCATCATCATCACTTACTTCCTCTTATTTCAGACATTACATCGCAAAGACCTAATAAAATACAAAAATATGATTCAGATCTTACTCAAGACATGAAAGAAACAGAAGAAGTAGCTAGACATAATGCTTCAATATTCAATGAATTACCTAATGAACAAACTATTCAGCAGGATCAGGTAATATATATCTTTTTTTTTTTTTTTTAAAAAAAAAAAAAAAAAAAAAAAAAAAAAAAAAAAGAGAGAGAGAGAGAGAGAGTTAGATTATGTTGAATAAAAAAAGCTTTCCTATATTTAGTGGACGACAGAGATTGAAACAAGATCCCCGACATATGAACCACTTTCAGAGAAGGTGATCGAACTCTTTCGAGCTACTGACTCTGATATAGCAAATGCACAGCTTGAGGGTGAAAATCGAGATTTAGATAAAGAGCATGAGATTATTGAAAGAAGTAATAAAAGAATTTCAAAGTCATTAATGAGCGGTAATGAAGAAAGTCGAAGAAAGGCAGGTATAGGTAAAGATAATGAAAATGCTAAATTAAGAAAACTTTCCACGGCTGTCATTCATCGAGCACATCAAAGTCAAGACAATTTACATGATATTGAGGAAGATACAAGAATAAGTAGTAGTAGTAGTAATAGTAATAGTAGTAGTAGTAGTAGTAGTAGTAGTAATAATAATAATAATAATAATAATAACAACGAAAGTATCAGTCATGATGGTCAAAGCAGTAATAACAATAACAGTAATACAAGTAGAAAGAGTAGTCAAGATAAGGGAAATTCTGTTACTCCTTGTCTTATGTTACTTGAATTATTAGAATAATTTAATTATAATCTTAAACCATTTTTTTTTTAATTGCAAATATTTATATTTTTATCGTATACCACTTGAAACCTTAAAAAAGACAAGCATGGATAAAATAGATTTTGCTCTTTTTTTTTTTCTTTTTTTTTTTTTTTTTTTTTCTTTTTGCTTTTTATATGTATATCAATTTTTTTTTTTTTACATGTAATGAATGGAATAATGTTATATAAAATATAATAAAGAATAATACATGTATAATAATACTACTACTATTGAAAAAAAAAGAAAATGAATATGAGTATGTTTGGTAATAGAATGTACAATTTACATATTAAAATTGTTGAACATATATTTTACAAAAAAAAAAAAAAAAAAAAATAGTAGTTTACTAATTTAGTAATAGGTATTTCCTCTATTATTATCATGATGATGATGGTGCTGATTATAATCATTATTATATCGATACATATCATAGCTATCATATCGACTATTATTATTACCATTACGATAATAATCATCGTAATATTTATGTTCATCAATAGGAGAACCTACTAAAGTAGTAGGTGTATCCACTGTCATATCATCTAATCGAATACCCGATTTTCTGCGTTTACGTCTTTCTTCTTCGTCATCATAACTTTTATCTCCACTTGTACAAAGTAAAGTAATTGCATTTGACATGGCTAATAATTGTAAAGCAAGGGCTGCAAATATGATATAATATATTTTAGAGAATGTACTTTTAATATATTGCTGTAAGATGTATGCACAAGGAGATAAAGGATTTGTTAAACTTGTTGTAGGTTGACACCTATTGGTTAAAGCGTAATTATCAATTGATGTTTGAAAACCACAGCAGTTAAACTACATACATATATATAAAAATTAGCTATTTTGGATGATTTGTATTTTATAGTCAGTTACCTGATTTTGAAGATTTGCTCTATAACTTGTACTTGCAATTGACCATAAGTCACTTAAATATTTGGATGAATTAGCAGCCTTTTGGTAGATTTGTACACCAATAAGAACTTGAAAGATGAGTGCTGCAATAATGATAATCATATACAAATATGTAATTATATTCTTTTTCACATAAGCGCCTGTAATACCAAATAAAGCTGCAACACAAATTATAATACCCAAAATGACAATATCTTTTATTTAATTATTAATATTTTCTCTCTCCTAATAAAGAAATACATATTTATTATAATTACTCTTACATTTAAATATATTATCTGGAAATAGAGTTGCACCGTTAAATCCATCTTTCATACCAATTAAGCCGAAAGCGATAAATGCAATACCCAAACAGATAAATAATGTATTCGTAGTAATCATGTAGACTTTACTCAGTCTAAATAAATAAATTAATAAATAAATAAATAAATAAATAAATTATTAAAAATAAAATAAATAAAAATACCTAGCACAACAGGTTGTCATGATGGAAAAATAAATAAATAAATAAATAAATGCGAAATTGAAGTATGATTAAACTTGCTAATAAAAGTTTAAAATAAAGAAAAAAAATAAAATAAAAAAGTAATCCCAATAATCAAAAGGAAAGGAAAGGGCAAGCAAAAAAGAAAATAGAAAGAAAAGAAAAAAGAAAAAAAAAAGAAAGGGGAGGAGGAAGAAGAGGAGGAGGAAGAAAAAGAAGAGTGGAGGAGGAGGAGGAGGAGGTGTTGGTAGTGAACGGGAAGATGAAAGGAAGGAGAAAGAAAAAAGAAAAAGAAAAAGAAAAAAAAAGGGGGGGAAAAGAAAAGAAAAAAAAAAAAGTCTGTGAGTGAAAGTATTTATGCTTTATTGTACAGTCTAAATTAAACTCATTTTTTATTTAATTAAAAAAAAAAAAAAAAAAAAAAAAAAAAAAAAAAAAAAAAAAAAAAAAAAAAAAAGGCTCTGTTACTATGGTAAGCAACACTACAGCTTATTACTGGTATAATTAGAATATATTTATTGCTATAATTAAAAATAGATTACTTAAGCGGAATATAAATTGTTCACTTCAGATCCCTCCCAACAACAACAACAATTATACTTTTCCCATAAAGTGGTCCAGGTAACATTTTCAAGCAATAATAGTCAACAAGATAATAGCAACTACTTGTTCCAAATTCTATTTTACTCAGTTTAGATCTTATTCCTTTACTCTCTTCTTGTAAACTTGGAAACGCCTTTTAGCTTTCTATTTTTATATCTATATAACCTCAGAATCAAATCATGTATACATTGCTTTTCCAATGTTTAATGTCTTCATTGTCAAATTTGCTATTAGAACCAGTAACTATATATAAAATAGAGTATTAAACAAATGGACGTTTCATCAATACTATATATCTGTTGAACAGAATCTAGAAGAAATGGGTTCTTCATCTAGATTGAATAAAGTTGGCATCTAAAATATTACCAAGAACATGTATTACTATATTATCTAATCGTAGTAACCTTTTTATTATTATTATTATTCATCTGCATTATTGAACACTCAAATCTATTTGTTAGTGCAAATGAAAATTGTTTACTGCATGTTTCATTTATCGAATCTATTTCCTAGATTCTCTGATTTAACAGAATGTGCAAAAAAATAATATTAAAAGAATCTTTTGTAGACATCTGTCAGCACATTTAATTTAAAAGCTTTTTTTTTTTTGATAATTTCCCTTGGAAAAGAAATAAAGACATTTACTTTATCGGTTAGTTTTAAAAAAAAATAATCTACAAAGTTCGAATTCTCTAGAGCGATAAGGCATTTTTTTTTTGGGTGAATGAAGACTGATGCTGAAGTACTTAATTATGGGGTAAAACAAAAACAAGATTTGATATCCAAGTTCTTTTTTATTAGATAATGCATTGTTTGTGAAAAGAAAAAATGGTCAATTCATTTAGAAAACAAGAGCAGCACCCTTAGTCTTCTTATCACCACCCAATTCAAAGTGCTTGCATCTCTTAATAGCCAATTGCATCTTGTACTTGCAAACTATAGAGATTCCAAAAAAAAAAAAATTAACATCCAATATACTACTACTTTACATCTCTCCTTATTATACTTTACCGGTACATTCAAGACGAAGAACAATCTTCTTGGTAGTCTTAGCCTTCTTGTGGAAAACGGGCTTGGTTTGACCACCATAACCGGATTGCTTACGGTCGTAACGTCTCTTACCTTGAGCGAAGAGAGAGGCCTTACCAGCCTTGTATTGAGTGACCTTGTGGGGAGTGTGCTTTCTACACTTGGCACCCTTACAGAAGGTATTTCTGGTCTTGGGAATGTTGACCTATATATAATTCAGGAGCGCGTTAATGCTGGATTCTTTAATATACATATACATATATTTATTCAGATTTCTTTTTTTTCATCCATCGATTTTATTTTATTTTATTTTTTTTTCTCCATCTATTCATCATTAAAATAACGTCATTAATTGAAATAGAATTGTTCAGTTCTTTTTTTTATTTATTATTGTTGAAATTTGCTTTAGTAAATTGACTATTACATAAATTATGATAAATCGTCTTTGAAAAAAAATATATGTGTATATACGTCGAGAGATGGATGAATGGACGGATGGATGGATGGATGATTATTTGTTGAGAAACTCACCATTGTTAAAGTTCACAAAGAATAAAAAAGAGAAGGATTTCGGTATCATTTGAGGGTTGAGATGCCAGTGTTCCCTACTTCAAATTCAGCCAAAAAAAAAAAAAAAAAAAAAAAAAAAAAAAAAAAAAAAAGTTCGGAAGTAGAGAAACAGCAATAATTTAAAGACCACAAACAATACTATTACTATTATCAAAAAGAAAAAAAAAATACTTATAACTAACCATCATCAATGATGAGTGAACAGATAATTTATTGAACAATTATTTAGTATTAACTATAATATTACATAAAGGTTATGTAGAATCATGGTTTAAATAATTAAATAACAGTCATTGTTGACTGTAAAGTGAAATGATATTATGCAGAAGAAGAACCAGCTTCCTTCAATGATTGATGACATTTATGACAAATTTTTTGATCTTTCTTTTCGGGATGATCCCACCAAATGGCCGTATGCTCTACTTGACAACCTTCTGTTGAACAGACACGAGAGATACGCACTTTTTTTCCATTTTTAAGCTTTGTTCCTATTGAGTTGCTGCTGGATATTGAAGATGCCTCTGTCAACTTGTTCTTATTGCTTTTACTTGTATTTGCTGAAGATAAACAAACAAATGATAGTACTTTATCATCCATATTAAAAGATTCCATAACTGCTTCTTTTGAATTTGGAATCTTGGGATGATGGGTTTTCTTTGAAGTAGTAAAGTGCTTAGCTGCACACCAACGTCTCATTGCTGGAGTAGTTTTATTTGACACACCTTTATATATCTCAATAAATGTTTTTAATGAAGACTATAAATAGAGATAAAACATGCATTATTAAAATTGGATTCTATATATTACTAAACCTCTTTTTCTTTTTTTTTTTACCTTTTTACTACTATTATTGGTTCGAGTACTAAGGTCAATAAGTCTTTTACTTGATAGATTATGATGTGGACACCATACTTGTGGAACCATTAATCCAGATGGTGATGGCATATTGTTAATAGTAAATAAACCATCTGAAATAACTGGACAATTCATGGATGATTTGCTACTGATTGGGACAATTTCAAATGCAAGTTTGAAATTATTTTCTATTGCACATTGTATATGTACTGTCTTTTTACATTCCGAGCAAGGTACACAAGCGCCATTCTCTTGATTACATAACCAACACTTGGCTTCCATACGAGACTTATTCACACAACCAATATACTCTACAGGTGACATAAGGGTAGTAGAGATAAACTTGATCTCTGGAATAAAAGCTGCGCATTGAACATGAGCCCAATAGTATCCAGAGGTACGTTTTAAAGGTTGCTGGCTAGTAGCACCATGATGACATAGTACACATTCATAATTGTATGAAGAAATTGGATGATATTGATTGCTACATGGATCACATAACCAATCAAACGACTCTTTATTCTCCTGGATACCATAACAATCTAATATATAATATTTAGAAAAAAAAATAAAGTTGTGGCACATGGTTAAAATACATACCACTATGTATTATTAATCCGCAATTACGACAGGTATAAAGGAGTTCAGGAGAATCAGAACTAGAGCAAATTTGACAAGGTAAATGTTCGAGCTTGGCATTTTCTTCAATATCAGCTCTCTAGTATAGTATATATGTATATTGTAATTAGGAGGAGGAATATAGCATTCTAAATACAATTCTATCCTTACCTCTTCTTTACGCCTTTTAACGTTTGGCTTTTGTTGAACATGATCAGCAGGATTTTTACGTTTTTTATTATTTACATTGGTATCTAGATATGTTTGTAAAATTAGTTTCATTCATAGAGGTATTAACTGTTTTTATATATATATATTATTATTACCTATATTCTTAGAGGGGCTACTAGAGATTGTAGTAGGATGAGATGCAATAGGCTTTCCAGATTTACTTGCAACTGAGATGGATGTCTGTTTATTATAAGACATAGTAGCATTAGCTAAACGCTCTTTAGGATCAATTGGCTTGGTTCGTGCATATTTCAGCCAGTAAATACCACAATCATTACAGAGTACTTTTGTAAATACTTTTTGTTTGCGATCAAAATCTGAAGGAGACCTTCTCCATATTTTGGAAGACTTTGTATGACAATTCATACAATGATACGATGATGTGGCATAGGTTGATTTTGGAACAACGGTTTGATCAATAATTATTTCTTTTTCTTTTTCTTCTTCTTCTTCCTCATCGGTGACTGTTTCAGAATGCTCTTCATTATCCTTAGAAACGTCTTCGTTATTGTCTGATGAATAATTTTTAAATTTTTTTCTAAATAAAAATAGAAATTAGAGCTAATTTTATCGAAAACAAGTTTTATTAACTTACAATGGCTTAAAAATCTTTGTCCATTCTGAATAGACAGGTTCATATCGATCTGTTTTCTTCCATTTGTAGAAAAATCTTACAATATCAGCCATATCTTTTGTTTGAACGCTTGCCTTGGCACAATTCAAGTCATGGCCATGTTCACGAATACTCTGTTCAAAGGCATCCATTTCTTTTTTACTCCAGTGAACAAGATGTTTAAAATCATCTTTTGTAATTGTCTTCATAGTCTCTAAAGCGACTTTGATATTGTAGTTTGCATCAACAAGTATAGAAAGAGCTTTATCCATCATATCAGAACTATAACAAGGTAAGGGTAAATTATTTAGTTCTTTAACTAAAGATAAATACGTGTCCACTGTATATATATATATATAAAAAAAAAGTTTAGTAAGATTTGCGAAAAAAAAAAGCTGTATGTATAAAATAATAGACATACACTTTTCTGAATCAATAAAATTAGGATTAAAAGCAGAACATAATGTTTCATCTGTGCCTCTTATAGGTATAAGAGATTTTTCAAGTAATTCACTTCTAGATAAGTTGACTGGACTTGCAGTTCCTACAAAAATAAACATATATTTATTAGAAAATGGAAAAAATTACAATAATAAATCTAGCTTTACCTGATTTCTTTTGACTAAGTGGTGAGGTAGATTTTCCTTTTCTATCTAATGACTTTTTATATTTTTTATTAGGATTGTCATTCGTATGACCGGAAGAAGCGATATTGCAGGAACGAATATCGCTTAAAGGAGATGAGGATTCACAAGTATCAAGATCAGATGACTTTCTCTTTTTGTCATTGGATATATTTAATTTAGTGTTACATGAGCCAACTCCATTGGGGGATAAAGAACGCACAAGGGAAGAAGAACATTCAATAAAATCTGGTACTGCTGCTTGATATTTTGGACCCATTCTACTCTTGGCTCTAGGATAAATACGATCATCTACATCTATAATGAAAAAAAAAAAAGAAAAAAAAAAAAAGTGAGTGAGAGTGAGTGAGAGTGAGTGAGAGTGAGTTAAAAATATCATTGATCATCTTATAGTCAATATGACTTTACCAAGTACATCTTTAACATCTGTATTTACACCAAAATAACGGAAAGGCCACATGTGTGTCATTTTTAGTACACGATCTTGAGATAAATGTTAGGACGAAGTTGAATGTGTTTTTTTTTTTCTTTTGTACCTTTAAAATTTCTATTTTTTTTCAAATTAATTTTTAATTTAATGCTGCTGCAATTACTATCGTTGCTATGAGACTCCGACACAGTAGCAGGGTTTTTAGTAGTAGATGATGAAAAAGAAGCTTCAGAAGAATTAATTTGGATAGGCAAGGGTCGTTGTTGAAGTTGTTGCTTTTGTTTCACTATTTGAGAACGCGTAGACCTTGTTTGTCTGGTAATATGTTTGCTTTGTTTGTCATTAGCTGTTTTAGCACTCACATCAAGATGAAGTGACGTAGTATTTGCTGATGATACTTGAGGCAAATTAGCAGTGGTATCATCATTATCATCAAGAGATAATCTTAAAAGCTCTTGACGAGTACAAAAGGCGCATTGCCAAGCGAACCCCTTTGAAGGTTTACGAGTTAAAGGAGGATTTAGACATGCCATATGATAGCTTTTATGGCATACCGTACATCTTACAGAAATGGCACTATTTAAAAGAAGATGAGAACATGTTCTCAATTATTCAAGCGATAACTCTATACCTTTCACACCACTCTTGGCAGACACAACAAGTTCTTCTTGCTACAGTAAGATCAGCAACCTTACCTTGTTCAACAACAATGAATTCAAAGCGTTCTCTTAGAACTTTAAGAGTCTCCATAGGCACATTTTGGACGGCTTCAGTAGGAAGGATATCATATACACGCTGAATGTAACGGTCATAAAGTTGAGTATAATAAAAATTATCTTCGCCTTGGCGATAATTTTCTAACTCTTCCTTGGGGATATATTGTTTATGAACCACATTGCATTTACCACGAATGGCAGAAACAGGATTGACATCGGAGTGCATGGTAGCTACTAAAAGACAGCGATCGGCTGAATTCCGATTGATGACATCCTTGGGACGGTTAAACCATGCAATGCGTGCTTGTAAGCCTTTACGTTTAGTAGAAGTGCAAAACACCATAATACGGCCAATGTAATAGGGTTCACCAAGATGCTCAGGAGCAAAGTAAACATAGTCTTTAAGAGATATAATTTATATTTATTTATATTTATAAACAAGATTTGGCAATCATGATCAACAGAAATTTTTTTTTCTTCTTTTATTGTTTACTTACCATTGATGTTAACGATGCTACCGTCAGGCAATGAAATATGAGTAATATTATGAGAAGGTACAATATCAGAAGACATGATAGTAGTTGTCAAAGAACAAAAGTTAGTTTTAAAGAATATAAATGAAAAGAAGAGTAGCTCTTTTTTTTAAGGGAAAAAAAAAAAGAAAGATAAAATAATAGACGCACCGTTCAAGGATAAAAAAGAACGTTTAAATGTAATAAATAGATATGAATGAGATGTAAACAGTTATAATAGTAGTGATATAAAGCTTACAAAAGGAGCATGTATAAAGAAGAAAAAAAAAAGAAAAGAAGAAAGGAATTGATTTGATTAAATTTTTTATTTTTATATTTTTTTATTTATAAGAAAAAAAAGGGAGAAATGAGCCTTACAAATATAAACAAAAAAATAAAATAAAGAGATGATACAAATAAAGATTTATATAAAGAGAAGCCTATAAGATAAGTTTAAAGTAAGAAGTAACATTTTACTTTCCATCATTACATCATTGGACATGGGCATCCTTGAAGGAGTCCTTTGAGATCTCTTTCCCTCTCTCTCTCTCTCTTTCTCTCCCCCTTTTTATACTTTAACAAATATCAGCTTAATTAACTTGTATTTTGAGCTACAAGTGATAGTCAATAGTTCAGGCTTATTTTTATCATTTAGAATAATAAAGTAGTATGAGTATGAAATTTTATTAAGCTTTTAAAGAGTAAAGAAATTAAAAAAAAAAAAAAATGAAAGTCATCTCGATGAGACTATGATGTATAATATTATTATTAAATGATATAGAGAACAATAAATACGAGAGAAGAAGAAGAAAATGATAATGGATAAAATGGTTCTACATATCATTATTTATCGTTGTTGTTCCATATTTTGTTGATTACGTTCTCCCTGCTTAAAAGCTTCTCTTCTCTCAGCCCAAGCTTTAATGATCTGTAAAGCAGCAACATAACATAGAGTAATGGCAGTCAAAGCAACACACACATTCATTAAGAACATACTGTCTACATTATTTCGTCGTAACCAAAGTAAGGTGCCTGAATTAGAGGCCATAAATAATATAGAACCAGCAATCAATAAAAAGGCGCCTAAGAGTTCACTAGGAGGACGAGAGGGTTGAGCGTCAGTTGGTGCATTACGATAAAGGAATAGATAAGTAACAAAACGACAGCAGGCTGCAGAAGCTAATAAAATCCACCCCCCCCCACATGTAGTGAATATAATGTATCTTGATGATGATTATATAATAATTCGTAATAAAGCACAATATTCGTCTTACTACATTGAATGTCAGCAATCTGGCTTTATTTAACATTTATTACTAGAAGCAACATCTTAAACATCTATCTTTTTCTTGATTTATCCTAATGTTTCCGATTGTCTTAAGTTAATACTTGGTTATGAACACGTTTACGAATCTATCTTAAATTACATACTATTATTTATTCAGCAGAAGTCGTTATTCTCTTTAAAAGATAGTGTTCTCTTTTGGATATCTAATGAAAAAAAATAATAATATACAGTTACGTAATTCTGTATTTTTGGATATACTTGGACCTTATATTAATTCAGATCAGTATCTATTTCTATCATCATCATCGTCGTCATTCAGGAACGCCTTTCAAGAAAAAGAGTTGTCTTGGATTTTTTTTTTAAAGTCAAAATGTGATGAACATTAGAATAGCCAATAGGATCATCGAACATTTTATACAACTTAGACTCAAACATAGTATATTAAACTGATACATCATGTTTTAGTTTTTTTTTTTAATATCAAACATTACCAATTGATGAAAAATATGTAGAATTAAAAGTTGATTTACTAAAAAGATTAAATAAAGTGATATGATTGGCTGGAATAGTTTTTTTTTTTTAATTTTACTACTTTTTTTTTTATTTTGACGCAGAAACAACAAAAATAAAATAAACAAAAGAATGTCATATTCAACCTTTTCTTTTTTTTCTTATTTATATATTTATTTATATATTTATTAATTCAAAAATGATAATTCTTAGGCATAATACATTATTAGCAAAAGACCTTTTTCTAATTGAAAGGGTAAAAAAAAAAAAAAAGAAAGAGTTTAGTTATACATGGTTTCTTTTTTTTTTTGACTTATTTTGACAAATAATAGATTATGTTAAAAATATCAGAAAATCCATCCTTTGATTATTTACTTGATTATTCTCTATTAAATAAATCGAGAGGAGAGGTTTATGGTTACATTGCAGGCATATTTAAGCGTATTGGTATTTGTCATACACTGGGTATTACAACGTCAGACTTTCTTGATTTACTGATTGATATTGAAAGAGGATATAATGACAATCCTTATCATTCATTTTATCATGCTGTCGATGTCGCTATGGTTCTTTACCATATGCTTGAAAAATATGATATGAAAGAATATCTTAATCGGTTTGACTTGGCTATGCTGATGATTGCAGCATTATGTCATGATATCGGGCATGTAAGTTTTTTTTTTTTTTTTTTTATAACACAGATAGATGTCTTACCTTTCTTCTTCTTTTTCTTTTTTTTTTTTTTTTTTTTTTCTTTTTCCTTTCATTTAATTAAAAATATAATAAAAATAGCCTGGCAATAATAATCATTTTGAAATAGCTTGTCAAACAAAAAGAGCACAAAGATATAATAATTTATCAGTACTTGAAAGCTATTCATCTCAATTAACCCTTGAATTATTAGATAAACATAAATTTTTACGTCATGTGGAATCAAGAAGTAAAGCGTTGGGTTGTCCAATGTCCTGTGATGACTTTAAGAAATCAATCGTTGAAACAATTCTAGCTACAGACATGATTTGTCATTTTACACTTCAAGAAAATATTCATCTTTTACACGATACTATTTTACAATGGAAAAAGAAAAGGTCACATCAAGACTTTATAAACTTTAAAACAGTCACATCATCCACCTCTCAACTCAAGCCTCTCTTTCCTCCTGATGCTCAACATGATCCACTCGACTATTTCAATAAAAATTATCATTTCAAACAAACAATAAACGATAAAAGGGATGATCAAGCTTTGAATGGTCAAGAACGATTGATGATCTGCAAGATCTTGATTCATGCTGCTGACATTAGTAATCCCTGTCGGCCTTGGCCCATTTTTCATCAATTATCACTTTTAGTTTGTGTTGAATTTTTTCGACAAGGGGAACAAGAAAGAGCACTTGGTTTAGATATATCACCCAATATGGATCCTAATAAAGCGAATCCTTCCAAGATCAATATAGGTTTTATTGATTTTATTGTTCAGCCTTATTTTGAAGCATTGGCTGCCTTGTTCCCAAAATCATTTGAATTAGTCGAGGTGTGTCAGGTAAATCGAAAGGAATGGCTTAAATTATCAACAGAGACTGTAGACGGCGTAGATCTTAATTTGATTTCGATTGAAGAGACAATGGGGGCGATACCAAGAAAGCATGTGACAGTAGCAGCAGGAACAGTTCAAATCCCTGAATCAATAGAAGAAGATATCATTAGAAGGAGGAAACGATTACAAGCTACAATGTTCAATCGAAGTATAAGCTTTAATTCATATTGTTCAGGTCAACTCTTATCACCTATATTACATGAAGATGCATCGAATTCAACTACAAACCGATGTCGTCGAAAAAGTAGTGAAGAAGTCATTGCATCAAGCTTGCATCGTATAAATCGTTTTCATAGAAATTCCATTTCCAAAACTAGGAGGAAAAGTGACGAATTAAGTAGTTCTAATATGCTTAATAATCATCCAAAAATAATACCTTTCTTTTAGATGTATTATAACAATAAAAATAAAATAAAATAAATTATAACAATAGTTTATTAGATATAATACGACTTTTAATACATCATTAAATACTGTACTAGTAAAAATAAAATCAAATAATAAAGTGCTTATTATCTAATTTATTTAGACATTAAAAGAGAGTTATTTTAATATTCTTGAAAGATTAAGAACTACCCTCTTAAACACTTGATTTTCTTTAAAGAATTATCTATGTCTTATACCGGTAAAATATAGACACACACACACATATATATATGTATATGTATATGTATATGCATATTCTTATTTATTTATTTTGAAGCAATATTTTATAATGTAGATCCTACATACTTTTTAATTTTTTATCCAAGACATGTAACATATAAATATAAATATATACATATATACATATATATATATTTATGTATGTTTGTATGAACGTATGAACGTATGAATGAATGCTTATCTATATAACTTCTTCATAGGCAGGTGGTGGTAATAATTGTAAATTTGGAGAATAATTTCTATCATTTTCATTATTATTACTATGATAGTATGAAGATAAGATATCTAACATAGGATTATAGGGCACAGTATTCCATGCTTCTTCATAACTCGGTAGTCCGGTTTGATTAACGGCACAAATGGTAATAGGGATTGCCATCCTTAATTCTGAGATATGTCCAATTTCATTCGTAAATGATAAAATAAACTTAATCTTGTGTCGAATACAGATATCTTCATTTTGAATATCATATTGTAACTCTTCTATTGAATTTGGTAAAGGAATTGTTTGTACCTTGGTCCAGATTATGAAATGATCGTTATAATTGTGGTTGTTCATTTTTCCAAATTTATGGTCCTTAGTGGAAAATAAAACCCGATTGTGTGCTCGTGGACGGCTGTTTAATCCCCTATTATAACAGATCATGTATTCCTTTAATATACAGGAAAGATGTTGTACACGTAAAGAATCGATAAGAGGCGTAACACGAATTGTCACTTTAACTTGATCGCCATGAGTATATATTTTACTGGGTATGATAATTTCATAGTGAAATCTATTTGCCCATTGGTTTGAAAGTATAACAGGTTCTGAAAATTCGAGTGTGAAGGGCAAAAGTTGGCGAGAAAGACGAATAGGTTTAGATTGAATGATGTTGGGTATTAATGAAAAAAATGTAGGGGCACGTTCAAGAGTAGCCCTGAGTTGATATTGAACATGGTAAAAGTTGGAAATATGAATTGACTCTGGTAAATAACCAGGTAAAGCTAATTCGAATTCATATGCATACATGCCCATATTTAATACGTGTAGCTTACTTCCTTTTGGTAAAAATGACCATTTATAATCAATAATCAATTTTTCATGACGAAATAATCTTTCATCTATTATAATTGTAAATAAAAAATAAATATTTATAAATATATTGTACTGACCATATATATTTTTATATATTTATTTATGTATTGATTACCTTTTGACAGAATAATAAATATTCTTCCTATAAATTGAAGTGTAATTGCTTTGATTTTAGTTGCTTCTGATAAACTAAGTTTAAGTATTCCTCTTAAAACACAACCAGCAGATTCATTTGATGAACCATACATGATCAGATTTTCATTTTCTACATAAATCTTTATATTACTATGAGGCTTTCGTTTGTTCATCCTCGCTATATGTGGAAAAAGAAGTGTAGAAAAATGGAACTTTCATGCTTTTTTTTTTCTTTTTCTTTTTCTTTTTCTTTAGTGACCACCAAGAAGCAATACAATGCATAAATATATGATTTTTTTTTCTTTTTTTCTTTTTTTTTTTTTTCTTTTATTATTATTATTAAATACATACATATACATTTAGATTATATAATTAGTATTATTATGTAATCTATCATGTATAAAATATATTATGTACAATTGAAGTAAAAAAGTGTTATTATTTCATATTTCGAAACCATGAATGATTTAATACTTGATCAATATTGATTCTTTTTCCAATATCTCTCTCTAATATTTTTTTCAAAAGGTCAAGGGAATCTATTATAAAAGAGCCTGTAAGTTAAAAAAAAATCTTTAAAATAGGATAAAGTAATACAAACAACAACCTTCAGACAGTATATAAGGCACAGTGAGTTCCTTTTCCATAATTTCATCTATATTATGAAATGGATTCTCTCGATAGATCAATGTAAATAGCAGGACACCCGCTGCCCAAATATCCTGAGGTGGCCCTGCATAAGGTTGGCCTTTTAATACCTCTGGCGCACAATACTCTAGTGTTCCTGTAAATGTATCAAACTTTCGATTCTTTCTATAATAAGTAGCGCATCCAAAATCAATTAAATGAATTTGCCCCTTTTGGTCCAAGATAATGTTTTCATCTTTGATATCACGATGAACGATACAGTGATCGTGAAGATGTTTAATTGCATTGGCCACTTGATAAAAGATGTTTCGAATCGTGTCTTCTGTCATACTCTTATTTTTCTCGATATAATCATATAAATCCATGCCAGTGCCCAATAGTTCCATGATCAAAAAATAATGGTCTTCATCCTCTAAGCTTGTAACTAATAATCAATCAAAATATTAGAAAATAATAATAATAATTCATGGCCACCATTTTTACCTAATCTACAACAATTAACATGTGGGTATTTTTGAAGTGTTCTAAGGATATGAATTTCCATTGGAATAGAACCTAATTGTCGATCTCTGATATATAAACATGTTGATACAAGTATTAGTATTATAGAGAAAAAAAAAAAAAAAGAAAAAGTTCACCTAATCCAAGAATCTATGATAATTTTTTCTTTGATAATATACTTGATTACAAGTTTCTTCTATATAAATCATATTCTTCAAGTTAAATAAACTCTTTCTCTTTCCATTATATATATATATATATATATATATTACCTGAGATGGATCATCTTTTCGAAAGGCTAACTTAGCCATACCATAGGTTCCCTGACCCAGTACTTCCAAAATTACGTAATCATCAAGTGGGTGATGATGATGTCGTTTTGTACTATTTCTATTGTTACTTAATGGTGATAATTGCTTAATATCATTGTTTGTACTGATACATGTCTGAGAAGGGAAAAGCTTGCGATTTTCGTCGACTGCACCAAAGGAACTTATCCTTAAGGAACGCATTGCAGGTCTATTACGAGTCAATTTACTCTGATTTTGTAATTGGTTATTCTCATCTTGCTCTTCTTTGCCATGATTATTATCCTTCTTTTCCTCCTCTTGTATCATCCTTGCCGACTCATTTAAATGATTCTTTCTCTTTTCATATTTTGACATGGCATGAAGACGGTCATAAGTAATGAGGACTTCAATCCGATCAGAGTCATTATTCATCATCTTGAGTTGAATCTCCACCTCAAATTGGCTTCCATCTCGATGAACAGCATAGATAACAGCAGGTTCTTGAATCGGATCCCTTTCCAGTAGTTCTAAGCATAAAGCATGTTGAACAAGAGTTGCACCAGGGGGTATTTTGTTAATAAGAGTAGGTAAAAGAGGAATGAGTTCATGAGCATAGGTTCGCTTTTGTTCAATTGCTTCAGGGCGTCCAAACAAGTATTTAGCGGGTACAGGGCTTATCAAGGTGACGAGACCACTCGTTCGAGAAATGAACATGGAGCCAGTGATAGAAGGCAAGGAAGTCATCTTGATAACAGCCCTTGCCAAGTCATCATCACCCATTGCTACATGACGGTTTAAGGTTAACATGACAGGGATGGATATACCTTGACTAGACTGACTTCCAAAAAACTTGAGTCGATCAATGGTTTCTAAATTTTCATCACAGCGTTGTTGCTGTTTTGAGAGAGATGGGATAAGACAGTTGACATGTTTACCCAACACCTCCTTTTCCTTATATCTATAGATTTTCAGCATTGTGCCTAATACTCTACGTATTGTGCACTACATATATACAGCAGAAGTTAATTTCGATAAATAGATAGATAGATTGGAGGAAAGAAATTAAGGTTTTTTTTTTTTCTTTCTTTCTTTCTTTCTTTTTTTTTTAGTTGCTTGCTATTACCTCAGAATCTACATAGACAGATAGTGATGTTTCATAGATTTCTTCAAATATCCAAATATAGATATGATCATCATTATCTGTATTTTTTTCCTTTAACCATAAAGTAGCAACTGATTTCACTCCATTTGCTTTAATAAAGGGTATCTAATTTATAAATATGTATGTATGTATGTATATAGACCAAAAAAGAAGATGTCAGTGTATATACATGTTTTAGTTCAGGTCATCCTTATTTACTTACTATGGTACCGCAAACAAGTACTAATCCTTTTTTATCAGAGCATAACGATTTCTGAGGTGGATTAGTATTTTTTCTCTTTCTACGATTCAACACGTTTGTAATTTGTTTTCGAAAGGGGTATTCTAACAAAGATGTCAAGATAGATCTCCCGATATAAGACTTGTCGATTTTAAAACAAAGAGAAGCAATATCATTGAATAATAGAATTGTTCCATCTGATTTAGTTGTGAAGACAGCTTGATTTTGAGGTAAAAAACGAGATGGGGCATGAAGTGCTCGAGTGTATTGTTCAGCATAAGTATTTAAGAGGGTTAAATCTCTTTTATGTATGTGTGGTAAATTATGAGTTGATACAGATAAACTTTCTTTATGTTCTATAACATGATTTTGAGGTGTATTATCCTGTTGTTGATGTTGATTAAATGACTGATGATAATAGTGATCGATGTTTAGTTGTAAATCATGGTTGTTGATAGCATCACCACTATTATTCACTTGTTCATCACTACCGTTAGATTTCCATTTCATTTTTCGTATAAAATTCATTCCTTGACTAACAACTACACTACTTTTCTTTCGAAATGATTTATATCTTTTCCTGTTATAGTTAACATGACTTATAGAGGAAGTTGGAAGACTATAGTTATCAGTAGAATGTCTTGAATTAGTCGGAAAGATTGTATTAGCATGACTTGATAGAATAGTGTCATCATCGTCGTCTTCAATTTCTTCTTCATAGTCATGTTGATGATTATTTTTATTATATCTAAAATATAAAGTAAATAAATATAATGTGTAAACATAAGGGTGGAGAGGGGGAAAGAGAGGGAGAGAGAGAGAGAGAGAGAGAGAAAGAGAAAATTACATGTTACTATTACAAGTTGCAGTGATACTATTATAATTGTATACTTCTTTCAAGCATTCATCGTCTTATAAAATACTTTAAAATGTGTATATATGCGTATATATATCTATGTGTGTGTTACTGAGAAAAAAAAAGAATTGACTTACCACTTAATACTACAGGAACTGAACTCATTAACTTGCTTTATTTATTTATATTTGTGTATATGTTTATATATATTTATTTTAATTGAAGAAATAACGATAAATATGATAAATTATATATTGTTGATTTGTTTCCCCTATCAAATATATCAGGTAACAAATAGTAAAGAAGAAGAAGAAGAAAAAAGAAGAAGGAAAAGTTTGAGCTATTATTATATATGTTCATGCTTTTTTTGGCATCGTCGTCGTTTTTTTTTTTTTTATTATTATTATTATTATTTTATTTTATTTTATTTTATTTTATTTCCCCTACCCACAACAAATAGAATTTAATCACAGACAATCACTAAATTTATTTTGAAAACAAGTAGTAAACAGTCGTGGTGGAGAATGAGAGAGCATTATTGCATATAAATTATGCATTAGAAAAAAAAAGTATATTTTATTATTGTTATATAAAGAGAAGAATATCATAAATAAATAAATAAATAAATATATAATAAATAGGTAAGTAGAGTATTAAATAATTATAAGCATAGATTTTTTTTTTTTTGTTTTCGTTTTTTAATGGATGCTGCTAGACCCTAGTCCTTCTCCCAGATCTACCACATGTTAAGCAACTTGCAATGGCGCCCAGTGTACCTGTAATACATCTTGTAATTGCTGAAATAATTGTATGGAAGAATCCTGCAACAGCGCTTACTAATCCTGAAAGCAGTGAAGCAATTGAGCTACATATACCACTTAGACATGAAAAAATTGATCCCATTTTTTAATTTTAATATTAGAAATAAATATATTTATAAATACGTATATTTTTTGGTATTATTATTTTTTTGATCCCTTTTTATACAAATAAGCCTTGAAAATAAAAAATAAAATATATATATATTTATATATCATCATGACGTAAATGCTTAAAATGGATCATATAACTGGACCATGATAGTTTTTTTTTTTTTTTTTTTTTTCATTTACTCATTTAAGAATTCTATTTTGATAGGCATAATATGCATTATTTTAAAATACAATAAATGACTATGTACATTCAATTGGATTTGATTTACCTCAAGCTTTATTCAGTTTTTTTTTTTTCACATTTGATCAAACTACCTATAGGAAAGACAGATATTATATACATATATGTATTTGAGGAAATCAGGTATGGTGACTTCACTAAAATGAGTAGAGGTGAAAATAACAAATCCCTATATTTGTAATAGTAGACAAGTTATGATTATTTAATAATGATTTTATTATTATACTAATATACCTCAGTGTATATTGATTGAACTACCAAGTTCGGAAACTCCCTACTATTATTTGATAGATCATTAAATACACCTTAAATTACACTTTACTTTTTTGTAATGTTTTGATATTCTATAACTGAGTATAATTCATCTTTAAAGAATTTACAGTGTAATTGATTATTATTCGAATTTATTTTATATATTCTAATAGTTAAAAAATAATGTGCTTAGTTATTATTTATGAATAGATAGAAAACACGCTTAAAGTGAAAAGAATAACTGTATGATAGGATTCTATAGATATTGGTTTTTGTCTTTTTTTTATACTTTTTGCTTTTTAGTCGTGTCATTGTTAATAGTATGCTTTCTTTTAGCTTTTGATCCAAATGCTGTATTTTTGAGCACGTCGTCAATCATAACTTCACAACGAATTTTCATCTCTGATGCATATTCTTGAGTAGTAATAAATGTTTCGGGATATCGAAGACTGTATAATTTGCTCTTTAGTTTATGACATTATATAATATAATCATCATTTTATCTATTACCTTAACCACATATATAGCATTATATTTTTGTGGCTGTTCTCTAACTCGATCAACTCCTTTGGTGTTGAAGGTGCTGAATTTGGAAGTTGAATGACATCATCTAAAGCACAAGTCTCTCCTTTACTAAACTTTTCAGCTAATTCTTGAATCATAAGTGTAGAAGCTTCATTACGAACGCTTACGGGTGCTGTTACAAATTGGTATCTATCTCTTAAGGGTAATTTAATATGTTCTAGAAAATCAGCAATTGCCTATTTTTTTTTTTTGTTTTTTAGATAACGCGTTTATACTATTTTATATGAAAAATATACCTTTTGATCCCTATAGTTACACAGGAAATAATCACCATTTAAGGAAGCTAAATCTTCAAATTTTTGCTATTTAAAAAAAAAATGTCAATACTTGTACACTTTGATTCTTGTAAATTTAACATACTAATAACCCTGAAAACTTTTCATTTGGCATTTGTAATGCAAATAATTCTAGTATCTCTACAGTAGGCTGTAATCCAGCCATCTAATTTTATATATGGTTTAGTTTGTACAAAAAAAAATAAGTTTATAATCCTACTTCTTTACCTCTAATGGTATAATTGGAGCATTGACACACTCCTTAATATAAGCAAGATCATGTGGATGTAAACTAAAAAAGAAAGATTATTTTTTTTAACTAATACTTGTAATGAAAAACCTTAGTAAACTTACGTTGTTACTTCTCCTTTATCATAAGCTGTTCCAAATCTACCTGCACGTCCAGCAATTTGCTTTAATTGAGGTACACTGATATAATTGAAAGAATTTCCATCATATTTTTGCACTGTTGAAAATACTATACGCTTTATATTCCTATAATAAGACAATATAATACAAATTAATTTTGCATTATAAACTCACTTATTTTTGCACTTACAAGTTTAATCCCATGCCAATAGCATCAGAAGCAACCATAACATCAAATCCACTATTTGGGTCATTGAAAGCTTTAGCCTGGAGTGCTCGAGTTTCTAGTATTAAAAATTATAAAATAAAAAATAAAAAAACAGTGCAGGTTTTTTAATTTAACAATATCATATAAATGAGTTTTTTTTCGTTATATTTACCAGGAGGAAGTGCACCATAAGCAACTGCACAATGGAGACCTGTTAATAATTCTATCTTCTTCTTCAGATTGAAAATATCATTACGAGAAAAGGCAACAACACAGTCACCTTTTCTAATCATGCTCAAATCATTGACTAGAGATTTATTTAATACTTCATAAGGTGTAAGACGAGAGTATTCATTCACTTCCACTTCTTCATCCAAGCTTTCACATATTTTTTTAACTAAAGGTACAGCTGATGCTTCACCACAGAGATGAATTTCCTTTGCTTTAAGACCCAATAAAGCTTGTGTCCAAGCCCAACCACGATCTGGATCAGAAATCATTTGAATTTCGTCAATTACAGCTACATCCATAGTCTTATTTAATGAAGCCATTTCAACTGTTGAGCTTGTCAAGGGTGCATATGGCATAACCTCTCTTCGTTCTTCACCTGTTAATAAATTACATGGAATACCTTTCTCATTCATTTTTTCAAAAATTTCATGTGCTAATAATCGCAGCGGTCCACAATAAATACCAGATTCTGCACTTTCTAATCGTTTTAAAGCACGATATGTTTTTCCACTATTTGTAGGCCCTACATGTAGAATAATTTTTCTACAAACTATAAATACCTAAAACATTGATCCGTTTTTTTTTTTTTTTTTTCGTCTTTACCTTTTCATTTGTCTTGCATCTGGAAACCATTCGCTTGGAAATCGTAAGTCACTTATTTTTCGTAAAGAGTTAAAACGATCCACTATTTCACTAGGTAAATGGGGCTCAGCGTATGTAAAAAATTCTGATAGCAGTACTTTATCAATATAACCTATCAAAAAAAAAAAAAAAAAAAAAAGAAAAGAAAAGACTTTTTAATAAAGTGATACTTTTTTTTTTCTCTCTCTTAAAAGAATTTGACATGTATGTAGTACAAACCTTGCCCTTCATCCTCATTAAAGGAATTATATAGTGTACGGGCATTAATTCTGGGTAATTTCCCTTCTAATGCTGCTTTGACGAATGCATTGGAAACCCTTGAAAATAAACCACCTCGAATGCCCAGCCCGCTAGCTTTGCGTTTTATCTCTGCATTAGAGGTAAATGTGTGCAGTTTAATTTTCAAGTCTATAAAAGATGCAATAGATTAGCTTTAAAAAAAAAATGGTTATAATGTTCACTGAGAAGGTACTTTTTTCTAACCAGTAGTAATCTTTTACGATGGATTTTGATGGAATTTTAACATTAAACACAGGTGCTAGTTTTGCTTTCCTAGATCTCTGAGTCTTTTTTGGGGTTCGTAAGCATGGTGCGGTATAGGATAAAGATCGTGTTGATATTCTCCAATCTGTTCGAACGGCTTGTAAGCTACAATGTCCTAAGGACAAAATTCGAAACATAATATGTGAAAGGGATGTTATAATTAAAAGTGGAGGGCCCCTGAGTTTATGCGCTGTAAAATTCGTCCTATAATAATGTAGGAGAGGCTTAGCAGATTCTTTAGCTTATTATTGGTATATAAAACTACTCGACGGAAAGTGAAATTTAAGTAGCAGCGACTTTAGTCTGATTTATCCACTACTGTTGAATGCAATATAATCTTTTAAAATAGATTATGTAATAAAACAGACGTTTATTATATAATATGAATTTATTTCCAAGACTAAGATCTGTTGTCACTAAAGAATAGATATTAATACAATATCTCTGTTGCTATTACTTTATTTATAACTCTTTTTTTTTTTTAGAAGATACTATATTAGTCTTTTCAACTTTTAATAATGAATTTATTTATTTAAAATGATTATTATTTTTTTTATCAATATTCAATGATTGTCAGTACGTTAGTAGTAGAATATTTAAAGTTAAAGAAGAAAAATAGAATTGTTTGAAATATAAAAAGTAGTCACCTTTAATAAAATATGCGTCAAAATTGGTCCCGACCCTGGCCGGATTTTCTTTTGGAAAAAAAAAAAAAAAAAGTATGTACACATTTAACATATTCAAATTCTGCAGTTCTTTTTCTTTTTTTTTTTTTTTTCTTTTTCTCTTTAGTAAAGGGGAAAGAGCAAAACTTATTTACTCTCTTTTAGTAAATGTCGGGACGATCAATATTGTTTTTGCGCACTGCAATATTAGAAAAAAGTTTTATGCCAGTTGCTCGACCAATAATACGATTACCCCTAAAGCCAAATAATGGACGCTTTTTAAGTAAAAAACCTACTAGACGGTTTTATGGATCTACATCCACTGAGAAACAACAACAAAATTCAAAAATATCATCTATTGTGTCTTCACCTAGTATCATTCAAGCTGCTAAAACGGAACCTAAACAATCAAAATTAAAAGAGCTTGCTCGAAAATATGGTATGGCAGGTATTGTTGTATATCTTGCAGTGGGTTGTGTAGACCTGGGTATTACATTTGGCGTTATTCAATTAGCTGGATTAGATAAAGTGAGAGCAATTGAAAAAAGTGTTATTAATACTTTCTATAATGTGGGTGAAAGAATTGGTTTTGAAAAGAAAGTTGATGAGCGACCAGTGGTAGTAGTAACAGATGGGGAAAATAATACACTTTTGACAGCAGCAGTAGCAAATGAAGAAATTGACTTAATCAAAAATAACAACAACGATACCCCTTCTTTTGCTTCTGTCTTTATATTGGCGTATGGTATTCATAAAACGTTGTTACTGCCTATCAGACTGGGTATCACAGCGGCTATTACACCTGCTGTCGTACGTAAACTACATCAAATGGGTTGGGCTCGCTATTTCCCTAAACTATTAGGTGCTACCAAGCCGAAGAATTTATAAATTTTTACTAATAGATATTTATGTACATGTACATATAAATATTATGCATAAGAATACCTTTATTTTATTTTATTTTTTAAAAAAAAAAATGATAATGATGTATAATGAATAGATATATTATTACACCTCGAATAGTATAATATTTCAATTTTATTTTTTAATTTTATTATGTTATTAATAATTGTTAATCCAGTTGAAAGCGGTCAGCTTCAATAGGGCAATAAACTTCTAATGCTGAATTCCAAGTCATAGTCTTTGGTTTATTGGCTAAAGGCACAAATAATGTATTCCATAAGGACTGTTATATATAAAAAGTAAGAAGAAGTATAACTATTTTGTTAGTAATGGGAAGGAGTTTTTTTTTTTTTTTTTCTTTTACCTTGGCAACATATTCATGACCTAAAGTACTTGGATGGAAGCAATCAATATTGCTGTAAGGATTGTACATTTGTGTAAATACATACATATATGTATTTTTAATAACTTGTTATAAATATATAAACTTTTGTTTTTTTTGTTTTGTTACCTTAATGCTTTAACAGGGAAAGTATCAATTTTAATATTTGCGGGTGTAAAAATAACACCAAATGAATCAGTTTGTAAAGCCTTGAATTTTTTAGCAATAGCCTCTAACTGTTTTGTATAACCTAATGAATAATTTGGTTAATTTTTTTTAGGTCTATATGAAATGATAATAATTACCAACAGAAACTTCATCCATTTTTTTACGATATCTCTTATCAATAGCACAGGGGCATTCAACTTGATTGATAATGAAATCTGTATGTTGGAAGGGTTTGCAGTAATCTTGATCTGCAGTAACTGTATAAACTTCAGTTACATTAAATGTACCGACTGTTATAGAATACAAGTTAATAGGTGAAGTAGCTTTTTTTTTTCTTTAAAAAAAAAAAATAAGTGTATATTCTTACTAAGATTCACTATAACTCGAGGAATATTCTTTCTGATACGCTCAACAGCATTTGTAATATGTTCACCATACTTGGTAGGGGTAAGTAAAGGGATTACACTATCAATACATGAAGCACATTGATCATTACTACCAATTTGAACATTGATAAGCTTCCAATCATTTTTGAAATCGATGCCAGGCATAAGTTTCATAGCTTATATAAAGTAATTAGGTATACATATTTTTTTTTAATATTTTTATCAAGTAGCAATTAAATTTATATTACTACCTGGAATTAAATAATCAAGTTGATGATCGATATTAGGTGCCATTGCAGCGCTTTGAGCAGCATTTAATAAATCTTTTGATGGTCTATCTAAAATGTCAAAGAGATTAAAAAAAAATAAATAAATCAAGACTCTTCTTATAAATTTACTACTTACATTGGAAAGGAGGGCAGATAATGCCATAACAAATTTCAGCTAAATGATCCCCAACAGAGGCTCCTTTTACTTTAGGATTATATCTTTTAATGAAATTAGGAAGGGTAACTGCACCTGGATCACCACCACCCCCATAACTAATTCCACGATTTTCATAAATGGAAGAAATGTTAATAATAGACGAGCCTTGAATGCCCTCAGCTGCAAATGCTGCCATAATACTATAATAAAGAAAAAGATGTCCAGCTTAGAAAAAAAAAAAAAAAAAAAAAAAAAAAAAAAAAAAAAGATGGAGATTCCATTATAATATGTTAAATGGTATACCTATCACCTAGTGCGGAAACTACTTTAATATCGTCAGGACGAAGATCAGAAACACTTGTAGCAGGACTTGACCTTGGCTTTAAAGTAGGGCAGTCATTAATGGATGAAGCCGTCAATGCTTGAGTTCCAGAAGCAAAAATGAATGCAATTGTAGATAGTAATGAAAAGCGCATTTTAACAGAAAGATATAATAATATCTTTTAACAAAAGATAAGAAAAAAAAAAGGTTGTGGTTTACCCAAATAAAGCACCATTTTTGTGGCCTCCTTTTTATACAGCATTACTCTTTGATGATATTCAATGCTGTAACTAATGTGTGACCTTCACTACATATCGCAAAGAGGATGCTATACTATTGAATCATCCTTTTTTTACCTCCCACATTTACGTTACATTTTTAAAATTAAAAGTTCTGTGAAAGGTCATTTTTACAATTTGGTAAGATGAATATGCAAAATTCATTATGGTATTATTTGTCATACAACAGAAAGAAGAGAATATCATTTTTAGCTTTTAAATATAATTGTACTTTTTTTTTTTTAATAAGGTATAGTGTTCATAAAATGTGTGTAATAACATCAAAGATGCGCTAGTAATATCATTCCTTCTATACAATAACTGTGTCACTATATAATTATGAATCGGTTATCAGGCATTACCGTCTCTCTTAATGTATACTACTCCTTACATTTACAAGCAATCATTGCTTTTATTTAGATGCATTTAATTGAATTAATGATTAATAATAATAATAATAACTCTTACTATTGATCCATAAATGTGTAATAGCAAGTCATGTTTGCTTACATTTTTACGGTTCATAACATATTCTGTATAATACATTAAATGTAAATTTATCTCGATAAATGAGGGGAAAAAAAATAAACAAAGCAGTACCATCATCCTCGGACTAAGGAGAACTTCATATGCTTTATTATCATATACATATTTTTTTTTTCGTTTCCATTATACGGTAAAATCTGATGCCGAAAGCATTTTTCTTCAATAAGCAAGTAAACTTGTCAAATGATTAAAAAATGTTTTGTATATCGTGAAAAGGATGTCAAATTGGGACTGGAACTTGATCGATTATTCTTGTCCAACATTTATTTTAAACTTTTGTTGTCAGCATATTAATAAATTATCTTAATCAGGAACAATGATCGGTAACTATTTCATAAAAATCAAGAAAACATTATAAATGTTTAATCTACTAAATACAGTATACTGTATCAAAAAAAAAAAAAAAAAATGAACACAACTCTCTTTATAATATAGATAAAGGGAATATTTGCATATATATACTGCAGATATCATGTTATACACTGCTTTTTTTCTTTTTTAAAGCGATTATACATGACACAAAAATTATTCTGATTACAAAAGGTCTATATTCTCTCATCTATTACTACAATTAACTATTGATAATTCAAAGAGTTAGTATGTACCTCAAACAAACTAAATAAATAATCTATAATAAATAAAAGTTCACCAATTTTATAATATGATCATTATTCTTAAAGAGGAAGATCAAACTTTCTTTTTTTTTTTTTTTAGGAATTTGTTGTAAAAATTTCATCTTCATAAAGTTTAAGATTGTTGTGACAAGGAAGTAAAGAAATAAAATAATACAGTTATATTTTTTTCAGACATCCTACTTCATTATATAAACGGTAAAAAATTAAAAAAATATTGCTGACTGTGAGATTCGAACTCACGCCTCTTGCGAGACCGCAACTTGAGTGCGGCGCCTTAGACCAACTCGGCCAAATCAGCTTGTTGATTTGTCGAGCCTAATAAAATTTATGAGGATGTCCCATTAGAAGTAGACCCACTACAAGTAATGAAAATATTCCGCAACTGAAAACATACGTAAAACAAGTCTTTTTGCTGAGTTTTAAGTGATTTTTTCAAAAAATGATTATTTCGTCAACTTATTACTAGTAAACATGAAAATAAAATTAATATTAATTTTTTTATCATATACAAGCTTTTATATATCTAAAAAAAACTACAACTTTATAGCAAAAATTGATTATTTTATAGCAATTTTAATTTTACAGCCTTTTGGCAGTATTTAATTTTCATAGAGAAATTGGGAGAAAAAAAATTAATTGACCAATAAAAGTCCTAAAAATAAAAAAATAAACATTCAGCTGGAGTTAAAATGACGTTTTTATTTTTTTTGGTTCTTTCACCCCCACAATTTTCACTTGTAATTTCAGCATGCTAAAAAATTAACTTTTTTTTTCTTCTACAAACAGTTAGACATAAATTCTTATATAATATTTCATACATGACAAGAAAAGATAACTATTATAAAAGTATACAATACATATAATAAACAAAAAAATAATTTTGCATCTTTATTTAATTTAGTCATTTCGAATGTAAATGTAAATGTAAATGTAAATGTCAATGTAATTGTAAACATTAATGGAAATGTAAAAAAAAAAGTAATCTCATAGATGCATGTTAATTGTCCCTAAAAAATACAAAACACTTTCAACCATATTTAAATGTACACATACATATTATTACGTTACTACGACTGTTATTTGTTCAGTTTAAAATGACAAAAAACATTATGTCAATGCATTACTATTGAACTAATGTAAAAAAAAAAGTAATTTCATAATTGCATGTCGAATTAACTGTGTTCAACTATATTTAACTGTATATATATATTATTCTCTTATTATAGCTGTTATTTGCTCAGTTTAGAATGACAAAAAAAATATTATGCGAATGCATTACTAATGAACTAATGTAAAAAAAAAGTAATTTCGTAAATGCATGTCAAATGATCTACATGAAATGTCCAAATTTCAATGTAATCGTTAATGAGTTCTAATTTACAATTATTTAATAATATATTATTCTTTTACTAATGTTTCTATTTTATGGAATACGAACGATAACTTGTAAACAAAAAAAAGTACATGAACAATAACTAATAAAGAAAATTGTGGGGGAGAATAAACTTATTGTAAACTTTAATTAGACAATTTTAATTAGTGCTAAAAAATTTTTTTAGTCCCTTTTTTTATTTTTTTTATCTTTTCTTTCTTTTCATTATATTGTAATAACATGCTTTTTTTCTATTATTTCTATTTTTTAGAATTTATTTTTTACTAGGTAATTGTTAATATATAATTGTAAATAAATAATATAAACTAAACAAACATAATGTATTCACTTTTTCATTTTATTTTACAGAGATATTGAGATTGTATTAAAGAATACTGCCTCTTGGTAACAGATATATAAAAAAAAAGAGAGAGAAAAGGTAAATCATCAAGGCTTTTCTTCTTTTTCAAGTTATTGAAACTAATTTTGTATATTTATATTTAGATAAAGCTTTTTATTGTATTGTCTATCCATTGAATACAAATGATCAAGTGTTCTCTTTTACAATCAACTGAATAATATGGTAAGTTTCTTTTGCAACTATAATTCAACAAATATTATAAATTATATATATGTATATACTAATTATTATTTAATCATGCTTAGATGGTTCTTGTTCTATTCAATAGATTGATATGCTAATAAACACTTTCATTGCCTTGTATTATTAAAGGTAAAGATCATATTACAAGGGCTAAAATCATATATATAATATGTCATAATTAGTAACTTATCTTTATGTTTATCATTTAGGTAAACATTTATATCCCGCTAATACTGAATAACTAACTACAGATCAAATGGCTGAAAACAATGGTACTTTTGGCTACTACTACTAAAGTTGTATTAACTCAAGGTAAATACTACGTTGTATTATAGTATATATTATTATATAGTTTTTTTTTTTTTTTTTTTTTTTAACTAAATGCAATTAATAAAACCTTTTAAAATATGCAATATCATCTCAAGCAAATTTTGATATATCCAAATTCAAAGCGCTAGTAAAATTTGATTTTATTAGGACAATATAAAAGTATAATAGGCTATTTGGTCTATGCTTTGATCTTCTGGATTATTTTATAGCATTATATTTAACTAAAGAAGTATATATTGTATAATAATACAATTAGATGTTGAACAACTTTACTTAATAACGTTATTTCAGTCTAGCTTTTCTGTTACTATTATCTATTTTCAAACACAAAACACTATAATACCAGAATTATAGCATTAAAGCCCTATTGTTTCTAACACTAAAGAGCTTCCCTATTCGCTATTAATTGAGAAAATAAAATCAAAAGCTTCATAAAGTAATGTAATTGAGTATAAGGGCTCTTTTTTTTTAACGTTTTCTAACGAAAAAGAAAAACAAATGATTAGAGAATGAGGAGAGGAGGCAAAAATGTTATTCTAGATATTATCTTGATAAATACAGGCAAAGATTAGTGGAATTTCTAACAGTAATAATATAATTGATAAAGAGAAAAAAAAATGAAGGAAAAATAATAGTTTAAACTACTTTTCACTTATTTTACTACAGCAATTTAAATGATTTCCTCTATACTTAATTAAGTATTCACCATTTTCTTTAAAGGTAACAGTCTTGTTTACAGGACATCCCTATAATTATTCACGAAGTTAATAAAAAATAGCTCACGTCCTTTTTTTTTTCTTTTTTTTTGCAGAGAATAATTCTTACCGCTGTGCTATTATAACATTTATAATATATACTTTTATAACCTGTCTTTTTATGTACAGTATTGCCATTATTCTTCCAAGCATGTTTATCATCATAAGGAAATTCTTTTGTCTCAATAATCATTGTGATAGCTTGCATTTCTTTTCTTCGTCTACTTTGTCTAATTGGTGAGCTGTTCAAAGATATGTGTTGTTTGTTATTTGAACGGTTATTAGGTGGTATCGGAACTTTTCTTGACATTGTGTTTAAAAGGCTTTTGTTTTCATCTTCATACAAATTTTTATCTGTCATTTTCAAAGAGATGTCTACATCGTGTTTCTGAGCTAATAATACACTCTTATTATTAAATGATTTTCCAACACATTCTGATGATGAATAACTGTTATATATATGTTTATCTATTTTTTTAGTATCTTTTTCTCTCTCTCTCTCTTTTTTTTTTTCTTTTTTCTACTTTCTAATTTAACATAAAACGTTTACTTTAAAGTATTCAATCTATTGTTTATAGGAAGTGTCTCCATAATGGATGCTTCAAACGAGTCTAGTGTAGAATAGCTTCGAACGCTTTTATTATTGCTCTGATGATTTGTTAAAGATAAATTAATATGACTATCTTTATAAGATGAATGTGATATTACCACTGTCTCGGCTTTTTCATCATTGCTAGGACTATATGCTTGAGTGGTAATACCGATTGGTGGAAGTATATCTTCTGGTATGGGTTTGTTATTATCATTACTATTACTAGTTATAGAGTTATTTAGCGATTGCAATTCAAGAATAGCTGTTGGGCTTGATATTGTTTTATTATGGTTTAATTCTGCTGATAATGAAGTTAATATTTGATTTGTGCCATTTTGTGTCTCATCAGACAAACTTATTTGCTGAATAGAAGAAGAAAGGTGGGACGAAGCAGCAGCAAATATGGATGATTCTTCTCGATATAATTGAACCTCTTCTTCTCCCCTCTTTCGTTTCATTTGCTTTTGCGGCTCTTCATGTTTTAAAGTTGATAAACAAGAAGTGATTGATGAATTCCAATAGTAATTTTGAGGAGTTAAATCTTTTCTCCCGCATAGATAAATGTTAATAAATAAAGATTCATTGAAGAGAAATACATCAAATTACCTTTACTTAAAAGATAATAATCTAATTCCTTTTGACGTAATTTTGCTTCTTCTGTTTTTCGTCTATCTTCCTCCACTTTACTAGATAATATTAACTGTAATAATTCTGGATAACTTCCGTATTTATTTATAACTTCGGTAAGATCAAAGGTTCGAAATTCATTATCTTTGATTTCTTGCCATTCTTTTTTTGTATTTAACGTAGACGAATTTTCTAATTGAGACATCGATAAACGTGTTTCCATGTTATTGACTATTAAAAATAAAAGAAAAAAATATAGAAAATTATATTATTGTTAATATCAGTTTACTGCTATTAAATTGAAATAGGTCTATTATACGTAAACACAAACATCAACTATAAAGAAAGGAAAGAATACAGAAGACTTACTTTTAACTGTATTAATATATTCATCTTCACTTTGTAAAATGTATTGACTTTTATTATCAGAATTTGGTTCTTGATGAATGTAATTATTATCTCTCATAAAAAATCAGTATAATATAAAAAAGAACAAAACATGAGAAAAAACGAAAAGCATGTCGAGTTCTTTATAAATTTATGTATACCCCTACACCTCCTGCTACACACACAACATATTCATACACACACACACACACACGCACAAAAATAATAACTAAAAAGTCTTATAATAGACTGCAATTTTTTCTTTTATATCTTCTCTCTTTCTCTTTCTCTCTTTCATTGTAAACTTAAACATTCCCCAAAGTATATCACACATAGTAGCAAGGCTTTACACTTTATTAAATAATTATATTAAAACTTTTTGATATTCATCTCTTCCCGTAAAATAAAGATATTCTTCTTTTAGTTGATTATTTTATTATTATAGTTATATTTATATATACTTTTTAAAGTAATGGATATATACTAGGATGATAGCATGGTTCATAAAAAGATCATTAAATAGAGTGTGAAATTTTGAAAAACAAAGCAGTTTTTTTTCCCATGAAAAAAAAAAATTCTATTTATATTTGTAGTTGCAGTTTAATTGGCCATTGTTTACTACTGTACTTCACATCTCAGTTGTTTTTCTTTTTTTTAAAAAAAAGGGACTAAAGGGTCCTTTTTTTTCGGAAATCCAAATAAACCATTTTCGATAATAGAGCCATACTCTATACTAGATTTTAGTTGCTTCGCTGTATATATTATTTACTAATAATAAAAAATAACTATTCTACATATTTAAGCTCGTGTGCAAATAAATATGACTATTACAGTATATCACGTTGTTTAGTTATTTAATATTATATAAAGGAAAAAAAAAAGTATGTCAATTATTCTATATTTAATATGTTTATTTCAGCATGTGTTATATGTATATGCATATAATTGGTTACTACTTTTTTCTCGATACTATCTTAACAATCGTTAAACATAAAAAAAAAAAATCTTATCATTTAACTTTGCTCAAAATGGGGAATAACTAACATATTATAGAACAGGGATGGAGTTTTTTTTTCTTTAAACAAATCTTTATTTTTTATTGCAGTTAAAAAAATGGATATATTATATGAAAAGATATGCAGCTAAATGCTTAAGCTTCGAATTCATAGAATTGCTTGACTTGTTCTTCAGCATGTCTCTTAGCTCTTTCTCTATCAATGAAATCAAGACCCTTTGTTTCAACCCTAATAGATAACAATAAAAAAAAAGAAAAAGAAAAAATAAGAGTCAATTTTTCATCGATTCTCTTCATTAACATCGATTTTATGTATAGCTTACATTCTATCAATGGCGCTACCAGCAAATCCAGCAAGAATCTCCATAGCAGTAGCATGATCGTTTGGTTTACTATTGTTATATAATACAAATTTTAATCAATGGTTATTTTAACTAACCAACCACGTCCATTATGAATACTTACCCATTTTTGGCACAATGTTCATTATAAGCCTTTACAGCTTCATAAGAAGCTAAAGTAAGAAGAGTAAAAAAGCGTTAGTCTAGCCTCTAAATCACATTATAAACTATCTTTCCTCCTTACCGGCACCAGCAATAAGTTCGTGACTAAGGCGAGCTTTATGGTGCTCTTCAGGAATGTTGTTGAATTCAGTGTATTGTTCACCAAAGAAATCGAAAAGACCCCTATTATTATAGTCAATGATTTAGTAACCCTTATAAAGGCATTGAATCGATTAAAACGCGTTTTTACTTACATAATATATAAAAAACTGTTTTAACAATGACAAAAAAAAAAGAAAAAAAAGGTTGGAAATTTTAAATTAAAATTATCTCTATTTATATACAGAAAGAAGCGGAATGAATAAAGATATTAATAACAATTTCATTAGTTAGGAATGAATCCAGCATATTATATTCAACTAGAAGAGCAATTTCTATTTAGTCGGAAATAAATGTCTTGACACTTCTTGGCATTTTGTTTCATTACATCTTGTAATTTATCCTTTCATAGTAATTTTCCCTTTTACGGAGATATAAATTATAGATAGTTGTTTGTGGCTAATACTTATCAAAGTTTAATATCTTCATTTTAGTAAAAATATTCGTTGTAGCCATTTTATAACATTAAGCAGTTGGTACTGCCTTTAGTCAATTTTAAAAAGAAAAAGAAGGAAACAACAACAAGAACTGCTTATTTTGTTATAAAACAGTAATAAGCTATAGTTTTTATTTTATTTATTTATTTATTTTTATTTTATTTTATTTTATTTTATTTTTATTTTTTAATATTTGTATTATTATCTCCTCCCAAATATCCAACAAAGAAAGGAAAAGTGTATATATGCCAGAAATAAATTATATCAATAATGATGGAATAAACTTACTGTATAGTTTCATATAAATCTTATTATATGCTATAGTAATAGATTTATATATAAAAGAGTGTATAGAAATTGGCTCTAATTATTTATGAACATGTTCGTATTAACGTAACTGCTACCAATTTATGCATTCAAAGAATACTTCAGCTTTCTAAATAATAAACCAGCAAGGTTTAATTGACGCGTCTAAAAATAAATAATAGCATTTGTAATATACCAGGTAAAAAATATCTTATGCGTATATTATATCAAATATATTAAATTATTATAAATCATGATATCAATTAAAAGTATACACTAAAAGGCCGAATTAACAAACATATATGTTTTACACGAAAATAAATCAATATTAACTTTCAATTATTATCATAGTAACTTCTGTATTTTGCATATAATTTATATAACAAAAATTGAGTAACGTCCTTAAAAAACTGCGGATATAGCTTTTCTTTTAATGACAGCAATAATATATCATTTAGTATTATAAAGTATACAGGGACATCTTTTCCCTCTGCCTTCTATTATTTAATAACTTTTGTATCCAAATAAACGTAATATTTGTAATAGGCTCTATACTATAGAATGTAAAACAGACTACTTTATTTATTAGTCATAAACATCAAGCTATTAAAATAAATAAATAAATACAAATACAGGTATTAATTTATCATTAATGGTCAAGTATTAAAAAATATATTCATTATAATGTATGATTTAAACTTCAGTCTTTTCATTACTGATAAGTCCCCTCATCCTTAACTTGAGCAACTTCAGGAATAGTATAAAATAATAGAAGAAAATAGTAATAATATTAAAGACAATGTTAATTCGGGTCATTTGTGCTATTTCCTGTGTTTCAAATTAATTAGCAATCGTGGCAGTATTTTAGTTGATTTTATAAAATCTACTATACCGAGCAACATGCTCAGTATAATGAAAATTATCATATCTGTTTATCGATAAATAAAATCTTAAAAAATAGCATCAATAAGGGAAAGAGGGTATACATAATGATGACTAAACCTGGAAGAATACAATCAAATAAAATAGTGTAACAAAAGAGGAGGGAGGAGGATATACGGGGTTCAATCAAGAGCCAAGCCAGTGCCAACATCAATAGCATTTTTAGTAGAAGATTGGTATCAACTGCCAATAACCGCTAAGGTCATTTTATAGACCTGGACTACAGAAACTGATTAATTCAACAATAAATACCTGACTATTATAACGAAATGGTGCCAATATAACTTGCTCTTCTTTGTTTGAGATAATATAAAAATAAAAGAGGATTTGTAGAATAGGATTGTTTACGTATAATATTATCAAATAATTAAACTGTACAGGGTTCTTTTTTTTTTTTTCCTCTTTCCTCTTTATCTTTTAAGAATTGTAATATTTAAATTATATACTAATATCCTCCTATATGTATACATGTTTGTATGTATGTATAAAACACGTGGTGATCATCAAAAGGGATCAAAGAATATATTCATTTTAATACAACGTATGCGCAAATGAATATTTATAATAATCTGTAGCTTAACTCATTCTGTTTTTGTCTAACCGTTTATATTTGGATTAGTAGAGCAGCTCATTAATAGCTGTGTAATACTTTAATATGCTATAAGCCCTGTTGAGTCTTGAATACTTCATTTCCGGAAATAGATCCCACAAACACTGAAAATCTCAATTACGAATACTTTTTTTTTTTTTTTTTTTTTTTTTTTTTTTTTTTTTTTTTTTTTTTTATGCGTGCAAAGATTCCCTGTGCCTGTGCAACCTATTTCCGGGAAATGGTGTACTTATAATGAATAATATAGTTAATTCTAAAATAACTGTTCTTTTATTTATTTATTTATTTTTTCTATGAGAATATGAACAAGTAGAATGCTTATCCTACTAAAAGTAATAGCCATTTCAATCTATGATCTTCTTTCAGAGTCCTTATATTTTACAAAAGCAACTAAATTCATCAAAGCTTCATCGCATCTATGTCTTAAATCGAAATTCTTTCGTCGATCAATAGATTTCACCTACAATTGATAAATAAAAATAAAAAAATAGTGTTATTATTGTCATTATTATCATCATCATCATTATTATTACCATTGATCTAAATGCAGAAGTAATTTGCTTTAATTCATTATTAAAATTGCCTTGAACAAATACAGACTCATCATAGTCAAACGCACAGTCACTATAAACATCAAACATAAAATTTAATGCTTCAACAGCAACATCTGGTTTCGTATTACGGGAACCAATGTTACGCAGTATTTCCATAATGAAAACACCAATGGCCTTACAATAGAAAGAAAAAAAAACTTGTTAATCTCATAAACAGTATAGCGCCTCCTTTCTTTATTTTCTTGTTACCTTATTTGTATTAATATCACCTTGTCTTACTGCAATAGGACCTAAACAGCCTACAATTTTGACTTGCATAGATTCTTTATGAGTTGTCTTATACGCACCACATAATGTTGGTACATGAGATGCTTCTAAGGGCTATTTTACAAAAGTAATAAAAAAATACATTTAGAGAATTACATATTTGCAGTCATCTTTATACTTACGATATTTTGTCCTAATCCTCTACCAAGTGCCCAAAGACAGCCAACAATAACTTCAAGAGCATTCTCACGATCTTCAGTTGCAGAAGTAGAACCTATGGTATGAGCAATAGAAAATAACCAATTCCAAGTCTTTATGGCATCATTCGCTTGTTCTTTAAACCAAAACTTGGATGGTATTTCATTCATTGCTAATAAGAAATTATTCAAACATTCTAGAGCACGTTGATGAGTAAGATTTAGGTTTTGTATTATACTATCTTGAGAGGATGTAAATGACAAGACACTTGGAGTTGCAAATTCAAGTAATTTTGGATAAACTTTGCATATAAAATCTTGAAGGACAGGATTAGATCGAATGGATGCTTCATCAAGGGCTACTGAACTACTTTCTCCGAGTTTATCTGCATCACGAAGATACTCATCAACATTATCTTCATTCAAATTCTCTGTCATATCTTCTGCATCTTCTTCCATATCCTCACCAGCATCTTCCCATCCATCCTCTTTAATTCATTGTTAGTTAACTAGAAAAATAAATAAATAAAATGATAAACAATAACTACCTTCTGTGTCACCTTGCAAACAGATATCAGATAATAACTCGAAGGATAATTGGATAGTTGCTAATCGTTCTTCTACGTTTTGTATAAACATCTGTAACAAGAACAAGATTTTTTTTAATTCATAAGCTTATTAGACGTATATATATATGTATATAAATGTATTACATCTTCTTTAGTAATGGGTTGCTTAGGTTTTGGTGTAATTTCGGTACTTTCATCTTGTTTGGTAACATTCTAATATGTACAATTGATTTTTTTTTAAAAAAAAGGGAAATATATAACTTATTTTTGGTAATTACTTACTCCACTATTAAGAGCTTGTTTTGTTTCTTCTGCAGCCTTTTGGATATCAAAATCTAAAGATGATATTAAGATGGGCATAACTATCTTATTTAATTCTTCTAATGCATCATGCTCATCTGCCCAAGAACCTGATAGCTGTACAACCTCACGAACATTCATTAATATAGCTATTAAAGATGAGTTATTCCATATGTATAAATCAGATAAATAAATGCTTATTGTACCGCATGCTAAAACACGAACAAGTGTTTTGTCAGGACTTTCAAATTTAGTTAAAATGCTTAAAAGTGTTTGAATATATTCAGGATGGTTTTGAAATTCAATATAAATGTCTTTGTTATCATCTGTAAGTGTAGTTAAACATTGTCCTATATTGTGTAGAATATATTAAAATATATGTATATATATATATATATCGTTTATGTATATAATAATTTATACCGGCAGCAACAACAACTTTAGTAGGGCATTGGTCAGCAGAAGACATGAATGAAATCAAAAAAGTGACGATATTAAGACGATTAATAGCTTTAATATATTTATCTGAAGTTTCACTATAAATTAAATTAGCAAAACCCTTATATTATCTTATGAATCTTTTTTTACCTTAAACTCCAAATAATATAGATAAAGTTTTCAGCAACATCCCAAACAGAAGTTCTTTTATCTTGATCAGCTTTATCAACAAGAGGTGCATCTTTAAGAACAAGATCAATAGTTTGAGAAATCTAACATATATACATGTAAATAAAGAATGATAGCAAATTTCATTGAAATAGTATTACCTGTGGAAGGAGAGCACTTAGGGGAGTCAAGATATCCTTTGCAAAATATTCTTGACACACATCGGGATCAACTGTACACAAATTTCTTTATACAAACAAAAGTTATATTAATTAAATTATTTATTGGAAATATTCATATATAAAATAACTCACCTCAAGGTTCCTAGAGCCTCTTCAACAACCTCACGAGTTTCGTCACTTAATAATTTGATCAATTGACCAACAACACCCTTTGACAATAATAACTTGAGATTAGCAGGATTTGACATGACTAAATTAGAAACACAGGCAGCAGCCCAACCTCTTTCGGTAGAATCAATTGAAGATAGCTATGAATAATAATAATAATAATAAAAAGTTACATTGCTTGTTGATTACATTTAATGCTTGATCGATTAAAATAAACAAACCTTATCAATGACAGGAAGAACTTGCTCGGGTTGAAGGGTCATTTGTGGTTCATTAATACCTTGTTGAACATTGGCATTAAGTTTTGTACCAAGAGGATTAATACGATGCTTAATTGCTTTTCTTTTGTCCTTTCCCATTGTGTTTGATAATGAAGATCTATGAAAAAAGTTGTGTGCTTCACCAATTTACCTTTTTTTTTTTTTTTTTTTTTTTTTTTTTTTTTTTTTTTTTTTTAGAAGCCAATATGACTGCTATATTTTTTCATTTTTTTTGGAAAAAAAGAATTCAAATTTAAGGGGTTATCATAGATAAAAATAATATATCCACAAATATTTTTTTTAAAAAAAAAAAAAAAAAGAAATAAGGACATATCGAAATAATTCATTATTATAACTACATTTATCTTTTTAACTAAAATAAAAAAAAAAAAAAAAAAAAAAAACTTTAAAGGGCTTTCCTCTTATTATAAAGTCCTTCACTACCCTCCCCCTTTTTTTTTTTTTTTTCTATTCAAGTATTGTTTGATATCATATAGAAATTCTCAATAGAAATTTTGTTAATAACAAACATAAACTATAAACTTAGCACAAATCAAATAGAAGAAAAGAAGATTTATTACATATTTGGAGTCTTGTTTATTATTATTAAAAGCCAATGTGTGTATATTTGTTTTGTTTTAAATACCTTGTATAGATATGTATTCAAGATTCAAGCAAATATGTATATTATATTGTTATGGTTTACAGAACCTTCAACTTCTCAATTGAGCATATTTATTTAGATTTTTTTTTTATATTTCTAATGTATCTATTTTATTACTCATGAAAGAAGTATTTATTCTTTTCTTCTATGATAAAATGTATTATAGTACTAATTAAAGCAAGGATGTGAACATTATTCTTGCTAAAATAGTCATTTGCTATCTCTATTTCTTTCTAAAAGAGAATAAACTTATTGAGAATATGCCGGTTAGGATGGATTAAAAAAAAAAAAAAAAAAAAAAAAAAGAGGGAGAAGCAGTGTTATGAGTAGACTAACTTATATTATCTGTATATAATGTGAAAAAAGTAATATTGATAATAATCTTATTAAAAGTAACTTTTTCGTTTTATTATCATGAATAAAATAATAATAATAAAATTGTGTATATAGGAAAAAGGAATAATAGAAAAGATGAAAAGACAATAATGAAGTATATAAGGAATAGAATGATTTTACTCTACTGTAACAGACTTTGCAAGGTTTCTAGGGAAATCAACATCTACACCCTTCAAGATAGCAAGATGATAAGAAAGTAATTGAAGAGGAATGATATTGATTAAACCTTGTAAACAATCACTTGTCTTGGGAACTTCAATTGTCTTATAATTATTGATCAAGTTTTGATCTCCTGTATTACAAATAATGATAGGATTACCCTTACGAGCAGTAACTTGTTGAAGAGCAGATTGAACCTTAGGATAAAGACTATCTTGTGTCATAAGTAAAATAACTGGCATATTTTCATCAATCAAAGCCAAAGGACCATGCTTGAGTTCACCAGCAAAAATACCTTCACTATGAATATATGAAATTTCCTTAATCTTTAAAGCACCTTCAAGACAAGTAGCATTTTGATAACCACGACCCAAAATTAACAAACTCTTTTCTTCAGATAAAGTATCCAAAGCAAGCTTTTGAAGTTTAGTATCAATAGCCAAAACTTCCTTGATGTGACCAGGTAAACGATAAAGGCCATCAATAATTTCTTCACGTCTCTTTTGTGTGGATGTGGTATCTTGAGAAAGTTGAAGTGCCATCATGACCAAAGCAATGTATTGTGAGGTATAGGCTTTGGTAGAGGCAACACCAATTTCAGGACCAGCATTAATATGTACACCACAATGAGTTTCACGAGAGATAGAAGAACCAACTGTATTAGTCACACCAACACAGACAGCACCACGTTCTAAACAATAACGCATAGCTAAAATAGTATCAGCAGTTTCACCAGATTGTGAAACAAAGACACAAACGTCATCTCTGAAAATAGGAGAAGCTCTATCCAAGAAATCAGAAGCAAGTTCAACTTGAGTACCCATACTACATAATTCTTCAAAGATATGACGAGTAGCTAAACAAGAATGGTAGGAAGTACCACAAGCAATAAAAATGATACGACGAGCACGACGAATGATATGAGTGTATCCACGTAAACCACCCAAAGTGACTTCATGATTTTCAAAGTTAACACGACCACGCATAGTATTAACAACGGATTCAGGTTGTTCATAAATTTCCTTCTGCATAAAGTGGTCAAAGGAACCCTTCATAATCTCAGCTAATTCAATTTCCAATGTTTGAATAGAACGAGTAGGAGGAGTATTATCTTCCTTCGAACGACGAACACGATGAATATGGAGTTCTAAAAAGAAAAAAGAAAAAAAAAATATATATTTAGATTCTACCGATTTTTTTTTTGAAAAATGTTTCACATATTTACCACCATCAGCAATGTGAGCAATATCATCATCTTCCAAATATAAGACACGCTTAGTATGTTCAACAATAGCAGAAGCATCAGAAGCTAAGAAATATTCAATAGGTTGAGGTAAGCCATCTTCACTTAAGAAAGCTCTGGATTGAGAGCGATTTAAAGCAGGACGAGACATATCTTGACCATCGACAGGGGCAACTAAAAACCAAAATAATATAGTTTAGAACACAATATACCTTTACAATGTACTTTCAATTAATACTTACTAGAGTTATTGTTACCAAATTCAACATCAACAAAGTCAACCTTAAGTTTCTTTGCAGTTTTGACACCAATCAAGAGGGGAGAACCACGACGAGTAGCAACAACTTCATTAGGGAAATGTGTAGATTTAAAGATAAAAGCATAAGAACCTTCCAATTCCTTAACAACAGCTTTTACTAATTCAGTAAGACTCATATCCTTGTTATGAGAATCATAAACATATTTGGTCAGTTTTGCAACACATTCCGTATCGGTATCACTTTCAAAGACATAACCCTTCTTTTCGAGCAAAAGTTTAATTTCTTTATAGTTGGTAATAATACCGTTATGAACAATAGTAAATTCATTGTTCTCATCAGAACGTTGAGGATGAGAGTTAATTTGAGAAGGTTGACCATGAGTGGCCCAACGAGTATGTGCCATACCACAGTGACTGATAAAAGGCTTGCCAAAGTCAATTTGTTCATCAAAAACAAGTTTCTTTAAAGCTGCAACCTTACCAACTTGCTTCATGATGAGAATATCGTCATTATCACCATCAACAGCCAAGCCTTATATACATAAATTAGAAAACTCAATAATAAATAATAATTTTTTTTTTACTAATACTCTACCAGCAGAATCATAACCTCTATATTCTAAACGGGAAAGGCCGTTTAAGAGAGTGTCGCAAACTTCACGACGAGACTTTTCACAAAGGAAATTACAGTAACTATAATCATTTATAAGCAACTATCTAAAACTATACATCTATACCAATATTTACCCAAAAATACCACACATGGTTGTTGTTGTTTAATTCTGATGATTTAGAAGATGGGAAAAAGAGATGTAAAAAGAAGAAGAAAAAAAAGAAGAAAAAGAAAAAGAAAACAGAAAAAAAAAATAGGGAATTATTTTTATAACCCACCAATTAAGTATACAATTCAATTTGTTCCGCGGATTCTAATCATAGCAAGAATACCCGCGGTGCTATTCAACAGTTCCCCTTTTCCTTTCTCTTTTTTCTAGCATATGTAAACTTCCGCGGTGATTGTAATCTAAAAATAGCTGTCCAATAAAAAATGAATTATTAATCTATTTTTAAATGAATTTTATCAAATAATGAAATATAGTGAGAACGGTAAATATTGCCATTTTGCGAAAATTGAATGTCCGTCACTAAAGAATAAATTTCATTTTGCCAAAAATAATGGTCCCAAAATAAAATCTATTTGTTTATTCATGCCCAAGAAGTTTATCTTTTTAAGTAAATCAAATTGGCTAGTAAAATAATGCAAACTTTTCAAAATTTAAAACTGTTCAACTTCATTTTCACCGTTATTTCTAAATTTTGCACGACAAATACTTTCTTTTATGAAGATAGGCAGAAATATGTCTACAACGAACAAAGAGTAAAAGTTTTTGACTTTATGGAAGATATTCTAATACAAATCACGGATACTAACATTTTTTTTTTTGAAAACTATTACCCACAAAGATCCCATTTAGAAACTCGCAAGTCTCTTGAGGAAAAAGTTGTGGAGAAAAGCAATGATATAAAATCAAAAGCTGCTATCAAACCGAAATCATAACGGACTAGGTACCCACAATGATTATATAACGAGAAGACAAGAGAGGTGTTTATAGATTGAATGCTAGAATAGGGTCGAAAAAAAAGAGGAAGAATAGTTCGAATTGCAAAGAGTTTGGCATTGACGATGGTGGGATCGTTACCAAAAACAAAACAAAACAAAAGAAGTGCCATATAAACTCTCATAAAAGCACACTGGTCATAAAAACTCCTTCACATTTGAACACGAGGAATACATTTGAACTCTACTTGACAAGGACCCTCAGCTTTACACTAAAGATATTATTGACAGTTTGTCTAAACAGTTATTTTTAAGACGTAACTCAACCATCACTTGAAAAAATAACATACTAGTGACAATCAAAAAAGCCTACATTTGAGCCCAAAGTTAGAAACTCTGCCGACAGTTTACAGACAAGATATGAATAGTTTATCGAAAGACTCTGATATAAATTTTACAAAAAGTGTGTGTCTTTATTGATGAAGCTAAATGTCACATTAGTTTGAAGAATGACCGAGCCAGATCCGATGTTTGAATACCTGCCACTTGCTGAAATGACCAAACATCTGAAAACAAATACATACTGCCACATTATCAGCAGTAGAAAAGGGTTCATACTTATTTTTGAATAAACCCTTAAGTTCTCACATGCTAATTACTTTCTGATATTTTACAAAATTCAAGATTTGTCAAATACTACAAAAAGTGCGTAATCTTGATGAGGCAAGTTTCCAAGCATGTTTTCGAGCCAGATACCTCAAAAATTTTTTTGGTTACGCTTCAACATCATTAGTCAATAAAAATCTACAGGTGCCAACTTTCGGGAAGGGGGAACGTGTGTTTGTTGATGAGGCAGACTTTTACTCGTAGCTGGTGAAAGATCATGCGTTCATAAGGGTCAGGGACCTTATAGGGTAAAAGTAAACACTCAAGGGGTGTAAACATCTGTATTGTTGACTGTGTATTCTCTTTTGGGACGTTATGCTTCTCAAAATTTGATTCTTTAAAGAAAGGTGATACAGCCATTTATCATTACTAAAAATAGAGTATTCACTTACTGATTCAGTTACAGATTATGCGCTTTAGCATGTATAAATGGAGAAATAACAAAACATGTCTTGGTTATTTTTAACACATAAATTTGAGTAAAACTCGGTTCTTATAATAATAGTAAACATAAACGCATCTTTGATGATTTCTATTGTATGTAATTTAAATAATCTGAATAATTAATTTTAACATTTGTTGTACCTGAGACATAACTGTTTTGTGTCTCATTTTATTACTATGGTAACATAACTTCAATTTACTTTTTATATATATGGCAATTAAGAAACATAATGCATATTAAGCTTTATATATTCATATATAGTAAATTAAATGATGGATAGAAAATATCAGAATCTAATAATGATTTTTGCTTTCCCCCCCCCAATTTTTTTTAATCAAAAAATTTATTTATTATGATGACATATGCAAATACAGTGATATTATATTATATCTTTTTAAACTATCTTCTTTAATAAGACGGTTGAAATATTCATTTATTTAGCACTTTTCGTATACTTATTTTCTTTAATGATTCTAGGTACATAACCTAAATGATAGAATACATAACAAATGGAAAACACTATTTCAACATTACACCTTCTTCTATACATGTGTAATAAATTCATTGTGCCTATTTTAACTTTGATATATGATAATAATTGGTTGAGCTAGAATTTTTAATTGGTGAGTGTTCCAAATATTAATAGATATATCTTATAAATATAGACACTTATTACTCAATATCAAGTATATTTTATCTTTCATCATATCCAACAGTTTAATATTATAGTTGAAGTAATAGAGCTAATCTTCATTAACGACATTTATAGTATAATAATTTAATGTTTAAGATTTTTATAATAATATACAACTTTCCCATTTTTATTTACATCTTCAAGTCATACAATTTCAAATACAGAACTATTTGACATAGTGCTGGTTACATAAAAATCTTAAAAATGACGAAAACAGTAATGTGTCATATTTCTTGCTAGAAGCTATCTTCTTTATATATTGTTTATGCTGAATAATCAATAAAACAATAATATATCGTTTAACTTAAATATGATATTATTTTATGTAATTTAATGATTGATAATTATTATGCTTAAATTATGAAATACATCTTACAAACTAAAGAAAATCTTTTTTTTTTTTTTTTTTTTTTTTTTTTTTTTTTTTTTTTTTTTTTTTTTTGCTGAAGAAAAAAGATTAGTTATGTCTATGTTAATAGTATTAAAATATTGCCCTTTTTTTTTTATCTGGTTGTTGGTCACATATCCTCAACAATCAAGATAAAAAGCACTATCAAGTATGGAACTAATTAAAAATATAAATCAAGGCTTTATTACTAGTATATAATATATATTTATTTTAACACATATATGCGGTTATACAAGTCATTCTAGAAATACTTTTTCTTTCTTTATATATCCTGAACTACGAGTACTCGTGCAAATAGTGATAATAAGCTTTTCATATTATTGTCTTTATAGGTATGCTTACGCCTGAATCGTGTGTTTAAAAATAAATGTCAGATATTTTTATTGTGAAAATACCCGGAATATATCATATTATTCATTTATGCCAAGACATATATCAAAATTGATTCATGTGATTTATCAATGACGGTCACCTTCTTACAATTTTATTCTTGCTGAAATTAACATTAATAAAGCCTTTTGATATTGAGATTTTTTTTTTTTAATAGCTTTAATCTCGAGCAAACTCTATTGTATTAATTCAATAAAATCTTAGTAGAATTTATTTGGCATTTAGATTAATTATTTGAATATTGTATACTTGGTTAACGTAATTTTAGCAATAATCATAGTAATGTTATGACCTTTTTTTTTTATACAATAACAATAACAATAAGAGTATAACAAATACTATGTTTAATATGTGCCATACACTTGCTTATGAGACTTTATATTATAGTCTAATTTAGATGATTAATTTCTATAATAAATGTAAATTCTTAAAATATATTCTATGTATCTTTCATGTAAAGCCTAACGAAAAGTAAAATAAAGCAAATGTTAATTATTTCAATAAGAAGTATAAATTTTCGCATTTATAATCATTTAGACTTCCATTTATATTCTTAATTATTTTTTATAACAAAGATCTAGTTAAGTGTTCCGAGGTTATATCTACAAGAGTCTTTTAATTTTATGCTGATAAATATGTATATATAAGAAGACTGATTAAGTTTATTATGATAAAGCTCTATTTTATAGAAAACAATCAAAGAAAATAAAGACATATATGCTACTATTATTGTATTTTGGTATTAATATGTATATCATCTCATAATTTTAATAAGTCTCTGAACATATACTCTTGAAGAGACCTATAAATTTATAAGTATGATGGAGTTTTAGGATTTGAATAATATTGGTGATAAGCATTAAAATCTTGTATACTCAATAATATCACTAATTCTATAAAGTAATCCGCCTAGAAAGAAGGAATCAGGCGTTGACCATTTTAAAATTAAAGCGATTGCACCAATTGCTGATATGATTGCTTCAGTCCTACCATTCATTTTTTAAATTTGTTGGTGTTTGTCGTATACACTACTATCTTGGAAAATCATGCAAGTCATACTCATTTATGAAAAAAGGTTTTGCATTAGATTCAGGTAACTTGAGTCCGATTAGCTTGACGTCTGTTTTCAAATAATCTTTGAAAAATATATTTACTATCCTCTAGTCTCTAGTACTTCTACTTTAGATGTTGCTCATGGAGGTTTTCGTGAATTTCGTAGCTCACTAAACCAAGTATTTTGTCCATCAAAAATCTGTACTATTCTACACTAATATTACCATTTTACGCTAACTCTAGCTTTTCTTGATATTAAATCCGCCTATGACACTGTTGACTGTCCCTATATTTGACATAAATTGCAATTAGCCTTATTACCTTCTAATTTTTTTTTCGATGATGTCTATATTGAAGCATTGTTAAATAACACCGCCTCCTCCTGCCGCTTTTCATCTGTTATAGGTATTCTTCAGGGATCAATTCTCTCGCCATTTCTTTACTCTGTATACATAAATGAGCTACCAGTCCTACTATGACTATACTCTAATGATGCTCCAGAAGTAAGCAACATTGTTTCGTTAGTTGCCCTAATTACATCGTTATTATACGTTGATAATGTCGTACTAATAGAAGTACCTGAGCAGATGCCGTCTCTACCACAGCTCTGCGAAGACAGTAGTTAACATTTAGGCTATCGATATAATCTTCTCAAGTGTGTTGTTATTATTCTTTCAATTGATGATCAAATTTACAAATTATATAGTATACCTTTACCCTGCACAGATTTCTTTTCATATCTTGGTATTCCAATCAAGCTAGGTTATTTTCTTGATATTTCAGCACTAATTTAACAGAATGTTAACAAGGCAACAAAGACCATAAACCAAATCGCTGCTATTGGTATCAATTCCAAAGGTTTTAATCGCTTACTTTCTATGCGCTTCTACATTCAAATGGTACAATTTCAATTGGAATACAGACTTGCGATTAGTATTTTTGAATAACAACCATATCAAGAAAATTGGAATTCTGTCAAAATGATTATGCTCGCTGTATATTTGGTGGCTCATCCCAATCCTTAACCAAAGTGATGTTTTATCTTGTTCAACAGCCATCGATGGCAGATTAAATCTCAATTCTACAGGCAAAAATTTTCCTTCGTTCACTGGAGTTACTTGAAAGCGCTTTATTACAACATCTATTGCCGCATATTTAGGCCTCTGCCAGACATTCACACTGGTATAAACTCAAAAAGTGACCCCTCAGACATTTATGTGCTCTTGTATTCAATATCCTAGATCATCATGCTTTTAAGCAGTTTTGTCAACAATTTTTTTTATAAAATAGTTTTGATTGTCTTTGCAATAATATCAATTCCAAACTGATCTTAGTCTATCGCCCTTCTTTGGAGCAAGGATCTAATATTTTGATTATTAATGACTTACAACAATCATAGTCAAGTCTTTCGTTAGTGTCTTGGTTAGCTTCTTGGTGGTGTTTCTCGGCCGTATCCTTATCATTCATATAATAACTTTACTCCGTGAATACTCAAATCAATGTCTTCATATGTACCGTTGACTTAATATACCATCAACTATTGCTAATCCGATTTCCTTTTTCCTCAACCAACTACCTCTGAAGAAACCAAAGTCCCTGCAACTCACTTTTCTTTGGTTAGTTTGTTGGCCAATGATCTGTATTATTTTACATGAAATGGGATTATCTGTTTCATCAAATACTTCATCCTCCTGTTAATCCTGGTATCAAGCTGATGTATTGGTTATTCTTGTAATAGACTAGTGTATTTACACTGTTTCTGAATTTCTTATTTTCTTCTCTTGACTCCTACGATGTTTTTATTACCTTCTCTCTTTTTTTTTTTGGGACTGACTAGGGCAATCCAATATTAATAAAATTGCTACGTGCTCATTGGTCATTTTTATTTTTATTTTCAAATAAATAAATTCTTTTAATCATATTAAATAAGCTCTCATTTTTATTTTTATTTAATTGTATATAGCCCTTGTCATATTCTAATATAATTAACCATTATGGATTTCTCAAGATTTAATCAAGCTGAACAAGCTCAAATTGCTGCTATGATTGAGCATAAACAGGTATACATATATATATTTATATATATATACATATATAGAAAAGTTTATTATCTTTCTGACGTGTACAGTGAATATTTTTAATTTTAATTTAATATACATGTAGATGAAGGATTTTATGAGACTCTATAGCAGCTTGGTTCAACGCTGTTTTGATGACTGTGCTAATGACTTTACAAGTAAATCTTTGAATGGAAAGGAGGTTAGCAATTAGATTTAAAGATCATGGAGTATATAATTGATTGTGGGGATCTTTTATATATGTATATAGGAAAGTTGTGTTAATAAATGCGCTGATAAGTTTTTGAAACACTCTGAGAGAGTAGGTTCTCGTTTTGCTGAACTTAGTCAAAATGTAAGCTTATAAATTACATATATTATTTTTACTATATAAAAAAAAAAAAAAAAAAAAATACTTAAAATAATTTAATTAGATGGCTCCCCCTGGACAATAACATATGAATATGTATATTTTATAGAATAAAGTTATTATAATTATATTTACATAAATTTAGATAAAATATACATACTACATACAAATTTGTTGGTATAAATTACTTTGAAATAGATGCTTCTTTAACAGTTGGCGGTGATAAAGATCTTCTACAAGTTGGACAAGTTGGTTTTGAAACATGATGCTGTATCCAAGAATGTAAGCAATGTCTAATTGGAAGAAAAAGAAGATTTAATCAAAAGAGAAATGAAATAGGATTCTTTTTTTTTTTACAGATGAAATAAATGGCCACAAGCAAGTTTCTTTGCAGTCTTCATTTTCTCTCTGCAGATAGCGCAGTCATCATTATAATTTAATAATTCTTCTGCAGAAGCATCAACATATCGATCTCGAACATATGACATAGCTTTCCATCTTTCACGATAAGTAATAACTTTACTATGCAAGTTCTTTAATACACTTCTTACATTTAAGAATAAGACAATATCGACTAATCCAAATGAAATGCCATGCATCCACTATTTAAATAGATTTATAAAATTAAGTGTAAGATGTAACTACAACACTTATATTACCATTAATTGTAAATATTGTAATAAAGTACAACCAAGTATAAGTACATCAGCGCTTAATTCAGTATAATAGTTGATTAATCGTTTACTTTCAAATCCATTTTCTCTCCATTGATCTAATAAGTGCGTTATATATTTAATCAATACTTGTATAGTATCCAATACAACTGGTAAAAACTTGAAAGAAGATTAGTTTTAATAGAGTTATAGTTTACTACTACTTTACCTCCAAAGTAAGAAAGGCTATTGAGGTTGGAAATAAATAAAAAGAGCAGATATACCAAATAATATTACTGACTAATATCATAGATAATAGAAGCGTAATTTTATAATACTCCTTTAAAGATACAAAAGCTATTGTTGTCAACTTGTATTCTATGTTAATATATACACATCTACTACTATTGTTATTATTATGATTTGTTTACATTATCTAATCTATCTCGACCAAGTAAACTGAAAATTCGCATAAATCCTAATAAACCAATCCACATGGATAATCGTAATATATGTCTCCATACTGGATCCATCACTGCTCCAATAAATATCACTTTGAATAATAAAAAGTTTAACATTCGATCATACATGTGCTTATAAGTCAAAGGTTAATTATTGAATAAGTTTTGTCATCATTGCTCTTTACTCACTTGACTTTCCATTGGCCATAATTCTCCAAATATTAGTTTGATTATCCATCTTCCAAAAAGTATTGATCCACAGATGGCCATGTTCACATGTGCCTATATAAATTAGAATAATCATAAATAAATAAGTAAGTAAATAAATAAAAATAAAAATAAACCATAACTTTCTACCAATAAACTTATTTTTTGTGATTCGATATGAGAAAAATAAGCAAAAAGATAGCTTCTATTACAAACATGATTTTTTGATAATATTGAACCCAAGTCTTTTGAATAGCAACTTGACCAAACGTCCGAGTATAATAAAAAGGACCGCAACGAAATAACGCAAGCTACTATAAACGTAATACTAGAAATAAAAGTATAATTTGGAATATCGTATTTCATAAAGAAGAACTAGTTTATTTACAAGGTATATTTTTATAAGGTGGGCGGGGAGAAATAAGAGAGAAAAAAAGGAGTGAAAAAAGAAAAAAAAAAAAAAAAATGAATAAATTTTATATACAATAAATTTTAATTTATTTGATAAATAGACTTTAGTATTTCTGAAGCATTTAATTCACTTGATATTATAGGCTTCAATTTTTGCTGTTCTAATTTTTGTCGTTTCTCTTTTGTTTTATATTCTTTACGACTCATCAACAGTTTTTCAAATAAAGACTCCATAATTAAATCTTGTTGTGTATTCATGGTATCTAAAATATAGGTGTAAAATAGGATTATTTAAAGTCCTGACTTTATCATTATCATTATACACTTACAGTCACTCATATCAATGCCTTTTCCTTTAGATTGAGCTCCATTACGTGCTTGGTTTCTACGTTCCATTTCATGCTTCTTTTGTGCTTCGATGCGTTCACGTGTTTGTTTTAATAGCTTCAAATCGTTTTGGCATTTCTGATCGAGCGACAAGTTAGTTAGTTAACTTACAATGGCTTTTATTTTATTTTATTTCTTACCTGCCAACTATTAGTAAAGATTTGAAAGATCTTGAAAAACTCGTTAGGTTGCATCTTTTGTGGATTTTCACCATAAAATGAGACAGATTTTTCATAAGCAACTTCTGACTCTTGTTGTAATTTTTCAATACTATTAAATTTATGAGTTGCTTCCTTTTGGAACTCTTTTAAAGCTTGAATGAATGAATCATTATCTTCATTAGATAGCATATCAAACTGACTTAGACCCTTTTTCATACTAGAGAATTCACTCATTAATTCCGTCTTATTCACTAGAATTTATGTCAATAAAGGGGGGGGAGATATTATTATAAAGATCATTTTGATTATTTGTTCTCTATCTCATTACCTTTACATGCTTCTTTACAGTATTCTAACTCATCTAAAAATCCAAGAACCTTGGGGAAATTCTTTTCGCTCGTTTCAACGAGGAAATGTAATAAGGTAGTTGATGTAGATCCTTTTGTGTCAATAATCTAAATTCATTGATAAGTTTTTTTTTCCCTCTATTTTCTTTCAACTAGAATTTCTCATACCTTGTTAATACTTGAAATCTTAATACCTGCAGCGCCTCCTCTACTAGTGTTCCCATTCATATAATTTCCCAAAACAAGAATCATGTGTAATAATTGTTTAAATCTTTTAGCATTTTTTAACGAATTTGAAGCTAATAAAATATCCTTTAATTCCTATAATACATAACAAATAAGATACAATAGTTTTTCTTTTTCTTGTAATGTCTTACTTTTTCTACTCGATATGCTTTGTCCCAAAATGTTACTTTATATAAAAGGCATTGCACACGTAATTTGAATTGTGGTATTTTCATCATCTGTAATGATAGTTTATCAGGCATTGAAAGTTTTTGTACATCACCTGTATATGATTTTAATTTCTTTTGCTCATCTAGTTGGGGTGCAAATTTTGTCAAACTTTCCAACATGTGTTCTTCCATCAAAGTCGAATTAAATGATCTCAAATACTCATCTAGCTTATTTATATCTATTTCTTTAGGTAAACTTGTTATGAAAATATTCATCGTGTGAGCCTTTCGTTCATCTAATAACTCAATCTGATCATCTTGTTTGATTATGTGACGTTTTGTAACAGGTTTCTGGGCAAAGGTCTTTTCAATCGTTGTAAATACATCAGCCTTTGAGAGTTTAGTGACAATTAATGATTGTGGATCATGTGGATTAAATAATGACACAGCGTCATCAGTCTCATCACTGTTGTCATCATCATCACTTTCGTCATTCAAATGTTCCCAAATAGTATCACTGAGTTGGCGACGGTTAATCTTTTCCCATTCTACAAACTTAAGCTTTGTTTTGGATTGATGAGAGGGCTGTTGTTGTTGTTGTTGTGGTGGTGGTGGTGGTAACGATGAGACCCCAGGTACGCCTGGTGGTGGCGGCGGTGGTAACGAGGAAGATACTGTAGGAGGTGGCGGTGGTGGCGGTGGAAGTGAAGAAGACGTTGAAGGAGGTGGTGGTGGTGGCGGTGGTGGAAGTGAAGAAGATGCTAAAGGAGGAGGTGGTGGTGGCGGCGGCGGTGGTGGTGGTGGTGGTGCGGCTTCATTTGTTGGAGGAGAAGAAGATGATACTGGCTTAGAAGGCATGGTTGGTATAGGAGGAAGTGGTGGTGGTGGTGGTGGTGGTGATGATGATAAAGTGTCTATATTAGATGGTATATTGGTTGGTATTAGTTTAGGAGAAGCTGATGGAGGAGTAGGTAGTATTGCAGTAGAAGAAGAATTAGAATCTTCGTTGACGTTTGATTGAGTCGTTTGTAGTGGAATTCCTAATTCTTGTAAATTAATTGGTTCTAAAGTGGGTGTCTCCGGTAACAATTTTAATTTTAAGGCCTTATTAGAGTTACTAGAAGGTGTCTGAGGTATATTTTTAAATTTCTTATCAACATGATTCGGCTTTGAATCTTTATGTTCTTTCCTTGATACTGACAATGATTTCGATGTAAGTTGTTGCTCAACGCTTTTACTAATTTTTGATTTAATCACTTCAAAGGATTCACTCTTCATTGAAAGTAAAAAAGTATATGTTAATAGAAAGGAAAAAAAAAAAAAAAAAAAAAAAAAGAGAAAGTGAGGAGGGATTTAGACTTGATAGTCTTATTACTTACTTGAGTGTTCTTTTCAGTGTTCTTTGAAACTAAAATGCAGACTGTCTCATAGAGTCTTTTTATTTGGTTATCCATTGTCTCCAAAGTTTTTTTATGTTCCTTCTCGATATCATTAAGCCTTTGTTGTAATACAGCATTTGTTTGATTAGCAACGCGTAAACCACGCTCTAATGCTTCATTCTTTAATCGATATTTTCCAACAAGGCCATCTATTGTAATAGTTCATTATTAAATAAATAAATAAGTATCACAATATACAAAAACTTATACCTGCTTTTAAATCTAATTGAATTTTTAATTCTGCTTCTCTTTCAAGAGCCTTAGCAGCTATTTCCCTTGCTTCATCAGCTTCTTGCAGGGCCATTTCTAATTCATCTTCTTCTGCAAATTTGGATATCAAATCCTTTACTGTCATACCATAAACATGTGAGAAAGAGTTATTTGAATGACCATTTCTATCAAGCGTGATTTGTGAGACAAAATGTTCTACAAGTTGGTAATATCGATTTCGTGTCTCTGGAGAATCCGACTGAATCAGTGATAATTGTAGTAATATAGATTGTAGATGATCATATGCTCTAGTGCCTCTTATAGTGGAAGCTAATTTATCTAAAATTTCTGTTGGTTCTTCTGTACCATTTCCTTGAACCATATGAGCTATAGCATCACTATCCTCTAACTCTTTAAATTCCTCTAATTTTAAATTAATGAGTTCGTTATTGAAGGATTGCATTTTTTCAAAAATTTGGGCAAGCCCTGCTTGATAAAGTTGATTTCGTAAGATTATTCGATCATCCTTATCTTCCACTGTATCTGGATCTACAATAGCTAGAATTAATAAAAGGTTTGCTAGCTTTTTTTTTTTTGTGAGAATAATGGGAAGGGAAAGACAAAGATGTTAAAACTATATTTCGTATGCGTTATATATATTGTATCTATAAAGTAATACTTTACTGCATGTTCCATAATGGGTATATCAGAATTATTTTTCGAAACTATTTGTCGAACATCCATACTAGCTCCTACAATTGTTCCCATTTTCCCTCTTCCGTCCAAGATAAGACATAGTTTCCTTAGCCATGAATCAAAACGACCATAATCATTTCTAGTTTTTTTGATCGTATCCATGCCCTGTAGAACCATGTTATGCCCCTTAGGTTGTTCAAAATAGCACATAAATGTTAATGCATCACAAACAAGTCTTTGTATTGGCAAAGAAGGTGATAAAATAGATTGAGTTAAGGTGATAATATAACTTGGCTCACTAATAACTTGTTGAATACCATACTATAGATGTGGAAAGGGGGTGAGGAGTTTTTTTTTTTTATATAACATGATACGTTATAAAATATCAGACAATATATACATACATAATTATTAAATAACTGTCGTAGACATTTGATTATCTCAAGTTCTAGTTGACAATCTCGTTGATTTCTATAAAATATATAAATACATATATTAAAGTTTCCATTTATTGTACTTTCATTTACCTATTGTCATTCTTATTGATATATGATAGCTCTTCAAATAAACTATTAATACCATCTTGTTCGATAAATTCCTGAACCCATCTAATTAATAATAAATAAATAAAAAATATTATGTAGGCATAGGTTTATTTTGTACCTGATAGGCATTGTCCTTAATCTAACAGAAAGATCGGAAACTAACTTTGAACGAACTTGGGATTTTGATTCTCTTCTAGTGAATGATTTTATATAATAATTAGGTGTTAATAAATAATCTGATGATGATGTGGATGATATGGACGAAAATTCATTCGCTGTAATGGTGCTATTTTGACTATGATTACTATTATAACTATTAGTGTTGTTATTGCTGTTATTATTGTTATTATAAGCAGTAATAGCAGAGGTTCGATTATTTGGATTCTTTTTACTAACAACTGTTCCCATAGATATTAAAGCGCTTTCATTACAAAGAATAAACCATTTCTTTTCTGGCGTTAATTCCCTAACATTTGCATCGTTAATATTGATATCTAGTCGTGACTATGTAAAGTGAGGATGGTATTAGTTGACTGTAAAGCAATTATATACAATAATATATATAGATATATATATTTCTCTTTTGAAAGTGTAATATGTACGGCTACTTCCTCGAATAGTCGATCAATTTCTTCATTTGATGGCTTGCTTTTTTTACTATCGCTGCTAATAATAGATGTAGATGATGATGATACTATGAATAAAATAGTCAATAAAGTAAACGTAAATAAAAGAAGTTTTGATATTTACAATATTTATTTGATTTTGAATCTGATGAATTCTTTTTTTTATTTCGAAAAATTGCCATTAAATGAACAGTAAACAAAAAAGAACAAATAAAAAAAAAAAGGGAAATAAGCAACAGTAAAATAATAATTTTTTGTGTTGTATATAAAGATACAATATTTCCTTATTTGGCAGAGACAAAACAATAATTAATTCTGGTACATTTCGTTTTTTTTTTTCTTTTACAAAACCTAAGAATATATAATATTAATATATGTACTAAAGGATCATATACTTGTAGTAAAAGAATAAGAAACAAGCCTCTCTACATTGTTAAAATAAAAATGTAGATAATTGAGGCTGTATTATGTAAACCTCTTTTTTTTAAAAAAAAAAAATCATATGTAAAATTAGATGCAATTTGTTGTATTTTTTTTGACACTTGTTTGTAATACTTTGAAACGTATTACAGCATATGCTGCATATCTTTATATATGCATAAGTAAATAGCTGTATAATGTTATCAAAAGCTTGTTTATTGCTGCGATATTCTATTGGCTATGAATTTCAATACTTATCGGGAAAGATTTCATCCACTAAAAAAGAAAAAAAAAAATATATTTTTGTCTTGTAATCTATCTTGAATTCTTTTTTTTTTTTTTTCTGTAATTTTTTTTTTTTTATCTGAAATGTTAACAAAAAAACATGCCTTAGATGATGACTTTGAGTCACCTAGAAATGTAATAATAGAAAGTAATGTGGATTATTTATCTTACAAGTTTGATGAAATGGATCTTGCTGCTTCTTGGCGTGTATTAACAAAACAAAAACTAACAATTGTAAATGGTATTCGACTTGAAAATGCTTCGTGGAGGACTTGGGCTAAACAAAGAAACAATTTAAAGACTATCAGTCCGGAAACATTGAATTGGTAAAGAGAGAAAAAAAATATATATATAACATAATAATTACTTCATTGATATATGTGTGTTCCCAAAAAAAAAAAAAAAAAAAAAAAAAAAAAAAAAAAAAGACTCACATGAGTTACGGTTTTATTAGGTTAAAAGATAGTGATGTGACGTGGCTTTATGGTCCTTTACATACAGTCATTAAAAATATGGATGATGAAGACCGTTATGCTAAACCAAAAGTATCTGCTCCAGAAGATACATTAGGTTTAATGACAACTTCCGCACAACAACAGCAACAGCAGCAACAGCAACAGCAACAGCAACAGCAGCAGCAGAATTTGGCTACATCAAAAGAATTAAGTGATAGTCAAATTACAACATCATCTACTGAAAATACTGTAGTTAAATCTTCTTCCTCTATTTCCTCTGCTCCTACAACAATGGGTACACCTAATTCAGATTCAAATAGGCCTAATGCCTCTCCTCTTCAAAAACCACTCAAGTCTGCTCTGAAAAAAGTTACCATGTCAGATTTATTAAAAAGATCAGCTTCGGAATTACAATTAAATTCCAAGTTATCAAACGGTATATCGCTATCAGAAGCTAATCAACAGCTTGGCGCCTTCTCACCTGCTGTTATCGCCAGTCATCGTCAACCCAAGTTGCGATTTAATCAATATGTTGAACAATGCATTGCTTTGTCAGCTGACACTAGTAGTAGTAAAAAAAAAAGTTCTCGTGTGAGACTGACGGAATTGAATGATATTAGAAGAGATAAAGAGGATGAGGACACTACATCGTCCTCTGCAGCTGAAACTTCAGATGATGATGATGACTACGATCCTGGAGAAGATTCAGATGCAGGCAGTATTCTTATGATGCGTAGTTCTCGACCTCATAAAGTAAGATCATCCATTAAAAAAATCGAACCTACTCTATTGAAAACAAATTCACGATCGGATCAGGACTCAAGTGATGATGACTCTAATTCGGATGAAACATCCGATGATGATTTAATTATCCCTACTACCTCGTCTAATAATGCTTATCAATATGTACATAAATATCGTCGTAATAGTAAAAGTAGTCTTAATCATAATCGTAGAAAATCTTCCAATGTTGACACATGGGATGCAGAAAGTGCCGATTCGGATGCTCTTGTCCAACATATTATTCAAGTGTCAAAAGGTAAAAGGCCATTAGGGCCTAGAGACCCAGCAGCCGATCGTATGCCTACTCAACCCAATGTCAGCTATGATAATGGTTACATTAGTACGGATGGGGGTATGCCACCTACGAAATCGGATTATGATTACGAGTTTGATGACGATGATTGGGATACACATAGTGAACATGCAGAAGATGTTCCATACGCTTTTATAACTGAGGAATATCCACCTATTGCGCCTGCTCCCCCAGTTGGATGTCAAATTTGTAAGGCGCCTGTTAATAACGAGCCTGTCTTGCCTGCTGTGAAACCTAAGGTTGAAAGATGTGTAAGTGATACAAAAGCAACAGATGATATCTATCATACTCAACAGCAATATGATAGCAGTAATAACGATGGAAGTAATAACAATAACTCGACATTCTTTAGTAGTATTGCTCATTGGGCTTCTTCTCATCTTTGGCCAGCAGATAAATCTAATTAACAAAATACAGAAAGAAAAGTTGTATAATAACAAAATCCATGATAGAATCTATATAAATATGTCCATTCCTTTTTTCTTTTCTTTTTTTTTTCCCCTTTTACATTATATTATAAAACATGTACCTAAATAATATTCATATAACAACATCATTTCTTTTTTACTTGTACAGCTCATGTCAATAAAAAAACAAAAAACAAAAAACAAATAAAATTTTATATATATAGAAGCTTGAATATAAACTATTATCAGTTCCCTGACATTCAGTTGTTAGACGTATTTTATAAGAAAATTGTTTAAATATTGTTTAATAATCTACAAATATATTAAGCTTAGTGCGTAATCCTACAACTATAAATAATCAAATAGAACAATTTATCCTGTCACTATGTGAATGTATAATGTTTTATGCCTTGCAAAATTTGGAATTCATAAGTTAAACCGTGGAGACCAGTCACAATAGATATCTCTTTTACTTTTTTTTTTTTTTTTCTTTTTTCGGTTTTCTTTTTATTAGTTCAGAAAATTTAATCAAGACATTATGGGATCATCAGAAGATAAATCGAGACACTCATCATCTTATTCTGAACGCCGATCACGAAGACGTTCTCATTCACCACACAAAAGAAATAGACATGATAGTCATTCAAGGTCTCCTAGTCGAGAGCGCTCAAGTAGACGACATGATAAAAATGATTACAAACATCGTTCTTCAACAAGAAATCGGAGCAGAAGTTGTGAATCAAAACATCGTCATCATCGTCGTCATCATCGTTCTAGAGATAGAAAAAGACGCTCTTCTTCAACATCATCATCATCATCATCATCAAGTTCTTCGGATGATGATAGGAAACGAAGAGAGCATAAAAGACATAAAAAGTCCAAAGTAAATATAACCAACACATAATATATACATATATATACACATCTTAAATTAATTTAATAATTAGAAAAAATCAAGAAAACATAAAAAAGTTGGTGATGAATGGGGTAAATATGGAATTATTCACGAAGCAGAGTAAATATGTACATTATAAACATTTCGAACTTTATTTTGAATTAACTTTTTTTTTTAATATATACAGTATATTCACTAAAGAACCAGTATGTTGATTTTTTAAGTTGAATGAAAACTCAAATAAAAAAATATTTATACAGACGTAAAAAAAAAAAAAAAAAAAAAAATAGGAATTTCAGGCCTGGTTAATTGAAGTTAAGAATGCAAACGTCGAAACACTCCATAATAATAAACGTAAAGAAATGTTTATTGAATTCATGGAAGATTATAACACAGCCACTATGCCACATGAAAAGTAATGTACATTATATAATAATTATATACATATTATAATTATTCATTTTTTCTTTAATAATAAACACTATTTATTACAGGTTTTATGATCTTAATAAGTGGGAAAGACGCCAAGAGTTCATTAGAATGGGTGGAGATCCTATGGCTACAACCGATGTTTTTGATTTTAGAAAAGACGAAGAAAATCTAAGGCAATTATCTTTATTTCTATATCAAAATTACAATTGTAATATAACACACCTTTTTATTAATATTATTATTATTATTAGAATGCATCATCGCCAGAAGGCTAGAGCAGCAGCAGCATCTCGTCAGCCAGCATTGCAATTGTCGGAAGAACAAATCAAAGAGCTTACTCGAGTTAACAGGGAGCGAGTTGAAGCTGATCGTATGCGCAAAATGGGTTTAAAACCTAAAGAAGGTATGGGTGTTCGTTATGAAGAATATACTGGTGAATTTTAAAAAAAAAAATCAAAAAATCAGAAAAAAAAGTGTAATGTCTATATTAAAATGTCAATAAATAAATAAAAGACAGTTGATAAAAAGGTCCAAGTCAATGAGATTTAACAATAGTTGCTGTAAAAGTTGATTATTTTAATTAAAATTTTAAGCTATGGGTATTTATACATAAATGATGCATGATGGTATGGAGAAAATAGAAAAGTATGTGTTATGATAAATAATATTATACAATATTATACTATGAGGAATATACAAAAAAAAAAAAGGGTAATGATTTATAATTGCCGCTACGTTTGAATTTAATGATGACTATAATATATTTTTTGTGAGATTCAGTAATAATTATTATAGCAGCCCGATTCAACTCTCTGTCGTTAACCGACAATTAAAATAGTCTTTTTTTTTTAAAAAAAAAAAATTTCAAGTTAAAACTTGTTTGATCTCTTCTTTATTTCTATCAAACAATAATTGTATTTATATTAAATAAATAGATGATAAAATATTATATAATCTATGAATATGTTCCAATAGAATAAAATAGAATATAAACAAATATTAAAACAAGTTTTAACCTTTAAGAAGTACCTACGTGTCAGTTTGTTTCATTTCTGTCCCTATTTTGCGTATTATTAGTTTGTTATTGGTTAGCAGCTTAAATTTCCTTTTTTTTTCGTTTTGCCTCTTTCCCTAAGCGAGCGTGCTACAACCATACTTCAATTTTTTTTATCAGAATGTCTTCAATAGCAGGTTCAATAAAATATGAAAAAATAAACTCTTATTTAAAGGTAAAGTAAAGTTGGTTCAGGCCTTTAAGCGTATTTGTAAATAAAGGTAGCCTGTGAAAAGATTTTTTTAGTGCTCAAAAAGAGTATCTATCTAAAACCCGAATAATAATATAACTTATAGTAATCTCCATTATACTAACATAACTGTATATAAAAAATTAATAAAACATAATACAATGGCAATAACCTTTTAAAGAAGAAATGAGAAGAGGTAGGGTACGATTCAAGAAAGTTTGTAAAATATTGGGTGTCTGTAGGAGGAACAAGGAGCTTCCAATGTTCTAATTGGCTTCTGAGTTTTAATTGAAATTTTATATGCTATCACAATTATTATGGTTTCAGAAATCAATAAGCGCGGTTGGTTAAGTGGTATAATCTTCGCCTGCCACGCGAAGGGCCGGGGTTCGATTCCCCGACCGCGCATTCCTCTTTTTTTTATTTTATTTTTTTTTTCGTTATTATTTGTTGTAAACTTTCTACAAACAGAGAGCTAGTATATATTTAACGTTATTGGATACAAAAAAAAAATGGATTAAATAACAAAACATTATGTAGCACTAATTTTTAAGTAAACTTTAAAATAAGATAGAGACTTATTGTTATTATAAATAAAAAAGAAATAACACTAATATATAGTTAAATTTAAACACTATCAATATAAAAATATGCTATGGTCTCTCTTTCAAAGGTTTTTTACGCTAAAAAAAAAGATTTTAACGTCATATATTAATAAAAAATATTTGAACTAGGTAGTATAGTTTCAATTCATAATTACAGAATTATTATATATGAAAAAAAACACACATATAAATTATAACGAATAAAGTATACAATACAGCCTTATTATGTCGAACATTTAAAATAATGATTCCATATACACATGTGCAGATGTATTATGACGACCTATTTTCTTATCCTATTTTATAGTTCGTGAAATTTATACTTGCCAGTAAAATAGAACCATATGATTGAATATTTTGTATGTGTGTGGGATCAACAAGCAATTTTAGGAAATGATTTTATTACGCAACCTTAAAATGAATTATAAAAGGCAATTATAGATTTGCTACAGAAAGATTTGAAAAAAATTAATTGCATGTGAAATATTCTTTTTCCCTTATTCTTTTTTTGTAAAAGGTATGTAACACCTACTTCTCCTTATTAGTATCCATCAAGATGACAAATTTATAATTTTGCTTATAAAAATACGAACAAATATTTGTTGTGCTTTTATACGTCTTTTTTTTTTTTAAAAAAAAAAATAATAATAATAATTTTTTTTATTAAATTATAATGTCTGACCTTATTGTTCCTGGATTCAAGAGTTCTGAGCTCATCAATGATTTAAACAAAGCTTTCGATCAATTCAGTACTGAAGATAGAGCTAAGTTAATCAAGCAAGTTAATGGTGTCTTCCAATTTGTTATTAAGAATGACCAAGGAAAGGAAGAGGTTTTTACTGTCGACTGCAAGAAGGAAGGAAAGGTAGTCCATGGTAAGGGTGACATTAAGGCTGATGCTATTTTATCTTTGAAGGATGGTGATTTTGTTGATTTGGCTACTGGCAAATTAAATGGTCAAAAAGCATACATGAGTGGTAAGCTCAAAATTAAGGGCCAAATTATGCTTGCTATGAAGCTCGATAATGTTTTCAAAGCTGTTAATCCTACTGCTAAGCTTTAAATTGTACTATAATAATATATATATATATATATATATATATATATTACACACATTACATGTAAAGAAACTGATTTTTCTTCTCTATTCATTTTCTCCTTTGTTTACTATTAATCACTTACATAATAAAGATAAATAACTATCGTATTCATTATAATAAAATGAAGAAGATTGAATAATAAAATTAATTGAATTAATTTACAAACATATAGTTAACTAATATGTCCACATTCATGTTATAATAATAGTAGTTAAGCGATGACTTAAACCTAGGAAAAGATATATTGAGAGTAAATAAAATATCATACTTATCTTTTATACTTTTGCGCCTATTTCATCAGATATAATTAATTGATAGAAATGACTCAGACTTTTATTGCTAAAACAGAAAAATGATTCAAAAAGAAAAAAAAAAAGGTATACCTTATTCAAATTTATAAATTTTATAAGACTGGAAGCATATTTTCTTCTGTATAAATTTATGATGTTAGATTTAAACGCATTAACGTCTGTATAGATAATTGTAACACTATTGATATTTTAAGACGTGATATTTCGTAAAATATAAAGCAACTTAATTATACTTGGAACGTGAAGTTCAAGATAAATTCATATATAAATTTACTAGTGCTTTCAAAGCTTATAAAATTATAATGAATTCCTAGATACTGCTTTCATTATGTTAAGCAACATTTATAACTTTATAGTTTCTCCTCCTTTCCACTAGCGTAAATTATACAATTACTAAATGCTTTAGATATATTACATTTCGAGGTATAAATATTAATTTTTATATTTGCAGAGTATTGAATCAAGATTTGTCAAAGAACATAATCAACAATATGAAACAAATTTGGATCTAAGAAAAAAAATTACAGTAATAAATAAAAGAAAACAAATAAAACAATAGCTTTATTTGTGCCAGCTATAAAAAACTCTATACAAATTAAACATAAAAGGATAAGCATATTTCTTCATATAATATGTATATAAATAATACAATACATATACAAAATTATACTTTAACGTTTTTGTATTTTAATTTTATACTTGTTGCTTGCTTTCTTACTTTTGTTTGTGGATATCACATGCAAACAATTGTAAAAAAAAAGAGTTACAGGATTTATTTATTTTTTCCTCATTTTTAATCCTTTTCCTCTCTCTATTTTTTTATAGTCTTATTTCTTCATAAATGATATCAACATCAGCATCATTGTATGTGTCCCAGATAAGATTTTGTCGAGCTTTAGCTGTAGTTCGCTCTTTACCAACAGAATCTGATAGAGAATTTCAACCGTCAGTAGCTGACAAGTTACAATTTTACAGTCTTTACAAACAAGCTCTTGTAGGTGATTGTATGTTACTTAAACCATCATCAAAAAATATTGTACATTATATAAAATGGTAATATTCATAATGGTAATATTCATAATGGTAATATTTATAATGATAATATAATTATAAAGAAGAAATACGACTAAATATATTTCTTATATATAATAGGAAAGCCTGGAAAAAGCTTAGATGAATAAGTCCAATTGATGCCCAAATGATGTATATCGAAGCACTTAAAGATCTTTTACAAAAGGTAAATAATAAAACAAAAAGTAAATATAAAAGACTATTAGCATATAATACTATTTTTGATAAAGTTTATTATTCAATATCCTTTTTCTAAGCTTACAGAAAGCCTAGTGTTATGATTGTAGTCGTATTTACAACTAAGTTAATAGAAATAAACTATCAATTATTTAAATAATAAAGAGGTTATTCAAATAAAACTAGTGTATTGTACTTCACAGCATAATATTCATTCTACACTCAGTTTTGATAATAGTATTCGAGCATTAAAAATAATGATATACATTGCATTATGTAATAATAAGAATTCAATAGGTTTATGACTGTTATATTCAATTACATAATTATTTATAAGTCATACATATTATATATAGATAGCTATAAAGATGAATACTGTTATGTAGTAATATCTTGTAGGATAATAATAATAGTAGCATATAAATAATTGGTATTGTTATAGCTAACATATTCATTGTGAATTAATATTGACGCGTCGCTTACCCCAGAAATAATAATTTAATATTTTTAGTAACAGCGACAGCTCAGGCAGAAAAGAATAAAAATAGATTTTATTGTAGAAAATATTTATGACTAATGCTTTATTATAGCTTATCCAAATAGTAGTTCTATTAATATCACTTACCTTGCAAAAACATATAAATAGCCCTTTACATTTTCACATAATTTTTCCTTGTACAAATTTTGTATTATTCTTCTAAATAAAAACTATACGAAGTTTTCACAGACTTGTCTTTTGTCTTTTTCTCTTTCTTTAACTTTTTGCTTATCAAAACAACCTTGTCCACCTTGACCATTTTTCCTATTAGCCAACAAAAAGACTATATTTATTTGACTTTGTCTTTCTATCTCAAACTTTTTTTAAATATGGCAATAACTAAAGAACAGGCGATATGCTTGTTATTCTGTGAAGAAATAAATGAAGATAACATATCTGGACTTACAAAACGAATCAACTTAATGAAGGACATTGACATCTGCTATGAAAAGGATCCACAACAACCTAGATTAATCCCGTTGATACTTTTACACACTCATCCATCTAGATTTCGAAAATACACAATCAGTTCGAAAGATTACACCGATAAAACTATTAACGGTGATCATCAGCAATGGTTTAATTTAATCATATATTATATTTTTGGCACATGTTTTATTCTTTTATTATACAATTAAAAAATAAATAAACTTCATAATGCTTCGCTAATTGATTTTAATATGTTTACTTGGAGCGTTGAAAAAGTCCTTTTCTACAATCAAATTCATTTATGTCTTGTGTGCCATCTAACATATGATCTCGATCATAAACATTTATGGGTTTCCCAAAAGGACTACGATCAATTACATTTTTTTTTATACTTTCATTTTGACTACAAAAAAAAAAAAATATTTTTAACATAAAGCAATATTTATCTTTCACGTATATTACTATACTTTAAAAGACTTCTGAGATCAGTACAATTGGTAGTAATACCCACAAAGTCTACTCCGACTAAGCAGTTTTTTTTTTTTTTTTTTTTTTTTTTGCAATACTAAAATAAGAGATAGGATCTAAAGAATGATTTTTGCAGTTTAAATATATATAAAAGCTAATTCTTCTTTGACTATTAATGCATTAACTTGGGTAGTACCTTCAGCTTTATTTAGCTACCTCAATATAGTACTGTCATAATTCACATCTCTTGATGAAAAAGGCTCGCCTGCGTGTGACATTGATGAAACATAAATTTTATCAACTAACAATCTTTCAAGCATTTTATCTATCATAGATTGAAGTAATCTGATTCTTGTGTCCTTATCTTCATTTCCATACGACTTTCTTACATAACCAACTACTTCATATCCATTTGACTTGAGGTTATTAACGTATTGTTGGAATTTAGGTATGTCTTCCCTGATTCCGTTTGCAATATCATCTAAAATAACTTTGAGTGATTAGAATTCTAGAATAATCCTAGAAGTTCTGACTTACTTATAAATTTATTTTTAACCACATATAGCCTGCAATATCGGATTCTCTCCATATCATTGTTTTTTAGTGACTTTCTTGAGGACTCTACTTGCATGAATGGGAATTTACTCTTTGACCACCATGACGTGAATGAGTTGATCGTTTTACTGTCAAATTTATCTGTATATTTTCACAATAGAGAGAGAATATCTTTCATTGCAACATCTCTCTGCTCATATGTTTCTTCATTATAAGGATCAAAGGGTAGATACAGTTCGTTTAAAAGTCGAATGATTTGAGTGTCAGAGGCTATTTATTTTTAAAGAGAAGTTTAGATAGCTTTTCTCTCAAATACATTTGCTTAAAACAATTTTTTTAATTATACTTACTAAGCTTTATATTTTCATTTATTGATTTTTCCCCCAACTTTAAAGCATTACTTGAATATCTATGATAAGTAAACTGATTTGCGTTTATCCTAATGATTGGCAAAAGAATCGGCTGATGCGGATCCTTTTCATAGCAGATGTCAATGTCCTTCATTAAGTTGATTCGTTTTGTAAGTCCAGATATGTTATCTTCATTTATTTCTTCACAGAATAACAAGCATATCGCCTGTTCTTTAGTTATTGCCATATTTAAAAAAAGTTTGAGATAGAAAGACAAAGTCAAATAAATATAGTCTTTTTGTTGGCTAATAGGAAAAATGGTCAAGGTGGACAAGGTCCAACAAATAGAGTTTTTTGATTGGCTAATAGGAAAAAAGGTAGTGAACAAGGTGGTCAAGGACGCAGAGAAAGACACAGATTGTCATTTGATTGGTAATTGTTGTATATATAATGATGTATTACATAATAACTTAGAATAAACAGATCAGAATCATGAATAAACGAGATTTCATTATTCGATTTCAAGAAAAATAACCGGCTAGATCAAACACCAATAATTTAATATTTATTAGATTAATTCTCAGTCAGGGCAAAGACTAGAGCTCAAACACAATAACTTTAATTATTCTATGTGAAAATGTTCTTCTTTCAAGATATCTTCATTCTGTTCCTGTCGCGAAGTAACCCGTTCTCCACAAGATATAAATATGGATCCATTTTGCACTCATCTTGGAGAAATCAAGTTTTTTTTTTTTATTTTTTTTTTTATTTTTTTTTTTATTTTTAATTTTTTATTGATAATAAAAGTTTTATACAAAGTTTTCACAGATTTATTCTGTCTTATTCTTTTGTTATCTTTATCTTATCAACAGTTATAGCCCCGACTTACAATTACAGGGTTAATCATAACAGGAACATGAATTGGAGAATTGTCCATGACAATAAAAAATCCTTTCATTTCTGGGAACTCATACATAATATCGTTAAGAAACAAGAGATAATGATCGCCAGTAGTGCCACTGGGAATAGTTAATTTATCTTCAAGAACCTTTTTAATTTTGGCCCCTATAACCTTCCTTCACTTAACATTTCCAGATTCTCGCCTCGCATACTCACATTGACGACACCATTACCTGATATTGCACCAAGAACAGTATGTGAGGTAGCCTTGGTGGAAGGAGTTGTGGTAGTTGCTTTTGTACCGCGCTGTGACCAACCACGACTACGTCACATATTAATATCAAACCCGGACTCATCAACAAATATACAATTGTCGAGATAATTGACGCCATTGCCGATCAATTTCTCAACTCATTCAGCACGAGCTTTAAGATTTTTATCATCGTTTCTGGCAAGAGGGTGTCGGTTAATAAGTTTGATGCTGAGATTACATTCTTCCTTCATGAACTCGGCTACTCTTGTTTTTTTTATTTGTAAGCCAGCAAAGTTGGCTGTCAAGCTTTCAACTGCGTCCTGGATTGTTGCAGTTGAGTCATCATCAAAAAAACTGGTTAGATAGACCTTATGAGCTTTGTTCAGTTGACTGACTGGTCTGTTGGGATTCAGGTTCATCTTTTTGATAGGAATCTTCCTTTCCGGATCATCTTCGTAAGCCTTTTTCCATTTGCGCGCTGTATTATAATTTCCATTTGCGGCTATGGCTGCATCTTTTGGTTTCATGAGTTTTTCTTTCAAAAAATAAAAGTCTTCCATTGTATAAACGTTATACTCAAGAGGTCTTTCTTTCTTTGGACTAGCCTCTTTCATGACTGTATCGTCTGAACTGATTGTTTCAAATTGGAGATCCTTATTCTTAATGTATTTTCGTAGATCTGTTAATCTTTTCAAACGAAATGACTTCTCTTCAACATATGCTTTTGCTTGCTCGCCCTGTTCATCAATGAGATTACCAGCACCATCTTCATAAAAAATATTCATGCTCATTTGAAAAATAATCTCGAAATAATGGTATAAAAAAAAAAGTAACAAAATATACCTTAGATAAAATGATCAAATAAATCTCAAAAAAAGTGAATTTAAATAAAATGACCAAACGAATTTCAAAAAAGTGGGCAAATTTATTCAAAAATCTGTCCAATTGGTGGCGGACGCACTATAAGTCATTATAATCACCATTCGCAAAGGCGTTTATTTTGGCTTGTAAAGTCAGTTACGAAACATACTCTATTTAACTTTATAATATTTATATTGTTATTGTTAGCTTTATGGAGAAGGAAATCTCCAATTGCCTATGCTATAATTTGTTATTCAATACCTCGACATAGAAGCTTTGTACACTATTTTTTTAGTCGTATAAAATTTCGGAAGAGTGATAGCTTTTAATCATGCTTCTTAAACATTAAAAATATATTACTCTATTTTGCAATTATATTTGACTGACAAACAGTACACGGAGTTTGTGCACTTTTTGTGACCTTCTTCCAATTTTTTCATGGTCACACATTTCTCCGTCTTTTTTTTTTTTTATTTTTTTATAGTTTATGTAATTTATTTATTTGTTTATTGCTTTTTCTTTAGTTCATTTTCTTTATATAATGGCATTAATAGAGCAGAATACTTCAATATCTAACCTTATTTTAGTCAAAGATATGAGTCCAAAGGCAAGAAATTTTGAATGTGAAGTTATAGTACTTCAGAAAGGCAAGTTTTTTAATTAACTTTGAATATCAAAATTTGTATTTATTTTATTTATTTATACAGAGGGAGAATCAACAAGGACACGTGATGGTGATTTTTTATCTAAATTTTGGGTAGCCGATAAAACAGGTTCAATTATCTTAAATGCTTGGGGACAAAATGGCTTAGATATTCAATTTGGAGACATATTACATCTAACAGGCGTGTAAAGTATATACACATATACATATGTATTATTATTGTTTCAAGTCAATATACATATTAACATACTATCAACCTTTTTTTATTTTATTTGAAGAGATGGCAAACTGAGAAGAGGCCAGTTATCTATAACAACTCGCAGAGATTGTAAAGTAACACGAATTGGACAGGACACATTTCCTTTTTCAGAAAGGCCAAATATGTCTGAAATCGATTACTCTTCATTAGAAATGCATCATTTAAGCGGCAATAATAATAATAATAATAATAGTAGTAGTAGTAGTAGTAGTAATAATAATAATAATAATAGTAATAGTAATCGATTGAGAAATCAACCGCAACAGCAAGCTCAGACGCAAACACAGTCAGCAGTACGTATACCCAGCAATAATAATAACACCTTTAATAATACAAATTTCAATCGAAATAACCGCCCACAACACCAAAATTTAAGAGGAAATCAAAATAGCGGATTTAATAATAGAGGAGGAGGAAGTGGAGGAGGACGAGGAGGAAGAGGAGGTAGTGGTGTTAATAGATATCATTATGATATAAATAGCAACCCTGCTTTTTAAAGAAAATAGAAATGTAAATAATTTATTGAAAACAATGAAATGAGGCTTCCTCCTTTTAAACGCATATATATCATCGCTGAGTTATGGCTTTTTTTGTTTTGTTTTTTTTTGTTCTTTAAATTAAATGACGGATTTCATTCTTCTTATTTCTTTATTTCCTTTCTTCTTTTAAGATTATGTCTTTTAATAATAGAGATTATGACTCAATTTGGTGCCTAGAAAATATTGAAAGCATATTAAGTCGTAAACATCGAGATCTTAATTCTGCCGAAAATAGTTTATTACTCTTAAGAAAAACATTATTAACAAATCCATGTCCTCCGGAGGTATTCTATATGGAGATATATACACGTTTTATTCAGTTGTTTATATACATTTTATTTTGTTTGATAGTCGAGAGGAAAAGTATGGAAGTTGTTACTTCGTATCACCCAAATATCCGCATCCAAATATATTCAATTAGTTGAGCGTGGTCCCAGTTCACTTGATGAAAAAATTAGACATGATACTTTCCGTACAATGACAACTGATACCAACTTTCTTGAGCATGTATCAGAAGATATGCTAATAAGACTACTAAATGCCTTTGTTTGGGAAAATGCTAGTATGAAAAAAAAAGAGGGCATATTTTGACGATATGTGTATGTGTGCATTTTTTCTAATGATTTTTTTTTATAGATTGCAGTAATTTATCTTCTTCTCTGACCTACGTTCAAGGTATGAATGTTATTGCCGCACCATTTTTAATGACTATGCCAGAAATGGAGGCCTATTTTAGCTTTTCAACCTTTGTTTCAACTTGGTGTCCTTTGTACGTTCATCCAAACATGAAGGGAGTACATTGCGGTCTGCGAGTAAGTCGATAACAGTACTAAATGCTATTTTTTTTCAAACTAAATTTGTATAAGCTTTTAGATCTTTGCTTACGTTCTTTGGATCCTACTTTATATGGCTATTTACGTGGAAAGAATTTATCTGCTAGCACTTACGCATTTGCACGTAAGTTGTTAGCGTATATTATGAAGTAAATTTTAACGTTTTTTTTTTCTTTATTATTATTTTAAGCTGTTATGACATTTTCAGCATGCACACCACCTTTATCTGAGCTTTTGCAGTTATGGGATTATATGTTTGCTTATGGGCTTCATTTAAATATACTTTTTATCATAGCTCAATTAGCTTTGATAAGGACAGAATTATTAAAGAGCCCAAGTCCTGTTAATCTTCTTCGTGTCTTGCCCCCTCTTCGAGCCAAAGAAATCATCAACCTAACTGTGTCATTATGTAAAAATTTATCATCTGGTTTATATGATAAATTAGTACGCCATGCTTATGATGAATCTGTGGCAAATGATTTAGGTCTTAGACATTGTTCTGCAAATTGGTCAGACGATCAAGATGATACAGAGGATTTACCAGCTTATATGCGTGATGCTGTAAGCATGAGAAAATAAAAAGTGACTCCTTTTTTTTATCTTTTATCTTTTTTTTTTTTTTTTTTTTTTTTTTTTTTTTTTTTTTTTAAGCATTACACATACATTGAACTGACATGTCGATTCCTGAGGATAAAGTTGAGACCGTTGGTGGGTTAATAGCCGGTATGGAAAAAGCGTTAACATGTACTATTTGGTAGCTATTTGTATTTTCTTCAAATAATAAAAAAAACATACATTTGCATAAAAAAATGGGGTTCTCATTTATTTAATGTACATATACATATAAATACGTATACATTTTTCACTTTCTTCATAAAAAAAAAAGCCTTTCACAATTAAATGTTCCAGCAATAGCACGATGTGGGCATTCCTTTTGTAAATCATGCATAGAGAATACAATTGATACAATTGGAAAATGCCCAATCTGTGAAGAAAGTTTAACTAAAGATCAAATTTTTTGTACAGAACAAAAAAGTCTAATGGTAGCTAAATTTAACGATTTAAAAGAATCGTTTAAAAAAGAATACGGACTTGATATATCACAAATGACACCAATTGAGGTGTATAAAGATAATAGTAAGAAGATAATTTAAGCTGACAATATAAATGGACTTTTTATTCTATTGTCTAACTTATTATATACATTGCATTAGTGGGTGGTAGTAGAACTACTTCCCAATTTGAAAGTAAGTAAATTGTCTATAGCTTTATACTTAGCTTTAACTTACCTTTATATAGACTCAAAATATATAAACCAGTATCATATATTACAATACAACAACACCCCTATTAGCGTAGATTTTCATGATTTTTCTTTTTTTTTTAGTATAATTGTTTAAATTAAAATAATTCTATATATTCACTATAGGAAGTAAACATACCCAATATCTCTTTTGAAGAAAACCTAGACATAAAGATAACACACATTGTTTTTGACACAGGTAAAATAGATTATGTGCATTGTTTTATAAGCTACATATTTATATATTTTGAACATATTATAGATAGAAACGATTTAGTTAAACCCAATCGAGAGTATTTTTTGGCTATTTTATTTGGTTGCTATATTGTTAATGAGAAATGTAAGTGTATTTTTGAATGTAAAAGAAAAAGGCAGCAAGTAAATCTTAATACCCTATACGATGTAAATCAGGGCTTAAATTATGTATAGAGCAAAATAAAATGCTTCCTGAAGCAAGATTTGAAATACAAGGCGACATAAAATATGGCAGAACAGGCGCTCCGAGTAAAGCAAGAAAAAATAGAGTAATTGGTGTAAGTAAATCTACGTTAATCATCTTCATTATTGGAACTTAATAAAATTTCAATCTAGAGGCATCTTCTCTTCAAAGGACTTAAAGTTGGCTTAATCGGTGATACTGAAAATGAATATTATACATATATGAGTCTTGGAGATGCTGATATCAACATGAAATATGATGATATTATTATTTGCAGTTTTTCGGATAAAACACTGGATGAACTACACGAAACATATAAAGGAAAAAGATTAATATCAAAGGATTGGATTGATGCCTGCATCTGTAACTTTGAAATCATGAAAAAAGATGATTATATTTTGTGAATACTAAACAAAAAAGAAAAAAAAAAAAAAAAAATAGCAGTAATATTTGTACAAAAAAAAAAAAAAAAAAAAAAAAAAAAAAAAAAATGAAACAGTTTTCTTATTTTGCTGCATATCGATTAAAAAAATAATAATACTTTTCTTTTCTTTTTGTTTTTTTTTCCTCCTATACATATTTTTTTTTTAAAAAATATTATAATGGTTCAAAGTCAAAATAAAAATGAAAAGAACCTTAGTTATTTAACATATATAATTCAATTACTCTCATCAAATAAGATATCAAATTCAAAAAGTACTCAGCAAACAACAACAAATCCAAGAGAAAAACTAATGTATTCCCGCCAATTAAAGCGAGATAGATCATTATATCGTACATGGCGTACTTTACCAGAGTATAACAATGATGAACTATCTATTCATTACTCTGATAATGACGATAGCAATGCTGATAAAGATATTCGTCTTTCATAATACATCTACTAATGTATTAATTATATTATTTAAACAATAAAAACACTCAGTTGTATCTATTCTTTTTATTATACAGCAGTTTTAGAGAATCCTCCATAGTTAGACTATCATTCTTTCTTTCTTTTTTTCGTAAATTTATAGATTTATCTCTGTTCAATAAGATCATGTGATGCGAGAAAGCCGATCTTCAAAAATAAAATTATACTTGTAGAAAAACAAAATGATAAGTATATAATTTTCCCTTGTATATAATAGCTTCAATACAAACTAAGCGCTTTCATATAATCATATATTGGTGTTAAATAAAAGGTTAGATTAGCCGAAAAAAACTGATATCTACGAATTAAAGGTTTCTGTCTATACTTTTATATATAGAAACAATACGCTAAACATAACATCTGTAATAAGACTTACTTATACATATATTTGTGTATATATTCTTCTTATAGGATTTATATTCTAATTAAGAAAGGTCTCCTGATTTGACAGATACAAATGACTATTTTTATGACAAAATTATGACTTGTTATATACACATATACAATGAAAGCAATACCAAAGGGCAGGTTTTGAATTAAAAAAAAAAAAAAAAAAGAAATCCAATATTAATGAGTGACTATTTTCTTCCAAACTCTTCATATCTATTACTTGACAAAAGAGCAAAATATTTGTCATTTTTCTTTATGAAGATAGACAAGGAAGAACATAAGACTAAACTAGAAGGATATTGTGAATATAGAAGAGGATATTAGTTCATACCATTTGGAAACCTTAATTAATACCAGACATTCTTGTGAATCTCAGGAACTAGAGCAACAATCACTTATTAAATATTTAGCCACTAGAATAAAAGACGTATTTAGTCTTTGAGGAATAGTAAAAAAAGCAGTAGATATTATATAGTAACTACAGTAGCGAATAGAGGCTTCTTTTTGTGTGTTATAACCAAATGAAACTATTAATGCTATTTCTACATCTATTTTTTTCATATATCTAAGTTTAAAGTGCTAATGCCCTACCTTGACTGATATGAGCCCTATTTTTTTTCTTTTATCTATCTAAAATGAATGTCTTTCGTGATTATGCAATATATATATTGCTTTAATATGAATTTAATCCTAAAAATGCAATAAAAGCAAGAGAAAAATTAGCAAGTTATGGTAAACTTGAAATTTATCTTGAAGCATTTGAAAGAAACCCCTTCTTGGTACTAACTTGATCAAATGATTATGCAGCAATTAGTCTAATGTCTAAAGATACAGTTATCTTTTTTTCTTTTTCCTTTTTTTTTTTATCTGACCCATGCAATATAATATTAATAGTATATACTTTTAAAAAATTTTTCTTCTCACCAATAACCCTCAATTAGACTTACTCAAGGTGGATTTCGAATTGCTTGTAATTCACTTGATCACACATTATGACTTATTGAACTTTGCAATATCCTTCGCCATAGTATCATATCCGACCGGCACTTCTTCTTTAATATCAAATCAGCTCACAATAAAGTTGGCCAATAATATATTTGGAACTTACTCAAACTTGTTTCGCCAAATCTTCTAATTTAACTTCTTCAAAATCTTTTTGATGGAGATTTTATTAAGTAATATTTTATTTTATCTCTTTTACTTGACTACTAGTATCTTACGGGGATCAGTCCTGCTGCAGTTATTGTAATTTATCCATATTGATCAGTTACCAAAGCTACTTTATACGCAATGCTTAACAAATGGTATGTCACTTGTATAACTAACTCTCAATTTAAACTGATTACTTTATACTGATAATCCCCTTATAGCTGAACAGAATAGAATAGTTGTATTATTACAAATATGTAAGCAGCTTAGCTACAACCTTGGATATCGATAAAACTCCAGTAAATACATTATTTCAGATCCTCATAAATGCTCGCTCACATATCAGTCATATGGTAATCGCATAGAGCGACAGTCTTCATTCTCATATTCTGGTATATCTTTTTGTCTTGAGGACAATCTCAATATCCTTGAACTTATATATAACAATACTACAAAGAATCTTGCTACTATGAATCAATTCTCTATAATTGGAGTTAATTATAACGGTTTTTGTAAGCTTTTATCTAGTAAATTCTATTACGAATGATTCGCTCCCAACTTAAATATGATTCAATTGTTAACAAACCTACCACCTATAAATATACAAAATTAGAAGATGTTCAAAACAAGTGTATTCGACAAGTCTTTAGCACCTCAAGTTAATCATCTGTTAAAGTAATGTCTCATCTGATTAAAACTTCCCTTAAATTAGCTCATACGCTCATATACTTCATATACATTTTTATTACGTTCCTTATTACTATTATTAGAGGGTATCCTCTTATCGAACTTGTTGTCATATATTATATAATAACCCTCTGCTAAATTACAGTAGTGCAAACTTTCTAAAATATTATTATGGAAAAAGCGCCAATCTGAAATATATCCTTTAGATACTAAAAAAAAAAAAAATCAAATAACTTTGATGATAGTTTCTGCAAGATAGCTTAAATAAAAGCCAAATCACCCTAACAATTCCACGCCTCTTTTTGCTGGTAGACCTACAATTTTTATAAGTCTCGTTCTCTAGCTACTGATGCCATTTATAGAACTTACCAAGTGTATCCATTAACGACTGGGATGGTTACAGCATGTCTACTCAACATACTGCCCTAACCATCATCCTTCATAACTTCTCGCTAAACAACATGCAATACACTGTTTGGAAATGTATTGTAAACTAAAAGTGCCAGAAACAATCATCAACCTTATGCCATTCCTTCTGAAACATCTACCTAGTAAGAAGCTTCAAACTATCTTACTCTGTCACTTTTTGACAAATACTATGACCTAATTTCCATATTATCTTATATGAATTTGAATATCTTTTCCACAATGAGCTAATCCCCCAATCTTGGATTAAAAACTATTAAATTGGCTCTTGTCTTTTTCGCATTACTAGTAAATTTGTTTACTCTTTTATTTCTAGATACTCCCCTCTTTTTTTTTTTTCTTTTTCTATTTTTTCCCTCTTGCTTCTAGCTTCTGAAGAAGTTTTATTTTTTTATTTTTTATTATTTTTATTATTCTTAGCCTTTCAATGCTCCGACTCGAGCAAAGCTGATATATTAAATAATATCTTGTGCTCATTGGGCCTTTAATCTTTCTTCATAAATAAGAAAATTATTTAACCGTATACATGATGTATAAAAACAAAGCCAAGTTAGTACAAGCAATCGTGTAACGCTAAATAAACTGTATTTTAAAAACAATGTTTAAATTTGTTTTTTATTTTTTCTTCTTTTCTTTTCTCTTTTTTTTTTTTATTTCAATAATAACATGGAGAATAAAGAGGAGGATATTCTAAACCAAGTCCAGCAAACATGTATACGGGACAAGGTGAACGATTTCAAGGAAACACAATCTCCTTCTGATAAAAAAATGGAAGCTCAAAAGCAAGCCAATGTTGTGCTTGAGAGTATACCTCCATTAAAAGCTCAAGATTCTTTAGAAACCGATCAAGGCACTAATGATACTAGGGCTATTGAACATGCTATTACATCTGCTAAAGCAAAACCTACTGAAAAAAATTTACCATCACAAAAGTCACCCCCTGGTACATACAGTTCATCTACCAAAGTAGGTTGGAATGCCTTCTCTCAAGCTCCTAACCCTGGTGATGAAAATGCTATGAAGGAACTTGGCTCAAAATTAGGTTTAGATGCACTTATTGATATGTACAAGGGCGTGCGTCCTACGACTAAAGAGCAAGAAGAGGATATTGTTTCTCATTTTTTAAATGAAGCATATTATGGAGAGTGGTACCATAATGCAGCTGTCATGTTATTTACAGTTGTATTCACATGGTTGCTGACAAAATTAGGTGGCGGGTTGATGGCTTGTATCGTGATAGGGGCATTTTTGGCTACTTATTATCAAACATCTATTCGCCGTTTAAGAAGAAATATTCGAGATGATATTCAAAGAGAATTATCTATTAACAGATTAGAGACTGAATCTGAATCAGCCGATTGGATTAATCATTTCCTTTCACGATTTTGGCTCATTTATGAACCTGTCTTGTCAGCTCAAATTATTGACATTGCTGATTCTATCCTTGTAAATAATACACCTGCTTTTTTGGATTCTATTCGTCTAACTTCATTTACATTGGGAACTAAGGCTCCTCGAATTGAAAGTATCAAGACACTTACTAAAACTGAGCCTAACATTGTAGTAAGTATATAAAATAATAATAATAATAATAAAAAAAAAAGATAAATATAAATATTATGATATATTAAATATCTATTTTAGTGTATGGATTGGAAATTTTCTTTTATTCCAAATGACACACTTGATCTTTCAGAACGTGATCTTCTTTCAAAAGTAAATCCTAAGATTGTCTTGACAATTCGTGTTGGTAAAGGTATGATTGGTGCTGGTATACCTATTCTCTTGGAAGATATTGCCTTTTCTGGTCATCTAAGACTTAAGTTTAGAATGTTTAATGAATTCCCTCATATTAAAACTGTTGAAGCTTCCTTTTTGGAAAAGCCTCATTTTGATTATGTACTTAAGCCTGTTGGAGGTGAAATGTTTGGTTTTGATATTAACAATGTAAAGTTAGATACAAATGAATACGAGTACTTTATTTATTTTATTTTTTTCAATCTGATGATTAGATTCCTGGCCTTGAATCGTTTGTTCAAGAACAAGTTCACGCTACTCTTGGACCAATGATGTATGCACCTAATGTATTTACTTTAGATGTCGCTGGTATGATGTCAGGTGCTGCTGATTTAAGTAAGTAAAATATATATGTATATAGTATAGCTTATAAAGTGTTTATAATTCACATCAATATTAATTTTTTATTTTTATTTTTTTATTTGAAAAGATTCAGCTAATGGTGTTTTGGTTATCAAGATTCACTCGGCATCTGGTTTAAAAGACATTGATCTTTTTGGAACTGTAGATCCTTACATTACAGTTCACCTCGGTAGCCCTAATAACGCCGAAGTAGGTCGTACAAAATGTATTGAAGATAATCGTAATCCCAAATTCGAGGAAATTCTTTTTGTTTTACTTAATTCGGTTATGAATGAAACTTTAATATTGGAAGTAATGGATCGCAACACAGGTCGAAGTGATTCTTCAATTGGTACATGTACTTTTGATCTTAAAACACTTTCTGAATCTGATAATCTTGTTGAAGGCTTGTATGTTTTTTTTTTTTTTTTTTTTTTTTTTTTTTTTTTTTTTTTTTTGCATTTATAATATTTCCCCTCCTTTTTTTTTCTCTCATTTATATTAATCATGCTTTTTTCCTCCCTAATAGATCACTTTCTATTTTAAAAAAGGGGAAACCTACAGGTGAAGTTAAATGTGACTTCCATTATTTCCCTGTAAATAGCTCTGATAAGCAAGAAGATGGTACCATTATTCCTCCTGAAGAATCTAGTAAGTTATAAAACTATATTTAGTTGTACTTGAAAACTCATTTTTTTTTAAAAAAAAAAGATAGTGGTATTTTACGCTTTACAGTTCATGAATGTAAACAATTAGGCAAACAAAAAAGTGGTAGTAGTGGAATTAGTATCCCAGTCATAGGCTCTAAAAATGATATCAGCCCCTATGCCATTATCAAAGTCAATGACATTGAAAGACTTCGTACTAATCCCTTCAAACGTAGTATCAATCCTCGTTGGGATAGATCCATTGAACTCTTCATTACTGATAAAACCAAAACCCAGCTACGAGTTAATGTTCTGGATGATGGATCTGATGACAAACTCTTGGGATATTGGGATTCTAAACTTGAAGAATTTGAAGAGGATGCCTATATCAACAATCAAGATTGGTGGGCTCTTAAGGGAAGTGGATCTGGAAAAATACATCTTAGTATGCAATGGAAACCTGTTACGATGACAGGATTTACAGAAAGTATGTCGCGTGGCTATCATTCTCCTATTGGTGTTGTTCGTATTAACTTTGTGGGTGCTAACGATCTTAAGAATGTGGAAGCTATAACAGGCGGTAAATCTGATCCTTACGTACGTGTCATGTCAGGTGTTCAGAATCGTGGCCAGACGGAGCATATTGATGATGAGTTAAATCCGGTGTGGGATCAAGTATTTTACATTCCTGTTCATTCAAAGCGTGAAGACTTAATTTTAGAAGTTATGGATTATAATTCCAACTCCAAGGACAAGAGTTTAGGCATCACCGATTTATTTTTGAAGGATATTATGAAAGAGGTCAAGACAGAAGATGGTCATGTCTATTTTGAGTCGAAGGCATTGGAGCCTATTAAACACGTTGCTAATTTGACAAGCCGCGATCGTAAAAAAGGACGTGGTATACTCACATATACTGTTGCATTTTATCCTACATTAGCATTGCCTAAAGAGGAAGATCATAAAAAGAAGACCATGGAACAAGAGGAAGAGGAGGAGGAGGAGGGATCTGGAAACAGTCAAGTTTCTGAAGAGCCTGAGTTTATTGAAAAACCAAGAGAGCTGCCTGAACATGAGCTTCATGGCGAACCTATTAAATACAAGGTTATTTCAAATGACAAGAAACTTATCGATTTATCCGCCTACGAGTCTGGTGTTTTAGCAGTCAAGATACACTCAGTCACGCTTAGTGAGTCCCAGAATGCGATTATTGATCTTATGTTAGACTCAAATGATCCTCAATTTTCTACTATTGAGCAAAAAGGATCTTATCTTGAAGTCAATGAGACCGGTACGGTATTTGTGAAGGAGTTAGAATTTTCCAAGCTGATAGTTAGGGTCAGAAATGCTCGTAACGCAGATAAGGATGAAGATTCATATGGTCGCTGCATTATGGAAGTAAGGCGTATTGTCGAACGATTACTTAAAGCAGCAGAAGATGAGTCCATTACAGAACCTGTAATTGAAGAGATTCCATTGTTGGATTCCTCAGGAGGCAAAATACGCCTCAGCTTCAACTTTATTCCTCTTATTCAATTCAAACTAGACCCCGCTGAAAGTTTAGAAAACCAAGGAAATTTAACAATATCAGTAGTAAAAGCAGTTAATTTAATTAGTGCGGATCGTAATGGCACTAGTGATCCTTTCATTCGTTTCTATATCGATGATCAACGCATCTATAAAACACAAACGTATAAGAAGACATTAAACCCTGTCTTTAATAAGGATGAAACTTTTACTATACCCATTGTGAATCGTATCTATACTCCAATTATTGCCAAAATATTTGATTGGGATCAAATTGGTAAAGATACATTGATAGGTGAATGCAAGATTACGTTTACAAATGAAGATATTGAGACCTTTGTCACGACTACAAAAGAATATAAGATTGATCAAGGGGGTACACTTATACTCCGTTTAACTTGGAGACCTGAATTGGTAGCCCGCAAGCGTACAAACACTTCTTTGTTTACTGCTACTACTCGTGTCTTCACACAAGCTCCTGGAAGCGCCTTTGGTGCTGGTAAAGAAGTAGTAGGTGTAGGAGGAAAGGCTTTAGGAGCTGGTTCTAAAGTTTTTGGTACTGGTGTATCTGCTATAGGAAGTGGATTTCGTAATATAGGAAAACTTGGTAAACGGTCTTCTGGTGCATCACTTGAAGAAATTCCTAGAGCTCCTTCAATGGATCGCGAAGTTTCATCACCTGGTACTATCGCTGATAATAGTTCTATTGTAATGCCAAATTCTCCTAGTAACTCTTCTATACTTTCAAAGCAGCCTACCACAAACCGATCTACTAGTGAAGAAGGGTTAGGTAGCTCTACTGCAGTCCAAATTACATTAATTGAAGCTCGAAATTTGAAAGCAATGGACCGTGGGGGTACGAGCGATCCTTATTGTCGTGTTCGTGTGGGTAACAAAGTTATACATAAGACACGTCATATTAAGAAGACATTAACTCCTGATTGGAATGAGACTTTTACGACTCGAGTGTCAGGTGGTAGTATGCTAGATTTTAAAGTTAAAGATCATAACAAACTCAATGATGTTGATATTGGTAGTTATCAACTCAACATAGGTCAGTATATAAAGCCTGGACAAGCACCATTTGATGGATGGTTACCCTTATCACCTGAGGGTAATGGAGAAATCCATGTAAAAATTGCTATTATTGATAATGATAATGTTACTACTAAGACTGGAGGATTGTTTAGTAGGAAATAAAATTCCGTATTATATATATAAATACAATTAGCTATATAAAAGCAGCATACATTTGATATTTTAAACAATAAAAGCTATTATAAATACATTTTATTCAGAAATTATGGAGACGTTCAAGAATAAAACAAAACAAAATAAAAGACCCAACTAAATAAAATAAGACAAAAGTCTCTATAAATTGCGGACAGGCAAAGGAGACAATATATAAAAAGAACAAATTATTTAATACAAGAAAGAATAACTAATAAAATATGTATACAGTATTACTTACATTGAATGTGATTAGGAAGAAAAAAAAAACGTCAAATTATAATGTTAGTACTTGCTTTAATATTTTACTCGTTAATAACGATAATTTGAATCAATAAGCAGCCTCAAAGAACAAAACTTAATCCACCGTTAGTAACTCTCATTATTTTAAATTAATTATCAATAAAGTATTTTTTTTTCCTTTGGCGCAAATTCTTATGCTTCAAACTTATAACTATTTTATGTCTAATTATTTGATTTTATTCTATATCAAATTTTCTGGAAATAGTGTGTAAAATCTAAATTCCATCTAAATGACACATTTACTCGGTCTCATGCTAAATATACACCGTTGACTTACAAATGTCTAACACTATGATCAATCCTTTCCCTTTTCTACTCAAATATCTTCTTAGTAAACATAGAAAGTCATTGATCGTATGAAATAGCCCCTCTACTTCTGCATGGGTTATTAGCTCGCCTATCGTATGTAACATACTACTCTTTGAACTTGATTACCTTTACCACAGTAAAATCCCTCCTGATATCCCGCCTCTTAGTACTGACTTGATCAAATGGTTACGCTGTAATAAATCTAGTGTTCAAAAATACTGTTTTCTATTCAACTTCCCTTATTTACCTTTTTTTCCCTTTTAGCTATCAAAAGGCTTTTTTTTTCTCTTTTTTTTGATCTAACCCGAGCAATACAACATGTACCCAAATGAATGAGTTTTTAAAATTAATCTTGTCAATTTTTTTCAAAAGTCACAATTTCATGATTTAAAAAAAAAAAAAAGTGAAATAAAATAAAATTCTCATTTCTCTGTATTTGCACGTATATTATGTTTATACTTTCTGAATTAGAGGATACAGTTAAAATTATCCCTAACGATTTTAAAAAAGATGATAATGATGCCATTACTGATGTATTGAATGAAAAGTATGCTAATAAAGTAGTGCAAGAAGTCGGTCTTTGTATATGTGTTCACGATATTTTAGAAACATCAGAAGGCTTCATTCTTTATGGTGATGGCTGTAGTTATATTAAAGGTATTCTGAATATATTCAATTAACTAAATTAATCAAAAAATTAATATTTTATGTATTAGTCACATTTCGAGTTGTTGTGTTTAGACCTTTTGTTGGTGAAATATTAGTTGGTAAAATCAAGAGTTGTTCACCTAATGGTGTTCTAGGTAAACAAAAAAAAAAAAAAAAAAAAAAGAAAAAAGAAATTACATGTTGACAAACAATGTTAGACTAATTCTATAATATATGTAAAAAAAAAAGTGACTATGGGATTTTTTGATGATATTTTGATTCCAGGAGGGGCGCTTCAACCTGGAACTAAATTGTAAAGTATAATGAATACAATAGGAATATAAATTCCTAGTTCTAATTTTTCTTATGATTCAAAATTAGTGATCCAGCAGAACAAGTTTGGGTGTGGAATTATGAAGGAGAAAAGATGTATATGGATATTGAAGAACCTATTCGATTTCGAGTATTACGTGAGCAATTTACAGACATTACACCGACAGTGCATCCACCTTTACCACCTACAGGTCGTAGACGATCTATAGCAGATACTACTGCAAATGATGACCTTGCTGCCAATTCCACTAAAATACCACCCTATTCAATTACTGTAAGATAGTTGAACATCTTTTAATTCAAAAGAAAAAGAATTTTTATTCACTTTTCCTTTTAATATAGTGTACAATTCAAGAAGATGGTTTAGGCCTTTTATCATGGTGGGGAAGTTAAAAGTGATGAATATATATTTATGTATACACACATATATATGAAGACTCTCTCTCTCTTTTTCTTTTCTTTTCTTTTCTTTTTTTCTTTTTTGGCTTGTGAACACAAAAATTATTATAATAGAATTTCATTTATGCATATATTTATATAATGTTAATATCCTTTTTTCTTCGTAGAGATAATAAAAATGTATATAACTTGTATATATACATCTAATAATAATGGTATTTAAGCTTGATCCAATAGAAAATTTGTTGCTTTCATCATATCATAATTATTCTTTTCTAAGGCATCGATAGCTTGAGTTCTTGAGAAGCCCATATTACACAACTCAGTAATTAAATCTTCCCGTGGTATGGCTGGTTGAGACAAAGGTAATGGTGGTAATGGAGGAGGTGAAACGGCAGTTGAATTATTAGTAGCAGATGTTTGGTGAATAGAGTGATTTGTCGAAATAATAGGTGAAGAAACAGAAGGAGTTGGCATAAGTGAATTTGTAGTATTATTAAATAATTTTGGAGGCAAAGCAGGTACTGAATTAATCATGTGTTGTCTTTGTAAATGTTGTTGTGATAATGGATAATTAGTACTAGTACTAGTACTAGTAGTAGTAGTAGTAGCGTTTGGCTGGAAATTCCAATAAACTACAGCAAAGAAAAAAAAATTGAATTATAAGCTTTTTTTTTGTTATTTATACTTTCTTTTATTACCTCCTTCATTCTTCTGGTAAGACTTACTATGCTGTAACTGCGGATATGATGGCTGATATGGATATGGCGGAGGAGTTGAAGTTGTAGATGTTGGGCTATAACTAGATGATTTAGGACTTCCAAGTAAAGATCTCAATGCAACCATATCATTTTCTGGAGTATCCCATGGATCTGCTGGTGCTAATCCTTGTTCAAATTTAAGATAATCAAAATGCTATCAAATGAAGTAGTAAATAAAATGCACATGAGTATCAACAGTTAAATATTACCTTTTCATGGCCAATTTCCATAGGCACCACTTTTCCTGCTTCGTTATTATTTACATTGGGTGAAACAGCATCACTATCTTCACTATTATCTTCGCTTTTATTTAATAAAGGATATTCATGAACATAGGTTTGTTTTGGTTGTAAAATACGTGTATCTGTATCTAAAAATCCCGGTGCAATCTTTCTCGCTGCTGCTTTTTGTTTATTCATTTTTTCTTCTTCATACTGTTTCTTTTGTAAATTAAAGGCTTCTTCTGACTCTAAAGCCTTTTTTCGTGCTGCTTCTACTTGTGCAATAACTTCTCGCTCAATTGCAAAAGGATAATTTGACTATCATAAATGTGAATTGGTAATTATTCTTTCTTTTTCCTTTCTTTTCTTTTTCTTATATTACCACTTTCTTTATATCATCAGACACTATTTGTAACTCTGAAGCAATCAATATCTAAAGTTTTTTAATACTGAATATTTAAAATGTATGTCATTATTTAGCATAATTTTGTTTTCTTTTCATTACCCTCTTTGGTAATTTATATAATGGAGAAACCATAACTGGTATACTTTGAAGCACAGCATAAGTTGAACCTTTTTGTAATGAATTTAGTTTATTTACTTATAATTGACTTAATTGATGTATATATATGCATTGCATACCTTGATCCGACATTATTAAATGTAATTGTAAAATAATAATAATAAATAATAATAATAATAAAAAAAGTGTATATATGAATAATAATAATAAAAAGGAGATTTAAATCATACATTATTATTATGTGGTAATATTATTACAAAATAAAATTTTGCTGTTGCTGGTGCTGGTGCTGGTGCTGCTACTATTGTTGTTGTTGTCTATTCATTATTATTGACTTGCGATGATTTATAAAAACAAATTTCTATATATCAGATCTTTATTACTAAATCTTATCATCCTTATTAATACCCGTTGTTACTATATACCTTATTTTCGTTTCCATGATTACCATTACTATCTTTTTTATCATCCAATCAAATTTATAATCATACTCTATTCCTTCACGTATAAAGACCTTTTTGAAAAGATTACGTAAAAAATTATAATCTGGTTGACCTTCGAATTCTAGTTTCCTTGTATAGTCAATATAATTCATAAATTCAAATGGCATATCTTTACATAATTTATCAAGTGATGTAGTCACTTTTCGTTCACTTATCATTTCATATTTTTGCTTCTTTGTTTTTGCTTTTAATCCTTGCCATGGTAATATCCCTTTATAAAAATAAATTAATATGTATCCAAGCGATTCTAGATCATCTCTACGGGATTGTTCTAATTTATAAATAAGTCTATTATACGAACAAATTTAAAGGAGTCATCAACTATTACTACCTTTCCCCAAGTGTGTATAAATACTGGCATATCTTGCTGTACCTGTCAAGTTTTTGCCTTCTCTCCAAGGTATATGCAGATTTGTTTTTGGATCTTTATATCGTTTAGCGAGTCCAAAATCAATAAGATTTATAACATGACTACAGCCATCTAAGCCAATAAGAAAATTATCTGGTTTTATATCACGATGTATAAACTTCTTTGAATGAAGATATTCAATTCTAGAAAGCTTTATATATATATATATATATATATATGCAATATGTTAATTTATAATACTTGATATAGGCTAATAGTGAACGCATTTACCATTTGATCTGCTAGCATTAATACTGTTTTCAGCGAAAATTTTCTCTTACATTTATTAAACAAATCTTCAAGTGACGCTATAAATTACTTGATATGAATCTATATAATTATATATTTGTATATATATATATATTGTGGGAATTGATACTTACGGCCTAGTCTATCCATAACCATACTGTTATAATTGTATTCTGTCGAAAAATGTCTAACTCTGGGTATACCAATACCACCAGAAATTGCCTTATAAACATTATATTCATATTCAAGTTGAGGATGCTTTGCGGAAACCTTTTCAAATTTAATGGCTACTTCTTCTCCTGACTTTTCTTCCAGTCCTTATAATAAAACACAAGAAAAAAAAAAGAAAAAAAAAAAGACAAGTTAAGAAGCTTGTCGCGTTATCAAATACATATATTTCACCTCTATGTATCTCTCCAAAAGAACCCGAACCTAATTTTGTTCCTACTTTATACTTATTAACAATTTTATAACCTATAAGAGAACAAGCTGTTGCCACAGTTGTTGTCATGATAATAGTGTAACTAAAGGAAACAAAAAAAAAACAAAAAAACAAAAAAAAAAAAAAGAAAACGAAAAGATGGCAAGTTGTAAACAAAACATCACATGACTTTATGCATTATTTTTATTTACAACAGGAGAAAAAAAGGAGTGAAAGAAAAAAAAAAAAAAAAAAAGAGCTAATCATCAGCAAAAGGAAAAGGTTCATCTTCAGATTCACTTGATTGATCTTCTTGTGGCTTCTTATTATCTTCAAACCAAAGATGGTTTCCATATGATATACATAGTTCTTCCTCTTTTTCTATATCACGTAATGTTACATATCGAATTAATTTGTTGGGTATATCTCGAATAAAACCAACGTTAGGTGAACTATCATGATTAAACATTGAGCCTAGTCCAAGTGCTAAACCAAATCCACCTGGCCAACAATACGTATAATGATCCAACACTGTAAATCGACCATGTTCTTCATATTCTTTGGAATTAAAAAATAAAATGGGTGAAATCTCTACTAAAGTATTCTTTGTTATTCTTTCTTTTGTAAAAACACCTCTGCCTCGAATAGGATCGGTTCTTATTTCAAGCTGTAAAGCATGCTGTTTTAAAGGAATAATGTCATCATCATCATTACTATTTGACATGCTTTGTCTATTTTCGAACAAAAAAAAAAGATATTTTTTTTAATAAGCCACTATATGTGTATCATATTTTATTTCTCTCTCTTTTTTTTTTTTTTTTTTTTTTTTTTTTTTTTTTTTTTTTTTTTTAATGCAGCAGCAACAGATTTTTTTTTTATTAATTCTAAATAATAATATATGTACATGTTACAAATAAGTTTTATTTAAGCACCCAAAAGCTTAAGTGCAAGAGCTTCTTGATCCTCCAATGTTTGAGGTTCTTCAATATCAATAATTCTCTTTTTACTAGATGTTTCTTCTTCTTCTTCACTATCTTCAAACCATTTTCTTTTACGATCTGTCTCTTCTTCAGACATTTCTGAAGATACTTCCTCTTCCTCTTCGGATATAGCTAAATCCTCATCATTCTCTTCTTCACTTGAATAAGCTTCACCCATTTCTTCCTTCATAGCCTATATTCATTCATATCAAACAAACACACACATACACAAAACAATGTTAATGACTATAACATTTATATTAATAAAAAAAAAAAAACTTACAGCTCTCTCTCTTTCCTTCCTCTTGATCTTCTTTTCAAGTCGCTTTTGTTTAGCAATCTCTTTATCTTCCTTATCAGCAGTTTGCATAGCTTCACCTTTTTCTTCAATAAATGCCTTAATTTGTGATTTAACATCGCCTTCCTTCAAAAAGTCTTCTTCATCAACCAATTCATACATAGCATGAGCATTGCCCTCTTCATCAAAAAGAACCTTTTCACCACGAGGCATGGTCTTGACTCGTTCTTTTTTGGTCATCTTTAACTTTCGTTTGGATATATTTTCTCCTACTAAATCACTGATATCTTCTTCATTATCACTCTCCAAGTCATGATCAACACGTTGAATGGTAAGAAAGTCTTCGTCATCTTCATCATTATCATCTAATTTGATTTTATCACCCTCATAATCAACAAGTTTATTATAATGCTCAGACAAAATATCTTGATTCTTTCGTTGGAACATACGATCATATTTAGTCTTTTGTTCTTTTGTTGTACTTTTTTCCTCTTCTTCTTCCTCTTCCTCTTCCTCTTCTTTCTCCTCTTCTGGTTTTCGTGCACCCATCTTCTTTTCTGCCTTCTTAACAAACTTAATCTTAGGAGCACCTACTAACCCTAATGAAAGTGCGAATTCTTCTGCAGGTAACTTGGTGACATCAAAAACTGTTTTATTACGTTGAAGATAGACTGATCGCATATAGGCTACGAAGGCACGTTGGGCAAGATATTTAATCTCGGGATCTTGGAAACAAAAGCTTTGTAATTGCTTTTGAATCGTTTGCTGTTTATTATTTCGGATCTTGATTTCTTCAATAGGTACACGTTTCTTTTTGAGCTCTTCAGTCATACCTTCAACCTCAGAAGGTACCAAGATAAGAAGAGCATGGCCATCTGCATCGAAACGAGCTGTACGACCGACACGATGAATATATGTATCAGCATCTTCAGGACAATCCAGCTGAACAACCCAATCTACTGCAGGGAAATCTAAACCACGAGCTGCTATATCTGTACACAACAAGACAGCATGTTGACTTGATGTAAACTTTCTAAAAATATCAACTCGTTTTGTTTGTTTCTGTTTGCCATGTAAATGCATGATGGGGACACCTGGTTGAAGTTTACAAAAGGATTCAAAGACAAATCGAGTTTGTTTACAACTACTCAAAAATACAATAGTTTTGCTTTTTAAGTGCGTTTTAATGAATGAGTAAAGCACATCCAATTTTTTAGGAAGTTCTGTAACAACATAGTGTTGAGAAAGAGTCTTGGGCGTACTGTGTTCTGCCTTTTCATGGACAGCAACATATTCAGGGTCTCTTAACGATAGACGAGCTAAATCTTTAACAGATCGAGTTTGTGTAGCAGAAAACATGAGTGTTTGTCGTTGAGGTGGCAAGTTTTCAATGATAGCATTCATTGTGTTTTGGAAACCCATATCCATAATACGATCTGCTTCATCTAGCACAAGAACTTGTAAATTATCACATGAAAAGCCTACAGATTGGTCCATATGTTGCAAAAGTCGTCCAGGTGTACATACCAAAATGTTCATACGTGCTATACGCTCTTGCTCTACTTTGAATTCTTTGCCACCAATAATCAAACCTGCTGAAAATGTATGTGTTCGGCCAATCTTTTTAAGAACTTCAAAGATTTGAACTGCTAATTCACGAGTAGGCGAAATAATTAAGGCGCCTAATCCATCTGCTGCATTCCATTGTTGTCTAAACAAAATCTCCAATACCTAAATTATATTAAATGTGTTAATTTATTTATTTATTTTTCCCCTTGTTTATGTTAAAAAAAACTTACTGGAATAAGGAAAGTCAGTGTTTTACCACTACCTGTTTTAGCAGCACCTAAAACATCTCGTTTAGCAAGTGCAAGTGGAATGCCCTTTCTTTGAATTTCAGTCATTTGTTTGAAATTAGCTTGAGCTAATCCTTTCTTTGTCTTTTCAGAAATAGGTAGCTCCAAGAAAAGCTTGCTATCATTATAATTTTCCTAATAATAAAAAGTATGATTAGATCTAATCAGATCCAGAATTATACATGTCTATATTAAATATAAAACTTACAGGATGACTAGCTTTTTCTTCAAGAGATGCTAAAGTGTCTTTTTCCTGCTTTCTTCTAGACTCTTTACTGTTTTTCTTTGTTTGTAATGCTACTTCTTTAGCCATTGTTTTTTTTTCAAGTAAAAATAAAAAACACTTTTTTTTTTGACTAAGTTACAATAAAAAAGAAAAAAAAAGCCGTCTTTATCACAGTCACAGAAAGTGTATGTAGACAAAATTCCTCCAACCATGCAACACTTTCTTGGGTTTTGGTATCTTACCTTGGAAGGATTACTAACTTTCTTGCTATGTAATGGCATTACCATTACTATGTCGGAGGGGAGGAGGCTATTGGAGTTTTTCTTGAGCCATTTTCTTATTTTTTTTTCTTTCTTGAATATAGTTGTACTTTCATATTCTCGTAGTTAATCCTGTTAATATCAAAACCTTTTGGCTCTTTGAAAATCAAGAAAAGCAGATGTTATATAATTTTTAATAAAAGCAGATATTTTTTTTGTTAAAATAGTAATAACTTTTTATTTTCACTGTGGGAAGATCAAAGTACAATTTAATGATCCCAATGTATATACATACATACTATAGCTATTTTTTGTTCTAGTTGCAGTATCATATTCTACTCTGTATAAATTTCGATTAATATATACATACATACATACATCTATAGATATATTATGATCAGAAGATCGATATAGTAGAGTGTTTTAAAGTTATAGCATATCACCTCTGGGAAATAAAGCCTATTGTATTTTTTTTGTTTTTGTTTTTGAGGACGCCTCAAGAGCAGAAATTATATAGTATACACCACTACATGCTATCTCATCAAGATAAAACTCTAAATGAAATAATAAATAAATAAAAATATCTTACAGAATACAAAACCACACAACATAACCTGATATTGAGAGACCTCTTTAAGACTCTAAATAGCGCCAGTTCATGAATTACTTTCTTGGAATAATACCCTACCTTAATAAATTATTCTGCACAAACAACTTCCAACTACAACAGGGCTCAACTAATTTATAATATAAATAGATGAATATACCTTTAATTTATCGTGTCATAATCCATGCCATAATAACTAATTCTAGTTACTTCAAATTTATTTACTATTTATATAATAGACGACTTGAGTACTTGTTTGATTAATATACTTGTCATTATTTGTTTACTTGAACAAATAGTATTCTATCATACGAACAAAAGATTAAAATAAAAAGACAGCAGCCAAAGTAAAAAGTTAGAAGAAAAAAAAAAGACTAGTACCAATATCTTGGCTATTCTAGAAATCAATAAATAGCCATCGTGTCCATTTAATTGCTGCATTTACCAAGAAATATTTCTATAAACTGAGTATTTCTATGCGTGTATATAATTTTATACAATTACATAATCTTAAAGAATGGCATATTGTACAACTCCGAATACGACCTTTTTTTTATGCTCTTTTCCTTTCCATTTAATAAAATAGAATACAATGTCAGATTCACTTTCACATTTGTTAAAGGAACATAACCAAAAAAGGGCACAAAAAAAGAAGCAAAATGGTACATCTTTGTTTAGTGATAATAATCAACACTAATGTACATATTTATATCCATCTATGTATATATATTCATGAAAAAAAAAGAACAAATTAAAAAGAATGCTATTCAAACTACTCATGAATTAACAGACATGTTAACAGAATATGTTAATGAAGGGTAAAAAAAAAAAAAAAAAAAAAAAGGATGAACAATTAATCTTTCTATCATTATTAACAATGCAATAACTTAGGGTTTCAGAGATATTTTCCAAGCAAAAGCAATTAGAGCAACATTCAAAAAAATTAGCTAATCAGACAACGCGTTATATGAATCAAACACAACAGTGGTTAAAATTAGTTGATGATTTCAACATGTCACTTAAAGTAAATCATGGATTCTTTTTCTTTTTCTTTTTCTTTTTCTTTTTCTTTTTTTTTTTTTTTTTTTTTTTTTTTTTTTTTTTTTGTTGTTGTTGTTGTTGTTGTTGGCAATTAAACTGTTGTTATATAACAGGAATTGGGTGATGTAAGAAATTGGGCCGAGATTATGGAACATGACATGAAGACAATCATGACTACTTTGGAATTTGTTCATCAAGGTATAATAGCATGATATAATTCGATGATACATTTTGATTAAATCATTATAGGTACAATGGATGAGTAAATTATATACCCGTATTATGCAGCACTAGTTTGAAGATTGTCACATATATTTTTTATTATGTTTAGAAATAAAAATAAAAAAAAAAAAAAAACGAAAAAGAAGAAGGGTATAATGATCATACATTAACAACTTGCTTAGCAATTGAAGTGCTTAAAATATGATTAGATAATTCTATAAAGTTATTATTGTTGATATTATCTGATAAAGAAGTAATCCAAATGATGTATTTTACTTGATTCTCTAATTTATTAACCACGTATTTGCCATTGTCTTTTTCCCAACCTCCTTCAACATGAATTATAGGCTGGATATTCTGAATAAAATTCAATTTTGTTTGTTCAGAATCACAATAGAATATTTTGAAGAGATGAAAAAGATTAGCATTGATTAATAGACGTTGAATTTGTTCACGTTCTTGCTTTGATATAACGTGTATGATAAGATAAATGTCATACAGTCTAGAAAGATGAATGAGTAAGGAAATAGTATTTTCATAAAATGCATGATTTGGTGTATTCATATCTGTTGATGGATTCCATAATACAGTCTATAATAAATGGTTATTAGAAGGAGAAAAAAAAGGAGAATGAATATATTACATTTTTAAGTGAAATTGACATTTTTTTCTTTTTCAAAATATTATGAATAATAGCAGACGTAGATAAGAGTCCTGTACCCCATCTAAAAGTAGGAGGAGAAGAAGGAGAAGTAGGTATTATCTATGTTATAATATAAATACTAAAATTATATTCAAACTTTTTATATCATATTACCTCTTCTCTTTCTCTAAGCTCTGATAAATTTAAATTTGCAATACTACTATTCACTCTTTTCAAGGGACATAATCTTTCAGTTTTATTCTTTAAATGTAAATTATAACCGAGTCTTTTTGACTGTTTTTTATTATTGTACCAATACATAAACATACGAATTAAAGCAGCAATTAAAGATGAATATCCCATTGCTTTTATTATTAACATAGGCATCCACTGCAAATGAATACTTTTAGTTTTATATAATTTTTGTAATTGTTTGGAGGCCATTAAAGAGAGATGAAATGAAAAAAAAAGAGAGAATATAATAAGGGGAGAAGAGGAAAAATGGTGCAAAATCAATTTTTTTTCACATGTCAGTTTATGTGATTTTTTTTCCCCGCATTTTTCATTGGTATAAATAAAAGCTGAACCATCCTACACTAGTATAAATTACACAATATAAATATTTATTTGTATTTTTTTTTTTTTTTTTTTTTTTTTTTGTTTTTTTTTTTTACATAATAAAATTTTAGTGAGTCCTATTCATTTTTTTTTTCTGTGAAAAAAAACAAAAAAAAAAGGGGGGGGGAGGGAAAGGTATAACATATACGTTGTTGTCATGGTTATAAATATAGGTAGAATGAAAGGCAATCTATTATTATATAATCAATCAATTTATTTATACATAATGACTAAAGAAGTTTCATTGTTAATAATAAATTTCAACTTTTACCTTCATTCATTATCTTCTTCTTTAACAAAGAAAGGCAAAAATATGTGGCTAATTTGGTAACACAATTGCAAACAAATACTTTTTTTTTTTCACTCCTTCTCATCATCAGTTACTACCCCCCGCAAATAATAAAAAAAAATCTTATTGGATTTTTTTTTAAACTTATTTTTTATCTTTTTTTCTTCTTTTTTCCCTTTAAAAAATTCTTTATATAGGCTTTTATAATATTTACTTAACTTTATTATTCAATAACAAGTTATTTATTAACAAAGGAATCTTAATTCTTGTTCGTTGTGAATCTCTCTCTTTTTTTTTATTCCTTGAAAAAAAAAATAAATAAATAAAAACAAGAAACAAATTAGCAAATGTCAAACAAATCTAAATATTTAAAAAACAAAAACATTGCATTTATCGGCTTGAGTGTTGCTGCAGCAATTACTGCTTATTCTGTTTGGAACTGGTCTAACTCAAAGAAAAAACAGGGTAAGCCTTTTATTTCTACATGAAAAAAAAAAGAATGTGTGATGGAGGTGATGAGAAAAAAAAAAAAGAAAAAAAGAAAAAAGTGCCAATTTAAAACATGAACTTGCATGTCTAATTATGTGCTCATATTTATCTCTTTTAATATCTTTGCATTTCCTCTATTTCCCCTTCTTTTATTTTTCTTCATTGTTATAAAATAGTTAAATCATCAAATAAGAAGCAATCTGTCAAACATATTGACAAATCCATTGCCAATAGCAATGAGCATTCTAATATTAAACAGTCACAAATCAAGGAAATAAAAGAGAATTTATCTAATGTGGTGACAAAAGGTAAAATATAAATATATGTGTGTGTATGTACGTTACTAATTTTTTTTTCTTTTTTTGTAATTAAAGAAGAAAATACAGCCAATTCGACAGATATAAAGGAGGAACATACACAATTTATACTATCATCATTATCAACAACAAGTAGTAGTGTTGATGAAGCTGATATTTGTACTCCTGAACCTGAAACATCCAACGATGAAAAGCAATCCGAAATTACTTCCACATTGGATGATACCCAAAAGTCTTCTGTTGTTTATATAGTTTCAAATATTGAAAAAGAAGGGTCTTTAATGAAGCAGAATGAAAAGATGGATAGAAATGATAATTCCAATGATGCCGTATCTATCTTAAGTGAATCTATTGTTATTGTTGAACAAGATGAAATTCGTGATGAAGCTATTCTATTGAAATCTATTCCCAATGAAGCTACTGATATGGACGAATTTACTGACAATGATGATATATGTACTACTGCTATTAAGAATGAAAATGATTCGGTTAATAAGTCTAATATGACTGATTCTTTTATTGAAATTGAAGCTACTACCATTGAAGATACCATGATGAACAATTCTGATATCACTGAATCTTTTGTTGATGCAGCTGCTATTGTTCAATCTGTTATTAATGATTTATCTGTTGATGAAAATGACTCTATCAATATCAATAATATGACAAGTAGTGATATTAACAAATCTGATATGATTGATTCATTTGTTTCCAATCCTCATTTTATTCCCGAAAGCATAACTACAGTACGTAAATCAGTACTCACTGCAGATGCACCAGAATTTATTCCTAAATCACTTCAACAACGTCAACAGAAGCCAAAGAAATCCCATAAAAAGCTTTTAACCCGTGAACAATTAATTGAGCACCAAAAGCAAAGTTATATTCCTCAATCCAAATCACGATGTACTCATTGGCCACACTGTACCAATAATAATTGTAAATTCTTCCATCCATACAAAGAGTGCCGGTATGTTTATTTTATTTTTTATGTCAGTCTTAGCATCTTGAGCTAATTATTTATTCTTTCTTTCTTTTTTCTTCTTTTTTTTTAGTGCTGGTAATGATTGTGTATTTGGTAAAAAATGCATGTTCGTTCATCCTAATGATTGCATAGTGACTTCACGCCAATAAGCAGATTTTATATATTCTTATTAAAATTATTACCCTGTGTAAAATAAAGTCAAGTAAATATTGTTCATATCATTATTATTATTATTTTCTTTTTTTTTTTTTTTTTTTTTTTAATGCAAGTTTGCATATTAACATGGCTTGAAATATATAACAAAAGATAGACCGAGGAAAAAATAAATAAATAAACTCGTTTGCTTGCTCATTGCATACTTAATATACTCACTACCTGAAGTCAAAAGATGTAAATTGTCTTTCAATGTCCTTTATCATATGCTATAGTTTATCGTATTGTAAGACATTTTTATTTACAAAGAAAAAGTCCCCTCTCACCTTTTTTTTTTTTTTTTTTTTTTTTTTTTTTTTTTTTTTGTTTTTGATAGGGTAAAAGGTGTAGATAAAGCATAATAACAGTAAAACCAAAAAAAAAAAAATTCTAGCATTGATAATAGTATTGTATATTAATATAGCTGTACAGGAATAAAAGAACATATATCCAATTGTCTAAAAAGAATTTGATAAGTGAAGGTTGATTCATTGTACCACTGTAAGGCTTATAATAATTGTCAATTTTAATTATTTCTTCTTCCTTTGTTGTTTTAGGACTCTCTTCTTCATCATTTTTTGTAAAGTTACTACTACTATCTTCTATTCTATTTGCTTTTTCAGAAATAGGAACTTCTTTTTCATCTATTATATCTTCAATAACAACGAGATCTACAAGTTCAACTAGCTCTTCTTCCTTTGCTAAGAATAGATGTGTACGACTAGGCGGTCGCCACCAACATGAGTTAGGACTATTATTCTCACAAAGAAACGATATCGCTTCATGAATAGAGATGTGTTTAGGATTAGCAGAAGGGGATGGTTTCGAAACTGTTATTTTCATATTAGTCAATTCCTGGTTTAAACTTTTAATTTGAGCTTCACGTTTAGCAAGTGATTCTTCTTGCTGAGCACTGAGGGCCTTCATAACACTTAAAGTATCCTTAGTAGCTGCAAAGTCGATCATCATTTTAGTCACTTGTTTTTGATGCGAGGCTATCAAAGCCATATATCCTTCTTCACATCGAGCCACAACGTCCTTTATTGTTTCTTCGGTGTCAGCTGTAGTTTGAATAGAAAGGTTTGTTGCTCTTGATAGCTATTTTTTTTTTTTAAAAAAAAGGGGGGAGAGAGAGAGATAAATATTTACTACTTCCTAAATGTTATATGGCATTTATATATAATTACTTCTTCATTGTCTTCTTGCTCATTCATATTATTGACTTTAGAATTTGTCAAGATGAGCTCCAACAAACTATTTAATCTTTCTTTTGTTTCTGTTTCAACCTATGATAAAAAAAAAAAAGAAGAAGATATCATGCTTATTATACTACTCTCTACCCTTTGTAATGACTAATTTATATCATAATAATAAATTTACTTCATTCTTTTCTTGCATTCTTTTTTTCAAATCTTCAATCTGAAGAAGATACTCCTTTAGTTGAGAGTTGTTCATAATCTACAATAATAATAAATAACAAGTATGTTAATTATACATTTTTTTTTTAAAAAAAAAAGAAAAAAAAATCATGATGCTTTTTACTCTTGTCATTTTGGCAGAAGTTTTAATAAGTTTTGCTCTTTGGGCAAACCTTAAAGTATTTAATGATTCATCTCTTGATGAAATATTAGGATTAATTGTGCAAATGACAGCAATACGAGCATTACCAGATAAAGAAGATTGAAGAATTCTTGTCAATTTGGAGTCTCTAAAAGGGATATGTGTAGGGCTATATGCATATATATTTATATATGTATACATAATTAACGTATTAGATAACAAAAAAAAATGATATTATTTCTAGTCATTTACGCTATGCCACTCGTAAGCTTAGAAATAACGTTTCCTAATGTTAAAAGGCTTTTATTGATATATGCACCTTCCCTTCTTCTATTTATGTTGGTTGTCACCTTTTCAGAACCAGCTAAATCAATTAAATTCTATGCAAAATAGATTATTTTAAAATAGAAATAAATAATAAGGGATAAATAAACTACCAGCTGTGAAATACGAACACCCTCAGATGCATGAATGGGTGCACCTTTAGACCGAGTTTCAATAATAAGCTGAAACATCGAATGTGATCGACTACTGAGGTCGTTGTAGTCGGTTGCACTCGTATGGCGGTTCACTTCTCCTTGTTTAATACACTCAAAGATATCCTCAGGTGACTTGACAGCCACTTCCTTCAAATTACACACATAGGCACCTCGTTTCTAACAATCATTCATAAGTAAAAAAAAAAAAATTGTCTATACGCGCGCATATATTATCACATACCTTATCGCTAACAATGTTGACATTCTTATTATTGACATCTAATAAATCTTTTATCTGTTCATTATAAATTTCGAGATATGAAACACGTATAAGATACTCTTTTTCATTTGAATCCTATTTATATAAATTAAATAATTTGAATTCTAGTTTAACCACTATTCACAATCTAGTTTTTTTTTTGTTTATATTATAAAATATATATATATATATATGCATCTATAATGTATATACTTCATTAATGTACATAAATACTTCTTCAATTGCACGAGGGATAATTCCCGGTTGATTCTTTGTACCTGAAAAGAAAAGAATTAAGTATCTTATCTTTCAATTCTTTAGTAATGACATAATTAAGTCTTACCCATCTATATTATGATATATGGTTTAAGAATACATGGTTAGACTCTTCATGTAATTTGATATCAAATGATAAAAATAAAATTTACCATGGTCTACAAATAAAACAAAGGGAACTGTTAATAAGTTCATATTTAGAATAAAATAAACAGTGAAATCAAGATAAAACTTACATAAGTCTTGCCACTCGCGGTTTGACCATAAGCAAAGACAGTACCTATTTTGGTTTAGAATTATATTACCAAGTTACATATATAATCATATATATGCATATATAGAAAAAAATAGGCTTAAGCTTACCATTGTAACCCATCATGGTAGATCTATTTAATCATGATTATTGAATAATTTTATATCTATTTCTTTCTTTTTTTTTTCCCCCCTCCACCTTACCTTACAAGGTCTTGAATACCTGATTTGTAAACCTGAGCATTATCATCTCCTATTATTACATTGTCTAAAAATATTACATAATCAAAATAAAATAAAATAAAATAAAATGTTGTGTTGTATATCAAAATAATTTTAGCTACTGTTATTATCATACATAATATATGATCATGATACTATTTCAATTTTACCAAAATAAAACAATCGATTCTTAGATGAAGATGATTTTGGCACCTCTAATTCGATTAATCCTTGATCAGATCTTATTAACCAACAAGATTTGCCATTGGATTCTAATTGTTCCTTTTCTGATCTAGGTCTACATCTAACCATGACCTGAATGCTTTCACGAATTGAGGTCGAGCGAGTAGTTGTTGAGAAACTAGGACTGCTACGAGACATAGAGGATGAAACAGACGAAGAGGTAGAAAGATAAGCAAAGGAATCATCACCCCAAAGAGGAGGGGTAGGAGGAGAGAGGGGAGAGATACTAGGTGAAGCAAACATTTTTATTTTTTCACCTTAAAGAAAGAAAGAGAGAGAAAGAGAGAAAAGAAAGGAAGAAAGAAGAAAGGCTTTTCGAAATAATGTAAATATATGCTTTTAAACAAAAATCAAAAAAAATAAATAAATATATACAAGGTTAAAAAGGAAATAAATGCTCGATGATTAAAGATAGATTTATATTTATATTAATTTATAAAATGTATAATGTTTTTTTTTCTTTAAGATATACGGAAGCTTATAATAAAGTAAAGTAAAAATATAAATATATAGATATACATATAAATGATTATAAGAGCTTCTTTATATATTTACTTACAAAGCCTAAGAATACCTTTTTCCCCCCCTTCAGAATTATATAGTTTATATTGTATAATGTCGTTTGCTGAGGACAAGCAATTATAGGATCGTCGAAGAATAATAAAAAAATCCGGAAAAATAAATAAATAAATCAATCAACCAATGAGGATTTAGCTTATAGAATTCCTAAATTGCCTTAGTCGGTTCAATAATAAAAATAACCAAAAAAAAAAAAAAAAATCTATTAGAACAAAAGATATATATAAAAGACAAAAGTAAAAGATTAGCCCATAAAAAAGAGAGGGATTAAGTGTTAGGATGAGGATTTGGGTGACTAATTCATATAATATGGAGAAGTTGATACTGAGGTAGAATAGGGAGAGTTTTTTTTTTCTTTTCTTTTCTTTTCTTTTTATGTTTAGAGGAAGGAAAAGAGGATTTTAAGTTACTTGTAATATTTTCAATATATGATGCATTTATAAATAATGAATTGAATGAGTTCTATTAAATAGTTAACTGGGGCATTCGGATAGACAAATATGAGGTGCCCAATTGAGTCTTTAACAAAGATGAAATCTTTGATCAGATTATGTCATAGATAACTGTAGAAGAGAGTCAATCATTATCATGCTATGACAGACAGACACCTATTTGGAATAAAGAAAAGGATGTCTTTTATTCAAATTGTCAGGAAGCATAGTATATATTTTTTTATTTCTGATTTATTTTTTTCTAATCATAAGCTTGATTCTTATATCAAATACTATAATGCCACTTGGGTTCAACCAGATCATTTACTGAGTCCATTTCTTAACAGAGTATGACATTTTTGAGATGATTGACGGGTAATTATCGCAAAGCTATAAGGCAACTGTAGATAAATTAAACTATTGAGTTGAATAAGGTGACAATTTTAAAGTAAGTTTATTATATAGGGAATTCTATTAAACATACTATCTATATAGACTTGATTTATTATATCAAAGACATGACTATTAAAACCTAACTTTAAAAGCATTCATAAGGAACTACGATAGTATAGATTATATTAAAAATACTTGATACTATACTTTATTTTTTTTAGATTTAGAATTATCTATTATTTTAAATTTGGAGATCTTTTATGAATAAAGGATATATATTATGGTAATGGTTCAAGTTTAATTTTTTGTGCGAAATCTTCTGTGTTGGATATAATTCTTTGACGAACGTTTTGGCCTTTATTAGATGCAATCATTAAAATATCCTGCTAATATAAATGAAAGTATATGTCATGTTAAAAATAAAAAATAATAGAAGCCTCAAGATATATTTAAACTTACTATCATTTCCAAATTACCGAGAATATCAACATGATCTCCAGATTTTGAACCACCTCTAACATTTAACTTACTATCACTTTGTTCATGTAAATATTCTTTTAAAGTTACAGGACTATTTCCAGGATTATAAAGGTCTGCATATTTTGTCCAACCACCAGAAGGTGTACACATAAATCCTAATGACAAAGCAGGTACAGTACCATCACTTTTAATGCATAAACAAAGTAGCGTTAATATCATTACATGAAAAGCTGAATAAAGCATATTTTTATGTATATACCCCTCTACAAATCGAATACCCGTTATCGTCCCGCTAGTAGGATCATGTTTAGTCCTATCGATATGCTTTCATATAGGAAGAAAGACAATCATTAATGCTGAATATATTCTCTTACAAATTATTATAATATACTAACAATAGACGGTGTGTCAGATACATTTGACTCGTTGTTAAAAGTTTTATAGCCATCTTGTTTTATGGAATCCTTAACAATAGTTTCCATAAATTCTCCTTTTTTAGGATCTGTTCCATTTAGCAAGCCATAAGCATCAACTTCAAAGCCTAAATTATTTTCTAGTGTAGACTTTGGATCACTGTTATGTTTATTGTTATTATCCTCATTTTTCGTTACTTTTGAGTAAAAATAACTTCTTTCAGTAGGTAAACCAACACCATATAGACAATATATTTTCATACTTGGTGCTATATTTTTGTTACACTATATTAATACATACACTAGTGTATAATTCAATGTCTATATTACAATTTACCAATTGGTAACTGTGACTCTAACGAATTTGACCATTTTCTGGGATCCAAATTATTTTTCTCTAATTCTTTTTTAGAGACACTGATACCTAATGAGTAGTTTGTGTTCATCATTTGTGCATAATCTGCAGTAGCATAGGATTGAAGCAATTCTAATGATTCTTTAACATCGAAATAAGTACTACTACTACTACTACTACTATTCTTTTTCTCTTCAATTGTTCTGTTGCCATTGTCATTTTGTTGATTTGTTGTAAGAGAAATAAGATTACCATAAGAATAATGCTGAGAGTGGACATCATCATCGGGTGCTGAACCATGAAAACCCCAAATAACGTTACCTCCTTTAGGCAACATGGAGCTCCCACCTGCCCATGTTTGCATCAAACTCGCTCTTTCACGTCTTGAGAAGAATTTCTCTAAAAGATAGGCACCAAAGCTTCCTAAAGCCATCGTATCACGTGTTTCGCCTGATAACATGACTGCTAGTGCCTTTGGAACACCTACCATAGGACCTGCTATATTCACAAAGGATGCTATATGTTGCTCTGTCCAATTCTCGTCTTCTTTTCCTCCCTTTTCACTTTGAACCCATTTCAAGAAATAAGGAAATAAGATTGAGCCTATTCATAAGATGAGTTTGAGTAACATGATATTGTAGATATTATACATACATGTATATGTATATATATTCATATACATACCCATTGAATGTGTAACTACAACTACAGGAGTATTAGTAGCTTTTTTAGATGTTTCAATAAAGGCTTTAAGTCTTGAAAAATACTGATCTCGTATTTCAAGATTGGAAAATGAAAGTCTCCAGTCATAGCTTGCCAAATACATATTATTGTTATCATAACCAATATAAGCTAAATTTTCAATGATTTTGGCCCAAATCCAATATCTATTTGTATACAATAAAATTATTATTTTGTATTGTATTGTATTTATGATTTTTTTTTTTGTTTTTACCCTGTGATAAAATAGTCAGCCGCATCCAAGCCTATACAATATAATCATTTTAAACACTATTTTAGTAACCCGTGTGTGTGTATGTGTAGTCCTATATGAAACTGTTATAAATCTACCTTGTGCAGCTCGTATCTTTATACCAGGAGGATCCAATCCTGTGACAGGATCAAGTTTCAAATGTTCAATCCAAAGATCTTTATCGAGTAATATAGAACGAAACATAGCTGAATATTTATATATATATAAGGGTACATAAATGTCAAGTAATATATATATAAACGTTAAAGTTTACTTACTTGCAGTACCCCACATTCTCTTTCTAAAGAATCTTTTTGATTTTTCTAAAACTCCCCAACTCTCAAGGCCAGAAGAAATAATACCGGGAATTAATACAACTGGATGATAAGCTTTTAATTCGAATTCATCTCTATAAATAAAATAAATAAATAAATAAAATATAGAATAAAATGTATTTAACAAACTTCAAGTTCATGGCAGGCATAAAGGATTGATCGTTTGAAGGAGCCAGCTTGAAAAAATCTGTAACATTTGTCAATATATCATCCATGATATCTGTAACAGGCATGATTTTTGATAAATAATTGATTTCAGTTAACAGATAAGTATGTAAATCATTTAGATAGGAATAATGAGCAAGCATCATTTGTCTAGAATGTGAATAAGAATCATAAGAGCTAAAGGAAGCTCCAAATGCTGCTAATAATAAACCAGCAGACAAGCCTATCATAAAATGGAATCGCTTTCTTTTCCAAACAGGTTGTTGTTGTTGAGTTGATGAATCTAAAAATAAAAGACTATCTGCTAATATATCTTCTGGTAATTGTTCAATTGTCTTATTTTTGGTTATCGACTCTGTTATTCTCTCTTTGCTACTATCATGGAATGGAATACGCCAACGTAATAAAATCCCAATAAAAGATGAATTTTGTGTATAAAACTGCTTTGCTTGATTTTTACTGAATTCTTTTTTTTTCTCGAGCATTTCCTCCATTTGTGTATATCTTAAACAAAAAAAATAAAAAAAATAAAAAATAGTGAAATAGAAAAAGAAAAAGAAAAGAGTATATAAATTATACATTATTTAAATACATATCGAAATTATATGTTGTCATTCTTTATTCCGTTAAAGATGTGTAACTGTTACAATAGACATGTTCAACTATTTAACTTCTAGTATATGTTACAATTTATTGTTGTCATTGTCATTGTCTTTTTTTTTTTTTTTTTTTTTTTTTTTTTTTTTTTTTTTTTTTTTTTATACATATAAATGAATATATTTGTAGGAGTGTGTATAATGGGTGTATATAAATATTCTAAATAACTTATTTCTTGCTGTTTGTTTGAAAAGGTACCGACAAAGCAGAAAGTAATAAACGACCCTCAGTATTTGTATAAGCTGTTGTATTAAAAATAATATCAAAGCCTGTCATTCTTGGATAAACATCAAAGGAACCTTCAATTTCAGGGAATAAGGCAAGTGCAGATGGTGGAAAGCCAAGCGCAATATTACCATTACCATCCCCTGCTGTCATTGAAAGTCCAGGCCATTCCTTTAAACGAGGAAGAACAATTTCAATCAATTTGTCCATAAATTGATACATTTCTTCTCCTTTTAATGTCACTTTGACACCAACTGGCATACCTTGACTATATATATACACACATGTATAAGTTTGTTGCAAAAACTAAATGTTTTTTTTTTGTTATTTCCTTACCGTAATTTCCAATTAGCAACGGAGGTTTTAGCAAATACGACTTCAGGACGAACACCTGTGATGCTTTGAAAGGCCATAAAAGCGGATAATAAATGACTTTTACTATGAATAGAATCTTTAATCATAGCATGAAGTACAATTTTATCAAGATGAGGAATTGTCTTTGGACTCTTAAGAGGCTGAATTGGCTTGACTGGTTTACCACCCTTGCGAGTACGAACAGCCTCTTTCGTCTTTACTGGTTGTTGTTCTTTTTGCTCATTAGTTGCTTCTAAAGCATTCTTTATTTGTACCTCAAGATCAGGAATCTTTAAAGTTGGGGGTGCAACACGACTATGATCATACCCTAATACCATTAAATCTTCTGACAGGGTGCTATCATAATATTCTTTCAGTCGAAGTAAACCATGAGAAGGCGATGCAGATGCGACAGCAGTTGCACTTAGATAACGAGTTGCTAATTGTCGAGAATAGGGTTGTCTACAAATATTTCTTAGAAATGAAGCCATTTAAATAATATTTATATCAAAAGAAAAAAAAAAAAAAGTTCTCCACAATAATGTCGATACTATTAACAACGACCCACCTTAAAAGAAAAAAATTCATACTCCTCTTTTTTTTTTTTTTTTTTTTTTTTTTGGCTTTACCCTGGCATTATATATGGGCATTGGTGGGCGACTTTTATTGTTCTTATTATTAGGTAAACTATTCAAGTTATTAAAGATTGTTTAATATTTCTTGGAATCATACTTTAATAACATGTGTTCGTTGTTGAAGATTCTGTAAGAGACTTCCAAAATAATATTTATATCCTTCAGACATTTTTATACCAATAAGACAGGATAAATTATTGCTATTTTAATATTATAAATATCGAAACCCATTTATTTAAAGATGAACAATGACTGACTCCAATTATATGACTAAAACCCTTAGTTAGACAGTATTACATTTATTCCTTTCGCACTATCTGCTTCGACTTGGATTCAATATACTATTTTAATTCACAAGCCAAAAAAAAAAAAGGGTCTGCATGACTCTTACGGGCTAGATTAGAGCCGATAGTATCAGATTGAGAAAATAAAACTTTATATCGTCTATCTATATCCTAGATTGAGTTCTATTTGAATTTACAATATTCGGATAAGATCTATACCATAAGTAGATAAACCCTGATTTTACGTAAGAAGGACATATAAGTCATAAGTATTTGTTATCCATGTCTACATGTATATTTAACGCTGTTGCAACTTTAATATAATTTCTTTATATTTATTTTAAAGCACCATAATAGCGTACATGTGTATACACATCATTAATCACACTATATAATCTAATAAATAATAAATAATAGTTTTATTAACAAACAATATTATTGTTTTTTTTGGGCGTATAACTGACGAGTTTATGACTTGTAGTTACATAACATGTTACTATAGTATAACCCAGAAAAGAAAAAAAAAGTAAATCCCTCTTATAGATGTTTCAAGGATAAGCGTCATTTGTTTAGTAAATACTCCTTTTATTGATCAAACCAGATAACGATTTTTTTTTGTTGTTGATCACAATGTTTTATTCCTTATTATCTTGGTAAAAGATCTAATCATGCTCTAAATTTATCATTATTACGTGCTTTCTATTTAATCTATAACATCAAAAAAATAAATAAGTAAATAAAAATTACAAAAAGACCCTTATTACAAATACATAAAGGGTTATATATGTGTTTGTATATTCAACAAAATAAATATCAATATCATTTTGTATACATCCTCTTTCATTTATGAGTCATCTTAACTTTATAAAGTTCATGAATTTGAAAGGCGTAGATCTTAAAAAGAAGAAAAGGTAGTACTTTATGCTGCATTATTTATTAGTGTAAGGGAATAAATATGACATTGTAAACACAGGATATTAGAACTAGAATGTAAACTGATCTAAAAATAAGTTTATAAGCTAATACTTCTGTACAAGCTACTATCTTGTACAAGTTTAAGAAAACAAAAACTTTGTATTCTTGTTTTTATCTTGATGTTGATTAACAAAACAAAACAAAAAAAAACAGCCCAAAAATTACTTTTTTAAGCTTGAGATAAGAGAGAGAAAACAAACAAAATAACGATGCTATTATACAATATCAGATGAATTATTCGTCATGTATAATGTTAATTCAATGCTATATTCATGTTTTTTATTATTTATCTAAAGCATAAAATATTACGCCACAATCATAATTATGTAATCCAGTTCTAAAAATAAAATTAGAAAAGGGTGCAAAAAAAAGGGGCAGATACACAAAGAAAGGGAGTAAAAAGAAAGAAAGAAAAAAAAAAAGGTAAAATAAGGGTCAACTTTGCGTATGTTTTATACCTGGATTTATACTATCCAATTCCATAAAAAAAAAATGCATTTATAAACTTTATATAAATTCATTTTATTTTATTTTATTTTTTCTCTTCTTTTCTTCACTTTTAATCTCTGGTATATAATTCTAATTTAAAAGAAATGAAGCTCATTCCTCAATCTGTTTTCTTATTTCACTTGCTTGTTCTTTCAAGCTATGCTCTCCCAATTGAACAAGAGTATACTTTCAAAGATTGTACATCGAAACAAGCTGTTCTCTGTCAAGACTTTTTGCAAAATGGTGGTTTGGACTGTCATCGTAATAGTCAAATTATCTGCTATCATGAAAATCAAGAAATGAACGATCGTGACTACTGTACATTTAATGCTACTTACAGTTGCCGAACTTTCAGAACTATCTACGGCTACTACTGTAATGCTACAGACTGTATACAATCAAATAAGGTTATTTAAAAAAAAGAAAAGAAAAAGAATCACTATTCATATCTGTATATTCAATAGTAGGCCTATTTTATTATATTTTATTTCTTTTTTTTTTAAGTGTAAAAAAAAAAAAAAAAAAAAAAAAAAAAAAAAAAAAAAAAAAAAAAAAAAAAAAAAAAAAAATTATTTATTTTAATAATAACAATAATAATAAAAGAAAAAAAAAAAGTATTCATTATGCTTTATACAACTTCATTTATTTTAAACATGAATATATTTGTATTCATGATGAGTGAATGTGTATTCGTTTCTCTTATTATACAAACAAAAACAAATATATATGTATATATATATATGTGTGTGTGTGTATAAAATCTATGTAGTTTATGGAGTATCTTTAGGACAGATAATTTCCTTATAGTCCTTAATAGTACCAGAAAACTTGTTAAGTTTACCACTTTCACAAATCCAGATTTCATTACAAACGGTATTAATAAATCTTTCATCGTGAGAAACAATAATGACACCACCCTTAAATTGAGCAAGTGCATTTTGTAAAGCATCTATAGACTCCATATCCAAGTGATTAGTAGGTTCATCAAGTACTAAAATATGAGGATTTTGCATGCTAAGAATGGCAAAGGCAACACGAGATTTTTGACCACCAGATAATGTCTTCATCACCTGAAGACCAACCATACCTGTGATACCAAAGGAACCTAAATGACGACGGTATTCTTCTTCTGTTCTACCAGGGAAGCGGTCAGCCATAAATGCTACTGCACTCTTTGTTAAATCAAGTTGATCAATATGATGTTGTGTAAAGTAAGCGATACGAAGACGACCGTTGCGATGAACAGTACCTGATACAGGTTTGTTTTCTTCTGTTAGTAATTTCAACATAGTAGATTTACCAGCACCATTAGGACCAACAACAGCAATACGTGAATCCATTCTTAAATCAATATTTACATTACTAATAATCGTCTTACTTGCTGTATAACCAAAGGTAACTTCTGACATTTGAAGAATAGGGGGGGAGAGTGGGTCAGGATTAGGGAACTGGAAGGTCACAATCTTTTCGTCTTCAGGTGGTTCAAGAGCAGGTAATTTTTCAAGAATTTTAATTTTAGATTGCGCCTGTGGTGCACGTTTAGCATTATATCTCCAACGATCGATAAAGTCCTGAAGATGTTTACGATATTGGAGTTGTGATTCATATTCTCTAAATTGGGCTTTACGACGCTCTTCTTTTGTTGCATGAAAGTTAGTAAAGTTACCCTTATAATAATCTAATTTTTCAGAGTGCATATATAAAATATCTGTAGCAACTTCATCCAAAAATTCTCTGTCGTGAGAAACAACAAGCAATGTATTTGGCCAAGTCTTGAGATAATTTTCTAACCAAACAATAGCAGGGATCTAATCCCAAAAAAAAAAAAATAATAATAAATGAATACACATATTTATATACATATTTGTATATAATATACTTTACATCCAACATGTTATCAGGTTCATCAAGCATTAAAACATCTGGTTTACAAAACAAAGCACGAGCTAAAGATATTCTCATTCTCCAACCACCAGAAAACTCTTTAGTAGGTCTCCTTTGTTGATCAGGTCCAAAACCAAGACCAGCTAAAATAGCCGATGCTTTACTTTCAGCCTTATCACTTTCAATTTCTGTGAGCTTATTGAAAACTTCTCGAAGTTCAATATTCAATTTATCCTTTTCAACTTCTAATGATTGTTTTTCATTTTCTGTTAATTCTACTTCATTTGCACTTTGTTTGCTTTCAATATCATTAATTTTTGCTGTCAAGTCACGTTCCTTTTCAAGTAAATGCTCACGCCAAACATCAGCACGGAGGACCATATCAATTGCTAAAGTATCATCACCATGAACCTATAAATATAATATATAAGTATATGTGTATATTTATTTAATCTCCTAGTTTATCTCGAATACTTACTTCTTGTTCAACATAAAGAATAGAAATATGCTGAGGAACAGCAATTTCACGACGAGCCATTGCTCTTAACAAGGTAGATTTACCAATACCATTTTTACCAACAACACCATATCTTCTACCAAAAGCAACCGTCAAATTAGCATCAGTCAATATACGACGTCCAGCAAAGGAAATATCAAAGTTCTCAATCTTGATATCCTTATTCTTGCCCTTTGTTGTTGTGTAATCAAGAATAGGGTTGTATAACTTGTACTCATCTTGCAAAGCCTTTTGTTCATTCAACAAACGAGAAGCTTCATATTCAATCTTTAAGTTACTCTTCTCTTGACGCTTGGCTAACTTGGCAGCAATCTTTGCTTCTGCTTTGCGCAGCTTTTCTTGATTGACCTGAGACTGAACACGACGGCCTGAGGCATGCTCCAAGTCTACAGAACCTCTTCCAATTGAGGCAGTAGCAGAAAGTCCACTTTGATTACCCATCGTAATTGAATGCTCGAGTTTTGATAATTTAGCAGGGGCAGTATTCTTTTGTTTAGCTTGCAACATTTCTGATAAATGCTCACATAATTCATCAATCTTTTCCTCATCACCACCTGCATCAATTAATATAGGTTTAATGAAATCAGAAATAGCATCCTCATCCTCATCAAAATCGTTTTCTCGAAGGTAGCCGTCAATATATTCTATGATTGCCTCATCAGCTTCAGGAACAGCCTTTCTAATAAGTTGAATGGACATTTTATATTTGCTAAAGAGGGAAACACTGCACTAAAATGAGATATAATTTTTGCTTTGTTTGAATTCGAAACCAGTTACCTCAGTTAATTTTGGTGGCTTAATAAGGGCATTATTTTTTTTTTTTTTTTTTTCTACAGTGTAAGAAGCTGTGTGACTCGCGTTCTTTCATATACTGTAAGTTATTTTTTTTTTTCTTTTATTGGGGGGGAAGACTTTTTTTTTTTTTTTTTTTTTTGTTAATTGACAGAATGTATCAAGATACTTTTGAGGAAGACGATTTAATTGCTGAGGTTGAGCTTGTTGCTCAAGCTCGTTACTCTCAAAATAACGATGTCGATGATGGCTTTGACACCGAAGGTATGAAAAGCATGCATACATTTCTTCAAATGAAAACTCAAAAACAAAAAAAAACAAAACAAAAATTCCTTATTTTTTTATACAGTTGTTTCTACTCAAAACGCTACAACTCAAATTCCCGATGGTGTTCGAAATTTCATTCTTCATTTCTATCGCAATGTCATTGATAATAACGTGTATGAGCTTCACAACATTTATGATAACTCTTTCAATAAGTTGACCGAGAAGTATTATCAAAAGCAAGCTTGGCCTGAAGCTGAAGTTATTGCTCCTCTTGTTAATGATGGTAAAAATATAATCAACAATTATTAGAATGAGGAACATTACATAGTAATAACGTGCAAATTGACTAAAAAAAAAATTTTTTTTCTTTTTCATTTTGTAAAATGATGTAAAATATAGATCAAGTCTTTTTGACTTTATATCGTGAACTTTATTACCGCCACATCTATGCTCATTTGACTCCTACTTTGGAACAACGTTTTCATTCATACGAAAACTATTGTGATCTCTTTAACTACATCTTGAGTATATACATTAAAGAATATGCATTGCTATTTAACAAACGCGATTAACATTATATTGTTTTTTTTTTCTTTTATAGATTCTGATGGACCTGTTTCCCTAGAATTGCCTAATCAATGGCTCTGGGATATTATTGATGAATTCATCTATCAATTCCAATCTTACTGTAATTTCCGTGATCGTACCAAGAACAAAACAGATGCTGAAGCTACCATGATTCAAGAAAACAGCCAAATCTGGAGTTGCTACAGTGTTTTAAATGTCCTTTATTCTTTTATTCAGAAATCCCGTATCAACGAACAATTATTAGTAAGTAAGAATGGAGGTGATATGATGGAAGCCGCTGGAGAATTTGGATCTCGATCTCTTTATAAGATGTTGGGTTATTTCTCTATAGTTGGCCTTGTCCGAGTTCACTGTTTATTAGGTGATTACATTCTTGCTTTAAAGATGATGGATAATATTGTTTTGAATAAGAAGGCCATGTTTGCTCGTGTAACTGCTTGTCACGTTACAACTTACTATTATGTTGGTTTTGCCTACATGATGCTTCGTCGTTATGCTGATGCTATTAAGGCCTTCTCTACAGTCTTATCTTTCATTCAAAGAACCAAACAATATCATTCTCGTTCATATCAATTTGATCAAATTGCCAAGAAAGGAGATCAAATGTATGCCCTTTTAGCTATCTGTATTGCCCTTTGCCCTACCAGATTAGATGAAAATATTCATTCTCAACTCCGTGAAAAATATGGTGAACAAGTCTTCAAGATGCAAAAGGGAGAAGAATCACTTCCTGTTTACGTTGATTTATTCCAATTTGCTTGTCCTAAATTCCTTTCACCCACTGGTCAAGGTGCTGATCCCCATCAACACCAATTGAAGGTATTCATGTCTGATATTAAGAACCAAATTAATCTTCCTATCCTTCGTTCCTTCATGAAATTATATACCTCTATGGGTATTGAAAAGTTGGCCAAGTTTTTGGAAATTGACTCAGAAGAACTTACAACCCAATTGCTGATCTTTAAGCAAAAGTCACGTCAATACAAATGGGTTAGTGGTGATCTTTTGGAAGGTGAATATATGCCTACTTCTGATCTTGATTTCTGTTTAAAACAAGATGTTGTTCACATTGCTGAAAGCAAGGTGGGTCGTCGTTATGGTGATTGGTTCTTACGAAATATCAATCGTTGTGAAGATATTTTAGCTAACTTGGAACTTAGCAGAGCTTAAAATATATAATTTTTAATAGTTTGAATTTCTTTTATAGAAATATAATATATAAAAAGGATGTAAAGGATTTTAACAAAACAAAACAAAACAAAAATGAAGGCTTTGATTCTGTATGTCTTGAACTTTTTTTTTTTTTATTATTTATTTAAATATCATTTAAATATAGAAAAAAAAAGGTAGTAGCAGTAATAATAATAATAAAAAAAGAAAAGAAAGCTACATATATAAAAACAATGCTTCTGCTTTTAAATAACATAATATTTGAGTATGAAATAGGAAGAAAAAGCAATGCATTAGCTGATATATAAAAATTCAAAGGAGTTACTGGATTTATGCAGACTTATGCTGTGGCTGAAATAGACACAAAGGCATAATCGTGACAGCTTTTCATTGAGACACTTTTTTTTTTTTTTTAAAAAAAAAAGTAAATCATGTAGAGAGAGAGATAGCGAGAGAAAAAAAAAAAAAAGTCATATACACATATAAATATAAATAGTTTCTTTTGTACATAGATAGTACAATAATAATAATAATAAAAAATGGCTAAGGATCGATCTGCAATTAGTAAGAGTATGAGTAAAAAGAAAAATAGAGTATCTGGTACCCATGTATCAGGACTTGCAAGCTCTAAAGCTTCAAAAAGAAAGGAAGCCCCTATTAAATATGGCCAACTTTCTAGAAGACAAAAGCAAGATTTAGAAGATTATGGTGAACTTGTACCAAAGGATTTCGAAGACGATGAAGAAGAAGGCACAAAGTAAAAAAAAAAAAGAAAAAAGAAAACTGAAGCCATATTATTTAAAAATATTAGAAAATATTGATGGACATATCCTTTTTTTTTTTCCCTTATACTAGACGAAGAAGAATTGTGTCTGAAACAGATTTGGATAGAGAGTTAGAAGAAGAGAGAAGACGTGCTGAAGGTGAATTTAGCGATTCACAGGAGGAAATGGATGAGGAATCTGAAGAAGATGAGGAAGGAGAAGATTGGAAGAAGCCTTCACCTTATTCTTTACTTATGAATTCATTAAAAAAAAGCTCAAAACAAAAAGAATTCTATAAAAAGATTCAACTTGAACAAGAAGGTATTGATGAACCTATTATCAACGAAGTAGAAGAGAATAATACAAATATTGAAGAAGAAAATATAAACGAAAACGAAGAAGGAACAGAAGATTTGGTAGACGATGAGGAAACAAATCTTGATGATGAGGAAGAAGAGGAGGAGTCTGCTGATAAAGATGAAGCTGATCCTTTTGAAGAAAATGATGAAGATGAAGAAATTGTTTACGTGGGAAGTGATGCTGAAGAAGACGAGGGAGAGCAATCTTATGGTAAATTTTACGCAAACGAAAAATTACAACAAATGTTAACAGTATTTACCCCCTCTTTTTTTTTTCTTAATAGATGATCTCTTTGATATTAGATTTGCTGATCAACAACCTACATCATTCGATGAAAAGATTTCAATTGTAGAACAAAAGAAATGGACTTCTCAAATTATTCATGATGAGACTTTGTTGGACTTGAACGTTTTGACCACTGAGCCAGATGATACAATAAAAGAAATGCCAACAATTAAAAAGTTAACGGATATGAAAGTGAGTGAGCGTGTATCTGAATGTTGGATTAAAGCTAATAAGAAAGTAGTTAAAAAAGGTAAGGAGAACTATCCGTTTAGAGGAAGGATTAAGCTAATCTGGTTTATATGTTAATAGCATTATTTACTCCTCTTCAGAACAATCTTTTTACACAAATGAATAATTACCGTGATGTACTTTTCTGTAATCGTACAATGGATAATGCGAAAGAGATTAGAAATACTTACGCTCTTCATGCAATTAATCATATTACAAAGTAAGGCATTTTTTTTTTATTTACATGAAAAGGAAAAGAAAACTAAGTTAAATTATGCAGAGCACGAAAGCGTGTCTTAAGGAATAATAATAGACTTGCCAAAGCACAAAAAGAAGAAAAGGATATTGGGTAAAATTAAATTATTTATTTGATTACATAACAATGACTTATACTCTTCGAATAGTGAATTACGTGATCAAGGTTTTACTAGACCCAAGGTGTTGATTTTGTTACCGTTTAGAAATACTGTGATTGATGTGGTTGATACTTTAATCAAGCTTTCAGGAGTGGAAAAACATGATAATAAAAATCGATTCTACGAACAATTTAATTTACATGAAGAAGAAGCTATTGATACTACAAAGCCTCTGGATTATTTGCAAAACTTTCAAGGCAATATCGACGATCATTTTCGTTTGGGCATCAAATTTTCAAAGAAATCGTTGAAGCTTTATGCTAATTTCTATAATGCAGATATCATTATTGCCTCGCCTCTAGGTTTACGTACTTTAATTGGTGCAGAAGGGTATTTATAGAGAAGAAGGGTTATTATTTGAATATTGAGAATCTAATAAGTATGATATAATAGTGATAAGAAGAGAGATTTTGATTATTTATCATCTATCGAAATGGTTATTTTGGATCAAACAAATCATTTCTTGATGCAAAACTGGGAACATATTGAACATATTTTTGAACATATGAATTTAATCCCAAAAGATACTCATGGCTGTGATATTTCTAGAATTAGAAATTGGTATTTAGATGGAAAGTAAGTAACAAAAAAAAAGAAGGTATTCTATATATGAAAGTCTTTAATGAATATATCATTTCAATAATAGAGCCAAATATCTTCGACAAACACTTATCTTTGCGGATTTCTTAACACCCGAATTTAACGCATTATTTAATAAACATATGAAGAATGTATCTGGTAAATTAAAAATTAAGCGTACTTATGAAGAAGGTTCGATTATCGATGTCATTCCTCAAGTACAACAGGTGAGTTGTGAAGAAGTGAATTGGATAAAAATAAGACTATTTATTTATTTATTTATTTTTGTAGACTTTTACACGTATCGATGCTCCTTCTTTAAAGGCTATGAACGATACAAGATATAAATATTTCATTGAAAAGGTAATAGTACAATATCTTTACTTAAATAATATGTACTTATATTTTTGTATATACATATATGTATGTATGTATGTATAGACTTTACCAGCACTTAGGAAGTCAGCTATCATGCAATCACATACCCTTATCTTTATTCCTTCTTATTTTGACTTTGTTAGAATAAGAAATTACTTTGAAGATAACAGGTATTCATATGAGCCTTGTTCAGAATATAGCTCTGGAAGTCAAATTACTCGAGCAAGATCACAATTCTTTCATGGTCGAACTAATTTCCTTTTGTATACAGAAAGACTTCATTTCTTTAGAAGGTTTGTTTACATTGGATTTGTTTTGTTTATATATTTACTTATTTTTATTAACCACTTATCTTAGATATAATATTCGTGGTGCTTTTCATATTGTATTTTATGGTCTACCAGAAGAGCCCATCTATTATACGGAAATCGTTAACTTTTTAAGTCTCAAATTTAATGAAGCTAGTGCTGCAGAAGAAGCAACCTTTTCATGTACAGCCTTATTTTCTAAATATGATTTCTTAAAATTAGAACGTGTTGTTGGAACAGATAGAGCCAAAAAGATGTGTACAGCTCAAAAGAATGTATTCATGTTTGCTTAATAATAAAATAGAGATGATTTATAAGAACTTGTAAATAATAAAGTATAGAAGAAATTATAGTTTTGTAGTTTTTATTCTTATAACAACTGAAATATCGCGTAAAATGAAGAAAAAAGGCCATGGGATGCTTTGAACTAATTTTTTATTTTTTTTTTTATCAAACCTAAGCAGTTTGGGAACCAACGGTTACACTATGTTGAAGAAATATTAGGCTAGGGCAAATAGCTGTATATTTCCACTATGATAATTTTTTTTTTTTTTTTTTTTTTTTTTTTTTTTTTACATATTGCTCAGTATTATTAATACTATTATAGATGAAAATGAGTATCACAAGAATATTTATTCTATTCGTAAAAGGTAGCTTTTATACTACTCTATTTTGAACATATATAGTTTTCTGAGTGAGCATCTAATAAATAAGTTAATTTCATATAAATGGTGATCTGATCACTTTATCTAACAATCTATGATTTTGATACACGTCTCTAAATGATACAATATACTCTCAATCATATTTTGGTATCCTTTAGTAGTAATCACCTTATGCTATGCATGATCTATTCATTCATATAGCTAATTAATGCTTTTTGGAAGTATATTATATCTACTGAGACAGATTTTAAGTAAGCACCATATATTTTATATTATTGGATTCAAAAAAAAAAAAAAAAAAAAAAAAAAAAAGACCATGTGGAGGACCACAATTGACGTATGTTTTAAAAAAAAAAAAAGATCAGATCAGGATGTCTGAGGCTCAATTTATTACATGTATTATCAGTTAGATTATCCTTCAAAATAGTTTTGTACATCGCTCCTTGAATTATATATTTAAGCTATGACGCTCCCAAAAAATGAAGTTTTCATTACTGGCTTGCTGGTCCGCTTAATATGGAGTAACTAGAGGCTTTTTTTTTATCATAAAGGACGCTTTGTTTAGTTACCATAGTGAATTTTTATTGTAGTAATGATAATTTTCACATGGGAGTGAGCTATGATCAATCAGGTTAGATTAAAATAAAAGAAGACTACAAAATAATGCCCCATATTAATAAACGTGACAATAAAAATAAGACTGTTCAAATTATTGTTTTTTTTTATTTGCAAATTATCAATCAAACTGGCCAACGTTAGTGAAGTCAATATATAGATGATTCTGATAAATTCTTTATTTTAAAACCAAGAAACAGTTATAGAATATTAGAAAAAGAGCGTAAGTATTTTCTAATTAACATTTACGATAGAAGTCCTTCATCTAAAAGAATGCAACTAGTATTTCTTTTTTTTTTTGGGTTTCAATCTCATAAAAGTTACCTTACACACAAAATTAAAAATACAATCATGGGAAAGGTATATCAATAAGCATTTCAATTAAGAAAATTAAAAAATGAACTATCTATAAATTTATATTTCTACTGACGAAATAAGTTTCTATATTGAATTGAGATGTAGCGGTTTTATGATTCAAAAGTTAAAGCTCTCACTAGTATAATATTGAAGCTGTTTCTTGTACAATTTTAGGAGAGATATCGATATATACTGTAGTAATCGTTACAACATGTAATTTTGGCTCAACTAACATTAAGATTGTTTCTGTTGAAGTTAGAGACAAAGCTAAAAAGAAAAGGATGAAGACTTGATGGAGGATTTTTTTTTAAAAAAAAAAGTAATAGCTACTAATCATTACTTGGATTCAGTAGTAAAATAACAAATATCTTGAGTAACTATGAGTGTACACAATTTCTATCTCATAATAGATAATACACCTACATAAAAGGCCAGACATTTAAAAAAAATTTTTTTCTTTTTTTCATGAAAGAGGTTATCGCTCGCTCTATAGTTGTTACATTGCTCTTTAGAATTAAATCCAATTAATTAATTCTGACCGGTTGCTCGAAGTAGAAATAAAAAATAAAATAAAGGTTACCTGAAGAAGATGCGTTCTAAACTTTAATTGCTGATGCAAGTAAGCAAATACTACAAAACTGTATCTATGATTTTATTATACGCTCAATTTCAAAAATAGAGAAAAGCTGTATTAATTGGATATTAGTTTCACTAAATAAAGTTCTTTTTCGACTAAATAAGGAGCTTTTTTTTCATTATTTTTTTTTTTTTTTTTTTTTTTTTACTGAACACTACATCTAAATAACGATTAAGAAAGTGATTTGGTTCTTTTTTTTTTTTTAGAAGATAAAAGGCGCCATAGATTACAAGTATATAAATACTTAATGATAAAATTTCTAAAAATACACTAAACTATATCTGATGTTTGCTTATTATTGCAAGTTCACATGCTAAAAACATAGGCAAAATCTTATCATATTATACCTACTTTTTTAACGAGCAAATTGATATCGGTGAATCAAAGCATATTAATTTATGATTGGAGGATAATGTCTTATCAAGAGATAAATTCTCTATCTATTTGGTCTTCCTCGGACAGGAGAAAAGTTTCATTACCCCTCAACATCTTAATATAAATATGGCTCTTTTTTTTTTTTTTTTTTTTTTTTTTTTTTTGATCTTATATTTTTTTTTCTTATTTCTTTCTTCCTTTTCTCTTAAAATAAAAATGCAATATTCAAAACAGACTTCATTTGTTATTTTTTCTGGAGGAACAGCCTGTAATCATATTCTCGATAGTTTTCATAAAATCAATAAAAACAGTAATGATATTAGCTATATACTTAGCGTATCTGATAATGGCGGATCCTCTGTAAGCAATAAATTAAATATATCTCCAAAGGATTTATTTAATTAACCATGTTGTAACTCATAGAGCGAAATTCTTCGTGTACTAGGCGGACCTAGTGTAGGTGATTTACGCTCCCGATTGGTTCGACTCATGGATACTGTAGATATGAATGATACAATAGAAATGAAAGCCATCAAGCGTTTATTAAGTTATCGACTTCCTTCAAATATGGGTGAGCAAGAAGCACGAAAGGAATGGATTTCTATAGTTGAAGGCCATCACAAGTAAAATATCATCACATGTTATCTTTTGTTTATTTATATATACTAAAAAAAAAAAAAAAAAAAAAAAAAATTATTAGTCTTTGGAGTGCAATTTCTACAGAAAAAAAGGAAGCTATTCGAGGATTCTTTGTTTTGTTTAATTTAGAAGTTTCCAAGTTGGCTCATAAACGTTTTAATTTTTGTAATGGAAGTATTGGAAATTTTTTCTTAACAGGTGCTCGATTATTTACAGGTTCAGTAGAAGCTGCCATTTTCTTATTTTCATCTATTGTTGGTATTCCTTCAGATCTAACTTCAGTTATTCCGGTTATCAGCGATAACCAAACGTCGACTATTGCTGCCTTATTATCGAACGGTGAAACCCTAGTAGGTCAATGTGAAATTTCGCATCCTTCTACTACTGTTCAACACAAAAAACCTATCCCAATGAATCATCATCATCATCATCATCCTACGATGAATGTATTCTCTTCATTTATTAATGTCAGTAGCAATATTACTGTTGTAGAGGAAAATATGAACTGCAACTTATTTTTCTCTAAACAAAGAAATGAAAAGCTTCAATCACCCATTGAACATATCTATTATATAAACAAATTTGGACAAGAAATATATCCTATGCCTAACTCTAAAGTGATAAATCGTCTCTTAACCAAGGAAGCTTTAATTTATTCAATTGGGTCACTTTATACTTCCTTGATCCCTTCCCTTATTCTCCGCGGGATCGGAAATGCGATTGCTCATTCGGAAACATTGAAACACAAAATCTTATTATTGAATGGTACAAATGACCGTGAAACAAGTAATTTTACAGCCATTGACTTTATTAAAGCCATCGTATCAGCCCTTAACAAAAGCCAAGAAATTGATGCAAGCTTTGCATGCTATTATTCGTGCGACGAAGATGAGGAAGATGATGATTATGATATTCCAAGCAGCAATGATAGCGTTGGAAGTAATTTTAACAGTACATTACCATCCTTATCTTATTCCTCAGAACGTCGCTATGAGCGTTTCCATGATTTTGAAACTTATACTAGCCCTATATCATCTTTTATTACACATTTAGTATACCTTGATAACTGTGATATTTATGTGGATATTACTGAAATAGAACAGTTCGGAATAAAATGTATTACCATGAAAGGCAAAAAATCCGACTCAGGTGAATCTATTTATGATCAAAATGAGTTAACTAGAGTGATTCAGTCTATTGTACATAATGAAGGCATATAAAAAAAGAAAGAAAAAAACAAAACAAAAACCAAAACCAAAATGCCCTCACGCATATCCTATATAAATATTGTTCATACTATACATACACTATAAGTCATTTTCTATTTTTCTTTTTTCTTAAAAAAAATATATATACAAAATATACACATATTTGTTTTTATTATTCATAATAATTCCATTTAATAATTTAATACAATGAAAATAAATATATTATCATTGTTAATGATGCAGCTTTGAATATGCTTTTAGATATAAATACATAAATACATATATATATATATATTTTTTGCAAGTGATTTATAATATTGTTTTTTCTTTTATTACAATAATATTCTTGATATCTTTTCTGGCCGTAGATCACCCTCATCAATAATTAAATCATCTTCAGTATCAATGATTTCTGTCGATGCAGGAGGAGAAAAGTCATCTCTTGTCCTCTTATGGTTACTAACAGGCTTTTCATGACTACGCATCCAATAATTTTCATCCAATTCTAAATCTATTTCATTTTTCGTTTCTTTGTTTGTTAAAGGAATTTGGGAAATATCAAATATATTATCATTAAGATAAGGATATTCATCATTCGCTACATAACTCATCTTCACATTACTTTCCAGCGCAATTTTAATTAACTCCTCAATGAGTTGTTTTGTATCTGAATTTTTTAATGCTTCATGGTATTCAACAATAGCCCGTGCTATATTTCCCTTTAGTTGATATATCATGCCTGCTGCTGCACGAGCATCTGAATTCCTGGGATTTCGGGAAAGTGCATTTTCGAAACATTTCAGAGCCCGATTATGGTTCTGTAAACTTGTATAAATAAAATAAAAAATGTCAAGTAAAAAAAAAAAAAAAAAAAAAAAAAAAAATATTAATACAAATAAAGATAACTACTTACGGCTGTTGACGGTAAATATGCCCTAAATTACACCATATTTTTTCCCAAATAGGACTTCGTTGAGACTGTCGTTCTTTTGCTAGCTTCAAAGCAGCATGTAAATGCTCACGAGCCTCTTCATATCTAAGTTTATTAAAATGATAGATCATCATTATATAAATGAAAAAGATGAATTGTCTGATATAAACTTACTGTTCAAGCTTGTAACAACAGACTGCAAATTCATTGTATAAAAATGGATCGCTAGTACATTTTTCAACACTCTTTTTAAATTCTATATAAGCAGCATCAAAATCCTCCTTTCCCATATGTTGTATTGCTATATTCATGAGTGGTAGATAGGATCTAATTAGAAAATATAGATGTTAATCAATCGAGTCATATATAATATAGATGAATCTTACTCGGGTATTAACTTGCTGCACTGATTATATGCATTAATAGCTTGATCATAATCTTTTACAGCAGAAAATGAATGGCCATAACCTAACCAGGCTTGTTGAAAGAAATTATTGATTGTTAATGCATGGTTAAAATACTTCCGTGCTTCCATATGATTTTTAATATGAAGATAATAGAGTCCAACAGCATGCCATGCAACAGCTTCAGTATTCATCTTATTCACAAGTAATTGTGCATATTCATACAATTCAATTTTATTTCCAAGCTCATAAAGGCAAGCTAAATAAAGAGGTATTGATTCCTTGAAGAATGCATCTTGTTTTCTAATTCTATAAACATTGTATATTTTTGATTAAAAAAGAGAGAGAAAGGGCCGATTCTTATTATTCTTACTTACTCTTTACAAATCTTTAGACAATCTTCAAATCTATTGTCATTATAATATCCTTCTGCAATACTCAATTGAACATCTAAACTTTTTGTAATATTTTTCACATCTGGATCTATATTTTTCCCTTTCATAATATTTGTTTTTAATTTTAATCCATATAAATATCGAAAGTATTTGGAATCAGGGCCACAATGCTCTTCATAAGGCAAAGTTGTAACAAATTCCCATTCTAATTATTATTAGCTAAGCTAATCAAGTTTGTTTATAAATCAAAAATATATACCTTCTTTTTCATTCATCATATTATACATTATGAGGGATTCTAAAGCATCATAACACTTTACATCAATAGTTAATGCCTCTTTAAAACATTCTCTAGCTTTATCAATATCCTTTAGTAATAAATAAGCTCTTCCTCTTGCATAGCACATGATAGAATCTAGTTTAATATGCCCATCCGCCACTTCTATCTCGTTAAAAGCTATACATAACTTACTATTGTTATTATTATACACATGTATAATAAAATAAGTATATCTTACCTCTTTTTTTGCTGTTATCAGAAAATGGATTTCTGTGACCTAAATAGTCAAGAGCATCTTTACCCTTTCCTAAAGCAATCTTGATAATAAAATTAAACTATTATCCAATTAAAAAAAAAAAAAAAAAAAAAAAAAAAAAAAAAAAAAAAAAAAAAAAAAAAAAGAAAGAAAGAAAAAGTATTTACAGAACAAAGAGCAGCAAGATATCTACATATAACACTTTTAGATAATGTCTTTCTCTTATTTAATACTTCTAATGCTCTTTGATAGTCTTGCTGTTGATAGTAAGATAAGGCTATAAAATGAGCATCATCGAGTGAATCTATATATGTATATGAACTAAGAATTAAAAATCCTATTATGTAAAAAGTGCATTTTTTCTTCTTCTTCTTCTCTTTCCTATTCTTTTTTTTTATTTTATTTTTCCCTGTACCTGTTGACATCATGAGCTTCTCTGCAAAAAAAGATGCAGTAGCTGGCAAAAAATATTGCATTGCATCATTACTCAAAACATGTAAACGCTCTTCTCTGGTTGTAGCTGCTGTTATTGGCACTGTATTTGTTGCTTGGAATATTTCTTGATTATTAGGAAAAAGTGGACCAACAACATCGAAAAGATGATCATTTGATCCAACGGAATCATCATCGGGTGCTTTTATTGAGAATCCATAATCAAGATCGCTACTAAGATCGGATATTATAGTACGTGTTATTTGCCGTGGTGCTCGCGGTGATGCTATCTGTCTACTTCTTGATTCCATCTGTATAGAGTGCGATTATTTATTAAATAGTATACATGTATTTTATTTTATTTTATTTTATTTTTATAGATAATAAAGAAAAACAATTAGAATTAAAAGTCACGTCGTCAATTAGTATTGGTAAGATTAGTACCTTTTTTTTTTTTTTATGCAAATATCTTGTTTTAGAAATTAATTCGAATTTTAACATTATTGGGTACTTGAATGTATAACTTTGACAATTATTAATAATAATCCAGTATGTTATATTATTCAAAAATAACAAATATAGAAAGAAGGACATCATTTAATAATTAATAACAGTTAAAGTCAAGCCATTGAATAAATATATGTTTAGAGCTGCAACTCTAAATAGTTATTGAGGTGCTCATGACTATTACATTTCCAAACTCACATAACTTGTAATGAATCGTATTCAACTATCATTAGAATATGCTCCCATATTCCTAACATTAACATAAAAAAGAATATAATCTGTGAGCAAAGAAATACAGACATAATTCACAAGAAATTAAGCCTGAAGCTACTCATTTCAATGAGCAGTTGCTTCAAAATTTAATTCCTTTGTCATTACAAATACGTGAAGAATATATCATCCATTGTTCTTTCTTTTTGAGTTTACATTACAGTTTATACCTGAAAACAGCTTATTGATCATAATTCAATAGAAATGTTTTTTTTAAAAGAATAAAAACTGTCATTGACGCAAATAGTTTCTTTACAATAGTTTGTTTTTTTTTAGTCGATAAATATAAAACTAGCAGACATTATTCACACTGTGATACGGAAAGCTTGAAGAGATTTTTAGCAAAAAAAAAAAAAAAAAAAAAAAAAAAGTTTTGGACTCTGTAGAAGACAAATATCAAAACTAGAAAGAGATTATACACTACTTATGGAATTGAGATTCTTACTGTCTATATTAATAGGATTGCTATTATTCGCTCCCTTTGTTCCTAGGATGATGTTCCGATGTGATATTAACATTATCTAGAATATCAATAATATAAAATGTACAATAGAAAACGATGAGTATAAATAATAAGTATCATAAGAAGAACATGCTAAATGAAAGGGTACTGATATTGGATACAGGATGTCTGTTGGGTAATACGTGCAAAATTGTATAAACTTTGCTTTGTTACCTTTCAACCCTTGTCATCATACACCTTTGCAGATTAATATCAGAAAAAAAGTAGTTGAATAGCACCATTCATAGTGAGTTAGTCAGTTGTTGAAATCAAAGTTTTCTCAAGAGTATTCAGGATCATCAAAGAAATAGTAGATAGAACACATTCGCGTATAATAGAATCTTGTAGGTATAATACATATTCTTATCATTCCTACATTAAAAAAAGTTCATTTAATAATCTATGCTAAAATTGTATTGATGTGACATTCTTTTATCAACGTATATGTCTCCTCTTGTTTCTTTGACAGTTTATCAACTTATATTGAAGATTCCCTCAAAATTATAGCTGACGAATTTAGTTCAATATTCATTTTTTCTTTTTTCTTTTCTTTTTTGGAACAATTTAGATTAATCTCAAATCTCATTTGTTGAAACTTTCTTTTTCCTTTTTAATACTTCTTTCGGATTTTGTTTTTTTTTATGTTTGGTATTATACTTTTTATTCATGAATTTTACAATTTGAATTTTTTATTTTCTCTCTGCCAAGCTTAAAGATCCCATTTTCATTTTAAAGAAAAAAAAACAGGGGATGGAAGTGAGCAAAGGAAGAAGAAAGAGAGAGAGAGATACATTAGAATTATATCATTGATATAACATTCACTCTCAAATAATATATTATACATTACAAGGACCTGTCATATCAAAATAATATCTTAGTTTATACAGTAACTTGGGTTGAATGAGAAATAAGGTACATTCTACCTTATTTGAAAAAAAAAATTATTATCACACTTTACTATCAAGAGCAAACCTAATAAATAAGCTCCTACTATTCGTTCAGCCCCGATTACATAAGTGACCCTTTTTTCTTTTAATATTCTTTTATTAATGTATTAAAAGAATGATCTACCAACTGCATATATTTAGTTACACAATACTCGTGTTGTTCAACAAGTAAAATACAAAAGTTAATATTTCATTTAATTGAGGGGGGGAGAGGGAGGAAAATGGTAAGAAAATACATCCAATTATTTAGTTTCATTTTGATGTCGGTGGAAGATACAGCAACTAACAATAAATATTTTATTTCATTGATACGTGTATTTTTTTTTCGACCCATGATAAGACAGCGAAACATTTAGTTTAACGTTTTGGGAACACAATAGACTGAATAATAATAATAATAATAAAAAAATCTATTGTATATTATCTTGAATAGATAAAAGGAGTATCATTCATTTATCAATAATTATAGTTCATTTTGATACATGATTAAAGTGACTGTCAATATGACTTACTGCTACTTTATGCGTTTATATGGCATATATACATACACATATACGATATAAAAAAGTGGTATGACATGTTCATATTTTCTACAGTTTAAACAATAAGGTTGTGGAGCTTAAAATTTACGTAATTTCGGATAAGATAGCAGCAGCACGATTTTGACAGCTTATTGTACAAAAAATTCATGTTTCATTGGTAAAATACAAATAACCTTGTATTAAACGGTTAAATAAAAGAAAATGAAATAAAATGAAATGAGATACAATGAAATGAAATAAAATGAAAATGAAAATAACAAGTTCCATTTTTTTTTCTTTTTAAGACTAAAGACAGAGATAATTAAGCATCAATTGAAACGTTTATTTTAAATTGTAAATCTCTTTATTGTTCTTCTCCACAACAATAAAACAATAGAACAATACATTCGGATATTTTATCTGCAGTTTAAAAAAGAGAATAAAGAAGTCGGTGTTCATCATGCGAGACAAGTTTTTTATTTTTTTTTATTTTTTTTATTTATTTATTTTTTTTTTTTAAAAAAGCGACATATTATAAAAATGAGTTAAAGCAAGATAGATTTTAAGATTTTCTTTTTTTTTTCTTTTGTTTGATTATTGTTAACGCGTATTATGAACAGCACTTTAACTCAAATCGCTTCTGAACAATTGAAAAAGAGCTTCACGACTACTGTCATCGAAAAGACAGGTTTGTCCCCTCTTGCATTAACAATTACTGTTATACTTGGTTTGTTACTTTGGGAACAAGTTGATTATTTAAGAAAAAAGAAACATTTACCTGGACCTGCCTTCAAGATTCCTATTATTGGTGCTATGATGGACTCTATGAAGCCTACATTTGATAAGTATAACGCAAAATGGAAGAGCGGTGATTTATCTTGTGTTAGTGTTTTTAATAGGTAAATTACAAGTCGAATGATTTTTTTTTTTTTTTTTTAGATTAAGGATAAACTTTAACCTCTATGTTTTACACACATATTAGATTTATTGTTATCGCTTCTAACTGTGAATTCAGTCGTAAAATTCTCAATGCTCCTGCATTTGTTAAACCTGCTGTTGTTGATTCTATGAAATATATTCTTTGTGATGATAACTGGGTTTTCATGGATGGTAAAGAACATAATAATTATCGTAGAGGACTCAACATTCTTTTCCAAAGAAAGGCACTTGGAAGTTATCTTCCTATCATGGATAAATGTTATCAAAAGTTTTTTGATGAATGGCTTTCTCATGAAGGAAAAGTTAGAAGATATCAATGGGATTTCAGAGAATTAAACATGCAATCCTCTCTTCGTGTCTTTATGGGCTGGTTTATGCCTGAAGAGGTTGCAAAGAAATGTTCTGATGAATACTTTAATATTACTGCTGCTCTTGAACTCGTTAATTTCCCTATTCCCCTTCCTGGTACAAAAGTGTATAAGGCCATGAAATCTCGTGAATATATTTACAATGCCTTTATCGAGTCTATTAAAGATGCTCGTATTCGTATTGATAATGGAGGTGAACCCACTTGTCTTTTGGATAATTGGTTGATCGCTATGAAAGAAAATGAAAAGGAATGTGAATTGAAGGGTAAACCTGCTCCTCATAAGTTCTCTAATCGTGAAATTGCTTTAACTATCTTGACTTTCTTATTTGCTTCTCAAGATGCTACTTCTTCTGGTCTTACTTGGACCTTCCAACTTTTAGCTGATCACCCCGAGGTTATGAAGAAGGTGTATGATGAACAGGATCGTATTCGTGCGGATAATCCTGATCAGCCTCTTACCTTTGAATTAATGGAGAAATCGGTTTATTTGCGTCAAGTTGTTAAGGAATCTCTTCGTCTTAAACCTCCAGTCTTAATGGTTCCTTATCAAACACATAGAGATTATCCTATTTCTGAAGACTACACTATCCCTGCTAATTCTATGGTTATTCCCACGACTTACCCTGCTCTTCATGACCCTGTCGCTTATCCTAACCCTGATTCATTTGATCCTGATCGTTGGGGACCTGAAGGATGTGCAGAAAATTATCCAAAGAATTTCATGGTCTTTGGTAATGGACCTCATCACTGTCTTGGTAAAGAATATGCTATTCTTCACTTGATGTCTACTATTGCACAAGCTACACAAAGACTTGAGTTTAAACATTATCCTACACCCGATTCTGACACCATCTGGCTCTTTGCTACTACTTATCCTAAGGATGAATGTCATATGAGTTTCCATCCTAGAACAAAGAGACCTTTTACTATTTAAATTAGAATTTTTTTTTTTATTTTATTTTAAAATTATTCTTTTCTTTTTATTAGACTTAATTATTTATATAATATTTCTGTACACATATCCCCTTATTTGTTTCATTTCAATTTCTCATTGTTTTATATTTACCCCTCTAATTTAAATAAATAAATAAAATAAAATAAAAAAATAAAAATAAAAAAAAAATTTTTTTTTTCCTCCTACAATAAAAACGTGTCAAATTAATTTCATGTCCGTGCGGCGGCAGTAATGATAAAATAATACCCCAAATAATGATAATAATGATAACAATGATAAAATTTGACTCACTAAGCCTGTCTTTATTATGTAATAAATTATCTAATATATGTAAAATGACTTTCTAAACCCTACCATTTTTCATATATTGAGAAGGGGGGGGGAGGGAGGGCGAAGTTATAGTAGTTGAAGTATATGTTATTCTCTATCGGAGTTACTCAAATAGATATTATTATGTACTGTTTTTTATTGTTCTCTTTCTCCATTCGGTTTTTTATTTGTAATATACAAATTATGCTTTTTCATTTGTCAGTTTGATTTAATGAAGTGCGTCACACTATTTTTCCCCCTATATAATTATTCATTTATTATTTTTTTTTTTTTATTGTATTGAAATTTCCTTTTTTTTTTTTTTTTTTTTTTTTGAATAAAAATAAAAATGCCACGACCCTTAAGTGATTCCTGGCAATATTTCGAATTATTAGCCCCTGATAATGGTAGAAATAGAAAGGCAAGATGTACTTTTTGTGGACACGAACAAGCAGCGGGTATAACTAGACTTCACCAACATTTGCTTTATCGGTGTTCAAGGATAAGTGCCGATATCCGTGACCACCTTAGGCAAAAACAAGAAGATAAAAGTAAAGGGAATATAAAATCCCCTAATAACTCAGATATGCTCCAACAACGTAGTACCACATTTCAGCCATCCTCTTTGCCGCCACTACCAGTACCACCACCACCACCACCACCGCCACAGCAACACCAGCAGCCATCACCATCATCACCACCACCACCAACACAGCAACAACAACAACAACAACAACAACAACCACAACAACATCAGCAACAGCAACAGCAACAGCAACAGCATCAACAACAACAACAACAGCAACAGCAGCAGCAGCAGCAGCAGCATGTTGAATATCATTTTGATTCTACTTTACAAAATACCCTTAATCATCATAATTCTTACTATGAGACTGCTAATAATGGTAGCAATACCTCGACTAGTGGTAATAATAATACACTTTCACCTACTACCACTACCACTCATTTCTCTACTTCACAACATCCTCTTACCTTTCAATCGAATTCAAATAATAGCTTAGGAGGCTTGACAACGCCTTCTTCAATGTCTCAACAAACTGATAATAATCGATCCCAGGCTATGCTTGATTGGCAACTTGCTCGTGCCTTATTCTCAGCCAACATACCATTTGAATCGATTGAACATCCACTGATGATTGATTTCTTTAAACGATTGCAGCCTAATTATGTTGTACCGAAAGGAAAGCGTCTACTACAATATTTACTCAAGGAACAGCATTGGGATTTAATTCAATGGGACGATAACCGTCAACAACAAAGGTTATCCCCAGGACGTATGATAAACAACACAACAACGACAACAACAACAACAACAAATCGATTATTATCTTCACTTCACTCACCTACAACTGATCTTGATGGAAGTTTATAGATTGTATATATTATTATTGTTTTTTTTTTTTTTGATATGAATAAAATAAATAGAAACACAAGGCCAATAAAAAAAAAATACATATTCATATGCGTATATTTATTTATTTATTTACTTGTATTTTTTTTTTTTTTTTTTTTTTTAAAAAAAAATTCCTTCTTTAATATATTTAATAATGGAATCACAACTTACAGATGAAGAATATGATTTCCAAGAACCCATTATAATACCTACTGATAGTTTTATAAGAAAAAGAAAACAAATGGAGAATGAGGACGATGAAGAAGAGAATGAGGATGAAAATGAGGTGACATTGTGTCCACTATGTCAAACTAGTTGGACTAACACAGGCAATCATCGCATTGTCAATTTAAAATGTGGACATGTTTTTGGTAAAATGTAAATCAAGAAGATAATGCAAGCATGTTTACATGACTCACCTTTTTTTTTTTTAAAAAAAAAAATAGTTGTATAGATGACCATATAAAAGACATGATGTCGAAATCTTTGAATGCTACTTGTCCTACATGCCAGTATGTGTGTGTGCGTTTTTAAGAGAAAGAGAGACTTTTAATTCAATATATCATATCTAATATCACTCTATAGTAAAAATATAACAAAATCTGAACCGAGAAGAATATGGCCAACAAAGTTAATACCCGAGAATGAAGACGATCTTCAGTCCATAAGACAAGAAATACAAAATGCAAAAGAAACTTTAAATCATCTAATTCAACAAAATCAAGTAATCAAGGCAGAAATTAATCAATATAAAATTCAGTTAAATGAACTTCAACCTTTAAATGTCATACAAGATCTAGTGAATAACAGTCAATTCACTGTGCCAAAACAAGATAAAAAACAAGGACAATTTATATTACAACAGAAAATTGCATTACCAAAAGAAGTAAGATTATAATAGACTATAGCCCTCTCTCTTTTTTTTTTTTTTTTTTTTTTTTTTTTTTTTAATTAATTAATTAATTAATTACTTTTCATAGAATTACGGTATTATAGATGTATATCCTTTTACTTGTATGGCCGTTGTATCTACATACAAGTCATCCAATCAGACTTATGGATTAAGGAAGTTTAATTTATATGATCCAGCAATCACAGAATTTGTACCTACAAATCATACAGATACAATACGCGATATAAAGCATGCATCGTCACAAGAGATGGTCTTAACAACTGGTGATGATAAAACACTTAAACTGATTTCAGTATCAAAAAACCTTGTTGTTCAATCGTAAAGCTAAACTTTATTAAAAAAAAAAAACCCAAATCTCTATCTCTCTTTTCTGTTCTGTTCTAAATTATATATTATAGATATCAACTAGACGCACCCTCACTCACTTGTTGTTTTGATGAAAGAAATTCAAATTTACTTTATTGTGGATTAGTAACAGGAGAAGTAATGATGTATGACATTCGAAATACAAAGACCTATTTGCACAAGCTAAAGAAACCAATATCCCCACGACCTATTCGATCTATTTTTTCATATCATCATTCTATTATTTGTTCAGATGATAGCGATTTTTATACATGGTCTTTAATGACTGAAGATGATAGTACATATCAATATAATTCTCTACATCTCGACTCGGACAAAAGGAATGAGTTTATTTCCGTGAGCTATCATGATACTACCTTCTATACAGTAACTTGGGATCAAATAGCACAGGAACAAAATCATTGTGTTAGCCATATAGATAATAATAATAATCAAATAGCACAAGATTGGACGTTTACAACTAAAACAGTCCAACAGAAAGAAAGTCTTTGGAGGAATACAACACATTTTAAGAGAGATGATGACATTTTAATTTGCTACTGTCATGGTGATAATCAGGTTAGTTACAAAAGAAAAAAAAAGCAGTAACAGATCAAAACTAAAAAAAAAAAAAAAAAAAAAAAAAAAAAAAATACATTCATATACAAATTTCTAGATTGTAATAAGAGATAAAGAAAAAGAGGTTCAATCATTTCGTATTGATGGAGATAGAATTAATGATGTAGTACACACAAGCATAAATCAGTCTGAACTTCTAATAACTTTATCAAATAAAGAATTACAATTATACAAACTTTCATAATTTACATTAGCCAATAAAAATTCATAAAAGCATGAATAGACAGTTTTATTATTATTATTAAACAATGCACATACAAAAAAAAAGGCTTAATTTCCTATTTGTATACAAATATGTATATGTATATATATAATTTTTTTTTGTTTTCCTTCTTTCCCGTTGTATAATGTATAAAATGGAAAAATATTATTCTGTACTTTTAGATAGAATTGAAACGATTCGTGATCGTAATCAATCAACTGAAAATATTACAACAATTGCGGGCGCCTTAGCAGCAATAGGTTTTGCTACTTATTGTATTAAACGACTCTTTTCAAAGGATAAAAAGACTAAAACAAAACAAGCAAAAGAATATGAAACTATACCTTCTCCAAAGGGGGCCATCTATTATTTAGGTATATGAAAGAGAGTTGAGAGATAGTGGGCATATACAAACTCTTTAATCGAGTTATATAGGTCATACTCCTCTTTTGGGTAAAATACCGGCTCATAGAATTACAGAATGGCATAGGCAATTAGGACCTATCTTGCGTATTCAAATGGGTGTGCAGGATTGGGTCTTTATTAGTGATCCTTATATGGCGCATGATCTATTTGCTACACAAGGAACAATAACTTCAGGTAGACCTTACTTGACCTTTGGTAATGGCATTGCAGGTATTGGTGGAAGGTATAGAGATTTAGAGATAGTGCAAGTCTTTCCTTTCTTAATGAGTTTTTTTTTATCATTATTATTATTATTATTAGAGGAATTGTCTTTGCTGATTATGGCAAGAAATGGAAAAACGCTCGGACAGCGATTTTGAAAATTCTATCACCTAAATCAGTGGATGGTTATGAAAGCACAATCGAATGTGAGGTAGAACGCACCGTTCAACAACTGATAGAGCAGACCAAGATGCATGGTTATGTTAATCCAATCCCCTTTGTTCGTTGCTTATCCATGAACATCATCTTACAAGTTGGCTTTGGTATCTCGGGCGTATCTTCTCCTGACGATCCATTATTTAAAGAACTTGTACATATTATTAAAACTTCTCTCTATTTTACGGGTGCCTTTCGTGATATGAGTACCTATTTCCCATTCTTTTCCTTCTTGGACGTTATTTTTAGAAGAAAACAAAAAATGAAGGCATTCTTTTATAATGACTATTTTCCCTTATTTCAACGATTAGTGAAAATGGCCCGAGAAAGCGATCAAGACAATCTAGTAAAAAAAATAGATAATATCAAAGACGATTTAGAAATTGATGACAGAAATCTTACTGCTATTATGAGTAAGTATACATGATTTATTTTATTTTATTTTATTGTATTTTATTTTATTTTAAAAAATAATCACATATACAAGGTGAAGTTCTCATAGCTGGTGGTGATACAGTATCAGTAGCAGCCTCATTTACCTTTGCTATTTTATGTCATTATCCAGATATCCAACAGAAGCTAGCAAATGAAATAGATGATTTTATTAGAAAATATCATCGTATTCCTAGATTTGATGATCGACTTGAGCTTCCCTATTATATTGCATTCCAAAAGGAATGTTTAAGATATCGTCCTGCTGTTTATTTTAGTATCCCTCGTAAAGCAAACCAAGATGGTAATATATATGTATATACATAGATTTATACACTTTATTACAGACATCAATATTAACAAGTCTTTATATGAATAGTAATTTACAAGCATTTTATTATACCTAAAGGGACAATCATGGTCAGTAACATTCACACTTTACATAATGATAGTACAATTTTTCCACACCCTGAAAAGTTTATTCCTGAACGCTTCTTAAATGACACAAGAACAATGTACGCATCTAGTAATGGAAACATTCAAAATAGAGATATTTATCTATTTGGATGGGGTAGACGTATTTGTCCAGGCATCTATTTGGTATATTATTATTATTATATATGCATGTGTGTGTGTGTGTGTGTGTATGTGTTTTCTACAACATGATTAATCAATTGCTCTTCTTTTTATAGGCTGAAAATGAACTTTTTAATTTAGTAACAAAAGTCATGGCTCGTTGTAAAATCGAACCTACCATTTCACCTACAGGAGAGGCTATATATCCAGACTTGAATGACTTTAAAGATGATGGTGCTACTTTGGTTCCTAGTCCTTTTTATATTCATTTTACTGAACGTGAAAATAAATTAGTTTTTTAAAATGCTTTATTTATAATATTTATTAATATAATGTCATTATTATTATCCTAAGGGATCAAATGCATGCAAACTCATTTTTGTTACTTGTGGCAAATTATTATTATATAAAGGCTTATTAGATGACGATGATGGCGACATAGGCTTCAATAAACCCATATTAGGTGATAATGGTATCATTGAAGGCTGTTGCTGGATGCTTGTGTTTGATAAAGAAGTATTTGTAGTAGATGATAAGTCTCTACTAAATGCATTAGAGTTAACACTACTATTATTAAATGAGGTTGGTGATTTAATTGGAGGAATTTGTTGTTGATTTACAGGAATTGGGTTCTGTAAAGACAGTGAAGTCCGATTAGACGATGTAGGTGTTAATAGAGTAGTAGTAGTAGTAGTAGTAGCATTTGAAACGCGATTATTTTGTGGTGATATTTTATTTGACTTATTTATTGAAGCAGTAGGCTTTAATGAATTCCACGTTGAGTTATAACTACTAGGACTAGGACTAGTAGTGTGTTGAGGCTTTAATGGTGAAGAAATAAGAGTTGTCGGTTGACTCATATTGGTGGCTGGAGACCAAGTGTTGGTAGATAATGATGGTGATTTTTGTTGTGGGGATATGACATGAAGAGAGTTATGATCATTATTATTGTTCATTAAATTTCCAAACATATCATTCTCAGTAGAAGAATTCAAGTTATTACTATGATTGCTATTATTTCTTTGAACAAGAGCCTCAAATGATAGGGTTGAATCACCATTTAAAGTAGATTGCTGATTCTTTGAAAGCTGAGATGATACTATTTCTGCTGAATTACTTACACTACGTGTCTGTTCTTCTAAGGCTTTTACTTCTTGTAAATGCTTTGTGTGAGCTTCTTCTACTCTGTTTGTTAAATCATGAATTGTTTTCATAAATTTTTTAAACTATTCAAATACATCAGTTAAGTATACTAATCATAACTTTGCTAACATTTCTTCTTACCTGCTCCAAATTTAATAAAGGTCCAAAACTCATTCTCCATAATTGGGGTAAAATTTCTGTAGCAATAATTTCTTTATCAGCAGTTTTCCCTATCTCATCATAAACAGCTAAAGTAGCCAACTTATATACATAAACGTATATATTAGTTTTATCAAAAAAAAAAAAGAGTATATTTAATGGCTTGGTTTACCATCACAGCAGGCTCTTTTGTCTTGATATTTTTCAGTAAAGGAACTAATTTCTCTTGTACTGTGAATTTATCCAATACTTTTATCATGGCATGAAAACATATAAGTGTGCTCACTTTTACAGATAAAATAGTCGTTTGTACAAAAACAGTTTGAACTCGAGGTAATAAAGAGCTTTTAATAGCCGTATAGTCTAATGATTCGGCTAATGATGGAATAATTCTTAATGCTTTTTCTTGAACAACTGAAGCAGTGCTTTCTAATGCAGCATAAACCAATGGCATTACATCTATCAATTATTATAAGTTGAAAAGCTAACACTTTAAATATATCTAAATCTAGAAATACCATCACGAAATATTTCTCTAGGCGTCTTTTCCTGCAAGACATCTAATTTTTCTAATAAAACAATCATATTCTGTGGCGGATCTCTTACTTGGAACACATGTTTTAAAGAAGGAAGAACCAGATTGCAAAACTCTTGTTGAGATAATTTTTGTGTGATAAAAAATATATTAGGAATTGTGTAAGGTAACAATTGATTATCTTTTAGCTCTTCTAACAGAGAAGGCAAAATCTATATTGTATAATATAAATAGATGTATATATCAAGACCCATCTTTTCTTTTCTTTTCTTTTTTTTACCTTTCTTTTAAGGACTCTTTCGGGAAATTGAACCAAAACACGTGATAAGCCCTTCATAAACTGAGCCTTTTCTTCTTTTGTCTTTTCAGGAAAACTTTCCAAAAATTTCATTGTAGAAACAAGTAAATTATCGAAATATTTGGAATTTTGAAAACTAATAGGATCCATTCTCTGATTTGGATATCTCGTTAATAATGATCGAATAACATCTTGAAGATGTGCTGGCATATTTGAAAATGAATTTGATCGAATACTTTTAATTTGATTTTCATATGCATGAAAGCTATTAAATGTTTTTAATATTGAAATGCCTTTGTTATGAACTGCATATGCTAAGCAGCCTAAAGAGAACATGTCATTGGCTTGTGAAATATTATTATCAATCACAAACTCAGGTGCTATAGTAGCAAAATAGAGGAGTTAATTCTTCATGATATCTATCTATATAAATATGTATGTATAGATTTGATTTACCTGCATAGTCAAGATTGACTTTAGATGCTTCAGGTAAAAAATCATTATTTTCATAGCCAAAACTTTCGCTTGAATTCTCCGTATTCAAAAATATGCTAAATCCCAAGCTATACATATCCAATTAGTATATCTTCTCTGACTCTATACATAGTAGTAGTATTATTATTACCCTCCAATTTTCCAATCACCCTATTCAATATAAAAGAATAAGCGTTTATATCCATCTATAGTATTCCTAAACACACACACACACACACACTTACTTTAGCATTAACAAATATAGCATCCGTTGTGAGATTATGATGAACAACTTTAACATCATTTAAAAATTGAAGACCTTTACCCACTTGTAGTAAACCTTTTTGAATCTGAAAATAAAGGTAAAGTTCAGTTACAAGCTGTGATAAAGTTGACAAGTTTATACCTCTAGTTCATCAAGTTCCAGAACTGATACTTGTGAATCTGAAGAATAGTGCTCATCGCTTTTAATTAAGTGAGTTAAGCAACCTATAAGAGGCTCAGTAACAAAGACAATTGAGCTACGTGATTCACCCAATGGTTCAACAACTTCAAGAATAGAGGGATGTCTTAATCTCGCTAAATTACTAGCCTAAAATGGACCTTTAATTAAAAAAAAAAAGAAAAGGTACTATTCTTTTTCTTAACTTGAGTATAAACATTATAAATATATTACCTCTTTTTTCAAATGTTCATATATATATTCTATATCATGTTTTGAAGAACCACGGTCTCGTTTAAAAATAGAATCTAATATCTTTTTTTCAAAAATCTAATTTATTATAAAAGAAATAATCTAAGTATTAAATAATTCCTATCAGAAAAATAACTGCATCTAATTTGGTGCATTATGCAACTTACAAATACAGCTACTTTTTTACCAGTTGTCTTCCTTTCACCCTGATAGATCTTCCATAAACCAGCGGTCGATATCTGATGTTTAATTTCATATCGAGATGTTATTGAATTAGTTAAAGAGCTTATAAAGGAATAAAAGGCTGAACTCATAATTTATAATTGTGAAAGTGTTGTGCTGAAGAAATTATACAAGAAAAAACAAAACAAAAAAAAAAAAAGTAAAAAAAAAATAGGCTTATTATTGTTTGTTCAACGACTAAGAAAAGAATAAAACTGCTGCTGTGACTAAAATTTAATAATAATATTTTTATCTAAAATGAGAATTTTTTTTTTTTTTTTTTTTTTTTTCCAGATCAAATACTGCTAGTGGTCAAAAAGGAGAGGGAAAAAGTGTTTAGTTTACGAAACTCGTTAAGATTTTTTTTTCATTCATTTTCCTTTTCTTTTAGGCGTATATAAAAATCTTTTACCTTGGAGGTCTATCGTGTTTCATAGTTAAATACGCTTCTCTTTTGAAGGGTCGTGAGTCTTGTACGTCTTTAAACGTTTTAAGCTCGCCATTCTCATAAGTGAGACACAAACTAGAGTGAAAGATTTGAAATTTAAGAACGAAAGCTTTGCAGTAACAATAGCATTTGACCTAAATCTTTTTACGAAGCTTCTTGTACTTTCTTAACTTTGTTTCTAAAATCCTTTAGTTACTGGTGTACTAATACGTCTTCTTTTCTTGACTGAGGGGAGGAATGCTATCTTCATGCATGTCACAACAGCCAGTGCCAATCAGCATACACTTGCCAACATTAACTAATAATTTTTTTCTTTCTGTAACTTTTATACATACTTGAATTCTTCTTCTACTACTACCGTTACTTTTATTTTATCGCTATCTCTATTACCTTACTTTCTTGTATCATAATCCTGTTTCAATATTCACATACTTACGCTATCTGTGTAAAGTAAGAATATAAGCCGTAATAGAGAAAAAAAAAGTTATTGTGTGCACTAATCATTCTCTACTCTATATTTGTTTTCATTATTATTTTGATAAAGTTTTTAATATTGTATATTATTTATTAAAATTATCTGTAAAGTATTAGCATCTTGTTATTTTACCTACTTTTGCTTATTAATATTAATATACGGATTTGCATAAAAATACGATCAATTTTTTTTTTTTTTTTTGATTGTGACTGACTTTAAAACACATAAGCACAAATGTGGATTATCTCGCTTCATTCCTTTTTTTCTTTCTTTCTTTCTTTATTTATTTTCTATTCATTAAATTAATGAGTGATTTTGATATAACAAATATTCGAGGAAAGGATTCCTTTCTTGCTTCCTTAAAAAAACGCAAGTAGAAAAGCTTCAATTAGCGTTAGTTTATTACGTATACACATATTTATCAACGTCTTTTATAATTATTATTTACTATATACAGGGAAAGCACTCGGCTTGTCAGAGTCTGATTCTGATTCTGAAGAAGAAAATAGAGTATCGAATAAAAGATCCAAAAATAACAAGTTATTTGGGCTAGATCTATTAGATGATGATGAAGTGGATAATGATCGATTAGGACAGAATGATCATGATGCAATGTCAAATGAGTCTATCAATAATAGCAGCAATACAGATACACTAACGTTAATACTGGATGATAACGAACTTACATCTTTACCATCGCAACAACAACAACAACAACAAGAAGAAGAAGAAACAAAAACAAATCTTAATCCTTTCCTTTCTCAAACATCAGAGCTTGAATATCTAGAAGTCATATCCGAACCGTCTTTTACACAATCGTTATTAAAAAACAACCATGATAGAGCTAGTCCTTTAGCATCCACTTCAAAAAAAGTAACAACTAAAATAGACAAAAATATTCCTGTAATGTAAGTTTGTGCATGTTAAATAATACAAATCAAGATGTATTCATAATTATTTTCAGTGATTTGTCTGACGATGAAAACAATGAGGAATTTAATATACCAGATGCAGATATTGACGATCTAGATCCTGATTTAGCTGCAATAATGTCAAATAATTCAACACTTTCTTCTTCTTCACCAGCTGTGGATGAAAGTCAGCCACAAAAGATATATCTTAAAATTCAATATGAAGTACCCAATCTTGATACATTAAGTGAATTAGCGAAATCAGAAGTGCTGAAGAGATTAAAGCCTGTTAAAATGTTAATTCTGGATGTAAGCATATACATGTATACAGTTATGAAAAAAAAAAAAATAGACGCAATCAGTACTAATAAATTTATAGAATCTTCAATTCGGTAAAGTTTTAGATAGCTTTTGTAAGCATCGAAATTTAATAAAGACAGATATGGTTCTTGTATATAATGGTGAACGTGTTTACCCAAGCGCAACACCAGCAGGTATAGGTATGAGCGTGACTAAAACAAACTCTATGTGTAAGTATTTGTGAATTTTAATTATTTACATAGATCAATCTATTAATTTTATGTTAGTTGTTTACCCCATGAGTAGCTATGCTTATTTATTAGAGAAAAGGCAGCAAGAAAAAGAAGAAAAGATGAAACAATTAGCAATACAAAAAGAAGATGACATATTTGATCTAGCCAAGTTTGAGTCCTTTAATGAAAATAAAGCAAATGATGACAATAATGAAAACAAATTAGTTCTTACGTTAAGAGGAAATGACAATGATGTTCGATCTTTCCGAGCAAGACCTGTAAGTATTACAAATATGTGTATATAGAGTAGAAAAATTTATATATAAAGATTACTTATGCCTTTATAATCTAGACCACTCGTTTACAAACCATCATTTTAGATTATAAACAGTTGAAAGGAATCACAGCAGATATTAAATTATCTTTTGAAGGTGAAATATTAGATCCTAATTTGACTATTGAGGAAACAGAATTAGAGGATGAAGATCTTATTGAAGTTATTACTTAATAAATATATTATTTATTAAGAATGTAAATGAGTTGGGTATAATAATATCAAAAAAAAAAGAGAGAGATTACTGGTAGATTATTCATAAAAATTAATTTCAATCTAATTGTATAAAAAAAAAAAAAAAAAAAAAAAAAAAAAAAAAAGATGAAGGGGATTAATATACATGTAGTCACTCAATTCCACGACTAATTTTACTTACAAAGAGAAATGCTGACTTAACTGGGTTGGATATAGATAAAGATTGTGGATAATAAATAGTCGTATTTTCTGTTTCAATAAAAGCTAACAATTGTTTTATAACCTAATGAATAAATATAATAAATGAATATAATAAATAAAAAGGTCGTATAAAAAGTAAATTTACTCTTTGATAATGAGTTGAAAAGAATATTGGCCAAATATAAATTGTAAGAATTTCGATTATATTTTCAAGTACAACATGCCAAGTTAGTCTATCAGCATAATCCATAATTTTATTAATTTCGTTTATTGTGTGAAGAAATTGTTCAGTTGTAATCTAATAAAATAGATAAGCAACACATAGTAACAAGTAGATTCGATACTTACTCTTCCGGTTAGTTCAGTCGGATATTCAGTATTAAAACGAGTAATGCCATCACCTAATGAATAATCACGCTCAATTCGTATAGTTTTTATTGGAACTCGATCTTTAATCGAAATGACTTGATGAGCATCTATCATGGCATAATTATGCTTATCGTTAATAAGCGTTGCAGAACCTATTGTTGACGACAGATTGAATGACTATAAAGGGGAGTGAAAAAAAAAAAAAAAAAAAAAAAAAAAAAAAAAAAAAAAAAGAGAGATAAAATTATGGATACACGAAAAAAAAAAAATTGCGTCATTTAAAATTTTAATTTTAGTAGATCAAAAAAAGGGTACACAATCAACAAATGAAGAATAAGCGATACCAATGACTACACAAATAATTGTTGTCAAACTTTAATAAAATATTAACAAAGTTAGTAATAAAGGTAATTAATTTAATTAATGCTTGTTTAATATAAATAAACAATAAATCCATACTGTAAATGGTAAAAACCACATTTATCTTTATAATGAATCAAAATGACATACTTCTAAAGTATATAAACTGCTTAATTTTTCTGTATATGTGTAATTATTTTTTTTTATTTATTTAATTTTTTAAACAAGTTCTATTAGAAAGAAAGATTTACTCTTGTTATGTATCATAAAAGGCTTCTATTTCTTCTTCTTAGTACTTGGTGGTTTATCTTTCAATTTTTAACTGTTCAAGCTATTGAAAGCAAGAAAGTAGCTATTGGTTATTTCCCTAATTGTAAGTATAGATAGATCTAGGTTTTATATGTATGTTAAATTGATATATTAATGAATAGGGCTTGGTGATAGTTATCCTATCTCGAGAATTCAATTTGATAAGCTTACTCATATTCATTATGCTTTTGCTATTATGGTTAAAGGTGCTGTACCTGAATGGACTGATCCACAGTTAGTTGAAACTCAACTTGCTGAACTTGTTACCGCGGCACATAAAAGAAAAACAAAGGTGCTCATCTCCTTAGGTGGTTGGACAGGAAGTATATCATTTAGGTAACTCATTCTTATAAAGTATTTTATTTTTATCGTGCTGAGCATCATATACTACAGTGAAATGGCTAAAAGCCCTTCTAAAAGAAAAGAATTTATTAACTGGAATATTGAACACATTTCAAAATATAATACGGATGGTGTCGATATCGGTAAGCTAATATTATATATATTCATCATATTGGATTTCATGTATTCATATATTACCTAGACTGGGAGTATCCTGGAAGACAAGGCGCTGGTTGTAATGTTGTAGATCCTGAGAACGATGTTAAAAATCTTTTAACCTTAATTACGGAATTACGTAAAGCTTTAAATGATAAATTTGGAAAGGGTTCTAAAGAAATTTCAATTGCCAGTTATACTGAAGCTTTTAAGACTGAATCTGGCCCCTCAAATCCTCATCTTACTGCTTCTATTGGGAAAGCCCTTGATAGAATTAACATCATGACATATGATATGAATGGTGCCTGGAATCCACAAACAGGTCCTAATTCTCCTTTGAAATCAGCCAATATTAGTTTCATATCTTCTATCGATTTTTGGATTTCTTTAGGTGTACCTGTTAATAAACTTGTAGGTGGTTTAGCTTTCTATGGTAGATCAACAGGTATAATATGAAACAATGATTATATTTATATATATAAACCCTTTACACTAAAACGAAAAAAAAACTCCCCTTCTTTTTTTAAAATAGTTGCTAAGGGTGACATGACTAAATCTAATTCTATCTATCAAGATCAAATTCAAAATAATATACCTAAAGGTGATTCAGCAGATACATTATGGCAAGATCCCTACTGTAAGCAGTCTCCTGCCAGTTTTTCTGGTATTTGGAAATTTGATAGTTTATTATCTCAGGGTCTTTTAGAAACTCCTATTAAAGCAAAAGCTCCTTGGGTTCGTACCTTTGACAAAGATACTGCTACTCCTTGGCTATTTAATCCTTCCACTAAAATATTTATTTCTTACGATGACCCTATCTCAATTGAGGCCAAGGTAAATGCAGCAAAAAGAAAAGGTATCGGAGGTGTCATGGTTTGGTCAATCGATCAAGATTCCAATGAAAATGATTTATTGAATGCATTAGCTAAAATTCATTCTTAAAAAGGAAACAAAAAAGATATATTTTTTTTTCCATTTAGAAGAAGATAACATTGTATTGTATACATAAATTGAAACTTAATAAAGTAAATATTAACATACTATATTATTGCCTAAGTTAATTTAAAAAAAAAAAATTCTTAAGAAATAAAAATAATACTATAATATAGACAATTTACTTTATAAAGAATAATGCAAATAGTAGGTCAGTGGGTAAATTATATAGGTAATTTTTATTGAACTTGGGTTTTTTGTGTGTAAGCTAATTCAAAAAGTAGAATATAGAGTCTTTAATAGTAAATAATCGTGGGGTATGGAGATTGTTTATTACTAGATAGTCATCTTAGTCACTATTGTGTATATCGACTTTTTTTTTTTTTTTGCTATAAAGATTGTAGTTGTTTTTATAGTTAATCATATAATAAAGAAACAGTTACTCAAATAGAACTATTACATCAGAATTGATAACAGTTATTATTAGAGACTTTAAGTATATAATAGTTATTATACATTGTATTAGGTGTGACATTTTATTAGATTTAACTTTAATAGAATATACTGTTAACATAATCAAGTAATCTAGCCTTCATAATTACACATATTAACCAGATGTTTGTATATCGTCTTCTTTAATTAATATTAAGGTTCATCGTCATTAGTCGTACAAGCACTTTCGAATCAAGGTATATCATAACACTGATCATCTGAACAGTATACATAATTGGATTAAACTGTCTTTAAAGGTGTTTAATTAACAAGTATAGATATGTCCATTATTGTAATGAATAACTATGTCAAGTATTGATTAATAGTCTTATATTACTACTCTTTGACTTAATAAGATAGCTTCATATATCTTGTTGAATGGTCTATAATTGATGATTTTTTCTTTTGGCTTAAACAAGGTAACAATAATTGCCCTATGAATTGTTTTAACCTTCTATAATAGATAAATATTTTATTGACCAACTACATTTTGTTTATATTATAGTTATAAGAAGTAATAAAGTTTTCTAATATTAGTAAAACTAACTTGCAATCTTTCATACCTACTCTTGAAACATCTATAGAAACTATTGACTTTAAGCTCGCTAATTCCAATATTACTTTAAATACTGACACCACCCACTCTAATCAAACAGTTGCAATAAACGGTTTAATTCCTCATCTCTAAACTCGCAAAAGCTTGTGCCGAAATCCAAAAGTTGACCATTTATGTTGCAAATTTATAATACCTTCCCGCTACAACTTTCCAATGCTTGCTGTCACTACCTACTATGTTTAAATCTCAGGATTTTTCGCCGTTACCTTCAACCCAAGAGTCTGTATCAGCAATTTCTAATTTACCCAATACACTCCAGGGCATGATTCTAATAAAATTCACTTTATCAAGCAACCACTTTTTCTGTAACCGTTAAAAGCATATAATTCAATAACAGGAGACTGCAGCTCGCTTCTTTCAACCACATTCTATCAATCAGAGATTTAGATGCATCTATATTCTTACAAAAGCTTGTGTACCATCTTCAAAGATCCTGAATATGCTGAACTTTCTCCATCTGATTGCAATGATCAAGTTGCCCCCTTTCAACAACAGCGATCTAAAAAACTTATCCAATATATTCGTCCTCTTATTACTAAATGTTTCAAGAACTGACAATGAATCCACCGAAACTACTTATAGAGAAAATCATTACCATTAGATTCTCCAAAACAGAGGATGTATTTCGACTAGCAACTATTCAAGCTGCACATCCCAGTAATGATTACAATTCAGACGAGATACTACTGAATTTCGATGAGGAAATCGAAGCATTATAAAAACCTCTAACTTCTTTTCAATAGCACTAGATGAGAAGTATATCAATATCATAATTTAATGCAAACGGTTTACTAAAACAATCAATCGATCCTATTCTCAATATTACAAAATTTACGTCCTTAATTTTTCATAATTAAAACATAGTTATTTTCTTCAAATCAATAGTCAATAATATGAAAACAATTTTACACTTATGGTCTTCCAGTTAATTCTTATAATCAATATCGTTTTGTTCTTTTAGTTAATCCTCAATTTAATTTACATATACACCATCTCTCATATTCCCACCCACTATTATCTCAATATACACTTCTTGTAGTGCTGGCATCTAATATTTTAATTTATTATCTTTTTTTTTTCTTTACCCCCTCTCCAGATCATACTATTTTATAGGATATACTAGCTATTTTACTTATGCCTACTCCCTTCAACAACTTTGACCATTATTTGTGGCGATTTAAACACCTGGATGAGCAGTATAACTAATGACTCTTTAACAAATAATCGAGAATGAATCATTTCAAACCGGCTCGAATCCACTAACTTTATCCTCTGGGATACAAAACTAACTTATAGAAAACCAACATCTTGCACATTTCATGGAACAGGTAGTATCGATTAATTTATTAGTGACTCTGAACTTACTACACATTATGATAAGCTCTTCCCTTACCCGCCCCCCCTTCTATTGAAAATCTTGGCTCCAAGTTGCTGCGATGGTTGTTTAACAATTGAAGCTAGTGTATCATCCTTCATTTTTTATAACATGTGTATATCTTTCTTTTACCTCTTCATTTCCCTCCTCCCTCTCTTTCTTTCTTTTTTTTTAACTTGTATCTCTTACAAGGGGTTTTTAGTTTCTTTTTTCTCTATTATTTTATTGAGCTGATCTGGGCAATAATCTAATATCATTTAGATACTATGTGCTCATAAAGATCAAAAATTTAATTATGTAATTAAAAAAAAAAAAAATATTTGTGTGTATACATGTACATGCTTCATAAAACTTGTCTTAATTTAAAATTAATTTCCGATCCGGACATTATAAAGAATATAGGGGAGGGTGAAATAAACGGAGTTTCCATAGTAGATCATTATTCCCAGTCTGTATACAAAGTTTAGTTCCTTCAGAACAACGAGGATTCCTTCTCTGTTCATTTAAGTCTAAAAAGGTGAGATTTAATCCAATATAGAGTAATCCATCCATAATCCAAATCAAACAAAAGAAATGAAAGAAAAAAAAAAAAGAAAGAAAGAAAGAATAAAGAAAAAAAGGGGGCAGCAAAGGATATTTGGAATAGGGTTTTGGACTTGAAGGAGACTTTAAACTCTATTATGAACATCGCAATTGACTAAATTTATAATTTCGTTTAGAATCGCTTACCATGCAGATTTTCGTTAAGACCCTTACTGGCAAGACTATCACTTTGGAAGTCGAGAGGTAAATAAATTCGCTTTAACCGCTACGAAAAAAAAAAACGATAAACAAAAGAGAAAACAAAAATGTCTTTATGTTTTCTAAAACTGAATGACAAATAAAGTAAATGCATTGTACTAAATGTATCTCTTTTTATTTAAACAGCTCCGACACCATTGATAATGTCAAGCAAAAGATTCAAGACAAGGAAGGTAAAGATTCGTACTAAAAGTTGAAAGTCATTTATGATAACAGTTGTACACGAAAAATGCATGAGATGAAGAGAAAAAAAAAGAAGTATAAAGGAAAATATAGTTAATGAAACACAACCAAATAAAAGAAAATGCTATCATTTTGGAAGGGTCATTTTCTTGATAATGTGTATATTTCCTTTCTTTTGTTTTTTCTCTCTATCTTTTGTACGAAAATTAAAACAAATTACTAATAATCGTATTTATTTTATTTTAGGTATTCCTCCTGATCAACAACGTCTTATTTTCGCTGGTAAGCAACTCGAAGATGGTCGTTCCTTGAGTGACTACAACATCCAAAAGGAATCTACTCTCCACTTGGTCCTCCGTCTTCGTGGTGGTATTATTGAACCCTCTCTTAAGGCTTTAGCTTCCAAGTATAACTGTGACAAGATGATCTGTCGTAAGTGTTACGCCCGTCTTCCTCCTCGTGCTACTAACTGCCGTAAGAGAAAGTGTGGTCACTCTAACCAACTTCGTCCTAAGAAGAAGCTCAAATAAATTATTCGAGCTTTATTATTTTATTCTTTTTTTTTATTAATTTGAATAAAATGATAGAAAAAAAAATTTTTTTTCTTTAATAATGCCACAAACATTTATCGAACCGTAGTCGTAGTCGTATTTGAACCAAGACTACGAATACTATCTGCTCTAGAAGGTTTCATATTAGTGTTGATTTCTTTTCTTTGTGTCTTCATTCGATTTACAAATGCATTTCCGCCTGCAGCTTGTTCTTTACAGAGTGGACAAGACATGTTATGTATTGATTTTAATAAAGCAGATTGGTTCACTTTACTTGTTAAGCTTCCAGGATTATCCATGTTTATATTTGAAGTGTTTTCATCAAGTAGACAGCTTTGATGATAGGCATGTCGACAAAAGAAAATAATTGAATTGGGTATATCTTCAATCTCAAATTCATCAAAAACAGGCTCTTCACAAATATTGCAAACCATTTTCTCGGCTATAGGAATAAATAACATTCAGTTTATATACATGTGTAGAATACATTTATAAACTTACGATTACAGTTTACACCTCTCTTATGTGCTTTATACATTTTATCAGCTAAAAAGACACTATCAGTTACTAAAATCTTTTCGCAGCCTTCATGTAGAGACATTTGAAGGTTATAATCATGTAAAATTTTTAATAGGGCATCCTTTAAGCCAGTAATCTCTAAATTATCAGGAATACGCTTGATAAGTCTTAAAGGTTCAATATCTGTACCAACATTTTCTAATAATCCACGAATAAAATCTAAAAATAAAATGAAATAAAAAGAATGGTAAGCAATGATCTATATATGCATATATATATTTATATACTATATGTATCTATTATTTACTAGGTTTATCCATAGAATATGTAAGCAAGTCTTCCCAAAGGTCGTCATCCTTTTGTTCTTTTGCAAAGTCAATAGCCTAGTTAAGTAGATGATACATATTATTATACATTTATAGTTTGCACTTTATTTTCTTACTCTTTGAACATCTCCAAGTCTTTCGATTATTAACATTAATGCTCTTTTATTATCACCCATACGACCAAGAATGAAAACCATTTCAGGGACCAAATCCTTTTGCTCGCATACTTTAAATGCCTATGCAAAAGATAATATTAGTTTAATAAATCATTCTAGGTAAAAAATTATTTACTTTTTCAAGCGAAATAGAATGGCTTGCACGTAAGAATTCTAATAGTTTTGGATAATCATGTTCTGCATATAACTCAACTTGTAGATCATGGAATTCATAGCCCAATTGATGATCACGATCAAATAACGCATCTAAATATATATGTAAAAAATACCTGTGTTGCCTTAGTTGCTTCACCACTTTCTCCGGCTAATATAAGAAATAAATGAATAATCGGTTCTTTTTTTTTTTTTTTTTCTCTTTTGATCTAAACAATATATATATATATATTTACGGGAATTGCATCTGTATTCTTGACTAAAAGTTGTACAGCAGGCATTTTTGTGGGCTTTTGCGTTATCGGTTCATTTTGCTCTTTCTTTTCTTTTTCTAATAAATATTGATCAAATTCCATAAGTAGAAGAGCCTTATCTTTAACGGCGTCAAACATGCTATATTCTTGAATAAGTTCAAATGCATTCGGTCTTCTTAAACGAAGATTATATTCGATAGCTTTATCAGGTTGATTGTTATAAGTATATCTATGAATTGTGTTTGTTAAAAAATATAAATATACATGCAAATAGATCATAACCCTTACAGATCAGCCAAGCATTCTAGCAAGACTTCATTATTTTTATCCTTCTTTAAGACATCCTCTACAGCAACGATAACATTAGATAAACTATATAGAGTTTTAGGCCATGTTCGAATCGTATCTCGTAAAGCAACATAATCAGTCTTCAAAAACCAGGCAAGAACGATTTCATAGACAGTGCTGCTTAACTGGGGGTCTTTAATCGGTATATATGGGGTAATAGCTTTCAATTCACCCAACTCAGTAAATTTAAATACCCAATCTTCCCAAAGTGTTTGATCGTTTTTAAGAATACTGCTACATACTTTTGCTGCTTCATCATATCTCTTTTCGTTCATCAACCAATTTAAATAGGTCTGTCCTACTTCTTCTTCATTGAATTTTTTACTATTTGGATTAGTACGTATAGCATCTAAGGCTTCTCCAAAGCGCTCATGTTCTAATAGCCATTCAATATGATCATCCTGATCTCGTGAATGAGCAGCAATTAAATCTTTAGGTCCCATGATGTAAAACATATCCTCCTCCATCAAAAAATCAAGTGCATAGTCATTAGCTTGATAATGTTCATAACCATGAAGTGCAAGTACATCAGCAGAGATTTCTTCATTTTCTGCATTGATAATATGAAGTTCCGGTTTTGATGCTAACCGTCTACAGGTATCTTTATCATTATCATCGTCTAGTAAATAAGATAAAAGCATCACAGTATCATTAAACGGTGCAATACCACTAATCATATAATCTGTTTGGAATATATTCACAATTTCTGCATAATGTGAGCGCTGCTGGCCTGCTGTAGTGTTAGATTGTGGCTTTATAGCAACTACTTTAACTGTATCTGCCCATCCAATCAACAATGTTGTGTCATTCTTCCAACAAAGTCGACATTTATAGAGATCAGCACGGGGGCTTCCCTCAGGTCGATCAATATAAGTAATACGAGCATTCGTTGTGGTATCATAGATTTTTACTCCTGTATCATTTGCCCAAGCAATAAAATTGTTTCTCCAACGGATAGCATAAATAGGACCCTCACCCGCATGTAATACAACGTCCTTGTGTCCTAATAGCCAACTCTTTTCGCTTAAGATGAGTTGTTCAGCCATGCCTCCTGATACAAACTGTCGAGTTGATTTTCGTGCAAATTCAGGATCTAAAGCAATTGATTTTATAGGTCTTTTAAAATTGTAGAATTGAATTTCTGATGTGTAAAGTGCATAAATAAAAACTTTGCCTGAATATAAAAGAATGAGTTTGTTTGTTTGAAGAAGAAAAAAAAAAAGTTCTTGAATTATTACCATCATCAGAAGCACTTGCAATAAATTCGTTATTTTTATCAATAGAAATATCATTAACTGTAGCAGAATGGTTTTTAAAACTCTTGATGACGTTACCCTCAAGGTCAAGGATATGAACAGCACCCCAATGTGTACCTAATGCCTTTGAAGAGCATGTTGTTATTTCATGCAAACTTCATTACTAGATAGAATATATGTATATATATATATATCCGATGATTTTACCATAAAACGATCTGATACACGTAGAATAGAGGCTGTATCTTTATCCAAAATATCTTTTACATTTGCTTTTACTCTACGATATCTAAGTTTAGGCTCATCTAATTCATCATCGTCATCTATTTCTGTATCAGTTGCTTCATCATAGTCTTCTTCGCTCGAACTAAATTGTTCTTCTGACACATCGCTGTTAATTTCCTCTTCATTATTGCTCGAATTGTGAATAGACATTTATATTATGTTATCCAATATGGTGTATGTGTATATTTTTATATTTATATGTGTATGTATTATCTGTATTATATGAAACTCTCCATTGAAAAAATGCCCTGAGTCCAATTTTACGTCATGAGACTGCTTTTTTATTTCATTTCTCTTTTTTTCAAAAATTTTATGTATAAAAAAAAAAAAAAAAAATAGCTTTCACTTCCATATCATATAAAAAAAGAAAAAACTTTCAATATGGCTATGAGACTTCCTTCTGCTGATGAGCTTGAACAGCTTGAAGATATTGGTATGAAATAAGAAACTATACGCAAAAAAAATAAAATAAATAAAAGGCATTTCTCCATTATTCTATTGCTAATTTTTTAATTATTTTATTAGAAAAGCAATGGGCTGTCAAAGTATATATCTATGAAGGAGATTCCCCTCCCTCCCTCTCCCCCCCTTTTTTTTCTCTCCTCCCAGTAAACATTATTACTTATTTATTGTTATATATCTGTTTAGGCTATGCATCACGCTGAAACCTATTTCAAATTAATCTCCACCATTGATCCTAGACAACTTCGTTTAACAAAGTAAAGTCATGTAAACAATATTCCTTGTATTATATTAATTTAGTCCTTTTAACAGCATTGATGACGAGATTCTTAAAGACTTTGAAGAAAATTTCCCAGAAATTGATCTTATGCATTTGGACGATAAACATTTCAAGACACCCGCCGCTAAAGAAAAGTGGAGACCTTTTGTTAATAAATACGAAAAGAGAGTTAAAGAATTTAATTTTGGTACTTTGATTCGTATTGATTGTAGAGAGGATTATACAGAACAAAATACAATGTTTGGTAAAGACAGAATATATACAAATAAATATTTATACATATTTATATGGCAAAAACAAAAAAATATTAACACTTATGATTTCATGTTTTAATTTTAGGTGTTCGCATGCAGGTAAGCTTTTTTTTTTTAACTACTGTGTATAATACAATACTGATTTTCTCTTCTTTTACAAATGTATAAATGTATATATCTTAGTTTTATGCTATTGAAATTGCTAGAAATAAGAAGGGCTTGAATGATTCTTTACGTAACAAGCAATAATGAATTTATGTAGTAAATATAGACATAAAATGTAAATCGTTTTATACAATAGAAATAAAGGAAAGTAATCTGCATGTTTATTTTGTAAATGATTTAATTTACATAGATTGAGGAGGTATTGTTTCAAAACAAATAAGTGGCGAATAAATCTTGGCAATATCATATTTAAGGAGTATACATATATCGCACATAATAAAGGAGAGATAAGAAGCTTCCTTACATGAATGCTTTTTAATATAAAAGAGAATAAATAAAAGCATAAAAAAAATAAATTCAAGTCTCTATTTTTCCCTCTTCTCTCTCTCTTTTTTTTTTCTTTTTCTTTTTCTTTAAAAATAATAATAATAATAATATGCTTGGCCGATCTACTTTTAAACTTTTATCTCGTCGTAATGTCGTTGCCTTTGGTGCAGTAGCTGCTACTGGGGGTGCATTATTTTTACACTCCAACAATCAAGTGCATGCTGAATCTAATAAATTAAAATTCTGGCAAAGTTTACCTGGAGAAAACAAGCCTGAAAATCCTGGTCTTGCTAAATTAAGAGGTATGGCTGCTGAACAACGATTTAGAACTTCATTAGCTCAAAATAATGGTAAAACCGATTTTGATGTTGTTATTGGTAAAGTTATGCAAAGAGTCATAGTATAGTATAGTATATTCAAATGTACTAATTTGACTGTATATATATATATATATATATATATATAGTGGGTGGTGGTATAATTGGCTTAGCTACAGCAAGAGAATTATTAAAACGATTTCCAAATATGACAGTAGCTGTCTTGGAAAAGGAAAGAGAGGTTGCTGCTCATCAAACAGGTCATAACAGTGGTGTTATTCATGCTGGTATCTATTATAAGCCTGGTTCTCGTATGGCCAAAACTTGTGTACGTGGAGCTGATCTCATGTACGAATATTGTAAACAAAATCAATTACCCGTCGAACGTTGTGGTAAATTAATTGTTGCTGTAAATTCTGAAGAGCATAAACAAGTTGAAAGATTAATGGAAATTGCTACATTAAACGGAGTAAAAGATCTTCAGATCCTTAATAGCGAGGAGGTATGTGATGACCCTTTTTTTTATGTATTACAAAAAAAAATGTATATTTGTATATTGACGATCAACGGATATAGATTAAGAAATTGGAACCTAATGTAGTTGCCTATTCCGCTTTGTATTCTCCTAATACTGGTATTACTGATTTTGGTCTTGTTGCTCAATGTATTGCTAACGAAATTATGCAAACTGGGTAAAAGTCAAAACAACAGATACATCTTTGTTTATTTGTTTGTTTATTTATTTTATTTTTTTATTTAGTCGTGCTGAAGTTAAACTTGCCTTTGAAGCTCAAAAATTTCATCCTAGGTCTGATGGTAGAATAGAGGTAAAATAGATGAAAAAAAAAAAAAAAAAAAAAAAAGTATAAAATATAATAATATTAAGTCATTTTTTTTTTTTTTTTTTTTGTAAATCAGATTTGGGGAGGAGAACCTAATCAAAGAGGACCTACACTCAAAGTTACAGCCAAGAATATCATTACTTGTGCAGGATTTTATTCTGACCGAGTTGCAGGACTTGCAGGAGGTAACCCTAATCGAGCCAAGGTTGTCACCTTCCGAGGCACCTATTACCAATTGAAACCAGAATACCGTGGTATATGTCGTATGAATGTTTACCCTGTTCCAAGTGGTGGCGGTATCCCTGTTGGTGTCCATTTCACACCGACAGTGAATACTCGTCGAGGCATCCAAATGATTATCGGTCCTGGTGCTTGCTTAACGTTTGCTCGTGAAGGATATACATTTACTGACTTTAAGCTTGAAGATATGTGGACCTCCTTAACCAACTGGAACTTGTGGATGTTTGCCTTAAAGAACCCCTCTTTATCATTAGGTGAACTCTACAAGGATATGAATAAACGTGCCTTCTTACGTGCTGCTCAAGCATATGTGCCTAACCTGACTGAGGATATGGTTGAAGAAAGTTTTGCAGGTGTGATGGCACAAGTATTTGAAAATGGAGGTATTGCAGCTAATGATTATATTCTTGAACGTAAAGTGATGGATGGTAAGATTCTTTGTGTCCGTAATGCACCTACTCCTGCATGTACAGCTTCTTTAGCCATTGCTGAAATGTTAATTGATATTGCTACTGAAGATTTTAAATGGGATTCTAGTAAGAAGGAGCGAGATAACATAAATAATATGCTAGTACCCAAAAAGCAACAACTTGCTGTTGCTGCTTAGATTATAATACATACTTATATTCCATTTTTCTTTTCTTTTTCTTTTTTTTTCTATACTATATTTATATAAATCTATATTTATGTAAATGAACATACAGTCGTTCCACTCCTAATGTGGATTGTAAGAGGGTCATTTCACACTTTATTTTAAATAAAAAATATTTGGTATTAAATTGGAATATGATTCAAACAGTTATCAAACTGGTTCTTTGAATGTTGAATTATATTTTCAAGGTGTTGAATAGGAACTTCATTCGCAGCACCAACAATTCTTTCTTGCAGAGTTTCGATATCTTTGAGCTTTTCACGTCTAACTTTATGTTTAACTAACGCCCAAAATTGCTCGATGGGATTAAGCTCTGGCGAATATGGAGGAAGATACACGCACTTATAGTCTCTATTTCTCTTATTGAGAATATCTTGTATCTCTTTATAAATTCTCGAATTATCCATAATGAAGTAATACCCGTTCATTTCGTCGTACTTGTCTAAGACGTCCAAGGTTTCTCGTACGAATCGCAAGTAATGGCCAGCTGTTGTGCCTTTTAGACCATCATCATTAGATACCGCAGATTTTTTTTTTTTTTTTTTTGGTAAGACCCCCAATATTTATTTGAAAGCCCATACTTTTTTTCACATTGGGAGTGGAACGACTGTAATTCATAATCTAATATCTATTTGTGTAACAGATTTATATAAAAATAAAACAAATATTACAGGGAAAAGAAAAAGTACATAAAGAAATATATAAGCTTATTGTTATACTGACGCAATATAAATGTATGTATATGCAGCATGTTATATATAATACGTATCCCTTATAATAAATTCATTGAAAAACACTTTGATAACTTGTTGTATATGTACATGTTTCACAAATTTAATAAGTTAAATAAATCGAGGTAGGGACTTTTTTTTTATGTATAATGGCATAAAATTAGATAATTTCCTTTAGTTGCATTCCTCCCTTTTTTTTTTCTTTTTTGTAATGAATAAATAAATTCATGATTTCAAAAGAAAAAAAAAGATGTATATCATAGCGTACGCAAATAGCATTACACATGTGTAGTCTATATACATATATACAGCTCACATGTACAGATAAAATATAGCATAGTACGCACAATACATATTACTTTACTGTTCATTATGTCCACATGTAAATCATATATCTTCTGCACATATAATTACATCTTCCATGTATATACATAATCATGTGTATTAGCTCAATGAATAAATAGTCGAAAGAATTTCCTCTTATATAAATACATATAAATACATATATAAATATTGCCTGTATGCATACAATACGTAAAAACCAACTTTTGTTTTATATTACTCCTCTTGTAAGAAATTCGATTCTGTAAAACAAGTTTAAAAAGGCAAATTATATATTGAAATGGAGACCCTCTATTCTAAGGAATTGTATACATATAGATATACATATAGATATATATGAGAAAAAAAAGAAAAAGAAAAAGGGTATAAAATATAATATGTAGTAAGGAAAGGGCTTTTTTTTTTTTTTTGTTAAAGTAAATTGCATATTTTCCTCTTTAATCCACTTTTATGGTTATGAATGACAAGACCAGCAGCAGCATGTATAACCTCAGTAATGTTTGTGTTTGTTTTTGCACTGCATTCAATATATTGAGTGTTCAATTTTTTTGCTAATGACACAGCCTAATAAGCATATATAATTAAAATCATACCTATCTATTGTTTCTCTTTATACTTTGTATATTACCTGTTCAACAGACATCAGTTGCTGGCCATTTGTCTGTAACTCAGCAATACGCTTTCCATTTGCTCTTAAATCGCCTTTTGTGCCAACTAATAAACGTGGAGTGTTGAATAAGAAATGATCCATTTCAGGAATCCACTAATTTAAAAAAAAATTAATCCATTATGTATGACCGAGTTAGAGATATTCTTCCAATTATAATGTAAATTATAATACCCTATCCTTCACATTCTCAAATGATTGTACTTGATCAATAGCAAAACAGGCTAGAATAACATCTGTCTCGGGATAACAAAGAGGTCGAAGTCTATCATACTCTTCTTGGCCTGCTGTATCCCATAAGGATAATTCAATTGATTTACCTGATTCATGGTGAATTATAGCAATATAATTCTCGAAAACTGTAGGAACATAATCCTATATATATATATAAAGGCAAAGAGTAGATATTTCAGCATGAATACATATATATACATATATGTTTACCGATTTTATTTTATTTTTTTACCTTTGGAAATTCATTATGTTGAAAAACATGTAATAAACTAGTTTTTCCACAAAAGCCATCACCTACTACAACTAATTTTTTTCGACTAAGCTATATATTAAATTGATAACTATTATTTATTAAAGAAGAGAGATTAAAATGTATAAAAACTAAAAAAGATTGAAGTATACCTTTCCCATTTCTTTTTTTTTATATGTATATATAAATGAAAAGAAAAAAAAAAGAAGGTATACAAACTCAAACAGTTAATCTCTTTTATTATTATTTTCTTGTGATACTTCAAATATATAATAAGGGATAATCTTAGTTCTGGCTTTTTCCATCGATTTTATGGCTAGAGTTGCGGTCATTGAAATACAATTTTTATAATTTACCTTTCAAGCTTACAAACATTCTACTCTTGTTAAAACTAACTGGTAAGCTTTGATAAAATGATTTTTTTTTTGAATCTCCCTAATCTAAAAAGGACTATAGTCAATAGCTTGATATTGTTACAATCCTTTATTATGGTAAATATACTATTTATATAAGCTTTACTGTCTTTAATTACATAAAATGGGTTACTTAACCTAAATAATCCAAGTTGTTAATTGTGAATAACAAAACTTACAAAGGAATGTTTATTAGTATGAAGAGCGAGCATAAAGTGACTATGTACTGCTATATAAGATAAATAAATACATAATGTTGACCATTATACCCTCAATCGATTATATATATGCCAAATATAAAGAGTTTATTATTTAGTATATTTTTGTAGTAGATGATCGTCTTTGGGTCTTTAGTTACTCCTGTTTAGCTTTTTCAGTGGATACTTCAGTTTTGAAACTGGTAATAGATATGATGACAATAACTATCCTGTGTCTAAAACTCCTTCCACTTTCACTTTGTGTATTACATCCATTAGTTGCACTTTATTTGGGACACATTTTTGAAAATAAAATAAGACAAAAGTTGATATAAATTGCGGATAGGCAAAGGAAGACAGTTTATGTATATTAAAAAAAATTGATTTCTTTAATACAAAAAAGAATAATCAATAAAATAGCTATGCAGTATTGCTTATATTGAATGTGATTAGGAGAGGGGAAAAAAAACATCAAATTATAATATTACGTTTGAAATAGCCTTTTTGTCTAATAATCGGTTTTCTTTTACTATTACGGTTGTTTGTAGATCATTTATACAATAAAGTAATTCTGTTAGCTTACTTGTAATTCTAAACAGCTAGGGTTATAAACAAGTTAGTCACTTTGGGAGAACAAGTTTCGTGATTACCACACCATAAAATGGCATTCTGGCTTCGTTTAATCAATCATACTGTCGATAAACTTGATTAGTATAAAAGAAGCTATCAATACCAAAATCCTTTTTCTTTTTCCTGTTATTATTCATATATGCGACGAGGAATGTGTTGCGTCATTTTGTACATGTTCTTAGTATATAAACTCAAGTAAAAAAAAAAGGGTCATTTTTTTTTGTTAGAGATGAATCTGAAGCAGTTTTTTTTTCCCATGCTTTTCTACTATTTGTCATATTGAATAATTTGAAGTACAAATGATAGAAAGAGTAGGAAATAAAAGATTCTTTTTGATGATGGCTAAGATTTGTATTCAACTTTTTTTTTTTAATGACTTAAGGACACTCACTTTTAATCTATTCTAGTAATTTATAGAGCACCCAAACAATTTATTAATATTAGAGGGAGCTTCTTTATTCTATTATATTTCTATTCTTTAAAATCTGTATTATTTTATTCATCTTTCTTTCTTTCTTCCTTTTTTTTTTTACTGAAGTATCACAAAGTTAATGTAAGCCTTGATGTTAAGAAATTCTCTGGTATAAAAGGTTTCCTTATGCGGCATGCCTACGCTTGGTCAATGGGACCTGAGTCAAGAGGACCCCAGGCATTTAAATAAACCTAGTGATTGTTCTATGATTTTTATTTTGTAGCAGAAAAAAGAAAGAAAAAAAAACTTTTGGGATTAGTTGTACTTTCATATTCTTGCTATCAATTTGTCGCTGTTGAAGACTTATTGCTTAAGAAAAGTCCAATTAAGATTTTAGTATATTATTAATCAAGTAAATTATATCATAAAAAAGAGCGTCACCTTATTATTGAATATTCACTGCAGGTTAGATCATTATTATTTCTCTCTCATGTCTTATGTTTTTTTTTATTTACTTGATCCTTTTAGTTTAAATAATAGAATCCATGTTTTAGTTCTCCTAAATTATTACAGTTGTATTTGTCGAACACTGTAAACCTTTTGCCAAAAAAAAAGTCGTAAACTTAAGAGGCAGAGGACGAAGATTGTATTACAATTGTCGTAGCTCTAATTGTGATGAATATAGGGTACATGGAGGGGGGGGGAGAAGAAGACCAGTAATATCATCAGACAAAGTACAACATGCACTACTACTATTTTAATTACTGTAATTCATCTTTATTTTATTTTATTTTTTTGTGCATATAGTAGTAATATTTTCTTAGTAAGTGTACAGGGTGTTTCGAAATTATTCACGCATCAACAGGATAAAATTTCAAGCACTTGAAAAAATAAAATTCACGCATCAACAAAATAAAAATTCAAGCACAAACTGAATAAAAAATCAAGCACTGTAAGATTTATTAGATGGGCTTTCTGTCTATTTTGTTAATGCTTAAATTTTTTTCATTTAAAAAGTGCGTGAATAATTTCGAAACACCCTGTAACACCAAGTCGTTATATCAAGCGCAAAAAAAGCATATAACACCAGGTTGTTATATCAAACGCAAAAAAAAGCATATAACATCAGGTTGTTATATCAAACTAAAAACGTTGTGTAACTGTGTTGTTAGCGACAATCAATCATCATATCATAAAAAACAACCATCTGCCCAATTTTTACGGTATCAAAAGCTCGATTATTTCTTTTTATTAGATGCACGATAGTAGGCAGCTTGGACACTCTTCATTGATGAGTATTTGCTGAAACGACCAACATTTTTCCCAGCTTCATAGCAAGCAACCCAATCCATTTTGACTCCATGTTGTTTTCTATAGTCATCTACAAATTGCCAATCATTGAGGTTGGATGTACGTTCTTTGACTGTCGAATCGCTTGCAGATGATGATACAATAGCATATTTCGTACGTAACTCTTCCATTAACTCTAGCCCATCATTAAGACAGTCCCATGTTCGCTTTTGAGTACAAGACTCAGGAACATTCTCCTCCAGACGTGACACTGCCAGTGTGATATTTCTTTTAAAATATCAAATAAAAAATATTAGAAAATAAAAAATAATTTTAAGACAAAAAGAGTCAACGAGACCGAACAATAGTTCTTGTTTTAAGTAGAAAGATAAGGAAAGAGAAAAAAAGAAAGACAAGTCTGTGAAAACTTTGTATAGTTTATTGAGGATAAAATAATACAAAAATTGTACAAGAAGAAAAATAATATGGAAAAATGACGAGTGCTATTTATATGTTTTTATGAGGTAGGTCCTATTAATAGGAGTGTGATTTAGATAAGTGAATACTGCTATAATAAAGCATTATGTGTAAATGTTGTCAGTGTAAATGTTGTCAGTGTAAATGTTGTCAGTATAAATGTTGTCTCCGAATAATTCTGCTTGTAATAAGATATATTTTTATCTTTAATCTACCTGAGCTGTCGCTGCTACTAATTATTATTTCTAGGGTAAGCAACGCGTTCATATTAATTCACAGTGAATATTCCAGCTATAACAATAATACCAATTATTTATATGCAACTATTATTATTATTATCCTCCAAGATGTTATTACATAACAATAATCAGCATTATAGATGTATATATAATATGTATGACTTGTATAAATAATTATGTGATTGAATATAATAGTCATAACCCTATTGAATTCTTGTAATTATGTAATACACTGTATATCATTATTTTTAATGCTCGATGACTGCTATTAAGACTGAATGTTATAACCTCTTTATTATGTAATAAATGATGGTTTATTTCTATTAACTTGGTTGTAAATACGACTACAATCATAACAGTTCTAAAGTCAATTATCTTTATTTATGAATTTAAATTGATGGGGTATTTATAAGAATTGTTAAAGAGGTCTGAGGATAGGATGTGAATCAGAAAAGTGTTAGTTACGACCGAATTAGGTATATTGTTGACAACGAAGTGTTAGTGATTTTAATATTATTAGATGGAGCGGATCAAGAGAGAGTTAGGATAGAATTTCTTAAATGAATTTATGATCCGCATGTTTAATGATGAAACATGGCATTATAAGTCAGCTCATGACAGCCAGTTTGAATTGCGCCGATGCCTTATTGCAGATAAGATTAAGGGCATCTTGACGTGCATCTTCGTTGGCTGCTTCATTTTCAAATATACGTTTGGCGATCTCGTATAATAATTTAATTGTTGGGTCCTCCTTTTTCACTGTGCCCAAGATGGACAGTTTCTGTTCAGTGAAAAAATGGCCAAGTGCTGCTAAGGGATGAAGTGGCTGTTGATCTAGATATGCAGAAATGGTTGATTCACTAATGAAATAACAATCACGTGCCCAACCATGACAATAAACGCGCTTGGAGAAAGGCAATTCCTTGCAATCGTAGGTTAAGTCCTTGAATTCCTGACTTGTATTGTGAATACAAAAGACTACTACCACTGGCAATATTGGGTGTTGTTTTCTTATCATCAGACAATACTCGATGAGTCGACGGAAAAAAGCACCATTAGCAGCGTATTGGACTTCTATAAGCACAGGCGGTAATGTCTTGGTTTTTGCACGGTTATTTGGACAGTAAAATACATCGGATCTGGTGTAGTTCGTCCATTCTATGGGTTTTGTGCTGTATTCATTTTCAGCGTGTTCGCCTACACAATTCAGAAAATTAGTAGGATTCTTGATAAAATATTGTTATGCATACCAATAACACTTTTTATAATAAGATTGATGACCAGTTCATGATTCAATATCCATTTATTCATTAAGTCTGTTCCTGGTGCGTATTTTGGTGGCAACTGGAAAGAAAGATTTTCAGTGTCGGAGTGGCTTGCCATGAGAGGTGCCAGTGATATAACAAATGAATATAACAAATATAACAAATGGATATAACAAATGGATATTATTCAAAACACGCGGCTTATGACTGCGCCATAGTTGCCCAGGCCATCTAGGTAACAAAGTATGGTTGGTTACACAACGTTTTTAGTTTGATATAACAACCTGATGTTATATGCTTTTTTTTGCGTTTGATATAACAACCTGGTGTTATATGCTTTTTTTGCGCTTGATATAACGACTTGGTGTTACAGGGTGTTTCGAAATTATTCACGCACTTTTTAAATGAAAAAAATTTAAGCATTAACAAAATAGACAGAAAGCCCATCTAATAAATCTTACAGTGCTTGATTTTTTATTCAGTTTGTGCTTGAATTTTTATTTTGTTGATGCGTGAATTTTATTTTTTCAAGTGCTTGAAATTTTATCCTGTTGATGCGTGAATAATTTCGAAACACCCTATATGTTATAGGTAAAGAATAGGATGGTGTGTTTGTAGTAGATAAAAAATGTTACCAAGATAAAAAAAAAGTTTATCCTTTTGTCAAGCCCTGTACTTGTTTCCTTATATTTACTTGATCTTTTTTTTTCAATAAATATGATACCTCGATTACCACCTGTTGTATTAGCTTTATTAGGGGGAGCCTCTATTTATGGGATAAAGTATGTTTTAGATAAAATAGAACCAAAAGCAATTGGACCACCAGGTTCATCAGAACAAATGAGTCGAGTTTTAAATTATAGACGTAATGTCAGACGAATTGGCGTAGCAGTTGCTGTATCTGGTATCATCTATACAGGCTATTGGGGTAAAGCTTATATGATGATACATTTAATAACATAAGTCAAAGTAATATTTTAACTAACTAATTCTTTCTCTCTATATATATAGCGTATGATTTAAGAAAACATCGGAATTCACCAGCAGTTATAGCAAAAAATAATCTCGATGAACAAAAAGCATTTTATGAAGATCAGTATAGAGAAAGAGAGAAAAGATATATAAAAGAAATAGAAGAATTAAAAAGAAAAGAAAAAGATAAAGAATTATTTATTAAACAGCATTTAGATAAAGAAGTATTGGCAATGGAAAACATGATAAATCAACAAAATGAGAGTAACAATAATAATAAAAAATGAGCTAATATGCAGTCAATCTTTTTTTTTTTTCCCGTCAATATTTATACATGCAGCAAGTGTAACAAATATCTATTCAAATTTAAAATATCTTGAGCATATTTCTTCTTTCTCTCTCTCTCTCTCTTTTTTGTTTTTTTTTTCTTTCTTTTTTTTATAATGCTTCAAAAACGATTTATTCATATATCACGTCCTATCTTTAACAAATTACTTACTCCTTTAACACATATTAAACATGGAGACTTGAAGCGTAACTCCATTTTTTCGAAGGTATATTAACTCATAAGTAACAAAATTCTTTCCAATCTTATTTTATTTATTTTTTCAAGATATCGAGCAAAGACATAGAATATTTTAAAACTGTATTAGCATCTAATAATATTATTTATGATGCTGATCCTGAAAGTACAAATATAATACAATACAATACAGATTGGTTTAATCTTTACCGAGGCTCCTCTTCGTAAGTTTATTATTCTATATAAAATGAATAAATAAATAGTATACATAATCTTTTTATTTTTTCGAAAATAATAAAAAAAAAAAGTTTATGCTTGTTTCCCACATCAACAGATCAAGTCTCAAAGATCTTAACATACTGTAATCAACATCGATTGGCTGTGGTTCCTCAGGGAGGTAATACAGGTGTAAGCGGTGGCGCAATACCCGTCTTTGATGAGATTATCATCAATACTTCAAAACTAAACAAGATTCGTCATTTCGATTCTGTTTCAGGTGTTGTCGTTGTAGATGCGGGTGTCATATTAGAGGGACTCGACCAGTTTTTAGAGACACATGGATACACTGTACCTTTAGATTTAGGGGCAAAAGGATCTTGTCAATTAGGTGGTAACGTCAGTACAAATGCTGGAGGTTTAAGATTGATGAGATTTGGTAGTCTTCATGGAAATGTTCTTGGACTTGAAGTTGTAAATATATAAATATAAATATATTGATAGATATATACTATTTTACTTAAATTGCATACTCTACATATATAGGTTTTACCAGATGGGACTATATTAGAAAATTTATCTACTCTTCGTAAAGATAATACAGGTTATGATTTAAAGCAATTGTTTATTGGTGCTGAAGGAACATTAGGCTTAATTACGGGTATTTCGCTCTTGACTCCTAAGCGACCTAAGGTAATATATTATATAATATGTATATGTAGACTAAACAGCTTTTGGTAGGCTGTAAATGTTGCTATGATTGCACTGGAGTCTTTTGAAGATGTCCAAAAAGCCTTTGTCATGGCAAAAGAAAATCTATCAGAAATCTTATCTGGTATTTACCTAACGTATTACATTTTACATACGAAAGATGAGTTTTATTAATCTATATTGCATAGCTTTTGAATTTTGGGATCATGATTCTGTTGATATCGTCAAGTCTCAAATGATGCAGGATACAAGTTATCCTATCCAAGGAAAATATGCGTTTTATGCTCTTTTGGAGACTCAAGGAAGTAGACAAGAGCATGATCAAGAGGTACATTGATAATAATGCCTTTTTTTTTTGCAGCAAAAAAAAATATATGTATATACATATACGTATATATATATATATATATATAATACTTACGTGTAACGATAAAGAAATTAGATGGATATTTAGCACATCTCTTAGAGACCGATATTGCAAAAGATGGAGTCATGGCACAAGATGCTAAACAAATGAATATGCTTTGGAGCTGGCGTGAAAAGATTCCTGAATCAATTACTAAAAGTGGAACTGCAATGACCTATGATGTAGCGATGGAAGTACCTCTGTTATACAAAATGGTAGAAGATGCAAGAGAGTATTTTGGAAGTCAAAGATTATTAGGTGATGGAAAGTTATATTCTAATTTATTAGGGTTTGGTCATGTTGGAGATGGTGTAAGTATAATGTTAAATAGATAGATAATTTTACTTATGTTAATAGAATTAGAATTTACATATTATGGCTAATTTGAATGAGTTTCATAAACATGGTCAGGAAACAATGGATGAATATGTATTTTCCTGGGCAAGTAAGTGTTACAGATAGAATATGCAACTATTTGTTCGATTTTTAATATACATATATAGTGAAGCATAATGGGTCTATTACTGCAGAGCATGGTGTAGGTATTTCAAAAGTAAATTATATGAACAGAGCAAAATCCCCTGTCCAACTTGGATTAATGAGAGCAATTAAGAATGCTATTGATCCTAACGGTATTATGAATCCTTACAAGGTCATTCCAAAGTAATAAATAGTGTTTTTATGTATATACATAGTAAATGATATATCAATGTGTTTATAAACAGATACACTTTAATTTCTTTTTCTTTGCTTTAAATTGACTGATATAGTCATATGCATATCTAGCTGCCTTATTAAATACTTCTTGAACACCTTGATTTAATTTGGCTGAGCATTCCATGTAATTATCAGCCTTGATATTATTTGCTGCTTTTAATCCCTATTTGTAAAATAATAATAGATTATGTATAGTAGTGAGTACGACTATTTGAGTCATATATATATATATGCTAACCACACCTCGTCATAAGTTATTGGCTTTCTTGATATTTGATTTAAATCTTTAATAGTATTTTCATCGTCTCTAAGATCTATTTTACAAGCTACTAAAATAATAGGTACGCGATAACAATAAGAAGTTAACTCTTCAATCCACTAATATATCTCTGTCAATAATCATTGCATTTCAATCTTTATTTTCATTCTTAAACCTATACCTTTTCTTGGACATTATCAAGAGAATCATGTGAATCTACTGAAAAGCATAAGAGTATCACATGTGTATTATAATATGATAAGGGGCGAATACGATCGTAATCTTCTTGTCCTGTATAACCAACTCATGATGATAAACATACTTTGTGTATGTGTTCTGTTCATTTATTTATTCATACAAACCTGCTGTATCCCACAAAGCTAATTCTAATTTATTTCCATCTACATTAATTTCAGTCAAACTACTCGAAAAAACTGTAGGAATATATGTCTATAATTTGCACACATTATTTTATTTTATTTTTTCAGTAAATATATAGTCATTTCATACTTCTGGAAATCTATCTCCTGCATAAACAATCAATAAACATGTTTTACCGCATGCTCCATCTCCAACAATAACTAATTTGGCTCGTTTTATTACTGAATTATCGGAAGTTACCATGTATATTATGTTACTTGATAGAAGGGGGAAAAAAAATGGAATAAAAAAAGAAAGAAGAACGAAAAAAAAAAAAGAAAAAGAAAAAGAAAAGAAAATAAAAGAAAATAAAATAAAAAAGCCATTATATTTATATATTTATTGAACAATATCGTGTGATACATTTTCTGCATGTAGTCTATGGTAGAACTTAGTGTGTAGTGCAAAAAATAAAGGCGTTTTTTTTTTGTTACCTCTTTGTTGACATATAAAGAATCATTCACTATTAGTAATAAAAAATATTATGACCATATAGTTTTGTATCTTATTTTACAAATGCATAGACAAGTATTTATGACAAAAAAAAATCTCTTCTTTTTTTGATTTTGTAGTAGTTACCTTACTTGAATTTAATTGAAATGGAAAATAAAAGTATTTTAAAGGATAAGGTTTTAAATGTCCTGACTCTTCTTCTCCCAATTAAATTACAAAAAAAAAAAAAAAAAAAAAAAAAAAAATGTAACACTGTGATAACCTTTTTTTTTTTTTTTTTTTTTTTTTTTTTTTTTTTTTTTTTTTTTTTTTTTTTTAATCTATTTTCATATAATGTCGATTAATGATTCACTGTATGAATTTGATGCACCTCAATTTTGGGATTTAACGGATTCTATCACACAAACAAAGCCTAATGCAAGTTGGTTCCGTAAATGTTCCCTTTCATTTTTCTTTCTTTTTCTCTGAAAACAATTAGTGCATTGTGTGTATTTATCATTTCTTTTTTTAATTTAAATAGATGAGGAAAATATTTCTGGCCCTTCATTCCCTGAAGAAATAAAAAGAAGACCGTTAAGATCTTATAGATCAGCCAATTATAATTTTCGAGACAAGTATCAAAAACGAGAACAAGAACGAATACAACAAATATCAAATAATTTCTTAAAACAATTTGAAGAAGAAGAAGAAGAAACAACAGCACAAAAAATTGTTCGTCATGAAAGCTCCTTAGACATGCAGGGTAAAAGACAGGTGTTGGGAGAAAGTAATGAAGGAATGTTAACAAGAGATCTTACAGATCCATCTCATGAAAATATTTCTTCTGAAAAGACAAAAGAAAAATCTATACCACTTCACCATAACAAAGACGATAAAGAAAATGTATTTGATCAACAAGCAATAGAGCAAAATGATAAGGATGATACAATATCCATCTATGATAATGAAGTTCAATTGAATAATAGCAAAATTCTGTCTCAACAAGGATCAACTATCTCGGGTAAAGAATTTTTTGAACGGTTACTAGAAGCTTCAAAAGTTAATCTTAGAGCAAACATCGTTAGTATTCAACGTTTACTGCCGAAAAATATCAAAAAAGAAATACCGATAAATGAGAAACAACGACATATTACAGCAACTAATAATAATCAACAAGTTCAAAAAAGCCTTACAGGACTAAAAAGACATTTTTCTTTTGATGCAGATTTAAGTAAAGATCATGTTAATATACCACAGTCAACAACAACAACAACAACTGAGTCAAGAACTGCAAAAACAGTTTCAGTAGCAAAGAAGTTTAGAACAAATACACCTGAAAGAAGCCATACTTATCAGCCTGATGAGAATGTAGAAAGACTTCGTTTACTACTAAAATCACCCAATGAAAAATTTAGCTAACACAGAAACTCACTCCGAGTATGAAAACAGCTTGTAGGATCATAGATATAAATTACATTATATATGTATATGTAGTATGTAATAAATGGATTACAAAAGCAATATGTATACACATATATATGTATATGATATATACAACTGTGCAGTAAGCCGAAATTATTGACAAATGTTACTATAGAACATATATCAAATATATAGTTTATAGACAAATTTTAAAGAGGGAAACATAATATAAGGTAGACTGGGTTATGTATTTAGATGAGGATAAAAAGCTGTTTACTCTTCAAACTTAATATGAGCAAACAAACAATTATTCCATCTAAATAAAAAGACAAAAAGCAATGAATGTCATCAAAATAAGATGTCTTTATTATGACACCCATAGTGAGACAGGAAGTATACAGAAGGTTTTTCCTTATCAATATTACTGCATTTAATGACAAGTTTTCGGATAGTTGGTATACAAACTAGTATGATATAAAATGACCTTTAAAGATATTTAAGGATAAATTAACCCGTCATAACCCAATATGTATATACATGTATAGAACGTTCACAATGAGCCATACATGGATTATCTTAAATATCTCAAAAGAAATGAATTATCGTCTTGGCTACAAAATAATAATAAAGCAATTTAGCTTGGTTTTCATTATCAGTGAATCTGATTAGAACACATTGAATTTCTATTATTATCATTTTGTATACATATTCTTTGTTAATAATAAACTTCAAGATAATGCAATTTTAGAATAAAATATTATCTGACATTCTATATGTACAGCACGGCGCCTCTGCATAAGGAGGGCGATTGTTTAGATGGATAATAACTAGCTATATCAGAATGATACTGATTTATGTGGAGAAGGGTTTTGACAAAGGGTTCACTAGGGCGGTCAGAGGATATAGGAAATAGTGTTAGTAAACATCAAACGACAGATTATTTTCTCATTTTACTATTGTTAACTTTTATGAATGCAACTTTTGTGCTGCTGTCGACTGGGACACTATACCTTTTGTCTAAATTTCCTTTTTGAATTCATCCAGAAAAAAAAAACTAACTTCGTCCGAATTTAAAGTGTTAAAACTATATTATTATTATCAAGTTTTTATTCTTATTTCCCCTCTATAACTGGCTCGGGTAATACTGCGCATTTATTTCGTCGCTACATGCTCATTGCCAAAAAATTTAAAAATAATAATAATAATAATAATAATAATAATAATAATAATAATAATAATAATAATAATAATAATAATAATAATAATGATAATAATAAAACTCAGAATTTAATCGTATTATTATTATCTACCTATGTCAAATGCAGAATGCAGCCGAATGGTCCGCTGGTGCTTAGATTGGTTACCTGGTGGTGTTCCTAAACCGTGCATCTATCACCCTAATGCCATGTTCACAAGATCTCATGCTATATGGTGCCTACATATGCATCGACGGTTACAAATGCCTTTGACCGAACCCGACCCTTTGTCCTTCCTCTTGAATAAGCTGCCAAATAAACAAAAACGTGGGCCGTCAATCTCGTCAGCTTTCAACTCATCTGTCTTTTCCGTCTAGACGATTCATTGGCCTGCTATGTGTCTTCTTCTTTTTGAACTTGACTATCTCCATCATGGTAAACTTCCTCCAGAAACCCCCCCTTGGGTACAAAACTTGTAAACTGGTTACGTAATCCTGAATCTAGTATTTGTTGATATATCTTGCTTTTCCTCTTCCCTTTGCTTTCTTTTTTACCCTTTTGCCCATCAAAAGATTTTTAAGTACACTTTTATCCTTTCTCGGACTGGCCCGGGCAATGCAATACGCCAGTATTATGTGCTCACATGGGTTGTTTAAATTTTTGTTATAAATAAAATAATTCTTTAATTGTATTATTATTATCTGAGGGCCTTTTTTTTCTTTTGTTCTTTATGTAACATTCTATTAATTAATCGGGTGAATTGTAGAACCCATATAAAAAAATTTATTGACGATCTTTTTCAATAATTTATTTCTGTTGATTGGTTATCATCGTTTTTGAAGAATTATGGGCATAATGAATGGAACTCCGTTCATGATTTTTATACATTTTTTTCTAGTTAAAAAAAGTCTTTTCTTTTTTTTTATGGTTCTTTGTTAAACGCGCCCTCTTTCTTCTTTTTTTCTCTCTCTTAGTTAATAAAGAACACACGTAAAAATGGGAGAATCAAAACCTGATTATGCAGTGGTCATTGACCAAGAACCTGAAAATAATAACACAACTAATACAGTAGTGGCACCTTCAAGAATTAGATTATCTCCTGCAATGAGAGCTATACTTCCAATTGCCAGTTATTGTTTGGCCTCCATTTTAATGACTGTAACAAATAAATATGTATTGAGTGGTTATGACTTTAACATGAACTTTTTATTGTTAACTATTCAAGTAAGTACATGTACTTTCTTTTCTTACTTTACGAGAAAAAAAAAAAGAAAGAAAGAAATAACACTTTTTATTCTTTCATTAGAATTTAGTTACAGTTGTTTTACTACAATCTTTTAAATTCCTTAATCTCATTAAATTCCGTGATTTTGATAAAGATGAAGCTCGTAAATGGTTACCTATTGCTAGTTCACTAGTTGCCATGATTTATACAGGTTCAAAAGCACTTCAATTTTTACGCATTCCCATTTATACTATATTTAAGAATTTGACCATTATTCTTATTGCTTATGGTGAAGTAATTTGGTTTGGTGGAAAAGTGACTCATTTAATGTTAGTTTCATTTGGTTTGATGGTAATTAGGATGAATGAAGTATATATGTGTATAATAAGAATATTAACTAGTTTTGTATGTATATACATTTATAAAAGGTGCTATCGTCTGTTATTGCTGGATGGGCAGATATTAGTGATACTTTGAATCAAATTGTAGCACTTGATACAACATTTATCGGATACTTTTGGATGGCCACTAACTGTCTTGCATCAGCTGCATTTGTACTTTATATGCGTAAAAGAATTAAGCTTACAAATTTTAAAGATTTCGATACAGTTTATTATAACAACATACTTTCCATTCCCCTTTTAATTATTCCCAGTTTTATTTTTGAAGATTGGAGTGCAGAAGGATTGAGCAAGAATTTGTAAGTAGAACAACAAAGTGTATGTATAAGTATTAATCAATTCTATTTGTTAAAAAAAAAGTCCTGCTGATATACGTCAATCTATGATTATTGCCATGATTTTCTCTGGTATGTCTGCATTTGCCATGTCTTATGCATCTGCTTGGTGTGTACGTACTACTTCCTCTACTACTTATTCTATGGTTGGAGCCTTAAATAAACTACCTATTGCTGCATCTGGTATTTTATTCTTTGGTGATCCAGCTACATTTGGTAACGTTACTGCCATCCTTGTGGGTAAGTTATTTATGCATATATATATATATATATATATAGACGGTTTTGATTAATGACAACGTGTGTTATTATTAGGCTTTATTGCTGGCTTAGTATACTCAATTGCAAAGACAACTGCAAACAAATCAAACAATACAAACAAAGATATTATTCCAATGTCATCCTCAAGCCAAAGTAATGCTGACGCTAATAAAGACCATGGAAAACCATAGTATATAAATATATATCTTTTTTTTTAACAAACAAACAAACAAAAATATAGAACTTCTATCATTATATTACGTTTATCTTTTGCTTGTTGAACTGCATTAAAAAGAAAATGCTTTAACATCAAATTATAGTATTGCCTTTTTATTATTAATACCTCTTGATCATCACCAAGATAGTGTAATTCAACTTTATCTCAGATTACCATAAAGTGGCTTGTTTGTATACATATACTACTGTCATTAATAACAGTTGACCTATTTATCTTGTACATGATTGGATTCTATATAAAGAAGAAAATCATCATGAATTAGTAGTAGTAGTTATTAATAAATACTATGCTTAAATAAGAAATGATGGCAATTTTTATTCTTTATTTTTATTGTTTTAGATACTAATTTTTAAAGATAGTTTATCCGTAATTTTTTGACTTGTTGACTTGACATTGCTAAATAAGGTTATAACTGAAACTGTTCTGTTTTCAATTTTTTTTTTTTTTTTTTTTTTTTTTTTTTTTTTTTTTTTTTTTTTTTTTTTTATTTTTATATGTGTATATTTTATTTTTTTTATTTTATTTTATTTTATTTTTTTTTTTTTAAAAAAAAAAAAAAGACACACAATAAAATTAACAATGTCTCTTCTTTTTTTTTCATTTTCTTTTAAAATATTAATATATTGTATGTTTTGATATGGTAAAGGCAAAATCGAAAAAGAAATCTACTACAACAGGGCCTGGATCAAGTGCAAATCAATTTCGATATTCTACTACATCCGGCAAACTTTTACCTCTGCAGACAATACAGCAAAGGATTGAAAATTTTCGTGAATCCCTTACGTGGCCTGCCTGTGTCAAGGTATTGAAAGCAAATATTGCAGTAACGATTGCTTTGGGACTTTTATTGATTAATTCAATTCGTAACTTGACAACTGTAGGCGGTATCTTGGCCTCAGTTGCTGTCGAGTTTGTACATCCTACAAAATCCTATGGGTTTTTAGCCGAGGATGTGTTGTTTGGAGCCATCATGTGTTGTGTCTCTGCTGCTTGGTCTATTTTAGCTATCTATTGTGCATTTCTGGCGAGAGATCCGAATGATCCAACTTTGGCTCAGCGTGGTGAATGTGCTATCTTATCTTTCTTTTTAATCGTGGGCTGCTTTTTCTTGACTTTATTTCGAGCTAAAGTAGAACAAGCCAATGTAGGTGGTATGTTATCGGGCACAATTATGGTTATCTGTATAACTACAGCTGTACAGTCTACATTGTTTACTGTGGAGACAGTGGTATTTAAACGCATATTTAATATTATTATTATTTTCTTTATATGTGTCATACTAATATATACTTTCTTTTTTTTTTTTTTTTTTTTTCCTAACACCATTAGCTGCAGGTTTGGTTGCCTACATTAGTAGGATTCTCGTTAATTTTTATTGTCTTTCTTTTAATTTTTCCCGAAAATAGTACAAGAGTATTTATTCAACATTTAATAAAGGCATGTGAGACGTTTGATGGAATTATTCAACATCAAGTATCAGCATTCTTAAAAGTAGAAAACGGACCAACCGTTGAATCATTAGCAATGATTCATCAAACAGTCGACACCCTTATTACAACGCTTATTCAAAGAAAATGTATGGTCAAAAGAGAACCTTCATTCAATGCCATTTCACCTGCGGATGTAGGTGAATTGACCTCTATTATTAAAAGACTCAGTACTCCTCTTCAAGGCATCGGTCTTAGTTTAGCTATGGAAGAAAATATGCAAGAAGCAGGAAGATCACCCTTTCAGACAAGTAGTGATGATGAAACTATCGTAACTCACCTATTCAATCGACCTCGTAGTTATTATGGAGGCACAGACGATGAAAGCTCTGAGGGTTTAGATGATTGCGACGAAGCGGTAGCGCCTACTACTACAGATGAAAAATTCACGCCTATCCTTCTTTCAACGACGCAGCCATCACTCTCTTCTCCTAACCTATCAGTGACCTCATATCGTCATGACAGTTCAGGATCACCCGATCAACAACCACGACTGAGAAAGACTCAAACTCGTCTACGTTGGGAGGATTCGATGAAGGTGATGACTTATTGGCGAGAAGATTATGATGATGTATTAAATCGTGTTAAGCCTCTCTATCTTGAACTCACAGAGGCTTGTTCAATAGCAGTTAAAGAATCTGTTAAACGACTTAGACGTATTCAAGATCTTGATGCACGATTTCAAAATCGACCTTTCTTTTATAAATATTATTATCGATGGAGAAAGGGGTCTCAAAAGGAAAAGGAAGAGCGATTAGAATATGAATATGATCCATCTCTAGATCCCTCTATACCCCTTCTCAAGGCTATTGAACGATTTCTTCAACATCGGTTGGACGGTTTAGATCGACTTTACACAAAGTCTGGTGTTCCACGACGTATTCTCTTTTTATTACTTACCTTTCAATTCAATCTTCATGCCTATGCAGAGCAAATCTATACACTGACGTCCTTCATTTATGAAATGGATAAGACAAGGACGAAGAAACGGTTTTGGATCCCCCATATGCCGCCCTGTAAATGGTTCTTTCAAAGTCATATAATGGAAGAAAACATTGAACTTGACACCCCGGGTGCTGTGGCAGAGGCAGTGAATTCGTCACTTACTCTACAAAGGACACTTTCCAGAACTATCTCCATCAATGTCATGAATGATCTCTCCCAGCAGCAAGAGGAGATAATGCAAGAACCTACCACCATTTATAAAATTAACACATTACGACGTGGTGAAATTCATGAGAATGAGGAACGCCAATTGCATCATCATCGTCGTCATCATCATCTTTCAAACTCTTCCTCCGGGAGCACAATAGCAACAACCATGAGTAAATTCTGGAATGCATGGAAAACACCAGTAAATCCATTAGAGTATCATGATCCAGATGTTGCTTACCCTACCACCTCCACACAACGTTTCTTTTATTCCATGTACCTGTTCTGTAAAGAACATTTTTATACGGCTGATGTTGGCTTTGCCTTTCGTGCTGCCTTCGCTGTAGCCTTTCTGACATTACCTGGATTCTTGGAGACGACAGTGAATTGGTATAATAATGTCAGAGGGCAATGGGCAGCTGTTGTCGCTCTTATCTGGATGGGCCCCTCAGTTGGAAGTAATTTTTTTGGTACCATGACAAGAACGGTAGGTACATTTATAGGCGCTGTCGGAGGCATCGTTATCTGGGAGATCAGTCGAGGTACTGCAGCTGGTTTGATTATTCTTACATTCATATTCAACTTGCCTTGGTGGTTAGTCTATATTAATGGGAAATTTTGGAAAGCAACAGGTCTTTTCTCTTTGATTACTGTTTCGTTAAGTAAGTAGACAGAAAAAAAAGAAAAGAAAAGAGTTATTCCCATGTGAGTTTATTCATTATATTTATATTCAATCAAAAAAAAAAAAATAGTTGTTGGATACACTTATAGTTTTAAACCAAATGGACATTCGTTTTCTGTCTATCAAATTGCATTAGAGGTAGTGTATACACAAAGATAACTCTTTTTTTATTATTGTTTCTAAGATGGAGTATTATCTATTTAGAGAACGGTCAGTGTCATTATTGGTGTCTTTTCAGCACTTATTCTTAGTGTCTTTCCATTTCCACGTACTGGTCGTGTTATCCTTCGTCATCGTATCTCGCAAACCTTAAAGGGAATTGCTACACTTTATGCCTCATTCTTAACACTCGTTTTTAAGGTGAAAGAAGAGGATGAAACAACAAGAATTGAAAATCAAAAACTTTTCCGTGCTGTAGCTCAATCCATTCGTCAGCAAATTAAAGGTGAACGTGTTTTACTTGATCAGAGTCGTTTTGAACCTGCCCTTCGTGGTATTTTCCCCGAAAATAAATACCTTCAAATTCTGCAAATCTTGGATAATATACTTAGCTTAATGCTGGAGATGGAGTTTTCTTTTAGTAAAATACCTTCTCAATGGAGATTAGAGATTGTAAGAGATACATGGAAGGAAAGAAAGATAATGGTAAAATAGTGTAATAGTGCATACAAATATATGTTTATCTAATTTTATATATAGACTTCATCCTTTTTGACAGCACTTCATTTAGGTTCAAATGCATTATCAAACAAATCACCTTTACCACCTTATGTCATTCGACCCACTAAAGCCAGACGAAAATTAACGAATAAGGCACGCAAAGCACCTGCCATGTCATTGAAACATTTGGGTGATCGTGAATACACTTATTTTAGTACTTATTTAATGAATTCAGAACAATTAGCAGTAGAAATTGAACTGTTAAATGTTATTATTCGTGACCTTGTTGGTCCTGATAGTGTTAGTATTTGGCTTGATTATAAACACTAAATATACCCTTTTCTTTATATATATGTATATATATATGTATACATAAATAAATATAAATTAATGATATATGACCGTCTTCTATTATTTTGAGCTACACAAATATGTAAATACTCATTATGGCAGAGGCTTAATAATAGAAATAAAAGATACTTTTATGTGTAAAATTAGATACATTATCATGAAATATCATGATAGCCATCATTTATACACCCTCACAATACAAATTTTCCAAGAAAAAAAAAAAAAAAAAAAAAAAAAAAAAAGGCTGGCTATATATACATAACTCTAGAATAACAAGCTTTTTTTCATACACGGAGCTAGACTTTGTGTTATTGAACAATAATATGCCACAAAAGCAACATTTAATCATATTAAGAAAGACATTTTCAATATCTTAATTTTATACATGGCTTTGTGTCAATTAGATCTCATAAAGTCTATATGCAGATAATAATATTACTACTCTCCTATCAAATGACATCTTTTTTTTTTTTTTTTTTTTTTGGCAAGGGCTATCCAAATCTCGGTATGAAATCAACTAACAAACAATCGTCTTTTCCTCCTTTTTTCAACCTCAACCATGTATGAATCAAAATTATATTTCAAAAAAAAAAAAAAAAAAAAAAAAAAAAAAAAAAGAGTCAAGAAGCTCCAACAACTTAATTGGTCTGTTCCTAGACAATGATCTATCAAGATCAACAGCCAGCTTCCTTTTGTATACGTTTCATTCTTCTGGTACGACCTTCTTAACATATGTGCTTCCAACTGTGGCTAAATCAATCATCGAAACAGTAGTACAAAATAATGCCATGGATCAAATTGAAGTTAGTAATGAATTGTTCTTCATTAGCAAAAAAAAAACAAAACAAAACAAAAAACAGCTTCTAATATTTACATCTACAGTATTCATCTTTATTATATTATTCTCTCTCGTCCTATTACTATACCTTTGGATAATGATGATATTATGCATGTTTAAGCAATTGCTTATTACTTTCGCACCCCCCTCTTCTCCCCCAAATGAATATGAGCTACTGACGTCAGGTGAGACTTGGATCTTGAGTAAATCTACAATAATAAGATCATGATAGACTATTTATGACTCTTTTTTTTTTTTTTTTTTTAGAGAAGAATAATCGAATGGGTTATAGAGTGAGAGGAAAGTTTTGTTAATCTAGCAGTAACAAAAAACATACAGAAGAAGAAGAAGCAACTACAATACCACAATATAATATAAAGTAAAGTAATCCTACTAAATACCGTTATATAAAGCTCATCAACAGATAATGTATCATCATCACATATACAGTCGGATTTTTTTTTTTTGTTTTGTTTTTGTTTTTGTTTTTATCAGTCATGTTTGCTTTGGCAGTAGTAATTAATTGTTATTGTACATAAATAATACCATTAACAATAATAATGACAATAATTTTTTTTTCTTTCATTAAATTCATTCATCAAATTACAAACTCCACTTAAAAAAAATGGACAAATTTTGACGTTATGTTTTGTTTCAAACTTTAAACTTACATCCATTTTATCAAAAATAAGCTGCACAAAAAGCTTATTATGTTGATGATGATATATAATAATATTCAATTAATACAACAGAGGTAAAATTAAATTAAATCAAGCTTATTTCAAGTTTTATATAGTAGTAGTAGTAATAATAGAACTTTTTTTTTCTTTTTTACATGCTATATATCCTTAATCTTTTAGAACAATAGTTATAAGATTATTAAAAAAATTACGTGTCTCGGAATTCTTAAATCGGTTATTTAAAGAATACAAATCATCATCATAGCGTGTATTATAAATATAAATAAACGCACATACAAATATATATAAACATATACTTTTTTTTCTTTTTTTTTCTTTTTTTTTTTTTTTTTTTTTTGCATTAATACCAGCCTAAATTAAATATTAGGTTTTTATTGTTCTTTTTTTTTTTTTTTTTTTTTTTTTTTTTTGTATACATATTTATTCATATAAAATAGATTATGCAAATTACTGCAGCTATTTTTGCTATTATAGCTACAGCTACATTGGCTGTTGCTACAACTAAAGAAGATGGTATTATCCGTGCATCCATTATTCGCAATCCTCTTCATGGAAATCTTTTACAAGTAGCTAAAAAGAAACATGAATTACTTACGAAAAGAGGTCTTCATAAAAGAGCAGATGTATTTCGTTCACCATTATACAATGAACAAGGCTCTCAATATTTAATTCAAGTAGGCATTGGTACTCCACCACAAAATTTTACTGTTACTCTTGATACTGGAAGGTAAAATAAATGAATACGAGATATAAAACAAATGAATTTAATTTTCTTTTTTTTTTTTTTCTGGTAACAAGTGCTGATCTTTGGGTTCCTTCTTCCAACTGTCCAAAAAGTTCATGTCCTTTTTCTCGTTTCGACTCATCTAAATCTTCTACGTTTAAATTACTGAATGAACCTTTTAGTATTCAATATGGTATTGGAAGCGTCAATGGCACATATGCAACGGATACAGTGACTGTAGGTGGTGCGACAGTTTCAAATCAACAAATTGGATTAGCCTATCGTACAGAAGATATCATGACACCGAACCCTTCTGTAGGCGGTGCTGGTTCAGATACACCTACACCTTTCAATACATCCTCAGAGAATATTGAAGCGAATGGTATCTTGGGTATGGGCTATCCAGCTCTTACCCAATCTTACACGAACGATGAAAATAGTTATAACCCTTTCGTCTTCAACTTGGCTGCACAAAAGATCATAAAGGAGCCCATCTTTTCCATCTTCTTGAACAGTATCACACAACCGAACTGGTCAGGTGAAATTGTCTTTGGAGGTACTGATGAAAGCAAATACAATGGAGATATCATGTATGTGCCCGTAGCAGGTCTTACAACTGAATCTTTCACTAACAGTATGAATTATTATTATTGGATGGTGTATGCACAAGGATTAAGAGTGACAGGATCTCAGATGGGATCCAATCCTTCTTGGAGATTACGAGAAATTGGTGCCTTTATTTTAGATACAGGTAAATAGATCAATAGATAGATAAATTAAATGAATCCTCTTTATATTTATTTATATATATAGGTACAACACTTACTTATTTACCTACCTCTGTGGCTACTGATGTCGTTAGTGCGATGGCTGGTGAAGGTAATTATGTCTTGGATAGTCAATCAGGTGTTTTCATCGTTGATTGCGCAACAGCCAAAAGTAGTGCACGTTTCCAACTTGAGATATCACAACAAGCTGGCTTCAGTAATAATCCTGTTATCTTATCTGTTCCTGCTTCAGAACTTGTTATTCCAGTAGATGGTGCTACTGCTGATACAGCTCAAGTCTGTATGTTTGGTATCGCCCCACTTAGCAACTCGGGTAGTATTGGTTCTAATATGTATTTAGTCGGTGATTCCGTTCTTCGTTCTGCTTATATGGTCTTTGATATGGGACAAAATAGAGTTGGTTTAGCCTCTAGTAAAGGTACAAACGGTCAAGTCATGACTAACTCTACAACCTCCCAAGGAACTTCAACAAATACACAATCAGGTTCAGAAAGAGTTTGGCCTGCAATGAAAATGATGGTAGCTGGTTTGCTCCTTACTGCCATTTCTATGATGTCTCTTTAATCATTACATTGAAAAAAGAAAAAAAAAAAGAAAGGAATAGAACTTATTATATTTTTTTTTTTTTGTTTATTTGTTTGCTTTTGTTTTTTTTTTCTTTGGAATTATTGTATATTGTATCACCTTTACCAATAAAAATGTTAATATAGCAAAAAAAAAAAAAAAAAAAAAAAAAAAAAAAAGTTTTAAAATGTGGAGGGGTTTTACCTTTTTATTGTAATCATTAAAAACCTTCTCGATAATAATGTAATATAAAATTGATCTTTCTTTTTACTATTTACTTTTAAATCAAGATAAATAAATAAATGAAACTAACATTATTAATACTACACATTATTGTTAGCTTTTCATTACTTGTAAAGTCTATTTATGATTCTACATCTATTACATTACCTATTGTCAAAAATAAACGTTCAGCTCAGACTCATGACAATAAGAGATCGAATACAAAATTATATAATAAAGATGGATCCGAATATTTAATAAGTGTGGGCATTGGTACACCTTCTCAACATTTTACTGTTTCATTAGATACTGGAAGGTTGTTTTTTTTTTCTTTTTCTTCAAATTATATTGTAAAATAGAGACATTTAATCATACTACTATTATATATATATATATACATACATACATGAATGATAGCTCTGATTTATGGGTCCCATCTACATCATGTCCAGTCTCTGAATGTCCTTTTGATAGATTTGATATATCAAAATCAAGTACATTTCAATTTATTTATCAAGAGGATGAGCTTTCAATTCAATATGGTATTGGAGACATGAAAGGGATTTATGGTTGTGATACTGTTTGTTTATCGAATGATTCGTTGTATTGCATTCCACAACAAGTCTTTGGTCTGGCGTCATCTACACATGATCTTATTGATTTGACAAGGCATCCTTTAAATCTACCCAATTCAAATGGTATCTTTGGTATCGGCAATTATCATGAAGGAATTAAATATGTTCCATTCATGATTAGACTAGTTCAAGAGGGACTCATTAAACAAGCTCTATTCTCGATCAGTATGAGTGCTTATCATCATGTTGGATGGACAGGTGAATTAACCTTAGGAGGCATTGACCCTACTAAATATGAGGGTGATCTTGATTATACGACTGTCCTTTCCAACTCGTCCCATTATTGGATGGTAGGAGTTCAACGGATTCAAATTTTATATCACCATAACGACGACAACGACAACGACAACGACAACGACGATGACAACGACGTCATTTTTGATTATGCATTCAATCCTGTACAAGGAATGATTATTGATACAGGTACTACATTAAGTTATATGGACCAAAGAATTCTAGAACGTATTCTGTCGAAAACGATAGAAGGAGAACAACAACACATCTTTTTTGATCAAATGTTAGGCATGTATATCATAGATTGTCAAGTATTCACGCATGATAACCAGCAACGAAAGATGGAGTTTGTATTAAAAGATGATTGTCGATTCAGTTTACCACTAAGAGATTTAGTCATAGAACAACAGGATGGTGTATGTCTATTTGGTATAGCACCTTGGATAGCGAATGATAATAATGTGAGCTCTAAAATGAAAGAAGAAGGATGGATTTTAATTGGAGAATCTATTTTGAGATCTACTTATTTAGTCTTTGATATGGAGAATCAACGAGTTGGATTTGCACCATCCATTCTTCATCAACCTCATCCTTCTTCCTCCTCTCGACAAGTGGTCTGTTATTATTCAATGAAGGTCATTTATTCTATTATTCTATTATTTATTCATATTATATAAGGAGGAAGTCTATTATTATAAAATAAGGTCCGTGCGATCTACTCCAAATAAAAATAAGAATAAAAAAAAAACCCCTATTGTTTTTTTTACTAAATTTATAATTAAATTAAAATTCCGGACCTTTTATTTTTTTTATTCACTTTTTATTGGTTCATTATACATGTATAATTTTTTTTTTTTTTAATTTTGGATTTTTTCCTTTTTTTTTTAATTTTCTTTTTCTCATTTCCAATTAATATTAATATATTATGGAACAAGGACAAGGACATTTAAATAATGGACAGCAACATTATGAAGTATTAATGAAAAGATTAGCAGACGCCAGTCAATATAAAATATATCCTACTATTATTCCCAGAAATGAACTTCCTTTAAGGAAAATTTTACTAACCACGAGGTATGCAAGCAAAACAAACATACGTAGTAAAAAAAAAAAAAAAGGCTTATTTCTTTAATATAGATTATGGAATCATGTACGTAGACAACAAGCATTATTTTCTACAGAAAATTGGATACAACAACATGAAATCATTGAAAAATTAGTTGAACAACAAGAAAATTTATTTATACCCTCTCAACAACAACAAGATGATGATGATGATGATGATACCCTTCTTAGTAATAAAAAGCGTACAAGAAATAAGAATGAAGAAGGAATAATAGAAGAACCACAAATCAAGAAATCAAAATCAACAACCCATTTTCATTCTTCTTCTCCGGCAGGTCCGGCGACTCATGGTAACAATCCCCCTACTGCTACCACCACCAGTGCTACTTCTCCACCTAATAGCCCCACTACTGTCTTATTAAGTGCATGATGATGATGGATAATTCAGTTCTAAAAATAGTCCCCCTTAAATACGGTAAAAGGTATTTCCGTTATCCTTTATTATATTATATATATTATTTGTATATGTATATTATATGGTTGTATATCTGCTAGTTATTCCTATTTACATAAATTGGTTATAATAATAATAATAATAAAACGTCAAAATTATATGTCAATCTTTGCTCCACACACACCTTTTTTTTTTTTGCTCTGTTCCCCAGAAATTAGTAATGTACCCTACAAAAAAAAACAGCTTAGTGTTACACATAAATCATGAACATATAATAAATGAATTTGCTGCTATACCGTTGTGTGTGTGTGTGTGACTAGTAAACAACTTCTTTTTTTTTTAAAAAAAAAAAATAAAGTGTTTTATGACAACAACAACAACAACAACAACAAGGGACAATTATGATGTTATTACATAATTCCTTTATGTTACGTACATATATCTGTTTTAATATCTTTTGGATTGTTTTCCAACAAGTATTATTTGCTTAAAGAGTGAAATAAAAAAACTACAGGTACAATCATGCATGTCAAATAATAATCTTATGCATTTTAATAATAGTAATCATGATTCATATTTCGGCCATTTAAAAAAAATACATCATGCAGCAGAATAATGAAATTTGACAGCTAAATAAGATAATAGAATCGCGTTATTATTGTTGAACGACAAAGCAAAAGAAGTTTAAACATGGGGGGTAATGTAATTAAAGTTTTTTTTTTTTTTTTTTTTTTTTTAACTTCTCCCCCCAAAATAAAATAAAATAAAATACAGCATATATTTTAGCTTTAAAATCCTTTCTTTCTTTTCTTTTCTTTTCTTTTCTTTGATAAACATAAACAAAAAAAAAATGAAATTGAAGCTTAATACACCAATCACGTCTGAATTACAATGGATTTCACAAATGAATGTAGATATCAATACTTCTTCTGCAAGAAAGACGAGTATCATTGGAACAATAGGTAACAAATAATAATAATCTTATAAAAAAAAAATGGTGATATTCACTTGTCAACTATGTATGTATAAATAAACACACTATAGGCCCCAAGACAAATAGTGTTGAAATGATTACTCAGCTTCGTAATGCTGGTTTAAATATCGTTCGTATGAACTTTTCTCATGGCTCTTATGAAGTAAAGTATCTTTGTTAATCGTTCACTTCTTTTTATTATAATTTGTAATGGGATTCATTTATCACAAGAGTTTTTATAGTATCATCAATCTGTTATTGATAACACGCGTAAAAGCGCTAAAAGTAAGTTTATAGTCTATTACAAAATATGAATTGACTTGAGTTTTTTTTTTATAAAGTGTATCCTGGTAGACCTACTGCAATCGCACTTGATACAAAGGGCCCCGAGATTAGAACAGGTGTTATGAAGGATGATATCGAAGTAAGTTTAATTTGTATCATTTCTTTTTCTTTATATACTCATGTCTTTATAAGATTCCTATTAATGCAGGTCATGAATTCATTTTAACTGTAAATGATAAATACAAGGATCAATGTGATGATAAGATGATGTATGTTGACTATAAGAATTTACCTAAAGTCATTCAAGTCAACAAATTAATTTATGTGGATGATGGTGTATTATCTTTACAAGTCATTGACATTATTTCAGATCAACAAGTGCGTGTGAGAGCATTAAATGATGGTAAACTTTGCTCACGTAAAGGTGTTAATTTACCTGGTACACCTGTAGATCTTCCTGCTTTATCTGAAAAGGATAAAAAGGATCTAGAATTTGGTGTGAAGAATAAGGTCGATATGATCTTTGCTTCCTTTATTCGTCGTGCACAAGATATAAGAGATATTAGACGTGTATTAGGTCAAGAAGGGAAATATATTAAGATTATTTCTAAAATTGAAAATCATCAAGGCGTCGAAAATTTTGATGAAATTTTAGAGGAAACAGATGGCGTTATGATTGCTCGCGGTGTAAAATAGTATATAAATATATAGAAGACATCAAATCATCTAATCATATAGATTTTTTTTAGGATATGGGTATTGAAATTCCTTTAGAACGTGTCTTTATTGCTCAAAAGATGATGATTGCAAAATGTAATCTTATAGGAAAGCCTGCTATTTGGTAAGTGATAATAGACTCTTTTATCAATAGTAGAATGGAGGAATAACAGATACATATAGTGCTACACAGATGCTTGAATCAATGACCGTAAGTCTTTCCTTTTTTTTTTTTTTTCTCTTACTCATCTTTCATGTTTTAAATTCATATTAGTATAATCCTCGTCCTACGCGTGCTGAGGTATCTGATGTAGCAAATGCTGTTTTAGATGGCGCTGATTGTGTTATGCTTTCTGGAGAAACAGCAAAGGGGAATTACCCGATTGAGGCAGTTCATACAATGCATGAAACATGTTCATTGGCTGAGTCAGTCTTATGTTATCCTCAACTATTCAACGAAATTCGTTCATTGACAGAGTTACCTACAAGTACGGCAGAGACTGCTGCTTGTGCTGCTGTCAATGCTGCTCATGAACAAGAGGCTAAAGCAATCATCGTCTTAACTACCTCTGGGAAATCTGCTGCTCTTATCTCCAAATATAAACCAAGTATGCCCATCATTGTCGTTACACGTAATCCTCAAACCGCTCGTCAAATTCATTTGTATCGTGGTTGCTTCCCTTTCCTTTATCCAAATCCTTCCTCTGATGAAGTAGGCCGTTTAAGTGCTTCTTATAGTACTGACTATCTTGATCATTTAGATCTTACTCCTTGGCAAGATGATGTGGATACTAGACTTAGATGGAGTAAATGATTATTATTATTATTATTTAGACATTAATATACTTAAAATATGTTTTTTTTTACTCTAGGTATGGAACAAGGCATTTTATATGGGTAAGGATATGGTTTTAACTTTGTACACACAATCACATCAATACTAATATAATATGTTTATTTCTAGTTTATTAAAACATAATGAACCTATTATTGCTGTACAAGGCTGGAGAGGTGGTTTAGGCAATACAAATACTATTCGCATTCTCATTTCACCATAAATGTCCGAATTCTAAACAAAATAAAAAAAAAAGAAAAAAGAAAAAAAAAACGGAATAAAATAAAAAAGTAATTGACTCTCGCAAATGATGACTCTTCAAAACTATAAACCTAAAACACACATACATACACACTATTATAGTTGTGGTGCCTGCTATTCAAATCATCATTCTGGCATGACTTCTTTAATATGTATACACGTATACATGTTAAAAAAATTTTTTTTAAAGAAAAAGCAATAAATAACTATATTAATAGCATATAAAAAATAACTAAAACTACTTTAATGAACAGTACAAATCACTTATACAGAATAGATCGACATGGTACTATTACTCTTTTTTTTTTACTAAATTACACATTTGCAAAAATTAAATATAATAAATATGCATAAATATATATATTTTTTTTTCTATTTTATTATTATCAATGCACTATACAAAAGCTAATTTATTCATTCAGCTTTTAAAAAAAAACTATAAACATAATCCAATATTGTTATGGAATAACTTATTTCTTGGAAGCCTTGGCAGCAGCCTTGGTAACCTTACCGGCACGGTCAACCTTTTCAACGGACTTGATGACACCGACAGCGACGGTTTGACGCATATCACGAACAGCGAAACGACCAAGAGGAGGATATTCAGTGTAAGCTTCAACACACATGGGCTTGGAAGGAACCATCTTGACGATAGCAGAGTCACCAGACTTGACGAACTTGGGAGCATCTTCGAGCTTCTTACCGCTACGACGATCGATCTTTTCAATCAATTCGGCGAACTTACAAGCAATGTGAGCAGTGTGACAGTCAAGAACTGGAGCATAACCAGCAGAGATTTGACCAGGGTGGTTCAAGATAATGACTTGAGCGGTGAAAGAGGCAGACTCCTTAGCGGGATCGTTCTTGGAGTCGGAACAGACGTTACCACGACGGATATCCTTGACAGAAACGTTCTTAACGTTGAAACCAACGTTGTCACCGGGAAGACCTTCAGCGAGGGTTTCGTGGTGCATTTCGACGGACTTGACTTCAGTGGTGACGGCAGAAGGAGCGAAAGTGACGACCATACCAGCCTTGATAACACCAGTTTCGACACGACCGACGGGGACTGTACCAATACCACCGATCTTGTAGACATCTTGAAGGGGAAGACGGAGAGGCTTATCGACGGGACGGGTAGGGGGGTCAATAGCATCGATAGCTTCGAGAAGAGTCTTACCAGTCTTGGAACCAGCCTTGGTTTCCTTGGTCCATCCCTTGAACCAGGGCATGTTGGTGGATTCATCCAACATGTTATCACCGTGCCAGCCAGAAATGGGAACGAAAGGAACAGACTTGGGGTTGAAACCGATCTTCTTGATGAAGTTGGAGACTTCCTTGACAATTTCGTTGTAACGAGCTTCGGACCACTTGGTAGTATCCATCTTGTTGATAGCAACAATCAATTGACGGACACCCAAGGTGAAGGCAAGAAGAGCGTGTTCACGGGTTTGACCATCCTTGGAAATACCGGCTTCGAATTCACCAGTACCACCAGCAATGATAAGGATAGCACAATCGGCTTGAGAGGTACCAGTAATCATGTTCTTGATGAAATCACGGTGACCAGGAGCATCAATAACGGTGACGTGGTACTTGGGGGTTTCGAACTTCCAGAGAGCAATATCAATGGTGATACCACGCTCACGTTCGGCCTTGAGCTTATCAAGAACCCAAGCGTACTTGAAGGAACCCTTACCGAGTTCAGCAGCTTCCTTCTCGAACTTTTCAATGGTACGCTTATCAATACCACCACACTTGTAAATCAAGTGACCAGTAGTAGTGGACTTACCCTATTATACATTAAACAAGAAAAAAAAAGGGAAAAATAGTGAGTAGGTGCTTCTTCTTTTTTTTTTAAATTCAATTTTATTCAATTTTTATTCTCTAAAAAAAAACAGGAAAAAAGCCTTTTAATTTTGATGATACTTACAGAATCGACGTGACCAATGACGACAACGTTAACGTGAGTCTTCTCTTTACCCATTGTAACTAAAATAGAATCAATAAATGTAAGTATATATAATGGATGGATGAATGGATGATATACTTCAAATGGATGTATCCGAAAATTTACCTTAATAAAATTGGATGTAATAAAAGGGAAGAATTTAATGTTTCGTCTTTAAAATTTTAATTTATACAAATTTTTTTCCTACGTTTATCTGAGAGTGAAGTTAATTTTACACCAATCACATTTAACAAAGTTATAAATTCGTGACTATTTTTAAGCAAAAAAAAAAAAGGGCATAGACTACAAAGATTAACTTTGAATTTTTATTATTACAAACAAACACATTGTGTGTAGTTAATATGGTCTTCCTCTTCCTCGTCCTCTTCCTCTAGACATCCTATGGGCACCACGACCTCCTCGATTATTACTATTATAACCACCTTTATTAAATACTTTCCCTTTAAATCCACTACCACGTCCTCCTTGTTTCTTGGGTGATTGATAGTTAATAATGGCAACTCTCGTCAAATTACCTGGCCAGCCCGGCCAGCCTCCAGGTGTTTCTGGATTTCTCATATTAGGTTCTAATTTAATTCTTCCTTCTTTAACAGCCTTTTCAAAATCACGACATTTTTTGCTTTTTCTTTTCTTTTTCTTTTCTTTTAAATCTTTTTTAGCTTGCTCGTCATATGAGGGAAGATGGATAATACGATGAGGCATAATCGCTGTTGGATATGGCACTTTAGACTGCTTTAAAATAGTCTCATAATCAACAGCTACTTGTTCTACACGAGATAGAAATTCTGGATCTGTTTCATCAAACTCGTAGACTTGTTGTTCAGCGATTGCTTTTGACAAGCTATCTGTATTATCTTTTATATCTGCAATAGTTACAGTAGCTACTGGTTGACTAGCAAAAAGACGGAATTCAAATTCTTCTTCTTCATCATCGTCTTTCTTTTTATCATCTTGATCTTCAACATCTGCATCAAGTCAATAAAAATGTATTGGTTTTTAATAATAATAATAATAATAATCTAACCTTGATTCCTTCCTTGATCTTGAGTTTCATCTTGATTTTCAGCAAATCCCATTAAGCTGCGCATAAGCATATCCATTTTTTGTGCATCTTCCTTGATGGCTTCTTCATCAATACTACTTTCTTCAAAGATCTCTCTTCTAGAACTAATTTGTGTATTTGGTTCTATAACATTCGTTCCTCTTTTGGATCTATTGAATATTTACATTGAATAACAAAAATAAAAATAAAAATAAAAAGAGATTCAAATATAAAGATAATAAATCAAATTTACACATACGTTGATCGAATGTTGGCCATCATTTTTTTTTTTTAGCAATGTCAAAAAAAAAAAAAAAAAAAAATAATAATAATAATAATAAAATAAAAAAATAAAAGCAGCGAAAATAATTATTTTCTTGTCAATTTTAAGCATAGATTTAAGAAAATATATCACTGGCCATTTGTATGTAGATAAAAGAGGATGAAAGAAAATGTTTCCCTCTTTCAACCATCCATACTTACTGAATAAAACGCTAAGACCACCAATGATTTTATTTTTATTTTTTTTTTATATATATACAAGCAATGTTCTTTAAACTTTGTATGATATAGTTTATGTATGAAGCGTACACAATAACTTAATTAAAATCCATCTTTTTCAATTCTATAAGAAAAATGAAATTATTTATTTTGTTTAATTATATCAATTTAAATAGCTTTGCATAGTATACATTTATATATCGAAGACTTAAAAAAAAATTAAATAATAGCTGGTATTATGAAACAGCAGAGAAAACTTAAAAAAAAATAGCGTAGGAATATATTATGTTCTCCTGTCCATCTTCGTAAAAGAAAGTATTTGTCATTGCGTAGTTTTGAATAAAAGTGAAAAAAAAAATTGACCTGTTTTAAAGTCTTAAAATGCTTATATCATTTTTCTGGTCAATTTGATTTAACCTATTCAAATATTTCCTTATACTCAAAAAGACAATTTTCTTGTCATACTGTCATTCCACCACCAATTGGAAAAATAGTGGCCAGATTAGTCTGTGAAATTTCTTTTAAAATATCAAATAAAAAATATTAGGAAATAAAAAAAGAATATTAAGACAAAAAGAGTCAACGAGACCGAACAATAGTTCTAAAGTCAATTATTTTATTTATGAATTGTTAAAGAGGTTTGAGGATAAGATGTGAATCAGAAAAGTATTAGTTACTACCGAATAAGGTATGTTGTTGATAATAAAGTGTTAGTGATTTTAATATTATTAGATGGAGCGGATCAAGAGAGATTCAAGATAGAATTTCTTAAATAAATTTATGATCTGCATGTTTAATCATGAAACATGGCATTATAAGTCATCTCATGATAGAACCATTGAATCACCTCATAGCTCTTGGCTTATTTTTGATGAAAGGCACAGCATCAATCATTGATATGCCATGGAATGACGACGAAACGGTCAAACTCTTGTACAGTATAGCAGTCGAACATTATGAAGGCGTTACTGGAAATATACCACACCTTATCGATATACTACAACAAGTACTGAACGAAAAAGACTATGAATGCGATAATATGCTGAAACTTCTCGACAATTGTGCATCACAGGAAGTACTGACGCAGACCATCAAAAGTACTAAGTCCAGGAACCAGATTTTGAAACGGAAATACAGTGATATCAATCCCACGACTTCAACTTCCTCATCCAATAGAGATAGTAATCCGGAAATATTGTCAGATGCTACTACAAGGTTTATACAGAGCATAGAATTTGTTGACAATTTCAAAAAGCAAGGATAGCACTGGGTAAAAAGCGAATGGATTGGGTTTTGTGTTAATTTGAGGGATGATTGGGCTAGATCTGATATTGGGAACACCCGCCATAATAAAGATACCGAAAACTAAAGCCCCATCTCATACAATTATTGGTGCTATATACGCATCTAGTGTCATTCATGTAACAATAAAGAAGCCACACTCCCCAAGAAAAGAGAAGCTTCAAATCAAAGAGATGGCGGCCACACAAAAAAAAGAAAAGTGAACAAAGGTAAAAAGCGAGCTGCAAATTAGTTTATTATAGAGGAACCAGTAATAGAGTGCGTTGATATTAATGAGGATAATGCCCAAGATAATATCACACCTGCATCAAAGGTACAACAACTGTGCACTTTATCAAATTCATTAATGGTCTGCTTGATGTCATGGATCTTGATGAAAACTTAAAGAAAAGTTATTTAGTAATGGATAATTGTACCATCCATAAATCAAAACCGATGATCAGGAAGATTGAAGCGTCACAGATTGTTGACTGAAGAAAAAATGTCTGAAAGAATTGATGAGGCTTGTAATGATATACCTGTTAAGAATTTGTACAACTTCGCTAGTCATCCTAAACGACAAATCATTCATTGTTATAATAAAACCCCATTCTAAATATTCTAATTGTCTAAAAAAAAAAAAAAATATATATTAATCGCAAATTTATAAAAGTTACAATCCAGTCAATGGCGTAAACTTAGCAATACAGCTCTTACTAGGACTTTACATGCGCCTCTTGATAGCCTGAACACCTTTACCCTTCGTCGACATTGCTATAATTTTATTGCAAGGAATTTCCAACTTACTCTCCGGCAAAGGCACAGCAAATTATTGACTGTCTGTCGTCCTTCTTTGTCCTTGGATCTCATCCTGTGGTTACCTATGCTCCCAATCGAACATAGTCGACTCATTAGATGGTGGCTGGGCTGGCTGCCTGGTGGTACTTCTAAATCTTGTCAATGCGGATCACACAATCTAACAAAGAAACACAGCATCCATTGCCTACGCATCCATTCTCAATTATATATATCGCAAGACATGGATGACACCATCTCGTGTCTTCTCAATCGGTTTCCCTCTAGACTGCCCAAGCCACTTCATACACAGGCCTACTGGCAAATACATTGGATTGTCATCCAAAGATTCCTCTTAGCTTCTTGTGTATACATTCACCCAAAAAACTAAACGTGTCTCAATATATCCCACTTTCATGTCGATGTCCCACTTTTGTATCAGTATCCCACTTTCATATTGGTGTCCCATTTTTGCATTGGTGTCCTAATCCAGTTTTGAAACTATCAAACTTTTTCTCATTGGCCCACTCTAGTTTTTTTGACTGTAATTTTGGCAAAGTGACATTTATTTTTTAGTAACGGACATTTAATTTTCGCAAAGTAACAATATTTACCGTTCTCACTGTAGATATTTGTTAGAATAAAATGTCATTCGAATCTTACTTAAAAAAAGCCATTCAAGATTTAACTTTAGGCTTAACCTTCAATGTATATGATATCAAATCAAACTTATTTCATTGTCCTAAGCCGTTGATTAAAAAACACGAAGGAGAGACATTGTGTCGTCATCGTTTAATTCTTGTCTCTACAGAATCTGAAGGATTTCTTTCTGGATTAGAAACGTATGAGTACATACTAAGTGGAAAAGATGTATTAAAAGAGAAATATATTACTTATATATCAAAAGTGGACACAACAACTACTTTGAAAAAATATCAGGGTTTGACTGCTCGCATCGTTCAATCTTACATTGCCAGTTTACCTTCATCTACTTCAGTATTTGTGTTTGCTAGAGCTCAGCCTCAATACTTATTTGCTAAATCAGCTGAAAATAAATTAAAATCGACTTTAAGTGATCGCGATTTAGTTTCTTGGTGGCTCTCAGTCTTGAATAAGACTCCAGTGGAATGTGATGGCTGGTGGTCTGTACCAGGTATAGACGATGAAGGAAGTGCATTAATTGAAATAGGGGCTAGGAAAAGAGGTTGGAAATCATCTGAACTTATTTGTTGGCAATATGGAGTATCTTATAAACCTGAAGATGACGCTAATTTAGTTATTCCTCGATTTGAGGATGATGCAAAGTCGCGTTTGCTCAAAAATAATAAGCAAGATAAATTAACGATAACCGAGTTTTGGAATTTATTAGCGTTTGGAGAAGAATGTGGATCAGGCAAGATAACAGGATTTTTTGAAATAAGAATTAAAGGACAAAATACAGCAATGTTATTAGAAAAAGGTCAAGAAAAGTTGGATTTAAAGGATAATGAATTTACTTTATTTTGGAATAAGCTCATGTCATTAGATTTTCATGACGAAATATCCATCTTGAATTCAACAAAGACAGCTTTGAAGGATTTACAAGACATGTTTCCAAATATTAAACCATTTATTGCTAAAGGAGTAGCAGATCAACCAAAAATAAGTAATTCTGATTCGAGTGCAGATAAGCGTCCTGCTGTGAATATGCTTTCTAGCGGTTTTATTAAGCGAAAAAAGATTTAACTGGATCAAATTCATAAAGCAAATACATCAAATAAAATAGAGTCACACAAGTTCGTTCTAAAACTAATTCAATAAAAAGAATTATTACAAAGTAATGTTAATCCTTTTTTTTTTTTTTTCATAACAAACCCTTACCTTTATCAATGTTAAAAATTACATAGTTATTTTTTTTTCGTCTTCGTTCTTTTCATTTAACGAGTATGTCTGATTTTTCATCTATCCAAAGCTCGGAGACTAAGATGTCGCAACATGGGCCCAACTATGCAAAGAATAGAAAAAAGAGAATCAAGAAAAAGGCTAAAAAGAAGGCAGCAACTGTATCAGAGCCTATTACACAAACCACAAATGAGGGTCATGAGAACAATAAAGCTTTGTCGCCCTTGATAAATAAAGTATTACTTGCTAAAAATGAGAATTCCTCATCACCTGCTACTCACACTGAAAATAAGAATAAGAATAATACGAAATCACTGCTGACTGCTTCTATCGAAAAGGCTATGATCGAGTCTAATAATAATACAACTTTTGTTAAACAACATATTGATGATACTGGAGAGGCTTCAGTTATGCCTACTAACATGGCTGAAAAGGATTTAACAAAGACACAGTCTAAATTGTTAAAATTATCAGAGAATGTTCAGTACTGTATCAGATCAGTAATTGCTTTCAGAACAATTGATATTGAGAATATCATTAGACAGATTGTCAAAAATAATAAAACAAATAAAGAATATCGATCAACTGACAATAGTGCAGCAATCACTGTTACAAAGAATGTTCATGATTTAACAGAAAAACACACGCCTCATGCATTTTCAGATAATATCAAACACGGTATTAACTGTGCCGTTGCCTCTAGAGTCGTCAACCTTGAGAATATCATCCAAAAGATAATTGAGAATAATGCAAAGGAGACAGAACCTAACACCCTTAATAAAACTGATACTGGTGGCGATTCAAGTTTTAAGGACAATAGTGGTAATGTAATAAAGACACATAATAAAGAATCTTCTTCAGTAACTGGTACTGCTAAATCAATCGGTCAAACTACTACTAGTCCTCCAACTACAAAGCTAAGCGAAAATATTCAATATTGTATTCAATCTGTAATTCGGTCACGTTCTATTGACATATATAAAATAATTTATCTGTCACACGATACAAAGGCTAAAAAGGTCGGCTCAGCTTCTCGGGGTCCAATAGCACCTTCATCTTCCACAAAGCCAGCAAGAGCAAATAATAAGAAAGACCAAGCACGTGAATATGGACGTTTCAATTTATTTAATAAAAAGAAACGTTGTATCATATTGTAACATCTTTATATATGCATATATATGCATTTTCGCAGCTATTATGATAGCATCACTAATATATATATATATAAATATATTTATTTATTTAAATAAAATTTGAATACGTATCGTTAATATACACAATAATTCAAAATTCCACGTATATGCAGCAATTAGTTTTTTTTTCCACCTTTCTACAAGATAATAAGGATTAAATGATATACGTGTTTATATAATATACTTTAGCTCATTATGATCAAATGAAATCAAAAGGATTCATAAATAGTTATTAAGCATATAGAAAGAAAAAAAAGGTATTTCTGGTAAATCCATAACGCAGGCAATAAAAATCTTGCCCTGAAAGCATTGGCATTTTATAGTCATATTTAAATACTTTGTACTAATCAAGACAGTGTCATTTATAAATAGTAATCACTGTATTGTATACAATATATAAAATAGATGAGCCCCCTTTTTTCTTTAATATGTAACGCGTCGTGTTCAACAGAACACAAGTGGTTGACAAACAGTAACTAATTGCTATTTAAATATCTCATTTTTATATATATAGTAGTCGTTCTTTGTTCATTTTCTTTTCTTTTCTTTTTCCTTGTTGTTATTTAATAATATAAAGGTAAAGACTTTGCAAGTATATACATACAAATATATATATTGATGTAAGCTAATCTATAGTAGTGATAATATGCCTTTAATAAAGAAGCCCAATCTATGCTCACATCAACAAGTATTATACTATAGTAGTTATGGGATTTATCCTCAGGTGTATTATCCTACAGTACAACAAACTGCTATTTCAAATTGTTGTGGTCATTGCTGTTCATCTATCTTTCTTCAGCCATCTTTTTGCTGTGGGCCTCCTAATAACTATGGATGTCACCTAGTATGTGGATGCAAAAAGGTTCCTGAAAGTAGTACAGAGTATATAAACGTTCTTACATTTCACAATCCTCGTAAGCCTAAAAAAGGCCTTTTTAAAAAGTAATCATAAAAAATTATTTAAATGGAATATTATAAGACTACAAGCATTTTTTTTTATCAATTTACATATAACTATTATAAGCCATATACATATTCAACACATATACATCTATTTAAACAAAATAAAGACTATATTTATAATATTTATATGGGAGGAGAGTTTTCTTGTACGGAATAATTCAAGTATACGTTCACTGATTTCTATTTTTTTGCCTTCTCTTTAGCTTGTGCTACAATGGATTCAAGCTGATCCTTTTCAGAAAGGTGTTTCAGCAAGTTGTAAATCATTGGTATAAAATTATGCTTTCGTAAAATATTCTCTCTCTAAATATAAAATAATGATTTATCTCATATATCCTCAAATATCTTATCTTTAACTTACATGCCATCTTTTTCTCTTTTCTTTTTCTTGTTGTAATGTTTGTACATGTATTAAGCGATCTTGTTTTACTCTATTTCTAGCTTCTATGTCATCTTCTGGTAGTGATAATAAAATACCATCTGCTTCTTCAATTAACTCTTCCAATTGTTCAATTCGATCTCTAATAAGTGCCATTAAACTAAAATGTAACTCTGATGCACCATAACTTTCCATGCGATTCTTAATAGCTTCATTAGCTTTTTCGACCCAATTGTTTTCATCACAGGGTCCTAAATTGATAGGCCCTTGACTCAATCCATCTAATTCGTACAGTGCTCCATGAATAGGCGTGAATGCGATAAAGTGATAAACATCTTGATCCTTTCCAGCATTAGGATCAACAATTTCATTTACAAAAGGATCTGATCGTGCAAAACTATTATGGACTGATCTAATCAATTCACTATTGGAGATGGCTAATCCTTTCATCTACGTAATCGTACAAGAATTATTAATAACTAATCACGCACTATATACACATAAAGAAGTTCATACATCAGGTGGGAAATCTGCCGTGAATTCTTTAAAATTTCTTAACTCTTCACCAATGTCAATATCGTCTCTATTTAATAATATAGATAATATAGCTTGTGTTGCACATGCATTATTAATTACTTGATTAGCAAAGAACACATGATTCGCATCATGATCAACTTGAGGGATATTAATTTGATTATCCTTTTTATTTTGCCACTTGAACAAAAAAATCAAACCATACATTTGACTAATTTAAGAAAGTTAAAAAAAAATAATAATAAAATGAAAGATATACTAACTTAGTATACACACATTACTTACCCTAATTCATCTGTAAATTCAGGATCTAAACTGTAAATTTCTTCTGTTTGAACACCACGACAACCCATTCCCGAGATGAGTTCAGTAAACACACCTGTGAATTATAAGAAAATTAGTTTACAAAACATGTTTACTTTCGAACCAAAGGAGATAAAAAAAAAGGGAAGGGAGAAATGGTTTTAAAATTACCAGGATCACTTTCAATTAAGCACCAATCACCAGCATCAGTCATTGTTAAATTTGCTCAAGTATTTCTTTAAAGGAAAAATATGTATTCTTTTTAAACAAAAAAGAAAAAAAAAAGCTGTAATATAACATTTTTTTTTTTTCGTGCTGCTGGGTTGTAATATAGCTTTTATACATGAAGCTTAGACCAATTATTACGATTAAAATTATGTTGTGACTAATGGACACGTAGTGGCTATAAAAACTGATTTGCCCTAGTCAGTTTCAAAAAGAAAAAGTTGAAAACATTTCTAGACAAAAAGTAAAGGCTAAAGTCAAAGGGGGGAATATCTATATGTATATGCATATATGTAAATCGAAAAGATAACCCGCTCAATCAAGAGAGAGAGTGGATAAGGAATAGAGGAATAAGCCAGATAGTCCATTTTATACAAGATAAAACATTTGGATGGCCAATAGATAAACTGAGGAGATACTAAGTTAAAGGACTCGGAAAGTTTCATTGACTCTTGGCCATCTAAATGGGATACATACTACTCCTTGTAAGTAGATTACATTGAAGAATGATATAGTATCTTCTTCCTCGGTGGGAAATAGAAATAGCGTCACTTTGACCTATTTTAGACCAGGCCACATTTCTAATTGTGTATAGGCTGATAGCTAACCTCGTTGATGAAGACAGGTCTAGATTTATATATACATGAACTCTTCTTATTTTATCAGCCTATTCATATGCAAAATCTTCTCTAGCACCCAAAGTTTCTTTTGCATTTCTTTTATCCATCTAAGAATAATTGCGTTTTTCCAATATGTGATTATATACGTCAAATTACTTTAAAAGATTATCCATTGTAGCGATAGTATTTTAATCGAATTAGTTGCAAATAAAAGTAGTATGTTCTTCATTTAAAGCTTTCTTTCCATTCCGCTTCTTGGTTTCTTTGATTGGGAATATTCATTGGCATATCAATAAAGCTTTTCCGCATTCTTCAAGTTGTTCTTTCTTCGATACCAAAAAGTGTGAAACTATAGCAACAGTGGATTGATCTGGTTTTATTTTCTTTTAAATGAATTCAACTCATTGCTATAGCAGATCAAGTATATTTTGTATTTGATATAATTTCCTCTTATTTCCATTGCTACTACCTCCTTTTTCTTCTTCTTCTACTTCTGTTGCTTCTTCTCTGGAATGAATTCTTCGTTGTTTAGCAATACAATTTGTTGGTTTCATACAATTACTTGATAACACTTCAGAAGAATTATCAAAGGTCATGATACGCTTTAATAATTTTATTTATTTATTTTCAAATTAACTAACGTGTCTAGGACTAGGATTCACTCACTCATATAACTTAAAGTGTCATAAAGATCAGGCTATTATTCTTCGGTGATCTCTATTATAGGATCTATTTCACGATTATCGGATGCATTAATATTCATTGAGGAAATGTAAATTTCGGTTATTATTGATTCAAACTTTTTCTTTTTCTATCTGGGTAGTAAGCTACAAGAAGTATTTCGCTCAAGAGCTGATGATGAACATTGCTTATTGGTCAGTTATCTTTTAAAAAAAAAGCAACACTTGATTCTGCTAAGGACTTGATTTTTATAGTACAAATCAAGGCCAAAATGTAAGTCTGAATTTTAATTTTAATAAAAAAAATTAAAATAAAAAAAAAAAAAAAAAAAAAAAAAAAGATAACTTTTATTATTTCAACTATTAAAATGGGACGAAAGAAATTATTACCAGGAATTGATCCATCAGCTATTTTAAGCAGTAGGAAAAGAACTAGAGCTGTTGTAAATTACAATGAAAATGAACAATTGCGATCTAGAATACAAGCTCAAAAAGTGAATAAAGTTCATTCAAAAACAGAGAGTAAAAGTGTTCATAAATCAACTAGAAATCGTTATAAAAAAAGTAAATTAACAAATGAGGATGATGATGATGATAAATCCTTGTCTTCATCTGCTTCTTCATCTTCAGAAGATGATGAAGAATATTCACAATCAGAAGCAGAAGATTTTGAAGAGGAAGAAAAAAAGGAAATCAAATCAAAATATTTACCGGCAACTCATAGACGAATACCGAGAAAAATACCAACAGCGATTTCAACAAAACGTAAACCAACGACTACTACAAAACGCACTGTTCATAGAGTAAATCAAGTAATGCCAGTATTACCTTTACGGCGTGTTAAACGATACGATGATGCTAATCGATCAGCTTATGAATTGGCTAGAGAACGATTGCATGTATCGGCTGTACCTGATTCATTACCATGTCGTGAAGATGAATTTATAAATATTATGGGCTATATTCAAAGTGCCATAGAAGAAGCAACTGGTACATGTGTATATATTTCTGGAGTTCCTGGGACTGGCAAAACGGCAACAGTTTTAGAAGTGATTCGATATTTACAGCACCAAGCAGAAGAAAAAGCTATCCCTGAATTTGATTTTGTTGAAATTAATGGTATGAAATTAACAGATCCAAATCAAGCCTATAGTATTTTATGGGAATGTATGGATCCATCTAATAATGACGGTAAAAAAAGGAGATATACTGCTTCTCATGCATTACAAATGTTAGAAGCCAAATTTTCAAGTCGCAATGAAGATCAGCGTACAACGTAAGTAACGAAATAGATGTGTGTGTGTGTTTAATTAGAATGTCCGTTCTATTTATGCTTACGTTTATTTTTACAGAGTTGTTCTGATGGATGAGCTTGATCTTTTAGTTACTAAAAAACAAACCGTTATGTATAATTTTTTTGATTGGCCAAGTAGACCTTTATCGAAATTGATTGTTGTTGCAGTTGCAAATACGATGGACTTACCCGAACGAATTATGAGTAACAAAATTGCTAGTAGAATGGGTCTAACACGTATCAACTTTCAACCTTACAAATATGATCAACTCTATCAAATTGTTCAGTCCCGTCTACAAGATATAGATGCATTTGCAAAAGAAGCAGTTGAATTTGCTGCTCGTAAAGTCAGTGCAGTAAGTGGAGATGCTCGTCGAGCACTAGATATTTGTAGAAGAGCAGTAGAGATTGTAGAGAATAGAATAAAAGAACAAGAAGAAGAAGAAGGAGGAAAGTCAGCACCAAAGCATGTTACCATTGCTATTGTAGACGAAGCAATCAAAGAAATGTTCTCGTCGCCTTCAGTAGCTTTCGTTCGTTCTTGCTCATTACATCAGAAAATCTTTTTAATAGCATGTTTACAACGTTCGCGTGCAATAGGTTTAGCTGAAATTGAGTTTGGAGATGTAGCCCATTATCATATACAGACGTGTAAATGGCATAATATTGAGCCACCTAATACTAGCGATTTGATGCGTGTATGTGAATCATTAGGTCAAGCAAGGGCTTTACTAATGGAAGGTGGTAGAATGGATATTTATATGCGTATTTCGCTGAATTTAATAGAAGAAGATATTGTGATGGCTTGTAAGACAGATAAAATCATCAGTCGTTTGTTAAAGAATTTACTAGATAAATAAATGTAGAATCATTTTTTTTACCCTCTTTCGCTTTTTTTTTTTTTTTTTTTTTTTTTTGATAGTGACAAGGTAAATATACTTGAAATGTATAATATACCCTAATCAAAGTCAGGAAAAAGTAATAGAGTAGTAACAAGGGAAAGCATTTATTTGTATTATCCTTTTCTATAAACTAAATTCAATATGATAGTGTATCATATTCCTATAAAGAAAATAATACTATATGTTTATTGAAACTATGGACAAACTAAAGAATTGTATTTCATGACTCTTCATTTAAGAATATAATGGATGACATAGTGACTAACAGCTATATCATTTGTCAAGATATATATTAATATTTATATATATAAAAAGGGAATTTTTTTTTAAAAGAATATAAACAGATTACAATAAAAATAAATGTAACAAGAGACTGTCTTTAGTCATAAGCAGGTAGAAGATTGTAACTAGAGGAGACGGGGAAACAATTTTTTTTTTTCTTATAAAAACTCATTATGACACATGTCTTTATCAAAACTAGTGATATAAAAAAAATCTTTTTTATTTATTTATTTATTTTTATTTCTTCTCTTTTTCTAATAAACAAACATGTCAAGTAAATATAATAGACTTATTTTTAACCTTTGTAGAAATCAATTATATAGAAATTATAGTACAGTCAAAGTACCAGCTGTATGTAGCTTGATAAATAAATTTTTAAATTATTTATTATTGATTCAATCCATGTATTTTTGAAATAAATATATAAATATATACATACATACTAGCTTATTCCAGAACAAAAAGAAGTTCGAGTAATGTAAAAAATAATAAATAAATAAATATATAAAAACTAAATTCATCAGCTAAACTCATGTTAATTACTTCATCATTTTAAATTTAGGAATTGCTATTAAATGTAATGGATACAAGTCCTAGCAAAAGAGAATTGCAACACTTTTTGAAGCGTTTTGGGCCTGATAAATCAACATTATTTTCTGGATATAAAGATAGAAATGAAACATCAAATATTAAATCACCAAAGGAATATGTCAAGGCATTATTAACACCCTCTTATCATCATTTAGCACTTACAAAAGTGGAAGGACCTTTCCATAAAGCAGATTGGCAAAGAGTAGGTAAAACTCTTTACAAACTTCAAAAATTGGGTTTAACCTCTATCATTGTATCTGATAATCCAAGTTGGAGAAAAGAGAAATCATTACCAAATGAATTAACAAAACGAATATTAACAGAAAGCATGGCCTTAGTTGAAGCCATTGAACAAGCAGGCGGACGTGCTCGAGTTATTTTTGGCTCTGTCTTGGAAAGATCGATGGCTTCATCTAATTCAATAGATATCAATCCTGACTTTATTTTATTGGCTTTAAACAATAATGAAATACCTATTATTGCACCTATTTTAGCTGAACAAGATGGTCAATTAGTACCTATCAAAGCTTCAGAAGCGATTACTGCTCTTACTCAACATCTTGCAGCAAAACAAGCCATGTATCCAAAATTAGTGCCATCTAAAATCGTTGTTATTAATAAAGAAGGAGGTATTCCGAATCATGATTTACCAGGTACAGCCCATAGTCTTGTCAATGTTCAAGAAGAATTTGATGATATCCAAATTGCATTTTCTAAAAATAAAGAATGGCCTATATTATATCCAAGCACAATAGAAGATTTAACCATGATTCGAGATTGCTTAGAACAATTACCAACTACTTCTTCAGCTGTTATCGTACCTACATCCTCCTTACCTTCAGCTCTAATTGCAAATTTAGTAACTGACAAACCATTATATTCATCTTCTTTACCCATCACAAATAAAGAAAGAATTAATCAAACTAGAGCAACCGTTCTGCGACATGGTATCAAGATTAATCATTATTCTCGTTTAGCAGATCTTAATTTAAATCGACTTACAGAATTATTAGAAGCTAGTTTTCAAAAGACAGTCAATAGAGATGCCTTTTATAAAAGATTAAATCATGTTTTATCAACCGCAATTATTGCTGGTGATTATGAAGGTGCTGTCATTATAACAAAGGAGAAAGCTATGAATCAATCACATGCTTATCTTGATAAATTTGCTATTGCACCTTCAAGTCAAGGTATTGGTTTAACAGATATTTTATGGAAACGAATGTGTGATGCCTATCCTGAATTACTTTGGAGAAGTAGAAAAGAAAATGGTGTTAATAAATGGTAAAAAAAAAATCTCTCTCTTGAATCCCTTGTTATATTTACTTTAATTATTTAGGTACTTTGAAAGATCAAATGGTTATTTACGATTAAAAGACACTAATTGGATTCTATTTTGGCATGGTTCTAATGGTTATCATTATATACAAGATTATGCAAAAATAGCTACATCTATTCCCGCTTCATTCATCACTTCTAAATAATATAAGAAAAAGAATGATTATAGTCTTCAATAATAGAACCGTATAACTCTTATCGAGTATACCATACTGTACAGTCATTTCAAAAAAAAAAAAAAAAAAAAAAAAAAAAGTCGTAGTTTTAGAATTGGATGTCATGTCTTGATCATTCAAAAAAAAAAAAATCATATTTACTTCTTTTTCATAAACTTTTATTTATTTCTCTATTTGCTAATATCATATAATAATTCTTGTCATTTTGTATATAATAGAAGCGATAGTTTCCTGTTTCATCATTTTTTTTTTCTTTGCTTAGTTAATACAATGATATCGTACTTTAAAATACTATGCTTACCTAATCATTTATGAATTAGACTTTTTTTTTTTTAATTTAGCATGTTTTTAATTGGTTAAATGAATATTATTTTGGGGGGGAATGAATAAATTCCTTCTCTTATTTAGAAATAAATTACTTAAACTTATCAACAGGCCACAGAATAAAAATGCATTTACAAGCTGCGTTCTATTACTAAATTTAATTAAGTTAAACTTGGAGTATTTTTGTTCAAATTTAATAATTATTCTTGTATACTAAACAACTTTGTCAGTCACAAAAATTGTCATTTAAATATCTTTAATGAAAGGGGAAAATAAAAAAGTAATTCATTTCAATCTCCCAATAAGGCACATGATGAAATCAACTGAACTATTTTATTTTAATACAAGATTAAATAAAGTTAATTACTTCATATTTCCTTCAAGAATTGATGAATGTGTTTGTTTGACATTGTTGATTACTTAAAAAAAAAAAAAAAAAAATCCGGGTACAGTATGTTTTATATCGGAGCATGTTTGAACCAAATGTCTATTTATTTAACCCTTTTTAATATTTTCCCTTTTTTTATTATTGTTATTATTATTTTCAAGCAGTAAGACACACTATTACTGTTATTAGACAAGTTTAGGAATATGCTACCAATAAATGGTATCGAAGAAACAGATTTTGAAAAACATGAAAGACTATTAAAAACAATATCTAAATTCGATATGGTTGACATTGGTGAAAGAGTTCATGATTTACCTGACGATTTGAAAGATGTTAAAAACATTCTAGTCACTGGTGGTGCTGGTTTCATGTAAATATCTTTAAAAAGTAGAAGAGGAAGAGTGAAGAAATAATGTTTATTTATTTTATTCTATAGTGGATCCTTCCTTGTCAGAAAATTAGTTGTATTATATCCAGAATATCATATATATGTTATAGATAAACTTGACTATTGTGGTTCCTTACATAATTTAAAAGCTGTCAAAGAATTCCCAAACTATACATTTGTTAGGGTAAATGATATTTCTCAAGTTTTTTTTTTTTTTTTTTTTTTTAGGTTATTTATGAATAAAGAATATATATAGGGTGATATCACTTCTGCAGACTTTGTTTCTTTCTTTTTGAAGGAAAAAAAGATTGATGTTATTTTCCATTTAGCTGCACAAACTCATGTAGATAACTCATTTGGAGATTCATTTGAATTCACAAAGTATGTAGATATATAAATACATATGAAGAATGGATGATTTATATTATATTAGGAATAATGTAATGGGTACGCATGTGTTATTAGAAGCAGCTAAAATTAGAAAAATTCGAAGATTTATTCATGTTAGTACAGATGAGGTTTATGGTGAAGTTATTAATGGAGTAAGTTTCTTTTTTTTTGTTTATGTTTAATACAAGTATATATCTTAATTTATTATATCCATATAAATAAATATGTATAAATATTAGCCTGATTGCATAGAAGATACAATTTTATCTCCAACGAATCCATACTCAGCTACAAAAGCCGCTGCAGAATGTCTTGTCAAAGCTTATCACAAGTCATTTGGATTACCTATCATGATCACTCGTTCAAATAACGTATATGGTCCATATCAGTTCCCAGAAAAGATTACTTCAAAGTTTGTTTGTAGTTTACTTCGTGGTAAAAAATTATATATTCATGGCGATGGACTTAATTCTCGAAAATACCTTTATGCTGCAGATGTAGCAAATGCAATTGATATCATCTTTCATAGAGGTGATGTAGGTGAAACTTACAATATTGGATCACCCTCAGAGATATCAAATTATGAAATGGCAAAACGTTTAATTCTTTTGTTCGGTTACAAGGAGAATGAAATCAATGATCATATAGAATATGTGAGGGACAGGCCTTTTAACGATAAACGTTATGCAATTGATTGCTCTAAATTAGAAAAGTTAGGCTGGACTCCTAAAGTGAAGTTTGATGAAGGTTTATTAAAAACAAGTAAGTTAATATAAAGGAATATATGTTATGTGTATGTGTATGTGTATGTATGTGTTGACTATTTACACATATAAAAAGTTGAATGGTATAGACAATGTACTGATACTTGGTGGGGTGATATCTCTAGTGCTCTCATTCCTCATCCTTTCAAGGTTACACCTTCTTATGATGTATCTTCAATATAGAGAATAATACTACTACTGTTGTATAATTAATTTTTAACTGAGTTTTGATTATGTAATAAATATTTTAAATATAATAGTATCATTAATGTAATAAATGCATACAATAAGTTGCCTTTTCTTAGTTGCTTGACGCTAAGAAATTTAATTTGATCATTAGTTGTAAATTTTTTCAATAGTAAATAAATCCCACTTTCTACTACTACTACTACTACATATTATACGTATCAATTACTCTATTCTCATACTGTTGCCTCTTCTATCTTATGAGTCTATACAGGTTAATATGATAACTATTTGTTAAAGAATATTTCAAAAAATAGCATCTAAAATATATCACTAATAAATGAAAATCCTTCCTTCCTTCCTTCTTAATAACAGCTCAGCTCAGCTCAGCTCAATTTATTCATTGAACAGAAGTTACTATATCAAAAAAGCTATTAATATGTAGCTTTATCTTCTTCTTTTCTTTAGAAACTTCTTTATTTGGAATAAACTGAAGTATAAACACATTTAATATTATAAAACTTCTTAATAACAGTCATTCATAAGAGTGATTTTAATATCTTTATTGACCGTCACAAAACCTTTCTTTTTAAGATCTTGTTTCTTCACTTCTGGAGGTACGAGATAATATCAGACAAAGACTATAGTTAAGTTTTTATGTGATTTATTATTCGATTTAATTCTTATCAGTATTTATATTAAATAATTAAATTTGCTTGAAAACTGGAAAATCGTAATGATAGAAATAATGCATAAGTGGTTGTCTCTTGTTATTAACTAATTATGCCGATATCTTCTATATTTACATACAACACATACTTTTGACTTCTTCCTTCTGGATTCTAAATCCTTTATCGTTGGCTTGAAATCTTTTCTTATTCTGCCTTAGTTATTTTAAACAGCAGATTGTATTCTACTTCTATTGACTGCTTATTTATTTCGTTTATCACTAAACTGCACAAAGATGATTTAGTAATGATTTTCAAGTTTGGCTGTCAATTATTAAAATACTTTGAAAATAAGAGACTGTAAACCAAAATTAAAATTTATATCCTGTATTTAACTTTTCTTTTTTTTTTAACGTAAGCGAAGAACCTATTTTAGATCCTTTTAGTACTGTGAAAAGCATACTATTTATTATCATTCTCTTTTCTTTTTCTATTCTTTTTTTTATTATTAACTCCTGTAAATATATGAGGTAGTTACCATATCTAGATTCTTTATTTTAAAGCCTGTCATTTAAAATAGACACGTGTTAGTCTTTTAGATATACAATGTATCGACTGTCATTATACAAAAAAAAAAAAAAAAAAAAAAAAAAAAAAAAAAAAAAAACTGGTAATTTCTGAATTATTTTTTTTCCCTTGAACTCATTAAAGTTTTTTTTTTTTTTTTTTTTTTTTTCTTGAACATATTACAGTCTTTTTTTTTAATTTCTTCACTTTGTTCAAAAGAACTTCTCCATTCAGTTTGGATATTATGTAGTTTATCAGTGTACTTTATGGATTTTAATTTTATTAATATCTATAAGGCTAAAGACGTAATAATTTAACAATAATAATGATGAAATTTTATTAAATATCACAGGAACAGTTTCAATTTTTTTTATTGAATACGTTAGATTATAAAGTAGGTTAGTAATGTTTAGTGGGAAAATGACTGACTATAATCGGCTTACACTTGAAGAAATTCTCATAGTAGTCGTTCATTGCTATTAACGAGATAATTTTTTTATTATATGCCCAAGATAATGAACTACTGTGATTATAAAATAAGCTTTATCATAATCTTCAATATTATTACATAATGTTCCTGTACACTTTACTACAAGATCTTGGCAAGAAAAAAGTTACTTAAGTTTATCAGGCACTTTTTTTTTTTAAAAAAAAAATAATGATATTAATAATGATATTAATAATAATAGCCGAGACATTATACATATATTTATTTATAATGAAATAATTTAGTATTGATTATGCTGCTGCCTTTCATTCGTTTCGTGTATCGAGTTTTTTTCGATTATAAAGAACCAAGACATAATTATGCTGTTATACATAATATATCATCATATTTTTAGTTATAAGACAAAATTTTTTTTTGACTCAGATTATTTACATAACGAAGAAACAACGTTTTGATATTACTATTATTATAGAAGAGAAATGATAATGATGGAGTGTTATTATGTGACTTTTTTTTTCTTGAAGTTTAGATACTATTTGACTAATAATCATGCCAATAATTCCTACCATTTATTTGCTTTCAAGTCAGCGATGATTATAATTATCTGTTATCTCTTAAAATAATAACCGTTTCTTGCTTTTTTATTTTATTTTATTTTCTCTCTTTTTTTTTATACATATTTATTTATTTATTCTCTTCATTTGCTTGAGTTATGTCAGTTCAACAACAATTATTACCCATTTATAGTCAATTGGATTTTCAAGAAACGTCTCCTTCTAACATATATCAATTTGTACAAAATACAAATAGAAAATATAGAAATCCACCTGTTTACTTTTCAATCAAAATTATTAAAATTGATAATGATAAAAATAAACGAATATGTTATCCTGGTTCTATATTTGAAGGAATTGTAAACTTAAAAGTGGATACGCCTCTTGCTGCTCAATGCTTAATACTTGTCTTTAAAGCCGCTGGTAATTTATAATTTGTTACTAGTTAACGATACATAGATGCTGGTTTTTAATTTTAATCTTTTTTTTTTTTTTTTTTTTTTTTAAAAAAAAAAAAAAAAAAAGAACATATTCAGATTGATAATAGCTTTGAAAGTAAACCGTCTAAGGAACAACTGTTTGTCATTCGTACTGTATTATGGGGTTTACCATCTCATACAGGAGATAAATGGCCCATATTTGAGACAGGAGTATATCAATTTCCATTCATATGTAAAATGCCTATGGTCAACTATCCTCCATCATTTAAACATCACCTAGCTTCTTGTGAATTTGAATTAGTAGCTTCTTTAATCCGTCCGGGTATTCGACCCTTTCAGACTACACCTTATTTAATACGATATGAACCTTTTATTCCATCCATATCTATGATTCATGAACACTCCAGTATATATCAAGAAGAAGTACAATTATCGAAAACTTGTAAAGTTTTATTAACTTTAAAGAAAGGCTGCTATTATAATCTATCAGATCCAAAAGAATCAACTATAAATCTTCAATTGTCCATTGTGAATTCTGTTCAAAAAGAGGAAATAGACATAACAAACAAAGATAGCGGCCCTCTTTCCCCTCTTCATCTTAAAAGAAGTAGTCATTGTGATAATAATAATAACTACAATATACCAAGTCATATCGAAGCCTATATAAAAAGAGAAATGGATATTACATATGCATCTTATCATAAATCACATATAATGGTGATGACCCATACGAATGAATCAAGTTTTTATATAGGTCAACTCAATGGACACCGTACTTACTATATCAACGTCCCCATACCTACAGAACTAAGGAAAGAAAATCAAGCAACGCTATTAAAGAATGTGAATCTATTAGACATGACAACTACAGTCGACTTTTCAAAATATGTCAAGATAAAATATAAGCTGTGTATTACAGCTAAAATACGATATGGTCTTATTCCTGTTCGACGTCAATTATTTTGTGTTCCTATTCGATTTGGTACAATGACTCCTGGAGAGCCATTACCTCCAACGATAGTAGATTATCGAGATCCTTCTGTTGCTACAGATATAACTTTATCTACAAAGCCAAAATTTTTACGTCCAACTAAAATCGAAGAACAACTACCTGCTTATAATGACGAATTTTCACCTCCTATTTATGATTCCTTATAAATCCTGTATTTCTATTTATTATAAATACTCTCATATTTTACTCATTGAAATAAAATCATCTGTTATCTGATTTATAAATTACATTTCCTCGGTGGCATTTATCCATAGCAATATACATATTCTTCTGTAAACCAAACTTATTAAATGTAGAAGCCATTTCAATCTTAAACAGTAGAAAGTGTGTTTTGTTATCATGTGGTAATGCTCTCTTTTTACCAGCTATCGTTTGCTTTTATATATATATATATATGGCCTTTGGACTTTGGACTTTGGAGACTGCTGAGAGGCAGCAATTGATCCATAGGTTGACATGCAGCCCAAAATACTCAGAGGTTGGTGTCTTACGGTTGTACTTCCACTTCCACTTCCACTTCCACTTCCACAGGTGTTCCTTTCTTGGTTCAACTAACAGGACCCACCTTTAGATAAAAGTTATGTTTCTACATTAGAGAAATGAATTCAGCTACCGTAGATGGCTTATACTTTGTTGGTATCCAAGACATGGCAAGTAGGTGAGCCAAGCCTTATTCAAATCCTTCTATATCATATCTATTACTGTATCTAAATATTGTTCTTCTTCTTCTTCCTCTGACGAAATTGAAATACCCAAAATATTTTTCCAAACAATATACAGCGTATTACTAGTTGCTTCTGCTTCTTTTGGCTGATATTTAGGTTCTTCTGTATCTAATCGACCACAAATAAAACCATTAATAATCATAAATTCTCTCTCTTTTTTTTTTTTTTTAATAAAGTATAGTCAATCTTTTAGCTATTGTTTAGCCTCGACATTGACTTGTCCTGTTTATAAATATTAGACATAGGGAGAATTTATGGCTGCGTTTATGGCTACGTTTATGGCTGCGTTTATGGCTGCGTTTATGGCTGCGTTTATGGCTGCGTTTATGGCTGCGTTTATGGCTGCGTTTATGGCTGCGTTTATGGCTGCGTTTATGGCTGCGTTTATGGCTGCGTTTATGGCTGCGCTGAGTTATAAATGCGTTTATGGCTACGTTTATGCCTGCGTTTATGCCTGCGTTTATGCCTGCGTTTATGCCTGCGCTGAGTTATAAATGCGTTTATGGCTGTGGCTCTCCTAATTTTCTACATGACACTCCTGTTTTTAATACTTGGTTCACTACCTGGTACATAACTTTTAATTCATGTATTTTAAAAAAGATAATATAATAAATTCTCATATACTGATTATATTTTTTAATACTTTATACTTGTTTGAAATAGGTTAATGTTCGTAATTATGCTTTTAAATATTTCTTTATAGTTATATTTCAAATAATGATAGGTTACAAGAAAAGAATTTGTTTTTTCACAATCATATTTTATTTTCTATAGTAAATACCTCACAGAAGTTATTTACGTGGCTTTTCAGTTGATGTAGATGTGATAGGAATTATATTAATTGGCGATTTTTCAAGACAATGATCTAGCCAGCTGCTATCATCAGTAAGCTTTTTACTGCCCTTTCTCACAGACTCAAACACATCCTTGACCATTACTTTTAAACAATAGACTTGTACAAGTACTGGTAACACTTTCTCACCAAAGTTAATAATGTCGGTAGGTATTTGAAGGGCTTTACCATCAGTGATTCTTGTAATATAACCTTTAGGCCTATCAGCTATAATCACTTTCATATGCAACCCTGTGAATTAACAGGCACAGAATATATGTTAGTTCATTATAGACACTATATGAAACCATCTTTTATTTTACCTGAATGTACTACACCTACAGTACATAAATTGTTGTATTCACCTTTGTTTTCTATAACAAGTAAATCTAACATATCTTTTAAAACTTTTGGAAGTTTCATGCCTCTTTCTTGAATTGTCTTGTTTCCTTTTAAATTGTAATTTTTATCGACTTCTGAAGCGCCATATTCAAAGCTATTGGTACTTTTTGGACTTGCTTCACGGATTAAGAAATCAAACCTATGACCCATTGGTTTACGAGCATGGTTATTAACATCTTCAATAGTTCTTTTAAGACCTTTTCTAATCGAGGATGCTATGGAAACTCCCTCCCCTCTAGAACGATTGATCGTGTTAATCCAAAAGAATAAATAAAAATAATATAATAATGAGCTTACCTGACTATCTCAAGTCCTTCTAAGTCACCAAATATATGGTCTATCATGCACCAAATATGAATGTTATACCAATTCTCCAAGTGGTCCTTCTTCAAGCTGCCGTTTTCATATTCTCTTACTAGTGTGTATACAGAATGCTTTATCCAATCTAAATCGAAGTGTTTTTCACGATCATAACATTCCTCCCAGCTTTGTTTTTCATTAAGTACTTTTCTGATATCAGCAGCTGATTGGCAGTTGAATTTATTCAAATACTGTTTAATAACGTTAGGCAACTTTTTGGGTTTGGGGCTATTATATGCTTTGATTTCCTCAATTTCTTCTTCTGTAAATAAGCCATTTTTAATATATGATTCAGAATCTCCAACATCAAAAATTAGTGATTGAGAAGAATGATCACCAACTTGTAACTTTCCAAAAGCATACAAACTGTCCTCCACTATTTTTCCAGTAGAAAGAATCCATTTGTCATTATTTTTCAAGTCTCTAAAACATTCCTCAACTTCAGCTCTCAGTTTTGCAGCTATTAAAAAAATTGCTAAAAAAATATACTATACTACTACTTTGTTTCAATACTTACTATGAACTTCATCAAGATGGTTTCCAAGTTCAATCGTTGTATCGAAATGAGATGTACAGCTTGGACAACCAAAGTTTTCTGTTACATTTTGCTGTTAATAGAAAAAGAACATTAGGGAAAAAAATGCAAACAAAGTTGATTAATTAAAGTACTTACTCTTGACTTGGCGACAGAGTCAGAAATATATTTTTTGCTAGAATGTGAAATGTTAGATATAAGAAAAGCTTCGTGGTGATAACTTATACTTACGTTTTTGTGTTATATACCCTACTTCTTGTACTTGGATACTTTATCCCTATAATGTTAGACATGTTATAATAGAGCTGCATTTTAAATGTGGGCTTTCTTAGATACCTTCAACACTTTCATAATGATCCCTTAAATTACGAGAATTAGAAAATTTACCATCGTTACAAAGATGGCAGGAATATATTATTGTGTAAAACTCAATGGTAGACATTAATATATAATAAAAAAATAATGGTGATGTAGTTATTAATGTAAAGAAAGATACTGATTACGGTATTAAATCAATAGAAGAGAAACAAAAAGATAGTACTCAGCAGCAAGTTAAGTATTAAAAACAGGAGTGTCATGTAGAAAATTAGGAGAGCCACAGCCATAAACGCATTTATAACTCAGCGCAGGCATAAACGCAGCCATAAACGCAGGCATAAACGCAGGCATAAACGTAGCCATAAACGCATTTATAACTCAGCGCAGGCATAAACGCAGGCATAAACGCAGCCATAAACGCAGCCATAAACGCAGGCATAAACGCAGGCATAAACGTAGCCATAAACGCATTTATAACTCAGCGCAGCCATAAACGCAGCCATAAACGCAGCCATAAACGCAGCCATAAACGCAGCCATAAACGCAGCCATAAACGCAGCCATAAACGCAGCCATAAACGCAGCCATAAACGCAGCCATAAACGCAGCCATAAACGCAGCCATAAACGCAGCCATAAACGTAGCCATAAACGCAGCCATAAATTCTCCCTATGTCTAATATTTATAAACAGGACAAGTCAATGTCGAGGCTAAACAATAGCTAAAAGATTGACTATACTTTATTAAAAAAAAAAAAAAAGAGAGAGAATTTATGATTATTAATGGTTTTATTTGTGGTCGATTAGATACAGAAGAACCTAAATATCAGCCAAAAGAAGCAGAAGCAACTAGTAATACGCTGTATATTGTTTGGAAAAATATTTTGGGTATTTCAATTTCGTCAGAGGAAGAAGAAGAAGAACAATATTTAGATACAGTAATAGATATGATATAGAAGGATTTGAATAAGGCTTGGCTCACCTACTTGCCATGTCTTGGATACCAACAAAGTATAAGCCATCTACGGTAGCTGAATTCATTTCTCTAATGTAGAAACATAACTTTTATCTAAAGGTGGGTCCTGTTAGTTGAACCAAGAAAGGAACACCTGTGGAAGTGGAAGTGGAAGTGGAAGTGGAAGTACAACCGTAAGACACCAACCTCTGAGTATTTTGGGCTGCATGTCAACCTATGGATCAATTGCTGCCTCTCAGCAGTCTCCAAAGTCCAAAGTCCAAAGGCCATATATATATATATATAAAAGCAAACGATAGCTGGTAAAAAGAGAGCATTACCACATGATAACAAAACACACTTTCTACTGTTTAAGATTGAAATGGCTTCTACATTTAATAAGTTTGGTTTACAGAAGAATATGTATATTGCTATGGATAAATGCCACCGAGGAAATGTAATTTATAAATCAGATAACAGATGATTTTATTTCAATGAGTAAAATATGAGAGTATTTATAATATAGAATAAAGATAAATATGAAATTAAGATAATAAGAATATAATATGTTAGTGTAGATATCAAATGCAATACTTCTTGTGTTGTTAAAAAGTACAACAAGCATAAAGGAATTATTTAGATCTACATCAAGATAACTACAAAAAAATCAAAGTTGTTTGATATATACAAGCTATATATATTTATCTTATCTTTGATCACTATTAATTGGCTGCTCTTGCATCTTTTATTTTATCAATCAATGCTCTTTATTATTCATGTATAATAATTGAGTAGTCCAGTATATAGACTATATAAAAGCCTACACTGACTGTAGACTATTCCATATAATAACAAGTTCAATATCCTAATATGAATTCTCTTCTCACACTCATTCACTTCTGCAATGATTAATTCAAGTGCTTATCCAATTACACGATCACCCTGTCTTCTCTTGTCTGACAACGCTCTCTCTACGCTACACTTTAACCTATTGCAATTGTCTATACTTCGTTTACCGCTCATTGCTGTGCTACTATTCTTTTTGATTATAAATACTTGATACTTCTTACAACTCTCAAAAAAAAAAAAAAAAAAAAAAAAAAAAAAAAAGCAACTTGACTCTGTTTAAGACTTTTAATAAACTCACTAAAGTCTTAACTCGTAACATATATCATTGTGACAGCAAATTGTGGGTAATTGGTATACTGCTTTGTTTCCATTACTATATTCACCTTTTCTAAATCCCATTTAAGGGTGTTAGTCAAAGATTAAGGAAGAAGTACGCAAAACGTCTCTTTTTGAAGAACGAGATGGTTGTTGACAGAATTGAAGAGGTAGTTCAGAAAGTTACAACTGAAAACTGTCAAAGTTGAATCCATCACTCACGAAGATTATTTACAAAATGTATGAATATGGAAAGAAAAACCTTCAAAAAGTGTTCTATAGTGTGCTCCAACTTAAGTTCGAAGGGTGTTCCAAATTAAGTTCAAATTTTTTTTCTAATTTAATTGGTTAAATGTTCCATTTTATTTTTCGAAAAATGTACCACTAAATTCAAAAAATGTTCAATTTGAGAGTGGAAGTGCTTTTTTACTGTATTTGTATCTATTCCAACTCAGTAACGAAATAAAAAAAAGCAGAAAAATACGTCATTTTTGGAATTCGAGTTTTTTTTTTTTTTTTTTTTTTTCGTTTCTTTCTTGCAGTTAATAATTTTCTTTCTTTATTTCTTAATAAAACATATAATAATGACTACACAACAAGGAAAAACATATCAATTTAAACTTGTACTTTTAGGTAGATAGAAATGCACTTGAAGTTGAAAAATAGATGAAAAAAAAAAATGAATAAAATAAAATAAAAATGAAAGCATGAGATGGTTAATCTCTCTTTTTTTTTTTTAACAATAATAATAAAACTTAAATAGGTGAATCAGCTGTAGGTAAATCAAGGTAATTTCATATACATATATAGTCCTTTGAAAAAGAAAAAAGAAAAAAAAAAGAGACTCATTATTTTAAATTTGAATAGCTTGGTAATGCGTTTTGTTAAAGATCACTTTGATGAATACAGAGAAAGTACCATTGGTGGTGAGTATAGTGACATATGACCCACTTTGTATTTCATACACCCTTTTCGATTATTAGGGAAAAAAAGTAATGGAGAATTGGTATCTTATTATTATTATTGCTTTTAGCTGCCTTTTTAGCACAAACAATTTCATTAGATGATAATACTACAGTGAAGTTCGAAATTTGGTAATATATTTAGATATAAATATATATAGAAATTAAATTAAAATTAATAATCTACTTTATTTAGGGATACGGCTGGTCAAGAGAGATATAAAAGCTTAGCACCAATGTATTATCGTAATGCAAATTGTGCTGTAGTTGTTTATGATATTACACAAGCTGTAAGTTATATGTAAACATTTATAAGTATTAAAAAACTAATTTTATGTATTCATTATAATTAGTCTTCTTTAGATAAAGCTAAGGCTTGGGTAAATGAATTACAACGTCAAGCAGATCCCAATATTGTTATTGCATTAGCTGGTAATAAATGTGATCTTGAAGCAAGAAGAGCTATTGAAACAAAGGTAAATATTACAAAAAAAAACCGTATAAAAGATAAAATTGTCCTTAATATTCCCTTTTTTTTTAGACTGCTCAAGAATATGCAGATGAAGCTGGCTTATTATTTTTTGAAACATCTGCAAAAACAGCCGAAAATGTAAATGAATTATTTCATGCGATAGCAAAGCGTATGCCTCTTGATCAACTTGCAGACAGTTCACGTGGTAGAAATAGAGCAGGATTAAACTCTCGTGGTGGTGTAGATTTGGAAAATTCAGGAAACCCTAATGCTGCTAATGGTTGTGCTTGTAAGTCATGTTTATTCAATAAAAAAAAAGAAAAAGGTTATATATTAATATATGCTTAATTTTAGGTTAAAATGTTATACATAAAAAATAATAATAATGTACTGCTATCTTTTCTTCTTCTTTTTAATTGTCCTTTTTTTTTCCTTTAATAATTGTGCTGATTGTTACCTATTTAATTCATTCCATGGAGAGATCTTTTATTACGTCTACACTCACTACGATACACAGAGTAATTCTCTTGTGTATCTTATCCCTTCTTCCCTCCTTCTTTGTTTGTGATCCACAACAATGATTATATAAACATTTATATTCTATTTCTAACTTTTGAATGTTTACAACTTATTTGTTTGTGTATTACGGTAAAACAAAGTTTCTTTAGGTCATCATATGCAGTTTATTAGTTTCTTCCTATCATTGCTCCCCCTTTTTTTTTTTTGGTTAAGGACAGTCCATATTTCGAGCAGCTACAGTCATATATATTAAATTTATATACATGTAAAGAAAACATGATTCATAGCATAATTGCTTAACATTTGTAGTCATTGGTGATTATGTCATATTCTTTAAACAGCATGTATTTCAACATCACAACTCATTACTTTTATGATTGATTATATAATATAAAAATGATGATATTGACCTTCATTCTCTACTGCTACTACTATTGTCTATCAAGTAACTAGCTTGATTTCTATTTTTTTTAACCTTATTTAATGGCTTTAACCAACATTTATTTTCCATAAGAAACGAATCCATTTAGTATTTATCATTACTTGTTATAAATAATAGATTTATGCTAAGACTATCATTGTGGAACGAACAAAGTTGTCCATGAATGTTTCGGTGCTTAAATTCATTATGTCCTTTTTTTTTTTTTTTCTTTAAACGCGATGATGAGTTTGGCGGTTATATACCCTCTCCTTTCCTCTCTTTCTCCCCCCCCTTTTTTTTAAAAAAAAATTATTTCTCTTTTCTTTTTTCTTTTTTTTTTTTTATCAGAAAATAGGATCATAAATGAGTCAATTTCCAAGTCGTTCATCTTCTATCCGATCTGAAAGAAATTTTAAATCTTCAAATGTGGGTACCACTTCTTCAAGCTCAACAAACATGATCGATACCAATAACATGGATAGAAGAAGCATCTTACTTTCACCAAATCAATTGAACAGAGTAAATCTATAGAAAATACATATATATATATATATTTTTTCAAATTCTATTTTAACAGTTAAACTCATTTATTTCAAAGATCAATAGACGACTTGCTAATATAAGATATGAAACAGCATCTTTAGATGGTCAAGATCTTGAACAACCCATTCAACAAAGCTCAACAAGTAAATGATCACTTGCTATTCTTTTCTTTTTTTAATGCAAACTAATTTGCCATCTACTTAGATCATGATGATACCATTTTTTCTCAACATACAGTGGGTGATTTTTCTGTTAAAATTCAAGAGTATGCAATGATAGAAGATGTTTTATTTGTTCTAATGGTAATTCTCTATTACTTGTCATGTATACTAATAATTTTGAAATATAAAAATATTGTTAAATAGGGAATTGATGGTACTTATATCAAATGTAATTATCCAACATCATTGAATGAAGAAAGTGATGAAGAAACTGAAGATGCAATGGAAGATGTGCAGTTGAATCATTCTTATTTACAACAAGGGGAGAAGAAAGATATTTGGGAAGAAATGAAATACACTATTGATCCAACTTTGGGTATGTTTCTTTTATGATCATTTAGAACAGGAAATGACTCTTACATACATACATTTATTTAAAAGATCCTAGTATAAAACACTTGGTCGAAAAGATATTACCTTTGGCAACTTTTTATTTATCACTGAATGCATTTGTTGAACAATATACGAGATATGAATATGGAACTGTGAATCATGCCCTTTGTGCAGGTATAAGGGCATTCTTAAAAGACTATATGGTATTTGTTGCTCAATTAGAACATGAATTTCAGACATCGACTACATTCACTTTACAAAGATTATGGTTTTATGCTCAAGATTATTTACAAACAATGAAAATTCTTAATAATTTAGTTACCACAATTCGTTCTATCAAAACAGTTCATCTTTCAAATGATGAAGAAGATAATATCGATGCTGTCATAGAGGATTTACAACAAAAGGAAATACATATATCAGAACGAATAAAAGGTGGATCTATTCTCAATATTTTATCAGAGAAATTGATTGGATTAAGCGGGTAAGCTATACATTCATTTAATGTTACTTTACTCTACTCTACTATACTAAAATCACTTTGTTAAAAAGTGACCCGAAATGTAAAAAGATTTATACATTCTTACTATCAAAAGCATCTATACCTTATTTCGATATTTTGAATTCTTGGATTTATCGTGGTGAAATTAATGATCCTTACAATGAATTTATGATTTTAGAGAAAAAGAGTGTAAAGAAGGAGAACTTGAAGGAAGATTATAATGATACTTATTGGGAAACACGTTATACAATACGTGAAGCCTATGTGCCATTCTTTCTTGAACCCATCAAAGATCAAATTTTATTAGCTGGTAAATTCTTGAATGTCGTTCGTGAATGTGGTGTTGAAATTGCAAATCCAGATGAAATGCAACACGAGGTATCAAGTCAAAATACGGTTGAAGAAATAAGTAATTCACCATACTTGGCTAATAACTATATACTATCAAGAGGTGAAGTCTGGACTGCGGTAGACGGTAGTCGGTAAAGTTTAAAGTTAGAGAGCCTTTTTCATTATATTATGATTTATTAAACTAACTCTTAATTTGAATTTCTTATTAGATTCATAAAGAACTTAGAAATTGCTTATAAATACGCAAATCAAAAACTTTTAAACTTATTAATGAAAGAACAACAATTACTAGAACGTTTAAGGTATATATATATAAATATATAAATTAGACATGTAACAATTAAAAATTGACTTTTTTCTTTTTATATACATTGATAAAGATCTTTAAAGCATTATTTCTTTCTTGATCAATCTGATTTTATTACATCATTTTTGGATTTAGCAAAAGATGAATTAAATCAACCTGCATCTGAAATACCTCAGTCTCGTCTTCAATCATTAATGGACTTAGTTTTACGTAATCCTTCCTCTGTAGCAGCTTATGATCCTTTTAAGGAAGATGTAAAAGTGACCATGAGTCATTTACGACTTGTTGATCAATTAATTCGAATTATTAGTGTTTCAGGTCTAGAAGGCTCCTCATCTAATTTTCGATTATTAACAACGGGTCCTGAACGTAGTCAGACTCTTTCTAATAGCTTTGGATCCATTCATAATAGCAGCAATACCACACCACATGATTCACTTTCAGGATATGATGCATTAGTTTTAGATTATACCGTAACATTCCCATTATCACTTATTATTTCACGTAAAGCATTAACAAAATATCAACTTTTATTTCGATACATTTTGAATTTGAAACATGTTGAGGAACTATTATGTGGTTGTTGGATGGATCAAAAACATTTATTTTGGAAATCAAGATCATCTAGCTCAAAAATAGAGAAATGGAAGTTTAAGATCTTTTCACTTCGAAATCGAATGTTAACATTTGTTCAACAGATTGCTTATTATGTGACAAATGAAGTATTAGAACCTAATTGGCGACGTTTAGAAGCCAATTTATCAAATATAACAACTGTAGATCAAGTTTTACAATACCATTCTGATTTTTTAGATTCCTGTTTAAAAGAATGCATGCTAACCAATTCAAAACTACTTAGGGTAATGAAAAGAAAAAAAAAATGGGTCACTTTGTATATCTAATTTTTTTGGTAATGATAGATTTATAACAAATTAATTGGCTCATGTTTAACATTTACAGCACAAGCAGAAAAATATAGTCATTTATTGAAAATAATTGAAGGAGAAGCAAAAGATAGATATGGTGTACCTGTAGTAGGGCTCAATGATACCTCCCATAATTTATTTGAAAGTTCATATAAAACATTAACTAAAATTGAAGAATCCTTTTTGTATCATATGAAACTATTAATTGATGCTCTTAGTTTCTATTCAGCACAAGAAACAATTCAATTCTTATGCTTAGTGGTACAACTAGACTATAATCAATTTTACCATCATCATACTTCTATATCAAAAGAACAACAAAGTCGATCCTCTTCAAGACAAAGATAAACAGATTACACTGATTCTTTTCTTTTTCTTTTTTTTTAATAAAATATAAATATACAGGCAAAAATAAGAAGCATAAATACAAGATTTATAGAAAGCATATACATATGTGTGTGTGTGTAAATCAAATATGCATAGTTTGTTTCATCATAAATCCTCCATTCATGTTTCTTGAGCTTTTTCCTTTGATTCATGCAAGGCATTCATATTTACTGTCAAGAATCCTATAATAACTAATAAAGCACCTATTGTATAATGGACACCTGGTATAAAGCCTTTGAAGATCATATCTCCAATCAAAGCAAGTGGGATCTAATTATAGTCAAGATAGTTAGACATCTGTCATTTTATATACTCTTCTTATACATTCATATTACAGTCAAAGAGATGCCTAATGTCACAACAAGTGGAGATGTCATAAGCATTGCTAATAGCCATAGATAATCAGATCTATAGAGGAAGAGAAATCGTCATTAGAAGAACAATACTATACTATAATAAGACAAGACAAAAAAAAAAAAAAGGGGAGGGAAGGAAGGGAACCTACAAGAAAGTGCCAATAAATGCATTCAACAAAATAACGGTCCATAAAGTTGTATTCATGGGTATCATAAATGGTTCTAGACCAATAAAATGAATGATGGGTATAATAGGCCATAAGAATAAAACATTGAAAGCACCAACAAAGCCAAAGAAGAGAGGCATATCTATACGATCTTCATCACCAATTTTTAACTTTAAAAGTGTTGTATATCCTCCATAAAAGATAGCTCCTAATAATGCAAGAATATCACCTATTAAAGGTGCAGAAGAATAAGTCCTTTCTCTTAATAATGGATTTTGATTATTATCAGAATATGAAACAAGTATAACGCCTAATAAACTATATATAAACATGAATATGAATATGAATATATATAAAGACTCTCTATCTATCTATCTATATACCTTATTAATACTGCAATAAGTTTAACTTTATTCATAATTTCAACTTTAAAGAGTGCCCCTATACCAAGCGTAAAAAGACCTATTATATACATATATTCATATAAAAAATAGACCTATTTTAGATTATTCTTCACATTATATAAAATGTCATAAAGAAATATACCTGACATTGAAGATAAGATCGTACTACTGCCAACTGAAGTATAAGCAAGACTAGCGTTCGTTGTATAATTTGCAAAGAACCAAAGTATACAGAACTGTAAACTTAATTTAATAGTCTCGCAAGTAGTCAATTTGCTGTTTACTTTTATCATTTTATGATCATTTGATTCTTCTATTATTACAGCATAATTCTTGTATAAAATATTAAGTATTTTCTTTTTTTTTCTTTTGTAAAGTTATTATATTATACCTGTTGTATCATTGTTGAATCATGATTCTTATTATTTATTAGTAGCCTATTGTAGATATTATAGTTAACTTCTTGGTTGTTTCGCTTTATTAAAATTGCCCAACAATTATTATATACTTGGTAGTAGAGTCGTCGTCTTCTTCTTCTTCTTCTTCTTCTTCTTCTTCTTCTTCTTCTTCTTCTTCTTTTATGCTTTTATGCTTTATCTTTTTTTTTAATTGTTTAATTAAATTAGGGATAAGATAGAATGAAAATGTCGCTGTATTAAGGTAAGTCACTAGAAATGGCTTATTATAATCCATTTCACCGAATAAATTCTAATATTTTTTTTTTTAAACATTATTTATTTATTTGTATGATGCTGCATATATCTTCGATATTTACATTCATAGCAAATGATGAAGTCACCCATATAAATACGACACCACCTAATGCTAATATGCCTCCCCAATATCGTTTCTGTGATAATTGCTTTATTCCAGAAGACATAGTAGGCTGCGCATATATATATTAAAAAAAGAAAAAAAAAATGTAAAGAAATAAAAAAGAAATAGAAATAAATCTAGTGACCTCTCTTTTTTTTTTTTTTTTTTTTTTTTTTTTTTCTGGCTGCTAGTGGACAATTAAAAAAAAAAAATACAGCACTGTTTAGTTTGTCTTCCAATAAGAATTCTGAAAGACATTTTAGAATATAACAGCTATTATGAGTATGAAGGACTTATTTGATAGTAAGTAATTACAATGGAGTTAAAATACAATCACTCAATATGATACGCATTCAATATTACTCTGCAAGAAGAATTGTCGTATTATTTTCAATTAAGGTATAATTACACCTGATAAATTACTAATAGAAAATTGCTTCTATTTTTGTTAATTGCCTTGTATTTTCATGTCAAAGTTAACTCTCGTCTAGATGATGCTTTTTATACGAGAATGAAAGTTCATATTTTATGAGAATCAAATTCATAAGAAAAAAAAAGGTTTCTGTTATTCTGACTAACTCATCTTGCTCTGTTGAAAAGACGCTTCTTCTTGTAATTACGTATAAAGATTGAATTATAGTATTGCTGCATCGTAGATTCAATAATACTAAAATAGATTATAAATTAATCAAATGCTACAAGTCGATTCATTGATAGGAACTCAATTAACTTTTTTTTTTCCTTTTGAAACATTGCTTATAAAGCTCTTAGTATTCATGGCAGCAAATAGAATAGAACTTTACTCTACGCTGACTACTACAAGCAAAGAAGATCACTTGTTAGATGAGTAAAGGAATATAGACAAGTTTCCGATTTACATCCAATCGTCTAATTTGCTTGTCACACGTTGTACAAGTGTGTTGTCTATAATAATATGATACAGCAGTTATTAAGACGCTATTCTTGTTACATAATAAAAAATGGCTCTTAAAGTCAATATTGGTATTTCTACTATGACACAAAGTTAAAGAGATCATTTATTTTATTTTATTTTATTTTTTCGCTCTTATCAATAAAATGGACTTGGCAAAGTATTGGTATTTACCAGCCATCATTTATTAAAGGGGTGGGCTATTTTTTTTTTTTTTTTTGTTTGGTTTTCTTTTCAAATTCAGTAAAATTTTAAATTCATAAGAAATATAAATGTTCATTTTATTTTGATTATTACTTAATATTCCTTAATACAGATAAGTAAGTATGCCATCAATATACATTTATAAATTCATTCTATTTTATTTGTTTTTTTTTTAAGAAAAAAAATGCTTTTGTACTAATGTAAAACAAAGAAAATTGTCTTCTAAATAATAATTAAAAAAAAATATACAGTGATAGGTAAATTGAATAATGTCCACAAATCCTACACCAAATGATGAATGGGCAAAAAATAGAAAATATGGAGTAATTATTGATGCTGGCTCATCTGGATCAAGAGTGTATGTTTATTCTTGGAAAGATCATGAATTTGCAAAGGAATTATATACAGTTGAAGAATTAAAAGGAAAAATACCTATAGTTGAAAGAGCAGATAAAGATGGTTTAAAATGGACGAGCAGAGAAGAGCCAGGTAAAAATTGTCTTATTCTGCTTTATCAATTAGAAAGCAAAAAAAAAAAAAGAAATCGTTCTTATTTTTTATTTATTTTTTTAAAGGTATTTCAACTTATGGGACAAAGCCAGATAAAGTTGGAGAACATTTAGATATGTTACTTGACTTTTCGAAAGAAGTTGTTCCTATTGACAGCCATTCATCAACACCTATTTTCCTTATGGCAACTGCAGGCATGCGACTTTTACCAGAGGAACAACAAAGGGCTTTGTTGGATTCAACTTGTAATTATATACGAGAAAAGACGGGATTTTTTATGAGTGATTGTGATAGTCACATAAAGATCATCTCTGGAGAGTTGGAAGGCGTTTATGGTTGGGTAGCTGTCAATTATCTAATGGGAGGATTTGATAATAGCATTAAAGCTTATGTGGAGGAGAAAAAGGGTGAAAAGGAAGAGAAGATAGAGCAACATCATACATTTGGGTTTTTAGATATGGGGGGTGCCTCAGCTCAAATTGCTTTTGAACCTGAACATCATCAAAAGGAGGAGCATATGCATGACTTGACAAGAATTACACTTCATACGTTAGATGGAAGAACGGTAGATTATGATGTATTCGTTACAACTTTCTTGGGATATGGGAGTAATGAAGCCAGAAGGCGTTACCTTGAAGATCGCGTCAAAAAGTTATTTACTATCTCAAATGGGAAAAAGCTATTAGATGAGAATCATATGCTACCCATGGATGATCCTTGTCTTCCTCTTAATCTAAACATCACCGATACCTTTTCTACAAGTGTCGCCCTTGCTCTACATGGAACAGGCGATTTTAATCAATGTATAGAGAACACGATATCACTCTTAAACAAGGACGCTGATTGTCCATCCAAGCCTTGTCTTTTCAATGGTGTTCATACGCCTGATATAGATTGGTCTGTTAACAAATTTGTAGGCATCTCAGAATATTGGTACTCGTCACATGATATTCTCAACTTGGGGGGTGTCTATGATTTTACAGAATATGAAAAAAAGGCATCCGATTATTGCGCAAGAGATTGGTCTCTGATAACTGAAAAAAAGGATTTAAGCATTGCAGAATTGAATCGATATCAAATGCAATGCTTTAAATCAGCTTGGATTGTTAATATACTACATGAGGGCATTGGAATTCCAAGGATTAAAAATCCAAGTGGCCATTTCAATTTGACTGAAGACCAGGAGATTTTAGAGCAAACAATTGAGAGTGTAGAAGCCAAGAATTGGAATCCACCTTTCCAAAGCATTGATACCATTAATGATATTCAAGTTTCCTGGACACTTGGTGCCATGCTTTTACATGTAGCTAGCAAAATTCCTTTAATAGATCATCATGATGGTTTCCTTGGCCATAGTACAGATAATGAAGGCCCTCATGAAATTGCAGATGGTGTGCTACAGAACCCGAATCCTCCTGGCTTACATAATGAAGATATCAATAGTAATCACAGCATTGAAAGTAAATCAAACTCTATAATCCTGAATATCATGCTACTTTCTTTTATATGTATTTTGATCATGTGGATTCTACTTAAAAACATTCGAAAGAAACGAGGCTATAATAGATCTATGACCGGTGCGAACGGTGGTATTCTTGGTAACGAAACGATCATCAATAGTGGAAATTCACCTTGGAGATTCTTGAGTCCTATCATGTATTTCACTTTGATAGCAAACTCAATCTCTAACTCTACTATGATCATCCGACATTGGCTCTCTCGTCTATTGAGAGGTAATTATAATAGTAATCAATATCAGTATACGGCAGTTAGTGGTAACAATAATGATATACCTGTTGACATGGATGCCTTTGAAAGTGGAAATAATAACAATCATACAATGAATACAGCAAGCGAAAATGTCGTAATTAATATAGGAAATGATCGTTTACTGGGAGTATCTAATAAGACACCAAGTGTTATTTCAAAGCAATATTGGAGCAAAAAACGATATAGTGGTGATAGTCATAACGGTATCTTCCAAACGGCTGATGTAATGGAAGGTTCTAGTGTATTACCATTTAGAGCATCTTCTGTGGTAGGACTTGCAAACCGTAATGGAAGTATATCGAATTTAACAGCCCGTACAGGAAGTTCACCCAATTTGAATGGTCCTACAAATAACAACTTATCTACTGCTGTTGATCGCTCTTCATCACCTCTAGCAACAGAACTGAACTTAACACGTTCAAGATCTCGTGTTGGTTTTATAATTCATGAGCAATCTGATGAAGAAGAATATACTTTAGTTGATGGACCATTATTATCTGATGATAACCCAGCTGCAGCATGGCTTCAAAATGCGAATAGTCGATTAGCAAGTCCACGAAATAGTCCCAGGGGAAGTCTAGATGAACGAAGAAAGAAAAAAGAAGAAATCAACTAATGAAAAAAAAAAATCAAAATCAAAATCAAAGCATATTTACATTTTAGAACCATATATATACAACTTAATTATTTATAGCATTAAATATTATATTCCCCCCCCTTTTTTTTTTGTACACTTATAAATAAACTTTTTTAATCAGAAAAATATTGCGGCATGAAATTTCATACATAAAACAATACTATAAAATTCAGCTGGACTGTCATCGGACTGTTTATGTGGCTTTTTTTTTTTCCTAAAATCTATCTTTTAAATTGTTATTTTTTTTTTTTTTATTCTTCAGACTTTAATTATAAACAGAATAAATTAGTAACAATGTCTACTCTATACAAGACAGCTGAATCAGTAAAAAACAAATCCAATGAAAAGACAAAAGATAAGAGAATTAACAAGCAAAGAGTCATGATGCTGTCCTCTCGTGGTATTACCTTTCGGTAAAATATAAATACATGTATAATTTTTGATCTAATTATTATTAACATGACATTAATATAGCTATCGACATTTACTTACCGATCTTGAAGCTTTATTACCTCATTCTAAGAAAGATGCTAAACTCGACACAAAAAACAACCTTTACATTTTAAATGAATTAGCCGACCTCAACAATTGTAATAATGCTGTATTTTTCGAAGTTAGAAAGAAACAAGATTTGTATGTATGGATGGCTAAGACACCTAATGGTCCTTCAGTAAAATTCCATCTTCAAAATTTGCATACTTTAGACGAATTAAAAATGACTGGCAATTGTTTAAAGGGATCTAGACATATTTTATCTTTTGATAAAAACTTTGACTCTGCACCACATTGGAGTCTTTTAAAGGAATTATTAGGCCAAATTTTTAATGTTCCTAAGGGATCTAGACGCTCAAAACCTTTTATTGATCATGTTTTATCCTTTTCTATTGTTGATAACCGTATTTGGTTTAGAAATTATCAGGTATATATATATATATATATATATTTCTTGCTTTGATTGGAATTGTGCCCTTCTAATTATATATACATATTTATATCTTTTAGATTGTTGAAAAAAATGCACAAAATACACCTGGATATAATCCTTTAGATAAAGAAGATATTTCATTAATTGAAATTGGTCCTCGTTTCTGCCTTACTCCTATTCGTATCTTTGAAGGCTCCTTTGGTGGTCCTACAGTCTTTGAGAACCCAGAATTTATTCACCCTAACTTTGTTCGTGCTGCTATTCGTAAAGAAAAACTTCAAAAGTATAACATAAGACAAAAGAACTCTATGGAACGTGAAGAAAGAATTAAGATGGCCGAAGAAAGTAGAGAAACAGAAGCTAGTGATAAGCGTGTTTTCCAATAGATAATAAATTTTCTAATAGTCAAATGTATATTGTATTTTAAAGGATTTCAAATATACAGTTATTCTTAGTATTTTATTTTATATTTTTATTTTTATTTTTATTTTTATTTTTTAATGGGTTTTATTTTGGGAAGATGTCAAGTGTAAATATTAGTATTATTCAGAGCAGACATGGCCGTCTCTTTCTCTCATACAAAGCTGCCAGTATCTCCCCTCAATCGTTGTTAATTACAAAAATATTCATCATTGCTTAGATGAACAGAAACAAAACAAATCAAAAAAAAAAAAAAAAAAAAAAAAAAAAAAAATGTGTTTTCAGATAGAACTGGGTTTAGTTTGCATATAATTCAAAATAATGAATGGTCTGAAAAAAAAAAGGTACACCTGCAAATGTTGAAGTCTATACAGAATTTTGAACCTTTCATTGATAAAAACCAAGACAAAGACTTTTTTTTTTCTAGATCGATTGTTGGAATTAAAGATATCAAATGCAGAACCAATAAACAAAGCAATGTTTAAAGAAGAAGGTATGCTACAGATAATTAATTAGCGTATATATGATTCATCTTTTACATATATAAAATTCATTATTATCGAATGTCTTTCTTAATTTACAGACACATATTAAGGAGCAAATGTTACATTTGAATATGGAACAAAAAAAGTTCTTTTTTAAAGCGTATTGTCTATGTAGATGAGCTAAGCTTAACAAATTTTCAAACAATGGTAGCTTCATTACGGCAAGCCAGATTAGTAGCAGATAAGATACCAGAAGGTAATAACAACTTACATGTTCTTTTTTGTAGAATGAATTGTTCATCTCTATTATAGCTTTAATAATAATAAAAAAAACAAGCAGAAAAAGCTAAAAGTCAGGCTATTAAGATTTTCAAGTCCTTATCAGTTATTGAGGAATATATTGAGCCGAAAGATAGAATCCTCTTAAGAAAACAAGACAAAATAGCCAGAGTTAACTAAACTGCGAGAACAAGCTATAAATCAAACACAACAGCCCCCATTTGAAAGATATATTAGTAATACAAATGATGTGACAATATCAACCACTGCCATAACCACTTCCCCCTTTACTAGAGACCATGATAGCAAAAACTGGAGAAACAACAGTAATTTGGAACATACAGCTGCTGAAGAGAAAAATAAAAAACTTGATGTCAAAAAAAGTTAGATACAGCACCTTTCATTAGTATTAAATTATTTACGAGAATTATCATCAAGAACGTCTACTTTCAACATTGTTCAATAAAAAATATCTTATATGCATAGCCTCTATAGTTTTTTATACTTTGAGTTCAGACATTATTAGTTCTTTTTTTCTAAATGAATCAAAAATAGATATTATGTTTACCTTGTATTAGATGACGTGAATTGGCAATGTAGACATAGATGATAAAGTTTATTTACCAAGTTTTCTAATTAAACAAAATTTTATAGTCTTTTTTAAAAAAACTATATATCTCTACTGGTTACAATCAGCATTTATTCTACTGTTCCATTTCCCTTTATTTATTCAATGAATAAATTGTTTATGGAGAAAAGATAATCTGATATCACAGCTTACAGCAAATAATTTATAATTTGATAAGAGGCAGCTAATAATTATAATAACTTCAAGAGATAATAAATACTTTTTTACTTCAGACACTACTGTAGATAAAATAAAAGGTATACATTTATACATTTATACAAGATACTCTTAGATATTTCTATACAGTATTACTTGTTAATGCCCTTTTATATACTCAAAGAATAAAGTTAACTATACTAAAGTCTATAAATGGACAAAATTTATATAAGCAGCAACAGAGGGGGAAAAAGCTCCGTTTAAATAAATAAATAAATAAAAAAAGGGGGAGAAAGGAGCTTGGCATTCAATATGTATGATGATCTATATTTAAAGTGTAACAAAGGTAAACAGAGTCATATCGTTAAATTCTTCTAATAGAAAACAATAAGCCACAATAAATCACTGTGCCTATTAGAAGCCTTTTGTTTATGTGAAAAAAAAAATATAAATAGGGGAAGAAAAAATTTATTTTTGCTTTTCTTTTTCTTTTCTTTCTTTATGAAAGTGATATTCTGAGGATATTGGTCACTATAAACAATAAATCGTCAGTGATATTCTCCGGATAATGGTCACTCTAAATAATAAATCCCCCAGTGAAGTTATTTGGATGTATTGGTCACTTAAAATATTCAATCCCGAGAGTATCTTTCATTTGGAGTTTTCACGTCTCTCGTTAAATATGACTGTGAAAGGAAGCACATAATGATCAACCTCCACGATTGGTTGCTTCTGGAAACAGTAGTCTTTTTTATTATATAGAGAAGCTACTGGCTAATTGGATCATTACCCCTTTTTTATTATTAATTATAAATGAAAAAAAAAAAAAAAAAAAAAAAAAAAAAAAAAAACTTTTATGTAATAACGACTTGTAGAAGAAGATTCAATACTAACTAAATGAGCTTTGTAGTTGCTTATGTACTGTATTGATTATCATCTTTATAAGATGGTGTAAGGATTAGCAGAAAGGGTGCAAACAGGATTGTTAAATTAGTAATATCAATAAAAAACAGGTTTTGGCTGTAATATTCTAATTAAAAATAGCGATATAGACCATCATGATAATAGGCATTCTGCACTATGAAGTTGTTACTAAAACAAAAGAATCAAATCCAATGACTGAAGGTTATATCATATTACCAACAAAGCCTTTAAAAGGCATATTGGATAATTTTACCGTTAAAAAATAAATAAAGGGATTGATTAAAAAGAGTATATCATTCAGGGTGATATCCTTATTAAGATATCAGAAAATAGATAAACATAAAATTATATTAAAAGATTGTAAAAAATCAACGAGACTGAACAGTATATTTTTACAAGGCATATAGTTAAAAAAAAATATATATTTCGCTTCTGGCTCCTCCGTTTGGCGTATAATGCCGATTTATATGTCAACAAGCATCCCATAAACTAGCAATCAATATATAATGCTTGCTTGACATTATTCAAAGATAAACCCAATCCTTCAGTAAAGCTCCAGAGTACTTAGAACAGCTATCATATCTTTCACTCTATCATTTAATCCTGTAGTACATTTGACTGATAAATGTTATGTATACACACTTGTATCTTTTTCAGTACCATTTCCATTCTGTAAATGTGATGTGGGATAATATTGTATTCTTGGTGAACTATGACATTGTTATTTCTTAGCTATCTAATGGAATCGATTTGAGCAATCATACAAACAAGGAAAGAAGTAGAAAACATACGTATACATCAGTTTACTGATATATAAATATTATAATACAATCAGTTTAATTTTATGTTTATATCTGGTATACATGTTAACTGGGCACGTGTAGTATTTGTCACGCTCTGATATCTAACGGTCATCAAAATAAGGTAATCAAAGTTAATTGTTACCCTTTAATTTAATACCACTTAGGGAATAGTATTAAAAAAAGGGCTTTTAACTTGTTTATCTATTTACTCATGACTTGTGAATTATTTATTGTACACTTTACTAACAATATAAAATAATATAATGTTTTTCTCTCTGATTTCAAATATATATGTATACAGATATTTATTATATAAATACCTATCCCATATGAAATCTCCAATTCTTGGGTTATTGCTCAATTTCACTGATTTTATTAGTCCTTCTTGTATAAATATCCTGGTATCTTTTGTTAATAACTGTAAACTTGAAGGTCAGAGGACAAGTTTTTTTTTTTTTCGCTTCTGAAATGTACAACAATAAAAAATGCGTTGTAATATGCATTAGGTTACAAATATTACATATATCTTACAAATATACAACATTAGCTTTGTATACTATTGCGAACAATATACAAAACTAAAACTACTTTTAATTGCTACGTAAGAAGACTGTTTATGTTTGAAAAATATATTTTTTATTATTACATCGATTGTCAAGAAATAACTAATCGTAGATATGATACAGTATTTCTGGGTAACAAAGATAATAACTAGTGTTTTGTTTTTTTTCAAGAGTTTATTTTATTGAAGAACATGGCCATATGATATAGTACCACAAGATTAAATCTTTTAGACAATAGTGTGTTATACGCTTTTATTACTATAGGATACTACAGTTGTTTCACAGTCGATCGGAAAAAAAATAAAAGGTCAAAGAAGAACTTTCTACTGAAGTTTCAAGAAAAGAAGTGACACAGTTACAAAAGATAAAAAAAAAAGTTTTTTTTAACTAATAACTAAAATGGACGGTTAAAGAGTTGTAGATTAATCAAATTCCTTTATAAAATCATATCTAAACAGTATTTCCTGATATAGTTTGTTATATGCTAATTTATTAAAACACATACACACATTGGACAAAAGAAGCTGTAATTATAAATGTCATATAAAGAAACTGATAGTACTTTAAAGTCAACTGAGTGTACAATCAATGAAATGAGTTAGTGTTGTTTAGCAGCATCACGGACAATCTCTGTATGACGGAAAGTATTAAAAAAAAAAGAACTTATTTTATATCAACGTACTTTATAGTGAATCTTACTCTAAAGGAACCATCATTAAAGATATTTCTTAAAATATGTATATACATGTTGTACCATTTATTTATTTATATTTTCAAATAAATATATCAGCCTGGCCTTTTGTACTAATTGTAACTAATTGTATAGACATGATTTCTTTTCATCAAGACTTGATATAAAATAAGTTGTAGCTTTTTCTTTTAAATCAGTTATATATATTTTTGATTTAGCAGATAATATCCTGATAAGTACTTTTTTTAGTAACAAATAAAACCAAGCAACAATTAACAGGATGTGAACTAAAGTAAAAGCTAACTAGAACATTGCTGCACAAAGATAAACACTTGCTAAACTCTATTTGTTAGTAGTAGAGAAAATCCAGTAACACCCTATTTCAACTATTATTTTTTTTTTTTTTGCTGTTGTTGTTGTACAATGTTTATGCTTTTATTCTATGCTTTTTTTTTTTTTTTTTTTTTTTTTGAAAAAAATACACATATAAATACTCTAATTATTAGATCCTTTTTTTTTTCTTGTAAAAACACAGTCAAAGAAAAAAAAATGAATCTTCTTAAACACACACTTATGTTAAACTTATTTGTTATAACGTTACTTTTAAGTAATGTTTATGCTTCTAAAGTTTTCTGTGGAAAGACAAAAGATTGCAATTTACCTGGTGTAGGCCCAACCTATAGTTGTGGTCACGGTTTAAAGTGGTCTGGCTATGAAGCAGGAAGTAATGAGAAATATTGGAGTGGACCCTATACTAGAATGCAAGACTTTAGAAATTGCTGTGAACAATATTCTACTCCTAGAACCTATTGTGCTAAATAAATAAACATATATGTATGTATATTATATATACTATACATATTGACTGCTTATAAATAAATGCAAAAAAAAAAGACAGACAGACATAGTAAAGTTTGTTTAATAAATTCGATATTTAATAAGACGATTATTAAATACAATATTATTTATTAGACTATAGTTGATAAGAAGAAGAAAGGTGTATACATGTTATTAAATAAATTAAATAAAAAAAAAAGAATTAACAAATATATAATAAAATAAAGTAATTTTAACATGTTTCTAATATATACGCGCATTCGATAAACTATAATTCGTTATTATCATTATTCACTTCAAAATGTACTTGCTGTTGATTTTCTTCAACGCTTCTTAATCTTTGACGATGAGAATAATAGTTCAATTTTTTCATACATTTGTTACTTTCTCGATTAATTGCCCAAGCCTTTATAATAACTAAGAAGGTAACATAGGATAATGTCATAGCAGTAAGAGAAACAGTAACGTTCAGTAAGAACATTGAATCAACATGGTTACGTCTTAACCATAACATAGTACCATGATTGGATGCCATAAAAAGAATGGCGCCAGCTACTAATAAGAATGCACCTAGAGCTTCACTTGGAGGTCGAGTAGGTATATTATTCTTTGGAGGGTTTCTAAAGAGTGATAAATAAGTAATAAAACGACAGATAGAGGCGGCAGAAATTAGAAGACCCCAAAGATAATGGACTCGACTTGAATAAATTGTATCTTGATGATGATTCCCCATAGAAATGCCGGTCATGAAAACAGTCAAGGCAGGAATAGGATTGAAATGAGTTAGATTGGCCGGTGAATACTTTTTCTTCAAACTATATTTCTCATTGTCATCATCAGCATCAGCATCATAAGCCTTTTCGTCACTATTAGAAGATCGATTTCTACGACGATTTGAAACCTTGTAAGGTATTTCCGGCATCGCTTTTTCGAGCATTCTACGAATAGCACGACTTTCAATAAGCATACCAAGTAAACCTGCCCACCAAAACCTTTTAAATAATAAATATTATTAGAATATATACATATATATATATATATATATATGTTTATTTTTTCTTCTCTCTCTTTCTCTGCCAATATTAACTTACATAAATGCTAAACTAGCATGTTCAAGATCTTTATGAGTCCATGTGGAATCTTGACCAAAGTGTTCCATCCAAGTATTTGTAATACCATAAAAGAATATAAGGAAACATTCAATCATTTCAAAACTAAACTTATTTCCATTTTCAACATAATTCCAGGCCCATCCCTTTTCTGAGAATGCACCAAGATAACGAGCAAAAGTAATTATACCATAAAAATAAAAAACAGCGCCCTTGATTAAATGTGCAATACAGCCAAAAATGGTCCAGCCACTATATATGTATATAATTAATAAACATTACGTTCCTTTTTTTTTTAAAAAAAAAAATCAATAAAGTAAACTTACCGACAAACACCATGATATACTACTAAACCACTTATTGTTTGAGTGAAAATAAGTAAAACAAAAATACGACCCATAATTAAATGGAAGAAACGACAGATTGTATTTGTGAATGTGTTATCAGCTGCAATTTCAAAGCCTCTCTTGATAAAATTGGGAATATAGGGTAAAACCATATTTATCAAACGTTTTGAAATGGAGTCCACTCTTCTTTCTTCAGTAAATGAGTAACTCATTAATGGGTCCTCTTGATCAATCTCCAAGGTCTCCTCATTGAAAGAAGAAATTTGATCTTCATCATCGAAGGCTACATTATCATGATTATTCTGTAAAGTGGAGCCAGACATAAGACTATCACTTCTAATCGATCTTCCTTGTTCTTGACTTACAAGTCCAATTGCTTCATACTGATTACTTTCAGCCATAATATGATTCTTGACAGCATTTGCAATTTTACGTACAAAGCCAGCCACAAATTGTAAAATAAAAAGGATATAGAGAATCCAGCCAAAGGTATGATGAATATTACCTTGATATAAATGAGGAGTACTATGACCATATAATTTACCAAAAAAGAATCCAAACATGGCAAAAGTAAAAGTTAAGATTTGAATTGGCATATGTAAATTAGACCTTGCAATACCGAGCATAATACCTATTATAGTATATAATAGATGTATATAAATATATATATAGATAGAGAGAGAGAGAGAGAGAGAGAGAGAGAGAGAGTAGGTAGGTGAGTGAGTGAGTGAAAGAAAAGGGTTTATCGTATTGATGATATGATGAATATTTCTTTACCAATAGGCATTAAAATCCAAAAGGCAATCGACATAAATGTAACATGAATATAGAATAAACCTTTATTATCAGGAAGTAAAGCATAAGACATTGGTTCATCTCCGGTTGCATTAAATGCAGGAACTTCTTCATTCAGCATATCATGCTCTGCATGATTCATAGCCATCTCTTGAGCACTCGCCAATTGAAGACATGGTATGATTAATAGAACAAAAAAGAGTGAAGTAAATATAGAATGAACTTTTAAGTTCATTTTGATGGTTTGTATAAGAATAGATAATGACTCCAAAAAAAAAGAAAATAAAATAAAAAAGATAAGCTTTATATATGATAAACATGAACTGTCATTATTCTTTTATTTGGCGGTCCGCTAAACAATAAAAAAAAAAAAAAAAAAAAAAAAAAAAAAAAAAAAAAGGAAAAAAGATAATTCCTTTTCCGATATATAGTTGCCCATTCATGACTATCTTATTCTGTCCAGACTGAATATCTATTTTATGTAAAAATAAAGTTGTTCTAAGATAACAAAAGAAAAAATAAAGAAAAATAAAAAAGAACAAGATAAAGAAAAATAAGATATATAAAGAAAAATAAAAAGTAAAAAGGTATCATAAAAACTAAACAATAGACGGTAAAAAGTTCTCATGACACAATAAAACGGAATATTTAAATACGCGTCCATGTATCAGGCACGCGCTTGATTGTAGATAATGAAAGTAATTGTTCTGGTAATAAAAAAAAATGTATTGGAGAGAAATTCTATATAAAATCACGTTGTTTAGTAAAACAAAAAAAAAGGGTTTGTGCTTGTTTTTTTTGATATTTGGTTAATTTATTTCTTCTTGTCTTTTAAACTAAAGAAGTATACGTTCAATCATAGTCAAACTACTTATGTAATTCAATACTATTAAAAAGAAGATTATTAGAAAAAAGGGGGTCGTCGTTTATTTATTATTGTTCCTTTTTTTTTTTTTTTTTCATCGGTATAAATTATAGTAAACAATATAAAAAATTCCCGAAATAAACCCTTGATATTATAAGATTGGCAAGTATTATTTACTACATGGAATATTATGTTTATCTATTAAACGATCACGTAAAAACTTAATTTCATATTCTAGTTTATGAATGTGGCTTTCAAGATTACTTGATTTTTCTGTCATATCTCGAATAAATCCTTTTAGCATTTGTTCTTTTTGTTTCTTTTTGACTCGAAATCTTGCGCTTGCGGCTGTATTCCTTTTTCTCTTATCTTCATCAGCTATTATCCTTTCTTTATCATAATATTCATCTTTAAATGCTGTACTATTTTTCGTAGGTAAGGTAAATGAGAATAATGGAGTCGTATCATAAGACTCTGGAAGTGTAAGTACCTGTGTAAGCTCTTCAATAGTTGTAGAAGGTAAAATCTTTGGTAATAATATTTTTTGTGCATGCAGTTTGTTATTACTTATTAATGTTGTTTGTTGCTGCGGCGGATAATAATGATTTTGTTGTTGTAATAAATCATGTTTCTGAGAGAGTTCATAATCTAAATAGTTTGCAAGGATTTCATAATTAACAGGACATAGTTCCTTTGTTGATGGTTCTTTTAAGGAAGGCTCTATATCAGATGTATTTACCTAAATACATAGTTTTTACTATTACTATTTATTCATAATAAAGAAAAGTGTTCATTAAATACCCAAGGATGATGATCAAGACTTGCTTCAGTTGTTACTAGTCTTTGTTCATTTATCGTATTATCAACTAAAGGTAATGTATTCATTCTAAAGGCCCAAGAAAGAAAGAGAATAAAAACGCAAATAAGCTTATACAATATTCATCTAACAATCAAAAAGAAGACTATGTTTTTATCAATGATTAGTAATTCTTCATGTGTATCACATGAACAGTCTTTATATATCTATATGTTATACAGATTGTCTTACATTGTGATTTATGTGACTAAAAAACCAACTGAAATTGAGGTTAGATAAAATAATGGATAATATAAGATAAAATAAATATACCAGTGAAAGTACTGATGGTTTGGATATTATATAATGAGTTTTAAAAGAGCAAAGAGAGTGTTATGATTGTAGTCGTCCTCACAACTAAGTTAATAGAAATAAACCATCATTTATTACATAATAAAGAGATTATTCAAATAAAACTAGTATATTGTACTTCACAGCATAATATTCATTCTACATTCAGTTTTAATAGCAGTCATTATTAGAGTAATCGAACTGTGATGGAACGTAATATAATAAAGAAAACTAGAAAGAGAAAGGGAATAAAAGGAAGTATAGTTTGAGATTGTTTTTATTCAACAAAAGAAAAATAAAAGAAAAATAAGAATTGAAGGTTAAAGATTATTTTGTGTCTACATAACTGCTTATATTTATACTAATGAACCTTGAATCAAAGGAATAAAAAATAACCGTCAAAGAACATAAGTCACAAAATAGTGTTAGTATTCAGATATACATCTTGTTGATTCAAGAGACTAATCTATGGATTATCTACTGGGTGTTATAATGATCTGATTAAGTTTTAAATAAAAAATTTATTGTTTAATCTGAGTGTATGTTCCTGATACTCCACTGTGGAAGGCCTGTCACCCCAAACTACACCCCTTAGATCACAAACGATTTAGGAAGTTACAACGACAATTTTTACAAGATAACTCAAACACACGTCGTAGTGCTCTAAATAACTCTACGCTCCTCTCTCTTTGCAGGTCTACTATATCTATAGATCCTATCCTTTGGTTACCGATGTCCTTTGTTGAACGCAGTCGATACATACGTTGGCGGCTTGGATGGCTCCCAAACGGTTACTCCACTCACCCATCTCATCGACTCACTCGACGACATGCAATCATATGTCTCCAAATGCACTGTCGGTTACAGATGTCTGAAACTATAGAAGATCCCCCGCCCTTCCTTTTAAATCAACTTCCCACCAAGAAACCTGCCTCATCTCATTCCGTCATCCCTTGGCACATTCGATGGTCCTCCATCTGCCTTATCCTTCATGAACTTGACCAGTTACAATATAATAAGCCGATTCTTCCTACCCCACCCAATCCTGGTCAACATCTCTTTGATTGGCTTCCACCGTCTCCTACACTACCTGTATAATTTTTACATTGCACCTATCACACTCTTCTTTTCCTTTACATTTTTCTTCTTGCACCTAAAGAGGTTTTTTTTGTTCCTTATTCCTTGAAACTAATCCGGTCCGGGTAAATTTGAAGTACTTAATAACATCTCATGCTCAAATGGGGTCATGTATTTTTAAATAAAAATTGCTGTTTAATCGTATATAATAGTAAAGCTAGGCTTTGTTAAACCTGAAAAAGGGGAAAAAAGGCTTTATTTTAGTAATAGGGTGCCTTGTAAAATTGCATTATAATAAGGGAGTTTTTTTTTTTTTTTTTTGTAGACATATTTATTAAGCATTCTTCTTTAGCTTAGATACATCTTTATTGCTATGATTATGGGTTATTTTCTTTACTTTATTGTAGATTAGCAAAATAGTAAATAATAAAGAACCCAATGCTTGAGCATCTTCTTGAAGTGTAAGTAACATTGTTAATAGAATATAAACAATAGTAGACCAAAAAGATATCTTTACATCCACAGAAAGCCTTGGCATTGTTAAACGCCATTGTAAACGATCAAGCCCAAGTATTTCTATTATGTAATATTTAAAAAATGAATAGGATAACTGTTTATGGTTTTTTTTTTTTTTTTTTTTTTACCATTCCATAATCCTCCTCCACAACCTGTTAATGTACCACATAGAACTCTAGCGATTATTTTCTTGTTTTCTGTCTTTATTGTTACACCATCTACACCATATTGAACAAGTGAGTATCCCCGATGAAGTCCACTGATAAAAATGAAGATCACTTTTAGCACAGGGAAATTAGTAAAGATAAAGGATATCCATTTAAATACAAATGAATTGGAAAACATCATAATACAATAAATGAGCCTAATAAATGTATATATATGTGTGTATGTATGTGTGTGTGTGTGTGTGTGTTCGATTTTAATTGAACTATTTGATGGTATTACTAATTTTTAGTTTACCCATAAATAAACCATATTTCATCTTTGTAGATTACACTAAAGGGTTCTCCTCTAAGTAACGCAACTGTACATGTACCGGCTGAAGATAAAATGATACATGATATAAATCCTTGTACCCAAGAAATATGTTTAACATTTCCTTCTCCTATTGATGTACGGTATGCATGTATGATGAGTATAGCCTTTACAATTTCTGCTAAAGGTAATTCACTAAAAAAAGGGGGAATAGCAACTTTCAAATTTCTAATGTACTGAATCCCATGTGTTAATTGTTGCAAATAAAAAATGGCATTCATTTTAATAAATATAAAATTAACTGCTAGTGTGTGTGTGGTTTTTATATTTATATAAATTGTAAAATTATTTCTAAAGTAGAAAGAAGCAGTCAATATTTAAAGACAACAACAATGATCGAATGCATCAATAGAATTACTCATGAGTATAATGAACTTTTCTTTTTTTTTTACATTCCATAATAAAAACAGAACATACTAGTAGATTTCGTTCAGATAAATCTTTATAATTTAAAATATGATCTCTATAGATTATTACCATTCAGGTAATTTGAAATTATATATCCTACTATTGAGGGACTGTCTTTTATAGCTTTGTTTGGGCATAGGTCTATTACATTTAAGATTTAAATTATCCTAAAGCACTATTCAAGCTCTTTTCAAACTCTTTAATAATAGACTTTTTAAAATGATATATATATAAGGATGCTGTATTTATTGTTTCTTGAATTATGAAGAAGAGGTACGATTTCTATTAAACTGCGAACTTAGCATATTAAAAATATTTTTAAGACTAAAAGAAGATAACCAGGAAGAAGATACTTGATCTTCTTCTTTAGTAGTAGTATCACTGTTTTCTGCTTCTTCTTTAATAGAAGCAGATTCATCAATTGTTGTTTCAGGAACATGTGTATTTTCAATCATTTCTTCTTCCTTTGAATTATCATCGTTAACCTGTTCTTCCTCTTTACTATCTGCAATTGTATTTTTGTTCTCATCTATCAAAACAGGTGATTCCACTGCTACTGCTACTGCATCTGTATTAACGTCAAGGGCAGAAGTCATAATGATATCTTCTTCTGATTTATCCTCATTCTTGTTAGCTTCTTGACATTGTTTACTTTTTTTTTAAAAAAAAAAGAAATAAAATAAAATAAATAAATATAACATTATAATGCATGTATAACTTACTAGTGATTTGTTAAAGCTTCAGAAGCGAGATTTATAGCTACTTTTTGTTCCTCAGGTGCTTTTCTTCCTGAAATATGACGCTATACTCTGAATATTAATAACAACACAATAATAAAGCAACTAAACTTCATTTACCACTTGCACTTCTTGATCTCTTTCTTTGATTAAATCACGGATTTTATCTACTAAACCTTCATAATTTAAGAAGCTACCTTTACCAGTAATAGCTTCATACAAATATAAATAATGTGCACTATTGTGATTATTACTATATATTATTACCTCTTGGTAAATCTCTACAAGATGTATTTACTATGAAAGGATATTCAATGGCTTTCACTATTTCAATAGCTTTTAATGTTCCCTATACAAACAGGTAAAGAAAATATTAAAATAAAATAAGAGAAAAAAAAAAATTACTATCACTTACCAATACATAAGCATAATCTAAATCTTGCTGGTTTCCCGCATCTTTCACATAAGTTTCACTATAATTGCGTTCGTCATTTTCACCAAAATAAATACCAAAAGCTCCATTTGTTTCATCCATAATGGCCCCAACCCAAATCTGATGAACATTTAGCTTCTAAATAACTAGAGTATTAAGGGAAAAAAAAGGAGGATATTTACCTGAGATGCGGTTGACTTATTTTTTGTAACTATTAACGTTATAAATCAGGATTGTTAATTACAAAAATAAATATATAAAAATATAGCAGATATAAATATATACATATAAATATAAATATATGTATATGTATACCGTATGTCGTATATGTATATGTATATTTATGTATTTACTTTTATCTCCAGTCTTTTTCTTCGTTACTACTTTCTTGTTGGGTTTATTTTCAGCTTTTGTTTCTCTTTTTCTTTTTACTACTTTCTTATTAACAGGATCACTGTCATAAGGAATGAAACTAGGAACGCGATTGTCTTTTAATTCAAGATTAGAGCTCATTTATGCTTAAATTTTTATTTTATAAGTTATAAAAAAAAAAAAAAAAAAAAAAAAATGATAAAAAAAAATTTTTTTTAATTTATTAAACAATAATAAGGAGCAGTAGCATCAGTGTCAGTACTAGGAAATTAAAATTGTAAATGATGTTGCATATACATGTATTATACAAATCATGCTGTAAAATACATTTGTACAAAATCTCGAATCATTATTTATAATTTTAACTTTTTTTTTTTTTTTTTATAAATAGATGTTGCACAATCTTCAAGTTGCTATGGTTGTGTCTTAATAATAAATTGATCTTATTATTTTACTCCACTGTATTATTAATTTTCTTATGTAAAACCCCTGTTAAACATATTTGACTATTATATATATAACCGAGAAAATTTTCAGTTTAATTTTTTTTTTTCTTGGACCATTGTTTGTTTGTTTTTTTTTTAACTTTAATTTTTTTTTATTATTTGTATTAGTCATTAGATTGTAATGGCTTCTTCATTACGTCCATTGCGTTCTTTAGCAACCTGTATGGGGACGCATCAATTCATGCGTCCTGCTGCTATTATCCCCAAGACTCGCGTATCTCCATTCCAATATAGCAATAGATTCTATACCACTACTCCACCTGTCAAAAATGGTGGCAAATTTAGCCCTCTTTTGTGGATTGGTAAATTATCATTTTATTCTCGTCTTTTTTTTTTTTCTTTTTTCTTTTTTTTTTTTTTTTATAAAATAATATTTATATTTAACTATCTGTATTATAGGTCTTGCTTCACTCGGTGGTGCATATTCATATTATCAAAATCAAAGAGCTATCAACATTGATGCTAGTCTTGATCAAGATAAAAAGCCTACTGAACCTAAAAAGGAATTAAATACAAACGGACCTTCAACCCCAGCACCTACTAATAAACCTGACAATACAAAGAAAACTGCTGCTGAGAAAAATATTGATTACCAACAAGTATATAATGATATTGCTGAATTATTAGATTCAAATCCTGAGTAAAGTTTTAGAGTTATTATTATTATTATACATGTGTATGTATTCATATGTTTCTTCTTTTTTTTTTTCTGATTTTTAATAGATACGATGATGGTTCATATGGTCCTGTTCTCTTACGTCTTGCTTGGCATTCATCCGGTACTTATAATGTTAAAGATGGCTCAGGTGGTAGTAATGGTGGCACTATGCGTTTCAAGGCTGAATCCTCTCATTCTGCTAATAATGGATTGGAAGTTGCACGTGATTTACTTGAAAAACATATTAAACCAAAATATCCTGAATTAAGTTATGGTGATATGTATACTCTCGGTGGTGTAGTAGCAGTTCAAGAACTTGTAAGTTGCGAATTAAAGAGATATAGAATATATATAGAGAAAAAAGGCCCATTCGATTAATTCTCCTTTTATTTTTTATTATTATTATTATATTTATATACATATATATATGTATATAATAGGGTGGACCTGATATCAAATGGAGACCTGGTCGTAGAGATCAAGGTGAAAATATGTGTACACCTGATGGTCGTCTTCCTGATGGATCTAAAAAGGCTGACCATGTTCGTGATATCTTTTATCGTATGGTATGTAATGATGAATAAGTTTATATATTATTATTATATATGCTAAACTAGGGTTTTATTTTTATATATATTAGGGCTTTAATGATCGTGAAATTGTTGCTTTGACTGGTGGACATGCTTTGGGTAGATGTCATCTTGATCGTAGTGGTTATGAAGGACCATGGCAAGAAGCACCTACTTTCTTTACAAATGAATACTATAGAGCTATTACTACTCGAGAATGGGTTAAGAAGGATCTTCCTAATGGTAACTGGCAATGGAGTGATAAGAATAATCCTGATATTATGATGTTACCTATTGAAATTGCTATGCTTGAAGATGAAAAACTTAGACCTTATTTCGAACTTTACGCTAAAGATGCAGAACAATTCTTTGAAGATTTTGCTAAAGCATTCAAGAAATTGATTGAACTCGGTGTCCCTTTTACTGGTGAAGAGAAAGAATATGTCTTTAAGAGGGTTAATGTTTAAACCGTTTCTATTAAGGAGATCAAGTGATATAATAATATAATAAATGCATTCAATAATTTATGATAAGGGGTAAAATGAAAATCTAACTTTTAATTGGCTGTAACTCTCAATACAAGATATTATGCAAAGTATAACAATAACTTATATTTCTTTATACTGTCAAAGAGAATAATGAATCTTTAATAAATAGTGCAAAACTATTAGAAAGTAACGTGTATATATAAATAAGATATATAAACTTGAAAAAATAAACAAAAAAAAATAAACAAAAAAAAAATTAAAATTAAATCCTATTACTTAATCTTATAAAAAAAAATGAAGAATATAATTCTACTTATTTTGCTTTCTATCCTTGGAACAAATGCATTTTGTATATACAATAACATTGAAAAGGGCGCAGATGGTACAGTTACAAAATATTGGTTAAGACAACAGCCTTATAATGCTGGTCCCAATTATTTCTCGTAAGTTTATTAGTTAAAAAAAAGTTCTAATATTATAGTATTTACTTTCCCCCCCCTTTATTAGGCGTTTTGCAAATTACAATTTAGCCAATGGCGAGAAAACATGTTGTGCTTACACAAACACGGATTGCTGTAGATCTGGAAAAATTGATGATGAACTCTACATGGTTGTAAGTATTTAATTATTATTATTTTCCTTATTCTTCCTCCTAATCTATGAAATCTATAATATTACAGGCTGCAAGAACTACCGGCACTATGACCTTCCCTCCTCTCGTTATCAGTTTTCCCTCGGGTGGTTCGATTGTGTTTAATGGTGACGCAAATCCAGCAACCGAGAAGATCAAGGTCTACAACCCTGATGGTTCACCTTATGGCTTTAAATTCAGAGTCGACGATCAAGCTGGATATACATAGGGATTATATCTGATTAGAAGAGAAAAAAGACTCTATTCTTTAATACTTAACTTATTCTATTTACTGTTATATTAAACTATGAATTATACATAGATGATTATTTATTTACTTGATGTAAAATATAAAAATAAACCATATTTAAAAAAAAGAAAAAAGGTTACCAATAGGTTTTAGAGATTAGTCAGTGTTATCCAATAAAAAACATTGATATAGGAGATCACGATTATTACATAATTAATGCATTTATATTAATAATAAAATTAAGCTAGATATTTATTCTACCATAGCTATACTTAGTAGTAAATAGTTTATTTATATAATAGTGTTTATTTTCTACAGAATAAATAATACACGTACATATATACTAGTAGAATGAGCAGGTTTTATTATACTATGTGAAAAAAAGGAAACATATATAGATCACGCTTAGTCAATTAAGCAGGTATATTTATTTATATGTTATATAATAATAATAAGAATAATAGGAAAACATTCAGAAATTACCCGCCTGCGATTACTCGTTCTTTATTACTAATAGCAGGGCTACCCTAGCATTTTTCTCCTTTTAGTTATTTTGTTTGACCTGCGAGTCTAATCTAAAAAAAAAAAAAAAAAAAAAAAAAAAAAAAAAAAAGAGAGAGAGAGAGAAAGAGAAAGAGAAAGAGAGAGATGATTTAAAGCAATATTTCTTTTTTAGTGCGAAAGAAAAAAGCAATAGTGCTGTTAAAAACACGAAATTTAGAATATCATTTCATCTATTATTTTGATAACAGTAATTTTCATTTTTTTTTTTTAAAGAATAATGCAAAATATTCACATGATTGTTAAAAAAAACAGTTCGATCCGGAATACATCATGTGTTTGTTATGCATTAATTCTATAGATGGATATGAAAAAAAATCTTCTATCAGTGCCAATAATACAGCTGTTCCAAGTATAGAAAGCCTTTTATTATATGTACCACCCAAGGCCTAACAAAAGAAGGTTCAGGTTAAATATTTCTCCAGTGAAGCGATCCAAATAAAATTATTGTACGATAATTCCTTTTTTTTTTCATTTTATCAAATGCTTATATTTAATTTTGTCACCTTATTCATATTACTCCTTTTCAAATATCGTCAGTTATTAATTATTACTTTATCTATGATATATTACCAAAATTATTCTTCATAATTTACTTCACTTTATTATTAACTATAATAATTTCGTATTGAAAACATATAGATATCACATTGAAAGAAATGTTATTGAAATCATCATCTCATCTTTTTTTTAATTAATTTTGTATTTTGGTATTTAAACTTATTTACATCTGATAAAGAAGTATATTTTATGTATTCCAGCTATGGTACTAGCTTTAATTACAACAATCTATATTATAAATACATTTATGTAATTTAACCCTCATATTCAATATATTATACAGACATAGACACCAATAAATGTATGTATCTTTCTTTAAATAATATTAAGATCTATCATCACTAGTTGCACGAGTGTTCCCGAATTAAGATATATAAGAGCAATAACTATGGAAATAGTATATTTAGCTGGATCAAGCTATATATTTAAACATCTTTAATCAGCAAGAATAACTGTCATAGTTGTAAGACTTGTAACTTAATTCAATAAGATAAATAGTCATAATAAAGCATATAGTGCACTTGTATAATAATTTTGTGTATATTTACTGTTGTATAAATAATTAATAAAAGTCCTACATCTAAAAATATATTTTCTTCTATTATTGTTCTGCTGAATATAGATTTATAAAGATAACTTTATATAAGTTAAACTAGGGTAAACTAAGAATAATAAAATACACGTAATAATTGATTCCACTCAGAATAAACATGTTAGTTATAAAAATAAATATATACAAAAGACATGGATCTACATCTATAATAACTCTTAGTAATCATCCTATAATTATATTATCAAATACAATTTGTTATATTTTTATCTTCTTATTACTCATCATCTTTATCCACAAAATATATAAATGCTTTTACACTATTAACCCTTATTATATATACTTGAATTGAATTATACTTAGAATTGAATTAATTCATTTTTTATCTTAATAAACTTATTGACAAGTCTCAACATACTTTTTCTGTCCGTTTTCTTTTATTTCTCTTTTATTTCCTTTATTTATATTTTTATTATTTAACTTGCCTAAACCACAACATTTGAATCTTTAAGTATTTTTGTAAATAAAGTAACCCGTGAAAAAAAAATTGAGCTTCCTAGGGTACTTATTTAAAAATTGAATAATAATATAATTTATAGTGATCACGGCTACCATAAAATAACTTATTTTTTTTAAAAAAAAAAAAAAAAAAAAAAAAAAAAAAAAAAAAAAAAGTGTAACTGTAATGAGAAAGCGTAAGAAAATTCGATGCCAACAAATTGGTGAAATAATGGGTGGATTTAGGAATTTCCATTAATTTTATTGGTCAGTCGGAGCTTAAATATATCAATATCGAATATAATTGATATAATGAAAAAAAAACCAACAAGAGCTTCTATGGCGCAATTGGCTAGCGCGTCTGACTGTTAATCAGGAGGTTGGTGGTTCGAGCCCACCTAGGAGCGTTTCATTTTTTTTCAATTTTCATCCCTTTCCTGCCTGCAATTTTTTTTTTTTTTTTTTTTTTTTTTTTTTTTTTTTTTTTTTTTTTTTTTTTGTTGAAAATAACTATTCTTTTGCAATAATAATAATAAAAAGGTAATAATTTTTTTAAAAGGAAGGATAAAGTAGCTTCTTTTTTTTATAAATGTTTAGTAATAGGTAGTAGTGATATTGTTATTGTCTAATTAGTGTTGATAACAAAAATATTTCTTTATTTTACTAAACTATATTTATTACTTTTTATATCTTTTGCATTGTTATAACAAAGTAAATTATAATAGTTATACTAAGCTGGTTATAATAAAAAAAATATATGAGATAATGTAAAGCTGTTTATTGTTGAAGAAAGTATAATAATACGGAAATAGTTTAAGTATAACGCGTCTTTAAATTTAAAACTAATAATAATAATAATAAATCTCACAATAATAAATTTATTAAATAATTACTTTATATTATTATCACAACTAATACGATAAAACTGTCAATTACATATATATTGAATGAGGAAAGAAAATTAATTTATTTTAGGTATGAAAAATGACAGATATTTTATTTATCTAATATAAAAGTTCAAGTTGAGCTGGCCTTGCCTTTAAAGAGGATGTATTTCTTATAAGAACAACCATCTTTACAGAACGATTTTGCCTATTTTATCAATAAGAAAAAAAAAGTTTATTAAATTGATTGATTACTATAGAATGACAATGATAATAATAATAAAAAAAAAACTTACGATTTATCTATGGATTTAAGCTTTTTTAATCCACTCATTGTACAAGCACCTATGCCAAAACCATAACCAAGACTTAAAGAAAAATTACCGTTTGTTATATAACCTATCTGTTGTTGCTTTGAAGGTAATTCAAATGACTTATATATATATGGATCAGTTGTAAATTGTTAAGACCTTTGTAATCTTATATGTCTAAAACATACCTTATCTACATCAGTATCTAATTCTAAAAATTCCTTCATCTTTCTTTTACTTTTTTTTAAAGGTGATGATTTTTGACGAATACGATATGTATAATATTGATATTCCTCAGGGTCTTCTAACAAATAAATCATAGCATTAACTAAAGGCTTTCCACGGTCAATATATTTTACACGAATTTTAATGAGTAGGTCATCCATATAAAAATCCGACAAATGCAATGACGGATCTAGTCCTCGTTGGCGTATTAATGCTTCTAATGTTGATTGGTAGTTTTGTGTTGTTGAAGAATCTAAAAGAGATAACACTAAACGTTCTCCATTTATCAATGAATATCTAGGACGTGCTGACAAATGTTCCTGATTTTCTTTTCCTTCTTCAATAACATCCATACGATCTACTGTAGATAAACTTTCAAATGCGCATTCAAATGGATGGTCAACTCCACGTTTAGCATAGTTAACACGTTTTGCAGGAGGGCGCCTCTGCCAAACGTTTTCTGCTGCCTTTTGAACCATCTTACGATGAGCTTCAAAGGCTCGTGTACCTGGATAATCTTGTGGAAAACAAGGATAACCACTTTCAAAATGCATAGCATGCACATCTTCATATCCAGCTACACGGGCTCCTGCAAATACAAATGATTTCCAAAATGCAAGCCCAAATCCACGGGGAATAATTAATGTCCATCCTTCTACAAACTCATGTGAAGATAGAGGTTGGGGTGATTGATTATTATAGATTGGTCCTCCTCGCTGAATTAATAAAAGGGGAATTTGACTATCTTCTGGTGTAGCTTCTAGTTTAGTACCTGGTATTAAGTTCTTTTCACGACGTATATTCAATCCATAATCAGATATTTTATTATCAAACAAGGATTGACGCAATTCTTTATTCCAAATAGTTGTTTCCGCTGCATCTGATGGCCATTGATCCAAAATATGCTGAATATTTTTTTGATTCTCATTAGAAATTGTGTTAGTCCTTGGTGGTACTTTTTGAGGGAATCTAAATGTTATTCAACTATTAGTTTTTTTTTTCTTTTTCCTTTTTTTTTTCTTTTTTACTTTAATCGAGGATCTTGAACAACAAGACCAATAACAGTTCCAGGAGACATTGAACAAGAAGAACGGAGCTCTTTTAATCTATTCCATACATTGTTGCCCTTGATGGATTCATCGGGAATAGGATCAAGAATAGTCTGTAATAAAGCTGTTGATCGTGGACCAGTCAATTCAAATCGTAAAATGTCATCACGCAAGTCGTTTAACTGAATATTGGTTGTTTTTGTTTCTTTAATTGCCATTTTTAAATATATATTGGCCTCATGAACTGCAGAAGGATGAATCCATAGCCAGATTGTATCAGTCGTCTTTGGTTTCCATAAAAATGAAATTGGACAAATAAGTTTCAATGGGTATCCTAAATACTCATATAAATGAGTATATCCAATCCTTTTACCGCTAATATACCTAACCAAAACCAAAATATAAATATTATACATTTGGCAAACAAAAAGTATGTGGTGTATAGATATACCTTTCACTTCCAACAGAAGATAGTCCAGCATCTGTCATTGTATTTAACACTTTAATGATATCGTTTTTATCACCCTTTAACTCAATACAAGCCATATAAGATGCATCATGTATAATTGAAAGACGAGTAAATGATCGATATGTAACACGGATTGATTTTGTGTTTGGACGTGCTGCAATTCGATGACCCCATATATCATTCATTTTCATTCTTTTTGTATGCCACATGTGAGTTTCTAACCATTTTTTTGATTCTATAAGAGAGTATATGAGTAACTACATACATACATACATACATATATATATATATATATATTAAAATGATTGCATCATATTTTGTTTATTTACTTTGACGTCTAAGAAATTCTTCTACTGTATTTCTAGGCGTTTTGATCTTTTTAATCTTTTTACGTATCAATGGAGCATTAGGTGCTGAACAGTAAGCCTAACAAAAAAAAGTGTTTAATATATATGTACCATTTAATCAATAATATGCATAATATTACTTCTTTTGCTGCCTTTGCTCTTAATCTAGCAGGGAGCCTATTTATATTATGGCTTGCTGCACGACGACGAAGGCCTCGAGGAAGTGATTGAAAAGCAAGTTCGTTAAGTGCATAACTATTTTTTTTTAAAAAAAAATAAAGTATTAAATTACTGTAATATTAGCCATTCTTTATATAATTACCTAGCTCTTTTAATGGCTGTTTGCATTTCATTAATCTCCGTTATACGCGCCAACGCATATCTATCAGCTTCAATTGGCCCAGTTACTCTTGGTATGTTCTCAGCTATAAAGAGTATGTATTTTGACGATTAACTTTTCAATTTTTCTTTTAAAAAAAGAAAAAAACTTGTTTATACTAAACATTACTGAGGCTATTGTCTGTTTTATTATGTGTTCCAATTTGTCGAATTGACTTATTTCTTTCTACATGTAAAATCCAAATGTTAACATGAAGTTGAATCGATCGATTTCAAAAAAAAAAAAAGAAAAAATACCTCTTCTTTTTTGTTTTCCAGAGAGATTGTTATCATTTGTTGATTTTGAAGTAGCTGAACTTACATTACTCAATACTTCTGAACCTTCTCTACTGTTAGGCTTGGATGACATTACAATGAATGATTAATGTAAATTAAAAAAAAAAAGAGCACATTACAGTCACGAAGATCAGAAATAATAATAATAATAAAAAAAAAAAAAAATTCTTGAAAAAGTCAAATTGTTGTGCCTTAATTTTTATTGGTTAAAGCATTTACTTGCTTTTTTGTGTGCAGATACTTTATTGGCTGCTAAAACTAAAAATTAATTTATAAATAAACGCTTTACTTTTCCCTTTTTCTTCTTGACAAACCAAAAAAAATATAAAAGAGGAGAGAAGATAAATAGCAACAGCAACAATAGAAGGAAACCGAGTCTTTCATTATGGTGTTTTTATATTTTATATCTATTATTTTTATTACAGTGATAGCTTTAGTATGTAACAAGCATATAATTGCCTTTTAAGCAGACAATTTATAGTTCCTTATTGTCCTTTTTTTTTTTTTTTTTTTTTTTTTTTTTTTTTTTCAAATAGCTATTTGGGTTTTTATTATTTTGTTCGCCCAAGCCAAGAAGTAGAACAGAAAATGAAAAATATTTTAGAAATGCAAAGTCCTCTAAACAGTTGCTGCTACCAAGTCTATTTGATAAAGCTAGTGTGAGTTTATCGTGTATTGTACCTGCATTTGATGAAAGTAAGCGATTACCGAAAATGCTAGAAGAGACAGTCGATTATTTAGAAACAGTTAAAAATAAAGATACCACGTTTAGTTATGAAATTATTATTGTTGATGATGGTAGCAGAGATAATACTTGTGAAGTAGCCATGGCTTTTGCCAAGAAAATGCCTCATGTTGATATTCGACTTCTTGTTCTGGATAAAAATAGAGGAAAAGGGGGTGCTGTCACTCAGGTAATATTAAAAGGGATAATAATAATAAAAAGGCAATGTTAAGTGGACAAAGCTTTGTTAATATCAAGTAATAATAAAGGGAATGTTATCAGCTCGAGGCGAACTATGCTTAATGGTAGATGCTGATGGAGCAACTAAATTCTCAGATCTTGGTAAACTTTTAAAAGAAATGGATCGAATCAAAAAAGATGATAAGGGAGTTGTTATTGGTTCTCGTTCACATTTAGTTACCACCGAAGCTGTTGTTAAGGTAAATACATATGTCACTTGATGTATGCATACACACACAAAAAAAAAAAACTAAATTAGGGATGATTAGCGATCTTTTATTAGGAATTTTTTAATGCGTGGTTTTCACACATTAGTCTACATTTTTGGTATTCGTGGTATTGAAGATACTCAGTGTGGATTTAAGTTATTTACTCGTAAATCAGCTCAAATTATATTCCCTAATATGCATGTAGAAAGATGGATTTTTGATATCGAATGTCTCATGATTGCTCAAATTCAAAAAATGCCCATTTCTGAAATTCAAGTTACTTGGCATGAGATTGATGGATCTAAAGTTAATTTAATGGTTGATTCAATGAAAATGGCTGTTGATTTATTACTTATTAGACTTAATTATGTTTTCGGCTTTTGGTCTGTAAATACTAAGAAATTCAAATAATAAATGTGTATGATTATATAATTGCGCTTAACTGAAAAATAAACGTTTTTTTTTTTATTTCTTTTATTTTTTATTTTTATTTTTATTTTTTATTTTTATTTTTTATTTAAATAAATAAATAAAAATATGTCTATCACGATTAACGCTATTGATAAAGAATCTATTCATAAAATTTGTTCAGGGCAAGTAGTACTTGACTTGGCTACTGCAGTAAAAGAATTAGTAGAAAATAGTATTGATGCTGGCGCTACCTCAATTGGTACAAGATAGAATTAATATGCCACTTTAGTAGACTGAATCTAACATGATTACTTTCACATGTAGATGTCAATTTCAAAGAAAGTGGTATCGAGCGAATTGAAGTAATTGATGATGGATCTGGTATTGATCCAGCTAATTATGAAACTCTAGGTAAAATGTTACAACAACAACAACAAAAAAAAAAAAAAAACTATGGTAATAATAATTTATAACTTTTTTTTTTTATAATGGTAGCTCTCAAGCATTATACTTCCAAATTGAATAGTTTCGAAGATTTAGAAAAAGTACTTACGTTTGGTTTCCGAGGGGAAGCACTTAGTTCATTATGTGCACTATCTCAACTGACTGTTATTACAGCTACAAAAGATCAAGCACCAATGGGTATCAAGCTAGAATACGATAGAAATGGTATTTTGATCTCTAAAACACCTGTTTCACGAACTGTAAACACCAAATCATAAAAAAATATACGTATATAATCTAATATATTTGTTTATCTAGAACGGTACAACTATTCAATTATCTAATATATTTCATTCTTTACCTGTGCGATTACAAGAATTCAAAAGAAATATTAAGCGAGAATATAGCAAGGCATTGACTTTTTTACAAGCATATTCAATCATATCAGTAAATACACGTATATCTGTATCGAATCAAACAGGAAAGAGGTAGATTTTATTACAACTTCCTTCTATAAACGTATATAAATAAATATTTTCATCTTTTTATATAGACCAAGTATGAAAATCATGTCAACGACAAAAAATAAGGAAATCAGTGCAAATATTTCAAATATATTTGGAGCAAAGTTAGCATCACAGATTATACCATTTAAAGTAGATTTAGAGCCAGTTCTTGGGAAAGAAGGATCTTTAGAGGGTTATATCTCAAAGCCAGAATGGGGGCTTGGAAGAAATAGTTCTGATCGACAATATTTCTATATTAATGGTAGACCATGTATACTTTCCAAGGTGAGAGCATTTTTTTTTTAAATCAATAACTCTTTGGTTAACTTTTTCTTTTTCTTTTCTTTTTAATTATTAGATGGCGAAAACATTTAACGAAATATATCGTATTTTTATTTCTAATCAATATCCTGTTGTTATTGCTAATTTTAAAATACCTACAGATGCGTATGATGTTAATGTAAGCCCAGACAAAAGAACAATTTTTATCCATCAAGAAGCTAAGATTGTGGATGCCATCATGAATCAGCTAAAGGAACAGTTAGAACCGAGTCGATCTACATTCCAAATTAACGCACTTATGTCTTTAGCTACATCTAATGAAACGCCTATATCAGAAACTAAAAATCATAACAATGCAGATGATGAACAGTCAAATATAATATCGCCATTAAGAAACACAGTTAATAACCTATCATTGTTATCATCTTCACCAGCTCCAGCACTACGCTCTTTGCCGTCACTAAAAAGTTTTACTAATTCAGGCTCAATCACTAGGAAAAACAATAATGAAAGCATTTCAAAATATAACAAGCCAATAAGTATAAAACGATCATACGGTACTAGTACAGCAACAATAAATCCTTATATAAGCAAAAAGTCCAAAATAGATTCAGTTATAGATATAGATAATGCAGAAGAAGACAAAATGGAAGATGTTGAAACATCTGATACTAGTTTACTCAAGATGCAAACAACGAAAGCACCTGAAGTAGACACTAAAATAGAGGAAATGGAATTTGACACACGAGAATATGTGGAAACTGTTACTGGTATTAAATCATATAGTGGATTATGGAAAACAGTAGGACGTATTTTGACCATTAAATCTAATACGTGCTTTGACTATTTGAAGGAAAATAGCAATACGATTGAAGAAAACTCTAGCTTTATTTCAACATCAGAAACTATTGAAAATGCAGGAATAACAAATACAGCTGATAACGAGAAAGCAACTAGAGCATTAAGCCGTGTAATTCATAAACCTGATTTTGCTAGAATGAAAGTAATTGGGCAATTTAACCTTGGTTTTATAATAACGATATTGGATAATCAAGATCTTTACATTATAGATCAACATGCTTCAGATGAAAAATATAATTTTGAAATATTACAGCGAACTACACAAATTAAGGGTCAAAAATTAATTAGGTAAATTTTTTATTTATCCTTAAAACCCTCCTCCTTTTTATTAAATATGCCATTTAGTTCGCATGTTTTAGATTTAACAGCAGCTGAAGAACATATCGTCATGGATAATCTTGATATTTTTAAAGCAAATGGCTTTGATGTACAAGTATTGCCTGATAATGAACCTACAAAACGTATTTGTGTCATTTCTCAGCCCGTTAGTAAAAATACAATGTTTGATAAAAAGGATTTTAGTGAAATTATATTTTTAATTAATGAACATCCTGGTGAAATGGTTCGTTGTAGTCGTAACAGAGCTATGTTTGCATCTCGAGCATGTCATAAGGCAGCTCGTATTGGTGATAGTTTAAACAAAAGTCAAATGATAAAGGTAACGAAAACGAAAAGTAAATAAATTTTTATTTTAACCTTTTTTCTTTTTTTTTTTAAGATTGTTCAACATATGGGCGAAATTGATCAACCTTGGGTAACTAAAAAAAAAAAAAAAAAAAAAAAAAAAGACCTGCATTAACTTATCTATTTTAGAATTGTCCCCATGGCCGCCCCACCATGCGTCATTTATTAAGTCTTTCGCATCATAAACAATTACATACAAAACAAAAGCATACTTTATCGTTCACAGGAACAATTCCTCTATTTAAAGAATAAAAATAGGTTTATTTTTTCCAGAAAACTGACTTTTGTATTAAATTATTGTAAGCAGACATAGGCAGATTTAAAGCGCTGTTTAATGGCTGAATTCCTGGTTCTTGTAAAAGTGAAAGGACTGCAACACCCATATAAGAATGCAATAAATCTAAACAAAGGAAAAATATAACTACCTAATCTTTTTTTCATATATCTCTGTTTTACCTGGATATGAGTCTGGATCTTTACCAAATCCACCTAATTTAAACTGACAGTCGATTAAAAAATCCTTTAATTTTTCATGTTGAACCATATTAAACGAGTTCAGCATATCTAAAGAAGCACCAATCCAAAAACCATAACAAACATCTTGTAATTTATTAGGTCTACCCTGAAATCCTCCACCTGATGTTTGACGGAAAAGACACCACTCTATTAATTTTTGCTTATTTACAATTCCATCTTCCAATTTATTCATTAAAGCTAAAGCTGCCACGCCACAAAAAGTTGATCCACCATGAGCTTCTTGTTCAGGACATTGTGCCATAGCATATTCATAGGACTAAAAAAAAAAGTTAAGGGAAGGGGTCATAAATTAAATATATATTTTCTGATCTACCTGTAGCTGCTTAATATGTTCAACTGTTTTATCTATATTTATACCGGACCAATCATTAAGAATGTAAGAGATCGAGCAGGCACAATATATAAATCTAACATCCCTTTCTAAACTTTGAAAACTAGGGGCAATACTATAAAGGAGAATTAGTTGTTTTAAATATAGATTTTTTTTTTTAAAGTTATATTACCTTCCATCTTCTTGTTGTAACAAACTCAGAGTTTTTATGATGGCATCCTTATTTACACCTGAAAGGTCATCACCTAACAACAACAAATTCGATAAGGCAGTATATGTGTTTGCTATATGACTAGAATCATAGTATTGAAATGGGCATGTTGTCTGATATACCACATATAAATATATTTATTCCTTTTTTTTTTTTTTTTTTTTTTTTTTTTCGAACGAAACCACTTACTGCATTTGGTTCAAATTTTCTTCCTGACCAAGATGAACCTCTAAATCCACAATAAGCTTCGTTAGCATCAGGAATTTCCCCTGTTGGTAATACTTGTTGAGCATATATCCAATCAATCCAATCCTTCTTATTTTCTGCTGACACATTGGAATCAAGCTCGCCTAATAGACTTAAAGCACCTAAACAAAAAAGGCAAGTGTCATTCTTATTTTAACATTAGAAGTAAATTCAACAATAAGTTCTTCTTATTATAATCTACCTGTTGGTCTCGGTTTGTGTATAGTGAGTAGGTAACATAGTAAGATTGGTTTTGAAATATTTTACAAGATCCTTCTTAGAAATGGATCTTACATTACTTTTTTCAGATCCCATTATTTGCAAAGACGCTGTTAAACTCGTGTTTTGATGAAGAAAAGAAAGTTAAATTATTTTTAATTTTGCTCCGAAAAAAAAAAATACAGTAATTTTTCTTTCGATTAATATTTCGCATAAAATACAATCAAGCAATTCATCAGAATTACTCAAGTGTGCTATATTCCTTTATACATTAAAAAACGATTATAATTAAATGGAAAAAAGACTTATTTTTACTTAATTGTAGTCCAATGTCCATTACGATTAAAAATAACATTTTGGCTGTATTTATAGTTCAATTTGATGTTCATAAAGGAAATGTTATTGAATGGCAATATCCAAATGGTAAATAAATTGTACATACATACATACATACATATATATATGTATATAATATAACTAATTAAGTTGTAAATATGAAAATATAGATGTCGATTTAGAAGGTGTAGAGTATCAAGCTATTTGTAGTGGTTTGCATAGAGTAGAGTCAGATATTATGTAAGAGGCAAAATAACATTCTATACTGGTAAATATCTCAGTTTTTTTTTTATATAGTTATTTTTACCGTCAAGATAAATATGGAATTAGTGTCTTTAGAAATATAGCAACAAATTCTATTGAAGAGAGAGGTGCTTGTATGAAGGCTATCGGGCTTCTTGTAAAACCAACGGAACATACCGATTTATGCGGCGAAGTTTGGAGTCATGCCCCTTTTCTAAAAGAGGAATTGATGTATGTAATAATTGTATTCTATAATAACACTACTGAATATTTTCTATTAGTAAACATATGGATTCCTCTTCAGAAGCTACTATTGATCCTAGACGATATGACTGTTTAATAGAATATTATACTCGTCATCAAATGAAAAGGGAATTCATAAATAAGGCAAACAATAGAACATATAGTGCTCCGAGTATATCAAGCTCAATTGACAATAGTAGCGTCAACTATAGTCTTCGAAAGATATCAATACAAAATGAAGAAAGACAAGAAAACCATAATATTTTATTTAGTATGGATTCTTCTTTTCCTGATTTTGTTCAGCAATTAGGCCCGAATATATTTGTCTTATGGAAAGCAGCATTATTAAGGAAAAGAATTGTATTATTAAATATGCCGCCAATGGAAGCTACTTGCAAATATGGTATTTGCAAATAATTATTATTCATTATTATTAAGTGTAGCTTATTCTGTCTCTTTTTCTGTCTAGTATATAATATTCATCAACTAGGACAGATACCAGTTCAATTTCAAAATAATAATAATATTCGCCCTTTATTTACTATAGGCGTTAATGATATACCTCAACTTGAAGAAATGAATCATCAAAGCTACATTGCATGTAAAATTGCATATATATATATATACATATAACTTGATTTATATATATACATATATGCTTATATAGCTAATACGTACTCATTCATAGGTACATCTGATTCTATATTCCAATCAAAAACAAATTTATATGATTTATTAGTTAGGTTACCACAACAAACAGCCTCTTTTGCTCACTATCAACCGCAAATCAAATCTATTTCTATGGCAACTGAACATAATTCAGCCGATTTAACAAGATTTAAAATCTTATGGTCATTATTATCACCCAATATTCCCTGGTCTCAAGTGATAGATAAAGAACCTAAAGGTAGTTTCAACATGGTTTCTACTTTATTCACAGGCATATGTTACTGGCTTTATGAAGAAAATAGATTAGATCATTATTCTTTCATGCCTACCCTTGCAGGTTGTAATTGGCAAAATTTGTTTGTTGGATCGAATATTAGAAGAGGCCGTTTATATATATCCGAGGAAGAAAACAGATTATTATTAATGCATAATAATGAAGAAGATACAACTGAAATTAATCACAACGAAATATACCATGCCGTGAATAAAGATATAGCTACAAAAGAAATTATTTTAAGGTACAAAAAAAGAAAAAGATATATGTATTGTTATATTAAATTTACATGTATTTCTATTTAGATTCTTCCATGACTTAAATTATTTCTTACTTGTCAAGTTACAACACATTTTATCAATGCGTGAAGAAAATGGAACTCACAATCACTTAATTATGCTTTATCCAAAAGATATGGTACAATTAGGACTAGACCCTCAACATGATGCTTCATTTATCATAGAGCTTGCTCAGCTCTATTTTAACAAAAGAGTTCAAGTATTTAGTTGGAGACATCTGTGTTATATCAGATCATGTTGCTGTTAAATAAATAACTTTATGTTATAAGTATTTGCTTACAACGCCATAAATCAATAGCCAGTCGTACTGTTTCTAAACATTTAGGTACACCTAACATAGTAGTTGAAGGTGGCAGTTTAGCTCTAATAGTTTCAATCTGCTCTTTGGACCAGAATTGCTGCATATAGTAATATGGTACTTGTTGTTGGCCTTCTAACTTTATATGAACATCATTTATATTTGAATCTAGTATTAAAACACATTGGTAATTTGTGAGTGATGTTCTCTGTTGCTGTAAAGCATTCATTGAAAACGTATCATAAATATGAATAGGATGTTTTGTAAATTCCAAAAAAGTCTGCTTCTTTAACATATTTTCTGTATGCTCTATCATATCTTTTCTAAAAGCAATTGAATTACTTCTAAAAAGACTCTTGTAAGCTGTAGGACATAAATTAAGTGAATTGAAAATTATTCAGCTATATGTGTACATTTATTACCTCCTTTTTCTAGCTCATTCAAAATTTTTCTATCAAGCTTTACATAATATCCAAATCCTTGCTTTGATGCTCCTATTGTTGGGAAGGCCCAATAAAGCTTTGTTTGCGGATGCCAGGCAGTACTGAATCGAAGTAGTAATTCTAATTTGCTAAGGTTAACAATATAATTAAAATAATTTATATTTTGCTCATCCTTACCTGAAGGAAGCATACGACCAGAAAAAGAACAATATCTTAATGGCGATGATAATATAGCCGCTAAATATAAAGCATGTTAATATATTTTATATAAATGCTAATATAATACTAATGAATACCGTGAGGGCTTGTTACTAATTTCGCTTCTATTGAATTAGGCGATTGTTTTATAGTTTGACATAATTTGGATTTACTCGGCTTTTCATCTCTATAATTAACTTTTGTTTTCAAATCTTTAATTATAGCTGCAATGGTTCTTTTTGACATTTTTAAGTGAAGAGTAAGGGGAGGAGGGCTTAATTATGGCAATATTATATTTTTTAAAACTCCTTATTTTTTTATTTTTATTTTTATTCATATTTGTATTGATATTTTTTTTTTTTTTTTTTTTTTTTTTTTTTTTTTTTTTCTAACATTTAAACCATGCTGGATACAGAAGAGGAGAAAAGAAGATTTCAGATTGAACTTGAATTCATCCAATGTTTATCTAATCCTTGGTATTTAAATAGTAAATCAAACATTTCATTAAACATTTATGAAATTAAATGAACTGAATTTACAATTTATTCGTATAAATGTACATTCATAGATCTTGCACAACAGCAGTATTTTAAAGATCCAGCATTCCTTAATTATTTAAAATATTTGCAGTACTGGAAAAAACCAGAATATGTAAAGTTTGTCGTGTAAAGTATACAAGGATGTAATAATGGAATAAGCCTGTTAATAGTAGATATATATATACATATAGCTATCCACATGCTTTATATTTTTTAGATTTGTTACAAAATGCTCAGTTTAGAGATTATATAAGCACCTCAGAAAATACCCAAGAAATGCATCGCATGCAATATTATCACTGGCAGTACTTACGTAACCCACCAAAAGTAAATACAACAACTGTTGATGAAGTCAAAGAAGAAATAAACAAATAAAATACATTCATGTATTTTATTAAAAAGAGAAAAACATAAAAAACATAGAAGAAAAAAAAATAAAAAAAAAATAAAAAAAAGAAAAGAAAATAAAGTAAAAGAAAAAAAAAAAAAGAAAAAAGCAAAATAAGGCTGTGGACTCCTTGTTAATTAGTGGTAGTTAGAGGAGTTGAAGGTAAACATGAAGAAGTAGAAGTAGATGAAGATAAACCTTTTGCTGTAATTCTAGTATTACTACGCTTTAAAGCCATAGCAGTCTTCCTTGCTTGTTTTTTTTCTTCCCTTAAGGCTAAACGTGCTTTAGCTCTTCTTTCTTGTCGTGACAACGGCTTACTATTAGTATTTATTTTATTACTATCATGATTTATGGTACTGTCAATCGTAGTAATAGGTAGCACTTTACTAGTAATAATAGGCTGTTCTTCCAACTTTTCTGTAGAGGACGAAATTATTTCTACCCAATCTCCTTCAACAGTTGTAGTTGTTTCCTCATATCTCTGCTGTTGTTCATAACTATTAATAAATGCTTGTTGTTGGACGTTATTACCATTATACCAAGAAGACAACCAAGCAGAAAACATTTATTATTTGTTTAAAAAAAAAAGAGATATTTATTTAACTTCACAACCACAGCTTTAAGAAAATAAAAATAAAAAAGATAATATGTATACTTTTATATAAATGTACATTATTGTAACTTTATTAATAACGTGATGAGATCATGCTTCGCTACTTTATATAAACACGGCATTATCAAGTAAAAATTATGATAATTTCAAATGACTCATAAAAAATGTATTGAGTCTCTTTAATGTAACTCTTGAGGGTGAAGCCTATAGTTATATGTTTGAATATAATAAACACGATAAATATAATATTATAAATATACCTTTTCCCAATGTGATATAATCTTGACTAGTTGGTGTTGGACCAATTTTTTATCCACTACTATATATAAGGTTATTTCATTATGTAATTTATATATATTCGTAAATACTACCTCGTGCACTTTTGTCTTTTAATAATTGCCCATCAAGATCAAAATAGTAAATTAAGATGGCTAATAAAATACCTACTGAGTGATCTTTACCTAATTGTATATGTGCGTTAATATTGCATACAGTATATATATAAATATACAAACACACATATACATATATATACATATTTACCTGTAGAACACTGAACAAGTATTTTTTTATTTTTTAAAATTGGATCACGTACAAAATCAATTGCTTTTTGTATACTTGATCCAAATATAATTTGCCCTTTTTTACCTTCTGGTATAGGTAAATATAAATAGTGGTCATTTTCTATCGGTACCTCTTCTTCGCTATTACTGCAATTAATGACATAATCAAATACTTCCCAGCAATGAGGTGGTTTATTACATTTAGCAGAGTTACCAATAGCTAATGTAGTTGGTTTAATAAATGCATAATTCTTTTCATTCGTCTCTTCTTCTAGTTTTTTCGATTTGTATAACAAGACTATATTTTTTACATTTCCTTCACATTCTCCTGAACTTGTCAATATTTCATCTCGATGCTTCCACAACATATTTGGTGTTAATCCCTATATATATACATACATTTGTAAATATTATAGAATTATCTATTAGTAGATATTTTTTACCATAGCCCAAGCTTCTTGGTCATCTCCTGAACCTTGTACATACAAGTACCCAGCCCTTAATTGATATCCAGCTTCTACTGCTTCAGAAGCACTTAGGCAAATCACAGGACAAAAATCTATGTCATCAGCATCAAAATCAGGAGGGGAGCTGATCAATGTGTCATAAGATTTAGGTGTATACCAAATGGGTCTTAGGGGTTTTTTTAACTCTTTGGAAACAGTTTCCATGTCAACACCCGAATCTAATAATTTTTCAACAAATCCATCAATTTTAGCTTCAATCTGTGCATGCTCTGAACGAGAGACAGTGGAAGGTAAAGAATGAAATTCTACATCCCAACACTCATTATTATTACTATAACCTCGATACCTAGCAACAGCACGATTCACTGTGCAACACCAAATAGGTATTGTTTTCGATAAGGCATCTGGAATACGTTTTCCTTTTCGAGTTGAATCAACAATAATGCCGCCGTTATGTTTCATAAGAATGGGAATAAGGTGAAGATTATTGCGTCGAATGTTGAAATCCCAAATATGCATGTGTCCATCGGTTGATTTAAAATAAGCTGAATATGCTTTTTTCTAAAAAATAAAAAATAAGTAAAAATAAATCATATATATACACACATAAATATATACATGCACAGTTATTTTTATTACCTTTGTACAATCAATATACCAAGAACCACAGCGTTCATTTGCTTTATTATCATTTCATTTATTAACACAATATTTATTTTTAATATGAAATTCTTTTATCTTTACCAATAAGTGCTAGATTAGGTAACAGATCTGTAATTTCCATAACAAACGATGCATCATCAACAATCGATCGAAGACGATTATATCTAAGCTCAGAACAAAATATGATCTTAGTCTTTGTATACTTTAAATAACGGACTAAAATGAAAACTTTACATGTTTTTATCGTCATTTCTAATTAATTTTGACTCGAAATTAAACTCATTTCTCTCAGAAAATAGATCCTCATCCATGTTACAATCTAAATTACATTTTTTTTAAAAGAAAAAAGTAAAAAAATAAGTACTTATTCAACTTTTTCCTTTTCAAAATGATATGCCTAATACAGTACTTCAATAATGTGTTGCTAAATAGCTATTACTGCCGCTCTTATAATTACAAGTTATACATTTGTAAAAAATGAGCGGTCACAAAGTACAGTCTGATCGACAAAAAAAAAAAAAAAATAGTTCTACTGTAATCCAGAAGACTAATTTATGATATTATCAGGATCTGCTTTAACTTTTGCTTTTTTGTACAAAAGGAAAAAGCATTGACTCAGTTATAATCAAATAACATTAGTATTCTTAAATCAACACAATGTGTATCTGAATACTAACATTGTTTCATGATTCATGTTCTTGAACAGCTATTTTTATTTCTTTGATTTCAGGATTTATTAATATAAATACAAGCAGTTGTTTAAACACAAAATAATCTTTAACCTTTAATTCTTCTATCTCATTTTTATTTTATTTTTCTTTCATTGAATAAAAACAGTCTCAAACTATACTTCCTTTTGTTCTTCTTCTCTTTTTATTTTTCTTTTCTCTTTATTTTTTTCTCTATTATATTACGTTCCATCACACCTTTATCAAGGTTATAAAAATAAATATTTAGAAATGATACGATATCTTATTTAGTTGACACATTTAGATGATTGGATGTCATTAAGTTTTATATTATTTATAAGATGTTATATACAGTAAGGTATGATGTCTTTTATTATATGTTCAGACTTATAGTTTGTCCTGTAATATGTAATTCATCTTTTCTAATATTGCTTATGCTTATATCCAGAGCCTGCTCTATAATAAATATCATAAAAAGGTTCATATCTACTATAACTCAACCGATATAACAAAGTATATCATTTGATGTTACAATATAGCTTATTTATAATAATAATAGTAAATGTTAATAATAAAAGTAATTTTTTTTTTCTGTTCATACATATACATTATAGACTGTTCCATAATCCAACGATAAGGATTACAAAAAAAAAAACGAGAGCAAATCAATGTAGTAGTACTAGTAGTAGTGGTAGTAGTAATAGATAATACTGGTATTGTGTAGTGATTATTAATATTAGTAAAGATGTGTTGGTAGTAGTATTGTAGTTGTAGGTATAAATGGCGGTGGTGGTATAAGTGGGGTGTTTATAGTAAATATAGCCCTATGTGTATCCTCTATTTCTGATGAAAGTAACACGGGTGTTTGGAGAGTGACTAGAATTCGCAGCATATTTAGCCCAAGCCTAGGCTGTGGAATCGAATCACTTCAAGGGTTCCCCACCAAATCAAATGAACCCTTAATTTTTTTAATTATTCTTATTTTTGTACTACACCAGCAACTCCTTTTTTTTTTTTTTTTTTTTTTTTTTTTTTTTTTTTTTTTAAAGCAGCAGCATGAATAATGACGATGATGAAAAAGGATGATGTGTTATGGTTATATTCTACCAAGCAACGGTAGTATATACAGAAGGAACAGTAGTGATCACAACTTTGCTATTATTACCTGATACTATTATAGTTAGATCATATATCAGAAACAAATTCTTTAAACGCTCCCCTCCTTTTTATATAAATGTATACACATATCATATGAATGTATATTATGTACTTTGGTACCATTATGGTCCTCAAGCCATAGAAAGATAATAGAGTGTCCAAAAAGCCTTATTTTAAGCATATACAGATACAAATCTATAGTTGCTATGTTTGATCATAATCAACCTCTCAGGATATAATCACAAGTAAACGTAATGTACAGATTCATTTAATTGATTAGCAAGCTTCTCCAGCTAATAATAAATTATGTTATGGCTTACTTAGGAACAAAGACTATAAAAAAAAGCTCTACCAAGAATATTGTAATAACAATTAATATCTCTCTATAAACTAGTATAAAGAAGAATGTTCTCGATTACTTCAAAAAAAGAAGATATTGATAAATATAACAATTCTGTCACTGTAACAGTAATAAATGCAAGACATTCCTTTTCCAGAAATATTCAACATTTTTTTTTCTTTTATTTTACTGAAACGTTATCTAGATATTGTATAAACAAAATAAACAATCTTAGCTCTTCCTTAATCCAATTTTATATATTTAAAGTTCATATTTTGCCTCACAAAATATATATTTGTATATATATGATTATCATGTTATTAGAAATAGGTTGCGAAATTTATGTTATTTACTAATTTTTTCATGACTTGTTCGTTCGTTAAATATATTTTCTTTATTATCAGATTTATATAAATACAAAATATATTATCATAAAAGCATACTATTTACTCTATATTTTATTTTAATTGAAGATTTTTAGCACAATATTCAAAATTTAACAAAAGTTGATGCTGGCCAAATCTTGATGAGTGATTATGATAGCCGCATATACATCAAGGTCAATAGCCATGCATCAACGAAACAAAATCTGATTTCGATGGTAAAGCAGTATCTTGTTCCTGAGAAAAAATATATTCTAATCCATAGAACGGATTAGAAAATTTTGCTGAACGTAGGTATAGCAATTTTTTTTTTTTTTTTTTTTTTTTTTTTTTTTTTTTTTTTTTTTTTTAGGAAAAATAGGCATCATCAAACCTAATTATTCTAATAAATATTTTCGTCACAAAAAGAGATATTTATATTGTTCCTGAGCTAAAATGTAGCAACAGTAGAGATTTGAAAAAAAAAGAAAGAAAATTTTGTTTGTTATAAAAATACATTTCCTCCTTTATATTTGGTATATCATTCTTCTTATCTCCCTTTTAGCCTTTATAAGGTTTCTTTACAGCCATTGTAATAACTGGAATAGAACCGATTCATTTTAATGTACGTTAAATAAAATAAATAATAATAATTATATTGCAGCAAATCTAAAGTTTCTTGATCATGATATAATCTGTATCTTCTTGTGAACCTAATTTGAATATATGGCTTCCCACTTTATAGAAACCTTGACATGTATAAAAGTTAATAGCTGAAGGATTATGCTCCCAAACACCTAACCACACCGCATTGTTTGTTTGCCTAATTGACGGGCTTTTTCAAGACTTGATGTCATGAACTGACTTATAATGCCATGTTTCATGATTAAACATGCAGATCATAAATTTATTTAAGAAATTCTATCTTGAATCTCTCTTGATCCGCTCCATCTAATAATATTAAAATCACTAACACTTTATTATCTATAACATATCTTATTCGGTTGTAACCAACACTTTTTTGATTCGCATCTTATCTTAGACTTCTTTAACAATCCTTATAAATACTCTATCAATTTAAGTTCATAAATAAAAATGATTGACTTTAGAACTATTGTTCCGTCTCATTGACTTTTTTTTTTTATCTTTTTGTTATTTTCATTTTATAATATTTTTTATTTGATATTTTACAAGTAATATCACAGTTTTACCTATGATTTTAACAGTTAGGTATTCATATAAGAATATCTAAGATCAGGGAGGCATTAGAAAAATATTAGTTACGACAGAATAATCCTACTTAGTATTGTCAGTAGAGTGTACCAACTTCTTTAAGTTTATAAAACATGAAGAAGTATAATACATAAATAAGTTGAAGTCGCTTTCCTTTATATTATTTGCTCAGATACTTTAAGTCTAGAATTTAATAACTCTGACTATACCTATTTATTTCGATGGTCGTTGAATTCTTATTAAAAAAAAATTGTTTGATGATATAAGATTATAGCATATGCATGCATAAAAGGGAAATATTTTTTTATTTTATTTTTTTTTGAATACCACAACTCAGCAACTACAGCTAAAAGTTTGGGTTTATAAACAAAAAAATTGTGGTAAATAAAATAACTTGATCGGAAAGGGTAGCGCCTTTCTGTTGGCCAAGCGGCGATCATGGAGAGATGAACTTTGTTAGCTGTAGATGGGAGTGATTAAATAATAAAATCGGGGTTAGTTCTGAGCTTTAATGATAACATGCTACCTTCCAGGATCCAATGTTCAACACCAGGCCTTCAAATGGAGGTCGATAAAAAGATGTTGTTAAATCGCGGGGTAATTTCCTACCATGCAAGAGAGGAAAGCCCGCAGCATTGAGGGCATTCCTGGGAGTAACACGGCTGTAGTAGAAGCAAACAAGAACAGAATCTAATCCACCTCTACACTATAAAGGACTTCCTCTTCAATAATTTTTTTTTCTCATATAAAATAAAAAAAAATGAAAAAAAAAAGAAGGATGGGCTCTAAAGTTAATACGTATTGTGTAGTACAATTGCTATAAAAAGTTACACGTTATTTATTTAGAACTACTGTCATACTTGTTGCGGTTACAGAATACTTGTAAATTATAATATGTAACAGTAAGGAAATAGTATAAACTACTTGTGTGGTTATACTCAAAGACTTGAAATAGAAGAAATATTATGTAAAGAATTGACAAACGAAGAAGATATTATTAAATTTAACAAATTAAAAAACAACAACAATATAAAATAAATAGCAAATTCTTAATAATGAGGACACAACGAAGGACTGATAGCGCAAAAAATAGTATGAAACTGATGGCAGACTTGTTATAGCTGATACATCACATAAGCTATCCAACATTAAAAATAATTACTCTAATAAGGAAGGATATTAAGGATATTGACTTAGTGGCCAAAGCTGATAAAAATGATAGAAGATATATGAATCATTTTAACATTGGTAGTTGGGTAAGAAATGTAGAGAGCTAAAAAACCTTTAGAAGTTGTGACAATGATCAAATAGGTAAATTTGTTATTACCTTAGTGAATTCTACAATAAATATTTAATACCAAAACTTGGTTATATAAGACAAAGAACCTATGGATCGAGGCTATAAATCGTTAAAATGAAAGTTATGGGCGTATTTTAAGTTACAAAAAAAAATGCAATTTTGATTTTTGATTTTTTCAGAACGAATTCTAACGTTAGAGTAAATATCATTCATTTCTGATTGATGTACACATAAGTCTCTAAGAATTAAAATTGGGTATCTCTAATATGATGGATGCTGAAGCTTTTGATAAGTTCTTAATTGCTAGTCTCCAATCAGCACGAAACTAAAATCCGTATAATGAATGTAATTGATATGGATAATCCTATATTGGGTAAAGTTATTAAAGTCGCTTATCACACATATGAGGATAATTAACAAAAATTATAACAGTAATGTGAGTTCAAATAATGTGCGTGGTAAATGTGATGGTATGACTTAAAGAAGAAAAGAAAGAGAAAGAGAACAGAAGGAAGTATAGTTTGAGACTTGTTTATTCAATGCAAAAAGAATGATATAAAGACTATTTCGTGTCTACACAACTACATGTATTTATACTAATGAATCCTAAATCAAAGAAATAAAATAACTAGAAAAGAACAAGAGTCATGGAACAATATTAGTATTCATATATACACGTCTTGTTGATTCAAGAGACTGATCTGATTAAGTTTTAAATAAAAAATTTATTATTCAATCTGAGTATATGTTCCTGATATTTTTTATATTTTATTTTATTAGATCAAAGACGACCTGAATCCTTTGTCGAGGTTATAAAAATAAATATGTAGAAATGATACGATATCTTATTTAGTTGATACATCTAGACGATTGGATGTCGATAAGTTTTATATTATTTACAAGATGTTATATACAGAGTTTTATTTCATATTCAGGCTTATAGTTTATCCTTTATTATGTAATTCATCTATTATAATATTACTTATGCTTATATACAGAGTTTGTTCTATAACAACTATAAGTACGTGTATCTTCCTCCATATTCGCCAGAGCTTAATCCCATCAAGCAATTTTGGGCGTTAATTAAACGTAAAGTTAGACGTGAAAAGCTTAAAGATACCGAAACCCTGCAAGAAAGAATTGTCGGTGCTGCGAATGAAGTTCCTATTCAACATTTTGAAAATATAATTCAACACTCAAAGAACCAGTTTGATAACTGTTTGAATCATATTCCAATTTAATACCTAATATTTTTATTTAAAATAAAGTATGAAATGACCCTCTCACAATCCATGAATTGAACTTCAAACAACCAGTGTTTTTTTTTTTTTTTTTTTTTTTTTTTTTTTTTTTTTTTTTTTTTTTTTTGCTAATTTCTTGTGTTTCCTCTTCTCCCCCCCCATTTTTTTTAAATCTGCGTGAGGAAACACAAGAAATTAGCAAAAAAAAAAAATATGTATACTTTTCATATCCTCAGTATTTACATTGCTGCATATAGTAAATCATAATAATTTACTATATGACCTATACGTATCATAAATTAAATAAATAATGAGGCTTATATGTTTAGATTGTTCATATACGTCTTTATCTTGTTTCTTCTTACTAAATTAGGGTCTATGAAAATATTTAAATTGATTTCCTTGTATATAAAATGATAATATTATGATAAAGTAATTATATATATACTATACTATACTATACTATACTGTACTGTACTATGTAGTAATAAAGATAAGATAACATTAGCTTATGTACGCTCTAGATTTTGCTTATTGTTGTTTGTTACACGCTACTTTCTATATAGTATAGTAATATTATTTACATATTGTATACATGTTTCCTCTTTTGAATTCCTACTTTCTCCTTTGTTTATCCTTTTTAATTAGTACATGTTAATCCTTACCTTCTCCTTTTTGAAAAGGTATATTTTATGTTTTGCTTATAATAATGTATACATGACCAAGAATATAAAAAGATATAAAATGTTCAATGCTTTGTTTTATTACAGAAGAGTAGTTAGTTAATTGTATAGAATACAAATTATTATTAATATTTATTTACTTTTTTTGATGAAACATATTCCTTCTTTAGACTGCAGTAGTACACATAATAATTTTAGCTTTTTTTTTTTTTTTAAAAAAATTTATACAATGCATAATTTTCATAATTAATCACACGTATATTTTAATACACTTACTCTACTTTTTCTCTCCTTAAAAAAAGTAAGCTAAAAAAAAAAAGAAAAATAAAAAAAAAGGATATAAACACGCCTTATTTTTTAAACAAAATTCCTCTTTCTTCCCTATTATCCTTCTTCTTCTTTATTATCTTTTTTTACTATTATCCTTCTTCTTCTCTGTTTATTATCTTTTCTTATTATCCTTCTTCTTCTCTATTTATTCTCTTATCTTATTCTCTATTTATTATCCTTCTTCTTCTCTATTTATTCTCTTATCTTATCCTCTTTCTTCTTCTTCTTCTTCTTCTTTAAAAACCATAGACTTGAACATAATGATGACGATATACATATAAATATATCTCTATCTATGCGGGACACATTGACAGGTAGATGTGAAGGTGGGCAACTAGTATATCATTCTACCCTTTACTGATGGGTAATAGGTAGAGGGTAGGCGTCTCTATATCCCCACCGGGCTGGGTGCAACAAATGGGTCTCTTCAGCAACTTGGTCTCAACAATCGTCATTCTAGTACTATCTCTCCATAATGTTATATTTTAGACCCACCACCCCATATTTTAGACCTGAATGTTCAATTGGCTTTTTATTGACTTTTTATTTTATTTTTTATAAAATAATGTTCTTACTAACTTTTACTTTTTAGCTCTTTTTTATATATAAAATATGTATTATTGCTTATAAACTGTATAATTGTAATAAAATCTATTATTTTCTAAATATTATTTAAAAGTGTGAATTTTCTTTAATGTATTTCTTGAATATGTGCTCAACATAATAATAATAATTAAGATGTGTAGTGTATAGCTGGATAGACAGCTTCTTCTTTATTAATGTATATGTATACACATGGAAAAAATGTGTATGGATCACTAAATTCATTATGAATCAAATATACACTTCTTTATTACCAATGATGAATAGCTTGTAAGTGGAAAAAAATATTTAAATAAAGTATTAATACACTTTTGTTCATGTTACTGGTTTCTATCTTTACATGTAAAAAGAAAGAAAAAGAAAAAAAAAAGATATCTTTCTTATTCAATACAAACTAGTCAAGTTTAAAGTTACTCATTTAGCCCATGTTGATGCAAATTAACTTTTAAAATCATGACTTTTTTAAATGGCACACACTCAATTAATCTACGCATCTGAGAGAATAATTCCTTTTATCATTTACAAGATATCAAAGTATACATAAGGAAGTTTTTTTTTCTTTTATATTTTGGTCTTTAACAAATAACTGAATTAGTTCACAAGTTAATTAAACTTTATGCTGCTAAAGAAGGATAATTATCAATAAACTTGAAATGTGTTCAATGTTACAAAGGCAAAGTCACGTACTATCATAGCCCCTAGTGTAATAAATGTACAGTTAAAGATTCCAAAAGCTCACAGCACCATCGAAAAAAAAAAAAGGCTTTAGGTGGGGTTGTCAAGAAGCCAGAGACAGGAAAAGGTGGGTACGGTAACTGGCGATTACTTTAATTTTATCGCTAGCACGATAGACAAATTCAAAGAGTTTAAGGAGCATTATCTGATAATGAACAACTGTCCTATTCATAAACACGTTGATATTCAAAAGTATATTGAAGCTCATGGTTACTGTTATGTTTATCTTCCTCCCTTACTTACCTGAACTAAATCCAATTGAACAGTTTTGGTCTGTTTGCAAGAGTGAAGTCAAGAGGGAAATACTACTTGAAGAAGAAATGTTGTCTGAGAATATCAGAGAAGCTTGCAACAGTGTGCTCGTAAGCGACCTCCAAGGATTTTGCAGGCATTCAGTGTCAAGATTTGAAGACTGTTTAAATAAAAATCCGATTTAATAAAGATATGTCAATGCATCAATTTTTATTCCGTTAGTGCTCGATTTTTTTTTTTTTTTTTTTTTTTTTTTAATCATACTTGAAATTTATTTTGGTTAGTGCGTGAAAATATTTTTAAAAAGTGCGCGAATAATTTCGAAAAAATACTGTATTTCTTTGTATTTCATTACTCGATTTTTTTTTTTTTTTTTTTTTTTTTTCTGAGATATCATTTTGATAAAAGGCATATGCATCCTAGAAGCGTATTTAATTCTGAACCTGATTTTAAGCAATTAGCTGAAGAATTTGAAAGTTTTAAGAAATAGTAAGTAAAACGGTTACTATTTTTTCCCCTAAGAAATTAATGATATACAAGTGTTAAAATAGGTACTAATAATAGAGGTTATATCGACTTTAAAGATCCACAAGCTGTTAAGTAAATAAACCCTCCCTTTTTTTTTGAGTCGATATATAATTTAATATTTGTTAAACTAGAGAGTTATGTATATGTTTATTAAAAAAGAACTTCAATCTTGAGGTGGATTTTCCTATCGACACTTTATGTCCAGCAGTACCTAATAGATTGAATTATATTCTATGGTTAGAGGATCTATTAGATGACACATTATCGAAGGAAGAAAAAAAATGTATTAAAGGCATTGACATGTAAAGAAGATAAGAGCAAACTTATTACCTTTTTTTTCATAATTTATGTAACGATTTATTAGTGGCGTTGGTGCATCGTGCATTTACCCATTACTAGGATGCATTACAAACCCATCTTGGTCTTTTTTGGGTACTGAGATCAATGAAAGATCGATTCAATATGCAAATGAAAACATAAAAAGGAACAATTTGGAAACTCGAATCACAATTAAACATAATCCGAACGCAAATAAAATATTTTTACCTTCATTATTAGAAGATGATGTTAAGAATTATGCGTTTTGTATGTGTAATCCTCCTTTCTACAGTAGCCAAGAAGAAATTGAATTAGGCTTACTTAATAAAGAAATAGAACCGTCTTCAGTAAAAAAAAAAAAAAAAAAAAAAAAAAATCTTTGATATTATTTTATATAATTGAACTAATCAATATTTGATTCTCTTTATACATAAGATTTGTACGGGATCTAACAACGAAATGATCACAGAGGGTGGAGAATTTGGCTTCGTTAAATCAATGATTTTGGAAAGTGTAATATTAAAAAAGAAAATAAGATGGTATACAAGTATGATTGGACTAAAACGAACAATTCGACCTCTAATACGAGTACTTGAAGATCAGCAAATTTATAATTATGCAGTAACAAGCTTTACACAGGGTAAAACAGTACGATGGGCTATTGCTTGGTCTTTTTATTTAGAGCGTCCAATATCGGCCTATACAATTGAATCATGGAATCCTGTTTATCAATTTCAAATCAAGCTACCCAAGGATATTAATCATATATTTGAAGGCATCAAACATATCCTTGATGATTTAGAAATAAAATATGATAAAATAGAACAAGATAGCACAAAGACTATCATTCTTCATTGCAATGCAGAGAAGAATACTTGGTCAAGGGCAGCTAGGAGACAAAAAGCGAAAAAACAAAAACTGTCACATTATCAAGAAGAAGAAAAAGAAAAAGCAACCAATAGCCCTTTTTTCATATTTAAATTAATTATCTCTGCTTCCAGTCAACAAACGGAAAGTAATTTTCAAATTGTTTGGATTGAAGGAGGTCATAAAGCTCAATTTGAAGGGTTTTGGTCACATTTAAAAAAGAGAATCGAGGAACATTGTGGTATACATAAAGGAACTAGTTTTTCATCAAAATAAAAAATATATAAACATGTATATTATTGAAGCTTTATGCAATCAGGTTGAAAGGAATCTCCGGCCCAACGAGCTACTTGTTTCATTACTTGTATTTTCTTTTCTGTTGCATCTTCATATCTAAGTTCATATAATGTACACATGTTCATAATAGCTGTTTCACATGTGCCCGCTGATGTAGGATTATTTAATGTTAATGCCTCTAACAATTCAATAGCCTAAGTATATATACATTATTAGTATCCATATATTTTATTCATGATATACTTGCCTTTACTAAATTGCCTAAATAAACTTCACAGACTGCTAAATTGTTTATAGCTAAAAGATTATCTTGATTGACTTCATAAAGTTGCTGCAGAATATCTCGAGCTTGTAACCATTCACCTTGTGACATGGCTACAAATGCTTTATTCATCTCTATCGCTTCCTTTATAGCAATCATATCCTTTTTTTCACTGCATAATTCTTCTATACGTTGAAACATTTCGTGCGCTGATACCAAGTCACCCATTTGAAGATATAATCTACCAAGACTTGATAAAATATCCACATTATCTTTATTATCATATCTAAGAATATGTTGCATTGTGGTTGCAGCAGCTGTATAATCTTTAAGATGAATCCAATGAGTAACTAATACAAGATAAGTTTGCAATTCACGATGTTTCCAAAGGTCTTTGTTGGCCATTACTTTGCTTTTTTTGCTATTTTTTTGACAATAAATAATGAGAAGAGTTAAACGCTCCAAAGTTACAGTAGGATATTTTAGATGTGAGGGTAACGTAGCATGTAAAATACGTAATTCAAAAGGTACAAGAGATTCTTCTGCATCAAAAAATTCAGGTCTGTCCAAATCGCCTAGCTTTTCTAATTCAGCTGAAGCGAGTTGACAAAGGCCTAGTTTGATGAGAGCAAGTAGACGAAGATACCAAAGCTAAACTTAGTAAAGATTAATATTTACATCAAAGAATGGTCATCTTTTTTTTTTTTCCTTTTTTAATTTCTACCTTAAGAATTTCTTTAATTTGTTGAGGATCAGATTGAACAATCTGTTGTCGTGCATATTTAGCTATTGATCTCCACATGTTATTCATCTAGTAGATAAGCTTTCATGTTTAATGTATATATAATACAATTTCATATGTTTAAATAAACTAATTACCACCATTGTTTCTAAACTTTTTGCTGATTTATTATTATCAGAAGTAATTATATCTCGCTGTGGTCTGTCTTTAATAGGGATATAACGCTCAATCAAGTCATTAAAGGCATCACTCTATCAAATTATAAACTGTTTATATAAATCCTTTTAAAATTTTCATCGACTTTATCCATATTTACCACGGGAATGTCATAAAAATTAGCATTACTATTTATTGAATAACCAAAGGATAATCCTGTTTGTCTTTCCTTACTAGACATGAGGTTTCTAATTGGTTTCGATGGAGGTTCTTCGGTAACAGACTGCAAAGTATCATTATTCATTTTGAAATATTATGTAAGAAAAAAAAATAAAATAAAAAAAAAGAAAAACTTCAATAAAAACCATTCAAGCTTTATACTGTTTTCAAAGTCAGTATCTCAAAAAAAAAAAAAAAAGCTGAAAAGCGTGTATAAATGTGGGGAAGTATGTACATTTTTTTTTAAACATATCTTACAAAGCGTTTATTCATATATATTATGGAGTCTTTTGTTAATGAGCAAGTAAAACGCTTAAATATAACACTAACACAGCAGTTTGAGAAAAATTTAGAAGAAAACAATATCAAAGATTTTACTTCATTAAATGAAAAAAATCAATTTTTATTTCAAACAATACAATCACTAGATTTAACAAGCTCAACCTTACCTACAATTGAAAAAATAGAGGAACACCTTGAAAAGTATCTTTCAGGTTTTTCAAACATAAACAGTTCTGTAGATCCTACTCTTGAATGGTTATTTGTAGCTAAATGTACAATCGCGGTTTATGGACAAGTGTTTTCAAATTTACTTAATTTTACATTACCAATTTCAGAATCTATTGAATACTGGAATAGTATTCATGGAAACACTTTTCAAGAGCTATATTATATTTTACAAAGTATGTGTAATAGAATTTTTTTTTTTTTTTTTTTACTCGCTAAACTGACCCAAATATGCTGTTATAGTTGCACCTTTACGGATTTTTTCTTTATTAAAAAATACAGTTAAGCAAATTAAAAATACTTCTTCAGCAGTATATCAAATCAAGTCATTATTTACCTCAACTGACTATTTATTGTCCCAATTGTTTCCTATTCATACTCATAGGGATAGTACTTCGACATATTTAAATAACAGACCATCAATTCAATCTTTCGATATACTTCGGTTCTTTACGTTATCTTCTTTCCATCGTCGTCCCGTTATTCTTGAAATTATTAGTGACGAAATACAACTCAAAAAGAAAAAATTACAGCAGTTTCGATCAGAACAAGCCGCTAGCTTGGGTATCCTCTTATTAAGTCTTCCTCAGTTCAGTAGCAGCAATCAATTATCATCCTCTCATATGGAGTTTACGGAGAATATAGCGAAAGAGGCCAAAGAATGTATTGAAATGATTAAATATGTCTTGCAACCTTCTTCTACTATTAAAGACAAAAATAAAATAGAAAAAAATAGACATCATTTTGAACAGAGGTTATCTTCAATGAATTTAAAAAATGATACGTTAACAGCACAAGATTTGACATTTGAATTATACAAAATTACGAATAATTGGACAGCGACTTATAATCAAGAATTGCAATGTGTTCAATCACTTTATGGCGCACCTTCTCCAATCATACGTTATTGGATTCCTGCTGTCTTTTCTTACTTTATTAGTAGTTGGGTAATTCGTTATGGGTTTAGGCGTAAAGAAGATATTACTCATTGGGTAGAAGAGGCGGGAAAGACAGCTTATGACTTTGTATTAAACTGGATTTGGGAGCCTGTCCTCAAAGTATATAACACAGTTCGATTAAAAGATCAACGACTCAGTCTTTTAAGTAAAGAAGGACTTCAAAGTGATTTAGATGTAAATAGATTATGTAGACAGATATTCCTTATTTTCATTATATAACTTTTTTTTTTTTTTTTTTTTTTTTTTTTTTTTTTAATATTATTATTTATTTAACAGTCTCTTGAACGTATGGTAGTTGGCTTTGCTAAAGATAAATTACATATGCAAGAAAGCGAATTAACGCATTTAGCCTCAAATGTTCGAGAAGGTGATCTGTCAGTATTACTAAAAGAATATGAAAAAGAAATTAAAGTGAGTATATACATCTACATAAATATGGGTAGAATACTAGAATAGTTTTTCTTTTAGAATCCTTTGAAGAATGCACTTGTCGGCGATTTACTTCAGACTATCCTTATTCAGGTCCAAAAGACGAAAGTAGATGTAGATTTAGCAATGTCTGCTTTAGATAAGCTTCTGAAATCAAATGAACTAAATTTTGCTTTTCTGGGTAAACTATTTAATACAGGAAAAAATATATATATGTTTATATTTTAAATGTAAATGTTAATTTGATTTTTTATTTTTATATGTATAGCGGTTGCACCTTCTATGCTTCTAACTTGGGCGTCTGCTAGTTGGTTTAAAAACATGCTCCAAGGAAGATCTCAACAAAAGGTTAAAAAGATAGGTTTACCAATGAGAGAAACACTTCGGTATACACACACACATATATATATATATATATAAAAGAGAATAAGATGTTTAAGTATTAATTAAATGTTATTTATAATAGACGCATTGAAAGACAACTTATTGTTCATGAACCTATCCAGAATGAAGAATTTACAGAATGGAAGATAAATGAAAAAGATGAGCATCAAGTTGAATGTGAAACACAAGGTATTTTGCTATGTGAAATTCATTTATTACGTGCATATGCTCGTTCATTACCCCTTCAAAATTCTACTCAAGCACGTTTTCTTGAAGACATCAGAGACTTGGAAAATCCCATTCTAACAAAAGAACAAAAAATACAAACGGTGGCTCGTATGTTTAGGTTCTGGAAATTTTTGAGAAATTAGAACATTTGATATTAGCCTCCTTTTTTTTTCTTGGAAGGAAAGGATTAATACTATTTGTTATCTGTATCCTTTAAATCGGTTTTTTCCTTATAATCAGAATAAAGTAATAGCCCCCCTTTTTTTTTATGAATAAAGAAAAATGTTGAAAGAACGCGCTGATTCGCTAATTATCTATATTTTATTTGACAAAAGGATAAAGAAAGAGAATATATAACGAATATTAAGTCAATGGAAACTTTCTCTAGGTCTATTAAAGCTTAAATAATACAAAAATTGTACAGTAAAAAACGAAGAGGTTTATTTAAATGCTTTTACAAGGTAAGTACTATTAATAGAAATATGTTCTTTGACAAGTAAAGACGGATGTAATAAAGAATCACGTTACTCTGCATTCATATAATATGCTTTTCTCCTTGATGATCTTTGGCTTTTACTAAAAATAAAACAAGTTACTATTCCAGGAGTAACTAGAAACATGTCAATATTAATACATTGTGAACAATCTATCTACTATTCAAATAAAACTATTATCATCATAATATAATATATTATTATGTAATACTATTCATCATCATAATATGCGTGTCCATAAACAATTATGTAATTGAATATAATAGTAATAATCCTATTGAATCATTATTATTAATGCTTGAATACTCTTATAATGATTATATACATAAAACTGAGTGCAGAATAAATACTATGTTGTAAAGTACAATAAATCCATTTTATTTAAACAACCTCTTTATTTTTATGAACTTAGTTATAAAGATAACTATAATTATAACAAAGTTAAATGCAACGATATCCTATTTTCAAGACTAATTTCTCTATTTATTTAGCGGTTTAGATGGAGGGGGTATCGTCCATTACTATGTAATGGCCCTTCGATTTAGGGAAGCAGTAGTCTATCTCATCTACAGGTTGTTTTTTTTTAAGAAGGTTTAGTTACAGTACCTTTTTTAATGGTCTTTTTTTTTGTCTTATCTACAGTCTTTTATTTGCGATTACTAAAATCAAACTTGATTATTTTGGACTTGTCTTTCTGAAATTTCTTCAATTCCATAAATATTACAAAGTTTGATGAAGTAATGCCTAAAATTGTATACAATACTGTCCTCATAGAAAGTGTCTTTACAATAACGGGGGTTTCATGTTGATATTAAACGCAGACTCATAAACACTTCTTAGAAAAATTCATATCTGTTGTAGTCCATTTCGTAACTCACTCTAAACGATCAGCAATTTTTAAAGAATCATTTCTCACTGATGGATGGGTAGTAATCTTTGTAAAAGAAAGATTACATTCTCCTTTCAAAAAAAAAAAAAAAATGAACACTGCACTTCTTTAATGTGAGGTCTGCAAATTATTCTATAGGTGAACTTACAAAGCTGTCTATGTAAGCTTGCAGATTATCATTGTAAAAATTGAGAAGGTAAACTTAATACTTTTCTTCAAATTGAAGTTTTAGTATGTTAACCAAACTAGGTTATTTTTTTGAAAGTATTTTAGTCTTTATCTTCCTTAAGCATGTTAACTCCTTTTTGCGCTGTACCGTGCATTCAACTATCCCACCAGCTAAGCGATCAGATTTGGCCAGCATCGAAAAGCTCAACTCTATTATAATAAATAAAGAGGAGTTTTTGTTCCTTTGAGTACTGGTTATAATTTTTAAGCTGCCTTTGAACAATTTCATTAAATTTTCTTCATAATAGTAGTGTCAAGCTCAATATTCTCCTTAATCTGTTGTTTTTTTTTCTTGTGTCTTGCAATGAAGTCTGATGTGAATCAGAATCTTTAGAAGAAAAGGTCGGGGATCAGTATCCAAATATATGGTATCATTACCTTCCTCATCAACAATTCCTTGTACACTTTCACAAAAAAAAAGTTTATTTCTTTCTAAAAGCACTTGTTAATAAATAGTAGTAATAAAAGCGCCTTAATATAACCAATCTGCCTTTTGAAATAAATAAAAAAAGAGAGCCACTCATTAACGTTAAAACTTATGGTATTGCTTCCCTATCCAAGACTATATTTTGATCGTTCATCTCGATCTAAACAAGTCTCATAGGATCAACTACCTGTCCTCTTTTTCGTTGTAAATAGCTCAATAAAAAAAAAAAGAAAATAATATTATTTTTTTTTTTAGATAAATAATATATAATTCTCTTATAAAATATATATGGATAAACTTCTTTATGTATTATTCTCCTTTTATTTTCTTTGTTTGTTTTGCTCCTTTTATGAATATGTATATTTATAACTTCCTTCTAATTTCATTATGAATCATAAATGTATATATATTACTAGGTAAAAAAAAACATTAACTTAGTTTTAGATATATTCTTTTTTTTTTTCCTGATATACACCAAAAATGAAATTTTTATCTTTTAATCCTTTTTACTTTTTCCTTACTTCAAGTATTTTCGTATTATTGTTTAGTACTATAATAGCAATAGCAGAGGCGTCTCCTATTACAATTACTCAAGATACTAATTCTCTAACTAACAAAGTTATTGGTTCCGGAGGCAGCGCAAATACATACACTAAATCCACAGAGGAAGTTATTACAACCGATGGTCAAATAATAGTAAGTTAATAAGAAAATTTCTTTATATACAAAGAGATTATATTCTATTCTTGCTGATATAGTTATACAACGCTAACTGATTATTATTATTATTATTCTTTCCTTAAAAACTATGTTAAAACTATAAAGAAGACTAGCTTCTCAAGAAATCATAAAGTAATTACAGATAAAGAGTTTAAGAAAAATGAGATTTTCGAAGAATTTATATTTGATGATTAAAAAAAAAAAAAAAAAAAAAAAAAAAAAACGTAAATAATACGGCTACAAGATTATATAACACTTATATCCTATATGTATTTTTTTTTGTATTACATAACAAATAAGCACGATATATTAGGGCAACTTGATGAAGTATAGTTTAAAATTAGAGCCTTCGTTAAAATAAAGATACCTTATTTATTTCACTTACTGCATATACACTTTATTTTGAGTTCCCTATTGTCCTAATATCTTTTGTAATATACTTGTTTTTCTATTTTATTATATTTACATAATTAAAGAAAGTATCTTCATAAACGATGGTATTTATTATTAAAAAGTAAAACATAGTTTCTATCTGTACATTAATTTTGTGAAATGGGGCTATTTTGATGTTCCTCATCAGACTTGTTAGATATCTCTTCAAGCAGGGCTAAACATATAACAAAAGAGAATAATGTAAATTAGAGTTTTTGTTTTTGTTTTTTTTATTAAAAAAAAAAAAATCCAACTACTTCCTTACCAGTCCATTGACTAAGTTCAAATTTATGGATGATTTTTTTTGCATCTGAGTTCGTCATATCATTCATAGTAGAATCAATTGCATAGTATTGTGTAAATACATCTTCAAAATTAGTATTGTTAATATCATTTCTTGTTGAATCTTTTTGTTTAGAAGTGGAGGATTTATTTTTGATAAATGAAGATGAAAAAGTTGATATATTATGCCCATCAGCTATTAAGGGGAGTAGTTTAAAAGATAGAGTTGTATCTTGTCCTTTTGGTAGTAGTTGAGGAGATGACATTGCTGATTTACTATATGATGGAATAGATGTTGTAGGTGAACCAGGCTGACTTACACTACCTTTTCTTCGTATTACTCGTGGTGTTCCTAACGTAGTTGGTGTAATAACAGAAGCAGAGTTCCTTCTATAAAGCATATTTGCTCCAATACTGTTATGTTCGGCGAATCTATCAGGTAAAAATAATGTATGTTGTTGATTTTGAAAAATGTTATCTTCTTTTAAATTAGCTGAATTCATAACAATATTGTCTAAATCTTGCTGATGAGCTTGAACAACAACAATCCTTGGAACTGTATATATTTATATTTATGTATGTATTTGTATTTTAATTTAATCAAAATTAAATGTATTAAAATAAATACCTCCACTGCTATCATTGCTTCTCAGAGATCCTCTTCGAGCAGTTATATTTCGATTAGAGTCTCCACGCGTTTTACTTAAAGAAGCACCAAGTTGCAAGTAAGGAATAGAAGATAGCTCTCTCGTGGGAGAAGGTAATTTATAATTACCCTTTTTATTCGGTATCAACCAATCCCCTACAAGACTTACATTATTGTTATTATAACTGTTTGCTAAAGCTTGATTGTTTTTGACAAATTGAAGAGTTTTCAAATATTTTCTTCTTAAAATTAGCATAGATACTAATCCTTTTGCACGTTCTTTAGCCAAGTCTTTTGCAACTTTATCTTGTATTCTAGCACGATCTACAAGTTCGCTAAATCTGAAGTATATATATATAAGATTAATTATCTCAACAAACGTCTAAAATAGATTTAAGGAATTACGTCAAGGACTTTGAGACATCTACTAAACGAATAGCTAAAATTTCTAGCATACTATGAAAAGAGACTCCACGGTAAGAAGCAGAATTTAAGATTTCCTATATAAAAAAATTATATATAGAGATAATTATATATTGAGCCAAGAAATAATCATGTTCTTTTTATTTTACCTGATAAACCTCAGTATACTGTCTTTGTTTTTGTTTAATAATTTGTGGATCAATACTAGCTAATCTTTGATTAAGCTCATAAAGATTAAAAGGCTTCTCTCCTTTCATGTTATTATTAAAGTATTTTACAGGTTTTCTTGTGTTTGATAAAGACATAGAAACTAGATGACTTGTATCTGCATCAACTTGGTTACTAGCCTCCAAAAGTGAGCGTATACTATGTTCTTTTTCATATATCTTCACAGAAAGTACACCTTCCAAGAGCTATTTACAAGATATAAATAAGTAACATTATAAACATATCAAAGATCACAATTTTAGCTTACACTTAAAAACTTGGGGACTTGACTAACACTTATATATCCAGTAGCTTTTGGATCTACTGTAGCCCAAGCGAACCTAAAGCTATATTGATATATATATGTATATATAAACATGAATTTGAATGAATAATTTTTTTTTTTTTTTTTTTTTTTACTTTCTTAAGTCTGTACGAGTGATCAATGTAAACTGGTTCCGCTTATCAAAGGTAAATGAGAAATTATCAATTACAATCTATATAATAAAGAAGAAGAATAGTCATTCATCTTATAGGTTTTTTATGCTATATGTTTTTTTTCCTTGATGTCTTACCACAGTAAAAAGATTTACAAAGATAAATGTACAAACTACATAGAAGCTAATAAATAAGGTAATAGCGTACTTTGGTTTTCCACAATCATATTTGCCCAGACATTCAGGATAAAGAATAGTAAAATCATGCATCAAAAAATCCTTTTGAATGTAAACATTATTAAAAAGAAATGTTTAAAAAGTTTTCTCTCTCTCTTTTTTTTTTTTTACCCAATTTTCACCAGTTGTAATGCGGAATAATGTCAATAAGGTGTTAAATAATGACCTAAAGTTAGCATGCTCATTACCATACGGCCCATAACGAGTATATAAAAACTGTTCTTGAAATATTACACCAAAACATACTATAAATATACCAAAAACAAAGGAAACATAGAAAATAGAATGGGATGCTCGCCTTATATAGCAAAAACAATAAATTATCATTTTGTTACCTCTTATTTTATTTTTTTGTATAAATTACTTACTTGACAGATCTGAATAATGTATCCAATGATTCATTACGTTGTGCAAGACGGAAAGCAATACCTACTAAAAACAATTTTCTTGTAGCATCCCAACCAAAAGGTAACTTCATAAAGATGCTTAGTATATCCACAAGTATTGTCAACCCAACTAAAACAAAATCATATATGTTCCATCTAATCGATGCCCATTTATAAAATCCTAAACCTGCTATTTTTGCTGCTGTTTCAAAAACATATAAACTTAAACATATACCATTTAAGATATTCTGTAGACGACTAAGCCATATAGGCTGATGTAAATGTTCTGTAGTAAATACTAGAATATTAGCCATAAGAACTGCCGCCATAAACCGAGCAAATTTGCCACGTTTATCAATAACTAAATCATAAAACATTGCTCGCCATGTTCCTTCAGCCGGCCTTTTCGCTTTTAATGATGGCTTAATTAGTGATAACTGTCTTTGAAGATCTTTGAACTGACGTTGCGTGTTTGTTAGTGATGAAATGCCATTTCTCTTTTTGAAAATTTCCAAAAATACCTAAAAAAAAAAGGGTAACAAATTATACGAGTTAAATAACAACAACAACAACTCATAAAATCATAAAAAATAATTTAAACATCATACACCAATGAATAATTGAATAGTACAAAGGGAGGCAACAAACATAAATACAACATAGAAAATTGAATGAAGGATAGATGACGATGACCAACTAAATTTTGGCTGAGCATCACGATTTTCTGGAATAATGCTCATAGCTGAGAATAAAGATAAAATCTATATTTATGCATAAATTTAGTTTTTTTTTTTTTTTTTTTTTTTTTTTTTTTTTTTTTTTTCTTTGGCATATATGTATGTGTATGTGTGCGTTTTTTCTTTACCCAACCTTCACCTGAAGCACATTCAAAAAGATGCAAAAGAGATTTTCCAAAAGTATCAAACGAATAGTCGTATGGATTTTTCCAAACCCTTGGTAGTAGGATACCACTATTGTTTTCTTCATTTCCGGATTGAAATTCGCCAAGACACGCTAATCGGGAAAAAGTGGTATCATCATTACAAAGAGAGAATCGACCATTAAATAAGAAACAGCCATAGATTGCAAAGGGTATAAAGACTAAGAAGTTCAATGCGACGGCATCAATCACTTTAGGAAACCCATAGATCAAATCCAAGAAAATAACTTGCATACCATGTACATAATTTATAATACGCAATGACCTTAATATACTCAAAATACGTATATAACTTGCAAGTTTCGTTAATTCGTCTTTAGAATAGCCCGCAAAGATGCTTATGAATGTCAATACTGTTTGGCATAGTAAATTAATATAATCTAATAAGTTTAATGTATTCCTCAAATATGATTTGGGTAGCATAAAAACGCCATCCGCTATCATATGAATGCCAATATCCAGCCAATAAATTAATAATGTTAAAATATGAAAAGGTTCAAAGATATAAGTAATCAATATAGGATGCTTCTGTCGATTAAAATTATCAGCCCACATGGTAATAAATGTCGTAATACAGATCATTCCCATCATCATCCACTTGTAGCTTGCCATTCTAGAAATTCGAAGACACATTTTACGAAGGATATGATCATTTCTTAAAACAAAAAAGGATCGAAAAACGTTTAGATCCTCAACAATCACTGCCTTATTTTCACGTGCTACGTTAAGCTCATATTCATCACCATACTTTACTGATGGGCCTTCTTCATAGTAGTAAGGATTGTAACTGTATTTTTGCGATAAGCCGTTATCGATATAAAGACTGCTATTGCTATATTGTGAAATATTTGAGTTTCTTCGGCTACTAAGTATTGTATTAGGTAGTATAGTAGAAGATGGACGTCTTGAAGTGGGAAAAGTTGAATATTCGTTATCTACAGAAAAATGAGCCTTATTCTGATTTAACATCGGTATTATATGTGTTGGCGATTGTTCCTTTTCAGTGTATAGTATATCGCTTAAAAACTCTTTAAATCTACTTGTAGTAACGTGTGCCACCAGATTCTGAGGTAAATTTTTATAATCAAGTTTCTTTTCATCCTGAGCAGTAAACAAAGGTAATAAAAATCTATTTTTTTTTTTTTAAAAAAAAAAACGAATTGTAAGTATTTATTCTCATTTTGCATGTTTAAATGTATGTAATGACTACCTGCCAATTATATCCATTTCAAGATAGTCAGACTTCCATCGATGCTCTCGAATATACTTCTTAATTTGAATTTGCTTAATCTCTTCTTCATCCAAGTCAAAGTTTTCCATAATAACAGCAATAAAGAGATTTAATACCATATCTATAAAAAATACGAATAAAAGTCAGAAAAACAAAAAGCTTTTCTCTTGTTTAAATTAAAGTACTTTACAATGAACAGAAAAATAGAGAAACACCATGAAAATGGCAGCATATGAGATAGAAGAATCCTTTTGACTATACATTGCATTATATAAAATGTCTGTCCAATTCTCACCCGTCATAATCTAAAAAAAAAAAAGAAATGACAAAATTAAATAAAACTGTTATGTGTATCAATCTATTTCTTCTTTTACTTGAAATAATGCCAAAAAGGCCTGATATGAATTATCAAACCTCATTGAAGGTTCATTATCGCCAACAAATGTAAAGTCACCACCAAATAATTGAACAGACATGGGTGCTAATAAGAATAGTACCAGAAAGGTAAAAAATGTCAGGTTCAGTATCCCTTGCCCATCACCGATTGCATCAGACTATATGTTTAAATTAAAAAAAAAAGGAAAGTTAAGTATAATGAGTTAAAGACATGATAATAAACTTTACAAGTAACTGGAGAACACCTGGAAATAAATAAGCAACGCGATAAGACCGTAATACATCGAAAATAAGCAAATAGGTATAGTAATGGCTTTTTTTAATATATGGTATTTCGTTTATCAAAGTAACTATAACAATTACAAAATCAACACGATTTCGAAATCTATCCCAAAACTGGTTCCAGGAGAGGCTTCCATAGATACGCATTAATATTTCAAATGCAAAAATAAACGTAAAAATTCTACCAATGGATTCTTGAAGAAAAAAAAATATTGATACATGTACATATAAGAATCATTTTTTTGGCATATACATACATACATACATATACATATACATATATATAAGGATGACTATACATACCTAGTTTTTCTTTCTCACTTGTTAACAGCTTGGATTGATAAAATGACATAAATACTAAATTGGATACAACTAACATGCTTCCCATATGATGAAACCATGTCTGATGGATAATATATTGAACCCAACCTTGTATGATGGATCTTGCTTGAAACAAAGAATTATTATTTTCTAACCCTGTACCTTCATGAATCCATTCTGTATGATTGCTCTCCTTGCTCTTTTTATTTGACTGTTTCTTCGGTGATACAAACAATGACTTTACTTTCTGCTGTGATGAAAATGCACTTTTGCGCATATCTCCTCTAGCATGCGAAAATGAGGTTGTGATGACAGCAATAAACATTGGAACCATAATAAATGTCATGAGATATATACAAAATGTATAAAAAATGGCAGCTCCGACATTCGATACGCTATCTTGAGTGATATAGAGTACATCTGTCCAATTCTCTGTAGAGATGACTGTTAATATATTTAACATGGTATAAAAAATATTTCGATAGCTCATGTAGCCGTATTGGGGTTGATTTTGAACATCCTGGATACAGATTTGACCTATTGGACATAACTGACCATCCCCCCTGGATCACTATACTGAACACCCGTATTGATATCAAGGGGTCCCATACGTTCTACCGCATTCTTCATATAACCACTACAAGATAGACGTGGTTCAACATATACTAATGTAGATATATCATTCTCCTCCTTCAACACTGCACATCGTCTACTAAATGTATTGGTAAAGATAAATAACGCAATTAAAGAAAAGAGTAACCAAAAGAAAATAAAAAAGCCCATCACATTCTTGAGCATATCGTAACTGCTCTTCAATGATTCAATAATCACAGCTGTGCCCTCCGTGATAACCAGTAGACGGAAAAGACGTGCAGCTGCTAAACTTTGAAAGACAGGCCAAGGACGTTGACCAAGACAGAAGACACTTATGAGACTGACCCAATAAGATATGACAGAAATAAGATCAATTATATTACCTAAATTGGACAAGAAGCTTTGATGGGTAATTTTTAGAAAATCAATATCACTATCATCATTTCCTCTGCTAGTCATGTTATCCTTTTGAGATGTTAAAGTAGCGAGAACTTGCTGTTCAACAGTAGCTACTATCGATTTTGAATCCTCATTTTCCATTTCTTCAGTATGATTATGGTAATACTTCGAACGCAAATAAAGATTGTCTCTACCTGACACTAAGGAAGATGATGGAGATGCATTAACAAACCATGCTGTTCCTGAATTCATACTATTGTTGTGTTCGCCATTTAATGAAACTATAGCAGAATTTGCATCATCGGATAAGACACTACTTCCACTTATACTGTTGTGACGATAAGATTTGTATCGATCCTTATGATGAGAAATAGAGCTATAACGGCTTGAACCTCTTGAGGACATGGAATAAGAATATGACTCTCTCTGAGCAAAAGCAGGTAATTTTTGATGACGATTTATTTGGATATAGTTAGAATCGTTATTCATATCATTTCGCTGTGATGATACTACTGATTCTATGTCATGAGACAATATTGAAGGTTGATACGAATGTCTTCGTGGAGAAGAGACTCCTTGAATACGATTGAACCATGTTTTTAAGTTTGGTCTAGTTGTTGAATGTGTATTTAAAAGTAAACCGTATATGATTATTTTAGAAATCAATTCAAGGCTATCATTATTTAACATTTAGTATACTCTTTTTTTTTTCTTATTAGTAAAGAAAACTTACGTATATACAACATTAATAAAACAAAGAAAATAATCTGCAACACGAGTTAAATCTTTCTCTGTTGATTTGAATAAGTCTGGTATAAATGATAGCAATATCCATTGAGAAATTAATAAACAAAAAATAAAAATTTCAAACCATCTTTTTAAAGAAAATAAAATAAAATGAAACGAAATAAATAATGTTCATTAACATAAAATAGCTTTTTTTTTTTTTTTTTTTTTTTTTTTTTTTTTTTTTTTTTTTTTACCTTGATCCAATAATCTTCCATAAACGAAAACGTATCCAACTTGTTGGCGAGAAAATAAATAAAGACCAACCTTCAAATTGAACCTGGGTATTATTGTTATTATGCTGCTGCTGCCAACCTCCTTCTTCAATATATCGTTTAATGTATTTATAGAATTTGTGAAAATAACGTTTTATAGATTGGTTTTTTTTAATCTTATATTTTTGTTGTCTTATAGATGGCAATAATGGATCTCTCTCGGTAGGTTCCTTATTATCGTCTCTATATCTATTTGTCTCCGAAGCGTTTGGAAGTTGATTTATTGAAGTAGAAGAAAGCATATTTTCAAAGCTATTGATATGTCTTTTATTATTGGATGTATCATTTAGTAATAACGCTGTTGTATCAGAATGTGTACCATAAGACGCTTCTAGTAATCTTGAAGGCGTATAAATAATTGCATTTCCATTTTCCATAATAATAGGGTCATCATGATTTAACTTGATATCTTTACTACTATTTGATCCCTGATATTCATTATTGACTGTCATATTTTCTTCTTCAGAATTAGTATCCTGCTTTTGTTCTCGATGATATCCTAATCGTAAAACATCAAGGTATTGAGAAAGTGAAGCAATTTCATCAATCGACAAGCGTGTCTCAACAGGTTCTGTAGCACGACTGTTTACAACGCGTGCTGCCATCTCCGATAATTGGTGAATGATAGCATAGAATGATGAATTATAATAATGCTGCCTTGTGTTGTTTAGCTTTCTTGTTCGAATACGTGCAATATGAGCTGCTGATAATTGAGCGATACCAGAGAAACCTCTACGTACGCTATGTTCACACTCATGTTGATGGTGCTTAAAACTCCAGCAAGCAAAACTCGTTGAAGATGCATTCACAGATCGACTGTGAGTAGATCTTAGTTTATGTGAGATAGATTCATGGTTATTTGTACTTAAAAGAGACGAATCGCGTTGATAATATTGGGATTGACTTTGTTCAAAAAGAGAATTAGGCGATTGAATAGAAGCGTCTGAGTTCTCTGATCCTCTTTTTCGGAAAGGAGTATTTATAGATAACATTTGCGAATTATCTTCATTATATAGATGACGCGCTATATTCCCATTGGATATACTTCGACGTCTTTCTAGCTTTTTAAGTTTATCAAGAAGGGGAACATTCTGAAAGAGTAAGAGTTCATCTAATTGTTCCTTTTTCACTAGTGTATCTTTTGTTAATGGCTTTGTTGATTGTTTATTATAATAATAATAGGGTGACAAAGTAAGTGACACAAAGTCGAGTTGGCTGGAAGTTTCACTCATTTCCTCTTCATTATTATGCGATTGATACACGTTTAATGATGGCGAATTCATATCATCTCCCTCTTTTTTCAAAGCTAAAAATTATGCGTGTCTATTTATAAGAAAAATAAAATAAATAATAAAGAAAAAAAAAAAAAAAAAGAAATCGAACTTTTATTACAGGGAGCCTCTTTTTTTTTTTTTTTACCATTCGTATATTATTGTTTCCTAAATTCTGAAACCATAAAAATAGTTTTTTTTTTTTTTTTTTTTTTTTTTTTTTTTTTTTTTTTTAATTTGTTAATAATCATGAATTTTTCATGTGGTTGCATATTTGATAGGAAAGTGAAAGAACCTCATTTTAAAAAATCAAAATACTTTGAAGACTTGAGCGCAAGTTTTGCTATTAACGCAAAAAATGAACAACTAGGAGCACAGTAATAATCCCTCCTTTTTTTTTTTTTGTTCTATTATATTATTGACTAATTCCTTTACTTGTTAGTTATTCTTGGTTAGTTCAAATGCATAAAGTACCAGCTAATGTACAACATCCTTATATTGAGGCAACATTTGAAAATCCAACTGATCCTAAAGATCCTATCATTGTTCCTGCTGTTCAACTTAAATCAGAACAAGACCATTTCCAATACCCCCGTTATTATTTTATTTCTCCTGCACTAGGTGCCCTGGACTGTAAATTATACAACATTAAATTAACGGCTTATTCTGACAAGTCAAAAACAAAATTAATAGCAGAACATGAAAATCAAATACTATCACGTATTAATTCTGAATCGTGTGTCAAATCTGAATTTATGGAAAAAATGCGTGCAGCAACAAAACAGGCTGAATGGGAAACCAGACAATAATAAAACTTTGTTTTAGTTTATTTTTATTTTATTTTTTTTTCTGTACATTTATTATTTTAAAACATGACTGTATCTCTTAATTGCAAACGTGGTACTTTTCTGTAGTCTCCAACTTTACCCAATCTCCATAAATATACATCCAAACCACCTGTTGTCATGTTATGAGTAGATCCAACCCCTGAACGAGCCATTCTCACAATCTCATCACAAGCAACAATAGCAGCAGCACGTAAAGTAGTTGCTGTTTGAACGTCTAACTCGAGATGATTCACAATGTCTTGTTGCCATGTTTCAGGCATCTCAATAATTCCTAAATGAGCTAACATAGTAGGGATTACATTATCAGAGAAAATAGTAAGTGTGTCAATGTCCTTGAAGTCAAATAATTCTGGTAACTGTTCTTTAAATGTAAACCAAAGATGGTAAACAATGATTTGTGCTTTCTTATAAATATAAACCAAATCATCGGATTCTTCTGAAAATTGATAACAATCGGCAAGACCGGGAAAGGCTCTAACAAAATGTTCAACAAGACTTACAGCATTTTGAGGGTTTTCTTTGACGTGAGTCAAGATGAAATGAGCTAAATCCTTATAATTATTAGCTAATAAATATTCGCCTGTTGTATTTAGAACTGTTGTTAATCCAGCTGCAAAAGGTTTTAAAGGAGTAGGTTCTGTCATTGTCACAAAATCTAATTTTTCATGTCGAACTTCGCGATCAATAGGGATTTGAAACATTTCGGCTACATCAAAGATGGTAGTATTTTTAAATGTCTCGGCTGTCATAGGCTTTCCACCAATATGAAAATACATGGCACCGAATCGAATAGTATCAAAAGCACTAATGGTTTTGTTATGTTAAGTTTTTTTTTTCTTCTCATTCTTTCAAAGAAAAAAAAATACTTTTTAATTACCCTCTACCAGTTAATTCATGAAGAGGAACTCGATATCCACTACCAAAGTTTAACAAATCAATTAAAGTAATAAAGTTTAATTCATCTTCTACTGTCTCAAATCTAAGTGGCATTTTAATAGTTGAATCATAAGCCAATTCTTCATATTCCAACTTGTCCAATTTTGTTAAAAAGTCTTCAATACCTTTTTGTGAAATTTTGATAGGACTTTTTTCAACAAAGGCATGACAGGACGAGCGTACTGCTTCAATAATATTTCCTTTGGGTACTTCTTTAGTAGCAAAAGGATTCATCTCGTTTGTGCTTGAAGCCATTTTTTTTTATAATCAATATGGATTAAAAGTAAATAAAATAAGAAAATAAAATTTTATATTCATGCCACTGTGTCATTTATAAAAAAAGAAAAAAAAAAAAGCACTCCGGTAGTAAATAATTGATTGGCTAATACGTGATACCTAAAATGAATCTTCTGTCATCAAAAATCACAAAGAGGATGGATCAAAGGTAAAGAAAAGAAAACACTCATTATCTTTTAGAAAGAAACAGTGTCAGAGTATAAAAGTTGTTTAGCTTCCATTTTATTAATAACTAAAGGGAGTATTCTAATATGCCTTACAAAAACCTATAATGTGGGTCATTTCCCTTTTTTTTTAATAATAATATAAAATGTATTGCTAGTTATATGGTACATGTCCAATATGTATAGGCTTCTTCCTAAATACATTAGATGATTAAAAAAGATCATTAATGGTTTACATGTTTAGTATTGTTACATTTAACTGATCAAAACAACTATTTATTAAAAAAAAGGGGATATATTTTAAAAGTTCTGTCAACCAATTATCCAATCCGCTTTTTTTTTTTTTTTTTTTTTTTTTTTTTTTTTTGACTTCGTTTTTAATTTTTCTTTTTTTTTTTTTTTTTTCTTTTTTTTTTAGTAATCTACAATCAAAAATGGCTTCAGATCCGGTTGACAATGTACAAGAAGTAGCAACAACAACTCCAAAATCTACACAAAAAGTAGTGATTGAACGAGTTCCAGGCACAACCATGTTACCCATAGCCAGAGTCAAACGCGTTATCAAAGAAGATAAAGACATTGCACTGATCAATGCTGAAGCAACCTTTTGTATTGCTTATGCAACAGTACGTTTTACTTTTAGTTTGATTTTTTTTTTAAGAAAAATAAATTAACAAAAGCATTACTTTATTATTTACTTTACGCATAGGAACTATTTTTAGAGTACCTTGTAACAGAAGCTTTTTCAAAGGCTAAAAAAGAAAAAAGAAAGACTATATATTATAGAGATTTATGTAAGGAATTATGCAAGATTGATGTTGAATATGGTCATGATCTAATTATATATATGTGTATATATATATATATATATTGTTTGTGTGCGTGTGTGTGTGTGCAATAGCTAGTTCAGTCAAAGAAATAGAACATTTTGAATTTTTAGAAGATGTCATACCACCTACTATGACACTCAAATCAGCTATTGAAAAGCGTAAGGCAGCACTTAATGAAGATACACCTTCAATTGCTTCACCAACTAAGAAACAAAAGTCTTCGGTAACAAAAACAGATCATGCAAGTGATGAAGAAGAAACAGGAGGAAAAGCAGAAGCAGAAACAGAAGCAGAAGCAGAAGCAGAAACAGAAGTAGAGGAAGAAGAAGATATTACCACTGCTACAGCCACTGCAGATGAAGATAATGATGAAGAAGACGATGATACAATGATGGAGGATGCAAAATAAGGAAAAGCTTTTTTTTTTTATGTCATGTGTATAGGGTAAACGGAGATTTGATTGTCTTTGTACAACAAGAAAATAGATACTTAATCTGAATTTTATATAAAATACTCTTTTCTTTTCTTTCCTTTTCTTTTAATAAAATATCATATCAATGCTTCGTTATAATAGATTTACTATTACTAAAATATCAAAGAGTACATCCTCTGTATGGTCTCGTCCCTTTTCTGTCACTACTTCTTCTAAGAATGATACTACTGGAAGTAATAACAGTAATGGGTTTCTAAAATCTGTTCTTTATGGCAAAGAATTAGATGGAGCAGGGAATGTATTAGCACCACTTGAAAGTAATACAACACATTCAAAGACCTTAGCTAGAGGCAAATATGTTCATGAGATGCAAAGTAAATAAACATATATAATCTATACACATATACCTTTTATTTATTTACTTATTTATATACTATGATTAGTTCATAGAGTGAAGCCAGAAAAAGTAGAGGAATACATTCGTCTTACGTAAGTGAATATATATATGTATTTATATAAACGAATTCTAATGTCTTCACATTGTTTGTATGTATAGATCTATTCATTATCCTCGTATTGCAAATGATCTCGAAAATAATGTTCATTTATGCGGTAGTTGGGAAACAGTGATTGGTGAACAAGATACATTTGGTACATACATAAAAGTAATAAACACATATTTATACCTAACCTATTCTAAATGTAGTTCATATTTGGGAATATAAAGGATATCCCGGTCATCAACAAACTTTAGAGAGATTATCTCAAGATAAGGCTTATGAACAATTTATTAAAGATCTCAGACCTTTATTAGTTTCACGAGAAAATAACATTATGCTTGAATTTTCTTTCTGGAAGACATTGCCACCGCAAGTAACAAATGGTATTTATGAGTTACGTAAATATAACTTGAAGGTAAATAATACGAATGTATGTGAATATTAGACACGATGCTTATTTTATTTTATTATTTTAGCCAGGCAATTTACTTGAATGGGAATATTATTGGTAGGATTGATTTTTTTTTTTTTTTTTTTTTTTTTTTTTTTTTTTATGTAATAATCCAAGTAATACTAAAATGTCTATCTATTTGTATACTTTTATAGGCGAAAAGGTCTTGAATGTCGCAGTCAATTTTGTAAGCCAGTTGGAGCATGGTTTAGCCAATTAGGAAATTTGCATACTGTTCAACATATGTGGACTTATCCGTAAGTATTTTATATATTTATATCTGGGCAATTTTAAAGTAATATCTATTACACGATGTAGTGATCTTCAAACAAGAAAGATGACTAGAGAAGAGGCTTGGAAAGTTGAAGGGTGGTCTGATACAGTTTATAAGACAGGTAATAATCTATACACACACACATACACACACATGTATATATATATATATATATATATAAGCCTATAGTAATACGTGATATTTACATTTATTTATAGTACGCTTGGTTGATAGTATGCATTCTTATATTTTGAAGCCTTTAGATTATAGCCCATTAAAATAAGATTATGTTTATTATGTAATAAAAAAAAAAGAGGAAGGGATGCTTTATGATATTCACAAATATTATCAAGTATTATGTAAAAATATATATATATATGTATAAATATATATTATTTATATGTGTATGTATAGAAGAAAAATATACAAACTAATGAGCCATCATATTATTTCGATGTATATTTGTATTTCCATTTGATTCACGATGACTACGCGTGATACGTCCTTCATCATATAACATATTTGATCTAGGACCAAAACGTCTTTGAAATTTAATTAGTTTCCGTGTAAGCATATCCATAATTTCAAAGGATGATTGATTTTCTTTATCCACTGCTTCTTCATCAGATTCTAATGGAATTGTACTTGCACTACTTAAAGAATCATTATCATCATCATCATTATTATCATTATCAAAAGGAGTATTGTTATTTATGACAGTTGATATTAAACCATGGCCTGCACGGTTTATCGATACATGATCCTCTTTTGTAGCCATCTCTACTTGAATTGAACTAATGTATTCCAATATTTGATTTGCACGTCTATTCATTTCTGATAAACTCATACGCACATGAGGTTGTCGTGTTTTCGCTGGCGGTGAAGCAGCACGCGCCTCTGGTGAAAAATGTTCAAATAAAAGAGTTGCAATACTACTACTACTATGACTATCATCTGAATGATTATTAGTGTCATAGAAAGATATATCTGGTGATGCCATAGGTGATGATTCTCTTGTAGGCGTTGATGTTCTTGATCTCGGTTTACCTCTTCTATTATTTCGATTAGAATAAGTTCGTTTTTTTTCCTCACTTTTAACTGTTTGTTTCTTTAACATTGGCTGTGAAGGTGTCTTTTCAATATCTGATCCTATTTTCAAAGTAATAACATGTTAATATCATTCTATATATATATGTAAAACTCCCTTTTTAATATTCATATCTTACCATCATGTTCCTTTATTTCAGTAGGTGTAGCAGTAGCAGTCATAGTGACTTCATCTTGACTTGCTACTGTAGAAGAAGCTGGTTCTGATTTTTCATCAATTGTATCTGGCACTTGAATTTCTAATCCTCTTTTTCTTTTGTTTATTTGCTCTTCATTATTTGCTGATATATCATCTTTATGAGCTTCATACATTTCTAATGCATCTCTTGCTGCTAATACATCTTCTAAAGACATACTTGCTTCTCGACTATTTAAAGTGGTTCGTTTCTTGGGTGTTCTTTCTAAAGAAATATATTGACGTTTCACTCTATATACATACATTAGTTTGAATAATGTTAAATTACATATAGTCTATTTACCTTCCATTATAACTGCTAACTATTTTATGGTTTTCAGGTTTACATAATTCACAATAATAATGATCTGGAATGTTAGGCTGATCAAGGCCCATGCATTCACAATGCTGCCAAACTTCGCATTTATCACATTGAACCATTAAACCCATATTATCTAAGATGAAATAACATGTGTTTAAGTATCCACATAGTATATCGATATATACATCAACTTACGAGTCTCACCGCATACACATCGAGTTGTTGAACTGCTATCTGTACTATTATCTTCAGAAACATATTGTAATGATCTTCTTCTTCTTCTTCTTCTACGTTTTTTTGTTGTTTGTTGTTGTTGTTGTTGCTGTTGTTGAGTCTTTCTTCTTCTTCCTACATTACTGTTTAAAGCTTTACCAATACTACCACCTCTTCTATGTAAGACTTGTGATAAATAAGTTATAAGCACTCTTTTTTTTTTTTTTTTTTTAATTCTAATAATTAATTTATTTATTTTTACCCATTTACTGTTCTCGTCTTTTATAGTATATGTGTATTTGGTATGAGAAGAAAAAAAAAAAGCGATAAATAAATACTTCTGTATATGTGTATTTTTTTTTTTTTTTTTTTTTTTTTTTTTTTTAATAGAATTGTTATGGGACTGCTTTTTCTTGATTTGGACAATGGGGTTTGAATTTACAAAAACAAATGAAATATAAGAAATCAACCAATGGTAAGCAGCACATAATTTGAAGAATTACTGAAAACCTGCCATATTATGTAATATGAGGAGAATTTGGAAAACAGCCAGTTGATGAAATATAGAATGTGTAGGTAGCCAATGTACAAAGAATGGAGAAGTTGATATTATAATAGAAGGTTTCCCTTTCTTTCTTTTTTTCTGCATAATAGGATGTGACATCACTTTTATAACACACATATAGAATAAGATAGGATGGAAGCAGCTACTATCGCAGTTTTAAAGATAATTTTATGATTCTGCAAATTAAATACGACCTTAACTAACAAAACTAGACTCGAGCAGAGCTGTAAGCAGACAGTGAATGCATAGAAATAAGAAACAATTAGCTTGTCAATATTTCGACTTGTTGACACTGGATCAAAGTCATTTTAGTTTATGATTATTAATAGAAGAGCTGCTTGAAATTAATATCATATCTTCGGTCAACAGTCTGTTGAAATAATAATCATAAATACAAACATACATACCTCTTTAATACTTTGCATTCATCTCTTTTCTTCTTGAATGAGGTTCTTCTTCTTTTTATATTCTAACTTTAGATAGGCACTACTCTTCAATCGAATTTAGAAAGAGTAGGTATAAAAGCATAAACAACAATCCTCATATCTGAACTATGGTTTATCCATCACTATAAAGTATTCTTTCAGTTTTTTTTTTTTTTTTTTTTTTTTTTTTTTTTTTTTTTTTTTTGTTCTATCAACTCATACTTGAAGCTCTCATATCCAAGTCACATCTCTTTCTATAGTATAATAATTGCTTGTCATTTTTCAATAGCAGAACACTATGTTCATGAATATTAAACGTACATAAGAGCCTCATTGGAATATGATAACTAGTTTTAATTTCATTCTATTCGTTAAATTCCAGACATTCGGATTATTATTTATTCTTTTTTTATGACGTTTGCATTTGCACTTTGCTTTCATCTATGTTCATTATAGAAGGGAATATAAACAGTTACTATGAAAATAGATAAACAATATAGTGTTTCCCAGCAACTCGTATTTTGTGTGCGTGTGTGAGGGGGAATTCCTACAGTTCATACTGAAATAAACTCTTTACGTGATTATCCCCACTTGAGGTAGTCTTCTATGTCTTGTTATGTGTACAACTATCTAAATGAACGCGTCTGATGATTCTATTTCTCATTATTTATGGACACACATGTTATTTACAGAATTAGTATTTTCTAGAACATTTCACCTTATTTTCATGTACTAATAAAGCGTATTATAATATCAAATACAATTAACTATTACAGAGTGAATAATTAATGATTTATCATTCCCAACCTTTATATCACACACACACACTATATTTATATACATTTTTATACATATTTAGAAATGAATAAATTACATGAAATAAATAAAACTAGACTGTAGTCTCTAATATTTGTATAAGAAATTCTGGTTTTGTTAGTAACATTTTTTTTTGTTTATTATTATTATAATTGCCTTCACTACTACTTTATGGATTGATAAAAGCTTCATTTGGAAAATAAATATTATTATGACTTGATCTCCTTTCAAATTTGGAAATCCACATTCTCTGAACTTTTTTTTTTTTTAAAACTCATTTTTTTTCATATATTTTTTCATTAAAAAAAATATTTTTTTTTATTGTTTTTTAATATTTAAGAGGAAAAAAAAAAACCATGTCTTTTTCTTCAAATCCTTACCATCATCAACAACAACAACAACAACAACAGCAGCAACAACAGCAGCAACATCAACAACAACAACCACTGCCGCCTCGTCTACCACAACACCATCAACTTCAACCAACACAGCAGCATTATTCACAAACACATGTGCAGCTTCCAGCTTATAATAATCCTAATGGTTATATGAATAACACTAATTTACCTAGATTACATCAACAACCACTTTATAGTTCATCTCCTCATCAACATCACTATACAACTGTAAATAGACCTAATGTGAATACTGCTACTAATCTACCTCCATTACCACCACAGAATACAACTATTATGAATAATAGTAATAACAATAATACAGATCATCATTATCCTCACCATCTACCTTCTACATATGAATCTCGTAAATTATATTCTTGTAATGAACCAGGTTGTTCAGAGTATTTTGATCATCCAAATGGTCTACGAATACATCAAAGGTATATAAACAAACAAACAACAATAAAATAAAATAACGCTTGATTTAACTTTAAAATAAATGTAGAACTGCTCATAGTAATAGACATGGTGAAAATGGAAATGATGATCAAGCAAGATCAACACAAAATAGACCTTATGTAATTATTTACTTTTATAAGAAAGGCATTGATACTTATTTTATATTTTTAGGTTTGCCCTTATGCGGAATGTGGAAAATCATTTACACAATATGGCAATTTGAAGGTAAGGAATAGAAATAGCTTATGTACAATAAATAAATAAACTGATTCTTTTTTTTTTTTTTTTTTTTTTTTTTATATATATCTATTCAGACACATTCAAGAAAACATACAGGAGAAAGGCCTTATCATGTAAAAGATGACGTTTTTTTAAATTTTTTTTTTCTTTCTTTCTTTTTACTTATTTTCTTTTTACTAGTGTACTTATGAAGGTTGTGATAAAGCATTTACTCAACTTGGAAATTTAAAAACACACGAAAAGATTCATTGGCCAGTTAAACCATTCATGTGTGCATTTCCTAATTGCGGTAAAGGGTTTACTCAAAGAGGAAATTTAAAGGTAAAATACATAGAGTGTCTAGATTATGCTTTACTGATAAGCTTGTTATCATGTATACACACTCTATTTTTAATAGACGCATCAAGTTAAAGTACACCAAATAATGCCCCAATAATTTAATAATAATATTCTTTTGTCATTAAAAAATCTTGTTCTGTGGTTGTAGTTGTAGTTGTAGTAGTTTGTTTCTTTTTGTTATAATAATAATCAATAGGGACTTTTGTATGGAGATATTCGTCCATCACAGATCGATTTAAAAATAATAGATTTGTTGTAGTCTCATTATCCTTGGGTGTAACTGGTGATGTTATAGGATGATTACTTTGTTGTTTTCGTGTACTATTAGATAAAAACTTTGTATGAACAGGAGGTGGTTTTGGCTTATTTTCTTCATCATTAAAGTTCCAAATGGATTCAATAAAATGAAGTTCATCCCATGTATTCTTTGTTTCATCATCGTCATCGTCATCATCATCATCATCATCATCATCATCGTCATCTTCTTCATTATCATCATTACTATTATTATTATTCTTCTTTGATGTCACTGCCCTACTCATTAAATAAGGGCGTTTATTTAATTCAGGTCGACGTGCAAGGTATTTTTGTAAATAAGAAGGACCTGCTGCCTTTTTTAAGAATGGATGATTTAATGCCTCAGTGATAGATAAACGAGATGCAGGGTTTTTATCAAGACATTTAGCTATAAAATCTTCAACAGAATGACTAGGACTATAACGACATTGATTACTGTATAACGTTGGTGCTGGATCATCAATAATCATGGAGAATATCTATTTATACATACATACATACATAAAAGTAAGATGTCAAATTGTATTAACAAAGATAGGTCTATATATATAAATATACGCTAATTCACTTTACAGTCATAGGATCATATTCTGAAAAGGGAGGTTTGCCACAAGAGAGTTCAATTGAAGTAATCCCAAGGGACCATATATCTACTTTCGTATCATAGTCTTGGTTTAATAAAATTTCAGGAGCCATCCAACATGGCGTACCTACAAAGGATCTACGCACTTTTTTTATCGTGTTAGCTGCTGGCAGTGGTAGCGGTAAGGATGATGGATTAGGTCGATAACAAGTAAATTGATCAGCGGACATAAGTGAGATCATAGACTCTGTTAATAATTCCATGGTAGGATCGTTATTAAAATGAGATTGAGTTGATGTTGTGCTATTATTATGATTAGGTACATGATGATGATGATTCTCTGTTAAATCACTCAAGAGTTGACTACTAACACCAAAATCTGCTAGTTTAACGATACCCGTCTCAAAATCGACCAACATATTAGCAGACTTAATATCACGATGGACTAGTTCATTACTATGAAGATATTCTATTCCTTTTGCGACTTGTTTAATAATACATGCCACTATACTTTCTTCAAATCCAACTTTATGACATCTTAAAAGTAAATCATGACAAGAACCTAATTACAAATTTATATAATATATATATATATATACATATTTTTAATAGAATGAACACAATGGTGTAAAATAGTTGACCAACTATTTACCTGCTGACATGATGGGGGTAACAATATAAAGTTTGGAAAAATGAACAAAGCTTTGATAGACTTCAAGAAGATGACGATGACGACACAAGGTCATGATTTGAATTTCTTTACGTAAGGCTTCAAGTCTAGAATTATCTAGACCTACCATTTCATCTAAATTCACCGTCTTGATAGCTATCACGGACTGAGTAGGTTTATAGATAGCAGAATAGACAGAGGCAGTCGCACCTGCGCCAATCGTTCTCAATATATCATAATCCTCCATTTTCACTGAATAGGAAATAATACCGGCTTGATGATGTTTATTATTAGTAGCTGCTGTTGTTGCATGATGATTTCCTACACTATTGGATCTATGAATAAAAGAGGATTTGACTCGACTGACTAAATCTGAAATAGATCTTTGTCTAGATAAAGGTTTTCTTCTGGTATTCATGCTATTATTATTAGAAGGTGTCATGGTAACGGGTTGGATCATCATCGTATCTGTTCCCTCTGTTGCTGTCACCGTTTTGGATCTACCGCGACGTTTACTTTTACTAGGAAACAATTGATTTTTTAAAGAAGACGTACGAGCCACTGAAATAGAGTTAGAAAGAGGATCCATGTATTCAATTTATATATGTATATGTATATATATCCAAAATGAGACTATTAAAGAAAGGAAGGAGAAAGAGAAAGAGGTTGTAAATACAAGATTATAAGTAAAATAAAAAAAAAAAAAAAGATACACAATTTTTATATTATTTATATATAGATTCATTTATGTTAATTATAAATTTTGCTTCTTGCGCAGATAAAGTTAATTAACCCAAGTTCCGAATTTGTATTAAAAAGGAGAGAAATAGATGCATACAAAGAAGGAGTAAAAAAAAGAAAAACACACACACACGCACTAAGAAAATAAGCTTTGTTTTTTTTATTTATTTCATTTCATTTCATTTCATTTTATTTTTAAATAACAAGTTACATGGACAAGATAAGGAGTAAAGAGAAGTTATCATGATAGCACAAAAATAACTGTATGAGTTTTAAATCATTATAACAAAAAAGGCAAATTATAATATACAAGACTCGCTTCTCGACTCTATTCCTAGTTGATCATATTAATAGCTAAATAATCTTGTTGTACTCAACAATAATAGCCCGGATCCTTTTTTTTAAAAAAAAAAAATATTTGTGTATATGCTGGGCTTCTAGAACTTTATAATAATAATTTGAAGAATTTTTTTTTTTTTTTTTTTTTTTTTTTTTTTTTTTTTTTTTTTTTTTTTTTGGTTCCTGAAAATGTTCGGTTTTAATATCAAAAAAAGTATAAACACTTTTATTTTTTTTTGATATGAATAGTATAAAATATCAACTAATTACACACTAATCATCTTTACAAAACCAGTTTATATCATGAATAAAAGAGTTTATGATTGTTGTTCACATAAATAAGTGATTGTAAGTAATAGTCAAGTGGTATACATTTTTTTTTTTGTTTCCTTTCTTCTTTTTCAACCTATTCATGCATCTGCTTCAAGTAGTGGAATACATATCATTAGTGACTTGTATGCTAAAAATGATATATACACCAAGTAGCATACAATGTAATTCGAAAAAGAAAAAAAAAAAACGGCTCTGACAGAGCGAAACAGATTTAAAGTATACATTGGATTCTAATCGCTTGATAAAATATTATATATGGAGTCGTAATAGAAATTTTTAAATAAAGCCTTCAAAAATATCTTTATGATGTTAATATTAACTTTTATTTAATAATACAATAAAATATTCTATTTAAGAATATAATTAGATGCATTTATGTCTAATAGGAAAAAAAATGCATAATATCATTCTAATATATGAAATAAGCTTATGAATTGGATACGAGAAAAATGAGCTTTCGAACAATATAGAAGAAAAGGTATTCTTTTTTTTTTTTATGCAGTGGTCTTCTTAGGTTCTTCATCAAGGAAT